TGCTCGAATGAGGTTGCTCGAATGAGGTTGCTCGAATGAGGTTGCTCTGTCTGTTTGCATGGCACTTGAATGCTTCAGACCTGCAATTCAGGGCGACGAAGTCGAAAACTGTGGGCGGCGCACCAGCAACCTTGTCGACTGCAATGTGCAACGTTGAGGCACGACCAAATCGTCATATTCAGAGAAGCCGACATCATACGATAGCCCGGCTGGATTGGATTGCTGTCTGAGTAGTCTCGTAGCAGCCTACGCGCGGTCACGCGGACCATGAACAGAGACGGCACAGTGTACAGAGCACAAAAATGCCACGTCATCAAAGTTGTGGTCAAAAGCGGTGTCTGAAGTGTACAATTGCATTTCCCGCCTGTGTGTGCACTCAAGTCGCTTCGCGACTTCAAATGGAGATGACAGATTTTGCATTCCCGGCTGGATATATCGAGCGCAGTCAGCCTTTTGAATCTTGACTGGGGGATTGTCTTGTTACACTGGCTTCAACGGTCAGACCGTTTCAGAGTCACCAGGAGATTGCCGTTGAATGTTGCGCCACTGACATATCAGCAGACTGAAAGACATTGTTGCACAAAAACAAAGACACGTGGGCTTGTGCAAGCATACGGCGATCGAGACGCCTGTGAGCCATTAGGATTGCTATCTTCGGTAGCTCTTGCCATTTCCAGCGGAGCAGAGCAATTTGTAGGTCTCGGAGATACCTGAGCCGGTGATATTGCAAGTAAGGTGCCGGCTATACAACATCAATTATCGGAGTCATCGGCTGTTTCAATGTCAGCTTCATGAATGTGGGATGTAGTACCAACCGCCCGGAAAGGAAATTCATAACTCAGAGTATGTGCTCTCGGAAGCCGCCCTCTGGACCCGAGGTTGCAATGATATGACCACTGTAGACAGCTGGGAGGTCGACAGGTTTCATTCGTACGACACCGTCTCAAGGCGTTCCTTTGCTTGTACCGCGCTGCAAGATATATCCGATCAAAAGTCAATGCAAAATCTTCGGTCGGCTCGTCGTGTTCGCGAAGATTCGGGGAATAGGATTCAGTACAGAATTTGGAAGGAGACATCTGAAATATGCAGATCTTGTGGTCCATGGAAGGGATTTCTCTGAGGAGCCCTGACAGATCGTCGCAGCAACAACCAGCCAATGAAGTCCCTTTCCCGATCCATGGATAGCAATAGTTCGGCTCAAAACCGGTAAGTTGGAAAGCCCAGAGGTGCACAAATCCCTCAGGAAGGAGTTCATCGCTTGACTTCGCCTATGGCCCATATTCTCCAGAACGAGACGTGGATTTAGGACCCCGAACCAAGTCAACTCAGTGCAGAGTTGCACAAAGCCATGGACGATGGCCAACCGGGACGACTGCCGCAAGCCACCTATCCTACCAGTCCATGCGAGGTAACTTGCTTGTAGTTTCATCGTATCGGTACAACGCACCCGGCGTAGGATCAGATACTTTGTGGTCAGACCTAGCAACCACCCACCAGTATATTGTACTAGTACTTCACCAGGCTCGACACCCGGGTCACATTCTGCTGATCAAGGTTGACAGCAAGTGCCACGACCACCATTGGCACGATAGTGACTGGCTAGCAGGACAAACAAAACACATTCGTAGTTTCCTGCATACACGGTTTCTTCGAGCATAAACCTGATAGCGTACCGTCGGCCCTGTCCATTTTCATGTCGGCCAAGAATGTGATGAGAAGAAAACCTCGACGGCCGTCCCATGCCGCCCCATTGGATCTCTTGTGGCTAGAGGTCAAGCTTTCGATGCTTCACCACTTTTATTGTGCCGCCGAACCGCATCTTGATGTCCCTGAGCATTCGACTGCACCTTGGCCGTTGTAGAAGTGCGGCCGCTTGACGAGCAGACTCGGCACGGAAGCGCCACAACGCCTGTGCCGTTGCATCGACCACATTTGTTACTGCCGCTATTCAAATGTCAGACCGGGTATGTTGAGATGGACTGTATACGCTGCAGCACTGCCCTATTCGCAGCTCGCAGTAGAGTGCCGAGGCGCTTACCGTGGAGGATGGCCAGCACAGCCGCGACAAGTACCCCATGATTTTGGATGAGAACACATGTTGAGAGACAGGTAGGTGATCGGGGCTATCCAAGGCGGTAACTGATAGCTTGAGTTGAACCTTTGATGGCGATTGACGTAGCGTTTGTGACTTGCTGGCGATCAATGTGACTAGCACTTAGCCAGCATAGAGGCGACATTGCCTTTATAAGCAGCCACGTTTGCCATGCATATGACAGATGTCGTCTTGACAAGTCAGCCGTGACATGAAGCTTGTCAGAGACATATCAAATCGCCAGTTCATGCTGTACCACAAAATGTAGAGACAAATTCCAGCTTCATCATCACACCTGCTTACCATGCTCACCAGGGGCTCAAGCGATTGTCCGTGCGACGTTAGGCAGTACCACGGGATTCAAGGCCTCTCTAGCAAGGTATCCCTGTTGGTGTAAGAAGGATTTGTCGAAGTAGCTCTGGACAGAGTGGTCCTGATTGCCAATTCCCAGGTAAAGGTGTACCACATGGGTGCCTTCTTAGAGCAGGGGATCCTAGGATAAGAGGAACCTACCTCTAAAGCGGTGGCGCACGTCACTAGACCAGTCGATCAGGCTGATTGCATCGAACTTCGCTTGAAAGCCACCTGACAAACGCTATGCTCAGATCCCTGCCGCATGACAGGGCTGACATGGAGAACCATAGAATAGGCGATGGGATAGCGAACAACTGGTATCATTTTGGACGTCCATGAGAACGGAAAGCTTTGGTACAAATGACGGTATGAAGAAGACCCGAAATGCGTACACCAGCTCGCCGATCCACGCTGTCTTAGCCGTATCACAAACGGAGTCACTTCCGGTGTGATGTCGATACACATGGCTACATCGCGGAGTGTGGCATTGTTGGAGTGGTGTAGCGTCGTTCAAGCCGCTCCGAGAGCAAAAGGGACGTAACGTCTACCGCCGCAAATCCACATTAGCAGAACCTTGCTGAAACAGAGGTCAGCCTGGTGCGACTGTCAACGTTGTCTTACCGCTGGCATGACTGGATCGAGCTCCATGCAGCAGTTCGGCGCCACTCATCTTCTATCGGCGAGGAACATTGTTGACGTCAACAGTCAGCTGAGCCGCAGCAGGGAAGGATCGCGGTGAGGGTGAAGTGGTGTTGGACCGTCTGTCTTCTTCTTCACAACCTGATGTTCGTGTCACAAGGCTTGGATGACGTTAGCTGATAGGAACCGGCGGGTTCTTCGAACTATTCAGAAAACACAGAGATATCGCTCCTTTGCGTGAGTGCTGTCTGCATGAAAGGGAGATAGAAAGGGATCGGAGAAGGGGGACCTTGCAGAGTGACTGCTGCGGCTTGGATCTATTTTCCAGAAAGTCGTGAAACTTGAGGAGGATAGGGAAGCAAGTGCCATTGAATACACTGCTGCATTCGATCGATCAAGAGTCGTGACTGCTTCAATATTGTACTGCATAGGCTAGGCTAGGCACATTTTGTCCGCCTGCTGGTGTCCATTGCTTGTGCTTGGAACGGGTACGACATCATGTATTGGAAAAACCCTCATCACCAGGGTTTGAAAGCACTCATCTTGTTGGAGACATGCTGAACTTGAAAGACATGGTGAACACCAAATGCAACGCGTTGGTTTGTCAGGAAAGATTGATGATGGAAGAAGAACAACAACAAAAAGATAGGTAGACATGGGTTTTGGCGCGCCGAGGAGTGGCACGTGATTGTACATTTAACCGAGGCAGTTGAGGCTGGCTGCCGGTCAGCATGCTGGATTTATATCCTGTCAAAGTCTAGACCAGTAATGTGAGGGTTCGAGATTAGTTTCTCTCTTTAATTGTGACTTTTCTTCTACGAGACCTACGTTGACAGGTACTATCGGGCCCTGATACAGATCAGAGCAATACACTGCACAGTCCTGGGCGCGTCCTGATCTGCGACCATCTGTTCAGACCATGTCTCCTCCTGGGTTCTCTAATTTCAAATTCTTCAATGTGACAGTCCCAAGTCAACATGTGGTTCATGTGGAAATCAATCGGCCGGAGAAAATGAATGCATTTTATGGCCCTATGTGGTTTGAGTTGAAGGCAATCTTTGAACAGGTTTCTGTGGATCCAGAAGTCCGATGTGTATTGCTATCTGGGGCAGGGGATCGTGCATTTACTGCAGGTAAGCCATACGGAATGATACTGCAAGATGATTGATTAACCGGAGTCTTGTGACTGTCAGGCCTAGATGTAGCGGAAGCCTCGAAACCCGACAACCCTTTGACAAGCCCAGGAGCCATCGACCCATCCCGCAAGGCTACGATTCTACGGAGACATATACTCGAGCTGCAAGACGTCGTGAGCAGTCTGGCTCGATGTGAGAAGCCCATCATAGCACTAATGCATGGCTACACGTTTGGACTAGGCATCGATCTGTCATCGGCATGCGATATCCGGTTCTGTCTTGCCGACACCAAATTCTGCGTCAAAGAAGTAGACATTGGATTGGCCGCGGATGTAGGAACCTTGAGTCGACTGCCCAAAGTGGTGGGTGGAGTGACTAGTTGGGTCAAAGAAATATGCCTTAGCGCCCGAGTATTCTCAGCCGAAGAAGCGAAACAAAACAACTTTGTTAGCCGGGTCATCAGTGGCGGCAAGGCTGAGCTGCTCAAGGAAGGGCTGAGTTTCGCACAGTATATTGCAGGCAAGAGTCCTGTGGCTGTACAGGGGACCAAGGCCATCTTAGACGCGGCATGGGGGAGAACTGTGGAGGACAATCTCAACTACACGGCGGTTTGGAATGCGGGCATGTTGCAGAGCACGGATGTCCAAAGAGCCATGTTGAGTGGACTGCGAAAGAAAACACCGACGTTTGAAAAGCTGTGATGTGAGGCGTCGGATGGTTACAGGATGATGTCGATGACGGGCGGGAGATCAATCAGATGTGGCGTTGCGCTATTTTTCACTTGATAGAAGTCAAAAACCCAAAACAGGACGCTTGAGGAGGCAGCATGATGACATTATTGCATTATTGTCAATTGATTTGGGGGGGAAGACGGGGGTTAACTTATTTGAAGCAAGCGAGGCTCGAGGCTCGGATGTGTTTTCGACCAAGGCATGCCTTCTGTGGTAGGTAGAGATTGAAACATGATTCGATAATCAGGGCACTGAGGGCAGCCTTACCTGTCACAAATGCATTGCATTGTTTCTGTTTCTCTGACGACCATTATTCGACAAGGCATGACACCCGGATCCGGATCTCCCGGCAGCCGCGCGCTTCACGTGACTGGATCTGCAGCAGCTTGACAGCGTCTGAAGAGCTGCAGCTTCGGGTTGAGGTAAGCAAGGTTGCCTGGGAAGGAGGGCTGCAAGGAAATAGGTATTTCTTTGGTACAGAGGTAATGGAGCTGTGTCTATGATGCCAAACATGAAGCAATCTGTGAGTACTTGCCACAGTGACACCATTATTATTTGTTGCCGTTGAAAATCCACTCTTCTGTAATTTGATTGCCATGATCTGAGCTGAGCAGTGTTGTTGTTGTGACTTTTTGTGCCTGGCAGCTCCTCGTACCGGCTGCAGCAGGTGACCCTAGTGACCCTCTCCTGCCCGGAAAGGCCTAAAGAAAAACCCAAACCCACCCAACGCCCCCAGTGACGTCGCTTGTGCCGCCGCGTCACAGCAGGAAATCTTGCAGCTCTTTTCATCTTTTCGAAGCTCCAAATTGGAAAACCAGAGACCTCCATCGTCATCATTCCACTTTCTTCCGCCTAGGCACCTCCACACAGCACAGCTAGTGATACATTGCTACTACCTAGACGCCTCTTCTGCTACTACCTCCTCTTCTCCTCTATTCTTGAACCGTCTACGCCAACCTTCTGCGCCAGCTTAACAACAGCTTCCCAAGTTCCTTCCTATCTACGTCGCATCCCTTTCCGCAGCTTCTAGTCGCCCTTTCCTCAATCTCAACCCAACAACAACAACACCAACCGCCAAAATGGTTGCCAGACCCGTTAACCTCATCCTTCGGGGATTGCAGGTACGTTTTTCCAGGTCAACCATGCTCTCATGCAACCTCTAATATCTCTACAGTTCTTCTTCATCCTCGTCATCATGGCCCTCATTGGCAATGTCATTGCCATGGCCTTCGCCGGCAACCCATCCCTGGTCAACTACGACATGTTCGTAGCAGCATTTTCCATGCTATCGCTCTTCTACCTATTTGCGGCTGCATGGAGCGATTCCTTCGTTGGACACCCGATCATCCCGATTGTCCTCGATGCTCTCAACGTCCTTTTCCTCTTCTGCGCCGCCGTTGCCACGGCTGCCGAGCTTGGCGTGCACTCCTGCAGCAACAGCGTACGTTCCTCGCTTCTCTCATCCTGCACATGATTATGCTAACACAAACAACAGAACTACACCAAGTCCAACAAACTCACCAATGGCGCCAACGACAGGTCCGGTCGATGCCACGAGCTGCAAGCTGCCTGCGCCTTCTTCTGGTTCGCTTGGGCCGCGTGGACCGCCAGCTTCGTCTTCTCGCTGCTTGGCGCTGGCAGCAGTGGTGTCAACATGAGAATGGGCAGACGTGGCCCTGCCATGTCCCAGGTGTAAAAAGCCAAACAGCAAGCTAGCGGACAGAATCTCAGCAGTTGCAAAGCTGGCTGGTTTCCTAAAAATCAAACAAATACCCGGCGCTTAGGATCTTTCTATGTCGGCCCAGGGCTCTCTGCAGTAGAGAGCATTTGTTTATCTGCATTTGCATTTCGGCTGTGCCGTTCTGCGCAGAGGTTGACTGCAACCAATATACCCTCAAAATACCGACAACAAAACAAAAACAATGTGTTATGAAGTGGGAGAATCTTTTATTTGCTGCGGCGACCCTCAGAGTTGCCTAATATTAATGTGTATGATAACGTGGGTCGAGTTTGAATGTGCTTGTTGGAAACTGCCTATATCATAGGAGTATCAAACCACACAATAATTTACATTTCCTTTTCCCTCTCCACCTAGTAAAAATAGTGTGACTATGCGAGGAGCGGTAGAAGAGCGGCTTTCAACATCCTACCCCATCCTAGGACGCTGATCTACTTGCTTTGCCAAATCAAACCCAGTATATTTGCGTGATTAGAAATGGATTGCCTGGCTGTACGTGCTCATGGCAGCCTCCTTGAACGCCTCCGCCAACGTAGGATGAGCATGGCACGTCCGGGCAACGTCCTCACTCGACGCACCATACTCCAGCGCCAGAGTAGCTTCGGCAATCATCTCACCGGCATTGGCACCGATGATGTGCACACCCAAGATGCGATCCGTCTCAGCATCAGCCAAAAACTTCACCATACCGTCGGTCTCGAGGTTGGTCTTGGCCCTCGAGTTGGCGGTAAAAGGGAACGTGCCGACACGGTACTTGACGCCAGCGTCCTTGAGTTCAGATTCGTTCTGGCCCACCCACGCGACTTCCGGGTGCGTGTACATGACCGACGGGATGGCGGCGTAGTTGACGTGCCCGTAGCCCTTCTTGATCCATTCCACCGCAGCGACACCCTCCTCTTCAGCCTTGTGCGCCAGCATGGGACCGAACGTGCAGTCGCCAATGACGCGGATGTGTGGGATCTTGGTGCGGTACTCCTGGTCAATGACCAGGCGCTTGCGCTCGTCGAGTTCGATGCCAATGTTCTCAATGCCCAGGCCGTCGGTGTAGGGTCTGCGGCCGATGGCCACGAGCACGACCTCGGCTTCTAGCGTCTCGTTCTTGCCGCCCTTTGCGGCCTCGACCTCGAGCTTGACAATGTCGCCGCTCGCGTCGCCCTTCATGACCTTCGTGTTTGTCTTAAATTTGATGCCTTGCTTGGCCAGGATCTTTTGAGACTGCTTTGCGATCTCGTTGTCCATGCCTGGTCCGCCGATTTGCCCGAGGAATTCGACGACAGTCACTTGCGATCCGAGTCGTGACCATACTGATGCCTGTTTCAACGATCAGATATGCACGCGACGGGAAAAAATACTGGAACTCACCATTTCCAAACCAATGATACCGCCACCAATGACGACCATACGCTTGGGGACCTCAGTCAGGGCAATTGCGCCAGTGCTTGTGATGACCTTCTTCTCGTCGATCTCGAGACCGGGGAATGGTGTCGATTCACTGCCGGTGGCAATGACAATGTTCTTGCCCTTGATTTCCGTTTCGCCTCCGTCGATCAGGTTGACTGCGATGGTATGTTCATCTTTAAACGATCCCGTGCCCTTGATGTAGTCGACCTTGTTTTTCTTGAACAAAAACTCGACGCCTTTCGTCAACCCAGCTACCGATTCGTCCTTTGCCTTCATCATCTGTGTCAGGTTGAGTTTGACTTCGCCAACATCAATGCCACGCTTTTTCGTGTCGTGTAATATTTGGTGGTAGAGATGTGAGTTGTTGAGTAGTGATTTGGAAGGTATGCAGCCGACGTTCAGACATGTGCCTCCGAGCATGCCTCTCTTCTCGATACAAGCGGTCTAGTAGCCGATCAGCATGTAGCCCTGGTTCAACTTGATCTCAATGCTTACCTTGAGACCCTCTTGTCCAGCTTTAATCGCCCCAACGTAGCCTGCGACACCGCCACCGATGAAGACCACATCGTAATCGGAAGCTTCTGATGCGTAGCCTCTCCTCCGCTGCTGGCTCGGTGACACTATCTGGAAGCTAGGGGCTGTTCGGAGGTTCGCAGGGCCATACTGGGGAGCTTTCGTGGAGAGAAGCGACCGACTCGTCCGGGGTACTAACGTCTTGAGCATGGTGTAGAGTGGATCAACGGGACAGGAGGTATAGATTGGCAAGGAAAAGCGACCGATAGTCGCTAACAAGAAGCAAACAGCGAAGAAGACGTGCTGGAGGCGAATACGCTGAGAAATTGTAGTCACAACTCTTTCGAGCACCGAGCTGCCCCCGGGACAACTTGCTACGGAGTTCCTGGCTCATCACGTGCATCGGGATAACTCCCAAAAGGCCTCAACTCGGCTATTAACGGTTCGCTTCCAACATCCTCTTAAACGTCGTCACCAACACCACCCAGTGACCTACTCGCATTTTGTCATCCACACTTAATCTAATCACAAGGCTTGGCTTCTCCGAAACCGCAAGCCTTCTCTCGATCAGTAGTGGCTTCTTGGACGCTGCCGACCATGTCTAAGCAGTCTGATCCCCCAGCCAAGGAGCCAAGTCACAAGTCAATCCCATACGAGATTCGCGATACTCGTCTTCAGCCGTCTCCAAGACACGGATTGATCCATGTACCAAGCTCGTATTCAGATAGCAAATCAGTTCCATTGATCATCGCGCTCCATGGGAAAGGTCAACCGCCAAAAGAGTTCGAGTATCACACCCAGCTCTCAAATGAAGAGACCAACCAAGACGCAATAGTGGTCTACCCAGAAGGCATAAAGGTATGATAGTCCATGGCTACCATGTGCATCTGTTGAGCTTTGCAGCTTCAATGGACGGGCGACCCAGAAGCACCACCACGAAGCAAGATTGATGACATCTCCTTCATCAATATCCTCATCGAGCATGTATCCAAGACGCATGCCATTGACTCAACACAAGTCTATGTCATTGGTTTCTCGAACGGTGGTGGCTTATCTGGACTGCTAGCTGGCGATCCATCCGCTTCAGCCAAGATTGCGGCGTTTGCAGTATCTTCCGGCGCATTTTATATGGACGAGGCACTGAAAGAGCCCTTGTTCAGTAATCCTAAACCGGCAAGAATTCCTGTACCGTTCCTCGAAATGCACGGCGACTCTGATCCTGTCGAACATTATGATGGCAAGGATACGCCTGACGGTCCAAGCTATAACGTTCGCGAGTACATTGAGCGTTGGGCAAAGCTGAACAATTGCAGTGATGAGCCGCAAGTGGAGCACCTGTTCGATGGCAAAGTCGAAAAGCTATCGTGGAGCTCAGACAAGATGGAGAATGTCGTCCAACACTATAAGATCCAAGGCTTCGGCCATGGCTGGCCGACAACTTACCCGCTGAACAATGACGAGCAGAGACATGGTCCGACATATTTCAATGCAACGCCGATAGTGTTGGATTTCCTGAAGAGGTTTCGACAACACGACCGATCTTGAAAGCAACATCGAGCTCGGCAATGTTTATAAATCATCGCTGATAGACATCTCACTGACAATGCCATTCGCAGCCCGTTTCAGGGATCTGTCGCCTTTGCACCTGAAAAGGTGCTTGTGTCACTGTGATGGGAATGAAGAGCGGACAAAGGCAGTCTCTCCTTCAAGACGCTGTGATGGCCCTAACAGGGTGCGGCGGGATGAATTCAAGATCAATCTACCGCAGACATTGCCGCACCTGGGGAATACGCGGCACGATATTCACTCCAACACCGCCTGCCCTTGAATCCGTGACGGGAAAGACTGAGGTTCAAACTGTACTTCCTCTACAGCAGCCTCAAGGTGTAGCCTCTTCTGTCGGACAAACACCGAGTGTAACAAACTTCGCCACATTCAGCGCAGACAATCTCAGGTCATTCGCGTGTCTTACGCCTGGGGCAACAAAGTCTCCCAAGATATGACGAACCGAAGAGTCAGATTCGCGCTTCCCGAGCTCACCATCCGCTACCATGATTCTCTCACCGATCTCGGTCACGAGGAAGTCTTTATTCCAACCGGCTTTGCGCAATTCCTGAGCAAACTCACCGACATCTCCGCTCAAATCTCGGACAAGATCAAGGGAGTCAAAACCCCACCCACAAAAGATCAAGGATTCACTCTCGCCGATGGTTCCTGGTGGTATCGCGTTGTCCGTGATACAGAGAACATCGACGCCAATGGACTGACCACAACGGTCATAGTCAGAGAATGGCACGTTCTGAAATCGGGCCAGGACTTTGACTATATGTGTCTGGAGGCCAGAAACGATCGTGTCGTGATTGAGATTGAACATGTAAATTCCCAACGTCTCCAATGTCCGATCTCCTTGCGAAGGGCATGCTAATTCTGCTCTAGGCTCAGCAACGCGCTCGCGATTCTGCGCCGCAGAGGGCCGAAGAACTCAAGGCTGCGATGAAGAAGGTCGAAGAGCGCAAGGTGACGACGGTGGAGAAGAAGGTCGACGAACACAAATTGAGAGTGGAGAAGGTCAGAAAACCAAAGACGATGGTAAAGAAGAAGATCGAAGAGCCCAAGGCGGTGGTGGAAAAGAAGGTCGCAGAACCCAAGGTGATGGACCAGAAGAGAAAAAAAGAAGCACCAGTTGACCCATCTCCTTGGGCCATTTGGGAGCAATGGATCTATCCGCCCATTATTGTAGATGGCTCTGGAAAACGTCGCTGGAGCCGCCAGATCTGCCACACCAAAGAATCTGATGAGTCCGACTAGGCTGATGAGTGAGGAGTGCTGACGATGCTGGAATTCTGGTGTTGGATTGGTTGATTGGAAGACATTGTGTATGAGTTGTAAAAGCGAGAATTCATGATCATGTTCGACACTGCTTGTCGTCAGGTACTGTCCATTCATTACTTCCCTCCCTGATACCTCCTCGTTCAGATGTCCTCTGGATTAATAGTGTCTCAATTCCCTCTCTTCTCAACCATCCTGACGGCCCTACTCCCAGGGCACCCTCCCGTCATACAACGCCGTCAAATCCTGTTTGCCCTCAAAGAAAACGACCGCTTCCACCTCTGCCCTGACACTCAGAGATAAGCGTTGAAGCACCTCCAGTCTAAACACCTCACCCTCCCACCCTCGGACCGCCCTTTTCCGGCTCAACAGCTCCCCCACACCATACAGATCTTTCTCCCATGCACCGTAACCTCGTAATCGATCCCCAACCTCGATCTCAGCCATTTTTACCGCGTCGAATGACGGGTTGATTCCCACGTAGTGCGTTTCTCTGTTCTCGCCCCACCGCATAGCCGGGAGATGTAGATTCAGAGACCTCGAGCGCTTGAATTCATGCGATATGATCGTCAACTTCGATGGGAACACCACGTCCACTTTTGGCCCCATTGCCGCTGACACATGTCCAGGATCGTCACCGCCCTCCGTAGATAGGCGGCGCTGGTACTCCGCCACGGACAAAGGAAATTGAATCAGTGAGCATAGTACATTCTGATACGAGTCCGTGGCGAAGCGGTCGACGAACATTCGTTGACGGAGGCTGGGCGGCGACGTCTCAAGGCCGAACAGGTTCCTTTCGAGTGCGACGTTCTGTGATGCTCACGATGGTCAGTCCGGATTGTGCTTTTTCCTTGCGCTACCTCAACTCAGAGGCGAGGCCATCCCCCCGAGCGAGGGACCATGAATGGACAACAGAGACATACCAAGTACCCCTCCCCCTCAGTCTTCTCCGTACGATCCCTCTTCGTCGCACCACCGCTAAACACCAAAAGCGCATTCTCGTCCTTCGCCAACTCTTTGACTCCAGCCTCGACGTGCGCAATGTACGTGTCCGTTTCACCTTTCTGGAACGGCTCAATCAACCAATCTGATTCATTGAAGCTGTCTGGCCCAATGTAAATAGCGTGGCAGCATACGATGATCAGATGTGTCGGGAGCGGCATCTTGGTGATAACCTTGTAAGTAACCACCTGTAGACTTGAAAAGTACCAGGTATATTACCATCTAAGCAGAAACCAAGTCATAGCGCGAATAGAGCACGTAACCGGAAAGCTAAATGCAGGCAAGGAAGGAAGATAGTGCAATTGCAATCACCCGAAACGTACTGAAGGAAGTCATTATTCAGCTGTACCTTGCAGCTTTGTACTAAATAAATATTCGATATATCTATCTTGGCGAGGCTGTCGAGTACAACATGAAAAGCCGAATAATTCGAATATTGTTGGATTGCGAAATCATGCTAATGTCACGACATTAAGATAGTAGCAGAGTCCGAAAACATCTTCCCGAGATTGGATACGGATCAGATATAGTTGATGTAAGAGTAGAAGCAGGTGGTATCCTTTTAATCCACGACACTAGAAATTGCCTCCAGTTGTCGAGCGCATTAGGACTATCATAGTAAGGTAGGCACTGACTTCATGCCAAATCTGCATCGCAAGCAACCTTTTCGAAACCCACGAAATACCCTGTCTTAGTGATCATGTGGAACACCATTGTCACCACGAGATTCGCCTTTGCATGCCTGCTCGCTGCGTTGTACTTGAAGAATGAAACATGAAGGGAGGAGAGTCACCGGTAGACTCGTCTGATGGACTGATGACGCCATCCTTTGCGTCGTAATTGTACATTGTGAGCTGCTGAGCACAAAGCGAAACATGCTTTGTATCCTGAGCTCAAGCATCTTCGTTGCCGTGGCGATATGTGCAAGCATCACCTTTAAGACACTTGCCCTGTTCCCAAAAAGAGCATACCTGAGTTTTGTAATTGTATGGTTTGGATTGGTCGCCCTTTTTCTTCTTGAATCCTCCTTTTCGACCATGATCAGGATCATAGTCGTTCGAATCTGTTCGACCATGTTTGCGTGACGTATCGTCCAAGGAACCGGGATAGGGGTTGGGATCACCACCTGCGCCGAGAGGAAGTGCCGCAGGGGTCTGTTGGGGCTGTTGCATCGATGCCAACAGGGCGCTGAGGTCCGGTGCTACAGCGGGAGCCTGTGAGAAAGCTGGATACTGTGGCTGTTGACTCTGACCTTGCAGTTGTTGAGTAACCTGTTGCACAGATTGAAGCAAGGCCGAAAAGTCCACATTCGAGCCAGGCGCAGGCTGTTGAGGGGCTGGCTGGTTCTGCTGACCCAAAGCACTCAACACTCGCTGCAGATCAGCTGAGATGGGACCGGTTGGTTGCTGAGGTGCTTGTCCAGAGGACATGGCTTGAATCTGTGCTGCAAGGTCCATTGCTGGAGGCATGATGTTGGTGATTGGTTTCGTGATGGTCTGTCGTGCCAAAATCTCCTTTTCGCGTTGACGAGTTTTCTCCGTTGGCTCACCAAAAGCAGTTGCAGGCTCTGCTGGTTCAAAATCATCATCCTCGTTATCATCTGGCTCCTTCGGACTTGGGGGACGATCTGCCTTCGACGTATACGTGGCCATGACTGTCTCTTGCTCACGTTTATCCTGTGCTTCACTGCCAGGACTTTCAGGTTTCATTAAACCTCCGAATTTGAGTGAATTTCCTTCAACGAGAGGAGACTCTTCCCTAAGTGCACTAAAGTCCACTTCCGAAGGTGCGGTATATGATTCAATCTCCTCAAATGAATCTTCGTCCTCATCGTCATCCTCGAACTCGGCCTGATCTTTGTGAAGTTTGAGTGCTTCACCTTCACGGCCAGTGTCGCCAGCATCACGTCTTAGGCTGTCACCATCACCTATCTCCTCATCAGGGTCATGAGTGAAGATACGGGTTTCCACCAGTTCTGCATCGGTTTTCCATGTCACTCGAAGTCTTCTACGTGCTTCCTTCCGCAAGCGCTTTTCTCTTTCTTCCTCGGTCTCATTCGGAACCTCTACCTCTTTCTTCGGCTCTTTCTCTGGCTTCTTCTCCATATCAGCAAGTAGGCCAAGGAAGGACGATGTAGCGTTGGATTTGGGAGCAGTGGTCGAGCCAGAGTTCCGTGGTGGTGATTCTTTGCGAGCATTTTCCTTTTTGACCGATGGGGCAGTGGTGACCGGGACAGGAGAAGATGCCGCGGCCGTGGGAACCTTTTCCTTCGGCACTGCAGCAGCCCGCGCTGCGAGGGAGGTCCCAGGCTTCTTCGAAGCCGACATTAGCGACGAGAAAACCGACTGTTTCGGAGGTGCTGCTACCGCAACTTTTGTCTTTGCTGGTGCACCTGCCCCTATAGTTTGACCGACAGGCTTTTCTCCTGCTTTGGCAGCCTGTGCGGCTTCCAATGCCTTTCTACGTTCGGCATTCTGCAATGCCAGGGGCTTAGATGATTGAATCACTTTCGAAACCTTCTTCGGCACCGACTGAGATGCCGAATCACCTTCCCTTGGCCTCTTCATACCGGTGACAACTTCTTTTCGCACTCCATCCGCCGGACTGCCTGCAGAATTGGGTGATGCTGGGTTGGCCGAACTCGCCTTTTTCTTCGCAGAAGCAGCAACAGCATTGTCCAAGACGGTTTGGGCCAAAGTCTTGATTTCGGTAGTTGCCTTCTTCGTAAGACGTTGTAATATTTTCGACAGCTTTGTTAATTCGAGCATCTCGCTGTCGAGTGTTTCGAATTTGACAACGAACTGGCTAGAGTTAGCGTCTGGCGTGCACAGGACTGGACTCATCGCACCTTGAGTATGGCGCTGACAAGAGCACTATCATAGTCTGTCGCGTTGACTCTGTCGAGCATGAAGGAGTTCAGAGCAGCCATTGTGAACTGATTTTCACCTAGTCTGAAGAAATTATTAGTACAATTATGAACAGCATCATGGCACAAGGCAAGCGTTATCAAGTTGGTGCGAGACGGCGCCAATTCACGAAGACAGGGGATTTGTAGACTATCTATGGAAGTGTAGCTATCAACAAGACCAACATGGGTTTGCGTTGTAGGCCGAGAGATTCCCTTCGCGATTGAGAAGCAAGGCCAAAAGCCTCTCTCCTTACGCGGCACAGCTTTTATCGAGTGATGCACATCCACGGAATGGCCACTTTCCAAAGTAAATCCATACTGGAGTACGATAGGCAGGGGTCGGACGGTGAGAGCAGAAGGGGTTTGTGGGACAACATACCTTTTGACGATAGAAGGATGCCCGTAAAGCAGTGATCGAGCCATGACGCTTTCCGTGACTTGACGGTAACGCGCAACTTCATCCTTGAGCGCCACAGCGTCCCCGGCTGTGGGCGAGTTTGGCAACTCGGCCTTTCTCAGGACATCATTCTTGGCTTTCCAGGCGTCTCTCAAAGCTCGCACAGTGTCGGCAAAGCCAACAACGCCACTTCGAATCTTCTCTGGAGAGGCAGGTTTATTACGCGGCGACCATACTGCTTGCACGGCATTATAAAGTGCCTTTCCACGCTCATCAGTTGGTGCAGACACAGTTAGCAAGGCTGGGGTCATCTCCGGGGGCTCTTCCTCTTGGATCGACAGCTCATCATCAGAATCCGACTGGGAACCTGGTTGCCCGTCGGCCTTGAGCTTCCCCTGGCCCTTCGTTTTCCTGGGCGCATGAGGATCTTTCGGCTTCTGCGTCTTCTCAGGCTTCGGGACGACCACGGAACCCACTCTTGAAGCGGGATACGAAGGTGCTGGACCCACAGGCTGCACAGGTTGTGCACCTTGCAGAGACCTTGGATCCACAGTCGACCCTTGCTTGAAGTAGTTTTGTGCCAGATATGCCTGATGAGGCCGAAAACTGGCGCCGTTGTTGTTTGTGTTGACCATGCGATTTGCTGTCAGCATGGTAGGGTCAACGTAGGTGCTCGACGATTGATGGGCCTGGTCCTGAAACCCTGCATAATGCATGATATCGGCGTTCTACTAGAGTATTAGAGCATAGACATAGAAAGAGCACAATAGAACATACCTGCATCTGTGACAGCTGTGACGGGCGGGGTCCGATATTAACGTATGGTGAGGGTTGTTGCTGTCTTGCTGGATAATTCGCAGTAGGGGTAGGAGTTTGTCTTGGAGGGAGGTCCATTTGCTGGGAGCTGTAATTCTGGTTGTTGTAGGTCATCGGAGGTTGATAGCCGTAACCGCCATCGAACGGTGCTGGTGACGCAGACGATGGGGAGAAGAATCGAGGATCGTAAGTAGATTGAGAGATTTGTCGCGTATCGTAAAGAGGCTGGGTATATTGACTGTGGGAGAAATTTGGCTGAGCAGCATTGTACTGAGGCAGCGGGCTGTGCGACTGCCTGGAGACATTCTGATTGAAGTTCTGGGAAACGGGTTGAGGCTGTTGAGCGAAGCCATGCCCAAGAGTGGTGTTCTCAAAGAGAGCGGGGTCGAAGTATTGACTGTAATCTTCGCCATTTGAAAGGGGATCAGATCCGGCATATGACTCAATGCCATCGAGGAAACTGTAGGACGGATTTGGAGTATGTTGCGTGCCATTCACGGATTGGTCTGCAGAAGAGTCCATTATGGTTGTATTAAAAGAGGTGAATTTGACCAAGTGTATGCAGGCGTCACGTGAGTTGATCCAGCACGTGACGAGACCTTTTTAACCGAGGAAAAAGATCGCTGTTTCTCTTGGGGGGCGGGCTTTAGGCGTCCGAGTCCGAAAGGTTGCCACTCACAGGCCGGAACACGCCTGCAACTCAAGAGGACAGAACAAGGCGCATGCCAACCTGGTTGCAAGGTTTGATAAGGTAGTCTCTGACTCGTAGTAACAATTATGCCGTTCGCAATGCCAAACTTAGATTAAAAGGTCGTGTAATCAAGTTCTTTTTGAGAAAAAACGGCTGATGTTGTATCTTTGGGGCCACTGTATCGCTCACGCGCCCCTCGATTCTCCTTATTTCGAGCCAAACAATGCCAGGCCCAAACAATCTCTCTAAGATCGACACCAGATTCTGAGGGCAACAGCACTTAGATGCAGCCTTTAAGAAGAACCGCAGTTGACCTCTTTGGCGGATCAAATCTTAGATGACGAGCAGCAAACGCGCCTCAGTCACAGTCACGTCCACCTCAACACCCCGACACCAGCCATGCGTGAAGCGAGAATGAAAAACCATCCAAGGCAACCTATTACAGACCACTGCCAGGACGTGCGGTAGAAAAGAACGATTTACACGGATTGAGAGAAGGATTGATGAGATATGAAGGGCGTGATTTGGTTTGGTGATGGAGAGGATGAGAAGAAAAACGACGGGCGAGAAAGTCGAAGTTCGAAGTGAAATTAAGACCGGGAACGAGCTAGTCCGGATATGGGAAGGTGCATTCCGGATTCTCTATCCTCTACACGTGACACGTATACTTCTCGAAATGACAGTCGCATAGGAAGTAAATAGTACTCATAGTCACGTTCGGCAGCCTATTCCCACATTGCCAACATGTCCAGATCCTTACAGCATGACTCCATAAAACGGAGATGAGACTCATACCGCCGACAGTCCAGATACCCTCACACAAAGTCCCTGCAGGCAGGTGTCCTCTGCAGACATGGCAGCTCGCGTTCACACACTGCGGGACCGCCAGATAGGTCAACAATACCATCCCCTCCTCCAGCGCAATATCACTGACTGTGTGTGTAGCGGCCATTGAGCGCATACTAAGTCTGAACCATGACGAACCTTCGGAGACGAACTCCAACACGATAGACTCACCCAATGGCACACACACACCATCCCTACTCAACGAGAAAGGCGAACCTGTCTGGAAAGTTCTCGTCTTCGATAATCTCGGGCGGGACATCATCAGCAGTGTACTAAGGGTAAACGATCTAAGGAGCAAAGGAGTCACAATACATTTGTCAGTGTGGAAGACTCAGAAGCAGGAAGCAGTGTGGATGGCACACAGACTAACATGCATCCAGACCCATTGCCTCCCCTCGCTACCCGATTCCAGATGTTCCTGCACTCTATCTTGTTGAACCCACAGCAGCCAACATCCAGCTCATATGTTCCGACCTCGCTCGAGGGCTGTATACGCCCGCATATGTGAACTTCATTTCCTCGATACCTCGACCACTCCTTGAAGACTTTGCGGCTCAGATTGCCGCCACAAACACAGCCGATTCTATTGCTCAAGTGTACGATCAATACCTGAATTTCATTGTTGCTGAGCCCGATCTATTCAGTCTGGGAATGGGGAAGGAGTCCTATTGGACGTTTAATAGTGCGAAAGCCGAAGCAGATGCTCAAGATGCGGCAATAGACAGGATTGTCAGTGGGCTGTTCAGCGTCAGCGTGACCATGGGATCTGTGCCCATCATACGCTGCCCGCAGTCGGAGTTGGCTAAAATGATCGCGACCAAGTTGGACCGGAAACTCAGAGACCACGTTCTAAACTCCAAAGACAATCTGTTCTCAGCCAAGGGCAACTCTGCAAATGTATATGCAGCGCCTGCCAGGCCGGTGTTGGTTATCTTGGACCGCAATGTTGATTTGGTGCCTATGTTGTCACATTCATGGACATACCAGTCATTGGTCCATGACGTTCTGAAGATGCACCTGAATCGGATTACTGTGGATGTTGCTGATGAGGGTTCGGCTGTGGCGAAACCACGGGCCTATGATCTGAATGCGAGCGATTTCTTCTGGGCCCGCAATGCGAGCGCGCCCTTCCCACAGGTTGCAGAAGACATCGACAAGGAGCTGACAAAGTACAAATCGGACGCCGAAGAAGTCACAAGAAAGACAGGCGTCAACAGCATCGAGGACCTAAATGACAGTTCAGCTGGTGCAGCTCATTTGAAGGCCGCAATTACGCTGCTACCGGAGCTCCGAGAGCGGAAAGCGACGCTAGATATGCATATGAACATCGCGACAGCCTTGTTAAAGGGTATCAAGGACCGACAACTGGATAATTTCTTCCAATTGGAGGAAAGCATCACGAAACAGAATGCCGATCAAATGTTGACGCTCATCAAATCTGACGACAGAGGAAACGATCCTCTGGATAAACTACGAATATTTATCATTTGGTATCTTAGCGTCGACAAGGAGCCGTCCAAATCCGAGCTATTAGAATTCGAGAGTGCTCTGAGAAGCGCAGGTGTCGGCGACGACGAAGTGGCAGCAATCAAGCACATCTCAAACGTACGACTAGAAACCCGAGGCACAATGATGGCCTCGACCGTCTCGACATCTCAGCCTTCCCAGCCGCCTCTGTTCGGCGGTCTGTCCTCATTATCCAAAAACTTTACCGACAAACTATCCTCGACCGCACTCGGCAACGTCAATCTGGATGCGCTGGTTTCTGGAGTCAAAAACTTCCTTCCAGCGAACCGAGATCTCACAGTCACAAAGATCGTTGAATCGATCATGGACCCACCCGCAGCTTCGTCCTCGGCGATTGCAAAGACCGAAAATTACCTCTACTTCGACCCACGGAGCGCACATGCGAGAGGCACTACCGGTGGCTCGAATCCACCCTCCCGAAGTGGCCAGCCAGCCGCAGGCGTTAACCCCAGTTTCGGTCAGCGGCGGCAGGGCTATTCGGAAGCCATTGTCTTCACTGTTGGTGGAGGAAGCATGGACGAATATGGAAATCTGCAAGAGTGGGTGAAGAGAACAACCGCGCCAGGTAGTGGTGTGGCTCCACGGTCAAGAAGGGTCGTCTATGGCAGCACCGAGCTCGTCAACGGCGAGGACTTCTTGCGAGAACTCGTGAGATTGGGACAAGATGGCTGACACAGCATAAAGCGATGGTACTCTAGACTCGAAACGAGCAACCCAGTGTGCTTTCTTCTCATTGCCTATATTCTGACTCGCCCCTGCTTATACAGGGGTTGAGGTCATCTTCTGCCCCTGCCGAACCTGCCGCGGCCTTTGGCTTTCGAGTTCTTGTTCTTGATCTTCAAACTCTTGAAGTTCATGTGGGAATGTGCGTTAGGGTTGATCATTCTTGTCTTTGATCCGTCTTCGTCTGCATCTTTTGACTTGTCCTTCTTGGCTTTGGCCTTGTCTGGAGCCCCTTTCGACGGTCCCAGCTTCGACTTGAACTTGCTGCTGGCAGTCTTCCGCGCACGCTCAAGTCCAGCGAGTTCGGGTGAGGATTCATCGTCATCCTCAAAATCGTCGTCTAATGGAGCATGCGCGGCACCTCGACTTGCGCCGCCTTGCTCCGCCTCAGCCTCAGCGATGAGATAATCTGTGTCAGAATCGGCGTCGAACTCGTTGCCAGCATTGACGTGTGCATCGATCAGTTGCGTCTCTTCCACCCGCGAGACATCCTCCTCTTCTCCCTCGAGCTCTTCGGCCGGGGCGTGATCCAGAGCTAGCTCGTCCTCACTGTCATCCGCAGCGTCCACTGCCGTGGCCTTCGACGTAGAAGGTTTCCATTTGACCGGCCTCATAATCACCCGTCTCGTCGTCCTTTTCTGTCCTTTCTTCTTCCACACTCTTGTCGGTTCCTGATGTGCATCAGCATCGTTACTAGGAACCGTGCCGCCGAGCTGACTATCGTCGACAAGGACATTGATTTCTGTGGCCTCCATTTCTCGCAGAGCTTCAAGATCATCGTCCTCGTCCTCGTCATCGCCATTGTTATTCTCAGCTTGGCGTGTCTCGTTCTTCTGACTCTCCAATTCTGTAATCATCTGGCTGAGAGGTTTCGGGGCAAATTGGACGTGCCGAAGCGTTCGTGGACCGGTCCTGGTCTTGCTCGGGCTCATGATGCCCTTTTGCGAGGACGAGGAGGGCGGTCGGGAGCCAGAACCTGAGGCGGAGAGGAGTCTTTCTTTGAATGAGAAACTGCGCTTCAGGTAGGGTGGGGTCGCGTCGGTAGCAGTGTCAGCCGCTAGGTCGCCTCTTGCTGGCGAGAGTCCGAGCAGAGCGTCACGCAAGGGCGTCCTGCTTTGGGCGGGTGGTGTCGGGTTCGCGTCGTCCTGGACGAGGCTCGAGAATCGGACTGCGCTGGGGGTGGCGAAGAAATGGTCCAGCATGAACCGTTTGCCCTCGCTGACAGGTGTCTTGGAGTGCTTGCGGTTGCCGGGCGTGGTCCGCGAGCCTGGTGTTGCTACGAGGTGGGTGTCTGTCCGTTGGCTTCGCCGTTGACTGGGTGTCTGTGCGAGGACCACTCGTTCTTCACCGTCTAGGACAGCATCTCTCTTTCTTTTTCTGCCTGATGGAGTCGCTTGTGACGACTGACCTGACCCAGTAGGCGGCAGCATGTCGAAGATGCCTAAGACAGTGCCATCCCTTCGTGGAGTCGGTCCAATCGCTATTGGGAGGGTTTTTGGGGAGGTCGACGACGGCGCATCGTACGGGTCGAACTCGCCCGGATGTGCGCGAGACTTCGACGGTGTAGACTTATGTCGGGAATGGCGAGGAGTTAGGCTGATTGCGCTGTCGGTTCGAGTGTGTCTTGCTCTAGGTTGAGGTGTGTTGAGTGCACCGAGACCCAGTTTCCCTGCCAGCACATCTCGGATCTTGTTGTATTCTGTATATTTCTTTGCAATCGCCACGTCTGCTTTGATCTCACTCTTGCCAGGTTTGCGACCGTCATGAGTTGCCGCAAAGGTTCTCTCAAAGTCCTTGAGTGCCGCGCGCAGGGTATCCGCTTGTTTTTGCAAGGTCGCACTCTTCGGCGTGTCCAAGAGACTGATGGCATGGTCCATGACTAGCATTTAATGTGGTCGCGCAGTCTCAACGTCTGGCCAGTCTGCGCATGATTTGCAGCACCTCCAAGCCATATGTAGCGGGGTTCGTGAACATCGGGGACCATTTGGCAAGGCATTTGGAGACGCGTCTCAATCAACGCGTAGGAATCTAGCAGAGCAAGAAGCTAAGTCACGTGACTTGGGAATATTGCCTACTCAAGAGACATATCGAATATGATGTAGCCGACGATGGAGGATAAAGAGAGCAGATTTTAGAGTCATTGTTTGTTTGGATGGCTTCAGCATACATGAAGGGCACCATATCTCGACCTGTGGAAGTCTCGCCGCTCCCTCACTTCTTACTTCGAAAGGTTCTCAGCTCCAATGGATAGGCTGTCGGAAGCAAGCGAGCAACAAGACAGAAGATATTCTTTTCATTTTCGTGTTGCCATGATAACCCTCTAATTCGAGGTTATGTCAATGGCTCGTTCGATATGCACGCCGAAAACATTTTTCCGTGCACTTGATAAGCCCGTTCCATTCGCATGCAACCACAAGCGGGAAAATCAATCGTCCATAAGACATTCGTCTCTCTATGCAACCAGCTCAATAACACCACCGGCTTCCTTGATCTTTCGTTCGGCCTCCTTGCTGACCCATCGTGCTCTTACAACCAAAGGAACTTCGGGGATGCGACCCTTGCCGAGGACTTTTGAGTATCCGAGAGCGAGGAGGTCGAGGACGGGAGCGGTGTCGGTTTTCTTGCCAGAGATGTACTCATCGCGGGTCTCTTCTGGGACCAATGACCAAAGCTATACCATATGTCAGTACTCCTCCACTCGCGCACACATTTTGGATTTTCTAACCTTGTCGAGGTTGATCGTAGGCTTCCAGTATTGGTTTCGTGTAAGGTGGAAGTGTCTCATACCGACCTTTCCGAAGTAACTGCAGAATGTTAGACTTCCTAGTCGACCCAAGATGGAGAGATCGTGTTGAAGATGGTCCTCCACGATCATCCAATTTCAATGTGCGACGTACCCAGGATGGTATTTATCCATGTTAGTTCTGTGGTGATGTTGACCACCAGCAAGACCACGACCACCTGGATGCTTGCGGTGCTTTCCTACACGACCGTGACCGGCGGACACATGGCCGCGGCTGAAAATAAATATTAGCCTATGCTCTTCCAAAACTTTGTTTTCTTCGACAACGATGATTGCCCCTGCGCCGATTCCGATGAACAAGGTGTCGGCATTCCTGCAGCACTCTCTGGTGATTTTGGTCGAGTTTCTCGCTCGCTGGCGTGTTGCTGAATCAATTTTTCGTGGTCGGAGAAGAATCGATCGTGGCAGGCAGGATGGCGCAGGTAGGAAAATCGCATTCGTGGGTTCGTGTATGTGAAGAGGTATAGACTCACTGTTTTCTGGTCTGCGACAGTCTCGTAGGCATGTTGAGGGTGTTGTGAGACTGGTTGTTGGAAGAGTGTCAATGTTCGTCCGCCTGCAGAGAATCAAACGTGGAAAGAGCAGCCCACGGAAAACTGTGCGCTAAACTCAACGTGGATCTTGGCAGCCATAATTCTTGGCCACGAGGCTGGCAGTGACAAGGCTGTCCCTCACTCAACTTCGACCATCACCTCACGCTCTAAATCGCAATTCTGGATCTTATGTTCTCATGTTGTGTATTCCGTTTTACAGAAAGTCGTGCTGCTCTTCGGTATCACACTCTATAGAGATGTTGCGTTCGACGGTGTCTTCATACACTACGCCAATCATGATTTTCCTCGGAAGAAATTTGCCATCCCATCCTCGATCTCTTGCCAGTTCTGTGCGGCTGTGACCATACTGTCCTGGATCCATCCTGGCAATTTCTGCCTGATCCTATCCGTAGAAAAACGCCTGTCTACCATCAGAATCGTGGCATAGTCATTCTTGTGCCGGATGACTCGTCCGATGCTCTGATTGATGGCTCTCATACATGCATTTTCATAAAAGTCTCTACTGGCAGTTTTCGCTGCGGCCCTGCACTCGCCTTCTTTCATGCCTTCCAGCTTGCGCTGCTGAAAACGAGTCTCTTCGATATGTTGCATCTTGGCTTTCCATTCAGCTCCATTAGCGTTGGGAAAAGGTAGACCGACTGCAATGACGGCTCGCCCGAGCTCATCAGAAAAGTTGATACCTTCTGATAGTTTCGCACCAACAACTGACAGCAGCAAGGCTCCTTTCCCGGTATCCACAGCCATCGCATAGTCACGCAGAAGCTCATCTGCAGCCACTCCTTTGGACTCTTGAAAGACGACTTTGTTCTCCGAGAAGCACTGTATGAGAGGACGAGAGCCTGGAAATCTTTCCCAAACGGACACAGCCTGAGCCAGATAATCATAGCTGGGAAAGAAGACGACCACCCCGTCAGGTACCACCTTGCAAGTCTTTGCAATCAGATTCCCGAGCTCAATGATCGTGCTCTCGGCACCCCGTTTCCCATATGTGAAATCGAATTCAATCCCGGAAGGTCCTGTCACGACCGCTTGAGCGAACAGATTGGTCCGAGGTACGACGTGTCCAAAGCTGTATGTCTCAAGCCGATCGCGCTCGATATATGAGAACAGATAGTCGGAATAGTCCGACATGGGGGACATTGTTCCTCCAGCCAGAATCACCGCTCGAGACTCTTCGACTATGTCGCGAAAATGTTCTCTTGGGTCGAGTAAACTGTACCGCACGGCAATATCTTTGTCTTGTCGGCATATGAAGAACCTGCCTTCATCGTCTGGGTTCATTAACACGATCAGGAAGTTCTGGAACTGCATCATGGCCCCCTTGCCGGCGTTTGACTCGCTTCCGGTCTTCTGAGCATCAGCGTACCCTTCCACTTTGTGACACAGCTTGCTCTCGTGCAGATATTGTAGCAACTTATGTGGCTTGATTTGATCAGCACCTTTCCCGGACATGAGCTGGGCAGCCGTCACAGTAATCTCTGCGTTGGCGGACCCACCGACCGAGCCTCGCATACATTCTGTCAACGAATTCAGCAGCCGAATGACCTGCGTGACATAGACTCTGTTCTTCCCCTTCAGGCGCTGTTTGAATCGGACCGCGTAAGCGGTCATTTGCTGCACAGCCTCTTCCAATTGACTTAGACGTAGGGAGACTGAAAATGTGTTTGCAATGGCGTCCATCAGATTGTGAGCTTCGTCAATAATGATTACATTGCCTTTCACTGAAACTCCCAATGCTTCTCGAGCTGATCTCTGCAAAAGAAGAGGATATGGAAGAGTCAATACTTCTGCTCGACTTATGGCGGCCCGGCCAGCGTAATAAGGACATAGTTCCATAGACCGGCCAAGCTCGCCAATATCCTCAATGTCCTTGATCTGCGCTATGACTTTGTCTCGGAAGAGCTCGACCCTCTCCTTGTCTTCCTTGGACGGGAGGTATGGGCACTTCTTGTCCTTGGCCGTACCAGGTTTCTGGAGTTCCAGGCATCGCTCGTTGATTGCAGCAGTTGAGGACAGGCGTAAAACCTTTGGATTGATACATAAGTTCTTTCGCGATCCCAGGGCGAGGTGTTTGACAAAGTCTCCTCAAGGTTGGTGAGCTCTGAAGAAGCCATGAGGTCCGGAGGAATTGAAGACGGAGGCTCCACACGCCGGAGTTCATTCACGAATTGGGTCAATTGAGAATGAGTACGAGAGCAGAAAATGATCTTGAGTCTATCTTGCTGTGCAGTTTCCACCTCGGTCTTGGTGGGCCTTTGTAATTTGTCAAGCAACGCTTGGGTCGCAGTCGAGAATCCTCCGCTTGAAGATAAAGGTATGTTTGAAGTGTCTCCTTCACTCTCATACTCTTCGACCAAAAAGTCATCCTCCGCGGAAGTATGGTCTTGCAGACCTGCTTGGATTGTACGGGCTTTCTTTGCACCTCTGTTCTCGACCTTTCTCTGCCGCCGAAGACTTTCTTCCTTTCGCAGCCTGGCAAGCTTGAACTCAAGCTCCTTTCGTTCAAGCATCAATGCCTGGCGCTGCGCTGCATATTCGGCTTGCAACAGCCAGTCAGACTCACTCTGGTTTTCTGGGGCGCCATCCAGAGAACGACGTTCATAATCCCGAAGCCAGGTCAATGCACCACATATCAGGCTTAGAGACTTGCCTGTGCCAGTAGGCGACTCGAAGATGGCCACCTTTTTGTCCTCTATACAGCGGTACAAATTGGTCATGAAATCCAGCTGAATGGGATAGGGCTGATATGGATGGCAGAAGTTGGCTTGACTAGGTTCCATCATGACCGGATCTAAACGTCTTGCTAGTCAAGCCGTGGCCGCATTGGAAAGTGTTCGGAGACAATCGCTAGAGATTCGTGCGACATGTTCGATGCAGCGCGTATACGACGCGTCAACATCTACTCATCGAAACGAATTTCTGGCTGATACACTTCCCCTGAGCCTGCCCAGATTTGTTCGCTTGCGATGCTCCGTTGCGAGCAGAGTCGCACCGTCGTAGGTTGTTTGACAGAACGGCGCTGTTGGCGTGACAAGAAATCACTACTTTAAAGTTCGTTGTTCGTTGCCTGAATAGCAATCATTACCTGGTAACAAATGTGGCTGTGAAGAGAATTGTGATTTGGGACCTCGGAAACTGGGAGACTTGCACTGGCGAATACGAGGACATGATGCGGAGAAAAAGGCTTGGTACTGTACTCGCATAAGGACTGGCTTGGCCCTTAGGTGCCTTAGGCAGTCCCGCCCATTGATGGTTAAGAGAAGGGTTGGCCCCGAAGCCTAGTGAGCCTTAGACGAAACTCTAATGCCTATGATGCCTCTTGGGCCTTGAGGCCGTGCTTCGCCGCTGGGGCCAAATATGGTACAGTATGTCAACATGGGATCGCAGCCTTGCTGCGCCCTGGCTAAAACTTTACTCGTTATCGTGTCTATTGTCGTCTTACATTCTCCGCGACCAACTCGCAGCCTGGTCGTACATAACGTCAGGTGGTCGCCTCATTTACCTTGTGTATCAAACCTGCCGCCTGTCCAGGATTCCCTTCCACGCGGCCTCAAGCAATGTCTACAACAACCTGTAACTGTCGGAAATTGGTCCCTGTTGATCATATCTAACCCCCGCCTTCATCCTTGGGCCTACCATTCCCAGATCCCTCCGCGTAAGCCGTCCACCTTCGTCTTCCTGGAAAGAGACATATCCGAAGTAAATCGCTTGCCTGTGATCCCGGAAAGGACCTGATCACCCTGCCGGCGCAGGAGAACCCTTGATCTTGCCAGGGCCATAAGCCGACCAAGTCTTCTGTACCTGAACTACCATACGAGGCTACCCTCCATCGCCCATAGCCATGAGTTACAACACAGGTGCTACTTTCGTCCCTGGAGGCGATGACTCTTATTATATGCCAGAATTGATTCAGCCGACCCCCAGCCGGTATGGTGATCCAGAATTTGGGAAATCTGAGCTGACAATATCAGAGCACATGAACTCCCGACGAACATGCAGCAAAATGTGGCTCACATGGAACAGGCCGCTGATAGTCCTGGCTCCTCAGCGTACTCTGGCTCCGTATATTCTCCTCTATCGACGGATATGCCTCGTCAGACAAGCAACTGGACACAACCTGCAAGCAATCAACAACCGCAAAAGATGCCGATGAACCCTCCGCCTCAAACGTACCAACAGAGCAACTACCCGCCGCGATCAACGTCGATGGCGCCGTCAGAGCAACCCAACTTCTCTCCGTTTCCTGCCCTGCGAAATCCTCCTCCAAATATCCCTCCGACGGACGAGCAGAAAGAAGCAACGTTGGAAGCAGCCAGAGCTGCTGTTTTAAGCTGCAATGACCCTGATACTCAATTGACATGGGCACAAGATGCTCTGGCATATGTGGAGGTTTGCCTACAAAACGAGGAAAGAGTGGCCCTGGTCCAAGCAGCACGATCGCGAACACCTCGAATTGAGCATGTATTGAGAGAAGACGCCATCAAGATAGTGACGTTTCTAGCAGATCAACTACATCCTAAAGCCGAATTTATAAGGGGTATGTGGCTCGAGTTTGGCAAGTTCGGCCACAGAATAGACAAGAAGGAGGCGTTCCTATGCTACACAAGAGCGTCAGAAAGGGGATACATTCGAGCGGATTATCGGATTGGTATGCAGTTCGAATCTTCGAATGACGCTTTGAAGGCGATCAAATATTACCAAAAAGGTGCTGAAGCAGGAGATTCCGCCGCCTGCTACAGACTAGGAATGATGACTCTACTGGGCCAACATGGCCAAGCTCAAGACTTCGAGCGAGGCCTCAACCTTATCTACAATTCAGCTCAGATGGCCGACGAAAACGCCCCACAGGGTGCTTTCGTCTTTGGAATGCTTCAAGCGCATCAGATGCCCCAGATCCAGATCCCCGAAAACTTTCTGCCACTGAACATTGCGGCAGCGAAGATCAACATCGAGAAGGCTGCTTACTTAGGATTTGCCAAAGCACAAGTCAAGATGGGGACAGCTTATGAACTTTGTGAGCTGGGCTGCCCGTTCGATCCAGCGCTGTCGTTACATTACAACGCTCTGGCGGCCGGGCAGGGAGAACCAGAAGCAGAGCTTGCCATCAGCAAGTGGTTTCTTTGCGGACACGAGGGAGTATTCGACAAGAATGAAGAGATGGCATTCACTTACGCCCAGCGAGCGGCCCTTTCAGGATTTCCCACTGCACAATTTGCTCTAGGATATTATTATGAGGTCGGCATCTACGTGCCTGTCAACTTCGAACAGGCTAAGGAATGGTACCGCAAGTCGTCACAAAGCGGAAACCAGGATGCCACCGGAAGAATAGACGCCATCTCTAGGTCGAAGACGTTGTCTCGAAAAGACCACGAAAGCGTAGCTCTTTCAAAAATTCGACAGCAGCGTCGTGCGGATGGTCCACCGCCCACAGTTCCTTCGATGCCATCACTTGCCGAAGAAAGAGAACCTCAGATAATCGATATGCCAGATCCGTCTCGACTGACATTGAATGACCGAAGACCGCCTTCAGCTCGGCCGGGAAGCGCAGCCCCATACCCCACAAGTAACCAACCTCCAGATTCTCGAACAAATTCGGCCTTTGGGATCAACCCCAATCTGCGGCCAGCGTCCGCTGCTGCCATGGGAGCGCCGCGACCTGATGCATACGGACAGCTCAACAATGCGTCTCCCGTACAGCGACCGTATTCGAGTAATGAAGGACCGATGCCAGGTCCCGGCTATGGTCGTGGTGGACGCTTATCCTCCGGCCCGCGTCCAATGCCTCCAAATCAAGGACCTCCGGGACGTCCTGATATGCCATCGGGCGGAATGAGACCACCAAATGCTCCGCCTGTCGCTATCGGCTACTCCGCTCCGCTTGATGTGGAGAGAAGACGACCTTCTCAACAGTTGGGTGGTGCGAACATGGGCAATCCTCAAGCTCCGATGAACATGGCAGGCACACCACCACGCACTTCACCACGACCGGGCCGAATCCCGCAGCAAAGCCAAGGACAAGGTCCTCCCCAAAACCAAGCACCGCCCATGAATCGGCCCAGCGCTGGTTACGGAGATGCACCGCCTAACGTAAGACCGGCAAACATGGCTCCATCCAGACCACCCACCAACACGCCTACTCCACCGCCATCAAAGCCAACCCAAGTCCCAGCCGCTGCTGCTCGACCCCCAGGCAAAGGACCCAAGACATTTGATGAGATGGGTGTGCCTCCGGGCAAAGACAAGAGTGAATGTGTAAGTGATTGGACCCAGACCTGCACCTCCGATCCTGAGCTGACTTGTGTGTTATAGAGAGTCATGTGATGCTTTCCAACAGCAATCGTTCGTAAAGTGATACCCCGTACGTTCTGTACAAAAATTGGTTTTAGCATTGGGTTTAGGTTTGGGAACGAAAAGCTCATTTCGGATATGGGCCTCATGCCATTGGCGTTGCTTGTGGTGTCAGCATATCTCAATCAGACATTGCTATTGCCGGGTCTTAACAGTTCTAGCTTGAATGCAATCATCTTGACGTTTCAGGTTTCCTGACTGTGAAGACGTCATAATGGGAATTGATGTGCTAGGTCGTCAGCCATGGTCTCGGTCATCTTGTTCGCGCGCCAGTCGTCGTAATAATCCCTAGGATCCAGCTTTATATTCTCCTTGTCGGCAAGCACGGCCAACGGCCAGCGCAAAGCCCACTGCCAGTCATCAGGCACCGTCATTCGAATACCAGCAAGCTCCTTCTCCGCGCGGCCTCTGAAGAACCAATAGTCATCGCTGTACTTGAGAAAGACGAGGGCGTGGGCAATCGCGACCAACGCCCTGGGAGTCTTGCTAGCGAGTAGCGCCACAAACGGTCTGGGGACCATCGTGGCGAACGAGACGCATCTCATGCAGATATAATGCGAGGGTTCGCCTGCTCTGACGGCGTCGTACATAGCGCCTACAAGCGCCATGGTTTTGGCATATGCCTCACGGTTCGTCGGCTCACTATCCGTTTGCCAGTCATAGTCGCAGCCCTGGCGTCGAAAGTCGAGTATTTTGGTGAATGGCAAGGCGTTGTGCGGGTCGAATAGACGGGAGTGGTCGCGGAAGTTGGGCTCCGATGAGGTCCTGAGATAATTCATGATGGCTCCTTCTCTCAGGTGCGGGACCGCGGCTATGAAGACGGCCTCGTTGCCCTTGGCCATGGTGAGCCATTGGATTGGCGGAGTGTACTCTGCAAGACCTTCGTCGTCCAGGTGCGTACCGGATAACAAGCATATCGACATCACTGAGAGCAAAACACAGGTCATCCCCAATGAGTCGGCGTTGTCGGGACTAATGGCGGATAAAGCCTCGCGTTCCTGGCCGATGGCCAGGTTGAGGTACACGCGGTGCAGGCGCGCAAAGTTGACTGACTTGAGCGACTCGGGGAGGTTTGTGGCAGCGTGGGTCGGCGGGCTGGTCATTTGGAAGGTGTCGTGAACCCACAGGTACAGCGCCGTAATGGCGAAGATGGCGTTCATGAGGTAGGGGTGGTCGAACGACTCTTCGACCGCGCTCCACACGTACATATTCTTGAGGAGTGGGCTTTGGGCCGACGGGAACGAGGCTGCTACCGACGACTTGAATCGGTGGAGCAGATACAAGTCGATCTGGGGCCGGAGGGGATCGGCGATCAAGCTGTCCACGACTTCTGAGTATGGACTGTCCAGACCGCTGGGCGGACCTGTGCTTGAACTTTTGTTGGCGGTCTGGCCTGTGGTGGTTGGCTGTAAGAGTTCGGACGTCGTTCGGGACACTGTCCTCGAGCGTTGCGTGCCCAAAGATGTGCCTGATGTTGTGCCTTCATGCACGGCGCTTGTTCTGGAAGTGTCCCCATACTCGCACGCCACTCCATGGCGGAGACAAGCTGCACAAGAGGGATGTTCTTCTGTGCACTTGACCTTTCGTTCCTTGCACCGAAGACAGCCTCTGCGGGACTTTCGATGAGCTAAGCGTGGTGGCATCGATCGAACAACTTCCCAGGAGTTATTCCGTGAATGTTACTCGTTTTGTCGCGTACTGCCGGTGTCCAATGTGTGTTGAACCCGAAACCGAAGCAGGGTCACAAGGGACGCTTCAAGCTTACTGTATCTGGCACACTCCGCCGATGCGAGGCTTATGTCTGGCCAAGAAATCACCGATCCGAGTGCGAGCGAAAGACCTCCTCAAAGGATTGCAGTTCCTCAGCAGCCGTTTCTTGCAGATGGAAATCTGATTTCCATGTTGTAGCTGTTGGGGATGTTCCTTTTCCCCGACTAAGCAGTGGCGTGTGCCTTCGTCTTGTGGGGCGCCTTATCAACAGTCCACAGGGCCTCGTACTCGTACCTGGTGTGTACATATTATGGTACAGTAGACACTAACTTAAGGGGTCTGTCATTGGGGGCCAACACTAAGTAGTTTAACTGGGAATTGATCTTCTCCGGGCATCCAACGGCCTGCGATGCTTGGCATGCTTTGTTTGAACCGCTAATTCTATCCCTTACAAAAAGACCATGCACTGCCCCATCTCGTTAAACATTTCTCTCTGCCGTTGCTTCCTCGTTATCGTATACACAACCATCTTTAGGTCACACAAGGCTGAGATCGCCCATATACAATGCTTCAACAATCCGAACCCGAAAACGAAAATTTCCTATGCTTGGTCTTTCGACCATCGAAACAATAACAATCATGCTGATCAACGGCTATATAAGATGCGGTGAGTTCACAATACCCTCGAAATTCTACAGTAAGTCGTCAACGCAATCAAAAAAAGCCTCCAAGCTTCACTTGCAAACCCTCAGGATCATTCACTATCTTCTCGCTTCCCTCTCACTTCTGAACAAACACTTTGACTTCCATTCGCAATCCCTCAAAAAGCCTCTTCTCGATTCCACGCTGCATTTGACGACCGTTGACTGCCTCAACATGCCTCTCGACAAGACCACCGATCTCTCCATCGCCGAACTGGCAATCTACATCACCCTCATCCCACCAACTGCCTGGCTCTTTTTCAAGCACGGCCGCCGCGCATTCCTAGCCTACATCTACCTCCTGATCTTCCAGTCCCTCCGCATCGTCGCCGCAGGCCTCCAGATTAACGCCCACAATGAGCACAAGACCTCGACCACAGGCTCCATCCTCGATGCCGTCGGTCTCAGTCCCCTCCTCCTCGCTTTCTCAGGCTTCCTCTACGAACTGGGTCGCTACTACGCTCCTCCAACACAAACGCCCCGCCGCATGCATTTCGAGGAAATACTGATCCATTTCGGCGCTTCCACGGGCATCGCACTCGCCGCGGTTGGCGGGTCGAATCTGACGAAGTCGAATGCAACGCCGTCCTCCATCAGTTCGGCACATCATCTGCAAGAAGGAGGTAGCGTCTTGCTCTTGTTGACCTGGGCGGGCATCGCATATCTCTGCGTACGACTCTGTCGAAACATGGGAGGATTTGGGGGGTTGATCGTGTTACTACTGGTGGCTGGTCTTTGCATCGGTATTCGAGCGGTGTACAGCGTGGTGTACGCTTTTGACCATTCCGCCTCTGTCAATCCGATCACAGGAAAATTTGCCATCAAGCTGATTTTGGTGTTCATGGTTCAGCTCCTGGCTGTTATGGCGTTGCTAGCTACGGGCTTCCTGACTCGCTACATCGCAAAGGAGATGCATGCTGGACGGAGAACAAGGACAGGAGATGTCGAGGAACAGGGCACGTCCCTTCGACCGGTGACCGCCAAGTAGCGTCATATGGTTGACGAAACTGATGCGGAGTGGCGCTCAAGGATGGGGGTGTTCGTATCTGTGTTTGCGGTCTGTTGTAGAAGCAGATGCTTCTATCTTGTGCATAGACGTGAAGGAGCTACTAGTGACACAACTGTTGAACAACTAGCTGATTCACAATTCCTAAAGTCCCGGGCATGGATCTTCCCGGAGCTGTAAAGCCTCGTTCACAGTCTAGACAGGAGTGTAGACAGTGCGCCGTAATGAATACGCTCGTTTACATAAAAGCTGTCCCCGCCCTAGACAACCACAACATCCTCAAGTGGCCCAAACATTTCTGGAGTCAGTACGGTACCGGTTTCCTCACGAAAAGACTTGCGAAACTGGCCGATTCTGTTCCAATAGCCTGTCCAGCCTGGTGCAGGGGTGAGCAGCATACCAACAACAGTACATTCTTTCCACGTGTCCCCCTCTAGAATGTCCCCAACACGCCGCTCGAAAAACTGTAGAAGCGCGTAAAGCGTGCTGGGTAGTGTTTTCCATAGCGCCAAACATCTAAGAGATAGACCTCGTCAAAATCCCTCTTCGGGGAACGCTCTAGGTCCGCCCACACCGTCATTTGCTCCCAACTATAGTTCCCAGAAGGAGGAATATTTATCTGCCGTAGTGGGCCCCTCAGCGTCAGAGGCATGGCTGGAAGTCTGGAGTCAGCATTCATATGATCCTCAGGCACTTCTGGTAATGACATTATCGAGTAGACTATTTCCGTATCGTTGCTGCGATAAGGGAACCACACGGGTGTGTTCACTGATACCCACGACCAAGATGGGAACGAATTGCCGATACTCAGGTTTTCACCAAGGCGAGCTGGAAAAGATACCCAGGCCAGTTCGAAGAGCATCGTCTCCCTCCACATTCCAGCAAGGAGGGAGGATCCTGTATGGGACTGGATGGCTCGAGCCACGCCAGAGATAGCTACCCACCTGTCTGACTTGAAGGTGAGGTGCGAACATGTATATGTCCACAGGATTGCATGCCATAAATGTCCAAGCAGGGGAAATTCATCACAAAAGTCGAGCAATGACATTGGAAATCGTACTTCGAGCCCATCTTTAGGATAGCATTCTGCTTGGGGCCTTGACTCTGATGCAGAGCATTCTTGAAGGTGTCAATAACAACATCAAATCCGGATCCGCGTTCAATCTCGTGTTCGTGCAAACATTCCCAGGTCAATCCGAATGAATGGTAGCCAATCGTGCGTGGCGCCAGAAGCCTCTCCTGAAGCACCCATCCTCGCCTGTATAGTGGGCATCGATCAGCACACGATCGGCAATATCCGATCGAGTCGCAAGTGGCGTAATACATTCGACCATCCACCTCGTTTGCACATCCAGAAACATGTGGAACTCGTACCGTCGAAAAGCAGCCTTCCGTGGAGTCACAGGCATCCAAGGCAGCAATGTTGCAGGTTGAGAAACGGTATACATGGCTCATCTCCGCAACGGCCGTCTGTCGGTCTTCCGGCGAATCTTGCACTATGCACAAGGAATCAATCCAAAGGTATTGACATCCCATCTGCAATGTGATTACCACAGCATCAGCGTACGTTCCGGGCAGCTGCTCGATCTGGACAATATTCTCCAGAAATAAGATGTTATGCTTTTCAAGCATCAATGGTTGCTCTTTGCCCCACCAATGGCTGAGCGTCATGTACTCAGACACAAAAACCTATGGCTTTCGCGTCACTCAGTAGCTGTAAGCAGGTTTTGTCACCATCGGTAAACAACTTCAAAAGGCGCCGAGGCGTAAATTGGCCACGTTCGAGCTTGCGCAAATTTCCCGCAAGTGAGCATGGCATATGTGTGGTAGTGCAATCAGTCAACCACCGTTTGGCCACGTTGAAGCATGCTTCCGATGCCGTCGAGCAATCTTTGCGATTATGCCGTATGTTGGACCAATTGTAGTTCGGAGTTTCTTCTATTTCGATCCGGCAGCTTCCTCCACTCACTTGCTGCTCTTTGGGTGCAGAGATTTCCATCGAGCCGACCTTGAAACTGACGTCGGACGGTTCCACGATCACTGAGTAGCTGACCTTCAGCAGACTCTCCGTCCTTTGCAGGGTTTTCACTGCCGCACTTATCCACAACAAAGAACAAAAAGGACAACCGTGTTGAGCAGAATTTCGGAGCTCGATCAGACTTTGGTGGTGATCACGGACAATCTTCCAAAGAGAAAATGGCTCGGAAAGGCTCCTCTGCCGTACTGGAAACAAGGCTCGCCATAAAGACATGCATTTCCCAGGCCGATCTTTCCCAGGCCGATCTTTCCCAGGACGATATCTCTCGGAAAGGCTCCTCTGCCGTAGTGAAATCAAGTCTCGCCATAAGGACATGCATTGAGAGCATATACTTTGCTGCGTCCTCAGAGCTTGATCTGCCATGCTGATGCAGTCAAATTCGACATCAGCCTCGTCAAGAGCAACTCTCGGTCAATTTTTGAGGATCCCATACGATTCGGGAGCGGACGCTGTAGATATTGCACAGATTGTTCGCCCAGCGATATGCTGAGCATAGGTATTCTGGAGTCAAGTCTGAGCGAAGAGTATTTGGTGATTGTGAAGGTATTGAATTGAACTCCTTCAAACGCCGGAACGATGACTCCATGACAAGCTTGTACTTGCTGATCAGGTGATAGACGATCCTGGGGCGGTGCACGTTCAGCATGCAGTGTTGTCTGAAGTTGGGCAGAAAAAAGCATGGCAGAAATGGAGGGGGCCAAAGTTCCGTGCAGACGAAAAAAAGGCAGATACATGGTTTGTTGGACCGATGTGAGTGAGCAGCTACCTATTAAGGTATTTTGGTCTTGGATGGGGTGCATCATGGGCATTTCCATGAATGCTGCTTACTGGGGTGGAAGCGTGGCAAAGAGTGCAACCGGTCGAACTGGAAGAGGCTGTGTAAGTGGTGGTGAGGTGATCGCTTAAGTAAATGAAGGAAGGATGCATCATGCCCCCTGACCGAGGTGCAGCAACTACCTGGTAAGCTCTAGGGAATCAACAAGCCCACCACATCTTTGGCCTAGGCGCTCCAGTTCGTTCTTGCCGATCTGGGTAGCTATTCCGCCAGGCAGAGTACGCACCACAACATTTCAACGCCAAACATCATATTCTTCAATCAAACACTACAACTCCTTCCACAATACCTATCCAAGAAAACGTAAACCCCTATCAGCGACCTCAATCCCCAGCACAATCAACAATGGAAAGCCGACCCGCTATAATCCGTCATGTTAGGATACCCACTGAACAACAACCGCCCACTATCAAACGTAGACCCAACGTTCCTCGTCGCACAAGTCAAACTCGAGTACCGAAAGCAGTTATTCGGCCCGCCCTGCGTATACACCGGGATCTCCTGAAAGGTGAATCCAACACAATTACTCCCTTGAACGTCACCCGGAACGTCTCTGCCCTGCTCGTTCGCGTACTGACACCACCCGGCGCAGTCTTCGAAATCGAATGCTATGATCGCCTGTAGCGCCACACCAGTAAAGGACGTCTGGCACTCGACTTCAAAGTCGTCTGTGTTGCCGTTATACTCATATGCGTAGCAATATGGTGAATTGCCAGGGCATGACGAGGCTGTTGGTGCGGGCGGGCAGCTTGTTAAGGTAGTACTCGTTGTTGTTGTCCCACTGGTGACGGCCGCGGATGTAGTGGTCACCGCTGTGGTCGTGGTGATGGCTGCGTATGAAGGATCAGTTATCGACGGGTAGCCCTGGTACATAAGCCGGCCGCTATCAACACCAGAAGTGGAAGAAGTCCCCGTGATACTCGAGAATAGAATGCAATTCGGGCTGCTGCCTGTTACCGAGTTGTAGAAGCTGACGCCGACGCAGCCGTAGGGAATTGCTTCGTTGTATATGTTGCATACTGCAGTGCAGGTCTTGAGCGAGGTTGCGGTTGTGGAATTGCCTGTGAGCTGGGTGCCTTGTAGCGCCGTGGAGCATTCGACTTCGTAGCAGGAGCCGTCGCCATTGACATTGAGGGCTTGGTGATTGTACGTGGGGCATAGGTTTGTCGTCGTTGGAGTTGCAGAGCAGTACGAAGCTGTAGTCGTAGTAGTAGTGGTTGTAGTGGCACTTCTTGTCGTCGAAAGCCCTGTGCTGCTCGTAGTCTGAGTACTGGTGGCCACAGTACTCATTTGTGAGGCTGTCTGACTGGTAGATGTTATGTGTGATGTTGCTGGACTTGAGCTGGGAGTAGTAGTGGCTGATGAACTCGACATAGTTGGAGTGGAGCTTGGGGGAGCTCTCGTAGTCGATAAAGAGCTGCTCATTTGTGCTGTCGTGGAAAGCGGTGTTGACGTTTGCGACGTGGTAGTCGGAGCGCTTGACTGCTGCGTAGACAGTACACTGCTGACGAGATGAGTTGTGGAAGCGGTAGTAGTCACGGAAGTAGACGACGTTCCCATGAGTGTGGAGGTTGACATCACTGTTGTCGTGCTTGATACTGCTGAGGTCTGAACGTTGGTCGAGCTTGCACCAGAACTTCCTGCACTCGCGAAATCAATGGTCGGAGCATAGGGCTTGTCGACAACGATCGCAGCTTGGACGTATGCATCAGCGCCTCTGTTCACTGTGTTGATATTGGATTTGAGTGTGCACGGATCTGTGGCGGTACTCTGTAAAGCCTGTCAGCATAACGCAAACACTTTATGAAAAAAACATACACTGTTATAGGTGACAGCAAGGCATATCGCATCTGAAGATGTCACATAGGAATTACATGTTCCAATGCAGTCGGCAAGGTCGGAAGCTGGCACGCTGAGAAGGTCATATCCTGGCAAATCAGTGTCACATAGGATCAAGTAACCATCGTCGACAGTGCCATCGTACGATGAACGGTCGTCACAGCTTGGCGGACCAGTTGACGTCGGATACGCTGACACGGTGGAAGAAGTGGATGCAGAAGTTGAAGATCCATACATTGGAGTGCTTCCCATAGGTAGAGAGGTTGCCGTCCCTGAGATACCGGTTGAGGGCGTGGTCGTGGGACTCATTCCGGAAGAAAGTGCGTTTGGCGTTGTTGTCAGCCCGTTGGGCGCAGACGTGTAGCCAGATGTGGGCATACTGGTTGAACCCATGGACACAGAGGTCCCCGAGGACGATATGATATCACCAACAGGTACTGCGTCGAGCGTGACCTCCTCGCAGCCCGCCGGTGCCTGTCCGTTGAAGGAGACTTGAACAATAGACCCGTACATGCAAAATATAGCTTGTCCACCACCGAATGTCTCATTCTGCCATTGCAAGGTTCCGCCAGAAGAAGAGGCATCTCTGCGTCCATGTGCGTTATCGTTGACAATCGAAAAGAGGGTTGAGATGCTTCCCAATGTCGCGTTGACGGCGAACTTCTGCGTGGTCGCAGATCCCGATGTCGAGATATACCCTCCACCTCCCATCAATTGACCCGAAGAGTCGATGGTGAATGCGACAGCCAGACTTGCATTGGCAGTCAGCGTCCCATCATCCGCAACATATTCATCTGGTTCATCCACCCCATTATTCACGGCAAGGAAGTAGGATCCAGAACTTTCATTGTCAGATTCCGTCAAAATGGGCGCCGGGATAACTCACCTGGGACTTGAAGGCGCGCCAGTGGTTACGCTTGTGCTGGCATATGTCGAGGACGCATTGCCGCCACCGAAAATCGAGCCGGTGTAGATCGCAGGACAATAACTGACGAAAACCTCGACGGTAGTGCCGTATCCATATACTGATTCGACCAGCTGCGCAGCCAACGCAATAATAGCAAAGCGGCACCAAATCATCGCGACTTACTGCTGTCTCCTGGGCAATACCTACCATGCACATCCCATCGAGACAGCATGAAGATAATGAGTACACCAAAATGGCAGCTGGGAGTTTCCGAGTGGTCTGTGTTAGGTATTGCACGCGACTGGAATGATAAACAAGAGGAATGGAATGCTGGGGAATGCATGACGAAGCCGATCACGATATGCTGGGCCACTTGCAGCACCGCAATAACTTCCTTGATTGCATTGAAGTCAAAGATGAATCAGACATGTAAGAGGTACCAAAGCGATAACATTGCAGGCAGGGAATTTCCTTTAGAAAGGTAAGCATTTGTTGTAAAACTTTTGGGCAAACCTAGGTGTCCCTCCACCGGACGTTAACAGGAAGACCTTGGCTCGTACCATGGACACCTCAAGGAGAGGAGTCTGGGTAGATCATACACACACAGGGTGAAGTAGTCTTGCAAGATTTATCGAAGTTGAGCTTCTCTTCAGGTGGGAGTACCGTCGCAACCCGCGGGATCCATATCGTTCAGCAGTCCGCTCTTCCCCAAGTGCGCGGGAATCCCACAACATCTCGAACATTGCTCACACCAGTCAAGTAGGCAAGCAGCCGGTCAAAGCCCAAACCATAACCGCCGTGCGGACTACTTCCGAACCGGCGGAGATCCGCATACCACCGGAGGCTCCCGAGTGACTCTTCAGGATGCAGAAATGGATAAGCGTTGCCATTGCTCTGCTCAACGGTCTTCAAGAGGCCCTTCTCGCGCATATTGTGAATGAGGTTCTCGAGGCGATGCTCTCTTAGACTTCCACCAACCACTTCACAATAGCCGAACGGAAGGAGTAAGTCAAAGCATGCAACTGTCTCTCGATCTCCAGCGAACTCGCCATCTTCTGACAAGCCCGATAGCTGATTAGACCGCTGGAATGATGAAGGCAGCATGTAAAACGGCTTGATTACTTTCGGATAGTGGGTGACAAACACTGGCTTTCCCTCTGCCAGGTTTTCAACAATCCATCGTTCGTGCTCCAGTTGCAAACCCTCTTCCCATTGAGGTCTGGTAGCGAAGAGCTTACCGCCGCTCGATTCATGAGCTTCCGAAAGGGCCTTAATCGCAGATGTGTAATCCACAGTGTGCCATGGACCAGTCAGTCTGTTCCATCGCTCCTCCAGATCCATAGCCTCGATATCGGAAGGACGATGTTTCTGGTCGGTGTAATATTGTAGGAGTTCTTCACCGGTTCTGTGCGACCGTAGTGCTTCGGTCAAGTCCACGATAAGAGCCCTCACTTTGTCCAGCAGGTCTTCTAGGGCAACTTCTCGATGCTCTGCCTCCAGCATGTAGAACTCGGCAAGATGCCGCGGAGTGTCACTCTCCTCAGCGCGGAAGGTCGGCGAAAATGCAAATACGTCACCTAATTCCGCTGCGTACGCCTCGAGATGTAATTGTGACGAGACAGTCAAGTATTTCGCATCTCGAAAGTATAGCCTCTCTTGCTCTTTCGTCGTATTGGCTGTGGTTCCAGGTGCTTGCTCTTTACTCCGTGGAGCAATGGTAAACACTTCTCCGGCACCTTCACAGTCTGAGGACGTGATCAGAGGTGGGTGTATTTGATACACAGGGCTCGGCCGATCGTGAAAGTGCGAAGTAATGGCTGAGCTCAAACGACTCCGAGCTCGTACCAGGAGAGATTGGAAGGCGGTTCGCATACGTAGATGAGGGATACTTCGTAGAAAGTCGGCAGTCATGGACTGCTTTTGAATCGGGTTCTCCTACTCTCGCCATTAGCAGTGAGGCATACACTACTGTCAAGTTGCTTACAAGAGGGTTGCTTTCCCCTACAGCTTCAATCGTTCCGACCTGCAGCTCATGTGTCTGGCCAGCGCCCTGGGACGGAATCCATTGTCCGACCAGAGCTACATATGAGCCATTGCTAATGCTGAAGATCCAGTATCAGCATTGTCTAAATAACTCATATATTGTCCACTTACTCCTTCGCCAGAGATGGGTCAGGAAATACAGCTTGGACGCTCGCCAGCGTCGACCCATCTGCTATTCTTGCAAATGCAATCTTCTTCTGTTTCCGCACGCTGCGAACCAAACCAGTTATCTGCACCGATTTGTGGTTCTGACCTGGCTCAAATTTTGAACCACTATCGAGAAGGCTCGCATGTTGGACTATGGGCGCTGAGGCTGGCCCAGTGGACACCACCTCTCTGTGCGCTTGCTCATGTAGATGTCGCGTGCGGTACTGCACCGCAGGAAGGGTCGGTATCTCAAGGGCGGATAATCGTGGGGACAGGGCGATCCGGGGAAGCCATGGCGACTTCAGTGCACGCCATAGCATTCCGCTGCCGCTACTATGGGAACGGTGGCTACGACTCGCGATACGTTGTTAAAGTCAAATCTGAAGCGTGGGAGTTGCGCAGAGGAATAAGAAGCGGACGGTCGGAACAATGAATCATTTTCTCCGACAAGGCTGCAGCCTCGTTCATCCCAGCCTTGCGGAGGTTCTTTGGCACAAGAGCATACGAGGGTACAGTGAAGTGCTTATTCAACACGCCGGATCTCAACAAACCTCTCGAGTTTTCTATGTATACCTAGGTAGTGCAAATCAAATGACCTCTGACTTCCACCCAACACGATATACATCCAAGTCTAATTCTGGTCTAGGCAGTCGCGTCGAAAATGATTCCATCACCATGGGTCGCGCTATCAGTGTGTAGAACCCTCGGCCTTCATCTGGCTGACATAATGCAAGTACCGTTGCGCCGTGGCCTTCCGCATACCGCGGCCCCATTTGATGAAGGCAAAGAAGACGCAGATCTGTGCCAGAGATACAAATGCAGCGACAAGGAACGCATCCTGATAGCCCATGTTTGTAACCCAAGGAGTTATACTGCGATGATGAGAGGTTAGCGTGACATGTAACAACCAAAAGTTTGGAATGCCTACCCGTAGCTCACGGCAAAACTCATCGTGTTCCTGATTATGATCACCGTAACCATGGCATCTCCGCTGATGTCCTTGTAGCAATCGATGCAGTAGCTGCATGGGATCTGGCAGCCAATGGTGATGGAACAGGCCAGCATGCCCATGGCGAAGACAAGACCGAACCAATGGATGTGGTGAGCTGCTCCCACGCCCCAGATGAGGAATCCTCCAGGGATGAGGACGAGAAGAGCACAATACATCCACAGGCGGTGCTCTGGTTCCATGACTCCGTTGTTTCGTCGAGCTTTCCAGATGACGACTCTGTCGCCGAGGATGCCAGAATAGACGGTTCTACGAACGGCACGTCAGTTCATGCATATTTTTATGACGTTGAGCAAACTTACCCGATGCACACGCCAATAAGGCAAGCCACGTAGGCAAGTCCTACCATGCTTGAGGGGAAATTGTATGGCGCGGCGGAGAGAATGAGTGATGCCGTCCCGTTGAGGATGTTGAAGTAGCACACGATCGAGCCGTACATGAAGCCAGCAAACGCCACGGCAGGAAACGTCCCGAAGATGAATGGTCGAATAAGCATGCTGCCTAGTCGGTTCTTCTTTCGCAAGTCTTCTTTGCGCAAGAGCGACAGCTTCTGCACGTAGTTTTTCATCGTATAGGTCTGTTCATTGGCTGCTGGCGTACCGGTGGCATTTCGGACTTCTGGTTGCTTTTCAGCATCGGCTGGATCCATGTGTTTCAAGTCGCTGTCAGAGGCTGACTCGATTGGCAGTTGCTCGTCAGGCTCGATGCCGATAAGTGGTGCTCGTTCAAAATTGGTCTCCTCCATCAAGAAGAAGAGGATCACGAATGCACCTCCGGTGAAAATTGCACACCAGTACTGTAGAGTATTGTTAGTTGAGAGGCCATAGATTGTTCATCGCATCTCGAGAACCTACCAGGACCCACTGCCAACCTTGACCAACGTCGATGAAACCTGAACAGACAGGTGCGAGAAAGTTGCTACCAGCCAAGAAAAGAGCATACACGCCCATATAGGTACCACGCTCGTGCGTAAAGTACTGCAACTTCTATCAGTACGGGTTCAAACAGAAAGACGGGATACTTACAAGGTCTGAAATTGATATCTCACACAGAGACTCGATAGGCGCACCGACGAAGCCCTGCAGGATCTTGTTTGCGATCCACTGGCCATTGCTATTGGTATAAGGAGCCCATATCATGATGGCCTATGACAAGGCGTTAGTCCACCTGTTCTGCGCATGGGGCTTGTCGGGGGAAAGGACTGACCGTCGTTGCCAGGAGTGAGAAGAGATAAACTGGACGCTTCCCATACTGCTGTGCGAGAGACTGCCAAACAAGACATCCCCATCTAGTAACACTTCGAGTCAGTCACAGACTCCCACGTTATCTTGTTGGGCCAAAAGCGCGCGTCGAGGTGACTTGAGTCCCGACAAAGGATGTGTCTGCACTCAATCAAGGCCGGAGATTGCTGAAGGACGTCAGGGAGCAAAAGACCTACCCGAAAGCAAGAAACATGTATCCGGTACCAGCATTGAGATCAGCGACCGAAAGGCTTGTGGCTTCGGAGATAGGGACGAGAACGGAATAGATCGCGGCTGAGGCATAACCAACTGCCAGGATGTAGCTGTTGCGAGAATGTGTTAGCTGTGATCATTGCTGAAGGGTTTCGGTGATTCCCATACATGGAGAGACAGGTCAGAGACAGGAGTTTCCTCCGTGGAGTCCAATTCAGTGGGTCGTCTGGATTTGCGGAAGGAGGAGGGACGAGCACAATATCGCGCTTGCCTCCTGCTGCATGGCGAGCATGAATAGTACCCTCAAGATCGACCAGGTGTACCGTGCCTGGTATGTATTCATGGGAGGAGACCGTCATGGCTGACGTGGTATGAATGTAATGGGCCTTCTTGCTTGAGGTAGAAAGAAGGAAGAGTTATCAAATCTGCTACTGGTCTCGGTTAACCGCTCGGTCGGCATGGCGTCGGAGTCGCCTTTATATAAACAGTTGGCCTCCATGGCGATTCTTCCTTGGTCGGTGTAGAATACCGTCATGAAAAGCGTTGAGATAAGGCCGTGTATGGCAGAGAAGCCCGAATACCTTGTAGTTGGACATCCCCGTTGTACTAACAAGTAACCAGCCAGTCAGCATTAATTGCGGATGTGTCAGGAAGTACCTAGTACCTGGACGCAGGCCTTTGGTAGAACTTCAAAGGCTATGCTGATAAGGGGCCGTCTTCGATATCAACCACCAATCATACGTATTAGCGTCTCTTCATAGCTTCCCTACCAAGAACCTGGCAAAGGAGATCGAAGATATGCCATGGGGCTGACCAGTAAGGAATAATTGCGGGTGAAATTGGACCCACCTGATAAGGCTGCACGCCATACAGGGCAAGATCATCAATAATAGGCCGTTGCAAGATATGCCAGAGACACCAAGGAACTAGTCATTGGATTCGGTAAGCACATGTATGCACTGCATGCTGAGATCTTCTCTTCCGGTGGCTCGAAAGAGGTATTCGCGTTCATCCTTGAGGCCTCCGCAGTTGCTGGGCACAGGCTCTTGAACTCGCAAATACTCCTAGTTGGCCAGTTCTGTAGCATTGCTCGAGAACTGCACCTGTTTCGTTTTGAAGCATACCGAGCTTCACTAGGACCCTTTTATGAGAAGGACATTCCAGACCAATGGTAACGAGCATACTTACATCACCTCCATCCCATACTCACCATCATTCGAACTTCAATTACAACTATAATCTCCTTTCAATCCTCACTTCGTTGCAAATCCATTCACGATGGTGCAAGCACTATGGCAGCCCAAGGTTGAGAAATGCCAAAAGATTCTGCAGGACTCACTTAACCCTGCCTGGCTCCTGCCAGCAGAGCAGCTGCCGCCGGCTGATCAGCTGAACGTCGCTTCTTTCGCAGACAGCTGCAAGCTGTTGACGCCAAGAGAACTGGAGATCACCCAGACCAATGCCACCGACCTGGTCGCGCAAATGGCAGCTGGGAAGTTGTCGGCGGTCGAAACGGCGACTGCATTCTTGAAACGTGCACATGTCGGCCACCAGTTGTTGAACTTTGCAGTCGAGTTCTTAGTCGACGACGCGATGGCACGTGCAGCTGAGCTTGATGCTCATTTCAAGTCCACAGGGAAAGTTGTTGGACCTCTCCACGGAGTTCCTATCTCGGTAAAGGAGCATGTTGCCCTGAAGGGTCGAATCTGTCATTCCTGTTATGTTGCCTGGATTGATAATGTTGCGGAGGAAGATGCACTACTCGTCACTTTGTTGAAAAATGCAGGCGCGATCATCCACGTCAGGACGAACGAGCCACAGAGCCTGATGGTAGTTGCTTCTGCCTGAGCATCTGAGTTCTCCGCTAACACGTTTCTCAGCATATCGACTGCGACAACGTCATCTATGGACCAACAGTCAATCCGCACAATCGCAAGCTTACCTCTGGGGGCTCGAGTGGAGGCGAAGGGGCATCACTAGGCTTCCGTTGTGCGGCCATCGGTATCGGCACCGATATTGGAGGCTCTGTCAGAGTGCCAGCAGCGTTCTGTGGCGCATATGGCCTTCGTACGACCGCACTCCGCAACCCTTACAAGGGCGTACTGTTGGCCGGCGATGGACAAGAAAGCATTCGCTGCATTATTGGACCATTGGCCAACAGTGTGGGAGACCTCAACTTGGCACAGAAAGCTGTACTTGACCAGGAACCGTGGGAGGAAGAGACATCGCTAGTCCCTCTGCCCTGGAAAGAGGTACCAGCGTACAAACCCGACCAGATCACCGTTGGGGTCATATGGGATGACGGGTAAGCTCATTTGTTGTCGAGCCTTTCTGACACATCGCGCTGCTCATGGGGCCGAGTCCAACTGACAGCACTGCAGTGTCGTCCACCCTCATCCTCCTACTACACGAGGGCTCAAACATGCCGTCTCAAAGCTCAAGGCTGCCAGTGTCAAAGTAGTGGACTTCGAGCCATATGAACACAGCCGTGGTTGGGACATTCTTTCGGCTCTCTACTTCCCTGATGCCGCCAAGTATCAGAAGGACCTCTTGCAGAAAGGCGGAGAGCCCGTAGCGGCATTGACAGAGTGGGCTTTCAGTCAGGCCAGGCCCGAGCCAATCACGGTGGTTGAGAACTGGGACTTGAATGTCCAACGAGAGGCATACCGAGCAGAGTATGTTGGCCCGATATCCGAAGCCCACGCAGATCTCCCTTGCTGACGTCCGCAGATATCACCGCGTGATGAAGGAGCGTGGTGTTGATTTCATCCTCTGCCCTGCATATGTTGGCGTGGCCGCAGAGCTCGCCACTGGACAATATTGGCTTTACACGGCGATTTGGAACATTCTTGACCAACCTGCTGTCACCTTCCCAACAGGATTGAAAGCAGATCCCTCAGTTGACGTAGTCGAGGCCGATTACAAGCCTAGGTCAGCACAAGATGAGCGGGAGTTCAAAAAGTGTAAGTGCAGCTTGCAGTCCTAAACAAGTTTGTGTCTGGTTGACGATACTGACTGGCTTTTCACAACCTGCAGATGTCCCAGAGAGGTTTATCGACGCGCCGATCCCGCTGCAGGTCGTGGGCAAACATTTCCGTGACGAGGAAACGGTGGCAGCTGCTGAATTGATCTCTGGTATCGTGGGAGCTTGAGTAGGTGCTTGTCATTGTAGAATCATTCACCAAAAACGCCAAGGGCGATGCCATCGTAGTATCATCTGCGTAGCAATTTGAACGCGTCAGACGCCTGAATATGGAGTTTCATCTTCTCGGGCTGTCATCGAAACGGCCTTCGATAAACAACTGAACTTACATTTTTGTTCCCCATGGGCCAGGAATGGGGAGCCTGAAACCTTCTCACTATCAATAAATCAATGCCCGCCTAGTATCCGGTCATCAGAGCTTCACTCAACGTGTAAAGGAGCACAACGAGAAGAACGTCACCCCTTCTTGTCATCACGCCATCGACGGGTACTCAGATGCGCGCGATTTCTGCTTGCGATGATGGACGGGCAGACCGCGGGCAGACCATAGCCTGGGCCAGCCCGCTTATCTCCCCGCGATAAGGTCCATCTTGATCCAACGGAAGTCGACGTCAAGCCACCAATTGAACGACTAAGACGGCAGGACTACCTAAGTCAGAAGGCTAACGTTGTGGCTAACCAAGCCAAGATCGGTTGTCTTTCTTCCTATCACCAACGCCCAAGTCGCCGATAGCGCTTGCCTTTTATATCGCCACCAGATTGGGCTGGCAATCACCCTTGACTGGTGTTTGGTGACTACCTTGAAAGAAACCGTCGTTGATGCCTCAGGCGCACTTGCCACATCGATTGTCGTTATGCCCAGGGCAAAACTGCGAACCAAGACCGGCTGCACCACTTGTGAGTCCACCTCACCCTGTTTTCCCCGTTGCTGCTCGCGTGCTGAGTTCACTCCTGTCGAAGGTCGGAAGCGGAAGCTGAAATGTGACGAGAGTCGACCGCATTGCCGCCAATGCTTTCTGGCTCGTCGTCAATGTGAATGGCCAGTGGTTAGCGAGCTGTACGATAGACGATACCATTGCCATACGTCAAGCCGATATAAGACCGCTCGCGAACCAGGCGACTCTACCTCCTCCGAATATGATTCTGAAGGATCAACCCAAGCGTCACCTCTGCAAGCGTCTGCCTTGATTCTACGCAACCCAAAACAGGAGACAACAATTTGTTCGGACACGGAGCTGTCCCTCTTTCGCTACTACCTTGACACCTTACTCTCCTTTCTACTGTCCCCAGAAGCGCATCCTGGCTTCTTCGCCGAGTATTTACCATGTGTTGCTAGATACGCATTGACTTCACCGAGTGTCAAGTGCGCGGTACTGGCATGTTGTGCATCGAACAAATACCAACTTACCAGAGATGTCCAATTTCGCAAGCTCTCTCTCAAGTATTACTGCCAAGCGGTGCAGGAAGTCAACTCGGCTCTTGCAGAACTCGACAGCACGGGTGGCTGTCCGGATGACGCACTCTTGACGGCAGTCATTCACATGTACATCAATGCGGTAAGTGTCTCCCAAGAGGAATCTGTAATCACGTTGCACAGGTGTTCCATGCTGACACTTCATGGCTTGGTACCAGCTCTGGGGATCAGACGTGGCCAATGATGCACCCGAGCACGTCAGGGGAGCCGTTCAGCTAATGAAGCTTCGCTACGCAAAAGCACCTTTGAGCATGGACAGCCCTTTCAACAGGGTCACGGCAGAAAGCGTCGTGTATCAATCCTTCCTGCTCGAAATGGAGCATCCCTTTCAGGTCGATTTTCAGGTGGACAATGGACTTTTAATCCGGTCCGGAAATGCGCTTGAATCTCTCACTTTCCTGGACGCCTCCCCATTGGCAAACAATCCGGTGCTGGGTGTTCCATTGTCGCTCTATCGACTGATCTCAGAAGTGATGCAATTATATCACTCATCAAAGCTGGTCGACTTCCAGTTCTTCTCAAGAGTAAGAAGCGAGATGGAACATTGGGAGCATGTGGCGACTCAGATGGACGATGAGCGAGGCTCGCAAAGTCCAGTATCGGTACGGGACCCTTCTCCCTCGAACAGTGCGCCAGAACACTCTCATGCCGACGCCATGATCTTGTACACCCTAGCCGGATCCTTGCTTCTCGACTGGATCATCGAGCTCACAAAGAAGGACATGCCATTGCAGTCAGATCGTGATTCTTACAAGCAGGGACAATGGATTCCACCAAGAGCGTCGAGTCAGAGTCACTTGCCGCCACCACCCAGAAGAGGTTGGCAACTGATTCGCGCACTCTCTGTCCTTCAACGACCGGGAACCTATGAGGACTGGACGCGCTGTCATCTAGGCTGGTGGCCGGTGTACATATTTGGACTTGCTGCTGATCAAGAGGACGATATCTCTTTGATCAAGGGCGTATTGCTACGTATGCGTCAGCGTCTTGGCTATGGCCTTGTGGATCGCGCCCTGGCCGTCCTTGAGCAAATCTGGGAGGAGAGGGGCAGAAGTCATCAGAACCCAAAGGTTGAAGAGATTTGGGTAGATGATTCGGGGGCCTGTGCTGCTAGCCCGGTTTTGGTTTATTGAGGTGAAGCGTTTTGCCATCAATTCCCTGGGCACAAGGTGCACTCTATACAATGGTTAAACCATCGTACGGGTATGAGCAGAGTACCAGATGAACATAGCCTAAGCTTGTACGCAGTGAACAGAAGTTAAACAGAGCTTCTTTTGAATTCTCAGCCGCCTTGCACTCGAGGCGTACTCCGTACTGACCACTAGCTAAGCAACGCGACAAGGGCAAAAGAATCCATAGACCCGATAGAGAATCAACCCAAGGGGCCTTGAGCTCATCAAAAGCATATGGCATAGCCCACCACCCTAAAGAAAACATCACAAGCGCTCGTGGGGTACTAGGAAGCATGTCCATCAACTTTTCGAAGAAGTGAAAAACAACAACCTCCACCATGCAAAAACGAGAAAGCCGCCTCCCTCATGCTAAGAGTACAACACAAAAGCTCGTCATGTCGTGTCCATCACAAAAACAGAAACGCCAAATGATTACCTAATATGATGATATCGGCCTCGATGAAAGATGCAGCAATGCCTCTCCGTCTCGTTCTTGACCACTTCATACCCTGGCAAAAACACGATCGAGCTTGCTCAAGACCCTCTTATCTTCCCGGAACCCCAACTTCTCGCTCGGAATGTCTTGCGGTGGTGCACCGTTCTTGGTCCCGCCAGGGCTTGTGCTTCCTTGTCTGTCCTGCTCAATCTCGTTTTGTGATCTTGTCTCAACAGGTGGTAGCGTGGAAATGCTGTGGACCAATGAGTTGATCGTTGGCGCTTGGCTGGCATTGACGGTGGGTTGTTCGGGATATCGGTACTCTGGTTGGCCTTGACTTTCCTCGGCCGGGTGCGAAGCGCCGTTCTGCCCGTTCTGCCCATTCTGCCCATTTTGTTGGGGTTCAGTCGACTCCATGGCTGCGGTCAGTCTTGGATCTATCTGCAGCTTCTGGTCATCCTCAAAGGCTGCAGGGGTGGGATGCTGTAACTGCGGCGGTGGTAGGGACTGTGCGTGGCTGTAGGGTGTTGGTGGACCTTGGGTAGGACCAGCAGACTGAGGTGGTGGAGGTGGTGGGGGTGCGGATTCGGAAGGGCGTTGCGGTCGTTGATCGTAGCTGGATGGAGGTGCTTGATTCATATGCAATGGGTGTTGTTGATGTGGATGTGGATGTTGATGTTGATGTTGATGTTGATGTTGGTAGGGTCCGCTAGGGTACGGGATCGGAGGTAGACCAGGCGGCATTGTGGCATATGGTGGCATAGGATAATGGCCTGGTTGACCCGGAGGAGTGTGCACTGGGCTTATAGGGTAGACATACGCCGGGTGCATGTGGTAGCCGGGCGGCAGGTAGGGTTGCGAAGTCTGAGGACTTGGTCTGTGATAGCCAGGAGTGCTGGGGCTCACCGCGTAACCCGGAACTCCCACCATAGGTGATCGAGTGACGGCGGGGACCGAAGACTGGTCGTTAATGGTGGATTCTGGATAGAGACCCTTGGCTGGTACAATAGAGGCCAGGGCAGGATCGGTACTTGGTTGTCGCAGCCCCTGGGCCGTGGGATGTGACCGTGAGTAGTAGCTGATGAGATGGAGATGTTGTCCCTGGGAAGTGGTGATACTGAATGACTGCTTCATCAAGCCATCGGGCTTGTACCGATAGCCGTCCGGTCCTTCCTCCCCATCTGCATCTTGTGGTGGACCGTCAGCTGCCGCGCTGTCTGGGGTCTTAGTGCCTTTTCCTGCGGGCTGCACGAATGAGTTTCCCCCTCGTTTCCCTTCCATCTCCCTGTATGTCAAGAAACTTCCGGAAACCCTACTAGCACTCCAGCTCTTCCCGTCTGTCCATCTTCTCATTCCAGCCTCCCGCTCATCCCAGACAAACACCGAACCGGATCTGATAGACTGTCTTTCCTTCTCTGACAGTCTTCTCTGAACGCGAGGTAGAATTCCAAGTCTGCAAGCCTCAAAGAGGATGATAGCATCTGTTGGTGTGCGGACATGTCCATTATATGTCTCCATGGTGATCGTATTGCGACCAAAACAGTCGTCGTGAACTGATTAGGTGCGACGATGTGAACGATACTGTCGCGGTACCAACGCGTTGCTGTTGTTGAATGTTTTGATTTCAAATGCGGCGGGCTGGATGCTTTGCAAAAGCGCCTCAGCTCGCCGCAGGACAGTTGTTCATGCACCAATGGTGCACTTCTGGTTGTTCAAATCTTTCAGTCTCTTGGGCAGGTTTGCTCGGGATCGTCTTTGAATTTCAGTCCTTTCTCGTCAGGTGCGACAGAGGGATCGAGGTGGACTACAGGTATAGTACTACCGTTATGGAATCGGATTGCGACAATCGATCTGTTGTGCGAAGTATGCGAGATGTGATGTCGGTCGGCTGCCCAATACCAAGTATGTTTGATAGATCGGTACAGAACGATCTCTGGTGACGAAGACGACAGCAAATGCCCTAGGAATCGATCTGGCGGAGAGAAGAAGAGTAAGGTCTCCCCAAGGTGACCTGACTAGTCGAAAGGAGAGGAAAGGAAACTAGTGGTGAAGGACACGAGGATGTGTGGGTGAGGAAGGGCAAGCGCAGGCACATTTTGGTGGATGACTTGACGATGGATCACTTATTAGTTTGGGGTGGAGATGCATCAAAAAGCACCGGCGTTCCCACAGCAAGCTTGGGCTTATGCTTAAATTCAAAGCCGCTGCGCCCGCCTAATGGTCCGTGCGTCACAGGCCTAGGCTGGCATGTCTGGGCATGCTTGTCGCCCATCCATCACACTACTCATGATCATTGATCGCCACAAGGAAATGCAGGACTTATTAATCGCGTACATTTAGCACGTATCAGGCACTTCGCACGGCGTCTTCCGATCAAACCAGTGATATAATCATTGTGTTAGGGTCAATCTGTTGCCTCGCTTCCTAAGACTCTAGGAGTAAGAAGACATAATCCATTGGACAAGCTTTCTGCATGGTCTTGGTCGTTCTTAGGTCTTCTTGGTGGCCAGCTCGGCATTGTCACTACTGCCCAATCACGACCTGTGTATGGATTCGTTTACCTTGTCAGTAGCAAGAAATCGAGAGATCCTTTGGGAGGCGGGTGGCTGGTCTGATCAATCTGCTGCCCCTTCAATGCTTGGCATAAATTGAATCTGAATTTCGGCAGAAGAACCGGGACAGTAGCGGCAGGTTACAGATGATGGGAAAAGGACTGCTGGGACATGTTTTCCCCTTGCGCTATCAGATTGTTCTCCAGATCTGCTGCAGCTTCGCCATCTGGGTTGCATCCCGGCCGTAACAGTAGCCTTCATCCATTTCGTGACTTCGATGATGTTCTCTGGCCATCCGTAGTTGATGTCAAAAGGTGGATTGAGTTGATACACTTCAACTGACCCCAAGGAACTCTGGTCTTGTTTGACTCGAAGCGTCCGACGCCAAAGGGCTTGGTATTTCTTGGTACTGGTGGTCTTCTGGATCTAGCAGACGCCGGTTGGCTAGGCGTTGCGTAACCTCGTGTCTCGGCCCTTGGACCGCAAGGACAGGACTTCTCCTTGGCTGGAGCATTTGAGGGGACACCCAATCCTTCCAAAAGCCCAGCTCTCAGGCAGGACCGGTCAAGCAAAGCAATCTGTGTCATTCCAGTGAACGGAACCGCCCGCATGCGCGTCCCATGCTTGGCTCCCACACTTTTCAAACCTGTCAGCTGGCCCATGTCCAGGGTGAACCCTGCCTGTGCACTGCGGATATGCTTAAACCACTCAAGGTTGTTAAGCATGATTCAAGCCACAAAGTCAATTTTCAGTGCAATGCCAAGCCTCACGAACCCGCTTCAGTTCTTATCTGCCCCAGGCCAAGCACTTCGAGCAAATTTGGTGTCGCTTACGACTGGTTCAAACTAGTAAGTCCAGTCTTGGAAGACACACCGTCCCTCTGATCTGGCCGCCGATGCCGCAATTCAGGTATATTCGCATCGTCTGAACGGCTGGGAATCAGAAGATGTCAATAGAGACCGTCAACTTGGCTGCATTTGGTGGCTTGCTTGGCCCCCAAAATGCCACGTGTGTCGCCCAATTCACGCGGCGTCGCAAACCATTATCGAGCCTTGACGTTTGCTGGCGGGCTGCCAGAAAAACTGTCCCTCTTGGCACGAGCCACAGCATACGCGGCATGTCAAAACCCATATTGTGGTGAAACGCATTACGCAGCGTGGTGGAATACAGGATAGTGTCGTGGGAAGAATGTAGGAAAGATTGACTTAAGTCTCATATCATCACCCTTGACTGCAGTTCTGGCCAGGATCCCATCCAAGTCAAATTAATGCCACTTGTACTGTGACAATTGCCATCCCAGGGGTTCTGGCACCAAGCTCATACTGAAATGCCAGACAATTAGTACCCAAGACTCGTAATGATCACGAGTACTAGGATGGCCAGACTCTCAACGATACGCGTCATCGGAGGACGCAGCTTGCCCCTGAGGTAGTTGTGCCTCAATCAACCCTGCGTCGTATCTTGATGGTCGCTTTCATTGGCGGAACCAGCGCCGTGCCCAACCATTTGCTTTCCGGTCGTGAGGGCAACATCTCAAACTCGTACTTCAGCAACATGTGTGCCAGAAGCAATTTCAACTCGTTTGCAGCAAAGAAGCGCCCGGGGCAAGCATGACGGCCATGGCCAAATGCATGGTACGTAGGTGATGTACTAACAAAACTCAGGTTGGCTTGCTTGATGTAGTCTTCTGCAATGGCGCTTTGATCATCAGAGCCGTCGCCCCGGCTCTGGTTCTTTCGTTGCAGAGAGAACCGAAGAGGTTGATAGCTGAGTGCATTAGGATATTGCATTGGGTCATTGTGGAGGCCATTAGTCGGGACTGAGATTGTGCTCCTATATGGGCAAAATGTGCCATTTGGTGCTGTAACGCCCGTTGGACCCATAACTATGCGTGTCAGCCCAAGACCAAGGAATGAGCCGATACGCGAGGATTCTCGGAGAGCGGAGTCAATTTTGATCATTTTGGCGACTCCTTGTTTCGTCCAACTTCCGCCATTTTGGGCAAGTACAGAGGCAGCCTCATCCCGCAATTGGTCCACATATCTCAAAGACGGGTCTGAGGCAAGTAAGTCGAAGACAGCATTGGTGACGCTGAACGTCGAGGTGTGAATGGCCGCGAAATTTACTGCCAGAATTCGTTCCGCAATGATATCCGCATCGTTCTCGACTGGGATTCCAGACTCGCGTGCTCGCCGAATGGTCCACTGCATAAAGTCATTTGGCTCTGTCTCGATGATCCCCTTTTCCTTGTCAACGTTGATATCATTGAGCAGTCTTTGACGGCGCTCAATCTCGGGTCTCACAATCCGGGCATAGCCCTTGGTATGCCTTTTATTCGACAAGGTGACAATGGGAGCGACCAGGGGACGCAGTATGGCCGGGGACTGTTTGAGAACCGCTGCGGAAACGGCCATGGCTGTCGCAAAGCCTTTGCCATGGCCGAGGAGGGCTGCGTCGCGACACAGAGGGAGTCCAACGAAGACACGATTGCTGATTCGTGCTATCATCTCCATCGCTGTATCAAACACGCAGACTTCCCTCCAATTCACCGTGTCGATGCCCCATATTTCATCGAGAGCCACGGACAGCTCGTCTACAATGTCGGGGGTGACGACGCTCAGCTGCCTCGTCAATTCATTCCGTACGGTCTCGTGGTGGAGAGGATTTGCGACCACAAAGGGATGTACAAATGTGTAGTCGGTCTGAAGAGATATCCTATGCGACTCCTCCGAGCTGAGGATGCTGTCTGGTTGATTGATCAACCACTGAACCGAGGAGATTGGCAACACAATCTCAGCACCATTGATATCGGGTATGATACAAGACTGGTCCTTCGCAGAGTACTGTAGTAGTCAGCTCCAACGGCCAAGACACCAAAGTTGGTGATGTTACCTGCTCGTACGCCTGATGGACAGTCTGCTTGTAGTTCAAAGTAGAACGAAACCCGGCGCGCAGCCTCGTGAACAGCTCCCCTTCACGAGTATTGAGCCATGGCAAGTCTGGAAGGGCCGGATTCGGGCGTAGCCTGTTGTAAACTGTGATCGCTGCGGCCAGTAGGACGCCAACCAGTATGTATGGGGTGAAGAGGTACTCAATCATGATTGAGTCTTTCAAAGTGTGCGGTGGTGGCTGCCACAGCGCTGCCCTTATCGGAGCTGTCAAAGCTTTATCAATTCTGATACACACTGTTGCTTGCATGCATTGATGGAACACCAGGCGGCTTCTGTGAAGTTTCGCGTAATCATAAAGTCATTGAGAAAGCGATGGCTGAGTAGATGGAGCCAGAAGGGATTTGAGAAACAACGACCGATCACGAGGGAGAAAGCTGTAGTGGCATTGTAGACGGCAGAGTGCAGAGGAACGATGTTACCACAAAGAGTAGAAGTACTTTTAGGTCAATCGGAACGGTCACTCCTTCGCGTTCGTACGACTTGTATCCTTGTAGATGAATGGAAGCGAAGATCCAAGGTCGAATCATACGTTCCGGTAGGATGCAGTCGCACCGGATCTGGAACGGACATCTTTTCAGAGGATCGACCGTTAGGCTTATCTTGCCGATACTCGTTCTATAGTTCATCAGCTTTCGCTTGAACTTGCCGATGGACGTGTCTCGGGTCCTTGGCCTCGTGAGAGGTTGCCTGTCATCAAGGGTGTAAGAGCGGTTTGTGGACGGGTGAGCGATATGATTTGTTTCAGGCAAAGGGCCAAGTTCGAGTGAAACGTGTGATTGTCGTGTCAGAACGTTCGACTTGCATCGAAGCGACGCAACAGGCAACGGATGCGAAGGATCCGACCAGGTGCCTCATGATAACATCGAGAAAGAGGGGTCGTGTTGTGATGGAGGATCAAGGTCGGGCCTCAGGCATGGTGGGCTGAGGTGAGACCCTGTGAAGGGGTTGTATTAGGTAGCGAGATGGTCTTACCGTCTTAAAAGCGGTACTGCCGGGCAGACTTAACGGTAACCTTTTAGCCTAGTAATTAGGCTGTCCTTAGGTAAGCAGTGTTTGCGGGGAGCCAGAAACCCCAAACGCGCAGCAGCGCACGCGTTAAGATGCATGCCGCACGAATTCACCACACCAAGGCTGGGACAAAAGTGCCTATACAACCACCACTGAAGGCCCCCGTGGACCTAGCACCGAGCATGATACATGCTGGGCCTTGATATAACTCGGCGCCCTGTCATGCATGTGGATCTTCCTTGTTTGCAGCCCTGCTCATGGCTGACCCCCGATTGACTCGCATTGAGGGCACCTTGACCTCCCTTCTCGAGAGCCTCGTTCCAGCACCTGATCTCGACCAAGACGACACCGACTTCGAGTATCGCATTGACCGCGCCCTCCAAAATGCGAAAGACGTTGTCCTAAGCGCCGATGGCAGGCTTCCACCCGACACGAATCAAGCTCAAGACCTGATTAAGAGGAAGTTGCTTCGAGAAAATGCTTCTCCAGAGAAGGCTGCCAGATTCAGCAACCTCTACTCTAGACTGCTTGCAATCCCAGTCTTGAATCAGAAATGGGCCATCTTGTATCTCTTGTACAAATTGTCCGACAATACAAATGCAGATGGGCGCAGTCGCAACCTATTGGTGGACTCCGATATCTTCGCGAACGCGACCAAGCAAGATGACCATCGCACGCACAACACCTTCTCCCCTGAAGAAGAAGAAGAGTATGGTAATGGCTATGAGGAAGCACCTCGCGCAAGGGGTCGCGCTCTATCGTTCAAAGGACGACAAGAGTCTCAGCATCCACAAGATGCACCCGTCGAAGAGGAGGCTTTACCCCACAAGAACGATGAAGACCACATGGCGCCCAAAGAGGAGCAAGTGAAGTCGCCGTCAGAACATGAGCTGCTACGAGAGCTCCCATTCAACCTTCAAGGAGTGTCTTCTGCTCATGTCGAGTTCACCGGAACTACATCGCTCAAACTACCCACAACTCTACCGGTCCCCCTCATCTCGTTGCTGAACGCGCTAGCTGAACCATGCTTGCTCTATCGCGGGCTTGCAGAGTACACCCGCGCCGAAGAAGGCGGCTTGATGGATCAAAGTCTTCGCTCGGCCATCAATAACGAGTTACGGTCATACCTCAGTCTGGTCGCCTCGCTGGAGACAGAGATCAGGCAAGCACTTGCGACGCTCGACAAAGCGCAGGATCCCAAAGCAGTCCGTGTCACAGGCGTAACGCTGAAACGATGCGTGATCTGGACGAGAGATGCCACCATGGGCCTCAGATTGATGATGCTCATTGTGGAAGATTCTAAGCATAAGCGTGGTGGTCAGATGCTCTCACTTATTCACAACTTGTCAACCTCGAATGGCGACCCGTTCGTCGCTTCTTTCGCAGAGAGACTTCTTGCTAGTGTCGCACGGCCTTTTTACGAAATGTTGAGGCACTGGATTTATGACGGAGAACTCATCGACCCTTATCATGAATTCTTCATTACTGAGCCAGACCCCAATGCTGCGCCAGCGATTGACCACCGGCACGTTGCTACTTCGGTTTGGGAAGAGAAATATAAACTTGACGCTGTCATGGTACCGTCCATCATTTCATCGGAGTTCTCTAGGAAAGTGTTTCTGATTGGAAAGTCACTGAACTTCATTCGACACAACTGCGGAGACTCAGATTGGGTCATTCAATATTCGAAGTCGAACTCGAAATCCCTCGATTATGCCAACACAGCGAATCTGTCAACATCAATTGATGTGGCATACAAGACAACCATGTCGCGGTTAACCCACCTCATGTCTACGAAGTTCGGGCTCTTCACGCATCTGACAGCCATAAAGAAGTACATGTTGCTGGCTCAAGGAGACTTCTTCGATCTTCTCATCGAGTCCTTGGCGCAGCATCTCGATCGTCCTGTCAACTCCATGTATAGACACAACCTAACGTCACAGCTTGAACATGCCATCCGACATTCCAACGCTCAGTACGACGACCCTGAAGTTTTGCGACGATTGGACGCCCGAATGCTGGAGCTCTCAACCGGTGAAATTGGATGGGACTGTTTTACTCTGGAATACAAAATCAGCGCTCCTTGCGATGTTGTTATTACTCAGTGGGCCAACACGCAGTATCTCAAAATTTTCAACCTACTATGGAGGATAAAGAGGGTTGAATTCTCCCTCAACACGACCTGCAAACGCTGCATGACAGGAGGTCGAGGAGTGCTTGCCGCGGTGAGTGACAAGTTGGGTAATGATTGGAAACGTGCCAGATGTGTGGTCGCTGAAATGGTGCATTTTGTCAACCAATTGCAATATTATCTCCTATTCGAGGTCATTGAAGCCAGTTGGGAGCAGCTCGACGAAGCGATTCGGAAGCCGGAGGCAACTTTGGATGATCTGATAGAGGCTCATACGACCTACCTCAACAACATCACGAAGAAAGGTCTCATCGGTCAACAAAGACACCCAGTTACGGGTCAACAAGAAGATAGTCTTGTGGTACAGGTCCATCACATTCTGAAGTGCATGCTCAGTTATCGCGAAGTCATCGATTCGCTCTATTCCTACAGTGTTGCCGAATACACCAGGCGTCAACAATTTAGTGCGAAAATCGAGCAGCGTACCGCACAGGGCAAATGGGGAATCACAGAAAAGGATACTCTGGGCGATTCTCGCGCAAGCACCCCAAATTCCATCGCACCAGGAAAGACCAGGGGGACACAGCTTGTGCCCGAGGATAACGATTCTCCTCTCGTGGCACCGATTGCAAACCTAAGCATGAGTGATGATGAGACCCATCTGGGTTCTTTGCGATCGAGGCAGTTGAACTTGTCAGCTGAGTTTAGGTCACGTCTCAGCATGTTACTGTACGACTTGGCTCACCAACCAGATGTTGATTTGCGCTTCTTGGGAGTGGTGATGAACTTCAATGAAGTGTATCAACCTGTCAATGTGCGGAGGCAGCAAGCAAGACGTGCTCGAGAGAAGCGTGAGCTGGAAAGAAAGGCTCGTGAAGCGACCATAGCGTCCGAAGCCAACACGTCTCTAGACAGGGACATGAACAGCTCTACAGCGAAAGGCTGAAGACATTTCCTTTCGTTGGCGGGAAGCTTTCCATTGATATGGACTACTCGGCAATTCGGAATTCCCTTGGAACGCAGCTCGCGTAGAAACCAACAGTCACTTTAGGGGACCTCAGCTAAGGCAACCAGGACCTGGCAGGACGACGCGTACGTCCTGCGATTTCACCAGTCTGTCTATGACGAACGGACGGTATGCTACGATGGTAAATGCAGCTTGTCTTGTCAGGATCTTCAACATCTGCTCATCATGTCATTCAATTTTATCAGTCGCTCTCAGCCCGACTGTCAGGGAAATGCCCAGCTCGTTGCGAAGCATGAAGCAGACCAAGTTCTTCAGCCTGGACCCAGGCCGGCGATGGGACGACCGCAAGAGCTGGACACCAGGTAGTCGCTCTGGATGTCCCACCCACGCGAGCTGTAATCTCGATGGAAACGAATACCGAGCTGGTGTTCGAGCACAAGCAGGTGACAAGGTCCATCGACCGCATTCGGGCGACACCCTCTGCAAGCAGACTTCCAGCTTCCTAGCGGTGGCGACCAAGAAGTCTCTCAAACGAAGAGTAGGTGCAAGCCACCATAGAAAAATCTGCCTGTGATTGTCGCAGTCCTGGAACGAAGGACTAAATGATAGGAGAAGACGTTCGACAGTCCTGAAATAGAGGAAGTCTCGGTCGACGACGGCCTTGAGACATTGTACCTTTGACACCTTGAGCTGTCTCAAGAGGCTGGCCATAATTCATCGGGATTAGCGCTGTTGTGTACACTGCGAGTTAATGTGTAGCTGTACTTTTGCAAAACCCCTTCTGCCTTCGCTAAGTCGCATGTACCTAGGTATGCTTAAGCATTTGTTCACCGGATCATTCCGCCTGAGGCGCATCTTCGCCGCCGAACGTTACACCGGGGCTAACGCTCGGGTGACATGAATGCAACCCAAATGATGCAAGTTTAAGGGTCCATCAGCGATCACATCCACATGTTACTGTAGATACCCAGTATCACGCTCGTATGTTAGCTCCTTGCATCTTGGCCATGTTTACCCTTCGCCTTTTCACGTCCATGAGAATGTGAACACCCATCAGGTAGATTCGTGTATCTAACCGAATATGGCAACCCTTTCGGGACAACCAGTCATCATCATTGGGGCCGGGCTCTCGGGGCTGGTGGCGGCCTATGAACTCACACGCAAGAACATCCCCGTCACGATAGTCGACCAGGAACCCGAAGGCAGTCTCGGCGGTCAGGCCTTCTGGTCGCTCGGCGGGATCTTCTGCGTCAATAGCGCGGACCAGAGATCCAAGGGAATCAAAGATAGTCGCGAACTCGCGCTGGCTGACTGGATGAATACGGCTAAGTTCGATCGCGAGAAAGAAGATTACTGGCCTCGACAATGGGCTGAAGCCTTTGTGGACTTCGCCACGGGTGATATGGAGAAGTACCTCAAGAACCTTGGAGTGAAATTTATCGTCGTCGGCTGGGCTGAGCGTGGGAGCGGGTCTGCACACGATATTGGCAACTCGGTGCCCCGGTTTCATCTCACTTGGGGGACTGGACCGGAGATCGTGCGTGTGTTTGCAGAGCCTGTGCTAGCTGCGGAGAAGAAAGGGCTGGTGACGTTCAAGTTCAGACATAAAGTCGATGAGCTTGTCGTGGACGAGAAGGGTGCGGCGGTCGGGATTCGTGGCGAAATCCTCGAGCCGACTGATGCGGTGAGAGGGGCGGCTACGTCGCGGAGGGCCGTCGATTCATTTGAACTGAGGGGACAAGCTGTGCTGATTGCCACGGGCGGTATTGGCGGCGACGTGGAGAAGGTCAAGAATGCATGGCCGAAAGATAGGCTTGGGCCTAACGTACCCAAGTCGTTTGTTGTTGGTGTCCCGGCACATGTCGATGGGCGCATGATCGATATTGCAAAGGATGCTGGGGCGAATGTGGTCAATATGGATCGCATGTGGCATTACACTGAGGGCTTGCAGAACTGGAATCCAATATGGCCGGACCATGGGATCCGAGTCATCCCTGGACCGTCGTCGATGTGGCTTGATGCTACAGGTAGACGATTCCCACCATTCTTGTACCCTGGGTGCGCTACGTTACCGACACTAAAACATATCTGTTCCACCGGCTACGATTATTCATGGTACGTGACGAATCGGAGGATTGTGAGTAAAGAGTTTGCGTTATCTGGCTCGGAGCAGAATTACGACCTTACGAATAAGAGTTATCTGCGCTTGCTGCAGAGGGCTTTTACGCGCTACGGTACCTACGAGGTGCAGGATTTCTTGAAGAACGGGGAGGATTTTGTCGTGGAGAACGATCTTGCCGCGCTGGTCAAGGGGATGAACTGGTTGGGAAGCGAGAGGGAAGGTCCCAGCCTCGAATACGAATCGATCCGCAAGGAGATCGAGGCTCGTGATACCCAGGCCGAGCGTGCTTACACCAAAGATGCGCAGATCATGTTGATCAACAATGCGCGCCAGTATGGGCCTGATGCGAGACGTATACCGAAACCACACAAAATCCTTGATCCATCGGCTGGTCCGCTGGTCGCGGTGCGAATGAACTTGCTTACCCGGAAGAGTCTTGGTGGGTTGGAGACCAACCTGGACGGACAAGCCATGCGTCCGGATGGCAAACCTTTTCCTGGACTGTATGCCGCTGGCGAAGCTGCAGGTTTCGGAGGCGGTGGTGTACACGGATACAGTTCCCTTGAAGGGACGTTTCTGGGAGGCTGTATCTTCAGTGGACGAACAGCAGGGAGAGCCTTGATTAATGACATTGTGCCGGCTGCAAAGTTGTAGGATAATAGATCCAATGTGATCCATGAATAGAATGACTGGGCGTCTCTGTGAGAGTTGTTCCGATGACAGAAGGACATACTGCCCGACCCTGATGCTACCTAAGGAGAGCCAACTGGTGGTAGGCATGAATGACAAGGCTGAGGTGGACGAGGCTGCGCGATACGACCTTCGACCTAGTACGAATAGGCGTCTTTATTTCTTGCATAGAAATGACGTCGACGTTTAGAAGCGAACAGAACACACAGGTGGGACTCACCAACCGTCTGAACATTTCAACGCTGAGACTACCTATCTGGACCAGTCCAACATCAGGGTTAACATCTCGATAGACAAGATTACATTTCCTGTCCGACAGTGTCACCGCATCTAGAAGTTCACTTGAAGCTAAATCTGCGAAGAAACCGCCAACACCACATTGCGACCGAGTGGTTGGAACCACACGCCTCTTGCATCGCATTCACCCATCCAACAGGACCTCGACATACGTTGACAACCTTTCTTTGACCCGCTCAACATGTCTACCGCGGTCATAAGCGGCGACGAAGACGTCCTCGACCCCACCCTCCAAAACCTCATCGACCAAAAGTCGCTAAGATGGATATTCGTCGGAGGAAAAGGAGGAGTAGGCAAGACCACAACATCCTGCTCTCTAGCAATACAAATGGCCCAAAAAAGGAAGTCCGTGCTGCTCATCTCTACGGACCCAGCACACAACTTGAGCGACGCATTCAGCCAGAAGTTCGGCAAAGACGCGAGACTCATCGACGGCTTCACCAATCTCAGTGCCATGGAAATCGACCCCAACGGCAGCATTAACGAGCTCATTGCCGGTGCAGGAGACGAGGCTCAAGACGCAATGTCCGGTATGGGCGGGATGGGCAACATGATGCAGGATCTTGCCTTTAGCGTATGACACCCCTTCACATTCACATCTACCCTCCACGATCGAAGCACTGCTAATTGTATCCCCAGATCCCCGGTGTCGACGAAGCAATGTCCTTCGCCGAAGTCCTCAAACAAGTCAAGTCCCTCTCGTACGAAGTCATCATCTTCGACACCGCTCCCACAGGCCACACCCTCCGCTTCCTGCAATTCCCCACCGTCCTCGAAAAGGCTCTGGCCAAAATCTCCCAACTATCCACACAATTCGGTCCGATGTTACAAACGGTCATCGGCGCAAGAGGAGGTCTCCCAGGCGGTGGCTCGCTCGACGAGCTGACCCAGAAACTCGAGGCTCTCCGCGAAACCATCGCCGAAGTCAACACTCAATTCAAAAACCCCGACATGACCACTTTCGTGTGCGTCTGCATCGCCGAGTTCTTGTCCCTTTACGAGACCGAGCGCATGATTCAGGAGTTGGCAAGCTACGAGATTGACACGCATTGCATTGTGGTCAATCAATTACTTTTCCCGGAAAAGTCGAATGAGTGCAAGCAGTGTAATTCCAGGAGGAAGATGCAGAAGAAGTATCTTGACCAGATTGAGGAGTTGTACGACGAGTTCAATGTCGTCAAAATGCCACTTCTGACCGACGAGGTTCGTGGCGTGGACAAGTTGAAGAGGTAAGTTATCCTTTCTTTCTGCGTGGTAGCCTCTAACAATTGTGACAGTTTCTCGGAAATGCTCATCCACCCTTACGAGCCGCCGTCATGAGTTTGTGTTTGAGAGCGTTTTGTGAGCGCACCAGTCATGAGGGCCATGGTTTGGACCAGCACGCAGCGTGGTGATGTGAGATGAAAGCGAAAAAGTGGAACCGGAAGCCGGTTTGATGCACACAAGTGTACCTAAGTACGACATTATTGGTAGATGAGCATACAATTGAGCGGCGTCTTCTTCTTGTTATCCAACCGCAGCACTACAAGATCGTTGCACCGGTGACGATCCCACGATTCTGATGTGCAGAAAGTCTTTCATTGCCTTGTCTCTGTCCTGCACCATTTCAAGAGGGGAATGAGGCACGCTTCACGCACAGTATGGCGAACCCCCGAGCGCTACCGTGCCTCGTCCCAGCCTACACTGCCCGTGTACAGCCGTCGGTGACCGAACCCGTTCGCAGACATTAGCTTCTTCATACCACAGCGCCATGCGTCAGCCTCATTGCTCGATGAACGCGAGGTATCCGGCAAAACATTCCATATCTCTCTCTGATCAAAACGGCCACGCATATACGCGTTTACGTACATGTTCAGCCACACTTGAACGCCATGGAAGGCTATTGTCCTCGTGCTCGTCTTGGTATCTCGTACTGCCCCTGCCTGCCCCTCTCGTACGATCTGCCCAGCATTCGGTGCTTGCTTGCAGTGTGGCGCGATGCACGAGGCACGAGATCTTACCTAGGCAAGGCTGAGTTAGAGTTCCTCATTCATTGATCGGGTGATCCTCGATGCTCAGCCTCTACAGTAATGTGTCAGGACAACCTTTGTATACAATGGACAGTAGTAGCGATGCAAGTGCCACGTGAGGCTGGAAAGTTAAGCCACTTGCTAACCACGCGTCACTGCTCATCGTTTGGCCTTTGCATGACACTGGTAGTCGTAGCCTGTAGGGGACTCCCGTTCGGCGTTCGTACTTTTGCTCGTATTCCCTTACCTTCCAGGGACGCCTGCACCATCGCATGAGTTTGGCTTTACATGGCTTGTGGCTTTGCATGGCTTGCACATGGGCGTGGAATTTGGGTTTTGCGACGTCTGCGTGGCTTGGATCGCTTGCATGCATCTTCACTGCTGCCTGCCTATCGAGCCAGCTTGGACGTTGAAACACCGAACACTGACCAGTAATGGTGAACAAGTGACAATGGCCAAGATAGCCCAAAATTGACTGGCTTCAGCCAGATCGAGAGACTTAGTCATACCCTCGCCCTCCTTACGCGTGTCGCTTGGACAAATATTCCGTATACCGATTTCGTCTAGCCGGTCAATGGTAGACAACACGCTACAGAGCAATACTCATCCCACAGACCCTAGTTGACAGTTTGACAGAGGAGGTGCTGGACGTACTAGTCGGCGATCGCCGTGATCACTGATGGGGTCAGACAGCCCTATGGCTCTGCACCCACGAGGCCCTAAGCGAGCTGGGGTTGGTGCAGTACGCTACCTCCTAGGTACCAAGGCTAAGTTGTATCTGTATCTTCGATGCGATTTAGATGCGTTCTACCTACCGAGCGAGTCGCGATCTAGTCCATTATCAGTAACATACACTTGTGCTCGATTGTGAATTAGCGAACCAACTTAGTGTTGTCTGCCAATACCGTTTGGGCTGTTGCAGAGTATTCGGTCTTTCTCTGCCTATGCATGTAGACATGCAACAGGCCGGGCGCTGCATCGAATGATGAGATGTCGAGGGTACTGTACTTACCTAATCGATCGACAACATCTGCACTGATTCGTCGTGAGGCCCGGATAACTGTTGCGTGATCCAGTCCACAAGCTGCTCAGGGCTACGCATTATTGTATCCAGGAGACCTTTCTCCCTTCTTGGTTGGCAGCTGGAGCACTGCCTGACTGTAGTCTCGAAATTTCGAAGTTTCGAAGTTTCGTAGTTCCGGATAGCCGCAAAGACGTAGACAATCAAGTCGTCCTGTGGATGAGCATACGTAGGTTTTATCTGCGGGTGCAAGCTGAGACGCACCGATCCCGTCCACTGTCTGATCGATCAGTAGTGACTGGACGGAAAGCCAACCGCTGTGATTTCCAACCCCTTCTGGGCATTGTTGAGAGACCAATAGTGGTGCGCGCCAAGTCATGTTAGAGAACTTCGTCAAGTGACACGCAAAGCGCTTCAATCCTAAGCGGCGGTTGTAGTCGGGCGCCCCGAAAAGGTCCCGCTCATCAAAGAGGAAGATGAGACCGGGGCGCCCCAAACAAGTATACAGTTCTGCTGTCACAGGTGGACTTTGCGCAACTCCCGAGAGGGCGTTGGAGAAAGCCAAGGAAAATGCCGTAGACTTGGCAAAGCTTTAATCAAGTCGACAAGAAGAGGCACTCGGTACATCTTGCCCATCCAACAATTAAATATACTGTATCAGGGGTGTTCTGTCTGTCCTGCCTGGATTTCTGTTCCGCTTCATGCCCGTGACATGTCTCTCATAGCGGCATGCAATCATTGTGGAAGGAACGCAATAATACATGTTGCCAAATACCACAAGGCCCAAAGAACGCTCTCTGAACTCTATAAAGTCCAGCTGGTGGGTATTGATAATAATCTTGTTTTACGTCAAGAAATTCTGGTCGTAGACATCCGTGCCTTTGTTCGATTCTGCCCGCCCGCGGGGTTTTGAGTTCGAGCGAAGATAGATTTGGTGATGCCAATGGTGATGCAATAATTCACAAACTGCAAGTTCGATCATGATTGCCTATCACGATGGAGAGAGAGAGAGAAAAAATAGCCAGTAAGCCACTGATCGACATTGGCTTGGGACTACCTCACTGTACCAGAGGCTAAGCTCGAAAGGCCGGAAACATTTTTGTCGCATTGTTCACCGCTGCATTCGTATCCAGGCGAGCATGCGATCCAGCACTGGATCTTCGTCGAGCCAGTAACCTTTGCGACGATCAGCGTTGCGAAGGTCGTTGACGACGTGTTCGTCAGTAATGTCGTCGAGTTCCTGGGCGTCTCGATTAGCTTTCTGGTCGTTTCTGCATGTAATGCTGATCACTGCCTTGCTGGGAATAGGAAACACATGGCAAGCAGGGAATCTTTCTGTGGAGAAATAGTGTGTTGATCGACAACACTTCAACATCGATAACTTCACGTCCAAAAATACATACCGAACGAAGTCTGTGGTCAATTGCACGCAAACCATTGGCGTTTCTTTGACTCGATCGCTCTCCTCTGAGTAGCTGGGCTCGCATCTGAACCCATCGTATGGCAGCTGCCGCCCGTAAATATATTTTGTGCGCCTGGAGCCTGCGCGTAGCCGCATCCAGAATAATTCTGACGGTTTGGTCAATAATCATGCGTTTTGTGAGCTGAATAAATCTCACCTTTGCAACGTCGCCTTGGTGACTTCCGTTTCGTCAACTTGGCCACTTTGGAGTCCCAAATTACCGGGGTTGTAATGTGTCGCTAAGATAGCTTGCGACTCTGCAGCGCACTGCCGCAGTACCACATAGCCATCGAGGTAGTATGAATGCTGATCGGGAGGGCTTGCCTCTCTCCGTGTAATAAGCGAGTTGATGTGAATTTGTAACGTCCGAAAATCGTTCATGATTTCAAGTATTCGCATAGCGCGAGCCTCATTCCCTGCATTGCCGACGGTCAGTGGCTCGGTTCCAGCATTGTATCCTCGCACAAATCTGGGCGAGAGATTACAGCCAGGCAACGTACGTCCATCGGCCATTGCAAGCGGGAGGCCTCTGTTGTCTTGATGCTGTCCTCGAGATGGGAGAGGTGGTTCAATGATTGACGCAAGTCCAGGACTTTGTTGCTTCGATGGTCTCCTTGACTGCCAGAGAGTTGATGTAGTCTCGTACCTTGGCCTCAGCCTTGGGGTCAGGTTGATGTTTGTGAGGGTCCTGATGGTAGGAAGACTTTCGAGACGGTGATGAAAGCATGCTTAAGAACAATCGCGCTTCATCAGTGTACCAAGGGAGGTGAGAAACGTAGATGGACAAAGCGTTAAACGGCAATGACTGATGGGGACCGTTATGAGGGCTTTAATTTCCTAGCTCTCGTTCCTCTTGACCATTCATATGCATAGGAGTACCTCTGAAGAGATGGGGCCGGGCCGTAGCGACAGGAGGAATAAGGAGAAGGATGTCCAGCTGTGTGAGAACGATTGATGGAAATGAGACATGAGCAGAAGTGAAGCTGGAGACAAGTCCTGCTACACTAAGCAAGGGGAGCGTCGCGGAGCATCGTGAAGCAGAAAACGGTCAAAGTTAGCATCACCAGACTAGACACGGCTGTGATCGGACTCCAGCAGGGCTTGGAGTGATACGCAATGACCATTGGGTCATCTTGTCAACTCTGAGTCCGCGAGCATAGTGCAGCTTCAGTGGTGGATCAACCCATCATTCGAGGCTCTGCTAGAGAGCGCTGGAGTCGATCAGCAGAAGCCTTTCAAGCCACCATCCAGTTGGAGTGTCAACGTGGACAGTGGGCACCGGGAATTGGGCTGTCACGAAGTCCTTTGGTATCGGGTTCAGGGTAACGGCTAGCGTTAGCGGAAAGACTGATGAGATGATGGGCAATCTGAGACGACATCACCATGTGCGGCATGCATGGCAGAGATGCCAAACTTGTGGGAACCCACGAATTGGGAAAGCGTTGGACAAGTGTGATTGACAGGGGAGGAAGATGGACGATGGTGGAAGAGGAATGGTTCAAAAGCCACTTCTTGCACTGATACGGTCTTGGGACAGAGACAAAGGGCGCTATGGCCGATTTTTCCATCGCGGCTGCCAGAGGCTAATCCCATCTTGATCAAAAACTACTCCATACCCAATTCACCTCTGCCAGCTGAAGGAATCGCATCAAACCACACTACTAACGTGTCAACGGGCGCTACAGCTGAAAAAACATGACTGTTCCATTACTGGTCAACGCATCCTATTTTGAATTTTTATCATCTGACTTTCTTCGCTTCTGCGAGATACAGTGCAGAATACTTGAGAGGACATTCAAAGATCGATCGGTGGCTTGAGTTTTGGCTGCTTAGACAGTACCTTGCAGACATCCAGCCCAGGCTGCAGCATATCTTCCATTCGTCGCTCATGACTCCAGCCTCGTAAGCCACAAAAGAAAGCCACAAGAGTATGCTCCGACTGAACCCCTGCGTCGTCCCAAGTTTCCGGAGTGAGAACCCATAGGTCATGGCTTTTGCGGCTGTAAACCTTGAGCATCATTCTCATGACCCGAGTCACAAGTCTTGAAACACGGTTCCGACAGTGACGTCCGCCATGACTCCCGCTCGCATCATTCTGCATCAGCGTGGCTTAAGTGCTGAACGTGATCATCCCAATCGGAACCCTAAAGCTCTCCAGAAACACGTCTCCATGTCTCTGGAGCTGAAGCACAACCACCCCTGTCCAGCGTGGTGATGATCCCAGATCACCGGTGCCGAAAGGACTTCTTGACTGGAATTGAGTTTGCAACAACCTGTGTTCAGTCGCGTTCAGCGATGGCTTGAAGTCGTTCCTCAATCTCGTCTTCGCTAAGCGTCCTAAATTCTCGTTCGGTGCCTTCACTTCCATCAGCCTTGGGTCCACCAACGATCCCGATCTCCAATTCGCCTTTCTTGAAATCAACACTCAAGACAGTGCTGAGGGTGCTGATGCCTAACTCAACCACCTCCTCCCAGCTCCCAGGAGCGTAATCCTTGTTTTTCAACTTCTTTTCCAAATGATTGAGTGCCTCTTGTTGCTTCGGGCCGGACGCTGTGGCCTTGTAGCCGACGAAGTAGCCAGCCGGATCACATTTGTAGAGTTGAGGGCCGAACTCATCGTCGACGGATATCAAGGTAATGGCAATTCCTAGGGGTCGCATGTATGCCTGCGCCATCGTTAGCCTCAACGTTCCACCTGTCTTTAGGTCTGTAGCATACTCGCTGCGTGTAAACCTGGTTGATGTTCGCCAGTCGTTTGGCCAGGACATCACAGGGCATTTCATATCCATTCTTGTATCTGAACTCAGCAGCTTCTCCTCTTGCTCTGTCGGCTGAAGCTCGAGCATCCGCTATTGAGCCAGTCATGACGCATCCGACCGAGGGCGATAGTTTGAAGATATGAGAGACAGAGGAAGGGTCGATCAGCTTGTCCTAAGGTAGCAATCGTAAGCATTGTGCTTGAAGTCTGGGTAAATGTGTGTGGTCCATACTGGGACTTTCTTTTGTGATAGTACAACGGCGCACTCCTTCCCCCTTACTCCTACTGACGTGATGTTGGCCGCGGTGATGGCTTTGAAGGCATATTCTGTTGGTAGAAGTTAGCATTGTGGATGATGATCTCGTTTCGCGTGCAATCGCGGTTGGCGGGCGGATTGGGCGCCGTCTTTCATATGAACAGAAGACAACTAGCACGACTGAGGAGCTCGTGGAACGTACCGACTTGATATAATCGACCCTGATCTGAAAAGATAGTAATGTGTCGATCATAACCTGCGCTACCTGATGATACGAACTGGTCAGCTCGGGGTTCCCGACCAGCTAGGATTGGGACAAAAGGACGAACCAGACATCTTGAATCTCCTTCAACCGAGGTATCTCGGACCTAATTGTGCTGTGTTTTGCAGCTGGATGTCGATCAATTGATGAGGCTTGACTTGAAGAAGAATCAACCGAAGAAGTTATGCTGAAGAAGTACGTAAATGGTGGTGTTCGTATAATCCTTTAGCAAGATCCAACACGCAAGCGCGATAGCCTGCGGCAAGGCACTGACCGCTTGACCCCAGAAATAACACAGCCACATGCAGCCACATGTGGCGGTGAATGGGTTCATTGGTCAGAATCTCGAAAACTCAGCTACCATGGAAAAATATATTGTTACATTCATGATCAGAGTCGTTCGCCATATGACCTGAGTTGTGTCATAGATCCGCTCATCTGGGGGTTCACGAGCGCAAGTCTAAGAGACCTACGATGCAGCAACCGGTGGTTCCCGCTTGGAAGAGACTCGGATTGAAACTCAAATATGCGAATGAAAAGCCCGAATCTGTTGGCGAGTCAAGACCGAATGGACTTGCATCTACCAACCAAGGCTTAGAGACTACAGCCCCTGCAAAGGAGCTGCCAAACTCAGATGGCCCTCCAAAGAAGAAAAGAAAGGTCACCTCAGGAACCGAAAAGCATCTGCTAGCCGACTCGGAGCATCAAGTCTCAACCGACACGCATGCAACAGCGAAAAATGGCAAAGCGAAGAAAGTGAAGAAGCGGGTGTCATTTGCAGCTGATGCAGAACCTCAACCCGAGTCATCCGCCATTCCCAGTGCCCAGAACGATGACCCCAGTAAAGACCCTATTTCTTCTAAGCCAAAGAAGGCGAAGAAGAAAGGAAAATCTGGTTCAAAACTTCACCACGCCGGACTTGCAAAGACGAACCCTGCCCTGGAGTATCTCGATCAGTTTCACAGAGCACATGCGAGCTGGAAATTCAACAAGAACAAGGAGACTTGGCTACTGAAACATATGTTTTCAGAGCACGACATCCCAGGAACATACAACCTCGCCCTTGCAAAGTACATACATGGACTGAAAGGTTCCGGAGCAAGGGACAGACTGAAGACGCAATGTGTAGAGCTGCTGAAGAAGGACGCCAAAGACGACACGAAGAACGGCTCAAAAGATGGTAAACACTACCTTGGAGATGGGAATTTCCTGCCTCTACTAAAGAGAGACCTCGAAATCGACCCAGATGCTACCGAACCGCCATCTGAAAACCAGAAAGACAATGAAGAATACCTTTCTTGGATCAGGCAACAATCACGCCCACGACTCTTGGTACGGAGCCTGGGTCTGGACCCAGAAGCCCTGCATACGAGCGGAGATGAGGGTCTCAACGGTGCCAGAGAGGCAGATGCGACGCCAAAGAAAAAAACGAACAGGAAGAGTCGGACTACGGCCGTGGAATATTCGAGCTCCAGTTCGAGTTCGAGCAGCGAAAGTGACAGTGACAGTGACACTGATGTCGAGAGCGATGTCGAGGAAGCAAAGACATCAAAGGCTGAGGAGGCTACGTCGAGTAGCGGAACTGACGACTCCAGCACCGATTCGACCTCAGACTCAGACTCAGATAGTACCTAGTAAACTCGCCTCAGAGAGTGAATCTATGCCAGCCACGAACATTGTGGCACTATTGTGGTAATATTGATGATGAGTGTATTAGATAATCAAATAGCGCGGATCAAAGAGGCCTGACTGAAACTCCTAGTGTGTCTCAGCCTCTCAGGCCCATTACTCCGTAGACGCTAGTTCATTTCCCAAGGACCCTCCCGTGGCAACCGCCTGTTTGCGTCTCTAAAACGGCAGCCTGCGATCACCTTCGTCATCTGCCCCCACTGTCATCACGGGACCCTCTACTCCCCGTACTGTAACGCTCCAGCCATCCTCCGACTCACTCATCCATCTATTGATTCCCGATTCATCCATCGACCATCTCTCTTCTTCTCCATCATTTTCCTCGTATCAGCCGTCCCTTGCTGCAGTTCAAAGCAGCTTTCCCTTGACCCTTTCTCCCCTTGTACTGTCTGCTGGCAGCAAATATGAAGAACAGCATCGTTATCGCAGCTGCGCTGCTCGGTGCCGCCAATGCTGGCATGCACCGCATGAAGCTTCAAAAGGTGCCTCTAGAGGAGCAACTCGTAAGTCATCGATCTAGACATACTTGATCGGTATGTGTTCTAACGTCAACGATAGAGCGCTGCCAACATTGGTGACCACATGCAAGCCCTCCGACACAAGTATACCCAGAAGCCATTAGGAGGTCCTGCCGAGGACATCTTCAGCCACACATCCATCGATGCTGGCAGTGGCCCTCACGAAGTTCCAGTCGAGAACTTCTTGAACGCACAATGTAAGTGTGACCAGGGAAGTGTTGCCATGACAGTAATCTGACCAAAAGCAGACTTCAGCACCATCGCCTTGGGCACGCCACCCCAGGAGTTCAAGGTCGTCCTTGACACTGGCAGCTCCAACCTTTGGGTCCCCGGCTCTGCTTGCGGTTCCATCGCTTGCTACCTTCACCAAAAGTACGATGCCTCCTCATCATCTACATACAAGAAGAATGGATCCGAGTTCGGTATCCGCTACGGCTCTGGCGAGGTTGCAGGCTACATTTCCCAAGACACTTTGCAAATTGGAGACCTCAAGATTAAAAACCAACTCTTTGGCGAAGCCACCAGCGAGCCTGGCTTGGCTTTTGCTTTTGGTCGATTTGATGGAATCTTGGGTCTCGGTTATGACACCATTTCCGTCAACCACATCCCTCCACCATTTTACAACATGGTTGAGCAAAAGCTGATTGATGAGCCTGTCTTTGCCTTCTACCTGGGCAGCACCGACGATGGTAGCGAGTCTGAGGCTACCTTTGGTGGTATTGACAGCGACCACTACACTGGCAAGTTGATCAAAATTCCACTCCGCCGCAAGGCCTACTGGGAGGTCAACCTCGACTCCATCACCTTTGGCAAGGAGACAGCCGATCTCGACAACACTGGTGTCATTCTCGACACTGGCACTTCGTTGATCGCCCTCCCATCTACTCTTGCTGAGCTTCTCAACAAGGAGATTGGTGCCAAGAAGGGATTCAACGGTCAATACACTGTCGAATGCGACAAGCGTGACTCTCTTCCAGACGTCAGCTTCACTCTCAGCGGTTACAACTTCTCCATCACTGCCCACGACTATATCCTCGAGGTCCAGGGATCCTGCATTAGCAGTTTCATGGGCATGGATTTCCCGGCTCCTACAGGTCCTCTTGCCATTCTTGGTGACAGGTGAGCTTCATTCTAGACCCCTGCTGGTTATACTTGCTAACAATTCATAGCTTCTTGCGCAAGTGGTACAGTGTGTATGACCTTGGAAGCGACGCCGTTGCTTTGGGCAAAGCCAAGTAAGCGCGGAGCCTCAAAGGAAGGGAGGGAGGGTGTGAAGCATCGTTGGAATCGAATTACCCTTTGCAATTGGAAGTTGTGCCCTTACCCCTGGGCAGGAATTCACGGAGTTTACCTGCTTCAGTCTCTAATACTCTGTAACAACTGGTGTAACCTAGGTACGTAAAGGTAGTGAGTGGTTTCTCAGAAGAATGAAGTAACCACTCTCTGTGGCCTCTGACTACCATGGCGGCACTTATAGAACATCCGTGTGGCAGCTGTCTATCTCTGTCATTGTTCCCTCGGTTCTTCAATGATGAGTCAAAGTATCATTGTGGAATGCTTCACATCTGGCTGCTTGTCTCGTGACCACCCATCATTTGCCCGCATGGAGTGACAGCTGTTGGAGACAAAGGAGCCCTTCACTAATAAACTCAGCGAAGACCCTTTGCCAAGATCGAATCTAAGCATAAAGACCAAGCCAACTGCCGCTGGGAATAACCAGCAAGTGGCTTGCGGTGCTAGAGCTGTTCTCTACCTAAACTTATTCCCGAGCTCCAAATTCCAGCTGCACCTCCAACTGCGGGTTTGCTATTGCGCCCGCATTTTTGTCTACAGCAATCAATTCACTGCTTCAGCGAGCACCCAATTCACGATTCGGCGCCTTCACTAAGTCAGGAGCACCATCACTCAACTCAAGGCCTACACTATTCACCGTCTCTAATTACCGCTACTAGCTTTACTATAAAAGCGATCACCTGTCCGTGCCATTGCTCTACCTGCATCCTCGGTTCACGTACCTTCAACAACCAACAACATCGGTACCCAGCATTGCGCTCGATCCTTGACTCGCCATTTCATCTACATGCTTCAGTCAATGTCGTGCAAAAGCCGACCGCCTCCGGAATGCTGTTACGACTACCTAAGAGCCTCCATTACCCTCTCACAATCACCAAGGTCGAGAAACGCGTAGGCGAGTTCATCGCTCGCAATGATGGCCTCTTCCTGTACTCGTATACCACGAAAGTGACCGAAGGTAGCCGCTATGACGACGAAGAGAAAGAAGTAGAAAAGAAATTCGTCACCCATTTCCCGAGCACCCTTGAAGGTACAATCAAGGGGTGGAGGGTATGGGAGGGCGATGTCTTGACACAGCCGTAAGTCTGTCGCAAATCTGTTGCAGAACGGTATCTGACCAGCGCAGAGTTGATATATGTGAGATCGAGGAGGAATGTCCGCATACTGTACAATTCCTCGGCATGTGTACCAATTGTGGGAAGGACATGACAACGTGAGTCCATCTAGTACAACTAGTATACAACCTTTCATTAACCGGTCGATACAGTGTCCAAGCAGACAGCGAGACCTCCGATATAGATCGCGCACCTATTCGCATGGCGCATGATACTCCACATTTGACCATCAGCAGGGAAGAAGCAAGCAAAATAGACGAAGAAGCCAAACGTCGCCTACTATCCTCTCGCAAGCTGTCATTAGTGGTGGACCTTGATCAGACAATCATACATGCTGCTGTCGATCCCACGATAGCTGAATGGATGAAGGACAAAGATAATCCTAACTATGATGCTGTCAAAGACGTACGCTCGTTTCAACTCCTCGATGACGGGCCTGGTATGCGGGGATGCTACTACTATATCAAACTGCGACCCGGACTCGCCGAGTTCCTCGACCACATCTCACAGCTGTACGAATTGCATATCTACACTATGGGTACGCGCCAGTACGCCCAGCAGATCGCCAACATCGTCGACCCGGATCGAAAGTATTTCGGCGACAGAATCTTGAGTCGAGACGAAAGTGGAAGTATGGTTGCCAAGAATCTTGAGAGACTCTTCCCGGTCGATACAAAGATGGTGGTTATTATTGACGACCGAGGCGACGTCTGGAAGTGGAACGCCAACCTCATTCGGGTCACCCCATTTGACTTCTTCGTGGGCATCGGTGATATCAACTCCAGCTTCTTGCCCAAGAAGGAAGAAATACAAGGCACACCCAAACCAGAGCCCGAGAAAGCAACAGAGAACGGTACGAAGAGCAAGGAAAACGGCGACAAGGAATCAAACGGGACTGCGGAGGATGAAGCTTCGACAAATGGTACCTCAGCCCTAGAGCAGCTCATGGCAATGAGTGGTGGAGATGATCCAACTGTACGGGAGCTGCAGAACAAGGGCCAGGAGGAACTCATTACCTCCCAATTGGAAGAGAAACCTCTCCTCAAGATGCAACTACAGCAGGACGAGAAAGATGAAGCTGAGGCAGTGGCCAATGGCGATCCCGCCGCTCCTCAGTCTACTGAATCCGACTCGGGTGATTCCTCTGACTCCTCAGAGACGAGTGGATCAGGCACACCAAAAGGAAAAGCGCGCCACAGCATTTTGAAGAACGACGACGAAGAGCTCATACATCTCGAGTCTACTTTGACCACGGTGCATGCAGCATTTTTCACTGAATATGATCGCAAACGACTGGGAGGGAAAGGTGGTCGGGTTGCAGCCCTTACCGGGAAGCGAAAAGCACCTCTACCAAACGCCGAGCATGACGACAGTACGCCCGTGGACTTGCTGTTTGTGCCCGACATCAAGACAGTAATGCCGGCCATGAAATCGAAAGTCTTGTTTGGTGTTACCGTTGTGTTCAGTGGTGTCTTACCTCTGGGTACTGACATACAGAATGCGGACATCAGCACTTGGGCGAAGAGTTTTGGAGCAAAGATCACTGACAGAGTGTCGCGCGAGGTGACGCATGTTATCGCCGCCCGACCTGGTACGGCCAAGGTCAAGCAAGCAGTAAAACGTGGCATCAAAGTGGTTGGAACTGCTTGGCTGATAGAGTCAATGCAGCAGTGGCGCAAACTGGACGAGAGGCCCTACTTGCTGGAAGGTGCTGGGGATCAGAGACTAGACCCGTCCAGTGAGGCGGGAGAACAAGTCGACAAGCCTAATGACGCTGCGAACGACTTCCTCCTCGAGTCTTCCGAAGGCGAGTCCACAGGTTTCGATACAGAGGACGATCAGCCAGCAAAGAAGAAATTGAGATTAGACGTCAACAATGACGCGAATGCAGCAACTGAAGAATCGGAAGAATTCCTCGATGATGGCAGTCCGATCACCATCAATCAAGACGAATGGGCGGATATCGATGCCGAGTTGAAGGAATTCATGGGTAGCGACGTCGACAGTGAGAGTGACAACGACTCGGTGTCATCAGCACTTAGTGTCCGGGAACGTCGCGTTAACAAGAGGAGACGAGATGAGGGCGAAGACGGCGACCAATCGGGCAGTGACGCGGAGCGGCCCCCAGTAGCGAAGAGGAACGGCACTGGAAGTGCCCTCAAGACTGTTGCTAATGTCAATAGCGAGCCGGGTACGGAAACGAACACTCCGAATGTCAACGACACAGAAGAGCAGATCCGGGAAGAACAGCGAGAAGTCGAGGAAGCACAGGAACTGGAGGAAGCAGAAGTAGAGGACTCGGATGACGAACTAGCCAGGGAACTGGAGCGCGAACTCGAAGAGGCCGATGCTGAGGATGAGCTCAAAGCTTAAAATGATAACTGAGCTTGATCATGCCCCTTTTGGTTATGAGAAGCTCTTTGGGCCTGATCTCAGTTGAATGTGGTTAGCATTTGGCGGTGATTGATTTCGCATAGCGAGGCGTCTGGCTGAGGATTTGGGGCGTGAAATGCATTGGCAGGCGTGGTCATGTATTCTGGATATCATGGCATGGCACATGCAATTGCGGACTCACAGCGCGCATATTATGAGCTTCTGCACAATGGGCTTGAGTTCTCGGACGGCGACGTTCTTCAAGAAATACACTATGTTACAAGAGACATGCGGGAATCAGATTGGACTATGACCCCAGAGGCGCGTTCCGAAGCTAGCAACTCTCCTCATTGATACTGACTTCTTCGACCTTGGGCGAATTGATTCTTGCTCACTTGTTAGCTTTAGGTGGATCTCCTCCTAGGTGCGCTTGCTATACGCCCAGCGGTACTTGATAGACTACGGCACCCTAGTAGGTATGCCTAGTATGAACCACTTTAGTGATTACGGTCACCGTATCAGGCATGAGTATAACAACCCCGAGAATTGTGAACACCGTATGGTACTTGGTGCCGAGGGCGCCGGGCGTCAAATGACACGTCAGATTCGTCAAGACCAACTCCAAAAACTACATGTGTACAATTGCTTTTCATGGGGGTACTGCGAAGAGCATTCCACGTCCCTTTGTCGAACCGGGAAAAACTCCACAACCTGAGGAGAATGAGTTGCTTGGTGTATCGCCGATTCGCGCCGGAAACCGTCCCTGGAGTGACTGCTCGTATCTGAAAAAAAGGGTTGCAAATTGAGGTGCCCTAACCGAGCAAGCGAGCATTGAACAGCGGGGAAAACGAGAAAATCGGGCGTCGTAAGGCCGATGATCTTTGTTGAACAGAAGATGAACACCCCGGATGCTTATTTCGCGTTACAGAAACACTGTAATATCTCGCCAGCCGAGATCCCGGTCGCTCGAGCGAAGTGTTCACGCTTGCTTCAACTGCTTGAGACAACGTTCGTCCCTGGAGCTCATGGGAGGTCTACTCGGATGAAAGGAGCCACGAAGCGTTTGTGCGGTATTTTGACCTCTTCCGGTTTACGTCAGTGGACAGACGATGGGTTACTCCATCTAATCAACCAGTGCTCGAGTACCAATCATGTCCAGCCCATGACTTGCGGTTTTATCATCCGACTTCAACTTCTTCGGTCGCAATATCCGTGCGGGGCATCCCGATGGAGTTGATGGACGCCTTCAACATCCATGCTACGTCCTGCAGAAACCTTTTGCCCTAAGCCGACTCGGTCAAGGCTTTCCTTCATTCCAGTTTAACGTGCCTTGGTCTCGAATTATCATTAAATCACTGCCTGTACTCAAGGCAATGCAGTGCGCCTGACCAGGTCTAGCTCAAAGCTTATCACGACTACACCGTGTTCAGCACCTGGCCCAACAGGTTTCTTCGTATCTATTCGTCCTACGCTCAGCCCTCATGCGAAAGTCAAGTTATATGAAGCGAGGATCTCGATCTCGCATCAACCGAGGGTCCGTCGAAATTGACCATCCGGGTCGATCCTGGGTCTCAGCTATTGCATAGGCTCGGAAATGCAACTGGCAAGCTGGAGCTTACGCAAGCCTACGCTACCATTCGTCAGGGCTGGAATCTATTGTCGAGGCGCTGGTGCTGTCAGCCTGGCTTGATGAACTGATGACAGGCTGATCGCAGGTGCCGGACCGGAAAAGGGTTGGAACACGAAGTCGAAGCAAATATCAGCGACAGAGGAAAAGCTGATGGCTAGCCGCCACGCACGTACGAATCAGCGGGATCGTATTTCCTTCTCGTGATCGCTGCTTCTATCGTTGCGACACTCCGAGATGTTGACCTCCACTCCAATACCAAATGAAAGTCCATTCCAGCTGGTAAGAAACCTGACATATATGATTCCGCAGAAAACCGAAACACGTCATTGCCGGTTATGCTGCCCGGCGCTATTTGAGACGGCATTGGTGATGCTTCCTCGTTGCTCGTTGTACAAAATGTCCAGATCCTTTTTCGGCCCCCTTGCTATTGTCCCGTCGTTGACCTATACGTCCAAGTTTACTTCTTTTGAAAGACACAAAATTCCTTACCTCAATTCAACATGAATACTATCGTTGCTAACAAGGCGGAGGAAAAGCTTGGTGACCGACCTACCACTACCACTAATGAGTATAATTCTCGTGCCGATGAGACCATGCTTGCGCTTCGCTGGCACGGTGACAAGGATGTCCGCATTGAAGAAGTCCCTGCACCTACCATAACCGAGCCTACCGATGTCATCGTGAGAGTTACCGGCACGACAGTCTGCGGTAGTGATCTGCATCTGTACCACAAGGAGATCATGCAATTACAGGAAGGCGAGATCTTGGGACATGAATTCATGGGCATAGCCGATGAGGTCGGGTCTGAAGTCACATCGATCAAGAAAGGCGACCGAGTCGTGGCCAGTTTTCAAATTGCGTATGTCTATTCTGTCTGGGGATCAAAGACGCACGTAAAGGTCATTCTGAGGCTAACCCAAACAACCCAGTTGTGGCAAATGTCAATTTTGCAAAGAAGGCCTCACCAGTATGTGCGACCGCACAAACTCGTCTGCTTTGCAGGAAAAGCTCTATGGTAAACCCTTTGCGGGCTTGTTCGGCTACTCCCATTTTGCAGGAGGCTTCGCCGGCGGTCAAGCCGAGTATGTTCGGGTACCATTCGCCAGCTACAATCTTCTCAAGATCCCCGACCATGTTCCCAACGAAAAAGCATTGTATCTTAGCGACATCGTTCCAACCTCCTACCACGCGACCGTCTGCGCCGACGTAGAGAAAGGCAAGAGCGTCGCCGTCTGGGGTCTTGGTCCTGTCGGCATGCTAGCGTGCCAATGGAGCAAGCTCGCGGGAGCGAGACGCGTGATCGCCATCGACCAGGTGCCAGAACGTCTCGCACGCGCCCGGGACATGGGCTGCGATACCATCGACTTCTCGAAGCAAAAGGACGTCGTCAGTGCGATCTATGAGCTTGAGGCGCAGGGCGTGGACTGCTGCATTGATGCAGCTGCTTTCAGGTACACGAAGACACTGCTGCACAGTGCTGAGCGCCTTGTGGGCCTGGAGACAGACAGCAGCGAGATCCCCAATGAGACCTTACGCGCAGTGCGCAAATTCGGAACGGTCGCAGTTGTGGCAGACTACGCCGCAATGACGAACCAGTTCCTCATCGGAGCTTTGATGGAAAAGGGTATCACGTACCGTGGCTGCGGCCAAGCTCCTGTGCAGAAGTATTGGCACCAGCTGCTGGAGAAGATCGAGCGTGGCGAGTTCGATCCCACCATTGTCTTGACCCACAGGTTCTCAATTGAGGAATTCAGCGACCTGTACAAGGCTTTTGATGAGAAGAAGCATGGAATACTGAAGACCTATGTGCAGACAAGGTTCTCCCCACCACGAACAAAAGGCACTCCCCCATTGAGCACGCTCAGGTCGGGAGATTTGAAACCAGTACCTGCAGCCTGATGGTATGAGTTCGATGTGTTGAAAAACACTGGCAGGCCGTCGAGTGTTGGAACATGAGTCGTGAATCAAGCTGGTATCAGGGTTCTAAACAATGCAGGTCACTGTTAGGAGTACGACAACGATATCATCCCGGTAGGGGGGATAATTTCTGCCAGCTTACGTAAGGTACATAGTTGTCATCTCACCAGCCTGACATGTATCGACCTTCTATGCCAGGTGATAAATCAAGCGGTCAATTAACATTGACTTCCACGAGACTTCCAAAATAACGACAGGGTTCATTGCCAAAGCCAACACCGTGATGCATCTACCATCGATCAGAACAACGCACGACGGTCCGAGGGGGGTGAAAGAGCAGCCCACACCACTGATGAGGCATACTTTGTCCATCTCACCGGCCAATTCCCGGGGGATTCCACCGACGGTCATGATGCACGAATGGAAGGTCGTATCTCTAGAGAGCTCTAACCGTATTTGCTTGTTTTTCACGATCCCTTTACATATTGCACTTCTGGCACTTCTTCTCACCTCCTCCTCCAGCATGCCCACTCGATCGGTCTTTCCCCAGGCTCTCACAGTCCTGATCCGCTGTCGAGCAGTCTAGCCCTTCACCGTCAGACTATGTGCATGCTCAAACGCAGCTAAGGCTTCAGGGTCTTCGAGTGACTTGCGAGTTTGTCCGCTCTTTCATGCATGTCAGCCCTGTCGGGCAAGCTGACCTCAGTTGGCGGGCGTGTCCCTTGCTGTCTCAGCGACATTCGAGCCCTGATAACTTGAGACTCATGTGCCGTTACTTCTCCAGCCTGATATCTCGCTGCAAGTAAAGGAATCCCTCTACTGCTACCGAGGTCGGCAATGCGGTCACTGTTTGCGACTCAGGATGTTCAGAACGTCAGAGTCACATTCAATCGGCGTAGGAGGCGCCTTAGATGGTCCAATTCACCATAGCCAGGGATTCTGGAGTGATAGTAGGTGGATGTTCAGGAAAACTCAGGCCGCCACAGACAACTTGACAGAGAAACATGTCAGAACAACGGTCCACACACATCCAGACGATGGGCACGCTCGTCACTCCATACAAAGGAGCCTGAGTATATGGCTCATGCTGAGACACGCACTCGTCCTCCTTGCCTTCCTGTTACCGGTCGTCATATTTGCCCTCACGTTGAACGTACCCGACCTGTACAGATTTCGTGCAGATTACTGGAGCAACAGCTTTACTCATTGCAACTACGATGGCACCTTCACACCTTATGACACCCCATCCAAGAGTCTCTGGGACAAGGCAGGCTTCTTCGACATCAACGTCGCTTGGGGCGAGATGGGGTTTTCAACAGCAAAGTTTATCGATATTTTCTGGGATAATGCAGTGGGAAGAACGGGACAGGCTCTTATCGCCTGCGTCACTTACAAGGTCACTTCGCAGTATCTGGATGTGGCCATGCAAGAAGGACCAATACCCTACACGACATTCGAATCGTTGGCGTTTGTTCCACCAACGTTAATACGAACAGGCAGACTAGCCAGGGATCTATTGACAAACCGAGGCTGGCGAGCCAGGTTAATCATGCTCTGGATCCTGTTTAGCTCATTGTTTGTCATCAGCTTCTCTTCGTTTGCCACGGCCATGTCTGGGTATAGCAGCGATACAACCGCCGTCATGCCCAACTACGATGGCATCGACACAGGATGGGAGGACTATGAGGTTGTCCAGTTTGCCATCAACGATGCATGGCGCATTGGCGAGCCTGCACCAGTGACTATTACCGGGACTACTAGCTGTGTCCAGCAAGGCTTGAGTTCCGATAACAATGACGACGATGATAGTGGTTACTCCAGGAGTACGTACAATCGTCGAGATGGAAGTGACGATGATGACGAGGACGATCCTTGGGAATATGTCCCCTTCAACTGTACCCTGTTTTGGCGCACGGTTCAATGTCAGTATTCTGCAGGCCTCGACGTAGTCATATGAAGCTAACATGGATCTAGATGTCGGTGCCTACGGCCTCCAAGCCGCCAGCAAAGAACCCAGCACATTCACCGTTGCTGGCGTGACACATAACTTGACATCACCAAGTCTGGATATCACCACCTCATACACTCCGGCATCTATATCACTGTTATCATCATATCTGGACAACTTCTCTACCGAATCAGCACACGTTCTAAATTCCGTAGACAAGGTCACTCCATCAACTTTCTGGATCTACGACAACCAGACTTATTCTTACGAGTATGTCATAGACCACGCCACCTGTCGCTACACAGGCTTCCACAACTGGGGCTTTTCGTTCTTGTTACTATTTGCCACAACGTTACTGTTGGCTATTTGGGCTATAGGCACGTACATCTTATGGATGTATGTCTATCTTCACGGCCCTCGCAATGAAGAATCTCGGTCCGGCTGTACCCACAGCTCTGGAATCTACCGCTCAAGCTGGGCCCTTGTTGAGGCAATAAAGAGAGACCTTGGCACTGAGGCTGTCACGTCCGGAATGACTGAGCAAGAGGTCCGAAATTTGGTCCGAGGTCGACGTGGACGAGCGAACGGTGTCGGAGGCGTAGGCGCAGGCCAGCCAGTGTCAGTACCGACCGACGGACCACAGAGAGGCACTCATTCCGACCTGCAAGCGCCTGCCCATCATTCTACCCGGTGGGAAGAGTTTCGAAGATGGCTGCGACCCCGAGGATTACCACCACCTCCGTCCAGAGATGGCACACACATCCACACAAGCCCGAAAAGTTTCCAAAACACGTCTTCGGTATTCTCACCGTCTTCGCAGCACCCATTTCTCACACCATTGTCACCCAGCACGCCACGCACAGCCTCATTAACCTCGTTCTCGCCATCGTCGATATTCACGTTCAGCAATCAGCCGACCACGCCCACGGACATGCTTTCTGGCCCTGTGGCCGATACTGGTGTACAAGAGGTACCCGGGCGAAAAGTTCGACCAGGCCTAACCAGACTAACTTCCACGACGCCCTCGCACACCTCGACATTCAACGAAACGCCTCGCTCAGTGTCAACATCTTCTGCGCGCTGGTGGCTACCGATGTCGTCTTCGTCCCCAACATCGATCACGGCAATCCCTTCGCACATCGACCCTCATTCGCCCACCACTGGTAGGACAGCGAGTATGGAAAGTCGTTCTTGGGAAAAAAGGACAACGGAAAGCAGCGATGCCCTGAAGTTCAAGAACGATCTGGGCGATGACTAGCCCCCGTTGCACAACTTAACAACGACTCATGCAACTTTATGGATTGTCATGGCAGTACCGGCGACTGTCTTTTGAAGTTGATCAAACATTACTACGATACTTTTACTACCCACCAATGCGTCAGTCTATGTACAACTTTTCGCTGCGTACGCAACCACCCAACAACAAGGCCCTTCTACCGCGCAGTCACTGTCGTCGTCACGGTCTGAGTCTCGGTCTCCGTTTGACTATCCGTCACCGTCACTGTCTCTATCAGCGTCACAGTCACAGATTGTGTTTGTCCAGCAACTTGCACAGCGCTCGTCAACGTGACAGGGACAACAGACACTCCTACCAGACTCGTCGTCGCTGTCGTTGTCGGTTCATCGTCGGGTAAAGGCGATCCGGTGGTTAGTGTCACTGGACGAGGTTGCTCAGATACACTGCTTGAAGTGGTGAAAGTATCCACAGATGCTCCGGAGCCACTAATCGTGCCTAGTCCAGGCGTGATGGTCGTATAACCTCCGATCGCGCCGGAGAAGGTCGGTTGCATTGTCACGAAAATGACTGTGACTTCTTGAGCGTTGGCTGATTCAGTTGATGTTGGTGTTGGTGTGGGCGATGCAGTGGTGACTTCAGCCGTCACCTGAACCGTCGCCAGGATCGTTGTCTGGACTTGTATTGTTGTTGTCGAGGTTGGTTCGGCCTGGGACTGCGCCTGCGATGCAGCGTCCGTCACAGGTGCGGACACAGACTCAATAGCCGTTCCGGATTCTAGGGGCGATGATTGGCTTGCATTGTCCTGGTCACTGGTTGCGGTGGCACTGGTCGTCTCAGTCGTGCTGGTACTCGTGGTGGTGGTGGTGGCCACTGCTGCTGCTGATGTCGTTTCGCGGTCTGTACCACCTGTACTCGCCGTCGTTGTCGGAATGACAGCCACAGTTGTGCCATTGGAACTTCCAGTGTTCGCATCTGAGCTTAGAGCAGTACTTGTCACTGTCGATGACACCACTGCACTCGTCGTCGCCGCGGCCACCTCGGAGCTCGGAACGACGGTCTGACTCAACAAGCTCAACAGACTTGTATCTCCACCTCCAATGCCCACCGCAGGCACTTTGCCATTTTCTGTGCCTGATCCCGTTGGTCCAGCAGTCGTACTTGTTTGCGACGATGCAGTCGAAGACGAAGCCGCTGCTTGTAGCGCCGGGTCTGTGGCGGCTGGAGCTTGCCGTCGATCAAACGAGTTCGATGGCACGACATAGCGCTTGTCAGGGTGGTTTGCTCGCCGGACTACATCGTTGTATCTGGTACTGTCAGTCAGCATGGAATGGAAAGCTGAGGCTTTGGAGGAGACAAACGCATGAATCGGACCAGCCGATGCTGATGTCGAGAGAATTAGGAATACCATTGCTGAGGAGAGAACTTGCATTTTGTTGGCCACACGAGTAAGATTGTTGAGAGAGTGACTGAGAATTTTTGGTGTATTGAGCAATTGCCGTATGCAATGTACAAGACCAAGGGAATAATGTATGAAAAACACTTAGGAAAAGACCGTCTGAACTCCGGCGAATGCGAGGATATTTTGGATGGATGATGGAATGAATGGGAGGATGTGTGCGTGTGATATTGTACATCTCTACCTTATCTATATGCTCTCGGCCATATCTTCAAGAATGGCTCGCCAGACGGAGGGAGATTGATTGTTCTCTACTGGCGCCTGCATATTGTTCTCGGTTTTAGAATCATAGATGTATAAAACATGTCCTCTTCACTTTGTGAAACAAAACCATGTATTCTCTCGAAGATATCTTGCAGTCGTCGGAGACGGAAATGCAAGAGAACAATGGTTGGCAACGAGGTGAGAGACATTGTAGTAGAACGGTCGGGCGGGTGAGGTCTGTCGCCAAGACCGGATGTTCTATACCGACTGATTGGCTGAGAAGCGTCCAAACCGGAATAAGGGGTCAGCCTTGTGTCTTGCTTGCACAGCCGCCTCATCTTTTTCGGGCCTGTTTCATGTTTCGCACACATGATACTTCTGGTTTCTGGATCCGACAAGGCTGTCCAAGGCCGTCTAGTACAGGTTCCGCCTCTCATGATTTTCTTCAAACGACTGAATCTGGTCGCCGACTTGGAATTCATCCCAGTTCTCGAAACCCATGCCGCATTCAGAGCCCTTGCGCATTTCGGTCACGTCTTTCTTGATGTTCTTGAACGAGTTGAGCATACCTACATCAATGTCAGTAATCAGACAACCCACTAAATTCATGCTCCTTGGATAGCGACTCACCAGTATAAACCACTTCGCCGTTTCGGGATACTCGAATCTTCTCCGAGCGGCGAACGGTTCCATTGGAAATGCGACAACCTGCGATCTTGATCTTTTGCTTCTTGACGGTTATCTCGAAGATCTCGCCGACTTCGGCCTCGCCCAATACTCTTTGGGTGATGATCGAGGGAAGCTCGTCGGATAGCTTTTCTGTCACCACATCCGTGACTTTGTAAATAATATTATGGTCGAGAATCTGCAGTTTCGCGGCTTCTGCAAGACGCCGAATGGAACCATCGATCGGCTGGTTGAAAGAGATAGCATACCCAACCTCTCCCGTAGAAGCGAGCAGCTTGACGTCCGACTCAGTAAGCTCACCGGTACCGCTGTGAATGACATCTGCAACAACCTCCTTGTTACCAATTGCGCTGACCGCTGCAACAAGTGCTTCGGTACTGCCAGCAACGTCGGCTTTGATGACAAAATGAACCTGTTTTGGTCCAGCGGACTCCTTCTCAATCCAGCCTTCGTTGTCTTTAGGTCGTCGATACGCCTTCATAGCCATGTATCCCTGCTCTTTCTCCCATTCAAGCACCTTTTGGCGAGCGTCAGCTTCTTCAGCGCGAGCAACATTGATGGCCTCCATGTCACCCATGGCCCGAGCTGCTTCCTCTCTTTCTTGGCGCACTGCAATAGCATCTTTGGCCTGCTGTTCAGTCTCAGCTTGCAGCACCTCAGAGCCAGCCATGGGATCTTCTCCGCGCCATCCGTCGATCTGAACAGGCGTACCGGGGGGCGCTTCCTCAATCAATTGACCAGAATCATTTCTTAGAGTTCGGACTCGAGCCCAAGTGGTGCCGGCAACGATGAAGTCGCCCGGCCTTAGAGTGCCACGACGAATCAGGACGGTCGCGACTCGACCAGCTACACCGACCTTGCTTTCAATGATCCAACCTTCTGCTGGACCATCAGCCTCGGCACGGAAGTCAGCGACATCCGCCAAGGTCAAGATTGCTTCCTCCAAATCAGCCATACCCTGGCCGGTCTTTCCGCTGACTGGGATAGCTTGATAGTCTCCACCGTGATCCTCGACGACAATGTCATGCTGGATTAGATCTAGCTTGACTCGTTCGACGTCCGCATCTGGCTTGTCGACTTTATTGATTGCCACAATTATCTGGACGCCAGCCTCCTGGGCGTGTTTGATGGCCTCTTTCGTTTGAGCCTTGACACTGTCATCTGCCGCGACCACCAAAACCACGATATCTGTCACGTTCGCTCCTCGTCGGCGCATATCCAAGAACGCCGCGTGACCGGGAGTATCAAGAAAAGTAATGTTGCGCTCCGAACCAGGCATGACGACCGAAAAGGCTCCGATATGCTGTGTTATACCGCCATGTTCGGATGCAACCACACTTGATTTTCTGAAGTGGTCGAGAATCGTAGTCTTGCCATGGTCGACGTGCCCCATGATAGTGACCATCGGCGGCCGACGGGGTAGTACCGAAGGATCTTCTGGTGGTGGTCGTGCCACCAAATCACCCGTGGCATCAATGGTGTTGATGACAGGTTCGAACCCGTAGATTTCTGCAAACATGGCAGAAGTGCCTGAATCCAGAATGTGATCGTAGCGTGCTCCCTCAAACCCTTCCTCTTCTAGCTTGGTTATGAAATCGGGCAGTCTGACTTTGAGTCCTTGGGCCAATTTCTCAACACTAATAAACTCTGGTAACTGGATTTCTGGGCGCTGTGCTTTCGAAACCTCCTTTTTGGCCTGTTTGGACTTCTTCTTTCGTCGTCCGCCTCCATCAAGGAGCTCATCAAGCTCGTCCGGATCGAAACTACTCGTCCTATTTGACACGCTTCGGCTCTTCCCCGTTGAAAACTTTGGACGTTGTGTGACAGATTCCGATTCCTCACCTTCAACGTCGTAAAGTCTGCTTCTTCGATCACGATCCTTCTCGAGCCGTTGTTTTCGCGCAAGTCGCTCTTCCTCCTCTTGAGTCAAAGGCTCAACCTCAGAACCATCGACAAGATCTTCTGTGGAGGCAATTGGCGGTTCAGCATCACCCGACGCATTGTCTAGTTCAATTTTTCGAGTGCTTGGAGATGCGAACTGTTGTGGAGGTGGCCTCCTCTCTCGCGGCAGGGCATTTTGTTGTTGATCGTTTCCGCGGGACCTGCTTGCGTCAAAGCCATCCCGACGCGGAAATTCGGTACGAGAAGGCCTGTCGCGGCCCGTCGGACTTATAGTAGCACCAATCCGCAAACCTGTCGAGGAACCACGATCCAGTTTGTCTGCAGGCGGTTCGGGATCGACGATACTGTCGGAAGGCCTCCACGTTCTTATTGTAGTCCTTTCATTCCAGCGTTGCCTCGGTTCAACACTGGCCTCTGACTTCCTAAACGGCTGCCAAGTCTGGGTCTCATTTCCTGATGGCGTTTCTGCTCGATCAAACGTAGCGGTGGTTGCGTCTGGTCTGCGCTCCGACGAACGCTGGTTCATCCCATGGAAACGTATTTTTGGCCCATCGTTCGGCGCTTCTCGTCGGTCCCGTTGACCAGGGTTGTAGGCAGTTCGATTACTTGTTCGTATCTCATCTCTTTGCCCGTACTGTGCTCGAGACCGCGGCTGATTGAAGTTGGTATCAGCCTGGTCAAGTACATTGCCACGACTGTTCTGCGGGATCCGGCCTCTAAAGGCAGATGGCAGGTCTGACCGATCTGGGGTGTCGAAAGACTGTGGCTTGCGGAACGGAAGAGCCGCTGGGTTGGCCGAGGATGATGGACTTCTTGGAGGTGGCGGTGGGGGCGGTGGTGGTGGAGGAGGGGCTGCTCGGACAGGCTGTTGTACCTTATAGACAAGTTCCGCGTTTTGTGGACGTGAAGCGGTACAAATTGTACATTCCGACCGCCGAGTCGCATTGACGTGACTGCAGCGGCATTTCCAGCCCAATAGTTCGCGGGTCTGAGGAGGAGATGGTGCATCATCGTCGTCCTCTATACGAGCCGCCGCTGCTCCGGCCGGGCGATGTGCGGGTGCACTCGACCTGTACAGGCGACGCTGAGGCCTGATGGTGTTCGACGGACGCAGGTTGGCGCCATGTTTGAAGGCGCAGAAGAGGCAGATGTCTTGTCGCTGAAGTATCTGTATAGACTTAGCAGTTTTCTGGGAGTAGAATGTCTTCACTATTTACCCTTCGCGTCACAACTCTGCGCATACTGAGCCAGGGCTGGTCTCTAGCGTCCTGCACTTGTGGTCGTTGGGGAGACTGTTTAGTGAAAGCGATGTTCTACCCGTGTCTACACTTTTTCTGGCAGTTGGAGTTCGGGGTGGAATAGACTGACTGACCAATCAACGAGGAGCGCTTTTGCCCGCACCGATAAAGGAACAAATTGCGTGCCCAGGGGAAAAATAAAAGCTGTAGGCCTTTACATGTCCACTCCGTCTGCTGTCATTATGAGGAGGTAAAGCTTGCAGGGCATCTAAATCGCAGAGGTTGAGGTCAAGTGTTTGGAGAATTGGCAAAAATGGGCGACAGCGCGGAGGAGCTCGAGGCTCATGCAGCCCAAAATGGAAGCTGGGCAAGAACCGCAAAGGATCTATCCTCAGGTGCCGCTGGAGGTGTCGCGCAGGTACTGCTAGGTGAGTTGAATCATGATGGGCTGAAGTGTCAATCGGGGGCACGCCAGAAAGAAGAGTTCTCGTTGTTTCTGGCCTGCATGATGGATCATGTTCGAGGTCGCGTGAGTTGAGGATCGAAGCACAGGCTGACCCATTGAGCTAGGTCAACCATTTGGTAAGCATGAATGATATGCGAGAAACTCAACAGAACAGCTCACGGCTTCAGATATCATCAAAGTACGGCTCCAAACGACATCCAAATATCCCAACGCTGTGTCATGTGCGACCTCGATCTTTCGAAATGAAGGACCTACAGCGTTCTATAAAGGAACCTTGACCCCCCTCATTGGTATCGGGGCTTGTGTCTCTGTGCAGTTCGGCGCCTTTCATTACGCCCGCCGTGCTTTCGAGGAGCGGAATCTGAAAGCCAACCGACCTGCCGACCTATCCTATGGCCAATACTATCTTTCCGGTGCCTTCGCTGGTCTTACCAACTCGGTTCTGTCAGGCCCCATAGAGCATGTCAGAATTCGACTCCAGACTCAACCTCACGGGGCTGATCGGCTGTACAGTGGACCCCTGGACTGTATCAAGAAGCTGTCCGCTCATGAGGGCGTGCTTCGTGGTCTCTACCGTGGCCAAGCCGTGACTTACTGGCGTGAAGCCCAGGCCTACGGTGTCTGGTTCCTTACATTTGAGTATCTTATGGCGCAAGACATGAAACGCAACAATGTCAAGCGGTCTGAAATCTCGTCTCCTAAGATCGCATTTTACGGCGGATTGGCTGGCGAGGCATTGTGGATTGCAAGCTACCCATTTGATGTGGTCAAGAGTAAGATGCAGACTGATGGCTTTGGGCCCGATCAAAAATACAAGTCCATGCGGGATTGTTTTGCAAAGACCTGGATGGTCGAAGGCATGAGAGGCTTCTGGAAAGGTATCGTGCCAACACTGGCTAGAGCGATGCCCGTCAGTGCGGGCACCTTTGCAGTGTAAGTCGTCTGATGAAGAGGAGAAAGCAAGTGCTAACAGGATACCATAGTGTTGAGATGACCATGCGCGCTCTTAGCTGAGCTGATCAAAAGAGGTCGATCCATTGGATGGCTTTATTGGGCTTTTAGTAGCTGAGGACGGCTTCCATATCGAACATGTGTTTAAACGAATTGGGGAGTTACAAGCCAACGGGTTGGTGGGTGGCCGAAGGGTGTTTCTGCATGAACTGTTTCCGAATTGACCACCGCGACGAATCTTTGATCGCAAATAAACCGCTGGAAAAGGCACAATGCTCGCATTTTCGCTGCCGGTCATAAAAGTATGTACACAAGAGATAGAGCAAGTTTGCAATGACTTCTCTTTATCTGTACGGAGCATCTGCTCTTGCCACAGCTGCCAACTCGGGCTCCCACTTGTCACCGTTGGCAAGTAATTTCTCCTTGTTGTACAGAAGCTCTTCTCGGAACTCCGTAGCATATTCGGCATTTGGTGTCTCAACAATCGCATCAACAGGGCAGCTCTCCTGGCACATTCCACAGTATATGCACTTTGTCATGTCGATATCGTAACGTGTGGTTCGTCTTGACCCATCTTCTCGCTCTTCGGCTTCGATTGTGATAGCTAGTGCCGGGCAGACAGCTTCGCAAAGCTTGCAGGCGATACATCTCTCTTCGCCAGACGGGTACCGTCTCAGAGCATGTTCGCCTCTGAATCGTGGTGAGATCGGGCCTTTCTCAAAAGGATAGTAGATGGTATAACTGCATTTTTGGGCGTCAGATCAATACTCACAGTGTTTATCTTAAGATGATTGAAGGTGTATGACCTACGGTGCTCTGAAGAATTGTTCCATCACGACGTACATGCCGCGCATCATCTCCGTGAGCAGGAAATAATTGCTGGCTTTGTCCGCAACATTTTCGCCTTCATCCCATCTTTTCGGTCGAGGTAATCTGTATCCTTGAGGAGGAGGGCCTGAGGGTAAAGCATTTCGAGGACTCGAGGTATGGAATTGAGCTGTGGCGCGGAGGAAAGGTGATCTCTCTACTTGTCGGAGAGGGGCAGAGGTCGTCAACGGTCTCGCGACCAGCCGAGATGCTGATCGAAGGGACGAGGCCATGGTCTATGTCGTTTGGCGACAGGTTTTGATGTCTTGTGGCGAGCGCGCAGAAAAGACGAAGTTGATGATGTCTTGTATGTGCATTAGATGTAATGGAATCAATCCTGCCCTGATTGGCCTACCGGATACTAGAAAGGGTCACGTGAATCGAGCTTTGGGCGAGAAAGAGCATCGTCTGGCATTTTGGCCGAAACTGCGAGCTTGACATCAGAAATTCCACCATTGCCATCCATACGACCACGTCCTCTTTCCCTACCTTGTACACTTGTTCGGTTGTTCTCATCTCGACAAGATGATCCGCGCAGGTGCCGTCAGAGCGCTGTACGCCGTCACCAGGACTCAGGTCCCTCGACAACTTCCTGCTTTCCGCAACCAGATCTCTTCCTCTCTCCTGCAATCATCCCGAACCGCGCCTTCTTTCGCTATCACAAGCATACGATGCTACTCTGCACCCGCCGGGCTCTCCAAAGATGAGGTGCAGGGACGGATAATGGATCTATTGAAGAACTTTGACAAGGTGCGCATCTGAGAGATCTAGTCGGGTTTATCGCTAACATCACGCAGGTCACGGATGCATCAAAGGTAGCTTGGAGAAAGACCCAACGAAAGCCTTCTAATGACAACGTATAGATCAGCGGCACATCACACTTTCAAAACGACCTTGGTTTGGACAGCCTGGATACCGTTGAGGTCGTGATGGCAATCGAGGAAGAATTTAGCATTGAGATCCCGGACAAGGAGGCCGATGCCATCCACAGCGGTACGCAGATTCTACGTTGACTAGGAGCAGCTGACTGACAAATACAGTTGACCAAGCCGTCACTTACATCAGCAATCAACCAGATGCGCATTGATTGGGGTTGTTTACGAAAGGTGTAGACGTGGCCAGGAACAAAATCAAGGATTGTACATTTTCCTCGTCTCCAGGAATGCATTGCAGTTGTACTACCAGGAAACAATATTAGATCTCCGAGGTCTTTACCGCGATCTCTGATCACAACTCTACATTACCTCTCATCGATTGTTTTTTTGCGGATGCACAGTCAAGTGTCCGGCGACTCTATTTTCTACCCTTCTACATGCTTTTCATTGAGGCGATAGCTGGATCATCTATCATACAATTCCCGACTTCTTCAGCTCGGAAATGTCAGCGGATCCGTATCCCAGCTCTTTGAGCACCTCATCGGTATGCTGGCCCAGCACTGGTGGTTTTAACCGTACGCCCATCTTCGCGCCTGAGAATTTCATGGCTGGGCCGATCAATTTCAAAGCTCCATCTTTGGCAGCTTCAAATTCGTCAATCTCGAGCACCATGTTTCTTGCTTCAGCTTGCGGATGTTCCAGTGCATCAACCACATCATTGATTGAGCCATACGGCAAGCCACTGCCCTTGAAGACGGCCAGCCATTCATTTTGCGTCTTCTCGAGGAACTTGTTCTGCAAGGTGTTGTTGAGCTCTTCCCGGTTCTCGACCCGCCCATCGTTTGTGTTGAATCGCTGGTCTTCCCCAAGTTCTTCCATGCCCATCCGCTTACAAAGACCTTTCCACTGCCTGTTGTTATTGGCAGCAACGAAGATCATGCCATCCTTTGTTTTGAATGCCCCGTAGGGCACCAGGTTCGGATGCCCCAGACCCATTCTCTTTCCTCTCCTTCGCTGTTCTGGCCCCTTGTCCACATCGAGGTTCAAAGCTGCCAATCCGACATTGATCAAGAGACTGAGAGCACTCTCGAACAAGCTGCCCTCAATCTGGCATCCGACTCCCGTTCTGTTTCTCTGGTTCAACGCCGCCAGGATGGCTCCATGTATGTATAGGCCTGTACAGAGATCCGCCATGGCGACACCAGGTTTTGTTGGTCCACCCTTTGGATCACCAGTAATGTGCAACATGCCGGCTTCAGCAAGAGCGATGGCATCATACCCAGCCCGGTCTCGACTTGGACCACTGGCTCCATACCCGCTGCAACTCGCGTAGATGATGGCTGGATTGATCTTGCGAAAGTCTTCATACCCCAAGCCCATCTGCTCCATCTTGCCGGGCACGAAATTGTTGACCACGACATCACTGTTCTGGGCAAGCTTCTTCACAATCTCCACGCCTTTAGGGCTCTTCAGGTTGATAGTTACGGAGCGCTTATTCCGGTTTATTGAAGCAAAGTACAATGACATCAACTTGTGCTCCGGTTGCCATTTTTGTCCTTCGCCGGCTGCGCGCCATTGTCGCGTCTCGTCTCCCGTGCCAGGTTGTTCGACCTTTAGTACATCTGCGCCATAGTCCGCAAGAATTTGCGTGCAGAATGGACCGGCAAGCACGCGAGACAGATCTAGTACTCTGACACCACTTAGTGGGAGGTCGTTGGTACTGGATGCTGTCGTGGTCGTTGACTGCAGTCTTCCGAATTGTGAAAAGCCAATCGCTGTATGTGTTCGAGCATGTCGAGGCCTCGTATAGACGGCTAGTCTTGTCAAATGGGTTGGCTTTGTCATTTTTTGAGAGTCATGGGCGTCGAATCAAATCTGGCACTCGGTTCTACCGAACTTTTGCTGCACTGCACTGCACTGAACATGGGCTTCGGGATGATATACTTCCCGATCGCACCTCTATTGACATTACTTCAGCTATTCCTTATAACACGCCTCAGTTGATCTATGTTATGTGTACGATTCCACTGTATGTATCGGACGCTACTTGCCGACGGAATTCAACCGCACGCCGAAAAAGCCGACGAGGAAGGCTCTGCGCGGGGAAGCACGGAGTAGGTTGACATGTTTGACGGTCTATACTTACCTAAAGCAGTGGAGCAATCATACCCATGAAGCAGACCTTGGTAATTGCTCGCGATGGACGCTGGCAGTCCCGTTGGAGACCCAAGGTACTCTGTGCCATATGCTACTCATCAATGCGTCCTCGAAGCCAATCCTCGTTTTGTGTCCTAAAGACCGAGCAATGCAAAGTTGACGGATAAGTGCCGCGAGCCACGACCGCGCAAAATCATAGCACAGCAACGTCTAATAACACCAGATCACTGCCCGCTAATATGAGTTCCAAAATACTTTCCAGAGGCGTGTACAGGCATCTCAAGAGACCTTCTACGATACAGTCAAGTTCACCTACACTCAGACCAGCATTTTCGATACCATTCTCGAGCACCCAGTACCGCCAGGCCCGCGGCACAGAATACCTACAGCTCCATGATCCAGACCTAACAGACTCACAGCGCGAAGTGCGCGAAGCCATCAGCAAAGTCTGCTCCCGATTCGACGACACATACTGGTCCAACGCGGAAAAGAAGCACCGCTTCCCCCTCGAATTCCACCAAGCCGTCGCCAAAGATGGATGGCTGGGAATATGCATGCCGTCCGATTACGGCGGCAGTGATTTGGGAATCGCAGAAGCGGCAGTCATGGTTCAAACGATCGCAGAAAGCGGAGCAGCCTACGCCGGTGCCTCAGCCGTGCACATGAATATCTTCGGTCTTGAACCTGTGCGTAAGTTTGGAAGTGAGGAGCAGAAGCAAAGAATGCTAGTACCGCTGATTGCGGGCAAAGAGCGCGCATGCTTTGGCGTGACGGAGCCCAACACGGGTCTCGACACGCTGAAATTGCAGTCACGGGCTGTCAGGGATGGCGACCATTACGTCTTGAGTGGTCAGAAAATCTGGATTTCGACGGCACAAGTCGCGGAGAAGATTTTAATACTTGTCCGGACGACGCCGCTGGAGAACGTCAGCAAGCCTAGTCAGGGATTGAGTCTGTTTTATACAGACTTGGACAGAAAACAAGTTGAAGTCACGGAGATCCCGAAGATGGGACGAGAAGCGGTCGACTCGAATACGCTATTCTTCGATGGGTGGAAAGTACCCAAGGAAGATCTCATTGGCGAAGAGAACAACGGGTTCAAAATGATCATGCATGGGATGAATGCTGAGAGGATACTTATCGCTGCTGAGGCGCTGGGCATTGGATTCGCCGCGTTACGCCGGGCAGCTCTGTATGCTGGAGAGCGAAAGGTGTTTGGACGGCCGATTGGGAAGAATCAGGCTATCCAGCATCCTTTGGCGGATAGTTGGATGCAGCTTGAGGCGGCGCGATTGATGATATACCAGGCTGCGAGGATGTATGATGCTGGATATGAGACGGGCGAGTATGCCAATGCCGCGAAGTATTTGGCTGCTGAGGCGGCTTTTCGGGCCTGTGAACGTGCGGTCATGACGCATGGTGGGATGGGGTATGCGAAGGAGTATCACGTTGAGAGATACTTCAGGGAGATTATGATTCCGAGGATTGCCCCCGTTTCTCGAGAAATGATTGCCAATTACATAGGTGAGAGGGTTCTTGGGTTGCCCAGGTCTTATTGAGTGTTGGGAACACGTATGTGTAGGTGTTGGGAAAGGCTGAGGTATCCGATAGGGAATGAAGAGTGTCTGCGATATTAGTGTGAAGATTGCGTCGCGGAGCGTAAGACGACCTTGGAGCCCCCGTTTCTGAGGTGGACCAGTCCGAGGTCATTGACAGTCAATGCTGTAGACTGATGGTTCCTGTTCACGAGATTCCGTGCGGCTGTGGCTTCGGATCAAGACATGGCGCGAACACGATACCGAATGTGGGCGAATGACGCGCATCAAGACTCTGCCGACGAGGCTTTGCAGCAACGTGGAGGATACTCAGATAGGTAGAGAGGATACTCAGATAGGTAGAGAGAATACCAGAAGGTACTGGTCGTGCAGTAGTTTGGTCAAAAGGTCACCGGATGATTGACGTCGATAAACTTACCAGGTATGCACAGCCTCGCTCATCGCCTACGCACTGCGCCTCGCTACGCCACACCCACACCGTCCAATCAACGTCGATAGCTGTCTGCCAAAATCCTCACTCCATTATTTCATCCAATTGTATGATCAGATACTTGGTGATTTGGCCACGGCGAAGAGAATCCCCGAAATCTTCTAGACGTTCGTTCAGCTTGCATGTCCTTTGGCTCGCCTTCTCCGCAAGGCTGTGAAGACACATCATGAATGGCTGGTCTACAACGACGCCTCGGTTGACGCGGCCGAGTACGAGTTATCACGCATCCTTTGATCTCGGGTGCCTGCAGATCCTCGTGGCAAGGTAAGTATATAAGAACATTTCCTTCACTCTGTCTTGATCGAAACATCATCATCACCATCACACATCCAAGCATATGATACAATCACATCTCCAACTTTTAGCACTCACCACATACCCTACCACAACCAACACATCACCCCAACCACAATGTCTGGCCCCTACGACTCGAATTACTCCTACTCCCAAAACTACCAATCCCAGTACCCAGCCAATGGGTACGGCTACAATAACCAAGCCACCAACGGCTACCCAGCCGAGGGTTTCTCCCAATCCTACCAATCTCAATCCAATTACTACGACACCCGCGGTTCTCAGGACCAATATACCAATACCAACAAACAATACTACAGTCAAACCCCAAGCACTAGTACACCAGGCCAAGGGCCTGAAGGCGATCGTGGCCTAATGGGCGCCATGGCAGGTGGTGCGGCCGGCGCCTGGGGCGGGCACAAAGTCCACCACGGCTTCCTCGGTGCCGTCTCAGGCGCCATCATGGGCTCCCTGACCGAAGACTACGCCAAGAAACACCACAAACAGAACAAGAACGGCCATAACAGCGGCATGAACAGCCTGGGCTCGACAGCGAGCAGCTTCTTCAACAAGCGATAAAACGGGATTGGTGGTGTTGATTTTTGACTCTCAGACTTCCGAGCAGGCGTTGTGTACGAAGCAATGAAGAAGAATGGACCGGGAAACTCCCTGCCAAACTCTGTACGAGATTGGGGAAGCGAGCGAACGTCTGTGGAGTTTTGGGCCTTCGTCAAGTCTTGCTGTGGCGGTGATGGTCCTCACGCTGGCGAGAGCGAGCATCAGTTGCTTGTCTGTTTGCTTGTTTCCGGCGTGATCTCGGCTTTGAGCATCATGTGTACACTACTATATGGGATTGAGGAGTTTCTGGGTCATCGCGATGGCATGGGATATTGGCCATGGGCATTCGGTGTTTGGCGAAACATAGCATAGTCGGGCGACATGCCCTTGAATCTGAATGCAATGGATTTTCATATGGAAGTCCATGAGCAATTTCTTGAGAAACGTAGTCTAATTCGCATTGATGCTCTGCAAGTGCGTCCTTGAGTTTGTCGCGGTTTTGCCTGCTATCGACATCATAAGCCCTTCTCTACCTGCTTGAACATGCTTGCTTGATCGTAGTTTGCAGTATGCAGAACTCTCTTTTGGTCTCGCGTATCCAGCCTAAACTTCCTGTCCCTCAGCTCGCCAACAACAGTTCATTCGCTTGCTTTCATGGACTGTGGTCAATGGCTCATTTCAACACCTTGAGATCGCCCTCCTTAAGCTTGCCAGCACCGACAAGACCGCCAGTCGTCTCGGAGAACGCTTCCTTGACCTTGCCAGCATCTTTGCCAGCGACATTCAACTTGGAGACCAAGTCAGCCAATTGATCCGGATCGATGCTGCCCAAAATCTTGTCGACATCGTCCAGAACACTGTCGACATCGGAGGCACTGGCTTCACCTTCGGCGAAGTAGTTGACGTCCTTGACGCTACCCTTGACGACACGCTTGTTCTTTTTGACTGCGTTCTTTGCCGCTTCTTTGGCCTTCTTGTTCTGCTCCTTCTCGACTTTGGCCTTCTCCTCATCTTCCTTCTTCTTGCGCTCTTCTTCTTCTTTGGCACGAGCTTTCTCCTCGGCCTCGCGCTTCGCAGCTTCTTCCTTTTCGAACTTCTTCTTGTTCTTGTTCTTGTTGGCTTGCTCGCGGAATTTCTTGATACGTTGATCTTGAGCCAAGCAGTCATCGACCAACTGGCGCAGACGTGCGATGTCCTCAGACTTGCGCTTCTTACGTTGATTTTGGTTCTTCTTCAAAATGTGTCTCTTGTGATCACGGCCTTCGTTGTCGTCAGGAACGTCCTCGTCCAGATATTCGAAAGTACGCCATGAGTCAAAGCTGTAAAAGAAATCGTAGAACTCTTCTACTTCTTCTTTCGTGCTGTTGTCGTCTCCTAGTTTCGGGACTGGCTGTTTGTTGCTGAAGCGGCCTTCACTCTCGAAGACTGCGTTCCATTTCTTGTAGAAAGCACTGGGCTTCTGTGTCTCTTTCTTGCTGGGTGGTTCAACATCAGCGGCCTCATCCACGGAGTCGAATTGGCGGCGCTTGACAGGATCAGATAGGATTTCGTTTGCTCGTTGAATGCATTTAAAGAATGAGTCGTTCTCCGCAAGGCCTGCAGCGGCTTTCTTGTCAGGATGGTGTTTAAGGACCTTCTTTCGGTGAGCTTTCTTGATCTGCTCGTCCGTGGCTGCGCGTGATTGTCAGTCGAATGTCAATTTGTTTCCGAGGCGAAGTAGCACACCTTTGAAGCGATATTTCGAGAGACCGAGCACGGCGTAGTGATCTTGACCCTGTAGACTTGATCAGTAGGTGAGCTGAAGATGACGATTGAGCGACATACTCTCCAATCTTTGGCGTCTCGAGCGAGCATCATGGGATCCTCAGGCTCACTGATCTCGCCGTCATCTTCTTCCTCGACCTTTTTGGCACGAGAAGCAGCTTGTATTCTGTCATCCTCGCTGAAAGTGCGCCCATGGCGCTTACGACGAGCGTGGGCGAGGAACTGAGCACCGTAGGGCTCGACTTTGCGCTCAATTGAGGAGGAGAGAGACCCGAGGGGGCGGAAAGCAGGGTTTGTATCGCTCTCGCCTTTGAAGTCCGCAGGCGGAGGGGGAAGAACAGTGGCGGTCATCTCTGCTTCCAACTCTTCTAGAGTTGCAGGGTCGTTGGCGATGGAGTGGACTTCACAATCAAGTCAGTTTGATCCCAAAAAAAAGAATTGGATGCACCAGCACGGCTAAATTCCGGAGCTCGGTTAACTTACCATAGTCGGCGTAAGCCTGGTCGCTTATCAGCGGCCTGCCGCCTATAGCGCGGCGAGGCATCTTAGCGGCTCGGTTGACCTTCCTGGAAAAAGAAGAAGAGAAGGTCGTTGTCAGATGCGGCGACGACCCAGGACATGTCGTGTGAAATCCACGAGCATTCACAGCCTGTTTTCCTTGGCAAGAAAGATCTCATTGTGCTGGGTTACCTCCCAGAGCTCAATCTTAAAGATCCTGACATTGCGCCTGGTGTCCTCTGTGAATATAACGACCTAGGCCTGCTCATTCCCTCCTGCCATCCCACCTCCGACAACGACCTCGATCGCCTCCTTCTATTCCAGGATCCAACTTCTGACAACAACGTGGTCCTCGTCGCTCACTGCTGGGATCTTACTTTCCACCACGACCTAAGCCTTCTCGTTCGTTTCCGTGATCCCACCAGTAACGACTTACCAAGCTCCTTCGTTGTGTGCGGTGCGCTCCTTAACCTCAGCGACCTGGACTTTCTTGTTGCATTCTAGAATACCGTCTCCGACAACTCACTCAGCTACTACGTTTCGCTCCGTGTCCTCCGCGGCATCAACGACTTGACCTCTCTCTTTCCTTCCAGATTCGCACCTCCAACAACCCACCCAGCCCATACCATGGCAGCAAAGGCAGCGTACCGACATCTGCTACGAGCAACACGAATAGCTTTCGAGGGCGACTACACTCTATTACACGCGGCACGGATGCAAGCACGGACAGGATTTGACAGCCTCAGTTCACTTGAGCCAGCATCAGAAGAAGCGCAGAAACAGATTCAACATGCTGAAGGCGTGGCCTCAATACTGCGACACAACCTTGTGCAAGGACAGCAGGTGGAGGGCTCAGAGACAATAAGTATGATGAAGTTCTGTTAAGCTTGCGACACACATACTGACCATCTGATAGAGCTGAATTTACACAAAGACATTGAGCGTGGAGATAACGACACAGTCAAAAACCCACTCGGCAAAGGAGGAAAAGTGAAAGTCGTGGGAGGTTCATAAAGGAAAACGACAAAGATCAAAGCTCTTCGGACTGTGAAACTACGATGATATCCAGTGATGGCCACAACAACCATTTGACCCCAGCAGCATACGGTCTGCTTCCATGAACGCCTTGCTCAAAATTGTACGACTTCATCTGCAACGACCGACCCGTATCAGTCACCAGACAGGCTGGCATAAGTGACCTCTCCCTGTCCTGGCGGAGGCGCAACCGTGAAGGTATTGCTCTCTTCTTCCGTGGCTCCTTCAATAGCTTGTACACCTTCACCACCAGAAATGGCTCTTTGCCCGGCTTGCGGCCCTTTCACCGCAGCCGCCGTCTGTCTACCTTCCCTCGCCCATTCGAGTCTTTGGTCACGATCGGTGTTATCAAGTGGTTTCGGCTTGCCCCATTTGATCCGCAGCGGGCAACCCTGGATCACGGCTTTTCCCTGGCAATGCGCCGCCGCAGCCTCGGCTCCTTCTCTGGTGGCATAATTGATGAACGCACAATGAGCCCGGTGAGAGCAGACTATCGAACGGAGCTGGCCAAAAGGAGTGAAGAACGTGCGGATGGCATGCTCGGGCAAATCATCCTCGACGCCGGTCACGAATAGTGACATGACATTAGGGTCGGCTGGAGGTAGATAATCTTCGGGTTGTGGAGGACGTGCTGCGACTGCGACTGCTCGAGCACCGCCAGGAGCTGGTCGCGAGCCTCGTTGCGCATTTCCAGCTTTCTTTGAGTCCGAAGTGCGAACTGGACCTGGTCCATAACCACTCTGTTTCTGCTCGGCTGGCTTTTCTGATTCCTCTCCTGCTGCTTCCAACCGTCGCTGCTTTTTGTAGTATGGTTCGCTGTTGGCAAGTCTCCTCAGGAGGTCTCTCGCCTTCTCGTCTGTCTTTTCGTAGGCCTCGACCGCACCACGACCCTCTTCCAGTTCTTTTTCATGCTCCTGCGCATAGTATTCTCGGTTGATGCCGGACGATGGGCCAGGAGCCACCATTTTCAGTGCCGCATCTCGGACTGTGATGGGCAGACCGAAGGAAAGATCAAGCATGCAACATTGGCAACAATTTTTTAATCGGGCGCAAGTCAGGCAAATATTCGTTCGCTTCGTTCTTGCGGTCCGGTCTGCTTTCCAGCGGAAGATTGTGAATGGTCTCGTGCAGATCTTGCATTCGGCTCCGTAATCTTCTTTCAACATTTGCACATACGGATTGTCTGGTAAACAGTTCTCGCAGCTGGAAGGGAAATCGGTGGTTTCCCAGCCAGATCGATTAAGATCTTGTTTGATCTGAGGCGGCATGGCGGGCAGAATTGAGGCACACAATCGAGCGGACAGGCGATGTCAAGACCGAACACGTTCGAACTTGAATGAGTTGTAGGTATCTGTGCTCGCCCAACCTGACAAATGTTCGTTGGGGAGAATGGCAAGTGGGATGATTAGTAGTAGTAGTCAGCCTGGTTGAATTTTGTTCGACGTCAGGTTCAAATTATGGAATATCAGCACGTGATGCGAGTAAAAGCGGCGACATGATCATGCCTTGCCTCAGGAAATCGCAGAGTCCAGCTGCTTCTACATCTTCCATCTTCAGACTCGTCGACTGCTCGAAGTCAAGTCGCTTTGTGCAGGAGGTGACTTGCTCTGGAAACTTCTCTTCGGTCTACAGACGCGATGAGCGATATAGGTGAGTTACTATGGTCACTGTGTTGTAGAGCCAAGAAGCCAGTATGGAGTTGAAGGCAACATCAATGTACGGATACTCCGCCAGCTTGCGCTGTACAAATTGCACTCCGACTTACATCGGATGTGCCAGCACTTTGGTCCGCATAGGTTGTATGCTGGTCAGCGTGCAGCACGACGGTCAAGCGTTATGGGGTGACGCCACGGAATACGAGATTCCCGGTTCCCCTGCCAAGGCTACAAGATCTGGCCACTGGGAAACGGTTGAATGGAGAATTGCGGTGGTCTCGCTTCCGTGTCGAACCATTAATTTTTTGAGCGTGATCCGGATTGAGATCGCCCGCTTCATTGAACCTCCCTCCCTTCCCTAAAGCAAACGCATTCCCTACGGCTGTAACTGACGTTCGTTTCACAAGCTATTCTGTCATTCCATGATTCATTGTCTTTCATCAAACCTGTGACTCTGTCCATCTACTTGTGAACTCCCTCTGTCCACCTAACAGACCCTTTACCATCTCAACATGGTATCCACCGCAACCTCCCCTGTGGTGACCCTCGAGCAGGAGAACCACGCTCGCGATGCAGCCTTTAACAAAGCTCTTCATGGGTCATCCGCCCAGGCTCAGGGTGGTCTGATGGCCATGCGCAGGAAGGACCAAGCTGCACAGAAAGCGGCGGTTGACGAGTATTTCAAACATTGGGACAACAAAGCTGCGGCGAACGAGACGGAGGCGGACCGCAAGGCACGAAGAGACGAATATGCTACACTCACCAGACAGTATGTCCAGAAGCGTCAATCACTGGAAGCTCATCACTAACGTGCACCAGCTACTACAACTTGGCCACAGACCTGTACGAATATGGTTGGGGTACCTCGTTCCACTTCTGTCGGTTTGCCGCCAAAGAGTCCTTTTACAAAGCAATTGCCCGCCACGAACACTACCTGGCCCTGAGAATGAACATGCAGGAGAACTCTCGTGTCTTGGACGTTGGTTGTGGTGTTGGTGGCCCTGCTCGAGAGATGATCAAGTTCACTGGCGCCAATGTTGTCGGATTGAACAACAACGATTACCAGATTGAGCGTTCGTTACAATATGCGGTGAAGGAAGGCCTGGCAGATAAGTTCTCTGCAGTCAAGGGCGACTTCATGCAGATGTCGTTCCCCGAAAACAGCTTCGACGCAGTCTATGCGATCGAAGCTACCGTTCACGCCCCGAGCTTGCAGGGAGTGTATGAGCAAATTTATAAAGTGCTCAAGCCAGGAGGCGTTTTTGGAGTCTATGAATGGTTGATGACGGACAACTACGACAACGACAACCCGGAGCATCGACGAATCCGACTTGGTATCGAACAAGGTAATGGTATCTCCAACATGGTCAAGGTGTCGGAAGGATTGGCGGCCATCCGAGGGGCAGGATTTGAGCTCGAGCACCATGAGGATCTCGCAGAGCGACCAGATGCGACGCCCTGGTATTACCCTCTTGCGGGAGACTTCCGACACTTGAGCAGCATTGGGGACCTCTTCACAATCGCCAGAATGACGTGGTGGGGACGAGGATTGATTCACAGATTCATTGGTGTCGGTGAGACGCTGAAACTGATGCCGCAAGGTACGCAAAAGACGGCAGATAGTCTTGCACTTGCCGGGGACTGCTTGGTTGCGGGAGGAAAGCAGAAGTTGTTCACCCCCATGTATATGATCATCGCTCGCAAGCCACTGAACGCTTGAGTGAGGTCGGGTTGTTCTTCTCGGTTGGCAAAAGGCGTTTCTAGGCACCAGGGTGTAAAGGACAGATAGATCTTAATACAATTGTACGGGCTCAAGCTCCGACTCCAATGAATACTATAGTAGAACTTGTCTAGCGAACCTTGCCATTCGACGGCAGGGTCGAAAGCACGAGAGTCCTGTAGATTGAGAGTGGCGACAGCACCGCCACAACTGATGGCCTGGGTGGTCCAAGTTGTGGCAACGGTAGGGGATTCGGCGCACAGGGTCGCGGCTCGCTTCGAACGCCGGTGCATGACATCTGACCTGTGCCAGATGGACACGGGGCCTGAAGGGACCAAAAAGGCGGGTCTTGACTCTTGCGTGGCCCTGCGCCGAGGCTCTCTCCAGGGGCTGAAACGTAGCCTGCATAGCTTCTTCTCAGGGTCGAGTCGCGCTCGATGTTTCGTTTTCCAATTTAGAATAACCTTTTCACGGCGGATCTTCTTGAGAAACCTGTGAATTCAGAAGCAATCTGGGTCCTGGGTCAACCAAGCTGCCAGTACGAGTATGCTAACCAACGTGCTGGATGATGTACCAGATCGAGGCTCCGGCACTGCATATATTGTATGAAGTCGAGGCTGAAAAGATTGAATTGTGCCTGGGTGGCGGTGGGAGCCCCAGGCAGCTGGGATCAAAGGATGGCCACTAAAAGGCGCTTAATTGACCACCATCTCGTCATTGCCCACCTAGCGAGGCTGCCACTGGTCAACCTTGTTACCCGTTAGCCTTGATGGTTTAGGCCTCCAGTCGCAGCCATTGGAGAGCCACACGAAGGCGCAGTCCGCGTCGTCGTCACCTTTTCCAGAGGAGAAGGATTTTGTATAAACATGGCGAATCTGCAGAGTATGTAGTCTTATCCATATTTCCTTGCTCTTTCGCTCCCATCACTCCTTCTTTGGTCTTTGGTGCTTCCTTGTTGCTTTCGAGCTGCCCCTCTCTCTCGCTGTCAGTGGAGATCAACTCACATCATTTTCTGTATCTTTATACCGCATCATCATGGGCAAGTTCATCGGCGCCGCACTCGGCGCAGCAGCTTTGCTGGCTGCAATTGCGCCAGCAGTAGGAACCGCCACCCCCGGTGTCGTGGGATACAACTTTGAGAAGCGTCGAGTAGACGCTTCAGAAGCTCCTCATCGATTGAGACGTCGATCCAATACCGTCACTGCCACCCTGACCAACGAAGTCCTCCTCTATTTCATCAATGTCACCGTCGGCACACCAGGACAGGCATTTTCTCTGCAAATCGATACCGGATCCTCAGATATCTGGTTTCCCTCCGTCGACGCGGACATATGCACGGAAGAGACTGACGGCTGTCCTTACGGCACGTACGACAGCAGCAAATCCTCCACCTACTCCGAACTCGCTTCGGCACCCCAGTTCGAGATTCAATATGTCGACGGCACGGAGATTGAGGGTGATTTCATCTCGGATGTTCTCAACATCGGTTCGACCAAGCTCACAAACATGACAATGGCTGTCGCCACACAAGCAAACACCAGAGGAGTTGGCATCATGGGTATCGGCTTTCAGTCTGGCGAAGCAGAAGCCGAGGAGGATGACTTCACATATCCAAATGTGATCAACGTCTTGAAAAATGAAGGCTTCATCAATACTCTGGCGTATTCTCTGTGGTTGGACGATTTGGATGCGAATACCGGCTCCATCCTCTTTGGTGGCGTCGATACCAGCAAATATTCCGGCAACTTGGTGGCTCTCCCGATTCAGGTCGATTCGGACACCGACGCTATCGATTCCTTCACTGTCGCATGGACTGGTCTTACGGTGTCTGGTAGCGGTCAGGACTCAGACTTCTCACCATCAAGCGCCCAGGCGGCTATTCTCGACTCTGGTACCACAGACACCTTGTTGCCCGACGCCATCGCCGAAAAGATCTTCAATGGTGTCGGCGTTTTGTCAGATGAGACCTATGGCAACGTGGTACCGTGCAAACTCGCCGATGACGATCTCACCTTTTCCTTCCAATTTGGCGGTGCATCTGGTCCTATCGTCAACGTCAGTTTGTCCGAGTTTGTCACCCCCCTCGAGACCACCGATGGTTCCACGCCTACCTACAAGAACGGCGATAAAGCATGCTCTTTCGCCATTGATGCCGCCGGTGATGACCCGATCTTGTTCGGCGACTCGTTCCTGCGAAGCGCCTACGTTGTGTACGATCTTGAGAACCAATTGATCGGTCTTGCCCAGACCAACTTCAACGGTGGAAGCTCCAACGTTGTGGTTTTCTCGGCCAGCAGCAGCGGCATTCCTGGCGTCACATCGACCGCTACGGGTGCCAGTGTAGCCCAGACAGCGTCAGATACCGGTATCCCCCAGGTCACCGAGGCCACGGTCACCAACACAGGTGACGTTGGTTCCGGAGCAACGAGTCGATCTGCCACTTTCCATCTCTCGACTGCCACTACCACCGATGGTAGCGGTAGCACGAGTACAGGATCAAGCTCATCATCGAGTAGCAGCAGCAAGTCCGCAGCCAATCCCAACCTGCGTGCTTCATCGATTGAGGGCACGACTATTGTCGCTGCTGGTGTAGTGATGGCTGGCCTTGTGTTTGGCAGTGGTTTGATGTACTGGTAAGGCGCATTGAGCTGCCTTGGCCGAAATATGATTCCGAGATTGTGGAAAGCGATTTGTGTATAACTGCATAGCAGCTGGTTTATATATGTATACCCCTGCACTAGGTGGAAATTGTGATATACCTAGATAACGACGAGTATGAATTTGGAAATGCCTTACGGCATCACTGTTATACAACGTGAAAAACAGCTCTTATTTTCGCAGTATAATTGCAATCCAGAGAATAGAGATCCAAACCAAGTAACGTTATGGATTAAAGAGAGAGTTTTGCAAGGGGCGAAATATCACGATAAAAGAGGGTTGATATTGGTACGCAACATGTGGGGTCATCATTATTCCTACATTCCATCTGTCATTATTCATTTCTAGTCCTTGCAGACCATGGTCAAATAAAGCAATGTACATAAATCAATATATGGATTTGACCTTTCCTCTACTTGGCCGTCAGGCACATTCAGTCCTGCATCAAGTCAATGCGAATGTCAGTACCTCGTGCTTCATTCCTTGACAGTCTCCAGCGGCGAGGTAGGAAACCCATTAACAGCACCTCCAGCGCTCGCCGCACTATCCGGCGACAACCAGGGCCGTAATCTCTCACCATCCTCATCTAAAGGGTCAACTTCCATTCCGACATCGTTGTCCTCTGTAACATGCACACCAAGCAACCTCTCGGCATTCTTATGCGCGATGTTCAGAAAATCCTCCTCATTCACCATGCCGGAACTGCGAAGTCGGTACATGAAGCGTAGCCCGTCGTCGTTAGAGCAAAAGGGGTAGTCGACGGAGTAAAGCACTTTATCCGCACAGCACATGTGGATCAGACAGGCCATGGGGGCCAGACTGAACATTCCGGCCGTGGTGATGTATATGTTCTCATGCCATACTTGGAGTAAGTGACGTTTCGGTTTCGATGCAGAAGGCCACGTTTTCTGGACAAGTTTGTGGATCCGGTCGAGTTGGAACGGCAACATCTCGCCCATATGGCCCAGCATCAATTTGAGGTTGGGGAATTTGTCGAACAGTTTCGCGGCGAATAGCCGGAGGACATGAGTCGCGACTTCGGCGTGCCAGTTGAAGCCGTGGTTCGCTAAAAACGCGGAGACTTGCGGCGCATAGTTGCCGTGGAAGGGCGATGTCTCTGGTAATGTGTGAGGGATGGCGTGCAGATATACTGGTACATCGAGCTTCTCGTGTGCGTCGAAGATGGGCCAGAAGAATGTGTCGTCGTAGAAGCGGCCGTCTGCTGTGTTGTCGATGAGCGAGCCGACGAAGCCGAGATCGCTGACGCATCGGTCTAGTTCCTTGGCTGCTGCTTCCGGGTGGAGGGTCGGGAGCATGGCGAAGGCGGCAAAGCGGGATGGACTGGGGGATGATTTGATTGCTTCGGCGAGCTCGTTGTTCGCGGCCGTGCAGATTTCCGGTGGGATGGGGATTGAGTTGGGCCGGTGCGATATCACTTGTACGCTGATCCGGGCTGCGTCCATGGATTTGAGACGTTGGGAGCCGATGTCGCGGAGTGAGCTTGTGATGTGTGGGAGGTGGGCGGGGAGGGTGGTGTCGATGCCCTTTTCCGCGTAGTAGTCGAGCACGGACTGGGAGATGTAGTGCTCTTCGAGCGTGATCAGGGGGATCTTGTCAGTCATGATGGGCTGGGTTGGTGGAATGCTGGTTCAGGAGGGGTAATCACGTATGGCAAGACCATGAAAGCAGTAAGCTTGAGGTTTGTCGTCGTGTCGAGTACCTGGTATGGTCTGGAATCTCGGGTATGTCAATACGTAATTCTGAGGTTTGAGAAATGTGGTGGTCGAACTGCTGCGTGGTTATATCATATCACGAGAGCGAAACTCAGGGATGCAAGAGAAGCAGATGGACGTTTCGACGTCCAAAAGAACCTTTGACAACGGTCGTAGGATGTCCCGGAATTCTGGCGCTCCCAATCGAGGACACCATTTGCCCTCCCTCATCCTTTTCACATAGAGGGGTTAAAGGGTGACCCGAAAAGATGGGGTTGGTCGTATTCGGCACGCCACAAGCAGAGTTCCCGAACTCGTACCCAATGAACGGATGGCAGGCATGTGACGGCATGGGGAAAGATGACAGGGCCGAAAAGCTGACTGGTGAGTTGGTTCTCGTGGTCTTACCCTGTTTTGCGGAGGTGTGGTCTGATTCTGGACGCATTGGGCATAACCTGGATTTGGTGGCAAGTGCAATTGCAGATGGACGCGACAGACGGCAGAAAGCGTACGGAGTACCAGATGAAAGATAAAAGCACCGTTGCAATGCCATTGTTTGCAAAGGGAGGTAGACATGATTGATTGCGAAGTGTCGAGAGCTGCACTCCCATAAGATTGAGCTATCTCTCCCTAGCATCTCCCGACGATGCATGATCGACGACATCTCGATAGTCTGCCATAACCATACTATGGCTGATTTCCCAGGATATCCGAATCTCCTGCATCAATGATAGTGACGACTGAGCACCTGTAGAGCTTGCCGCAGGCCGTTCCTAGTTGAGTCTTCTGGTAGGTTAGCGTTACATTCCTCCACATTTTCTCATTCAGTGAGGAGCTGAGATTGAGAGAATGCTTCGCAGGACCTCTTAACTTCCCAAGCTAGGCTGGGGAAGAGATAGGAGAATTGAATCTGAAAACAGCAGGCGAAATCCCACGTACGTTGTCTCCACTGAAGTGGTGGACCGGAACTTTCGCGAGCATTGCATAGTCTAGATGCTATCAGTGTGTTCATCCAGAAGACATCAAGAGGGAATTTACACTCCAGCTCGGACTTGCGCAACGGAGGAGCATTCCCCGCGATCAAGATCAGTTTGGCCTTGTTGGAACGAAGAGTTTGCAAAGTCGATTTGTAGCCAAGAACCACTTTTCATCATATTAGCTCGTCTACTTGGTGAGAAGAGACCCTGCCGGACTTCATGACCAGAGAGAGTCTGCTGTTGATGGAGTCGGTCACCCTCTTGGACTTGTTTCGGGAGGACATCAGGAGGGTGGAGAACAAGCCTTAGTAGAGAGATTCAAAGGAGAGAGAGAGATGAGGGACAGTAAAGACTGAGGCTATAAAGAGATGTGAAAGGATTGAAGTTGAGTCGAGAAGAATTCAGTGTACGATCCCGGTTATGTAATCGACCAATCCCACCAAACATGCCAAGTCCTTGTGGCTTTACTCTGAGGCACGCCACATGTGGCACCCGACTTATCACATCAGTTATTTCGGTCTTCGAAACATGCCCCAGGAAGGCTGTGGCCGGCTGTCGCAGGCGGTCGATACCTGAAGATTGACATGGAGCTGAGGTATATGCACCATGTGTCGAACCACTGCCATTACATAATCCCGCCTTCTTTGCTCTATGATCGAGCCCCAAAATGGTTTGTCTGCTGCCCGGAGAAGTAGCCTTGTTGGAGACCATGATTTGTGCTTCCTGCAACAGTGATGTGAAAGTTCTGCTGCCCACCAGGATCTCGAGACTTGATGAACGCGCTGAGCTCAGGGTCTAGTTCTGCGATCAAGGGTGCGACGAGCGAGACGTTCTCGTCCGATGCCAGTTCAGACCCATCCTGCTCGCACAGTAACCTTTGTTCGGGCCGTGCCGCAGGAAAAAGTTCGACCAAGCCATTGACCAACTCGGTGATGTCTTGGATCAATTTATTAAGATGTTTCCCCTTGTACAGGGCCCATTTGGCCTTCTCCAATATTTGTCGTGGCTTGAGCCACTTCTGCGAAATCGTCACCAGCTGTCTGTGCAGGGAAGCCCAAGTCTCGTCTAGGTCGCCTGCAGTATGAACGTCCGGCTCCTTCGTTAGAGGCTTCAATTTCGACGACGTACGTTCCGCGTTCTCAAAGAGATCTACGATATCATAGAGCAGTTCTTTCGCCTTCTGATGATCTTTCCGCGAACCCGCCAACGTCGGCACAACTTGCGCATGCTCTTCTACTTCATGCAGTCCTACTGACCGGCCCCAGCGAGAAAGTCGTAACTTGGAGATATCGAGCTTCAGCGTTGCAATTTGAAAATCTTGATCAAAGTTTCGAGCAATTTGGACTTAATCGAAACACTGAACTGCATTGTTGAAGGCACTGGGTAGTGCAAGTGCTAGTCCGACTCCTTCGGTCATTTTGTGCTGTCTCAATGGGTATTCATGCACTTCGGTAAGTTGAAGAATGAGTAGATCCTCAGGTAAGATCAGCGGACGTGGTTATCTGAGTTCACTTAAGAGTCCCTCCGTTGAGGCTGATCAGGCTGCCACCTGCCGGCTGAGCGTGGCGGCCAATCAGCCCGCGACATGCTGTCCTGGCGAGTAACAGCTGCAGTTCGTTGAGGCTTGCCTTGTGATCGAATCTAGGACTGGACCTAAGCGCCGTGGGACATCGTGGCGATTTCCTTCGCTGCGGCGCGGAACTCAGCCTGTGCGATGCAGTCACCGTCCGTGCATCCTCTTCTTCCTGCGAGCCCTTCTACATTCCGAGGAGGCTGTCTTGTTTTGATACGGCTGTGGCGGTCTCATGCAATAACGACTTTCAAGAGTGGTGTGGAAAAATTGCCTGCATAGAACATCGACGCCTGCAGACATGGCTCACGATGGTACCGGGATTCACACCACATTCGAGGGAGGGTCGAATAGTACCCTTCAACAAGGTTCCTTCTCAGGTCAACAAATAAATCATTTCCATATGGTAGATGTCGGTAAGGAGCTTTTGCTTGAATTCATTGAAAGTACAGGGCTGAGACCGTTTTGACCTATCAGCCTCATCACTTCCCCGATTACCTCTTCTTCCCTCCGCCATCATCCCATTCCGCCGGGATCGAGACTTCGTCGAGCGGCACGTCCTGAAGGATCTTTGGCAACGAGCCATCGAACCTGGGGGGCGTGTGGCAATAGTAGGACTGGGTGGGATCGGGTAAGATTTGATAGGTCATTGGTTATACCAGCTGGCTAAAACACGGCCTAGCAAGACACAGGTGGCAATCGAGTATGCCTACAGAGTTCAAGAAGAACTTCCCAAACCATGGGTATTCTGGGTGCATGCGAGCAGTGCGATTCGATTTGAAGAGAGTTACAAGGAAATTGCGCAGCGGCTGCAGTTGACCGGATGGCAGGAACCCAAAGCGGACATCCTGGGCATGGTGCATAACTGGCTCTCCGATGAGAACAACGGTCGATGGACGATGGTGGTGGACAACGCCGACGACGAACAGGTCATGCTCAACTCACGGAAGAGTGAAACCGATTCAGAGGCCTCCGCAACTGTTCTCAGTGATCGATCGTTGGCTGACTACCTCCCATCGTCGAGCAACGGGTCAGTTGTGATCACCACGCGAAATCGAAAGGTAGCGGAAGGACTGATCGAATACGCCGAGGACATTCTGGATCTTGGACCAATGGATGTAGACGTGGCGGTGGTTTTCTTAACGAAGAAGCTCAAGAAGTTGGAAGGAATGTGCTCGCGGGATGATTTGACTGATTTGGCTCGCCAAGTGGACTGTATGCCGTTAGCGATGAGTCAGGCGGCGGCATATCTAAATCAAAGAGCACCCAGGATGTCGCTGTCAAAATACCTCTGGGAGCTAAGGAGCAGCGACGAAGGACGAGCTCGACTTCTACAGGCCGACATTCGCGATCCACGGCGGGACGGAAAATCGTCGAACTCGATCATGACGACGTGGTACGTATCGTACGAACATATACAACATACACATAACTCGGCGGCGCGCCTCCTCTCGCTGATGAGTCTATTCGACCGCGAAGGTATCCCTGATCACTTACTGCGAAGGCAATATCTCGATAAATGGCCCAGTGAGAATGAGGATAAGGACCAGACTCGGGAAAGGCAGAGTGAGATGGACTTTGAAGACGATGTTGCCACGCTCCGGATGTATAGCTTGATCGGGACGGGAATCAACGAGCAGCTGTTTGAGATGCACCGACTAGTCCAATTCTCGGTAAGAAAGTGGCTAGAAATACGAGATGAGCTCAAGTGGTGGCAGCGACGATATGTCGACGTTTTGGAGCAGAGGTTTCCGTTTGGTGACTACGAAAATTGGTCTACGTGTCAGGCGCTTTTCCCACACGTTCAAATGTTGATCTCCTACAGTACAAACGAAGCGTCCTTTCGCCAAAAACGGGCAGTTCTTCTCTATCGAGCAGCGCAGTACGCCACAGACCATGGACTATACGGGATAGCAGAGATGATGGCAGGAATAAGTGTAGCCGAACGAGAAGTTGTACTCGGCAAAGATGGTACTCGTACATTGTCTAGCATGAACATTCTCGCATCGGTATGGTGGCATCAGGGAAAGTACAAGCAGGCAGAGGAAATGCATCGGCAAGCACTAACGGAGAGGGAGAAGCTACTGGGCGTGAATCATGAGAGCACATTCATGAGTATGAATGAACTGGCATTAGTGCTAGGAAGTCAAGGAAAGTATGAGCAGTCGGAGCCGATGTTCCGACGAGTACTGGCAGGACTAGAGAAGGTACTAGGAGCGGATCATCTTCGGACTTTGACGGCTATGAATAATCTGGGAGTAGTACTAGAAAAACAAGGGAAGTATGAGCAGGCGGAGGAGATGCACCGACGGGCACTAACGGAAGGAGAGAAGGTGCTAGGCGTGGATCATCCTCATACATTGATATGTCTGAATAACCTGGGAGTAGTACTAAGAAAACAAGGGAAGTATAAGCAGGCGGAGGAGATGCATCGACGGACACTGACGGGAGGAGAGAAGATATTAGGGACAGATAATCCCGCCACATTAACAGTTATGAATAATCTAGGATTAGTGCTAACGCGTCAAGGAAAGGATGAGCAGGCGGAGGAGATGCACCGACGGACACTGGCGGGAAGAGAGAAGGTGCTAGGGATAGATGATCCCGCCACATTGAAGAGTTTGGATAATCTAGCAACCGTGGTAGGACGACAAGGAGAGTACGAGCAGGCAGAGGAGATGTACCGACGGGCGTTAGTGGGAAAGGAGAAGGTTCTAGGCGTGGAACATCTCGCTACGTTAAAAACCGTGAGCAATCTTGCATGGATACTGCTACTACAAAATAGGCACGAGGAGTCGGACGAGATGATTCGACGCACATTGGTAGGACGAGAGAAAGTGCTGGGCGTGGATCATCCCGACACATTGCTGGATTTATGGGTGCTTGCCGACGCCGCGTTCAAGAAGCAAGACCTACACGAGGCGCTGAAACTGTATGATCGTGCAACCAACGGGCTCACGAAAGCCCTCGGCGCAGAACATCCCAGCACCCTGACATGTCTGGCAGAGAGGGAGTCGTTGTTAGAGAAGATGAACGCGTCCTGAACAGGATTGACACGCCAACGAGCAAAGATCCTTTACATCCTATTGATTGAGTGCGAATGAGAACGTGCAGAAGCATGACACGAACTAGCAGTCGTTGTACTCCATAATTTGATAAACGTCTTCTGCTCTTGAGTCTTGACGCTTTCTTGTTCTATATGTGTGCTGCACAAGATCCAATGTCTAAAACTATGGCTACAAACAAACAGAAGAGCCTGATGATGACCCATCACTCTTACAGTATACCTCCTCGACAGAGACATGGACAGCCTTTGTCTTTGCCTCCACCATTTGCGTCGGCTCGATGCTCAGCCCTCTGTTCTCAAGGAACTCATCGACCAGCCCTTTGTAGTCACTCGCTCGGTATGGAGTCAGCCACTCTTGCGCAAACCGCTTCGGCTTCTGCCACCATTTGGCACCTTTCCACTTCCTCCACTTCCTCCACTTCTCAACCCCAAGATCTTTGCACAACACGTCGAAGAAACTCTGTGACTCGAAGATGAGTTCGGGATGTTTCGTATCTCGCAGACCGTATCGGTTTCGCGACCACGCGTTGACCGTTGACACACTTTCCTGCATCGAAGGCAAGTCTGGGATAGCATCTTTTGCCAATAGATCTTCCATCCAAGCGACCGCCCAGAGCGCTTGCAGCTCGCAAGACATGGCTGTCTGGATAGTCGAGACAAATCCCACAAAAGCGATACTACGATCTTCTTGTGCTATGAGCTCTGGTGAGAGGATCTGGTGGTACATTCGAGGCTGGGACCATCGTGGCTCTCGGGGTGGGAATGGGTTGTCTCGTAATTGAGGAAACAAAGACAAGACTTCTTGGTCTTTTGTATGTTGTCTTTGCCATTCTTCCGAGAACACCTCGGGGGCTTTTTCGTCGTCCACAGAGACTGGCATACCCAAGCGGAGGGCATCATTAGTACTGAAGAAGTCCGCGCTGGGTTGCCAGCCGGTACACCAGATAGCAGCATCAGCCTTGACTGCCAACTCTTTTCCTTCCTCTTGCACGATCATCTCTCGTTCTTGTAATCGGATAGGCGTCGCACGATACACCTGCAAGCGCTCTGGATCGTCCTGATGCAGGCACTTCATGAAGAGCGCATCCTTGTAAACGATACTAGCATAAGGTAGCTCGTGGAATCCATCAGACACAGCGGGCTGCAGCTTGCGTCCATTGACACTTTGGTCGTAGTGGATCGGATTTTGGGTCATCTTAGTTAGCTTCTTCCAGAATGCCTTCCTGGTCTTGTCGCCAAGGGCATTGTTGCCTGAGTGCAGGAACCTGTAGCCGATGTCTGAGGTAGAGAATATTGAAGGGGAAAATCTGCTGAAGAGGCGCACGTTTTCGGCGGCAATGAGGTTAGGACGCTGATTTGGATCGATGTGACAGAGGGAAACGCCATGGGTTGAGGGTCTGACGATCCAAGATACGGTCTTGCCGGCAGATAGAAAAAGCGAACAGGTGTCGACGGCAGATTTGCAACCTCCAACCACGACGACGTTCTTGACGTTCCGATCAGCTATCAGCTTTTCGTGATAACGGCCAAGGAACTTGGCATGTATGGAACATCCAGTATATGTTGACTGCGGCACGTCTGGTACCTTTGGCTTGGTAAACAGGCCGGTTGCCACGACGAGTTTGTCGCACTCGAGCTCTTCTCCAGTCTTGGTCGTTATTCTCCATCCACCTTGATGTAACCGGCGAGTGTTGACGACTTTGACTCCGAAGCGGATGCGAGGTTGAATATGGAAGGTTTTCGAATACGTGCCCAGGTATTGGTGAACTCGGCTTCCTCTGATCAGTTCGAGAGCAGGGTGGTCCTCATCAACCATGGATAAGTCGCTGAATTCGTAAAACCCATTGTGTACCTCAGCCACAAGACCCGGGTAGATGCGTTCGGCAGACCACACTCCGCCCTCGGTCTCGCCCTCTTCCAGGATTGTCAGATGTATCGGCCGATTCAAGGTGTTGGCGACTTGGAGATATGTTTTGGCAACCGCAAGCCCACTCCAGCCTGCTCCAATGATGATGACGCGGGTTGGGGAGGCCATCTGGAGATTTCCTGCAATAGATATGTAGGAGGAGAATATCACAGCAGGGGATCAAAGACGATCGAAAGATTAGGGGAGACAAGGGTAGCAAAGGAAGACCATTGTTCAAGTACCGTTAGCACCTACGCATAGCGCACTACCACCACTGCTCCCTTTTCCACGGTTACATCTGCATATCAACACAGGCGAAACTTACCAAGAAAGCTTCAAAGCTCGTTGTTCAGCAATTTCGGCCCCTGTTCAGCACTGTAGCCACAAACAAAATGCATCAAGGACGAGCGCCGGTCGTATTGAACTCTGCGGACGATTCTGCCAATCCTAAACATGTCAGATTTCGGACCCCGTTGGTAGTTCTTTCGATTCAGCAGGGTGCTAGACAGCACATGGCGGCCCAGACTCATGTCTAAAGTTCGACCGTTGACTCAGAATTTGGTACAAAAACCGGAGCTGAGCAAATGGAGTAGACTAGATTGCGGCGCCTAACCCGGTCTGGGGTACACTTTCCGAGGCGAAGTTGTTATCCATGTAGTCGGTGCTCACGGTCGTCCGCAGGGCTGGCTGAGTTGATACTGTCGCGAAAGGCTTGTTTGAAAGAGTGGCTTGAAGCTTGGAGGAAAAGAACCACATTTCCTCGTATTTGATCTCATGCGCCATCCCGTTAAGGTCGGTCTCTTAACACGGGGCCTGGCCTATGGACAATCTGGCCCAGGCCCCAGTCGTTGGAGATCTTCTCCGCGACAGCTTGAGGAGGAAAATGCCGCCATCATCTAAAGGTGATTGAACTCAAAGCACAACCGCGTTTGATTTGTTTTTATCCTCACTAACCTTCGCTGTTCTGATTGGGACGAACCATAAGATGACTCTGTCGGGACTCAGGAGTCACGGGGCAGGACGGTCTGGGCGACCTCGCTTACAGGCTTACAGCCAGCCCATGGCCCAACTCAGGCTTAATTCAACTCCCGCCATGCTCAATGCGGGATAAAGCATCTCGGCTAGAGCTCAAGTCCGAGGCTTAGAAAAGTCAAGTCAAGCGCACCGTTGTGACCGATTGCAACGTTTCAACTCACCACCCATCGTTGCTGAATGTTTGCCAGCAAGGTTTGAGGCATCGCTAGTTCCATCACCCGGAGCGATCCTGGAAACAGTCTGCATCGTCAGGCGATTATGGTATCAACACACTGGCAACGCTCATGAATATGGGCAACCAAGTGAAGCAAACAGCGGGAGTCTAAGCGTGTAGCGTGTGCCGAGCGGGCACACCGTTAACAGCATGGCTGAAAAGAATGGCGACCAAACTTCAAACTCGCCAGGAGACATGATACCAGTCAATACACTTCCTGGATCTTCAACACCAGAATCTTTGAGAGACTCTAAAAGCCAGAATATTCAAGTCATCGACGTGCGTATTCGAAATGTGGCGGTGGAAGTCGATTCAACCGCTGGCTCTCCATTCTCTTCGCTAGATGCGTTCAAGCTGAAGATCCTGCGCAGTAAGGTCAAACCGGCGGTCAAGGATATTCTGAAAAATGTCTCGGCGGATTTTCCAAACAGCAGTCTCACGGCAATCGTTGGAGCCAGTGGTAGTGGAAAGACCACTCTGCTCAACATTATCGCTCATCGCATCAAGGATCAAAAATTTCGGCAAGCAGGTAGCGTCACCTATGAAGCAGTCACGGACACCACATCGGAGGCAGCAGCTGCAAAGATCGGCATGGCCTATGTCCTTCAGCAAGACATCCTACTGCCGACTCTGACTGTTCGCGAGACTTTGCAGTATGCCGCAGATTTGCGGCTGTCAACAACCAAGACAAAGGCGGAACGACGGGCCATGGTCGAGACGGTCATCAATGAGCTCGGTCTGGAAAAGTGTGCGAACACTAGGATAGGCAATGACGCCCATAAAGGCTGTTCAGGCGGCGAGAAAAGAAGGACCAGCATTGGGGTGCAACTGCTTGCCGATCAGCCAGTCCTCATTCTTGACGAGCCCACAACTGGGCTTGATGCTGCATCAGCGATCCAAGTGGTGCAGACATTGCGGCTGCTTGCTCGGAGAGGGAAGACAGTAATTATGACGAGTAAGCCTTACACGCCTTGTGGTAGCTAGCCATTGCTAACGAATGAAGTCCATCAGCCACGATCAGAGATCTGGAGGTTGGTTGATAACCTCGTCTTGCTATCACGAGGTTCTCCAGTCTATGCAGGCGCCGTCAATGAATGCCTTCCGTACTTTGAGCAACTTGGTCACAGCATGCCTGCCTTCTCCAACCCCTTCGATTTTGTCATTGATCTTGCCGCTGTGGACGTCCGATCCCACGAGCTCGAGAGAGTCTCGTTGCTACGTGTTCGGCAGCTACAGGAAGCGTGGAGAAGCAATACATCCAGCCTGGCTCAGGACGACTCCGAAAAGACCCCTAGCAAATGTTTCGAAAGAAACCAGCTTGCAGGCTCCGACAACTCACTCAATGCACTCGTCCTTGAAACAGGTGTGCATTTGAGAAGGACTTTCGTTGTGACCTGCCGTGATCGGCTAGGGTTACTTGCTAGTCTGATCGAAGCTGTCACAATGGGCATCATGACCGGGTGGATATTCTACCAGCTCCCCACCGATCTGGCCGGCATTCGATCCAGAGAAGGTGCCATGTACTCGGCATGCGCTTTACAGGGTTACCTCATCCTTCTCTTTGAGACCTACCGATTGACCATCGATATTCAAGTCTACGATCGAGAGCGTATCGAGGGTGTCGTGAAACCACTGTCATTCGTTTTCAGCAGAAGATTCGCACGCTTATTGCTTGAGGATCTTCCTGTCCCATTCATCTACTCGGTTATATTCTATTTCATGGCAGGGTTTCGAGCTGATGCCAGACAATATTTCACGTTCTTTGCCATCCAATTACTCTTGCAATTAATCACAGTTAATCTGGCCACAATCTGTGTCGCCCTCAACCGACAGTTCATGGTTGCATCGTTGATTGCGAATCTCATTTTCACGCTCCAATCCGCGGCATGCGGCTTCTTTATTAACACAAAATCAATCCCGATCTGGCTGCGATGGATGAAATGGGTCGCATTCGTCGTATGTCACTCCCAGACGCTTAAGCGCTGCTGTCACTGACGTCAACACAGTTCTATTCATTTGGAGCATACTGCACCAACGAATTTGCAGGTCATTTTTACGGTTGTCCGAGTCCAGGCGGGCCGTCGGATCCAGCTTGCAAGGAGTATACCGGTGCATACATCCTGGCATCCCTGAACATACCCAACAACTGGCTCTGGAGACCGATTATTGTCATGGTTGCCTTCGTCTTGGTCTTCTTCGTTCTTTCTGCTGTGACTCTTCACGTTCTTACGACAGAGGTGGAAATGGCGAAAACACACGCCAGCGAAATCTCATACTCCGAGGAGGATATCAGGACAACCTCATCCGGAGACAGCACCAGAACAATCACTGTCGCCCTCGACCAGTTCGGCTTAGCTGTTGAGACCAAGCGCCCGTTTAAAAGCACGCTGACAAAGCCCATATTTCAGGACATCAGCACCACATTCGAGCCCGGCGTCTTGAATGTGATCATGGGCCCTTCAGGGTCCGGGAAATCATCATGCCTCAACGCTATGGCAAGACGATTGTACGGATCGCCAATGACAGCCTATCGGTCCTCAGGCAGGATGCTCCTCAATGGTGCAATGGCGGCGGACAATGTTGTGGCATCCATATGCTCATACGTACCACAGGACGACACAGGCCTGCTGCCATCGTTAACGGTTCGAGAAACACTACATTTCGCCGCTCGCTTGCGACTCCCGACATTCCTCACCAACGAACAAAAAGTGCAGCGAGCAGAGACGGTACTGCGACAGCTTGGCTTGAAAGAATGCGCTGACACACTGGTTGGGAACGACCTGGTGAAAGGCATCAGTGGTGGCGAGAAACGTCGCGTTTCCATCGGGATCCAAATCCTGACTGATCCGCGAGTACTGCTTCTGGACGAACCCACCTCCGGACTCGATGCATTCACAGCCTTTTCGATCATCGAAGTGCTCAAGGGCCTTGCGGACGAGGGAAGAACAATCATTTTCTCCATCCATCAACCACGTTCCGACATGTTCAAGCAATTCGGTGGCGTGCTCCTGCTGGCTAAGGGCGGGGATGTCGTCTACTCAGGCAAAGTCGACAATATGCTCCCTCATTTCGAGCGTTTGGGATATGCATGTCCCGAATCCGCAAACCCAGCCGACTTTGCGCTTGATATAGTATCCGTCGAGATGCCGAAGTCGCTACAACAACAGAGCAGTCCCGAAATTTCAGATTCTCCGACAGACAAAAACATCCCTACCGGCGTCGTCCCACCGACACTTCACGAGGTTGAGTTGACTTTCCCAGCAATACTTGGCGTGTACACACGGACGAGACTCCCCTTCCGCCGCGCCTTCCCTATTCTCGTGCAGCGCGGCATCATCAATCTGCGACGCCAACCGGAACTCGCGTCGGGCCGGATAAGCCAGCTTGTAGGTTTGGGCATCGTGCTCACCGCATTCTTCACCCCACTCCGGTACGAGTATTACTCGGTCCAGACTCGCGCAGGATACATCCAGTACATGTCGAGTATGTTCTTCGTGGGCATGCTCAACGCGATCGCAATGTACCCGAGCGAACGCGACATTTATTACCACGAAGACCGCGACGGAACGTACCCTCTCGAAGCGTTTTACTTGTACTACTCGGCGCTCGAAGTTCCCATGGAATTGATCGCGAGTCTACTGTACGCCGTGCTGACAGTCTTCGCGGTGGGTTTGCCGCGCACAGCGGCACAGTTCTTTTTAATGGCGTACACGGCGTTCTGCCTCGTTTCGTGCGGCGAGAGTTTTGGCATTTTATTTCTCACCATGTTCTCGCACACAGGGCTCGCTGTGTCGGTCATGTCGGTTGTACTCTCGATCTCGGTGCATTTGGGAGGTGTGCTGAGTATTGGGATTGATGGGTTTTTGCAGGGCGTCAATCATATTTCGCCGGTTAAGTGGCAGGTTGGTGCGCTGATGAGCTATAGCTTCAGGGGCATTGAGTTTACGTGCACTGTTGACCAGAGGTTGAGTGATGGATCGTGTCCGATACAGAGTGGTGAGCAGGTGCTGGATTTGTATAAGTTGAATGTGAATACTGCGACTTGTGCGATTGCGCTCGGTGGAGTGACGATTGGGTATAGGTTGCTTGGGTATTTGGGGTTGAAAATCCGGAAGACGGATTGGAAGGGGCTGATGAGGAGGGGGAAGATTACGAAGTCATGAGATACCCAGGAGGGATGTCATGTTATGATGCATAGCGACTATATAGATGGCTGAAGATGCATACGCGAACGATACACTATGTCCTCGACCCCCTTTCTAGCCGCCTCCTACCCACCGATTCGGGCCCGGCCTTTGCACGCTCAAGTGCCACTTTTGTCGCTTCGTCGATGTCTTCCCGGGGCAGCCGCGGTGGTTTACAAGGTCGATGCCAAAGCCATGGGGAAGTGCAAAACTCCATTCGTACCAGACCCGCTTACGACTGCCATGTACGAGCTCTTTCCGGTCTTCTCGATGAGGTTTCGAGTGGCCACTGCAAGGATAAATGTCAGCGACCACAGTCGACGGCATAAGTACGGTCTTATATGAACTTGCCCTTGGGCTTTAGGATGAAGACATCATTCACGGTGTCTGGGGACCATTCGTTTGGCAGTCTATACGCTCGCAACAGGAATATGGAGTCAGCAACAATGTCTGATGTTCACGCTGATAATTCGGACATACATCCATGGTACTTCCGCCTCAGCAGCTGCCCTGACAAGCTTTTCTTCGATCTGCTGGATTGGAGATTGGCCACTGAGGGTGATGACCAGCGCATCCTGGCCGCGGAATGCTTCGACAAGCGGCTCAGGCTTGTCGTAGTCGATCTTGTGGATTGTCACGCTATCGGGAAACGTGCTTTGGCTGTCCAACCGCATGGCGGCGGCCGTGACAGTGTGCTTGCCTGCCTTGAGTAGGGCTTCTGTCATCCAACGACCAGAGTTTCCACCTGCTTGTATCAGGTTGGATGGTCAGTGTCGCACAGTGCATAGGCTATGAAGAGTCTATCACTTACGCCGACGATAGCAACATTTTTGATGTGGTTTGCCATTGAGGAGGCAGATCGTCAGGTCTTGTCTTGTGATATCCGAGTCTACGGAGTCGACCAGCAAAGGTGCTCCTTCTCAGCACGGTCTTGCATGATGCAAAAGAAGCAGATGATGCGCCTTATATACCGTGTGGTATCTTCGACCGGTGTGAATGCATAGTCGGTATCATGGTCGGCGTTTAGGGTGGACTCGGGTTGGCTATGTACACTGCATTCAGAACATAGTGGTGACGTGAAGACTATACTGAAGCGACAACCTCGCGAGGAGAACAAAACACATGGGCTGCACTGATTGAGAACAAGTCAATGTGTAGATGCTCGTGCATTTAAGATCGTGGATGTACTAACCAAGGCTCGCATATTAGGTTTTATGTAGGGGTTGCTTAGTAATTCCTGACTTCACATGCATAGACACAAACTCCAGTATTCACTATGAAATCAGAACTCTTCAATTAAAGTCCCTTTCCAGACCACCACACGCCCGCTAAATAGCTCCAAAGATCCATTCTGATACAGTAGGATCATAATAAGGTAGTAAACGGCACCCACAGGGCAAGGATCGTATCCCTAACTCACTCGGCTCATACGCCTCGAGCCAAAGATGCTGGTGCCTCTTTGGTGTCTTCACCAACTTTGGTTCTTCTGTTGAGCTTGGTTCGAATTGCTGCACCGTAATAGAAAAATAAGAAGGGAATCGCACCCATCCCAATGCCGATGAACGCCAGCAACCACGACGACCAGTTCAATCCAACGGTATTGTACATTTGTGTGGTGAATAGAGGAAACGCTGCACCACCACCGGATCGCAGAAAGACCTTGGCTGCCAAAGCAGAGGCGGCGTATTGCTGGTACGAATCGATGATATAGTTGTTGACCGAGTAATAACACAGAACCATTCCAAATCCGAAAGCAATGCCGGCTGAAGCTGGTCCAACCCAGATGATGTGCTTGTAAGAAGTAGCTCCGAGGATGAACAACGCAATAGGTATAAATGGTGCTCCAATCATGGCTCCGATCAACCGATCCTCAGGGGTTGGTGCCCGGCGCTTAATGATCGTCCTGAAATGCTTCTCGATCTGAGGTGTAACAACGAGAGCGAAGCTCGCTCCGATCAGGATGGGAATGAACATCAATCCAATCTGACCATCATTGTATCCGTAGAGTTTGCCAAAGATAACCGGATAGGCAAAGAAGAAGGCATAGAGCATAGCATAGATCAGGACGATGTACATACACATCAGGTCCAAAACCGGCTCAGTCATAATCATGGTGATTGGTCGAATCAGGCTGGTTCGGACGATCTCACGGAAGGTGAGTTTGACCTTTTCTTGCTCCGTGATGATGTTTTCATCTCCAGACTCCTTTCTGAGCTTCTTCGCTCGGCGTTTCAGGATCACAGGAGCGTATGTTTCGGGGACAAGGCCGACAATGATCATCATGGCCCCTGAGAAGGCCATGTTGACCCAGAAGAACAAATCCAGACGATGAGTTCCAATATTGATCCAACCGCACACAATCGGGCCGATAACAGGCCCGCAGTAAGGCGCAGCGGCGAAATATGCGATGGCTGTTCCACGCTGCTCAATGTTCCAGATATCCGCGATGGTGCCACCAGCCAATGACAGACCAGAGCTAGAGAAGACGCCACACAGAAATCTGCAGACAAGCAGGCCACCGATGTTGGGTGACAGAGCGCAAGGAATGTTGAAGATGGTGTACAATGCCAGGGAGACGATGTAGACAGGTCGTCGACCGATAATCTCGGACAGAGGACTCCATAAGAGTGGACCAATGGCGAACCCACAAACCATAATCGAACATGTGAGGATAGCGACTTCGAGCGAAACGTTGTACTTCTCCTCGATAAGACCTAAACCACCTGTGACAATCGACGAGCCGAAGGCGATACAAACGACCAGCATTGAGGCAACAATGGTGACGTACCATCGGTACAAGTTTGACCAGTTGTGAGGATTCTCCGGATCATTGATGCGGAAGGTGACGAACTCGACAGGCTCCTCTTCACCTGTTTTTTCGAGGTCTTCGTCAGAGGGGAGTCGTCCGCCTTGAGTCGCGAGTGAGGCTCTGGTCCGGATCTGCTCCAAAGTACGTTGCGGCACTAGACCAGTGGCAGTTTCGAGCGTGTACTCTTCTGGGAAGACCGGATTTTGCGGACGTGCAAGTTCGGGATAATTGGGATCTAACGGCGGTCGGCTCTCGGTGACGCCCAGTTCTTGCAGAGTTGCTCGAGTTTCGGTTCTGAGAAGTTGTAGGTTGATCGTCTGGCGCTGAGCCAAGTCAGCCTCCGGACTCACGGTCCGCTGATGAGATAGCCCGTGCTCAGAGGTCTCGTGAGGCTCTTGAGGCTTTGATTGAGACATTTTGTCGTATGTGGTGAGGATGGGATTGACAACTTGGGAAACTGTAGTATCAGCGTGCTACTGACAAGCTGGATGAAGTTGTCAAGGTAGTTTTCACGGAACATGATTTAATATTTAAGTAATGATCCTGTCTGTGGTTGTATCATTTGCACGCCGATCAATGTCCGACATATGGCCGCGTTAACAAATTTTAACGTCATGTCCAGGGCACTTACCAGAAGAGGCATCGACATACTTTCCCGGATGGAACTTCCCAAGTTCCCACTCTGCGATCGTTTAGGCGCGGACTCACGATTGGTCCAAGCTCGACCTGAGTAAGCCATTTGCACATGGTCAATATTCCCCATACGAGGCTTTTATTGGAATCGAGCTCCCTGGCCCATCCGTGGTTGTTGAGTCAAACATTGTTCTCGGTCAGAGTGCCGACAGTTTGCTTCGTTTGGGTCGACTTGAAACACGAAGATAGACGATGATAGTTCGGACGTGGCATGCGAGCTCATTGAGCTTTGAGCATCTCTTGATTCAATCATAGACAGGCGTCCATCGCGATCGGAAATCCCATCTGCGTCGTGGCTTGAGCGACGTGGGAAAGGTTGATCAGTGAGTTGGTGAAACACAGATTAAGAAAGAAAAGGAAAAGTGTTTGACCAGCAGGCCACGTGACTCCCAGGCACCGCCAAGGATTTCCGCGAACTAGCTGCATTAGCTCTGTCACGTGATCTGCATCTCCGTTTGAAGTCGCAACCATTCGATGAAGCAAGCGCGCGCGGCTGTCTCGTCTGTATTGAAACCACAAACAATCTGCCCGATGTCTTCTTCCTAACCCTCAATCGACCCTCTGCGACGAGCATCCCTCCCCCGCCCGGCCATTTTCCCAACCGCAATGAGCATGGCGTCAAGGAAGACCCAACAAGAGATTGACAAGACCTTCAAGAAGGTGGATGAAGGCATCCAAGCCTTCGAAGGCATATACGAAAAGATCTACACCTCCAACAATGCAGCGCAGAAGGACAAACTAGAAGATAACTTGAAAAAGGAGATCAAGAAACTGCAAAGATCTCGCGACCAGATCAAGACGTGGGCGGCCGGCAATGAGATCAAGGATAAGTCCGCCCTGCTCGAGCAGCGGAAGAGGATAGAGAAAGTAAGGTGTCTGCGCACGGGATGGGGTTCGGAACTGACAAAATCACACAGTGTATGGAAATATTCAAAGCCGTCGAGAAGGAGATGAAGACCAAGGCATTCTCGAAAGAAGGTCTATCTCAGAACACCAAATTAGATCCCAAAGAAAAGGAACGGGAAGAGCTGTGCGACTTTCTGTCAGATCAACTCGACGAAGTGAACAGAATCTTGATCGAAGAGCTGGAGCCAGAAGCTGGGAACATACAGACCGCGCTCAAAAAGAAGCAGAAAGATAACTCCAAGGCGGATCGACTTGCGGAGTTAGAGTCCATGACCGATACATACAAATGGCACGAATCCCGACTGCAGCTACTCCTGCGATCTTTACAAAACGGCAATGTCGACAACGATGCCGTTGCCGCTATCAAATCAGAAATCGAGGATGTGGTGAGGGATGGTAAAGAGCCTGACTTTGACGCGGAGGCCTACGAGGGCATCTACGACGATTGCAACCTGGACAGCGAAGAGGCGCAATTCGGATTGAACAATGAAGGGGAACGAATGTCGTCGCAAGATGCGCAGTCTGTTCAAGAAGAACCCGAGCCAGACCCGAATACCGTGAAGAAGACAAAGGTCGAACACATTCCCGCCAGGCGGCCCTCCACGCAACTCAAGTCTCCTCTACCTGCCCTTGCAACACTAAATACTATGCCACCTCCACCTCCAATACCCAAAGACACCACCATGAAACCAGCGCCACTACCTAACCGACCTCCTGGGGAGACTTTGAAGTACGCATCAGCAGCCGCCGCTGCTGCTGCAAGCGATAAGAGTGGAGTTGGGATTGCACCTCTTCCTCCTCCTATTGGGGTCAGCCCGTCACCTGGTACATCTCATCCCTTACCAGCCCCGGTCAGAACGTCTGCCGAACCGTCTCCGGCCTCGGTGCCTGCACAACCGGTAGAGGAGACAGCGTCGCCAGCCCCTGTTGCAGCCAGCATGGACGGCTCGACATCCCAAGAACAGTCCAGCCACTCCAAATCTCCCACGCTCAGCTCCGCGAGTGCTCCGGGCGCGAGTGTCCAGAGCAGCATTCCAGCGACGCCTGCGATGGAGACATCCGAGGCTGTGCAGGAGCCCGTGATAGCGGACGAGCTACCTACGACGAATGGTGATGCGCATGAAGATCCATCAGTAGTGGAATCAATATACCATCTGCCTCCGGGGCTACAGGATCTCTTGGACTCATTCGAAACGACCAAGAACCGAGCAGCTCAACCTCCGTCACAGTTGGCAAGACTACTGCAGGCTTCACAGGATACGTGTCCGGAACCTTCGGACAGCGACCGGCCGCAACACTATCGTCCGACGCTCAAGTACAATACTCCGGCACATTACCCACAGGATGTTCTTCCCATATTTGACGATCCGGCCTTGTACGATAACCAGAGACTGGAGACAGACACACTGTTCTACATTTTCTACTATCGGCAAAACACCTACCAGCAATGGCTTGCGGCCCGTGCTCTCAAGAATCAGAGTTGGCGGTTCCACAAACAATATCAAACGTGGTTTCAGCGGCACGAGGAGCCGAAGCAAATTACGGAAGAGTACGAACAGGGCACGTATCGATTCTTTGACTACGAGAGCACCTGGTAAGGCATTGTCTTTTTCTTCTTCGGTTACATGTTTGTTCTAACTTGGGCTATAGGATGAATCGCCGGAAGGCTGACTTCAAATTCGTGTACAAATTCCTGGAGGATGATCTGTAAGATAGCGTACCGAAGCGGCCTGGCTACCTTGCTGTCCGTCGGCTTCCTGCATGCATGACATGTTGCAGACCACAGAACGCTCTCACCTCGCAAAGACGAAGAGTGCAACAGAGCCTCGTTCTCAACCTCCACACAGCTTCCTTTCTTGGAATTTCCTTGCATAGTCGTTCCTCGGAGTAGCCTTCGACCTCCCCCCGAACCGCTCTGTGCAATATGATCCATCCTCTTCTGCATACTGGACTAACTGTACTCCCTTTCAAGGTTTGATAGAAATGGTCGCCTACTCCGCCTCACTCTTTCTGTGCTACGTCGTTGGTGTGAAGGAGCGGGTGGTCACTGAGGCAGGGTGGCTATGGCCGGAAGGCAACCACGCCAAGCCCAATCCGGATTGAAACCATGTCTCCCAAGGCTGGAGACGAATCGCCTTACTGGCTCGCATCTGCTTCAGCCTCTCAGTACCCCTCTGTATTTCTGTACATGCCCTTTCTCATCATCGATGTCTTGGAGGTGCTAAACTGCATGAAAAGGCAACCTTGCAGCATGGTACTTACAACCCGCAGACTCCGCCATGCTTCTTCCGGGCCATTCTGACACGGTGATACCATGCTATGGCCCTGCTTCAGGGCAACCCGGTGACCCAACCGTTATGCTACCAAGCTTCGATACTTACCGAACTCAATATCCCGTCACCTCCTTCGCTTAGTATCGCCCTTGATCGACACCTCCAGCCCAACGGCAGTCTCCCGCGAGAAATTGCGGTGGACACACCGACATACGAGCGGGCAGTGTTACCTTATTTTGTTTGTATTCATCAAGCGGGACAGGCAAACTGCACATCCGTGTCGACTGCTAGCAGAAACCTTACGAGGGCAGCGAATCATCGTGTCGCAGACGCCCTTTCACTGTTCTACTCTCCAGAAAGGATGAGCCTTGCAAGAAGCCTTGTTATGGGTAGTCGCAGGTTGTTGGGGGTGGTCCGCACTCTGCCTCCCGTCACCCGCGTGTGCTCGGGGTTGGTCTCTCAAACACGTGGGAGATCGATCAGCCATCCTTTACATCTCTCTTCGCTGTGAACGAAGTCTTGTGGTCATGTTGACATGACTCTAGGTACTACAATGCGATCAACATCTCAACTCATGTTCTTCGTAGCATTCCAGAACAGATCTACAAAGCTCGCTTGAGGAGTTGGGACGTCACGAGCCGTACCCAAGGCTGCTTTGACTTTCCGTGATAGGCTGTTACTCTGCGCTGTCATGTCATCGTTTTGGTGCAACGTGCAGCCTATTGTGCACCAGCCTCAAGCAAGACGACTATCGTTACAGCCCGCTTTACATTTCCGAATGCCGAGGATCCGCCTATTCACACTCGACAGCCCGATTAGGGACTACTTGAGTCAACGCTTGAGCCTTAATTAGCTGCCCATCGGCCTCCTAGGGGACATCAGGCTGGATGATTTCCCACTTCTACAAGATTTTGTGAACTTCATCGAGATGCTTTGCTCGTTCAGGTCGTGCTAGTATCTCGAGTACTTGACCCAGCAAAGCCAGGAGTCTATCGAAGCATGTCATATTCACCAACAACATTTGCACCGAATCACTTTTGGCGGGAGGGTTATCAGCAGCAGCAGTCTCAGCCGCAGGTCCTTGCTACATCCTTCCATGGTTTTGGACATCGCGCGGCGCCCCATCATCATTGTGCCGTCTCAACAGAGGTCTGTTATAGCCAGCCGAGATACCTCCCACAGTACGATCTCGCACGATCGTCAACTTACCATGAACACGATCGCGATGAATCTTACATTGCCTCGAGCGACAGTCATGGTGCCAAAGGCAGGAGTCTTAGTGGTACAACCACTGACATCACTGACTACGAGGAGGCGGTAGTGAGCAACAGTCCGCAAACAACCTACTTCCTCGACGAAGCAGGCGGTCAGTACGCTATCACCGGTCGTGTGCCAGATGAGGCTGAAGAAGAAAGCCCACATGGAAGCCGCGACCGCTATCTGCTGGATTACGGACAGCTTGAGAATGGGACTTACCACGTTGCACTTGCCCAACACGATGGAGGCGTTGGTGTCTCAAGCAATAGGTGAGAATCACATTTCTCAAACCCATTCCGTGTGCTTGTACCCTGAAAACGTTCAATTCTGCTTGGCAACATGTTCAGATCCTGCTTCAGCTCCTCGGCTCAAATGTGGTCACATTTCTTCTGACATGTATGCAGCCTAACCGCAAGAATGAAACTACCCTGCCCGCACTCAGACTGCATAGGAAGAGATGGAAGACCGAAGAAGTTTTTTAGCCGCAAAGCGGATGTCACGAGGCATGTCAGATCTCAACATCAAAAGACCTTTATCGATTGTCCACGATTGAGATGTAACAGAAAGGGCACACGTGGTTTTACCAGAAAAGACCACCTTACCGAGCATCTACGAGGGTTCCATATGGAGGATCATGCTAAACGACAGGCCAAGAAGAATACCAGGAAGCGCAAGATCAAGCTACATTTTGAAGGGAAAACACCGCCAAAGCCCAGTCCGTCTTGTTCCACGCTGCCGGAGACTGTCCCGAAGGCTGGCATCCAGGATTCTGGTGATGAAGACTGGCTCTCGCATGGCCACGAGCCAGAGCTGGACACTCCAACACCGAAAGAAGAGGAAGAAACCTTTGCAGAGTTGAATACTGTCTACCATGGACATGAAGCGGACACTCATCGCAACATATCTACAAGCCCTGGTCAGCGTCATGTCCCCATGGACGAGCATGGCCAACAGTGGGGTGACCAGCAGCATGAAACCTATCACGGATTTCAGTGGCAGCGTTCCCAGGCCACTGGCTCACCAGAGATATCTACCACTCAGGCGCACACCATGGTCAATGCGGTACCACAAATGTACACTCCTTACGAGAACCTGGACCATTTCATTCACAATGCACCGGCGCGACAACTCTACCATTCCTCTCACACATTCCCAACCAGTCGGTAGCTGGACCGAGGGCATGAGCGTTGTCACTCTATCATCATCTTCGGCGGACCGAACACAACACTCGTTTTGCCAGAGTCGTCTTCTCCTCACAACATTTTATTGAAACCTTCAGGGGTTCCCATGGGTCATACCCTTTTCTTATTGGCGTTTCTTCTCGAACCAGTCGTGGCAGATCTGATGATGTTATGAATTTATGATGGAAGGTATGACTCCTAACTGTCGTTGCGGCCATGCAGCATGCAGCATGAGCGTTTGGAAATGGCTTTTTGTTGGCCGCCTGATGATTCGCTTTTGAAGTCCGTGGGTTCCCAGCGGCGTGCAGCAGAATACGGATGTGCCCTAGGGAGCCATCACAGACAGATACCCTTCTTGTAAACCTTTTCTTTTTGGCTTCGTTCTTGATGTCATGAAGTACTCTACAAACATTATATTGGAGGATGGTTTAGCTGTCTGTAGCAACACAAAGGGAAGGCTTTTCACCTAAGTGAACACATACGAGTGATTTGTGAACCCTCGCTATCGATCGCGCGCTTCATGACTCTCGAACTCCGACTTCAGGCTCGGCCTATGACACCGACCTCAAACAAACTCAGGATTCTCGAGTATGAATCCATTCTTACGGAGATTTATTATGGTCGAATGATCTTCCGCCCCCACAGTCTTCCTGGACTCCCTTTCAGGCAATATCGACATCTATGAGGTTTAGGGGCACGGAGACTTAAGGCCCAATATTCCTCCGCCCCCACTCGTAGCGCCCAGCAATTTGTCAGCCTTGTCGCTCCTTTCCTTCTTCACCACAGATATCCAATGCCCGAACCGAAGTCCTTTCATTGCTATTTATCTAGCAAGGCATAGACTCACATGAACATTGGTAGGATGTGGGCTCGGCCACGGCGACCTATGGCCTGGCCTTACCGAGCATGATGGCGCAATCGAGCCCATCACCGCATCATCGCTGACTTATCAAGCTTGATTCAGCACGGCGTTGACAATGGCCGTCGAGAACCGTGGTAAGTTCATGAGAGGTAAGCGTGTACGGTGTACGCAAGCACGAATACCCTACTGTGTGGGTAAACCAAGGAGTATATATAGGCCCCTTGAGAGTCCTCTTGAGACTCAGAAGCAACACCTCACTCCGGTCGACCAGCTAAGCTACAGTACCTACCTAGCCGAATCTTCAGAGGACGAAACCACCTCAACTCAAGACATCGAGCATTTAACATCCAGTCCATTATACAGATTCCTGGACCTAGGGACATATCCTCAAGGCCAGCAGACATGGCAGATACAAGTCCAATTGTCCTCATCTTCGGCGCTGGCCCCAACATAGGCAAACACGTCGCCCAATCCTTCGCCGCAAAGGGCTACCAAATCGCACTCGCATCACGCACCGACCGCCGCGACACTGACAGCACCTCCGACAACACAATCCACATACCCACCGACCTGAGCAAACCAGAACTCATCGCCGATGTCTTCGCACAAGTCGAACAAAGACTCGGCGCATACCCATCCGTCGTCGTATACAACGGCGCCCTCCGCATTCCGGACGACAAAGACGACCCGCTCGGCAAAGGCAAATTCTCCTTCGACACTTACAACAAAAAATTGGCCGTAAATCACCTCTCCGTTCTACAGGCGTTGCACCATGCTGTTCTGGGATTTCGTACCCTTCCCGCCAGCGCATCCAAGACTTTCATTTTCACAGGCAATATATTGAACAGCAGCACACGCCCTGGCGTTATGAGTTTTGGTATCCAAAAAGCTGCGACGGCTTATGCGATTCGATATCTTGCCGAGCAGAAGCCGTATGAGAAGGAGGGGATCACGTAAGCTCAAACTTTCCCTACGCCTATCCTGTACGTCCTACATGCGATATCCCACCATTATCGTTGTTCTCGTCTTTTGCTTGTGGGCTGGATCGGGACCCGAACTGACTGTGCGTTGCATTTCTAGATTCTACTATACCGATGAACGCTCCCCTACAGGCGACGCGGTGTACTTGGACATCAACGGGCCCGCGGCGGGCCCGGAGTATGTGAGATTGGCGGAGAGGAAGGATCAGGGGCCGTGGCTGCACACATACATCAAGGGCCAGGGTTACAAGGACTTTGGTGGCGATATCAAACAGTAGGCGAGAGGGGGGTGTCCTGCCTTTGTACACAGACATTGGCACGCTAGCCACAGGCATCAAGGGATGTCCCTGCAATCTTGTGGGCTGTTGTGAAAGAACGCGGTTTCGAGTCAAGTGGAAACGCAAGCTTTGGTAGAAGACCTTTTCTGATTCTGATTGCTATGTCACATTTTGGAGCTTCCTGTCTTTGTTCACAGTATCTTGCTCAATGTTTTGTGTCTAAGCTCTCTTTCTGCACTCTTCTCATCGTTCTCCTCTCTTTCTTTCTCCATGTCTTGCTTGTTCGACTTCGATTAGACCCGTGCAAACGTCGCAGACATCACGGTCCACATGGTAGACTGCCATTTGGCGTCAGAGCCAGGAAGTCAAGGATTGGACTTCTTATCTGGGCGCAAGATGGATCACCAGCCGCCACCAGACACAACTGGCGCTGGCGCAGCGTAGTCGTTGCCGCCTTGTTCCCAATCAGCAGGTGCAGAGCTGGAAGTGTTGTTGGTCGCCCAGCCACCACCACCGGCCTCAGCCTCGCCCTTTGGAGCCGCATTCTCGTTGTCAGCAACATATCCAGGATCTCCCTGTTGGGCATTTGGGCATCTGGCACGACCGTGACCAACCTGTTGACTAAATAAATGATCAGGATCGACTCCATCAAAGGGTTTGGTCCAGGACTTACCAGACGCTGCAGGTGACCTTGCTCCAATCGGTGCGAGGACGAGGTCCGGCCTCATCTTTCTTAGGACAGTCTCTCTGAACATGGTCTTCGGCTTCACAGATGCGACATCTCTGCTTGCGAGGTTGGGGACAATCCTTGGAAATGTGATCCTCCTCACCACAGTTGTGGCAGGTTCTCACCTCGCGATTTGGGCACTCTTTGGCCATATGATCCTCATCTCCACAGTTGCGGCAAGCTCGCTTCTCGCGGTTAGGACATTCCTTGGCAAGGTGTTCCTCGGATTCACAGATCTTGCAAGCACGTCCCGCCTTTCTGCGTTCTTGGGTGCAATCACGAACACGGTGACCATCTTCGCCGCAAAGGTGGCACTGAACTTTACTCTGCTCTCTCTCCATCTTCTCCTGAGGGCACGCCTTGGACTTGTGACCAAGGTTGCCGCAATTATTGCATTTGTCGACTCCACGATCGAGTGGGACACCAGAATCGGCAAGGCGGGCCAGGTTGTCCTCAGCTGAGGTAGGCCATTTCTCGATAAGGGTTGGACGTTGAGGCTTGTCAGAGAGGAAGTAGCTAACAGCATACTTCTTGCCGACTTCACCTTGAAGATTGACATTGGTCCAGGTATCACCATGATCTTTCTCCTGTGGCAGTATTAGTAAAGACGAGACACGCAGCACCCATGGAAAAGATCAGACGAACCATCGCAATGAGATAGATATTGTAGCCACGCTTGCGGAATTCTTTCTCGAGACGAGGATAGGTGTAATCGGGCGCGGTCTTGGACAGGATTTGGACGGCTTCCTTGAAGTCGGTGATGTCTCGTTCGTCACTGGCCTCCTTGAGCAAGGTCCAGGCCTCACCCTCGGATTTCTCAGCGACATGGGCATTGTCGATCACTTTTGGATTCTTGCAGTCCATGGCAGTATGACCTATTTAACAGTCAGTTGGCAGCTTTGTCGCAGTAGCTCAGACACGACAAACCCTCTTGCTGGCAGTTCTTGCACTTGTCAACTCGAGTTGGGCAGTCACTACTCATATGACCTGCAATTGGTATTAGATGCTGTGGTTTTCCTCCATCACGAGTATAAAAGCCCACCTTCTTGACCGCAGTTGCGACATTCACCCTTGAACTTGCGTGGATTTGGGCATTCTGCCTTGGACTAGACGTATTGTTAGTAGTAGTCGAAAGATTGGAGACAGCGTTTCATACATGACCCTCCTCGCCCTGCGATAGCGTCAGTAGTGTCAAGTAGATCGATGGAGCAGGACTTACACAATTGAAGCATGCACCCATCTTTCGTGGCTCGGTGCAGTCACGGGCAAAGTGACCCTCTGAGTCGTGTCAGCGTTCGTGTTGGACCTTATGAACACCGATCTTACCTTGACCACAGTTGCGACAGGCATCACCACCGGCACCTGCATCACCGTTCTCACCACCTTCAGCAGCGAAGCCGCCGTTGTACTCGCCATTGGTTTGGCCGCCGGTGTTGTCATCGAAGGTAGCTGCGTTGCTGCCACCGCCATCTTTCCAATCAGCACCACCGTCATTCCATTTGGCACTGCCACTCGCATCGCCAGCGTCCCATGACTGGGTGCCTGGAGAATAGTCAGTATTGTTTGTCAACAGTCTTTCGTTTGTGGAAGCAATGGCCAACGACTGTGAGATTCATGCTCTTCGATCTGCCATAGACCAGGGATTTTCCAGCAGGGTTTAGTGGCACGCCTTGTGCGTCTCCGCTGTCTGACGAGCCACCATTCCATGGTGACGTAGCAATTGAGGATGGAGTAGTGAGAGGTGTGAAAGAATTGAAAGGGTATGGAAAGGGCTGAAGGGATTGGAGAGTACTCACCAGCCGCAGCGCCAGGAGTGTCCCAGCCGCTCATCTTTGAGGGGTTCGCTTTCTTGAGATCAGTATGACACGTTAACAAATGCGGTGAGAAAAAGCGGAGAAGAGGGTGCGTCGTGTGATTTTTGTAACAGTCAATCGTGGTGTTTGTTTGGAAGGAAGGTGGCCAGGTGGAGAGGGTGAGACAAAAAACTCTGATGAAGGTGCAGACAGGAAGCGTGTGAAAGTGAAGTGAGGTGGAAATTTCGAAAAGGGGCGGCAGAAAGGGTCTGGCAATGATGATGAGGCTTTGTCTAGTTTTCCACAAGTGTCTTGCTATGCGCAGCCCACGAAGCTCGCTCTCTCTAATCCGCGACAGCGCCTTCTTATGGCATGGGGAGCTTCTTTGTTGTCACAGTGATGGAGGAAAGGAAGCTGAAGGGGTGTTTACCTGGAGAAACGGTGTTAGCAAAGACACAGTCCTGAACGGATTTCGTGCTTCGTGGTTCGCTTACCTGAAGAAGGCGACTCTGGTCGTGATCAGGTGAACGACTGCTCAGCAGTCAGAAACAGAGATGACAGCTTGAAACCTTGCGCAGGAGGAGCAAAAGGGAGAAATTGTGATAGATTGAGTGATGGAAGAGAAAACGAGTTGCGTGGTTGCAAGTGGACAAGTTCACTCCCAAGCAACCGTGGCCTCGGCCTACTCTTTTGCAGTCTCGTCAAACACACTCAATTCTTTCCGCCAAGGCGATATCAAATTGGGATCGCGATGCCAGTGCTCGGGTTCACGCTCTTTGCCGTTCCGAATGAGGCGTTCATTGTCTCTCCTTCCAGGTATTGTCGTGGCGTGTCCTTCGACACAAAAACCTCGAAGCACGAGGGTCTGCACACAGTCGCTAATTACATCTCGTCCCTGGGAAGCCGCCTGAACTGTGAGAAAGTACAGTGCATCTCCCTGGAACGTTCTGGGAGGTCTTCTTCCTGTCCATCGGGTGTTCGTTCATCCCAATGGCCTCAGGACAACGACGACGATTCATGAGATACATTCAGCATTCATGACACAACACCAGGACGACAGCGTCCGGAAGAAACAAACGAGACAGCTGCCGCGTCATTCTACCACTGTGTCCCTCTAATGGCCAGGAATGAGCCTTCTTCCCATCTTGCGACAGGTCTTGCGTTCCCCAAGAGCACTTCCAGTAGCCCAGAGTTCCCCATCAAAAGCATTCTCCTCCATCAGTGCTTCAGGACCACGAGACTTTCTCAATGACAGAGGTTCAAAAACTAAAGGACATGTTTGTTCGACGTCAGGAGTAAGAAGGGAAAGCAGGAGGTTGCTCCTAGCACTGGAACAACAGATGCGACGTCAGGCCAGGTTCTTGGCATCCGGCCCGCAATCATTTGGCACCACTGGCACTCGGTGGTTGCCGCCATGGTAGGGTTATTCGCTTCACACGTTTGCAATGCACCATAGAGGCAAGCCGACTGGGGGATCAGGCAAATGGCGACAATAGCGGATCGTAGACATACGTGAGATATAATCAGCTTCAAGCAAAGTCTTTCATTGAGGTGGACGCCCAGGCCCGTTGAGCCGCAAATGACATTTTTATTGCTGATAGACAACCATGTGGCGCCTATGCTCTTACCCTGCAGGCAGTGATCCATTCAAGCAGACCTATTTTGCACCGAACCTCTCCATACAGATTATCTAAGCATAGCCTCACTAGCCTGTGGGCTCACTCATGGCCTCACAACCCGCGAACCCAAAGCCTCAAACCGCTGGCTGCAGCACCAATCTCGCACACCTCGCAAATCTTGCAGACCTGTCCTTTGTACTGGCTCTGGTATTTTGCACCATCGAGTGGGCATGAAACACTCTGCGCACCAGTGTATATGGGAGTATACGAAGCTGCGCATATGTCGAACTCGGCAAACTGGTCGTACTCGATATCAATCTTGTCGCTGGAGCCAGATCGTTCTGCTTGTTGCTTGACTTTCTTTGCCTGCAAATAGTTAGTGACCGAAATCCAAAGTGACAAAAAGTACTGACCTGTTCAACCAATTTCGGCGCACCACCGTTGGCCAGTACGCGATTGGCAAACGATAAAGCACTCGAAAATTGCTTGTTAGAGAAAGCTAACTTCATGGCGGCCATTAGGGCCAGTTGTCGGTGGGAAACGTCCATCTTAGGGACGGTGAAATAAGCTGAAAGTTCCAATTGTCGCTTCAGTTGTTCTTCTGAATCTCCACCCGTGGCTGCGAGTTGGCGTCTTTCAAGCTCGATACTCATAGCAAGAGTGTATTCCATGGACTTGGCGATGAGTGCCTTGGCTTCGTCGACTTGCGCCTCGGAGCCCACAACATTGACAAGGAGAGACTGCAGAATGTTCTTGAAGGTAGCCACACCATTTTCTAACTTGTTCGTCCGCATGGCAATGTAACCCTCTTGCAAGTCAGTGTTGCTCAAAGTCTCCAGGGTTGCGGGGATAACGGGTAATAGCTTTCGGTTGTCCGTCTCATCGATGTTGCGGCGCACATAGTTCAAGATGGGGGGCAGTCCAGCATTGGCGGGTAGATACGTCTTTGAGGCTTGGTAGATTTCCAAAAACCTCGGTTTGAGAGGGGCGAAGTTGACAGCTCCCACTTGGCGGTTCATCAACTGCATGGCACTTTCGAAAGACCCAGCAGCGACGTGGTCGGCCGCAAGAGGAGAGTTTCTAGCCCACATATCAGCTTCTGAGCTTCCAGGTCCGGCAGCCTCGGCAGGGACATCAGGATTGTCGACGTTGACGTATTCTGAATCATTTCCAGCGGCTTCGAGTCCAATGTCGTCTCCCATGTCCCAACCTTCGACAGCGTCGGCGTCATCCTCTGCGGCGGCCAATCCATTCCCGTCTGCAGTCACAGGGAGGTCCTCATTCAACAGATCAGGTGTTGCTTCGTCCTCACCGCCCACGCCGACTTCACCAAGTAGCGCCTTCTCGAATGACGAATGTGATGCTTCCTTGACAGGCCAATTTGCCTTGTATGTCGGAACGATGACTTTCGGGGTTGTAAGGCTTTGCCCAGACTCCGGCATGGAAATTTGGTCTTCTGTCAGACCGGAAAGCTCGAGGATAGACTGGCATTCTTCTGTCAGGCCGTGTGATTTTGCAGTCAGATAAGCAAGTGGGTATAGATCGATCTCCTTGAACATTTGTATGCGGCTCTCCACATCGCCCAGATAAAGAGCATTTTGGAACCTTGAGACAAAATCTCCACGATGTTCTGCGATTTTGGCCATCCTCGTCAGCTTCTCTTCATCACCCGTACACAAATACAAGAACGACAATTTATCGAAGTTGCGTAATTTCTGGTAGGTCATCTCAACGGTTTGGTGGTTGCCGTGGATCAATGCTTCAGCACCTAGACGTGTCCAGATCTTCGGTCTGTCAAGCTCTTTCGCCATTTCGGTGGCAACCTCCAGGTTGCCGCACTCAATCGCAAGCTCAAATCTTGTCTGAGGATCCTGTACGAACTGCAAAGCAATCTCGGGGTAACCCTTCTTCTGGAGGTAAGAGATGATGCTCTGCCCAACGAGAGTGGAGTTTTTGATGATCTGAAGCATTTCGTCGTAGTTGCGCTTGACTAGGCTTAACTTGAAGCGATATTCTGTGGGGTCGACGTTGAGGATTTTTGGTTTGGCAGCCCGATCGAGACAGTAAACATTGCGACCCTTGACCTTGACTAGATAGACTGTCTGATCAAGTGTTCTGACAATGCCGTTGTCGCCATTGAGCAGGGTGTACTTGATGTGGTTGAGGGTGGAATAGAGGAGAACCCCGGAGTCGTCCCACGTGGCGCTTTTGATTCTTATGGTTTCGTGTAAGGTGCTGACTTGCTCGAGAGACTTGTTGACAATGGTGACATTATGCTTGCTGAGCAAAGCTGCATACAGCCCATCATTTGACCACGACACATACTTCACTCCGGTCACGCCAAGCTCGGCCAACTGTTTCTTCTGTTGAATGTCATAGAGAACGACATTGGTTGGTGTCAGCAGAAGCAGACACCCAGTGCCACCATATGTGACGTCGGTCGTGCCAGCCGGAGCTTTGAAGGACTTTGTGGTTGAGTTGCTCAAGTCCTTGATCTCGACGAGCTGTGTCGATGAATTGTAAACGGCAAAACGGTTCCTGGCGACGAAGACCGCAGCATTTCCTGAACCACGCTTGACGTCTGTCGGGTCTGACGCGCCAGTGCCATCCCGTGGAAGAACGATCAATTCGTAAGTGCCACCGTCTGAAGGCGATGTGACGAGGATCGAACGTTCAGCAGGATTGTAGGAGATTGTACGGGGAGGTACCCAGTTGCTGCCAAACTTCCTAAGCGATAGCAATGATGGTGATTCGACATTCTTGGTGAAGTCGTATGATCGGACATGCTTGTCCTTGGTAATGTAAAACAGCTGATTCTGATACATCGAGGACGCAGGTCGCTCCCGTTCAAGCTTGAAGACCATAACTCCATTGTCATGTCCAGCAGCGAATAAATTGATTTCAGGGTGTGCGGCGATGACCCAGAAGCGATCATTCTCTCGTTTGAAAGATTGGACGGACGTTCTCTTGTTCAGATCCCATACTCGAACTGTCTTGTCTTCGCCGACGGACAAGATAAGGTCTTGGTGTGGATGGAACAGACACGCGGACACGTTTTGGAAATGCCCACGACATGTATCGACTTCCCATGCTTTTGTCTCGCTCATTCTCCACAGTTTTACCAGGCGATCATCACCAGCTGATACGATCAATGGCAGGGTAGGGTGGAATGCGACCCAGTTCACGCCACGATCGTGACCCTCAAGGACGAATTTGACCACGGCATCGGTGTTTCCGAACATGTCAGCTTGTTGTTGGTTTGCTCGTGCCATCTGCTCCTCGAAGTTCATGGAAGTCGGAGCGGACTGCTTCTTGCGCAAACCCGAGATATCCCATACTCGAACGGACTGATCTAGGGAGGCCGATACGATGAGGTCTTCTTTGGGATGGAATTGTGCGCACATGGCATAGTGATTGTGACCAGTCATTGTGCAGACTGAAGTCCTGTTAGCTGCGCGGCCTGAAGACAGTACTGGAGAACGTACTTAGCGACCGGTTTTGCCAGTTCCAAATTCTAATTGTCTGATCATCCGAGGCCGACAATATCCATGGTAGTTCATGGTGAAAGAAGACAGTTCGAACGTAGTCGAGGTGACCGTTGAGAGTGAAGAGACATCTTCTGGTTTGGTAGGACCATACTTTGATCTTATAGTCGTCTCCACCAGAAACGAAGAGAGGTTGTGTCTTGTGGAAATCAATGCCGCGGACTGGTCCATCGTGTTCCTCGAAGCGGTCTATCAAGGTGCCCATCCTGTAGTCCCATAGCCTGCGAGATGCGGTCAGTCTGAACCAGGGAAGTTATGATGAGGGAATCTCACTGAATAGTGCTGCTGTGCAAGCTGACGAGGATCCATGGTCGCTTCGGGTGGAATGCTAGGCCTTTCGCTCGACTGCTCTTGCTCTCGAACTGCATCTCGTGTTAGTGTTGTAGCATTGTCAGGTCCGGAGGTGACCTGCCTTTGTGAGCATAGAAGGGGACGCCATGTCGGCGGATTGCAAGTCGTGAGGCGGAGAATGACGAACTCAAGGGCTGCTCATCATCAAATTGGACGCCTCTTGACTGCTCGAGGTAAACTGTGCGTAGGAATAAAGGCGCGTTCACAATGTTGTCTGTCTCTTTCAAAATGGTAAACGTGGCTCCGCGACAGGGGGAATTTAGTGGTAGCCCGCCCGCAGGTGCGGAGTGCGGAAGGTACGGCGAGCTCTCGCGCACTTGGCTGAACCATCCACTTCATTTGGTTCCTCAAGTTGACAGTAAACTTGACAGAGTGGCCGAGCGCGTATACAAGTTCCCAGAGGCCAACTAACAAACTCCAAGCCCATCTTGCGTCGGGGCAGGCTCTACCTAAGAAGCACAATCTCATTTCGATCAATTTGACCTCTCCGGCCGCCTTCACCACCTCTCATTGCATCTTCCAGCATGCACTGTTGAAGCCGGTCCGGGTCACGAACATACCAAGATGGATCAAGCACAGTACGATGCGATTAAGGACAATTGGGCGGAGGTGGAGGATAGAGATGGCGTCAGACTCAGCTGGAACATTATCCCATCGTCGCGCATGGTTGGTGTTTAGGGTTCATATCCAAGAATGAGACTGACGGCTTGTAGGAAGCGAACAGACTGGTGGTACCTCTGAGTGTGATGCTCACACCTCTGAAGGTAAGCGCAACTCTGCAGAGTCAACAAATGTTTGCTAACGTGCTCATAGGAGCTTAACAAACCTCTCCTGAACTACGAACCTGTTACCTGCAAGCCTCCTTGTCGAGCAGTCCTCAATCCATTCGCGAATGTTGACGTTCGGGCAAAGATATGGATATGTCCCTTCTGTCTGCAGAGAAATCAATTGCCTCGTCACTATGGAGATATCAGCGCCGAGAACGTCCCTCCAGAGATGCACAGTCTAAACACCACAGTTGAATACCAACTTGCTCGACCTGCGCCAGCTCCGCCGATCTTCGTCTATGTCGTCGATACCGCGATAGAAGATGACAGCCTGCAAGCCTTGAAGGAGACCTTGGTCATGAGCTTGTCATTACTTCCTGCGAACGCACTGGTTGGATTGGTCACGTTTGGCACAAACGTCGCTGTTCATGAGATAGGATATACAGAGTGCCAGAAGTCATACGTGTTCAGGGGGAGCAAAGACTATGCCGCAAAGCAGGTCCAAGAGATGCTCGGCCTCGCAGCCCCAGGACTGAGACCCAACGTTCCTCCGCAGCAAGGCCGACCTCCTCCACCAATGGGACCGGCAGCTCGATTCCTCCTCCCAGTTCAACAAGCCGAATTTCAGATTACAAACGCGATTGAACAGCTACAGAAGGATCCGTGGCCTGTTGCAAACGACCGTCGTCCACTAAGAGCGACAGGTGTTGCTATGAGCATCGCTGTGGGCTTGTTGGAGACCTCGTTCCAAAATGCAGGAGCTAGAATAATGCTCTTTGCGGGTGGTGCGGCTACAGAAGGTCCCGGCCTTGTGGTTGGTCCCGAGCTACGTGAACCCATTCGATCACATCACGACATTGATCGTGATAATGTCAAATACTTCAAGAAGGCTATGAAGTTCTACGAGACGTTGGCCAAACGAACGGCTCACAACGGACACATCATTGACCTCTATGTCGGCTGCCTCGATCAAGTTGGTCTCCTCGAGATGAAGAGTCTGGCGAACTCCACTGGTGGCCATATGGTCTTGACAGACAGCTTCACTTCGTCCCAGTTCAAGCAGTCGTTCGTACGAGTCTTCGACAAGGACGAGAATGACAACCTCCTTATGGGATTCAATGGCTCACTTGAAGTCGTTACGACAAAAGAGCTCAAGGTCACTGGCCTTATTGGGCATGCTGTATCACAGAACAAGAAGTCAGCCTCTGTTGGCGAGACCGAATGTGGCATTGGAAACACGTGTCTTTGGAAGATGTGTGGTGTCGATCCCACATCGAGTTATGGTGTTTACTTTGAAGTCGCCAATCAAGGTGGCCCGACACCAGTTCAACAAGGTCCGCAACGTGGCATGATGCAGTTCTTGACCTACTATCAACACTCTTCTGGACAGTATCATCTGCGCGTTACGACAGTCGCAAGGAATCTTAGTGGACCTGCCGGTGATCCAGCCTTGGCACAATCCTTTGACCAAGAAGCTGCTGCAGTACTCATGGCGAGGATTGCAGTCTTCAAAGCCGAGGTCGACGATGGTCCCGATGTATTGAGATGGGTCGACCGAATGCTCATTCGACTCTGCTCACGCTATGCAGATTACCGCAAAGACGATCCCACCTCCTTCCGACTCGACAAAAACTTCACTTTGTATCCCCAATTTATGTTCCACCTTCGCCGATCGCAATTCTTACAAGTGTTCAACAATTCACCAGATGAAACTGCATTCTACCGGCACGTGCTCAACCATGAGTACGTTGGCGACTCTTTGATCATGATACAGCCAACCTTAGATTCTTATGGTCTTGAGCAAGAGGGTGGCATGCCGGTGCTGCTTGACTCTGCATCTATTCAGCCTCAAACCATACTCCTCCTCGACACGTTCTTCCAGATCCTCATTTTCCACGGCGAGACGATGGCGGAGTGGCGCAAAGCTGGCTACCACGAACAGGAAGGTTATGAGAACTTCAAAGCTGTTCTCGAAGCACCAAAGGAGGACGCTCGAGAATTGGTTCAAGATCGTTTCCCTTTGCCTAGATTTATTATTTGCGACGCTGGAGGCTCCCAGGCTCGTTTCCTCCTGTCGAAACTGAATCCATCGACCACTCACGCCACTGGAGGATATGGAGGTGTTTCGCAAACCGCACAGACGATTTTCACCGATGATGTGTCTTTGCAGACTTTCATGGATCATCTCATGAAGTAAGTCCGTCCGATTCCTCACGAGTTTGTTTGTGCTAACGGATTTAGGCTTGCTGTGTCTGGTTCCAGCTAAAAGTAGATGAGGGACCGAATACTAGGAGCAAGGCAATGAGATGACCGAGGACGAGTAGATAGAGCTCGGAGTCGATGTTGATGGTAGAGATTGTTAGTACTCCGTGCCAAACCATGATTGCCATCCACAAACTGTCGTCTCTGGTCCACCGTAGAAATACGCCCTGCTCACGTGCCTGCTTTAGGTGTGTTGGGACAAAACCACTGGATTAGGGATTACGGCAAGCCTATTTGCAGAAAAAGTGGCACAGTCTGACTTTGGGAGTCCGTCGGGCTCAAACGGATATGAGTGCTCGATATTTCTATGGAGTCCGTCGTCTACAGCGTGGGACAACCGGTGCTCAGTATCAGACAGCCGTCCAATCCAACGGATACTGACTATCCTTGGTACGAACCACATACCAGCACTACAAGACATATCTGAACAACAAGCCGGCGCCGTTGTCGACTCCTTCATGTCCCGCGGCGCGGTCAGCCTTTTGGTTCAGTCTTCGCAACCAGAAACGTAGGATGAGGCTTGAGGCGGCACAGCAGAGCAGTGCTACAGTAAGCACGATGCATCCCATCCTGTAGAGTCTGGGATAAAGTTAGTTATGTTACCCGACATGACCCTGAATGGAAAACGTACGGAGCATTCCAAGATGGATAGAGGTAAGCAGTGCTGATGTTTGTTGCGTTCGAAATGGCAGTTGCCAAGGCCAATGCAATGCCTCGTTTGGCCTTTGGTCGCGGAATGGTGGACGAGACCCAAGAGAGAATGATTTGGAAAGCGGAGAACGCGCCCATTGCCTGTAGAAACATGGCAAAGTAGCGAGCTCCCAGGACGTGGGTCGACATGGAGATGATCTGTCCGCAAGCAGAAATGCAGCATGCGGCCACGATATGGAAGCATCGCTCGTGGGTCTTTCCCGAGTGCCACGAGTTGAGGAGGGAGAACAGGAACGCAGCAAAGTAAGGTGGAGCGGTCAGCAACAGCGTTACCACCTTACCATAGCCAAGGGTTTTGACGATAGAGGGGAAGAAGTATGTGAAGCTCATCCCCACAACAGAGGCAGTCTGGATGAAGATGAGCAGATATACCTTGGGATCGGAAAGAGCTTGTTTCAAGCCAACGAAGACCGATTCCGTGACTTCATCGGCTTCTCCATCAGCCTCGCGGGACAGTCGGTATTGAGCCATTGCACGTTCCTCCTCGGACAGCCAAGGGGTGTTGGATGGAAAGTTGGGTAGGAGGAAGTATCCGAGGCAGGCGACCACGATGGTAAGAGCACCTTCCAGGATAAAAACCCAACGCCAAGATCGATAGCCCCCTACTCCATCCATGCCGTCGATGATGCCAGCAGCAATGAGACCGCCAAAGGCTGAGGAGAGCGTATAGCCCGAATAGAAGATGGAGATTCTACTGGGGAGCTCCCTCTTGGTGTACCAACATGAGAGGAAGAAGATACATCTGCGATACAATGTTAGCCTCTGCCGGCATGAATAGAGGATGGTGGTGGCAGCGATGGGAATAGTGCAGACGATCGAATAGCTGGAACTCACCCGACAAAGTACGGTGCCTCCGTCACACCAACCAGGAACCTCAGGACCACAAGCCCAGTGTAATTCTGGACAAAGCCTGTTGAACCAGATACAATGCCCCAAATGATAACAACGGTCGGCAGGTATATTCTTGGCTTGAAGACACTCAGTAGCATGTTTGAGGGCACCATCATGGAGATATAACCTGCCCAGAGGACCATGACTGCAGTCTGATATTGGGTGTCGTCAATCTTGAGGGTGTCTTCCAACCCACCCAAGCGAGCGTTGGCAATGGCGTTTCGGTCCAGGATGTTCAGCAGAAAGAGGATGATGAGGATTGGCAGACTGCGGAGGTCAATCCTGCGGACAAGTTTCTTCTCGAGTGCTGTACGCTGCTCTTGGGAGAGGCTTCTCAAGACATCGGGAAGATCGGCGTCGACGTAGCCAGCTACCTCGACGTTCTCTAGGCTCGAGTCTTTCTCTCCCAAATTGGGATACTCATTCGGATTGGTGTTCATGTTGGCTGGAGCAATTTGATCAAAATGATGAGGTGATAGGGGAGTTGAAAGCCTCCCACGTTTTCTTGCCCAGCTGTGAAGATGCTGAGTTGCTGAATGAAGAGAACTATGCTCTGGGGGAATCGCGGGGTTTTATTCTTGCGAGGTCAGTGCCATCCGTGCGGGCTAGCGGAGTCTCGAGCAGGAAACTGTTGAAGGTCTGGAGGTTGTGGATATGGGGCAGGGACGCTCCTAACCCACTATCTCGACACCACAAGATAGCATGCATTATCAGGGTCGTTGAGCCGTCGAAGCATCTCGGCGAGACTTCCGATGTAGATCCACCTCGCTTCTCCCACAACCCGTCATATTCTGGTCTTTGTCGCCAAGAGATGTCACCAAGCCTCGGAGACTCTCGCCGATTGACTCGCAGTTTCGCCGACTCTGAACAGGTCAACCACCTCATGGGAGGTTGAGGCACACGTCCCGCAATGCTTTCCCGCTTCTCCAACCAGAGTGGGACGTTATACCCCTATTACCAGACGTAATCCATGCAAAAGCCTCTTGGCGTGCTTGGATCACTCCCTGAGATCAATCTTATCTCCTACTACCGACGGTCATGGGAACACCAGCACGTTTCTCTTGTGGAGCATTCGTCCTCTTATCTGCTCAGATGATCACTAGACTGCCGGATCTTTCAAGGAATATGGCCTGGAAGATGGTGTCAAAGGCTGCCGAGGAGGGATATGCCATCTCAGCATTGTACTGCTATAGTCTGGAGGGTATTTCTGCCGGCGCCCAAGTAGTAGGGGTCAGGGAACCACCATTTATCATCCATCTGTGCCCATATTCCAAGACTATCATATCGACTTCTGTAGGCTCTTTGCGTAATCTCTGACAATTTCGTCAAAAGAAGTGTCCCTGTTGAACCCCAACGATAAAGCCTTAGTGTTGTCAAATTCAGCCGGCCACGAATAAAGAATGGTCTTTAGCTTAGGTTCCTCTTGCTCACGCAAATAGGCAAGCTTGTCTTGTCCGCCGACTCTGGCCAAAGAATCCATCATGTCCTGCACAGACACACCAATACCTGGAACGTTGAGAGTTCTGTTATAACGCGGCATGGAATCCTCTGCCAGGGTGAGTGCATGTTGGAGATTGCTGACCAGCACACGAGGAGAGCACAGCCAGTGTCGGAATGACCGATCTTCGATTGGAATGACACATTCCTGGTGATTCATGGGCTCTCGAATGATTCCAGAGAGGAACGATGACGCCGCGGCTGTTGGCTTTCCAGGCCGTACGGATACTGTTGGGAATCGAAGGATGAACCCATTGATGAACACGCGCCGTGTATATTCGTTGACGAGGTACTCGCACATCATCTTCTCAGCTCCATATGAAGTCTCAGGCGTTGCTGCCATGGTCTCATCGACGGGTTGAGTGACATCTCCACCGTAGACAGCCTGGCTCGAGGCATAGATTACCCTGACGCCAGGGCAATACTTGCGCAAAGTATCGAGCAGAATGCGTGTTGCGTCGAAGTTGACTTTCATGCCTGTCCAAGGAAGTTGTTAAGTCGATCGCATCACAAACAGATGTCTTCAGCACTAACCCAGTTCAAAATTCAACTCAGCTCCTGAGGACATGATCCCATGAAACACGAAAACAGCATCTAGCCCTTTATCCACAACGGAGCTGGCATCGGTGCACAAGTCTGCGACAATAGATTTCGCTTTCTCAGGCCACTTGACATTGGGAGGAATAGGCGGCTTGATGACATCGGTGAGGATCAATGAATACCTGCCATCCTCGTCATTGAGAAGCTTTTCTGCCAGAAGCTGACCGATGAATCCAGCGGCACCAGTAATGAGGATGCGCATGTTGGATGCTTCGATTGCTCAGCAGCTCAACAGTATACTGGGAATGGCAGTCGAGCGGCAGAGATGAAGAGACAGAACGGCGGGCTTAGCGAGCACAGTAAGGTACCCTTGCTGTCTCGTCAGGATCTCGAAGTCAGCAGTCAGCTCTCTACTGTAGCATTGCTGTTTTCACAATGGTTTCACGACACAAAGGTGTCTTTCAGACTAGCACCGAGTTTGCCTATCGGCCACTGTCCGCGCAATAGACTGGAATTGTTTAGGGGGCCGGACTTGGCGCTGGACTGCAAAACATCGCGCGGACAGGTGTTGTCCAACGCCGATGGCAAATGTGGATTCGGCGTAGACACCGATCGGATTCTTTCCGATACCCAGCAAGGCTACTCACGAATAGCGCAACCAGGCCCAAGCCGCCAAAGACCAGCCCCTATTGGAAAGAGTTAGTATAGTAGAGCTGGGCATTGAACCTAAATCCATGTGTCACCGCACTGGGTTTGGGGCATTCGTGCTCCAACGACGTCCATGGAGGGCAGTCCGACTGGCCTGAATCATACTATCATGGCAGGAGATTCAGATATTTTGGGGTCGCCCGACGTCCGTTGTCGCAGTGAAGTATCGCAAAGATGTCCGTAGGTGAACAAACTCAACGCAGAGTGCATATATGGGTAAGAGGGAAACTCAGCACATCCTCACTCATGTCGTTTCTCGAGATAAAGCAGCGCAGCCTTTAGAGTGACAGACGTCGGGATATACCAAAAGGCATGGAAGCAGAGTCAGCAATATCACGGCCTCCACTATTGAGCTTGATTAGCAGCTACGATTTCGAGGAAACCGCGTCTCGGTCTCTGTCCAAGAAGACCTGGGCTTTTTATTCCTCGGCGGCCACTGATGAGATTACTCGCAAAACGAACAAAACCCTTTATGATCGAATATGGTTCCGACCAAGGGTTATGAGGAATGTCAGAGAGGTCAACACCAGGAGCAAAATCCTGGGTTGTGATGTCGCGTTACCCTTCTTTGTCAGTCCAGCCGCAATGGCGAAACTGGTGCATCCTGACGGCGAGCTAGCTATTGCTAGAGGTTGCTCCAGGTTCGGCATCGGGCAGTGCGTACGTGTTCCAAAAATGTCTTCTTGCTCCATATTTTGACATTCAACCGTTCAGATATCATCCAACGCCTCCTACGACGTGTCTGAAATCGTTGCATGCGGCACCAAAAGCCCTTTCTTCTTGCAGCTTTATGTCAACAAGGATCGAGCGTCATCAGAAGCATTGCTGAGGCGAGCGGAAGAGTGTGGGATTCGAGCGGTTTTCGTCACAGTGGATGCACCAGTACCTGGAAAAAGAGAAGCGGACGAACGTGTCCCGGTGGACCGAGGATTTGTTGCATACGCTCCCATGACCGGTGCATCCGCGTCGAATGATTCGAAAGGAGGTGGGTTAGGCCGTACAATGGGCGCATACATTGACGCAACCCTCAACTGGGACGATCTGGAATGGCTGCGGAGATCGACAAAGCTTCCAGTTGTACTCAAGGGCATTCAAACAGTCGAGGATGCAATACTAGCCGCGCAATACGGTGTCGATGGTATTTTCATCAGCAACCATGGTGGCAGGAGTCTTGATACGTAGGTTCAAGTTGCTGGAAACTGGCTGCCGAGACTGATTGCAAGATAGTTCCCCTCCTTCCATACTCACGTTGATGGAGATTCGACAACATCACCCAGAACTTTTCGAACAAGTCGAAGTATATGTCGATTCTGGCATTCGCCGGGGCACCGACATCCTGAAAGCGCTGTGTCTAGGAGCAAAGGTAGTGGGCATGGGGCGGCCATTCCTCTATGCGCTGAACTATGGTCAGGAGGGCATTGAACAGTTTATTGGCAGTGAGTTCAATCCCAGTCATGTTATCAAGAGTTCGTCGTGGCTGACTAGTCTTTCCCAGTAATGAAGGATGAGCTCGAAACTGCCATGCGTTTGGTGGGAATAACCAGTCTTGATCAAGCTCACCCTGGCCTTCTGAATACCTGTGACATCAATCACCTGGTGACTAGAACAATTGAAGCCTCACCCATGGCGCTTCCAGTGAAGGCTAGACTGTGATGGACAATGCTTGTGTCTGGATTCCTGTTGGTAGCCGGGAACAGCATGCTGTGTGAGCATCAAGCGTTGCATAGCCGTACCACGTTCTACAAGGAGCTGGAAGCCACTTTTAAATCCTATATTGATTGGAATGCGTTATGGATAGGACCATAAGTCGGGATCTTGGGCCGCAACCTGGCCCAGGTAAGATTCGTCAAACCCAAACCCATACGAGCCAACCAGATCATAGAAATTGTAGTTTTCGTTGACGGTTCCTGGGGCATTCATAGAAGTATTGAGGTTTCCATGGAACGGCTGCGCAGACGTATGCTCATAGAAATAAGGACCGGAGGCTTCGTCGCTAGGATTGTCCGACTCTGTGGCAAAATTCTTCAAAAGGTAGCGAATGCCCGAGACGATGTGTCTCGTCAGGTGCTTTTCGTTTAGTTGCCCAGAGATATGAGCTAACAAGTCAGCTGATTGTCGTATGAGCAATATGACCTGGTTGCTGTTGAAATTGAGCCCCAAGCTTGAAGCGTCTGCGTGCCAATGCCCTGGTGTAAGAACAGCATTGCTGCTCCATCTCATGGCCATTTTCAACAGGAAGGTACTGCAAAATGCAACCATTGCGTGTGTGAAGATGGGCACACCCGACAAGGCTCTTCGGAGATCGCCTTCTTCCAGGATCAGCGTGAGCGTACTGGTTGCAGCAGCTATCGCGATATTGGCGGCTTCACGTCGATCATAGGACAAAGGCTCGAAGGACGTCGCGTTCGACTCGGTAACTGCTCTTAGTGCTAGCGAATTCAGTTGAAAGCGCGCAAAATGATAGTACAACACAACGCCTTTAGATGGGTACGACCCAATGCCATCGCTATCCGCTGATCTGGGTTGCCACGTAAGTCTCCACTGTTCAATGGCGAGGTTGAAAAATCGTAGCCGCTCAAAATCATGCTCGCCTAACTTCTGCTGCTGGTCACTTCCAAATTCGTAGTAGGCCTGGGTCAGAATCTTGAAAAGTGCGACTTGAGCACATATCCTGATGTCCCCAGGAACAGCATCTTGCTGCTCCAGGAATGTCTCAAGGTTTCTGACTGCCAAGTCTTCACCAATTATCGGAGGTCGTCCATAGGCAATGCTGAAATGATGTTCGCAGACATAGAGGGTATACCATAGTCTTACACATTCATGCTGATCCCTTTGGCCTCGACTAAGCTTGTGAAACGATTGGTGAAGATTCATCTCGGTGGCAAGCCGCACAGCTTGACCTGATAGCTTCCAGCTAAGATTTGAGAGGTAGAACGCTCCAAGGCAAAGTGCGCGTATGTCGTCAAGTGTGTGATGTCGAGAAAGGCAGGTATTGCTGACTAGAGACACAAAACTGCTGTAACATTTCTGGAGAAGGCCATCACGTTCGGGCATATGCAAGGCAGCCACAGTGAGAATAGCAGCGGCGAGCATAGTTGAAGAGCTTCTGACCGAGTTCAAATCTTGATGAGGTAAAAGGATCCCGCCCCACAAAAGCTGATTGCTGTTCTGCATATAATGCGTGAACAGACGGTGGGCGTCCTCAAATGATATGATCCCTTGTGAGATAAAATCATCATCGATCATACTCGCACTGGGCTTTGATAGCACGTAGCTGCGTAAATTCTTGATTCGGGTCAGGTCATACAAGCTGCTCATCGGTGCTGGCACAAGACCTGTGTCGTCACGAGATTGAGGCTCCTGGGAGTTATCGCGAGTCATGTCCATGGGTGGGACGACCACAGCGGAAGTTGGATCTATCGGGCTGGGCTCGACTGGGTACGCGGAGAATTCAGGCAGTTGGTTATGCCGTAAAAGCTGCTTTATGGCAATCTGCATTTGGTGGATTTCGGTCTTCATCTGAGCTTTCCATCTACCATGAAGTTCAGCGTAGTACACAACTTGCTTAAAGGCATACTTACGAGGCGTCCTCTTCCTGGAATTTCTGACCGAGATCGTGGGGTATGCATTCGATCCCGCTGCGAAGGCATTTGGAGCATGATGGCTCGCCTTCTTTGTACTCGCATTTGATCTTGTGCCTACGACATTCGGTACCTGTAGAAGTCAGTTCGAGTCGTCCGGTACGCGAACCGTTCATGTTTACTTACAGGCCTTACTTCGGCTTGGACGTGGAGGCGGCGGCCGCCGTTCACATGTTTGATCAATCTCGCCATTGGTGCGCTTCATCACATCGACATGGTTGCATCTACAATTAGAGCAAGGTCGATTCGTGGCATGGGGCTGAGGCTTCTTCGGACGTTTGGAAGGACTAACGATCTCGAGATGGTAGACCAATAGAATAGATTAACCCTGTCTATCCCGAGGTCATTCAGCATCTGACTAAGCACATCACGTGTCAGCACCACACATCTTGGCGTGCTTGGCAAAAAAGTCCCAAATTCAACTCGGAACCTGCGAATCGCAATTCTGAATTTGTTGTTTCGACGAGTCAAGACAACCTTCCAACACCTCGAGAAAGACAGACTACCTTTCGCACTCGCCATGCGTAAGTATCGTCTTCTTGAGAAGAAAAGGCGCGCCGGCTAATATGTTTTTTCTTCAGCTCCCAAGTTAGATCCCAATGAGGTGAAGATCATGTAAGGACATTCCGCACAGTGTTGTTTAGTCCAAGGCTAACAAATTTCATAGCCACCTCCGTGCCACCGGTGGTGAGGTTGGTTCTTCAGCAACCCTCGCTCCCAAGATCGGTCCTCTCGGTCTGTCGCCCAAGAAGGTCGGTGAAGATATTGCGAAGGCTACTGGTGACTGGGTGCGTACAAGTTCTGATCGGCCAAAAAACGGCTTGCTGATATGACCGCAGAAAGGTCTCCGTGTCACCATCAAGCTCACCATCCAAAACCGACAAGCCGCTGTCTCCGTCGTTCCCTCCGCTTCTTCCCTCGTCATCAGAGCCCTCAAGGAACCTCCCCGGGACCGAAAGAAGGAGAAGAACATCAAGCACTCCAAGTCCATTCCTCTCGATGAAGTCGTCGAGATTGCCCGCACCATGCGCGGTGCTAACAAGTCTCTTGCCCGTGGGCTGAAAGGAACCGTGTTGGAGATCCTCGGAACATGCTTCAGTGTTGGCTGCCAGGTTGACGGCCGATCACCTAAGGAGCTTAGCGACGAGATTAAAGAGGGAAACGTTGAGGGTATGCATCATGAAGATATCTGCACGGACAGCCGCTAACACTCTACAGTTCCCGAAGAGTAGACATTTTTCACTGCTGAGGAGGCTCAAAACGAACACACATAGTGTGATGATACCCATGATCATGTCAAGCACATGAAAAAATGAATCAGATTCCTCAACCAACCTTTTCCTTTACTTGCTTTCACTGCACCGAACCCTTCTTGCCCCAATTGCGGGATTCTCAAGTCCCTGCAGACCTTTGCCAACACTCTGGCCTTTATCCCTCCTCTCTTCGCGATTGGATATTATCCAGGATATAGGCCTATTTTGGTGCAAAGAAGATCAAACACCTTCTGACACGCTACTCACCGCGCATTAGTCCTTCGGGGCAATGGATGCAGTGGTCCATCTTTTGTTGTCTACAAATTCAAGCTTTGAACATTCCCATATACCAAAAATACGCACCTCCTGCCCCAAATTGCATTCGGCCCGACCATGGGGCTAAAATGTGCCTATTAATTGCTTTCGCATGCCTCTTTCAGTCTTCTCCCCAAAGTCTTGTCGTGAAAATGCGGTGATCGCAAACGATTTCATGTACTTTCTTCCAGTACTCGATCGACCATGATCTGACTCGCCCCAAGGTAATTCAATGGATCACACAACTCAGCAACACGCTTCTCATCAAGGTCCGCCATCAAATCCGCATTTGTCTTGAGGACATCAAACAACGACTTCCCCTCCTCAATGGCCGTCCGACAAGCCTCATACACAACATCATGCGCCTTCTGTCTGCCAATGAACGGCGCCAAACCCATCATCACCGCCTCGCCCACAATCAACCCCCTCGTCGAATGCAGATTGTCATGCATTGCCCCAACATTAACAACCAGCCCACCCAGCGCAAAGTTCGTCTGATGCAAGGCGCCTACACACAAAACAAAAGCCTCTGGGATAGCAACCCACTCAAGATGCCAGGGTCCCGAAGCACGCTCGAAGTCAGCAACCATCGCGTCAAGACCCAAGCCCGCGTTAGCACGCAATAGCTTCGACGCCGCCAGCACGACCTCACTTGAAATTGGATTTCGTTTCTGCGGCATTGTCGACGACGCACCCCTGTGTGGGACGAATGGCTCCGCCACCTCTCCCAACTCATTCGACGACATGAGCATCACATCGTACGCGATCTTGCCCAGCGATCCACCTATCAATGCCAAGAAGTTAAGTATCTCAGCGATATTATCCCGCGCAACGTGCCACGTTATCGGCGGATCCGCGAGATCAAGTTCTTTCGCGAGCTGTGCGCGAACCCGAACTCCTTCGTCCCCTGTACCCAGTGAAGCGAGCGTACCTGCCGCCCCACCGAACTGCACGAGAAGGCACCTCTTCTCGATCTCCGCGAGACGTTCCTGATGGCGCAGTATACTGGACAGGTACACCGCGCATTTATACCCGAAGGTTGCGGGGAGTGCGTGCTGAAGATGTGTTCGACCTGCCATTGGTCTTTATCTCGTCAGAAATGCACAAAGGCATGCCCGACCTGTCGGTCAGGTAAGTATTTTGGGGCACTCACGTATCGCGATACTCTTTGGCGAGCCTTCTAAGAACGCCGACCAGCCTCTCCACTTCGCGTTTGATGAGTGTGAGGCCCTCGCGGATCTGCAGGATCGACGCATCGTCCATGATGTCCTGCGTCGTTGCGCCCCAGTGGATGTACTTCGCCATATCCTCGGGTGTTTGCTCGACGAGTTGTCGCACAAGAGGCAGAACGGGGTATCCGACGATCTCGGTCTCGCGGGAGAGTCGGTCGAAACTGTAAGACCAAGCCGTTAGTACCTCCAGACTATAGCTTAGTAGATCACCCATGCGGAAGATATCGCTTGTGTGTGAATAGAATATAATTACCTACTCAATCTTCACGTTCTCGAGAGCCTGTGTTATTACAGCGCCCGCTTCAGCCGGGATCACGCCGACTGCAGATTCGGCGCGGGCAAGCGCGGCTTCTGTAGCAATCATTTGGCGCACGTATGCTTCATCGGTAAAGATGTCGCGAATCTCCTGTGTGCCGAAGAGGTTGCGGAACACGCGCGAGTCAAGGGCTGATATGGCCATGTTCGGCGGTGTGAATTCCAAACTTCTCAAGGGTCTCCCTGGAAATCATAGAGATGAAATTCCGTCGACCGGACAGTGGCCGTCCTGGTATCTCTTAGTGTTCTTATATACCATCAACAAGCCCCACTGTGAACCCCAAACTGTGGAGTGGAGGTTCTCGATGAATGGAGAACACTGCTCAGAATTGGAGCGGCTTATGGAAATCGACCGAGGTATAGGAATCAAACATACACCTCGTACACGACTTTTATATCATACTACATACAGCTGCAAACTTTTGGGAACCGATTTATCGGGCGTCTGAACACATCAAGCGAATGAAAAACATATATGTACACAAGCCGCCTCACGGGAAATAATCATATTTACCATGTCGATGGCACCTTGGGAAAGTCTTTCGCTGTGATACCAAGGTCCACAAAGACAGAGTCATCTCCTGAAGTTCCGCGTTAGCAGTATGAACCGATCGTTCGTGGCACGAGGACTTACCTTTCAAATGTTTGATTCTGATCTCATCCTCGTCCTCTAACTTTTCCATTTCTTCTTGTGGAGGAGCATTGCCTTCTCGCTCATCCTTGGGCCGCTGCTCGAGTGCCTTGTCAGCAGACTCGCCGATCAACAGGAATTGCGCGTTGTCGTAGTCTAGCAATTTTGGCTCCAAGGGCTTCCAGCGCAGACTTCGGAACTCGTCGAGAACTTCTTGTGGGTACTCTGGGCCTTTGGGAAGGCTTGCATTGTTAGGAGACGGTTTTGTTGGATTTTTGACGCTGGCCGCAAAGCTTCCGCGTTCTTGTAAGCCCAGGTCTTTCTGCACCTCTCCAAGCTCGCTTGGAATATTGATGATATAGGCAAGATGTGATTCGCGACCAGTAGATGTGATTGCGTATACTCCCTCGGCAAGGGGAGTTACTGGAGGTGAATGGCTGGTTCCGGCCGTCTTGGTCTCATACTCGGACCCCTGCAAGAAGGATGTTTTCAAGTCATCAAAGCTGGTTTTGGCCTTCTCAACAAACGCAAGAAATTTGTCTTTGCCACTGACTGGAAGGACTTTCTTAGGCAGTGCCAACAGTCTGCAGTTGCCCTGATCACCGATGGGACCATCGCCGATCTTCGCGTCCAGAGGAATGGGTCGCAATACCATGTATGTTCGAGCAATGTCATTGACATCTTGAGGATCCTCCACATTGACCCTGGCTCGGAAGAAGAAGTAGATGATGCCCTTCTCGAGGATACTAGATGCGACATCATCATCCTCACGGGCGCCTGCCTCAACGGCGTCCCCGTTCGTCGCGGCAGGCTTTTCATCTTGCTTCTCAATCGCTGGTTCGGGCTCTGCTTCTTTCTTTGGTTCTTCTTTGTCCTCTTGTTGCTCTTCACTCGCATTGGTCATCTTAGTATCCGATTCAGCCTGTGGCTCAGCCTCTTGCTTCTCATCTTCTTTCTTAGCGTCGGTTGGTTCGTCCTCAGCCGCGGGCTTCTCTTCCTCCTTTTCAGGCTCTGGAGCAGGATCCTGACTAGTATGTTGCTCGGCGTTGGTCGGCACAGGTTCCTCCTGATCAGCTTCGTTGGCACCGCCACTATACCCATTGTTAGCACAAGCGCGGCCATGGACAGAGGCGAAAGGGTCTCACTTCTGCATAGTCTCCTCTATAGTCTTCTGTTCAGGCTCAGCACCCTTCTTCCCACGCTTTGCGGTTGGGGATGTGCCGCTTGATCCATTCTTGCGTTTATTAGTCGCGGGCGATGGCTTTGGCTGAGGAGGAGCAGAGGAGTCCTGGGAGGACTTCCCGGCAATGCGCGCTGAGGAGCGTCTTTGCATACTGAAGAAATGTTGGCCCTTTTATGTGCAAGAATTGGTGGAAATTGCAGTTGTGACTAGCGATGACATAGAAATAGAAGGACGGCCAGGTCAGCTTGACCAAAGTGACAGGTGGAAGTATGCGCCGTCGTCGAAGTTCTGAGGACATCGGGGAAGCAGCTTGAATGCTTCTCCACATTCTAAAGCGATGACGTCCTTGTATCTTGACGCTAGTGCTCGATTTAGAGTCATTTAGTCAGGTACACTCGGCACTAGTAAAACATGACTATGCCATATCCAGTCATCGAAACCCCTCACATGCCAACATGCTCTACTACTGTATTCAATACTGGCTCTTCACAAGAAAGTCCTAGGTTCATCCAATGTCCATGGCATCACGATCTCGGTCAGCTGGTGCTGCAGGCGTCGACGGGACGTTAGGAGTTCCCGAGTTCGACGATTCCATTCCTGCTTCGTGGTCTTCTGTCTTGTCCGAGCTGTCGGACCATGCTGCCATCAACTGCTTCCTAGCTCCACGGTTCGTTTGAATCAACTTGTCGGGTCGCTTCTTCCTTCGCTTGATCGGTCTCTGCTCGGGCTGGCCATCGACAAGCTCAGAAACCTCGATTTCGGCACGTTTGGCCAAGTGCTCATTATCATCCACGTCATGTTCCACTTCCTGGGAGCGACGCTTCTGTCCGCGATCGGTCTCGTCACGTCGCCGCGATGCTGAGCCCTGGATATCACAGGACAGCCTCCGTAGTCTGCCCGCCAGCTCGTCGTCTGAGTCTGGCCATAAACGTCTCGAAGTCTTCTTGTCTTCGGATCCCGAATCGGCATCTTCGTACTGATCGGGTTGGAGGACTTCGATACCTTCGACATCGCCGTCATAGCCCATGTCGTCGGGAGAAATCTCCTCAATGTGGAGCTCGTTGTCGGACGAATCTTGACGCCGTCGTTTCCGCCTAGGATATCTTTGCAGCGCCATGCCTGACTTTGGCGCTTCGATGTTGGCGCAGTAGAAGCTTCATCTATGGAGGTTGTCCAAGCATCACTTTGTCGCCCAGCAGACTGCAGTACGTGCGACTGGAGATCGCAAGATTCCTTGTAGCATTTGTAGCAGACACACGCATCTCGGGGAACTTCCGGTCAATCCGCGTTTAGGTGAATGGGCGGTCGCTCGTGGAACCCTCATGTGGGCTACACAATTTGTAGAGGCATGTACTGATAGCCGGCGTCTTACCGTCAACGGTTTTGTTGAAGCATTTGGCCAGACTCAACCCGGCACGCCATAAAGATGTCGAGGATGGTTATGTTATGTTGAAAAGTTTAGATGATATCACGATGGCTTCATGCCAAGGCCGTATCGGTGACATTTCATCTCCTTAACTGACGGTTAATTTAATCTACTATCCTGACATCCATAAAGATCCTGGTCGAAAGAATATCTCGCGACCCTTTTTTGCTGACTCTCTATGCGTCGTATGGGTCATGAGCCATGAGTGAGGACTTAGGAGGTGGTTCTCAACGCAGTCAAGATTCAAACGACTGTCCACCAGGGCCAAATCCATTGGCCCCTCAAGACAAATTTGCATTTCTCCAAGAGATCACGGGTGCCCGAAAGCACGCGTGGAACAAGCCGTTCTACCAGCATCTTTTCAATGTATACACCTACTTAAAAGAGCGCGGCGCTCCAGAAGAGGTTTGCGACGCAGGCCTATTCCATTCCATCTACGGTACCGAGTCTTATGACTTTCAGAACAATCGCGTCACAAGGGAGGTGGTACGCGGCTTCATCGGCAATTATGCTGAGGAGCTGGTACACGTATTTTGTACGACAAAGGATAGATTCAATGTGCTTGTGAACAACACGATGGGGCTTAGCGCTCGGCAGGCGCGGGATCTGTGTTGCATCGAGTTCGCAAACAAGTGGGATCAAAACAAAGACGGAAGATATCGAAAGCAGCTGATTGCGCTCGGCGAGGCGATTGTGCACCTAGAGAGTGGTGGTCAATGAGACCGCCTGTTGTCTTCATCTGGGTTGGTAATTTGCCGACTGGCGCAGAACGGAACCTGATTCGAAACACTATGGGCACTGACCGAGCACTTCTTTGTCTTCGACGTCCCCAGCGACATAGCCTTCCAACAGAACTTCGAGCTGCTCGGGCCACGATGCAGATACAGATCGTCCAGAACGGTGAATTGGTACGAACCCTTTCATTCGCTCAGGACCACAATCGCACTCAGCATTGAGTCTGCGTCATGTCAGACGTGAAGTCTTCAGGCGCCCAATCGCTTACTTCAGCCTTGTGCCCACGTGGATGATGTTACTACAGCTATTCTATACCTGTAATTCAGTGCTCTCGAAGCCAACCTCCTCCTACCAAACGAATACGAGTGCTTCTGGAACTTTCGAAGTTGGGCTGAGCCTCTCTATACCATGTCTGAGCAGGATTTTGCTCGTCTGGGCAACTATGCCCTCATGCTGCAAAAATCGCCAGCGATCGATAGGCGCAAATGCATGCGCACTGTGCCAATGGAGGTCTTATCGCTCGGGCCTTCGAGGACCGGTACTCTGTGTGAGTCCAAGTTCTGTGGAAGCCATTGTTCAAAGTGTCTTTCCTCGGTCGGGTGCGAAGAATTGGGAGGTTGCTAACATCAACGATAGCTATGCAGCGAGCCTTCGTAATATTAGGCTACGCAGATCCTTACCATTTCTCTAGCATTTTCGGCAATGTCAAAGACTGCGACATGTGGAAAGAGGCCTTCCACGCCAAGTATCACGGTCGAGGCTCTTTCGGAAAGGAACAGTGGGACCAGCTGCTCGGACATTGCAGTGCTGTCACCGATTTCCCATGGTATGCACTCCTTTCAGTTCATCACCTGCCTTTTCGTCCCTCTACGCCCGTCGAACTCTTGATGAGAGGTGCGGAGGGAAGGGGCTCATTCATAGCTCACCCTAAAAGTTGGCTAACAGTGCATATTTCGGACCAGAGTTGATGGATGCCTATCCGGAGGCACGAGCTGTGTTGGTTGAACGGCATGTTGACAAATGGGTCAAAAGCTTCGGAACGCTGATCAATGAAGCATACCACCCCGTGTCGACTATTCTTGGCATATTGGATCCAACATGGATGGGACGCATCAACGGTGTGGGCTATGCCATGATTACCGCGATGACTGGACAGAGCACTGAACGACAAATCATGCGCCACGCCAGGACATCTTACGAAAAGCACTATCAGTGCGTCAGAGAGGAAGTGCGTGCACGATCTGTCCCCTTGCTGGAATACCGACTTGGAGAGGGCTGGTTGCCGTTGTGCCAATTCTTAGGCAAAGACATTCCGCAAGACGCAAACAGTGTGGAAATACCATTTCCACATATGAACGAGAAGGACAACATTCAAGCTGTGTTCTCGGTCATGGCTCGGAAAAGCTTGGGAAACGTGTTGAGAAATGTCTTCGTTGCTGCATGCGTCTTGTTCCTGGTTGCTTGGATCTCTTCCCAGTTGGTGTTCTAGGGGTGCCGATACAAGAGCTCGAGCTCACTTTTGGATGATTATCTCTCCCTGCATCATTGCTAGAATCGCATCATCTTGGGTGGCCCAATCTTCCCAAGCCTCAGCCATTTCATCAATCTCAGCTTCCTCTGCTAGTCCCTTTGCTAATATCGCAGCTCGCATACGACCACCCCGAAGATACTCCGTCATGGCGCGGGCTTGGTATCGTCATTATCAGGGTACACAGAATTCAGGAAGGATCACTCACCCCAAGTCTCTTTCTCTTGTGGTGTACTGTACGTCCAAGTGCTGAAACTTGCTGTGACTCGTTCACGCTCTGCACCAGCGTCGAGAGCCCAAGAGAGCAGCTGTCGTCCTGCTGAACTTACGCCTCCCGCCGCTTGCATGAAAGTTACCGTGAGGTCATGAAACTTGAGTAAAGCAGGCATTGTCGGCCAGATACACTCGGTATCGAGATCTCCCTCCCGAGCAGCGACGAACCCGCCTGGCTTGGTGACACGTAACATTTCGCGAAGTGCATCGGGAGCCGTTCTGACGTGAGTCAAGACCTGATGACAGTGGGTGATGTCGAAAGATGCATCCTCGAAAGGCAGCTTGAACACATCGGCTTGTCGTAATTCAATGTTGGTGACGCCAGCCTCCTCGGCAAGTAACCTCGCCCGAGGGAGGATGCCCTCGTTCAAGTCAACGGCGATGACCCGGCCTTCGGGAATGGCCTTTGCAAAGCCCACAGAGATGCTACCCGACCCCGCGCCCACGTCGAGCATGGTGAGATTTGGTTTCTTCTCTTTTGCTGCTTCGAGTTTCGGAATAAGGTAGGCTGCACTGTTCTCAACTGATCGAGCCTCATGATGGACGGCCTGAGCGGAGGGTTGGCCCTGTTTTTGCTTGGGTTGATCCATGTTTACGATACATTACTTGACATTGCGATGATTACCTGCGACTTATATCAACGGAGCCATGTCCTGCAAGCAGACTCTGCCAGGCAGGCAGCGCGCCCGAACATCGATTTGGCTCCAAAATATCGCGGAAAGTAAGCACTGTTACTGGTGTGATGATATAAGGCAACCCGCCAGAAAGGGGCTTAACCTGCCAAGGAACATCTAATCCGTTTCTAAACTCATCCCCATGCTTGCGATGTTTGCGAGAATTTATGGAGCCTAAGCTGATATCAAAGTAGCGTTCCGCGCACCGGTATGCGAGTGAGGAACGTGGCGTGGGATGTTGCTTCACCACTTATATTTCGATACGGTGGAATCTATTCCAGGTACCTGAGGTGGCATTTGCCTTGAAGTGCCAACAGTGCAGGGCAGTACTCGCGTAGATGACTTCATTTCAGGCACGTACCGTACATGATGGCAGGAAAGCAGAGTCCATTGCCTGTCCTGTCCTCGGAAGGCTAGCCAAAACACCTTCGGAGAGACTGTCGCCTCGTGGAAGGCTGGCGACCGTCAGAGCGAAGACGCTGATATTATGTCGGGTCAGGTCGCTAAACGATTATGACAAAGCCAGCGAGACCATCGGCAGGATCTGAGATTGAGTCAGGGCAAGTTGTAGACATCGACAAGCTATTCTCCATCAGACCACCATGCTGGCGTATGATTCCCGATGTTTTGGGAACCTCGGCCCAGAACCACGGATGCCCACGTTCCAGAGCGAAATGACAACATGGATAGCCAACCGTTCTTCTAGGACTCGCCTCAACTGGGCCAACCAGGATTCTACTCTGAGGCAAATTCTCTGGCGTCAGCCTCATAATATTGCGGCTTCCTGAATTCGGTCGCAAGCAAGAGCTTGTACCCCGGCATGATGTGGCTATGGAAATAGCGTTCGTATTCGCCCAGAAGGGTTTGCTCAAGGACTTCTAGTGACTTCCCTTCTGCGGCAAACGCTTGAACCAGTTCAACGAACGGAACTCCCCTGTATCTCCGCGAGAGTACTATCGCCAACGGTTGATATATCGCCATCGCAACATGAGCAGAAATTGTAGCACCATGATTCAGCAGCCATCGTGCAATCTCGGGTTTGTCAACACTCTTGTAGACCCAAAACCACAGTATGTGGCTCGGCGTTGTGTCGAACATGTCTGCCACAGAAGCCAGCCATGTTTTGCACTGCTCCCACGACAAATCGAGCATGCGAATGTTCTGACTTTGCAAGGAAGCCATCGAGAAGTATCTGTCGAGACGGATAGGCACTTCTTCGATAAGGCACAAACCCATTGGATCAGCAGTGACTTCTAGAAGCCTGCGGAGGACAGCCATATGACCAGTTGTGTCGTCTTCGATGCCGTCACCCCAGCAGCATTCCCAATGAGTAGAGACAAATATCCCGAGAGCGTCCATGGAAATAGTAGGAAGGGGCCAGGCGTCCAAAGCAGCTTGATTCCAGGCGTGCAAAGCAATATTGGGATCCCGATATCTGAAAGTTCGTTGCAGTGAGACATTGACACCGCACTTGATCAAGAGATTGGCGCGATCCAGCAAAGGGCCTCTCGTGTGAGTAGAAACGCCACAACGAAGATACCCAAATTGTATCGCGCCACTGGCCCTAATAGATTCCGCCATCTCATCTGTCAAGGCTTCCTGGATATAGCGCGAAAGTCGAAAAGCGGTCGCTTCGATCATGAACATCGAGCCATACTGTATCGCCACTTCCGATTCTTTGAGCCATTCTGGAGGCTGTGCGGCTTTGCCATAGTTTAAAGGCCATAGCAGCCCATACCTACTCTGCTGTGATATCAAAGGATCCAATGCTCCCAAGAGGCGTGTTGGGGCCACGTCCATACTTAACTCAGTCATGATGGCATGAGAGACAATGGCCCGAGCTAATTCATCCACGTCAATGAGATAGCCCATGCGGGCTTTTGGTGGCATCTTCAGCCAATAAAGATAAGCTTGAAGTATGAAGAAGCATCCATTAAGGTGGTCGACTCCAGGCGCAAGACAGGTAATCGACTCCGAGAACCCACTAAGGTTCTTCCTTCGGAGAAAGTACTCCTTGACAATTTGATGCACGAACTGCACGACGAGTTCTTCATTCTCGTACTGGATCCTTGGAACAATTTCAACTAGACCTCCACTCCGGCTCCGTAGTCGGCGGGCAATGCCATCCGGATCGATCTCTTCGTGAACCTGACTATCATCTTCGTTGGCCTGGTTGTTATCGGCCTTGGAATTCGCCAAAACGACTAGGCGCAAGAATTCAGGAGTTGGAGCAATTTCGCTTCGAAGCAGGGTTTCCACGACGATGACCAGCTCCATGTAGTGTTGCTTCTTTACCTTTTGTAACATATGGCCAAAAAGGTCGTCTAGGTATTCGGGAAATTTCCTCACCCACTCCTTCAATTCAGGAATGCTTACTCCGTCCCGAATTTCGTCAACCAGCTCGTCGATGACGAGTTTCACCCAAAGGAAGACCCCTTGAGCGCGTTTTGAGATGTCAGCCTCAACATCAGACACAGTGGAGACAGCACCTCTATCCTTGAGTGCCTGCCAACGAGGTTGTCGTGCAAGTCGTACAGTAATGTATGTTTTGATGTCTTTCTCGGTCCATTCCTGCATTTCGAGGGTCTGATCCCCCTCGAATAGGTCTTTGATTTCATTGTGCGGCCTGCTTGCAACGACAACTTTCAATTGCACCGACTCTCTCGAACTGGCTACAAGATCGTGGAAGAAGTCACTCATCCGACCATGCTGACCGTCATGCTCATCCAGTGCATCGATCAGGAAGCATACATGCATCTCTCCGTCGAATTCAGTAACAATTGTCAAAAGCAGCTTCTCAAGGCTGTTGGTATCCCAGTAGCTCTGTCTCCGCTTCACGAAGGTACCATATGCTATATCCATCAGCGCAGGGCAGTTGTCCAGAAGCTGATAGATCATATCATGCAAGATTCCCTCCCACGAAGCTTGGATCCTTTCGGCCCTATCCGTAAAGAAGCTTCCCAGCAGGAGCCACGAACCGACTTCGAGCGACTGGTTCAACAAGCTGAGCGTCTGATAGTTTTCGAGGAGGAATTTCATGGCCTTTGCCCCAGCCTGCCTTTCCCTGTATCCAGAAGATACCGTCACCTGCCATAAGCCATTGGTTGAGCCCAGGACCAGGTTCTTGATAGAGCCATGACAGCGTCTCTCTGAGCGCAGCCTCGATTTGCAAGACTCTGTCACCCATCTGGTGTTTTGGAAAACTTTCAAGGCAACCTGTTTGTGCAAGTCAATCTGACAGAACATTTTCAAGACTAGGTTCCAAGCGGGCAACTGACTCTGGACCTGCTCGCCTCGAATATGGTCGGCTTTGAGCTTGCGACGTTCTAGATGGCGTTTGATTTCTCCTTTCGTCCTGATATAGCCATCATCATCCTCGTCTTGAAATCTGCACATATTTCTGTGATTTGCATTTACGAAACTCTTTCGTTCCTTCACTGGATGCCCAAGCTCGGAGGATTCATTGGGGACCACCTATCGATGGGATGTCAACATTGCTCCGTGTTTGCAAAGCTATTCTCATGCTGGTCGGATGAAATACCTTACTATCCATCCAGCCAAACCCACTGTAGCCTAGAGACTCCTGAAAGGTGGAAATATAAAAGGTACCAGACTCCAAGAGCTGGCTGAATCCATCCCGTATAAGAGCAAGAACGGGCGAATCACCTCTGAGATCACGAATATTCTGGTCGTTGACACTAAAGCCGGCAGCTTTGGCCATCTTCGCTATGGTCAGACCGAGGTTCGTATAAGCGCCACCCCGGTGTGGGGTACCGAAGAAGATGAGAGCGAAGGTTGAGAGCAGAACATCTTTCAAGTCGCTGTCCATTTCAGACGAATTTGAAGCCCGTCGTAGTGCCTGCTGAGTGTCAGCATCGGATCGAGTTCTTCGCCGTTTTGTTGAGATACCTCTTTCGTGATTAGACCACCCATGGAATGCGAGACGATAATCATATCACGACCACGAGCGTCCACTCGCTGAGCGGCCAGGTCGTTCAGAAAAGCGTTTGCAATCTCGATTATGTTGTTCTGATTCGCGCCACCACTAAAAAAGTTGCTCACTTGCGAGTCGTATCCATACGTCAAAATCCGGGCATCCGGGAAATCCTTTCTCAGAAGATTGGCTGGCCAGAATCCTGCAGGGACGTCTTGAGAATATCCCAGGCTGCCTGCAGAACGATCTCGTAACGGCGTTCCTGCGATCGATCTGCGAAGTCCCAGGGGTCCCTTTGGTTTTGGTGTGTCGGTCTGTGTCAAATTGTATGTCCATGTCTTCAGTGGATATCCTTGAATGCCGTGGATGAAGACGATGTCGAAGTCTGGACGAGGGCCACCATCATGTACAATGGTGAAGCCACATTCTTTGACATGAATACGCCTTGATGCGTTTGTGTTCTCTTTGTTCACACCCTGGATGTCACTCGACATTTAGACGTGGTTTGTGCAGAAGTCTGCGTTGTTGAAAACTCATAAGTTTACCGGACTTTGCGCCTTGATGACAAGGTCAAGACCAGGCCACACTGTTATGTTATTTCCCACCTTCAGCCGCTCGCCTGTCGTGGCTGTGCATCAGAGAGGCCAGGCCACGGCCTGCAGCACTTTTAGGCGAGGACTCGGCCTAGTGTCAGCCACTTGGTAGTCCACCTATCAAGGGGAAGGCGACTCGTATGCAACCTTTCACCGCTTCTTTCGTAGCACTTCGCCAGCGCCTCTCCTCAATAATCTATGTTTGACCAATCTGGGATAGTCGACTTCGAGGCCGTGATCTCCTGATCGATGCTAGATCAAAGGCAAAGTTCACGTGACGCTGGTGTGCACCGTCTTACCATGAAGAGCATGCTGGTCAGAACTGGAGGTGGTTACGAGTTCGAGCCCAAGGTTTGAGATCAGTATCTGGCGCCAGTTGGAAATGCCCATTGATCATCTCAAGTAGTCACTGCACATTGTTGCATCTTCTGCTGGTACATGGCCCGAGGTACATCTCAATCATGTTCCCAATTTGATTTCGTCCGTCCTGCCTCTGCTATTCCGGACGATTGGTAAGTCACCAACCTACTCTCTCTTCTTAATTGACAATATGAGCTTGATACGGACTAAGATCATAGGGAGTATCTGGTAAGGCCAATGGACGGAGACTTTGGAGCTGGAGGCCTCATCAAGGCCTTGTCGTGCCTTACGTACAGCCTCGTACAGCGGCCGATGGACGATTGGTCCGGGACGTTGCTGGGCTGGGAACTCTGGGAGTTCGTACACCATGACGGCATCTCTGGACTTTTGTGTGGACCGAATTAACCGACCATCGTACAACGTCGAATGTCAATCAATAATCAGTCAACATTTTTCGTCCGCTGGCAGAGTTTATCTTCTTCGATTTCGGTGTCGAGACATGTTGGAAGAGGACATAATACCATCGACCTCGATAGCAGACCCATTTTCGGCCATCTGAACATCACCGAAGGCGAAAAACGGGAGAGGTAGTCAACGCCTTACCGCACGCTATCGGAAAACCCGACGGCATATCCTGAGATTTTCCTGGGCTGAAGCCGCTGGCAGTGGGTGCACCTGGCCCTAGAGCCATTGCGTTCTTTGATATCGTACAGGGTAGGATCTGCGACGAAGTCTTAAAACACGACGAATCCAGATCTCTGGCGGATTCGGTTCGATCTCTTCTTTACAACATTACACGAGGCAGAAATTGATATTGACTCGTGTAAGTCGCCCCTTACGAGACATCCCCCTCTCAATCATGGACTTGCAGGCTTACAGTACCAATAGATATTCCACGGACAAGTCGGAAATGACCTTCAGTCCAGAGGGAGTGAGCCACTCCAGAGACGCAACAGCAACCAACTCTCCCACATCCAGTACAATGGATTCAGCCGTCGACAAAGACGTCGAGAAGGATGCAGTCAATCTCAATCAAGCCGATGAGCATGACAGTGCATCTGACCATGCCCTATCTGGAAACGCAGAAAAGCCAACAGACCTCGGCGACAACGAGGTTCCAATATCTACGGCAGTCAACCCAATGGATCCCTCTCAGTTTCCAGACGGAGGAGCGAAAGCCTGGACAGTGGTACTCGGGGCCTTTTGTTGTCTGTTCGTCAGTTTCGGCTGGATCAACTGTACGTATCGACAAGTGCCTCAGCCTCCGCATCCCGCATAATGTTACTGACTCAAATTCCACAGGCATCGGCGTGTTCCAAGACTACTACGAAACTCACCAGCTGAAAGAATATTCCTCTCAAGAAGTCGCCTGGATTCCCAGTCTGGAATCATTCATGATGTTCGTCGGCGGTCTCTGGGTTGGAAGAATTTATGGTATGCTCTCTTGCTCGCCCATACCTATAGTGGCTCTCCTCTAATGCAATGTTCCAGACAACTACGGCCCACGATACCTAATGCTGGCCGGCACATTCCTCCACGTCTTCGGACTCATGATGGCATCCATCTCCAAAACATACTACCAATTCCTCCTCTCCCAGGGCTTCTGTTCCGCCCTCGGTGCCTCTATGATCTTCTATCCATCCATGTCTGCCGTGACGACTTGGTTCTTCAAGAAACGTGCCCTAGCTCTGGGCATCACCGCGGCAGGATCGTCCATCGGCGGCGTCATATTCCCTATCCTGGTCGAGCGCATGATTCCCAAGGTCGGCTTCGGATGGACCATGCGCACTTGTGCCTTTTTGATCTTGGGCCTGATGATCGTCGCCAACTTGACGATTGCAAGTCGTATCCCGCCGAGACGCACACCCGTCCGACCCAAAGACTTTGTCAAGCCGTTTGGAGAGAGCCGCTTCTCGATATTGGCATTGGGCACCTTCTTTACGTGGCTTGGTACGTATTGACCCCCAAAAACACTGACTCTGACTTCAACACCCGTTATTTTCCCGATCCTTTCCCTGACTGACTGAAATACTAGGCCTCTTCATCCCTTTCACATTCATCATTCTGGCAGGCGAGGCCCACGGAGTCCCCAGCTCACTGGCCCAATACCTCGTCCCCATCCTCAATGCTTCCAGTACATTCGGCAGGACCATTCCACCCTACCTCGCCGACAAAATCGGTCGGTTCAACGTGCTCTTGGCGTGTTCCGCCCTGTCCGGCATCATCACACTCGCTCTCTGGGTCCCCGGAACCGGCAGCGCGGCAAGTGTGGTGTTCGCCATAATTTTCGGATTCAGTTCCGGCGGCGTCGCGAGTATCCTGCCCGCTTGCATTGCGCAGATCTCGCCCATCCACGAAATTGGGGTCAGGACCGGTGCTTGCTTCAGCGTCGCCGCCTTAGCGACCTTGATTGGAAGTCCGATTGGTGGTCAGATCATAGTGAACAGTGGCTATCGCAGTATGCAGGCTTTTGGCGGTGCGTTGCAGGCTGGAGGAGCTATTGTGTATTTGGTGCTGTGGCTCAGATTGGGTGGGATGAAGTGGCAGAAAGTATAGATGCCTCTTGAAAGACCTTGCGAGCACTTTTGGGTCGTTGGGAGCCCACTTTGACAATGAGCATAGCGCACGGTTTGCTGGGTTGCATGGGTATGGTACAGCGTGATTTTGGACAGGGTAAAAGGACTATAAGCAGGGACTCGCGACTCGAGAATGAGCATAGCATGGCTTTGGACACGTGTATATGTATATTCAAGGCGAATAGTTGACGACTGTCTCTGTCGCTCGGTGTGGTCCGGTTTGGGACATCTCCATAGCAGAGAGCTGCACAGTATAAAAAGCTAGAAACTCATGGACCTCGCTATACTGACAATAAGTCATGTAGGCTGGTCGCCGAGCCAGGCTTCATGCCCGTGCCGAATTCTTACGCTGAAAGTCCCCAAGCTATACATCTCGTCTTCCATCCAAACAGCTGTTCCCAAACAGCTGTTCATGTTAGTAACGTGTCGCTTCGCTTCAGACCGACCAGAACTCCCATTCATCCTTCAGTGGACACTTATCATGGCGTGCTCTGTGTTTGTGGGCCCATCATGGCTCACTCGTCGTCCTCATCAATCAAAAACTCAACCCAAGGGTCCAACTCGACCAATTTGAACATAGGCCCCCATTTAGCCCGAAACTCCTTCCTCTTATAAAGGCTGCTAGTATTCAGCCTGAAACTAACCAGCTCGACGCTCCATCCTTTTTCGAGGGCGCGTTCGACCATTCGCAAGAAGCCACCCGAGTACTCCGCCTCAGCGGCGTCGCCGGTCGCGAGTACGATGGTACTCGGCTTCTCAGCATCGACCAGCGACTCGAGGATCTTGAGGTGCAGAATTTCGTCCACGGCCTGTTCGACCCATTTCTCCGTCGCAGCGTGGGGAGTGAAAGCAGTCGTTTCAGATCCGCTCGTCTCCCCGCCAGACCGATACTTCTTCTGACGCGGCGTCAGGTCTTTGGCCTTGTGCACGCGCTCAAGAATGTTGGTCTCGTAGCCAAGTCCCTTGGCCTGCTGGATAGCCGGGTACTTGTCCGAACCGACCAGCACGCGTTTAGCAGCCGGCCGGCCTCGTTCAAGTACAAGCGAGAAATTGTGGAAGGATAATGGAACACGCTTGAGGCGTGTCTCGCGAGGCATGCCGCGTGCTATTTTCAAGCAGTCGTGAAAGCCGATTGAGATGTTGGAAACGTCGACAAAGACGTGGACTCCGATGTTGGATATGTTGAGTGGGGTGAAGGCGGGCTCGAGGAGCCCTGCGTTCTTGAGATATTTCTTCTCTTCTGGAAATTGGCGCATTAGCTCGGTGATGAGCTTTTGTTTGCGTTGTCGTGGTGTCAAACCATCACGCGGTTCGACAGTTGGCCGCTTTGAGGGCGATGGGACGCCCGGAGCTGACCAGAGGAAGGGATTTGAGACGGGCCAATTGTCCCGCTTCGGTGTTCTTAGTTCGGCTTTGGGTGGTGAAGGTGATGTCGGTGGAGAGTTAGTGTCGCGCAGAGATGGTCTGCTACGACCGAGAATGTCGTCGATGACAGCTCTGCGGTCAGGAGATCTGCGGAGGGATTCGAGTTCCTCGCCTGACTCGATATCTGTGGTGTCTGATGTAGATTTTTGTTGTATGACAAGCTTGTCTGCACGCTCCTTTGCTCTTGCTCTGCGTTCTGCACGTTTCTTGTTACGCAGATACGCTGCTGTAATTGGTACTGGCTCGACATTGTCTTCCAGATCCGCGCCATCCACCTCGTCCCGCCAGCGGACACCTTTGTTCAGCTGGTTGAGGTCGACTTCGGCCACGGTGTCATCGTTGACTTCGTACTTGACAATGTCTGCGAGCGAGTCATTCGTTGTATGTGGGCGGCCCAGGAAGTCCCAGAGGCTGGAAAAGTCTCCAAGGGATTGACCGGTCGAGTCATAGTTGCTGGTGTCCTCGTCCGAATGAGCGACTAGCTGTGGTGCAGATGTGGCATCATATTTCTGGAGCGACAGGCTCTTGAGAAGGCTTATAGCATGCTCGAGATCCCATGAAAGGGGATCTTCGTCGTATGGCATATGCAACGCAGGAGAGAGGCGGTGCTCTCAGAATGCGGGTGATGTGGCGACTTAGAGAGGGGTGAACTTGATTGGGAGGTAGAGGCGCTGGACGCGACGACACATAGCTTCAAGTCGGTGTAGAGTCTTATTATGGGCGAGTCGGAAGAACAGAGGTATGAGTGCTTCCAGGTTCAAGAAGGATGATGGTGGCACTGTATGATGGTTGTTGTTGTGTGAGAGATCGAATCGATGAATCACACACCTGTCACTCCGCCTCATGATCTTCCGGAAATCAGTGGGTGGCCGTGCCATTTTAGTGGGCTACTTTGCTTGGCCAGATCCGTCTAACTTATCCCCTGGGAAGTGCACCTTCTGACTCAAACACATGAACAAAGACTTGAGTTGGCATGGTAAACAGCATCACCATTGAATGGTCCACATGAATTTTATGTCTCGTGATCTGCATGCCAGATTGCTCAACCACAGTGAAGCTGAAAGTCGTCATTTGCGAATGCTCCCGCACTGGTCATACATCTAGTTCGTCGCCAGGGGCCACAGCCTCGCTCAATCCGCGAGAGGGTGATGCCCAAATTGACTCCTATTCCCCAAGTTCACACCTCTCCGCTGCCATGCCCAAGCGAATTCCAAGACATGTTTCTCATACTCGTCCCAGTCAATCTCCTCCTTGAAAACCTTTTCTAGCATCAGGGCATCATATGCTGCTTGACTCGTGCTCGCCGCCGTGTGTGGTCTAAAGCCGGCCAAGGCATCTCCGACAAGGAGCGCCTTGCCATTCAGCAGCCTGCCGACCTTGGTGCCCTTTTTAGGCGGCTGGACGTCGGCAATGGCTTGCACGAACGGACTCTTGGTCTTGCTCACAATCTCCGCGAATTGTGGCGGCAGGCCTTCATGGGCCCGGGTTTTCTGTCGATCCCATACTTGCGGTTGCATCTTTCCACCCGTTGGCAGTGTGAAGCGATGCTGGTTGCCCTCAGTGTCCGTGAAAAGTTCTTTGTATTCCTCAGAGGACTCATCAACGTTCCAGTACCAGACCCAGTTTACCAGTCGCTTTCCTTTTTCGAGACTCCCAGCCTTGCCCGGAATTGTGTAAGATAGTATCTGGGTGCCGTCCGCGTGGAAGAATGTAAAGCGCTCGACGAAAACTGCAGCAGCTGCGTCTGACACCTCCGCTTCCGGCACCGTGCCTCGAAATGCCACGTAGCCAGCATACGTCCTCTCTGCAGCCTCCTTTCCCAGCAGCATATTTCGCGTATGAGACGAAGGTCCGTCCGCTGCAATTAACAAGTCTGCAGTAGCTGTCGACGTCTGCTTGCCCTCGCCCTCTCTGATTTTGTCGTATGTCACCTCGACCTTATCCCCCGTATCACGAACGCTGGTGACTGATCTGCCGTACTCGTAGCTTGCTGCTCCGTCCTGTTTCGGGACCCTGTCTACATACTCACTCTCTACTGAGTCAAAGTTGGCGCGACCGAGGTAGTAGAGCAAATCCCAGCTCGTCATGTGCTGCTGATAGTCCTCACGGTCAATCACTTTGCCGGCATGATCGAGGTAAAACCGCACTTGCGAAGTGACTGCCATAGGTCTCCGAGATAGGTCGTGCTTATGGAAGAAAGCTTGTGTCTCTCCACCAGCGACTACTCCAGCTCCTTGATCATGTAGCAATGGTGTCGGAGAGCGTTCGAAGATTGTAACTCGATGACCCAGTCGCTTCAGTGGGATGGACGTCATCAGGCCGGCCAATGAGCCGCCGACCACAATGATGTCCAGCTTCTTGGAGACATCGACCATTCTGTGCATGGACTTGTGCTGGCTCCTCGTCTAGTGGTGATTTGACGCACTGGCTGTAATCTCATAAGTAGCCAGGTGATCAATGTAACCCTTCTCTGTATATGGCGGGCTTGGTCGTACTTTAGGCTGGACTGCTTGAGATGCTCTCCTCAGGGCTGGAAGAGGAAATTCCTGCAGCATTTAATCATTACCAGGAACCTACAGTACAATTGCTTCTGCTTGATAATGTTGTGGACTGTCGCTTGCACGATACTGTCAGTATGACGTATGCACTTTGTTCAATCACTGCTAGTGCATCCCTGACATCCGGTAGCATGGAACGTATGTAGTCCAAATACGGACATCTTGAACATCCAGTAAGGCATCATTCTGGCCTGCATGTCAAGATCTGGGAGTTAGATGAATGCTTGTTCGACCACATTGTCCCAGCTGGAGAAGGATTCATGGGCCCCGGAGTGGCATATCCGCTACCAGAACCCCGCTATTCCTTATCCCCCACCACGCTCGTCTTTTGCAGAAGCGAAGGAGATTCTTCGGGGCCAGTTGGGGCATGATAATTGAAGTCTCATTCGAGTGCGGTAGTGATTCTAGATCTTGTCGTTCAAAAACACCCTTTACTCAAGCATGGATTCGAGGGGCTTGTTCAGTCGTATATACCAGGTAACGTGGGGATTTGTCCATGGCTGTGCGATGTAGGTCGTCGATTAAGGCAGTCTTATTCTTTTGATCCTCAAACTGTTGGAGTAACTTGTTGTAGCTCTTCCATGAGTACTGTGCCTAGGCGGAATGCTTATCAGTTCCCCCAAAAATACCTGCAGGTACCTTGGTTACCCCAACAGCGACCCCCGTTCTGCCGGAGAGGGCTCCAAGGGGCTTCACTGGGCCTGTACCGATATTCAAGACCAGTAAAGCAGTCGTTTACCTCGGAAATCTACTGCTCGCTCGCCTTTACTCCACCTCTGTACCTCCGCTAAGAGTGTCGATTATGACGCTCATCTCATGAATCCGCACCTTTGGTCCATCAACAGATTTTGCGGGGCCTCCGAGTGTGGTCAATACATCACAAAGCTCCTCAATCGCTCCTGGTCTAGAGATTTCCTGCTAGGTTGTCGATTGCTTTGTCTCAATATCCCCAGAAGATCCAGCCCAGCACCCTGATCAACAATGTCTGCTATTCAAGCGCAACTCGACCGTGGGGCAGTGCCCAACCACGTCTCCAATGTTTGCCCGAAGGGGACAAAGTTCCATGTTCTGGAGGTGGGCTGGCTCGAATGTGACGAGGCATTCGTTATCCGGGGCGGAAACACTAGCAAGTTGAGCACCGCGACTCAGTCTTTTGTCAACAAGCGAAGGCAGCTACCCATGTACTGTATACTAATCGAGCACCCACACGAGGGTCTGATATTGTGGGAAACGGGCTCTGGCAAGTAAGCCATCATCCACCCCACGCAAGGCTCGTGCCCGTGTTGATAATGCATATTCTTTGCTATTACTCATTGCAAAAACCTCCAATTTCATTGTAACTGACGTTGACACTGTAAAGGGATTATCCAACTGTATGGTAAGTATCCCCCTTCTCAAAAGACCGTGAAGCACGAGTCTTTCGGTGCGCTTTTTGACGGTTTCTATAGGGGCCCCGAGGTCGCTGACGTATTCTCTCGCATCCGGTACGAGCCCAAGCATGAGCTCAAAGCAGCTGTCGAGGCGACTGGACACAAGATCGAGGATATCAAGACCGTAATCATTGGCCATCTCCATATCGACCATGCGGGAGGCCTTGACGAATTTCTCGACAAAAAAGATGTTTCAATGTAAGCCTTCTCCTTTGCCAAAGACTGGGCCATTGGAGCACGAGATCTTGGGTTTGTCCCAAGTTTGACCAACACAATTTTCTGACGATCTGTAGATGGGTTCATGACAGGGAGCTCAAGGCTGCATTCTGGTCCGTCGCCACGGGCGCCGATGTTGGAGTTTACCTTGAGCATTATCTCAAGCTCAGCTTGTGAGTCGTCCTGGTCCGGGACCTTTGGATCATGCTGATTCAACTTCCAGTAACTGGAAGACGTTCGATGAACGGACGTTTGATTTCTGCCAAGGCATCACGCTGCACCATTTGCCAGGTCATACTGATGGTAAGAAAGTCCGACCGAGCTGATAATAGGTCTGACCTTTTTCGGCAGGGCTGATTGGTATGCAACTCAACATGCCTGACAGCGGAACGTGGCTTTTTATAAGCGACCACTGCCATGTCATTGAGAATGTAAGCACCCCCATCAGAACCTCATGCGTCGAGACTGACGCTTCTTAGTGGCGCGATGGTATCCCACAGGGTTGGCTCGCAAGAGATCATCCAGCATGGTTCCAAAGCACTCAACGCTTGAAGCAGCTGGAAAGAACGACTAAAGGCCAAATCATCCCGGGGCACGATAAGGAGACCTTTGAGAACATGGTTGCCAAAGGCAGAACGTTCACTTAGGGGAAGCCGCGGAGACCGATGTACAACCCCACCAAACTCGAGGTGTGTCCTCGAGCTTGACCTCGAGCTCGAAGCGGAGTCAGGCGAAGTCATTCCAGTTTATCGTGTAGCGTGTAGCTGTAGCGTGCCACTACTCTGGTCAAGACCGTTGCTCGAAATTCTTCAACCGTGGGCGGATCCGCATTCATTCGCTTGGAGGTTCTGCATCCGGCATTGACCATTCGCTCGAGGTGAGAGTTGATTCGGCCATTTCTGTAGCATCGGCAGGAGGTCCGTCTTCAGTGGTTTCACTCGTCTCTTCATCAGTACGGAATCCGACCGACTTCCCGTTCTTCATCCCGGCCTTCTTCTGAACAACAATATCACCATTCCAAGGTTTACACTTGTAGACTATCTCGCCACACCGTAGGCAAGACCACCCACCCCCTTCCTCAGCTTCGATTTTGGTGGCCAGACAAACGAAACAATATATGCAGCCGCATGGAATAGTCTCGTAAGGATTCACAACATCAGTGGTGGCCGAGCCGATGACGCCTCCGCCTGCTCCAGCATTGGCCCCTAGAATTTCAGCCTCGGATGTCGATGTTGGATTCTGATCTTGGTAACAAATAGGACAAGTCCTTTCCGGAAGGAACGCGAGAGGTCCTGTCTTTATCTTCTCTTCCTCGTCCTCCGTAACTTCCGACCTCATTGCATCCTTGGTCTTCTTCCACGCTCTTGCCAACCATCTTCGCCATCGACTGATCCCGACTAGTGGCAGGAGAAACAACAGGAACTCAGTGAATGCATGCCAGACCAACTGCCGATTCAGGTACTCGAATGAGACCTCTCGACTAACTTGGTTGGAAGGGGGAACCAGCCGCAATCGTAGCAGGCGGTCGGTGAGAGTGCGATATCGTCCATTGACCAGGAAAACCAGAAAGGAGCAGAAGGCCGCAATCGAGTGAGTGGTGGATGCGAACGATGTCAGTCGCATCAGCTTTTGGATTGTCTCTGAGGGTGCCGTGTATCCTCGTTCCTGGTCAATGAGCCACTCTTCCCATTTGTCCCACCCATATCGTCCGAAGACTGTGATCAATCCGTATATCGTCTTCTGCCACACGGTAGGTTTGGGGAGAGCGAGACTAGAACGCCGCGCATCTGTGTATCGAAGATTCTGAAGTGATGCACCGTACGATGCGTCATTGTCCCATATGGAAAGTTTGAATAAGACGGCCCGAAGAGCGAGCAGGATCTCTTGCGACCAGTCGTCCTGCAGATGTGGTCCGAGGTATTTGAAGGCATCTCCGACCTGCGTCTTTAAAAGGCCCAGTAATTCTTCGTCCAGCAATTCAGCATCAACCTGACCGACCCGAAACGCTGGCCTGGTCCCCTCAGACTCCAACAGGGTGGACCAAAACGACGACAGTTCAGGGCGTAACGAGTGAGTAATTCGCGTAAGAGGGCTTCGCGAGGTAGAGGTTTCTGCGTGTGGACGGGCCGCACGAGCGTCTTGTTGTCGGGCAGCCTGCCGTGCTAAGATACGCTCTTGAGCAGCGGCAAAGCTGCTTGATGACATTGTCGGCGCATACGGAGGTGTGGGAATGCGGAGTGAAGTAGTGCAGGTAACATGAAATATATCTTTAGAGGTGATGCGCCCAGCGCAGCCGAGGCTATTTGGGCGGCGAGCCTATTGCGAGAAAGTGGCACCGTCTGACCGCCGTAACTATTCACGTCTAAGTACGGATTGTATATGATTTCTTATTGCCAACGTGTAGTGCTTCGAAGACATCGATATAGCGCTTTCCTTTGACAGGAAGCAGGTCAGGTCATCAGCTCAACCGTGTAGACTCATCAGCCTTGTAGTCAGGGTATCCACCGACGCGAACTTGCTGGATCTTGAATTTATATCTTTGAAGTACTCTTTGTCAGACAGTGACATTTCTCCTGGAAATAAGGTCGGTGGCAGGGCACTTTCGATCACTAACAGCCACTAACTTTGCACTAGGCTAACTGTAATGCCCTAAGGACCTGCCCTTAATTGCCCAATCACGACTGCCTTGACATTTGTTTCACACTGGCATCAAAACCCTTTAAAGGTTCAGTACTTGACATCTTTCTTTGCTAATCGGATCATTTCGTCTTGTTCCCAGTGTCTTCCCTGACAAGAACACTAGGCCATGTAACGCCCACTTGATATCAACGTGATGCCCTCCTTCAGTATTGAGGCCGAGGGCGAAACCAATCCTCTCACGCGGCAACTGGTCGTTTCCACTCTTACCAATGCTTCACAACCCGCTGCTCATACGCTGAAAGTTGCCACGCAACAAATCGCCAACTGGGAGAAAACACCTGGATACTATGCTCTGCTTCAAGACATCTATGCCGATCTTTCTCTCGGCCAGGACGTGAGATTTCACGCCATCATTCAGCTGAAGAATGGCATAGACAAATATTGGCGCAAAACCTCTACCCACGCCATCGGCAAGGACGAAAAGCAACAGATCAGAACGAAATCAATCGAAGCTGGTGTCAGAGAGCCCGTCTCTGCCCTCGCTCTTCAAAATGCGCTCATGTTGGCAAAAATTGTTAGGTACGAATTTCCACATGACTGGCCCGATGTCATTCATACCATCATTCAGCACCTTCAAGCCGCAAGTCAAGATCCTAACGCCGGCCTTTACACATCCAATATCCTGACGATAACGTTACAAATCATAAAAGAACTGGCCTCCGGACGGCTGCAACGAACAAAGAAGAGCCTGCAACAAGTGTCGCCTGAACTGTTGAGAGTTCTTGGTAGTCTCTACGTGGACCTGGTCTCAAGGTGGCAGCCTCTATCAGTAACATCCGACCTGGCAAGTACACGAAATAGCTATTCGGCCTTGAAGACACTGAGACGTCTCCTCGTTGTAGGCTTTGAGAGTCCTCATCGTGAGGACGATGTCATACAATTCTGGGCACTACTGCAGTCACATCAGGACAGCTTTTGGTCAGCATGTACCCAGGATGGCTCCGCAGACGCCAAAACCATGCTGATGAAACATCTGCTGCAACTTTCCAAGCTATACTTGGATATGGCTCGCAACCACCCCGCCTCGTTCGTCCTGCTTGGCTGCACAGACATACTAAACCGATCTTGGAGTATCGTCAGTCAAACAGACGCCAAAATACTGCAGAACAACTTTGACTGGGGCGTCTACCGCGATGGAGACATCGATAATGAATCTTCTGGCGAGGCACCTATCGAAAAGCTATCGCTAAAGGCATTGTTGTTGTTTCGGGCGTGCCTCAAAATGGTATTCAATCCTGTGCACACTTTCCGATATCAGACGCCCCAGGACAAAGAGGATCGAAAAAATGCTGTGGAGTTCGTTAAGGACAGCGTGCTCCAGGACGCATTCGTCATGCAGCTCATGGAGATCCTGGTAACACAGTACTTCGTCCTCCGTCCTTCGGACCTGAGGGAGTGGGAGCAGGAACCCGATGAATGGGAGAGGAGGGAAGAGGAGATTGCCGATGCGTGGGAATTCTCCATACGGTCCTGTTCGGAAAAGCTGTTCCTGGATTTGGTCATCAACTTCAAAGAGCTCCTCGTTCCCCGACTACTTGACGTATTTCACCAATATGCTGTCACGTCCAATACCAATGTCCTTCTGAAGGACTCTCTCTATTCGGCTGTCGGTATTGCCGCTGCCTGTCTGGAAGACGTTCTGGACTTCAACACCTTCCTCCGCACGACCCTGGTACCGGAGGTGCAAATGCTACAACCAAACTACAATCTTCTCCGACGCCGAACAGCAATACTCCTGGGTCAGTGGGTACCCATCAAGCCTGAGGCGATAGACCGGGTGGCCGTCTACCAAATATTCACGCATTTGCTTGCCAGCGGCGAAGAGCTGAACGACCACGTCGTACGTGTCACAGCTGGTCGACAACTTCGCCTTGTACTTGAGCCATTCGAATTCAACTTCGCTGAGTTTCAGCCATACGCATCTCACCTTCTGAAGAGTTTGATGTCCCTGATATCGGAAACCGAACTATCAGAAACCAAGATGGCACTCCTGGAGACCGTCAGGGTAGCCGTCACGAAGCTAGAAGGTCACATCGAGCCGTACGCCCCTGACATCATGTCTATGCTACAGCCTCTTTGGATTGACTCCGGTGAGGAGCATCTCATGAAACAAGCCATTCTGACCATGGTGACCGCCATCGTCACCAGCCTTGGGCAGAAGAGCCTGTCTTACCATGTCGCTATTCTACCTATCATCCGCGATTCAGTTCAGCCAGACTCCGAAGCGATTGTCTACTTGCTTGAGGAAGCTCTCGACTTGTGGACCGCCATAATACAGCAGACGCCATCCGATCAAGCATCGCCCGAGTTGCTCACTCTGTCTCACTCTCTGTTACCGTTACTCGATATAGGGAGTGAACTACTTAGGCAGATATTCGAGATTGTCGAATCATACATCATGCTATCACCAACCACCATCTTGGAACCGAAATTCCTCACACCGCTATTGGGGTCGATGAAAGAATTGTTGTCCATGCTCTCGTCAAGTCGTACCCGTGATGCATCTCTGGCGCCCCACGTACTGGAGAACCTTGTTGCCACCATTGCCGTTGGAGGCCACCTCGACCCTCAACAGGGTTTCACACACCTGTTGGGATCGATGGTCAACACAGGTTATTTGGCGTCGTTGTTGGCCCTGTTGAAGCAGGCGTACGACTATCACCAGGATCCGCGGGTCAATCGTCGACCACCAGATCTCATCGGTCCGGGCGAGACAACACTATTCACACTCCTTGCGCGCATTGCGCTGCTATCTCCGGACCAGTTCGTCCAAGCTGTTATCGCGACGAATGTGAACTCTGCGCCCACACCGTCACCCATGCACTGGCTGGTGACCGAGTGGCTACAGTCCATAGATGGCATTGGTGACGTCCTGCGAAAGAAACTGCAGGTCCTAGCATTGACGAGCCTGTTGACTACAACGACGTCTCCCTGTCCAGACCTCATGCTGGACAATTTGCAGTCCCTGTTGACCACCTGGACGGACGTTGTGCTCGAGTTGGGACAGGACGCTTCGGATGAGAGCAAGGGCGATTACCTCTGGCATAACACGCCAGGAAATATGCCTGAATGGCCAGATGCTACGCCGGAAGATGGTCGGAAGAGAGTGGTCAGTAACGGGGACCCGATCTATACCGTGAATATCCGCGAGTTTATTGCTAGTACGTTACGGTTGACGATGGAGAGCGCGGGTGGCCCGGCGGCATTCGAGCATGAGTGGCTAACTAGAGTTGACTCGGTTGTGCTCAAGGCTTTTGTGGATTTGAAGCTGCTGTGAGAGATAAGATTGTGGACGGAACGTCTTGGTTGCTGCTGGGAGGTTCCTGGCTTCTATCGGTTTCACTGGCAGATCATCAGGCTTGCATACCGGGGTTTAAGACACCTGTAAGCGACTCTAGCATGGCATGGCATAGCGTAGCGGGTTCATGTTTGTGAGCGTCAAGAAAATTTCATTCAGGCTTGCTGTCTTCTCGTCTTCTATTTCGACTTTATTGTAGATGCCCTTCTCAAGCCAACATGGTATCTCATGAACAAAGTATCAATAAAATGATCATGTTTAACGCCAGGCGGTTTCGCGCGCGCAAACTCGTCCAATGCATCCTGCGGCCTGTACCCTTCATGTTCAATCAGATAACACGCAATGAAGAATCCCGTCCGATTGTACCCGTAGTGACAGTGCACGCCGATCGCCTTATGATCATGTCCGGACTCGCTCCTAAGCCGATCGACCAGCGCAATAAAATCCGCGACTTCGACGGGTGTAGGCGGTACTTTACTCACGGTCGGAAATTTGTGGTACTCTATGCCCCCGCGCTCGAGGGCCTTGGTGTCGTACACGGGACTGTCGTGGCTAATGTCGATCACTGCGAAGATCTTGTCGCGCCAATTCTTCAGAAAGACGGCGGGAGTGTGAATCTCGTCTTGTTCGCGGAGTGTCTTGAGCGCGCGGAATAGACCGTTGGGACCGATGGGCCCGGAGACGGGGAGGACTCTCTTCCATTTCTCGAGATTCTTGACGTCCCATTTGCCGCTGGTGGTGAGTTGTTGGAGTTGCCAGCCTAGACTTAGTTGGGGAGATACGTAGCGAGACAGGAAATCTTCGATCAGACCTGCGACGGTGCGGTAGGTGGAGTGGTCGTACATCAAGGCGTGAGCGGCTGGGGAAGGGAGGATGGCGGTTTTCAGGATGGTGCTGTTGTGGCTGGACATTTCGCTGGTGGAGGGGAGGGTGCCGAATTTGTGGTCGTCTGCTTCGGGTTTGTGGTCGTTTGATGTCGCGCTTGTGTTGTCGGTGGCCATTGGGAGAGGTTGGCTTGTTGTGGGCGGATCAGGAGATGATGGCTTTTGCAGGAATGAGACGATTCTCTTGACTTCGGTTGGTTTGGTGACGGTGTCGGCTTCGCCTGCGATGAGGAATAGTGGGACCTGGATTTTGGACCACGTTTCTTTACCGGGTAGGCCGCCTGTCGGTTCGTGTGAGGCGTCGTAGTATGGTAAACAGCCGAGTGCGAAGCGTTTCCAGACGGGTGTTTTGAAATTCCTGTTGAAGGCAAGTTGGAGACGGCGCAGATCGACGCCGGCGGTCTTGCCGGCCATTCTCTCAACGCTTCTGGATCGCACACCACCTCTTCGGTCGAGCAGTCGGAAGAGATCGAGGACTGTGTCTGGAAGGGATAGAAACCTTCTGGCGGATTTTGTTTCTGCTTCTGTTGGTGGCGACGCCTTGGGACATAGTGCGACGATTCCTTCTACCAAAATGGACAGGGAGGAATCAGTCGCGAGACCTGCGGCGATAGAACATCCCATGCTATGTGCCACGAAGACGACTTTCTTGTGGCCTTTCTCTCGACATATATCTTGAATGGCTGTTCGCCATAGTGAGACAAATGCTCCGAAAGTGTAAGCGTCGTAGTGTTTTGGTGAGAAGCCGGACATGCCATGACCGGGTAATTCTATGCCGAAACATGGTCCTATGTTGACGAGACTGCCCATTAATGGTGCAAATTGAGGTAGAGATCCGCCTAGACCGTGGATGAAAACCAGCAGAGGTAGGTCTGCTATGGCTTGGAGTTTCTCTGCATGAGCGTGAGGATGGTAAAATGTCCTTATAAAATCATATTCAGCTCGTGGAGTGGTGTAGGAGCGCGTTGAGGTGTAATCCTTGAGCAGAGGATGGTCGTTCTCATCGAGGCTTGTTGTGTCTTCACTGGGGACTGGTTTCGCAGAGAAGTATGAGCGTGTCGCATAGAGGGCACCAGCACCCAACAGAATCGCAATGGCAGTGGTTGTTGCCATACCTATCCCAATGCTTGGTGCTGGTCTGCTAGAGTTCCTAGGGTAAATGGAGCCAAGATGGGGCAGATATGGAAGGTTTGCAGTCATGTCCAGACATGATATGGATCAAATTGAGATGTGAGATTGTATTCCACGTGATCAAACATATAAAAGTGAAAGGTATTGTTTGATTGTGTATAACGAGTGCACGAGCTAAAGTCGTTGGTGGACAAATGCTTTAGGGATTGATTGACCGCTTGACGCGCAAGGCTAAGAAAACATGCGGCTTGATTGATATCTTATGCATGAAACAGTTTGCGAATTGTTCTGCATGGGAGGATGAGGTCATATCAACTCACAGCAAAAGGTCTGCACGTGTTGACGACGGGTCTCCGGTGGGCCATATCGCAAAACGCGCCGGCCTTGGCCCACCGTACTAGTTGGTGCAGAAATCTTTACGACTGCGCGCCATCTGAATCCTCGTTGGCACGCACCTCTCAAGTCCTCATCTACTGCTATGCTCTTGGTCTGATACCCATATGTTGGTGTCTTGGAGTAGCCTATGCAGCAAAAATGGATCGGATGGACTCGCCTCATCTGCGCACGGCGTTGCAGCCTTCTTCATCACTCTCATAAAACACCATCACCACCATTAGCTCGACACGGCTTCCTAATTACCTCGCGTCCTTTCCACTCTTGTCTGCCACAGCGACAAGATGATCATGTCCCGCTTCGAAAACAGCTGAAAGCTGCTGCGAAGGCGGCGAAAAAAGCACCAGAGCCTGCAACTCCTGGGACTTCAGATGTCCTTGAAGAATGGGAGTTGACTGTTGGCATTGAAATTCATGCCCAGCTCAATACTGCGCACAAGCTCTTTTCCTCAGCCTCTACGATAGCCACATCCCAACCGAATTCCAACGTGGCAGCCTTCGATATTGCATTGCCCGGCTCTTTACCAGTATTCCAGCCAGCCGTTGTCCTACCCGCTCTTCGCGCAGCTACTGCTCTAAGCTGTCGCATAGAACCAGTCAGCTACTTCGACCGCAAACACTACTTCTACCATGATCAACCCGCAGGTTATCAAATAACTCAATACTACCAGCCATTCGCCAAAAATGGTGTGGTCAGATTGACCTCCGATGATGGCCTGGAAGATGGTCGCGAAGTCGAGGTGCGCATCAAGCAAGTACAACTGGAACAAGATACCGCACGAAGTCAGGAAGAAGACGGCTCTACCACGCTATTGGATTTCAACCGTTGTGGCCATGCGCTGATCGAGATCATCACACTTCCCGATATCCATACTCCTCGAGATGCCGCCGCGTACGTGCGCAAAGTGCAGGCATTATTGTATTCGGTTGATGCCGTCACCACCGGCATGGAACAAGGTGGAATGCGAGCAGATGTTAACGTTTCTGTCCGACGCCGGAATGGAGATAGTGAGACAGGCTTCGCATACAGTGGTGTGACAGGATTAGGTCAGCGAACGGAGATCAAGAACCTGAGCACACTCAAAGGGATTGAAGATGCGATCAAGGCAGAGCGAGATCGACAAATCAGCGTTCTCGACGCTGGTGGCGTTGTCGAAGGAGAGACTAGAGGCTGGTCTATTACAAGCCCCCACGAAACTCGTCGGCTACGTGGCAAAGAAGGGGAGGTCGATTACAGATACATGCCTGATGCGGACATTCCGCCACTGTCTTTGCACCCTGATCTGGTAGGATGGGTGGCCTGGACCATGCCTCCTTCGCCGACGGAGCTTGTGGAAATGTTGGTAGGGCGTTATGGTCTTTCGGTCGCGGATGCCAAGGTACTGGAATCTCTCGATGACCTTGATCGCCTGGTGTACTTTGAAGAAGTCGTTGATGAACTCATTCGACTCAGCGGGAATGAAGCAACGCCGACTGACGTCGGAAGATTCGCTGGTAATTGGGTCCTGCATGAACTAGGCTCACTGTTTTCTACAAGCGAAAGCGCTTGGTCTGAAAATGTGGTCCGTTCACGCGCTCTTGCAGAGATCGTCTGGCTACTGATGAACAATGTGATCACTGGGCCATCTGCGAAGTTGGTTCTCAAGCTTATCTTCGAAGGCGACAAGCGGTCTGTTAAGCAGATCGTCCATCAAGACAATCTGGTGTATTCCGAGATGTCGTCCGAAGCATACCAGGCCATTGCGACTGAAATCATCGAAAAGTTCCCTCAACATGTCAAAGACATTGTTGAAAAGGGAAAGACGGGTAAAATACAATTTCTGATGGGTCAAATGATGAGGCATCCTCGAAAGGGCGAGTTGAAAGCGACAGAGGCCGAGAAGACCTTACGAGGACTGATATTCGGCAACAATCCTTGATTATGCCGTGGTGATGCATGCACGAACTCGGTTTGGTCGTCGAATCGAAGCGAGCGAGTGGACGCCGTAATCGAAGACCCTAGCGAATGCCGCGTTGACGATCCACGACTGCTGACACGATGCTTGAGAAACTACACCTTCTTGTTCGAGCATTATCCCTTTGTCGACCTCATGTTGATTCCTTGTTTGGTCATGCCTCCGTCGACCCTATCGAGTCAGGTTGACTCGAATCCCTCTGACGATATGTTGAGAGTTCCGGGGGTTTGGGGTCTCCGCACGAGACTAGCAAAGCTTCGGTCAATCGTTCAGCCAATCTTTGCCGATAACAAGACGGCCTCCGAGTCCTAGCCCGGTAGTACGTCCTCACCAGGAAACTCACTTGACAAATCAGCCAGGCGTATGCGGTACCCCAATACATCCAATCACGTTGAACTCGAGTCATGCTCCAATACAACCGTTGTGAGCGGCTGATATTGGCTGATTGTCAGTGGCCCTTTATATACACAATGAAGCCATATTGAGAGGCTGTTGTTGCTGTCCTCTGCTTTGCATCTTTCTCACTCACCTTTTTCCCTGTTCACGCTATGTCTTCCGCCTTCCTCGCCTCTGCAACCCTTGCCGGTGTTGCCTCACACCTCTTCTTCTTCAAGCACGGCGAGCGTCACCTCTACCCATTTCGCTACCTGCAATCTTTCCTCCTCGCATGCATCACCATCACTGTTGCGCAGAGATATCATGCTGAGCTTCCGGTGTCGACTGCCGTGACAAACACTGCCAAATATGCCTCGCTGTATCTGTTCGGCCTCTATGGCAGTTTGGTCGCCTATCGCCTATTCTTCAATCCCCTGAACAAAATTTCCGGGCCGTACTGGTCGCGTTTGTCCAAGTTCGACTTCGTATCACGCGCCGCCCCAAGACTGAACTCTCAGCAAGTCTTGCTTGACCTGCATCAACAGTACGGACATTTCCTTCGCATAGGACCCAACGACGTCTCGATTACGCACCCCGATGGTGTCGATGCTGTGCTCGGCAACAAATCCAAATGCAACAAGGCCCCGTGGTACGATTTGGACTATCCGCTCATGTCGATGCACACGTCGCGAGATCGGGCAATTCATGACCGCCGTCGCCGGATCTGGAGCCCGGCGTTCAGTGATCGCGCGCTGCGTGGGTATGAGCAACGAATTCGCGGATACAATGACCTTCTGATCAAGAAGTTGGACGAGTCCAATGGACAGCCGTTGGACATGGCGCAGTGGTTCAACTGGTACTCATTCGACGTCATGGGTGAACTGGGATTCGGGGCATCATTCGATATGCTCTCATCCGGCGAAACACACTGGGCTATCAAGATCCTCAATGCAGGAATGGATCCTATCGGGTTGTGTTTGCCACCCTGGCTGCTCAGAGTGCTCATTGCTATCCCCGGACTGAGTGGCGACTGGTGGAAATTCAACGACTTTGCCGCGAGCCAGCTTGACAAGCGGATCAGTGTCCAGGGCAAGAACGAAAATCCCGACGTCACGCACTTTTTACTCGAGCCATATCTTAAGAATGACCAGATGACACAAAAGGCGCAATTACCTCTTCTGCAAGCCGATACGAAATTGATCATCGTGGCGGGAAGTGATACGACAGCGGCGACGATCGTGCATTTGTTTTACCATATCGCTGCTGAGCCGGGGTTGCTTGGAAGATTACGTGAGGAGATTGATTCTCTGGTTCCACTGGGCAAGGGGATCGAGCACCAACGAATTCAAGATGCCACGGTGTTGAACGGCGCGATCAATGAGACCTTACGACTTCATCCGCCGGTGCCGAGCGGTGGGTTTAGAAAGACTCCTGTTGAGGGGGTTGAGATTGGCGGCGTGTACATCCCCGGGAACACTGTGGTGCAGATTCCTTATGGGCCTATGGGGCGAGACCCTTCGATCTGGCCGTCCCCTGAAGCATTCTTGCCTGAGAGGTACAGCAGCCGGCGGGACCTGATGCCGTATCCTGGTGCGTTTGCGCCGTTCTCGATTGGGCCGTACGGTTGTATTGGGAAGAATTTGGCGTACTTGGAGATCAGGATGCTTGCGGCGCAGATTGTGAGGTTGTTTGATGTCAGGCTTGCGGACGGGGAGACTGGGGAGGAGTTGCTGAGTGGGAGTAAGGACCACTTCACTGTTGGGTTGGGAGCGTTGAGGATGTGCTTTGAACGGAGGAAGTGAGTTCAAATTCACTCGCTCTCAGATGTGCAGAAAAAACCGGCTTTGTGGTGGAGAGGCCGGCCGGGTTACTTGCTGGAGGGATTCCGCATAGGTGCTGTAGAAGGGGTGAGAAACGAATCCGAACATGGGTTTGATAGACTTTGGACAGGGTTTGTCAAAGTAACGTTGTGGAACGGTTTGATGGAACGTATCTAGGAAATCTATCTTTTTAGCAACCCCTGTTCTATGCAAGGCTGTCCTTGTTCGTGTTGTCTCACCACGTCAGCTTTTGTTTCCAGAGAGCCCGCAAAGTTGTTGTCTCTCGACCAATTTTGTACTCCAAGTTATCAACCCCCTTTTTGTCTTGCCCCTACATGCCATGCCAATGTCAATACCGCAGCCGGGGTGCATTGGAATAATCAATTTCATGTGCTCACTCCGTAATCGTCCATCATATCTCGTGACCACCACTGGCAGGTCTATAGCAACGTATCGCCCAATGCACACCGAACCAGACTGACACCTGCCCTCACCGTCTCCGATGCGCCAGTGACCTCAAGACTGGGATTGACCTCGACCAGATCCATCGCGACCAATTGACCAGTCTCGTGGACACATTCGGCAATATAGTCACCCTCACGTAGCGTCAGACCTCCTCTGACAGGTGTTCCCGTGCTAGGCGCCCACATTGGATCCAATGCGTCAACATCGAAACTGAGGTGAATAGGTGTGTCGGACCCGATATGCGCAAGAGCCATCTCAACAACACGTCCGATACCGTGTCTGTCAATGTCATGCATGCTGAAGGCGCGGATACCGTGGTCGCGTAGGATCTTCTTCTCGCCTCTATCCACGTCGCGGAGGCCGATGTAAACGAGCTTGCTGGTGCTGATCTTCTGGTCGTCCTGCAGCCAGTCGAAGACATCCTTCTCGTTGGACGTCGCCAGCCCCGTAAGGAATGCGACGGGCATGCCGTGTACATTGCCCGAGTCCGAAGTTTCGGGTGTGTTGATGTCTGCGTGCGCGTCGACCCAGATCACTGCAACTTCTTTGCGACCTTGGTACCGCTCACGTATGGCCTTGGCGCTGCCTGCGATCGTGCCGATTGCAATGCTGTGGTCGCCTCCTAGCGTGAGGACCATGCGGCCTTCCTTGGCTTGTTCGTAGACTTGTGTGGCCAGTTTCTGGGTCACTGCGGAGACGGATCGCGGGTTCTTCATGCCTCGGTGGGGTTCGTCGTTCGCGGGCCGCATCTCGTTGTAGTTGTGCACTTCACTGTCGCCGTGGAGGGTGTAGCCCAACTCATCGCTGATCTGATCGAGGAGGCCTGCGCCCACGAGTGCTGTAGGGGCGGCATCGACGCCGTCTTTACATTGACCGCCGGAGAAGCCAACTAGGACGACGCCTAGCTCTGATGGGGCTGAGAGGAATTTCTGCTGGATCGTGGAGGGGGAGGTCATGGCGTCGTGTTTGGAGTGGCCGTTCGTGTGGCCGTTAGTGGTGGCTGTGGAGGGAGTTGTCTTCTCGGGGGCGACTGAATGCATTTTGTGAGGTAGATGGAAGGGCCTGACGTGTAGTATGGGTATATGCTTTTTCTCAAGTGAACCGAGCGTGTGCTGAACCAAGCAACGGGGACAAAGGACGCGGTCTAAGTGGTTGTTGACAAGTGTACGAAGGGATGAGTAGAAGGAAGGGCCACCCAGTATCCAATATGGAAGTGAGGAATGTACAAAAGGCCTGAGGTAAAAGATGTATTTACACTGATGACGAATGAAAGGACAATAAGAGAAAAGCGAAAGTGGTGAAGGAGTGAGAGTGGCTATTCAATCATATATAACACAGGACACAGCACTATTCATGTGAGATTTCTATGGGGAAGCCAGAAAAAAGATGCATATTGGAGAATCAATTGCAGGGCCCTCCGTCCTCGGCGGCGGTCGGCGGCGATGATGAATGACGGCAGTGGGGATAGGGACTACAGTAACCCCTGCAGGGCCCTGTTAGTTTCCCCTAAGCGCAGGTATAGGCGTAACGTGACACCAGAATTATAGAGGCTAGAGCGTTAAGTGACAATGCTTCCGGTCTTATCGTCTTCATTTCCCCTAAGTACAGTTGTTAACGGTTTATTGATAATAGACTCATCTCAACAGCATTTCAAGAAAAATTTCTTTCTCGATACGCATCATATGATCAATTGATCAATCATTCGGTTTCGTAACACAGCTATAATCAGGATTTTTGACCTGTCAATTCCGGTGGAGAGTCAGGCACGTCTTGCGCTGCCTCTGGCCCATCACGTTACAGTTGACCCTCATACCCTCGAATGGGGGACGGAGGAGTATCATCTCCATGGTAGAAAGTCCGCATGACCTCTGAGGATGCCTACCTCAGCCATCTTCTGCCCAACATAATATGTCCAACCTCTTGTCGCTGAGTTACAGCCCAATAGTGGACAATGCCGGACTGTTCGATGCTGCTGCCCCCTCAAGCCCGCTTGATCAAGGTTCTGCGGAACTCGACGACACAACGGTGGGCATCGCTGGTGTTTGTATAAGCTGGGTGAATATCATTTCACCTTGCAATGGTGAGGGACTGTCCTTATTCTGGACATAGTGTGATCGGGGATCAGCCGACATAGTAGTCACGTCCGTCGCCTCCCACGAAGCTGGTGATCACTTTTGCCAGAAGCCAACCTTTGCTTCTTAGACGGAGTGTTCTCTTCTGTGATATTCTTTCAACCCAGAAATTTGTTCAGCGTGGCTTCCAGTTTGGACAACGACAATGGCTTCGGCAGAAACGCATCCGCACCACTCGATATGCAGAGTGATGCAGCGTCACGACCGACGACAGCAGTCACCATGATCAGAGGTCGAGCCCTTGATAATTCACCGGACTGCTCCATTTCGCGAATCTCTTTCAGTGCAGTGACTCCATCCTTTCTGGGCATGGACTGATCCATCAATATCAGATCAATCTTGGAATCGTGTTCGACAAGTTTTTCCACGGCGTCTTGTCCATCATCAGCCGTCATGACGCTATATCCAAGGGTCTGTAACATCTTTACACCAAGCCTCTGATTGATTTTGTTATCCTCCACCAGAAGAATGGTTGTACCGCTGAGCGCTTTCTTTTCGGGTGTCTGTTTTTGCGTCCCGTTCTCGACAGTGTCCGCCGGGGCGCTCTCGACAATGTCCACCTCTTCTGCAAATCGAACAGACCGGTCTACCGACGCGGATTTGCCAGACTGAAGTACCGAGACAATGGTTTCCACCATTCGATGCCACAGAATAGGTCTTCTGATCGGGATGATGTGCGAAGGTGCAGCACCACCAACTGTTTTGTCCAGCAGCCATTGGGAGTCGTATGGCACTAGAACAAGCTGGTTCTTCACTTTGAGAAGACGTTCCAGCAAGTCTGGGTGATTTTTAAGATACTCCAGGTCGGTCCATATCAGGCCCCAAGTCTTACGTACTTTTTGTCCAGGATCTGCCAGTACTACCTCGAAGCCGAATGTTTTCCACGCAGTTTTGAGCCCCTCAGATAAACGGCTTTCAGCTTCTTGATACACAGCCACTTGGCGGGTTTCCTGCACCGAGTCCTTGGATTGTGGAGCGATAGAATTGTCTGGCATTGGAATGCTCACGGTGAAAGTGCTTCCGGATTTCTCCAGCTCTCCGCCGTCCACTTTGCTGCATGTGCTTTCCACAGAAACGGTCCCAGAGATCTTGTCCAGTAGCTGTCTGATAATAGCCAATCCCAAGCCTGTTCCTCTCTCTGCACCTCTTGTTTGAGCTTGTTTGAATGGTTCGAAGAGATGTGGTAGGAATGACTCCGGAATCCCGTACCCAGAATCCTTGACAATGATGACCAGGTTGTCCTCACTGTACTCAATCAGGAGAAGGACATACCCACTCTGCGTGAACTTCAGCGCGTTGGTCAGAAGGTTCATGAGGATGCGCTGCAAATAAGTCTCGTCCAAGAAAACGGTCTGTGGGACATCGGGCGCCACCACAATCATCAGCTCTGTCGCTGCCTCGTCGTCCTTGCTGGGTAAGATATTCACAATCGACTCACACACCTTTCGCAAATCTAGACTAGTCGGCCGGAACACTGCCTCGCCCTTCTCCAATCGTGACCAGTCCAGAACATTTGAGGTAATCATAGACAATGACCTAGTTGCTTCCTGAATTGCTAGTAGTAAGAGACGAGATTCGTCGTTGAGTTCCATTCGTGCTAACAGGTCACTGTAACCTTGTAGTTGATGGAGTGGTGTGCGGATTTCGTGCGACGCCGAAGCAATAAACTCACTCCGTGCCGCCGCAGCGGCTTCGGCATTCTCTTTTTGAGCAATAGCAGCCCACAGCTTCTTTCTCGTCTGGACGATTTCGGCCAGCTTGTTCCGTGCAATAGTAGCTGACTGCGCCAGAAGACCATTGGCAAGCATACAAGTGAGGATCGCGATGCTAGTAACAGCGACAGGTAGATCCGGGGGATAACCTCGATCCTGACTCGGACTTTCGTCCGCTCGGGTCCAGAAGGTCGTTGCCCACATGCCCGTAAAATGCATTGCCGCGACTCCAGACGCGGCGACGACAGAGAAGAACACCTGCTGCAAAAGCTTTACCTCGATCTGAGGCATCAAAATGCACCCGATTGTGCACACCAACCAGCTGATCACAGCGGAAAGAGCGACAATCGGTGCTTCCAGCGTGAAATGTCCATCGGGAATCCTCATAGCCAGAACACCCATGTAATGCATGCTTGTGATCGCTAACGACCACACAAAGCCTTTGCATATGTTCCTGATTGTTGCACCTTGGTACAGTAGCCCAGCGATGCCGGCCAGTCCATTGGCCATAGTTGTGGGTTTGAGCGCCGAAACTCTGAAGCTCATAAACGCCGGGAGGCTCAATCTGCTACTATCAGAGTGAACAGACGATCGTCTAGAAGGGTCAGAATCATCGGAGCTCCTTGGGAAACTGTCTGTATCCACAACAGAGATGACAGTTTCGACACCAGAGTCATCTCGATAAATAGCAGGCCGCTTGCCTCCTGCGTCAAAAGACTGGCTTAAATTGAACGGTATATGGCCATTAGCCTCACTCCTCAGCGTCGTTTCACTGGAGCCGAAGTGTTCTTCAATGAGACCAAGGCCACTGTTGTCGCGGATGAGTCGGCGGTTGTTTGCTCTTCGACCCTGAACGTCATCTGTATGTTGAGGTGGGAGCGCGTTCTCTTCGTCCTCCCCAGGTGCTGTTTCTAACAACGCCTCCGTGCTTGCGTGCCCATCCTGATTCATTCCAAGATTCCGAGTCACTTCTCTCCTACGCTCGCGCCTGACCTTGCGTTCCCCCTTCTTGACATAAAGCATATATCGATCCCGGAGAATGTCCGCTGCTAATGCGGCGAAAGTGAAGATGACTGCCAGAAGAGCACTGACAATGGTCAGCGGAACGTCCAATCCTATTCGCACATCAAGCTCGCAGGCCAGCATGGCGATGAAATGCAGACTCCATATGGAACAGAAACCAAACGTAAGACTTCCAAGTAGTGTCCATACCAAGACACCTGAGAAGTAGCGACTGGTCCGGGCCTGGCACATCATCTGCGTTGACGTGAATGCGCCGAGCAGGGAGACCGCAATGGATGCTGCAATCAATCCATAATTCCAGTGCGGCTCAATTCGGCGCAAAGCCAGAGGGTCCGTATGATTCAGCATTTTGACGTCGTTGCCTTGAGCAGGTTGCAATGGTAGTCCTCGATTTTAGCGAGCTGATCTTGTATTCTGCCTTGTTGCGATTCTCGTTGGTTTCTTCATGTTGGCCAACCCTTGCACAATCTACTGCCAGTATACCTTCGTGATTCCACGATGTTTTTCCTCGTTCCAACACTGCAATCGGCGCTGATCTAGCGAGCAGGGAGGGGATAGTGTTCCTTTTCGGATTGGTACGTGGAGGTCAAGCAAAGCCAGTATGCGCAGGTTGGCTACAAGTTGCAAAGTATCGATATCATGTCGGGTTCGAGGAGGCAATGCGCCATTGACAAATTGCGCGGGCGGGGATGTGTGAGTAAAGATGAAGAGGTGTAAAGGATGTCAACATTGAAGCCACAAGAATAGAAAAGCAAGAGGAAATCGAGGCAGTCGATGTGATGGATGCAATAGTACTCGTAATGGTAACTTTAGACGGTCGGTTTGTGACGACAGATGCGAATCTCCATTTCCTCCTGTCAACATCTGCCGCTTATACGGGGGATCCTCCCTAGAATGACCTAGTGAGTGCCTAGAGGGCACTATTTTGTGATCATTTTCGGAGCGCAGGCCAAGCTTTGAGCCCTAAAAAGCCCATGCGGGGGGTTTAGAAGATCAATTAATTGGGTACCCAGCCTTAAGCCGGGGCTAGAGGGCTTTCTCCTTGCAGGCTGCATGACAGCCTAGCGGGGCAGAAGATCACGAAATCCGACAAACATGCCACAGATCTCCTGGTGGCTAGGTAGGCTAGCTCGGTATGCGGAAGAACGCATCTTTACAGCCTTTCGATGGCCGGGACAGGCACCGAGACCAGACATAATGACCTGCACTCAAAGGTACCTAGGTATGCTCATTCAGACCTGGGGAAAGCTTTACACCTCGGAGAAAATGCCCCAGTCCTGGCTAGTATATCGCCTAGTGATCTTCAGGCCACCCAAAACGTGTGTGGCGTTCTTCAATAGTCCGTGCCAGTTTCGCTACAAAAGCAACATGGTAGCCAACTACTGCCTGTCTTCTTGCGGTCGTGTGTCTCCGTCGCCTGCTGGCAAGACCTCGATCGAAGAGCAGCAGTTCAAGAGGAGACAGCCATATCACGAAGGTGCTCGATACGGAGCACGGGACCTCGCTTCAGGGCGGCGATTCCCTTAGTAAGAGACTTCGTATAGGCGCCCATCCTAACGAACTCCAACCAACCACATCCTCATCTACTTCCAACACCGAAGAATCAACCAAGCCAGTCTCTCTGTAAGACTTGTCCTTGCATTATGAATGGCGGCTAACTGCTGCGCGTTGTCGCTTGTGGTTTATATTTAAGTCTATATCCCCTCCTGGGCCCATATACGCAACATGTTATGAGTTGACCACCCACATGCCATATCGCTGTCTATCTTGAACAGATGTCGATGACTTACCTCTCTTTGCCTGCTTTCTCGAGATCTTGAACCATTTGCTGCTTCATTTCGCTGTCTATCTGCCGCAGTCTGTTTGCGAATTTTGACCTAGCCTGTTTGAATCCATCGCCATGTCTTACCCGCCTCCACCAAGCTTCGGGCAGTCGCAAGGAGGATACTATCCTCGTAAGCCATCTTCCCAGTGGGGTTGAGTGTGAAGACTAACACGTCGCGCAGCACCTCCAGAAAACGGTCATGGTATTGTACACAGACGAGGAGTCATGATGTGGCTAATCCCATTCAGCCTATCCTCCTCCACCGATCTCGCCTCCCGCGACAACAAACTACTTCCCACCTCCGCCATCCGGACCATCACCCGCTCCCAATCCAGCGTACCCCCCTCCGCCAGTATCACATGTATCACAGACTCCCTCCCCTCCTCCTCTACGACAACCGACTGCCCAGCGACCGTTCAACTATGCTGCAGTGCCAGCCTCTGCACCTGCACACAGAACCACATTTGACCATGCCGCGCTTCACAATCGCCAACCTTCATATACAGGGCCTCCACCGCCTGAACCAGAGTCATACCCTCAGGACGGGAAACTGCTCACTTCTCCCAGAATGCAGCAGTTGACACAAGAGTTTTCAAACGTGATGAAAGCACCTGCAGGGCCCCGACTGACAGGTGTACCAGAGGCCGGTCAGTTTGTAGGCGTGCAGGCAACGGCGTCGGATGATGTGGGAACTTTCAACGGCGGCTCCTACCGCATCTCACATCGAGACACAAACTCAATCATAACCGTACAGTTGGCGATGGGATGCCCTATCACGGCGAAACCCGGAGCCATGATCGCCATGTCACCGTCTATCACGCTGAAAGGAGCCATCAAATTCAGCGTTAAGAAACTGCTGATTGGAGGCGAGATGGCCCATTCGACGTTTACCGGTCCAGGAGAGCTGCTTCTTGCGCCGAGCACGTTGGGTGATATCTCGATACTTCGCATGAGCGGCAACGAGACATGGAGCGTCGGTCGAGATGCATTTCTAGCTTGCACGCAGGGCGTGATCAAAGAGTACAAGAACCAGGGGCTTAGCAAGGCCATGTTCTCTGGGGAAGGTCTGTTCGTCTATAAAATCTCGGGTACCGGTCTTATGTGGGTTTCTTCGTTTGGGGCAATTCTGAAGAAAGAGGTGAGTCGAGCAGGCCCCTATCCCCCAAAGAATTGCTGATTCCGATTGTGTCTAGCTCGTCGAAGGTGAGAGGTATATCATTGACAATGGCCATCTTATTGCATGGAATTGCAAATATGTCCTGGAACGAGTCGCGAGCGGCGGGATCATTTCTGGCCTGTCCAGCGGAGAAGGCTTGGTCTGTAAGTTCACGGGTCCTGGGACAGTCTATATGCAAACGAGGAATGCGGCGGCCTTTTCGGCGTATATGAGTGGACAGACATACAAGGAGTGATGATCGAGTCATCTAGATATGGCATATTTGACGAGCAAAGCATGGCGTTTCAGAGACAATTCTTATTCATTGATTGTTTGAGGTCTCGCTCTTCGTTCCTGCATGATGCTAATAACCATATTTGAGGCCGGCTCGGGAACGTGACTCCCAATGAGTCGTAGTAACAGCGAACCTCTTCTTCTCCAAGACAGATGTGATCTTGAGGATCGTTGCCTCTACAATCCGTCTGTTCCACATATCATCCACTCCGAGCCACATATACACATACACACTTCTAACCTTGCATCCTCTTACGTTTGCCGACTTGTGCCGTGAAACCAGACTTGATGGCCGTGACCGATCTCCTTGAACCGCAAGAGTTGCACGTGACGAAATATAATCTGTTCTCTCCCTTGGACAACTCTGTATTGGGCGACCGGCACGTCTTGCACGTCACGTACTCGACGATATACCGTCTCAGCACGTTCTCGATCTGTTTCTGTTGGAATCGACCCTTGATGACCAGACGCTTGCTGCCGTCGACGGAACCCGAGGTACCCAATTCAGCGAACAAAAACTGCGTGACGTGCTCGTCGTTCCGGTTCATGCGTTTGCAGATCTCAGCGATGTTGGCGAAAATGGTCTTCTTGTTGCCTTCACGCAGACACTGCGGCGGAGGGATCTTGTATGATTTGCTGCCCGACGACAGAATGTCTGGGTTGTGTTCGTTGACCAGTTGGAAGAAGCGCTTGAGGAGGAGATCGTAGGAGATTGGGGCGCCGGAGTCGTGCGACCAGATGCCCGTGCCGGCGGTCATGTCGCCTGATTGTTGTTCTTCTGTTGTGGACGGCTGCTCGCCATCTTCACCGGGGCCATCAAGACCGGCGCTTGCTAGCTTGGCTGCAAAGTCCTCGCCGTCGACTTTCTTGGTGGACTTCTTCTTTTTCTTTTTCAAGGCTGTCGGGTCGAATTCGGCGTCGACAGGGGCTGGGGCATCTGCATCGGCGGTCGCACCATCTTCGATCTTGGGTTTGGAGGATTTCTTCTTTTTCTTGTTGAGTCCAGCGAACATGTCGGTCACTTCATCGACGGCTTTGTCTTCGGGGGCTGTAATCATGGTTAGCTTTTGGTTTTCCACTGACGTGGGAGATGGCATAGTGATCATACAGGATGAGTGTTTCTCGGCTGTGGGTTGGTCCTCCGCCGTGTTTGTGGGCGCTTCTGAGATCTCGCCGGCTTCGTCCATGATTGTGTCTTCGCCGCTGAAGGCTACGGATTTGCGCGGCTTGCGTTCGTGAGGGGCTTGGGGTGCTTCTTGCTGGAGTGTTTTGTCAGTATACACTGTAGTGGTATGGGAGGTGGCGATGAGTCTGAAATCTTTCCCTGTGGGGCGAGGTGCAGGTGGTTTCAGTTTGGGAGTCGTTTGATTGTTGCATGCGATTTGTGGGGAGTGTGCGACGTTACTTACCACTTCGGCCATGATTTTCAGTGATTCTTCGTAGGTGGCAGTTGATGTTCAGTGACCACTTGTAAGGCGTTGTATCTGATCTTGAGGTCGCTGAGAATTGTGGAAGAATGGTTCAAGGGAATGATGCCTGCGCAGTTGATATTTCAGACATTCTGACTCAAAATGCGCTGTCGTCACAATCACGTGAACCCTGGGGAAGTCATTCTGTCTGACAAAGCGCTCCATCGTCATTCCTATTGTTTCCATACCGTAGACAATTAATTCTGCTGTCAAATCGAGTCACTTTTGGGTCACTAAAAGCAGCCTGACGACTGTTACCGACGCATGCTATTCGCACTACTCGGCATCTTGTCAAGAGCACTTCGTTCCATCTCTTGTTCTGTATAGCCACAGGCAGATCCACCTTCGAATGGTTTGAGCTGCGGCGTCGCCCACCAAAGCCAGTCGCAAGACGAGGTCGCCTCATTTCCGAAGATAATGTCTGATACAGACGTCGCAGCATCGTTCCTCGACCCAGTTTCGAACGGCGACGAAAGCGACGTCGACTCATTACCGTCAGAACCAGACTCAGATGACGTTACCGTGAGCGAGGAAGACTACGAGTCGGACGCTGAAAGAGAATGGAAAGAGAGCCTCCAACAGCTTGAGCTGCTACTTTCGATGGTGATCGTGCCATATATCGGGAAATATTTTGGAAGAAAGTTCGCTTTCTGGGGTACGCTTGAGCATGGAACTGTAAGCACGTCTGTGCTAATACTTGACAGGATGGAAACGATATATGGAATGGAATTATCCGGTCGAGATTGTGGTCACGAACAAGGCAGCCTTCAGAGGGTCTGGAATAGTGGCAGCTGCAGCTCCGTTATGAAACAATCAGATTGTGTAGCCGTTTACGACGGAGCAAGAGGACTATTTCGAGCTCTGCATAGCCACGAGACTAGGGCGAGGGCCGCAACCGCGACAGATCATCCAAATATGGGGACAGATGCCGCTGGTGGAGGTGTACCTTCGTCCCAGGCAAAAGTGTGCATGCCCAAAGACCATCTCGAAGTTCCTGGGTCGCTATATCCAAGTTGATGACGCAACGGGTCGACACACAACTACAGGTCGACTGGCGACGAGAGGGTTCGAATGTCACACGTGCTGGAGGTTTCATGGTACTTCGAGCCTAGATTGGCAAGTGCACGGTTTTTATGACTGTCCGTGAAAGGAACGTCTTCAAAGCTGGCTTCATGCAAAGCATTATCCCAATCCCATTGATAGGCCTGACGCCGTTCAGAAGAGTTCATTCTACTACCAGAGGCTTTACACCTTAGCCAAAGATAGCTGCGCATCAGCCTTCTTACCATTCGGAATCCAATCAATCCTACATCCCATTTGGTGCTCTTCAGCCTGTCAGCCGCGTCGTGTTGCTGGACTGGGGGCTTTCTTCCGCGTGAATCATTATGTTTTTGACAAGACGCGCCCTTCCCAAGTTCTTCGGTGAGACCCTTCTGTCGCGTAATGTTCGCTCGAGTTGTCACCCCTGCCTCAGACACATTTGATGTCTCACGCAAGCTGACTGCTATTCGGCAGGCCCCGAGTCTACGTGATGGCACTGTCATTGCATTTTCTTGGCTCTGTTGATCAGCCTCAAGCTTCGACGCGGTGGCTGCCTGCGGATGTGTTTGTAGTCGATATTCGAGATGGCCCATTGGAGAGTGGTCGTCCCAATAGGACGTTGGAGCTCCATGACCTCTATTTTGGTTTCTTCCAGTCCACCAAGCTCGACAATTTCAATGAGAAAACACCTTAAATCGGACGCATTCGAACGTCGTCCGTCTTCGGACTCAGGCATAGTAAGCCAGGAGTGATACCAGTCATCCAAATCGTCGCGTGGACTCCACCATTCATTCGGTCGGCCAGTGTATGGTGCCTGTAAAGTGAGCGGTAAGGGCCCCTTGTCCTCAGTCAACCACGCTTTCTGCAGCTTCTTCGACCAGTGTTGCCTCACGAGCTTCTCGTGGAAATATGGCTTTGCATATGCCATTTGAGGAAATGTGATGTATTGATGGATGGAGGAGTCTCGGCGTGCGGTGGCATCCTTGTCATTCTCTTTGTCGTTCGTTTCGTCGGCCCCTTCGTCGTCCTCCCGCAGCCAACGCCAGTGATCCAGGATGACGTCGATGGCTCTTACTTCCCAGAATGGCAGGACTCTACGGGAGACGGGACTGCTGATTTCCATCATCGGACATTCCTTGTAAAGAGAAGTTCCGTCTTGTTCATGAAACACAAGCCGAATACGGACTCCAGGACGTCTCCCTACAATCACGTTCATTATCGCAGCAAGCATCACTGCGGCTGCATAATGAACCTCCTGGGCACTACAGACTGTATCGATGTCTGTCACCCGAAAACATGGGTTGATAAGGAAGCATTTTTCCCAGAACCAATGACTGCCAGCATATACGGCAGTCAATTCAGGCTGAAAATGGACAATGACATTGTGAGGTTGATTGTCGTTCGACGCATGTGCCAACGCCTCCTCAAGAGTAGCCTTGTACTGTTCAGCTACCTCCATCGACTGAGGAGTGTCGTCATTCCGAACCGGTACCGGTCCTCGCACCAGCACGACTGTAGTTGAATCTGTTCTGTGCAGGAGCTGATTGACCATAGCACGAAACTGGCGGCAAGTCCTCTTCAAGTTAGTGACAGTGCACTGGAGTTTTGGGGTCCGAAAAGTCTCAAAAGTCTGAGATTTTGGGTCGCCACTGGCCAGACCACTTGAGAGAATAACATCCGGCGCAATTGTAGTTGGTGTGATCGTGTGGGCGATGATGTTAAGGAGGATCTCGTCCGGAAGCCAAGGCACACGAGTACTCATAGACTCCATGTTGGTAGCGTGAGTGTTGGGACGACGACGTTCTTGACAGTGCATTGAGGTTGAGTTCGGCACCTGGATATGCGTTGATGTCGCAAATTGTCTCTTCGAGCTTCGGTCGTAGGCAAACAAAATATCTAGGAGTGGTGCAGCCATTCGTCCAAGATGGTAAATTTGGGAGGCTCTTGCAGAAGTCCTCATGTAGGTTCATTTGTGCCAAATCTTGGATGTACGCGCCGAACATATGGTACGCAACCTTTAGCGTGGACAGACCTTGGGTAACGCGAAATCTGAGTCATATTCCAAGACTGAAGTATGGTGCATGTAGTGGCTCGTCTCTCTGGATCGCACGTACCATGATAGCACTGATCCTTGGGCATCCGTTGTAAAATGTCGTGAACATGTCACGTTTGACAGTCATCAGAGATCCGGCCTCACTCAAGCATGCTTCTCGAAAACATGATCGCCGTTAGATCACCTCGTTTCTAGTCCGGATAACTCGCAACTCTGGGCATGTCTTCGAAAGTGTGAAACTTCCGAAAGGGCTCACCCACCACTCTTCCTTTTGGATCGAACATAACGCCTTCGTTGCGCAGAAGCTCGATTTTCTTGTTCGCATATTTTCCCTCTTTTCCCCACTGACCATTAAAGCCACCAATCTCGCCCGATGCCGCCAGAACTCGGTGACAAGGTACGTCCGGTGCAAATGGGTTGTTGCGCATTCCACTGCCAACAGCACGGGCGGAGGAGTTCAAGTAGTTGGACATTGCTGCGTACGTGGTATAACGACCTCTTGGTACGGACAGAAGAACGGTGTACAACTTCTTCCGGTAAGCAGTCAGTGTCGCATGCCCCTGTATGCGGTGTAGTGTCATCTGGAGCTGCTCCCTGTCTTCGACCTGCAGCGCATTATTTGTCGCAGGGGTTTTCTCGGGCGCTATTACAGTTGGTTCGAATTGTAGCGTTGACTGGTTTTTGTTCTGCTTCAATCTTTTCTTCGCAGGACTTTCGATTTTCGTGCTTTCTTCCACCGAGCGCTTTTCTCTTGTTCGCGCTGGAATGTCTTCCTTTGGATTAGACTGTCCACTGTTATTGCTGGCATATTTGCCTTCATTCTTGCCTCTACATTGCAAGCTCAACTCGTCCAGATGGCAGAGGTTAGCTTTTCCAGCGATTATGTGCATTCCCAGGTCAATGGCGTCTCGCAGTTGTTGCTCGTCCATATTCCTGACGGCTGGCTTCGCAATCACTTTGTCCCACTGCTGCTGGCCTTTGCCTACCGTGTTATCCAGGATGATCCGTGCGAAGCAGTGATCGAGCGTCACAGGCCATTTGGGCTGAGCAGGATCACGAGATCTAGCAAGTGCGGGTAAAGTCTCGGAATACAAAGTCTTCCACTCTGCGCGCAGGTCCTCATGAGCAGACATTTCCGACAATTGTGCAGAGGGACGGAGGCACCCGTTGCCACTGTAAGTAGTCTCAGCAATTAGTAGCTCATGCTTCTGTGGTCGGTCGTCTCGTAAGCGGTGGCTCACTGTCTCCTGCTGAGGGACTAGACAGTCAGGCTGTTGAATTCTATCGTGGCATTCGCAAACCTTGGAATGAGAATGTGGGTGTAGCAGTTGAGATCATCCTCGTTGAGTCGTTCACGTCGCTGCTGATTACTCATCGCGTGTTCACGCGTAACGACGTCACCAATTCTTCTCCAAATCCAACACGCGTCGCGCAGCGCGTTTACTTCAATTTGGGGATGGCATTATCACGCTGCGAGCACTGAGCACCTACCTTTCCGTCTTTCAATGTTCTCTATCTTTTTGGCATGGATCTCTCGGATCACGATGATAGCTGAGACCTCCTTGTTATTCTTATAGACTGCCGCCACCATGTCGTCTCCTCACAGATCACCCTTCTCGCCAGGATCGCCCCGAAGTCCAGCCTCCAATGTATTGACACCCAGTCGAAAAGTGCAAGCCTTACTCGCGCAATTCGACGATTCCGACTCTGACACATCTCTTCACGGCCAAGGCGTTTCTTCCGTCCCCAAGAAGGTCGAGGTTGCTAAAAGTCGTTCCGTGCACGAGAGGGACGCCAGTGAAGCAGAGCAAGATGATTCAGAGGAGGAGGATGATCTACCTGTAGCACCGCGGTCAAAGATGGCAGCACGATTGCAAGGCACTTTTACCCAGCCAGCATCCGTCAAGAGTGCAGAAGGACGCTCCACGTCCCATCTTTTGTCGCCAGCTCCGCTCACAGACTCAGACGATGGTGGTGTGGCAGAATTAGGAATGAGAAGAAACCTCCTCACGAAGCGCAAAACCAGTCCCGGTCAGGACACTCCCCAAGGTTCCACGTCGAGACGGTCTCCCTCAGTATCTATAACATCTCCCAACCCACTTGGGCGCGGAGCTACCTCGACTCCTTCTGATTCGGAAGATGGAGAAAATCAGAACAACAAGGGCAAGTCCAAATTTCTGGCTCTGGTTGAGAAGCATCGGAAGCAGAGACTCGAAAAGGAAGCTGAAGAGGAGGTGAAGAGGAATGCGCGTCTCGAAACCCTCAAATCTCAAGCAAAGAAGTCTGGTCAACAACGAGGATCGAGCCCGGCTGACGATTCCGACGAAGAGAGCGACATTTCTGAGAATGACGGAGCTAAGAAATTGTCAACGCAGGCTCGACCGACACGTAAGGCTAGCAAGAAGGCTGTGGAAGAAATGAAGAGAGAGACTCAACGCATCAGTCGAAATATGCAGTTGGCACATCAAGCACGAACGAAGAAGAAAATCACAAAGGACAGTCTATTGGCTCGATTCAACTTTCATATCGCCACTTCCGCTTCACGCACAGGAGAGGCTGGTGGAAATGAAGAGGTTACCACGAGCAGCTCTAGAGCAGCTTCAGATGCTGAAAGCTTGAAGGATCATGACACACCGCCAACAAGCCCGATACCAGAAGACTCGAGCGTGCATGGCTCCAAAATCGCAGCCCCTCATCCAGTTACCGCGATGCATGCAGTCGAGAACGACGACGATCTCCCAAGTCTTCACGAGCTCGCCACTAGAATAGACAAGGGAAAAGGGCGAGCTCCATCAGAAGTGCCGATTTCTCGACCGGTCATAGCGCGTCCAGCAATTATGCAGAGCGGGCCGGCCATGGGCGAAGACTTGCTGGCAGACACGTTGAAGCCAACCATCAAGCCTCTTGGGATCAAACGGCCTGCGATAATTGCGAGTAAACCCGGTGATGACGACTCGGATTCTGACCTCGAAGTGATCACCTCCAAAGGTGACATACGCAAATTTGCGGTCTTCGAGCACTTGCCCAAACGAAAGGCCAAAGAAGCACCTTCTCACCTTGCTTTGCGGTCCCTAGCACATTTGATCGGCGGTGATGATCGTAAACGTTCACTGAACGCAGCAGAAATGGAAGTATCCCTTAGACGGCAGGCTCGTCTGCAAGCACGACAAGAGAGACAGAACAAGATAGAGGAGCTCAAAGCTAAAGGCGTGTTTATTCAGACTGCTGAAGAACGTGAACAGGAACAGGAAGACGTGGAGGATCTGGTAGAAAAGGCTCGACAGGAAGCCGCGGAAATTCACAAGCGCGAGAAAGCCCTTGCAAAGAAAGAGGGCAATTACACCAAGGACGGATTAGATGATGACGACAGTGATGAAGATGAAGACTTTCAAGATGATGCTGAAGGCGGAGACAGTGGTGTTTCCGATGATGAGGATGAAGAGCACGAAGAAGAGGATGGAAGTGAAGGTGAAGAAAGCCTTCATGGTAGTCGGGACGATGGAAAATTGGTCGATGATCAAGCCGATGAAGAAGACTCTGAGGCTTCGGGATCTGCTGAGAGTGAAGCAGAGAATGCTGCATCGGACCACGAGTCTGTCCACGATACTCATGCGTATGCCAGTAACGCTCCGTCAAGACCTAAGCGTGTGACGCGTGTGCTGAGCGACGACGAGGATGAGGAGGTTCCGAACCACAATCTGAGCTCACCTCAACTTCCAGCCAATGCTAAGACGCCGGTTTCGGTGGCCCGTTCCGCGAAGAAACAGATACCTGGGCTACAAATGTCGGACGATCTCCCCATCGGCCTGACCCAGGCGTTCGCTGCAACTATGGCCGATTCGCAGAGTCAAAGTATGGCGAATGAGCAAGAACAGGACAGTCTGGCTATGACCATGGATCTGCCGTCACCCAATATTGCAATGGTACCGCGTTTACAGCGAATGGAGTCGATCGACGTTATCAGCGACAGCCAGCCAACTACCGAGACACAGCCGTTGAACATCGACCTCTCTTTTACACAATCTCAAAATGTTCCCCAATCACCGGCTATTGGCTTGGGCATGAGTGGACCACAGTTCACGCCTTCTCAGCAACACTTCGAGCCGACTCAGGATGGTGGTTACATGCTGAGTCCCTTCAAAGGAAACCGTTTCGCAAGCGAAACCCCTCTAACTGCTGGACCCCGTTCAACAATTGATACAGTTGTCCTTCCCAACGATACTCAAGAAAGTCCCGTGGTGCAAAGAAGAGCAAAGCTCAGACGTGGTCGCGCCCCAAGTGCTGATAGTGACGAGGACATTGTGGAACGAGCAGACACCTCGGCCTTCGAAATCATGCGCCGCGCCGCAAAGAACAAAGATACCAATGCCTTCGACAAGACAAAGTCAAATGCGCGAGAGATCGTGGATGACGCCGCAGAAGAGTCTGAAGACGAATACGCTGGTCTTGGTGGTGCCAGCGATGAAGAAGGGAATGACGAAGAAGATGAGCACGATCGAGCAATGATCGATGAAGATACCCAAGTAGGCTTGGGTGACGAAGCCAAATTGGCCAAGTTCCACGCAGACCGCGAAGTCCAGGATGATGCAAAGGATGTGTCCAAGTTGTACAAAGACATCACCACCGGTGCCTACCGACGCAAACGCGGCAATGACGACCTCGATTTGTCTGATGAAGAGGATGCTGCGAGTAGGCGGCGAGAGGCAAAGAAGCGAGAGTTTGCCAAGATGCGCCGAGAATTGCTCAAGGACGAAGCGGTAGGCAGGATTGCAGAGGACAGGAGAAAGGAAGCCTTCCTGCGAAGTATCGAGGACCGAGAAGTCAGTGACGACGAGGGCATCGACATGTCTGAAACGCAGACCGCAGAAGAAGAATCACAGGAGAGGCCGGAGCAGCCAGTTCAGCCGGACAGCGCAACTACGGATGATCTCGCTGCTCGAAAAGTCAAAGATGCCCGTCCGCTCGAGGCCGCGAGCGATTCTCGACTCAATCTCTCCGGTCGACGGACAGCAGGGCAATTGAACAAGAGACCCGCGACATTGGCCGAGATCCGAGAATCTGTGTCATTCCTGATCGACGAGCCCGACTCGCAAGCAGCCACCATCGACCTGGGCTTGTCCGACTCGGAAGAGGAGCCGGAAGCATACCTCGATCTCGACCGTCATTTCCAGGCAGATGAGAATGCCGATGACGGAGACGACCTGGGCGACTTTATCGTCCACGATGACGGCCAGGCCAGAAGTGACGAGCAAGACACCTTCAAGAAGCCGACTATTCCATACAGTGAGACAACTGGTTCGCGGGCGCCGTTCTCCGAGAGGCGCACGAAAGAGCGGACCAATGTAGTCAACCGGCTAAACATGCTTCGTCAGGCATCGTCCTCGTCGTCTTCGAGTACAAGCACCGGTGCAAGTGCGAGCACAAAGATGGCCTTCTACACGGCAACCTCATCGGCCAGCGTTGGTGTGTCCTTCGGCAAAGTTCCCAGTCTTCTGCGAAGGGCTACCACGAATTCCAGTCTGGGCAGCATGGCGGGCCGGGACGAGAATGTCTCGGCGACGGGTGTCGTTACGAGTAACAGGACTGAACGTGGAAGTGCGGGTGATGGAAAGGAGTTTGTCAGGAAGGGAAGTGGTGGACGGCGGAACGCCGTGAATTACAGACCGACCATGAAGGAGGAGAAGATGAGTCAACGGGCGGGTATTGCTAAGAAGACCGTCGCTAGTAAGGGGAAGAAAAGGGGAAGTAACTTCTTGGGAGGCCTGTTTCGTCAAGACAGTTGGGCTTGAGTTTGACGTACGGCAAGTTGTTTGTGATTTTGAGGTGAGGGAGCGTTATGGGTAGCTACTGTCTAAGAACAGTCTCGATGTCGGCCAACTTCTGCTCAATTTCTTTCGTTCTGGGAGCGTCATGCCCAAAGCCAGTGATACACGCCTGCATCTCTTTCGTCTTCCAAGTACGAACTTGGTCGACATCGTATTTCCGTTCCGCCCATTTCGCCATACTGCGGTACGTGTTCGCCAGGGGAACGCCGACCAGAGATTCTTTGAGAAGCAGCTCTTCTAGCTTTCGTAAGGAGGTTAGCGCTTCGTCAATGACATGCTGCTGGGTGTTCTGTCTGTCTGAGGTGTTATGTGCCGAGACGAATTGAGTCTCGCAACCCTGCACGGTCCGAAATGCCTCGTACATGTTTTGTCGTCGCTCGTCGGATCTGGCCCAGAACTCGGTCTTGGGCTCACACGCGTCGCACCGGCACACGAAGCCATAGTAAATCTGATGTTTGCGTTGGCGTCTCGCGCGGGACTCAAAAACCACCTTGTCGTAGTTGCTCGTGACCCCCTTGCCGCGTGGGATGTCGCGAATGGCATAGAAGCGCATTTCATTGGTACGTTCGTCGTAGCAGAATTGTGCATTGGGCACGCAGTTGTGGTTGATTCTGCTGGGAAGCAAGCCAATGGCGGAGCCACCCTTCCCGGCGGATTTGAAGGCGTCACAGTTGTAGCAGTTGCTGTAATAGATTGAGGCGATGCGGGTCATGCGCGACTTTTGCGCATCGAAGAGTTTGAGGTAGAGTTTCTGCGTGGGCCGTGGGAGGTGGGAGAATTCGCGTTCGATGGCTGCGTGGTCATCCTCTTCGCGCTTGTCGAGGGCTATGAGTGGTGTTTCGACGAGTATCAGGGTGCTGGCTTTGATCTTGCGGGTGGTGAAGACTGCGAGGCCACGATCTGGAGTGGATGTGACTTCTAAGAGGCAATCTTGGGGTCTTGTGACGGGCGGCGCGTTGTCGTCGCCGGGTGAAGGTTTTTGATCAAGCGCTTCCACTGGGACTTCACGGCTGGAGCGCTTAATATTGTGCTCGGACTCTATGGCTGTCTTCTCACTCAGGGTGAGTTCTGAAAGTTGAGGTATGATGCTGGTCTGGAAGAGTGGTCAATGCCGCTTCCTGTCTTTGGACGTGCCATGTGGCCCATCGTACCTCGTCTGTTGCTTCACCCTTCGACGGTGTACTTGAGGAATTATCCTCCAATTTGGGCATGTGTTGTTTCCTTCCATTCCCCTTCATTATGTCGAGGTGTTGGTAGGCAAGGCGTGTGTTAGAGGAGCGAGATATATGAAGCGGGAACACCTTCTGCGTCCATCATGATTGTTGCTGCACGGTATATACCAAATATGTCAACGTGGTCGACTCGAATCAACACCGCAATCACTCCATTGGTGTGTATTTGCGCCTGGGATTGTGGCAAGGGTGATCAATCATAGGCGCAAAAGGATACGTGAAAGTACCTAAGTAGTCAAGTATGATGACCACACCATTGTCGGCGAAAACCGGGATTGGTAATTTAGCAGCAAATTTGCCAGACATGGCTCGATGGCAAGATGGATAGGAGCAACCGCTATGCCGATTGGGACCTCATGGTAATGATAGTACTGACACCCACAAGTATCCGCAATAATGAGATACACAAAAGCACAACAACACCTATTTCGGAGGGTTAGAATTTTGTCAGTCTAATCACTTTGTCGAGTCCGGATTCATCGATGTTCATCCATTGCCCTGATGTATGCAACCTTCAAGACAACTGTACTTGAGTATGGAATAGGCTCGATGTCAGGGGTGACTGAACGAGAATGTTTCATATACAGAGCATGTCCTGATGGCTCGCTCGACTCTCCCGCTTAAGATTAAGAAGTCCGCAGCGTCAAGCCATACTTAGGCAGTTGGTGAGCCGTGTGTCAAAGGTGAAGGATCCTCGGTCGGGGAAGTACAATAGTCGAGTCCTGGATGCGGCATTTTTTTCGCGGCCTCCCTGTCGTGTGAGTCATACAGAAGGCACCGGCTGACAAACTGGTAGTGCAATTCTGACTTGGAAAGCTGACTCTCTTAGATGGAGACGTCCCGAAAGACCATTCCGCAGTTTGACAAGCCAAGTTGAAAAACGTGGTCTCCTGGAGTGGCAGAGTCGTCAGTCAGACAACATTCTGATAGGGCGACAAGCATCTCGTCAACCCTCACACGTGAAGGTCCGTCATACAAAGCCCAAGACTGTAGCTTGTAAGGGCTAGAGTGTTGCTCCCCGGATGAATCCGAAGCTGCCGGTGCTCCGAACCCACAGTCCAGTCGGCCAGAATATATCACTGTTACTTGATATTTTTGTGTCTCAAATCGTTGTTGTATGAACTTTGAGACCGTTACCCTCGAGAATCGTGACGCCGCACGAGATAGCTCTTGCTCTACATCAAGTAGAGTATACAGAGCCCCAGCGAAGCTGAGAGATTAAACGAGTTCGCAATATTCGATGACATCGAACAGGAGATTTATAGTATCTCTTGCGTAATCGACTGCAAACGTTCGCTTTGATGATTCCTCTTTGGGTAGACCCAAGAGGCCATACACTCGATCTTTGACATCTGTACATTGGCTGTCATCCATATTCCTGACGATATCTTGTTGCTTCGTCCGACGGGTGGATTCTGTCTTTGCACCCACCGATGTGCCGATCTCGAGCTTTCGAACCTAAAAACCAGTGAGAGAAGATCTGTGAGAACGTCGCCCATTCTAGAATGTGACGGACGTACGCGACAAGAAGCTCCTTCGGTAGGATCAGTTCCTGAACGACCCAGAGCCGCTTCCAATAGCTTCGTTCCAGAAGATGTACCATCGCTAACGCGAGGCACTCCCGACTTGGGTCGTTGAAAAGTTCGTTGTATTTTTTTCGTACCTGCTCATCTGTAGAGACTTTGTGACAGAATTGTAGCAATTCAAAGAGTCTGTTGCTACCATGGGCATCGGGTCCAAGCCAAATCAGGACCTGACTGGCTGTGGTGTATATGAAGCGCATTAACAAAACCTGCGAATTTCTCTCCGAGATATTTTTCTGGTCGATGCAAACCGCATCCACGAAGAGAAGTTGAATTCCTAGATCAGACTGCTGAAATATGACGAGGAACAGCGCAAGGTTCACCCGGATTTTGTATGGCACACCATCCACCATCATCCATTGGAAGTCCCCTGGTTGACCCCATTCGTACGATAAAGCAAGGTAAGCAGGCACGCTGTGCGTGTCCGTAATGTCATGTACCGTAAAGGTACCATGCAATTGCTTTGTTATGCTCTGAGGTAAGAGCCTGAAAAGTCGTATTTGTTTCGACGCATGTTGAAGAGGGGCGTGTTTGTATTGAGGCTGGGAGTTAAGCTGGAAGGCAGGAGACGTGGAGGCGGACCGTTGGTCTATACTCCCCGACATCTCTCACCACCAACGTCGCTCAAGGTCAATGCAGAGTATCAACGCTAGGTTTCGAAGAGAAAATTGAAAAAGAAAGCTATCATGATATCTTGCAGATGTTAGGCACCTTACACTGCCACTCCACCAAATTGAGCCTAGTGCCATAACAGACCATGGGTATGGGGTTGATACTCACCTGTCAGTGAGGGGGAGCGCCCCGGGCCCGCATGATTAGGCAGACTCGAGGCATTCCTTACAACATGCTAGGCTGAATCGAGAAAACCACCAGCCTGACTGCGAAAGTGATGGCGAACAGCACTCTCTCTCGTTTCTCTCTTGATGATTACCCATTCAAATCTGTTCAGATCATCATCCCTCTTCTCATAAGATGTCGAGACAACTGGTCCCAAGAAGTGGTGGTGGGTCAGCCCCAAGCGCGGATCCTGCATTTGTTCAACAAGGCGAGGTTGACTGGGTGTCTTTGTCCAGTGCCGTCGTATCTGTGACCGTGGGAACTTTGGCAAGACTTTCTGGTGCTGGAGTGCAAGAGATCACATACGTAGGCGCTCTACAGCTGGCCACCAGATTCAAACTGGCGAACATTGGCAAACGACGAGTTTGCGAAGCCGTGGAAAGGCTGCGGGTTTCCCCAGCGTTCGACAATGTGGCCTATTTCGGCTTTGGCTACCGGAGTTTCGTTCGCTTTCTCTCGGACACCGAGGCCGGGATAAAATGCATTGCGCTATGTGCCAGCCTCTCGGAGGCCCACAGCGAAGATCTGGCAGCTCGTGTGATCAGTTCCCTTTGGACGGTCGTTGGGTACCCCGAGGACTATCAACCCTCTCTTCAGCAGTTCAGGTGTCTCGTGAAGGCGTGTGCTGGGGTATTCGCTCAGTCAACCTTCCCCATAACTATGGGAGTAATGCTTGGGCCTCACAGAAATGTCAGAAAGATCTTGGAGCCTGAGGCATCCGACCCGGATGCCATTGCCAAAGCCTTGCAAGGTGTATTTGACGTTTCCAGATCACTGCGCTACCGAATCACGGTTGTTGGGGGCGCTGAATGCAGCTTCATCGCCGCTGTGTCGCCGGCTGTTCGATTTGAAGACTCACGTCGAGGATAGCCATGGCAACACTGTCTTTATGTCTTCTCCAAGTCCTGAACAGACCCAAGTTCATATCATTTATAAGGAAGACGAGCAACTTTCAGCGGTTACGGTTTCAGCTTCCACTTTCGTACTAGAAGGTCCCAACGACCTACTCCGTTATGTGCCCGACCGTCGCTTGCGCCTTATTCGCACTCGAGTTCCTTGGGATTCTTGCCTGAAGCACACTTTCGGGCAAGACTTCACAGACCTTGTTAGCTTTCCAGCAGCACTCGGTGATTTCCTTGGGGGAGCTGCTCGAATATTCAAAGCCCTGGCCAGGGGTGAGCTTGAGGTCAATGTGTTCTCCAGAAAGCTCTTCATCGATTACGCGGATGCTAGTCATGGACGCGGTTTTGTGGAAAGTATGGTCAACTTTTTCCCAGAACTGAATGACACAAGCTTGCTGGACTCCGCCCGCTCTGCACTTTCACGGAGTGTGTCAAGCACGATATCACATATAGAACAAGCCATGTTCGTGTTCATCCGACACTGCACTTGCTTCCGCTGCGACGCAACGGAGAACTCGGACGAAGCCCACAGACATAGTAAGCGATTGTGCTTGTTAGCTCTCGCAGCAACTGTTCTGGACCTGATCGTCACGACCGGCTCGGTGGTGTGTGAACGAGAAATGCTGCCCACAGAGAATGGTCTCTATCACATATACGAAAGGAATCAGGCTCGCTTGGAATTGATGGACGGCCCACAAGGAGGAGTAGAAGATCTTGCCAAACTATTTCGACTCGACGAGGGGTTTACTGGATGCGGCGGCAGGACTCCTGCAGGGATCATGGCAGATACCCTTTGCCTCTTCACAGGGCACGAGCCATCAGTCTCTGGACTGGAGACGTACAGGTCTCGGACCGCCGTGGCAGAGAGCGGAATCTGTGTGTATCTGGATTGTCTTGAGTCGGTGACCACAAGGCCGGAATTGTTGCGGCGGATACATGTAATACCGGGCCACATCGGCAGAGGAACCAGAGTCTTTAACTCTGTTTGGGACTGCGCCCATAGCAAAGCTCCATTTCTGGAGAGAGTCAAGTTCAGTAAAGTCGCGGAAGGTCTCGATACTTCGTCGCGATATGACTTCCCGGAGCAACTGAAGCTGACCGCACTTGTGGACGAGCCAAGCGGACCTGGCCAACTTGCACTCTACTATCAAATCTCAGCACCTCAGGGCCAAGTCTTCATCCAACCAGGCGAGATATCCAGGCATATACTCTCCAGATCTGGACTTATCGTTTGCTCGAAGTCTGATTGTGATGAGCGCTTGCCGTTGGACCCATACTTCGTTCGGGCTGGCTGGAATTTCGATAGCAAGTCACTGAAAGAGTTCGCAGAATCAGATCAAATGACTCCCGGCAACGTCCTCGTCTGGAAGCACAGAAATTCAGATATTGAACGTTTGCTTGCCATTGAGATACAACGACAGACTTCATACAGATTGCGAGCTCATGCACATGTCCTTTTCGCTCGGGGCGAGTGCGTGCCATGTTCTATCCGTGCTGCATCACAGATCATGGACGGGTGTGTGGGTGAGGGAAAAGGGAAAATACGGGTAAGCGGTTCGACTGCCATAAGGGTGGTTGGAAAATGCCTTGTCCATATTCTGTGAAACCCACAGATGGCGCACTTCTAAGCAAGGGCTTTGTGCAGCAGGATAGCGGCGTATGCAGCGACTCAACCCTTGATATTTTGACAGAGTCATGGGTTGGCCGAACGTTGGGATGGTGATCTGAGTGCTAACCGGGCTCTCAGACGACATCTATGTGGCTGTTTGTAGATGACACACAAGGAGCGCTGACTTGGGGAGGCGAGACTGGTTCATACTCAGGGTGAGAGCAATATAAGTATCCCAAGGACTTCCCTCCGTCGAGCCTGTAGGATCGCCTTCTCTACGAAGCCATCGACAATCACACGGGTTGAGGCAGATCTTCACTTTCTATGTCACGCGACTGTCTCTTGTGGTTTGACTCTCTCCACCAGTTCTTGTCTCATGCAGCGAACTGTTAGACAGGACGAAGATACCAATACACTGGCCGTGCGACATGTATCCCTTACTTCGTATTGCCATGGCCATCGACGACCTGTCTCTGGCTGTCTACCTCAGCACTCCCAGATATATCTTCTACATCCAGGATACCGCGCGATATATGACTTCGCCTGATACGGACCTATAGCAGAAACCCGGTTTTGAATCCATAGCGAACAGTCTATACACGCTCAAAAACAACACATCAAGCACTACCGACGGACCTCTTTCCAATATATGATAATACACGATACGAAAATAACATCCTCTCAACTTGCGTGCTGAGCATGCTTCACCTGCGTCAATTTATTCCTCTATAAGTCCACACGAGCCTGGTGCCGTAGTCGTGTCACACTCGATGACCCAACCGTCGCTTGGGTCAACGTCCTGACCATAAGTGTAACCAGCTATTCAACGCATGTTAGCACTCGATTCGTCCTATGCCCCTGAGGTTGTACGCATGATACGGGGTACTTACACGAGGTGGTCTCCTGCACGCCGACGACATTGCCAACGGCAGTGCCCATTTCATAGTATCGGTAGGTCACAAAGTCCGGCGTCGCGGTATCGAATCTGCTCTGGAAATGATAAAGCTCGTCCGAGTTATAGACTGTAGCGATTTGTTCGACATAAACGATGCCATCGACATAGGACCACCAAATGCCGTGACCGTGATCCGCCAGCATCACCAAGTCAGTCCAGAACGTTACGGCTGCATAGTCGGTCATCCCCTCGGTCGGTAAGCTTTGGTCGTCGTAGTTGTTACTGCCGTTGGGAAGACTGATGAACTGTCGCAAATGAGTGTCAGCAGAGCATAATCACCCAAGCAGGCTCAGCAGCAGGATCAGAACTTACCCCGTTGGAGGAAATGTAGAGGGTGTCACTGAGATAGCCGTATAGAGCTACGTCTACGCCAATACTTTGCACGTAGTAGGCATCATCGGCGTCTCCGCTCACATCGGGGTCGTAGACGTACGTGGGAGATGGTAATTGCGGGCTCGCGCTCGACCCGGTCGTTGTTGTGGTGGTTGTAGTTGTGGTAGTGCCTGTGGTGGTCTCTGAGGCTGCACTTGTCGAGTTGACATACCCTGTGGTCGTACTGTTGATTGCCGTTGTCGGAGTGCTGGTGGTAATTGTTGTATTGCTGGTTGCTGTTGTGAAGGAAGTGATAGTGCTACTCGTACTGTTTGTTACTGTTGTCATGGTAAAGGTGGTGCTGGTCGTACTATTGCCTACGCTTGTCGAGGTAGTGGTGGTGGTATTCATCGACGTTGGTGAGGTAGTGGTAGTGATGATTGTGCTGCTAGTCGGCGTGATTGTTGAGCTGGTTGTCGTGGCATTTGTTGTACCTGATGTAGTTGTCTCAGTTGTTATCGCCGTGGAGGAAAATCCACTCTGAGTGGTGCTTGAAGTGGGTTCAGTGGTAAAGCTTGTTGAGCTGATTACCGAAGCAGTCGTTGTACTCAATGCGAAAGATGTCGTTGAAGTAGAAGACGAACTGGAGAAGCTAGTCGTCGTTGTCAATGTTCCGATGGTTGTTGTGCTCAGTGTGCCCGAGGCCGATGAAGTCCCGCTCGTTGTTGTTGTCGTTGTATCTAGGCTTGCGGAAGTAGTCGTGTCCACCGCAGTAGTGGTCGAACTGAACGTTGACGAAGTGGCAGTGGTAGTCGAACTTGTCACTGGCGAAGCTGCAAGTATGAGTCAGAGCTTGCAAACTGCTTTTCGGGATCAACTTACCAGTCTGGATCAGATAGATGGCGTTGCTACAAGTACTGTTCGAAACAATGGCATTTACGAGATCATCGTCTTCCAAGCAGAAACCGGCTGCACCTTGCAACTGGGCTAGTCCTCCCGAAAAGCTCCACTCGTGGAATCCTGCAGGCACAGTCGAGACACGCTTCACAGGGGCTTCTTGCGCGACTTCCGTGCCGAGGTACATTTCGTCGGAGAGAAGTGTGCTTCCATCACCCTCAAAGAATATTGCCGCAGAATCAGCGTCCGTCACAACCTTGCCATTGTTATTCGCGTCGAACCCCAAATACTGCAAGCCCCGACGGCGCAAGCTAGAAGAAGTCGTTATTCGAAGGACAAATCCGGTGGGAGAGACGCTCGTAGTACTGGTGGTGCTAGTGAGGGTTGTAGTGGAAGTTGCCGTGGTCGGTGTGGAAGTCGTGGTGACCTGGCTGCTCGAGGCAAACGATGTACTAGTCGTGCTTCCAACTAGACTGGTGGTGACAGAGCTGGAGGTCGCGGTGCCTGAAGCGGTGCTCGTGTCCGAAGCCGTGGTGACGCCTGACGTCGTCACAGTTGAGGTGGTCACAATTGGCGTGGAGGAAAGAGTAGTACTGAATTCCGATGTGCTTACAGCAGTGAAAGTTGGTGAAGAAGTGGAAGACGTAGAGCCCGTTGAACTAACCAGGACAGTGGTAGTAGAGCTCGAAGAAAGGCTGGTTGTACTAGAAAGGACCGAGAACGTGACACTTGTCGTCGAAGCACCACTGCTGGTGGTCCCGCTGGCTGGTTGGACGGACGCTGACGAAGTAACCGGCAACGTTGTGTGCGTCACTGCCGTACTGCCAGTGCTGGCTGCTGTCGTAGTTTCCCAATCACTCCAGTCGACGGGTTCCGGAATGTTGCTGGACCTGGAGCGCGGTTAGCCATGAAATGAGTGTGTAGAAAGAAACATTGAGAAAAGAAACGTTTGTACAAGAGAGCATGGCAAACACTTACGAGCTATCCTGCAATGTGATCTGCGGCCACTGGTAAGTGATAGTTTTCGTGACATCGACCTGGAAGTTGAATGTGGTTGGTCCACTGCACGACCGTGTAGCAAACGCCGTCCACTGCTGCGCAGGAAAGACTGTCGTCGTGGCTTGTATGGTGCTGATAGCAATACTCGCATGTTCGTTATCACCAACTGTGATGGTCACTGTTTGAGCAGGAGCTTGTAGCGTAAAGGCTTCGCAAATCTGGGGAAACGCGAATGTATATACGCCCGCACTTGGGACTGCTGTTGCAAGTGAGCAGTGAGCCACAGCGGCCGATGAGGTTGGTGGTGCTTTGATGATCCAAGTTTCCTGTCCGCGCCTGCACTGGATTGGATCCTGACTGCTGTTGATACATTCAATCACCTCCAACGTCTGAGAGAAATCACACTCGGCACAAAGACCACTTCCAGAGTAGCCAGCAATTGCGAGGGGTCCAAGACTGTTGTATGGTGCTGACCATTCCTTAGACACTGTAGTGTAATCTCTTTGCGGAACAAGCGAAATTGTGGGGGTGCCTTCGACGACAGTTATGCTCGTTGATAGACTGGTACTCGTGATGGTCGTTGTGGCCCGAGAGACCAGGACTGATTGTTCAGTACGAGTCACGGTTGAGACAGAAGACGACTCGTATGGACAAGGGATAACGGTTGACACATATTCGTACGTCCGCAGAGGATATATCGTCGTGCAACGAGAGCGATGACAGGTCGAGCTCGGCTCACATGTAGAAACCGCTTGGTATTGAGAAGTGACGGTAATAGGTTCGAGCTCCAGTGCTGGTGCCGATGGACAAGGTGTGATGGTCGTCAAAGGCCACGAGTGAGCTCTGGCTGCTTCGACCAGAGCACCAAGCAAGCATACCCATGCTTTTGTCTGCATGGTGGCCGAGGGAATGGCTATGGTTAGTTGACGGAGGGTGAGTTGTGTTGGTAGTATTAGCCAAGGCCATGAACGACCTATATGTAAGTGGTGCCAGGTCCATGCTGTCCATCGTTGTGGGCGTATTGATGCGTTGTTACTGTTGCGCAAATCTCGGGCCTCACCAGGATGAAGTGTGTAATATCATATGACAGAGAGCTTCCTAAAAGCTTGGAACGAGTTTGCGCGCACTTTTTGGGCACGCTCAGAGCACCTCAATCTCGGATCATTTTTGGCTTTTGGTTTGGCTGTTTGGGGCACAAATGGCCACCAGCGTTGTGTGTGTGCAAGAGCATACTCGCGTTTGACTTCAAAGGTCAAGGTAAACAAAAGAGTGAAGTTTCGTTGAATTTGTGAGTATTTGATGCTGCCGAGTTTGGCAATATTGGCTTATGCTTTTGAGGCTGTACTTCAAGCGAATTCCTCGTAGTGTCGCCGTCGAGGTCATCTCTATTGATGGCCGAAATCTTGAACTCGCCAAGGTGAAAGACGCCACGGATAATGAACGGGCTTACCCCAGGCAGCAGAATGGTCTCAAATGCGATAATCCCATATTCATAGCGGAGGCTGACGTGCACCGAGAACACATGGACCAAGCAGAAAGCCAAAGTGATAAGGTTAACGTTAAGTTTAAATTGGACATAAGAGCCTGAACTGTGTGGTAGGTTGGGATTGAGGTCAGCAACAGTGGCCCCTGCATTGAGATCAGCAGATATTGACGTGGGATCGATCCAGGGCCATTGGCCCAAGCACTTCTAGACCATCTTTGCGAATTTGGAGGTCCCCGCAATATATGTCTCGTTGTCAACCCTCAGATAGTGTTTGTTGGCCATGCGCATAGCCTGAAAAGGAGGAAGAATTGATACACTCCTTCTCGCAATGGCTGACCTTGTGCCCCGAAATTCTCAACACTTGGACACTGAACAAGTCTTTCGCTTTCGATTGGTGTCGAAATCATACACGCAAATGTTACAATCGATTTACGCGCTCCAAGAGGCAGCAATGTCCTGTTCCCCTTTTCCCTTCCCCCGCCCAACAACTCGCGAAATCCGTGGAAAGTGAGTCTCATCTCACTCTGGCGTGTCTCGGAAGAACCTCCGCAAGAATAATGTTCTTGGCGTGTAGGTATACAGGGTGGCAGATTTGGAAGAGTGACTCTTGTGGCCCAAAATTTCGTCGACGGACATACGAATAGCCCTGCAAGGATCCGGAGTGCACAGACACCAGGGATTGCAGAAGAAATTGACTCTCGCCTCGGGGTGCTGTCGATGAGCCGTTCATGGCGCATCTTCACGATACCTCTCGAGGAACATCGGTGCCGATTGTATGATATTCAACCTCGTCGATGTTCAAGTATCGATCTCTGGACCTTGGCCGGGTCTTTGTGGTCGGAAGGTGCAAACACAAAATATTGGTGATGATATCCGGCACGACGTAGCCATTCATCATGCTGTCCAGCGGAGGTAAGTGAGAGACCTAAGCGACATTTTTAGGTGTCCTCGATTTCTTCCTTGGAGCAACATCTGACCATGCAGAAATCTTGTATCGCGGTACCTTTGGACGCGGTGAATCGTAGCGTCATCTCCGAAAGTCCAGGAAGTCTTGTGCCAAAGTCAGGCTTCGGGCTGGAGTGGGCCGTCATGCGCACCAGCCAGCTCTTGGTGACCATCACTTTTTATGTCGCTCGGCTGCTTCTTGTAGTTTGAGTCTCTCCACCAACTTCTGTCTCAAGAAATCAGATAGACCGAGAATCCCATCATTCGTAACGATGCGATATGTGCCACTTGCTTCGTATCGACCATGGCTATCGACGAACTGTCCCTGACCATCGACCTCGACACTCCCGAAGATATCCTCCGGGTCTGGGATGCGGCCATATTCAGGCATACGTCGTTGATCGAAGACGTGCACCCAGCCACCTCGTCCAGCACTACCGTAGCCACCTTGATCGCTCGCGCCAAAAGAACCTGTCTGCTGCCTGCGCATTGCTTGGAAGAAAGACGCGCCAGCGGATGATATCATTACTGCAGCCTGCGACTGGACGAAAGGGTCGGCATGAGCATTTTCGGCTATGACGGATTGTAGTATGGGCAGGAATTTGGGGTTCTCTTGGAAGGAAGCTGGTGTTGGTGGTAGTTTAGTTGTTGAGCCAATGGCTATTGATGGAATAGGAGGTTCATTGGACAGGAAAGTGAGGATGTACGAGGATGGAGCATTGGGATCTTTGAAAGCATACTGTTGCAAATGCTGTTAGAGGCTGGCTGTCAAAGCGAGAATGTGGACTTACGATGTGTGGACTATTGCTGAGGGTTGAAACAGGTCGAAGTTGAAGCCGGAGACGCGGTACTTGGCGCAGGAGTCTTGTATTTGTACGTATATTCATGACGGCAGGAAGTAGTGTGCAGACCAGCAGCTTCTATGAAGGCTGTGATATCCTCATTGCTGGACATTCGCGGATGAACTTATTGAACGGAAGACATGAAGCTAGAAATAAATAAAATGCATGACGTCTTTGTTGATGATGTCCGCTTATGTCATGTTCAGCCTTACGGCTCGCCCCCTGAATAATCCTCAGCCTTGTATATGTCCTTTCTTGCTTCATCTGAATGTCTTTCAATACTGACTAAGCCCCTCAGCCGATGCACCACTCAATTGAACCAGTCTCGAGCCTCATCCAGCAATCCACGTAGCTGTAGTGCCTTGGGTCAAAGATCGCGCGTTCTTGACGCTCTTGCTCAAGCCGCACTTCGTCTTCGTCTAGCATGGGCACGCCAAGCTGACCCCAAAACTCTTGGTTTAGACCGCTGATCACGGTCGAATGCGAATGTCTGGATTTCGTACATGTGCACTTGCCCTACCATTGATGCGTAGATGACCTCAGGTGTTGCCTCTTTTATTGCCACCATCACTCCGTAGCCAGGACTACCAGCCCCGGGATGAATAAGTCCCCAGTGCCCCGTAGGCCGGTAATCGTATTGCGATTTCCAGATCTCCGTCGAGTCATCATCTGGACTCGCGTGGAGGCCACATTCTGCGCTCGAGCCTTCCCAGAATCTCCCATGTGAACGGCATTTATCCGTCTTCCTGACAGGGCAGACCACATACGATACGGCGTCCATTCTGAGAATCATGCATTTTTTGATGTTAGCGCCTCCTCAAATGCCAACAAGCAAGATGAGAAATTGCCTTGACATCGCAGCCCGCGATCCGTCTGCGTCGCTTTGATCTGGTACTGTGAGGCATCTACCATGCATTGTATGTAGAAGATATCGTGAGCTTCGAGATTCAGCAGAGATCTAGGTGCCCATCTGAATGGTGAGTAGTTCAGTTTTCCTTCGTCAGTGAACAAGAATTGAAAGGGAAAGCTTGGGTCTTTCTTGGTTAGCAGGCAGTATAACTCCAGCATACGTTTGTCGAAGACCTCGATGCTGACAATATACGATACGTCTAGACCTAGTATATAGCCAATGCAGAGAGGCTCGTCGCCATTCCGGGTCGTTGAACGGAAGTGGAGTGCAGTAATGACAGACACAATGTCTGTTTTTGCAGGCAAATACTGCAGCATCAGTGTCATACAATTGATCGAGACGTTGTCAGTGAAGGACGCATTCACGGCCGGCAAGGGGATTGCCCGGTCTTGGAACCGAAACAGCAGGTTTGACCGGCCGACCACGCCCTCCTCGAGAGTCCACAGCCTTCGCATCCACTTTGACAAAGCAATTCGCAGCAACAGCTCCTCGTTGCAGCATGATGATGGGATGGAAACCAGATCAGAATCGAGCACAAACACATTCTTTGCGTTAGTGTAGACTTTGGCCATCCGGCCCAGCGCATTCCTCTTGGCTAGCCCACTATCGCAAGGGACGCACAAGGAGTCGATCCAGATTGGCGATTGCTCCAATCCCGCTTCCATGACAAGAGATTTTAGGCGCCTAACTTGGCATGCAGGCAGCGAATTTACCCCAGGAGGATGTCCAAGCCCATCTGACCACACATGTGATATAGCGATGTAGCTGCCCGTATTCGTCATAGACAGATTGATCTCGTCGTCATCTGTGATGGTTATCTTCACGCGGGGGTAAGCACTCTCATCATTGGATTCCAAGATTTGTCGCAATTCAGCTGAATTGATCGAGATGGCGCGGCAGCCGTCACATCCTCTAAGATGGCCTGGTTGGTAATCAGACTGCTTCAACTCAAACGCCAGGCATTTGTTTGAGGTACATTTAGCATGCGAAGCTTTGTTTGTGGTTCGCTTCAGCAGGCTAGCGAAGTAGAATGAGCTGTTGTCAAATGTGAGCCTCAAAAGGTTCAGCTCGCTAGGACACCAGGCAAGGCGTTCGACAAGGGCATTTGTAGAAAAACATACACATGCCGAGGCAGGATCGTAGTTAACTCTGCGTTCCTGGAAAAGAATTGCCTGAGTGATGTGTTCCATGGCTTCAGTCAGGACCAGAAGCAAGATTTCGAGATTCGACTCCAGAACTACTTGAGACACAACCGGAACGACGTACCAAGGCCCAGTGGGGCCACGACTGCCAGCGTTATCTTCAGTGAAGTTGTTGCTCAGGAACCGCAAAGCACGTATAAGATGTGCTTCTATTTCATGGAAGTGTCGTTTCCGAATGGCTCTGGGACGCTCTCCTTCCAACTCATACCATGTTTGCACGTGTTCTGGGAGCCTTTTCAGGGTCAACACTCGGTTGCCATGGACAACGGCGATGTAATCACTGCCCTTGAACTCGGTGCCGTAACTCCTGTGCATAGCACGAAGCAGGCCGAAGAAGAGCCATTCTTGCATCAAAGTCGTGCTCTGTTCAACATCGGGCTTGGAGCCATCAGCCAGCTTCAAGATGTTGGCAAACTTCATGATGTCATCCCAGTAATTGAGACTGAATCCTCTTCTTTCAGGATATGTTTCCAAAGGTCCGTCATCGCAGAGGTCTGGATCACAACGACACGGGAAGACAAGGTCGGGGGTGGACTTATCAAATAACAGGAGTGGTCTGGGGAGGTGCTCCATCGGCCAAATATTAAGAGACTCACGATGGTTTATGTGTGCTGAAGAGAACAATCCTTCGCCTGAATCCAATCTGCATCTTCGTGAGGTGAGGCGTGTAGTGTAAAAGGCCAAACCTGCAAGGCTGAACAGCGCGTCAACCAGAGTCGGTTGAGTTTCCCCTCTAGTAATTCATCTTCGTATTGAGTTCTTCGGCTTCGAAGAAGAAGTCATCACTTTGTGCAATGCATTGTGACTTCGATTTTGGACATGTTGATACCAGAGGATTTGATGACTGTGAACACTGACACTTTGGTAGCTGCTGCTGCTGCCGCCACCGCCCCGACTCCACCAGTGACGCGCTGTGAACCGTAAAATGTGCAACCGCGTTTGGTGCGACGTGAAGGCTCATCAATCATGGCTACAACTCCCAGATCGCAGGCGATTTCGACTCCCAAACCTCATCCCACTCCGAGCAGACTGATGGCGTCCCCACGGCCGGGGACATCAGGTAATGCCAGCCGACCTCTTGCCTACAAGTCTCCTGCGGTCAAAACTCCGGCATCCGCGCAGGGGCACGGGCACCATGTCAGTGTCTCCTCCCAACCGTCCTCCACCCCTCTGGCGGCGGTCGCAATACATGACGAACTCCTCGCCCTAAATTCCCCCGCTGCTGCTCTCATGGCTTCAATAGGCCCGACGGGACTGACACCCTTACCGAGTGGTGCTGATGGACTGGGCATTACCACAAATCTCCCGGGAAATTCTGTTCGTCCTTCTGCTACTTCGGTCAATCCCGAGATGGAGCGATTACATAGGCTACAGTTGGTCGCAGACACACTCAAGAGTCGGGTCTCTGGTTACGGAGTTACACGGGAGGGTGTAGAAAGAACAGCACAACTACACGGGTTTGACACGGCCTGGGACGATGATAACCTCACAATCGCTGGCATCGCTGTCGAGCTTGAAGTCATGTTCGATTCCATTGACAGAGACCACGTCAAGGATGTCAGTCTCAAGCTCAACGCACCCGACAGTGAGGAGCCTCAACTGCTGGAACAAGGAACAGATATCCTCAAGCAAAATCTTGAACCCTCCATTACTGTTAAGGGCATTCCGCAATGGAAGGGTCTGGACACATTTCAGTCGAACTTGCAATATCTAAGTCAATTGGACCGCATCGAGGGCGGTGTTCCCTGCTTCCAAGCCATAAACAGTCTGTACAACGCCTTTCAGAAAATCTGGACCGCAGAAAAAGAGAGATTCAATGGTCGATCAGTCCAACAACGGCTCAGACGAGGTGCCATTGGCAGACCGGCCCTCGACCAGGAACAACGCCTAGGGTTGTCCGTTGACTACTGGGTTGGCGGGCAAGCCATGCAACAGGAGGCCGTTGGTCCCCCGGGTGGTGAGCAGATGCATACTGCCAGATTCTTCTGCGATCCAGGGACCCCTTCAACAGTATTAACAAAAGAATGGATTTCAGACCGTGTTCTCATCGAAAATATTCAAGCGGAGGGAGATGCTTCGAATGAAACACCGCAGCCTGACTGGAAAGACCCTGCAAACGATGCAAATGAGTTCGAGAAGGCAGGTTCGGACGAGCCGGCCATGGAGAGAACAGGCGAAATATCTTCCAATGTCCTCAACATGCACTTTGCTTGTTCTTTGTCGCCCACAGTATACGTTCCTATCAATGTGGCAGCCACCCTTAATGTGGAGATGGCGATGTTCGAGATGAATCAGGAGCTGGCTATTACCTCCCAGATGATCCTACAAGAACACTTTAACGCCTCGAAGGTGGGTGGTGCTAAGACTGTGTCTGAAGAGCGTTGGCTTCGGTGTCTGCCAGCACCCATGGAGGGCGATCCACTGCGGTATCGTCGACATTCTTACGCCCTACACTCAGCTCAACATGCTGCTGCTCTATGGTGCTACCCAGTGACACAACTCAGCTTCAATCATCCGAGACATTTTGCCGCCGCCATTCCCATATTACGGCAATACGCTCTGGTCTGGAGCCTTCTGCGCAGTCTGGTCAACTATGGAGAGATAGAACCAAGCCATCAACTACCCACCGCTCGTCAAAAACAGCCTCCAGTAACCAACAAGTCGGGGCGGCCTTCCAAACGCAGCAACGCCAAAGTCATAGGGGTCACACTTGACACTATTGTTGGCACGAACGGCAGCAAAACAGACAATGACGATGTCTTACCGGTGGATGTGAGCCTAGATGTGTTTTCCGATATCTCAAAAGCACGACTTGACGTTTTCGCCCCATTTCAGGGGAAGCCTGCCACAAGTCGGCAGGGCGCGTTTCTGTTCTTGTCTGTGAACATCTGCCGTGACGGTATAATTGAGGTCAATGATCTCAAGGGTTTGCATCCTTCTGTTGCTTCGTCCGATCAGATTGTACGGATTCTTACCGCCACTGAAGACATTGGACTCCTCGTCGAGTGGCTGCTGGAACGAACCCACATCAGAGGTTAGGTTGTAGTAATGATGGAGGCGCAAAGTCTGGCTCCGACGGTGAACATGCGTTGGACTGAATAGGAAGTTTGGTTGCATCCATACACGATGCATCGTTGGCCGTGTCCTCCGACCACTTTGATGACATTCATGCATTAGTAAGAATGAATCACCTATTGCTGTTAAGGGCCTTGTTCAGTATGAGTGATCAACTTCCATGCTCATTGGATCGCCCTGACTAACATGTATGGACTATGAGCTGAGGTACATAAATGTTGCCTCTAAGAGATGCAGGTAGTAGTGCATGTGCTCGAATCTGACTAATAGGGCCGTCATGTCGGCATGATATTGCGTGCTTCCGCTCCGACTCGTGGATTAGGCCTTATATAATTATCAACCTTCACTGCCATCGAACTCGACTCCTGTAACCTATATCAATCTAGACTCGAAGCAATTGCACTCTGGCGTTCAGAGTAATCCCACGATTCCGACTTACTCGTGGTCACATTTCCCCGGCAAGAGCCATAGTTAAGGTCACGACACGCAGCATGTCCAGGTAAGTCCAGCTGTCCCGTGGAGTATCAATTATTCCAGCTAAATCGTTTACTGCGTTGGCAGCCTTGAGGACCTCGCTTCCAAGGTCGGGAGCCAGGACTTTCCAGTCAAAATTGTCTCGACGCCTAAACGAGTCCGCGGGGTCTTGAACGGCAAGTACATCTTCGACACGACAGAGGCCAAACTAGTCTGGGAGCACAAGTATTTCCCTCACTACTGGATTCCAAAGTCCGACTTTTCGTCGACCGCCAAGTTCGAACAAGACAAGTCCAAGTCCAGCGATGATGCGTCGATCTCACATTTGGTCGTCGGTGACAAATCCGTCTCGACTTTACTGGTCTCAGAGACAGCCAAATCCGAATTAGCCGGCCTAGTCAAGATCGACTTCAAAGCCCTCGACGCTTTGTACGAGGAGCAGGCGCAAGTCCTGTATCACCCGAAGGATCCCTACCACCGTGTCGATATCCTGCCGACTGGCCGGAAAGTACGTGTCGAGATCGACGGCGTGGTTCTAGCGGATACGGGGGACGAGGGCGGTGTCTTTTCACTTTGGGAGACCAATCTCCCTGGGAGGTGGTATTTGCCTCGCACGGCGGTGAATTGGGAGTATCTCAAGGAGAGCGAGACGCATACGGGATGTCCTTACAAAGGTGAAGCGAGTTACTATCATGCGGTGGTCAATGGCAAGGAGTATAAGGATGTGGTTTGGTGGTATGCCAATCCTACGCTTGAGAGCGCGCTGATTGCGGGCTTGTTGTGCTTTTACCCTGATAAGGTCGATAGTTGGGTAGATGGGAAGGCGATTGAGAAGATTGGTATGCCATCGTTGACGGCGGTGAAGAAGCAAGATGAGGCTGGCCAGGTCAACGGGTCCAAATAGAACTCTTGGGCCTCCAGAAGCCATGATTCAGTGTCTAGTTCATCATTTTCAAGATGGTTAGGTGTACATAATGTCACTCAGGCGGTGAAGAGTGCATTGTGCTGTTTCCTGCTGTTTCCTCCAGTTCAGCTGGTCTCAGTCATTTTCCTTCTGACATCAACCCAGTCCTGCATGAGACCTGTGGCTGGGGATCAGACACTGACCGGTATGTCTGTATGATAGTGACAATGATCTGAGATAGCCTGGCATTAGTAATGGCGTCGATCACGGCAACTCAAAGACCTCCGCATCTCCGCAATCTCCACAAACAAATGACTCTTTTTATTCAAACCTCCTCTCCTACTTCTCCTCTCGACCTCATCACATGCACAGATCTCCTGCCAAAGGTAGCGATATCCCCGCACCTCATCATGAAGTTCTCGTCTATGATGGGTCCACAACGTCCTCCGCAGGGGAAGACGTCTTGAGAAGTCGTCCAGTCCACGAAAATCGGCATTTGACCGCTGCTCCTCGTTCGGCACGCTATCCGTGCGAAAGCGTGTTGCATGTTGACGATGATGAACAAGGTGAGCACAAGAGGAGATGTAGTACAATATACAGCTCTTAAGCTGTCATTCCCCCGCCCTGCTTGTCCTTGAAGTCCTTTTTCACTTAGTACACTGATCGAAGCAGCTACAAGAATGCCACAACTACCGTGCAAATATCTAGGCTTGCTGGGAGCATTCATCCTCTCAACTGGCGTAAGTGGAGCCCTGGTTCCACGCCAAAGTGGTGCACCTACTGTCAGTGTCAAGAATGGCAGCTACTATGGCTTGCACAATCCTACTTACGATCAAGATCTGTTCCTCGGGATCCCATTTGCCCAACCGCCTGTGGGTGACCTCCGGTTTAATATTCCCATGCCGCTGAACTCGACTTGGAACGCCACCAAGAATGCAACTCAGTACTCCTACGAATGCTATGGCTATGGCAGCGACACGTGGGTCCTTGGAAACCCGGTCAGTGAGGACTGCTTGACGCTCAACGTCATTCGACCGAGTGGCACAGGTCCTAATGACAAATTACCAATTGGCGTCTGGATCTATGGAGGTGGAGGCTACAATGGAGGCAGCCTGGATCCACGGTACAATCTGAGCTACATCGTCCAGCAGTCTGTTGAGATGGGTCAACCTTTCATCGGAGTTAGCATAAATTACCGTCTACAAGCGTTCGGCTTCATATTCGGCACGGAGATCCTCAAAGCCGGCGCCACAAATCTGGGTTACCGTGATCAACGAATGGGTCTGCAATGGCTGCAAGAGAATATCGGGGCTTTTGGAGGTGACCCAACGAAGGTCACAATATGGGGAGAAAGCGCTGGAGCGAGCTCAGTTGGCGTCCATCTCACTGCGTACGGTGGTCGGGACGACAAGCTATTCCGTGCTGGGATCATGGAGAGCGGTGCTCCAGTCGGGGCCTCCCGGTATCTCAACGCCTCGACTTGGGATATATACTACAATAACATCACCAAGGCAACCAACTGTAGCTCCGCATCAGATACACTCGCATGTCTCCGGAGCCTACCGATCGAGACGTTAAGCACTGTTCTCAACAGCAGCGTCACCGCCCAGGTTCCAGCATGGGGCGCTCAGATTGACAACGATCTCCTCACGGAATCTGGTACGCAACAACTCCTCACCGGCAAATTCGTCAAAGTCCCCATCCTTCACGGGACCAATTTCGATGAAGGGACCGCGTTTGGCACCAAGGGAATCAACACGACTCAGCAATTCCTGTTAAACGTCATGTCGGCAGGTCCGAATAGCACTACAGCACAAACCATCGCAGCCCTTTACCCCGATATCCCTGCCATTGGCATCCCAGCGACACTACCAGGTCGACCAACAGGCCCTGAAGCCTTCCTAGGTGCACAGTATAAGCGTGAGTGCTCGTACGCAGGTGATCTGATCATGCACGCTCCCCGCAGACTTACATCGCAAGTCTGGGCGTCGAACAATGTTAGCAGTTGGAGTTATCATTTCAATGTTCTTGTCAACGGGGCAGGACCGACAACTGGAGCTACACACTTCGAGGAAGTCGTCTTCGTATTCCACAACTTACAAGGTGGAGGCTACAACACTTCTGTCGCTGTCGATCCACTTGCGAACGAACCACCGACTTATGACGATCTCGCTACCATCATGTCTCGATTCTGGGTGAGCTTCATCGCTGAGAACGATCCGAATGGAAGTAATGGTATGTGTCCTTCCCTTCTGGCTTCTAGAAGTCACTTCTCTGATATGTCGGAATGATGCTAACTTAAGGGCGACGTTCGATAGCTACTTCTGTCCATTGGCCAGCCTATAACCTCACGACGCCCCAAAATATTGTCTTCGACACTAACGTCACGAATCTACTGTATGCGGAGGCCGACTACTATCGAGCAGAAGGTATTCAGTATATCGAGGCCCGGTTCGTCAGCGTTTACGGACGATGATTGGAAATCATGAAAGGTAGATGAGGTTGAGCAGGACGAAGGAGAAATACGAGCGAGTCCAGCATAAGAGGCTGGGCGTCATGACTGACGAACATATTCTCGAAGCGTGATGTAGTGGTATGCATGTTTGCGGTGGTACTATGTATCCTAGTCAAAGCGCTTTGACTTCCAGCAGCTGATAAAATCATGCCGATGACGACCTCCTTTGTTTTATGTCTGCTCCTCATCTCGTCCCATGCCCGTTATACGTCACCCCTTCAAGCAACGTCTCGACAAGTCTCAGCCTGTCCTCAACATCTCTACTCTCCCGTCTCCAAAACCTCAACATGTCCAACACCTTTTCCACAGCTAACCTCCACCGCTCCGGCATCAAGGTCGTCAATTTCTCCAACCTCGCCGCAGCAAGCAAGACGAACGCACTTCTCGTACAACTCCTCAACATCAACCACGTCCCGTGATGCCGATAGTAAAAACCCTGCTCATTCTTCTCGATCCTTTCAACACATACGGCCAACGCCTTTTGTATGAATGAGTCGAGCATGACTTTCGTGATGGTTGCACTTGCATTCCCAGAATCTTCAGGGTCCGGCGTGTCGTAATTCACGGCGACGACAATGAAAGGCCAGTACATCATCTCATAGCAATCGAGTAAATGTCCCTTCAGGATGAATTTGAGCGAGTGGTGCAATTCGCCTTCTTCGCCGACGGACGGGGAGTCCAGGTCGAGGGCTTGTGGGAGCGATCTCAACCAGTCTGCGGCTTGCTGTTCGAAACCCAGTGTCGAATCGGCCATGTCTGCCAATGAGTTCGCGGCTTTGATTTTGGTATCGTAGATATAATTTAGGATTCTGTTACCAAGGCGCCGAAGTGCGATCTCGGCAAGATAAAAGTACCAGACGATTTCTCGTTGAGACCGTAGACCATCAGGTGGCGAAGGGAAAAAGGCGGGATATGTCAGGTCCCATACCGATGTCTCAGACACATTTAATTCCAGACGAAGTTCACTAAGACTCGGATCAGAACGTACTTTGTCCCGAAATGCCAATGAGTGAGCACACTTACAGTTCAGACTTGAAGCACGTCCAATATATGCTCTCTCGTAGCCGCTGCTCGCCTTCATTTTCCGTATTGGGAGACTCCTTTTCGGTGTAGAATGCTTGACAGCAGGCAAGAGCCTGTACAAACATCTTCCAGGCCTCCATAGGACGCAATGTAGCCATGAGATAAACTCCGGCTAGGAAGAAGCATTGTGCTTCCAGAACACCTGTTCTGCAAAGTAAAGGGCCCATTCGCTTCTGTGCAGCCAAAAAGAACGATTCAGCTTGCTTGAATTGAGGCGTCGAACGGAATGATGCTGCGTCCGGCTGGTGCCCACCGTCGAAGGGACCAACAATAGACCCGTGGGCGTATATCAACAACTGGGGCAAAGTCAGGGTGTTCCAACCAATTTCAAGTCAGGGCTCTTACTAAGAGACAGGACTGCGCATCCCAGCCGATACCATTAAATCGTGCATCCCGCATGTACCGATGGATCTTTGCCTCCTCAAGAACGGGGTTGTAAATGAAAACATTGTTCATAAATCGTGCAACGAGGGTTTCCTCGCCAATCTGCTCGTCAATCTCGGTACCTACTGACAGATTCGGCAGTACATGACTAGTAGAATTGAGTAGACCTTTGAGATCTAAGTTCGGACTCAGATCGTCAAAGACAGACCAGGAAAGGACTCCCTCGATGTTCATGTGAAAAGGGGCTGTGCCCTTCGCTCTCTCCAGGCTGGGCGAATTCAAGGACTTCAGCCGGGACAATGTGCCTCGAGCATCACCGTCGGCGCTGCCTGGCGTGACAGTGGCCGACCTGCGTTCATTGGTGCTCTTCAGGAGCTCCTCGATGGTATTCAACTTGTCAAGAATGGCAAGACTGGCCGAATCGAAGCTACCCGGGGTTAGCTCAACTGTAGTCCACGAAGGACACATCCGGGCATACTTGCGTTGAATGGTCTCCTTCAGTGTAAGTACACTCCGCACCAATGGACAAACAAGAAGAACAAGCTGGACGTTCATTATTGCATTTCGTCCTTCTCACACGACATTTCTGGCATGCCTGTATTGCTCTTTTCCGCGGATAAGACGACTTTATCCGCGTAGCAGGCCGTTTTCGCGAATCAGTGGGACCATGCTGTCCCTCATGTGGCACCAGGGATCCGTCATCAGGTTTTGGCAAATGCCCTGTATGTAAAGTAGATGATTCATATGTTGGTTCAGTCGCGTGTAGAATATCTCGCAATGAGCTTTCCATGACCATCATATGCGGGCCGACATATCATTGCCGGGGTTAAGAGATGATCTGGGGAAAGGTATGGGGAGAGGTGGGTGAAGCTGAGAGCGGAATGCCGGGATTGATATGGGCCGTCGACGGAGTGCTGGCAATAATATCCTATGGATGACAGGATGACACCTTTTGGCAGCGGGAGGATGAGAATCAGACCAACAGAATGGTAGCGTTACTTGCGTTAGCGAGATGCAACAGTCTTCTAGAACGATTGTCAGTCGATCTTCGATGCAGGAAAATTCGATGCAGTCCCTGCAGACGAGATGGCGGTGAGGATGGCGACAGGCTCCCTTCGCGCCTTATCCCTCGGCTGAAGAGGAAGCCATGCTGCATTGGTATGCACACTTCCGGCGCCGCTTAGCCCTTATGGGCTACGAAGACTCACCTCCACCCACGTTTTCTCGGGATGGGGACAGGAAAGCAAGAGATCTTGCAAGGCGGGGTAGGATTCAGCTCCTTTCAGCGCCACTGCTACCCAACATCCCTTCCAAGTTACCTAATCATTCCTTGCGGAAGTCCGGATCAAAGCCATTTCTCGTTCTCAGGGCGGCAGGGAAACCCAATGTATTTGCAGCTGCATCCAGGTACACTGCAAGGTGATGAAATCAGGAATGATGCAGCTGACAAAGAGATATAAATGCTGCGTCGGCCTCGGTCGGTTTCATTTATTTGCAATGTGAATCACCTTCGGCTTTGACTACGGTCTTCAACATCGAAAGCCTGCAAACGATGGAGAAAGGGTGTCATATCCATGACCAGAGCAAGGCTGCGGACGCAGTCATCGAAAATGTCGCTCTTAAGGTGGAGCAAGCGCGACTTGCCGCCGAAGAAGAGCATCAACTCTCGGTATGGGAGGCTCTCACCAAGGACAAAGTAGTGGTCTTCTGGTGCATTTTCTTCGCCTTTAGTGCAGTAGGATGGTAAGCCTGGACAGAATGGGAAGGAACCGCGCCTAGTCACTGACCCTCTCCTACAGGGGTTTCGATGCTCAGGTCAATGGTGCCATGATCTCGGTGCCGCAATTCCGTCTCACCTTCGGGTATGTCGTTCACGTGGGACAGCTTGAATGCTCGCTGACGCAGCCAGATACATCTATGAAGGCCAACCTGTGCTTCCGGCAAGCTGGCAAAGTGGCTTCAACAGCATCTCAAGTGTCGGTCAATTCTTTGGAGGCTTTGCTTGTTCATGGGTCTCCGACCGTGTAGGACGAAAGAATTCCCTTCTGATCGGGCTGATCTTTGTCACCGCTGGCATATTTGGCGAGATCTTTTCAATCACAAGAGCGGCCTTTCTCATTGGCAAGCTGATCCTGGGCATTGGACTGGGATTTTACCTGACCATCGGCCCTCTCTACTGTTCGGAGGTAGCACCTGTGGTCCTTCGAGGCATGGTAACAGGCGGAGTGAATTTTGCCATTGTTATCGGTCAGCTGTTGTCCAACGCGGTCATCAAAGGCTTCGGAGACAGAAATGATCGATGGGCTTTCCGTGGACCTTTCGCGGTTCAATTTCTATTTGTTGGTAAGGTGAATTTGCTGCCTCCGAAGGAGACCTGTTGACTAATTACGATAGCCATTCTTCTTGTCGGACTCCCCTTGGCGCCAGAGTCACCATGGCATTATGTCCGTCGCGGCCGTATCGAGGATGCCAGACGCTCGCTCCAGCGTCTTCATGGCAAAGACACTGATGTCGGACCTAGACTTGCGATGATCATCAGAACTGTGGACTACGATATCGAGCTCTCTCAATCAGCAAGATGGGTCCAATGCTTCCAGGGGACAAACTTGATCCGGACAACAATCTCTGTGGGTGTCTTTGCGTGCCAACATCTCTCCGGTATTGTGTTCGTTCTCGGATTCTCGACCTATTTCTTCGAGCTAGCAGGGATACCCACCAGCCACGCTTTCGATCTCGGTGTCGGAGTTACGGCTTGCGGTGTGGTTGGCGTCGTTGTTTCGTGGATGGCCATCAACACTGTCGGCCGCAGGAAACTCTTCATTTGGGGAATGATTGGCATGACAATCGTGCTTGTGCTCATGGGTATCCTTGACGTCGTCCATACTTCGGCTGCCCGATGGGTGCAAGCCTCATGCACCGTTGTCTATGCGCTCATCTACCAAGCCACGATTGGTGTCCTTGCATTTGCTCTGCTTGGAGAGGTTTCGACACCAGCTCTCCGTGCGAAAACAATCGGACTCGCCACAGCTTGTCAGGCTGTGTTTGGCACCGTGATGAATATTGTTGTTCCGTACATGGTCAACCCAGATAAGGCGGATCTTAAGGGGAAGGTCGGCTTCATCTTTGGTGGTGCTTGCCTCCTTGGTACGATTTGGAGTTACTTCTACATTCCTGAGCTCAAAGGCCGCACTTTCCAGGAGATCGATTGCCTATTTCACCACAGGGTGCCGCCGAGAAAGATGGGCATGTGCAATCTTGAGGAAGTCGATGATGCGTTGTAATGACGGGGAAGATGCAGTGCATGTCGACGATCTCCTCGGATCGCCAGTTATTTGCAACAGGCCAGTGAATATACGTGACTTTGAACTGAGTATACTCAATTAAGCGTCCACTTCTCGCAGCTGATACTCAAACATGCTATTTGACGGCAAACTGTTCTTGTCGAGCATCTTCGTCGAAATGTCGATACCAGCCGCAGGGACGCGGTACTCAAATCTCTTCCCAGACGCTGCACTCTTGCCGTCAGGCAACGGGTAAGGAAATGGCAAGTATTCGGGCATTAGACCAAGCTGTATCAGCACTGACGCCTGATCCCACGCGATGTGCTCATGGTACAATCTGTCGCCACGAATGCAAACCACCGCCGTAAAAGGGACTTCCACCCTCCGTCCTGTCGGAGGAATGCCAGGAATCCTATGTCAAGTTAGTCACACTGAATTCTTCGCAGCGGTGTTAGTGTGTCTGAGGATAATAACTCACATCCAATCCATCTCCCTATCGTGCGTGAACTTGAATATAAATTCGTCCACCACGCGATCTATACCAATCGTGCGGCTGACGAGTTGCATCTCCGTGTCGTCTGGATTATTGTGAATGAAGTTATTTTGGTAGAACTTCGTCAGTCGCACGCGACCTATGCCGCCGGTCATCTGGGCGGAGTATCTCGTTAGTACGAAGTACCTATCTCGCTCTCAAGACAGTGCCGAAGGGTTGGGCATGGAAAGTAACAATGCTATATCGAAATGTTCGAGGGGCCAACATACTGTCGTGATATGGTTGACGTATGGTTCCTGGACCATCGTCCCCATCGTCTTTGCTGCAGATCGATCGGCAAATTCGAAGTACGTGTGTTCCTCCCAGATGGCTTCGAGGTCGAAGTCGGCTCCGCGGATGTACTTCTTCAGAAAGGTGAGATTTCGTGTGTGCGAGACTGATTCTTCCGTGCTGTCGAAGTCTGCTTGGCACGGGATGGCGAAGTTTGCCTTGGCTGTTGGGTAAGAGTACATTTTTATGTCATCGGTACTTTTCGGGATGGTGCCCTTACCGGCGAGGTGGTAGAGACATGGTATGGATGCTGCCGTTGGTAGCTTTTCTGTAGCATTGCCGTAGATGACAGCCGCTTTTATCCTTGAATCGAACGTGATGTCTTTGATGTCTTTGTCCCATAATGAAGCGTCGTAAACTAGACCCCGTAAGCATGCTGGACTGTCTGGTAGGCATGAGGGGCAAGACTTACCAACTAGTCCGACTCCGCTTCCGTCAGGGCAAGCCTTGCAGGACTCGAGGGCGGCAGCGGCTTTAGCAAAGGCTTCTTGCGCTGCAGCTGTAGCTTTGAATGCGCTCTCTCGAATCTCAACGACCGCAAAGCCTTCCTCTGCCCACTTCAAGATGGGCGGAGGGATGCCATCCTCGCACACGATGCCGCCTTGCGTGTATGTTGGTGCATCTTCGGGGAGGACGATAATGAGTCCGGGCCCATATCCTCTCCGCGAGAGCGGCAGTAGTAATGAACTATGGTGGTCGACAGTGACGAGATCGGCAGTAGGCAGCCTGACCGGATCTTCCATGACAGATGAGTCGCCCATATTGACGTACGATGTCTCCAGCCAGGCGTTGAAGTCGTGTCGAGCGTGTGGCAGAGGATAGTCAAGTTATTGTACAGAGTATTGAGTTCAAGCACTGTATCCGTTTACCTTCAAATTGTCTAATATCAGATGCAGTGACCAATGTACGTTTCCTACGGCTTGACGACATATAATATATATGATGACCACACTTCTTATCGATCGTGGTGCGTTATCCGACACTACGGGCCGCCACAGCATGTTAACTCGAGGCTCTACTAAACCCATTTCAGTCTAGCTTACGCCGACAAGGCCGAGGGTGTGGCTTCCAGTTCCGGTTAGACACTTTTCCTTATCGATAAGGTCGACAGGCTTGAAAAAAAGTTGCAGCGCTCCTCATCTGAAAACCTGTGGTTTCGTCCAATCTCACCGCTTCACCAGTCTCTGTTCTTTATACCAGCAACAATGGAGCCACACGCCGATAAATCCAAGAAGCGCAAGAGAAAGCATGCGAAGGCAACTGATGCAACTGCAGATACGCCGGTCGCTGCCTCCCCAATCGTGACTGAAAAAGTCCGTCCTTCTACAAAAGAACCACGAGAAAAAAGCAAGAAGAGGCGGAAAACATCACATAGCAGTGACGATGAGGATGAAGATACACTCAATGTGCCGGAGGAAGAAGCGGCCGACGATGCCGTCGACGAAGAGCTGGACAATCAGGATGCACCAGCCACCACTCAAACCGCTTCAGAAAACGATTCTCTAAGCCATGACGATGAAGCCGACGACGACACTGCCGGCCCCAAACTCGAAGAAATAGTAGATACAACGAACGGCACCCATCTACTCACAACGACAACAGACCTCCCCACCGAAAGTGCTCCCTCGCTTCCTGGCACTGACAGCCAACCCCAAAAGTTCACCGACCTCAAGCTCTCCGAACGCACCATGAAAGCCCTGGCCGAAATGAAATTCGAGAACATGACTGAGATCCAACGACGGGGCATCCCTCCGCTACTTGCAGGCCGGGACGTCCTGGGCGCCGCCAAAACCGGCTCCGGCAAGACTCTAGCCTTCCTCATCCCGGCCGTCGAAATGCTGCACGCCCTGCGCTTCAAGCCACGCAACGGCACCGGCGTGATCGTCGTCTCGCCCACACGAGAACTCGCGCTCCAAATCTTCGGTGTGGCAAGGGACCTAATGCAATTCCACAGCCAAACTTTCGGAATTGTCATCGGCGGCGCCAACCGCAGCGCCGAAGCCGATAAATTGACCAAGGGTGTCAATCTAATCATCGCCACCCCAGGCCGTCTCCTTGACCACCTCCAAAACACACCGGGGTTCGTGTACAAGAATGTCAAAGCCCTCGTGATCGATGAAGCAGATCGCATCCTCGAAGTCGGATTCGAAGACGAAATGCGAAAGATCGTCCAGATCCTGCCCAAAGAGAATCGCCAGACAATGCTCTTCTCCGCGACACAGACCACAAAAGTCGAGGATTTGGCCCGAATCTCCCTGAGGCCTGGACCACTGTATATCAACGTGGACCACAAGAAGGAGCACAGTACAGTCGAGGGTCTGGAGCAAGGCTACGTGATCTGCGAGAGCGACAAGCGCTTTTTGCTGTTGTTCAGCTTCCTCAAGCGCAATCTCAAGAAGAAAGTTATTGTGTTTATGTCAAGCTGCAATTGCGTGAAATACCACGCCGAACTGCTCAACTACATCGATTTGCCGGTCCTCGAGTTGCACGGAAACCTCAAACAGCAGAAACGCACGAACACGTTTTTCGAGTTCTGCAATGCGAAGGTCGGGACGATGGTGTGCACAGATGTCGCTGCCAGAGGACTCGATATTCCCGCTGTGGATTGGATCGTCCAGTTCGACCCGCCTGATGATCCGAGAGATTATATTCATCGTGTGGGACGGACGGCGAGAGGTGCCAACGGCAAAGGAAGGAGTCTGATGTTCTTGCAGCCCAGTGAAGTCGGGTTCTTGAGTCATCTCAAGGAGGCGAGGGTGCCGGTTGTGGAGTTCGATTTCCCGGCGAAGAAGTTGCTCAATATCCAGAGTCAACTGGAGAAATTGATCACGCAGAACTATTATTTGAACAAGGTATGTCCATGTCTGGTACTAGTCGTCGGAGTGACCCTGCTGACATATGCTTTACAGTCCGCAAAGGATGGGTACAGATCGTACCTGCAGGCCTACGCGTCTCACAGTCTACGTTCTGTGTTCGATGTGAACAAGCTTGATCTGGTCAAGGTGGCTAAGAGTTTTGGTTTCGCAACGCCACCGAGGGTAGATATTCAACTAGGAGCGAGCATGCAGCGAGACAAGAAACAAGGAGGACGAAGAAGTTATGGCAGCCAACCGAAGCAGAATGGGCATGGGAATAAGTTTAGGAGGTAGAATGACCGCAAGTAATTACTGTAGCGCCATTGTAAAGACTGCCTATCTATCAATGGGCATCCCTCAGCCCCTGAATAAAGTCTTTGGTCATCTGTCGGACTTCTTCCAGCCTTCTTTCAAGGCCGAATCCCCCCGTTGTATTTACACATAATGTGGCTGATGAACAACTCATCAGGCAGACTGCTTCATGATCTCAGTATTGCCGTCACATCAAAGTCCGAAACCTATGCCACCATAGTAGCCAACTGAGCGAAATTTGGCGTGCCCCAACCACTGACAGGATCCCATCCTGGACCTGCCGCCCAGGAAGCATTATCGATCTTCCCGGCTGGCTGACCAGTGTAGATGTCGACACCGCTGCAGCCACGCGAAGCTCCCAGAGTAATGTCAGTGAAGCCCTGATTGCCCGAAGTATATAGCCATGGGTTGAGAAAGCCTAGTCTCGGCATCCCCTGCTTGATTCGAAGGCTATTGAGGTTGCTTATGATGGCCGCAAAGGTCGGAGCCGCGCAGGAAGTGCCCCAGACGAAGTCCGGCTCGCCATCATTCCAGACCAAATATCTGACAGATTGAGCCGACACGTCCGGGTATGCTCTTCCACTGGTGTTGAAGTAGCCTTGGTTGGTGTCATCAATGCTATTGAGATACTCATAGATGGTGTTGTCCTGCCAGGAAGGCCGAGGAAAGTAATTTGAGAAGCCTCCCGATGTGAAATCTGCGGCTATTTCGGGATCGACACCGTACGTACCGCCGGCCGCTGTAACGAAGGGGCATGTCGCAGGGAAGGAGGGTGAGAATTGGAGTGTGTTCTTGCCATCATTGGATCGACAAGCGCTTCCTACTCCTGTATCACCGCTGGAGAAGATGATGGACACGCCACGAGCAGTGAGCTGGGCAAAGAGGTTGCAAACCTGTACGGCATAGTTGTCTGTCAGGCGTCAGTGACGGTTCGTACAGGTAACAGTACGTAGCGACATACATGGGACACTTTCTTCATCTTCACCGTAAGAGGTGGACAAGACACCCGGTAGTATCGAGTCATCAAGACCAATTAGGTATTGGAGCTGGTTCAAGTAAGGCTCGTTGGTTCCGTTGGCCGCCACAGGCTGATCGAGATCTGGGTCAATGGGCGCTTGTCCACCCGTCGAGTAATATGTTATAGGCGTGCCTCCAGTGAGGGCAGCAGCATATTGAACCTGCATGTATGAGTGGTTATCCAGATCAAAACCATGATCCAACTTACGTCAAGATTGCCCTCGGCACTGGTGTTGACGTTAAACTCCGAATTTGCAATACCTCCATTAATGCTGGTGATGTTGAGCGAGCCCATCAAGTAGGGGTTCAGGTTCGAGATAAACATATTCAAATCATCGACGTAGTACACCTGCCCATCGAACCCAGATATCCCAAGCATCGTATCGTTCGCGGAAGGAGTAAATTCGCTCATTTGGTAGAGGCCACGAATGCAGGCAGGGGTCACAGTGGTGTTACAAAAAGTCTCGTTGTATGTGGTCAATGTGGAGGAGGATATCTGCAAAGGCTGCTCGTCGTGATCCAACCTGATCTGAAGCTTTGGACTTCCGAAGCGAGTCGTGGGTTGGATTGTTTTCATCATGTCTCGCAGATTGGAAGGCACAGAGTACTGCAGTGTGCGGATCACTGTGGTCTCCTTTTGTCGATAGGAATAGAATCTGGTGCCCAAGATAGCATCGGCGGTTGAAACAGTTACGTTGAACGTGATCCAGTGTCCAGACACCTTGATGGTATCTCCGTCGACTCCTTTGCTCTTAAGCCATGCTATGATCTGATCACCAGCTCCGCTGGTTGGCTGCGTCCACACATCAACTTCGTCTTTAGTGAGATGATTGCCATATGAGGGATGAGCAGGGGTCGAGATGTTGTGGATAAGCTGATGGAAATCGGCTAGAAGTGGCTGATCCATGGCGAGTTGCAGGACTAAGACTTGGTTCTTTGCAGGCTCATCCATCTAAAGGAAAGTGTCAGCATCAGTACACTTTGCTCGTATCTGTGAGTCACGTACCTCCTGCATCCACCCCTTGGGGATACCAGGCAGGCTTTCCACGACTTCAGGTGCATCATGAAGCATGGACAGAACAATACCCAGGTACGTGCAGAGGAGCAGGAAGAGCTTGAATGAAACCATCTTTTCAGCACGGCAACCGCCCGGTAAGGTAGTGTTGTTGGCCCGGAGAATAAGGGAAGAGGAGGATTGAGACGCAATAGAGTGCATTAATTCAACGTGGAAATACGTTTGTTGAAAGGTCAAGTAATGTCGGGTACCTACCTGTAGTCACCACAGGATTTGTCACCTCCTGCCATGGGGCTGGGCATCAGATGAGCCCTACGACCTCATGCTGCAACATCTGCCTAGAACGTCAGCGGTAGTCGAACTTTGTGTACCGTGAATGAAAGACCAGAAGCGGTTGAGAAAACGTCTTGAAGGCTATTTTTTCGTAAAGCATAAGGCCCAGGTGCTTGATACTGCCACAGAATACCTACTAAAGCCAAAAGCTGTATTTTGTTTCATCATACTCCCAATAGAGCCTGAACAATCCGGAAGCTTCCAGTCGGCCGAGCGTCCGTGTCTATCGTCGCATCAGATCCGAACCGGCCTGCAATTCGTGTTCGAGGTCGTTGCCGACAAATTGACCCGCTTCCTGTGGTCTAGGGTCGTCGCGGCTACTAGTCCATTGAGCTGGATTCTCCGGGATCGGGACATTAATGCTCGAGGACGAGGTTTGAGAAGGTTGATGACGGACGTGCTGTCGGAATCTCATAACTTCATCCAGGATCATCTTTCTCATCTCTTGAACATCTTCAACAACCTCGAATGCGAAATCAAACGTCTTAGGACATGGGGGCTCGTCTGATGCATCATGCCAGATATGGAGGTATCTGTGCTCCAGCGCCTCTTCCACCGAGATACGCGAGGAGGGATCGAATGCCAGCATCCGATCCAAGAGATCCAGAGCATCGGGATTCGCCTGCGGAAAGAGCCTCTGGAAGGGGACTTTGGGCATGTAAGGGAGGTTTCGAACGTATTCTTGAGCACGGGGCGATCCAATTCGTGAGAGAGTCTCCTCGTTTGGTGTACCCAGGTAATGCAGGATCTGGTTGAGCTGGTCGACGTAGTCGCGACCCTTAAAGAACGGCCGTCCACCCAGCAGCTCAGCCAGAATACATCCGACGGACCAGACGTCGACTAAAGCCGTGTTAGCAGGATTTTACCCACCAAGTATAGTGTCCAACGTACTGGCTTTGGTGTAGCTCTGGAAGCTGAGCATGATCTCAGGAGCACGGTACCATCTCGTGGCAACGTATTCTGTCATGTATCCAGCATTCTCCTCCGGATCTTGAGAGAACCCTCTTGCCAAACCAAAATCGCAGATCTTGAGCTCGCAGTCGGCGTTGACGAGTAGGTTTCCTGGCTTCAGATCTCTGTGCAAGACGTTCGCAGAGTGGATGTACTTGAGACCGCATAGGATCTGATAGATGAAGGATTGGAAGTGGGCGTCGGTGAGTGGTTGGCCTGAACGGATGATAGCCGCCAGATCACACTCCATCAACTCTGTCCAATGTCAGTCGCAAGACCAGCGCAACCCGGAACAGCTATACCTTCGTAGAGATAGGTCTCATTGAAGTTGTCCGGCCGAGGGATATCCATGTCGTACAGGCAGGTGATCTATAGCCAATATTTTAGCATTTGAACAGGACATGTCGGGCGCCGAACCCACATTTCTATGACCACGGAAGTGCTGGAGGAGCTTGATCTCACGCAAGGCTCTCTTTGCGAGGATCTTCTTGCTGAAGACATTGGTGACCTTCTTGATGGCAACGCCCTCGCCAGTCTGGCCGTTAGTCGCAGCGCTTATCCCTTGTCAGCTCAATGCTCAAGCTCCTCCACTCGACATACGTACCAGACAATACCATACGCACCCTGTCCCAGCTCTTTCGTCACAGTGTATCTCTCATCGACAGCGAAGTCTTGGTTGAACACCTTGAACACCTTGCGCCCGGACAAATCGCCCATGATTGCGGCTTAGGAGTACTTGAGTTGGGTATAGCAGGTGACGACGCGCGCGTCTATGGGGTGGACGAGGTCGAGGACGAGAGAGGAGCTTGGGTCTGAGAGGACAAAGCCGACAGGCTCGAGGGTTATATGACAAGAGGATGCTTTCTGGCAATGTGGACTGTGCGGCTGAGGATAGAGTTGGCTGGTGCTGACGCCCGGTACGACTCTGTTACGGCGAGAGACCACAATCAGCCTTGGAAGGTGGGGGCTGAATTGGTATGCTGGTGTAAGATGTAGCCAGTAAGCGTGTCTTTTGGCAAGAAAGTGTCTGAGACAAGATAGAATAGCCGTAGATGGAGTACGTTGCAGTAGGCGCTGGATTGTTTGACAATCTTGCCTGTCGGGCGCTTCGCAAGAGCAGGTGCTATTGACAGCAGCGGTGGGAAGGCTGCGCAGCCTAGACAGGGGGCCCTAGCCCTGTCGCGAGGGAAGGGGAATGCCAGCAAACACGCCAAGCAGAAGTACAGGTCAAGGTATCTGGTCTGGGGATGCCCGGTGCACGTGCCTGAAGCGGACCTAAGATAAGTCTATTTGCAGGGCTATTTTGGAGCTATTGGAATGGATCATCCCATATATTGATGAAGCCACATCCCTGTCAAAATTTTAGTAAGGCTGCCAACAGTCAACGACTACCAATTGAACCTGCCTATCATACAACATACCTTTCATTGCTATCTGTTGCATTAGCAAACTCAGTGTACAGTCTACAGTATTCTGGCGCTGTGGTCGTCATGTTGTGCTGAGACCCAAAAGAACTTACTAACGTGTGAATGGTCGGCATGGAAGAACTACTGGCCAAGCAGCGGAAAGAAAAGCGTGATCTACAGGGTCGAATCAGGCAGAAGAAGAAGAATGCCACCAAAAAGACGAGAAAAGGTGTCAACGATGAATGTGAGATTCTAGAAAGAGAACTAGCAGAAAAGCATCAAGCCGAAACCGCGGTACTAGACGGAGAAAGCCCAAATCAAATTGAGTCCGGTGTAGATGGCCTGACCCTCGAGGAGCCTGTTGACGGAGGTGATCACGAAACAACGACCGGAGCCAACCAGACGAAGGCAGAGGAGTCCGATGCACAATCACTTGCTGATCAGCCACAATCAAAGAAACCAAACCGACAAAAAGCAAGATTGGCTCGAAGAGCCGCCGAACAAGAAGCTCAAGCAGCTGCTGCGGCATTGGAGGCCGAAAATCTACCTGATCGTCGAGAGCAAGAAGTGTCTGCAATGAAACAGCAGATGGAGAGTCGAGGTTTGACGGAGACTATGATCCGTCCGGATGGCCATTGTCTCTTTTCTGCGTGTGCGCACAGTATGTCTCCCGACCAAGTCTCGAAATCCGGACCAAAAAAGGCACCATATGAGAATGTGAGGTTCGCGGCTGCTGAGTTCATGGCTACTCATTCAGATGATTTCGAAGCTTTCATGGAGGAGCCCCTCGATTCCTATGTCAAGAAAATCAGAGACACGGCAGAATGGGGAGGTCAGCTTGAGTTACAGGCAATTGCACGATCATATCATATCGACGTTAACGTGCTCCAAGCTGATGGAAGGGTGGAAAAGATCAGCTCCGGATCAGACAAGACAGGAGAGTCAGATGATATCTGGCTTGCCTATTATCGCCACAGTTTCGGCCTGGGAGAGCACTACAATGCATTGAAGAAAGTGGACAAGACTTGAAAACAGTACAAGGATGACCATGAAGCGATGGCGAACTTTTTACAACATATCATTCAAGACACCAACTTAACGGTGGCGCCAAACAGAAATCCAATCTTGGACTTTACCCTCGGCGTCTTTACCGACCTTGTGTGTGTCAGCGGGCTGCCAGTGACCAACCCTCTCTAGGGCTCCAGGACTCGAAGGTGCGAGTGGATTCATCCTGACGTTGGCCTCTGCATCGTATTTGACTTCCTCTCCAGGATGACTCAGATGCTCGAGGTATGCTTTGGGCGGAGATGCAAACGGCGGTCCCCCGGCTGTGCCAGGCTTGTTTGTGGGAAACTCTAGACAAATGAGATTGGCTTGAGGGTCAGGTCGGAGGAGCTCAGACATCCTCTTCGCCCATGCAGGTCTCATGGGGAGTTGCATAGCGCAGAAGAACTAGGTGCAATGTGAGCAATGGCCAATCGCAAAATGGACAACTCTGGCAGGATAAAGCACTCACAGTGTAGTCGTAAATCAGGTCGAACTTTGCATCTTTGCCAAAGCCGGCGCTCTCCAGCCAGTCGTCCGTGTAGAAATCACCGTGAACGAAGCGAGCATTGCCCTTTCCGATCTTCTCGTCTCGGACCGGATAGTCCCCAGAATGTTCTTTCTCATACTCTTCGCATGCCTTGAGGGCATCTGCGGCGTATTCGAGCCCCACAGCATCGTACCCAAAGCTCTGCAGCAACATCACATCGACCCCTCGGCCGCAGCCAGCGACTAATGCGCGCTTCCGTCGTGTCTGGCCGCCTTCTTCGACCATGGCATGCCCAATGAGGTCCGCGTAGTTGATCAGGGTGTCTGCCAGTGCTGGAGACGAAGTCCCGCGGTCCCAAGGCAGAAAATCACCTTTAGCCCACAGGTCTGCCCAGCCTTCTGCATACTTTTGTCCTTGGAAGCTGCTGAAGTGTTGCTTGAGGGCGGCACGCGCTTCCTCCACAGGGAGGTCACGACCCGGTTGGCCACCAGACATTATCAGCGTGTGTGAGATCAAAGGCTTGCTGATAGTAGCTAGAGGCTGTTTCCGGATCTTCAGGTGTGCGGGACTCTGGACTCCACGATAAGGGAATATTCCTTTCGCAACGTCCTTTGCGGTCGGTGCACGACTACTCTGCGAGGCCTCCAGGCGAGTATGGAATGGTATGTATTTAGGCCGCCAGCAGAGTTTTCGCATCAGAGAGTAACTTCGAGTTAGTCACAGTCCCAGCCAATTAACTTTTGATATGAAGGTGAATTGCGAATCACTGGACGATTGCTATACCGACTATACAATTTTGTAGAAGAGGTCTTTGTTCTAGATATTCAGACCCCACAAGATGTGCAAGGATCCAGATGTTTCCATCGTCAAGATCGAAACTCAGGCCCGTTGATTGGTTCATCGTGCGTAATGCTTAGGATGACCACATCAACTCGATACTGTTCACGACTGACTGTTTACTCATATTCAAGATTCGATCTTTGCGATTGATATCCTGTCGAATGCTCCTCTCCGAGTAGGATCATGTCGGCGCATCGCATCGGAATCAAGCCCGGCCTCCGTCTACGGAAATCTGCGCAATGCTACAATTCCATTGGCGCCCATAGCACTTCTCCCTGCAGCGCTCATCACCGGCGGCCCGCGCATGCATATTCTCGCATGTTTTGACAGGTTATCGACTGATGTCCGGGAGAACTGCCTCCATCGAAAAAGGTCGATCTACACGACGGTAGGACACCGATGTATTCAACATCTCAAAGGGCCATGTCGTGCAGGTGATGAGCCGAGGCGAAAGGCGTGCGCGACCGGTACAGTCGTTCCTGCACGACCAAGGATTGCGGGGTTTGCGGCAAAGACGGCACAACAATTGCATCTACGGACTCTACTTTAGCATCTCCCCACTACTGCCGCAACCATGTCATTGGTGGTATTGAACCGTGCAGAGAAATATGAGCAGTGTCCGTCTATGGCGACAATGGGTTTCGACGCCCTTCAGCTTCACCGCTGCCGGCATCCTTGCCTCCTCACGCACTGTGCCGACTCGACTACATATCACATCACGTCCGGTCGTGAAGAATCTGACAACTGCAGCGACATGCAGCTGACCGTGCCATTGTCTGAAATCTCTTGTTGACTTCTTACTCCCACGCCTGGGCGCATTATACATCCTGTTTCGAGGAAGAGTCGAGTACATAAGAGGGAGTGATGACTGGGATAGCAGACCTTCGATCTCCTCCCCGTGCCCCAACTTACCTTTCGAACCTTCAACATGACGTCCGATAACCTTGAGAAGGATCCTCCTTCACCAGAGACTGTCCGCGGCATGGCCTCCGCGGAAGACTTGGGCAAGATATCGGAGAAGGAATATGGAAATCCAGCAGAGAGTCGATCGATGCATTCGGTCACTCGATCTATTGTTCAGTCGGATCAATCCACCATTGGAGACGACCATAGCGTCGATATTGAGGTTGCAGATGATGTATTACAAAGAACAATAACGCCCAAGAAGCCGCTCGTCAAAGTATCTCGATCAGCAAGGCGTGGACTCTTCTCGCGGTTTGCTCTGGTGGCCGAGGTGACTGATCCATATGACTACAAGGATTCCACAAAATGGTTCATCACTTTCGTCGTGGCAGTCGCTGCGGCTGCTGCTCCGATTGGGAGTGCCATTATATTGCGTGTGTAAACCCTATGATGTTGATATACCAAATCGGCGCTAACAATGCTTCAGCAACACTTGAGGATGTGGCTCATGAACTTCATTCCACTCCGACGATAACAAATTTGGCCGTCGCCCTTTACATGTTGAGTATGGCGATCTTCCCTCTTTGGTGGTCCGCCTTCTCAGAAGTTTCTGGTCGACGATCTGTATATATCGTTTCATTTGCGCTTTTCATTCTATTTGCCGTACTGAGCGCTGTTTCGAAGTCCATTGGTATGCTTATTGCCATGCGTTTGCTCTCTGGTGGTGCCGCGGCCTCTGTTCAAGCAGTGGGAGCAGGAACGATTGCCGATGTTTGGGAATCGAGAGAAAGAGGAAGGGCAATGGGGATCTTCTACCTCGGTCCACTCTGTGGTCCCCTCTTTGCACCCATACTGGGTGGTGTGCTTGGGCAGCATTGGGACTGGAGGGCCACTCAATGGGCCACTGTCATTTACGGAGGTAAGCAAGGATACCCGTTTCGGTCAGAGACATGCTCATGAGACAATACAGTGTTAACGTGGCTGCTGGTATTCTTCGCCCTGCCCGAAACCCTCGAAGCAACGAAAGACGTGGTTGCAGATGCGGCCACGGACGCAGCAGCATCAGGGAGTGGCAGCACCCGGCCTCCCTTGAGTCGAAGCTCGACCCGAGAAGTCGTACAACAAAACTCCAAAAAGTACCTGAAGGTGGCCAAGATGATGCTGGTTGATCCCTTGAGGGTCATCCTGTTCCTCCGCTTCAAGCCAGTTCTACTCACCGTTTACTATTCAGCCATCACCTTTGGCTCGCTATATGTTCTCAACATTAGTGTCCAGTACACATTCGAACGACAGCCGTACCACTTTCCTACCGTCATTATAGGGTTGCTGTATATTCCCAATTCCATTGGATATATTTCTGCAAGCCTACTTGGGGGCAGGTGGATGGATTCGATCATGAAGCGAGAGGCGCTCAAGGCAAAACGGATTGACGAACACGGCAAATTGATCTTTCGACCCGAAGATCGTATGCGAGAAAACGCGTGGCTCGGCGCCTTCATCTACCCAGTCGCCCTGATGTGGTATGGGTGGTCGGCGGACAAGGGGGTATTTTGGCTCTGTCCGGTAAGTGTCATTACTGGGTGTTGGTGGCATCCTTGACGGAGTTCTAACAGTGGCGCAGATGATTGCCAACTTCTTCTACGGGGTGGGTTCGATGCTCATTTTTGCCATGTCAACGACCATGTTGACGGAATTCATGCCACGACGATCTTCGTCAGGAGTGGCGCTGAACAATTTCTGTCGAAACATCTTGTCATGTATTGGCGCGTTTGTCGGGGCACCTTTGATCGGAGCCATTGGAAATGGCTGGCTCTTTACAATTCTAGGAATATGGACGCTTTCAGGTGCCATGGTCATTTGGGCGATGAAAAAATACGCGTCACAATGGCGCGAAAAGATGGACAAGGAGGATGATTGATGGATGTCTTTACGCATTATGATAGATGATGGACAGCAAAAGAACATGGTACCCTTTTTACCTCTTGGAATCCTTGAGATATACCACTCTTGTACGCGTAGACTTCGAGGTCAACAAAGCTAGCAGAGGTCATTCTCGGCATGTACTCATACTATGGTTAGACGGCATCTTCAGACCTGTGCAGCGATAGTACTCCGTAAGGGCACCACCACTGGCACTCTCCAAAGCGGCGCTTGACAGCTACCTGTAGATTTAATCCGACCTGGGTTCTCTGAGGGGCTAAACCCAAACTGGCACTTTTGTTCGATTGGCCAGCTGGCGACGTCTTTTCACGCCTTGATTCTTATCGCGAGCGCTATCATTGATGCACCAATCTTGAAGGAGCGAATTGAATTGTCTACAACTAGGCATGAGGTCACGGCTAAAGACCGTTGACCAAGGACAAGCTCTATGGAACTGCAGGTAGGACTTTTGCTCGATTGGATGGGGTTTCTTACCCCTTTCCGGGCCTGGCCTTTTATGAGACCTGGCCACTCATTTCCAGCCACCATTGACTAAGAGTGACCATACGAACAAGCTGATGGTGTATAAATCAACTCTACCAGCTTGTCGAGCCAAAAGCAAGGCTAAGCCATCTTACATCACAGAATTACTGTAAGAAAGCTTCCACGGCCAGCCATGTCGACAACGACAGTCACTCAAACCAGCACGAAAATGACTGCAAAGACTGCTCTCCCATCAGATTGGTACCGGACGCCTGCTCTCTATGAACTCGAGAGACGCGCCATTTTTTCCAAAGAATGGCTATTGATCACGCACAAATGCCGATTCGAGAAGCCAGGAGACTATCACCAATTTGAGCTTGCCGGGTTCCCGTTCTTTCTCATCATGGATCGTCAACAGACCATCCGTGGCTTCCACAATGTCTGCCGACACCGCGCGTATCCAGTCATTCGCCCTGACGCCCCGAAATCTGGAACCAAGAGCATCCTCTCGTGCTACTATCACGGTATGTTACATCAACCCTCTCTTGAAAGCGTTTGAAAGCAAGCCTGATCAGTACAAGGGTGGTCATATGGTTTGAACGGGAAACTCGCAAAGGCTCCCAAGTTCGACACTGTCGAAGGGTTCGACAAAGAACAGAATGGTCTTTTCCCGGTTCACGTTCATATCGATGATCGAGGAATCATCTGGGTCAACTTGGAGGTGTCGGAGACACCCAGTGTTCCGTGGGAGGCGCGCCTCGAAGGCAGTGATAAACGTCCTCGCCTAGCACCTTTCAAGATGGATGATTACGTCTACGATCACACCTGGACCTTTGAGAGCAACTACAACTGGAAGGCCGCCGCCGACAATTATAACGAGGTAAGATCATCGCTGGCACTGCTAATGAGACGCAGATTCAGCTTACATGTGATATCTCTAGTGCTACCACTGTCCAACCACCCATCCCCTTTTCGTCGAGACCTCAAATCTGGAGAAGTATAGAAGTGAGTTGAAGGGAGGAGAATTGCTTTATTTTCTTGAGGACTTGCCAGGGAAAAGCATAGGCAAATATGCACCAAGCTGGTTCTATCCTAACGCGTCCTTGAATCTTGCGTACGTGCATGACCCCTGTTCTCCTGGAAGATCATGGTATTCGTTCACGAGACTAACGCATCACAGGGAGCCTTTCTGGTATCTTATGCGTTCAATTCCCACAGGTCCCACCACGGTAAGAAACGAGTACGAAGTTTATCGCCACAAGAATGCCACGGATGGAGAGTTCGAAGAGATGGACAAGTTCTTTAAACAGGTCGAACGCGAAGACAAAGAACTGTGTGTTGCGGCGCAGGTCAATCTCACCGCTGGCACGTACTCGGCAGGCCAATTACATCCGCACAGGGAAGATGGAGTTGTATACTTCCAGAACCTAGTCAGAGAAACCGTCAAGGCACATCGTGAGAAGGAAAAGAAATCTGGAACGGAAATATGGCCTACCAGAGCGTCGACAGCATCGCAGAACGATGACGTTGAATTCTGTCGAGATCTCGCAGGGTGTGCCACAGCCAAAGAATTAGGCGACTGGTGATTGCGGTCTGACCAGAAAGGAGAGTCGACCCTTATCTCCGAAATCATGAACATGTACCATGTAGACTCTGCCATCTTAACCTCTTTTCCAGAAACCTACGTCGGGCTTACCCCTGGCCAAATATTCCCAGCACGTGACTATGCATCACATGACCATATTTGTTAGGGCCTTATCACGTACTAGTACCGACCTTGAGTGCCAGACCTCACTTTCCCCATTACTCCTTCCCTCCTCCACTTCTGTCTTCCCTACTTCAAAGACAGCCTCATCAATCATACATAGTCCACGTGTTACAGCATGCGCTCCCGGCAACTGGGACTCATTGTCGCTCCTCCTCCTCTTCTTCTTGTCGCCTTCTAATCTGTCGCTTCACTTGCGAAACCTTCTGTCTAGAGAGCCAGCTTTACACCTCTCGGTCCTCTCATGATCACTCAGGATCCCACCCATGTTGCCTGCATCTTCGTGGGCTTGCCCTCCACATGGAGTAGCTACTTCTAGAGCAGAGGTTAAGGCACTGTCTGATGCCAGAAACGAAGCGGTTGCTATGGCGGCCTATTCCACGAAGAAATTCGCGAGGTATGCTTTCGTACAATTCATGTAGCTCGCACACTGTCTAACCACGTCTCGTAGCCGGCTGCGCTACATGCAAGGCTCGTCGAATCAAATGCGATGCTAGCGTTCCGGGATGTCTCAATTGCTCGAGACGAAGTTTCACTTGTCCTGGGTACACAAGGGTCCTACAATGGAAAGAAAAACACCAGGTCGCCCAATCGGCCTCCTTCGTGAACGACCCTGATCCCAACATACCTGCCGAAACGTTAAAACCCGACGCAAGGATCAAAGGGAAAGTAGGGGCCTCGCGTGATGATTCTCAACTTGACAATGAATACCAGCACTGTTCTCTCGGAACGCAATATCGTGCTATTCCACCGCTGTCCACGAACAACGACCCCTTCTCATCGCCAATCTTGCAAAAGCAACCTTCACCGCCCGCTACCCCACGCGACGAAGCCTTGGTTGTGAGAAACGCGACTACGACCATAGCAACCCTTCGGCCTTCTCACCTACGCTCGTTGAATGATAGGACTGTGCTTCTCATGGCACATTATTTTCGCAAGATTTGCGTCATCAACTCCTGCTTCGATTCGTTCGCCAATCCATTTCGGACGGAGATTCCGGGTCTTATGGCTACGTCGCGTCTTGTACAATGCTGCATACTGAGTATGTCGGCTGCACATCTCCGCAGTGCCCGTCCGGAGTGGTCGTTTGACAGCTTAGAGTATCTAACAGCAGCTGTGTCCGAATTGATGACGGAAGTCAATGCCGTGTCCTCTGACTCTTCTCTATCGACCTACGTTGATCAAAGGTTAGATAATGCCCTTCTCGGTGCAATCATGTTAGGCATGACCACTTCGTGGCACCCTTCCTCGGGCCTAGGCCTAGAGCACATTGCTGGCTCTCGCGCTTTATTCCGCACCTGGATCAGACACAATTTTGGAAGCGGACGAAAAGATGATGAAAATCTGTCTCGGTTGAGTCTCTATCTGGGGCTGCATGCGTATTGGGAGGCCATGGCTTCCTTCTTGATAGATCAAGATCCTGGCCAGCTCGATTACCTGCAAGTTGCCTTCACAATACCTCCGACGCAAGTTGCTCGCATCCATCCGTGGACTGGGGTCAGCGCCATCCCATGGGTGTATTTAGCGAAGGTGGGATGCATGGTGCGCTTGAAGAGAAATCTGGCAAATTGTGGTGTCCGTGGTCGATGGGAAAGTTCCATCATCGGCGCCACCGTATCTTCCTTGGGGAAGCTCGAGGAGGACGCGTGGAAGCTTGCTGGACAAATTATGACCTACAGCGTCCCCAGCGATGAACAAATCGAAGATACATTCGACACGAACACCACGAAATCTCATCTGAAGAATCTAGCACGTTGTTGTCAGCTAGCAGCGTTGCTAGAGCTTCAGAGATCATTTGATGCCGTTCACGAGCAGCAAGCAGTCTTGGATTGGATCAGTCATGCAGACGCAGCAGAGGCGCAGAAGAACGCGTCTCTATTGTACACAGACACGATACGAGAGCTCTCGTTGCGTATATTGCAACTTCTGTCAGATGTCCCGACGAACTCGGGCACGCAGGCTCTACATCACCTTCCGCTCTTGATAGCAGGAAGTGTGCTACTACCACATATCATGAAACAGTCCCCAAGGACACTTCTGCAGAAATCGATTGCCGAGCGCAGAGATATCAATGAGGATGCAACTGTTTCTACTATCGACTTCTGGCGCAACTTCGTGATGGGTCGACTCACCTCTCTTCAGCGAGCGGTCAACCTGAACGGACATCGAAAGATCCGGCTTCTTCTCCAGGAGATTTGGGCAAGAGGTGACGCTTTGATTTGGCACCCCCAAGCGTTGTCTGCAGGGTATCTTCACTGGGTAGACGTCATGGAAGAGAAGGACCTGCAATTTTTCTTTTAACAATGATACGAAATACTTCCCGTGGGATTAAGAGTCCAACTTCCTCCGAACACCATGTTTACCCCGCGGAACGTTTCATGATCATCCTCTCTGACAGAAGCTTGATTTGCTCGCTGACAGGGAAAAGGAGTCTCGCCTTCAATACCCGGACGGAATGTCCAATGGGAAATGAGGCAGCCACTCACAGGTTGGGTAAGCAAAGGAGACCATAGAGATGATGCCAAGTCGTTAAGGAGCATCTCGGCTAAAAGGCTTTGGCGGCCACGGCCCGGACCATTTCTCGCTTCAAGCTCGAGTCAACTTCAACAACCACTCATCATCAATTTTCGTTGCTGAGAACTTCATCACATGTCAGTCTCATCATCCGTGGCTGGCATGCATGGGTTGCATCGATCCACTGACCATGGACAAGGGTGCTGCATCGGTCTACGCAGCCTACGCTGTTACAATGAACACCTCCACGTCTTGCAACGAACTCGTCCCAACTGATCAAGTCTGGTACCTGAACGTTGGCAAATGAAATTCGAACTGGCTTGGTGGTTCCACAAGCCAAACCTGCATTCGCATCAATTTCTTGCAAAATCCTCATCACACAACCAGTTCTGTCCTGTTGGGCAGCAATTCCAAGTATCACCCTCCGTCAGCCACGCGGTCCAATCAGCAATGCACTTATGCACCTTTCGGCCACTCATGGACATCGAGGCTGCATATTTCCAGTCACTATTGCAGTTGTCGGACTTCGACTCAGTTTCTACCTCTCTATGGTCACGCTATCGCTGCTTGCTTCTGCAATAACAATCCGTCTGTATATGCGGCCAAAAATGTGCTCTTGTTATCATGGCGGTGGTCCAATTGCAAAATTACTCATTTCTTCATTGGACGAAGCTCGTGGGATCGACGAAGACATGCTTCTGAGAAGGGCAGCCACGTTTCCGTCCCAAGATCTCGTCGTACCCGACCATCAGCAGCTTCCCTCTGCTGATGGACATCTTTCGGCCATTCCTGTTCATTCTACCTACGTCTGTGTCCATTCTACCTGTCATGACTTGTCTCATGCCTAAAACCAGTGCTCCGGTCAGCTATCATCACGTCATGCCCTGCACTCCGATTCATCCATCTCCCTTGTGATCTTCGCCCAAAGGTGTGACAAGAAGTACCCGAGAGTCTGGCCACCCGTCAAGTTTGACCTGCAGGTGCCCGTTCTTGCCATGGGCAGTCACAGGAGGAGGAAGAGAAATAAGGATAAGAGTCAATTACTTCACAACCCTTGGGTTGATGAGTCCAACTCAACTGAAAATGGCTCAACAGCCGTTCCAATACCAGTATGCACAGCTTCCTGTGTTCCAATGGAGAACTTTTGACCGACAAACCCTCACATTTTCTTCTCATCCTATCATACCACCTGAGCGGATGTACCCCAGCAATCCATATGCTGACAATCCCTTCAAGAACGAAGGACTTCCGCTACCAGAACATAACAATAAAGCAATATCAGAAGTAGTGCAGGAATCGTCGCCGCCGGACATGGAAGGTGGGTCGCGACTCGCAGTACAGGTGTCGAGCTCCTCTGACCTTGCTTTAGTGGTTGGTGAAGACAGTGCGGAAGATTATGACGATGCTAAGAGCACATCTACTGCAGATGCAGTTGTCGATGATCCGATAATACTGGACGAATCAAAAGCTGAACCTGAGGGTACGCAAAACACTGGTAGATGCGCACTTGCCCTGGTTGATCGACCTTGTACAGAGTCAGAGACATCTCTTGAGCCTGCGGCTAACGATGAGCTTTCGCAAGAAGAGAAAGGGGCCGAATTTGCCAGCGCCGACGGCAATGAAGGCAATGATCACCCTCAGGATGATGGTCCCAACGACGGAGTAGACGGACCACACGAAGATTCAGCTGACTCAGCTGCTCAAGCAGGAGGAAGCAGTGCAGAGGAGGTGCCCGAAACTGAAGAGCCTCCTGCTGTGGAGGCTGCCAGCGACGACAAACCCTCAGAGCCAGAGACAGTGGTGGAGATAGTCGAAAAGATGCAGGAGGCCGACGCTCCGCCAGAAGAGATCACTGAGGTTCTAGAGCAGGCAATGTCGGAAGTTGACGCAAGGTCTGACGACGAGGAACCTGGAAAGGGGGACAATGATACCACTGAAGTGGCAGTAGGGGAAGCGCCTGAAGACACAACTGAAGAGAAGCAGGGAGAATCAAGCGAGTCTGAGCCTGGCGGTGAGCAGAAAGAAAAGCCTGACGAGAAAGCAGAAGTCTCGGTATTGGATGAACCTCCAGCAGAAGACGCCGCCGCAGCCGCCCCTGTAGCAACAGACGAAAACTCACCTGCACAGGAAGATGAAGTGGCGGAAGACGGCCCTACCGAAGCGCCGGTGGCGACTGGTGCTCCCGAGAAGGAAGACGAGGGTCAAAGTAAAGAGGATCAGATGCGCGACACTCCAGACGCGTCAGCACTCGAGGGAATTGCGGATGCTAAGGAGGAACATCCAGCCATTGAGGAGCCTGTAGAAGAGCCTGCCGTAGGTGACAAGCCTTCCGATGATCATGCTGAGGATGCCTCGGCCGACGCACCATCAGCAGAAAATACAGAGCCTGCCACTGGGGATCAGCCCGAAGGCAATGTCGGCTCCTCTCCAGAAGTGGCTACCAGTGACGAGTCGCGGGCGATCGACGAGAACCCGGCAAGCAGTGGAGATCCTATTCCTGCAAAGGACGATGATACCGAGGCCGCACCAGCAGAGGTTCAGGAAGATTCAGCCGCACCCGAAGACGAAGACAAAGCTATCGAACCTGGTGACAGTGCCGATGCAGCATCTGATGATACTACCAGAGTGGAGCCCTCAGCTCCAACTGAGGATAAAGAGCCGCCAGATAAAGAAACGGCACCTGAAGACCCCGTTCCAGATGCTGACTCCGCTGATCCACCAGCTGAAGAATCTCCCTCTACAGATACTTCACCTGAGGAACCCGCCGCGGAGGAGCCGGCTACAGAGCCACCTCCTGCGAAAGAAGAATCCTCAAGTGAGGAGGCCGCACCTAGAGAGGACGCGCTACCTACTGAGGACGATTCTGGTGCCAAGCATGAAGCTTCTGCTGAAGACACACCCATAGAAGACAGTACTCCGGCCGAGGATGCCGCTCCAAGTGACGATATCAATGCGGAACCGCCCGCCACTGAGGAAGCTGGCTCGCTTGAGGAACCAGCTGAAGATGGAGTGGATGAAGAGCCCCCCAATGATGACGCTCCGGACGAAGGCGCAACTCCTGACGAAGCGCCTACCACGGACATACCTGCCGAAGAAGCAGCCGCAGAGGGGGCCCCTGTTGAGGAGGCTGTCGACCAAGTAGTAGAACCCGCGGAAGCGTCAGAGGAAAAGGATGCAGAAGAACGTCCTACAGCAGAGGACACAGCAACAGAGGGCGCGCCAGCAGAGGCACCACCGCAAGACGAAGCGGCAGCGGAGCCCATCCCAGAAGATGCAAACGCTGAAGAACCACCAGCAGACGACGCACCCGTTGAGGAAGCCCCTCCTGCGAAACCTGCAGTAGACGGAGAAGAGGCTATTGCTGAAGATGTTGTTGCCGAAGAGGCTATTGCTGAGGATGCCATGGAAGAAGGGGCTGCAGCTACCCTTGCTGCTACAGCCGCTGGGTCTGCTTCGTCTACTTCTAACAAAGGACACAGAGAAATACGGAGACGACGACGATATAGTACGCAGGAAATTGACTTGCACGGACATAAAGCCAAACTCGAAAGAACCAGAACTGAGGCAGGACTATTTCAGAGCGCCATTGCTAGAGAGATTGACAAAGCCATCGAGAAGAAGCACATTCGTCATGAATCAGCCGAGTACCAGGAAGAGCAGCGACAGAGGAGGGCAAGACGAGAGGCACGCAGAGCACAGGAGGAAGCAGAAGAAGCTGAAGCTGAGGCTGAGCGAAGGAGAGCAAGACGAGAGACTCGAAGAGCACAGAAGGAAGCTGAAGAAGCGGAAGCGGAAGCGGAGCGTCGACGACGGCGGGAAGAGAGGAACAAAGGCAAGGAGAGAGCAGAGCCTGTTCCAGTTTCTCCACGCGAAGGAGCAAGCGAAGCAGGAGGTGGAACGCGACCGAGCAGACGGAGGCCAAGTCATGCGGGCTCCTACAGCGCTGGTAGCAATTCAGAAGCCGTAGGCCCTCGAACTTTTCTGAAGAGAATTGGAACTGGCGAGAGTGATACTGGTGTACCCTTGTTGTTCAGGATTAATGACCCAGAACCACCGCGAGACAGGCATCGAGATGGAGAAAGAAGTCATCACCGCCAGAGACATCGAGATCATGACTCTGATCGGGCACAAGAAAGCGCAGGCGAAGGCAGCTCTCGACAGCATAATGATCCCGGGGGCCGACCGCATCTGTCAAGGCATTCGAGCTCGCGGCACTATCACGACTCTCGTCCAAAACCGAAGCTAGGGGTATTTGGGAAGGTGATCAACAGCATTGTTGAACACACTCAATTGGGAGAGTTATTGCGGCCGGTTGGCGCATGAAACTTGGATGGGTACATTGGTCGGCGTCCGATGGATCAAAATTAGGGGACCGGCGATGGAGACATGGAAGAGATTCCGCACGGGCAGCGGTTGTACGATCATGGGACATTCATTCTACGATGTGGTCGAGTGGGTGGTACATTGTATACCTAATGTGTAACGAGGAACGATGTATGGGCTACGTACGACAGTCAGAAAGGATACTATGAACAATACTCGCACTTTGATAACGAACCATGTTCCTCCAGATGTCAGAAGGGAGAAACCATGACAGTGTACCCATCTACCATTCATTTATTCATACACTCATCCATCCACCATATCCTTGAGTCCGTCTGTCGGTATCTGATGCCCCGGCGATGCACGTTAATGCATATCCCCCGCAGTTGGGGAAATGCGGAAAAGGGGGAAGTGAACAGCCGCCGCAAGATCTCCCCCAGAAACATCTCTTTTCCTTTGAAATTGCAACGGTGATGACATGAATAAATTTCACAAGATCTCCTCTCCCTCTCTGACCGCCGGGCCTTGCCCGCTCGGCGCGATGATCTACCGGAGGACTCCATGGACACCACCGGCATGTACCTCAGATCGTCGCCCTGGGCGAGAGGTCAGGGCTGCCGCTCGTCGTGATCATATATCACCGACTGCATCTCGATTTCCAGAAAGGTTGGCTCGACATACCCCGTGGTGACTATCTGACTCTCCAGTCGAGGCTCGTGCTACAGCAAGATGATACGTAAGGTACGGTACAGTTCTACCTTGGCAGATTGGTATCGAGAAGCATGCTAACCAGCTACAGATTTTGAGTAGCAGCTTACTTGCTATCTCACTGTACGGCACAATTACTGCAGCACTGCCTCAGAATCATACCGACCCATCAACAAATGCAGTAGTAGACAAGGGCACGTTCAGCGATCCGTCTTTCAATGTCCGACCAAAATTTCGCTACTGGGTTCCCGATGCTTCGGTGGATCCTCAGGTTGTTGCCAGCGACGTGAGTGCTGCTGGTCGTGTCGGAGCTGCTGGGCTTGAGTTGCTTGGGTACTATCTTTACGGCGGACCTCCTAGCAATGGAGCAGGTCGAGGAGTTGGAGCTCCAGTTGATTGGGCTACTTATGGATTCGGAACACCGGCCTGGCGTAAGTGAAATTGACGATGATTTTATCTTCGGCAGTTATCTGACTGCTGCATCAGACGATATCTTCCAGACATTTGCGCAAGCTCACAAGGATAATGGTCTGATCATGGACTTCGCCATCGGACCCAACCAAGGCACTGGAGTCCCGGCGCCTGAAGGTAGCGATGGCCTCATGTGGGATCTAGTGGCTTTCAACGTTTCCGTGCCAGTAGGCGGATCTTTCGATGGAGTTCTCCCAGGATGGGGAACAGGGAAGCTGGAGGCGGCAATAAGTGGCCTCGCTACCGCCTCTTCCTTTGAAACCAGTCTCGGTCCAAGCCTGCCGGGAGACATCCCTCTGAACAGAACACAGATCACACTGTCTGAGGCGAGCCTGACGGACGTAACGAACCAGGTTGACGCGAATGGCCATCTGTCTGTGACGTTCAACGCCAGCACATCAGGCAACATCAACAACACCATATTTGCGGTCTACCTGATCCACTCAGATTACAGGGCACAAGATGGACCCGAAGATCTAGGTGGTCCGCAAACACCAGCACAGTCATTCATCCAGAACGGCTCCTGGGCGGCCGACCACTTCTCTGCGCTCGGTGCCCGCACAATCGCGAATTACTGGGAACAATATATCCTCGTCAATGGAACTAGAGAGCTACTTATGGACGTCGGGAACTACGGCTGGGAAGATAGTGTCGAGATCGACGCCAACGTCTACTGGACACAGAATTTCTCAAGTCTCTTTGAGGCAGACCACGGCTATTCGCTCAACAAGTGGCTGCCGATCCTGTTCTCCGAGAATGGTCACGCAAAGGAGTCGGATCCTCCGATCTGGTGGATCACTGATGCTCCTGACAACGGTGAGAGCAGAAGAGCGGACTACCGAGAGACAGTGAGTCAATTGGCGATGATTGAGGACTGGGAAGGTCACAGAGCTGACAAGTCTGATAGCTCGCAAAGCAATACCAAGCTTACCTTTCGACCCTGAACGTGTGGGCAGAGCAGTATCTCGACCTGCAATTTTCGTCTCAGATCTCGTACAATCTGCCGATGGACATGGTAAGACCTCTTCTGAGTGACTACGACCTGCTAGTAATGAACTACAGCTCGCGAATATTCCTAGTGTTGACGCTCCCGAATGCGAATCCCTCGACTTCAGCGACCTGATTGACGGGTACAGGCAGTATGCAGGCCCCGCAAACCTCGCACAACGACGCATCGTATCGTCCGAATGCGGCGCCGTCAAAGGCGAGGCATTTGTTCAATTACTCCCCGAACTGCTCTGGCACGTCAAGCGCTCCTACGCCGGCGGCGTCAATCAATTCGTTTTCCACGGCTTTCCGTATTCTGGTGATGTAAGTCATCATTCCCACTTAAAGCAACCCATCGTGGAAATGAGATGGTGGAGCTGATCTGTGTCCAGTACGGCAACACAACATGGCCGGTCTTCACAACGTTCAACTACCAGTACTCAAGCATGCACGGGCACAATGACCCAGGGTGGGATTTCTACCGCGACCAAATCGACTTTGTCGCCCGGAACAATTTCCTGCTGCAGTCCGGCGTGCCCAAGTTCGACGTCGCGTTCTGGCAGAAAATGACGACTTACCCTGGACATATCCAGCTTCCCACGTACGCACCGACGGACCTCGAGGCGGCAGGTTATACCTATGAATACCTCAGTCCCGATAACCTTGACCTCCCCGCGGCAAGGGTCGAGGACGGGATACTCGCGCCTGACGCGCAGGCGTTCAAGGCGATGGTCGTCCGGGCGAACGATTCATTGACATTGCAGGGCGCATCCAGACTCGTGGCCTTTGCGCAAGCTGGACTCCCATTGGTTTTCTCTGGCGGTATACCTACATCGTTTCTTGGGACGATCACCAATGTGAGTGCTCTGAGCACAGTCAATGCTTCTCTCAACGCGTTGCCTTCGCTGGGCAACGTGCACGTTACATCCTCGTACGACGGGCTCGCGGATACGCTTGCATCGTTGGACATCGTGCCAGCGACCAAAGTCAGCGCCAATGGGACGTGGTTTACTTTGCACCGACGCGACGACTCAGCTGGGGCGGATTACTTCTACGTGTACAACGATGCGATGGAGGCGGAGCATGGTCAGGGGTACACAGAAGGGAGCATTGAGTTTTCCAATGTCACTGGCACCCCGTATGAGTATGATGCGTGGACGGGTGAAGTCGAGCCGATTTTGACGTACACTTCGAGCAATACTTCGACGACCATCCCGTTCGAGTTGGCGGGGAATGAGTCGACGATCGTGGCGTTTCTGAATGACACTACGGTGGCCAGCTTGGGCTTGGAGTCTCCTTCAGCGCACTTGACGAACGTCTCTTTGGGGATCCTAGATGTGAAGACTGATTCAAATGACAGCCACAGCGTTGTCCTGCAAGTCGGGCCTTCCTCGTCGGGACGATACTACAGTACCTCCTCCGGGAAACTTGGGACGGTGGAGCCTTGCTCGGCGTCGACCCTGACCTTGGCAAACTGGACGCTCGTCGCGGAGCACTGGGATCCACCTGCCGATTTGAATATCACGACGGGCACGCAGAAACATAATACCACGCACTCTTTGCCGATGTTGGTGTCGTGGCAGGATATTCCGGGGTTGCAGAACGTTTCTGGGAGGGGATATTACAATGCGAGTTTTGTCTGGCCTTTGGCCTCGACTGGAAATGGCCCAACGCCAGACGGGGCGGTGATTGATTTTGGGTTCGTAGTGCATACTTTGCGAGCCTGGGTCAATGGTATGCTATTGCCTCCGTTGGATGTCACGAGGCCGCGGGCGGATATTGGGGATTTGCTGGTGCAAGGTGTGAATACGGTGGAGGCTCTGGTTGCGACCCCGTTGGGGAATGTGATGAGGCCGATTTGGGATGAGTTGCAGACGAGTGGGACGGGGCCGGCGAGTCCGGGGGCTGGAGGAGTGCCGCCGCCTGTGGTGGACTATGGGTTGATTGCGGATGTCAGGGTTGTGCCTTATGTTGAAATTGTTGTTGAACTATAGGGGAGCAAGCAGCATAGGCCGCTATGTTTATGCCTGATCAAGGACGTGTCCAGTGTGTGCTGGTGGGATATTTCGGCACGGATACTGCGTGTCTCCACAGTTCACGCGGTTGCGGCCCACTAGACTAGGCAGAGGGTGTAGGCAGGGGCTGTTATGGCTGACTGAAATATCTCTTATTGTTACAGCAAGTACGAAGTACTTTTGAAAGCAACTTGTGGAGTATCAGGAACTCCTCTGCTGGTGAACCGGAACAGTTCCGCTTTCAGCGCTCCTTAAGGTCTTAGATTCATATCATATTCTGTCGTCCGCTGTACTTCTTGAAGCAATCGTACGCATGAAGCAGAGTCTGCTTATGGACAGACCATTCGTGAAGGCTTAACATAGGTCAATCGCGGATACCACACGCGTCGGACTACTACTCTTTTCTCAGTGACGAAAGCGGCATGCCCACGGTGAGTGTCTATAGCAGTTGTAGTGGGTCATGTACGGCTTGTTGGACTGATATCATGTACTTTCGAAGGCAACTCTCAAGATCAACCACGTCGGCATCTCGGTACCGGACCTCGACGCCGCTGTGGCTTGGTACACCGAACACCTTGGCTTCCGGCAGTTGAAACCGAATGTACTCCACAAGCGAGATGAGAGCATCGATCGAAATAAGGACAAGAATTTCTTTCGCAGTGAGTGCTGTTCCGGTCGACATAGTAAGGTGTACGGTCTGACTGAGCATCATCACGAGCCAAAGTCCACCCCGAACCTGTCCGAGAAGTGAAAGTGGCTTACCTTGCTGCTGGAAATGGCATCGGATTTGAACTGTTCGAGTTCTTGGATCCTAAGCACCAGGTCTCGCCCGGTTTCGGACCAGACATGTTCACGCGGACCGGGTGTTACCACATCGCGGTGACGACGGAGGATCCTGTGGCATTGTGTGAGAAGTTGGTAGGGGTTGGTGCTACTCAGATTGGAGATCCGGCCAGGCTGGCTAATGGCGATGTCGTCTTGTATCTGAGGGATCCTTGTGGAGTCATCCTGGAATTGTGTAGCTGAGTTCGAGACGTTTGTGGTCGATGGACGCGTGGGCGGACATTGAGATGATTCACCAGACAAGGTCTCTTCCAGCAAGAAGGGGAGCTCGTGAATGCTGCAATTTTGGGATGGATCGCCGGGAGCAAGTCGTGCATATATACCTATCTTCAACGCCTCGAGCCAGAACCACATATTCACCCCATGAATACCGCATCAGAATCACTCCGAGGGTATCTTGTGCCTTTCACTCATTAATAGAGCCTACCAACACCTAGCTTCGGTACCTGGCCTGATTATGGCTTTGTCGTGTTCAGCACGACGCAGCGCGTATAGCTTCCGCAAAAGGATCGGTTCCTCACCATTCAATGCCCGGCCAAAGTTGGCTCTTATTCGTGGAGTTCGTTTAGTCGTTCTCGAAGAAGTGAGAAAGAGGCTTGCACGCCGACGACGCCGTCTTATCCGGAGGTCAATGTCGACGAGCCTCCGAAAACGGGCCAGCGGGGAAGTCCATTCTGCAGCTCAACGGGACCTGCCTGAAAAGCACAAGTCGGCACGTCATTGTGATGGAGCAGAATTTATTTACTGACATTCGGCTAAAAGAACAACCATTGATGGACTGCTCGCCGGGGTGTAGATTATGATATGAAGACGAGGGGTATGGAAGTTGTATCCACCGCTCATATATCTCTACTATCCTACTCAAGTTTACAGGATTGAGAGTGCTTTGTTTCCTATCTTTGCTTACCATCAGTCTGCGCAATCGCATCTCTCACGCAATCATACAGCCTCGAAAGATGGGCTCAACAGCGCATGAATTTAAGGCGCAAGCCACCTTCCCTAACAGCAGCCCAGCATTTATCCAGTTCGCTAGCAGGAGGAGTGTCGTGCACAGCACGAAAGGTATAGTAGCATGCACTCAACCATTGGCCGCAGAGGCAGGACAGAGGATATTGAAGCAGGGTGGTAATGCTGCAGTATGTCCCTTCCCCCAATCATAGTCGCATGACCAGCATGGCTAACGTCTCCCTAGGATGCAGCCGTCGCAGTCGGTATGTCCAAAGTCCTTGCCCGTTACTACCAAGCACCTCCTGACACTCTGGGTCAGCCGCCGCCTTGAACATGACCGAACCATCCTCGACAGGCATTGGAGGCGACATGTTCTGTTTGTTCTTTGACGCGAAGACGAAAGAGGTAACCGCCCTGAACGGCTCTGGACGCAGTCCCAAGAACACTACGGTTGAACAAATCAGAAAAGAGGTGGGCAAGACACAAGGAAACATCCCTACCCATAATGCGCTGTCTGTCACCGTGCCCGGTGCACCTGCAGGCTGGGTGGACACCATTGAGAAGTTTGGTAGTGGTAAAGTGAGCCTGGAGCAGATCTTGACACCAGCAATTCAACTGGGAGAGGAAGGCTTCCCTGTCAGTGAAATGTCGTCCGTCTTCGTAAGTCGTTCTTGTATGTAACTTCAAGCCCTCTCTGGACTAACGCGTCTTTCAGTGGCAACACGCCGAACAAGCCTTGAAAGAGGCGTCGCCCAATTTCAGAGAGATGCTCAAAAAGGACAAAAAGGCAGAGCAGTTTGCCCGCGCTCCTCGCGCCGGAGAGATTCTCCAGAATCCATGTCTGGCCCAGACATTCAGGACACTAGCATCAGAGGGAAAGAAGGGATTCTACACAGGTCGCATCGCTGAATCAATCGTAGACGTGCTGAATTCGGCTGGTGGGCACATGGAGTTGTCGGACCTCGAAGACCACATGAACCGCGGACCAGACTTCCCAGAGCCGATCTCGCTAAAATACCGAGGGCAAAATATTAAGAACAAATCCTCCCAAAGACTTACAGATAGCAGCAAGGACGATTACTACGTTGAGCTCTGGGAACATCCGCCGAACGGTCAAGGCATCGTGGCCTTGATGGCGTTGGGCATTCTGGAAGAGCTTGAGAAGACTGGACAGATCCAGACTTTCGCTCAAGAAGACCACAACAGCGCATCATACTTGCATGCAGTTATCGAGGCTCTGCGGATCGCATTCGTGGATGCGGCTTGGTGGGTGACTGACCCAGATTTCATGCCAGTGAAATCCAAGGAGTTGATTTCCCGAGAATACCTGGCTGAACGTGCAAAGCTGTTTAACAAAGAAAAGGCCGGCGATTTTACCAAGGGAGAGCCGAAGCGAAGCCCTGCGCAAAACCATAGCGATACAGTCTACTTCGCCGTGACGGACAAAGATGGAAATGGATGCAGTTTCATCAACTCCAATTATGAAGGCTTCGGGTCCTGCATCATTCCACAAGGGTGTGGTTTCACGCTACAAAACCGAGGGTCGAACTTTGACCTTGGTCCTGATGACCACCCCAACATCTATACGGGAGGGAAGAGGCCTTACCATACCATCATTCCGGGACTGATTACCCATGGCGATGGAGCTGACCGGCAGCTGCACTCGGTATATGGCGTTATGGGGGGTTTCATGCAGCCTCAAGGTCATGTCCAGGTCCTGCTAAATATGGAGGTGTTTGGACTGAATCCCCAGCAAGCTTTGGATGCGCCGAGAATCTGTATCGGAGCAGGGATGCCGACAGAGGGAGAAAAGCAGATGAACCAGATATTCATTGAAGAGGGCATCGGTGAGGCGGTGGTGAAAGCCTTGAAGGATATGGGCCATGATGTCGAGGTGATCAATGGTTGGAGCCGAGGCAGATTTGGAAGAGGACAGGTGATTCGACGACATGTGGATGAAGAGACAGGACAAGCGGTATTCAGTGGTGGTAGTGATCTTAGAGGAGACGGACTTGCCTTGCCAGCATAGAAGGGTATATGCCAGACGATATCAACGATGCTCTGACATGTTCATACTTCGTATTCAACAGCCACATCACGTACTAACTTAGCATTTTGAAAGTGGCTGGACCGTCCGCCACCCGCAAAGCTTTATAGTGATGTGCACCGGACGATGCACGTCATCGGCTGCGGTGCCGAATACGATGACACGTGCGGAAAAGTCTTGGGTAACGACACAAAACACCAGATGTCCTTCCAGGTGGTTTGTCCGTCTGCTCAAAAACCGATATCAAGCTCTCAATGCTATTTTGGTAAGATTCCAAACTTCTACATATGCCTTGTACGACTCGGCAATCTCTATCTGTCTGTTATCTCGGCTTTCCAGGATGTTTCATTCGGTGACCTGCCACAAGTGGTCTAGCAAGCTTACCTATGGGGTTACAATGGAGGGGGCGGGTCAAGCTCCATTGCTACAAGACTTCTGGTCCAGGGTTGTTGCTTCTTTCTATCCAGAAGCTCCTCTTTCCTTTTTGCCCTTATCTTTCATTCATTTGGCCCCCGCATTGCTTTTTCAGCACTCGAGTGGTCGAGAACTCACGATGAGAAATCACAGCTACCTCTTGAGATTGGCATTCAACCCTTCCTACCCTCAGATTGCAACCTCCTGCTACACATTCAATCACGGTAAAGACACTCATCTTCCACCTCCAGCTCCGCATCTCAACGGCTTAAGAGGAAAGATCGCCAAACTCCGTGTCGCCATAGGTGAACTATTTAGCTTCCTCGGTGATTCAAGTGGAGAACTGGTGTGGACTCTACACTTTGTATCGATAGCAGGGTTGCTTCAGCTTTATCTTTGTCCTAACTCAGGCACACGATCTTACCTTGACGAATCATCACCCTGATCAGCTCGAGGCTATCCTGATAAGCACTTGTGGTCTGAGTATTCCCCCGGGTTTCTACTGCCGTCGCTGTCAAATCATCAGTGTCGCTGAAAGTGTAATGCGTCATGTTCTACGGATTCTTGCAGGGTAGACTGCATGTCCACTCTCACAACGTCGCATCCTGAGCTTCGATGGCAAAGACCTCGGCTTGCGGTGCCTGAATTCCATGCCAAAGCCCACATTACTGTGCGATCAAGCTGCCTGATGCGGTTACAAGTTACCATAATGGTGGAGAACGACCTCATTGTGCAGCTACAGGTAAGCTCTTGAGCAGGGTTCAAGCGAATTGTTCAAGCTCTCGGGGTAAGTGCTTTTTTCTCTCTTAAACTCTTTGAATCCCGCCTGCCTGCCGTTGCCGTTCCCTCGCGCAGGTCGATTGTTTCCCAAAATCATCATGAGGCTCTCACTCGTTGCTTTGGCCCTGGGCCTTTCCTCGCTCGTTTCCGCCAAGCAGAGAAGTGCTCAACATGTTGGAAAGAAGCATCTCGATGAGAAGAGGACTACATTTGCGCCGCGGTCAGCTCCAGCTCATGCGCAGCATGAGAAGCGCGCCGGATCTCAGTACTTGACCAACGCAACCGCACGTATGTTTGCGAACGGTACATTTGACACAGATGTAGCTAATCCTTCCTAGCATTTGCGGTCAACGGCAGCGCTATCCCACTGGTCCCATTCGACGTTGGCGAGTCTTATGCCGGTCTTCTCCCCATCTCCGACGCAGCAAATGCGTCGGAGCTGTTCTTCTGGTTCTTTCCGTCCGAGAATCCAGCTGCAAGCAATGAAATCCTCATCTGGCTGAACGGTGGTCCGGGCTGCAGTTCCTTGGAAGGGTTTCTCCAAGGTAAGCAGACGCAGATACGGACTGGGATTTTACTGACGGCAGTCGATAGAAAACGGACCGTTCCTTTGGCAATATGGCACATTCGCACCTGTGCCAAATGTGTGGTCGTGGACAAATTTGACGAATATGGTCTGGGTTGAGCGTAAGTCTCCGCCCTAACATGAGAACCGAAGAGGAAACTAACAAAACCTTTCAGAACCCGTCGGAACTGGCTTCAGTCAAGGCACCGTTACCGCAACCTCCGAACTCGATATCGCCGCTCAATTCTTGGGCTTCTTCAAGAACTTTGTCGACACCTTTGCTATGCAAGGCTACACCGTCTACATTGCAGGCGAATCATACGCAGGATACTATGTGCCTTACATTGCGGATGCCATGTTCAACGCCAGCGACACTGAGTACTACAACATCAGCTCGATCATGATCTACGATCCCAGCTTGAGCTACGATGTCGTGCAAGAGCAGATCCCAACGGCGGCGTTTGTTGACTACTGGTCCAACTTGCTCGATCTGAACGAGACCTTCACTGCACAATTGCACAACATGTCCCACGTCTGTGGATACGATACGTTCCTCGATGAGGCTCTTACCTTCCCACCTAAGGGACCGTTGCCCACGCCTCCTAATGTCGACCTCAGCGACGACAGCTGCGACACCTTTGATCTTACCTTCAACGCCATCTCCGAAGTCAACCCGTGCTTCGACATCTACCAGGTAGCCACGACGTGCCCTCTGCTGTGGGACGTATTGGGCTTCCCCGGATCGTTCGACTACGTGCCTGACGGAGCTTTCATCTACTTCAACCGCACCGACGTCCAGGAGGCCATCCATGCCCCGATCATGGAGTGGGAGGAATGCTCCAACGGCGACGTATTTGTCAACGGAACGGACAACTCCCCACCGTCTGCGCTGAGTGTTTTGCCCAGCGTGATTGAGCAGGCTGACCGGGTTATCATCGGTCACGGTATTCTCGACATGGTGCTCATCTACAACGGCACTTTGGTCGCCATCCAGAACATGACCTTCAATGGCGGCCAGGGCTTCTCGGTTCCACCATCAGAGTTTGATGACTTCTACGTGCCTTACCATGTCTCATATGACAATCAGCTGGGAGATATAGCTGGAGCGGGCAACATGGGTCACTACCACACTGAGAGAGGATTGACCTTGGTGACTGTGCAGCTTTCCGGACACATGATTCCTCAGTATGCTCCAAGCGCAGCGTACAGACAGCTCGAATTCTTGTTGGGACGGATCCCGAGCTTGGGAACGATAGGCCCGTTCACCACAATGAACGGAACGAGTTACTGATGATGAGAGCGTTGTCATCAGGTTGGGCATGAAGCAGGATGATAGATATGTCTAATGTAATATGAGATAATGTCTTAGAGGGGCAAAAGCCTGAACAACAATGCGGAACGCACATCATTCTCTTTTGCGTGCCTTGTGATTACCTCCTTCCAGCATATGTACCTACCAGGTAGGTAGGCATGCAGGAGACGATTTTCCGTGATAAGATAAGATAACATTACATCTTATCTACCCCTCCATTGCTCTTGCCATCAGATTCGAGGAAAATCTGGGGAGCATTGATCACCAAGCAAGGATGCTCCTTCATACCAAATGTAAGCAAGCCACGATCCATTCGCTTCGAATGACTATCGTCTTTCATGTCCAACCAGGCTGAAAGTGTCCCACCATGTTCTGAGTCCTCCGGGCGACCCCACATAAGGCAGGCCTCTCACATCGTGGGGCCCTCTGGTCCTTATCCTATTCGAAACAATGACTACGTCAGTCCAGACATTAAACGAGGTTCGACACTGACCAGATGGACTGCTATAATACATTTCAAAAGAGCAATCTGAACAGCAATAATAATTGTAAAGGGGACCACTGCCCATCGACATGGTGCGCACTAAACGAATCTGTCATCTTCAACGAGCAACAAGGGAGTTTTTCCGAAAGGATGAGACGTCAAATTGCTCCGTGAGAGCCACGGTCCGCGGCATTGCACGCAACACCGCGATCTGCTCGCGATTCTCGGTGGAGGGGTAAGCTCGTAAGTCTAGGCCCGAAGTACACCTAACAAATCAGCGTTCGGGTGCTTGCCCTCCGGATTGTCACCTGCAGGCCGCCTGTTGTGGGGAAACAGTCGCCTCGGTCAGATATATATATATTTTTTATCTGGCGGATAAGTAGTCGTCAGATCACAGACTTGTCAATGTGGGTTTGACCAACACTACCACACTTCTCCTCTTCGAAATTTGTCCCCTGAAGACCACGACTACAGACACACCAAGTCCACGATACAAACACAGGAAGTCTCCCAAAGAGTAAACGCTGAGCTTCTTGAAGAACAAACGGAGCTGGTTTTTCCCCGCTCGGACTATTTTCAACTGCCGATTCTCGAGAGCCACGCCACTGAGCGAAGACACTCCGATCGACGACACGGACATAATTCAGTCTACACGTCGACTTCAGGAAGCATAAGGCAACTTCATCTGCTTGGACTGAAGATCTGCACCTGAATCATTTCAAATTCAACCCAAACACTCGTTGACAACGTTCCCGTGCAACCAGTGTACTCGTTGACTGCAAGTCAACCTATATCCTTCCATTTGATTTTATCTCAATTTACGACAAAATGAACGACCCCGAGCAGCTCAAGCACAACATCACCGAGGAGAAGCTTAAGAACCAAAAGGTACGTTCTCTCCTCGTTCTTCGGCAGGCAGATACTGCTCTGCCATCCTGGTATTTGACCTAACTTTATGCCAATAGCCCTCAAATGGCAACATCTCCCGTGGCCCATCACCCAACCGTGGTTCATCTCTTCGTGATGTTGAAGCCATCGGCCCGGACTCGGAATCGAAGCGAGAATGGCAGAAGAAGCGCGGCATCGACAGGTCGAAACAGGTCCGCATAGTCAAACTGAACCACACGCGTTATCAACACCCCGACTTGGCTGTTATTACCACATTTTTGAGAGGTAAGCACGGCCCTGATTTCGGAAAGAGTGAGCAGAGGCCTAACGAACGATGCAGATTTCGGCATGCACGTCACCAAAAAGAGCGATAACGAGCGATGGTTCCGCGGCTACGGACCAGACCAGTACGTCTACTATGCGAAGCAAGGACCCAAGAAATATTTGGGTGCGGCCTTCCAAGTCGAGTCCCGCGAAGAACTCGAGAAATTGCTCAACCTTCCCGGATCGACCGTATTGACCGACGGCATCGAGGAAATGAAAGACGCCCCTGGCGGCGGGTACATTGTCACCATCGCCGACCCCGAAGGTTTCCCCGTCAGTTTCGTCTACGGCCAGGCCGAGATCAAGGAGGAGCGCAAGAAGCCCGCGAAACTGTTGATCAACGACGAGGTCGACAAGCCACGACAGAAGGCCTTTCAAAGATTCGAGCCCGGTCCAGCCGAGGTGCACAAGTTGGGCCATTTCGGTCTGAACGTGCAGGACTTTCCCGCCCAGATGGACTGGTACACACGGCACTTTAACCTCCTTCCGAGCGATATTCTGTACGTGCCGCTTGAAAAAATTGACCCCGAGACCGGCAAGCCCGCTCGTAAGGAAGTCGCGCTGTTCGCCATGATCGACCGTGGTCAGGACCTGACTGATCACCACACCTTCTTCATGACGACTTTGAGCGATGGTGTGGAGAAGCACGTACACCATTCGAGCTTCGAGGTGCATGACTTCGACACCCAATTGCTGGGTCACCACTGGCTCGCGGAGAAGAAGTACGAGAGTGTCTGGGGCGTGGGGAGACATATTTTGGGAAGCCAGATCTTTGATTACTGGTGGGATGTGAATGGATTCATGGTCGAGCATTATGCGGATGGAGATTTGGTCAACGAGGATACCCCTGTGGGATATGGACCTGCTGCGAATGAGGGTTTGGCGGTCTGGGGGCCCGAGGTTCCTGGTGCGTTCTTGGAATAAGGTCGCAGACGAATGGAATGGCTATGACGGTGGGAGACTGTCTAAGATATTTGGTTGTGACTGTCCGTATGTATACCTTGTTAGCCAATATCACGCTTTTTGCTTTCACGTTGACCACGATTGATACATTTTACTCGAATCACTTCCTGGACAATCAAGTCGCCATGGCTGATTAATCTTTGGCGTTGCAAAGGGGAGTTCCGGATCCCATGAAAGTCGGCTTTTGCTCGTGATGAGCAAGGCTACGTAAGAAAGGGGGCTGTAGAATGCTCCATGGTTCGGGCTTGGGAATTTGTATCCTTGCTCTATACAATTTTAAAATACCTTCTCCACTGTCTGCCTACATCTTGTTGTTCAGATGCCTTCTGGTGCTTTCTGCGTACAAGCTGTTCCCCATCCAATCTTGTACCGGTGCTGGCCTGTCGCGAGCCCAACTCCAGCATCTTTCACCCCGCACGGTCTAGGCTCACCACTTCTCATAATGGACCTTGTTGATCAAAGTACCAATCTTCTCAATCTCGACTCTGATATCCCCACCATCCTCGAGGACGACTTGTGGTTTTCGGAAGAATCCGATACCGGCGGGAGTTCCGGTCAGGAAAATCGTGCCGGCTTCCAAGGTGGTGCCCTGGGAAAGGTAGCTGATTTGCTTTTTAATGTCGAAGATCATGTCCCTAGGTAAATTCTGTTAGAATCGCGAGGAATGTCTCAACATGCACAACACTTACTTGGTGTGGCCGTCCTGGACGGTGTTACCGTTGTAGATAGCCTTGATGCCCAGCGTCTGAGGATCAGAAATCACATCCGTTGTGACGAGGACAGGACCAAGAGGGCAACTTCCATCCAGACCCTTGGAGAAGGACCACTGGGTTGTCAACATCTGCATCGTTCGCGCAGAAACGTCGTTGCTGCAAGTATATCCGAGGACATAGTCCAGAGCCTTCTCTTCTGGGATGTCACGACCAGTCTTGCCAATCACCAAGCAAAGTTCGGCCTCGTAGTCTGAGCTTCCGTCTTGCGCGGCCTTGGGAACAGGGATCACGGCTGGGTAAGGGTCGGCGAGAGCGGTACGGGGTTTGGTGAATAAGATGGGAGCTTTGGGCAGAGCCATGTTTGCTTCCTGCTCGAATTAGCATGCCGTCCTTCCAGCGCAGAACTGGAGTGACTGACATTTGCATGATCCTTGTAGTTCAAGCCCAAGCAACGGATGTAGTTGCAGTCTTCGGTCGAGACGGGAGACAATAGTTGCTTGACAGTGTAGACAACGTCGGTCACTTCTGGTGCAAAGATGGTGCCATTGATCAGGTATGCTTCGACCTTCTTGCCCTCGAAGGTAGCCAGTCCAACATCGCTACTGGTGTCCACGAGTTGACCCAGATGGATTCTGGAGTCTTCGTTTGCGACGAAGCGAATGATGTGTGTTGCTTTGGTCATTTTGGCGGAGGAGGTACGTCAATTGGCTTGAAGATTCTAGGTAAAGGAGGTAAACAATGATAACTATCGCAACAATGTCACGAGAAGAACAGTTTAGCAAAGACGTGCTTCGGGAAAGTCTCAAGATTACCGTGCTTGAGAAACAAACCTGCAGCGACACAACCCACGGAAGCTAGGTATACGTGGGGCACTTCCGTGGGTTGTGTCGAGAAGCAGGGCAAGGCATGATTCCGGGCAAACGTCGCCATGTTTGTCACCATCTGGTTCGGGGTAATTGTGAAGGGACTGAAAATCACCCCGCAGCGAACGGTCTGACGGACTCGAGTCCGAGGCCCCGTGCCACATTGGATAGTAGAGACGGTGATTGATCTAAGTGCCGACGGGGGTCAATGATGAGAAAAGAGGGGTGTTGTTTGCAAGTATGGTGGGGAGAAGCTATGCAGACCGGAATGCCGTCTTTGGCCGTGACCGTGGCTTGGCATTCATTTCTTGCCTTCGCTTTCTCATCTGGAGAATGCATCGCTCCGGGGAAACACCATGAGTGAACACGATTATCCCTACAACCATAGTAAGGTGTCTCTTCTCGGCAGTCGGTGTTGCAACTGGGAGTTCCATGCACGCCTTCATGTACTTCTAGGCAAGCCCTACGAACAGAGAGTAGATCGGTCTCAGATGCAGTCACAACCTGATTTCGGCACCTGTCAAGGCACAGAGGTCATCAGTGCCTGCGAAATTGACGACATGTCCTCTGGTGACACTGACTCATCACAACTATTTACAGATACCGTGTTGAGTCGTCGCTGAGGTCTTTGGCTTACAATCATATCCCCAAAACGGCCATTCATCTTCAACCATCTGGGGACTGTATATATATCATGAGAATCATGAAACGTTTGCCACGTGTATCACAAGGAGAAGTCGTGCGCCCACCGCGGAACAGGTAACCCTAACCCTGGGATTTAAACATCTTCCGATGCATCCGGCAGAACCCTCTGCCAGCATATCGGCCAACCTTTGTTATTATTTGCAGTGTGTTAGAAAGGCTACGTCGTCTTTTGCGGTACCCCGCTGGGAGGGATCCGGATATCCCATTTCCAGTAGCTCCCGCAAGGGATGTCTGACTTGCATCGAGTTTCTCGATGAACCAATACGAGAGGTTGGCTTGGTCAAATCGTGGAGCGTGAGTGGTTTCAACGATATCGTTGCTCGCTCAACATCGCTTCTTTGGGCAGGTAGGAGCGTGGACGGTTCTCAGTCGTGGCCTATGCTAGTTATCTCCTTCAAGCCGACATCTGCATCGCATACAAGATCATCACGACTCCCGACGATTGATTGGATAATGTGGCGAGGAGAATAAATGCGGGCTGTCCCCGATCTGGTGGGATTGCCACGATTCGATGATATCATCTTTCCCATCTGCACGGACAACATGCCTTTTGCACACGATGCAGGGTCGTTATCGCAAACTCTGAATGCAAGAAGATTTTCCCATACGCATCAGTCAGGTCATTTGGTGGCACACGCTAACAATTCTGCACCTTGAATGTACAAATCATCGAGAGTTCGAGACGCGTGTAGTGTGTCATCGACGCCATCAGCCAGTCAAACATGTCGATGCACTCCAAACACTACGGTAAGTGGAAGTTTCGATAATGTCCCTGCATCCTATCAAGTTGACTGCTATTCAAACCCTCTGGATCGGTACTTGTCTTGTGTCCACCATATAATACTGGCCTTGTACTGAATTTGCCTCCCTGCTCACGTTCATATAACACCGCACCCATTCATAATCCATGCAGTCCATGCAAAGAATCATTCAAGCTCCCATTGAAACCATCAAATCTACCATCATGGCACCATCAGCAGATACATCGTTCTCGGCGCATGTCGAACATCAGTTCACATCTTATGAGCATGACCGACAGTCTTCCGGCAAGGACACTGTCTATGCAACGAGCAATGGCGTCCCTATGCCTCACCCATATGAATCTCAGCGATGCGGCGAGAACGGCCCTCTCCTCCTCCAGGACTTCCACTTGATCGATCTCCTCTCCCACTTTGATCGCGAACGCATTCCAGAACGTGTTGTCCACGCCAAAGGCAGTGGTGCCCACGGCTTCTTCGAGTGCACCGATCCCGCCGATGACCTGACCTTACTCGACATTTTCGGCACAAAAGGCAAGAAATGTGGACTTACCATGCGGTTTTCGACCGTTGGTGGCGAATCTGGTTCCCATGACTGCGCTCGAGACCCAAGAGGCTTCTCGGTCAAACTCAGAACCGATGACGGCAACTGGGATATGGTCTTCAACAACACACCAGTCTTTTTCTTGAGAGATCCAGCCAAGTTCCCTCACTTCATCCACACACAGAAGAGACACCCATCGACGCACCTCACTCACGCCGATGACTCGACCATCTTTTGGGATTACCTTTCCCAGAACCCTGAGTCAATTCATCAGGTCATGATCTTGATGGGCGATCGAGGTATTCCCGACGGCTACAGGTTCATGCACGGCTACTCAGGCCACACCATGAAGTTCGTCAACAAGAATGGTGACTGGGTTTACACTCAGATCCATCTTAAGTCGATGCAAGGCACCAAGTTCATTACGCAGGAAGATTCGTTCAACAAATCTCCGGATTATTCGCAGAAAGACCTCTACGAGGCCATCGAGAACGGCGATTTCCCTAAGTGGTCAGTCGAGGTTCAGACCATGACAGCTAAGGAAGCTGAAGACGTGTGGGAGAAGCAAGGCATCAACGTCTTCGACCTGACCCACATCTGGCCACAGAAGCAGTTCCCACGCCGCAAGATCGGTGAGATGACTCTCAATGAGAACGCCATCAACTACTTCGCCGAGATCGAGCAAGTGGCTTTCAACCCCTCACATATGCCTCCTGGTCTTGAGCCATCCGCCGACCCTGTCCTACAGTCCCGTCTGTTCTCGTACCCTGATACCCACCGTCACCGTATCGGCGTCAACTACCAGCAACTTCCTGTCAACGCACCACGCACAGCTCATAAGTTCGGCAATTTCCAGCGCGATGGATCCATGGCTTTCTACAACCAGGGAGGTCGAGCCAACTACCTCTCGTCCATTGACCCGATTCAGTTCCGTGAGCGTTCTGTCGACCTTGACAAGACTCACGGACACTTTCAGGGCGAGGCAATCACATTCTTGTCTTCAATTCGGCCTGAAGACTTCAACGCGCCCCGAGCGCTGTGGGAGAAGGTCTGGGACGAACCCGCTCGTGAGCGGTTCATCAACAACGTCTCCGGCAAGATGGAACTTTGCAGCAGCCAGGAAATCCTGAAGCGCCAGATCGCCATCTTCCGTGAGGTCAGTGACGATATTGCCACGAGATTGGAGAAGGCTACTGGCATCAAGGGCTACGATGGTATCAAGGATATGAAGTTCAATGGCACGCACAATGGCATGGCTAGTGATCCTAGCGCCAAGTATGCCAATGGCGTCAAGGCTGCTACTGGAAGCTCCATTACCGGCAACAATGGTGCCCCGACGAAGGGAACGCACAACTAGATTCTAGGTGTTGCCTCTCTATGAGTTTGATTATGAAGGACATCTGTAAATGAAAAATGAATGGTGTTGGTGGTACAAGGTACAGGATTCTCATAATATCATATTATATGCTAAATGACCACAAGCCCTGTTCCAGCATTTCTTTTCATCAATCCGCTTGATCATTATACGCTGTCGAGAAATAATATCATGTCTTCGCCGCTGTGCCATTACTACCCGATTTGCCTTTGCCAGATCTAATTTCGAGTTTCGGCGGTTTCCTCTTCGGCTTTGACTCATCAGACACGCCTGCCTTCACATCAGGAGTACTCTTGTCCGAAGCGTTGGCTGCCTGCTCTTCTTTCCCTTTCTGTGATCTGATTTCCAGTTTCTTGGGCTTCCTCCGTGGCTTCTGTTCGCCACCTTGTTTGCTGTCTGCCGTACCGCTTTCCGAGTTTGACTGTTCGGACTGTGATTTATAGTTTTGTTGCTCTTTCTCCAGAGCATCGACCACTTTCTCTGGATCCGCGTCTTCGAACGGTTCCTCTTTGCCACCCAACTTGATAAAGGGCCCACGTATAGCACCGACACCAGTGCCGACCAGCATACCTAGGCCTGTCGTCGGGACCATGGCAATTGCACCTAGAACTGTTCCCAAGCCGGCTCCGAGACCGATTCCTGTCGCGGCGCCTATGCCTCCCCCAAAGCCAAAACCTTGCCAACCGCCGCTCTGCAGACGTTTGGCCATTTTGCTGTGACCGTGAGCCTCCATTTCTTTGTCGAAGGCTTCTTTGAGCATGCTTTCCCGTTTACTGGAGTTTAACATGTTCATGGCTTTGGATTTGAGGTCGTTGGCCGATGATTCGGCTTTTTGAGCTTTCTGTAAGCTTTCGATCGTCTTGAGCATTTCTTCTCTGCTCGGCATCTCGCCGTTGGCGTTTTTGGGCAGGCCATCGCCCTCGCCGCCGTTGCCTCCGCCTCCACCGGACATAAACGCCTTTGCCGCTTCCATTGTTGCTGGTGTTTCGCCAAGAGATCAGGTATGATGATGTTGGAGAATCGATGGTTGTTGTGAAATAGATGAGGTCGACGTCATTGTTCTCGCTGAACCCTGGCACACCCCCGGTCGTCCAGCGAACCAATCAATATTTCCCATCTGTGGAGGAGACATTTTGGCGATTTTTACGCCAAAGTTCCTTCCCAAACTCATACCTGTGATAGTGTTTCCAGACGATCACTGTCTCATATATATATGATGGACCTTACTGAGGAGTCGTTGCATACAACGCTTTTGGGAAGAGTTGCCCGTCAATCAGTCGTCATCTTGTATTGCCTCACCTCGACTCAGCAGCGCAGCTGCGCAGTGTCCAACGGGGGCGGTGTGTATGGTGTTGAGTGAGCCTGCATGCATGTATGAGAAAGCAAGAGATATGTTCAATGATACCCATTTGAAGTAAACTTAAGGTATCGCGTTAGGCATAACGGGCACGCCCCGCATAGAATCACTTTAGGTATCGCTTTTGAGGCGTTCACAGTAAATTGCCAGTGTTGGTTGGTGTGGTCCCGAGAAGAAGGACCGTTCTAGTCCGTGCTTGAATCCCCTGGCCGGGCAGATTGGCATTCTTTCTTATGCTTACTGTATGCACGGATATTGGCGTTTACTAAATGAGATTTGTGAATCCTCGCTCCAATGATGCGAGATAGGACGGTCAAACAGTAACCTCGGAAAACGACAGTAATACTTTACATTGGAGCGATAACAAAAAATCACAAGGTCACGGCCAGCAACGACGACGTCGTGTTACTGAAACTATAATGGCCGACAGTGACGTCCACCAAAGGGTGCAAAGGCTTCTAGCCGAATATCCCCTCATAGATGGGCACAATGACCTGCCGATACAACTACGAATACACTTTCACAACAAGATCTATGATCCCAAATGTACTTTTCGGGATGGGCTTTTCACCGAGACAGATCTCGTCAAACTCAAGAAAGGACAAGTCGGAGGGCAGTTTTGGAGTGTTTATGTTGAATGTGGTGCGCCCAATGAAGATTGGAATGATGATCAGGTGAGTTCAAGACATGTGTGCTCACGCAGGAGTTTTTCGCAAAAACGCATACCACGATTCTCACGGGCATGCATGACAGAGTGCCGTTCGCGATACCTTGGAACAGATCGATGTCATCAAACGACTCATCGACGACCATGAGCAGGTAAGCTATGCGGCTAAAGCTATCTCTGTCCTTGACGGCCAGTCATGCTGATGCTCGCCTACTAGCTGGAGTTGTGTACCGAACCAGACGCCGTGCTCACAGCCTTTGGGAACGGCCGTATAGCCTCCATGATTGGAGCTGAGGGCCTGCATCAGGTCGGGCATTCGATAGCCAACATCCGCATGCTCTTCGAACTCGGTGTCAGATACATCACCGTCACTCACAACGCCAACAACGCATTCGCCACCTGCGCAACCCATGTCACTGCCGGCGGTGATGACGCTGGTCTAACCGAGTTCGGAGTCGCAGGCATCAAGGAGATGAACAGACTAGGCATGCTAGTCGACCTGAGTCATGTATCTGTAAAGACCATGGAAGACACTCTCGCCGTGACCCGAGCACCAGTCATCTTCAGCCATTCCGGCGCACGAGGTCTGAGCGACCATGCCAGGAATGTCCCGGACCACGTCCTTCGCCGCGTTCGCAAGAACAGAGGAGTTGTCATGGTTCCGTTTGTCACTGTTTTCTTGAAGGTGACAGACCCGGACTCTGCCTCGGTCGAAGACATTGTCGACCACATTTATCATATTGTTGGTATCGCGGGCTGGGATCATGTGGGGATCGGGAGCGACTTTGATGGTTATGCGCCTCTACCAAAGGGTATGCAGGACACATCTTGCTATCCGAGTCTGATTGTAGCTGTCTGCGCCAGAGGAGCCACGGATGAACAAGTGAAGAAGCTGATGGGAGGAAATGTCCTCCGTGTATGGCATGAAGTCGTGGACATTTCTCAGAAAATCAAAAAGACCGGAGAGAAGCCAAGCGAAGTCACGGCGCCTGGTCGAAACTGGGGTCTATCCGACGCCAATCTTTCTGGCTGACGGAGAAAAGGTATAGGTGGGATTTTAGATTTGTTATACCCATGGATCTCGCCAGACCCTCTGACGTCGTTCTCATCACTATTTAGAGGTTGGCAGTGACAGTGATCTCCCGACAAGAGCTCGCGCCCTTTGTCGGCCATTCCAAAACAATACAAACAGCCCGGTCCTCCGGCGCGATGTTCCGGCGTGAAGGATTGATATTCGAAGAAGTGGTTTGGCCTCACCTTTTGAAGGCGTTATATTGCTGCACCACCAGATCTGTTCTCAGATAGAGGTCAGCGCAAAGGTGCTGAATGTTTGTGAGCTCCGGATCCTTCCTGAAATCGATCAACTGGTACAAAGTGTGGAGAACGGGTTTTGCGACACCAAGATCAGCTCCAGCGTCGACTGTTCCGGGACTCTGCGTGATGTGTGCTAGTAGGACCACCAGAGAGGAGACAACCGACTCGAGGGTCAACCTGATTGAGTAAGCTGGACGTTTGTGGAAAGAAACATCGGAAAGCTTACCAATTGCACGGGACACTATCGCCTGGTAACAAATTCAAAATACCAATGAACCGCCGTGCTTCATCATATGACTCTGCCATCACTCCTTTTGACATGGCTGCCATCAGCCCATCTGCGGCGAAAAGGTTGCTCGTTGGTCGCGCTCCGAGTGAGGGATACGCTCGTGCTGCGTATGCGGTTACCAAGTATGCTGACTCAAGCACGATGATATGGAAAAGGTCAGAACGGTGCAAGAGATGTTGGAATCTGTCGATGCTTAGATCAAACAGTGGATTTCCTCTCCACTGGTCCAGTCCGACGGCCAATGACTGCAATACTACGTTGCGGGAATGTTCTGACTCGAATTTGCGAGGTTCCAAGGTGCACTCCATAAGTTGAGCCTGTATCAGAGCCAGCTGTGCGCGCAGCCGGAAAACGTTGATCTTGAAGTCTCCTTCCGCAGCACGGATCTCACCCTGGCCATCGTCCGCTTCCTCGGCGGGCAACTCGACATTGAGGAATCTTGGGCTAAGAGTCGGCAGACGTCCAGCTCGTAGACTGATATCTGCGTCCATAGAATAGGCAATCCAAAAAACCCTCTGCAGCTGCAGTTCATTGACTGCACGGACCGCGCCTTCGGCAGGAAGTTCATTGACATGGAGGTCCTGCAGCATGCGTAACGTCATTGAAACGAACATGGCTGCAGGTTGAGGATTAGATGAGGTCGAAAGGAGGATGGCCATCCCAAGATAACATTGCGCCATGAGCAGGGTGGGCTTCATGAGCAGAAACGCCGGAATCGCCTCCATGGCTTCTTCGAGGTATGTCTGCACGTTTTCAGTATCCTGGGCGACGCCTAGAGGACTCATTGCGCGCAGTCGATGGGCTATGGCAAGGACGATTTTCACAACAACCCAGGATATGACCAGTCCGTCGGCGCGGCCGTTGTAGCAGTCTAGGAACACCGTGCTGATGGACTCGGAATTGAAGAGAGGGACAGCAGTGTTGAAGTCCACAAGGAATTCCTGCAGTAAGAACAAGCCTCCTTGTGCAGGAGGCATGGAGCACTTCCTGGCACCCTTCATTCTGACTTGTGGACGTAAATCGATGTCTGTCGCATCCAAGATCGATGGCATCCGAAATGACTGATTTTCATCATTATTCCAGTATTGGGGGATGTCATGAGATTGCGAGCTTGTGGTTGCGAATGTGCCGTCGGCAGGAACCGAGTCCGCGTCCCATGAGGTCGAGTTCGTTGCTTCGAGTGACGATGGGTCGGCTGATGTCACGATGTCGGATTGTTCTTGGCCTTGAGTAGGCGACGTGGACTTTGGTCCCGCAACCGAGCTCTTTATGAGGTCTTCCAAGCTGCGTAGTCGTGTCTCAAGTGTGTCCATATGCTTCCTGCTGAGCTTAGCATGTAGCCCGCCGGAAGAAGGCATGCGTCGTAGAGACTCACCTCTTCCGCTTCTCTCGCGGCTTGGTAACGTGCGTGATACGACATGGCGAGTCTGTCTTCTCACAGGCCGTGCATCGATCTGTCTCAGGATTGATGTCACATTTTCGCTTCTTTCTTCGGCAGTTGTCGCACGCCTGAACAGAGATGAGACAGTCGATCTGATGGGTTCGGGCGGGGGTTCGCAAGGCTTACCTGGACCGTGTTCGTGGCTTTGCGAGATTGGTCTGGGATAGCGGACATGGCGCGAATATTCCTTGCAGTACCGGATTGTGCTCGGACTCGTGTGACCACCAAGATATAGACGTGGTAGGGAAGCTCAGGCAAGGTGGGTAATCCTGCTGGTCCAACGGAATAGACACGGCTTACTCTGGCTCATGAAAGTGCCAGTTGAAGTTCTGTATTCAATGAAAATAAAAAACAACAACGTGGTCAGTATAATGAAGACAACTTAGACAAGGGGTATTGTATAGCTTAATAAGAACTCGCTTAGATCAAAGCTAAGATAACAAGATGATTCTCTTCTCCACAAGTAGTAGGAAAGCCTTGTGTACAATATGTAGTGAGTCTTTTTCGTTGATGATTAAGCTGATAGATGACAAATCAACAGTTGGACGACCTGGTGGACGATGCGACGATCAAATTAGGGCTACTCATTTACCGTCGGGATCGACGATTTTCGGCAGTGATGTGATGCTTTCACGGTTACATAAGGATGTTTCTTGTAGATAGTTACATCTTGCTGGTTCAATTCAATGCACGTTGGCCACGCCCATCTTATTGATGAGATCGTGTCTCCTCCACCAGCCTCGATTGAGTTTCCCAAACATGTACATAGGTATGCTGAGGGCATAAATACCCACAACGATGCCGCCCTGCACATCGAAGTACCTAGCTGGTCCAACGACGGCGAGGTAGTTGTTGACCCAGTAAGAAAGCGAGAAGAAGAAAAAGTTCTTGAACACCATGGCGATGACGAGCATCTCAGTACTCTCCTCTCGGAAAGCATCCACAACGTACGAGTTCATGACTGCGCCAGCCGTGTTCACACTGAAGCCGTATATCCCGTGGAGGGCGCTGGCGACATAGTACCCTTTGCCATCCTCGATCATATGTCCATACAGGAACAGACCGATCGTTCCTGTGATCAGGGCCAGAATCATCGCTATCGAAATATGGGTTAGCAATCGTGTCGAACTGGAAGGACGAGTCAAGCTTACGATAGAGCCGAAACTCTGGCTCATATACACCTCGATTCCGCTTGGCAATGAACCTTGCGAGAGGGTCTGAAGCGAAGCTCATGAATAAAACACCCAGAAGTCCACCGATGAAAGGTCCGACGTATAGGTAACCCACCCCAGCTGTGGAAAGGTTGTATGGTGGTACACCAAAGATCTGCGCAAGTACAAATGACGTGGCCACCCACCAGCCGGACGAGATGCCCTGGGTCAAGCAACCCCAAATTGCAGCTGGATTAGCCAGACAGACAAACGGAGCAATGACCAGTTTTAGCGGATGTTGCTGACTGAATCTTCCGTTGTAAATCGACAAGCGCTGCCCGAATGTCTTAGGAGCAGGTGTCGACGCCGCCTGTCTTTCGTCGTGCGCAGCGCTTCTGGCATGTTCACTCTCAGTCACCTCGACGTGTTTGAGCTCCTCGAGTCTCTCAGTCGAGGCTACATCGGTGTTGTAGATCTCTGGCCGGTGATAGCTAGTTTCCGGAACGAAGAAGAACGCCATGACCAACTGTGCGATCAGAAATGGTTGGGCAATATGAAAGAGGTACTTCCAACCGAGATTGTCGAAGATCACGCCTGCGATGATGGGTGACAATACGCCGAAAGTGTTGGTGACCAGCTGGAAAATCGTGACTCGAGCGCCTCGTTGATGCACAAAATACATGTCTCCCATCAGTGCCACGATGAGGGACTCGTATGCCGCGACGGAAAGGCCCTGAAGAAGGCGTCCGGCAAGGAGTGTCTTGTATGAGTTCGCACATTCGCACACAATGGTACCAAGAATTCCCAGCAGAGACGCGAGGAGAAACTGTGGTCGTTTTCCCCATAGACGAGACATGGCTGAGACGAAAGGTCCGAAGGCTCCGACACAAAGTAGGCAATTGCCCGTGAGCTGCGCAATGGCTGTGATGCTCGTGTTCAGCTCGATGCTGAGCGCATAGGTGGCAGGTGACAACATTGGAACCAGAACGGCCGTGAAGCAAAGTGAGCCCAGTGCCACACTGAATAGGCACAGATCTTTCCTCCATAGCGGCCAATTCTGAGAACGTCAGTTCCATTCATGGACTTGTCTACAAGGCCAAGGCTTTTCTTACCAGCGGATCATTAGGATCCTCTGTTGGCTGTGGGACAAGGACAATGTGTGCATGTCGTCCTGTACCGTGCTTGAGCCCAACAGCTGCTTGTCCAGCTATACCTGCCGTTGCGTCGTCATGAAGGATGGCGGTGCCAGGCGTGTGTTCATAGCTCTTCTCGTGGAGGATACCAAATGTGCTCATTTTTCAGTCTCAGCAAGCAGCAGCACCAATGCACGGAGGACAACTTGAAACAATCTGGAACTTTGGACGGCCGACATTGTATTCATAGTGGCATCCGGAGTAGGATGAAAGCATCTACTCCACAACCCCAAAGCTTCGGCAAAGCGGTTCTCCGGCATCGTAATCCCAATGCAACAACAAGCGTTCGTCGAATCGTTCCTCTCCTTCAAGACATGGAAGAAGGTTACGAATGTGTGGAATCCGGCTCACTGGAGCCGTAACCTTCTCGAATTCGTGGGGTAAAGGTTCAATGAGGCTCTTACCCCATCAGCGCGTCGATCTGTCTTCATTGCTTCAGAGCCGCGTTTCTATGGATCTTCGTGCTGATGGACTTCGTCTCCGCGAGCTCATGAGACTCCTCGACCGCTGTCCGAGGCATTCCGGGTGTCTTAACCAGACCTTCACAATAGAGTATTCTCAATCGCATGGACGAAGCTTGGGATTCGATGACATGGACGCGACCGGTAATAATTGACACTGCTTCCATTGAAATCCAATTGCACTTCCAACCCACTGAGTCCATATCGGCATGTCCATCAACGCCTTATCGTACGCTTACCAGAAACAGTCATTGACCTCCTCAGAACTCCATGCCGTCCGTCCCAGTAACACCATCATCGTCTCTTTCTCGCTTGACACGAACCATTTCACTCTTGAGTAAGGACTTCACAAAACCGTCAAACAACTCCACGTAAGGCTTGAGACTGGTCTTTTCCCAGTCATTCAATTTCCTCATCGTGAGCCCATCTTCGACAAACCCATTGGCTTGGTTCTCGCCGTCGTCCGCGCCGTTCCCAAATTGGTCAACCTCCCGGAGCAGCTCATTGACTTTGGGCACGGTCAACGGATCGAAGGCCTCTGCGAGCTTCATGTCACCAGCCGCCGTGATGGGCACACAAACTCGTCCTGTGCCGGGATGCACCACAAAGGGACTCTTGAGCAAGTGAATCCTCTTCTTGCCGACTTCGACATCGAGACGTGGGTAGGTGTACTCGAGCAGGATGTCCTGCTTAGCCTCCAATAGAGCCTTTGTGTTGAGAGTTTTACTGACACCCGTTTCCGCAAGCGCATCAATGTCCGCCCATTTCCGCGTGCTGGGCCGATCGGGACTGCTCGCCCATTTCTTCGCGAGCGCCTCGTTGAGTGATCTGTCTGGCAGCAGCTGCAGTAACCGATCCTGACCAGCCTGTGAGAGAAACGGTTCTTGATCGACCAGGACCTGTTGAAAATATGGTCTCAAGATATCAAGACTGCGTACAATGTGAGGATGCAGTGGGCGCTTGAGATTGACTCTCTTGCCACCTTGTGCGCCACCCTTGAGTACCTCGAAGTAGCCTGTGATGGCTTTCCGCTTGTCATCGTCCAATTCTCGTGCATCCTTGTCGCTGATCCACGCGTGCACACCACGACGGCCGGAGTATATCCATATGATGTGGTCGAATCCGAAGTCATCCCTGAGTGCAACGTCCACAACTTTGATCGCCATGGTCGCAAAACCCCAGCATTTGGAGCATATGTTGGCCTTTGAGCAGCACGTTCGAATGTCGTCGTAGTCGGTCAAATCTATATCGAAGACTATCTCCTTGCTGAGGGGGCGGAACATCGAGCTCTTTTTCAAAGTCTTCCTGTCTCGGGGATTGGTTGTGTAGACGGGTCCAATCTCGAATCGCGACGGATTGTGCCGTAGAATATCTTTCCGCAGGGTGTCTGCTGTCGGGTAGGACTGATATCGGAGGTAGGCATCGTTGGGAAGAGTCAGGGCGAACTCGCGATTGGCAAAGTCCGGACCTGGTTTGGGCGAGTGATTGAGCCACTGGAAGAGGGTGCGGAAGGGAAAGAGGCGGGAGTAAAACTGGAGCATCAAATTGGGATCTGAATATGATTCCTGCTGCGCTGAAGAGGCAGGTTCAATGGATGAAGACATTGCCGGCTGTGGCGGTGATGAAGGTAGATTGGCGGCGCTGGAGGCTTCCAGCTCTTCATCCAGGGCGTCTGCATCGTCGTCGTCGAAGAGATCTTCGAGGGCTACGCCGTTCTGATTCGTAGTGCTATTTCCTGCGTCTAGAGATTCGTCTGCATTTGATAATGGTGGTGCATCAGGTAGGTCAACATCTTCGCCTCGTGCTGGTGAAGACGGTTCGCGAGGCGACGATGAGTCGGCCATCTTGATACCCATACTGGTAGGGTTTGTAACCTTTGAAATGCTGGCTGCGTGAAGTCTATGGAGGAAGGGCTGTTGGTGGTAAATGCAGTCGAGATGACTTTCGACGCGTGCACGAGGGAGGACGCGTGCCAGCCGACCAATTAAATGACCACTATTTAAGTGGTGGGTTTTGAGTCGAGACTCGATACGGCTCCAAAACACAGGTGACAAGCAATATTAACATGAAGACGTCAGAATAGATATTCCGTAAGATGCTTTTGATTTGCAATATTTGCTCAATTGGCCACCGCTAAAAAATTGGTATCTAGTTCATCTCAACTCCAAACAATTCAGAAATCATCAAATAGCCTCCCGGCCATGATGGCGGATATCAAGTCCAGAAAAGTATTGTACAGTACATCAAGATAGATTTTCCTTCACTTCGTTGGCATCGGAGAACGGGCCTGAATCGAACCTCAACAACTCTGGCTTTGTAGTTTGACTCATCACGCCCACATGCTGCGGATCTCTGGCGCGATTGATGGCATCCTCGATTGTAGTTTTGAGTGATGCACTATTATTGTGCCTGTGAGTTGGACCACCAGGTGCCGTATTCATTGCGTCTGGAGGCAAGATTGCGCTCACTGATGAAGACCTTGCTGAGTGATTCTCCGCAAATGCAGGCATGGGTATTGTGATCGGGGAAATGGGTGATTGCTCAACATTGCTCGTAGGGGTACTGAGATTGGAAGAGGAAAACACGACTTCTTTCTCATCGTCGTACACACGGATGGTGGTCTTCTCGGAGGGTGAGCCACTGCTCTGCCGGGCGGCCTGTTTCGCCAGATTACCGAGAGTAGGTACTCGGGTCCCAGAATTGGTCTTCTTCACCTCGATAGGTCGCGCAGTGACGTTTCTGGCGACAATCGAACTGCCCGAGCTGCCCATCTTGGACAGTTGGGGGATGTTTGGAGTTCTCGCACTTGGCGTCCCAGATGATCCCGGAGTACTCGACCCTGACTTGACGCTAACAACATTGGCCTGACCTCGGAAAGCTTGCTGCGCGGGTATAGGTGGCACGATGGCGTCACTTCGGTAGATGGTTGTAGCCACACTCTCACGAGCCAGACTCGGCGCGACACTAAACCTGGTATTGATAGAAGAGGCATCGGACCAAGTGGAATCCCTGAGATCTCCCGGCATGAAGAAATGCTGCTCCAGCTGTGGTGTTGATGCCGCAGAGTTGCCAGCCATGCCGCCAGGTATGGAGGGTACAGGTGGCACAAGCATAGCAGGAGATTCCGGCGGCGATCGGACTGTTACCCCGGGAATATATGCGATCTGAATAACATTGGATGCTCGTGTGAGAACAGTTGAAGCGATAGAATGTGCAGATCTGGTTGATCGTCGATCATTTCGGGCAAGGGTCGACTGATCTCTCTTCTCGGGCGGATCCCAGAGTTCGATGCGTCTCTTCTTTCGACCTCGATATCGGTAGACCAGGTACGAGAGGGCTGCAATAACCAAAAGACCTCCTATCACACCTCCCACAATGCCACCAATTGGGGTTGACTTCTTTGGTGTGGATTGACCAGGAAGCGAACCAGTCTTTACACAAGTTGTTGACGCGCATGCATCACATGACTGAGCTTTCAAGGTGCAGGTTTCATCTGAGGCACATGAAGGGCAGCTGGGAGTATCGGGAGGGCACTGTACACAGCGGCGAAAGAGAGTGTGTGGTTCTGATGGCAAATCTAGCCGCGAATTAGCATGCATCAGCGGCACAAGAGGTACGTAGCGTACAGTCTCTCGACGCCATAGTGGCGTCGTAATAAGGGCTTTCAAGATCGCCCTTAACAAATTCGACGTTGACGACTGGGAGGGCGAAGCTTAACGACAAGTGCAGAGTTTTGATCGGGATGAAATTCCCTCTGTTGTCGAGAAGATGTTCTCCCGGCTCTTCACCAAATTCCCAAGGAAAACCCCGATCCTTTGTTCCCTCTGCAATAAATTGCCAACAGCGGGTGGTTTCGAAACGAGTGTGAATGGACTATGTCCCCGACAAGCGATTGAATCCAATCGACCACGCAAGAGGTATGCAAGAGTAGTTGAGATTGGTGGACAGTGTCGTAACGATCGTCGCGGAATGTAGGAGAAGGAATGCGGGATCGGACGGGGAATTCTGCAGCGACTCGGTAGCGTTGCAACGAGATAGGAATTCCTTAAACGGTTGAATATAGCGATGTTAAAGATTGAATAGCAGTTGGTGAGTCGAGTTGAAAAGAATTGAAGTGAGGATGCTCGAGGAGGAAGGAATTGAGGAAGATCGCAGGTTGTGAAAGAGCGGGCAGAAGGTTTAGTTCTGGTTCTCGGCCTCCAGAGAAATCGGGATGGAGGTGGATTAAACGTGCTATGCCCAGCTTTGTTGAGGGGGACGCCCACTGATGCCACGAGTGGAAGCTTTTAGGCTTTGTGGGAGATGAAGGGGCGTCGGACATTGACATCGAAGCACTCCTGTTGGTGGACGCGTGGCAGGGCAAACCGAACCATGACCCGTCAAGGAAAAGTCTAGGGCTACTAGGCCTCCCTTCAAACAAAAGGAGAACTCCACGATGTCTCTCTCTCAATCACCACCATGTTGATGAGGGTAAACCTATCACACACGTTGATGCTATCCTGCTTGTACGATTGATGATAAATGTCCTTCAGATACGATGGCCATTCCTCGACCGATGCGAGGGATAATGCATCCGTTATCAATCAATGAGCGCTCAGAACAAAACGAGCTGGACTTTTGACAGATCAACATCATCATCTGCGAGATTAGTGTTTGCCATATTGACAGAAAGTCGCGTGAGAGGTGCATGCTGAATACTGGTCAACATGCAATCAGGGAATATATATGAGTTGATGTGTCCGCGAGTAACTTCTATCACCTCCTTCACAGGGATGCTTCTCGTGGAAACAGTGTCATCCATCCTTCAACGGACCGATGACATATTGATCAGACTTGTGGATGGCGCAAGCTGAGCGAACTGCTGTATACGCTTCCATGGTCAATGGATTGCGAGCCCATCACATCTCACTTGCAGGTTTTGAAGGGATCCGAATGATATTCTTCTTTATATGTTACACGTCCTCGTATCTGCAGCCTCAACATCTTCAGCTGAAGCCTCGCGCTCGACCATCATTTCAACAGGTGAACGATGAAGCACTCAGCATGGCATCTGCTGTGCCAATGTTTTACTCTACACATCATATCTGACTTGCAGGTGCGAAGTACTAAACCAATACATTTCATCACCGACTTGGAGGTTTCGGATTACTTGGAGTAGAAGATCCGTGGTTTGCCCTGATCTTCGGCATCTGCAATGGCGCGGGCGGAAATGTCCTGCACCGCCGAATGCCAGGTCTAAAAATGGAAGAGGCTGACTGTGTCGCTTAATCTGTGGCGCCATAGGTACTGGGGCTCACGGAATGCTCGTCTCAGAGTACTGCTCAAAAGACATATTACATTTTTGTCTTTGTGATTACGTGGATGCCATCTAGCTGAAGCCTCGACGGTATATGTCTGCGTATCTGGTAGAAAATGTTGCTGAAAGCAGCATAATCGTTCACTGCTTATACCAGCCATACACCAATGATGGGTAGCGAACCAAAAACTGCGGGGAGAAATTTGGCTTTCCACAGACATGAAACGCGACGCCCAGTCAGACCCTGTAGACGCCACTTTCGTCTAGTAGGACCCGTTGAGGCTACAAAATAATAATGGAGAGTTTCATGCCCCTGTGAAACCAGTACTTTTAGGTAGGTTCTAGCGGCCATCTTCCGTGGTTGCGTGTAAAGCACTATAAGATATCATGAGTGATAACGTAGCACATACTCAACTTGGAGCTGGAATGCTTGAAGTGGTATGTAGTAGCCATGGCCAGCATACTTGCTGATGAAAACAGCGCCTTGTTCGATAGCCGGTTGCGGAGTGGCTGAAGCCGACTCGGGTGCCGCGCAAAGGTCCAAAACCCAGCGTCAACACCAATCGCATCGATGCACAGCCTACGTCTCTTCGTCTTGACCGAAGCGTACCATCTTACAGCCTGATGATTGGCGTAACTTCTTGCTGTGGTCAGCGCGAATATAGTCTGTAAAACCAGATGTCCATCCTCAGGTCGAACATCCATTTCAGGGGGACAAGTTATCTCTTGTTCGAGTTGTAAAAACAGCCTGGCCTGCATCACGACCGCAACCAGTGGCAGGGATCAAAAAGAAAGACTTGAAACATCTGTATCCCTCCCTCCTCTTCCCTGTCTGGTTGACGTTACTCTCCTTCTAGAACTTGTCTGCTTAAGGCCTCTTCTTTGTTTGCTGCCAGTCCTTTCTTTCACTCCACCACCGCATCCGTCTCACCAGGCTTCCTACTGACCTAGCCCTTCACTCACACCAGGCCCGAATCTGGGCATCCTCATTTCAAACCAGATATCTAGTCCCGGTGGCTTCATCTCGGATTTCGCTCACTCCACTAGTTGATATTACGAGAAAGCTTTGAGGATCACTTCTACCTACCACCGCAAGCCAGGCTTGGAATCGGGAGTGGCCTACGGACCACCATGGACCACCAATATCCAGGTCACCAGCTCGGCGACGTTCCTCCGGGCAATGTAAGTGGAAGGACCTATTGCGGCGCCAGGCAATTCTAACACTTCATACAGACTTACAGACCAGCCGGTTACATCTCAGACGACGAAGCCGAACACTCTCTACTACACCAGAACTCCGCATATCAAGCACCCTACGACGATCCTCAACCTCGATCCCGGCCACTGACGCCAGGACAAGAGTCTGTGTACACACTGAACGAGTCATATGTCGGAGGAGATCCTGCAAGAGTGCCAGTCACCGGCTACAATCCGCAGCATACGCAACCGTATGGTCAACAAGGGGGCTACGGTAATGATTCGCAGGCACGCTTTCCTACACCAGGCCTCCCCAATCCGAGCGACCCTACAAACACTCCGGAAGCATGGGGAGAACGGCAGGCACCTGGCTATGGTACCATCAAGCGCTATGCAACCAGAAAAGTCAAGCTTGTACAAGGCAGTGTCCTGAGCATCGATTACCCCGTCCCAAGCGCCATTCAGAATGCCATTCAGTCCAAATACCGCAGTGACCTAGAAGGAGGAAGTGAAGAGTTCACACATATGCGCTATACGGCAGCTACCTGTGACCCAGACGACTTCACCCTGAAGAACGGATACAACTTACGACCCGCCATGTACAATCGTCACACCGAATTGCTCATTGCAATTACCTATTACAACGAGGACAAGGTTCTGACCGCTCGCACGCTGCACGGTGTCATGCAAAATATCCGCGATATTGTCAACCTCAAGAAGTCCGAGTTCTGGAACAAGGGTGGTCCTGCGTGGCAGAAGATCGTGGTGTGTCTAGTATTCGACGGAATCGATCCATGCGACAAGAACACGTTGGATGTCTTGGCCACCGTTGGTATCTATCAGGACGGAGTCATGAAGAAGGACGTGGATGGCAAGGATACCGTGGTTCACATCTTCGAATACACTACGCAGCTCTCCGTCACTGCCAGCCAGCAACTGATCAGACCTAATGACAACGACGCGACGTCTCTACCCCCTGTCCAGATGATATTCTGCCTAAAACAGAAAAACAGCAAGAAAATCAACAGTCACAGATGGCTCTTCAACGCCTTTGGCCGTATTTTGAATCCTGAAGTTTGCATTCTCCTTGATGCAGGAACAAAACCAGGCCCGAAATCCCTCATGGCACTTTGGGAGGCCTTCTACAATGACAAAGACCTCGGCGGTGCTTGTGGTGAAATCCATGCCATGTTGGGCCGTGGTGGTATCTTCGGCAGAAAACTGCTCAACCCCATTGTCGCCGCTCAAAACTTCGAGTACAAGATCAGCAACATCCTGGACAAACCTTTGGAAGCATCTTTCGGCTATGTGAGCGTGCTACCCGGTGCATTCTCTGCATACCGATTCCGTGCGATCATGGGCCGCCCTCTTGAGCAATACTTCCATGGTGATCACACTCTTTCCGCAAGACTGGGCAAGAAGGGTATCGAAGGTATGAACATCTTCAAGAAGAACATGTTTTTGGCCGAAGATCGCATCTTGTGTTTTGAATTGGTCGCAAAGGCTGGTTCGAAATGGCATCTGTCCTATGTCAAGGCTTCCAGAGCCGAGACGGATGTGCCTGAAGGTGCTCCAGAATTCATCGGTCAGCGACGACGTTGGCTCAATGGTTCCTTTGCTGCCACCATTTATTCACTCATGCACTTCTCGCGCATGTATAAGTCCGGCCACAACATCATCCGGATGTTCTTTTTCCACATTCAAATGATCTACAACATTGTCTCGGTCACACTATCTTGGTTCTCTCTGGCGTCATTCTGGCTGACTACGAAGATTCTGATGGACTTGGTCGGTCAACCTAGCACGCAAAACAACAATTCGGCATTTCCCTTCGGCGACAAAGCGACTCCTATTGTCAACACTATCCTGCAATACCTGTACCTGGCCTTCCTCTTGTTACAATTCATCCTGGCATTGGGAAATCGGCCCAAAGGTTCGAAGGTTGCGTACATAATCTCGTTCGCCCTGTTCGCTCTTATTCAACTCTATGTCATTGTTCTGTCCATGTACCTGGTTGTTCGAGCATTTACAACCAAGGATGGAACCGACATCGTCACGAATGAAGGCGCGAATGAGTTTGTCAAATCATTCTTTGCCTCGACCGGACCTGGAATTGTGATCATCGCATTGGCCGCCACATTTGGCTTGTACTTTGTGGCATCATTCCTATACCTCGACCCTTGGCATATGTTCACGTCCTTCGGCCAGTACCTGCTGCTCATGCCGTCTTTCATCAACATTCTCATGATCTATGCGTTCAGCAACTGGCATGATGTCTCTTGGGGTACCAAAGGTTCTGACAAGGCTGACGTCCTCCCATCGGCGCAAACCAAGAAAGACGAAAAGGGCAAGACGGCAGTGATTGAAGAAATCGATAGACCACAAGCAGACATCGACAGTCAATTCGAGTCCACCGTCAGACGAGCTCTGGCACCATTCAAGCCTCCTCAGGAGAAAGAAGACAAGACCTTGGAAGACTCTTACAAGAACTTCCGAACTCGGCTTGTCGCAACGTGGATTTTCTCGAACGCTCTGTTAGCAGTCGCCATCACGAGTGACAGCATTGACAAGTTCGGATTCAGTGTAAGTTTGCTCATATGTTCAATGAAAGGTCTGCTGACACGATTGACAGTCTCTTGCCACGACGAGAAGTAATCACTTCTTCCAGGCCTTGTTGTGGACTACTGCGGGCCTCTCTTTGGTTCGATTCATAGGATGTTGCTGGTTCCTTGGAAAGACTGGTCTACTGTGCTGTTTCAACAGAAGATAAGCCGCGACCACATGGCTTGAAAAAAGGTATCAAAGGTTGAGATTTGGGGTATTCCTCAGTGAGCCACACTTCACACCAAGCATGTATCGGCGTCTGCATTGGCTGGCCATGTACTACGGTCATTTCCATAGACAAAATGAGTGAGTAAATTGAGCGTTTTTGAGATAAGAGGTCACTGTCATTCACAGCCTTGCGGCGAAATTGCGGCGAAACAATGATCAACGCCTCCGTTCGGAGGAAGGCTGGACTATCCCGCTGCGTCATACAAGCCAACACAACGTGATAATGATCATCTACACTTTCGTCGCACTCCATTCAAACACTCTACAAGTCTAGACTCTCATCATTGGTGCTAGTCGTCTCGTCATTTTCAGCTTGTTTGTCTGCACTGCCTGTCCTAGCAACTACCCTGTCGCATAAACGGAAGAGGATCAGAAATCAGGCTGCGCTGTCCCACCCTCAGTTCCACCCGCTCTCCTCATTGGAAACCTCTTGTGCGCCTGGAATTGACGCAAGTTGATATCGATCTGCTATTGCGATCTCCTGCCCCTGACCAACCGCTGGCCGTTATCCGCCCGAGTGGCGAAACTTGGTCGTCAAGATGATGAAAATATGGTCTATGGTACGGGACTGTGCCCACGCGACTCACATTTGCTGACAAGACATTATAGAAACAACAACAGCAGAAGGATGAGCAGACACAAGGACCGGCGCAGAAGAAAAAGAAGGTCACGGCAGCTCAGTTACGGGTACAAAAAGGTCGGTCGCCACTATGCCAACCAAGTGTGTGTAATTGCTAATACTGTTCCAGACCTGAGCGAAGTATCTTTAGGATCTACGATGAAGACGACCTTTCCAAATCCAGATGATATCCTCAACTTCCAACTCACAATCGAGCCGGACGAGGGAATGTACAAGGGAGGCAGCTTTGTGTTCAATTTCACCATCAACCAGAACTACCCCCACGATCCGCCCAAAGTCAAATGTACCCAGAAGATATATCATCCCAACATTGACCTAGAGGGAAACGTGTGCTTGAACATTCTCCGAGAAGACTGGAAGCCTGTGCTGAACTTGAACGCGGTGATTGTTGGCATGCAGGTAAGGAAGAATCGCGCGTGATGCCGACCAATACTGAATACCATACAGTTTCTCTTCCTCGAGCCGAACGCATCCGATCCACTGAACAAGGAGGCTGCCGAAGATTTGAGGAACAACAGGGAAGGATTCAGAAGGAATGCAAGGACAGCAATGGGTGGTGGTGCGGTTAGAGGCCAAACCTACGACCGAGTATTGCGATGATTTGCACGAGACCTAAAACTACGCCAGACATGATTGAACGGAACCAGTTATACACGTTTGCGAATACTAAGCATTGCGGTCAAGGTGTTGAGGAGGTTAGAAGCGTCGATACTTGTCGTTTGACAATGACTTGCAAGCAAGCGTTTGCGGATAACAAACAGGCAAAGAAATCGACGTATCCAGCAAGATTCCATCATACGCAGTGGGAACAATATAAAAGTAGAGGAGATCTCGGCTGCACCGTACATCAGCCTTACTCACGGCACATCTAAAGGGTGGCTCTCACCGTCCCATTATTGTGGGTGGCCAGACCTGTATTCGGGGAGTCTAGGAGCACTCCGGCGCATTGGCCGCCATCGGAGCCAAGAAGATGACTCTGTGAACCAATGGAGAGATGGAGACGGAACTGCGCTGCAGCTCATTCACTTCGAGTAGAAGTACTAAAAATTTCCCCAGGCTTTTTGTAAATTCACAAACACCAGCTTTTTGAATCTCCTCTCCTTGTATATACCAATAGACAAGATGGCCTCAAAGACCTTCGCCAGAACCCTGCGCACTGTCTCCAAGCAGAAGATCACCGCTCCTTCGGTGCAAAAGCGCACAATTGTGTCTGCTCTTGCGACCAGACCAGTCCTCGCAGCAACTCAGCGACCTGCGTTCGCAGCTCCAGCTCAGCAACAAACGAGAGGTATCAAGACCATCGACTTTGCCGGCACAAAAGAGACTGTCTACGGTATGTTCAAGCAGAAGGTTATATTTTGGGAACATTGCTGACGTTATACTCAGAAAGAGAGGACTGGCCTCGCGAGAAGCTCCTTGTACGCCCAATGACTACCTAACCTGCTCGACGAGCCTCTGACAATGATTGTAGGACTACTTCAAGAACGATACACTTGCCCTCATCGGCTATGGCTCCCAAGGTCACGGTCAGGGTCTCAACCTCCGAGACAACGGCTTGAACGTGATTATTGGTGTCCGAAAGAACGGTGCTTCATGGAAAGAAGCAGAGCAAGATGGCTGGATCCCCGGCAAGAACTTGTTCGAGGTTGACGACGCCATCTCTCGAGGTACCATCATCATGAACTTGCTCAGTGATGCTGCCCAAAGCGAGACCTGGCCTGCCATCAAGCCTCAATTGACCAAGGGAAAGGTTCGTGGCCTCTAACTCGATTCTGCTTTTGTCACTGACTCAATTAGACTCTGTACTTCTCCCACGGTTTCTCCCCTGTCTTCAAGGACCTCACCAAGGTTGATGTCCCCACGGACATTGACGTTATCCTCGTCGCACCCAAAGGTTCCGGCCGAACTGTCCGATCCCTCTTCCGAGAAGGCCGTGGTATCAACTCTTCCATCGCCGTCTTCCAAGACGTCACTGGTGAGGCTAAAGAGAAGGCCATTGCGCTTGGTGTCGCCGTCGGCAGTGGCTACCTGTACGAGACTACATTCGAGAAGGAGGTGTACTCGGATCTCTACGGTGAGCGAGGATGCTTGATGGGTGGTATTCACGGCATGTTCCTCGCCCAATACGAGGTTCTCCGTGAGCGCGGCCATTCGCCGTCCGAGGCCTTCAACGAGACCGTTGAGGAGGCCACCCAGTCTCTCTACCCATTGATTGGAGCCAACGGTATGGACTGGATGTACGCTGCTTGCTCTACCACTGCTCGTCGGGGTGCCATCGACTGGTCCGTGAGATTCAAGGATACTCTCAAGCCCGTCTTCAACGACCTGTACGACAGCGTCAAGACTGGCAAGGAGACCCAGCGCAGCTTGGACGTCAACGGACGACCTGACTACAGAGAGATCTACGAGAAGGAGATGCAAGAGATCCGCGACTTGGAGATCTGGCGTGCCGGCAAGGCTGTTCGGTAAGTGTTTCTTGATTTTTCCGCGTTACTGAAGTCCAAACTGACATGTTCCAGCTCTCTGCGACCCGAGAACCAGTAAATTGCTGGGCGACTGTGCATTGTGATCTAGTCTGACGGGGCGTCCTGAAAAGTTGAACCTGTACCAAATGGTGGGCTGTCTTTGGTTTGATCGGAAACGGACTCTTTCTTCATACCAGCATTGAATATGAATGATTCCATTTCGCGCACAACTTTGTTCCCACTCTGAATATTTTTGACCCATGCGACCAATTGCCGACTTCGGAGATCTACGGCAAACCGCCGACCCAACTTAGTCAGTGTCTTTGAAGTACATCTCTATGCTTGACTGCCATATTGAACGTGCTCATCATATGTATATTGCTTGCTTGCTTTCCTGATTTGATGCCGCCCATCCTTCACTTTGCTTAAGTCTGCATCGCGATAGGAGTTGAGCCCCACAAGAAAAAGCCTTGACGAATCTATCTTTCAACTCGATTATATCAAGCCATCTGGTAAAGCATCTACGACATTGCTCGTACTTAGGTCGTCAGTCCATCCACCAGCTCATTGAGAATTGAATAGAGGATGGCCGACCCATCAACATGTCCGCCCCTGATCCCTTCATCAATCGCCACCGCGTACCAGAAAATCACGCCGTACATACACAAAACACCCGTGATAACCTCCAGTAGTCTCGATGCTATTGCCTCATCACCCAATCCTGCAGCGTTCTTGTCTGAGAATCCGCCGACGTTTGAGGAGACTGCGGCCAGTGTCAACCGCGAGACGACGCCCAGGTTCAGGCTGCACTTCAAATGTGAGAATTTTCAGAGGATCGGGGCGTTCAAGGCGAGGGGCGGGTTTCACGCCGTTACGAGGTTGATTGATGAGATGGGGGTTGAAGAGGTTAGGAGACGGGGAGTCGTCACGCATAGTAGTGGTATGTTATGTCCCGTTGTTATGTCTCGTTCGTCATGTGTTGTGCGTCGGTATTAGATGTTATACGACTCATATCGTATTTTCAGTGGTGCTGATCCTGAGCTAGGAAACCACGCACAAGCACTCGCCCTAGCGGCCTCAACATTCAATATCCCGTCGTACATCGTGATGCCGAAGATCAGCACGCCCTCGAAAATCGCGGGCACGAAACTATATACTTCGAACGTGATCTTTTCTGGTTCGACGTCTCAGGAACGAGAGGCCGTTGTAGCAGATGTGATCGAAGAGCACGGCGCGATTCTGGTCCCGCCATATGATCACCCTGATATCATTCTGGGACAGGGCACTGTTGGTTTAGAGCTTGAGGAGCAGATCGGGAACAGCAAGCTTGACGCAGTGATGACGCCTCTTGGTGGAGGTGGGTTGTTATCTGGTGTTGCGACGTGGTTCAGTGATAAAGAGACGTTAGTCTTTGGTGCGGAACCGAGTTTTCAGGGCGGAGATGATGGACGGCGCGGACTGCTTGAGGGGAAGAGGATTGAGCATGTTTCTACGTTGACTATTGCTGATGGACTTAGGACGCCTGTTGGATTCAGGAATTGGGAAGTTCTGAGTGATAGACGGAAATTGGAGGGTGTGTTTGCCGTGAGCGAGGAGCAGATTAAGATGGCGATGAGGTTGGTGTTGGAGAGGCTAAAAGTCGTGGTTGAACCGAGTGGGTGTGTGCCGTTGGCTGTTGTGCTGTTCAACCAGGAGTTTAGGGAGATGGTTGCTCAAAAACAGATTGGGATGGAGAAGGATGGGTGGGATATAGGGATTGTGTTCAGTGGTGGGAATACTACTGTCAAGGCTATATCGAAGTTGTTTGGCGAGGACGAGGCCGAGGATGATGGTAAGAGGGAGGCGGCAAAGGTTGCGATGGATGGAGGGACGAAGGTCGAGGATGTTGCTGGGTAGATAGATGAGGTCGATCCGTACTGCCTATGGTAAAGAAAGTGAGGCCGGGGAATAGATGAGAAGGATATTCTGAACTTGAGCAGTGAGACTGGAGATATGAGAGTCTAGACGACAGGTTCAGCAGAGGCCCTGACAATGACGTGCAGCTTCAACCAGCGATTGATTGTTCTAGGGTGTCGTTTGATCTCGATAATGTTGGCTATCATGGACAACAAGGCTGTGATCGAGCGGGGGAAACTCCATTCGAGGCTAGTTTCCGCTCTCAACCCAATTCTCGTCCGCGTTACACCGCCAAGCACCGCCCATCCAAGCCAAGCTTTTTGCTCTACCATACCGAAAAAAACGAAAAAAAGAAGACCGAAAACGGTAAATGAGCTATAAATGATCAGAAAAGTTATATACGCGGCATGAACGAGACATACAGGAGTGGGGTTCGAACCCACGCTTCCTTACGGAAAGCAGAGGATTTTAAGCAATATAATGACTTAAATCTGCCGCCTTAAACCACTCGGCCATCCTCCCCTGCGACGCTCGCGCGTCAAATTAGGTCAAAATTTCGCATACACAGTATATGAAATGTCTAGTTTAGGACGCCTAAAATGACGTCTTTCGAGGCCCTTTTAGGCATGGTCCAACGAAAGTTTCCCCCCTTCACGGCGTCGAAACGTCTCGAGTTCTGTATCGGCGGTCATCTTCAAGGCAGATCCTCTACAGAGGGAACTGCGACACGGATGATTACTGCTACCTGCAGATTATGACTGCCTCACCGATATCTCGACTCTTCAGCCGGTCGATCAATTCCTTTTCACTGATTTCGAGCTCGGTGCAAATCTCATCAAAGCAATGGCTCCCGTCGAGAAACTCGATAATCCTCGCGTTAAGATGACGATCACTGTCGCCCTTCCCAGACGCATCTCGAAAATGCTTCTTCTTGCCCCGAGACGACTCCTCAGTCAGGTTTCGTTCGCTCGACATGCTCTTTGTGAGCTGCTCGGTACCGTTCTCAGCATGGTAACCATGTGTTGCAGTGGCCTTATTCGTCCTGATGGCGTATCGATGCACACGATACAAAAACCCTTTTATGACCCCGAAGGTGATAAATCGGCGCATGTCGATATTGGCGAGCATGTTGGTGTTCTGGGCGTACCATTCTCGTACGGTCTGACCTTGCCTCAGATTGGCGAACAGCTGAACAATTCCCACTCCATCAATTGGATCACCCTTGCCCGTCAGTGGCCAGATGTCCTCGTCTTGCAAAGTTGCCAATGTGAGTCCGCTTGTCCTTCGGTCGGTCGCACTGTCGATAATGGCTTCTTCTTGTGCGGAAGGAGCAAATGCTGTGTTGACATATCGAGCACATTCTTTCTGCATCTCAACATCCTTGGTGATCATGTTGGAGAATTCAGCTGTCGGCGCGTAGATTGCGTTGAAGCCGAATATGTCGAGGAGTAGAACACATCCGTAGAACAATAGATGTTTGATGCATTTCTTGGTGAGTTTGACATCGGCGTCTGCCAGCATGGCGATTCTTTTGACGCTGTTGACTCCGTTGATATATGGTATTATTCGGAGCAGGGTCAAGTCCCAGTTCTCGTCTACCATTGTCTCAATCCTCACCGTGAACAAGGGTACGTGCCATGGCATTACACTGGCAGGGTTTGGCAAAGTGGGAAATAGCTTGATGTTCAGGGTGTTCAATTCGTCGATGGGTATCATACATTCACAGTAGTTATTCAAATCTTCCATCAGCATTTCGCACAGACTGTATATCTTGCCGGAATTCGGTGGTGCAGTATCATCACTCAGAAACCTTGACTGCTCTTCGAGACTGCGCATCAAGTGTGCCAATTTCTTGACGACGGACTTGTAAGACGTAACATCTGTAGTAGAGGGGTCGCCCAACACCAGGGCAAAATTGAAAATAAATTCATTCCGTGGATAGTGTGGAGATGTCAAACAAATAGGATGAGATAGGACCAACGTAGGTGGTGTGTTGGGTGTGAGAGGAGGCGGCGACAACGATATCAGGTTTCCACACAGAGACTGGCGAGGGATCAAGAAGCGCGATATGGTAGAGAAGGACAGGAGGGGAGTTGATGAAGAGGTCGAGGTAGGGCCATTGGAGGCGGCAAGTTCGGAGGTCGTCAGAATCGAGTCCTCGGGCACTTGGTGAAGGATCTTGGGGCCTGCAAACTTATCAGATGATGTACTGCAGAGTGAATGGTAGAGTATCAAGCACCTTCCTGAGGATCAAACTTGCTGTAGAAGATGGCCTTGATTGACATTGTGTCTGCCCGCAAACTACCCAACTTCAGGCTCTCGGGTATGCGACATGTTCCAGCTGAGAGTCGCATACGTCACTCGCTGGCCGTATCGCGGTCAAAAGCCTCATGGAAAGCCATGTGAGAGTCTAACATTGATTCCGAGGACGAGCATTGAAGGGTGTTTTCATTCTCGGACATTTTGAGACCGAGCGCGACCTCGATTCCGCACTCTAGAAAAATGACGTCGAGGACAGGGGTGATAGGGGCTTCTTCCGCCATTGCAGGCCTCTTATCCGCTCATAACGTTGACCAAGTGCAATCTGACAAAGCTACTCGCAGAATTTGATACATTCCGCCTTCATCCTATCGACTCTTAGTTCCAAGTACTACTTCCAAATACGTCCGACAACCAGAAACCTTCAGATTCAAGAATGACTATTCGTCGGCACAAACCCGGAAAATGAATCGTCTGTACTGCCGTAACAGCAGCCCCCTTGTTTCGATCCATCCAAAGTCCTCTCTGGTAGGTTTTTCGCTCTTTGACACTGGCGCAGCATCTGAAGATGAGCACAATGTGGCCGAGACCTCCGGTAGGGAAGCAAGCTTTGCAGGCATATATATTAGGCGAGATGCTGGCCATTGATGCTACTTACCAAACACAAGCAATAGCAGAACAGCTACAGAAGATACAATAGCAAGCATGGACCCGCTTAGCAGAGATCTCATTCGTGCCGAAGTTGATGCCAATGTCAACCGATCAGACACACTATCATACATTGCCACGCATGGTCCCGACATTGAGAGAGACTGGTCACATTCAACCCCATCTGCACCACAGACCAGATCCCACAATCAACTAACTCACGCGGACACGGTATGACTTTCCACTATTGGTTTAGGACTATGACTGATGCTCTTTCCAGTATGCAACGTACAAGTCCCAACAGTCTCAACGTGGACTGCACCCTGTCGAGGTGGATCGGATCAGCCGACAACGAACGCAGCATCAACAAATACTTGGCCGTCGACCGTCTGCAGGTACACGACGACGATCAACTGCCACCGTCACCACAGTTACAACACTCGGAGCAGGTAAACCCCTTCCTCCGATCGACGACAAAGAGGAGTTCATCGTCGAGTTTGATGGAGTTGATGACCCAGAACATCCGCAGAACTGGGCTTTTGGGACAAAGTATAAACACACCTTGTCCGTTGCCTGTTAGAGTCTAATGTTGACCTCTTCATAGAATCATCATGTCCATCATCCTCTCATATATCACCTTCTTGGCGTCCTTCGCTTCAGCCATCTACTCACCCGCCATCGGTCAAGTATCGCACGAGTTTCACGTCAGTACCGAAGTCGGCGTCCTGGGACTCTCATTGTACGTACTGGGCTTCGCCTTTGGCCCTATCCTTTGGGGACCCTTGTCAGAGATTCTGGGTCGCAAGAACCCTCTACTAGTCGCCATGTTCGGGTTTTCGCTATTTGCCGTGGCTGCCGCAACCGCGAAGGACTACCAGACCCTCATGCTCACCCGATTTTTCAGTGGCTTCTTCGCCGCCGGCCCACTTGCGATAGTGCCTGCCTGCTTTGCCGATATGTACGACGACAGCCAGCGTGGCATTGCGATCACCGCGTTCGCTATGGCGGTCTTCGTTGGCCCATTCGCAAGTCCTTTTACGGGGGGCTTCATCACAGAGAGCCACCTCCATTGGCGTTGGACCATGTACATTGCTAGCATCATGGGCTGGCTCGGCACTTTCTTGATGCTGTTCACGCACGAGACGTACCCTCCGACCATTCTCGTCACAAAGGCTGGTCACATCAGGCGCGAGACCAAGAACTTTGCCATCCATGCCAAGCAGGAGGAGATCGAAGTTGACATGGCCGAACTGATCAACAACAACTTTATGCGGCCTATTCGACTCTTATGCACCGAGCCCATTGTCTTCCTTATCACCTTGTATATGTCATTCATCTACGGCCTGATATATCTGTTTCTGAGCGCCTACCCACTCATTTTTTCGGGTGTCCACGGCATGAGCCTCGGTGTTGGTGGATTGCCGTTCATTGGGCTCATTATAGGCCAGCTGTGCGGCGGCATTTATATCATGATCGACCAGATACAGTACAAGAAGAAACTACAAAGGAATCATGGCGTGCAAATTCCAGAGTGGCGCCTTCCGCCGGCCATTGTTGGCGCCGTCTGCTTCAGTATTGGGCTCTTCTGGTGAGCCTTCCTTCCTCCGGGAGAGCTTCCCTGTGCTGATATCTCCTCTTTTAGGTTAGGATGGACAGGCTTCTCCAAAGACATCCACTGGATGGCTCCTACAGCCAGCGGCGTCGTGACCGGCTTTGGCGTCTTGTGCATATTCCTGCAGTGCTTCAACTACCTAATCGATACATACCTCATGTTGTAAGTTGGCACAGTTGTTGGCTTTTCGAACCTAGCTAATACTCTGCTCCAGTGCCGCATCAGCCATCGCGGCGAATTCACTGCTTCGATCCTTCTTTGGTGCAGGTTTTCCTCTCTTTGCCACTCAGACGTTCAACAACTTGGGCATTCAGTGGGCCGGCACACTGCTTGGATGCCTTGCTGCTGTCATGATACCCATTCCGGTCGTCTTCTACCTCTATGGTCACAAGATCAGGTCATGGAGCAATATCTCCAAGACTACGGAACAGGAAGAAGAGAACAAGGCCAGTTTGGAAAAGAAGATGGAGGTTTAGAACGAGCATATAACGGGATTGGAGCTGGTAGGTTTAAAGGCACTGTGGCATGCGATGGGCCTTCGAGAGTCGAACTCTGTTTGCTAGGAATAACTGCATCCCCTCTATCTCAGCTATCTGAAGACAGCAGCGAGGCTGAATGGCTCTAATGCATAATGAGTGACGGAGATCTGTGCTTCACTTCTACCATTTGCACTGAGGTTTGTTGAAGACTATGATTGTTTACTGTCATCATGCCCAACAGTGGGCTTCACTCATCGTCTCAGGCAGTGATATCGACCGTCACAACAAATGGACATAAATATCTTTCAGATCAGCCTGAAGCTTTCTTCTTCCACACTTTACCAACACTACCACCACCATCATCATCGATATCCTTGTCTGATTCTCACAGTCAACATCCTGCAATCCAGGTATCAAGACCTGCGGCTTTCTGCACCATGCCTTTGCCTTTTCCTTTCCACACCATCGACACCAATGCGACATCCTTTGGGCAGTACTTGAGAGATCAAATGTCAAATCCAGGATACGTTGAATACTCGTACACAAGAACCAGTCCACACTCTCTGCCCCACTACTCCCGCCCTTCGGAGAGTAGATACCCACCACCCTCAAGCTCACGAAGATACTCACCACCCCCGAGCTCACGAAGATACGCTTCACCACCAAGATCACGCAGATACTCTCCGCCTCCCACCACCAGAGCTTCAAGACCATACTCACCACCACCCGTCTCAAGAAGCACACGACGACACTCACCACCCCGAAGCACAAGAGGCACACAACGATATCCATCACCCCCAAGCTCGGTAAGCTCAAGAGTATGGACACTACCCAGCTCAAGCGGCTCACGACGACACTCACCACCCGCAAGATCAAGAAGATCCTCACCACCTCCAAGCTTCAGAAGAGGTCCGTCTTCGAGATATCGCGAATCCTCCTTCGACAACCGTGGCGGCCCGTACATGTCTGGAGGACTAGGGCGTTCGCCACCACCACCCACAAGACCATCACGAAGACCATCGCCACCCCCAAGCTTCACAAGAGGCTCGTCTTCGAGATATCGCGACTCTTTCGACACCCACAACACTGCGTATATGTCAGGAGGCTCAGGCAGACCGCCAAGTAGGGACGAGTATTCATGCTGTGCTGATGACTATTCATGCTGTGCGGATGATTACTCAAGCATGTCTTGTCAGGAGCTTGATGATAGACTCGAAGCACTCCGGAGGAGGCTGGGGAGACTCTAAAGTGGATGATGTTGATCAACGCAGTATGAAACATCTCGAACAAACATAGTAAAACCGGGCTTCCACACGGATGCCAGATGTACTGACCGTGGAACAGACCGCCACAGCTGAACGATGTATTGGGTTTGCTGCGATGGGTACCGGAAAGCCTGCCCTCAGGTTGACCGCAGACAGACTGGAATGTTGCACGAAGGACTTTTTGATCAAGTGGAAGGGCTGCCGATTGGGCGAAACGGAATGGAGAAGGTTTCCAGGGTGCTGCCATCGACTGTGAATTGTGCTGAATGGAATTTCATTGGTTGCTGGGAAGATGGCTGCATTGTACCGCTGGTGTAACATGGCTTTGGGCAAAGTTTTGTGGTACATCAGATCAGGATCAGCTATGAGTGTGAAGAGTACTTAATCTCCTGTAACAACTAGCATAGGACAATCCGTACCTCAACGGTGCTCATGCTCGGTTCATTCTTTGTCACTTCGCTCTCCAACATGGCTGACGATGAGTGGTATTATGGACGTCGACGAGTCCCGGTCACCAGAGGCTGGGGCCCGTGTAAGAGAACTCACTGGGTTCCTACCAATGAATATTATTCCGGCCGGAATCCACGACGAGTCCAAGCATTCTTTAGAGCGGTGGGCATCGACCCGGATGCTCAATTCGAGAGACACAGAATACCCATTATATACCTCGACGACGACGACCAGGTCCCCATGCAATATGCAGGCTTCAGGGAGCGCGGGCCAGGAGATCCGAACTGGCGGTACTACCCTGAAGGTGGAGGGAATGGTGCGCTCCCTGGGCAGAACCCGATGCCTTACGACGCGAGGAATCCAATCATAGCTGAGGCTCTGCAACAGAGGGAGGAGACGAGGGCACAACAGCATAGAGACAACATCAACCAAATCACCCAGCAGATCAATGTGATCGATGGTCGATATAGGGACCATATCAACACGTATGAGGACAACATGCGAGGTGGCATTGTTGACCCTGGAGGACGTCTCGGTGACCTACGTAATGAGATCTCGCTGCACGAACGTTTGGAAAGGTTCCGCGAGGACGATAACAGGAGACATGCTCGGGTAGTCGAAGATGATATTATTCGGCAGCATGAACGGGATATGAGGAGATGCCACCATCACCATCATCACCACCACCACAGAAGGTGCAGTGGATGGTGAAGCTCGGCTGGATTTGATCCTGTAATCAGGTAGTGTTGAGTTGAGGTTGTTTGATGATTAGAATGACTGATGAGAAAATATCCACGTACCAGACTACACCTTTCGATATCTGATTTCGGATTTGTTGAAGTCTTCTCGGTGCGGCCGACAGTGACCCTGTCGCTCTTCTCCGTCAGAGGGCGTGAGTATCCGTCTATCTTACTTTATATATCCACCAACTGTGTCCACCTCAACTCGCATTCAAAAAGCCGTTGGGATCCTTCTTCTTTCTGATCATTCGAAACTGTCAATTGTCCAGCTACACGTTTAACTCACAACAATGGCACCCAAACAACCCATCACCTCCGAAAAGGGCATCAAGTCTCCTTTGTTCAGTCAAGCCATCGTCCACAATGGAACTGTCTACTGCTCTGGAAACGTCGGTATTGACCCGTCAACCATGAAGGTCGTTGAAGGCTCTGTGGCAGACCGAACGGTAACATCAACCTCCAACGTGGTAATGTGATTAGCGACTAAAACGCAATAGACACAAGTCTTCGAGAACATCAAGAATGTCCTCGAGGAGGCCGGAAGCAGTCTCCAAAACATCGTCAAGATGAACATCTACTTGACGGATATGGCCGACTATGCTGCTATGAACAACGTCTGTGCGTACAACCCATCCTCATCCGGAGTAACCACATTCCAGTCTACTGACCGAAAGCAGTCCTCGCAACCATCCCGGATCCCAAGCCAGCACGTACCTGCGTCTGCGTCAAGGAACTCCCAGGCAAGACCGATGTACGTTCCCCTCAGCTAGAGTTTCCAAATCGAAAATGCTAACCTTCGTCAGGTCGAGATTGAAGTCATCGCACATCTGTGAGGGCATGTCAAAAGCCACTGATGAACGAATTCACCGACTAACTCTTGCCAGGAATGAGGAATCGGCGTCCAAGCTCTAGAACAAAAGTGCCACCACTATCATGTCTCTGGTCGTTCGGAACTTTTAAGAAAGGCTCTCCAATGAGTCTTGCCAACTCTTTGCTTGAAGACGAGTCTACAAAAGCAACGGTAGCGGCACAATCAACAACAATGACAAAATATATGCTTATCAACGCAAACGGGCTTCCAACAACGCTTTCATTGTTCCTTTTGCCGTTTCGTGCCTCTCATACTGCATTCATCCATCAGTCCCAATGCCCACAATATATGGCCCCCTATGTCTCTTGCGAGTTTTGCTTTCGTTCTCGGTTTATGCTTGATCTCCTCCTTCTCACCCTGTCGAAGACTCGAAGTGTCCCTTACATTTTGTGCTGAGGCTTACGTACTCTCTCGCTGAAACATGTCGGACTTACCCATAGCTAAACGGCTCACAAGAGCCTCGCCATACAGGAGAACGAGCCCACCAGACTCCGCTACGACAGCAACAGTATCCGGCAGGCCAGGCACGCCGACACGAAAATCGTATGCTGGTCGAACACCTCGCAAGGTGCTGAAGAAGAAGAACGCACAGTCCGCCAAAACCAAGAAAACGGTCACCTTCTCGCCAGAGGAACCCAGTGCGGCAGACGATAAAGGAGCCAGGGAGACTACACCGACGCCTGCTGAACAGACTGGCGATGTTACTTCTCCCTCTACTCATAGTTCCGAGGAGACTACCTCTTCGCGCTCCATTAGGTCTTCTCGGCTTTCTTCGAGCCCGACAGCCTCACGTCCTGTGACCCCACTTCGAGGTTTGCACCAGGCTCCTACGATCAGAGCCAACCCGACACGATCGTCTTCAGCCACGGGCGCGGCATCACCAAGTAATTCGTCTAGCCTTGGTTCCGTACGGACGCCTCCGCTGAACCGTTCGCCGCGGACTCCCACACCAAAGCGCCCTGCTGGAGAAGATAACGCAAGTCCTTCTCCCAAACGCCGGCGATCAAGCAACTCATTTCGCCCACCCTCCGCTGAGTCGGATCAGTCAACAAGTGCCAATGAAGAACGACAAGCGGAACAACCTGAGGACCAAAGCAGAAGATATTTCACAACCCACGACGCCGACAAGATCTTGGATGGGGTAGCGATGAACCCGAGGCCATTGAAACTGGATGAGATAACGGCTGTCTTCTGCCGCTTGCAAGAAAGAAGCTTCAACTTCGCCCTGCAGTATTTCAGCTTCCATCTGACAGATGAGGAGAAAGCTGCCTGGCCTATGCATGCCTTCGGAGACAAGTATCGCTCCCTCTTTTTGATCACTCAATATCTTGCCGACGCCAGCCACTGCGGATGGCGCGACTTCTTCACGAAACCAGAACACCGCCAATCACTCATCCACGGCATCTTGGGCGAATGGTTCAAGCAGCGCATCTTCAAGATCCCAGGGTTTGGTCTGCCTGGAACCGCCATCGACTCTTTACAAGCCATCGACCACAAGTATATGCACTACGACGGCATTGTCCGCAACAAACAAAGGGCAGCATACCTCGAATCGGCACCGTGGAAAATGGATGGTACCCCAAACACGTACGCTGAAAGCGTCGAGGCTGCTTCGATCCAGCTGGCGAGACAATTGATGAAGCAAATCAGGCCGCTCCTCCCGGCAGGAAATGATGTCCGTATGCAACTTTTCAAGTCTCTCGTTGAGCTGATCAAGCTCATGGCCGGCGTGTCAACTTCGATCCGCATGGCCGGCATCGACGGGACTATCGTGCGTTTTGCACCACACGTTCCCAGAGGCACAGAACTCTGCGAGGATCAAAAAGACGACTATATCTGCGTTAATGCCCCTTACTGCCAGATGACTCGACCGGCACGAGGTCCAAGAAGACTAGAAATCAAAATGACGTGCTGGGGCCGACTCGAGGCCGTCAAGCCTCGTGGACCCGATCGTCTTGACATGGAGACTTTCCAACGCAACAAGCAGAAAGTGCTGCCCGAAGGCACGGAATTCAGGTGGGAAGACTACGAAGACCAAATCTTCCCTGTCCTACCCGCCGATCAACAGAAGACTCCTGAGCTTGCGGCCGCTGCCGCTGCTGCCACTCCTCAACCAGACGGAACAGAATGGGGCCGCCAGCTCGCAGAATGGACTGCAACGGGGGTCAAGAACCACAAGTACCCCAACATTGATACGGATACATACGGCAACGAGGCTCCCAAGCCCGAGCGCGGCTCCTTCGTAACGTACTACCCTCGTGTAGCACCACCAAACGTCTACTGCGCATGGGCTCCAGCCAGGCGTCCAAGAATACAATTCCCAGATCTGGGCAATAACAACGACGCTACAGTCCATGGGAGTCTAGCCGAAGCCGTCGACGCCGCCCGTCGGGCCCAAGGCCTGACCACCATCATCCAGGACTTTGGGGTTACCAGTATCAACACGATCAGGTACTACCGACCTCTCGAATGGATTGCCGCGCTGAGTCTCGGCGCTGGCGCCCTTGCGGCGGCTCATCATCACGGTCTCATACCGACGTCGACAAACGATATATCCGAAATGGCCACCCATTTCAAGGCCAGTCTGGGCCAGTCTGTGTCTGAGGCCCAGCGTCACGTCAATGGTCTTGCTTCATGGCTCAAGCACGCTCCAACCAAGGGCTTCAGGGCCGTAGAACAGCTCGCTGCATCCGCTGCATCGGCGTTGATCCCGACAGCAGCCACCGCAAGTACATTTACCTTGACTGCCACGGTGACAGACTGGACGACGACGACGGTACCCGGGCCGCTGTCCGCGACTCCCATGATCCTGGCAGAGCTCGTCGGGGCAGATAATATCGACGGCGTGTACCCTATGTACGCTGAGACTGTCTCACCTGATGACCCAGACTACGACTGGGTTCAGGAGAACCTGGCCAGGGATGCCGCTGTCGCACGGGCACGAGCGATGCAGATTGCAGTTTAGGCTAGTCGTAGAGCGTTGGCATGTAGCGGGGATAGTTGATCAGTGGTGGGTCATGTTTGAATGCTTGAAGATCAATCTCAATACTGCAGGACGCGTCATATTACCTCTACATAAGTCAACTGAGCACACACTTCTCCTGAAGGGCCATTTCTAGAGACCATTGTTCCAGTCGGCCAAAGTCCTTGAGTGAGCACCAGCCCTAGACCGTAGGCATACGCACAACATCTTCTGATCCCACAAATCCAATATCCAGGAGCTCATTAACTTTTCGATGTCTTCATCCAAGAAGCCAAAACCTGCTCACTCGCTGCATGTTCACATAGTAAATGTCTGACCAATCTCAGACGTGCAAACATCCCAGACACCGAATCCGCTCCCTCACTTATGACCGTACTGCTCAAGAACCTTGTTCACGAGACCTTCCATCGTAGCGACTTCTTTCTGAACCTTCAACCAACCGACCTCCGCGCGCGCCGCCTCCATCCTCGCTTTCTCCATGGCCTTCTCGGCATCTCTAGCAGCGCTGACGACTTCCACCATACATTTTGAAAGCTGTATGAGATGCTTCTTACGCTGAGTATCAATCTCGACATGCGCGAGGTCAAGCAGGGCGTGTGTCAGGGTTGTCGCATTCGAAAGAGATGGTGTCACCGGAGTTGTTGGAGATTGAGCTGACAGCACAGGCAAAGGCGATGACTTGACTTCAGGATGTGGATCCGGTGGGACAGTTGCGGTGAACGGAGTCGTAGGGCTGATGAAAGGATTCGGAATTGCTTTGCGTGTACCTCTTCTGTTAGGATTATGAAACAAGCGATTGGGCTCAGCGCGCTCTGTGCCTGACTGGGCCGATGTCAACGGATTCGCCGATTTGTTCTCTGGTACTGGTTTGCGACGCACAGAGCCTTGGCTGCCAGCACTGTTGGTGTGCATAGTTGACTCTGTCGAACGCTTATGAAAGAGCCCTCTGATATTGGAAATTACCTTCCTGCTGCTTGACGACGGCGTATAGGAAGGTTTTCCCCAGACCTTTTGAGCCTTGGAGGAATCCGTATGGGGACTGACGCTTTGAGCAAACGTCTTCACATTGTTGGGTTTCTGAATAGTCTCCGGCCGAATTCCATACGCCTTGGAAGCTTGTTGTGGGAAGAAGTTGACCGATAGAGTTGGAGCCGGGGGTGAAACCACAATTGGTGGTGGCTTGGGTTTCCTCGAGGAATTTCGAGGTGGAAAGGTCATACTTGGTGCAGCTTCTTGCACAACATGCCCGGAGCTATCGACGTTGTTGCCAAGAGCCACGCCCGAGAGCTTTTCTTGTTTGGCGCTCACGTCGTTGGGTTCTTGGAACAGCCAAGGTGCAACTTCTTTGCTTGGTGGAGCGTGGCTAACTATTGTTGAAGGCCTTGAAGGAACAGATGCCGGACTTGCAGTGCGTTTGACTGCTACGCCATCGGTCTGAGAACAGTCTATCCCTTTGCGTTGACGACGTGTTGGTGAGTCGGGGCAAATGTTGAGGTCAGCAAAATCCTTGCCAGGCCAGTCGCCTTTGGCGCAAGCAGGGCTGCTCCGATATTCAGACGATACTCGACGTGATGCTTCCCAATTGGCCAGACTTGTCTTCGATTCGACGACTGACGTGGTTTCCCACACCACATCACTACCTGGTAATTCTGCAGGTGCACTTTCCGCGGCGGTCTTGTTGTTCCCGAGCAGGCCGTGAGAGTCTTCATCTTCTTCGAAGTTCTTGAACGGAGCTGGAGACCGATCTGTGAGGCTTCTTGCGAATGACAACGGGCGTGTAAAGATGGCACTTGAGCGTCGAACCTCTGCTTTCACATGTGGAGCCTCACGAAGACTCGGTGCACTTGTCTTGTGTTTGATACCAAGATTGATGTCGCGAGCTGCCAAAGGACTGCCTCCTGTTTCATTGCCCAGGAGGATACGACTAGCCGAGTCCGCGATGCGTAGTGTTGGTCCATCCATGTGGCGATTGCCGAGTTGTTTGACTCGATATCCACCGAATGCATCGTAGCCGTGCACTGTGAGCCCTGAGTCGTCGCTTCCGATGATTGACTCATCATCGGTCGGAGCAGGCGTGGATAGCACTTCTTGAACATCGAGGTAATGCTCATGTGCAGTGTGCACGTGTTGCATGCCCTCGTCGTTGCCATTTGCGTCACCTGCACCCAGTGGAGTAGGTCTTCGAGCTTCGTCCGCATTTTCACTCTTGTCGCTGTTGTCGATGATATCAACCGGCAGATGTGGTACATCTTGCTGGCTCAAGGCCACCATCAAGTCGTCCGATTCTGACTCTGGATGAAGCATGTGGCTTGGTACCGGAAGTGAACTTTCACGGAATGTCTTTCTGCACACGTCACCCTGATATCTGTATGCATGGGGAACGGGTAGTCTATTGGCGTCTCCGGTCTTGTGCGTTGAATCACGTCCGGGGTGCCTCTCTGAATCGTGGTTGAGTTGAGCAGTGTCTCGCCGTCTGATCAATGGGGACGGAATAGTGTACGGTGACCCACGAGGCGTCACTCCAAGGCGGCCACGAGAATTCGAACGTACGGGACCACCTGCTGTGGTGTGACTGAACTTCCGCACAGGGGGTGATGGTAAGCTTTCACGAATGGAGCCCAATTGATTGTAGTCGTCGGGCTTCTTTTCGCCGGAGTCCCATGTTCTCTGGCCTACGGAGGGACGCAGACGCAATCTTGACGTCTTTGTTTGCCGTATGACAGGAACGTCGTTATAGCGAGCAAGGGACTGAAGCATTGAATCGCGTGGCTTTGGAAGTTGGCTCGAGGATAAGGGACGAGTAGAAGTGACGACCGACACAGACTGTGCCTCACTGCCAGGGACACTGGGCGCAGCCTTTTCATAGCTCGTCGTAGACTCAAACTCATCGACATGATTCTTTTTATCTGGCTCCACGTTTCCCTTCTCCTTGTCGTCCAGGTGCAGTCCTCGCATGCCTTCGATGAAGCTTTCACCCAGGCTAGGCTTGACTGGCGATTGCGAATGCTCAAACACGGGCATCTCATCATGTTTTGAGGGTTCGATTGTCGGCCATTCTTCTTCTTTTACGGGACCTCCGTCTGGCGGCGACACTGAGCGTCGAAGCGGACGTTCTTGACAGTCGATGAGAGATCTTCGAACAGGAGATTTGACCTTGACCGTCGCTATGGGAAGGCTGGGCAATGGCTTATCCTTCGGGCTAGTACTAGGGCTGGAACGGTCGATAGGATCGTGTTTCTGAGGTGGGAGTCTGACCTCTCCACCATCTGCGGCAAATCGTGATCGAATCTGAAATTCTGGATTTAGTGGTAGGGTCACATGGAAATGGGCTACATGGCTTACAATGAGTTTTCGAGGGGTGCCCTGTGGAACGGCGTCTGTATTGAGCTCCATCTTCTTGCGCTCCCTCGAGAAGCTCGGCTTCTCTCTCAGTTTTGAAAACCTCAAACGCTTTGAGGAACCGCCAACCCAACCTCGTCTCTTCTCCTTACGATCTGCAGCGTTTGGTGATTCAAACAATGGTACAATCATGGGTGTAATTGGACTGGCTGTATTTCGTGTCGAGTTCGAGGAAATGACAGAGTCAGGGTTGAGCTTAGGCTGATCAGTATGAGAATGACTTTGAGGAGTTCTTTCCCTGGTGCGAAGACCCGTTGGCCTCAAAGGCCGAGGGAAGATGGCGCTGTCAGGAGATTCAAAAGGCTCTCTCCGAGCAGACATGTTTTGATGACAATGACGAGTCAAGCCATTGATACTCTGAGAAGGATTTGGTTTGATCTTTTTTGATTGAACCGCCCGTTCGAAGTGAAGTGGTGTATTTGTTTTGGAGGTGCGGCGAAAAGACTTTCAGTCACTGCTCGAATAGCGGTGGGCAGTCTTCCAAAAGAGGTGCGGTAGAACAGCCTTGTTGTCACATTAAGTCTTCGCGATATCATCATCATCAACAGCCCTTGTTCTTTTGGTACTCGTCCACTCAAATACGGCATGGCTTGGACGTCCTCAATTGTTGTTAGGACTCAGCGTGCATAGAATGAACCATTGGCGACAGTCCCTCCATGCTAGGAGAGGTATTGATCGACGTATCAATCATTATCATCATTGCCGGAATTCTGTCCCTTTCCAGATTCCTGTTTGAGCTTACTGGCTTCGTATTGCTCCATGTTTCGGCCCCTCCATTGTTGTCCTCCCAAATCGTCATCCCTCAGTCTTCCAGCCTCATCCATTTGGATTCCTTGATCGTCGGCCAACGCTTCCAGCCTCCGTTGCTCAAGTAACATGTCCTTGAGGTAATCAGCGGTCTTGCCGAGCATGACTTGTTCACTACGTTCTTGGCCCATGGCCCCCGGAACCATGTGCGATAACTCGGTGAAGCGCTCCCGGATGGCGGTTCTACGCTTGTTCTCAGCATCTTTGTGGTTGAAGTTCTTTTGGGAAGCCGTCAGTCGAGGTTTAGACACCTTGGAGGACTTCTTTGCAGAACTGGTCTTTCTGGTTGTACTGTTCTGTTGAGATTCGGACACTTCTGACGACCCTCGAGACGACGGAGCCGATTCAGTTGCATCTTCATTTGACATTCTGAACGCCTTTTCACCCTGGGTTCTGGAGACAGTGAGTGACGTTGGCGTGCGTCGAAGATCGACTGATGACTGCTCCAAACAAGAGGTCTGCACAGGTCAGAAGTGCAAGGTCCAATGGAGGTATCAACCCCTTCAGGTGAATTGTACAGCAATCGTTAACGAGAGTGTCGATGTGAGAGAGTTGGAAAGAATGACAAAGAATTGACTAGATGTTACAGCAAGAGACACAGGGAGAAGAGTGACACCAACCAGGTGGTGGTGCGTGGTCTCCAACGAGACCCTGAAAATAAGTGACGTGCATTTTGTTCTTTTGTTTCCGCATCTTGGAGATTCATCCCGCAGTTTCTTCCACCATCAGACCATCATCCGGTGCTTCCACCTCACAGAAGCGTTTTATGTCAAACACACTACTCTAACATGTTCCCTTGAATCTACCGGAGTTATCAAAGCTAAGTCTCCTTCGTCTCTGCAACCCAAACAATGAGCAGATCAAGGCCCCTCCAGGGCGCCTGCAACTGCGGCCGAAATCACTATGCCATCGTCGTCCCCGAAAATGCTAAAGAACAGGCCCAAGTCTTCTTCGATGACAGCAGTGAGAGCAGTGAGTAAAGTCCAGTCTAAGCCTCCCGGTCAACAGTGCTCAAAGATGTCTCAGGACGGAGTCAAGCAACGCCATTGACAGCATGGCTCAGGGTGCCATTGACGTGGTACTCATCCTCAACTCAAGCATTCTTCCCCGATGAGACGCACTCCTCCATCAGACGCACCTTCAGCCCTTTACACACTCCTCATACCCAGCGAATCTTTTGCGGATACTGTGGAACGCATCTCTCCTTCTGGTCCGAACAGCCTCCTTCCGAAGCAGACTTTCTGAACATCACTTTGGGTAGTCTCGTGAACGACGATATTCGTGCACTTCAAGACCTGGAGTTGGTTCCTGGAGATTTCGACCCGGATGATGTACGGCCCTCACAGACTACCACCGAACAAGCTCCAGCTACGCAGCGGGACGATCAAAACCTCACCCGGACGGGACACAATGGGCAGTCTGGAGACCTGTCATGGTTTGAAGAGATGTTGGATGGTAGCAGACTTGGCCGGACCCACAACATCAGAAGAGGCGTGGGCGTCAGCTCTGACGGTAATACCAGAGTAGAGTGGGAAGTCTCGGAATACGTGGACGACGGAACGGCAGATGCACACCAGACTGGGTCAAAACGCAAGATTGGTGACATCGGGAATGATGATGAGAAAATGGAAGACTAGCGTTGTCGACCTTCAAAAGTGAAGGTTCGCAGCGCGTGGTTCCAGAGCATCGCGCAGGAGTTTAGAGGCCAAAGTCAGCTGGCTGTTACGGACACAGGGAACAATGCACAGACAGGGAGGCAACAGCAAGTTGTATGTACATGACCACGAGGAACAATATGAACAAGCATCACAGCTTTCTATCCCGTCACTCTATCATCGAACACTTATGGGTATCTTCTTCTTCAATGTTCATGCAGACCCAGTCACCTTCTGCCAAGCACCCCTCAGTGTCTCCGGCAGAGTTCCGACCTTGGTGCTGAAGAGCTCTTCCGCTTGCTGCCATACCCTCGTCGTCTTGCGGTCCTTGAGAGAAATCAGACTCGGCAACAGCGCCTGGCTGAAAGCCTCACTAGCCTCGCGGGGCAGTAAGCTGGGAAGATGATCTATCGAGATCACAGACAGAGGAGGATTCTCGTAGCCAGGGACCGGTAACGTCGGGTTCGAGAAAGTGCTGTTTTCCGTGTATATCGGGACCGGGTTATGAGGATTCGTCGTGTCACACGACACGTCGCATACGACCGAGAGCTTGCGCTTCGGCGACGACAGGGACTCTTTGTTGATGAATGGAGGGATTGGGTCGGAGAGGTATATACAGTTGACGAAGATGTCGGACTCGACAATCTCGCTGAATGGTCCGCCCTTGGCCGTCTCCGCGATATCCCACTTGATGATGTTCTCGTCAGGGATACCCGCTTGTGTGCACAGGTCGACGGCACCTCTGCCGCAACGGCCAAGCGCACCGATGACCAGGACTGTAGGCTTGCGTCCCGCGATCTTTTCTCCTTCACTTATCTTCGCGCGGACGTCGTCGAGCAGGAGGTCTTGGTTGGCGTAGCTGGAGACACTGGGCATGGGCTTTGCGGAGGGGTTCTTGAGCTGGTGGGCCCAAGCCTCGACGGCGAGAGCGGCGCCGGCATAGCCTGCGTGATATCCAAAAGCTGCGACACGGCGGCCTATTTCGTCTTGGAGGAACTCGAGGTCGAGGAGAGTGCCGCCGCCTTGGGGGAAGCGTGACAAAACATCTTGCCAACCGCCTTGGCCTTTGTAGCAATGTGCGAACTGGACGTGGGTGTGCTTGAGGGCGACTGTTTCGGTCAGCGACTGAGTTCGTTTCTGGAGAGTGTGACAAGAACATACACTTGTCCTCTGGTAGCTCCTTGAGACCAATTATGACATGGTCTGTAGGAGCGTCCACCCAAGATCCTTCGGGCACGAGAGTAGCACCGACTTCTTCGAACTCGGAGTCCTCAAAGATTCTGACAGGACTTCTTTCGACGTTCACTTTGTAGCCAGCATCGATGAGAGCCTTGGTCGTCGTGGGAGTCACTGCGCTGCATCAGTGGTAGGTCTCGTGGACAGAAGTGATGCAACATACGAGCAGACCTATGCTCCAGAGCCTTGGACTCTGAGCGGAGATGTAAGGTGGTCGCCATGTTGATCTGACTTTCTTTCGACTGTGTATTATACCAACGATACCAAGCCTGTTCAACCAGTCGGATGTGCCTCAAATACTTCGATTGAATGTTTGAGCTAGGAGTCAGTTCCGCCCTGCGCTCAACTGCGATTGCGGACGAACTTTTTCTCCACACGGAACTTTTTCTGCCCACCGCCAAAAACAGGCATTACGCATCCCATCTCCGCATCGTCTGTCAACGTACCTGACAATCTTTGGCGGATCTTGCTGCAGCAACTGATGCAGAGAGAGGCGGAAGGACCTTTATATATCGCTGGATGATACTGAATTCAATCCGGAACCTGGTCGATTTGCGCGCCCAAGAAGTTACCTAATATTCTGGTTTCACATGTGTCGTTGGATGACGACGCTAATCTCGTAAACACTCCTGGGTATCAGTGGGGATGTTGTAAACGTGCCTTGAATCCAACGGTACCTGACTAACTAAAGGCCTTTTATTGATGCCAGCCACCTCACCCAGCAATGGCAAATTCAAACAGCGCCGGGACACCAACTGGTGCACCACCCTCATATGAAGCGCTTTCTGTCCCTCCCAAAGAGCCTCAACCTGGTGCTCCGCCGCGCCGCCTTCGACCACCACCGCCACTAGAATTGCCCGCATTGAACCTGCTGCGTGGTAAGCGAGTCATTCTTGCATCGCAGTCACCCCGAAGGAAACAACTACTGGCGCAAATCGGTCTGACGAACATCGAAATCATCCCGTCCAAATTCGAGGAGAACCTGCCAAAGACCGTATCACCGTTCGAATATGTCCTTGCGACCGCAACTCAAAAGGCGCTAGCCGTCTACAAGCAAGAACTGGACAATGAAGAAAAAGGCGAGCCAGGCATAATCATAGCAGCGGATACAGTAGTGGTCAGCAGTATGGGAGAGATTCTCGAAAAGCCCCGAAGCGAGGTGAATCACATGCAGATGCTGCAGTCGTTACGAGATACAGGTCTGCACCGCGTTTACACCGCAGTCACTGTCATATGTCCGCTTTCAAGTGCGAGGGACCCAGGGTACGCGATGGAAGCTGGAACGGAGGAGACAGTCGTCAAATTTGATTCAGAAGTCTCGGACGAGTTGCTGCTGGCTTACGTTAGGACAAGGGAAGGTGCGGACAAGGCCGGTGGATATGGCATACAGGGGACTGGAGCGATTCTGGTCGAGAGAATAGAGGGAAGCTTCGATAATGTGGTTGGATTGCCGCTAAGGACTACTCTGAAGATGATCGAAAAGGTGGTGGCAAAGGCTGATGATGACGAGAACCTGGGTGAAGAGGAAGATCTGCTCGAGGAAGAGGATGAATGATGCGCTTCAACGATAGACGGTTTGTCAGTGCGTTGGGTGGCGTTCTAGGCAGTCGGCTCGGTTACATCCGGGCCTGTGAAGAATCTCTGAAATAAAAGGTCGCTTGATCATTTGGTATCAGTCGCGAAACTCTTGTGCCCTCGTGTGTCATATACAGATTGGCTCCCCAGGAACCCAAACGGTCCACCTATTTCAAATGCTTGAGCTTGCCGTCGTGTCCGAGTGAAGAGAGCGAGTCCGTCTTCCCGATAGTAGCATCATTGCTCTCACCAGCATGCCATAATCTCTTGACCGCCTCGGTAACCCCAACGTCGTTCGTCTCGAACTCGTAGAATCCAATACCGACAATCAAGGTCGCCAAGTTGAGCGCCCACATGAAAGCCTTTCGCAATTGCGGGTGTTTATGGATGGGGATATAGTCGATGACAATTGATCTAGGCGCATTAGTTGTGCTCGACTTGCTTCGTTGACTGCGCAACAAGGACTTACTGAAAACCAATATGGGAGTGCACGATAATGCCGAAGATCAACAAAGCATCCAAAGTCGGGTTGATAGAACCGGCAGCGAAAGGAGCCATTGTCAAGGGCACAAGGGCTGCGGACATGAGACGTTCCGCGGTCCAGTGGTAGCTGCCATGGAGAGGGTTGGGCTTCGGCACGGGCGCCGGCTCATTGACACCTCCTTCTATGATTTGAGGACCTGCTGGTAGAATGTTTCTCTGTGATGAGGTGGAGAAGGGCGCGTATCGAGCTGCTGCTGACCATGATGGAACGAGCAATTGCTTTGGTAGTACGGTCGGAGCGGGTCGGAGGAGACGAAGAGGTTGGGTCGTGGTAGAGAAAGTTCGTGTAGATGAGGAAAGCAGCCGGACTTGCCGAAGCATGGTGGTTCTTGAGGCCGCTGCCATCTTGACTACAGACCGAAATTGTCTCGCTGGAAGTGCTCGATCGAAGTGATAGAGGGTGGACGAGGGTCTTCATGATTCAAGCGACTTGCGACTGCAGTCCCGATGCCAAGGGAACTGTGCCGAGCCAATAAGAAGCTCGACATTTCATCAACACTCTCAGAGCTGCTACTTTGACTCCTTCAATTGCGCACTGTTGTACGCTCTGCGTAGACTAGATCGTAGCATCTATCTACCGTTTCCATTCAATTGCCACGATGCAGCAATGCTTCAGCGTGCCGCACAAAGATCCGCGCATCCCTGAACCATCAGAGCAGACATGTGAGCCTCTTGTTGCGACCCCTCTTCTTTATAAAGAAAGGATGTTTTCACATTGTCCATTCCGAAATGAAGGGAATCATCTTCTCTGCGAACTCTGTACTTTGAGAGAGACAAAATGTCATACGCGATTATGTCGAGTCTCGTCTATCTCATTAGGCCAGGTCATGCCATGGCCTACCTGGTAGGTACAATTAGACGGCCCATTTTCCGTAGAGCCTTGTGGGCCTCGGGACAAGAAATAGGCACCTAAACCCGGGGATTTGGAGTCAGAAACATTCTGCGGGGTTCCGCCGAACGACCGTATATCAATTGATACTCATCATGCTGGCGGTTCCGCCTTCTTGTGAATGATTTTTAGTTCACGTAAGGAGTAAGTTTTGCTGAGCTGCTTTGACAGATTGCAAAATGTCGACGGATCGAGTGATCACCATTTCAGCAGCCCCGACCGAGGATGTCACTGTGCCGTCTGATGCTCCGCACGAGAACGAGTGGTACAACGGACGCGACTTTGACGGCTACAGAATTACCGAACAATTACTGTATCAGAGACGTAAGATTCGAGTGATAGGCATTGGTGCCGGAGCTGCGGGTCTTCAACTTGCTTACAAGGCAGAACGTGCCTTGAAGGATGTAGATTTGCAGATATACGAGAAGAACAACGACGTTGGCGGCACCTGGTTGGAGAACCGATATCCTGTAAGTATTTTTCTTCTTGAAAGGCTGTGCCGTTGAAGCACGAGCCTTTCGCATTGTCCCTGCTTTATCGATGCAGCTTACTGGTGTTTCGCAGGGGTGTACCTGCGACATACCGAGCCACAGTTATCAGTTTACTTGGGCGAAAAATCCTAATTGGTCGAGATTCTACTCAGGATCGGAAGAGATCTGGCAGTATATGAAGGACGTTGCCACCAAGTATGACCTGGAAAAATATGTTCAATTCAAATCGACCGTGGAATCCGCAACTTGGGACGAAGAAGCAGGCCTGTGGCGCTTGCAGATCTTGGCCCCGGACGGTTCACGCATCGAGGACAGCTGCAACATCTTGATAAACGGTTCTGGTGTTCTGAAGTGAGTCGTTATGGTTATCGCTCGTCCACCTGATTAATGCGAGCTTTGCAGTTCTTGGAAATGGCCCAACATTCCTGGTCTAGATCTCTTCAAGGGCAAATTGATGCATTCCGCGAAATGGGACAACACCTATGACTTGAAGGACAAGACGGTGGCTGTGATTGGAGGTGGCTCTTCTGCTGTCCAGATCATCCCCTCAATACAACCCAGTGAGTGACTCAACCACTGGACGAAGCTTTCGATGGTCTAGTCTGCTGACTGATGGTACTCAGGTGTGAAGAAGTTATACCCCTTTTTGAGATCGCCGGTATGGATAACAACGGGCTTTGGTGCAAAATATGCAGGACCTGGTGGAACCAACTTCAATTGTAAGCCCAGCTTCTTATGTGTTTTTCTAGTGCTGAGCCGGATAGACCCTGAAGAGCAGAAGAAGGAATGGAGTGAGCATCCTGAGAAGCATGCCCAGTACTGCCGCGACATTGAGGGCGAACTGAACAAACGCTTCACATTAGTAAGCTACGCAGGTTTTTGGGTGACCTCTTAGCAATATTGACACATCTCAGATGCACCTCAAGGCAAAAGATCAGAAGGTCTCCCGAGATCTCGTGGCAGATATCATGTCAGAACAGCTCGGTCATGATCCAGTACTCACCAAGCATATGATACCTCCATTTGCCCTTGGATGCCGGCGAATGACCCCTGGTTCTGGATACCTACAGGCTCTAAAGGCCGAGAACGTCGAAGTGGTTCAGTCATCTGCCGTTCGCCTGACAGAGACCGGCATTGTGGACGAGTCGGGCGTCGAGCGGGAGGTCGACGTGGTAATTTGTGCCACAGGCTTTGATACAACTTTCACTCCGCACTTCAAAGTGGTTGGAAGGAACAATGCCGAAATCCATGAACAATTTGGTGATGCCCCTATAGGCTATCTTGGTATTACTGCAGAGAACTTTCCGAACATGTTTCTTCTGATTGGCAAGACAATTCCACCACCTACACTGGACGATGGCTGACCGATATGATAGGACCGAATGGACCTGCATCACACTCGAGCATTCTGCCGATACTAGAATGGTACACACGGTACATCTTTCAGGTCATCGAAAAGATGCAGACGGAGCAAATCAAGGCGATCGACCCCAAGCCTGAAGCCATCAAGGATTTGTACAACCACACCCATGAACTGATGAAGCGGCTGGTTTGGTCATCAGCATGTCGAAGTTGGTTCAAGAATGGGAAAACTCATGGTCCGGTAACCGCGATTTATCCAGGCAGTCGCTTGCATTTCTTCGAAATACTGAAGAATGTGCGGTGGGAGGACTACAACATCACCTATTGCGGTCCCAATAGATACGCATTCAGTAAGTTTGCACACTCCTCACAAACCATTTACTAAACGTGTCACTCTAGTGGGTAATGGCTACACTCAGATAGAAACTGATCCAGAGGGTGACCCTGTATGGTACTTCGACGATCCTTTTGTCAAGATATGATCAGCTTTGTCGGCTGCTCATCAAGTGCATTAGTAGAGGTATGCCACAATGAGAGTGTATCGGATTGGACGTGGTAGAACAATTAATTCCCAGGTATATCACGCCTTTACGGGGCGTCTTTCATGCTGAACACACAGGGCATACACCTGTGCGCGACATATATGTCCGCGGTTTCCGGCTATAAAGCGCCAGCCAGTCAGTCGGCTGGTCGGCGTCGCCTCAGAAAGGTTCAAGGGCTGTGGGGGCCTGTCATAGTGGACGATAGGCACTTCAATTGGTGACTGGCAATGCTTGATTAGTTAAAGCGCAGAACGAGGTTCTCCACCATCAATTGTTCTCCGCTCTGCGCCCTGTGTGACGGTCTAGAGTCAGAGTCCCAAGCTCGCAATTGAGAATTAGAAGCACTCCTTCAAGTTATGTCGATATCTTGGAAGAGCTGCACATCTGCACATGTCGCACACGTAGGCTAGGCTTGTGCGATCCTCGACTCCCGGGCCACACTCCCTATCACATTCCCAGACCACAAAAATGTCGAAGCGGAGTTGGCAAGAGGCTAACCTGCCTTCCCCACGGTCGGCTTCTGGATTGCAACGAGCACCGTCAACAACATCACCGCATTCTTACACGTCTCCAGCGCAAGCGCTGTCGCCGAAGAGAACCGGTCGCCCCTCCTTCGACGAACCTCCTCTGCTTGCAAAGGCTCCCGTAAAGCCACAACCACAACGGAACAATTCCCCGAATGGCGCGCAAGCAGATAGTAAACTGCCTGGGATATCGAGGAAGGTCAAAGCATGTGCAGCTTGTCGAAAACAAAAGGTCCGTAATGACAATGAAAGCTTGGTTTGAGACGGTGCGCTGATGTGTGCCTACAGATCAAATGTATCATGCTCGGAGATCCGCCATGCCAGCGATGCAAAGAACGAGGCTTATCGTGCCGGTTGAACAAGAGTCTCCAGACACTCATGTCCGAAGACTCGAAATGGAAATCAGCGGTGACTAAAGATGTGACTGCTCTTTACGCGACGGTAGAAGAAATCGTGCGAACCTTGCAATTACCGTCCATGCCACAAATGCTCGTTTCTACACAAGATCCTGCAATCTTCATCGACCAAGAAGAGCAAGGAAACGATGAGGACGACGAGGACAAGTCCCTGGACAACTCGCCGAAAGTCGCGCCAGTTGCCGACAACTTGTCCCATGTTCCAATCGAGTCGTTATACCAGATCACAGGAATGCGGTCTCTTAGGGCCACCGAGAACGTGACTGAAGATCAGTCACGTATTTGCAAGCAGCTCCGAGATACTGACTTCATTGCGAGAGGGCTCATTAAGCTAGAAGACGCCGAACATCTCGCCAATTACTACCTCAGCAAACTCGACCCGTACATATGGCATATATGTCCAGATTACAAGGACCTCGACTCATTTCGTCAACGCTCACCAACGCTAACGGCTTGCGTTCTTACTGTGGCTGCACTTCATGACACCAAACTCGGCCATTTGTACTCGATCTGCAACAAGGAGTACCGCCGACTGGTTGCTAATGCCATGTTCGAGAAGAAAATCGACATGGAGTATCTACGAGCTTTGGTTCTCGGATCATACTGGTTAAGCGATATCTCGTGGACCTTGTCAGGCTATGCTATTCGCCGTGCAAGCGAATTCCATCTTCGGCAGTATTACCATGAGATTTCCGAATCGGTTAAGGCCCCAGAGAAGGTTGATCAAGCAAAACTGCAGGAAGCCATTGACGGCATCAGAGTGCTGTATTTGCTATACATCTGCGACCATCATTTATCGATTCTATATGGTCGTTCATCCATAATGCGCGACAACGAGAGCTATATCACTGGATGGGAAGCCTACCTCGCATGCTCATTATCAACCGATGCCGATCGCAGAGTTGCTGGTCAAATATGCCTGATGTACTTGATGAACCAGATACGAGAAAGTCTAGGTCCGGAAGACACCAATGCTGTCCTACCAACTTCGGCCCTTGCCAAAATTGCGGGATTCGAGAGAGATCTTGACGATTGGATAGCGAGGTTCTCCAGGCATAGTAAGTGGGCATACGGAAACCACTTCTTCCCAATGACTAATGTGGCGCAGATCCGAGTCAGTATATCGGCAATTGGCCCAACAAGGGTGCTATCATGCACTACCATTGGGCCAAGTTGTATTTGCAGTCATATGTCCTTCGAGGATTACCAGAGTCAGGCGCCGTGATCCCAGAACACTTCTTGGAGAACGCTTCGGCTGCAGTTGCTGCTGCGACGGCGATCATCAATCTGCTCTTAGAGGACAAAGATGCGCAGATAGCTATTGGCTATGTGCCGCATCACATTCATGGAATGATCGCATTTGCATGCATGTTTCTTCTCAAAATCGCCACCAAGTTCAGCGCGCAGCTATTCTTGGACACAGTCCGGTTTCAACGACTCATCAATGCTTTGGCTCAACACTTCAAATCGACGGATGTAGGAAAGGATCACTTGATTCACAGAATGGCAGAAGGTCTGGAGAAGATGGCAGAAACCTTGGGTGGACCAGCCCGCGTCAAAACCCGCAAGGTCAACGGAGAGCAGGCACCAAAGCCCCAGCTGACGTCTTCGGCGACCCAAGCGGTCCTTGATGAGAAGAACGACCTTGATGGACAGTCCATGCTGCCTGACTATGGATCATTGAGTCCTGCTGCATTTGACTTCAATGATCCTGCTCTGGGGCTGGGTATGCCATTCTTCGACTTCGAGGGTACCACGGTGGGGATGAACGATTCACTGTGGAACTTCAATACTTGAGGGAGCCATGTTTAACCCATTATACGAGTCTTCTATACCATGTATGAAGCACGAACAGCATAGTATGAATGATTCAACGTCAATACTAATAGTAGTGGTGGTGATAGTGAGATTGGACCAATCACAAGTCGGCGTTTTCTGCTTTGTAGAACTCGCTGCTCTATACTTCTCTTGGCGAGGCAATTAGCGCGGTTTTCAAGCTCTCGAAGAAAGTACCTGCGGTTCAAGCTCGATCTTCTTCGTCAACAGCTTCCTTCGTCCTTGCGCCACTGTTCATCTTTTGTAATGGCGTCTCAACGGCTGGCGCTGAACTTTCAGCGTTCCCTTCGAAGCCGACAAGCGATTAACGCCATTAAATCTCCTTTGCTCAGAGGCTATGCCAACCCTGTCACGGCTTCGAGAACAGAGAGCACCACCCTCTCCAATGGTTTGACGGTACGAAGAAGCGTTTTTGCCACGGGCTTGACCGGTGTGCTGACGGACTGTAGATCGCGACGGAACATTCACCATGGGCTCAGACCTCTACCGTGGGTGTTTGGATTGATGCCGGCAGCCGAGCAGAAACAGAAAAGACGAATGGAACAGCTCACTTCCTCGAACATTTGGCTTTCAAAGTAGGATTGAACACGACTTATTGCTGAGGAGCATGGCTGAGATCATACAGGGAACCGGCAAGCGCAGTCAACACCAACTAGAGCTTGAAATTGAGAATATGGGTGGACATCTCAACGCATACACCTCGGTATGCGTGACTGGTCTCTGGGTTTTCGCGTCGATGCTGACATGCCACAAAGCGTGAAAACACTGTCTACTACGCCAAGTCCTTCAACTCCGATGTGCCAAAGACCGTCGACATCCTCTCCGATATTCTCCAGAACTCCAAACTCGATCCCGCCGCAGTCGAACGAGAACGAGATGTGATTTTGCGCGAGCAAGAGGAGGTTGACAAGCAACTGGAAGAGGTGGTGTTCGACCATCTCCATGCTACTGCCTATATGAACCAGCCTCTCGGACGGACTATTCTTGGCCCGAAGGAGAACATTGAACAAATCTCGCGCGATGACCTGGTTAACTACATCAAGACCAACTACACCGCAGACCGCATGGTCCTTGTTGGTGCTGGTGGAATCCCTCACGAGGAACTCGTCAAATTAGCTGAGCAGCACTTTTCCGGATTGAGATCTGCACCTCCCCCGACTTCGTATGCGGCCCAGGTCGCTGAACAACAAAAGCTGAAGCCCAACTTTATCGGTTCCGAGGTCAGAATACGAGATGACACCATTCCATCCGCACACATTGCTATTGCCGTTGAGGGTGTCAGCTGGCGAGACGACGACTACTTTACTGCTCTGGTCACCCAGGCTATCGTTGGCAACTGGGATCGTGCTATGGGCAACTCGCCATATCTTGGGAGCAAGCTCAGCAGTTTCGTTCATGCCAACCACCTTGCCAACAGCTTCATGAGCTTTTCTACAAGCTACAGCGACACTGGGTAAGTTGAAAACCGCGGGACGAGCTGAGGATTAACTAACACGTTTTTAGTCTATGGGGTATCTACCTTGTCACCGAGAACTTGACCAACATTGACGACCTCGTGCACTTCACACTCCGCGAATGGACCAGACTAACATTCGGCGTCACCGAAGCCGAAACCGAGCGGGCCAAGGCTCAACTGAAAGCATCCATCCTCCTCTCTCTCGATGGTACCACTGCCGTGGCCGAGGATATTGGCCGACAGATTGTCACGACGGGCCGAAGAATGGATCCCTCCGAGATTGAGAGAACGATTAGTGCCATTACCGAGAAAGATGTGATGCGGTTTGCTCAGAAGAAGTTGTGGGATCAGGATGTTGCAGTGTCTGCGGTCGGTTCGATCGAAGGTCTCCTCGATTACAACAGAATAAGGAACGACATGAGCCGCAATGCGGTATAGACGGGCGTCTGTTGTGATATGAAAGAACAAGGGTAAGGGTCGAGGCTGGTGCAAGAGACTTTTTTGTATTGTACAGTGCATCATTCTCCGGAAAGAATTGCAAAAACATCTATGGGATCTTACATTGATCGTTTCAAACATGTCGAGCATTGACGAGACCGGAATTCGGGTCTGGTGTGATTCACAAAATGCCCGTTCCCACGCCTAGAACGGAATCTGACCTGCATCCCCCATCTGTCCCTGTATGTCCTGGTAGGTCGATGAAAGATGACCTGCATGCTCTTGATATTCTGCTCTCGGCACGAAGGTGACACACCGACAGCCATTGGAGGTTTTATCTCCTGCGGACAAGAGCCTTGTATGCATGTCTAACCCCGATAAGACTCAACCACGAATTTCTAGACCGTTGAGATCTTAACAGTGCGTCGTCTGAGATGACTAAGACGATATGTATATCTGCATTTTCCGCCGGCTACACCACATTCTCCTATGACGCAAGAAAAGAGGACTGCAATGAAAAACTTCAAAGTCCTGCCCGGAAATGGGACGAGTCAGGTATCATGTCCGAGATAGTACGATCATGCATCAAACATACATCATCTACCTCATTTGCCGATACGTCCAGTTGTTTCTATGGAGCAGTGATCGAATCTTTCTCCGGATTACCACCGAGGTCATTGTGTATGTACGGGTATCCATATGCGCTTTACATACAGTGAACGTCTGTTCTTGAACTTGACTTACAAATCCACGATTTTACTTCCCTCTCAAGCCAAATTTATTCTCTTTAACAAAGAGCCGTTGCATCTTGTAGGATCACTTCTTGATACCCATTTGTGTTGGCTTCTCGAAGAGTACTGTACTTCACTGCAGCATATCAAGCGCTACATAACTCAATTCCCTGTCTCTTTGGATTGAGACCTTGAAGACCTCTAACTGAAGGACCGTAACGCGGAACAAACCAAACAGCCAAAATGTCAAGCACGAAGAACCAGTCCCTGATCTTCACCAAGATCCCAACGGGGATGCCCGTGCCAGGCGAACATGTTGCCGTCAAAGATGTCGGCTTCGACCTGGACCAACCAGCGCCTGAGAACGGGTTGATCCTCGAGACGCTATACGTCTCGTTCGATCCGTACTTACGTGGTCTACTCCGCGACCCCAGCGTGAAGAGCTACATGCCCGCATTCCCCGTCGGCTCGCCCATGTCTGCAGCAACGCTGTCTAAAGTTCTTAAGTCGAAGTTGGCCGGATTCAAGGAGGGTGATATCGTCCGCCACAATCTGCCCGTGCAGGAGTATAACGTCTATGTCTCGAAGAGTGACAAGGACAAGCCGATGAAGCTCGATACTGAGGGTCTGGACGATATTCGGCATTACTTGGGCGCATTGGGCATGCCGGGCCTCACTGCGTATAGTTCGCTCTACGAGATTGGCAAGCCCAAGAAGGGCGAGACGATCGTTGTGTCGAGCGCGGCGGGCGCAGTGGGACAACTTGTTGGCCAACTGGCTAAGCATGAGGGATTGACTGTGCTGGGGTCTGTTGGGTCTGATGAGAAGTTGGAGTTCATCACGAAGGAGTTGGGCTTTGACGGCGGGTGGAATTACAAGAAGGAGAAGAGCACGAAGGATGCTATTGAGCGTTTGACGGACGGCAAGGGGATCGATATCTTCTATGATAACGTTGGTGGAGAACAGCTTCAGGGCGCGATTGAGAGTCTGAATTTGTTTGGACGGTGAGTTTTCCCCTTTTACACCGGAGGCATTTCTCCTTTCGGGATTGTTGTGAATGAACGGATGTACTGACTGATGTCTGACAGAATTGTCGAATGCGGCCAAATCTCGCAATATAATCTCCCACCTGACCAGCGATACGGCATCAACAACCTGTTCCAGACTGTCGCGAAACGTCTGACCATGACTGGCTTCATGGTCGGCGATGCGAATATGGGACCCAAGCACGCCAAGGACCACCAGGAGAATGTGAAGAAGTGGTTGAAGGATGGAAGTTTCAAGGCCAAGGTCCACGAGACTGTTGGCATGGAGAATGCTGCAGAGGCTTTCGTGGGGATGCTCAAGGGTGATAATTTCGGAAAGGCGATTTTGAAGGTAAAATAGGTCACCCAAGGAGAGAATGTAGACAGAAAACGTGGACGAGAACATCGGCCATTCCAAGGTCTGTCAGGGGTAAGGCTGACTGAAGTGTCATGTCATGATGTTATGCCGCAGGTTGTTGTAAATTTGACACAGAGATAGCTTCTCAAGTTTCAATGGACTGTATGTTACTCCCTGTTGCTTGACGTTGATAGTCAAATGATCAGGGGCTGAAGTCATGCTAAGCCAGCCTCGAATTTGTCAAGTGAAGCATCCTGGCCTAAAGAGCGAGAAAGACATCCTCAATGCAGTCTACCTGCAGTCGTTTAGCGGATGATATGACCCCATCAACACGGCAAGCTTGAACACCTACCAAACTTCATTTGGCTTTAAGGGTCGGGGCCTCAAGGTGAGGAAGGCCTCCTCCATCCCGTGCAGGTGTGGTATACAACGACCACCCATTCACCACCTCACTTATTCTGCCTCTTCATATCCCAAACTCCCAGATTTCTGTCCAACAATCCAGACGAAAGCCATCCGCTTCTTGGCCACTCACAAAGAGTTGGTTTCACAGTTAATGGGCGCCTCGAATGACGGATTGTCTTCGTAGAAATCGTAGGACCGTAGAATTCGCAAAAAACCCTGATAAGGGGTTTCACTTACCACTGACCAGATGAACATAAGTTCGATCTGCTCAGTGGAGAAAGTTTTTTGCTCTTTTTAACCCTAGTTCGGCCTTGAGTGCGTTGTTTTGTGTTGAAGAATCGTACGTTGCTGTGTGGGTGTGGCAGCAAATGAAGAACCTCGCTAAAAGGCATGACCAAAAAAAAGAAAGCAAATGTTGGATTGTGTAGGAATCGAACCTACGGCCTACAGGTTAGGAGCCCCGACCTCCGCCATCCATCCCCTGTCGCTCTATACCACTGAGCTAACAATCCTGCTTTGATTGTTTTTAGATGAAATTCGTCGTGACTAACGTAAGTAGACCGTAATTTCTGCCTGCTCCAGGACAGTTGAATCTCTGTGGGGGTTGCTTGGGTATGGCAGTATCGGTGGGCGGACGGCTGGCCACTCTGGAGGCTGTGGTATTTTCAGGTCGCAGATGTACCTTATGATTTGGAGCGGTATGACTTCGAAGACCATACCCGACGTCCACTCATTGACACGTGCTCTGTGAGAATTTGGTGCTTGTCTTCTCTACGGCGTTTCATCCATTGCCATCTCTAAGCACAAATCCCTCCGAAAACCACCGAGGAACTGTTGTCGAGCGTTCACTTCGAGGAGAGCAGATTTCGTTGTTCTCACAAACAGCCCCAGATCTGCTGATTTCCCGCTCTACCTTTGCCGGTATGGCGTATTGCACAGCCCTGTCCCAATCCTTGAGACGTTCGTATGGGCTACGCAGCCATGCTTCAAGCTCATGCAGGAATAATCCAGCGTTGTCTCTGCCCAGGAAATCCTTCAACAACTCCTCGGCTTGTCCCGTGCTCCCTTTGAGGTCGATCGATTTCAGGATCGCGATGATGTATTCGAGCAGAAAGTCGGCATTGCTTGCTCGTCGATCTGAAGTCGCTCGACTCGAAGACGGCGCAGACTCCCCATTCAGGAAATCGAAGACTTGCAATTCACGACGGACCCACATCCTGGCTCGAGAGGTCAGGCGCTCGTCCTTAACGAATGACTCTGGTGTCAACTCTCGATAACGCGAGATACGGTTCGTTCCAACGCGCAAAGAGTACAGTTTGTGCCGATAGACGTGTCTGCGGAAATCGAGTGATGTGTCTTCCGACCCAGCAGTATTCGTTCTTCCAGACGACGTGTAGCGACCTTCTCTTGAGTATGGCCTGTCTTGTCGTGATCTGCGGTACCGAGTAGTGGCTGATCCGGCGCGGGCTCCGTGTCGTCCGGTCGAGGCGGGTTCTGGTTCAGGAAGAGAGAAGATGCAACTCCCTCCCCTGGCACCAATATTGTATCTGATTGCCCGGACCTGGGCTTTACACAGCGGACAGAGGCGTGACTGTTGTAGCCATGTCCCCAGGCAGGGGAAGTCGAATTGGTAATGCCGACAAGGTAGGGCTTGCGCTCGCTCGGAGATCTCGTCGAGGCATATCGCGCAGTGGTCGGAGGTGGATCGCTCGGTATTTATGGGCGCAGCGGGTGCAGTAAGAGAGCCCGAGGGCTCTGTAGTGTTTGGTGTTATCTCATTGTCGTGTGGTTGTTCTGCCATCAAGTGGTGCGTGGAGAAGCAACAAGTGGTAGAGAATGTGGCGGTCTTTATCAGATATCGCCCAGAGAGCCCTGCGGTGGGGCACGAATACTCTGCCGTACCACATATTTCGAATGACGCTGCTAATTCGTTGTCACGAGGCTGAACATGCTAGCGACCCCTTTTCAGTAGCACTACGAACACTTTAAGCTTGTCGATAGGAGACTCTGCCAGGAGGCGAAGTTGAGTGACTGTGGACAATGACACGAAAGTTGACGTTGAGGCTTTGCGAAAGGGACGTCAGGAAAACTCGCTTTTGTTGCAGTATGCCTCCATACTTTCACACTATCTGCCGCTTCCAGCAACGTGCAGGCCGCCAAAGTCTCCGCCGAACGCTACTTCATAAACGCCTACGAACAGAAGCCTTTCCAGGCGCTCGCATGATTCATCCTCGCGGACTTTTGTCCCAGGCGACTGAAAGCGTGAGGGTGCCTCACGACGGTGGTAACTGGCCCGGAGCGACGTATCCCTCTGCAGCCAAAGTCGCATAATAGAGTTGTGTCTCCGCACAGATGACCATTCGACCTTTGCCTGCAAAGTTGAAGTTGGCCGATGTTGTACCCAAGAATATCTTGCCGAGAAGAGTGCCGGATGGATTCCAAACGTGAACGCCGTCGCCAACGCCAGAGTACACGTTCCCATTGGTATCGCAGTGAATGCCATCTGGAATTCCCGGCGATGCGTACGTGAAGAGCTTGCGGTTACTGAATGTGCCATCTGGTTCGACTGTGAAGCGATAGCTGGGCACAATATTAGCATGTCGGTACAACTACAAGGGAACGCCAGGTGCTCTTACATCGATGCCGGCGCTGTCATATTGTAACCGAAGAAGCCAATGTTGGCACCTGTGTCAGTCACATAGGCGTATGAGCCATTAGGTGAGAATGTGATGCCTGGAGAGGTGAGTAAGGAAGATGGGAGGATTGAAGCAATGGTATGTACCATTAGGTAGATCAAACCCATCGGCTACAACTGTCACAGCACCAGTAGAGGGATTGTAACGGTAGACTTGGTTGGGCAGCTCGGGCGAGGGTCGGAAATCTTGCAGATAGCCGTACAGTGTGTCGGTGAAATAGACGTCGCCGTTGCGAGGGTTGACTGAGACATCATTGAGAGAGTTGAACTGGCGACCGAAGTAATTGTTGACAAGAACTAAAATCTCATCAGCATACATCCACGTTCTGTCAGAACAAGCATACTAGTGGTGTTATATGGCTCTACGGGGTTGACCGCATAGAGTGCCGGCCCTGTACCATTGCCCTGACCCTCACCGGGGACGGCCAACTGACCCCGATAGTTGGTCATACCTGACAGACAATCAGCCATTTCGTGCTAGATAAAGACGTTCAATGCCAGACCATTGGGGTTGATGACGGGAGGATTAGCGTTGACCACGGTCACGTTCACTTGACCACTTGCATTCCGTTGTGTCGAGACAGCAGCTGCTTGAGACAGAGCGATCTTCAGGATCACACTGGACTTGTTCAGTCCAGTTCCTGCCGCCATAGCACCGGCATTCTGCACGAAAAATACTTCGTCGGTCGGAGGATACCTAGGAATTTTCTTAAGAGATCCTTCACTTGATGTGGAAAGGTGCAGTCTTACCAGGTGACAGCCTCATGGTAAAGCGGATCGATTCCTTGACTGGCGATCACAGTCAAGGTAGGATTTGAACCTATAATGTCATAGAACGCATCGTCGTAGATGTGGAATGGTTTGGCTAGAGCCTCATCCAGAGTGATGCCTGGAGGTACGAAGATCTGCAGTTGTCAGCCAAAGTTGAATGTGTTGTTGGTCGAGACTTGCTGTAGTGACGTTAGCTTGTGACGGCGGTGGAACTGTAGGCAATGCATTGAAGCTCTTCTGATCGATCACAAGTGCTTGGTCAGGCACCGAGGTCTGGGCGTGGGTTTCGAGCGCAAGGCTGATGAGGAAGATGAGAGAGGAGAACATTTCTGGCATGGTACCGAGGGTCACCGGCGGCTGAGAGGTAGAATAATCGAGGGCATGAAGAGCGGAGTATATATAGTTCACCTCGCATGGCCTGGCCCAAAAAGGGTTGGGCCACTCCGTCAGATTGCAGAACACAACACGTCCTCAGTGGTCCCTGTCTTACCCCAGATTCGACTTCTCCGCACTTTGAGGAGGAGAATGAGGTCATCTCACACAGGACGCCAAGTCAAGAACCGACATCTCGTGCCATAGTCTTGTTGATTTCCAGCAACTATCCACTCGGCACTTGTCCGTTGCTGATTATTCATGGACTGCAGCAAACCAGTCGTTCTAACTTGCCTTGGATCGGCCAATTGACCGTGCGAGACCGGTCTCTTTCCGCCTCCGACCGAATTGGGCATCAGCAGCGCGAAAGCAATCGAGTCGTACCAGATGAGTGAAACAGAATAGGTGCGTCGCCCACACCGACTGCGTGAACATTCGAGTATTGATGTGTCATGCTTTAGCCATACGAAATCCGAGTTGCCTTCATGGCGAGATGGTTCCCACATGCAGCCTCATTATCTGCACCGAGCCTTTCATATGCAGCGAAACTTCTCGGCACATCCCGAGGATAAGGCAATCTCTCCTGGGACCTGTTTGTGTTTCTCGGTAGTCGTCGCATCCACTGTATTCAGGCGTCACCACCAGTGAGTGGCCGAGCGCCACATATCTGCTCCTCAGCTGTTGCATCGGGACGCTGGCAGAAATCATTCGCAACTGGTCCGAAGCTTTTCCGCAATCCTTGAAACCAGCACCTCATGGTTTCTTGCTTTAGCAACGAAATCTGACTCGATCTCCAAGGTTGGATGTATCGGTTGTAAGTCAAAACGTCGTACCACTACCGAGAGGAGCTTTGAGACCTCCAGACACGCAAGGTTCTTGCCTAAACAAGTACGTGGCCCCAGACCAAACTGTGAGTGCATTAACATGATTGGCAGTATTGATGAGCGAAACTGGCAGCACTTACCATCATCAAATTCTGGTTCATATGTGACAAGGCCTCTCCAGGTGGCTGGATCCATCGTTCTGGCCGAAAGTCTTGAACGTCGGCGCCATACACGTTTTTGTTGTAATGTGCAACCCAGAGATTGCTGCCGACTACCGATCCGCCAGGTAGAAAGTGCCCATGGACAATTGCTCCTTCCTCTGGCAGGACCCTCCAGAGAGGAGCTCCGTTCGGTGGCGATATCCGAGCACTTTCTTTGATGACGGCATCTAGATAGGGCATGTTGATTCCATGCTTGTAAGTAAAGAGTTGATGTGACGCGGATTTGATGCCTGAGTGTCCTTCCCGACCTGCGGTATCCATTTCTTGTCGGAGCTTACTTAAGCATTGTGGATGTTGATAGAGGTAGAAAAGAGTGGTGGACATTGTTGTAGCCAGCCCGCCCAAACCAGCAAAAACAAAAACCAGAGGATCTGTCCGCATGCCACCAATTGAAGCATGATCCGAAACCTTCTCATGGACGGCAAGCATTCCTCCTAACAGACAACCAGTTGTCGAATCTTTGTTGCTTCCATCAAGGTCGTGCTTTTGGTATTGAAGCTCTGCCATGCGTGACTTTGTAAATTCAAGAACATAGGCCAGCCATATAGGCTTACTGCCTCTCCACCATGCCATGAGGGCATGTACGTATGGGTGGATTCTCGGGTAAATTCCAACGATGCTTCCATACCGAAGCACGGACGCTTTTGCACGCAGCAAGTGGCCGACATCTTCTCTTTCGTCAAGAAATCCAATTCGTTTGCCGAATGTGACTTGGCTGCCAATATCGCCTGCCCAGCATTCGAGCCAATGTTTCATGTCAATGATCTTGTCGTCATATCGATCCAGCTGTTGTAGGAAGAGCTTGTTACAGTCATCTATACCTCCACTGTATTTCTCCACAATAGCTGTTGTTGAAAATAGTGGCGCCAGAGATTTTCTTTCGCGGCGATGTTTCTTCATGTCAGACTCGGCGAATAGTGTTGATCTGCCAGGTGGTCCGAAAGCGCTGTAGAAATCACTTTTGGTACATCGGGTCTGCTCACTGTACACTGTTCTATCGGGACTTGATATCGAACATACTCCCGGAGCAAGACGGACAATGGGACCGTAACGGTCGTGCCAAGACATGTTCGCCGTATGGAATTTGTGACATACAGTGGTGTAAAGCCACAGCAGACGGGAGAATCTCCCAATGAAAGGTCCAGGTATGTTGGATGTCGGCTCTTTCGCGGCTCTCAGGATAGCTGTCAAAAGCGGCCATAAAAGTGGTAGAGAGACGAAAAGGACTCAATGGTAGGGCGGTATATGCGCATAGATAGGAAGCCCATGGGATGCGAAACGTCCATCTTCCGGCGAGCCATGGTCAGTGTAGCTTACTGATGAGGAATTCATGTTGAAAGTACTGTCTGCAGCTAGAGGAGAAGAAGGACAAGTTAGCACAGACAGCGCGGATATGTCTTACACCCTAGATATATCTGCTGGAAGAAGCATTGTACGACCAGGGTACGGTTACAGTCCACAGTAGGTTTGGATGGTCTAGAACGTAAGCCTGCGTAACATAGATCAAAATCATAGCGCTTGAATGTCAAGTAGGAAAAAGACCCATCGATGATGTGATGGAGAGCAACCTTCCAGATCTCTTATCACACCCTGCTGAATTTTCGAAAGTCTTTCAATCTAGACCCAGGTGCAAGTCACATTTAGACATCGTCTTTCGTGACTTGACTTTGAAAGACAAAGTTCCATCGTGCAATATACCAGGTTCCAGAAAGTTTGATTGAACAACTACGCAGTTCGTGCGTTAACACTGAAAACGCATGGGTGCTGAAGGTAACACAACCTGCTCGATAAATTTTGGGTACGTGCTCTAAGTTAGGCAGCTCCAAATTGAGCAGCGCATTTCCCGATCTATAATCTGTCATGCTCAACGAGCAAACATGACAAACACTTGTACTTTTAGGTCTGGTTAGTGCACATACACCTCTTGAGTCTCATGCCAAAGACTTTGTGTCAAGTTTGTGCAAATGTTTCTCCAGTGACTTCACTTCGACTTTCATCTCCAGGCCATACTCGTCATCGTGCAAGGAAAGAAAATGAGTTCCATACACTATCTTCTCATGGCTCTTGATTTAGCGGACGGGAGTTCCTCCACTCTGCGTCTTCAACACTCTTTTGCCAATCCGCCCTGGAAAGAAACATGAGCTCGGCGAAGGTGACAAGCACCAAAGCGAAAGTCACACCAGCCCATAGCCCCTTCAAGCCCCAGTGTAGACCAAATGTCGTCCAAAAAGATAGTGGCAGTGCTACAACGTAGTAGCACGACAGGTTCACCCAGCCACCGACTGATTGCCTACCGCATCCTCGCAAGATGCCATTACAGCACGCCACAAGTCCATCAACTAGTTGCATAGCAGCAACAAGAGGGAGCGTATTCACGACGAGTACAACAACATCCGGATCATTGGTGAAGATCCTGGGCCAAAAGGCACGGAAGGAGAAGAATAGTATGCTGTTGGTGGCAGAACAGAGCAAAGCCGAGACAAAGACGACAAGCGCACTGATCTTTGCCAATCGGGCTGATCCGGCGCCGATGTGTTGGGCGATCATGGTCGTTCCCGCAATACTGATGGAAAAGGGGATTTGCCAGAATGCCGAGTTCAGGGCAGCCAGAATTGTTTGTGCTGCGAGATCTTCTGTTGACAATTGAGCGGATGCAATCACAAGAATCTCGAAGGCGAGGTATTCGGCTTCCACCATGACGAGTCCTGGTAGAGCCAATTTTAACATGGGACTCCAGCCTCTCAGACCTCTAGAAGTCACGCAGGGCCACAGTCCTCCTCTTCCAGCCAGTCTCAGGTACGCCCAGAGATACACTGGCATTATAGTCCATGTTGTTGCGACAGCTATGGGGCCGCCGATGAACCCGAAGTCGCAACGCTAAGTGTTGTCAGCTTCCGAAGCTTGCTGGACAGGTATATACCACATACCCAAACGAGTAACCAGCCCAGGAATGCATTTGTACAAGCACCCGCGCAAAGAATAACCGTTACCGGGAAGAAAATACCTTCCGCCGTCAAGACTCTCTTTCCAGCTTCGAATACCACATACCCAGGAATCGCACAGATGAGAATTTTTAGATATAATCCAGCAAGCATATATGTCGTCGGATCCGGAAGGATAAGAGAGAACAGGTAATTGGCATAGAACCAGAGTATGGCTACCAGCGAACCAACAGCACCCAGGACCACGATCATTCTCTGAACGTGCAGCTGCTTCAGCTCGGGATTGCCAGATCCCCAGGCTTGAGCGCAAAGAGTGTCCAGACTTGTACAGAGACCTTGGAAGATCATGAAGCCTGTAATATTCGCGGTCGTGGTGGCAACGCTGACCGCCCCAAATTCAACCTTTCCACGTGGACTGATGATGAGCATACTCGACATGTTGAGGGAAAATTGCAGCAGGTTGGCTACGATGAGCGAGATAGAGTATCTTCCCAGGACTTTCGCCTCAGTTTTCCATGTCGTTGCTTCTTCCGTTGATCCTGGTTTCCAAAGTAAAGATGTTGACTCTGTGTCCCGTAGTGCGACTGGCGTTGACCCAGCGATTGGAGGCTTTGCCGTGTTCTCTTCCATTGTTGCCTCAAACATGGTATCCTATAAGGCAAATGTCCTCTGTTGGAAGAGAACTGGCTTTTGTTCTGAGTAATACTCTTCCCTTTCGTACAGACCCTTATATTATGAGTCACGTTACCATCAAAGAGTGTGACTTAGCTAGCTATGTCATACAAAGGCCGAGACCATGTTATCTACACCGCATTGTAGACCGTTCTGAAACCCTTGATAGTCAGGGTCGCTCGATAGGACCCACTTTCATCTGTCTCGATACCCAAGAAGGCATGTTCATCAGTCGAGTAGTCGGCCTTCGCCGAAGCCCGTGTCCGAAACGCTCTCATCCTGGTGCAAGAGCTGCTCAGTCGGCTATGGGCCGAGATCTACAACGTCCCTAAGGGAGTCTATGCCAGTGGATCGGCTGTACAATCATTCAGTCATATTGCCTTGTATCCTATACATGGCTGGCCACGCTTAAGACTCACGCTGCCACTATTGAAACGTTCTCTGCTGTGTATGGACGGGCCAGTGGTGGTCTAGAACGAAGTGTGAGACTCACTGAATTATTTCATACATACGGTATACAAGCATCATTTGATCGTCTACAATCATTGATAGATCTGATTTGTCGTACTCTGTATAGGATCTTGTCTGGCTATCTTGACCTTGGATTTGAATTGCAAGCTCTAAGTCCACTGAACCCTTGAGCTTATTGAAATATACTTAACGTCATACCTTGAATCTCCTTTCTCGAGCCTTCTTTCTTGAACACCTATAGCATCGTCATTGCAATTCTGCCGAGAGACACCATTAGAGGAAGCATCTCTGCACCGTTCATCGTCCTGTGAGCTTGATCTCAAAGTGTCGGAGAACAGGGTAAGCCAGACAAACAGCAACCAGTGTGATATAGTTCCCAAGATCGCCGCCATAGTCTCCAATTGCTTTAGCTGCCGGCCCAACGTACTGTTTTGGTCTGGTCAGCAACAACGCAATGAAAGTCGAAAGACAGAAGCCCAGTGGAATGACTTACCCAAGTCTGGTCCATGCCCAGGAAGCTGACACCGATGCCGAGAGCCAGACTCACGCAGGCTGCAATACCCAATGGCATCCGGTCGTAGTCCTGCCACCCAGCGAGATCGTAGCCACCATTACGAGGGCGGAACCAGAAGTTCTCGAATGCAAGGATAGAGCCAAAGCAAATTGTCCAGTATCCAAGTAGGGACAGGAAATCGGTCAGAATATCTACCAGATGCTCTCTTCCTCCCCAAGCCAGTGCCAGACTGATTGCAGCGAGGAGACTGTTCCACACAAATCGTGGAACTGCCATGAAGTACTTCCCCCATAGTTGAATTGACAAGGACGAAGAATAGTAGATGGCAGTCAGGTTAGCCACTGTGAGTAAATCAGCATCTGATAAAGTCTCCTCGAGATTGACAACTTACCCATTGACAGTGTGTATACGATGCAGACAAACTTGCTCCATCCAGAAGGCGACATCGTCGCCAAAATCAGTGCTCCTATACCTCCATCGTCGTAGGTATCCGCCATGGCCTGATTGGTGAGTATAATCCCTCCATAGAGATTTCCGAGGACAATGACGAAGATTGTGGGAACCGTCAAGCCAACCCAAGTCAGCCAGAAAACGAGCCACCTGCTGATATCTGCAGGATAGTGGACGTAGTAATCACCCGACATGGAACACCAGGCGGCTGCTGTACCAAATATCAGAGCAAAGTAGCTCAATGCTGCACCGGTCCTGGTTTCTCCGGAACTGTATGAGAGGGCTGGTGTGGGCGAATAGTATTTGGCTGATTGCCCGTACTCGACGCACATCAAAATTAGGATAAAGATCCAGGCCACCTGTTCGTATCGGTGAATAATGCGAAAACCTAAGAAGGAGATAACATAGGCCGTGACGCTGAGGATGATGATTCCAACTGCGATTGTGACTTTGCCTCCGCTGACGGCACTGATGAGTTGGCCTGCGACGATACAGGCGATGGTGCCAAAGCCAAGATTGACTATAATGTTGAGTAGACCGCACACTTTGGAGCCGAATATTCCAAAGGCGTATCTGGACACGGCGATTTGACGAAGACCTGTGGGAGCGCATAACGTTGCCGTGAAAGCAGGCACGATAGAGCCGATAGCTGATCCGAAGACAGTGATGATAATCGAATCGTTCACAGACAATCCATAGATGGGACCCAATAATCCCAGTGTTATGGTGCCAGGCGAGATCAGCATAGAAAACCAGAAGAACATCATCTGTGCCGCACTTGTAAGTATTTTTGAAGAGTCCGCAAGTGCTCAACATACATTAAAGATGCTTGGAGGCCGACGCTGATCTTCGGGAATGCGATCCGCGCCTGTTGTCTCGATACCGAGCTTGTTGTCGAGCCACGCCTCGATAGCTCTAAGCTTTCGCAGGATGGGGATCCGGTCACGCATTGCCATGACCTCCAGCTCCCCCTTACCACGAACAGGGGCAACATACTCGCCTGCTTGCAGAGACCCCTGTTCTTCGTCCGGGTGAGGCTCAAGCCCGGTTTTTGTCTCAGCGATGTTCTTTTCCGCCATTGTGATGATGGAAGTATCCGATGTCAACTCGAAAAATGCCAGTAGTTGGTAACGAGGGATGATTTGATGCCGCGAGAGATGATTCTGATAATCCAGGACGGGCCTTGCGTTTTATGTCTGAAAGTCTTCTAAGATAGCACATCTTCGTATGCAGATAAGACAGTACTCGGCATGATAGAGTCAGAAGGGTTCCCGTGTTGGTGACGAGAGGCCGGGCAGGTCCGATACACCATAAGAACGGCCCAGACGGTGGAAGAGAGATAACAGGGCATCATCGCAGTATACAAAGGTGTGAGATCTCCAACGGCAGAAATCCGTTTTCCAACACGATGGTTAAGTTCATGTCCGAACCTTCTTACGCTTGGCATGTCATCTACTAACAGCGTGGAGCAGACAGACTGAAATCGTGACCTGTTTCGGACTAGATCCAACGAGAACGTGGAGCAACCTCGATCTGGGGTCCGTCCCTGTTATCAGCGGTTTTTGTCAACCTCGACAATTGGCCCGGCTGTTCCATCAACCACCTCATGCGAACTCAACAAGATCGGAACTAGTCAGCATTGATTTGTCTCTAATTAGCGAGACTGTTCGAACCACGTCAATGGTACTCACCAGATTTTGGTGTCCCAAGCCTTGTGTGTGACACACACCCGCGAAAGGACTGATAAGCTACCAACTGAGCACTTCGGGACTGAAATTCTGTCCCTTTTGGGACATGGGTCGAAACAATCTATTCGGAATTGCCTGCAAAACATGCCGCCGTCGTGGGAGAAAATGTGATCGGAGCCTGCCGACATGCACGAATTGCAGCTTGAGGGGTGTCGAATGTGAAGGATATGTCTTACGTTGGGTCGATGCCAATGTCCGAGGACCTTCGGCTGGGCAGACACATACGACCCCTTTCCGTGAGAACGTCTTGCATGCTGCCCAGGAGCGGCCTACCCCAGGCGAGCTGAAGACCACACGTACTGGGCCTCGTAGAATAAAGGATACTCAGCACCCTCATCATGAAGCGAAGATTGTTTCGAATGCTGAGCCTCCAGGATATCATGCTTATGTCGCAGATTCCGAATGCTCTGGCACACATCATATCGACTTTGAGGATGTCTTCATCCTACGACGACAAAATTGGAGCGTCCTCGAGGTCGTGGGAACAGGTCGCGATGGTCTGGAAGGATTGGTCGATTATTGTAAAGAAACATCCGGACGTACTGTCAATGAGCTTTACTAACCATATCTTAGATGCCCGTGATATCAGTACAGCCTTCTATCTCGGCCAGGGCCCTGCTGAAACGCCTGACATTCGCCATATTCTGCCTATGGCCCGAAGCATTCCTTCGGTGAGATGTGCAGTGGCTGCCTCGGCTGCATGCCACCTAGCGAATCGGCTGGAAGACGACCATTTAAAGAGACAAAGTCTTCATCTGCGACTAAAAGCGACCGAACTCCTGAGAGCGAAGTTGAAAAGTGAAGGTGACTTGCCAGACCTAGCATGTTTGGCCTGTATGCTGCTACTCGCTCAGCTCGATGTACGTAACAACTACACCGCTGTATGGTATGTGGTCCCCTTGCTGAAAGCTGTGGTAGGTATGCTCCGGGGACTGTGTCGAATTTGGGACACACCTCAAAGCTGCGAGCACCTTTATCAAGTTGCGTGGGTCCGACGGGACAGAACGAGGTTTCATTGAGCAACGTATAGCATGGTGATGATCTTGCTACGCCATCGTGCAAAACTCCAAACTAACAAGGTTGCAGGCTTGACATTATGGGCGCAACTACAAGCTCGAGAATGCCGCATTGGTCCTCCGAAGACGTCAAGGCTACCCTGAACAAGTTCAGAACACCATCAGGAAGAGAATGGGGCTTTGATGTGTTCTACTGCCCCATTGATCTGTTCGAATGTATCGCCGATGTTACGGTGTTGTACAAATCACAGTCTAATCCACAAGACATAGATCATGATATCGTTGAAAAAGCCATACTACTCGGCATTGCTGTCAGAAACTGGGATGCGTCTACCAACGACTCCGATACCCGCCACCATATGGTCGAGGTATGGAGGTTGGGAATCTTGCTCTATCTGATTCGACTCTTCCAATTGCCCATCCACATCTTCAACACGCCAGAACTCATCGTTAGCATCTTTCATCATGCACGTGGGATTCCCTCCAAAACAAGCTGGAGCTACTCGACATCGTGGCCCTTATTCCAGGCTGGCTTACTTCTACCCCACAAGGAGTACCAGACCCAGAACTGGCTACGAAATGAACTGCATACGAATTTCCGAGCTCTTGGTTGTATTCACCAAAAGCTTGCCGCTGAAGCTTTGGAACAGGTCTGGAGGTCAGGTGAGGATGGGCTCTATGATCTTTCCGACGCCAATTTTCCAGAGCGCAAGCTTATACTCTAGCCATCTGAGGTATCTTTCGTATCAAAACTCAAGAAGTTCACTCGTGGAAACGCTGGTGAGGACCAGACTTTTGTTTACTATTTCTATTGAGTTGGGTAAAATCTCTCATAAACCACGTCTATCTCTTCCAGGATATCCTGTTTGACCACTGACTTCGCCCAAGAGATGTTGACAGCGTTTTTGGCTAGAACAATAACATCTTTGTCGTCGAAGCCGCACAGGTGTTTTACCAGTAAGAAGTTGTGCAAGATCCAGCAATCTTCCATATATGCTGGGTCGTCGCTGTTGATGGATATTTTGATGCCTGCATCGTATAGTTGACGAATCTTTGGCCCAAGCTCCACATACGTTTCGTGTCGTAGGTAAGACCAAGGGCAAATCGTCATGCCGACGTCCTGCTTCAAAATCAAGTCGATCAAATCCTGTTTTTCTGCGGCGTTGAGACCATGGTCGATACGGTCGAGTCCTTTGCCTGCAACCACACATGCAGCCTGCCTGATATGCTCATGTGTATTCTGTGAGCCGACGTCACAATGCATTGTGAGTTTAAAGCCATCACGTCTGGCCAGCGAGAAGACCTCTTCGAAAAGTGTGGGCGGTCGATCCATTTCGTTTGAGTCGAGCCCAATTCCCACAATGATATCGCGATAAGGCAGCGCAGCCTTGTAGTGTTCCATAGCCGACTCTGTGGAGAGATCTCGCAGAAAGCACATGATCCATGCTGATTTCACCTATTCTTCCGTCAGATCATGTCCAGGAGGTAGTCGAAGGACCATACATACATTTAGTTCTTCCTCCGCCTGTTTCGAAGCTTCCCTGAAACCGTCCATCATGACGTTCCAGGAGATTCCGCGGGTTGTGTGACCTTGGGGATCCCAGAAGATTTCGACGTAGCGAACGTTCATCGTTGCGGCATGCTCAAAATAATGCATGGCCAGATCAAAATAGTCTTCTTTCGTTTTGAGACATTCAAATCCTTCGAAATATGCCTCGAAGAATTGGAAGGTCTCTTCTTTATTGTTCTCCATGCGACTGGGATCTGGTCGAAGCAAGTCCATTGCAGCCTGTACTTCAGCCAGACTTTTAAGCTCCGGACCATTTTTGGCGATCCTCAGTTTGGTTCCATTCCGTTGAGTGAACTTCCATCTCAGCTCAGCGGTTATGGTGCCTTCGATATGGACGTGAAGCTCAACTTTGGGTACGTGAAGGGCGAATTTGTCGTCGGCAGCTAGTAAATCGTCTTTCAGCTTCTCTCGAAGGCCAACTCCAAGGGCTTCTTCAATGCCCATGTTTGCAAGATCGTATGTTCAGACCTCAAGAACTGCTAAGACTGGCATTGACTGAACTGTGGGAAATCCATAGCAAATATTCACCACTTGCGATAATTGACATCCAAATTCACCAAAGACGATACTGCGACTCTGTTGACAATGGAGTCATACTGTGGAGAGGCGACGAAGTAGTAAATTGGAGTTCTTCGGATCTAGTCCCAAGTAGGTCATGATTTCAGTCTCCGAGCTCTATTCGCAGAGGACAATGAATCTAGAAGAACCATTGATCAACTCATGATAGATAGCTATTATTCAACATGATTGCTATCTCAAGTCTACCGAAGGCCATGCTGATCCTGTCTTCTCAGATAGCGGGAACCGGCGTACGGCGTACAGCGAACAGCGTCGTGGGACGTTTTTCTGATAACGCTTCGTCGCACTTGATTTCCGCAAACTGTTGCGCACAGGATGGTGGTGGTACCGCCGGAGTTGATTATTCCGATTGCGAATTCATTTCGGTCAGCTTCCGACCGAAGACTGCTGGGGCTCAACGGTAGAAAGTACCTCGTAGAGGGCACGAAAGGGTCTGGCCGTCAAAGATCATTCTACCGAGATTCAGCGGTAGTTGTCTCTAGGTGCCTACGTACGGCTACGGTAGAGCATCTCTTCTGGAAGGAGCAAACCCGTAAAACGTCACAAACGCGCTTCCTCAACTTCTGCCTCGTTCTGTTCATTCATCAGATTCTGTCCAGCGACGCATAACAACAATCTACGCGAAGTCTTTAGGGCTGATGTGTCCAGTATGAAACTTGTAGGTGTCGGCGCGTGCTATCTGGACACCATCTTGAGGTTGCCTACTCTTCGATTCATGCCGGGCACAGGCTAAGACAATGCCTACAGCGTACCGTATTACCCATCCGAGGACGAGAAACTCAGAGCCACCACCATTGCTCACCGTCGTGGGGGCAATGTACCAAATGCATTGGAGGTCCTGCAGCAGCTGCCCAAACCAGATCATAAAAATGATCACTCACTCATCCTCTGCTCCGTCCTCCCGTCAGTCTCATCCGTGGGTGTACAAGAGATCAAGAAGTCGTTCGGTCCCAACGTAGATTTGTCGCATTGCCTACACCGAGAACAATGCCCGGAGCCCGCATCCAGCTACATCATCAAGAGTTGTTCCATCGACAGCAGAACGATCGTCAATTATAATGACTTACCTGAGATGACGCTTGCAGAATTCACAACCGTCGTCGGGAACATCGGAAAAGAAGCCAGTTGGTACCACTTTGAAGTACGACTATCACTTTGGCATCGCTCCAACGCTGACATACTTTCAGGGTAGGAACCCGGATGTCACCCTCCAGTGTATGCAGTACCTTCGTCGGGCCTATTCAAATGTCACCATAAGCGTGGAGATCGAGAAGCCTGGACGCATTGGTCTGGAGGAGATGGCTGCAGAGGCTGACGTGGTCTTCTACTCCAAGAGCTGGGCCTTTGAACGTGGGTATCAGGACGCTGCTTCTTGCCTGAAAGCACAAGCAGATGTTGCTATACGAGCGTAAGTTTGTTCACCACGATTCCACGTAGCTAACACGGTTATTCAGGACTTTCCTATTCTGCACATGGGGTGAGGACGGATCCGCGGCTTTTGACATCAAAGAACAAGAGCTTCATCTTCAGCATGCATTTCCAGCCGTATCGCCAGGAGTCGTTGAGTACGCCCACCAGCTTCCTATCTCTTACCTTGGAATGCTGATATCGTCCAGTCCCATAGGAGCGGGTGACACATTCATCGCGGGGATCCTGTACGGGCTTCTTTGGCACAGCGATGACTGGGACATGGTGCGGAAGCTCGCGTTTGCAAATGAGCTCGCCAGTCGTAAGGTCTGCCGCAAGGGCTTTGGAGGTTTGGGCAGTACCATGCGTACTTTTGGGTTCAACCCACCTTGATCGAGATCCAGTGCATCGGTACGATCGCTCTATCATACGACGTCCTTGAACGGACACTATGATCAGACTCGATGGTCTAAAGTTGTCCGGATTGAGGCGACCAAATGTGCTGCTCCTGGAAGAGCACAATACGACAAGGATTTAGTGCATTGGTGCATATGCCAAGCTGAGGAGTTTTGGAGATGACTTCGGTGGTGAAAGACTGCAGGGCAAGTTGGGAGTACTGTATGTACGTACCCGACATCCTGGAAAGATGTCCTTTACGAGCAACTGATCATTCACTGGTTAGCTCTACTTCACCTGCACCTTCACTTTCAGCTCATCTTTTGCCGAATTTCTCCACCGACTGACCAGTATCTACTCCTGATGGTTTGCACCTATCTTCGTCAGCTTTGTGTTTCCAACCTCTCAACAATTTCATGCCGATCTTACAGCCTGGGTCTGAGTCCACACCCTCTCGGGCCGGCGGCGACACCGCTACAGAGCACATCACTTGAATAATTTCTCACCAGACCAGCCGAGCAAATCACCAAGATGCTTCCTGAATACCTTACCACGAGCTATCGCCGATGTAAGCAAGACGCTGATTACCTTGCAACCTGGCTTGCGACGACTGCGAAACAATGCGGCCATGTCATCAATTCACGTCAGGCTGCACCTCCTTCAACGGAAAAGTCTCAAAAGCTGAAGGGGCGGGCAAGAACACTGGCAAGACGTGCCGCACGAGAATATGGGGGCTCTACCACCACTGTCGGTCAAAACGATGGCATGAAGAAGCAGACATACACAGTGGCGATCAAGGAATTTGTACCTATGGCACGCCGCGTCGCCGTATGTGTGAAACCGGTCATCAAGAATCCTAGGCGATTCGCCAATGTGCTGGAGCGAGCTATATCTTTGCGGAAACGGATTAGCGCAGCCGTCATTGATGGACAAACCCCAGCAATACCACGAAACGCCGACGACCAGTGCTCTGACTTGCAGCACTCTTACTTTATCAACATTCTGGAGCAAGTGCGAGACATACTGGGAATCGGTGTGCCTGTACGTTCGGAGACCGATGCAATGGGCCAAGGCTCCTGCAATACCGACAGCAAGCCTGAGATTGACTTTGTGAATCTATTCGAGTGTCTCGATATCGAGGAACCTGCCGAAGAGCTTGAGAATCAAGATAAAGCACCTGCAGGTAGAACAAAACAGCCTCCACAAGAGCTGAGTGTTTTGTACACGACGGAGACGGTCTCAGACTGCTATGAGTCCTTCTTCGCCTTCGCTTGTCTACTCCGCGACTTGAAGCAGATGAGAGATACCGTCAACCAAACCTGGATCGGCTTCAAGACTCACAAGTATGACGTCGTCACAGCGGCTTTGACAGCTAATGCTGCAATGGAGCTGGCGCGTCGCTTGGAAGAGGATATGGATGAGTTTTCTGCAAATGGTGGCCCTGGTTTCTTCCTGGAGGCTTTCCACTGTGCTGGTTGGGCTCAGCTTCGGGCGCTCTCAATAGCGTCGTGTCTATCCGGCGAAGAGGTTGAAGCTGCAGGTTGCAGATTGGGTACGGACCTGTTCTGGTCAACATACGAGCGGCTGCAATGGTATGTCGGCACGATCGCGGAGAATTCAGTCGCCGACCGAAAGAAGACGATAGTTTATACTTCTCCTGGCCAGCATGGTAGATATGAACCTCTACGCGACCGCTCGAAAATGTCACTCGGCGAAAGAGTCCAAGAAGATCACTTTCTGCTTGGGGATATTTTCCCAGATCTCAGCATATGGGCGCTTTTGAGGCGAGAGATGGACATTCCTGGCGATGATGAATTCACCCGCGGGTTCTGCCAAGTGTGCGAGACTGGTGAAGTCCCACTCTGGTTCGTCTTTGCTTCTCAGATCTTCCTAGATGTCCATCACATTCTTCGTGAGAAGGTCGAACTAGGATACGAGATTCTCATAGTTGTGGGCGGACAGATTGGAAAGTCCATCATCGACAATTTCAAATACCAGGAAGAGGTCTTGCAGCAGAAACTTCCGACCGACATCGATAGGGGATTCACCGCATTGCTGAAATTCGTCGAGACGCTTGGTCGACTTGATCCTATCGAGGACTTTCACGCCCGGTGTGTTGAGCATATGCCACAGCTCTCGCGTCTCAACGTGGAGAAGAATCATATGCTAAAGATACATCCAATACTGTGTGGCTTGAAGGTATTCACTCTGAGAGCACAATATCGCGAATTTTCTCTTCAACTGGCCAATTCTCAGCCGCATATACTTGCCTGCGCACACCTCCACAATGCATTGTACCGTGAAGGTCTTGTGTATGACCAGTGGAAGGACATTATCTTTTTCATGACCTCGCAAGACAGGGACTGCCTCTTTGCTGGAAGTCCTCCAACAGAAGCAATCGATTACCACAGTCGCTACAGTCTTGCTGTCTCAGGCCATTCTGCGTCGAATTATGCAAGAAATAGGAGAAGACCTGACAATGTTGTCATGTCGGCAACAGGTCACCGGAAGATACAATCTCAAATTCCGATACTCGACATGTTCATCAACCGGTATTGCGAGGACAAATACACGAATCTGGCCCCACAGGACGTCATACAGATCTTGGGAGCAAGCAGGTGGGCTTCGACAGTTTTGACCAAGGAGCAGGCTGAAAACTGGCCTTCGGCACCGCTTGCCAGGGGTCGCAATATGGAAGTTCACATGCTGGTACCAAAGTCGGGCCAGAACCCATTTGAGCATCAGTCTCCCCTGGACCAGAAGTCGAGTGTCTCTGAGCTTCTGCGCACCCTACGTGGCTCACTTCATTCAGAGAATGTGTCCATGTCGTTCGATTACTTGCAAATGCACCACCATTCGACACAGCTGTTGCAGGCCATTAGTGATGAGACTCGAGATGTTGTGCGGGACTCACTTGGTCAGACATTCACAGGTCGTAGAGCTCCTTTGGAGTTGGTGGCATCCATTCTGGCCTGCACATCTGCAACGAGTCGAGGTGCTCGCAACGTTGGCCTCCCAGACTCAATGGTAGACTACCGTGCTATTGCTAGGCAGTTGCTTATCTCTGCGGCACAGCAGGTGAAGAACCTGACAGGAGAGACTGTTGAGACTGTTATAGGAGCAAAGCACAAGCGCGGTGAAGCGGTCATGGCCTTTATGAAATTTATCAACCGGATTGACTACATCGTTGATTCAGAGGATCCTTGGTTTACAGGCGTAGTGAAGGTTTGATTGTGCTGCAGCGGATCTTGACGGCGGTCGTCTACGGCAGCTATTGGTCCGGAGGAGTGCTGAACAGAAACTTGGTCGCAAGACCATGGAACTCAGCCAGGCAGGATTGGATATCACTGGATCAGTGAGAAGTTGCACTCGGTTCACAGAACGTAGATAAGGGGGCATGCTGAGTGGCATGCTGAGTGGCATTCTTGACACTCCCTCTTACTTGGCCGAGGGGCTCCTTCTAAGATCACATAGATGGATCAAAGATTGTGTGCACAGCGCAACTCATAGGTTCTTCGTCAACATGTGCTCCTCGAGTTGTTTCCATGGTGAGAGTCAGAGCCCCATAGCTGCAGGTCGAGAATTCCTTAACTCCTTAGCCTCTCCGGTATTTATTTCGTATCTGCTGCCGCTTTCGACTCGGTCCATCTTGTCCGTCCGCTGCACTTGGCGGTCGAATCTCTTCGAACGCTGCCGATGCGGTCCGCTTTCGGGAATGCGTATACTGCGAAGAAGTCGTCGGTGCCTGCTCTCTCTGTTCCTGCACGGCAGCCGCCCATCTCTCCTGTACCCGCTCACGCAGCGCGTCCGGCCAGTTTGGATTCGCAGGCAAGCTCTCTGGGGGGTTCGGCGGACACGGCACATCCCAATCCTTCGGAATCCAAAGCAAATGCTCGGCGAATGAGCGCCAGAACGTCTCATCTTTTTCGAAGTTTGCGCCTCCGTCAGGTAGATTGCCCATCTCGCCTGGCCCACACGCAACGATGAGGCGCTCTCGCCGACCCTCCGTGCCCAGCTGAGCGGTCTCACGGTCCTGGCACTGAGACAGACCCCGCTCGGCATCCCTACGTAAGGTCTGTGGGCTTGGTCGATCTTGAGGACGTATTCTCAAGCAAGCCTGGACAAGACTCAGTAGTTCCGGACTATACTGGCGCGTCACGCCCGGATCGAACCGTTTGATAATGTTCGTGCCGTCAAATGTGCGCCGCGCCAAAGGCGTACCCATCAGGAGATCGTTGACGCGCTCGCTAAGGTCGTCAATCTCGTTCATCGTTATCATCGAGTACATTACCGCGCCAACAGCCCAGAGATTGGCTTGTGCGAGGATCTTGTGCTGATCGCGCTGTATGGTGCTGCTCGTGCCGGGTTGGTGGAAGTAGTATTTTCGGTAGTCTTGCATGAAGGAGGTGCGTTGTTCCTTTTCATCAATCAGTGCAAGGCCAGCACGAGGATGGGAGACACGAAGGACCCTGGTATTTATACAGGGGGAGAACTTACAGGTGGATACCACGCTCTACTTCCGACCTGCAGAAAACGCGCTTGATTCCGCAATGCCTCGTTGGGAGCGGTGATGATGGATAGGCCGAAGTCCGCGAACTTGGGAATGGGATACCATTTGCGTTGGCTGTCCTTGGTCATATTAGAACCTAGAAGGATGTTTTCCGTCTTGATGTCATTGTGCAAAAGGTATCCGTCAGGCATACTTTGTCCAAAACGACTTGATGCGAGGTTCTTGAATGGTCCGGACCCAAATCTTGCACAGCCTTCTGCTAGGGAGGAGAATACGTGCCAGAGGAATAACTCGGGGAGATACGTGTTCCAAGCCTTGTACTTCAGCCGCAGCGTCTCGAGGGTTTCATACCGGCAAAATTCGAAGTAATAGCGAGCGTAGTCGCCACTGACGTTGAACTGGCGTAGTCGCACGATGCTGTCTGTCTTCCAGTCGTTGGTTTGTGCCATAATCGCCGCCTCATGCGTGAGGTCGACTTTCGCTTTATGCACCAGGGAGTTTGGGTTGAGGTCGGCGACCTTCAATGCGAATTCCTAACTGTGGTCAAAATCTCAAGCATTGCACGTAAACATGAAAAGAGGGAGATAAATGCTTACATCGACGACTTTCTGGGTTTCGTCGACTTTAACGAACAATGCCGCAGCACCGTATGAGCCCTTGCCGAGAGGTCGCTCGAAGCTCCATTCCTGGTCATCTGGGAGACTGATGTCGCGGGAGAAGAGATGCCAGAACCGAGCCCCAATTGGCTTTACCTTGCCTTGTGCATCGATTTCGGTCCATTGGAAGAAGTGCTTGATGGGAGAGGATGGTATTGCTTGTCGTGCGCTTGTCGATGTCGTGAACGTTTGCTTGTGGGATGGTTCCCAATCAACCTGGAAATCGTCGAGGCCTTGCTGAGGCATGTTAATATGTCAGCATCGGTCGTCACGCAACATTGGTCAAGTACAAGCATGCCGTTCATAATGCACGAACGAAGATCTGCTAATAGCATTTGGCGGATTGCATTGACTTTGTAATAGTTCTTGGTATCATACAATGAATGAACGTTGCCGCATCCGGAGCAACTCGAGGTCATTATGCTTTCAGCACCATGACGTTCAGTCACCACACCTTAGACTTGCAGCCTTTGTCGAGCCAACAATGAATTTCGAGTGCGCTTTGATGGTCCATCCCAATCTTCTCAATGTAGCACGATGCAGCAATATCCAGCATTCTTGACGGCCAACCAGAGGTCACGTGGGTTGGCGGTCGCTTGCTGACTAATCAAGGTTTTTGTGTCTGCCGCACGGTCTCGCAGACAATGATGGTTCATCGTCGAACACTTCCAATGTTGCAGTTCTCGACTCATTCCGCTTCTTCCTCGAGGGCTTCCAGCTCGGCCTTTTCGTAACTCTCCATGACTTTTGACTCCCAGATGGTCGTGTCTTTTTCTGGAATGCCATGTTTCATATCCTTGAAAACAGGTCCAATACAAGTCTCCCATCGCTTTCTTCTATCCATCAACATCCTGGCACTGTCGCCAATATCCCGAGCTCGACTCAGACTGAGCGCAGTACCTGGTCCAGCACCACCAGGACGAGGCTTAGCTCCCGGTCCACCCTTCTTAGTCTTTCCAAGAGTTCTGGTGCGCTTAAGATAGGCTTGTTGAACTTGGCTGTCAAGATCTTCGTGGATAGTGCTGTATTCCTGGTATGCGAGACGTTCTTTGGCCAAGCCAAGCAGGCGAGCTTTGCGAGCGCCATTGGTGATCATAACTCGACGGAGTTCTGCCTGCAATAGCCGCAGCCGCTCACTAATATCGTCGTCGTGATGAGCATCATAATCGGGATTCTCATCCTGTCCGAGCAAGCCGAGATGCCGTAACTCGCCCTTGATCCGATCTTCGGTCTGGACGTAGTCTAGACGCTGCGAGTTGGATGCCTTTGATCCCGCTAGGTCCGCAATAGCCGCCGCAGGTGCCAAGGGCTTTTCAGATGGGTCGTGACCGTTCATGAGACCGTCCAAATCCATAGTATCGTTACCATCCGCATTGAATGCATTTTCGCCGATTCCATTCATATCGGCAAGGGGGGTTCGATGTTCAAACTTGAGCAATGAAAGCAAGCGGCTCGCCAAAGGTCCAGCTGAGACCTGGTCGGTCGCGAGGTTGTCGTCGCTAATTTGTTCCATGCTGCCTCTGGGGTTGTTTCCCGGGAATTTATCACTGCCACCATCAACAACCACAGTGCCATCTTCTTCGGCCCAGATTTCTTGGTATGAACGCTTGCCACGCGGTACGGCTAGGAAAGGGGTTGTACGATCACCCTAGAGACAGGTCAGTAAGCTTGACTGGATATTGAGGTTTACTGCTCACGCGTTCTCTGAGGAAAGCCATGTCTTCTTCAATCAGTGGTCGGACGTATGGTTCCACAAAAGTAAGGAATGTGTTGGCAGAGACCTGGTTAGTAGGCTTTGCATTGCTGAAGTCTTTGTCAGGTGGTGTGCCAGCCATTTCGTCCTTGAGATCTCTGGTTGGAAAAGATGTGACGCCGTAAATCTCCTTCCTCTCTTCATCCGACATTCCAGGCGTAACGTCCCGAATGTGGTAGATGACAGGATCAGGTGCTAGAGGGTCAGGAAAGAATCCTTGCTGCGGTATCCGAGGTTGCCTATGTATCACACGATTTTCTTCACCGTCAGACATGGAAACATCGGTCTTTGTCGGAGAGGCGTGAGCACTGGCAGCTGCAGCGTCCGGAGAATCCGCGACTTCTGACAATGATGATGTACCAGGGCTGAGCTTTGTTTTCTTGGACGGAGATGGGCTATCGACTGGTCCAGGAGTGCCTGTCGACCGCATCTTGATCTTGGAAGGTTCATCTGCAATTCCTGTCAGTGTATGGTCCCACGAGGCAATGGCCGCAATCGTAGTCGCATCCTGCTTCGCCAAGCGGCACTCAAAAGGCGGCTATGGCTGTACGAGGTGCGGCGAGGTGATGCTTGTAAATGCGACAATACATACCTTCACGTTTGATCTCAACGCTGTCAAATGTCTCCGGTCTATCCTTGCGCTTTTTTGCCTTTGGATTCTTTTGGGATTGTGACTCCTCCTTACGAGCCTTTGTACGACGTGCTTGTTCAGCCTGGCGTTCACGCTCTTGGTGGTCCGAATCTATTTCCTTCTTCTGTTCATGGATCAAGCGGATGGCCCTCTCGCAGGACTCGGCGCGTTTCTCCGCAGAATCACTCAAGTGCTTCAACTGGTCAATGAGGTCGTGCAATGACTTGGGCTCGAACTTCGTTCCATGCGTCTCAAGGTAATCGATAACCTCGCCATAGTTTGGTTTCGGCGACACGATGAGGTGTTTTGTTTCCAATTCCAAAAGTGGTGTCGTGGTTGGCCCCGACGGGGCGGCGCCAGCGCTCAACACGGAACTAGGCGTTGTGTTTCGACTTCGTGAACGTCGCGCATCAACTTTCTTTCCCTTGCTCTTACTGGCGCTCCCGAGAGGAGGCATTGCGCAGTGAAGTCGCGAAGATGGGGGGTGTTGTCGGCAATGGTAGGTGACGGCTCGTCGTTCGATGAGTCGCGAGGGTACTCAAATCGTGTGGCGACGAGAAATAGGAGATGAGGAAAGTTCACCACTCAGCCCGGGAAGCACAGTGGACGACTCCCCTTCTCGACTCCTGACAGATACAATATCGACGGCGATGCTGCTCCTAGGTCGCGCCGTGATATTGATGAAGCGCAGTTCGAAGTCATCATAGGCGCCTAACCACGTGAATCCTCGGCAAAGATGCCCGGCCCGGCTACTCTTTATTGGGTTAGTTCGACCCCTCAAAACAGGGGATGTGGATCCTTGAAACTTGGCCACTGACGCTCATCTTGATTGAGCGGAGGAGATGGTGCCAGTGGGTGGCTGGCTTTCCAAACTTGACGTTAGCCGCTCTTCCGCTGGCAATCACGCAGATCATTGATCCTCTCTCTCTCTACAACAATCACCGCTGTCACTATTTCACTAATTTGTTCTCAGTCGCGCAGTCTCCTGGCCGTACTTAGGAGATACTCATCCTAGGCTATTCTTCTACGGCCACAATGGGCTGCTGCAGGTGCTGACCAGGACCCGACCATTCCGGTACCACGGCTGTCCGCAGCATACCATGTACTCGCCCGCTCGTACTACCGGATTTAATTGAACACACATTGATTCTCCGCTAGAATCGACCAGCAGCAATGTGTGAGTTCGAGTACACTCATGAGTCCCAGCTATCATCTGACATCGTCTTAGCGGCACAAGATTTCGACGTCATTGCGGCTGTTGTGACCGACACTCAGTTTAATCCTACCGAGGGCATTCAGATAGTAAATGTGAGAAAGAGAATGGGCATAACTTTGAACATGGGCAGGCTGACTCCAGAAGACATCCTATGGTTTCGCGTTGAGCGCGTCCAACCTGGTTCGCACGTTGTCGCCCAATAATCCCAATGGCTATGGCAGCATTCAGGGCTTGCTCTATGTTCCAGACCTCTCTTCTTCGAGTTCCTGTAATAACTCCACCAAGTCCCTCATACCTTCAAATGTCACCACGCTGGCCGACATCCCCCAGAGCGGCTATCCACTAATCGGCCTGGCACCATGGACACAAATATCCTGCGTGGAAGCTTACTTGTCTGCCATGGAATCTGACGGCGTCCGAGGAGGCATTTTCTTTCATCCTGGTAACGACAGTGACCAGCCTCCACCCGTCAGTGATCCATCCTGGAGCCTCGAGGATGGCGGTCAGTGGAAGTCTGACAACCCATATCCTGTATATGCCATTCCTGGAATGTTGGGCGCTTTCCTCCTTGAGGAATTGGCGCAATACTCAGGAAACTTGTCTCAAGTGCCCTATGGCCCAGAATTGGCCAAGATCTACAGCTCATCAGACCTGATCAGGCTGGTCGGAAGATTGGATGTGGACACTACCAGCGGGATACCCTCTTTATGGGTATTTTTGATTATCGTTCTGGCAATCCTTCTGGCCGTGGTTTTCATCACGTCCATCATCATGCATATAATACAGCGAAAGCAGAGACGACATCTTCAGCGAAGAGTCGCCAACGGCGAGGTCGACCTAGAAGCTTTGGGGATTAAGCGACTCAACGTACCGCAAGATGTCCTAGATATAATGCCCCAGTACACATATTCTAGTACCGAGATCAACGAGAAGGGCGCGATCGATCAAGAGAAATCCATTCAACCTAGCGAGAAGGAACCAGCTGTATTGGGCAACCCGCTACGAAAGGCGATCTTCAACCAGCCGACATGTCCCATCTGTCTCGACGATTTTGTGCACGGTGACACCATCGTGCGCGAACTCCCATGCAAACACATCTACCACCCGGAATGCATTGACCCTTTTCTCCGACAAAACAGTTCATTATGTCCGATGTGCAAGAAATCCGTGCTCCCTGCTGGATACTGCCCTGTGCAGGTTACGAACCTCATGGTTAGAAGAGAGAGATTGCTCCGCAGAACCGGACGGCGAACTACGCCGGAAAATGGAAGACTTGCTGCGCCAGTGGCTGCATTGAACCGGAGGGTCCGACGTCTTACGGTTGATCACCACGGCCAGCAACTTGAGGCGCCAATCGTGGATGTAACGGCAGCCGAATTGCGTGCCCTCCCACAAAGATCACACGTACACAATGAGGATGAAGTGCCGACAGATGTCCGCGTGCAAGGCACCACCGCCAGGCGAGCTTGGCGAAGAGAACAACTTGCGAGGCAGCAGGCGCGCGACTACAGCCACCAAGCCGAAGAGGCGCGCGTGACTGACATTTCGAGGCCATTGTGTAAGTTGGTTTGTTCTCTAGAGGCGTAACACGGGCGCTAACTTTCTGCCAGGGCGCCGAATTGTCGGTCGTGTCATCCCAAGGTTGGACTGACAAAGGATATCATGATATGTGGTCTGAGCTGGGTTTTGCATAGCGTGGCGTCTGCTGAGGAGTATGACTGAATGTCAAAAGTGACCTTGTGAAGACAGCGATTTTTCTGGAGCTGTTTGAGCCATCTATCCATCATCATGAAGAGATGGATGAGACGCAATCTCATTCATCGTCAATCATGCTTGTAGAGCTTCCATCTGTTATCGGCGCTCCCCCCACACTGTCATTGCAATGTCGAGCTGGGTAGTCTCTTGTCCGTGATGACTCGACTCGGCATCCGTACTTGCAGTGAATGCGGACAGAAATCGTGCATCCCTCTCTGCATGTGATTCTCCTGTCTTGGGTGATGCTGCTGACAGCTCGATCGAATGCGTTCTTTCAGTTCCACGACAGTGCATCTCAACTACTAGCGAATTTATCATGCTTGCCCTTGACTCTCACATCAAGTACCTCCTCATGATACGTCCCATCCTTCTTCGCGCGCTTCAGCCTCCTGACCTCGTCGTCGTCCAGACTCCTTCCGATAACGCGCTCGAGCTCATGCCGGCTGACCTTTTCTTTCGCTTTTGTCTCCTTATTCTGTTGTACCGTCGGCTTGAACTGCGCCTGCATCTTGATAATGATATGTGTAGAAGGGTCGTCTGCTTCGCCGTCACCCCGTAATGATACCGACACTTGCTTTCTTGTGTCGCTCTCTTCATCATCCTCGTCGTGTTTCGCAGTCGCACTTCCGGTCACTGTTGCGCTGAGATATCGCCTTTCGTCAGGCTTGGATGCTGATGTGCGTAGTCTCCAGCGCTGTCTGCCTTCACTCTCAAATGCTTCCACCACGAATCCCTCTTCTGGCCCTCTTGCCTCTCGCCGCGCACCGAGAACACCTAGACTATCGCACGACAGGAAGCCGCCGTGGCTGCCCTTCAAGTTGATCATCCCAGCCGTCCCAGCGACAGAGCTGGTTACCCAGACTTGCCTCACATCATGCGGTTCTGCGGTCTCGGCGTGCGATTCGACGATGTTCTCGATTGGGGAGGCGAATACATTGCCGTGTGCATCGGCTGCAAGACACGTCGGTGGTGCGGTGGGTAGGACTAGAATCGTTGGGCCAGAGAGGTCGGAGGGCTGATCGGCGGTCGTCCAGATGTCGTCTTCGGTACTTTGATCTACGTTGTCAGAGTGGACGAGCGCTTTGCTGTTCCTCTCGTCGTCGGTGCGGTGCTTGCGCTTCTTGGGCTTTTTGTCGCCTTTGAACATAAGTGGTTTCACGGGCATGGCTGGGTGGTGTGCATGGGAGGATGGGAGGTTGCAGTGAAGTCCAAAAAAATGTCAAAGATATAAAAGTTGACGAGGCTGAATCTCCTCCGCTTTCCCCAAATTTTGACCTGCGGGTTTTGTCCTCAGGAGTAACTCGAGATGAAATCGTGGAATTAGTTACGCCTTTGACTGGCAATGCACGGCGCAGAGGTTTTTCCATTCAAGAGCTCATTTCGTTGCCATCTATGAATAGTACAACGACTTGTCCTTTGGCAGACGCATACAATGTCCATAATAATTACCAAGTTGAAAGCGCAATCCATCACGGTGAGATCGGTAGCTTCTCGCCACCGCCAGATCAACCTCCAGCACGATTTTCATTCTCATTCTCATTCTCATTCTCAGCAGATTCTTCGTCCATCAAACGGGTTGCCATCTTCCAAGCATTGTGTCTCAAAATGTCGAGCTGCTCTTCTTTGTCCCTCATATCTCGGTGCAGGTTCCTCAATTTGGCATCACTGTCCATAGCAGCCTCCAACCTTGCTACTTCTAAACGTGCTTCATTTTGTATCTCTTTTGACTTTGTGGCCACTAGCTTGATGACAGCAGTGCACCACCGACATTTGGCCACTTCGCATACCACCTCGCTTGTAACGAACGCAACCATGGTGCCTTCGGTGGAAGATCGTCCTAGTCGGACGTTTAGTTTGTTTTCTTCATGTTGTTCTGTTTCGAGGGCGTTCCTGGAGCGAGTCGTGAAAACATGTTCGGGTGAGGAGGTGGATGGCGATTTGGAAACGTCTCTCGGATGTTCGACAACAAGGTTCCCACAGCTGAGGCGACCCCATGGCTTCGGTTTATCGCAATGCTCCCATTCACTGGCTTTGGTAGGCAGGAAGATCAGAGCCGCGACAGGATCTTTGTTGGGATAGGGACATATGTCAAGCTTGAAGTAGCACATGATGAATTCGAGTTCTAGGTGTAGATTGGGGTCGCAATTGAGGAGGAGATATGCAGGAAATGTCTACCTTCTATCTCAGAGTAAGAGAAGAGGTCATTTATACCTGGGGTGAGTCAGGCAGTAACTGTGACCGTGACACACGCCGGGAATTGCCGGAGGTATTGATCTTGCTGGCATGTTTCTGTTGGAGTGAATTGATTGTTCAAGCACATGTCCGCAGGCAGACCGGAGGCCTCAGTCCCAAGAAGTCTCACTTACAAAGAGGCAGCCACGATCTGCTTTCAGTCTAAGCTTTCTCGCCTCTTTCCAAGACATCGGCATTCACATTGATTGAGACACATCCTTCGTCAAGAGCATGCATACCTCGTCGTTCTCGTTGCTGAGGAAGTTTCTGGGGCACAGCCAAACAGCTCCTTTTCGATGTTATCAAAAAGTCATTTCGTACTATTCCCACATCAGAGTACCGGCATTGCCTCTCTACGAAAGCTGCGGAGAGTGCAAGACCCATTGGCGACCACATTTACCACAAATCCCACCAAGTGCATTGGCACCAAACTCCATTCGGGCCACCGGCAGGTTCAGCATCGCTTTTGCAAGATCCAGTCGCACATTCCAATTCCTCCATCACACAAAGCACCTGGAACCCCTGTTCTCCAGTATTTCCAGCTTTCGGGTTTCAAGTTGTCCCAGGCTCCACTGTGTGGTACTGTGGTAGAGCTTGAAGCAGCAATGTGTCGTCTGATCAAGGTTACGCACTTTGGATGCGATAACAGCCATTCTGAATATGTGCTGACCCGCTGTAAAGCTGGGTATGAGTATGTCTTGAATATGCCAATCACGGGTGGGTGCAAAGGGACGGTTGAGGTGGAGGACTGGGTGATGTCTCCCTGTCGCTTTTGCAAAGAATACTCCGAGAGGCCAGTCAGCGGCCGTGGTCGGGCATTGTCTCTGCAAGCAGACGAACTGCCTGACGACAAGGACAGTCCGATGACGGGTTCGGGTTATGACAAGGGGGCAATGCTCAAGGCAAAGATGTCACTCGACTCGAGCCTTTGCACCAAGACCGAATCTCCTTCAGAGATGCCAGCCCCGTTGAATCTCGCAATACGCAGCCGAGCTGCAGCCGATTCATCGCATCGTGGTCAAACCAGACCATGACGGACAGCAAACTTCTACAGAGATTTGCAACGCCCTCGCGTGAGGTGGGCTTGGCCGTGTTGCGTGGCGCGAGAACTGGAATCTCTTCATACACGTTCGGTGATCCAGATCGCACCTTTGCAGCCATATCGAATGACGTCGGTCAGTGGTTGGTACGGCTGAGCTTCTTTTGCATCATTTTCGACAGCATGATCCAAATGCTCCAGCTCCTCGTCACGTATTCTCTTGATATCATCAATCAGGACTTTCAGCTCCGGGTCCAGCTCTTCTCCCCTAGCCTTGAGCTCCTGGATCCACTTGAACATCTCCCGTACCTGCTCATTGTAATGATCTCCGATCTCTGTCTCCACGGCTTCTGTGCAGGCCATTGCAGCTTCTCTTCCCATCATGCCCGTTGTCCAGCCCAATACAGTCGCAGCAGCTTGCCATACCGGATACATGGCAGTAGGCCTGATTCGGTGTTTGGCAAGCAGTCCATTGAAAGTCTTGAAATGGCCAGCTTCTTGATCGTACATGTGTTTCATAAGTGGGCGCAGTTGTGGATGTGCTTTCACAACGGGTGGTGTTTGAGCCTTGTAGATCAATACTGCGGCTAGCTCCCCGGCCTGGTTCACTCGGAGTGCACTGTCAAGGAAGCGTCTCTGCTCTTCCGAAAGGACGGCTCGGGGAGGTTTCTCGGATGGTTCGGAGGGTGTTATGTTTTGCGACGATATGTGTCGTGCTGGATACAGAAATTGATATTGCACTAAGGGCTTTGTGCACCTGATTCGGGTCAGGACACTTCTTGAAGACCGCATTCTGTAAAGCCTCTTAAAATATGATAGATTCACAAAGATGGGAGAGGATAAATAAGAAGCATGTTGATGATGTACTATAGATTATTTGTCCAATCATAGTCTACAAGGCTGGGTCACCGAGTCAGGAACACAGCCTTGCCAAGGGCATATGAATCGTTGTTATATGTCTTTCTTGCGCCCTCTGGAAATTCAACAACATGTCCCATTCACATCATTTATACCATCTCCGTTGTACACAGAGGCGACTCTACGGTCGCACCATCAGACTGACTCACTTGAGAAGTCCCTGCTTGGCATTTGTTTGCTGCTGTCCGCCTTGAGCAGCCAAGCAATGTCCTCGTTCGTTTCTGCGGCACCTTGTTATTAGTCCCGAAGGGGAAGAGAACTTCACAAGTATTCACGCTTTCAATCTCTGAAGCAAGATTAACCGAAGCCGCCTTCGCTATCGTCTCTTGATTGGCGCTCGACACAGGCAGCACCACGGTGAAGCTGTAAAGATCACCGTCTCCGCCTCACCATGGCTGACCTTGATGCGGAACTGCTCGCACTCGCCGGAGGTGATTCCTCCGGTGAAGAGAGCACGCCTTCATCTCCTAAACCAAAGTCTTCCTCGCCACCACGAACGAAACAACAACTACGAAGAGCACCATCACCAGCAGACATGGCTCGTAAAGGTGTGGCTAAGACTGTCAAACGTCCCAGACGTCGTAAGGCATATTCTGATGATGAAGATGAAGCGTATGATTCAGTTCTTCCCTCTCATCAGATGCGAACTCTGACAATCTTTACAGGTCCTCGCTTTCTCAACACTCAGAGTCCGCATCCATGTCCCAATCCGACTCCGAAGCCGACTTCGAGCCCGGCGCAGAGAAACCAATCTTTCCTTACGAAAAGCTGTACTATGACGCCGAGGACAAGGCGCGTATCGAATCAAAGCCTGAAATTGAAAGAGAAGAGATTCTAGCTCAGCGTAGTGAACAGGTCGAACGCCATGAACAGGATCTGACACTCCGCCGCCTCGTCGCTGCAAGAGCCCGCGAAGAGGCAAAAAATGCCGCAAAGAATAAGCGCAAGGCTAGCGCAGCCGATCTGGAAGACACACAGCGCAAGAGCACCCGTCAACGTACCAAGGTCGGCGGTGGCCGGGTTGGTGAAGCAAGCAGTGCCATCGAAGCATACAAACAACAGCGAGCCGAAAAGAACCTTCGAGATGAGCAGAGAAAGAAAGATGGCTACACCAGAAAGCCGGCATCTCCACAGGAGGACTACAGCGATGCGGATGCGGAAGGCGAGAGTGACAACGACTATGACGATCGCAAATACCGAAGACGATCACCAAGTCCACCCAAGGACGAGCCAATTGCTGAACTGGCTGACATCCAGCGAGCGAAGGTCGGTCGTGACAATTTTGCTCAGGTCTGCCTCACTCCTGGATTCGAGGGAGCCATCACCGACTGCTATGTGCGCGTCTGCCTGGGTCCTGGTCGTGATCCTAAGGTCAATGAGTACCGCCTCTGTCTCATCAAAGGCTTCACCATAGGCAAGCCATACGCAATGGTAGGCTCCAACGGCAGACCATTCCCTGTTGAGACCTACATTATTGCCGCGCATGGCAAGGCCGAGCGACCATGGTCTTTCCTGGAATGCTCCATGTCCAAGTTCACAGAAGACGAATGGCGCCGATACCGTGTGGTCATGGCTAATGAGGACTGCAAACTGCCTACCAAGAAGTTTATCAACGCGAAACTCGATCAGATTAATACGCTGCTGGCACATCGGTTCTCCGAGCAGGAAATCTCACAGAAGATCAAAAATCAGAACACACTCATGGAGAAGATCACTCGGAGCCAAGAGAAACAGGATTTGCGCGAACAGATCAATGCGGCCATAGCGGATGGAAACGAAGAGCTTGCTGAAGAACTCGAGAATAAGCTCGCTAGCGTTATCCCACAGAAATTGGCGTTTGGCACAAGTCTTTCGCGAGCACAATCCGAATATGTCAACGAAGATCAAGAACGGATTGCCGAGCTCAATCGACGAAATCAGAGAGTGAATGCCGAGAATGTTCGCAAGGCGCAGCTGGCCGAGATGCGAGCTAGGAAGTCAAAGAAGCTTACCGTTCCGGGTGTTGACGACTTGTTCGAAGGTGGAAGCGATATCAGCCGCACTGGCACGCCAGTCAACGGTACAGGTACCCCTAAACTGGTTGCGAATCTGTCGCGTATGGGAACTCCCAACCCTCCAACCACCTCGAACGGCACTCCAACAAGCTCGACACCCTCCGGAATTGTGGTCAAACCAGTTGCGAAAAAGAAGGGCTTACCTGTAATTCGGAAGGCAGCATTGGATGATGAAATACTGGCTTCCATGGATCTTGGAATTGACATTGACGACCTTTGAGGCACGACAAGAGAGGCATTGGGGCTCTTTGGAAACTTAGACTCATTGGCATTGGGATTGGACGATTAAAGCGAAAACATTGTGCCTAAAGACAGACACAGAGAGGGAAGCTCATTGGGCAGGTTCCGACCCTTTTCGCCGCGAGCACGAGGACAGCTCTCGACTGAGCATTGAGCATGTATGAAAACGACTGGACTAACAAAATTGAACTGTACATTACTCAAATGTTGACATTGGGCCGACCTTAGACACTCCTCATTTACCTAGGTATTGGCCTCGACCTTGCGACTCATCCGCGGACTGACCACCCACGTTGACCTTCCACTCTGACTCAACCCTCACTCTCAAATCTCTTGCGCTTGCGAGAGACCTTCACTTCATTCAAACTTTCCTCGAGCTCCTCTTTTAACCGTCTGATGCCATTACCTATCAAGCCGCATACAAAGGAGTATGAGGACCTGATCATTCACGCCGTACATCTACACTTGCTGGACCATTCACTCTTGTGTCTCACCCGCCCTTCATTGGAGCAATTGATTGTCTTTCTCTCGGCAAGGGACTTTGGCTACCTATCTTTGGTTTACACATGGGCTTTCTTCCATCTACCTCCTGTCACCTCACACTGCTTTGAGCTCGTATTCTGTCCGACACTCCTTTCTGTCTATACAAAACCTGCACTGCTTATCCTCGAATCAAGGGCAACTGACAAAACCTGTTCTCACTTCATCTGGTAGCGGCGTCAAGGTCGCTTGAAATTTTGGAAATGGAACATCAGCGGGCACAGGCTACACAGGCTGGGTGGCCCGGGTATAAGAGTATCGAGGAAGACTTGAAGGCTGCCATGTGGACAGAAGCATCTGTCGACTCTGAGAATACCGCAGGCGATGATAGCGTCCAAGTTCCTGATAGGAGTGACCCTCTCAGTTCTGATGATGATCTACAGATCGTGGCAACACGTACACGCTCATTGTCACCCATGTCTGAAGATTTTGACACTCCTCCGCAACAACCCCGGGCCAGAGTATACCCAGACAGGGACCCTGTCTTCCAGATTTGGTCATCACCACCTCTGCGGCATGCTTCACAACGGTCAGCAAGGCCTTTTCCGAACGATCAAGAGGCTCAAGCATCCAGGAGCGTCTCCAACACCAGTTTTCGCGGCTCGAGACTGGCCCCGGATGACCCTCGTGAAAAACGAAGTGAAGATGTGGCACTGGCAAGGGCTTTGAAAGCCAGCCGAAGATCGTATGCGGCCGAGCAAAGTGTGGGCCAGGAGAAGACACGCAGGTTTGTCTCGGATAATGCTGGCGATCGCAGAGAAAAGGAGGAGCTCGAGTGGGCACTGCGAATGAGTTCGCTGGAGTATGAAGCCCAACATGGAGCTCAGCGAGTGTCAGAACAGCCAGAGCGAAGGCCTGCTAATTTTGCGACTACGGACTCAGAGACAACTCCTCACGGCGCAAAGACCTGGGCTGAGTCGAGCCGGCGGCCTATCCCTAGCTACGAAAAAGCTAGTATGCCCAGAAAGAGGGCTGAGGTATCAGGATTCTCAACATCAGAGGATAATGGCATTAGAGGCCGCGTCCAGGATGCTCTACAACAAGTGCGCTTAGCAGCAGAGAGAGTCCAAATGAAGAGTCCAGACATCGCCCGTCCCACAGAGGACGACCAATTGACGGCTATTTTCGCCCGAGATATCACTAACGGCAATTTCGAGAAGGCCGTCACCAATTTCTGTCAACAGGCTGGCGGCGCGGTTCAACCTATTTTCCGAGCGACTGCACTTGGCGAAACCACTAGAAGTGCTCGAGAATTCACGGGACGTCTTCTTACTCCTCCACCGTCGCAGAGCAATCTTGCAGCTGAAAGTGACGATCAACCGCTGCCAGTCCAAATTCGCCGGCTGCGAGCAGAAAACACAAAATTGAAACATCAGATTGATTCTTTACGGGATGAAAAGGCGATGGACACGAGACGGATCGCCAGACTGACTAGTCGAAGAGACGAACTAGCGAAAGATTTGAAAATCTATGACGGCTTACTTTTCACTACTGGATGAAATGGGTGACGAGAAAAACGACTGAAGCACCGGGGATATGGAGATCATGTATTTATATCAAGGCATTCGGTCGGGTGGAAGAGTGGGAATTGCGGAAGTACAGCGAGAAGAGTCCTACTTACGTACAGGCTAAAAGGAGGCATAGGACGATTTATTCGCGCGCCGTTCTGCACATGCACCGTGGCGTTTTAAATCCGCCAGCCAGGAGAAGCCTGGCAGAGAATATGAACATCAGAAATTTTGTGGTTCAGGTAAAGCATAAGTGCGAGGTACGGTTAGTGCCCTTTCCCACAGACGTCTGCTATACGCAATTTCGAAACCACCATCCCTGTCTACGATCGATACTCTGGACCCCAGGAGACGCACCGATCGATAGGGCCTTTCAACATATTTCCGGAAGTGCCTATAAAGTTCTAGCATTGCCGTTCTGGATCGCTGCCTCTCTTCCACTAAGACTACCCCCTCAGATTGCTCGTATCAAATCAAGGCCACTCACAACACTACTACCATCATGAGCAAGGTCCTCGCAGTTTTCGGCGCCACAGGTCAGCAAGGCGGCTCGATCGTTGATTTCGTCCTGGAAGACGCCCAGCTCTCTAAGAATTACAAAGTGCGTGGTATCACGAGGGACACATCATCCGAGGCTGCGCTTCGTCTGAAGCAAAAGGGCGTCGATGTTCTCCAAGGGGACGTTACTGATCCGCTATCTCTGAACGCTGCCCTGAAAGGAGCCCACACCGTCTTCGCATTGACTGCTCCAGCCTACGGGCCCGACTCCCGAGCGAAAGAATTTGCGACAGGAAAGGCCATTGCCGACGCCGCTGTTGCCGAAGAAGTCCAGTACATCATTCTCAGCACGTTGCCCAATGTCAGCAAGCTCTCTACCGGCAAGTACACCAACGTTACGGGCTTCGATGCCAAAGCCGATGTGGAGGACTACATTCGCAAGTTGTCAATCAAGAGTGCATTCTTTGCTCCCGCGTCGTTCATGCAGAACTTTCAGAACATGCCCTTGAGGAAGACTGAGAATGGAGGTTTCATCTTCGCACGGCCAACGTCACCTTCGTCGCTGCTCCCATTGATCGACATCGTGGCCGACACAGGCAAATTTGTCGGTGCCATCTTGGCGGATCTTGACAAGTATGAAGGCAAGACGTTTTGCGCAGCCACCAGGGTGTACAGCATGACTGAGATTGCTGGGATCATCAGTGCAGTGTCCGGCAAGGAAGTCAAGTATGTGCAGGTTCCGCCGGATCAGTACCGCCAAATGCTGTCAGGTCAAGTGGGCAACTACGCAGATGTGCTCGTCGATATGATGCTGTATCAGCAGGAGTTCGGGTACTATGGCCCGCAAACGAAGGAGTTGGTGCAATGGGCGGTGGACAATGCGACAGGAAAGGTTACCAGTTTCGAGGAGTATCTGGAGCAGCATCCTCTGCCGTCTTTGCAGTGAAGTGGCATGCAGGAGGGTGGGAAAGGGTAGAGTCGTGAGATCATCGATACCGGGTTGCATGGAAGTGGAAGTCGTGAAGGAGCTGGACCTTATTCCGCGATGTATCTTGAAAGCACGATACTCACCAACGAAAGGCAAGGAGGGTGGTGATCAGGCCGTAGAGAGGGAGTCAAATCAGACAGCTCGAAATGCGACGTGAGGTTAGCGCTAGTTCTTGAAATCCACCGATAGACGCCCCCAGTGGCTTCATTGGGCGCCCGGAGTGGGATATCCACGAGGCCTAGCCTTAATCGAGGTCTACCTGGATGCCAGGCCTGACAACTCCATTAACCCCGACGATGATGCACGATTGAGCCTTGACGTGAGACAGTCACAACAGAGCAATCACTATCACCGTCCTTCTCGGAACAATACAAGGACTGCAAGACAGCTGAAGGCCTCTATGTGAGGCGGGCTTCTTCAACTTCTTGACTGAATATAATCGAAACAGCTTCGCCGGTACCGCCCGGCACCGCACAATAGCAGAGCCAAGTCTTATACGACATCTAGTAGTATGGCAGCACCAGTAACAGCAGAAGTAAAGCGGCCACAGTCAAAACGAAAGATTGCAGCGCATCGCAAGTCTAGAACGGGCTGTCGCAACTGCAAGCTCCGCAAAGTGAGGTGCGATGAGACGCACCCGAGGTGCATCAAGTGCGATAGCTACGGCATTCTATGCAACTATGACCTCCGACATGAGGATCTACAATTGGCCCACGGCGTCAGCAGCACCTCTATGACAGCCGTTATTGACCTGTCCATTTTGGACTTGTCATCCTCGGCCCTTGGTTCAAGCATTGGGGACCGTTCAGCTCCCAAAGGCAAAGCCAACAGCAACAGCGGCAGCGGCGACGCAAGCGACGACAGTGCGTCCTGCCGATACACGGAGGACGTATCTGCGTATGAACCCACACCGGAAGAGCGTGAAATCCTAGCTCGCTTTTTCTCGAGGACGGTATACACACTCGGTCCGAGCCAAAGCATCACCATTTATCGAGACATATACTCCAGGTTGACTTACTCAAACGCATTCCTGATGCACATCATCCTAGCGGTCACCCTAGTCCACGACACCACCATCAAACAATCCCGCTCGCCCGCCGAAATCGAAGCCATAACCCGACACTGGTCCCACGGCGCCTCGCTTCTCAACCACGCCATCTCCCAGCCTGTCAACACTGTGGCCCGATCAACCCGTGACGCAATGTGGGCGTGCGCCGGGCTTTTAGGATGTCTGGCATTCAGCACCGTCGACGCCGAATGCGTCGAGCAGTCCTGGCCCCTGAAAGCCCATGGACAGCACGACCTAGACTGGCTGAACATGTGTGCAGGCAAGACTATTATTTTTAAGGTGTCAGACCCCCTTCGCGACGACAGTCTCTTCTTGCCCGTACGACAGGAGATGGCGCATTTCTTGAGCTTCAGGAGCGACTTGTCTGTGCCGGAGTTGCACCAAATGAAGACACTGCCTGGTCAATTGATTGAGCTTTGCGAGGCCACGGATGCAAAGCTGTCGAACGAGACTTCTGCGGACACATGCTGCTGCAGGGGCCCTCTTTCATTGCTGGCGCAGTTGATGCCGCTTGAGTGCAACCAGGACAGTTACGTTCTCTTTTTGGGGTTCTTCCGCACGCTGGGCGCTGGGTTCAAGGACTTGCTTGTTTTGAAAGACCCGGTTGCACTTCTGCTTTTGCTGTTTTGGTACTCCAAGGCCAGGAAGTTCGATACCTGGTGGCTTCGTAATCGAGCGAACCTGGAGTATCGTGCAATCATGCGGTACCTGGTGGAGCGGCATCGAAGCGGAGACGATGGCAGGATCATCGACCTTGTCCGTCATGTCCAGGAGAGCTCCGATGAGTAAGAAGTATCGGCTGCCAGGCATCAGCGATGAGCATATGCCCTCCAAAATACAACTCCGCGGCACTTAGCAAAAGAGCATGAGCACCTGACTACATGTTTGCGGTTGATCATAGCAGCAGTAATCAGAATGCGATCACAGACCAGTCAGCACCACTCATTGATGTTCTGAAGCCATCACCGAGATCTGCAGCTATTGTAGCCTACCTTTCACGGCTGCAGAGGTCGACCTGAACCAACGTAGTCGCGGTTGGCGCACAGATGCCACCCATGAACATCTAGCAAATACACGTGACTGAGATGGAGAAGACCTACCTTTGGTACAAACTACCACGACAGCGTCAGACTATTCTGAGGTATCCAACAGTTGATACACGTCGAGGACACGTATCGAGGCATGATCTTGACGTTCTTCGCTGGAAATCCGAGCTTCGTGCATCTTAACACGTGTTACGAGATCTTCTACCAGCAAGGCCAGATAAGCCAGATCTAAAAGTGGGACAGGCGAAACGGTTGAGCGATGTCATAGTAGGCCAGTATGGTACGCTAAAACATATCGGAACATAGCGCTGAACTAACCGAACCCTGGCACTTGGAGATGCGGCACACAATCTTGACTTCTCATGCTCTCAACTTCACCGGCGCTTGTGTTTGCAGTGTATTGTCGGCATGTGGTATTCATTATGGCCCTGCAGTTGTTGCAGCTGACGCGAGAGAATGCGGCTCTTGCAGCAAAAATACGTGAATGATGTGGGTGCCCGAGGCCACAGCGGAAAGTGCCACGCCCGTCTAGGCAGTATTTGCATCGACTTTTACCGGCGATCGAAACCTTGGTCTGTTCCCATAGATCTTTGTTGGGACGAATACGCACCAGTCGACGCCCCTGTCGATCTATGGAAACAAGCCCGTTCTCGAAGCGACAGCGCCTGCGTCTAGTAGCGACCTCGGCCTCCCACATGCCAGCAGTCGATGGTACAAGGCAAAGCTACAATTCGGATTTTGAAACCATGAACTAACATCAGTGAACATGCCAAGTCCTGCCTGGTCCGAGCTGAGGTTCGTCACATATACTCGATGTCGTCGTGTCGCGAATAGTGTCCGAGGATGCTTGAAACAGTGCGAATCGATGCTTCTGTTGGCCACGACTAGTTCTAAAAGACCCTCGATCTGAGGTACAGCTTCACCGCCTTAATAATCAGAACGGACACCGATTGTGCAAATAGGCCCAGGCCTCATCGCGACCCTCTTATTTCTGGATCCCTTGACCCACATATTGCTCAGCCTTATCCTTATCGCGAGCACCCCTTTTTGGAAAAATTGGAATAAAATCTCAACAAAGGGAGGCTGAATTAGGAAATCTTCTAAACTTGCAAAAATATAGGCCACGATGTCAGAAACGATTCTTTTGCCAGCAAACATGGCTACCACGACTTTAACGGCGACCGGCAGGAAAATGTCCACATCAACTACAACAAAGGACCCTGCTCTGGTGGATACATATGGCAACCCATTCCAGATCCCGAATTACACCATGACCGACGTCCGAAACGCGATACCAAAACATTGCTTCGAACGAAGTGCCGTCACTGGTCTATACTACGTTGCAAAAGACCTATTACTGCTGGCAAGCACTTTTTACCTATTCAATCGCTTTGTCACTCCAGAATACGTACCATGGAGCTACGCCAGAGCTGGTCTTTGGTTCTGCTATACCGTCCTCCAGGGTTTCTTCGGTACTGGTCTCTGGATCATGGCTCATGAATGCGGACATCAGTCCTTCTCTCCCAATAAGGCTCTCAACGATTCTGTTGGCTGGGTCTGTCACTCAATTCTTCTGGTGCCATATTTCTCATGGAAGATCTCTCACCGAAAGCACCATCAGGCTACTGGCAACATGGAACGGGATATGGCATTCGTACCTTTGTCCAAGGAGGAATATGTGGCTCAGCCTTGGCACCGACAAGCTCTTCAGAACCTTGAAGAGCTTACGGAGGAAACTCCGATCATGACAGCGGTACAGATGATTGCACATCAGCTGATCGGCTGGCCGCTTTACTTATTCACCAACGCATCTGGTCACAACAACCATGAGAAGCAACGCGAAGGACGTGGCAAAGGCAAGGCCAACGGCTTTGGTGGCGGTGTCAACCATTTTGACTCCGCAAGCCCTCTTTACGAGCAACGAGATGCTCCTTATATCTTGCTCAGCGACCTCGGGTTATTGATAACGACTTGTGTTCTGGTGCACGTTGGTCGCACCTATGGCTTCCACAACTTGTTCGTCTGGTATATTGCTCCTTATCTCTGGGTGAACCACTGGCTGGGTATGTTCTATACTTCGGGAGATTTGAGGATTATGACTGACTTCTCTAGTTGCTATCACTTTCCTGCAACACACTGACCCGTCCCTACCACACTATACTGGTAGTAGCTGGACCTCTGTCCGCGGTGCAGCTGCAACTATCGACCGTGAATTCGGCTTCATTGGCAGGAGCTTGATGCATGGGATCGTCGAGACCCATGTTCTACACCATCACATCAGTACCATCCCGTTTTATCACGCAGACGAAGCCACCGAAGCCATCAAGAAGGTCATGGGTGATCACTATCGAAGTGACACCAAGGATGGCAGTATTGGATTCGTCAAATCTCTATGGAAGAGCTTCAGATGGTGCAATTGGGTCGAACCCGTCGAAGGCTCAACGGGTGATGCTGGTGGTGTTCTGTTCTTCCGCAACAGGAACGGCCTCGGTGTCGGACAGTCAAATTGCTCGAACACTGTGGCTCTCACGCAATAGAATCAGCAGATCGGCGTATCTGTGCACTGAGAGCCAAGTCTCAGAAGCACTGCGCAGCTTGAGTACTGAATAGATCACATACGAATGCAGAAAATGACATGAAATACCGCAGATCTCATGGTGCCCAAGTCTTGCTGAGAGACGGCCAAAGCAACGGCCACGTGAGATTGAACTTTTCCATCACGGACAGAAGGTGTAAGGCTGAACAAGGCTGTACAGTCTCTCGGACATTTGAAATGATAGGTAGCTCTTGACCACCCGACAACCTAGCCATGCAATGCCATCATACGATAGCAATTGATGAAAGGCACACCTTCTGTGTGCCGTGTTTGGCTCAGGAGGTAAGTCCTCACAGATACAATCCCACTGCAAAGAAATAATTTTGTTTCCTGAGGAGCTTGAGACCTCCTCCATGCTCGAGCTACAATTATTCCACGTCGTTTCAGGTCCAACCCTTGTAGATTTTGCATATCAGCTATTACCTGCTTGGCTTCAAGTCTACAGTCAGTCTCAACATATGCCGTCACGCATCGAGAGCACTTGCTCAATCCCATGCAGTAAGCATTCACTTACGGGAGATGTGTCTCACCTGCTTCGCAGTGACATTCTGAAGACAGTGACATACAAGTGACAGCTTGCACGGACGGACAGTGTCGCCTGGTTGAGTCTCATTGCTAGGAATGTCCCTCTCCCGAACTGCATTGCCCAAGTCAAATGCTCTTCCTTCCATCACCTCCCGAAATCACAACGCCCATCGATTCGACATCCGTCCATGGTCGTTTGGACCTCATCGCACATGAGCCTGCGATGTACGAACCTCACCAGGCCGACTGTCTCCGACCTGCACCTCGTCGACGCTCAGCCAGCCCTCTTCCACGGCCTATTGTTCCTTGATGTGAATGGTTGATTGTTCGACGCAAAGTGACCACCTGTTGGCCTATGGAGAATGAAACGCCGACTTCAGACGAGCTCCCTCATAGACACTCAAGAAGATCTGTTCCGAAGTTGATTAACTGTAGCTTACCTATTTCCGTAATTCGTCTCCTGATCAGATCTCCAGATGGCTCTAGCCGCATAAACCAAGGAGGCCATAGGTACCAGTATAGCATGTCAATATAAGTACAGACAGCACAGCAGACCGAAGAGTTATTGTCTAGGGTAAGGCGTGCATCCAAGGGATAGTGGTCGGCGGCCGGAGCCTCCGTCCGCCGATACATACTCACCCTTGACCAAAGATAGGGGAAGGGGCAGTCAGGGTCGCCATCCGAAAGAGTACACTTATAGAATATAATGAATGCCTCAGATAGTGAAGAAATTTAACACTTGAACCGATTTTAAATTTCGGTATGTCGGTCCGTTGTGATTGCTGAGTGCAGTTTCGAGTATGTCGGGCAACCGCAACATGTCGACCGCCTTGGCGACATTGGGGGTGGAGGATATCACAGGGTGTTCCTTGGTGCAGAGTGACAGGTCTGGCGCTCCTCATGTTGTTTGTGACTGTAGGAATGATGTGCGACCACGTGTTCGTCATCGTTCTCGAGTAGATTGGTTGGGACCTCGCATCGGAGAGAATTTCGAGATGGCCTGAAAAACAGAGGTAGATATATAGCCGCGAAAGGAAGGTAGTATGGAAAGCGCCGCCTACCTCACTGTCGCACAGCGTATTGGACGTATTCGGTGGCGGATTATGCACGGTGCCGGCAAGGTATGTCCCACCCAGGACAAAGTGAATTGACCTTGTCTGAAATGATGGATGAAAGGCGGCAACATCAACGACGTTGCATCGTAGAAGGAGCCCTGAGCCCTTGATGTGCACGAGCGAAGGAAGCATCCTTCTGTACAAGGCAGAGTGACGTATCATAGAACGTTCTTTGCCATGCATTACATCGCAAGCGACCTGTAATTCCGATGAGTGAGGTTTGTGTGCACGGCTTGCGTCGATTCGGAATCCGTTGAAGCATTGAGTATGCAGCGTCAGCGCTTATGCAAACGACGATATCGGTCAATTGCATCGGAGGATTGTTAGCTGCGTCGGTTATCAAGGACAAAAAGAAAGAAGTGCCATTCGATGGCTTCCCACACTTGAAATTTGGGGGCCTAAATCGCTTCGAGCATGCATGATCTATCGAGGTGTTGCACACTTCAATGCAACGATACCTCGGGGGGATTCTACACCTGCATCGATATCAGTGACTGATCTGCGCGGCTCCGTATTCCACACACTTCGAACATGTCCAAAGTCAATTCGAGGAGGGTGACACTTGACAGTTTGGAGAGGTCCAAAAGTGTCGTAGACACCCGTCCTGGCTGTGTCGCGGACCGACAAGGGTGAGAGAATGCATTTCGATGTGGTGACGATGGTGCCAGCGTCGCTCGATGTGGTGTTGTTTAACGATTATCGGCGTTCTTCCTATCTCGTTCAAAAATGGCCCGCGTGCACGTGTGTGGTTGGGTGGAACATGATTCGACTCTGGTCGTGGGATACCTTCACATTCCCATAGCTTCCTTTCTGATGTCAATAGTAAGCAACTCTTACCTTGTGGCCGCAACGCCGGAAAGCTTGCGTAGCGGGTACAGAGCTTCGATTGACAGAAGGAATTTTTGGACGAGGTGCATATCGTTCTCAAGCTTTCCAAGTCTGACGCAGGAGGTCTTGCACAACCCCCATGGAATGCACGTACTACGCGACTGATCATGGACCATAGTTGGAGAAACGCCAGAACGTCATATTCATAGAATTCCTTGTGGCTTGATACTCGTAAGTCAATGAATGACCTGTTGTCCCCGAAAATCGCGTCAAGATGTTATTCTTCCATGGGGATCGATCGAGAGTTTTCCATCAGGGTCAGAGATCTTCAGGTCTGCCGAGCATTGAATGAACGACCTTGCTCTCCGAGACTCCGAGAGCTTACCCACAGGATCGGAAGCCGATGGAATGGTGACAGGGGAAAGAAAATGGTAATGATGTGCAGTTGTTGTTGAAGGCGCGGGAAGAGAAGGATCAGTCCGAGGCGTCATATCGATAAACACCCAACCAGAACCCTTCGGCATTCTGCAAACATGAAACAGGGGAAGTAGTGCCGTGGCACGCATCATTTTGCGCCGGGCTAGGCGAAGGTAGGTTTGGCTACTACCAGGCTTGACCTGGCCTAGAGCATTGCCGGATAGAAGGTTCCTATGACCCGCGTATTCCTTCCTGGTTCTTCATTCTGACTTCCTTTCGAGGCGATCGCGATCGGCGTCTCGCCCGTGGCCAATCATCATACTGGCACCGTCGAGTAGGGTCGCGCAGCGCCGTTGCCCGTTAGCGTTCTCGATTTTGCCTCTGCACTTGCTCATTGCGACAGAGTATCACTCGCTTCCTGATACCATGGTAGTATATGTCGTCAAGCTTGTGATTCTGTGCTGGTACCAGGCCACTAGCAATGTCCAATCGATCTCTGAGAATGTTGCTGTCGTAGGTTGGAGAGTACCAGCACTTGCAATTTACCTTGTCAAACACACATCACCACAGATCGACCTCCACTCAGTCCATTTCGCGACCAAACAGATTAGGCGCAATAATTGTGCAAATCAATATGAAGACGGACGCTGACTTAGCTTTGTCCGACATTCGTCCTAATGATGCATTCCTGTCGCTACTTATCAAACAGACCAGGGCCATATGGGAACAGGCAATGATGTACAGGGCAGTGTTTATTTTTTTGCCCACAGGAAGTGAAGTACGCGACTTTGCACATTGCCACCTTCTGCTTCGGGAGAAGATCGCAAAGGAGCAATGCGTTTGCCCTTGCGACATGAACACATGTCTCAACGTTGACTTATTGAATGCCCGTTGCAAGCAGCAAGTGATCTACGCATCGGTTCGAGAAAAAACCCTCTATTCATAGCCTGATGGCGATAGGAGATGGCTGGTCGCTTGTATGATGAAAATTATCTTTAGCCTCGTCCCAAAACGAAAATTGCTGACGAGAAATCCTGGGGTTGGCAAAGCGCAACCGGTAGGCTTGGTCCAGACCTGTGGCTTGGACTTGTCGATGAGCTTCATGTCTCAACTGCTCGCCCAATCTCCTTGATAGCGAGACACGCGACCGATCTTTCTCTCAAAAGCCAGCCATCCAGCCCAAAGGCCGGAGAGTCCCTGGACGGTGGCAGGCACAACGATAATTATTAATATCGAGGTCTCAAAACATGTAGTGATTGACTATGCAAGGCATGATTCGGCGGTGCCTGAAACTTCCAATTTCCAAGGAACCAGCGTATATCCTGGTTTTTCTTCCGACGGCCGCAATTCGTGGCAGGTAGCTAGCAGGCTTCCCCAGAGTTTTTGGGCGCCACCAAACCCAACCAGCGTGATCTGTGCCGGCTTTTGTTTGCTTTTCAAGTCGGCGAGAGTAAATGCCGTACCACCGACGCCAACGTGTTGTTTATCGATTAGCGTTTATCCACCACTATGCCAGCGGCGTCGAGTGGTCAAAGTTGTCGGGATCCGAAGCAGAACAGGAAATCAAGGTCCGGGCAATACTCTACCACATAATATCGTCATCGCATCATGTTTCGCCAATAGACCCTGGCGAAGGAACAATACTATGAGAGAAATCTGGTGTTCGCGAAAGAAGCGCGTGATGTCTGGAGCAACATTACTAGAGTAGTGCGTGACCTTTCCCGTGGCGAAGGTCTTCCATATGACGTTTGTACCTGACCTACCCAGATTTTCTCCATGTCGCCAAAAAGGTTAGTAGCCTTGAGGACGCAATGTACGCCTCTCTCCGGCTCCGAGCAGGCCCCCGTATTCCGCATAGACACGTAGACTCATTGAGGCGTGTTGGTGAGATTGATCTCCCAGCCATCGTGCATTGCGCACTCCAAACACAAGGCAGGAGGATCATAACAAGAAATGCCACAATGCCACAACGCCACATAGGACACCTCATGGTCTGGTGGCAGGTTTTTCATCTCCCCCAAACTGAATGATATACGTAGTCCTCACATTGACTGATTGGATCCATTGGCCATGTCGGCGCTTGGCACCTCCGACCTCCGTTTAACCATAAAAGCTTAACTTCTCTTTCGGGAGCCAATCACAGAAACCTAACCTACCAAGAGCAGCGTCGATACAACGCAGTCAGTGTGCCCGCAGCGTACTTCGCAGACTACTGTGCGGAGTATCTCATGGGCTTTGTGGAAGCACTGTTGATGGTACCTGGTGTGCTCCGATCCCACAATGTTAGTGGAGGTCCGGGGCTATCAGTGGCTGCAAGATCGGAGCTGGTCTCAAATCCCATCTCCATTAGCAACACCAGTGCAAGACCATCCTCATGTTGTCTCAAAGAAGAGCAAAGCGTACTTTCGTATAGGTGACGACGTGACCAGCCAGCCTTCATTGATGCCCAATCCATTAGTCTTGACAAAATGGAAGTGAGTCGGACATCCCGTACTCAGTGAGTGCGCACTGGACAGGTTCACCAATATGGGTCACAAAAGGCAAATGCCAAAAGCAGCCAAAGACTCACATACTTGGTCGAGTCGAGAAAGCACAGGCTGCACCGGATCTCCCCAGACCCAACGAGGCCTGTTGAGTCTTGACGGGCTGAATGTGAACTGTCCCGCTAATTTCTCTGACGTGCTCCCCACGCCTTTGCCAGTTGGAAGTCAGTCCTGTTGTACCTCATAGACGTAGAAGCGATCTCATTGTATCATAGTAATCGGAATCGTACACCAGCCCCACGAGTCATCAAGACCACCAAGCAACAAGTGATGAGTGCTTCTTGCCAAGGGTGCATGCAACACAGTGGTAGCTTCACACGGGATCTATGTGCCCGTCTTCGTGATGGAAGGATTGACCGATCGGAGCCGCCAAGGGACATCAAGCCGGAACGGCCACGAGGGCAGCTCTCATGACAGAGCAAAGCCTCCACAAACGCGTTGACAGCCTTTTTGACGGCATTCCAATTCATGGCTGGTTCTTCCCAATGGTAGGCAGCCAGCCATAAGCGAATAGGTACGTACTTTCGTAGGCAGCTCACGCATACTCGTACTTGATAAGCTTGGCTTCAATAGCTTACATGACAACACAGTCATGGCTGAACAGAACGGGCTGGCCGAGAGATGGCAAGAAGCAGGCGAGATGGCTGAGGAATCTCAGCGCGCAGCGTGCTGTCTGGGAGAAGCGTGACTCGGCGAATAACGCCTCCCGAAGGAATGCTCTGGGCGCTAGGCGGGCAAAGAACTGAACTAGACCCTGAATGTCCTAGTTGATCCTGGTCGGCAGCGTGGATGCATTAGCAAGGAGACTGACTTTTCTGATGCTTGCGTGAGCATGGGCCAGGGTTGATCCTTCTGCAGCTGACCAGGGTGTGCCAGGGTGTGCCAGGGTCAGGAAGGACGCGGTGGAACCACGGCGACTGTGGATTCCGTGTAACCCACACGGGCCTATTTTTTTCTCAGGTCCAGGCAAGAATGCTCGAGACTGGCCCACGCTTGCCGCAATCCCATAGCCAACCCAATTATGCTGTTATGGCCGCGCATACAATCGTTGGCCACCCTCGATCCTGCCCTTTAACCCCAAAACGAGCACCGTCTGGATCGGCAAACCCTCCCCGTTTCATGTCCAGCCTAGATATACTCCATCCACTGCCCTCCACCCCTCCCATATACAATATTCTTCCACACTGTATACCACCATTCTCACAACCATTTATACAAAGGTTGTCTTTGTTGGACACAGCCTCAAAGAGTCTCTTCCAGATCACAAAGCCTTGGTGACAATTGGCTTTGTGAGATCGATTAAATTATCGTCAAACCTTCACCATTATACTACGCTGACTGTATTCACCACCTGAGCGACTAAATTCACTCACTAAGTCCACAAACCGCGGTCTGACAATTCGACTATCTCAAAAGGCTAAAGGCTGTTGAACCTTACATATAAAACACCATGACCGACTACGACTATCCCCAATCTCCGACCATGTCGCAAGACAGACACATGGGCTCCCTAGCAGCAGCGCTCAGAATGAAGCTGGAACATCTGCCTCAGTTGAATCTGCAGAACCTGGAGAAGCACCATGCACAGCACAAACGACGTTCATTAGAGCCCGGCTCTGCCACATCCTCTCGATCAGCACACTCCTTCAGTTCCCACCCCTCAGACGACACCGATGCTACAGACCTCACAGTAACACCTACCAACAGATCACGCGCAAGCACATTTGACAATGCCGATAGAATAACATCCCCTCTCGTACAGACAGTCACTTGTAAACCTCCCCTACGGATCATCCTTGGGACTGCTTCTGTGGGTTCACACTTGTCACCACTGGCCAAAATCACCACCGTGGAAGATGCCTCCAAGTTCATCAACCTTTTCCGGTCAAGAGGATATGCAGACATCGACACTGCCAGAGCATACCCAGTGGGCCGAGGTGGCACATGCGAGAAGTTGCTGGGTGAGGACGAACTACGGTTATCGAAGTGGGCCAATGTCTCGACCAAAGTGTCCAGCTTCATGCCTGGGTCCCACCGAGCAAAGAACATTAACTCCAGCATCGATCGGTCGCTGGAAGCCCTTAACATGGACACCGTCGATGTCATGTACCTGCATGCTCCTGACAGAGTCACGCCATTCGAAGTGACTTGTGAGGCTATGAACAATGCATACCTCGAAGGGAAATTTGAGCGCTTTGGCCTCTCCAACTACTCTGTTGAGGAAGTTGAGGAGATTGTCCGGATATGCGAGGAGAATGGCTGGGTCAAGCCCTCCGTGTACCAAGGCCAATACAACCCAATCTGCCGAGGCGGCGAGGAACGACTGTTCGCTGTCCTTCGAGAACACAACATCGCTTTCTACGCTTACAGCCCTTCGGCCTGTGGTTTCTTCTCCAACAAGGTATCACGAGCGTCGATCAAGGATAGAGACAGCAGATGGAACATTGATTCTCCGCTTGGTGCCAAATATGCCCATGACTACTTCCACGACCCACTCTTCGCCGCCGCTGAGATTGTCCGACAGCAAGCCACGAAGTACGGCATCTCTGGACACGCAGCTGCTCTTCGATGGACCACCTGGCACTCACAGCTCGGCGCCGAGTACGGCGATGCTGTCATTGTCGGTGCCTCAAAACTCTCACAACTCAAAGAAAACATGGACATCCTCGAACAAGGCCCTCTTCCAGACGAACTCGTTGAGACTCTCAACGGCGTCTGGGAAGATGTGCGGACGTTCGAAAAGGGTCCCCGCTTCTCATTTGTTTGAATATGCTACGCTACTCTCCACGGGGTGAGATGGTCTCACGAACGTTTCCGGCTCCAAGGCGTTTTGGATGGCTAAGCAGCGCCAAAAAGTTCCCCGGCAAAAAAGGGGTAACACAACTGGAACATTTTTGCTTCTTCGACATAGATCCCTCAAGTGCTGAGTGGATCCTATCTACTTTTTTGTTTATTGCTACGAGTATGACGATACCCAAATCTTGCTGTATGCTATGTTTTAAGGGAGAAAAATGCATCTACCGGTCTCTGGGAGACACGGGTATGGACAGAATACTGGACACGGGGGCTCAAAGGGACAGGCTTTTGCAGCCTTGTCCATCATTCTAAATACCACAGACTCTTCACGGCATGGGAAAGAAACATCTGCCATAGATCCAAATAAAAGCTACCATTTAGAGCCTGCATCTTTTTCCTATTCTCTCGTCTTTGCCGTTCTGTCTAAATATGTTATGCTTTTGAACTCACTGATTATTCTCACACTCCCTGGTTGCAAGTGCTTACGCCTGAGGCACCTTCCAAATTCATGTCAGGAATGGGGGGCAACTGCATACGAACTGCCCTCCATCGCTTACAGATTGCACTCCCCTCTTATCGACTGAAGAATGTTGTAATGATTGCATCGCCTATTCTGTGCTTTTAGGCAACCCAATAGTTTCTCTGCTCTACCACCATGGAACGGTATCATGGGTGTTCATGATAATGTCCCTCTTGACATACCGTCATAGCTTTTCACACGCCTTCCAGCCCGTTGCACGAACCAGGAGGTGAAAGCGAGTCACCATATTTTCAGGGCCAACCCTGATGGCACACGCTGCTACCTCTCGAACGAACCATTGCCGCAAATTCCGTGTGGTGCACATGACAACCATGGAAGTAAAAGCCGGACGAAGGAAGAAAACCACCCTATTATCACCGCATCGTATAGGGACAAGTAGGAAATCACGCTATCAGCGAAACACGAACTGTGGATGCGGTAAAATGGTATTGGAGACCACCATGGCCATGAGATGCAACCGGTAGATCTCTCTGTGTCTTCTGATCCCTCACCGCAGCACCGGAACAAGTCGCCAGCAATGAGGCGCATTGCGTAAGAGCATAGTCTCAATCTTCTGAATGGTCAACATGCGCAAGGTGTGAGCGCCTAGCATTCCTCAGGTGTATGCGTACGCATAGCAAAGCCCATCCAAGCGAATCGTGGGGCAACAATCCATCAGTCACAGGAATGTGCAGACAAACCAATCGAGTAATCCTTCAGCCATACATTGACCACTGGCAAGGCAAGAATGCCAGTGGAAGTATCTCCGTCGAGTCAACATCATTTTTACGTGAGCGTTGCCCATCAGGCCGCCCGAATCGCGCTTGCGTTTCTCTACTCGTGTGATGGAATTTTCGCATCTTCGAACCAGTCAACACCTTTGGTCAATCATTGCAATCCTCACCACACCAAACCAGACAGTCCCAAACTCGATCCATGCTGTCCAAAATCTAGCGTCCTACTGGTCAGTCGATGTTGTCGTGTGAGCGCTTCGCTTGTTTGGCACTGCTGACATGGGGGTGGGAAGACCGACTAGACCGAAGTTCAACTTCGTATCACCTGGTCGAAGAACTCTGTCTAACCTTGGCGAATCCCCCGGACACGCATCCATGAGCGGTTTTTTATCCAGCCAAGATCGTCGACATTTTTGCCCAAACTAGAAACAGTTAAAGAAGGCGTTCTGGAATCCACGTGGACTCTGATTAGTGCCCATCGACCACCCTCTCTTCTCAGCGAGCTAGCCTCAATCCAGCCCTTCGGAACGAAATGGGTGTCTCTGCAAAACTGCAATTGGCTACCACGAGTCTGGAACCCGGATGTCGCCTGGTTGCTTTCCAGCACAACTTCTTGGCTGTGTGCATAACAGACTTCAAGGGCTGAAACCATCAGCTTAGCGAAGCACGCCATACATTATTGGGCAACTGCTGGGCTGTAGTGAACACGATGGGAAGGACTTTTGCAACCAACACACTTTCTGGCTGACTGTTGATGGTTCGTGGCTTTGGGGGAATTTGGACTTTTGCGGCCGCCCCGAGCAACTGCCCATCTTTCCTCAGCCTCTTGCGCCGGCCATTCAACGTAGTGCATGAATGCGCTTGTTAACGGGCAAGCCACACCTTCCTCAAACTCGCACTTCCTTGTTGATGCATTATGCAGGGAGTGCACATGCTGCAGCCTTCTCCAACGATTCGCACCGTGTTTTGTGTGTTTCTATAATCGGGCTCATGTTATGGGCTTTTCCTAATCAAGCTTGCATGAAGTATGTGTTCTCGCAGGCTGCATCGCAACTGTGGTGTTGTCTGGCTAGCTGATGGTGGTTATCGTTATCTGGGTCGTATCGATATCGATATTCGGCTCAGCAAAGGGTGTGGAGATAGTGGGATGGTCCCCCAGAGGTGCCTGGCTATTCGACGGATAAGGCTTCAACCCCCAATTTCACCCCCTTGAACCCCTTTCTCCTTCACTTGTGCTTAACGATTGCCAACGCGCTAACGACACCTCGCATTTATGCGATGCTGATGCAAAGGGCCAAAGCATTGCCGCAGACACTTGCTGATGATACTACCAGGGTTATGGCACGATGATTACATGGCAGGTTGAGGTAAACCATCGTTGACACGCGAACAATGACTATCTAAATCCTTCGTGCTGAGGTCAGCCAACCTCAAGTTTGACGACCAACGTCGCGTACCATGGATATTGCCTATCATTGGACAGCACTTGTCGTCGCGAAAGCCTGTGGTCGCCTAGATGGGTACCGTCGTATAATGGCCATCATGATTGTATCTTTGGGACGAAACCTTCAGGATGCTGTTCACGCTCAGGCAAACGTCGGGGATGGGACATGACCTTGCGACAGATCATACAACGAGAGCGCTCGGTGATTTGTCGTCGCACTTACCACTGGATTCTAGAACCTGGAACAATCGTCATGAACCGAATCTGGGAATGCATCTACAATTACCAGCTTATTACGGCCGGGAGGCAGGTCTGCCCTTGCAGATGTTCCTGCGCCGGTAAGCAACAGAGGATCTTCCTTGTATGTCCACAGGTAGGGTTTATTAGATGTCTGCAATGCAGCATGCATCCACATCGACGACGCGTTGCGGAAGTCAAGCACTGAAGGCGATTCCACACCCACTGTCGCATCGGCCCCATCCTTCCAATCTTTCGACGGTCACGATGGGCTTCCTGACCAAGGGCTTACGGCACCATCTTGCGCTCTCGAAGATTAATGAGTTCTCATGATGCTAGCGACCCAAACGCAGCCTTGTACCAACATGTCGTGGAGTGCGAACTGCGACGTCGATTCAATATATGACATCAAATTTCCGGCGAAGGGTTACTGTATAGGGAGAAGCCTTCAGTCGCTCCCGGACTTCCACGTGGTGGACGATTTGGGATAGGTACTACATCTCGGGAGGAATCTGGATCTCCTGTGCTTGGCGACGTGGCCTGTGCGAGGCTCACCAAGAGGGTATTTTCCACCACGTAAGTTGGCTGGATACTACCTACAAACTTCTGTCCCGTTGTAAAGCAATACTAAACTGTGAACCAGGTAAGTGCAAAGATTCAGCTTGCGCGTCCTTATTATGTTGTTTTGTCAGAGACTTTCGATAAACCTACACATACACCGTGCAATGCGATGGGTGGCGACTGAAGATGCCTTGCTTTCGTTGAAAAGATCACCTCGTCAAGGTGTATGTCAACGGCGAGCATTCTCTCCGACACCCCGACTGCCTCCGTATAACGAATCTCCGCATTATCAACTATCGTTCAACCGTCGAGCTTATCGCGGCGGTTGACACACGTCAGAGAGAACGATGACGGCTAACGGTCCGTGCGATTCGCGATTTCGAGCGCGTAAATGGCTTACATGAATTTTGCGGAGCAAGAGAAGCAAGGACTCATCGGGATCAGCGAAAACGGGGTATCGGCAACAGGTCGTGCACATTGACGGGATGTGGCGCCCTTTGGCTTTATCCGCGCGCGATGTGCACATTTGCGTCATCGCACGGACTCGATAATTACTTTTTGGCAGTGCTTTTAGTGGTTGGGTCTGCGAGCATTTGTATAGGACTCTAAAGGACACACAGACTACAGACGGCGTTTGCAGACCGCCGACACGCCGATGTAATGAAGATATTAGGGAAGATTGAAGGTTTGTTTTGTGTCCGGTGCACGACAAAAGGACTGTTATCGCAAGCCCCCATCGTAAACAAGGTTGAAATTGAGGTAAGGACATCAAATTGTTGAGGAGACCCGCGGCGACCGCGTGCGATGGCTGGAGTTGTGGTTATGGACACCAAACAACAAATGCGAAGATTTCAACAGTGGAACTCAACAGTCAACACCCGATGAGCAACACTGCGGAACAGCTGTGACTATCGTGGACAGAGGCTCATACCAGGCAGCGACTAGGACTGCAAGGCTGAGGCAAATCATTTTTCATTGGCCTGTGGGATTGCTTCCTTCGATGTGGGCGAGGGTTCTTGACTGTTCATGCCGTCTCCATGTGAGATACTATATGACGTTGCAGACTCGCGGCAATGCATTTCCTCGACTTCTCATGGCATTCGAATTTGCGATTGCATGGCCAACTGTGATGAGGGCGAATGAAGGGATGCTGCACAATTGCCAGTCTCGATTTCGAGGCTCGCCTGCCTGCGCTGGCCATCGAGCCCCTACGTCGTGGGAAATCAGGGATCGAGGATGGTACTGCTGGCTGCACGAGATTACGACTGCGACTGCGACCACAGCATCCAGGCTGAACGCATTTGGAGGAGGTTAAAGTCAGGATCAGGCAGATGATGAGATCCCTTCTGAACCCCGGCTACATGCCATAATTCCTGTTCTCTCGACTGGCCAAATCTGGCCTGATTTCGCCCACGTTCGATGTCAATGTAGTCGGGCCCCAACCCCTATCGTCACGTTGACGCAATGCAGTGTTACAAAGAACACCACTTGCTCCTTGTCATTCGTTTCTTGAGAAGATGGGCTGGCTGGAGTGGTACAAACTTAGACCCTGCATCAGCCAGCAAACTCGTGTTGTACATGTCCGGTCGAGACTAACAGTGCCAACCACACCGCCACCCCCGATATTCAGATGAATTGGAAACGCAGTGTTCGATGTTCGAGAGCTGGCCCCAAAGAGAGATTCAGGTTTCAGCCATCCCTTCTCCTGCTGTCGTGCAATCTTCTCGACGCCTAGACTTGGGTTGTTTAAGTGGTTGCATAGGAAGGGGTTCCCGGGACGTAAGTGAGATACAGTGCCAGGCAGACCCTCGATACTCCACGGGTCGGATAGCAAGGATCTGGGGATCGAGACTAGGGTAGTTGAAATCAGGGTTTGCCGTTGGTTGTTGTGTAATGGTCGGGTGTTGCTGGTATTATACAACTCATTTCAACCTCAGCCTTGTGAGCATGCAGCCTCGTAGCCTCGTGAATATCAACCACTTCACTTCACCACTTCACTTTCTGCTTGACCGCCTACCCATCCACAATCGTTATACCTCACCTCATTACCCGATTTGATTAATTCATGGTTCATCAATTAAATGTTTTCAAATATTGCTAACAATTCACCCGTATCAGGACAGTCTGATGAAACCGTTCGAATACTTCGACGGCTCAGTGGCAGTGCGATGTGCTTTGTGTCAACAAAACCACCACTCAAACTAAAGGCCTCAGATGCGAGAGACGGGGGAGGGTAAAATGGGGTTGAGCGCTCAAGCGAGGAAGAAAGAGAAGGACTATGAGCAGGAGGGGTCCGCTGCGAGAGGGGAGAAGGGCTTTCGAGTCCGGGAAAACACAAATCTTTTTTTGTATTTCTTGTTCAATATTCCGAGTGAAGCTGGCGCAGGTACCTTTTGTGTGTGATCGCCAAGGTGTTGGAGTGAAGTGGTGCTAAGATCACAGAAAGAGTATCACTGACCTCCTCTTGTTGTGTTGATGTACCGGGTCACCTCATTCCATCGCCTCATGCTGTACCATGACTCTCAACCACGCCTGTGCCTCCCAAGAGTGCAACACAACATACTGTGTCAGTCAAGCTCAGAATGCAAAGTCCCTGCCTCGACCTTGCCATACCACTCACTCTCCGTACTGTGCGACTAAAAGCTCTTCCCCAGTTTCATCCAACCTCACTCCAACCTCACCCGTCCTACCTTACCTTGCCTTTTGCAACTGTTGTGGGCCTCCGTGGTTAATGCTCAAAGTTCCTGCAGCCCGAATCTCGCACAGGGTCCGGTTGTCTTCATGACACCCGCATGTGCATTTCCCATCCCTGGACCAGGTCCAAACAGCTCTGACCGACACAAAAATGGCAGATGCTGTGCAGGTTTGGAGCCCAGTCTCTGGTCAGGCTGGACTGTCACGTGGTACGAGGAGCATCACTGCAGGCCAGGACATCTCTCACAGTCATGTATGTTGCGCTGTCAATGGATGGCTTACTGGGCTTGTCCTTGAAAGTCGCCCAATGCATGACGTCGCCTAGTTCGCGCATGCACACCGAAACGACAAGGGTAAATAAAGTGTTGCTTTGGCATAGTAGATGCTTACTTCTGTCCAAATAACACTACCTACCATAATGCACGCAAGTATTCGCGGATACGAGCACTAGGCGTTCCCGGAGGCATATCCGGAGGCGTGCGAATGCCGTGGCCGGCTGAACAGGCCTCTCCGCCGGAGCTGAAGCCTGAAGACGGCGAGCCGCAGAACACTTCGTGTTTGAGACTAGGGGTACTCACGTATACCAAATCCATATCGAGTCACCGATAAGCGGCATCGCAAAGATTCCAGGTTTTGTTGAGACATGCATGCCGGTTCCGGTTGAATGGCTACTTGCATCTCTGGCGAACACCATACTATGTTGTATATTTAGAATAATGGCGGGAATATGTGCCGCCGTGGCTAAAATGTGTTATCTTGAGAGAATGAGGATGCGATGAATGGAAAAGCCCTTGATGATGGGTGGCAAAGGCCCAGACTTGAGAATGAACTGTCGACACGGCATGATACGAGAATAGCAATGCGGGATGGTGGAGTAAACCTGAAACAACATTCGTACCTGAATGAGCAGGCGGGTGCCTGTCTATCAGCCAGGCACTGCCAGGATACGAAGAGCGATCAGCAGGAAACGTGGAAGAAGAAGATCAACGTGGTCGTCAAAGTCGGACCGCACCTAGACTCGTCGAAGAAGGGCAAAGAACGGCATCAATGTCTCACTCTAGCTGTTAGTGCTAGGTACGAGGATGAGGCTGGATGGCGACAAGGTGACTAGCAAGGATTGGGAAGGTCCAGATGTCGATCACTACCACAAGTCCGTAGTCAACGGGATATTTAATGACGAATAGAAACAGCAGGAAATATGTTGCGGTTCAGCGAGTAAAGAGTTGCAATTCAACTTAACCTCATTCAAGCATATCATGCTCTAACAGTTGCATCGTATTGATCATGCACAAGCGAAAACAAAGCCAGCACCTCGCGCTATCTCATAAGATGGTTGGCCAGAGGGAACGACCTTCTGCGCCGCCCGACGGGCCTCTGGAACCCAGCCATTGCGGCCGTACACTTTCAATGACAGTAGTGGACGTAATATGTTGTGACTGTTGGGCACTGGAATCTGGCTGATGAGGATTGGCAATCGATCACGGACAAGCCATGTACAAATACTCGTCCTCGTTGTTGTTCATTACCCTCGAGCACATCATCCATAATCTCTTCCCATCAGGTCGAGCCTTTCCAGAACAACGACGAGGACATGATATAAGGTTAGATCGTCAACAGCAGGACCGGTCCTATGACGAATCATGCGCGCGAGTCCAGCATGCTAATACGCAGTGTGCAGAGTATGGTAATAGTGCTGTCCAAGGGAGTGCCCAAATTGTCCATGGAAAATTGCCATTCTCATGTTTTCGCCATGTCCAAGACCTGAGAAGTTAGACGATCCATGAAAAATTGAGATGGTGCGTGTTACAGAACGGTGAATGCTGTTGTGGAAGAGTATGAAGAAGGGAAGAAGGAGGGAAGACGAAAAACAGGGGGGGGTTTATACTAAAATATTTGCCTGTAGCGCGCCTTCCCTTTCAATGGAGGTTTGAAGAACCGTACAAGATAGGAAGGATTGAAGCGGTAGAGTACTGTTTGATGACTATAGCGTCCGGTCCAACCACCAAAGATATGAGATATCCTTCTGTACCATTTGCGCAAACAATCCAACCCCAAGACCGCCGGCAGACCTTCCCTGGTGGTGCCTGTACTTCCCCGCCAATTTATTAACTCTCTCAGGCACCCATCACTGATGATTGGTTCAAACTGCGGGCGCAGTCGAATTGGATCCAACGAACATTCAAGAAGTTTTGTGCGCAAACTGCTCATAAACGTTTCAGTCGCTCGGTCTACACCTGTCTAAGCTTGCAGTAGTACTCCAGATCATAATCCATCTCAAGATACACCTTTTCACGCAACGCAATCCTCAAGATCATCACCGCCATCCCCCACCATGACCGAATCGCATAGTGGTAAGGCACACCTTCTCCATTTGTGGCATGACCCAGCCTTACCAGCAAAGCAGGAAGATCGCGGGTCTACTTCGACCTCTCGATAGGCGGCAAGAAGGAAGGTCGCATCGTGATCGAGTTGGTAAATAAGCTCTTGCTTTGCGATTCCACTCAAGCTGACAACCTCGATCTGTAGTTCAATGATGGTACTTAGTCCTCCGCTCGAAGCCTCTACTGCCTCCGACTAACTCCTATTGTCAGTCGTTCCCAAGACGGCCGAGAACTTCCGTGCACTATGTACCGGTGAGAAGGGTGAAGGAAAGTCGGGCAAGCTCCTCAGCTACAAAGGTGAGAAGGTGAAACAATCCAGGTTGGCAGTAAAGAGGCTGATGGTGGTGAACAGGTTCCATCTTCCACCGGGTCATCAAGTCTTTCATGATTCAGGGCGGTGATTTCACAGCATTCAATGGCACCGGCGGCGAATCAATCTATGGCGAAAAGTTTGACGACGAGAACTTTGAGCTGAAGCATGACCGGCCTTTCCTGCTGTCAATGGCCAATTCTGGACCTGGTAAGGCACTCCCACGGAGTTCAAAATGCTGGATCTGACTCTTTAGGCACCAACGGCTCGCAGTTTTTCATCACCACCGTCCCAACACCCCATCTTGACGGCAAGCACGTCGTCTTCGGAGAAGTTATCAACGGCAAGAACATCATTCGGAAGATCGAGAACCTCCCTACGCAGTCAGACAAGCCATCCAACGGTGATGTCGTTGTGGCCGACTGTGGACAGCTGGAAGGCGAGAGCTGGAAGACGGCCACCCAGAAAACTGCCGACGCGACTGGCGACCCATATGAAGACTTTCCCGATGACCAAGGCGAGCTGAAAGGCGAGGAGTACTACAAGATTTCTCTGGATCTCAAGGAATATGGCAACAAGGCCTTCAAGGCTGGCGACGTCGAAACCGGTATCGACAAATACCAGAAAGGTCTAAGATATCTCAACGAATACCCGGCGGCCAATGAAAACGACCCGAAAGATCTGCAAGACAAGATTGATATCCTTCGATTCACTTTGCACAGCAATTCTGCACTTCTTGCCAACAAAGCTAAGCGCTATGATGAAGCGGAGAAGTGGGCAGGATTTGCCATTGATGCCACACCTAAAGACGCAAAGGACACAGACAAGGCCAAAGCATATTTCCGCCGTGGACAGGCGAGGGTAGCTCTGAAAGACCTCGAAGGAGCTCTCAAAGACTACGAGACGGCAAACAAGCTTGCGCCGGAAGATGCAGGTATCAAAGCCGAGCTTGCCAAGACGAAGAAGACTCTCCATGACAGCATCAAGAAGGAGAAAGATGCGTACAAGAAATTCTTTAGCTGAAAGGGGCCATAATTAACACAGCGATTTGCATGAGGAGGTTTCAATGGCTTGCACTGCATAGCCTGGGCGTCGCAGGCGGAGATTGATACTCTGACACTGTGGATACCGTGTTTGCATGAGTGGCGACCGCCGTCGCCAGGCGTATTCATTGTTGGAGAGCGACGGGCAGGTTGAGGTGCTTTGGGACTTCAGGTAAAGCGTCTGCACGATACCCATGCTGCATGAATGACTGTCTGCCATACGAGTTGATGAAAAGTGCGCATAGAGTCGGTGACCAATGAAATAGAAACGAAGATCTCGAGAAAAAAAGACATCCCCTGGATTCTAAAAACCCTCAACATGTCACTTTGCTGTTTTGCGCCTACCTAGGTATCCCTGCGACGTATGGACCATGTGTCAGCAGTACGACGACTTGCGAGGTAGTACCTACCGCTAGGTACAGATACCTGGCAAACTGGCAAGCGCTGGTGTTTTTAAGTACCAGTAGACTTTCTGTGCTCGGCTGTCCCTGTTGATCTTTCGCCGGGCAATCCAATTTTGCAAAGTGGCTACGTCTGACAAGGACTACAACGCCGATATCAGTTCGACGTAGTGTGTACCTTGACTCCGACCTGGTACATGTGTACGGTGTAGCGGATGCTCTTCTCCCCGTCAGAGGCCAACCACTATCGCGTTGTGTGGAGGACTCCAGATTGCTAACAAGGACATGACATTCATTGGAACTGAGGACCTACATCGGTCAGACAGCGGCCACTTTTCCTGGAACCAGGCTTTGCTGGGTACTCGTACATTCCGTCATCCCAAATATATATAATGAAGCGCGGGCGGTGAAGAACATTGCGGTTGTGTCTTCACCATGTCGGTGGCAGACAAACGCACAGTCCAACTCGAATTCACCAACTATTTTCTAGATCGACGGATTTGTCAGTTCCTTACTTCACCATAGGACACTGTGCAGTCCCACGATCAGGCGCGCACACAAAATGCGGCTTGTCAAGCGACACATCGACGACGACGGGGGTGGGAACGTCACATTATGCCCAGAAGAACCAGAAGATATGGTATGGGAACTCGCTGATCTTCAACAAGAGCACTTCACTGACACCTGACTAGTGGCATGCCTACAACCTCATCAGACCAAAAGACTTGCTCACTGCATCTGCAGTCCGTCGAGTAACCACAGAATCAGCCTCCACCGGCTCGACAGCCTCTCAGCGAGTACACACGAACCTCACCGTCCGAGTGAAGTCTCTGGACTTTGATCCGCAAGCGGGCCAACTACATGTTTCAGGCCAGATTGCGCGCGAGAACAGGTACACAAAGATAGGACAGTTCCACACCCTCGACCTTGAATTGAACCGCAACTTCACCCTCGAGAAGGTGATTGACGGACCTGATGGCGGGGAAGGCTGGGATAGCGTTGCGCGGGCGCAGCTTGAAGAGGCGATCGACCAGACAAGAGGCACAGAAGCAGTAGCGGTGGTCATGCAAGAGGGTCTTGCAAATATCTGCTTCATCACACAATTTCAGACTGTCCTCAGACAAAGAGTGGAGGTATCCGTACCGCGGAAACGAGCCGGTGCTGGAAGAGCGGGAGATCATGACAAAGGCATGCAGAAGTTCTTCAATACGGTACTGGACACACTGATGAGACAACTCGAGGGTCTTTTGGAAGGCAAAGACAGCAGCACAAGTTTCCCGATATTGTTGGCAAGTCCTGGTTTCACTGCAGCCGGCTTCCTCAGATATATCAACGAAACGGCTGCCAGCAAAGGCGACAAAGTCTTGCAGGAGCTGGTCAAACGAAAGGCTTTCGTTGTCATCCACAGCAGTTCAGGACATCTGCATAGCTTGAACGAGGTCCTCAAAAGTCCAGAGGTGCTAGTGAGGCTGAAAGATACGAAATACGCAAGGGAGACCGCGCTGATGGATGATTTCTTCACCATGCTCAGAAAAGATGACGGACGAGCATGGTATGGCCCGAAAGAAGTGGAAACTGCCGTGGACAAGGGTGCCGTCGGTCGAGGTGGCGGTGTACTTCTGATCAACAATGCTCTGTTTCGGAGCCAGGACATCGGCACGAGAAGACGGTGGGTCAGACTGGTCGACAGAGTGAGAGAAGTCGAAGGAGGAGAGGTGAGAGTCCTCAGTGGTGACCATGAAAGCGGGAAGAGGCTCGAAGGACTGGGAGGGATTGCTGCTATTCTGACATTTCCGATTGACGAGATGGAGTCGGATTCTGAAGACTCTGACGAGCCTGGGGGTGGTAGTGAAGATTCCTAAATGTGAATAAGGATCCAAGCAAAACAACACTCACTGACTCAAACGTCGTAGCAGCCATAAGGAGGGCCGCCCCCATGTACCTCAGGCCTTGTATCGGAATTCCTCCGCATTGACGGACGCGCTGTGACGTGTATTTTCTGTTTAGCCGAACGCCGCGTCGCGGAATCCTCGTTGACTAACTTAGTCCAACCACATACATGCTCTTCGCATTCCTTCGACCAATCTCTCGGAATGCCACGGCCCGCGAAGCCTCCTATGACCCTGAAGGAGGCAAAGCGGGCATACAAAAAAGATGGCGTCGGATTCCAGTACACTGCATCTCAAATGGCGCGTGCCGATCGTCAAGACGCGCAGGACGAGAAACGAAAGAAAGCACTGGACAAGGAGAGACAACGAGTCGAGAATAAAAGAAAGAGAGACGAGAAGGATACAAGAGAGCGTGCAGTCAAGCAGAAGATGTTGGACGAGGGCAGAATCACAGTTGAGGACACCTGGGGAAAAGTGGCAGCAAGTCAACCACGGCTGAATAAATTCTTTGGACAGAGGACTGCCGTCGCGCCGGCCAAGAGAAAGATACAGGAAGAGACTGTCGCGCATGCAGAGACTAGCTCACAGACTGTATCTGTGGTGCACACCGACAAAGAGACCCGCGAGAGCCCTGAGGTACAACCTCCGCCTGAGTCCGCCTATAGACTCACCGCACCAGTCTTCCAGGAAGCTCTTGGCCGGAATCCAGCAGCTGACCCAACGTCTAGCGATGAGGGCGATGCCAGTGGGTTAGCCATGCAGACGACGTTCTCTACGGTCGATCGAGAATCTCTAGATGCCGCGCAGCACAGGGATATACGGAGTCCGCGACCCAGGTTAAGGGAACTAAGACCGTCGCAAATTAACGCACGCTCGACAAGATCACAGTACATCCAAGCCGATACCACATGTATAACACCCGTCAGAGGATCGCCAGCGCTTGTTAATGAGCAAGGGAGCGAGCTGGATCGCTCTGCGTCAGCAAGACAAAGCCAGACAAGAAAACGTGACGCACGTGTCTCTGCTCCTGCCAGCATATTCCATCCGCCTGAGAATCGACGTCGTGCCCTGCCAGCAGCCAAAGATGTGTCTCCGGCTACATTTGACGAGGAAGAAGACTTCACAGACGGCATCGATGATGACACACTCTTGATGCTATATGACGAGCAGGAGCAAGAACTCCACACCCCAACAACTGCTAATGCCTCTCAATCACCTGCAGGCCTGAATACTGAGAAATCGGTCCCAGTGTCCTCGGGAGAGACCAAAGAGTGTCCTTCGCCCCCCAGACAGGCCGAAGTTAGCACCATTACCACAAACAAGCACCAAGATACTATGCCTCTGACATCGAAGGGTCTCTCCGAAAGCTTCAGCTCTGTCTTCAACGAGATCGACGATGACGAGCTGATCGCCTTAGCAGAGAAAGTGGAGGCCAGCATGCCTTCTCCTTCTCCTGCTGCGCCAGTTGCTGTCGCAACACCCAAGCCTCCTAAGCAATCAGCCGAGCCTTCTCGAAAAGCCACGGTTCGTGCGGCACTCCCACAGCCGCCGCCCAGGTTGAGTATGCCGCCACCTAAGCGCTCTGGACAAGTGTCCGAGCGTACAACGAGCATGACTTCTTCCGAGCATATCAGTCCAAGCACGGAGGCAACGCCCCAACCAACGTCGGAAGTACCTTTCTCAAGAACCAATCCGAAGCCCCTGCCACGAGCGAGCATGCCTCCACGTACGACAAGATCCAGCATGCCACCACCCCAAACAAAATCACTACCGAGCAAAGCACAGCCTCCATCGCCTGTGCTCAAACAGCCTCCATCGCCTGTGCTCAAACAGCCTGCGAATCGAAGGACACTACCGTGGAAAATTCCCTCAAATGATTATTATGATGAATTCGACGTCCCGGGCCCCTCGACACAGGCAATAATGGTGGAACTAGCAGAGGAAGCTGAAGCGCGAATTCAGAAAGTGTACAAGTAAGGCACGGCTGATCAGGCATATACCTACGAACGGGTTGATGGGCATTGGACGAAACATGGATCATGACTGATGATGAACGAATTGATGTTTTGCATGTTGCATTGAGGATCAGATTACGCACAGGGGCATTTGCATCAGGTGGATAGCGCCGCATAGCATTGCATATGATACCCCGGTAGACAGGATCATTGATGGTGAGCATTGACACAACCATCAAGCAGACAGTACCTTCGATCTCCTCCCACAAATGCGTATTGCAGCCGTGATTTCGACCTATAGACAAATCCCAACCATGTCTCTTGCCCATCCTCGCAGTAGTAATTTGAGGAGCATATGCCATTTGTAGCACTACCACTCGCCATCATTCGCCCAGAGTAGGTGGAGGAATTTCTTGTGCCCATGCTCTCTCATCGGAAGATTCTGTCCCTACTGAAATTCTGTTTTCTGTCCCTCGCGGTAGTATGGATCACAATCTGTCTCTTGAGAAATTCTGTTTTCTGTCCCTCACGGTAGTCTGGGTGACAATCTGTCTCCTGAGAAATTCTGTTTTCTGTCCCTCACGGTAGTCTGGGTGACAATCTGTCTCTGAGAACTTCTGTTTTTTGTTGCAAGTCGAGTCTGAGTCGTCATACGTTGTCAGGGCCGCTTCGCCGCCACAATGGTGTCGATAACATGCATGGTCGTATCACCTCCACAGCGGGGGTTCGTAATGTTAGACCCTTGTGAACATGGCAGGTTTGCGCTTCGTGCACCCATGTCGGTCGATCCCACCAAACTAAGACGTACTGGAGTTGCGCATTGATATTAGGTTGTTCTCCATGGTGCTCTTCAATCTTTGGGCACTGGTGCGAAGGTCGATTTCTTCCGTAGAGGAAGGCTGAGTCTCATGAGTAGAAACGGTACCGGAAGCATAAGTGCTGCCACTCCGCCGAGTATGCACATTGCAGGGCCCACACCAAGCTTGTGAAACATAGGTCGTGCGACCATGGGCAGCCCTGAGGCCATGAGACTTCGGAGGAAGGTATTTGCTGCAGTGGCACTCGCTGCATAAAGCCCGTACACATCAACGAGATAGTTTATACCTGAGGATTGTCAGTCGACATGAATGGAAAGATATGTCTGAGAAGCACTTACACTGTTGAAAGATGGTGTTGAAACCAGCACCGATGAACACGGCAGCGATGCAAGGGAGAATCCAGGGATACTTCGGTGCAGCAGTCCACCCGAACCAGAACAATCCGATGACCATCAGGACAGCGCCGATCGCCAATGGCGGCAGTCTAGCTTCCGGCACAGGTTTGCCATTCGCAGCTCGGCACTTTTTGATATATCTGGGCTGATTGCCGAGATTGATGCCCAAGGCGCATAAGACGCCAATGAACAAGCCGAGGAAAGGGAGTGAAGCCACCACCGGAGAATACTTCCTCTCCTCGGTGAACACGATCGGGAAGACCTCGAGGGTCAAGTAAAGGATGGCATAGACAAAGCTCGCATAGAATGCTATGCAAGTCACCATCGGCTCGATGATCAGCATCTTGATAGGCCTCGATAGCTGTTTGGTGACGATCGACTGGAAGTCGAGTTTTATCCTCTCATGAGGATGGTAAAGTTTCTGGTTGCCGGTCTGCTTGCGCAGTCTTTGAGCCTTCCGCTTCAATACGACCGGCGGGTACATCTCTGGCATGCAGAAGTATGTCAAGGTGACCACAGCAAAGTTGATGATTGCCGTGATGTATTCTGTCCATCTCCATCCCATGTGGGGATTGACAAGGATAGCGCTTCCAATTGTTGGCCCCAGGGTAGGACCACCCACGACACAGACAGCGTAAAGTGAAACGGCGGTACCACGGACTTCACGGGACCAAATGTCTCCCAATGCAGCGTTGACGTTGCTGACAGCGGAAGAGCCGAAGACACCGCTGAAGAAACGAGTGATGAAGACGGATTGAGCATTCTTGCTAGTCGCGGTGCCGATTGAGAAAAGCGCCAGGATGAACATGGCTGGTAAGATCGATATGCGGCGGCCCCAGATCTCGGATGAGGGCGCCCATACCAGTGGACCAACGGCAAACCCTATACTGCAAAGCAAGTCAGAGGTGGTGAATAAATGAAGTCCTCGACCAGATGAACTTACACGTAGAGGGAAACATTGAGCACCACAACCTCCTCACCGACCCCGAGGTATGCAGCGATCGTGTCGTTGGCAGGTGCGATGATGCTGGAGGCAAGACTGGCAGAAAAAGCCAACATGCTCAATTGAAAGGTAACCCATGATTTGAATGAGGTCGACCAATTCTGGGGGTTTTCGGGGTCGTTTTCGCCATCCCAAGTGACGACTATCTCGTCTTTCTCACTTGTGACTTGGTGCACAGGTACGTTCATGGGTGGGTGTTCGTCATTGAGATCGGAAGTGGCTCCTTGTTGCCGCTCCGGGTCTGACATGGCGGAGTTCACCGTCGTGGAGGACATCCTACTGTCGGCCTCGAAGGACATCGATGGAAGACTGCCAACGAAGGCATGACGAAGTCGAAGATGAAAGGACCCGTGCAGATCATATATAGAGGTTCGTACTCCCAGTGATCTTGTACGAAGTGGTCCTCGTCCTAACGCTTCCCCAGTGCCTGGGTCGTATCCCGTAAGTATAAATTTTCCGTATGGCTGGAGAGGAAAATGTCCGGGTCGAGACCGAAAAACCCGAAGAAATTTGTTGCCGATTAGCCGCGTACGCAATTGGGGGAGGGTCCTTGGGGTCTTTAGGGTCCTTAGGGCCCAATCTCAGCATCATCCATGACGATCAAAACAAGCCTTTTGCCGTTGGACGTTCCCGTTGGAGATTCCAACATCCTTGTCATTTTTTACATTAATAATTACGACGGCGATGTCGGACTCGGTTCTCATATGAACAGCATCGCCACCGCCCTTGTTGATGACAGACACGCGGTACGTAAAAGTCCGCATTCTGCGAAGACATACGCATGCAAACAATTCTCCGAACTGAACGCAGAATACGACGTCAATTTTATTCATCTTACTTCCTTGCTGTGAGGACACCTTCCATGCCTATGCGCTGATCAGGGACACGATCTGGACCCCTAAGGCAAGGGCAGTGCTGCCCCTGACCACTCCTACAGATGCATCTGAAGATAGTCTGGCTTACGCCGAGCGTTCGAAAGCCCCAAACCTGTGCTTGCAGAAAGGGGGTCCCTCGATCAATCCCGTAGACTCTTCGAGACGTAGAAGGTGTACATGTTGCACTATGGCTGGAGGATACCATCATGCCTGGTTTTTGGTTTAACCCCATGGACTCAACTTGGCGGGTTGTAATCGACGGCCAGAGCTGAACCCTGGGATGATCGAAACAGTGCTCCGCGCATTGTTTGTGTCGGAGCCAGCATGCTGAAGACGGTAGTGGTTGAGGAGGAATCGAGTGAGTTCTACTCCAAACGACGGGTCCATGACTGCTGTTCGACACTCCGTCCATCCACCATACTCGAGGCTCTGCATCGCTGATCTCGAAATGGAATTTTCTAGGAACATTTTCATATCACGATCAATGTCTTGCTTCGAGCCCCGTAGCGTCTTCTATTCCAGAATTTGTCATCGAAACAGGATTCAGTGCTTCGCCGACAATGTTTGAGACGACTTTGGCTTTGGCACTGGCTCTCGTAATCCGATCGTCGAATTCACTCACTGACTCATCCGAATTGTCCTTGCTTATTGATGCGCCGGCTGTGACGGAGGAAAGAGCATCAATGTGCCTTCCCAGGCGTGTGTTGCTGGGAAGACCACCAAGAATCCGGACAATGCTGGCCAACCTCTCTGACTCGCCAGTAGTAGGCCCTGTAGACGAACTTTGCACATCAGACTCCCTTGATTTGTCATGGGCTGACTGCGAGAGTCTGGTCTGCCAGACGAGTGCTCGCCCGTGCAGTCTTCCAAGTCCTGCTGCCTTTTCATATCCCTTTTCCACGCCGAAGACCTTACCTTCGATCATACCAGCATAGGTGCTGTCAGCTACACCGGCATCATATCCCTCTTTGTAGTACTCATTTTCTAGTTCGAGCAAGTCATCAAATGGATCTGATGCCATGTTTTGTGTGCGCCCAGTTGCGCACACGGCGTTCCAGTCGAAAATGGGGAAATACGAAGCCTGTACGAATCGTATGATTTCCAGTGCTGCAGCGGACCACGGATCGAGATGGTATGAGTGGGATCAGATATGAGTACGAAGTTTGACGACGAAGAATGATGAAGAGGCGGCTTAAAAATAAGCATCAGATTCACTTGGCCCCCAAACAGAACGATTGGGCGTTGCAGGCATTTGTGGCTCCTGAGCCCTGGCTCGGCAGCAGCTCCAACGGCTGCGGGGAGTTTCCAGCTTGACTCATTTATTCGCAGGTGACAAAATCCCTGCGCCCGCCTTGATATGAGTGCAGCGATTGATTACTTGGACGCCGCTCCTACCTCTATCACAGTCGCAAGAATAAACGACAACTCGCCACTTCAGTCTCCCACTTAGCGTTCCTTCTGCAAAGGCACATCTCTGGCACTGTCACGACTCTCTTTGTACCTGCATGCCCACCATGGGCTCCAACAAGATCCTCCCAGAAGAAGGCAAGAAGAATATCCTCATTACATCCGCGCTGCCATACGTCAACAATGTAAGCATACTTGCTTCGTTGGGTGTGTTATGACTGATGGTCTCTCATAGGTTCCTCATCTTGGCAACATTGTAGGCAGCGTTCTCAGTGCCGACGTCTTCTCGAGATACAACAAGGCTAGAGGACGCCCAACCCTTTTCGTATGCGGCACCGATGAGTATGGCACCGCCACAGAAACGAAAGCGCTCGAGGAAGGCGTGACACCCGAAGAGCTATGCGCAAAATACAACAAAATTCATGCTGAGATCTACGAGTGGTTCGAGCTGGGCTTCGACATATTTGGCCGCACCCCTACGAAACAGCATACCGAGATTGCACAAGAGGTCTTTCTACAGCTCCATGAGAGGGGACACCTGACCGAACACACCAACAGTCAACCATTTTGTGAAAAGCACGGAAAGTTCTTGGCCGATCGTTTCGTCGAAGGCACGTGCCCAAAATGTGGTTACGACGATGCTCGAGGAGATCAATGCGACAAATGCGGCAGCTTGCTAGACCCCCTTGACCTGATCAATCCAAGATGTAAGGTGGATGGTGCGACACCGGTGACGAAGGAGACAAAACACACATATCTACGCTTGGACGAGCTGCAACCTAGAATCGAAGAATGGTCGAAAAAGTCCATTGAGAAAGGCGGCTGGTCAAGAAGTGCGAAAGTCATTACAGAAGCTTGGTTGAAGCAAGGGCTGAAAGAGAGAGGGATAACGCGCGACCTCGCATGGGGTGTACCTGTCCCCCTACCAGGCTATGAGAACAAAGTCCTATATGTGTGGTTCGAAGCCTGCATAGGATATCCATCAATCACCGCCAACTACACGGAAGAATGGCAAAAGTGGTGGAAGAACCCCGAGAACGTCGAATTATACCAGTTTATGGGCAAAGACAACGTCCCTTTCCACTCGGTCATCTTCCCTGGTTGTCAAATGGGCTCTGGAGACGAGTGGACTCAGCTACATCATCTATCCTCGACCGAGTACCTCAACTACGAAAATGGCAAATTCAGCAAGAGTCGCGGGATCGGGGTCTTCGGCAACAACGCGAAGGAAACAGGCGTACCCCCGGACGTGTGGAGATACTACCTCCTGAAAAACCGGCCCGAGTCGGGCGATACACAATTCGAGTGGCGGTCTTTCATCGATGGCAACAACTCTGAATTGCTGGCCAAACTTGGCAACTTCGTCAACAGAGTTGTCAAACTCGTCAACTCGCCCAAAGCATATTCCGGCGTAGTCCCGGAATTCGACCTGCAGAATCTGCCTTCGTCCTTCAACGAGCATCTGACGGAGATTACGGAGCAATTGAAGCAATACCTTGCTGAAATGGAAGCCGTGCATCTCCGCAATGGTCTCCTCGTTGCCATGAAGATCGCAGAAGCAGGCAATGGACTCATTCAGGCTCATCGCCTTGACAATGCACTCATCGCCAGTGATCCAACCCTTGCCGCCGCAGTAGTCGGAACAGTCATCAACCTGATCTATCTTTGCTCGGCGGTCTTTGAGCCTTACCTGCCAGCCACGTGTGAATCGATACGTAAACAGCTGAACGCAGGATTTCTCCAGATCCCCACTGAGGACGATATCGCCAATGGCTGGTTACCGAAATATATCAAGCCAGGGCACACCATTGGGAAAGCAGAGTATTTGTTCACCAGGATAGATGAGAAGAAGGCCGATGAATGGAGGGAGCACTTCGGCGGCAATCAGGCCGATCGGGAGAAAAAGAGGAAGGAGGAGGAAGAGACTGCAGCGAAGAAGCTTGCACAAAAAGAAAAGGTCAAGGCGAAGAAAGCCGCACAAAAAGCCGCTGCTGCAGCAGGCGGCGAAGGCGTAGAAAAGAACGCAAAAGGTGGAGCCAAGGGCAAGGAGTTGGCAAACGGTGTACCAGCAGTCGGGGAAGACGCGGCCGTGGACAAAGTGGTCGATGGAGTGGCCCAGGTAACATTGCCAACGTCATGAGGAAAAGCTATGGTTCCTACCGCTCATGCAAGGGAGCGTGCTAGAGACGGCAGTCAATGTCGGAAAGAGAAGACTAAATGAACGGATGCCATCTGCAGAATCTACCAAGTTCGAATGATGAGCCCTCGAATTGACGGCGCTCTATCGGACATGTCACGACATGAGGCGTCTCCGTGCATGATCCAGGAGGGAAGGACCAGCACCAAGTTCAACAAAAGATGTATGCCATATTGGATGGAGAACCCGTGGTTTAGACCATGTACGGGATGTCAGTATCCAGGATAAGGAGCAGATCAATGCCTGAGGCAGGAGAACACAGAGAACGATAATTGTCAGAACTGCACATCAGGATTGAGACCCTTTCCGTAGTAATAGTGCCGCTACTGCCTGAACGACCCGCCGTAGCCTAGTCTTGGCAAGTTTGGCTTCGAAGCATGCACCACTGGCAGTCGCCGAACCTCATGCATTGCGCGTAGGATTGTGTGAATAGGCGCGTCTGCCTTTTTTGCGACACTGCCCGAACCCTTACTGATACCTGTTGTTCTCTGTTCTGCACCCTCGCGTCGCGCAACAACTAAGCACAGACTAAGCAGGCTCTGTGCCAGCCTACGGTCTGGCCATCAACCCCCAAGATGTCTGGCCTGTTCGGCAGCACGGCTGCGTCCGCTGCCTCTACAAGCACCACCGGTGATGTCTCTAAAGATGTAGCCTTGGTAACGCCACCAGAAGACAGCATATCAGACCTGAAGTTCTCTCCTTCAGCCGACTTCCTCGCAGTTGCATCATGGGACAAGAAAGTAAGGATATACCAGGTGAATGAACAAGGTCAGAGCGAGGGAAAGGCTGCTATGGACTTTGACGGTCCTGTGCTCAGCTGCGCATGGTCTGAAGTGAGTGAAGGATCGACCACGCATATGTTCATGCACTAACAATAGATTCCAGGACGGACAGAAAATCGCAGGTGTTGGCGCCGACAAAACCTTCCGACTACTCGACCTTGCGTCTGGCAATATGACCCCTCAGACCCTTGTGGCCCACGACCAGCCAATCCGTTCATGCGCTTTCACTACTATTCAGAACTCACCCATTCTCATCACCGGCTCCTGGGACAAAACAGTGAAATACTGGGACTTCAGATCACCGAACGCAGTAGCGACTCTACAATGTCAAGAACGAGTATACACGATGGACGTCAAGAGCAAACTGCTCGTGATAGGGACTGCGGACCGATACATCAACATTGTCGACCTGAACTCACCAGAGAAGTTCTACAAGTCAATGCAATCACCATTGAAATTCCAGACCAGAGTTGTGAGCTGCTTCACGGATGCTACGGGCTTCGCAGTGGGCAGCATTGAGGGTAGATGTGCAATCCAGTACGTGGAAGAGAAGGACTCATCAAATAACTTCAGCTTCAAATGCCACCGAGACACTCCGAATGCGACGGGGCCGAATCGCGACACCGCAAACGTCTATGCAGTCAACGCCATTTCCTTCCATCCAGTACACGGAACATTCTCGACTGGAGGCAGCGATGGAACATTCCACTTTTGGGACGGCAATGCGAAACACAGACTCAAAGGTTACCCGAATGTGGGCTCACCGATCACGGCAACAGCGTTCAATCGACAAGGAACGGTATTTGCATACGCGCTCTCGTATGACTGGAGCCAGGGCTACCAGAAAAATACACCACAGTTGCCCAACAAAATTATGTTACATGGCGTGCAGCCGGAGGAGGTCAAACCCAGACCAGGAGGGAAGAAGAGATGATCTACTCAGCGCTGTGGACGGATACCAAAATCGAATTGGAGAGCGGCTGATGGTGCGATGCACATTTCCGTGGTAGACTTGAGAGAAGATGATGAGCGCGCGTTGGTGATTCTGACGTTCCGACAATTTCCAAGATACGTCGACAATACGGCCCTAAGGCAGAGGCGAAGCAATTACGATCAGGCAGCACGGGGCGACATGAATGCGCACTCGCTCGGACGTTCCATCATATTGTGCCACTGTGACTCATGGGTGGGCGTCATGGCCGAAAGCCCAAGGAATCCTCATCGACCTTGTGTTCCGGCTGCGAGAAAGGTCGAGCTGGGCCGGGAAGTACGAGGCTGTGAGCACGCGGGAGTGTGAGATGTGCTACAATGCACAATGAGTGCTGTAACCTTAAGTAGACACGATGCCGAAAAAGCAAAATTACGAAGATACCACAATTGCGCGACTGAACAGGGAACCTGCATACAAACCCTGCCATGGCATCCCATTCATCAGCACATAGACCCATCAACGCTTGCTTACTCTCCCGTATTGAAATCCATCGCGAAAACGACCCATGCTGACGCTGACGCTAATGCTAATACCTTTCGATTATCATACAACCTGTTTTCATGCCATGTGTTGAATAGCTCTTTGTTTCCCATAGTCCCTGGCTTGCTTGCATTGAAAGATACAATTTAAGCCATCCTTGCTGTTTTGCTGCTGTGCTGCTGTGCTGCCGTGTGATGCATACGTTCCTCGAACCCGATGCAGCTCAATTCATATCCATCCCATCCTCATCATCACCTTCCGTCTCGTCTGCAGTCTCGCTAGGCCGATGACTCCGCCTGCGGTGCCTAGAAGACCCAGCGACACTAAAGCCATCGATGCCAGCGTCGTCCAATTCCTCACCACCAACGACCCTGCCTTCCGTATCGACGACTTCGCAAAGTTCCATAAGCTTCGGGCGGCTGAGAGTTCTGAACGCTTCGGTCCTTACGACGCGGCCCCAGTTCATCAGACAGAATCGAGCTGCTCGGGATTTCAACCACTCTTCCTCGGTGCGTCCCGCGCGTTCCCAAATCACGGCGGCGTTCTCAATGTCAATCTCGCGCGATAGGCGGTTCACGCAGAGCAGACGCAGTTTCGGCATATCGTACAGGTCTGCCATAACCAACATGCCAGCCACGTCGGTCAGGTCTTTGCAGAACACAGGATGTGGGGCGATGCTATCGGTGTACAAATAGTAGAGGAATGCGCGGACGACAGAATATGGTTCGGGAATGTGCAGGCGCGACGTCTGGTACTCGACCATTTTGGAGGCGTAGAGACGGCGAAAATGCGGCCAGCGTGCTTGCAGGATCATTTTGTGCACGTGGATGGGTTGAGAGATGTTGGAGGACTCCGACACGAACATCTGACTGCTAGTCGAGTTCAAGGAGAAACGAGCCTGAGAGGCAGAGCCGGTTTCGGAGACGGCATCGTCGTCGAGAGCTTCTATGTTGGCTGTTATGGTGAAGTCACTGAGACTGTTGGACTCGGGCGGCTGGTCGAAAATGTTGGCAAAGTCCGAGCCAAGACCTGCACCAGTAGTGAAGGGATCGGCGTGGACAGTTTGGCGTTCAGATGCGAGGATGCGGTTTTGCTCGGAAGACAGAGTGGAGTCTTGCGTGCCGAGCAGGCCGTATCTCTTTAGATCGACTGCTAGAATCTCGCTCAGTTGCAGGTCCTGGCTTGTTGCTGCGGGGTCTTCTGCAGGAGAACCGAGGAGCCAGACTTTGGTGCCGTCTTCATTGATTGTACAGTAATGCCACTTGTAACCGGGTTGGAAGAGCTCGGGGCCTTCTACCAGGCGCTGCCATCTGAGCGAGTCCAGCTCGAGGGATGACAAGTTGCATTCGTTGTGGCGGATGGTGGACGATGGGGTGACGAAGTCGAGGAGGACGCCTGACGAGCAGACGTGGAAATGCGTGCCGCAGGACTGTAACGGCACGTGAGGGCCAGAGACGAATTTCAGGGATGAAATTGCACCTGGTGCGGTCGGTTTCTCGCGACGTGAGGAGCGGATGTGGACGCTGCCTGAGTTCGCCACGTATGTGTCGATACGGTCGGCCCTGCTGGGTTGTAACCATGGATCTTGTCGACCAGTGGCAGTCATTCGTCCCATTGTTGAGTACTGTCTTCCAGAGCCAGATAGAGCTGGACTGCCTTTCAGGTCGAGCCACCATATTTCGGATGGCCGTTCCATGTCGACACCGAGGCCGCCCAGCACCCAAAGTCGCCCGCCCCAGATCCAGGCACTGTGGTCGAATCTCTGGACGAAACTCCATGTCTTGGACCATGTCCATGTCTTGAGATCCAGATAGCATATGTCGTCGAGGATGTAATTAGCTTCACCTGTGAGACCTCCAATGACAAACAATTTGTCTTCATAGACGACAGCGGCATGTCTGGCACGACCTTTTGGGATTGGACCTTGGACATCTGGTTGAGTCCAGTGATGTGTTTTGAGGTCTAGAATGACAACATCAGACAAGTATTCCCGATGTTCGTTCTCTCCACCGTAGACAAGGAGTTTGTCACCCTGGTAAAGCGAAGCTGAATGGCCCATCCGCACACCAGGAATGTCTCCGTAATTGTCCACTAGCGCCCAATTTAGCGTCTTCAGGTTCAACCTCAGCACGTGATTATACACCTCGTCTGTGAACTGATCAAAGCCACCAAAGGCATAGATCTGTTCATTGCCACAATACGTGACGGAGGCATTGACCAGACATGCCGGTTTTTGACCGGTTGTCTTGAGGATTTTGGGCCTCAAAGCATCCTTGGAAGGGAGGGCGTTCTTGGCAGGACTGGTAGGCATCAGGTAAGTGGAGCCAGTTGGCGTGTTGGTACCAGATCCGGTGGCTCTCGCAGATATGCCGTTCCAATAAGCGGAGCTGCCGGATAAAGGTGATGGTTGCAAGATATTGGGTTGAGGTTGTGGTGAGGGCTGTGCCATCATAGGCAAGAAACTGATAGGAGAAACAAGAGAAGGGGTTGGTGGTCGGCTAGACTCGGGGGCCGGCCATTTGTCCTGATCAAAAGGTCAGTGAAGCCTTACTGCCAGGTCGAAGTGACTGTTGGCAACACTTTAGATCGTAAGACGATGCAGTTGAGAATTGAGTCAAGTCCTAGGCATTGCCGACGTTAGTAGGGGAAAAGTGAAGAAGAAGTGAGATGTCGCGGTTAGAGTTCCAACCACCGCAAATGCACCATCTGAGTAAGGTTTAGCCGAGATGATTGCCGACTTGGCGCTGACATAATACCTACTAGTAGGTAGAGAAATGAAATGACATAATTTGGATTTGGAGAGCATCGCAGTTGCCCTGTCAACATGGCCGTAAATACTATTTCAGGCTGCGGATTTTCATTCTTCTCTTCTCTTTCCTTTCCTTTCCATACCATAACCTCCTCCATCCTCCTCACGAACATCTGTTCCTCTACTACACATCCTTGCTCGTGCATAGCGTTCAGTCCATTAGATCATTATACTTGCATCTGCTAGATTTTGGTCGAACCCCCGACTACACCCTACTGCCGTGCAAAGCTCGGTTATTCAATCATCCAACAATTACAGCGAACATACTAACTTGCAACACTACGACAACAGCATCTCAGGATCCATTCGGTTGAGATTCTTGAGATACCTCACTGAATTGCTGGACCCAAGCACAGACTTACTCGACAAGTACTGATTGCTTAATCGACTACTTACTAACCCCCGAGATCTTGATTGATTCTCGGTTCACCAGAGGACTTCGATCGAAACATTAGATTGTCAATTCGATCAACAACAAATCATTCACAATGGCAACTGCATCAGTGTCAACACCTTTGAAGAGCCATCATGGCCTCTTTTCCTCAAAGACTGCAGGTGGCAGAATGCCTTTGACCCCTTCACCCAGACTCAGAACAACGAGCGCCCCTATCAATGTCTCTGCACACTCCTCTCCTTCCACTCCTCTACGGAAAGAACAGTCCATTCACAAATCCGAGCCTTCTATCTTCCTGTCCCGATCAGTCTCCCGATCAGTATCAAAGTTTGCCCACGCAAACTCTCCCAAGTCAAACATTGCCAAGGGACGACACTCTCCTAAATCACTTGACCTTGGTGTCACTGATTGGACATTGACTGGAACTGGGCCGGCGACCACTGCTACTCCATCAAGAGAAAAGGCCCGGAAAGAGACGGCTCTGAGATCAAGAGTGGGCAAGACCACCATCAGACTTCCACACAATGCGGCAGACCGCTTCATTCCCAACCGTGCTGCAAGTGCCGGTCTGGCTACGGCAGGTTCGGCCAAGGCCGACGAGAACACTCGGCCTCGAACTGCTGGCGCTGACGGATCTGTGGTGCTGGCAAACGCTGCTAGTGCCTTTGACATCTCGGCCCGCGGTGCAGATGCAGACATCACAACAGCGCTCGAGAGCCTCGGGCTGGAAGATGATAACACCTCTTCGTCATACACTCGACCAGACCGAGACTCTGATGCCTACGAGGCCTCGCTGGCTTCAGCCTGTGGCATCTCCACCAGCCAGAGAATTCTCGAGTTCAAGCCTGCGGCTCCGGAATCTTCCAAGCCTATCGACCTTCGCTCCCAATACAACCGTCCTTTGAAGCAAGCCAGTGCTCAATCAGCACAATTCCGCAGACGAATTCAATCCGCACCAGAACGTGTGCTGGATGCCCCTGGCCTTGTCGATGACTACTACCTCAACCTGCTCGACTGGAGCTCAGGTAACCAGGTTGCCATTGGACTTGAGCGCAATGTCTATGTCTGGTCTGCTGACAGCGGCACCGTGAGCTGCCTACTAGAGGCCCCAGCTGATACCTACGTGAGCAGTGTGAAGTGGTCTGGGGATGGCGCCTACGTCGGTGTCGGCCTCGGCTCTGGAGAAGTTCAAATCTGGGATGTTGAAGAAGGCTCCAAGCTGCGCAGCATGTTCGGCCATGAAACCCGCGTCGGTGTCATGGGCTGGAACAAGCACACTTTGTCCACTGGAGCACGCAGCGGCCTCGTCTTCAACCACGATGTCCGAGTGGCTCAACACAAGGTCGCCGAACTGGTCTCCCACACATCCGAGGTCTGCGGACTGGAGTGGCGATCGGACGGTGCACAGCTGGCTACTGGCGGCAATGACAACCTTGTCTCGATCTGGGACGCTCGCTCACTCGCCGCTCCCAAGTTCGCCAAGAAGAACCACCGTGCTGCTGTCAAGGCTCTTAGCTGGTGCCCATGGCAATTGAACCTTCTCGCAACCGGTGGCGGTTCGTACGATCGCCACATTCATTTCTGGAACACGACTACAGGAGCCAGAGTCAACAGCATCGACACCGGATCACAGGTGACAAGCCTCAAGTGGAGCAACCACTACCGGGAGCTGGTGAGCTCCAGCGGCTTCCCAGACAACTCGCTGAGCATTTGGAGCTATCCGACCTTGGTACGCAACGTGGAGATTCCAGCACACGAGACCCGAGTCCTTCACAGCTGTCTGAGCCCAGATGGACAGATGCTGGCTACAGCAGGTAAGTCTGACACCAAAGCTCGGTACATAAGCGAGAGACGCTAACATGCCACCTAGCTGCCGACGAGAGCTTGAAGTTTTGGAAGGTCTTCGAGAGAAAGGCGGGTGTCAATGCGTCCGCGTCCAGGGAAGGCGGTGTTGGAAAAGGTGGAGCAATGGCAAAGCAGATGACTATTCGGTGATGCTGGTCATTGCAGACGCGACCTTATGAACCTTTTCCACATGCCAGCGGGCTACGATGCTTTTTTCCATTCAAGCAAGGTGTTTTGGGGGCCATGAATTGCGGCATCCTGATTATGATGAGGCTCTTGAGGAGAAGAGAGGCCCACGCTAGCATTAATGACTTGTTGTGATATAATGATTTGTTTTGTATGAGCGTTTTTTCATGTTCTAGCTGTCGACAAGCAGAGGCTTCACCTGGTGCTTGCCTAGTCAGCTACCACCATTGTCAATGGATGCGAGAGTCCGTTAACCCGAAGCTGCCTGCACATTCTTTCAAGTTTCAAGTTCAAAGATCGGTTTCATGATGTGGCAGCTGTTTGACCGTCAGACCAATCAAGCGTCAAGCCATTCTGTATGCCGGGCGCTTACTTGCAGCATGAGGGGTGTTGCGATTGGGTGAAGCTGGTATGGCACTGATATAGCTATCCACCGGTTGTATCTTGCTCCTCTTTCATCCTATTCGTATTTTGGTCCCTTCCACCCCTGTACCAAGCCGCATCTCTAAGTCATTCTTCGGCGCTTAGATCACGACCTTTGAGGCTTTGATGCCTGACTAAACTGCGTCTTGCTCTTTCTAGCTATCCTCCACCCCTTTGCTCCTCGAATCACATCTTTCTCTCGTTGTGATCTTCTGCAACTTTTGGCACTTTTGACGCACGCCTCAACCCTACCACCTATCATCGCATCGTCTGTCACCACCACCACCATTACCGGGCCGTCAAAGCTTCGACCCTCCCGCGAACTCGTGGCTAACAGGGATCTTTTGTGCTTCTCCCGTCCCCAAGTCCCCAAAATGCTGGGCCCCAAAATCTCCGACGACTTGGGATAAACCGTTTCCTGCCCCTCCATCACTATGCAGCCAACGACTACTCGAGCTTTAGACCACCTCGTTCGTGCTTCCTACCACTCACATTCTCTGCTCGACGCGCTGGCTCCTCCTGAAACCACCGGCCTCACATGCCACTGCCTTTAGCATCACACTCTTCTCTCAGGCTAGGCGCGGCACGAGTTTTTGACCATCATCCACAATCGGCCCCGGAACCGTGCTCCCACTTTTTTGAATGCCATAGCTATTCTGTGCGGCTGGAACCATTGTAAAGCTAACCTCACCAGTGGCATAGCAAGCTAGGTCAAGCCTAACGATGCATCATGCAACTAGTACCATCATGTGCCAGATTTACAATGTCCTAGCTCACTCTTGTTACACTGTTAACACTGGATATCAGGCCTCCACCACAGGTACTTCTCCGGCATTCCGACCTCCATCACCTTGAGAACCTCTTTCGACATTTTTTTCTGATCCTCCTTCCAATTACTGTTTACCACGTCCCTGCGGTGAGTCGCAGACTCTTTATTGTCTATGCGGCCGCGAGGTCTTGTTGATTGTGGTCTGGCGCATGCTGTTGGATTATCCTCCTTTCCTCGCCTCCAATCTGGACGTCAACTGCTTGCCAGCATCGCCGCACGCGACCTCTTCGACGGCCGCGACACTTCCGTACTACCTTGAGCAGTGTTTACCATAACGAGGACATACCATTTGCTCTTGCTAGTGTCGACATCCAGTCTGCCTTGCTGTGTTTACTGTTGGGTCATCTACCACATCTCCCTACCCAAGCAAAGCCACACCCCTTCGCACTACGTCCAGTCACCCTTAGCGGAAGGGCGGATGGTGCTGCAGGACGTTGAAGCCAGTGCGCAGAGATGATGGCTGTGAGAGCTCCACTGGGGTTCAGTCCTTCCGCGAATCCTTTGATCTCTGCCTTTTCGCCCTTTGTCGACCATCCACACTCGCCGCGACCCAGGAGTGCTGCAGCATTGGAGCGACCAATGTGAGTGTTTGCCTGGACTGTGTCGAGCAGGGAGCTATCTGACGTCGACTAGGTCTGCTACTGAGAAGAATAACACTGCCACGCTGGAGAGTCGTCTCAGAGCACCACCTGCTACTTACATCACCTCTCCACAAAACCCAGTTGCTCCATCTCCAGTCAATTCGGACGTGACGAACTTTGAAGACGTAGACGAAGAGGTAGAAGAGGAGGAACATGAACAGAGCGGTACAGGAGAGACGCCCTCCACCACCAGCGCAGAACAGACGCCAGCAGTGACATCTCCTCGGGTAGTATTGTCGCAGCAGTTCGCGACTCATTTGAGGGTGAGTGACGTTCTAGGCCGAGTTCTCAAAATGCGCAATTGACGGTCGGACAGGTTGACACCGGCTCGGCTGTGGAAAAGCAGCTCCACGGGCGATTGGAAGACGAGACAGAACCCCAGTCGGTCATTCATGTGCCCACGGGATTCGGCAAATTTGTATGTTGTTGCGAAGACGTTGTATCGAGCTGATGTTGATTCACATTCGCCCAGCCCATTGAACAAGCCTCTGAATCCGAAGACGAGGGTCGAGTCCCCTCAAGGGCAGAGACACCCAAGGCCATGGACGAGAACGCAGCAGACTCTTCGATGAGGCAGCAGAGGGATACCGAGAGAGCAAGAGCAGACTCGACCGACTCTCTTGCTTCGGATGCCACCGTTACGAAGCCCGTGAGTCCAGAGCTTAAACCACCTGCCAGGGTTTGTGACCAATCTCGCTTCAGCGTAATTATCTGACATTGTACCGAAACAGGCTCACGAACACCCACTGCCTCCTACTCCCCTACAAACCTCACTTCCTGCATTTCCACTTCATGACTGGTCACGGACACCCAGAGCCCAGACGAGACAAGACCTTAGCTCCCTGAGTCGACCTGGCTCTAGCCTTGCCAGTATGTAGGTCCCCAAATGTTCAATCGAAGGAGCTGACGCTTTCATAGGTATCTTGGAAGGTGATGACACTGATCATCCAAGCACTGACGAGACCGGAGAAGAAAGCCGATTCGACACCCATATCCTTCGTGATGCTGAAGCCGAGATCAATGCTCTGCGCAACGCATTGACCGAATGCTGGACGTTGTGCAATACGCTGGCCAGTCTAAGCCACATCCACCGCGAGCGGATATTCAATTTCTCCGGTCGTGGGGACATGCAAGAGCAAGCCTGGAAGTCATGCTGGAAATTATGCCAGAATCTATACAACACACGAGACGATAATACCCCTGGCTCCTTTTCCCACAACTCTTCGCGGCCCACCCTTGATCTCTGTCGAGATTTCTGTCAAACCCTCTTTGAAGTAAGAGTGCGAGACAATGAAACAGCCGATTCAGTTCTGAGGGTTAGTTTCGAGCTCAACAATCACCTATACAACACCCACGATCGGAGCTTACCAGAAGCATTTCGTGAGAGGACGTTGGACTTTTATATCACCTTATGTCACCGACTAATGAAACAAAAGGCGAAAATGGCGGAGGAGACTGATTCCTTATTAGGGGCTTGTTGGTCATTGGCTGAGATGCTGTTCAGTCTTCGGCAGAGTCGACGCGAAGGGAAGAAGCCAGATGAAGAGCTCCTGGGGTCGGCCATACAAGCCTGTTGGGAATTATGTGATCTGTTCAGAGAGGGCTGGACACAAATTCGGCCTGAGAGAGGTACCCCAAGACCAAGTCAGACGACGTTCACGCAGGCTTTCAATCAAGCGAAACGATCTGGCTTTGGTCTAGATGACAATGGCAACCCCAAACTGCTTCCAGAAACGCCGACCACCATCTTTGAGGATACTGTCACAACCATCTCCCCAGACGAAGCACCTATTCCTAATATCCTCATCCTGGGTGCAGAAGAGGCATCGAGGATATCCAGTTCTTCAGCATCATCGACTCCCGCTCCCGTGCAACGACAAGTCTCACCGAACCCGCCCGCCCGACAAACTCACTCCGCTAATCCAGCACCGAATACTGCAAATAATCCCAGATGGTCTTCGAACTCATCGGTGCTGTCCCTTCCGGCTTCTGCTGTCTCGGAAGGTATGAACCCTGCATCGGCGACTACAACGTCCACAGTACGTACTCCAGCCGAGGATCCGACACTGATCCTCTTGAAAACCTTGTTTGTTAAGGCTGCCCTAGCCACCGGACGAGGCTACACTCGAAATTCGGCTGATCCCAACCTCAATTCTTTGCCAAACTTTGTCAAGAACCTACCGGACAACGCATTCGGAAATCAAGCGTGGCAGATTGCTCTCCTAGAGAACTACCGCAAAACCATCGCAAATGATTCGAGTTTTCGCAATCTAGGTGTTGCCGGCACGCTAGGCGAGCGAGCCAGAATCAATGCCATTGAAGTGGGTCGAGCCGTGCATGGTATGACCAGCTGCGTATACGGTTTCAATTGGCTCAGAGATCTGTACCGTCATGTCTTCGGCTTTTATGTTGAGGAAGCATTGAAAGCAAGCGAGTCTCATGGCAGACGGACAGGTCGGCCGGGCGGTGCCGCCACGAGCCTTGTTGCTGCTGTAATGTCTAATGTTGCGACCACACCTGCCAGTGCAGGCGGTCGTGATTCCAGTAGTGGCAGCAGCAAAGGAACTAATGGCGGCAATGGCAATGGGCACGGCAGAAGGACGGTGAGTCAGTGACGGACAGACATACCATAGTAAGGCGTCGCTCTGGCTGGCCGCCCTATGTGCGCCCATTCGGCCGTCCAGGCTCGTTGCGATATAGAAATACAGTATTTTGGTCAAAAATCGACATCTCCGAGTTCGTGATAATCCATATGAGTGTTTGAGATGTTGTTTGATAGCCCTCCTTCTCTGAGGACTAACCTCAATGGTCAGATGAAAACGGCCAATGGGTATGAAAGTCTGGGGGGTTTCGCATTCCCCCACGTTGCAGGAAGCTATGCCCTTTGAGGGCTCGACGGCTCCACTTATCAGAAGCAGAACTGTAGTGCATGGATGTTCCAGGTGGAGGCATAAATTCGAGCCTGGCCAACAAGTAGGACAGAATTGTGTCAGTTTAAACCCTAGAATTCTGATACACGTAAAAGAGGTCTGTTCCTGATTGCCTTGACGGTATTTGTACATCTGATGCCTCGCTTCAGCTAAAATATGGCTCTGGCCATTTCTCGCTATAGCTTTAACTGGGGGCAGGAATATGCTCAAGACTCTTCCACTCAATAATGCTTCATACTAAGAGAGCCCGGCTTATTGACCTATCATGAACATGTCCCATACGTGCGACAAGGTGTCCAGTCCGACCTTGTCGGAAAGACGAAGTAGCACCGACCGCCTCCCAACATCCTCGCTCTTCGTACCTGGGATGAACCTGGCGCCCAGAGAACCTGGTCCATACACCCTGGCACCTCCTTCGCCAGACTTGAAGCTTGGGAATGGTTCCTTGCCGGAGACGTAATCAAGCACATCGTCACAGAACTTGAGCGCTACTTCCTGCTGTTCCTTCGACAACATGTCTTGATAATTTTGGAAGAGCAAAGCCACATCGAAGATATGGCTCGAGAATCCTTTCCAGCGCCCATCCCACGGGTTGACTTCATTGAAGTGGTAGAGATATGCTTTCTGCGGCCAGGCTTTGGCGATCTCGACGGCAGGGGCGTAGAAACCGATGTCGTGGGCGAACTCCAGGATACTCTGCAGGTTTTTCGGGTCGTTTTCCTCTCCGATGCCGTACCCTTTCAACAACTCTGAGCGGACTTCCGGGTGGTCTGCCAGCGATTTCGCTGTTGATTTGTGAAAGTCGCTAACGAGGGTGGGTAGACGCGCATGTAGCATGTAGAACAAAATCGATGACTAATTCCACAACATGGTCAGCTGGACACCGTGAGAGGCGAATCTTGGAGTTGGGATACTCACATCGAAGGCGCAATCGCCAATCAACAGGCTTTCACAGCCTTGACCAGTCGAGATGCTGGCATAATCTGAGAACGTGAATGGTGTTGGTACTACGCTGCCATCCACCACAGGCATCAGCGGTGCTGACGGTGGAACTTTGGAAAGAACGTCCTCAGCACTGATCGTGAGCAAAGCCCGGACGCGTTCTTCGGCGGTCAGGGATGCTAGACCAAGCTGATCGACCACGGAACTGTAGGTGGCTTCCGCAACAAAACCTGGAAGCGGCTTCAATAGGAGGGGTGTGCCTCCCATACTCATAACCCTTTTGAACAGGCCGTCTTTTCGCGTTGCATGAAGGAGTGCAGACACTACATTCCGTGTCAAATTTGGAAATCTCGAGGCATAGGGTTACGCACCTGCACCTGCACTTTCGCCCGCCACAGTGATGTTTTGGGTATCGCCACCAAAGCCAGCGATGTACCTTTGCACCCATTTGATGGCTACAAGCTGGTCGCTCAGCCCGTTGTTCGAGGAGAATCCAGCGTCGCGCAATTCCTGCGAGGTCAGAAACCCAAACACCCCTAGGCGATAACTGTTGGGGAAGAAACATCAGCCCCGTCTTCAGGCGTGGTGACCTCGACGTACTTGATATTGATAGCGATAACTGGTGTGTCTCGCTCAACGGACCTCCTTACGAAGGCTGCAAGGTCATATTGAGGCCATGCGTTTGAGCCGATTGCGAAGCCACCTCCATGAATGAACATGAAGACAGGAAGGTCTTTCCTGGTCGTTTTAGGCACGAACACGTTCAGATTGAGGCACTCGGTGTCGGAGTAAGAGAACTCTCCATGGGGTAGAGTCTGCTGGATGAACATATGTTCCATGTCGCACGCGTTCGGCATAGATATGGCGGACGGCCTATTCTTCGGCGTAAGTACCGTCCTTGCTAGCAGTCTTGCTCGATATAGGATCAATAACCACATACCCATGCTTCTCAGCTATGACGTCGCCATGACCTGAGTAAGTCTTCAGTTGTGCATTGGCAAGCCGATTTTCCAAGGTTGCGTATTGGACACCGAAAAAACGTGATACCTTGGGGCCGTCATTTCCAATGACGGTGCCTAGGTCGGGGTGATCCAGGCTGAAAGACATTTGTGGCAGCAGGAGTGAACAATGGCGAAGCGAATGAAGAGACAACTATGCAAATGTACAAGACTGTGAGCGACATACATAGTAGCCTTGACACTTGAGATCCTTCATCCAGGCGCTAGTGAGCAGGACACCTTTCCGGAAAGTGGGGGGTAGTGCCTGGAGCATAGTTCATGCCAAGCTCATTCTTGCTCCAAACGCGCTCTGGAACCCTCTTTAGGGACTGTGAAATTAGGGGCATGTGCGGGTCGTGGAGCACCTACCGTAGCTCTCAGGACTGACATCCATGACTGTGGCTCGATTTCCTGCGTTGAAAGTATGTGGACTATCCAGACATGATTCAAGCAATTTGTTTCGCGCATAGCGGCCTCATGTGCAGAAATCATATTGTGGCTTTGTCAGCCAGCGAGTCGGCCCCTTTGGTGGGTAGAGCAGTGCTGAATCGCAAGGCTGTTCAAGCCCGGAATTGGGAGTGTTGTTTCTCGAACACTTCGCCAAGTTCCCTGAGTACCCAGCCGATCCGAGGCGTTACTATCATTCCTATGTCAGCTATTTCTTCCTTGGTGTCGCTGCAAGAGGGCATGTGCAGGGAGTGAGACATGGGCAACGACTGTACCACAGGTGGATGCGTGAAGCAAATGACAGCGACAGTGATGTGGAGGAATGCGTCTCTTACCTCCCCAAACCCAGGTATTGCCATAAAACGCTGCCCAAAGCCTAGCCAACTCTGCCGCCAGACAATGCCTTCCTGGAGTAAGCTTGATACCAGCTGCAGGAAGCATTTCTTGCACTCGGCTCAAGATGTCCAGTTCGACATCGTCCATTGTCTCTTGTTTGCCGAGAAGCATCTCTAGGTCAAACAACCACTTCGTCACGAAGAGTCCTGTTCACATGAATTAGAAAGCTAGCAAGACGGCAAAATACGCGCGATGGTGCCTTCACTGACCGACGTCCCAACCAGCGATTGCATGCTCGATGCTCCAGGTCAACGCAGCGGTCTTTTGTAGCAACAAAGCCCCTGCTCTAATGGGGACCTCGAAGGCTTCCAAGGCACGTGCGCCACCACTCGGGCAAGCAGGGCGCTTCGCGGGACTGGTTTCACTGCATACTGACGTATGGCTTCGAGCATTTCGCTGCGACTCCGGCGCAGCAGAATATTCCTATCCATACTGTTGATGTTGGTGAACGCTCGAATGTAACAAACACGAAGAAGCGCAAGGCTGTTGAATAGCAGAGGGCTTTTGGCATCGCCGGAGACGGAGCTCGAGCCATTTCTTGCACTAACGATCATATCGTAGCACCTCCCAAGAGCATCTTCCATATGGGACACAACGTGCGACTTCGGCGTCCCATGGAGGGGATGAGTGTCGGGAGAAACATCCTGGGGATGAGTAAAATCCGCGACGTGATACACCAAAGTGTTGACGCCGTGCATTGTGACCGTTGCCATGAAGGGAGACCATCTAGAGCAGCGGGTGTGCTCAAGTGAATCAGGCGACTGGCCGTCCAATGCCCACCTCACGGCAAGGCGCAGTGTGACAGCAGGGGCATCATCCTGTTCCAGGTTGCGTTTTCGCTCCAGCCATTCTACTTCAGTCGAAGCATCCCATAACGATTGCTCACCGGGCATTTCCAGGTCGCCATGCTGGAAGACGGAAAACCCTGGACAAATACCGTAGGTTATGGTGAGAAGACTGCTGATAATGAATATGCCGCAAAGCAATCTGCAATGACTCCAGGTTGTCAGCGGATGCTCCAGAATATTGAGAGCTTCAGAGATGGACGAGTGGACCTGCCTTTTCGTACATTCCCGTTCCGCCCAGCTATTCCACGTTGTAGGCTTTGCTGTCAAAGAGGAAGGACCTAGTTCAGCCTGTCTCAAATGGTATGTCTGTTCCAGGTGAGCGAATGTCAGTGCCCCGAAGCAGAGGTGCTCACGCAAGACAGCGATCCAATCTCCTCCATTGTCCTCACAACAGCTTCTGGATCACCGCAGAACGCCCCGAAATAAGTAAGTAATAGGTCGGTCTGGGTGTCCCAAAGTGGTGACCATGCTGGGGGAACCTCTTCTTCGCAAGGTCTGGACCAATCCCAGAATACACTGGGGAGCTCTAGTTCGGCTCGCTGGTGCTTGTACCTCAACGCTTTCCGTGACAGAGAGTACAACAAGCCAGCGTTGGGTCGATCCAGAAGGAGCAAGGCACCGATTGCGCACATGGCAAGGATCAAGGGCGATGGGTTGCTTGCGAGATCGAACGTAGGTATGTGAAATATTGGAAGGTGCATGTTGAAAGAGTTCATAAAGCTGTTCAGATGCTTCTCAAGCACTGGTGCACTCGGAAAGCGATCCTGATCGACTGCGACTCCGGGCAAACGTGATGCTAAATCGGCCAGTAGAAGTTTCCACGTGTCTTCTCCAACAACGAACGCAGAGTGTTTGATTGGCGGCGACCTTGAGATCTCCGGCACAGATAGCCCCGTGTCGGTGACATTCAGTAGCGACGCGATCACGCTCTTGGGAGACCCTGTCTCGTCCCACACACCAAGCACTGGATTGGCCTTGTCTCCGTCCTGATCTAACGTGGTTGGTAGCTGGGCTATGGCTGGAGAAGTCGATGGGGAGTTCCTGGAAGTTGAGGGAGAGACGATTCGCCATCTAGCAATGCCAATCCCGGAGAATTGTACGAAAAATCCATGAATGGACTCACGAAGTCGAAAGGTTGGAATGTGTCAAACACGTCGGCGCTGTCATTCAAGAAGTATCCGGAAGACTCTCTGTACTCGCGATTGTGACTGGGAACATTCTGGGAATATTCGCTGGCTGTCACTGCTGGCGCACATATCACGTCCGAGTGTCGAGTTTCCTGAAGCTGGTCCATGGATGCGGGAGCCGACGTAGTTCCTGGAGGCTTTGTGACGAGCAACGGCGCAGGTTGATCTCTGATGCTCTGGGCAGGGATGATTTCCCTACCAAGGTCGCGTCGCGGCGTCGTGCCAGGAAGCGATAGGTGGCGGTCATTGTCATATTTGTCCGAATGTAGAGTCCTCTCATGGCGAACAACAAGGTCACTGATATCACGGCTATGTCAGTTGAGCGGTCCAATGCTTTGAGGCCAGGGATATACCACCTGCGACTGTAGGAGCGGCTGCAGTATCTGCAGCCATATGGCCTCTCGAAAGTATCTGAAAGGACGGTCAGCTCCGAACCAGGAAAGACAGGCGTGTACGCATACGAGCTCGCTGATGACGAACGCAGTGCTCAGCTCGCTTGAAAAAGTGTCAAACGGCAAGATTACGCGAGGGCTTCCCGCACCATTCAATGGTCTGACAGCGCCTTGTTACACCAGCGTTTGAGGGCGACGACGAGGTCTCGATCAGTGGGTAAATCACGTTGTAGGAAGTGGGTAAATGATGCCTCTCTCACCTATAAATACGTGGTAAGTACACAGGTAGTTGTAGAAAAGCGGAGAATTCAATGTATCATATCATGCACACTGTTTGACAAAAAGCCTTTGAGCAGAATTTGCAGACGTGATTTCTGGGCTCGTTGGCCGGCTTTGGGAAATTCAAAACGCCGAGCATAATTTGGCAAAGCGGTCGAGGCGGTAAAGATCAAGAACTGCGCACCGCGAGCACTGTAAGAGATTCAGCTCGACAGATGAGCATCGTGGGAAGCAACCCAGCTTCACTGTCACGAGTTCATGCCATGCCGACGGCAAAAGACAAAGCGGAAATGACCGAGGCCCCGGGTCCTGCTGGCTGGGGACTTGCTCGCTGGGGTGCGGGTTGCACGGGTCGTGATGGACTGGGGGAGTCAATTGCGTCGCGGGGAACTTCGTGGTGTTGATTGGGGCACGGAATTCCATCGGGGCTTGCCAACGGCCGCGAGGATGGCTTTAGAACGGCTTCGTACCACATTAGTACGCCCCAAATTGAACTTTCGTTTTCCGAACCCATGAGCGTCGGGGTAAGTATGCTCCCCAATGACGATCGCTGTGAAAAGCGCTTGCTGGAAACTTCAAATTATTAAGGTCAGAGAGGCCTGAGGCTACAGGGCATTTTCCCACCTCCACGTGGACCCCAAGTTAGCCCCTTAGCCCCTATCTATTCCTCCATCTTCTCCATTCTGTTTATTACCCCACACTGCATTTGCAATCGAAAGAAGCTTAGTTGCAAGTACCAAAGGGATACTGTAATCATCGGAGATGGCACCAACCGCAGACAAGGTTATGATACTCAGGAAAGGCCTCATTGGTGCTTCATCGACTGCTGTTCACATATTGCTTCCACTCGGCCAATGGAGACGCCTATGCCGGCAGCGATTGCGAACATGAATCTAGGTATCGATAAAATGCTAGTTTTGTAGACTGATTTCATTCCCGAAGTCTGATAAGTAGGACGATGAATTGCCCTGTACGGCAAAGTCTGCAACAACACGAGATCTTATCAGCGTCGGCGGAATCAAAGATCTCGTGGCTGCCTAATCCCGCAGTCCAACGAATGACCGCGGTTCAGAACGCCTCCCTCGATTGCTCGTCGCTTCTGCAAAGATATTGGGAAACACTTTTGCAACACTATATAGTAAGAGGAGAGAAAATATCAAACATTGCAACTACTGTTCTTCGCTGGGTACCTCGTTTGCCAAAAGTGGAAACTCGGGCCTAGCCGTGATGTTGCAGTAGAAATCGTGTTGGTAGGCAAACCAATAAGTCGTGATATGCCAGGGCTTGTCAGGATTTGAAACCTGAACATCGAAATGATGGAAAAGCTGTGCGACGAACTTGTGTACCTCCACCTAGACACAGTCAATGACTCAATGAGCCAAGAGATTCAAGCGATCAATTTGTGTTGGGAATTGAACTTACCAGGGCGATGTTCTTTCCAACGCACATTCGTGGCCCATTTCCACCAAAGGTCATGTTGTAACTGTCCAAAAACCTAGTCCTTTCCTCGCTCTCCAGCCATCGTTCCGGTCTGAAGTCGTCTGCGTCAGGCCCCCAAATATCCTGGTCACGATTTTGTGCCATTGGCGATATTCCAACCTCAGAGCCACCAGGAATATAATGCTTTCCAACATACATGCCCTCCGCCGGGACGTGACGAAGGAGCTGGAAAACGATCGAGGGCAGAAGTCGCATGGCCTCCTTACAGACAGCGACCAGATAAGGAAGGCTTTGGGTCTGATGGTAAGTAATACCAGATTTGAGGTCGTTTGCGACGTAGTAGTCATCGATCTCGGCTTGCAATCTTCGGTAGACTTGCGGGCGTAGGCAAATGGCATGGACACAAGCTCGCATTGCGATAGATGTTGTGTCGGCTCCGGCACCACTGTAGACAATTTTCGTTAGTAGGAATTTCGTAACATGTAGGATCTGCATACACGAGATTGAGAGCCTCCGCGAGGACTTCGTTGAATTTAGCCGGGGAGCCATCTGCTCGCTTCATATTCAGGAAATGCGCCAGCATGTCTGGCCGTCCCTTTTCTCCTCGTTTTTCTGCGTCCATTCGACTTTTCACACGTGCGACACCCCATACGTTGAATTCCACGATATCGTTTTTCTGGCCCAATAACTCTAGCAAGCTTGTCGTAAACTTGTTAGTGAATATCTTCATCTGTCCCCAGTAATAACCCTTGATACCCCAGTAATAGTGCCCCATACCAGCGCTCATATAGAACATATCAAAGATGATCCTGCGAAGATTCATCACGTCGCTTTCAGTCTTCACGTGCCCCAATGGCGCGCCGAAGCCTAGCTGACCGACGACATCGAAGGCGAAAGCATTCGTCCATTTGGCGAGGTCAACCTTGTTATCAGCCGTGGCGTACTTCGCGAACTTCAGGAGAAGCTCATCGAGGGATTGCTGTATGAATTGTTCGTATCTCAAGATCGAACTCATCGCGTATGCTCCAGAGACCCGTTTCCGTTGGAATGCATGTATCTTTCGGTCGCGAGCGGAGAAGAATGCGACGGCGTCCGGGATCGGTGGGTCCCAGGTAGCATACCACTGTGTCTTTGTCGATGAAGTGCCATGGCCATACAAGTGCTTCATTGCCTCGCCATCGACAATAGATAGTTCGTTTGGTGCAATCCGGACCACTCGACCGTACCTGCGATGCACATCGAGAATATCTTCGTGCCATGTGCCGCGCCAATATCGAGTGTTCCTCCAGTACGGGACATAACGTGCAGAGACTGGACCGGGAAACTTCGCCAGAGGATGGATAAACGTCTGATAGATAATGTATGCGACGATGGCAACCGCCAGAAATGAAGCAGCATATCTGCTACGATCTATTTCGACCACACCATTACCGAATGCTTGGTGAGCCAGAGTCTGGAGGCGTCGGGGGAACACCGAAGTGGCTTGTTCTGTGAACATGATGGCTATGAGACCACTTGTCTTCCTCATCCTATGGAGAGTTTGCCAACAAGATACCAAGAACAGTTATATTGGCTGCCACGTTGGATGATGGACCAGAAAATCACCCCCAGAAACCAGGAAACTTGTGGGGAACCCTGCAAAACCCGCCTAACCCCCTTCCACCCCACTTACTGTACAGAGAGCAGTCTGCTCCAAAGACCGAGGTTAAAATCACCTCGTCGGCCACCCCAGTAACCCCAACCTATCGGCGATCCTCATACTTTTTTATTGACTTTCCTAAGTCGAATACAGGCCAGAATGGACGTAGTACCTAGATGCCATCTCTGCTGGTACACAATGGCTATTGTTCATACATCTCGCTTAAGTGTTGCTCGGCTCATCGTCCGGAGTCTTTCTGATGTATTCGGAACCCCTGGTTTCCACTATCGATGTCATCACGTAGCGTCAATGCCGGAATATCATAGTCGCCGAAATTCTGACGTCGATACGGAATAGGGTCTGTGCTGCTTGATGTCTGCACCCGCTTACGGAGTTTCTCAGCTTGATGCTCAAACTCAGCCTCCTTCATGCGATCGGAACGGTATGCCACAAAGGGCGGCAGAACGTCGAAGCCCGTGTAAAAGAGCATACCGTGATTGACAGGGAACAACAAGTCCTCAATCGGCCCACAGATCCCACGCGCCTGGTAGTTAGACTCGTCGCCGCCAGCCGTGACGACCAACATCGCGCGCTTGCCCTTGAACACACCCTCGCCGTACCGATCACCCCAGTGCTTGTCGTTGTGCTCGCCAATGCCGTATGCGAAACCACATGAGAAGACGCGGTCGAACCAGCCCTTTAGGATGGCCGGCATACCGTACCACCACAGTGGAAATTGGAGTATGACGAAATCGGCCCAAAGAAGTTTCTCCTGCTCAGCGACAACGTCGGCTGTAAGCGTGTGCGAGGCGTGGCCCATGTATGAGGCTATCGCCGACCTGAGGGGCAGGGATTTATCGTAAGTTGGGAAATCGTCGCGATCAATTTGGGATTTCCAGTGCATGGCGTAGAGGTCTGACGTGTCGGACTTCATGGCCTTCGGACTCGAGTTGCTGGGTTATGACATGGCTGAGGGACGATGTGAGGGATTGAGGCTCCGGGTGGGCCAGGACGAGCAGTACTTTCATGGTGTGCTTGTCTTCGGTCGGGATCCTGACATTTCGTATCCCACGGTCCGTGCGTGATGAATCCTCCTGAACAATAGCTGTGCTGTAAGTTGAACTCGGAGTGGCTGTGAGAAGATGTGATTTCACGGAGGAATGAGAGAGGCTGCATTGTGGCATTGTACCTACCTTTGAAGCATTTAAATACTGGTACTTACCTTAGCTTCGTTGTGACATTGCGTGCGTGCCTGGCAAGGCTGGTGGTGAGCCTTGGAAAGAAGGTTTTGCAAATGGCGTGAGTGTGGTGTGACCAACCGTAGATCAATCACAACTAAAGTGGGAATCGTGCCCGGAAAGTCCCAGTCGCGCCCGAGATCGCAGGCGTTTCTCGCCTATGCGGCAACGAAGAGTCGAATGTTCTTTTTGTATTGGTCCGTGCAGCTGGACATCGCTTGGGCAAAATTGGATCGAGCGGAGGCTCTAATGGCCCGTCGGGACATATATAGTGCCGCGCCCTGGTGCTAAATATCACATAGAGTACTTACCATGTACTGAGAGCCTGACCGGTTTAGAAAGGTACTAGAAACGAGTATTTATCACTTTGTCACTTGTCACTCTCGGTTGCTTTGCATCATCCAGCGTACCATTAGGCAGGTTACGCGAGCCACACACGCTCCACTTGTTCGAATTCCATACGAGTTGGACATTCAGTAATCTAGTCATTCAACGTCGTCACACCTGCCTTTCCACAGGGAGAGGCATCCTCGAGACACATTGGAGCGGAGATGTCTGTCTGGCTGTTTTGCCTTTCTACAGCAACTCGCGGCCAAAACCGCCTTCGCCAAAGGACCAGGCAATGTCCACGAGGATGAGACATGACCATTCCCCATGAAAACATGGGGCGTCAAAATTAGCCGAATACGAGACTAAGTGACTATACCATGTCTTGCACCTCTCCTATCTGTCTTTGTACACTGTTCGCAGATAAGGCGACGATCAACACAATGATTGCTGTTGCAGCTTCAACCGGTTATTGGGACCTCGTTTCCTTCGCTTCCTCCGCCACATACAACAATGGAACTCTATGTATGGTCGGAGCTTGCTGAGCCAGGAGACTTCCGGTTATTGTATCTTCAAGGCTGGGATAGCACAGCGGCTATCATCTGCTCCCTAATCCCAGCATCGATCGCGAAGCCACCGAGCTACTGCGCTATCTCACATTGCTGGGGAAAACGGGATCTTACCCATGCTATAGTATGCGACGGCAAAAGGCTTCCTATCACCGCCGCTGTTCACGCTCTCTTCGCTCAAATCCAGAAAAGTGATGACCTGGAGAAGACAATATGGATCGATGCCGTGTGCATCAATCAAGACAGTCCTGAGGAGCGCGCCCAGCAGGTCCTCCTCATGAAGGACATCTTCTCCAAGGCCCAGCTTACCATCGTCTACTTCGGTGAGCCAGAGAGGGCCAAAGATGTGCCGGCTATGCTCGAGCTTGGTGATAAGATTATTGAAATGGCGCGTAAAACGCCTCCAAAACACCTAAAGGAAGAAGACCTCGTGTCGAACGGCCTGCCATCTCTTGGAGACACATCGTGGACAACATTGGCCAATTTCTTCTGCTTGCCATGGTTCAATCGTGTTTGGATCGTACAAGAATACGTCTTGGCAAATGTTATAACATTTCTCTATGGTGAACACTGGATACCTCACGAATATATCATCTCAATCAACCGCACTTTCTCCAAAAACGAGGACTCATATAATCTCGAAGAGCTCCTCAGACCACTAGCCACACGTCCCAAGCAAACTTCGGCGTTCTGGAACAACGATACACCCACACGGTGGTTGGGCATCTCTCAAAAAATCTCTCAGATGGAATATTTCCGATCCATGCGCAAACTGAACATAGACTATCAGAAATGGGCTCTGCGAATGTTGACATCGCGATCAAGCTCAACGGAGGCGACCGATCGTCGAGACTACATCTTTGGTATGCTCGGTCTTTTGCCTATAGACGCTGCAAATCATCCAGACCTTCAGCCAGACTACAATGCGCCCGATCAGCATGCTTACACAAAGCTCGCGCGCTTTATCCTAGAGACCAAGGGTCTTGCAAGCCTCCTCAGCAGTACCGGTTTTCCAAGACGCACCATCAAGGGTGCGCCTTCTGGTGCGTCTTGGGTGCCCGACTGGTCAACACAAAGACTATCAACGACGATTCACCGGCAAGCCATGCTTACGATACCCAGCAAGTTCGGCCAAGACAACTCTGCACCGTGGCGCTTAGACAAGGAGAACATACCTCAGAAGCTATACGTCCGCTGCATCGTGTGGGACAGCATTGATAGAGTTGACTCTCTGCTTGCCAGAGCACTGGCTCAGCCAGGTATCAATTTTGCCGTGTGTCAAGTTCACTTCACCTTCGACACCCTGAATCTAATGATGGAATCTGGATATGCTGATGAGGGACCTGCTGCCCTGGCTTTGCGGCACATGAGGACACTGTGCCTTTCGAACCCTCCAAAGCGAGGGCTTGGGCCGGGCTACTTGACGGTCTCCGAACTAGAAGACGCAAGCAAAGTTGTTGCCCCTAGGTATGATTTCAACAATCTTGCACCTCTATTGACCGATGCAGGCCTTCAGACGCAGACATCGCAGGTGCTTGGGCGGTTGTACATCAGTGACCAACGCTTGGGATTTGCGTTGACGCAGTTGGGTAGGATTGGGCGTGTCCCGCACGAGGCGAAGAAAAATGACAAGATCTGCTTCTTTCAAGGTATCGACATCCCATTTGTTGTTCGAGAGACTGGTCCGATTACCCGTCAATTCAGTCTCATTGACCATTGCTACATAGATGGTGAGATGGATGGCTCTTTTTGGCAGCGACATGACGATCAGAAGGCCCAGGAGATATGTCTGGTTTAGGTCTTACAAATAGGATGGGCACAACATCACTTGTCACGCTTCTTCCGTGCGCCCGCCAACAAACTTCCAACCTTCATCGGTTGGCCTAAAGGAGACCAACATCTCTTTCGTCTGCTCACTAAGCTTGCTTCCCTCACCACACTCTCCTCGGTCCTGCACCTTCATCAGCAAACTTTCGTCCAGTCCATGGAACAATAGCGCCAGAGGATCAGCCTTGAGATCATGGTTAATACCCTCTTTTGCCTGCGTTGTCCGAGCTACCATGGCCATAAAGAACAAGATAGTCAAGAACGCCAGTGCTGCTGGGTAGGAAAGCAACGGCCAACGGACATGTATACACGTCTCGGTGGTCAATACCTTGCCAAGGGCTGGAGCGGATGAGTTCACGTCACCATGCTGTCGGATGTATGTGGTCACGCTGGAAGAGATATTGGCGAACATGCTGTCAACGCTGTCGAATGAGATGTTTCCGTCGTTGTAGAAAGCCAGTGCGACATTATCTCCATCCCAAAAGTCCGAAACTGGCCACACGGAGACGTCAAAGTAACTTGTAAAAAATGGTGGGTTGAACCCTGGTAACCCCATGCCTTCGTCTAATTCAAAATATGCCAGGTCTTCGGAGGAGTAAATGCAATCAGCCGGCACGATTGACATGCTCTCGTCCGTCATGAACGAACCGTTATTCCAACTCGCGTATTCGCCTAATCGATAGGACACATTGTATGGAAGCCAGTCGAGGTCGGAGGGAATCTCGTACCCGGGTTCTCCCAGTGATGCTTTTTGCGTGGCATTGAGGCACGACACCTGTGCCGTGCTGCTAGCCGACCACCCGGCCGGATTGAACTGATCGGTGGCAAAGGTGATGTTCTCGCTAAGTCGGCCTGCTTCGACCGAGGACTTGATGGCGAAGACTGCCGGCCTGATGGCACATCTTGCCGCACCGTAGCCTCTGCATCGCCAACTATTTGGGTCGCTGCAACCTTCAAACCGATCCAGAGACAGATCGACGTAGATGGGTCCAACAATGAGCTCCATAACTGACGTCGTGTAGTTGTAAGCCATTACCATGTAACGGCTGGGTGTCTGCTCGCCGTCAGACTGAAACAGGTCTATGTCACGTAAAGTTGTATTTAGTCCGGAAGGCAGCGTGCAACGGACAATGGTGACATCTTCAAGGTCTGTTTCATTCAAAAGGGTCCCATTGAAGTCGATGAACGTTGTGATGTTCATCGGCACAGTGACATTAGAGACGTGGACTTCGTTGCTCACGTCACTGCAGGTGCTGGCATAACCCATGGTGTGGAATGTATCAGGAAACGTGCAATTCCCAGACGAGCAATCGAAAGGTACTATCGAACCGGGAGCGAAGACCCCAGCGTTGATAGCGGACCGAAGCCCAGGAGGTAATAACCCTCCCATTGTATCGATGAGCACGCCATGAGAGTTGGTCCTTGGAATCGTGGCGTTGGAAGATGTGTTTGTGTTTGCTGGATCGCTTCTCTGGCAGTTGTAGTAGCGGAAGACCTGTTGAGCCACCGGATCGAGGACCGTGGCGGCAACAACAATCAATGCTGCAACGCATGAGATGACATCTCGTCCATACAGAATGTACAATAACTGTATTGACCCTAATGGACCTTTTGAGGCATCATCGTAGGCTCCAAGGTCTTTCAATGGTCTAGTCATTCCAAACCAGGTCCATTTGAGATGGCTAAGGCCCTTTCCGAGAATCAGAGCCCTTGCTGCCTTGAGTATAGCAACATAAATGGAAATCAGCGTGTTGATAGAAAGGCCATGTGGCCACTTGGGGAGCGGTTGGTCGCGATAGGCATTGGCGGTGAGAATGATGGCCATTAGTGCTACAATAATGGCGACGCAGCTTAGTATTTCCATCCACCAGTTGTCAAGGAACTGCATGACAGTGTGCGAGAATTCGTGCATTTTCCTGGTCGAGCGTCGCATGAAGGCGGTCTTGCTGCCTCCTCTACCATTTGTGGGTGTCGTCGCTGGCGCAGCTGCAGCTTCTTTGCATGCAGAGTCATTTGATTGTCCATGGCCGTGTTCTTCCTCAGACCGGGTCGGAACCCTGGCAGCGTCGTTCATTGGAGTGGGCATGACTGCCACATCATCATCCCGATGATTCACAATCCCTTCATACCGACCAAGACGCTGCCTTGCTGCCATCAGCAAAGTCCGGAGACGAAGTTGTTGTCGTGGATGGCACGAGGCTAGAACCGGCCTACGACGGTGCTCTGAATCATAAATGCACAGGGTGGCAAGTATGTGAGATCCTTGGCCCAATTTGACCCCGATAAGATAGGACTTTGCAAACATGGAAGAGGACTTTAGCTGGGAGAAAAAACAAAGCGCTGCATGATACCTCATGAACACTTAAATCTTGACGCGAGAGGTTCTCTGGCGTTGCCATCCTTGACGAATTAGCCCCGCAATGCTAAGGATCTGCTACGGACTTGCAAGTCGAAGGGGCACCACAATCTGCTCGCGGCTACCGCCAACTCCGGCCGGATACCAGTGAGGCGTCGACACCGTTCACGAGAGCCTGTGCGGTGTCGTCAGCCCCGCGGTCCCTTCTGTGGTTGCTAGTCGACATTTTCCAGCCTTACAAAGGTGCCAGCAACACCGATAAGTATTGGTCATCATGGCGCAGTGTTGGCCCCGGGTAAATGTACCAATAACATCACAGAGGTCAAGTCACTGGCCTTGGGAGCAAGGTCGACAAGGAAGATCGGCATCTTCAGGGGGGGAAAGGCTGGCAGTGCTGCACACAACTCGCATCGCACGCCAGTTGATGTGGGGGCTGATTGTAGATAGGCGCTACTGTGTAATCGTACAAGCCGGCACTCGCTCATGTCTCTCGGGTCAAAGAGACATGACGACGGAGCGTGCCATGCAGGTTGGGGGCGATGCCCTCTACGAAGAGTAATGGCCACGTACGTCGAGACAAAATGCTACTTCGACAAAGACCACATCGAATAATTGTCTCGGGTGGCATCCACGAAGAAGGCTTCAGCCGTTGTCTCGCAAGAAGCGAGGGGTCGGATGAAGGTCAGAGAAGAGGGGTGGCGAAGACAACAGGGCTTGACGGCCTGATGAAGCCGCTAAAGCAGGGCGCTGGTGCGAGGTCGAAAATCTCAGAGTAATGTATGGTTGGGGAATAGTCTTGTGTAACAATGGAAGGACACTCGGGACGTGACTGAAAGAGATAAAGGTGCTGTGGAAGTCTCACTAGGCCAACACCGTCCTCGATTAGGTGGCCACGATGGCCCCCAAGTCGCCAAGCGTGACGTGCAAAGACACTAATACCCAAAGTGCGAAAGTTAACCTTCACCTCATCAACATAGGTTTTGCTCTACATGTCTAAGACAGTAGCTTTACCACTCAGTCCTGACGACCCCCGATCATATACTATGTATCAGTCGAAGGCTTTTGCGCTAAGGTGTCACTGGGGGTAGAAAGATACCGAGGACACATGAATCTTCATCTGATTTGGCCAGTTTCACAGCCTCTTCTGACCAATACTCTGGCGACAGCCCAAGCATTTCCACTTCCCGTCAGCCTCGGGGTCGCATCTCAACGTTTAGGCCGTGACTTACGCGAGGACGCTTTTGCCGGCAAGCGGTGCATGCAATGGCTACCCGGCGGATCTTTCCGGCATTCACTCTCAGTGAGGACATGGCCACATTGTACGAGACGTGATGGTCAAGACTTTCATAATGCTCATGATGAGAAGATCAGCTTGACCTCTAACTTGCCAATGTTAACAAGGTCTCGTCCGCGCAGAAGCGTCGAACGCGAGGACTTCGGCGACATGTTGTCAGATAAGGCTAGTGTGCCTCATGCCCATTAGCCACCGTTACTGAGCGGATCAAGACTTCACTGCCCTCTCGGCGATGAGAGACTGACTCGTCAGCCATAATGTGGGAAGCCAAATGTCATTTCTTTCTGTACTTCTTCCAAAGGGGGTATCTAAGCCGCCGCCTACGTCTCCTCGTCAATCTCGTCCAAATCAATCGCTCGCTCACACCTTCTTTGCAGCCACTGTCTTCTTTGTCGGCCTCACCCACCCAGTCTATCAACTGTCTTGCCCATTCCTTCGCTTGCTTCCTCCGTCCCGGTGGCATATCCTCAGGTTGGCGTCATAAAAAGCCTTGCTGCGCGTGGTGATAATTCATCAGAGCTTGTGAAACGCAAATCCTCCGGTGGTGTGGCTGGGGATTTTCAAAAAGTAAGTTGATGGCCTTGCGTCGAGAAGACACCTAGAGTGCTCCATAACAATCGTGCGAGTCCTGAGATACAAATAATTTCGCGCCACCACAGTTCAAAAACTCATGGTGTCCCCGAAGTCGTCGATCATCAGTGCGCCTCGGCCTTGAACTTGCTTTGCCGGTAGGGTCGTGAAAAACTTTTCGTATCATTGGGGAGGCGTGAAAAAACGTCAGATGCGATGCTTCGATTCGTGATGCCAAAAAGAGCCTCCAAGTGCCAAAGGAGATATTCGAAAAACCAAAAGTGGGGAAGGATAAAGATGCTTTCCGAAACGACTGCTATGATCCATGTTGTCGCCCATGGAGATCAAGGAGAAAACGCAAACGTGATAACGACCCAAAGTAGCAAGCATTTTGCAGTGCCTCCGTGCTCGAGAAACATCAAGCACGACAAGAACAAAGCAACTGCGGTGGTATCAAGCACGACGCGCACTAAGCAACTGCAGCGGCTGGTGCAGCAGCCGAAGGGATGTCCGAGATATCTGCCGCAGGGACAGCTGGAGGAGCATCAGCCGACGTTCCGTTTGGCACAGCAGCTGCCGAACCGTTGGTCTCGGTCGAAGTGCAATCTTTGCTGATATGACCAGGTTGCCCGCATTTGTAGCAGGTCTTACCAGCCGCATTCAACGGGCCACCATTGGGAGCGGTGCAGTCCCGCGAGATGTGCCCCTGGAAATTGTCAGCATTCGGTTGTTTGTGAATAGCAGTCAGCACGTACCAGCTTGCCGCAAGCATAGCACTTCATGGCCTGCGCTTGGCAATCTCGAGCATAATGATTTGGGCCACCACACTTGTAGCACGTAGCAGCTCGGTTAGTGACGACGTTGTAGCCTCCACGGAAACCACCCCGGCCACCTCCACCATAGCCGCCACGTGGGGGTGCAGGGCTGGCGCCTGGGGTAGGGCAGTTACGGGCCAAGTGGCCGATCTGACCGCATGAATAGCAGCGCCCACCGGCAGGGCCACCGCTGATGCGCAAGGTTGGACAGTCGGCTTGGACGTGACCTAGACCTTGGCAATGATAACATTGTTTTGCTGGATGGAACTGTCAGACGAAGGGCTTGTTGCGACCAGCGTAAAGTGTGACTTACTTTCTGTTGTGCGTGGCATTGGGCATTGGTTGGACTCGTGGCCTGGTTGCTTGCAGTTGTAGCACAGTCTCTCGGTGGATGTGCAAACTTCCGCATAGTGGCCGACATTGCCGCACTTGTAGCATGCACGACGAGAAAGGGACGACATTCTGAAAATGTGTATTGGATCTCTTCCTCAGTTCCTGTCAGAAGCCATGTCAGACCTTGCTCTTCAATGTTCTTGCGCGAAAGCAGCCGTGTCAAATGTAGGGGCGATCATTTCCCGGATGGGTCGATTCCGACGAGACCAAAGAGCCGGAATGATAGGAAATGTCGGTAAAATCGCGGAGTGAAGGAGCAGCGTACCTGCGCAGCTTGAACCTCGATCAAATATCCCAAATGCCCGCAACCTCTGAGCAAATATCAGCTATGGATTCGCTATCCTGCGGAAAGGTGCAGAGGGAATGGAGCCGGGGTGGAAAGAGGGGCAGACAGGCGAAGGGGTGAATCGACGAGACGACGGTGAGCTTACAAATAGCGGCAACTTCCCACTCGACCTTTCCAACGACTTCCAGCCTCCGTCGAACCGTGCGACGCGATCAACAACCAGCTGATAAGGAAGGGCAAAGAATAAGATGAAGCCAGAATTGTCGCAAAGTGAAAAGCGGACAGTCGAGGGGAACAGAGCCAAGACCGACCTTGCGCCAGAGTCGTCCTAGCGTTGGTGGAGCATCACGTGGGGGGCATTTCCAGCGCTATGGTACTAGTAGGTATCGATGTCAATCACTGAGCAAAAGAGTTTACCATGAGCACCAAGATGATAAATGCATTGTGTGGCCGTTGATTGATTGTCCATATATTCGCCTCCAGCAGCGGACCTCGCGGACTCCGATCAAAGATCTCCTGGACCTGAACGTCTGCCATATCCCATCATAACATCCTGTTGGCGCTGCAACACGAATCATAAATCGTTCTAGTTGATACATTACACCAGCAGGCGACTCATTCGTCCTTACTCCTCTCGATCACCGCTGGTGCCTTGATCTCTCGCCCTCTGAGATAGTCAAGTCCTTCACCACCCTGTAAAATGTTAGCCAGATCTGTCGACAGAAGTCATCAAACTTACGTAGCTGATCAAAGGAGACACTTCGACGCCGGCAGCATTGTCTCCTTCTGATACAACCACTGCACCTGCGCTGCGTAGCCATCGAGCACCTTGTTCCATAATGTCTCGCTTGCTAGTCTCTGCGTTGTCTTCGGTTGAGCCCTTGCCATTCTTGAGCGGCGAGAACTCCTCTTTACGATCCACTTCGAAGCATGCGAACTTGTCCATGGGGATGAACGGGAAGACATCAAAGACAAATTGTTCCAACTTGATGCCATTCGGCTTTTCGGGCTTGACTGACTCGCCGGTCTCTGTGTCACAGTAAGGGATCTTCTTCTTCGCAACATGGTGAGGAAGCTTGTGTGCCCACTCTTCGATTGTATCGAAGCAACGGAATGAGTAGTAGTGGTTGACAATATTCGCAGCTCGGAACTTCAGCAAGCCCGAGCTGTCTTTGGCTTCAGCCATTTCTTGATCAATCTCGGAGTACTCGACGACGTCTGGCTTCCCATTCTTCTGGACGATGAGGCCGACGGACTCATTCGCCGCTCGCTTCCGAACAACTTTGGTGGCGATATCCACTTCTTTGGAAGCAGCAAAGCCAACGAAGACAGGATCTGCAACCTTGACCAAGCAGTTGTCGACGCAGTATGCATGTATGTGCTCGATACCGCGTTTCCGCATATCGCTACGAGCATCGGACGTCAACAGTGCTTGATAAATGCCACCATTGCCATCTGGTGCCACGGCCACCTTTGATTTGCTCTCCATCAAGATCTTGCCTTCGTTTGAGATGCATGGAAGCACTCCTTGCTCGAAGATGATGACGTTCTCTTTCGACAAGCCAAAGTAGTTATGCTCCTCAAAGTACTTTTCCGTTGGGGCTCTGGTAGGACCACTGGTCATGACGTACCAGGGCACAATGGGTTCAGTCGACAACGATGCATGGTGTTTGGCTAACTGTTGCAACTTCAAGATTCGTTCTGCCTGCATTTGGAAGAGTGACTTGTGGCTTGGAAGACCAATGTCGAAGCAACCTTTCGGATCTGAACTTCCCAGTCTTGTTCCTTGACCACCGGCCATGAGAACCAGGGCAACGGTGTTCTTTGCAATGTGTCCGAGCCCGGCGTTGTACCACTCTTCCGTCTGTTCCTTTGAGGCATCGAGCACGGAGGCAGATGCCGATTCAGGTAGAGGTTCGATGGAGGGTTCTTCGCCGGAGGCTGTGGGAGGGTGTAAGGCTTTGTCTGCGAGGACATTGATCCGGTCTGGATCGAATGTGGATAGTTGATCAAAGAGGGATGCCTTTTCTTGGGTATTTAGCTGGTCATAGAAAGCAAAGACATGCTCTTGCTTTGCCTTCTCATATTTCTGACGAAGGGTCTTCAACTCGTCTTCCGCAGGCTCCTGGGCAGGTGCTCCGTGGGTTGAAGAGGTCAAGTTCAAGCGTTCTAGCAGACTGTTTACGAGGTTACCGGCCATTTTGGACGTCTGTTTACTCAGTGGTGCAACGGATCGACCTGGTAGAAGTACTCCCCCTCAGCTGTTGTAGTCGTACACGAGTAAGGGAATATGCAAGGAAGGAGAAAAGGCACCACACCGTCAGAATACAGTAGCAGGTAAGCTACAGCTTGTTCAGCTGTGAATAGGGCAGGCGGTGGCCCTGCTCGTTTCAGAGGGGTCCTAGCGCGGTGAGACAAGAGGGTAAGACAAAAGGGCAAACATTTCTGATTTCTCCCCCGCAACAGGCTTAACAACGCAGCCTGCAGCCTCGTGCTGACATATGACAGGGCATTGGTCCAAACCTACTAAAGTAGTACCTTAGGTACTACTACTACTCTTCCAATGTACTTGTACAGCTCCAGCAAAAGATACGTTCCGCTACACAAAACAACAGACTGTGTAAGTATCTAGGTACTTTGCTGTCAGGGTATCACTCGTCTCTTCTTTTCGTATCACTGGTACATGTTATACATCACACAAGCATGATCGGAAGACATCATCTGTATCTGTCTGCCCGGTGGTCTCTGTCTCTGTCCCTATCCCTGTCCCTCCTGTTATGCCTGTCCGCATCTCTCTCGTTATCACGATCCGAATTCCGATACGTCCTTTCGCGGTCTTGGTACGTATCCCTGTCTCTGTCCCGGCGATCGCCGTATTTGGGTGACCCTATGTCATGTTGTGGACTTCTGCTCCGAGATCTGCGAGAGTCTCTTGCTGGGTGAGTATCGCCTTTCCGCCGAATGTCCTCTCTGTCGAAGACCATTCGATAGCCTCGTCCATTCCGAGCTCCTCCATCCTGGTCCCGGTAGTGGCGTTTCTTTTCCAAATCTGCAATGCCGCCGAAACCTCCAGAATGTCGTGCTCTCTTTGAGTTCGTTGCGTTCCTCCAAACGTCCGATAATTTCGACACGCTTTGCGAAAAGTCCACATGAATGCGATGATCGTCGATGAGGACTCCCTGCATCTTGAAGTATGCTTGTTCGCAGTCCTTTTGATTTTCGAACTCAATGAATGCATACTGCAGACTGTCGCCTGTCCGCTTGTCCCTTATGACTTCGCACGAAAGAATCTTCCCGAAACGGCTGAAGATCAGTTCTAGATCTTCATCATGGGTCACCGGATTCAGTTTGCACACAAATAAGACATTTTCAGGAGGTTTCACTTCTGCAAAGGGCAAGTCTCCTACCATTTCAAGCGTCAGAGCCTGTGCCCGCGCTTCTCTTTCTCTGCGCAGCTTTTCCATGGCTGCCTCGTCCATATCTTCATCCAATTCCTCATCATCAGCGATTCTGACTGTGGCAAGCTGGGCCTTGGTAGGAGCCGGACTTGAGTCGGGAATGGTGAGACCGGAAGGATCTTCGTAAGGGTCTTCGAGTATGATTGTGTGACGAATCCGGATATCCTTCAAGGGCCTGCCATTAGAGTCCGTGAAAGCGTCATTGATCTTTTCCAGAGTGTCAAATCCTTCAACGACCATACCAAATGGCGCTGCTTTGCCGTCAAGATAGTCGATGTCGTCGCCCAGTGTAATGATGAATTGACTGCCAGCAAGCCGCTCATCTGGATCATTTGGCGAAGGCACGGTAGCCATACTGACTGTACCACGCTGGGCATGCTTCACTTTCGGATCGATTTCCGCGACGAAGCTTTTCTTTGAGGGACCGGACAAAAGGCCCCAGATGGAACTCCCCCCATCACTTTCGGCTGAATCGGGGCCTAGAGGATCTCCTGTCTGACAAGAAAAGCCCTTTTGGACTGAATGGATTGGGGAAAAATTGTAATATTTGACTTTGCATAATTTCAAAAAGCTGGATTTCGTCAGTACATTTCTGTCGAGAAAAGGGTACAGCTTACTTACTTCTCACAACATTTGGGCGCAGTGTCAACCAGAAGGTCTATGACAACCTCGCCCAAGGAGGTTTCGAGCAAGACGCTCATGACTGACCGAGCCGTTCGTTCAAGGCATCCACTGACACGGCCCTCGGCGCAAAGCGTCCGTGAACAGGCTTAATGTGTCGTGATAGGCCTATTAGGGACGAATGTAGTGTTCAATCCTTCTGCATACAAGCAAAGATATGTGGTGTCTGTCTAAGGTATGGAACATCGTTGCTGCCTCCAAGTCGCGGGAAAAAACATGCCAAGTGACCTATAGTACACTAGTCCGCAACGGGGATAGACCCTCGACTGCGCGCCTCCAGGGTTTAAGTTCTCTTCTTACTCCATGTTGCGGCCAGTGACACCAACAACAATAATCACCAAATACAACGAATTTCCAACCCATCGAGAAGCCACTCTCAATCTCTCATGTCCGATATCACTTTCTCTCTGTGCATCTAGGTCTTGCCTCTGTCAATCATCTGACTCTCGCAACAATGTACCTGCTGGAATCGATATGTCGTCGTTCTCCCTGTTTGACCTTGTGTCACTGACCCAGGTCAAAAGCGCAGGAGTCTCATCCATCCATATCAAGGCTATCACCACTGAGGGACCCTTGTGAGAGCGACCTGAAACCCTTGCCCTGTGACATGGTAAGGTGATATCAGCCATGTTTGATGCCAAAAGCTGCCCAGCTTGAACTAGTCACCTTTCTGCATCTGCAGCCATCCATTTCTCAGTACTCATTCCCAGGGTCATACAAAAATCCCCCGATTCTGTCACGAACCGCCTTCTCATCGGCTTCCACCCGCTTCGATGACAGGTCCAGCCGTCTAGCCCTGGTCACGCTATCAACCTCCATCTGGATGAAACATCCACTTCTTTGCACGACCCAACACACTTGCAGCGAAGCTCACGATCGGATAGCCCGATTTCGAACTTCCAAGTCCCAGTTTTCGTGTATCTGAAGTTTCAAAAACCTCGAAGATTTCCGAGCCATCCCGGAACCTGGATATGCTGCTACACATGCCAGCGTTGTTGTAGGTTGTCTCGAAGATCCCGCCACAGTCTATCACAGAACATGTGCTCATGATTGAGAGCCTTGTCATATGCCGCCTGAAACAACGTCACTTTGGCGCTCCCACCACAATCAATGACCCGCATTACAGGTGTCCACTGAAGTGGATCAGTAGTGCTATCCTCACTTGAGAGGCAACACCGTTGGCCTTGCTGGGGCTATTTCCTTGGTTCATTGCGCCTCTGTATCACTTCTTGGGTCTGCAAAGTCAAGCTCTGATTTGTCAGATTTGCTGGCCACCTCTCTTGTGGTGGGTGAAGCCAATCTTTGACATCTCTGTGTTACGGTTGTGCCCTGCGATGTTCCGCAGGAAGCGCAGGCTCTCTGCAGCAACTGCTCAGGGGCTTCCCTTGTGGAAGTTATGCAGGCAAGTCGATACTTCCATGCAGCCAGCGAGGTGCTTCGATGCTGCTGGCTCTATGTGCGTCAATGGGAGTGCTTGCTTATGGTGTGGGAACTGCTGCAGATGGTAGGCTACGTCCACGTCCAGCTGAGCTGTTGGTCAGATGCCACCCAGATGCGTCTGGCAAGAGCCTTGCTCGGAGAACTCAACCGAATTCACGTTGGCTGTATCGAACACACTAACACATTCGTTTGATGAAGGCTGCCCAGGTCAGCAGATATCATTGGACCCACCAGAATTTGGAAGTCTTTTGAGGGCATTCTTCCTCAAATGCACCCTGAAGCCATTGCAGAATACTGACCAGTTACAAGTTTGCACGAGTACTGAGTGGTGCAGCAGCCACGATGGTAACAAACATCCCCAGCCAATCAACCAGGCGCTCCACTGGTAGCAAACAGAATCTGCTTGGAGCTCTTGGTTGAGACTAGTATACTCTCAACCGGTAGGTCTCAAGTCACACCTTTTGGCAGAACCCTGATGATCAGAATGCACGTCATGCCTTAGCTTACTGACATAGCCCAGAAAGGGATTGCAAGATGTGTCTGGTTTCCCCACATGGAACCTGTCGACAGTACACCCAGAACCAATACAAACAGCACTTAACGTTTTAAGAGACCTGCAGTTGATCCTTGAAATGACCGCGATCTACGATTGGCGAGAAAGACCCCGATTTGTTTCACGACTGGTATGGTCGACATGCTATGACCATGCTGCTGACTGGTCAGGCCTTCTCTCGGCCGTTTGGTCAGGTTGTTGATGTGGATCAAGCAGCATCGTGACACCGACGGACACCCGCAGCAAGCCCGTTACAAGGAAATCTTACGATCAGGTTTCAAGGACAACTCCGACAGAATGACTTATTGTGAGCATGAATTTTGGGCAAGAGAACAGCTTACGTCCAACGCAAATGATGATATGACACAATCCATGGGAATGGTCCAACTGCCATTTGAAAGACAAGTCTCACGTTTCCTGTTGGAGTTCATCCTTGAAGAATGTTCGCATATACCTGATCCTAGCGATTTTGTGCATTCCCCTTCAAGCATCGTTGCTTGGATTCCTTCTTTTGACGTGGCTAAGTCCATTGGAGCTTTTTTGAGGATTTGATGCACGAGTCTTACATTATTGCCCACCGAAGTCTGACTAGAGTAGTTGAGGTGTTTGCTGCTGTGGTGTTTTTGCTATTGGTCGTTATTGGAGTCTCGTGGCGTACATCATGGTAAGGACAAATTGTCTGACGATGTGTCTCAACTCTAACAGCTGAAGCAGATCTCAACACGACAGATGTACAATGCAGACCTTGAGTTCTTCAGACGCAATGATCGCGGGACTCACATGCCATTGAGCCAGAACCCTCACATTTCCGACCACTATGACACTACGGGCCATCTAAGTAGGCGGACGACCCCTTCTTCGGAGGCGGATAACAGAACACCGGGTGGAGCAAGGAAGCGGGTGCCTGTGGCAGTGTGTTAACAGTATTCGACCTTGCTATCCTGTGTTTATACTGACGAAAGCACAGTGCCAGAGATGTCGAAAACGCAAAATCAAATGCAGTGGCAATGAAGACAACAATCAGAGTTGTGCAAACTGCATAAACGCTGGTCATGCAGAGACATGTCACTTTCTCCGAGTAAGTATTTCAGCTGCAGCCTGGAGACTGCTCACAATGCTGATAAACACCAGGTCCAGTCAGAGGACTACTACAGCTTAGTAGGAAAGATGCATACACCTCCTCGATATTCTCCGTATTCACTTCCCCCGAACCACCGCCTGAATTATGTGACGCTGTCGTCGAGGTACAACCCACAGAGTTCGCTTCAATACCCCACTGTCCCATCTAACATGGACTATGGTCCATATGCCCATCCAGCTCCAGGTGTCGACTGGACAAGGGCACCATACGTTGGTTCATATTCTCCGTACCCTGACGATGAAGACACAAGCCCATACAGCTCTCACCCGCCTCCGTACATTCTGCCAAACACAGACCCCATGACGACAGCAAACGGCTACTATGTCCACGCACAAAACGTCCGACCACATCCAGGCACACTGTGGCCAGAGCCTCAACAGTGCATGTCCCAGCAGACCTCTCACTTGCCATCTTCGGCCTACAGCGTCACCACGGAGACTCCACAACCACTCTACAATGGCGGACTTTCCGGTACGCTACCATCTGACCGCATTTTACCCACCCCAGTTTCAGCCCGCAGTATGGCCGTTCCACAGACGAATTCCACAGACACCCTGCCAGTATCTTCCCCCACACAGCGAAATTCCACCTACTGGTCCTCCGCACACCACATCCCAGGTCAAGTCGACATGGCCACAGACTCACAGCAATCCCATGACAACAGACGCAACACCTCGTACGGCATGCAGGACATGGCTTCCTACAACCACATTGGCATGGGAGAAGTGCTCCCCAGCACATCTCTTCTGTCTGCCCTGCCTCTTTCCGCCAGCCACGACCAGACACTTACTTCCAGAACAGCAACAGACGACTCACAGCACCAGCACCAGCACCAGCACTCGAAAGCACGTGCCGTGGTCTCCCATGACCAGAGCCCTACGTCCACCCAGGAAAGCACGTCCATCGCGTACAGTTACACAGGCTCGTTGAGTGGACGTGGTACCCAGCAGCAGCAGAGGAGTGCTTCGAGCAGCCACTTCTCGGACGGCGCGCTGTATGGTCGGACACAGCCATTGGTTGCACGCAGAGACACAGCGGCGGATGACTGCAGCCCAGACTGCTCAGGAGGGTGTCCGACAGATTCGGCAAGGGCGTCAGTCACGTCTATCAGCAATACCTCCTCGAGTTATTGATTGACCTTAAGTTTTGTTCATGGCTTGTGGTGGAATGCCCGTCGTCTGTTTGGTCTCCTATAAAAAGCATTCTTTCCTCGTTCGTTCAATTGCTAGTTCTCGTCCGAACTGGGTCTGTTTGACTGACTTGTGGTACTTTCATATTGATAAAGCTACGTCTAATGCTCTTGGGTCAGGACATACCACCTGGGTCCTTTCGGGGCGGCATGGCATAGGAGTCTGGCGTCGACTTTGTGTCACGGAAATCGTTACTATTGCAGGAGGCATACGTTTGCTGTGATTCAGGGACTGGAAAGGATGTACTTTTTGGAGGGTCCTGACGTTGTTGCTGTTACGAAAAGATCGCCTGTGTTGTGTTTGGAGTTTTGTTGCGAACGCTAATCGAGACTGGGCTCGAATGTCCACGGAAAGAATTTGTATCGCTTGTTGAAAGACCAAAAGTGTCACGGCGGGTTGGTCGAGACGGATGTATGATCTGTAGCATTAGTCAAATCGAGTGTTATACTGCGCTGTGTTCCATGTAAGCCGAGCTGTTCGAGATTAGGCATCCCCACAGTCGGACCAGAATGTGTAGGAGGGATAATATCAGCGCCTTAGCATGTCGGAAGAGTCTTTTGATTCACATTTGATTTTGATTCATTGAGTTATGGATCTCGTGCGCCGTTGCCCATCTTGAAAAACTTGTAGTGCAAGAGCCTGTTGGTCTATCAAGACCGAAACAATCGCGTGGCAGCATCTTCAATTCGTATCTCCATCCGCAATGCTTCAGTCTTATCAGAGACATTGTTGCTTGAAAGGAGGCGGAAAGTCATCCTGGCGTCTTCCACAGACCACGAATTATGCCATCCCAATGACACGATTTCAATCGACACCTCCCACAATACCACATGCTCACGCTTATTTAGATTTCTTGTCCTTCTTGCCAGCACCCTTCGTCTTCGCCGTACCTCTGACCTCCTTGGATCGGTTCTTTCTCTGCTTGCGTTGTTGTCTGCTGGCCTTCTCGATCTTGGTTGCGTGTCCGACACGGACGAGTCTGTAGTGGGGCTCGAACTTCTTCATGGCCTCGACGCTATCGTAGATGAGGGCGAAACCGGTTGACTTGCCGCCACCATATTGTGTCCGCATGCCGAAAACGTTAATCTGGTCCTTGTTGGACTTGTACACTTCGGCGAGTCTGGCGCGCAGGTCATCCTTGGAGACGTTGGGTCGGTTGGGGTGGAGGACATCCCTGTAGGAAGAGTCTCATGTTAGTTTTGCTATTCATGCTGAAATCCTTTCCTGCTGATGCACAGCTTGTGCCTGTGGAAACTTACACGACCATCTGCTTTCGCGACAGGAGTCGGTTGGTGATGAACTTGCGAGTTCGGATGGTAACAGGTGAATCGGCCATGATTGCGAAGATGAGTGTCTGATCAAGACTCGCAATCAAGGTGTTATGGGCTGGGTTGAGATTGATGGAATTGCGCCTGCACTTCCAAAGTCACTGGGTCATTGATGTCGACTGAAGATTGCTTGCGCCTTCTGAAAAAGTGCGCTTGGCACCGTAAATCTTGGCGAATATCCACGCTAGTCCTGAATGGGATGGTATAACTTTTTTCCCATCGTCAACCTCATTTCACTTCACTCACACCAAATCCTCTCCAAATCACCCTCGTGTCGAGAGGAAATCGAAATGCGCGATGGAGATGGATATTTCCAGAGCAGGCACCGAACCATTGGTGGTCAAATTCTACCGACAATATATGCAGCAGATCAACGATGTGACATATCCGTCCGGAACCCTCCTGGTGAACCAGGACGTCCAGGATATTTTGTACAAGTATTTCTTTGATGCTTCTCAAAACAAATATCTCCCGCCTTCACGGTACCAGGCTAGAATTTTGAAACACATAATCCAGGAGATCGAGAAATCATGCAAAGATCCAGAAGAAGATGTAGGTCCGCGCAATCAGTATTTCCAGCTTACCTTCCAATATCTTTCCCGGATGCGTGCTTGCCTTGATCTACATCCCTGCGTCCCATTTCATTTGAGCCACTAACCGCCGTCTCGTCGCACAGCAAGTCTCCGATCATCTCATGGAGCACATGGCCTACCTGTCCATCATCCCCCAGCAACCTGACACCGACGAGGCCCAACAACTACAGGTCCATTCTTATTTCCCACCACTCCCTCTCGACGCGCCTGGTGTCAAGCCAGTCCTCATCAAAGAAGCCCAGAACCTGCTATCCAAGGGCAACAACGTCGGTCTTCGGACGTGGGAAGCCGCGCTGCATCTGGCATGGTACCTAGCCACCCAACGACCCGACCTTGTCAAAGACCGGGACGTCCTCGAACTAGGCGCAGGCACAGGCTTTCTCTCCCTTCTCTGCGCCGGACACCTAGCCGCCTCTCATGTCCTAGCCACCGACGGTCTCGGACACGTCTGCGAGGGTCTCGAATCCAACGTCGACCTCAATGTGTCCAATGACACACTCGGTGGCCATACACTACCCGCAGTCCGCCAACTCGACTGGACAGACCGTCCCGAAATCGACCAACTGCTCGACGACACCAAGCAAGCTGGAAGACAATACGATCTGATCATCGGGGCCGACATAACGTACCACCCTGATATTCTCCGACCTTTAGCCGAATTACTCAGCCTCCTGAAAGACACGTTCCTGAAGACCGCCATTCTCATTTCCGCGACGATCCGAAGCGACACGTTCGCAGATTTCGTCACAATATGTCGCGACGATTTCGGCTTCAAGGTCACGGAGTTACGCTGCAGAATACCTCAAGGTCTGCAATACTGCGGCTTCTTCCACTCGGTCGCCACAGAGATCAAGATCGTGTCCCTAGAGCGGTGATACATCCCAACGCAGAGCACGAGGCACCAATGTGGATCGAGAATTGTCCTAGTAATGTTGACAACTGGCGCTGTTTCCCTCAACGCGGTCCGAGAAACATGTATGCGTACAAGTACGCAGCCTAGCAATCAGTGACGAAGTCACAGATCGCACCACTCATAAAAGCACAAGAGGATGTTAACGCCCCGAAAAGGGCGAACACTTCGCATACTTAAAAGTTCCATGACCTGGCCATCCAGGAATTGTAGGTGAAACCTACTTACCGGAAGTGGTTTCTGGTGAGGAAGAAACTACTTCAAAAGGACCCTGGTGAACCCAAAGAGGGAACACTGGCCATGAGGTGGAGGGCACTGAGGCAGTCAATGGAAGCTTTTATGATGTGTCTACACCCAGGAGTAGCCAGGATGAGGTTCATAATTATATTAATATCGAACAACTGTACATTCATTCGACTCCGGTGTAAAATAAGATATATGCATAAAATTGCACAGTAGTACTCCTTTGGGTATCAAATGCGCTTCGCTGAATGGAGAAAAAAGCCGCCAAACCTGTATGGACAATGATAATAGTGGTTTCATGACGCAGTCACGAGGAGAGGTGCCGCCTGGGTATATAGCTGAGAGAGTCATACACAACGAGATTCTTATTCAGCCAGACTTTCCATCAGGCTGTCGTGGTCCACTAGCTTGACTTCAATCCCAGTACTTGGTAGTCGTCGAGGCGGCCTGAGTCCTGAAATTGCTCCCCTCTGGTTGATGCCAGGAGCTCTACCACCGGGGAACAGGGATGGCGTTGGCGACTGAGATTGTACAGGTCCGGGCGGCGGGGTCGATGACTTCAGATCCGTATTCGATCTTGTTGGCGCCATGCCCCATTTGCCCCTGACCCAGCCTCCCAGTAGACTGCTGAAGCCGCTAGGAGGAGGTGACGGTTGGTCCTGTGGTGTTGGCCTCGATAGTCCGGCAATGCCGCTGAGTGCTTCCACGCTCAGACTGACACTTCTCTCCGGTGTTTGTGGTTTGGGTGATGCATGGCTTGCAAGAGCAATGCTATCTGCGCTGATAGACCTGGCAGTGCTCAAGGCTGTAAACTCCGTTACTGTCGTCAGTGCCTGTGCGGACGGCAATCTCCGGGCCGCAGAAGGAGACAACGCAAAGTATGCCTTATTGCCCTTCAAAAAGCTTGATGATTGTGAGGTTGATGTGGCTGGTCTTTTTGCAAGGTGGATATCCATTCCAGAGATAGAGACCAGAGAATCGTGAGATGAGCTGCGATGATGGCTTGGTCGGATGTGAATTTCTGGTATGTTGGTAAAGTCAGGAGTTTTCAAACTTGACGAACCAATCCCAGGATCTCTCTGCTGCTGAAGATATGATGATTCGGCTTTTTCTGACGGCTCTTCTGTAGGTTCCGTGATCGTGGTCGTTGTTTCTGATACGGAGACGTGCCGTTCATCCTCTGGCTCTTGAGGCCCAGGCATTTGTGGATCACCCGTCAACTGATCCTGACCTTCACTAACCAGTAACTGTGACGGTTTGGGCGTCAAATCACGCGATGGTGAATCTTGGACTCCTGAATCTTCCACTTGTGACTCTGTTTGTTTCTTTGATGCAGACATCTGGGTTGGTTGGATTTGCTCCGGCTCGTCAACAAAAGCCTCCTCTTCCTCGTCCAGAGGATTGATAAATTCCTCCTCAATCCTACCCTTGTAATTTCTTGCTCGATACATAGGCTCATTGAATCCTGCGGCTGATTCTGGGCTTGTTGGCCGGGATGAGTCTTCACCTGCTTCCAAACGATCGAATATGGAGCTACTGTGGTCGAAGTAGGACCGTGGAGAGCTGGGAAAACTGGATACTACTGTGGAGGCTGTTCCACCGGACTGCATAGACCACCGATTGAACCTGGGTTGCGGCTGGTGGAGGGTAAGAGGAAGACCGGGACTTGATGTCAGACGATGAGACATAGAAAGTGGTGTTGAAGGGGTTGAGGGTTCAGGAGTCGAGGGGAGCACGCCCAATCCGAAGACAGGCCTTTTGCGAGAAGACCTTCGTATGGTAGGCGTCCGTTGTTGCTTGCCAGCAATCTTGGCATGGTAATGATGGTGTACGTGGACTTCTTGTTGCAGTGGTTTCGGAGCAGCATCAGGCCAGTCAAGTTGTTCGCTCAACGGAGCAGGCCTGGGAATTTCTTCGAGAGTGGCGGTATCATACTCGACAGGCTGGTGTTGCAGGATTTGTTCCCTTAGATTCTGCACTTCCTCATTCGAGCTGTGCAACAATTGGCGCAACTCGGCAATACCGGCTTGGAGGTTCGCGTTGTCTTGAAGAATGTCTCGTACAAAGTGGCTGACGACGTTGTTGTTTCCCAAAGCTTTCCCGTTCAGATTCTGGAAAGCAGCGGCGCCTTTGAGTCTGCCTTCTGCACCACCAAGCTCTCTCTCCAAAGACCTTTCTCGTTCTAGCCTCGCGATGATTTCCTCATGACGTTGTCTGTCTTGCTTCGCTTCCCACTCGATCTTCTGGATTTCGTATTCGAGTTGTCTGACCTTAAGCACACTCTCCTTCCATCGCTGAATGGTGCCTCTCGTTTCTTCTTGAGAGTCCTCGACTTTGGACGACAGTATCACCCGCTCTTTCTCCAGATCCAAGATTCTCAGTTCTAACTCTTCAGCTCGCCGAGTGGCGCCATTCAGCTTTTGGACCTCCGCTTCGCAGTCTCGAAGCAAGGCCTCAAGTCTCTTCACATGATGATCACTGTCCCTTATCGACGTGTTGGCATATTCGAGCTGGTCAAGAAGACCACGGTTCTCTTCGACGATCTTTGCGTTCGCAGCTTGCAGATTATCCCGTTCCTTCTCCAGATTATTGATATAGGTGGTGAGTCTGTCATGTTCGAGTTGGGATTCGGAAACGTAAGATTCATGCCGGTTCAGCAGAGCCTGAAGAGCAAACGTTAGCCCACTGCCTGTTTGCCGCTTCTCCCTAACGCTGGTCGTTACGTCCAGCTCTATCTCCATCTCAACGCATGGCTGTGGTAACAGAAAATAAGAAGCGCGCACCGCAGCTCGTCAAGGTAAGATGATGATTCAGCGAAAAGATTCTTCCACTGTCCCATCTCCAGACTTGAGCCCTCAAGCGTATCACGAAATTGCAGAGACCCAAGCGGAGACTTTGCTGGCTATGGCCGATATCCGAAATCTTTGTGGGAGTGCACGTACCTGGCCGAGTAGTGCGGCAGTCTCAAGGTCTCTCTCAATTCCGCCGAGAAGGGTGTTGTTGTTCTCCAGATAAGCACATTCTGGCCGACCGCAACAACATCGCAATTTCATGTCGCCGATCGAAGCCCGATCGTCATTGGTCCGACTCATGATGGTGTTGACGTCGTCCGGAATGTGGTCAGAGCGCGTGTCACTGCTCGGTGGGGTGGGGAGGTCATTATTTGTATGACAGAAGGATTTGTAGCGCAGAGAGGTTGAATTGGTGGCCATTGTAAGAACATTTCGAAGGTCATAAAGCGAGCGACCGAAAGAGAGGCAGGACAGGACAGAATGAGTGGCTGTAAGTGTAGAGATAACGCGTTTGTGTTGTACTGCGACCTCGGGAAAGGGAAATGGCACTATTGGTGATGATGCGTTCAATTGCTGCCAAGGTTTAACTTACTACCATCTTGCATACAACTGCAGATGCGATCGGGGATTGATTGGTCCAGCCTTGTCGACCTCGATGGCCGCGGGAACGGTCACTGACGGTAGCTTTTGTAGCTGACAGTGACAGTCACACAGATTATGGAGTCATCATTGCCGACTGGCTGTAAGTCTCTCGTCGGCTCCTTCAGGCATACCAGAATCAGTCCTGTCTAGTCCGGCCCTCACGTGGACTGAGAGCTTGGGCACTGTTTCATAAGCATACAAGGAGGCACGGTCAAAACAAAGAGAATTTAAAGATATTGTCGATGGAACCCTGTGATTGATTGCATGCCAAACGAATATAATTCTGGAAAGGGTTTTAATCCACAAGGTCCTCGTTGTGGGACAGGCAAGAGTGACCTTAATCAACCTGCATCTTGCACCACTACCGGGCTCTGTCTCCTTCTATCCAGTGCCCGCTGGACTGCTTCTCTGACTTGCGGACTGTTTCGCAGAGTTGTTGAGAGGAGACCTTCTTTCATCCCTGTTTTCAAGGTGTCTGACTTTTCGACATCGCCTCTGAAGGGACTAAGCCCCAATTGAAGCAGAGCGCCCGACTCTGCGTCCAACCTGCCAGCTGTCTGCGCCAAATGTGCAATCTGCTGCTGCGTCTGCTGATTCTTCAATTCTGGGTTTCTCGCTTGAGGAGGAGCTAATTGTGAGATAAAGATATTGAGAGACATGGACATCCGCCTTACCACGGCCAGAATCTGGAAAGGCAGGAGATGTAGGGGTAGTAACTGAGGTAGTAGCTTGTGCGCCGTAGAAGCCCAAAACATGACCAGGTTGTGAGGCTGCCAGATGTGCGTCAAAAAGTACAGCTCCAGAAAAGCCATACATGCTACCGCGAAATATCGCCAGTACTGTCCCCACCTGGGAAGCCAAATGTAGTTCAAGATGACCAGCATTGCTGCGCTCGTCACATATTCTGGAGCTTTTGAGCGCAACCCAGCGTAAACATAGTCTCGGATCGTCTTCAATCCTGGCTGATGACTTTGAACGATGATCGGACCGAATCGATCATAGGCGAAGCGTTTGGCAGGGTCCAGAATGGTATCGTGAGCAATCTTGAACTGGACGAAGACTGCGTCGGCGCCAGGAAATGCTTGTCCATTCTCATGAAGTTTGTCCGGGTGATACTTGGATGCCAGCCTCCTAAACCGACTTTTGACCTCCCTCTCGGTTGACCATGGCGTCACTCCGAGCAGGGTGTAGAAGTCGCCTGACAGTTTGACATCGTATAGCGCCTGAGCCAAGGTGTAGACGAGGTACAAGGACAAGACCACGATTCGAATGCGGCGGTTGTGGTAGGCGAACAAAGGCTCTCCTCGTTGTGGATGTCGTCGCCCGGCAGGGATGGTAAGACGATAGTACGCCGACTGTAGGAAGGATGTCGCATACTACGAGTTCAGATCAGTAGGGCCCGAGATGATGGTGTGATGTGCATACAGCAGGGAGAAATGTCCATCCGACGAGGGAGAAGGCTTGTGGCAGAACACCGTCAGCCATGTTAACAAGATACTATAACCATCAGGATCACCGCTGCACTTCTCGGTACTGAATGAGAGTGCCTGCGCCTGCGCAGAAAGTACCCTGTGAAAGAATGCCAGTCTTGGAATGGAGGGTGAAGTGGTCGCGTCGAGTATCGAACACTGTGGAATCGGGGAAATACAAATGCATCTCCAAATATGAATTTCCAGTTCGATCATCTCTTCACAATGACTAATTTACTATTAACCAAGCTACTTACAATTACTCCCGCTCATCATGTACATAGCTAAAGGCAGGTTCGCTCACATCTTTCCAACGACGATACTTCTTGCCTTCGAGAAAAGCCAGTAACCAGTCCTTCAGCTCCGACTGCCGTTTCTCGGGAAAATACTTGACGACATTGGCGATACCACAAGCACGCCACTGACAACCCTCAATCCTGAGCTTCTTCAGAGCCTGCATCTCGGCGTCGTTTGCGTCGTGAGGCTCAATTTATCTATAGTTTTGCAGCATGATCCAGAGCAAATCTGGGGCCGAATTTGCTTGCCCCAAGTCATGTTCCACCAGCTTTTCCTCGATCCAGCCGGCATAGGCACCAATGGCACTATGACTGCAGCGAGATCCGGAGTTGGACCCAAAGTGTTCGCATCATCCAATTGCCCAAAAAGCCCCATGACGATACAAACAATGATCAATACACATCTTTGCTGCGAGATACTGTCGTCAATGTCGCCATAAACGCTAATCAGCCTCTTTTCCGTCCTGCGACAGAGGAAATGCAGTCTTGTTCCGACATTGATGAAAGCGACCCTGAGATGGGGTGGTAGTCGATGACGGTCTCGTCAGAGACGGTCAACCTCTTCCAACAAGCTCGTCAACCACTTGAACCTCCGACTCGCGTCCTCTTTGGCCCAGATGAACGAAGCCAAAGGATCGCTGTAGATTCCTTCGAACCACAAAGCCTGTTCTTCTCTGAGCCGATCGTGCAGCCCACCTCGGAACCCAAGCTGCCTCACGATGTCTCTGGCAACTCCAAAATGTATGTACGATGTCTCACGTTTGCCATACCGCTGCTCGAACGTCGCGAGACTGAGGCAAGCCGTAAGAACCTCCTTTCGGTCAGCACTAGGTCCTAGAGCGACCTTCCTCCTCAGAACAGCCAAGGCGTCCCCCTGATGCTTCAATGCGGCAGTCTCCAAAGCTCTTCGAGAGGCTGGAGCCAGGTTTCCGTTCATTCGCAGCTGATGGAGAGCAGAACGTGCCATGAGAGTGTGAAGATGGGTCTTGGACAAGCCCGTCTGATACTCCCACGAGCCCTTGATGCTGGGCTTGATCTTGTCAGACAAGGCATAGGCAGTCTGCCAATACCTGTCCTGCCCATAGAAGTGTAACAACTGATTGGTGACCTTGTCGACCTCGATTGGAAGCGGTTGAAATGGGTCTATCATGCATGCAGAAATCGACCTCTGACATGACGATGGAGTTTCGTTGATGAGCTCGGTTGACCATGTCGGTGTCGACTTGCGCGTATTTGACGGCTCGTGTTCTGGCTCGGGTGGTTCCTGCTCGGATGAATCATCCTCCTCTGCCTCCGGGTCACTACTGTCTGTTTCGGACAAGAGAAAATCGACCTTGACCATTGCAGAGGCAGTATCATGACGCCCACTGTGTCGATTCACATTTCAGAGAGATAGGCCCGTGTTCCGTGGTTGAACAATCGAACACAGTGTTAGCGACGAATTGAAGCAACAAAAGCAGTGAAAGCGGCACCCTGCGCTTGCGGAACTGCTGCTTAATCATTTTCCGGAGAATTTGCACGTCAGGACCCAGTGTCATCTTTCAGCTGCAAGACATGACTTTACGCAGCCGTCTTTGAGAGGTATTTGGAAGGACTACACAGGCGTGACTGGCCATTCGTAAATCTAGCCTCGTTGAACGGCACGTCGGCAAGCAGTTTCGGGCCACCAAAACTCTTTACCCCAAAGATCCAATGATGGGGTTCAAACGTCCCAAGCCCGGAAACCATGCTGTACGGATAGATGTCATCTTCAGGCACGGACTCCGGCACATGCAATTGCCCTCATCCAACCTTCATTGGTACAAGTCCCAGTACAGCTTGCCAGACGAACTTCTCACCCATCGATACGAAAACGATAATCTCATTGAGAAACAGCACCACGACCCTTTCGATCCATCAGAAACCCTGGACTCTCTAGATCAACCATGGCAAGATACTTGCGGTAAAGTGCCTCTGTCGGACTACCCCTGTCTGCGATCAATATCATGCCCCGAACATGCGGCATCGCCGTGAAGACTTCGTCGATACATTCCATCATCCACGCCCCCAGGTGCTTGCTGCGATACTCAGGCAAGATGTACACGTCCGTCAAGTAGTTTACCGTCACCATGTCTGTGATCCATCTGGCGAAGCCAATCAACTTGCGTCGTTGCTGCGATTCATTGGAGTGTTCGTCTCCGGCAGATACGTTTGTGACCTCGTAAAGCGCAAAACATATTGATTTGTGTACCAACGTGCGCAAGTGCTCGATAGGTAGTGGCAAGCCCCAGTGGAAGTCGTCGGAGGCGAATATGTCGTTGAGTGCGTCGAGTGGAATGATTGAAGGGTCCGTTGATATGAGATAGTTGTCTCTGGTCCACGTTCTTGTGGGCATTTCAAAGTCCATAGTTGAAAGTTGAGGCCAGCACTCACGATGACATGATCGGAAACTATCCCAAAATCTAGAACGGGATTCTAATATCCGTCTCAATCAACGACATGGAACATTCGAGCTTGGTTATGACTCACCCGTGCATACGCCCTGTGAGGATGTCGATCATCATTTACACGACACTTGCCTTGACCCAGAAGCCAAAAGAAACGTACGGGACACTAAAGTTTGATAATAGACATTATTCTGAGTGCTGTTCGCTCAGTTTGGATACCCAAAATATGTACGGCAAGAAAAAGAAGGAAGAAGGAGCCGTGTCCAAAAAGGCTGACTTTCATCATACGTAGATATAGCACAGAGGGCCGCCCGTCGTGCTCATCACGTCTTTATTCTCCACCTGCTTTGACAAGGTACCCATGATGATCGGGTCAGTCAAGTGGCCTGGCGGGCTGCCCGTCGGGTCCAGAGTCGATGTGCCACCCGCGAAAGCATTCTGGCGATCCTTCAGATCTTGGTTCTGCCACATCCACCACGTTCGATCGATTTGAGCGTGGTGAAGGAAGAAGGTCGGCTCGGCCGGGGAAGCAAACAGGTCACCACCGGGATCGCCGTTGGTGGTGAAGTGCCCTCCAGTGTGAACACCATAGAAGCCGGCTGTGAAGTTTCCTTGCATGCGGGTTTGGAAAGACAAGATGTCATTGTATTTGGTGACCAGGTCGTACACGTCCGAGTCCTTTGTCCAGTTCGAAGATACCCAAGATGAGATGTCGCGACGGAGGCAGCGGGGGTTGTAGGCCAGAGGGTCTGGACTAGTGTAGTTGATGATGCCCGGGATGTCCAACGTCGGTGACACAGGGCCGAGGTTCACAGTGTAGTTGGCAAAGGGTCCGGTGTTCACGCAACCACCGCCGGCGCCGGGAGGAATGCAGTTCAACCCGGTCGGAAGCGCGTTGGTACAGCCGTGCGCGGCGTAAACCCCGTTTCCGGACATGCTGTACGCACTGCCGTCGAAGATGGGTGAGTCGAGAGGATCGAAAGCGTACTTGCCCCAATTCCAGTACGGTTGGTAGCCAGTATAGCCACACTCGTTTCTTAGTGCCTGTTCAAATGACCAGGTGAAGTAGCGGTGCCATGCCAGAAAGTTGGCTGTTCCGTGAATCATAAGTGTCTGGTTGATGTGGACGGCCACGAAGTCGTCGTATCTGGACCTTGCACCAGCCGCGAAGGAAGGATCATGAGTTGGTTTCGACATCAAGCATAGTTCAGCATTGATATAGTTCAGCCGCTCTTGTTGTGAAAGTGTTGACCATTCCCGGCGGATTGCTGCGTTGAGGAGGTTGCAGCTGCTTGAGGGATTAGAAACTTCATAGATCGCAAGATTCACGAGAGCCTTGGCGGCCAAGACATCCGTTTGGAAGGTCGAAGCTGGTATATAGTTTGATGCTGCAGCGTTTGTTGTGGTACTGCGTTCGGCGAAACTGTTAGGGGCGTCCTCTGCTGGAGCAGGGGCAGCTTGAGCTCCGTACAGGGCCAAAAGGCCCGGTACAAGGTATCGAAATTGCATTATTGACGAGAGCCGCAGTAAGAGAAGACACCTAAGCTTTGTGATGAACAGTTGAGACTCAGGTCAGGGTTCTTTCGGAAGGCTCGCTTGTGGCGGAGGTAGTTGGCCCTGGGAAGAAGTTTTGCAGACTTGGGAATACGAGAAAGGTTTATATTGTTTTCTCAACCTCCTCCCACTGCCACGTGGAGTGTGATTTGCCACGTGAGATGGAGTGAAGTAGTCCCTTGTTATCTTGAGGAGGAATCTCCTTCGCAAGACGCGCGTAAAACTGTGGACGTTGGGAGACCTAGAATCTGTGCCTGTCTGCACCGGAAAGGAAACTATCGACCATTTATTGATTGTACTAACCAAGCTTGATCGAGCGAGGCTGCACAAGGCACAGTAGGGTCTGATTTGGAGCAAATAAGCATTCGAGTTTCAAGGACTGTACCTGGAAGGGTTAAACCCAGTGCGCCTCCGGGGCCATGATGTGGAATGATACCCTGGCATCTTGATTGCCATGGTGCCATGGGCCATGGCAAGGCTTTGCCACAGCGAGCGCTCGCCGATCATTTCGCTTCTCGAAGGCTTTTTGGCAGAGACAATGCATTTCGGCAGTTGCGGTAGAAGCACCAATGGAAGAGCACTACTATGGTGGTAGGCTGCGAACACGATGTTAAGCGATCAGAGGCTTGTCCAGGCTATCGAAAGAGGAAGGCCTGAACACCGTCTGCAGGTGCTCCCGTCCTGCGTGTCCAGTTGCAGCGAAGATGCAGCAAAGGACATAGTGATGCATGGGCAGGACCAAGGAGCGAACAGGAGTCGAAACATGGAAAGATTTGCAGAAGACAACGGCAAATCAGGGCAAAAGCCTAAAGGGCGGAGGGAAGGCAAGCCACTAAGGATGCAACTAAACGGCAAGACTAATTCCAGAACGATCAAGCCTGCATTGGCGTCAACGCTAAAATTCACGTCTTTGTTCGCAACTTCCCACGATGGCGTTTTGTCCCCGTTCCACACCCGACCCGATCTCATCTAACCGTGATTAACGAGATCATCAAATTCTGCTCGGCACGGTGGATTTTTATATCGCTCAGTAAGGCCTCAGAAAGACCCAGTGCAGCATGACCTGTTGTCAAACTCGACGGCTCGGGCATCTAAGCAGGCTCTATGAGGGACTCGGGGCTTTAGGAGGCCCTTTGACCATCCTTGTCTCATCGGCACTCTTCAGTACCTGTACGACCCAAGGTTTTTGTGCCTGACTATCCAGGGCCCCTGGGTATTGCCGCGTCCCAACGGTGCAATGTTATTATCAACAGAAAAGCTGGCTCGGTCGGGCTAATCGAGACGACCCTGGTAAAGCAAGCTTGCAGGAATCCCTTCACCCTAATTTGTACTTACACATTTTGGGTTGGAATGCCGTGATGGGAGAACGCCGACCAGGGGACGGGGCTCCGCCCTCCCGCACGTCTGTGCCACCATCCTGCACCCTTGCTACTGCCCAGACAAGACATCTCTCTGACACGGAATCTGCCTGGCCCACCTCACGTAGGTGGTGTTTGGCGGTGTGAGAGCCATTGTCGTGCGAATGGTATAGTACGTGGTTACTCTAAGGACAAGGCCATGAATCCTTACCAAGGTGCCAATTTGCAACGGTCACTAACCCCTTCTCGACCCTTCTTCATCGTGTTCGACCAGTCTAACAGTTCACCAGTCTAGCAAGGCTAGGTCCAACGGAACACTCCCTGCGGGTGGCTTGCTGGAGTGTCTCGTTCTGGAAGATGCATGCAGCCAGATGATGGTGCCGAGAAGGACAAGACAACAGCTAACTAGATGAAACCAAACTTATTGGACTCAGGGACGATTCTCAGAAAGCATTAAACCTCACACCTCCCATCTCCAGACTCGAAAGCCGTCCGTACACTTGGGAGCCTCACTTGCGAAGCACCACACGGCTCTCTTCACCTGACCCCTGACGTTTTAACCTGAGAAACCTTCACACATCGTCTGCCATGATAATTCCGGAACCTGGTATGTTGCTCGTGGAGCAACAGAGCACAAGTACCACTCAATACAAACACAACTCGAATGCGTCCAATCTACTCGCCATTCATGGAACCTTCTGTGGCATCGCTGTTCTTTCTGTTGTGTTACGGCTGTATGTGAAGGGTGTTATGCTCAAGAGCATGGGAAGCGATGACTATACCATCATTGCAGCGGCAGTCAGTTCTTCTGTCAATTCTCTATATACACTTGCGGCTGACCATCATCTGCGTCCAGGTCCTTTCCGTCGCTGTCGTGGTCTGTTTTGCTGGAGAAAGTGCCGCTGGCGGCCTGGGCAGACATCCGGCTTTGGTTTCATTGCCTGACTGGGAAAACTTCCTTCATTGGCGATTCTTTCATTCCCTGATCGTCATGGTCGGCATCAGTCTGGTCAAGATATCCATTGCCTGCTTCCTCCGCCGAATGGTGCCCAACAAGAATTATCAGCGGTTCCTGATAGGAGCGATCATCTTTCTCGTTGCATTCACTATTTCCTGCGCTGGCACACTAATCTTCAACTGCGGTGGTCATGTTGACGCGAACTGGAACCTCGGACTGCGTACGGATGGAACGGCAAAGTGCTTTTCGAATATAACATTCACGAATATTGGTATTTGGAACAGCAGCGTCAACATCACCACCGATGTCATCTTTGCGTGTTTGCCCATTCCTATCGTCTGGAACCTCCAAACAAACATGCGTACCAAGATCACGTTGGTCTTTATTCTCAGCTTGGGCCTGTTCGCATGCGCTGCGAGTATCGTGAAGACTGTTTATCAGGCTCACGCTCTGCTGGATCCGGACTGGACTTTCCATGACAGCTTCTTCATGTGGAACAATATTGAATACAATGTCGGGATCCTGGCCGCTTCGCTACCCGCTCTACGCCCACTATTCACCAAGCTACTTGGCGTCACTCAGAGGTTTACCTCTAGTAACAACACCCGTGGCGAAAAATACGGTGGATATGATGCCGACGGCTTAGCTTATGGCAGAAGCAAACGTGCCTCGCAAAACCCTGCTCGAGACTACTACCACCAATTTGATTCCAAGCAATCGACTGAGCTGAATGATCTGCGAAGGGGTGCCAGCAAACGTGCGTTTGGCGATGACATCAACAAAGTGCGAGGAGTTACCAGTACAATCACTGCTGGTGATGATGACAGCGACAAAATCATGCTTGATCAAGACTGTCATGCCATAGGAACTGACCAGGACTGGAACAAACCGTCGAATCATGGCATCACCAAGACAACGACAGTGCAGGTTTCCACATACTAAGCATCTCCAGCGATGTCAACCGCATCAACGTCGAATTAACGGCCGTTACTATACAGACACAGGCGCATGGGACGCATGAATGCTTCAATCATACCCCATCTGCTTTTTAAGCAATCACACCAGGATTTACGGTACGGACACGAAACCAACACACCTATGGACACATACTTCATCCAACTGTGCCGCTGAAACAAGTGCACAACTGTACATTATATGCATATAGCGTCTGCGAATACGAAGGTGTATATACTGATCGCGCTGCTGCAGCTTGTGTAGAGGCCATCTTCCCCAAATCTCGAAGTTACTAATCGAAGGTCACTGGCAGGAACGAGTCTACCAGACTGATCATGCGGTCGAACAAGGACGCGATTGGCTTACGTGCCTTCTTCCTAATTCCTGGACGGTCGCGACCTAGCACAGGGGAGTCGCGGGTCGGTCTCAGGTGAGACAGATCGAGATCGTCTTCACACTACGTGGGTCTTTGCACCATAATGGATGGAACATTGCCATGCCCAGCACGCTACTATAGACTCATGGCAATGCTGCAGTTAGACACCAAACATCTGCTAAGTTGAAACATGGTGACCTATTGACCTCCGCACGGGTCATCATTGTCGAAAGGTCGAAAAGCGTTCGCCATTTCCAATCCTCGCTACAAAACTCGAATCGAGATGAGCAATTCGTCTAGCAATGGCGCGAGTCGCGACTTGCAGCACGAAGGCGCATAAGCCATATGAAGCGGGCTTCAGTGTGTGGGGACTGTTGCACCCACCGTCGGTGTTATGGATCCAGACCGCCGGTCGAGCAAGTGAGGGGATTACTTAACCAGAACACTACAGTAGCCAGCCCTTCCGAGGTCCCGAGAGAATGGCCTTCAGACTGCCCAGCCCCCAATATCTGGAACATGTCAGTCTGCATTGTCGAACACTGACTGTGAGGTCCCAAAAATCAACGCACGCAACGCTGACGACGCGTGAAACACCTGCCAACCCAGCACTGGGAATGTTTAAACCTGCAACGCTCATGGCAAAACCCTTATGAGACCTTGGTACCTCTTTGTGCTGCGTGTGCAATCAATTTAAAGAGGAAACTATCCCGCAAAACCCCAGTGCTTCAAGCTAAGCGAAATGGTTTGCGCAAGTCTCGCAAGACAATGCAACCTCGTAGGCCTGCAGGCGAAATCACGCAGCATCGCTTAAATTCTAGCATTGTTAATGGAGCACTATGGTAAGAACGAGCCGGATCGGCGTTTGGTTGCCCTTGGATTCTCGCACTGCACACTTGTGGGATAAGTTACTGCAAGTATCGTGTTATAAGACCTCCGTAAGTGATTGGATGCTCAGAAGCTGCAGCTTGAAAGTCGTCCTGGCATGTCTCGCTAGGAACTTGGGAAGAGGTTCCTAGGCTGTTGAGGTGCCCACTATCCGCAATGAAAGAATTGGAGCGACTGGAGTCATTGGAGTCAAAGAAGGTTCGACGCCCTGCCGAGGCCCGGACGATCACCCTTGTTGACAGTCCAGAAAAGTCAAATGGGGACGGTGCGTGTTGGTTTAAAATTGTGGGATCATGGGGGCCTCTGGGGCTTTTACGCATCGCTTCAGCATGGACATCTCTTGGTGGCATTTTGACAATCGTCGATTGACTTTAGTTCCGTACCATCTCGATCTGGGGATGCCACAGGCCTACAGCAAGCTGTGTTCTGGCCTCTGGGACGCAGGAACAAATCTTAACGTACCGTACCATTCATTCGTCCAGGTCGAATTACTTGAACCACTTATTTACAGTATTCGTACAAGGGCATTGTTAGCATTCGGTCTGTCACGAACTTTGAGGTCTGATGCTGTACACTGTGCCTGCATGCGAAGCACGCAGAGATCCTCGCCAGATCCTGAGGCCCGGCATCCGGACCTCGGAGCGAAGACCTGCATCTGGAAGGCAGACATCGAAAATTAAGGCCCTCGGAACCCTTCTGCGTTCCAGAATGTGCCACCGTGCCAACCATGCCAGAACAGGGCATAGTATCTTCATGGTCAGTCATGTGGGCATGTTCCAGAGAGAATTATCGGCGATCGACTTGCAGACTAATGAATTGGGTAGTGGACCTTTAAATCTCTAACCGGGCACAACCTTAGCGAGAATGCCTGTATGCTTCAAATTGAGGGCAAGTTGATTTGGCCTCCGGATAGAGGATATCGTAGATCGTCTGGTCAGTACAATTGACATGGGCCAAACCCCAACTCATGGGACCGGTTGCCGCAAAGTCTTGCAACCAAGATAGTGGTCGTTGGCATCTCGAAGGCTTATAACAGTACATTTTCAGTACCTGCAACACGACTAACGTGACCTGCTAACATGCTGTCTGGATGACCTAGATGTTGTACCATAATCATTATATGAACTTTGGCAAAGCAGGCTTCTCGCTCATATGCTACTACATGCAACACACCTGTACAGATTAGCCTGCAGGATATCCTGTCCACCCTCGATGTCCTTCTTCGAAAGCATCTTGTTATGTCTCATCAATTCCGCGGCTTTGGTCATGACAGGGTCCATCTGCATACTGGCTACGGCCACAACCGTGTCATCCTTGCAATAGTACGCCGCAAACTTGGAGTTCTCTGGCTCGCCCTTGAGCACAAGATCGTCCCACCCATTGGTCGTCGAACCACAGTACCTCAACTGACTGCCCAGCGCGGACCAGAAGATCGGGATAAATGGCTTAGGCTTGCCAGCCTTCGCAATGAGTTGACCGACAGAGCGTCCCATGTTCTGCGCCACGTTCCAATGTTCAATGCGTGTGGGCTTGCCGCCACCTCCGGGTCCATGGTATGGGTATGTCGCGATGTCTCCAATCGCATAGACGTCGGTGAGCCCTTTGACCGCAAAGTTCTCATCTACTGACACACTCCCGTCTTCCTCCAACTTGATCTTGGGGTTGTCTTGCAGGTAATCTGTGGCAGGTCGCACACCAATGCCGAGAACGACGAGATCGGCCTCAAGCTCGGTGCCGTCCTTCAGCTTGACAGCGCCTACGGAGCTGAGACCAACGGCACTGGCAACTTTGGAGGCTGGCACAGCTGAGTCGACACCCGCCTCCAGGTAGAACTTGGCGCCATTCTTCTCCAGCGCCTTCTGGAAGATCTTGCCGACCTCCTTGCCCATGACACGCTCCATGGGAGCGGACTCCATGCCGACTACGCTGACGGAATTTTCCTTGGCCAGAGCGTTAGCAACTTCCATACCAATGAAGCTGGACCCAATGATAACGATCTTCTTCTTTCCGTCACCCACGGCATTCATGATGGCTTGAGTGTCGCTGATCTGCCGCAGAAGGAAGATGTTGGAGAGTTCTTTGAAGCCAGGTAAAGGCAACATCTTGGGCGTTCCACCCGTGGCCAGGATGAGTTTCGTGTACGGGAACGCTTTGCCGGTCTTGGTCTTGACCTCTTTTGCTTCGAAGTCAACGCTTGCGGCGGTGTCCGAGTAGAAGTCTATTGACCCATCCTTATAGAACTCTTCTGGTTGCAGGTAGATCTTGGAGGGATCGGTGATGAGGGCTTTGGACAACTTCGTTCGGTCGATCGGGAGGCCTTCGCCAGTGATGACTGTGACCTGTCCTTTGAATCCGAGTTTGCGCAGATTCAAGATGGCACCGAAAGTGCCTGAGCCACTAGAGCATTGTCAGCCTCAGTGCTTCAAGACAATAAGCCAGCATTTTCCCTTACCCGCCAACGATAACGACCTTCTCCGACGACGAGGGCGTCGTCTTGACGTTGACCTGTCGCTTACCGCCTTTGATGTCCGCCTCTTTTCCTGTTATGTATACCCCACCGTCTTTCTCAATTACATTGAACTTGTTTAGTGCGAAGGGCGCTGGGGAGTCTTCGACGTCGCCGGTAGCGGTGTTGAAACATGCTGCGAGACAAACATTGTCAGCATTTGCATTGATCGTCCTTGGTGTAGGTATACGTACCTCCGTGCCACGGACATGTCAGGCGTCCTTCAGGCGTAAGAACACCGTTCTTCAATGGAGCACCATAATGTGTACAATTGGCATTAAGAGCAGATACTTGACCACCAACTTTGACTAGAAGCACTTTTCCTCCTTCGATGCCTTCAACTTCAGCCTCGACTTTGTCCAAGTCGTTGAGCTCGAGCTTGGACAAGCCCTTCAGCTTGAATTCTTGGGCCATCTTGCGAATGTGAATAGAGAACGATCTGGTCAGGAAGCGGGGTGAGCGGACAATTGGAGTTGCAACGGAGGCTGATAGCAACGGTTTATACGAAGAAGCAGTGACCAGGCGAAAGGTAGGCCTGGAAAACATGAAATGATTAGGACAAGGAGATAAGATGGTCAGGAATCACGGCGTAACGGCGTTGGAGAGGGACAAGCAAGGCATGCCCATCGACTGAAAGGTGTAGACGAATGATAGTGGTGATGCACTACATGTCTGATTGAGGACCTGCATGGACGCTGTGAACGACTCCAAAGTCAAGAAAGTTGCGTCATTGCAACTTAGTAAACACGCTAAAACTACCTCTAAATCAGACTCACCCAATGGCTTCTGGGCAATTGTTAACCCGCATAAATATAGCAAGCAAGCCATGGTACAAGTATCAATGGGCATTGGGCGTTTCTCCTGTCAGATCATCAACGACTCCAGCAATGTTCATTTCCATTAGTATCAATATGCAACTCGATGCCTCGGAATGTGCCCGGATAAGCCTGAAGCAACACTGCCCTCTCGACTTGCACCAAGCGCCCCCGTCATTGAAATGTCGCCTTTGTCGCCCGGCGTCCGTGAGCGACTGCGCTGTTGAGTCCGCTCAAACTTCGCCCTCTCCTCGTCCAGTACGTGCTGCTCAGCCTCCTCATCAAGTAGTGTCCCATCAATCTGCAAAGACCACTTATTCCGCTCATGCGCCGGCACCACCTCTGTGTCCACCACCCGGAGTTTCAGCGTAGAAGGGACTTCAGCGCCAGTCGCATCCGCAAAATGTCCGCTGTCGTCGCGGATGTGTGCTTGCGAATCGGTCTCATTTTCTGCACGTCCATCTTCATGGTTTGCATCGTCCGCAGCCGGTGCAGCTCCAGCATCGTCCCGTAGCCTGCCCTTCTTGCCCTTCTTCTTTATGGGACTGCTTTGAGCTCGACTGGGACCGATCCACTTCCACTCCGCTGGTATCCGAGACTTATCCACCGCCGTCTGGAAATAATTGTAGCTCACCAACCCGACAAACCCTTCGGATGTGACGTTGGTCCAACCTAACAGCTCGTCTCCTCTTTCTGGTTGGAACACCAAGAATGTCGCAGTAAGCCATACCCAGCACACCCCATACTCGTCGGCTGCTTTCGCGAGGACTTCGGATTGACGTTGGACTTTGCCAGTCGAGGGAGCTATGAGAGGCAAGTTTACAGTGGTATCAGCTTTTGCTGATAGGACAGGGTCCGAAAAGCCAAGGACTATGCCTTTGGCTGGCGGAAAATATGTGAGCAATAACGGCGCAAGGTGTGTCGCAAGGAGTGAGGAGCTGCTCGATTCGAGCGATACAGCGGGTATTGAGAGGTAGAGGGAGAGTCGTGTAGAGTAGAAGGAGGTGGGATCTTCCGAGCTTAATAGGTCGGCGATGACTTCTGGTTCGACCTCGACAATTTCATCGCCATCAACTGCCGTCGAGGACGGCTCTAGTATAGTTTCCGTAGAGGGTTGCTCATCTTGTGTCTGCAGCGCATCGGGGAGCTCGACATCCTGGTGCTCTGGGACCTCTTCCTCGCTCTCTTCGACTGGTATCTTCTCGTCTTTAGACTTCTTCTTTTTCGTCTTTGCAACTTCTGTCGGTGACTGTTCCGGAGCCACGACCACGCTGTCTGCGACTTCTGTCCGCTGCTTCTTCTTCTTTTTGGAGGCTTCTCGATCTTCGGAGGCGTGCTTGCGCTTTTTCGAGGACGTCAAAGAGTCCGCACCTTCTGCCGGCGAGGCATGTTTACCAGTACTTCGTACCGACATGGCTGGGTTTTCGTGACGATTATTGAGATTCTTCAAACCGAGCGCGGATCAACAAAATTTCTTGAAGACAAAATGAAGGGACGCAGAATGCGGGGAAGGTTTTCCGAGCGCCCCTTTCTAACGATAGCCTCGTCGTACTACCAGGTTCGTGTTCTTCATCCACACCTTCATCGATTTTGCGAGTCTATGCTCGCTTTTGAGCCTTTCACCAGGCTTAATCACGCATCGCATCACGCAACAATGTGACGTGCTGTCAGACTCACTGCGAGACACTTCTACATATCATACACCATCGATGCCAGCATACCAAATAGCCTCAATCCGGATTATTGTCGAAATTCGTACATCATGTGAGATTTCTATCGCGCAAAACCGCCAACGAACGTGATTCCAAGATACATTGGCAGCGTAACCGGAAAAGCAATCAAAGACGACACCAAAGTTAGCTACATACTGAAGTTCTGCTGATGTGATCATATGTGACATTGCGAGAACAGCTTTGTCTGGCCCAACTACTTCCCGTTGAGGCTATACACTCCAGTGTGGCACATTGAAAACACGACTGTTACCCTCGCAACCCCGTTACCTATAGGCCTTAGGCTCTATAAGAATGCTGCATCAGATGTGGTCATGCCTTCAACCTCTTCGTGCACATATTTCCAAATGTCCATTCAGGTGGTCTTGCGTTGAGAAGGACGTTCCGCACTTCGAGCATGTACGGACCTTTTGAAAAGGACCTGGTTCGCCGCCTCTTTTGCGCGTACCGTTGTTGCAAGCCCGGCTGGTATCTCGCTTGGTACCGTGACCCTTCGATTTTGCGTTTACTTTCCCGGGACGATCGCAACACGGACAAATTACGATTGGGGGGCTCTCCCCTATATTACGCCTGACGCATGATTCGCAATCCTTGCCCTGGCAATCTCTTTCGCAGATATATACTTTTGTACCTTGCGTCAGAGTTGCATACGCTGTGTCTAGCTGTCCGTCAGGAACGGACTTCTTCACAATGGACAATGACAGACCACAGTATCTGCACTCGAGTTGATGAGGTTGCTCAGCAGTACCAAGGGCAGTGTAGATACCATCGTAAGGCCCGTCGAGGTCAGGAAGGGGAGATTTATCCTTCGTCTTCCCTTCGATTATCTTCAGCTGGTGGGTTTGATCGTGAATGCCGTCCTTTGACAGAAGATTGCTTGGTTGATAAGTACTTGTTGTTGGTGGCAAGGTCTTTGGTGTCCAGATCTCTGTGGAAGTTTTCGTAAAGTGCGTCTCAAACGGCTCCGATTCTCCTTCTAGAGGCACATCATCTCGATGGTACATCGACATTAGGCTTGAGTGGCTCTAAATGTGCTGTCGTCTATTCCAAGGAAAAAAAGAACACTTTCCTTCCAAGCTCACCATCGTTGTAAACAAGACTGCATGCTGTCCAGACTTCGTCGAAACTATGCTAGTAGCGGCGGATTGGCCTGACTGCCTAGTGTGTTCCGTCGTTTGGTACTCAGCCGCAAAGGAAATGGTCATTTTCCACCAACCAATATGTAGCTGCTGCCGCCGCTCATTTTCAGCCAATGATACGGTCATGTCAACACAGGGAATCAAAAGTCACCAAAAGTGCCAAACCGTGGCCAATCGCGCTCGCAGGACTCTGTGCCCCTTTCGCACACGCAGCCACGTCACATGCGGCGAAATGAACGCTGTTCTTCTGCTAGTCGATGGAAGTCCGCATCTTGAGCTTGTAGTTTTGTATATCGGGGGGTGTAAGTTCAAGTGTAGCCTGTTGTTTGTGCTCATCATAGAACAGAAACTACGACCAAGCTTTCGGTTACCCTCAGGGAGGCGCAACATTCTGATCAAGAGGTAGAGATATGGCTAGGAGATCCAGACTCAGTAAATTCATGGACGGGATAATGATACAGGTATGCAGGAAGGAGCTTGAGCTCCAAGGTTAGTGCCTGGCAGATCCATCTTGGCACTGGCAGCAATCTTATATTCTTCCCAAACACTTGATACTGGATACTCTTACCACCCCAAGAGCATGCCCATAAAAGCACCGGACAGTACTCCGTACCTCAAGTTGATTGAGAAGTCCATAAGGTAGTCTGCTCGTGGCGGTTCCTTCTGAAGTGTCTCAAACCTACTAGTAAAGTTAGGGTACACCGGAACTTGATACTTACGTATCATCGTCCATTGCGTCATGTCACCACAACCCAGATTGGTGATACCAACACTCTATTTGGATATCTAGTACTAGGGACACGCAAACACCACCACAGATATCCATCACTATTCCAAGGTAGGGGTACATAGCATTCAAGAGCAGTCGCATTCAGTCGTTCCTTCTTACCACCCAGAACACAGCAACCGTTCATCAAAATGAGTTCCTCGAACCACCACCGTCCCGACATGGAAAAGCACGCAGACCCAGATCCCATAGCCTACGAAAAAGAAATCTACCAGAAAGGCCTGAACTACGCCCGCCCTCCGTTCAGTTTCAATGCCCTAGACTGGGAAGGCCTCGCCTCAGAACGCATGTCCGCCGAATCCCGCGGCTACAGCATAGGCAGCGCGGGAACCGGTGAAACCCTACGCAAAAACCGCGAAGCATTCTCCAAATGGTCCATCACACCGTCCCGACTAATCGGCACAAAATCCTTCCCCGACCTCTCAACCAGAGTCCTCGACAAAAAGCTCCCCTTCCCCATCGCCATCGCCCCAGTCGGCGTACAAAAGATCTTCAACCCAGAAGGCGAACTCGCCTCCGCCCGCGCCGCAGCAGCCCAAGATGTGCCGTACATCATGTCCACGGCATCCAGCACATCGATCGAGGACGTCGCAAAGGCCAACGGCGACGGCGAGCGCTGGTTTCAATTATACTGGCCGTCACGCGAGCAGGACGACATCACAATCAGTATCCTCAACCGCGCCAAAACTTCAGGTTTCTCTGCACTGATCGTCACGCTCGACACATATATCCTAGGCTGGCGGCCCAGTGACATGAACAACGGGTATAACCCGTTCCTACGCTCCGACCAGATCGGCGTAGAGATCGGTTTCAGTGACCCCGTGTGGACAGCGCAATTCAAAGAGAAGCACGGCGGCTCACCTCAGGACAACCTGGGCGCCGCCGCCGCAGAATGGACACGCACCATTTTCCCGGGCTTCTCCCACGGCTGGGAAGACATCAAGTTCCTCCAGGAACATTGGCAGGGTCCGATCATTCTCAAGGGCATCCAGACCGTCGCCGACGCCAAAAAGTGTGTCGAAGTCGGCGTGCAGGGTCTGGTCGTTTCCAATCACGGCGGACGCCAGGTCGATGGCGGGAACTCCTCACTCGGCATCCTACCCCGGATTGTTGATGCGGTTGGTGACAAGATAGAAGTGTTGTTTGACTCAGGCATCCGCTGCGGCGCTGACATTGCCAAAGCCATGGCTCTCGGCGCGAAGATGTGTCTAATCGGAAGGCCCTTCGTCTATGGCATGGTACTTGGTGGTGAGGAGGGCGTGAGCCACGTGTTGAAGGCTCTGCTCGGGGATCTCGAGTTGACACTTCACCTCGCTGGAATCACATCGACATCTCCAGACGTCTTAAACCGGGACGTTCTGGTTCGGGAAAGTGACTTCTTTTGAGTGATTGTGCTGTTAGATAGAGAACAGTTTTCACAAAGAGAAAAGATGGTTGTAAGGTTATAGATAGATGTCAAAAAGGGTACATCTTCATAGATAATCGGGGTTTCATTTCTCAAAACGCCATGCGCCATCGCCCAGCCCGTATCTGCGTGTAACATAAGATTGAGAGGATCCATACTCTATATGTGCGTGCGTACACGCCAGATGCCCATATGTTCAACGCCAGTCTCTCCTCTCTATCCCGCAAGCCTATTTCATGCTCCCCATTGATGCGCCAAACAATGAAAAAGAGGATACAGTCCAATGACACCATAAAGTGCATGCCGTTCAAAGTCACGGCTGATCTGAGTAAATTCCTGCCGCTGTCTCAAACAATCACGGTATCAGGGTCATGACGGGGTTGCGGTTCTATTGCGAAGGTATCGTCCAGACAGAAGGGCACACATTCACCCTCCTCTCAAGAATTGAATGTTGCTTGTAGATTGACAAAAGCGGCAGGCCCACCATCTTCCTCGAGTATATCAATCAATGCCTCGGTCTGCTTCCACGTTTTTTCCAGTGCAGCAGATGGTGATCTGCCCAGTGAGACTGCGACTAGTCAGCAAATGTCCAGCAATCTGGCGAACAACTCGACTTACCTAGAATGGCAGAGTTGAGCTCCTCCGCCACCGTCACTCGTCCAGAAGGGTCCAGAAGATGTCCGTTGACGCTGTCTTTCGGATCGGGATATGCTATCAGACTGAATATATCGTTCAATGCTTTCGTATGATCTCCCTCTTGGCCTGGGTATTCTCTTTGCAATTCTTGACCATACTGCATGACCTCCTGCATGAGTTGGTCGTACTGCAGGACATTCCCATCCACCGATGACTTGCCCTGCCTGTTGGATTGACTTTCACCGTTCGACTGCTCATCGAGCTCCATATCCTGGGCAAATTCGTCGTTTGACGACGACCTGGCTGTGTTCAACTCGACCGTTTTGCGAATCAGTTCGACCCATTTCTGACATTTCAGTTGAAATACAATCTCCATGTTTTGCGCAAGTACGGTCGGAAATTGTGCATGTGTTACCTCCAGAGCTTGGTCGACGTCTCCAGAGAGGATGGCGCGCCGTATTCCTAGGCCTGTTAGTCTAAGCAACTCCGGGATGGATTCGGCATCACTTACGTTGCCGGTGGACTGCGTCAGTATCGTCCCTCTCTGAGATCTCCGTCGCAGTTGCTGGTAGAGCATTGCTCAAAGACTCCTTCTCTCGCCGGATCTCGTCAGTGAAAGCTTTGGCTGTCTCGACATAGCCATCGTGAGCCAAAAACTGGGCAACCAATTCCTGAATAAGTGTTCCCTCGTCCTGTTGTGTAGGTAGCTGCGCCACCTTCGCCTTTCCAATATCTTTGGAGACGTTGTGCTTTTCCATCTCCATCTTGTCATCAATGTCAAACACAAAAGGTCGCTGGCCAAAGTTTGCAGTCACCAATGCGCCCGAGTGCTTCTTCATACCAATCGTTGGGAATGGCCGGATATCCTTCTTCAAATCTCTGAAGCAGACGCCGAGGTCTTGTCCGTTCTTGGTGAAGAATGCATGGCCGGCATTGAAATTGACACCACACCCGATGACATCCCCTGCACCAAATGTTGGTCCGTAGTTTCGACCCGAATGCTCTCCAAAGAACATCTTTCCGTCATCTCCATGGTAGCCCCATGAGTGAGTCTCCCAGCCTGGCAACCGTTCTAATGATGCTTCCCCCGTAGAAAAGCCAATGGCAATTGCTGTATCTTTGCTCTTATGCTTAATCTCCACCTCAAAGTAGTATAATCCGCAAGCCGGCGACATGGGGAAGTCTGCCCGAACAGAAGCCGCCTCGATTTCAGCCTTACTGGGAGACCCGCTGTACTTCAGATCCTGACCGTCGTTGATAACATCGAGTCCCGGATATTTGTCTTGCTCGCTCCACCGAGATGGTAGTGGCATCAATTGCTCTTCCTCTTTGGGTGGGTTGCTCTCCACGACATCGTAGGTCATACCACGATGTGACGGCGTTATACGATGCACGTTTGTACTCCCAGCACTTGTCGATAATGCGTTGCTGGCAGAAGACCCTCCTGAAGGCTGCTCTCGTTCTCTCTTCACCTTGGCCTTGTGTGCAGCTTCCAATTTTGCCACATATCTCGATGCCCGCAGGTAAGACGGCACGAAGAATGGATTCGTAGGCATGATACCTGATTCCAGCGCCGAGAGGTTTGCGAACTTTCGTGAATACGCGGGTAAAGATGCCGGTTTCCGCGAGAACGGGCTATTCGGCGAGTCGTGCTCCTGACCTGAATGACGCCTTTGGAGGTGCGATTCTGTCTGATAATGAGGAGGATATGAGCTGCTCGGAGGAGGACTTGCGAGGTGTGAGAAGGCACCCGATCTAGTCGGAGGTGGGAGGTTCTGGGAGGTTGCCCCGGACGCCACAGAGGCATAAGAGAGACGTCGGGGGACGTTGCCACCATATTGTCCAGGCCGGCTGCCGCTGCCCGAAGCCGAACCGTCCGTCATGTTTATGGGGAAAGAGGTACCGTGAATGAGCAGTCGCACTTGAGTCTGACACGCTCACACAGGTAGTATGGTTTAAATGAGCGGTCACGAGGGAGTATTCGTGGAAACAGGAGATTGACGCCGGTTTGCGGTTGAGATTGGAGAGGGCCGTTCAGGGCAATATTTCCTGGCCGATACCCATGATCAGAGGTCACTTGAGCACAAAGATGGTGGTGTTGAGGTGGCAGCGGTGAGTAGAGCACGACACTGCTGTTATCGTGCTGATATGGTGGTCGTTAGGTCATTTATTGGGCGGTTGCGGATCGCAGGTCACCCCGTTGCGGGGGATCAGTTTGGAGGACCTTTCCGCCCAAGAGTCTCCGATCAATCAGCCAACTTCACCCTAGTGAGGCTGCCTAATAGCAGTAACCACCTCAAACTTTGAAGCAGACGAAATCTACGCGCTTGAGAAATAAGTAAGCAGACACTTATTTCTTGCATGCCATGGTGAACACTTTGATGAAGTCTGCAGTTAGAGGCTTCATAGCCTCATGATTAGCTATTCTTACACGAAGGGATAAGTAAACGCCTCGAGTCACTCGAGCCTGCTTTCATCCCTGCTTTCATCCATGGAGGTCAGCCCCGCCCAGTTGCAGAATGATCACGATTCCATTGCTGATTTGTTGGGCGTCCATAATGTAGTGCGAGCGCCGTGATGCACCATTACCTGTTTTCCGTGAATCCCAGTAACCTGTTATACCATACACACGCTAACCCTCAAACGCCCTGCTGAAATGATGGAAATCCGTATCCTGCGGACAACTTTTGGAAGAACCCCTCCTGGCGTACTTTGCACACGCCGATGTCGAACCCGAATATCGCAACTTTCTGATCTGAGAACGTCAAATCACGTGCGTTAGATCCTGTATTGGAGAGCTTTGCATCCAGCGCCGGACATGACCTTGGGAATGGAATGGAAATATGTCGACCACATAAGATGATGAATTAGCCTTGAGCGGCGACAACAGAGGATGGTGGTGGCATTGGTGCGGGTGAGCTAGCCGCCGGAGTAGACATGAGCATGGGATCAGGTTGTTCACCTGCATTGCTATCCATGGCGGTATCACTCTCATTAGGCTTGATGTCACTGCTGCTTTGTTGAGTAATGTCCTTGGCTTCGCTGGAGTCCTCTCCATTGAGCGTTGCTGGTCTCTCGTTGCCTCTCCATGAAGGAAGATCCCAGCTGACGCCAGTGAAGCTCTTCACGGAAAATGCCTTCTTAATCCACTTGCGACAGGGTTTTCCGGATCTGTCAAGATTTCGAAGACCAGCGTTGATAGCACCCTGGTTCGCTTTGGGACCTAGTTTCTGACCACTAGGGCCGAAGGCAGGGACGGACATTTTGACAGTAGAGTCGGCTGCACCATCTTCTCTGTAGGACAAAGTCAGCCTTGGATTACATGATAAGACGACAAGAACTTAGTGGTGGTACATACAATCTAGCTTTCTTCTTTGGACCTGGTTTGCCTCGCGGTTTGGGTAGATCCGCTGTATCAATCATTTGTCCCAGACTTCTCTTCGATCCCGCCCCGGGGGCCTTGCGTTTCTTTGAGGCCTCGCCGTTTGCTGAGTCGGTAGCGGGCGCAGGAGTCGAGTTGGACTCTGAAGCATTGTCATTGTTCTCCGGAGCCTTCACTATAGTTGCGTCGTCAACTGCGGGAGCAGGCGATGAGGCCACCGACGCTGTAGATTGTTCTTCAGATTTGGGTGTAGGTTCCTGAAATCGACGTAGTATCTTGGGCGACAGCTTCAATATGACTGTTTTGGTCTGCTTCTTCGTCTTGTCTGGTTTGGAGGCAGCGGCTGAGGGCGACCTTCCTGGTGTGCTCGAAGATGAGACAGCCATGGTAGGCGTGGTGCTATGATTGACGGCGGGTAGGTATTCTTATGGGAGGAAGCGAGGACGATGAGGTATTGTCAGTGTTGGCTTAGCTTCTGGGATGGGTTGTTGGTGGAATCTGGCAGGCGGCTGGAATTATTTGTATAGTGGAGCGCGTGCTTTGAGGTAATTATTTTGTTAAAGGGCTAGGTCGTTTGAATTGGTAAAGGTGGTGACGGGTGGTGAAGTGTCATGGAGGCAGTTGGTGGTGATGGTGAAAAGAAAGGTAAAGGAAGGAGAAAGAAGGAGTTGATGATGAGACAATCATCATGGCTGGGGGAGAGTGTGATTGTGCCGGAGGATGGCATGGCATGGCAACTGTCGGATCTTTTGGGTTGGGTTGGCTGATCTGAGTGTGCAGTGCAGTTTCTAACCCTTTGCCAACTGCCAGACCAGAAGTGTGTTACGGTTACGGGAGCGAGACGGAGAAGGCGAGGTGCGAGGGCGTCTTTGCTCTCTGTCGGCAAGCAGCCAATCATACCCCGTCTTGGCTCAATTTGGGAAAAATATCATCCCCTGCAGGGCACAGGTCGCCTGTCCTGTCGCTTGCTCAGCGCCCATCCTACGCGTCCTAACTAACTCAATAGTCAGGAGGGAAGGGGAAAAGTCCGCTGCTAATCGAGGCATCCAATGGTCCTGAATCATCACCAAAGTTACCCTGATGCAAACCCCGATCCTTGCATGACTTCTTACATTTCATCACCCAGACTTCCCGACAACAGTACTGGACGGCTGAAAGGAAGAATAGGCAAACGCCATTGCCAATGTCAATGCCGCCTCTCACCTGTGCATTTTCATCATCCAGAACAGATGCCTATTGTTCGTTAGGCTATCAATGGCCCTCGAACAGGAATATTCCACGCGTCCATCATCATTGATGATTCGCCCAACTTCAGTATTCGTCGAGCTCTAAGAGACAAGACACCAAAATTATGCATCCCGTAAAGAGAAGACGCCTAAATCAAGGCACAGCATTCCTGAACAAGCCTTTCCGCTCACCACTGCGCATGACACCTAGCAGTCACAAGGAACAAACTTCAAGCCCAGATTCAAAGCTACAAGCGAATACTAATCATGACTTTCCATCGCCACGCGTGACCACTTCAAGTGATTCAATCGAAACGCCAGAAAAGCTGCATGTGTCGGTTGACTCTGCCAAAGTCGAATACAAGGACGTCCAAAAAGAATACACTGCATTGTCCCTTCATCTCAAGAAATTATCCCAATCACTTGACATTGCTCAACAAGCTCTGCAGATCGAAAGTTCAGCTCAAGATGTCCAGTTACGAGTTTTGATCTCCAAATGGAAAGCTGTTGCCCAAGATGCTGCTGAAAGGTTGTTTGTCGACGTCAAAGAACGGATCGATCAGATGGGCGGAGTTGCTGCCTGGCGGGCGAGGACTCAGGAAGATGCACGCCATTGGAACTCTCAAGAGGAAGGCAATGACCAAGTCCAGCACCGAGAGCCCCACGATGATGATGCTCCATCACAGAATGCCGCAGCAATCAAAGACGCTCGAGAATCAGAGAATGCTCCTGCAGACGAGGACGCGGAGGCAAGTGTAAGTCGGAAGCTTTCTTCATTCCCAATTATATTGGGCCCACTAATATACCTCGTATAGTTTTTCACTATGGACATGATGCTGCAAGAGATGAACATTGACCTCAAAGTCATCGGCTATGACAAGGACCTGGAAAGATGGGTTGACTGAAGTCGAGATCGACCTCGCCTCTAGAAGAAGATTTGGGCAACAATCCCAGTCCTCAAGATTGATTGCATTGGCAAACTGTTGATGCAGATGCCCTCCAAAATTCCCTCAGATCTGCTGTAGTGGTTATCCAGAAGCAAGGCGGCTGGAAGTAGGAAGCTGTTGTGGTGGTGGACCACAACCCTACTGCAGGTCATGATGGCAGGAATATTGGAAGCGCCTGGACTTTTGGAGCAGCCTGACAGGACCGCTTAGGTACCACAGCTGCTTCCGTCCCGATCGGCCTCTCTCGCAAGGTACAAGACCTGACAGGGCGAGGAGGCTCCTGACATGGTAGACCCAAATGTACTGTTGTTGAGAGCATGGACTCCGTAGAAATCCATTTCTGCGTAGCTGTTTCCCTTCCAATATAGCATGATGTCGTGATCTCATCTCATGACTGGAGGCCGACTTTCTTTATTCCACACAACTCGACTCTTAATCCAGTCAACAGCCTCCTTGACACCGCTCCCTCTCAGGGCGCTGACAGGCAAGACGCGACTGTCTCTCACCATTCCTCCCTTCTCGCCCTCGAACACTTTCCTTACAAACCCCTCCTTGATCCTAACGACTTCAAGACAATCTTCGCGATCCTGCTTGTTTGCCAGCACCAAGATAGGAATGCCAGCGGTATCTTCGTTCCCGAGCACACTTTCCAGCACGGCGCGGCACTCGTCCAGCCGTCCTTGAGCTTGCCCCGACATCAGAATGCTCGGGCTCATCGGTGTCCAAGGTGTCTGAGGTTCCTCATCCTCCTCCGGCTTATCAAAGTAGCTCTTCTTCCGCGTATGCCAGCCCGGAGTCTTTGGCGCGTCGTCCAGTTCTCCGCTGCCCAGATCTGTGCTATCCACCACAAAGACAATGGCGTGGGCACTCTTGTAGTAGCTGGTCCATAGTCTTCGTAGACTCATTTGTCCTCCTACATCCCAGATTTTAAGATACATGTCTGGAAGGTCTATCGTCGCGACATTCTGGCCGACCGTGGGTACCGTGTTTCCGGCGGTTTCTGATGGTGCGGCATCGCCTGTCTGGCCATCTGGGTCAAGGGTCGTGTTGAAAAGTGCCTTGATCTGGGAAAGGAGTGTCGTCTTGCCCGCGTTATCGAGGCCCAGTAGGATAATGGAGTATTCTGGGAGATCAGGTCAGTGGTCTGGCACACGGGAACGGGGCTTTTGTTCCGGGCACCCACCTGGCTTACTCGTTGCGTACAGATACAACGAACGCATTAGATGGTACATCTTGCGCAGTAACGCCGCGAAATGGGGACGAAGCACTCAAGGCACGGAACAGTGGTCAGAGGACGACGCGAATGCAGCCACGTATATCATTTTCGTAGATTGTGGCTTGCTCTGGACTGCTGCTGAAAGAGTGCTTCTCAGACGCAAGCAAAGGCCTCGAGGGAGTCGCAGGAGTCCGCTGGTTTGTAAGTTGGGCGGTGGCACGAGGCTACCGTTCCACAAACTCGGCCTGCGTTGCGTTGCTGCTCAGATTGAGCGTCCGCTGGAGTGCGTCAAAGAAAATCTGTATTGTCTGACTGAAAAGTCGAGGTTCAAATTAATGATGTCCAGGGGAATCGGTGGAACAGCCACAAACATCAGACAGAATATATTTTCTAGAATCCAAACCTTTGCTAAAACACAAGTCTCATGCAAGTACAATATCCATATCCAAGTCCTGCAGAACGTCCTGCCATTGTATGTCCACATCTGCCGACTCTATGCTCCGTCTCCGCCACAGCTCTTGAGCTATATCTTTCGATATTTCCAGGTTCATGAACCCATGCCGCCGTTTGACCATGTACCATGCGAGCATGCGTTGCTGCAATTCTTCGCTCAGACACTCACATGCCACTATGAAAGGCGGCCACACCAGTGTGCATCCAACAGCGTCCCCACCAAGGTCCTCGATGTTTTCGAGATGACCGACTGCAATTTCGACCATGTCTTGTACTTCGGTTGGTGGCCGCCGACGAAGAGTGCGTTGGAAGTGGATCAAGCTAGCATAGTAGAACACATAGGCGTGATGACGGGCCATCGCTTGTGCAAGCGGATCGTGAGTAGTAAGGTCCAAGGTCTCCGGTGTCTGCATGTACAGCTGCGTTTCCAGATTGTCGAGCAGCTCTGCGCTGGGATTTGGATCGGTCGTTGAAATGCGTTTGATCAGAGCATTCATTTTCAGAATGTGTTTCAAAATCGGCCGTGTCAGACCGAAGAATTGGTCGAGCACGTAGTACCTTTCGTCTAGGAAGTTCTCCGAATCGACGTCAAAGCTCGACGGAAGACTAATATTGCACAAGGCTGCGATGGCCAGATAGCCCTGAAACACCATTGAGGAGCTCTTGTCGCGATCCCATACGTCGCCCTCGATCGTCGACAGCCAGGATGATCCGCCTTGCAAATGCGTGCGCCATTCCGACGAACGGCCTGTGATCATGTCCATGGTTGAAAACATGGTGATGGTGGCAAGAATAGCGCCCCGCTGAGAATCGAGATCGAGGGTGCCTTTGATATTGGCGAGGCTGTGACGCAGATGCAGAATTGCCAGGTGATAGTGTTTCGTGGCCAGGGTGAGCGCATTAGCGTCCCCTTTGAGGAGCTGACCACGGCTGAAAGCTGAGGTGGCACAGAGCGCATGGAAGAGTGCAACTTGCCCGCTGGAGCGGTTTGATGGGGACGTAAGCCCTGCAAGTGCCATAGGGGTGAAGACGCTGCGGAAAGGGTTGTCCGGACGGTCCACTGGGACAAGGTGCCAGCAGACAAAGGACGTCCAGTGATGAATCAACTCTCGCTGCTCTGCTGGTCGGGGCAGAAGATCTAGATGTCGTGATTGCAACGGCGAGGAGGAAAAACCAAACCATTCTTGAAACGCATCGGATGATATAGTACTCGCGGAACCGCGTCTTCCTCTGAGAGTCAAGGCGCCGTTTGTCGAGGGAGAAACTATCAATTCGATGTCTTCGTCTCCATCGAAATTATACTCTGTCGGAGCCTCCAATGTATCATCGTAAACGCTGGTTCGCCGTGCCTCGACACTGCTAGCTTTCTCGTCGGCACAATGACGAGCAGCTGATGCGAAGTCGTGAATTGCGAAGACGGCAAACGGACCAAACGTCAATCCTTTCGCATCTGTCGAAGAATTGTCCAGTGTCTCAAGGGCATGCTGAACATCGATTCGCATAAAGCTCGAGTCATCGTCGTAAATGGCTGGGGCACCAATCGCCCGCCTAATATTTTGCTCGCGTTCCTGGGTATCAGGGTCGACCCAGACGAGTTTGATGCCATAACCCTGGCATTCGAAGCCACCTTTAACACACCGTGCACATTCTGGTCGAAGCTCATCACATTTCACGTGGCGCTTCCGACACGTCCAGCATGCTGAGAAGGTTTTGGTGTGCTTGATGGGTTGACGGGGTTTGGCTGCTTTACGACCTGTGGTGTGAGGTTTCATCTGTCGTTGGGATTACATCGCAGATCTGACGAACACTGAACCTGGCCGGCAGCTGTTCGATCTGACAGGACGCGACCTTTGAAACCCTGGGATTTCTATATATATGTTGCCGATCAACTTGAAGCAGGGTTGATATTGCGCAAATGAGGTCGGAACTGGTGGAAGAGATAAGGAATTTCCCGGTCAATGGCGAGAACCCCGCCTGTACCGTTGTTAACCTTAGTTGAACTTAGGCTAGCCCGTTTAATTAACCGACGTCAGAGCGTCTCGTGCTCAGCCTCGTCAGGCGAACTAAGCCTTCAATGCGGTAACATATGTTAATTGCTTGTCGCATGCTCCCATCCTGATTGTCCGGGACGCGATCGCACTCATGCCGGCTTCAATCTGGATCGATGTCGGTCCACATCCAGTTTGATCAACCCCCAGCCAGATGCTATACGAACCTCGACTTCATTTCCGGTCGGGTAATCCTCGTCCTCCCCAGCGATGCCTCCATCTCCGCAGTCACAGTCAAGCTTGAGGGCGAGAGTCGGGTGCGGCTCGCGGTCCCTAAGTTTCCTGGCAATGAACGCTCAGATAAGAAGAGGACCGAGCTAGAAGTACACAAGGTCGGAGAGCATAATTCCATGGCAACTTGCAACAACGCTGACACCAGGCAACAGCTCTTGTACAAAGTCCTTACTCTCTTTCCCACGGCGGAACTGCAGGAAACAGGCAGTGGCAACCCCTTTACCCTGCTGGCTGGTCAATACACATATCCCTTCAGTTTCAAGGTCGGCACAAATGGTCATTCGAAGTTGTGACCGATACTGACCCGCGTACTAGTTCCCTTTCAACAATGATTGCCAAAAGAGTCCTGCACCGTTGAAAGATATCAAGCTCGCTCTTATGAATCTACAATTCGCGCCGGACACAAAAATGCACGTGAAAAAGTCATTGCCGCCGTCGCTTAGCGGCTTCCCAGGCCTTGCAGAGATAAAATATTATATGAAGGCAACGGTGGTGCGACCCAAGTTCTTCCAGGGAAACATGCGATCAGTAAGGGATTGTTGTTTCTTTTGGAAATCACAAGAACTCACCTCACATAGGTCCGCGATATCAAATTCCTGCCCATTGAACCTCCACGACCCCAGAACAGAGACCAGGAGATCTTTGCTCGCAGAAAGCGACAGTTTCAACATTATAATGGGACCCAACCACAAAGAAAAGGACTGTTCAAAAAAACTCCCACTCCAATGTCGGCTCATGAAGAGCCCCCGGCTTTCCAGGTTGATGCACGTCTCCCCAGTCCCCCTATTATCACCTGCAACGAGCCACTTCCATTGAGGATCCTGATCCAGAAACTCAACGATAGCTCTGCCAACGCCTTTCTCAAGGTGCTGCAGATTGGACTGATTGGCCACACCTACGTCAGAGCTCACGATCTGGATAGGACAGAGACTACGACGTGGCCATTGGTGTCGCAGACGAACATGGATATCCCCTTGGGCAATTCTTCAGAGAAGAATCCAAAAGAGTGGAAACTTCCTTCACGGTTGTGGGATCATCTATCATTACCAAACACTGTCTGCCCAACCTTCGAAACGTGCAACATTTCTCGCCGTTATGAGTTGGAAGTCCAGGTCGGCCTGGTTCAAGGAGAAGCTAGCGTTATGCGGCCGGAAATCATCGGTTTTCCACTACGTCTGCCAGTAACGGTATACTCGGGCATCGCGCCGCCAGAGAAATTGCTGCGGGCTATGGCCAGCCATCCACGCCCCCAGCTTACGACCACACCTCTGTTCCCCAGGCCTAAGCCTAGTGAGGAAACACCACAGACACCACAGACTCCTGTCGCACCACGGACCCCAGTCGAAACACCTACCACTCCGCTGTCCGAGGTCAACTACTCACCGGCACAAATGGGCTATGCTGGCTACGATCACCTACACGACTTACCCGACGAGGCTCCTCCAAGCTACGAAGATGCCATTGCAGATGAAATAGGACCGGTGGATGGTCCCAGAAGAGATTACCAGGTTCAAGAGCAGCCCGAGTCTTACGTGCACGTCTTCAATACGGATTCGAAAGCCGGCAAGCTGGGGCGACGAGTTAGTGAACGGTTGTTCGCTGCCAACGCTCCGCCTGGTCTACCAAGGTCAATGTCCACTCCATACAACGTACACTCGGTGCCAATAGACGAGGACGAGGATCAAGATATTCTGGGCTTAGCAGTGAATGGTCAACCAGTACCAAGTCCAAATGCAACGCAGACTATGACTGAGAAGAAGGGATAGTGTCCTACACAGTGGCCTCAAATCTGTGACCTTTTTAACGACAAAACATAGCAAGCGCGGCGTTTGGATTGGGGGCAGTAACAATAGATCAAACCAATGCCATTCTCATTATTACGAATACTACAACAATAAACTCAGTCATGGCCACGAATTTTTGCCTTCCCTTGCTCGCATTTCCTCGTAGCACGTGATATGACGTTGGACCCTCCAGGATCGGGGAATTTCAGCCTGTCTGCCACGAACCATGCTTCGCATTTTCTCTCGTCATGATTTCTTCATTTTCGGATTATTCCTTGACTGTGTGACGCCGACTTCATTTTAGGTTGCTTGGAGTTGGGTGTTGAGTGCTGCAGAGGAACGTTGTTCGAGCACCAGGAGACACAAATTGACCGAGAAATGGAGGTGTTGAAAGGAGTAGGAAAGGTAAGAACGACAGGCTCCCGGACGCAATTTGCCCCCAATGAGGTCCCATTCCCTATGAAATTGTTGGATGCAGAGGCTCGTGGAAAGCACAACAACTCTCGGACCCTGATGTGCTGCAGAAAATCAGTCCCAATTCCTAGGTGGCTTTTACATGCAGCTGACTGACGTTCGCAGACACCAGGTGCTGCTGGTGAGCATCGAAATGGTGGTTCAAACTCATTCGGTGCCATAGGGGCTGCTCTCATCCCCTCTACCATCACCGCCATTTTGTTCATACTTGCATTCCTCGTCCTCCGACCACGATTCAAGAATATCTATGCCCCGAGGACATTCTTCCGCTCGATTTCTCGCAAGTACGTATTTCCCCCATTGTGTTGACAGCTCATACCAACCAGTCTCAGGGATCGCACACCGTCGTCAAGTCGCAGCTCTTTCTCTTGGTTCCACGACTTTCGGAACCTGGATGACAAGTTCGTCTTACGGCATTCCTCCATGGAGGCCTATCTATTCCTGCGATACCTCCGCATGGTGGTGCTCATCTGCGTTGTTGGATGTTGCTTGACATGGCCGGTCCTCTTTGCCATCAACGCAACTGGTGGCGGCGGTGCCTCTGAAACGGACAAGATCTCCTTTGGCAACGTTTTGAATTCCAAAAAACTGTACGCACATGCTATAGTGGCGTGGATTTTCTTCGGTAAGTCCCCTCATCATCAACAAGACCACACTGCTGAATCTACTAGCGTTTATCGTCCTGCTTGTTACGCGAGAAAGGCTTTTTGTGGTCGGCCTACGTCAAGCGTACCTGACAATCCCGCTCAACGCCACTCGCTTGTCCTCCAGAGTTGTACTTTACCTCTCAGTTCCACCTGAGGGACTTCTTCCCGAAAACTTGCAACGTTACTTCGGCAAGGACGCTGTCAAAGCTTGGGTTGTTTCGAATGTCAGCCATCTCGAAAAATTGGTGAAGACGAGGGACGGCAAGATCGATAAACTGGAAGGACTCGAGCTGGAGCTGTTGAAGAAGGCCAACAAAGCAGGAGATGATACCGAGGACAGTTTTCGTATCACTGGTCCTGCTGCTCGACGTCCCCCACAAGTCGACGATGAGCAACGGCCCAAACGCCGATCACCACCCGTCGTGGGCGAGGAGGTTGACCCCATCTCTCAGCTGCGTGAGGAGATCACCGACATTGTTTACGATGTTGATCAAGCCCGGCAAGCCGAGTCCAAGGAAGCAGGCACAAAGACAGGGGCTGTGTTTGTTGAATTCAAGGACCAAGTCAGTGCACATCAAGCTTTTCAACTGATACAACATCCATCACCTCTTGCCCTTCAACCCAAGTATATCGGAGTCCGGCCAAAGGAGATTATTTGGAGCAATCTCAACCTCGACCCGTCACTTCGGATCACCTATTCCTACCTAGCAACAGCACTCGCTCTTGCTATCATCATCTTCTGGTCCATCCCAGTCGGCATCATTGGTACCATCTCCAACATCGAGTATCTCACCGATAAGTTCGAGTGGCTCAGGTTCCTCAATAAGCTGCCCGATCCCATCATGGACCTCTTGACTGGTCTACTGCCACCACTTCTCCTCAGTAGCGTGGTGTCTTACGTCCCTTACTTCTACGAGTTTGTGGCGACGTTGTCCGGCGTACCAACCAGCATTGAAGCGATCAAATGGGTCCAAACATGGTACTTTGTGTTCCAGGTGATCCAGGTGTTTCTCATCACCACGTTCTCCTCAGGCGCAGCGGCCGTGGCCAACAAGATCGCCAATGAGCCTACGAAACTTCCAAAGTTGCTTGCAAAGAATCTACCCAAAGCATCGAATTTTTACCTGACATACTTCATCATTCAGGGTTTGGGCACAGCGTCTCAAAATATCGTCAACATTTCAGGTCTTGCATCCTATCTGTTTTTTTACTATGTCATGGCCAAGACACCACGGCAGAAATTCAATGCTTATGCTCAGATGAGGAACATTAACTGGTTCAACCTATACCCCAAGTTCACCAATCTTGCGGTCATTGCGATCGCATACTCGTGCATTGCGCCGCTTGTTCTGGGTTTTGCAGCAATTGGAATATACTTTCTATACGTCAGTTACCGGTATTACCTGCTCTATGTCGTTCAGGTAAAGTCAGAAACCCGAGGCGAAAGCTACACGAGGACTTTGCAACAGCTCATGACTGGCGTCTACGTGGCTGAAATATGTTTGTTTGGTCTTTTCAGCATCAAGAAAGCTGCAGGGCCCTCGACTCTTACGATCTTGCTTCTGATAGTTACTGGTCTGTACCATTTGACGGTCAACAAGTACCTTTCACCTCTCGAGACATACATCCCAGTAGATGTCTTGGCAGAGGACGAAGAAGAACCTCTTCTGAATGGTGATGGCGATATCACGGACCACTCGCGTATCTTCCGTGTTGGTGCTGGCAAAGTCCCGTCCGTCTTATTGGACCCTCTAGCGTCCTTCCTCGAGCCTCACATCTTTGCTTCTCAGGAAGCTTTACGGCCGTGGCTGGAGGATCCTGAAGGCGAGTTTGCCGAGTCGAACTCCTATACGGACGAGCAAGTGGAGAATGCCTACGTCAACCCGGTACTTATTTCGAAGACTCCCGAAGTATGGATTCCTAGAGATCGAAAGGGCGTCTCTAAAATAGAAATCGAAGAGAACGGGAAAGCTGGAATCCCTAGCACTGATGATGGGGCAGAACTGGGTCCATCGAACGAGATCTTGTGGGATCGCGAGGACTTCTCGACCGTGCCTATCTTCAAAGAGCCGACAAGATTTTGAGAAGTAGGCTTTTTGACACAGGAGGTTGACCGAAAAGGGTATGGGAGTCTGATCAAGACTCAAGGGACAACACCTGTTGCAAGTCCTGGATTGCGCGACAGCTATTCTTCGCCGGTTACAAAGACCCGCCCTGTATGATTAGACGAGTGACATGATTGTGGTGCCGGGTGTTTGGGTCGCGTCAGCAACATAGTGTTGTAACGGCGTCCCTTCAAAAATGGATGCAATTTGGTACCATCGGTGACATCTGCCATATCTTTGCAGGACGCGGATACTGGCTTCCAGCCGTGCCAACCATGTGTTACTGTTCACCCAACGGTCTACAGATCCGGAGGTTAATGCATACGCGGGCCAAGAAGGGAAAGGTGCTTCTGCAGGTTATGGCGATTTGGGCTGAAGGGCAGCCAGCCTTTCAAGCCTCAGACCACCACATGGCTTCTTCAGCGCCCAATCATGATACTCGTCAAACTTCAAACGGCCCAGCTTCCATAACAACGCTTGCCGCTCTCGGGATGGCATGTTCCAACTTCAGCCAGCCAGCCTCATGCCGTTATCCTGCTTTTCCTATTGGTCCCGAATATCATGAGATTACCTTTGTCGGGTTGGATAACTACCATTTCCACCTCGGTACTTTTGGTATCTCCTGTCTTTTTTTGGGTTAAGCTTCTGCCATAGGGCTCTAGGCTGGCTAAGCCCCCCTTAGACTCTCACCCTACAGACCGCGGTCAACGCATCAACACCTTGACTTGGCCTCTCGTGTCCGCGCATGAAACTCAGATCAACCCGTGTCACGGTCACAATCAGCTGGCGCCCACGATTTTGTCGTGCGTAAGGTTAGCGTCAATTTCGGTGTGGATGTTTTTCCATTTCCGGCTCACTGACAACCACAGCCTCGACGGTCTGGCCGACGCGGCCTTCAGCTCGCATATCGGTGACAAGTGGACATTGATGCTGCTAAGCCAGACGCGGGGACCAGGACCATTGCACCGGACATATCGAAATGCTTACCGAGGTATAAAGAGTACGTATTGCCCGCCTAGACAGGTATGTGATAACCCAACTTCCATCTTCATATCAATACAATACAAGCATCTCCGCAACCCTTGCAATCACACTGTCATCATTACCTCCTGCCCTTCCCAAGGACAAACAAACAAACATACCATACACATCCAACACCATGTCTTCCTCAAGCCGTCCCTCCATCTTCTCCCGCCTCAGCTCAAGCAGCAGCTCTTCCACACGCTCTTCCTCAGCTTCATCACTCAACAGCACATCTGAGTCTGAATCTGCACGTGCCCGTTACGCCAAAGACGGCAAGGGCTTCGACTTCACGTCGACGTACCCATACACCGCAGCCAATGTCAGCATCGCCGGCGAGCCAAGTGCGCTTGACTTGACCCTGCGCTACGCCAAGGACGGGAAAGGCCACGATTTCTCGGCATCATACTCTCCCTCAATGTCGATAGATGCCCTGCCTCTCGTCCCTGCCGACAGTCCTGCGTCAGCAGCTGACTTCGTTGGCATGCGGTACGCGAAGGACGGCAAAGGATATGACTTTGCTGCGTCGTATCCTTACAACAAGCGCTGAGCTGGGCTTTGGTGGTCTTGGTCTTCTATGTCAGATGCTGGGCGCTTACTACATGGCAACGACGATGAGTCAGGTGGCATAGAATGTCGTTGCTGCTTCTTCATGTTGTCCTTTTATTTTTCCTATGGGCGGCTGTGTGCGTTACTGTCGAAATACGAGATATCCCTTTCGTTTGTTAGCTAGCTTTTGAAACCTTCAATGTCAACATTTCTATGCTCATTTCTATTCTACTCGTCATGCTAAAGTTGTGTCACCTCGTGTCGTACGTCTTGGTATATCCTGCGAACGCCGCTGCCAACACCAAAAGCCCCGTCATGCCAACATCGAGAGATTGCTGGCATATCCGGCCGTCTAGATCTTACCCTGCGCCAGGTTGACTCCTATCTCCCATCTCGTATAATCATTCAAGCATTGGCACCACCGTTAACGTTCAAGAGTGGCTCCTTCTCTCCACTCCTAAGTCTCGGTGCCATATTCGCTCTCGACCATTCTTGCACAACGCCATTGTAATCCGTACTCCGATAAGCGCCAAACAGCTCGGCCAATATATGCGGTTTGCGCCAGAACTTCAAACCCAGATCCTGCAGCAGCGTGTCAAAATATGGCACTTGGTCGAACACCAGATCTGGAAAGAACCGACCATGTCCGAAGGGAGCGCGGAACTTGGCATACCGAGCCATGAGCGCCGTCTCCTCGAACACGGTGGCCCGCTCAATCGCAAGCTTGTCATTGAGGTAAGCGTAGACCCAGAGACACTGAAGTTCGCAGCGCGCTGTGTTGGCCAGGTTGGAGAACATGCTGATAAACACCAGACTGTGATCGCCTCGCGCAGTCGGTCCAGGTGGTGCAATTGCCCGGTACAATCGAAAGGGTGAGTAGTTCATCTCGGGATCAATCGTCGTGGTGTAGAGTTTCACCACGCTCGATGTCGCGGAGAGGTGCGGACCAGACAATAAACGCGGGAAGGCCTCGCCGATCCTAAGGTCAGCTTTTTCATCGAGGGCATTCCAGAAGTCTTGCTGTACGGGTGTCAGGGACGTCGACGGCACGCCGAGATCCGAGTGTGTTTCCTTCCGGGTAAAAGTGAAGGTTGGTTTGGCGGAGAAGCCGGTCGCGGTGATCAAGGCGGAGGCGTCTACTCCCTTGCTGCTTGTGAGATGGATATGGCCTGCGGACAGATGGGAGATGTCCTCGCGGTGGACGCGCACTTGGCCCATCTTGACCATTTCGTAAATGTCCTTTTCGAAGTTGTAGATACCAGATGCGGTGCCGTACCAGAATGGGCTGTACGACGAGTTAGTATCCCATGCGTTCAGACAACCGACGGAAGGACAGGGCAGCATAGCGGGAGACTCAACTTACCTTGTCTGGGGTTCCAGGACTCTGGTGGATTCGTGCAGGCGCATTCCACAGTCCTTGACTGTGGCCGCGTGCAGGTTGGCCCAGAACTTCTGCGCGATCGACATTCCTATTGAGGTTTGGTGTAGAAAGGATCGAAACTTGCTGAAGCCATCGTTCCATAGACATGGACTGAAGAAGGAGAGAATGCGCCGGGTGGTCAGCCATTCGCGTGGTACGGAGAACGGGCCCATCTTCGTATGGCTTGGAAATATCCATTCTGGGCCTTTGCCAGATTTGCGAATGATCCATTCGACTTGACGGCCGGTCTTCCCTGCGAGGTGGACAGCATCGTATGCTGACTTCCCACCGCCGAGGACTGCGATCGTCGTGACCTTGGGATTGTTGAAGACCGCGTCTCCCTTGAAACCCAACTCCGCTGAATGGATGATTGGTCCGCCGAAACCATCCGCACCTTGCAGGGTTGGACGATGAGGATGATTGGTGATACCAGTCGCAACAATCAGCTTCTTGGTCTTGTATTCGTGATCGGCAAGTGCCGTCTTCAATCTCCAGCCTTTGTCGTCCTCGAGTGGTGAGATCTCTGTCACTTTGATGTCGAAGTCGATGAGTCTCACCACATCGGCTCGGTCAGCATATGCTTCCAGGTAATTGTGCATTGCTTCGCCTGTGGGGTGTTGTCCTTGAGGAATGCCGAAGCCATCGTGCATAGGGAAATCAGAAAAGTCGATGCCTCCACGCAGGTTGTTTGTCTTGAGACCAGGGTAGATGTTTTCCTTCGACCAAACACCGCCGAGCGTATTATTCTGCACATAACATCATTAGATAGCGTGAACAAGCGACGACAGAAATGGTGACATACTGCGTCCAGAATCTTTATGTCGGCGTCAGGCTCACATTCAAGAATCGTCTTTGCTGCACACAACCCGGACGGGCCTACAAGGCTGTCAGTAATCTGGACACTCAGAGAGCTTCGCGAGGAGAGCAAACGTACCAGCACCGACGACCAGATAGTCATACATCTTTCAGCTCGTTGTCGACGGATCCAAGCGACTGCGACGGGTGGACGCAAGCCTCGAAAGACAGGGAGGCCAAAGAATATCGGTAAGGCGCCATCTTGGGCCACGGGTCCTGGTGACGACGGTTATCGCAGGACCTAAGCTTAGGGCCGACCGGATCTTCCTGCAGCACCATGTGCAGTGAAGGCTCCAATCAAGCAGTATTGGAAAGTGAATGTGAGATCGATTGATGCTGTTGGGCTTGCCTGTCCTGTTCAGCTGGGCCCTGACTCAGACGCCTCAAGGCTTACCGAGTAAGCTGATCCTGGACCTGGACCCCTTCGATAGTGTCCAATGAAGGGACGGTTGGGTTGCATGATACGATAGCCACGTCCAATACGTGCCTCTTGGTTGTACTTCTCGGGATTGCTTCCAGAAGTAATGGAACCTGATCAGAAAGTGGACGTTGCGGCTGCGGGAGTTTCAATTGTTGACATGCAGGTTTGTGGAAAGTGTCGTTGCTATTCTTGAGCGAGAAATACCGGGACGTAACAGCATTTTCAATGTGTCGCACCTTTAGGGGCCCCCGGGCCTAGCCTATTAGCTTAGATCATTTAGGCACAACCTGGTACTATTGATGGTCGCTTATCGCAGGCCTAGTGACACTGGTCTTATCAAGGTACCTTGCTAAGCAAGATAAGCACATCGCCAGCCTCGACCGTATCTCCAGACTCCTTCAATATCCCTTCCACTTTATAACTTCCAGGACCCGATGGTGACCGCACGGCAATCTCCATCTTCATGGCTTCGAGGACCACAACCACTGAACCGCCACCGACAACTTGTCCGACCTGGACTTCCACTTTCCAAACATTAGAAATCATTGTTGCCGGCACTTCTATCATTGAGGAGTCTGTAATTGTGCTCTGTCAGCGGCATGGTCATGTTAGCACTTGATATCGGAGAACTTACCTCTGGACACCTCACTCCTCAGCTTCTTTTCTGCCTCCTTACTCTGTTGCACTCGTCGGACTTCTTCCTGCCATTCATCATACAGCACCATTTCCTTGGCCAATTCTTGTTCCGTGCATTTTTCCTGCATTCTTTTCATGTGCACGACCTCCTCGTGCGTTTCTTCATAAAGCTTATTGTACTCAGCCATGTCAAACACACATTCCTCAATGCGAATCTGGTATCGACCGGCTTGAAAAGCTTTCGCAGCTGCGTCAAACTCTGACCGGCCGACAGAATGGAAGACTACCTGATCGAATGCTTCGAACAGCCACGGTCTCGAAGGGCTGAAGCCAGGCTTGCGACCATACACATCCCAGCAAATGCCCGGTATGGTTACGCCCCAGACTTGGTAACCACCCGGAGAATCGCTAGGATAAATGGCAGACGTTGCACCACCGGTGCCCAATGAGCCTGCCTTCGTGAATGTGCGTGATGGGTTGTACTTCGGTACGACCAGCCGGTGCCTAGGGTCGACCTGCACATAGATCGGAAGTCCACTCAGCCAACCCACTGCAATGACCAAATACGGGACCTCAAAGTATGATTTCTTGACGTCTTCTCTTGTCTTCAATCCGTTACTTCGCCGGATGAAGTCAATATTGTCCGGCAAATACACCGCTTTGGCTCTTTGAAGTACCATATACCTTTGTTCCGTTTCCCGACACTCGTCGGCGTCAAAAACAGCTGGGAGGTGAATCATGCGACTAGGTATCTTAGAAGTCGTCACGTCCGGAATTGATTGACTCAAACTTAAAATGGTCCGCACCGCTTCCACCTGTGTCGTCAACTCAGGGTCAAAATGAAAGAGTAGCGAACAGGCCTCTGTTGCAAGATAGCGTTCGAAGCCAATCGGCGTCTCATTCCGTATCAGATTCGAGATTTGCTGGATTCTTGCGCGGATTTTGACGTCAAAGTTTCCCGTACCATAAAGACAGGAAATAGCCCTCTCACCCGACTGACGCAGAATCAGGGCAGGGCGGTCGTCCTCGGCGTCGATCTTGCAAATCACTCCATCCCCGTGATCGGCAGACGGCGTTGCTTCCAGGTTGGTGAGCATGGCGGCTCTAGTCCCTGGCTGCGATGTAGGTTCTCTTTGTAGACCAATCGACTGAACATAATCGTCGAGTCTTCGTTCCTGTGACATGGCCTGCGTCCAGGTGACTGGAACAAAAGTGACAGTGTCGCCTGGACGTAGTTGTCCCAACTTCCACATGTCTGCTCGTATAACGACATGCGTCACAATAAATCCCGTCTGATTTGGTCCGTCGACTGGCATTATGACGCCAGAGTCTCCCGTGAAGCTCACGCTCCCCGTAGCGCACCCGAAACTCACCATATTGCTGGGATGGCTGCCTCCTTCACCCCCATCCTTCCTGCCCCATGCCGGCGGGGGCCCCTCCAAGCGGATTCCCGTCCTGCTGGAGTTGAAGCTGACTTTGTAGCTGCTCGAGAACAGGTGCTTTTGCCCTTCATGGGTGAGATACTCATCTGAGAACCACGGTCCAGGAAGCGCGGCCAATCTCCATTCGTGTCCGAATGAGGGACACCATGCGTGATCAAGCTGGTATGGTGTGGGTGGCAAATCGCCCGCTGCTTCGGAATCAATGGAAAGAAAGTCACCAGCCAGGATTCGTCGGCCTTGGTACCCACCCCAATTCAAGGATGGTGTGGTACTCTTAGAGCCAAGATATGTCGCAACATTCGGAAATCCTCCTCGAACAGCCAAATACGCGCGAGCGCCAACTTGAGTGTCACCAATATAGACTTCACTGTCCGTGGCAATTGTATGTCTTGTCCACATTGAAGCTGGCTGGCCATCGATCTCGAATGTGAAGGGAGCACCACAAAGCGCCACAACAGCTGGGGCAAGGAATCGAATTCTTGGACCCATCATCGTTATCTCCAAACCCTCTGTGCCTTCTTCGTTACCAACAAGCAGATTTGCCATCCGAAATGATAATGCATCCATTGGACCTGCCGGAGGGACGCCATTTGGTATACCGACTCGACCAGGCCAGTCCTGAATAGTTGTAGCTGTGCCGGGTTCGACGAATTCAATTGCACACATGTGGTAATGGAAGCGGGAATCCAGCATGCTGGTTGTCGTATATCCGGTTACAAAATCTGTTGACTCAAGCACCTGGATCAAAAAGTCAAGATTTGTTGGTGGTCCTTGCAGTTTCGTTTCTTGTAGTGTGTGCAGCAAAGTCTCGGTCGCACCAGCTCGATCCTTGGAATGCACGATCACCTTGGCGAGCAAAGGGTCGAAATGTGGCGACACGAATGTTCCTGTCTCGACCCAAGTGTCAATGCGAACATCCTTTCCCTGCGGGAAGAACACATTTTGAAGAAGGCCGGGAGCAGGTTGATAGTTCTTCGCCGGATTTTCAGCGTACACTCTCACCTCGATTGAATGGCCTTTGGGGCTGTCGCGAGCATAGGTCGACATCGCTTCCGGCGACAGCCCACCGTGGCCTCTCAATTCCTCTTCGGCTTGCAGTAACATCAGTTCAACCAAATCAACGTCGTAGCACATTTCGGTGATTCCATGTTCCACTTGCAGTCGTGTGTTGACCTCCAGGAAGTAAAAGTCTCCCGATGTATCATCGACCAAATATTCTATGGTACCCACCGACTTGTAATGGATTGATCGGGCCAAGGAGATCGAGGCATCCTTCAGCTTTTGTCGCAAGGACGGACACTTCAGAACGTAAGGGCTTGGGGTCTCCTCTATGACTTTTTGGTGTCTCCTCTGGATCGAACACTCGCGTTCACCGAAGAATAGGATGTCGCCCTTTCCATTTCCAAAGATTTGAGCCTCGATATGACGGCCAGATTCGACATACTTCTCGATGAAGAAACCATCATTTTTAAACAGAGCTTCACCACGACTCTTGACAATCGCAACGGCGTTCTCCAAGTCATGCACGTCTCGGCAGACCTGGAGGCCCATTCCACCACCACCAGCTGTAGCTTTGACCATGACGGGAAACCCTATTCGAGTCGCTTCTTGGAGGGCTTCTTCACTCCCGCTCAGCATCTCTGTGCCAGGAACGATTGGTACGTTCGCAGCAACGGCGAGCTGTCTGGCTCGGTGTTTCAAGCCAAATTCGATCAGAGTGTTGGAATCAGTTCCGATGAACAGTATTCCGGCCTCATACAATGCTTTGGCGAAGGCAGCATTTTCGCTGAGGAAGCCGTACCCAGGGAGAACCCCTTGCACGTGGTGTTTTCGACAGATCTGTACAATCCCGTCAATGTCCGTGTAGCCCCGAGAGCCATGGCCGGCCAGAAGGAATGCTTCATCCGCCAACCGGACATGGGCAGAGTCGGCGTCATCATCGACATAGATGGTAAGAGCCGATATGCCCAACTTCTTGCAAGTCGAGATTAATCTGACAGCAATTTCACCCCGGTTCGCAACAAGCACACGACATAAGTGCCGGCTGGGAGTCTCAGAGGAGCCCATGTTGAGTATTGTCTGCAGAGATCTTTTCGCCAACTCACAGCATAGTGTAAATGTATTTCGTGCACATTACTAACCGGAGCCTTCACCTATTGGTTGCCGACGTCATGGATGGCTTTAACAGCTGCGGAATGATCTTCGAGGCATCAGGCGACGGAGATGCGCACCAAAAGAAGTGGCAGTCTTAGAGGTGGACGATTCCATCGTGACAGGCGGCACAGGCGGGTAACAGCGTTTCGACATACCCAAAGAGGTCAAGTTGCCTGGTGAAGCTTGGTATCCGCACCCAGATAGTGACGATGATGGCATGGTGTTCACGGAGTCCTGAAGATGGCAACATTGAAGAGCAGATAATAAGTAAAGGATCATCTAGTCAATTCACGTGGCGGTTTTGCGACATTCCCAGGTTCAGATATTGCAGGGAAGATGAAGTGGTTGTTGCTTGATTACCTAGGTAGGTATTCGAGCTCGATCTCGTAGGCGCCAAGCACGTGTAATGCTGCAGTCATGTGACGCGGTCGAACCGTTATGACGTACAGTGCAAGCATTGAGTCTCGCTGTCGCTGACCTCGTCGCGTCGTGGCCTACGCAAGATGTTGTTGTCCAAGAATGAAGTTATCGCCTGCGAAAGACTTCGTCACCTCCTACGATACTGTCACGTTGCACGATTTTTCCACCTTTGCAAAAACGTTGCTGCCTTCCAAATCTTTGCATACGGCAAGAAGATGATAGGGGAATGAGAGACATGGAGTAAAATGATTGTTTCAATTGATCTATCTAATTGGGAGGTCTTGGTTTCACAGCAAGCTGCTACTCACACCCTGCACCACGAGAAGGTGCCTCCCATTGCAGGGCGGGCTGCAGAGACATACTGACTGCGCACTTTTTATGCACAGCGTTCTGATCACTCTCTGCAGCCGAACAAGAAAAAGCAAATGGCTAACGAGACATACTGGGTTGTGTGTTTGCACAACTTTTCTGCTCCTTCCCGCAGCCAGAACAAGAAAAGACATGAGAGTGAGAAACCAGCTTGGTACTCATACTGACCCGAGATATGGGTGTTCTGCTTTTCCCAAGCTGCAAGGAGAGAGAGAGGATGATTGTGAAAAGGCATGAGGTACTCATACTTCTGCCTGAGAGATGGCAGTTTCTGTTCGTTTCCCTCAGCCCAGGGAGAGAGAGAGGATGATTGTGAAAAGGCACGAGGTACTCATACTCCTGCCTGAGAGATGGCAGTTTCTGTTCATTTCCCTCGGCCCAGGTTGACTTCTTTGTTTGATGATGACGGCTGGAACTACTCATACTCAGGCCCCGAAGTGTTAGGACCCTTTCTGCTCCTTCGTTCAGCCCGGAAAACTTCTTTCAACAATGAAGCCCCTGGAAGAACTCATACTCAGATCCCAAAGTATTGGTACCCTTTCTGCTACTTCGTTCAACCAGAGACTCCAATGTTGTGATGATGATGGCTGAGCTACTCATACTCAAGTCCCGAAGTTTTCCAAAGGACCCTTTCTGCTCTTTCACTCAGCCAGAAAATACTTTTTTGGGGGGGTTATCGAAAGAGGCACCATACTGACAAGCCAAAGTGAAGACTTGCGTTCTGTTCATGTGCCTCAGCCGTGGACTTCTGATTCACAACAACACAACAACACCGCAACACCTCAGCACCACATCACCAAGCAAGAAGAACATCGAAAAGCGCTCACCCTCTCCATACCCGCGCATAAAGCCCAGAATATGATGAGGGGCGGCCCCCTTGCCCCCTTCCCCCTACACCCTCTCTCCCTCAACTCTTACCCTGCACCTGCTTTGACAGCGTCCTCCACCACCGTGAAACTTGCTGAGTCGACCCGCCGGGACATCCCCATGTCTTTCGCAACAGAGGCTACTAATCCATGGGGCGCCGTTTGAAGTCTCCTCAACGAAGAATCACCACACAGACTCACCAACGCTTTGGTTTAAAAACCTTGCCTGTGAAGGGATCGATCACATCCCGTCTCATATATCCCGGCTCCTCGAGCTCAGAAGTGTCGTTGCTAGAAAACTTGTACTTTTATCTGCGCGGACGGGAGCGGTCGAGGGAGCCGGGCAAGACGATTTCCTGAACATCGCTCAGGGGATGTGGTCTCCAACCAAGCAAGGTACCGCGGCTATCAGGAGTCTGGTGGCTGGTAGTGAATTGGCCGCCTCCACAAGCGCCACCCTGCAGTCCCTGACCGACGGGAGGACCGGAAAGAGTTCCAGCCCAACCGCAAGTCTGGACAGCCTCAGGCACGTGGCCTTCGTCGGCGTCAGGGGTGGGAGGAGTTGGGGTTGGAGATGGCAGAGCAGGAGGAAGACTTACCGGGCGAGGTGCCTCTGCAACCTCTTCGACGGCGTTCTTCTTGCAGGAGAGAATACAACCCATCTTGTTAAGATAAGCTGTCGTCTCTAAGTGTGGTTTGTGAGTGGTGTTGGTGAAAGTGTCAGTGTTGTTACTGGTGTTGAATGTGTTGTTGTTTGCTGAATCGAAATCCTGAAGAGAGAAGAAAAAGTCTAGGAGGAATGAGCGGGCAAGCCAGATACTTATACACGGCGGGTGGCACATTTGCCCACCCTCACTTTGAAGAGATTTTTGGTAAGGTTTGGTCGAACTTGGGTTCTTGTTGCCTGATCCAGTGAATTAGCACCACCTTTAGCAAACCATACGAACGACGAGGCCAGGGTACACCAAGGCCAATTGTGAACAGAATTGCACGCTTTCGGTTGATCAACCCCCTTTGTGGACACGCTTCATTGCACCGCTGTCGTCCTCCAGGTTCAAATAGATATTCTCCCTCGTTGTCTATCAAGAGTCCTTTGTTCACAACGATTCAGTACTAGCTGTTGTTATTCTGGAATCCTTCGTACGCAACGATAAAGTACTAGTCGTTATTATTCTGGAGGCCTTCGCTCATAACGATAAAGTGCTAGTCGTTGTTATTCTAGAGTCCTTCGTAGACAACGATATACTACTAGCCGTTGTGAATCTAGAGTCCTTCGCTCATAACGATTCAGTGCTAGCCGTTGTTGCGTCGACGTACTCCTACGCAAACAGGACCATTGTGCAAAACCGTTTGTGGATACCGACCCAAGCATGAGAAGGCTGAAACGGGCGGGTCACAGAATTACAACCAGCGGATCTGAAGCGCGACCGTTGAGATCGAAACTTCCGACCCATACACACCATCGGTGGACGCCTCTTCCAGATCTCATGCCATGATATTCCCAAATCTCAACAATCGTTTCCAGTGGATGGCGTGGCTGAGCATTCCGCGCCCTCCGTCCGAAAATCTTTCTAGCCATCCATTGGATGTTTGCAAGCTGATCATGAGCTGGCCCGGACATCAATGTGTGCCACTCGTTCAAATCACTCTGTGCATCTGACACAAAACAGAGCGAACAGATCCATGAGTGGAGGGCACTGAGAAATCGCTCAACCACGCGGTTTCATGTGGTTTGCAGATCTGACAGTCGGTTCGTAAATCCGATCAGGAGATTCACACATAGCATATGCTTCACCGACCCACCATCCCAGTGCATCTCTGATCAGAGCAGAGCAGAGCAGGTACGCCGGAGCAATGCAAAGTTTGATCCGGACACTGCAGAAAAATGGGACAGTCCAGATTGATCTGGATGATTTCCCGGGATTTACAGTCATTCGTAGCTCTAGCTGGAGGTTGGAGCTTGAACCGACTGATCAAATGCGCGCCGATGTCCAGAAGCTCCAAGGCGAGACGCGAGCATCATTTCTTGGTCATGGAAAATCACTACCTACGGAGAAGGATTGAGATATAAGCGACGTTATGGTAATCCTTCGATCTACATCTAGTCAGCAATCTAACCCTGTAACTCCTGATGGACCACGAATGGCCGGCTGTGCTCTTTGAACAAGATATAATGTCATTGTAAGTGTGAACGGTGTTTCTTTGTAAGAGTGCATGTACATATTTGCAGCTAGCAAGCAGAAAATTGTAGTGCTTGGCTTGTCGCCAAAACCTTAGTTCGATGTATGACCATGCTGTAGAATGACTGATGGTGAGAGTCGCCATTGTACCATACCGGTCAGGAATACTACATCGGTGGCAATACCAGATGCCACGCTTCTCAAATGCGGGCGTAGACGGGACAACTGACTTGCCGGGCTAGGCGAACTTCGTGGTGCTTCTGATGTGGCCGCAACAGTGGGGGGCATTGAATGGGATCTTATGTCTCATGAGAGCCTTGGATGGTTGGACCACGTCGAGACAAACTGAAAGCATGGTGTGAAGTCCAAATTGTGAATAATGCAGGAGTTTCAGTGGCTATGGAACGTGGAACAAGCTTTAACGTCTCCCGTATCGGAGAAACTTGCCGCCGCGTGAACATCGAGTGGTCCTAATTTTCGGGCGGACCTCTTTTGAAGAACCTCCTGCCTGCCTGAAGTGTGGGGTCCGGGAGTGATGTAGGACTCCCCAATACACAGCCTAAAACTATCCTTGCGTGGCAAGATAGGCCTGAGATTCAACGCCTCGAGGGCAACAAATTCATGGTGTCTGGCGAGCAATTCCCGCCAAGCGCACGCCCGGTTATAGTGGTCAGACGGTCAAAATCTGTGTTCACATCAAGGAATAGCGTTGTCAGCATTTGTCCCAAAGAGGAAGTCTGCCCTACCTGCCCACCTACCTCTAGCACTCTCTAGGTTGCTTGGTATGCTTGTAACATGCAGGCCGCCTAATTTTCTCTGGGGATGGCACGCCTAAAACTGTTACATCTCATCCCCCCACAGCCCCCGTTACATCGCGTCGCCATATCATACTGTAGATATTGCTCTCTCGTCTACTCTGTCTCTCTCCAGCATTTTCTTCGTCGACCATACTGGTACCATCTCTCTTGAGAAAACATCCATCTTCAGAACATCATGGCTCTTCTTACATTTTCGCGCGTCGTCACTCCAGCTCTCATTTTCTTAGGCGGCTACTGTTTACATGGCTTCAGCACCACAAACGGCCTATTTCCTGCTGTCGAATCCCTCAAATCCAAGCACCAACTCCCATCATCAGGCTCACTTATCAGCAAGCCTTCTTTCCCGAACAGCTTCACAGGTTTCGATCCCCCAGACGGACTATTAGCAACTTTGCTCCTGTTTTTCTGGCCCTTGCTAGACGGCTCCAACCCTGCCGCCAGTCTGTACGGTTTCCTTTTCGCCGGACAAGGCGTGGCACTTCTGTCGTCTATCATCCTAGAGGCCTCACGAAAGGCCAACAAGGGCCGGATAATTGCCTTGTAAGTTTACCTAGTAATGGCCACCATTGAAGACCACCATGTCCCTCCCAAATACTTTTTCGGCACGCCTCGTCAATCTGCACCGCCATGCTAACTAGTAGTACTTCAGCACCACGATCTATGGGATTCTCTTTCAGTGTCTAGGCGCTGGCCTGGCAGCACCACTATACCTGACAATCTACCTATTTACCTCACCCCTAGTGACTTCCAGCGCAGCGCTTACGCCTTCGGCACTGTCCATCGATGAGGGTCTGCTCACTGGGCACATCTTCGGCGTGTCGCTGGGCTACATCGCGCCGACAATCCTCATGACCCTGCCGCAACCAGACATTCTTCCCCTCGACACAAAAATCACCGCCATAGTCCTCTGGCAATTGTTCCCGGTCTGGCAAAGCATCATCGCCTATGTCGCCAAGCTCATTGTCGGAGCCAAGACTCCCTCGGCAAGCCAGGCCGATGCACAGACGAGGCAGATCTCCTTGCTGAGGACGGTCTACAAGCTCTCCCTGGCCGTCAGTACGACCACGCACATTGCAACATGGACTCTGTCATTATCAACACTGCTTCTTCCCAGCTTGTTCACTGCGCAAACAGTCCAAGACTTCCATCCGCTGAATGTCTTTGTACCACCAAATCCATTCAGCGATGTCAAGATTGGCAGTATCGCACAAGGCTCCCACTGGTTTCTCCAGTACGACTACATAATCACCGGAGCTGCTTATGTCATCTGGGCGAGCGCATCTCGGTACGCGGTTGGTGTGAAGAATGCAAAAGCCGATGCTGGCGGGTTTGGCGTCGGAGCCTTTCTGGACATCATCTGCAGATGTGTGCTTTTGGGCCCATACAGCGCAGCGTTGACCTTGCTGTGGGATCGAGACGAGGCTGTCTTCACCGGATCGAACCTCGAGGCTGGCAAGAAAACAGCGTGATTAGGACAGTGAGGCAAGATCACAAGTTTAGGGCGCGGGCGATCAAAAGCTCTTCCACGTTTCTGCTCGATGGGCCAAACAACTAAAATCCTAGATTCGTGCTATAGTAGTTGTATCCGATATATCATCTCAGTCATCATACTCGTCATCTCACATCCCCCAAGAGGCCTTTCGCTGCTGGGGTTCACCTTCGCTGCCGGCCTTCCCACCGACCTTGTTATACTCCTCTCCCAAATAGATTCACCACCTCGTCAAAAGCTGTTTCCGCTGTACGCAATCTTCAAATACCTAGTTTGCGTCTAGCTGATAGCCACAGCAATTTCTGCGGCAGCCTTCTCATTCGAATAGACCACCTCATCGTGGCTGACCTTGCCATGGTGCGCCTCCTTCTCGGACTCGCGAGCAGCAGCAGCCGCAGCAGCCACAGATCCGACGCATTGGTACTTGCTGAACTTGCGTGCCGGAACACGTGCCTCGAACTGTGAAAAAGAGTGTTAGCAAAGTATCCTTCATGACTTTGAGGTTGAGAAGAGACTTACCATCTCGTCAATCTCCTCAAAGGTGCGACCGTGCGTCTCCGGAAGGAAGAAGTATGTCCACAAAGCGGCGATCAAGCACGATGGAGTCCAGATGTAGCCATACTTGGGTCCCCAGTTCAAGGCGGTCGAGTTGATAAAGTAGGGGGCGGTGAATGTCGCGAGCCAGGCGCCCAAGAAGCCGATCGACGTAGCAAGACCGAATGTGTAGCTTCGAAGACGCTGCGAGGGGAATTCACCACCGCAAAGCCACGCGTAGGATGCGACCATGCCGTTGTAGCCGATCAAATACACCACGGAGACACCAACAATGACCTAAGCCAGAAGAATTAGCACGTTCCTTCTCCAACGATGGATTTGTAAGGAGCCTCACCTTTCCAGTAGATGTACCGGGACCGAGTTTGTCGTAGACAATCGCCACAATGAGCTGTGAAACACCGCAAAGAACCATGCCGGTGGTAAGGAAGAAACGTCTACGTCCCCAGCGAGTGATGACGGCGCTGTTGATCATGATTGCAGCGACACCGACGCCTGTGAGAATGCAGGCGTTCTCGAAGGGCGAGCCAACCGCAGCCATTTCGAAGAAGTATGTTCCATAGGAAATCATGTACATGGCTCCAGATGCAGCTTGAAGACTGATGGCAGCGCAAGCGAGGTACGTCCGTCGTCGGTCGACAGGATTGCGGAACATATCGAGGACATCGGCGCTCTTGGACAGGGCTCGTTCGGCCTCAATGGCATCTTGAATACCCTGGATCTCAGCATCCACTCTTTCAGGGAATGGTCGGAGCCACATGAGCGCTTTGCGAGCCTTTTCGGGTTGATCATGAAGGAGGTACCAGCGGGGAGATTCGGGAATGAAGAGCATGCCGACGCTCAAGATACCAGGAATGATGTAGATGATGCCTAGGGGCACGATGTAGGCTTGCTTGCCTGCCAGCTTGACGGTGAAGTTGTCGACAACTGTGCCTACCAGAGAGCCAATGGAAGTCCATGTCTGGAACAAGCTGATGACAAGTCCTCGATACTTTGCAGGGGCACACTCTTGCAGGTACAGCTGGCCAAACGTGAGGAACATGCCATTGGCGAGACCAATCAGCAGACGAGCAAAGTAGAGGGCTCCGATGCTTGTGGTAGTCATCATGATGATATTGGCAACGTAGCACAGTGCGCACGCACTCCAGAGAGACATTTTGCGCCCCAGGTATTTGGCGATAGGCCCTCCAAAGATGGAACTGATGAATGCTCCGAGGATCATGAGGGAGGCGATGAGCTGTTGGCGGGTGTAGTTGAGGTTCCAGCCAATTGGCGAGGTCGGGTCCTTTTCGCCAAAGATCTAGTTGATGTTAGCAAGCTCGACCACCTGGACGGGGATCATCCCCAATCGACTGGCGTACCTCAAGGAACCCCTTCATGGCCTGAAGACCACCGATGATACCAAAGTCAGTGCCATACTGGAATGGGCACATGCTGACCAAGGTACATGCGGCAAGGCATTTCCAATGGGCAAAGATGTTGTCTTTTCTCTCGGGAGCCGACATTGTGGCGGTGTTCTCCTCCTGTTTCGACACGATACAAAAGTGAAGAGTATCAGGTGAGGATGATCGTGACAATTTCTTGTGGCAAGGAACCACGATGATATATCTCAGAATCCCCTCAAAGACCCCAGTGCCTCCCCCATGGGCAGTTGACTCCAGTTGCCGGAGCTGTGTAACTGTTTTAGGAATGAGAAAGAGTCGAGGCAAAGGGGCCCCACGTGGAGGCAAATAGTGACCTGCAACTGCTGTCTTGAGTGATAGGGAAATGCGTTGTTCGGCTTTGCTGAAGCTGGCAGGAATCTTGCCTCGAATTGGGGGACGTCCGGGGTAATGCGGACTCGAGCTATACCCAAAACCGTCAATGACCCACCGGCACTTTGCATTTCGCTGCCGCCGTTGGTGCTTTTGTCTGGATAGCAGATCCTTATTTCCCTGTGTCGGAGACTGAAGCAACCTCGCCTGAACCAAAAGGTTCAAGTGTCATTCCCGCACTAACAGGTCGTTCGAGGCCACAGCTGTTGTGAGGACCCAAAGGTGCAAGGAGCTCTTCCATTTGCTCTGGAACCAACTATCATCCATGATCACCGGCCTCAGCAATCTTTACAAGGATTATACTGGTGATATGATCGAGCTGCATGCATTAGCTGATGGCAAATGTATTAGATCCGCTACGTTGATGCCTCGCATGGAGATCTGGGTCCGCGGACCTTGCGCATGAGAGAGCAAGCTCACCCGGGTCGTGTTTTCCGCTGAGTTTAGCCTTCGGGATCAGAAGTTTCTAGCCCAGAGAGGGTCCAAGGTCCTCCATCAAGCTTGACGAGTGACATGCTGAAAGTAGATACTGCATGAGAAAAGCTGCTTTATCATTCCTCCTATCCCCATTATGATTGAAGTGGTCGACAGTCCTCCGCTTGGGCATTCTCCAAGACTCTGGGGATTTCCGGCCCTTAGTTTGAGGCCGATATGCGGGGGAAAGGTCATTTGATGATAGTGTCAAATAAGCCCGTCCAATGAGCGTGGGCGCCTAATCAGAGGGACAGCAGAGGCTGGGTGAGATGCATGTCACTTGGGAGTTGTGCGATGCATTTCCCGAAAGCGGTTACTGCGAGCTTCGGCTTGCCAGCCACTGCCATTGTCAAGACGGCTATTGTTGTTGTGCGTCGCCCGTGATTCCCCTGCAAGATGGGTGTGCAGTCCATAGTTTTTACCAGGCACTCCGATCCAGATGCCCAAAATCTACAGTGGATGCATGGACAGTGTGGGTGTTCTCCTTGGGTGCCGTACATGAACTCTCCGTGACCATTTCACGAAACGACTGCCTCTCGATTCCGCCAACAAGTGTTTGCAGAGCGTACCGAACCAGAAGCGGGCTTGTCACAGCTTCACTCAATTGAGAGCAGCGAACTCCGCTACTCTGGAAATATTGTTCCTCGGTCAGAGCCGGCTGAGCCGCCGCTTCACGCCTCGACAACGCCGTTGGCCTGGAGCAGAAAGCTGCTCTGGGGGTTGTCATAGCGTGCGATGATCCGACGTCAAGCATATCGAAGGACGCATATCCGCCATGGAATCGAGCGTTCGACCTCAACGAGTATGCCCTCCCAACAACCACACCTGCCAGGGTGGACGCCGAGTGTCGCCACCGTGGGCCATTTGAGGACCGCTCACCATAGGGCTGTGCCCCAGACCTGGAAGAGCGTGGCCGTCCTTCCATAGCAAACTGTACCATTAGTAGCCAACTGGTGCCATGGTACCGAATCCGTCATCGGACTGGTCCTGCGCTTTGACAATGTGACAGAAGCTCTCCAGGTATTTGCTCGTCCTTGTCAAGTAAACACGAATTGATCGTAGTTGCCTTTCTCCCGGGTCCCGTGTGCCAACGGTAACTGCGTACTGGGGTACTGGGGTACTTGAGCCGCAGATGTTATCGCAACAGCAGTGCCACATTCGAGTGTTTACCTTGGTGGCGTTCAACAGGGCCTCCATAGAGTACCATGTCGATGCACACAAGCCTTTAGACGAAAACTCTCGACGAAGCCCCGCGCATGCTGTAGCGTCTCCCAAGGCCTGATCACGCTCTCTTCCATTTTCGAGGAACAAGCGCTGGCACGATCGAAGCTGTTTCCGGAACGCTTCCTATTCTAGGCCTTGCGCAGCATGTGCTTCTGGCCGCAGCCCCTGGCACGATTATCCTCGCCGCCGGATTTACAAGACACGAGTGGCACACTCTGACCTGGAGCATTGCCCCACTGCCGGGGTGGCCTGGCTCGAATCCTTTGGACTGCTGCCACAAGCTGCGCTGATCCGCAAGCCTAGATCCTGATAGAGGCAGAATGCATCCGATGGAGCTTAGAGGTGACTGCTGCTCTTGGACCAGGCGGCAGCATGCTTGAATCTGGAGCGGGCATTCCCGCGCCAATCCCTCTCTGATAAACTGGAGGACGTGCTATCCTTCCAAGGAGGTGATCATTGTCGACCTGCTCGGTAAGATAACAGTGCTCTCCTCATGTGGTAACATTGCCGCCGGTCGTGTGACCTGGTGGAAAGTGGTGGAATCTACCACATTCTCATCCATTTGGCACAGGGGGCCAGAAACTCTATGGGGCTGATATCCTCCACAAGAGTGAAGCGCACATTCGACTTGCTTGAGAACCTCCGGCTGGCACGAGCCGAACTCCCGGATGGATGTAGCCGCATTATCGCACAATGATGCCAAGTTACGGTTAAGGCAGGAGATGCGGTGGGCAAACATGGAGCCTTCGTTCTCCTTCGGCGATTGATATCGAAGGGGCGTAATTTCATGACAACAATTTCTTCGCCCTGTGCTTCTGACCTGTAAGTCCTGCGGAATGCCACACAGCTCAAGTGGCTTCCAGTTGATTTGCGTTCATGTACCACATTGTCACTGGCGTCGTTCTGAGCAGCATTGAGGCATGAAGATCTCGCGCCAAAGACATCTCGCTATCACCCTTCGGCACCATAGCCGCTGGAAGTGGTCATGTCGATACAGAATATGGCAAGTAAGAGCATTAAGTCGAAACCAAAGCTCATTGAGGTCGTGGACTCGAGCAGAGGGTCAGCGACGGTAGCATCCTTCAAGCCCATTGAAACAAGGTCTCAGACCTACACATCCCATCTCCCTGACTCTGTGCAAGGGGCTGCATCGAGTAGATGTCAAGCTTCTCATCGACGAAGCGAGAGTCCGCCGGTCCAGGCGGTGTATTTGATGATGAACCTTTGCGGTCGGTTCGATGGAATCAAAAAGGCAATGCAATGCCAAGCCAATCTATCAATCGGGCATGGTGGCTCTTTTGTTGGTGATCCCCCTTCGTCCCTATCATGTTTACTACTACCACGTTCCCTTCCCAACCTCTCCTCTACGCATATTGACCTTCATACGGCTATGAGTGGCCTCTCAGCCGCGAGGGGATGTGTACTAGGAGCTGTGGTACTTCAAACCCTGGCTAGTCAGTCGTTGACACCTAGCTCAGAGGGACTACCATCAATATTGTCGCCTCCTGAGTCTTACAGGCCGGCCCTCCCAAGACTCTCAGCCCATCGTGGCGATCATGACCGTCGAAAGCAAGGTATACGAGGTGTTTTCAGCCGCAAGTGGGTCCCATCTTCATGGAGTCACTCAGGATCGACACGAATACTTTACAATTTGCAGCCGCTTTCCCCGGCCGAATCAAACACAGTGGCGATGACATTGCGGAACGCCAGCGTCTGGCTTATGTGCCATGTTGAGGCCGGTATATCGAGATATGAAGCAAGTTATCCACGGCCGTGGATATCAAAGGAGCGTCCGGTGCTACCGATGTTGGCTGGGCGTGCGCCTGCCTGAAGACCATTTTCAGATATCACGTTACATAGTATTCCTCTGGTTTCTGAGGAGGTGATCGTTCATCTATGCTCGAAGGAGCTGTGGAGAGGCGATATGGTGGAGCACCTGCCGTCCGGATCTTCGAAAACTCCTAGTCAGGGAGGGTAAGGTGATCAGCCTTCACCCGACGGTTGCCCGAGTCCTTTTGGAATCCTTCTGGAAAGAGATGATGGCCAATGGGCTAGATGCCACAATATCCACCTCCAACCCTCATTTAGTGGAGGCTTACTCGGGATTATCAGTGAGGTAGGTGAGCTCTCACTATGATACGCGATGAGTTCCGCATCGAGCCTAAAAGTAGATCATCAGGAGCGCAGTGATCGGATCAACTGACCAGGAAGCCCCCAGAGTACCTCGTATTATTACAGTCTTCCATCCTGCGTCGGTCCTCAATCCGGATGGCAATCCTGACACGCCATCGAAGACGTGGACACTTTCCTTCCGGAGGATCCGAAAAGTGAAAGACATCAATGGAACGGGCTGTCGTTGGCTGCATTTGTTGACTGACCAGTCTGCAGTAGAACTATTGAACGCACGGACGCGAGTGAAGCTGCATAACTGCGAACACATGTTTGCGGATCTTTGCCTGTCAAAACACACTTGTTCTGATATAATCTGTCACTTCGGTCAGGCACTCCGTAGCACGAAGGCTCCTTGTCAATCAGTTCTCTTGAGACAAGAGATTATGGACTGTCACTTCCAGTGACAGAATGAAAAATAGTAGAGGTCTTCCTCAATTTTCATTCACGCGCAATGTCACCAGTTTCTGAAAACAGGCATCCATTCGAGACTAAACAGCCAAGAACCCTGGGTCCGGGACAAGCGTTCGGCAATCTGATAGTCGCGGACAGGAACGAGGATCGAGGATCGAGGATCGATGCGTGACATGGTAGATCCTGCTCCAGCATCGAAATCCACTTTTAAGTCTGGGTCGTCTGGAAAGCATGTTCAGGCCACACTGTGGTCAGTGCTGGGTGTTACTAAGAAGTGGTTGCAGCGATGCACTGTCAGCTGTCACGGCTCTAGCCATCTACTATCGAAAGACTACTGACATGTCAATTGGCAATGTGGTGATGGGGCTGGTGAAGGGCATCCTGAACCGAGCCAGCATCGAATGCTCGGAACGAAACCGCTGGACAGAAAGGATTGCTTTGAAATCAGGAACTTTGGAAGGCGGGTGATGTTTGCAAACAGGTAAAGTTTGTATCCTATTGGGAGCGTTGGGACGCCAAAAGACTGCGTCCAGAGAGTACTATAGTAGATGCGTACAACATGTACGTAGCTGTAATGGCCTAGAACCAGAATGACAGTATGAATATCGCTGTCGTATAGAAAGTGATGCCGGTGTAAAGCCCCTCGTGTGCCCAAGATTCCCATCCGGTCTTGGTCTTCTTCGACGCTTCAGATGGATACGCAACGCCCGTGACAGGGTCCCTGTCAAGGAGGTCATGTCTGTCAGGCTCGTCTGGAGGGAAAATTGCGTAGTTGATCGGGATCCAACATGACAGGATGCAGGTCATCCAGATGATCGGTGGCCAGAAGGCGTGAGTCAGAAGCGCTAGGAGGACATCTTTGGTCGTGCGGTTGTCCTTGTTGGTGACGTTCCAGTAAATGCTGACGCCAACGGCGCCCAAGCAGAACATGATGTACAATAGGTGCAGATAGCATTGGCAGTCCCAGATCGTGACTTTCAGACGACGCCAAAGCGGCGCTCGCAGAATGGGATCTCGTTCGTTCAGCTCAGCTTTCTGTGACCCTGAAGATGTGAAGACGGCGACTTTTCCACCAAGCCATTTCGGAAGCAGGAACGTCCGGATGACGGAGATAGCATGGACTGTAGATCACGGTCAGCTGCTGACGCGCCAGATCGAGGGTACAAGAAACACTCACAAGGTGCCATCCACATCATCGCCCTCGCGTCTCTCTGACCAGTCCGGTAACCCGAAGGCAGGTAAGAAATGGCCTCATTGGCGCGGTTCAAGATTTGCGACAGGAAGTTGGAACGAATCAGCCACTTCAATTGGCTTGTCGAACTGTAAGGGACCAGGTTGCCGCCGGAAACAAGCACAATGGGTGCTGTAAACATGGAACACACGAGGAAGATGGTAAAAAGTGATGAGACGGTGTACACAAAACCGCACAATCGCTGGGGGAATGTCATGTGTTTGACCAAGGGGCCGAACACACTGAAGCGCAGTTTCAGTGAAGTTTGGACGGTTCCGATGGTCTGGACTCGTCAGTAAGAAGCACATGGTCTCACAGAAGAAGCAGACTTACCCAACGCGTTCGCTGTTTCAAATGACTGGTGAGAGAATCTGGGACTGTACCGTACTGCAAAGGTTCGTGGACGAAAGCGGTGTTCCACCCAGAACCCAATAGCATACTAGAAGTACAGACATCTTCAGCGAGAGATCCGACTGGAAAGTTTCCGATGGACTGAAGTGCAGCTCGTCGGAGGACATAGCCCGATCCTGTACACCATGCTACGCCCATTGAGTCTTTGATTGGTTCGGAAATGTGGACAAATGTATCAAGACTCTGACACAGAGGATCCTCCTTGGGGACGTTGTAGAATAACTAGGTGATAGTCAGAGTCAATTCTTCAAGCAGGTGGATCAATCGACATACCTGCGGCGGACAAGCCATTGAGCATTTTGAATCTTGCAGCATGTGAGGCAACAAAGCCCGCAACCAATCTTTCATAGGAATCATGTCGGCATCGAGGGCAGCTACAAAGTTTGCGGGACCGCCAGGCAATCTCGCAGTCTCATCGAGGGCGTCGTTCAGATTTCCGGCCTTGAAATGATGGGGGACACCTGGGTACTTTGGTCTTGACCGGTAATAAAGATTGTCGAACTGAGTAGTCGCGGCTGTTTTCTCACACAGTTCCTGCAAGGTCTTGGATTTGCCGTCATCACACACCATGACACGGAACCGTTCTGGAGGATAGTCGATGTTGCAGGCTGCCAATGCTGTGTCCAAGACGAGATCGTCATCCTCGCCGCAGCAAGTAATAATCACGTCAACGGACGGTACATTGTCGCCAACGAGTCTCAACTTTGGTCTCTTTCTTAGCCCAACAACATGCCAACCCCATAGACGGTGCAGCAGCATGGGAATCGACACGAAAAGCTCGACACAGATAAAAGCCCAAGCCATCCAGTATGTCCTGTGTGCAGCGGATTCGGCAGACAGGGTAAACCGGACACGAAGAGCGAAATAAATCCAATAGGCCGCAATCGTGGTGACAACAAGGACTGGGCAGAGTCTGTAGAGAACTCGTCGGAATGGCGTCAACATCTCGACGTCATCGTGGGCAGCGAGTCTCTGGATGATATAGTCGTCTTGTTTCTCACTCATTCCTAGTCGAACAGCTGGCGCGGACAGCGTCTCATTCGAATCCTCCCTGATTTGAGCAATGTCCGGTGGCTTGATGGTGCTTTCGGTGGATGCCACCCGTGAAAATCGTCGTGCATTGAATTGCTGAGGTGCTGCATAGCCGACAGAAGACACTCGACGCGTTTCGTTGATACCCAGCCCAAGCGGATTACCTTGGGTCGCCGTAAGGGGATCCATCTTATGCAAGACTTCTCCCACGGCCACGGATGCTCTTCTGATGCCATGGGACATCCGCCGCGCCCCATAGTTTCCCGGCGAAGAACGTTCTTTTGTTAACATGTTCGGATCCTGTCCAGCATCATGACTGAAAGGATGATTCCAACGGATATGTCCTGGTTGAGTGATTTGAGTCTGGCATCGTCAGGCTAGATTCGCATTATTTCGTGATACTTGCATACCGGAGTCTTTTCCACCTTCTCAGACATATCCTCATTCGAGGTTGAATCTTCCCCTTCCACATCGCCGACAGGAGATAGATGCCTCCTCCTATCGGTGGCACGCTCATCGGACCCGCGCTCACCTCTGCCGCCTGTTGACGACTTCCGCCTGCTGAAAGGGTCCATGGCTCTAGGTTGTCGACGTGTAAACCACCTTTGGGGGATGTTGCACTTGGCTCGCTCAGAGCAGGGGATCGAGCATATATGCAGTAGCTAAGTATAGCGTCATTGAACCGTGGGTCTCAACTCATCCATGCTTGCCGAAAGTAAAGTATATTGACTTTGATAAAGTTTCCTGACATATATGGTAGTTGAGGTGAACGGACCATGTCCACACATTCGCGCGTAGCAATAGTGGCCCACAGAATACGGCCACACATAACGATTGTTGGTGTATAGCTTCAGCAGGCTGCATGATAAGCTTTGGATGAATCTCTGGAATCCTCTAAGACTCTGGCCAGACTCATCATCGAGGAAGAATACGAGAAAGCAGCCCACAAAGGGTGCCACGCACTCCACCAGGCTGCATTGTCTTGACAAATGGCACTGTAAACAGCGACTATGAACCTCATGGATTGATCTTGGTGCCTGCAGCGGCCGTTGGCAACTGGACCGAGTGTAGAGGCAGCAATTTCAGCTGCTGGTGTGAAGGTCCGATATCCGAGGTGAATGGAGCCAGCAAAACTTCTGACGCCCCCAGTAACCTACCAGGCACAGTGCATGTCGATTGTAGTGGTGCATCATGAACGCTCAGGCATATCTGGACGATAGAGGTGGCATGCTCGCGATAGAATTACTTCAGCCCCGACGGCGAACGTGCCAATAGTTTGGCTGCTGGTCCAAATGTTCTGGAGAACGAGCGCAGAGTGAAGTAATAGTCCGCAACCAATAATTGGTGATCGTCTACTTTTGGAGGACACACTGACCATGTCGTTGCCGGGAGGCAATGATCCATATGTGAGACGACACTGGGGGACTTGACTTGTGGGTTGAAGCATTGACCAGGCCAAGCCGAAGTGCTAAGGATTAATGGGTTCGAGAATCTTGAACGTCAAACTCGAATATCGGCTGAGGTGTCTTGTTGTTGACGTGATACTACTCACGTGAGCGCTAAGAGTCACGTGTGGGCACTGACGGATGAATCGTGACTTCCTTCGTTGGAGATGTCAAGGCGCCTACAGATTTTATCCAAAGCAAATATCACTCTACATTCACGAAGGTTTCTTATATTGCGCGGTTATGCTTGGTTGACATTTTCTCGACGATTCCCTGCATGATGGCACAGCCGACCGAAAGCGTGTTATCATAACAATGGTTCGGCAGGACCGGGTCTTGTAGCCTTCAACATACTATGGTACCTTTCGCACCTGTAGGTTTGGCAACCGCGAATCACGAGCATCCACCGACTTCGCACGATCCTCTCCGTCGATCACGTCTCCACCAATATTCCATCCACCTGCTTCTCCTCTGGGTCCAGCAGTCCCAGCGCTTCTCGTCTCGTGGGCGCATTGGGATCAAAGTATGGGACTTCCGCAAGGGAAGTGACTCTGGTCCCATGACGCGGATAGTTGCCGCCGTAGTCCCATGAAGCATTATGGATGGTGATTCTGCTCTGGTCAGCACGTCCGAGGTACTAGACATTGTGTGCTCACCTGTTATCCCAGAGTGCGCTTGTGCCTGGTGTCCATCTGAACCTCACTTGAATATCGACATTCCTCTCATAGACGTCATAGAGGTATCCCAGGATGAGATCACTTTCGGCTTTGTCCAGACCAACGATCCTGCTCGTCATGGCCCTATTCACCCATAGAGCCCTCCACCCAGTCGCTGGATGGACACGAACCAATGGATGAGTGCGCTCAATGTACTGAGGTCCAGCATTCGGATTCTCTCGGTCGAGATATGGGTGAGCCGACCGATACACAGCTTGCTTACCATCAATGTATTTGCGGAAGTCTGGCGACAGCTTTTCATAAGCTGAATACCCACTTGCCCAAAGTGTGTCGCCACCCGTGGGCGGAACAGTGTCGTTGTGCAGGTGGGTTATACCAGCTGGCTGTCGCTCATGAACAAGATCCGTATGCCATCGCGAGGCGCCACCAGGTCTGCGGAAGCTAGGTGTGACTTCGGTCGCTTGCAGAGCCGGCCAGATGACGCTAACTCCGAGCACTCCTGGTACCTGAGGCACTTGAGGCTATCACTGACTTAGCACAGGCACCACTTGCTGGAACCAGAAAGGGAAAGCCCATGCTTACATGAATCTCGACTTCACCATAATATTCTCCAAGCGCTTTTTGCTGTTGCGGGGAGATCTCCTGGTCTCGAAAGAACACGACACTGCGTTCAGCTATCAATAGAGCAAGTTCATCCTTTTGTTGGTCTGTTAGATCCTTGAGTTGAAGTCCTTCGATTTCGGTGCCAATATGTGTGGTAAGGTCGGTGACCTTGGTCGCGGCAGAAAAGAGCGCCTTCTTGGACTTGTCAGCGCGAGCACCAACTTCGATATATTTTCGCTCTTCGTTTCTGATGTTATACACGTCTTGGAGGTACAATGGTCGATGAGGGCGATATGGATAGCCTTCTGACAGGTCGATCCCAGCGCTCGTCAAGCGCTTCAACGCTGGCTCGGGCAATCCCAATGTGTCCTTCTTGGGGACGACAAAATCCGCAGTATGCGAGTCGATTGCTCCTGGTGCCATATTGGGAGATGTATCTGAATCGGGCAGAACTTGAAACGTCAGAACAACGAAGGTCTTCGCACAGTTTGCTTATACCTATCTTTATACCATTCGCAGGTTTGCTAACTTGAGAGATTAGGTACAACGGGGCGCCTGCTTACAAAAACAGTCGACTAATGTCACTTGAGGTGCCGGAAGATGGCGACATGTATGCGTGCTATGGCGTGCAACCCTCGTGCTTCGGTTGGACTCGAACTGGCATACACCCATGAACTAGCTGCATGCAAAAAGGCAAGACGCAATCGTCTGCAGCAGCTGTTCTATGGCATGGGAAGCAGCGAAGTCCGCTACAGGCATACAAACCCCTCACTCTCGAGACGTCTTATCGCCCAATCACTTGCATGCACAAGGATACATCCGCCATCAACACTTCCACAGGTAGAGATTCGTGAGGACGTCGATGCCGAATCTGTCACGTGACCATATGGCGTGCTTGGGTCGACTTATTTGCTGCTCGCTTCTCGACGAGTACCGTGCAAGATGTTTGCAAGTTAACTTCAGTCATTGTACGATGATGTGGCATGCTTGACGGCTATCTGGTCACACCATTGGGCAATTCGTCCTGACTCGACATCTTCAACAATCTTGGCTGTTGCCAGGAAGCCTGCCTTGCCTGATGCGGCCATCTAGAACATTGTGATACATGCACGTACATGGTTGTCGACAGCACGCAATATTAGACACATAAGGTGTCATCCCCGGACGTAGCATTGGCAAGCATTGCTTTCTACTCCGCGCAGAGTGGAACATGGGAAAGGATGATCGACCCTTCCACGGGGGTGACGAGCATTTAAAAGAGTCCTCCGTTGGCCTCCTGAGCGACTGGCAGACTGAGCAGACCCCAGCGTCCCCGAGCCAGCATAGAGAAATGTCCTCCGACTACAAGGGCACGGAACTCGACGTCAAAGGAGTGAAAGTCGACGGTGCTCCAGACAGTCCTCGCGACGAGAGTATACCCTCATCTCCTACGGATCCGATCCGAGCCAAACCGCAAAGAACATGGCAATCCTACGTGTGGGACAGTTTGGACAAGTCTCCTGAGGAGCGAAGGTTTCTCTTCAAGCTCGATGCAGCAGTGCTCACGTTCGCCTCGTTGGGCTACTTCATCAAGTATCTCGACCAGATCAACATCAACAATGCCTTCGTCTCTGGAATGAAGGAAGATCTGGGCCTGTACAAGAACCAGCTCAACTATATGCAGACATGTTGGACCGTGGGTTACGTGATTGGAGAGATACCGGTATTCCATTATTTACCATGCCTCCAAGTCGTGTATCAACTGATTATAACCAGTCAAACATGATTCTTACCCGCGTCCGCCCCAGCATTTGGATACCGACCGCAGAGCTCGTGTGGACAATCCTCACCTTCTGCACCTCGAGGTGTAACAGTGCCAGCTCCCTCTACGCCCTCCGTTTCCTGGTCGGTCTCGCCGAAAGCACATTCTACCCTGGCATGGTCTACGTGATCGGTTCGTGGTACCGCCGAGACGAGCTTGCCAAACGATCCTGCATTTTCCACACCAGTTCGGCAATTGGCAGCATGTTCTCCGGGTATCTGATGGCTGGTGTGTACCATTTAGGCGGGAAAGGTGGTCTCAAGGGGTAAGTACCCTCTGTGCATTTTAATTCCCACCAAGCTGACCCTGGTCCTGCATAGCTGGCAATGGCTCTTCGTCATCGACGGGGTCATTTCTCTCCCTGTTGCACTATCCGGCTACTTCCTGCTTCCCGACGTCCCGGAAACAACGCGGGCATGGTACTTCACGCCTGCAGAGCGCGAGTTTGCCAAAAAGCGCATGGAACTCGAAGGTCGGGCCCAACGAGCGCCCTACACCAAGGCCAAGTTCAAAAAGATCTTTACTTCCTGGCGCATATACTTCCTGACAGCACTGTACATGCTGTTCAACAATGCCGCTTCAGGCGTAGGCCAGCCAACTTTTGCCCAGTATCTCAAGGACTCGACGAACCCCAAGTACACCATCTCGCAGATCAACGTATACCCGACGACCACATACGCCGTGCAAATTGTCAGCACGCTCATATACGCTTGGACATCGGACACGATATTCCGTGGCGCGCGGTGGCCGCCGATCATCTTTGGTGGTGCGGTCAACATTATTTGCTATGCTAGTCTGGCTGCCTGGAATATCCCTGTCGACTGGCACTGGGCTTGCTATATCATCGCTGGCTGTGGTGGTGGGCTGAGCGGGCTTTGCATGGCGTGGGCACATGAGATCTGTTCCGACGACAATGAAGAGCGCGCTATTGTTACGGGATCTATGAACGAGATCGCTTACGTCTTCCAGGCTTGGTTGCCACTGGTGGTCTGGCAGCAGGTTGATGCGCCGCAGTATCATAAGGGATTCGTCACGTCGGCTTGTTTATCTGGCGCGCTGATCGTGTGTGCGCTGGCTATAAGGGTGCTTTGGAAGAGGGAGCTCGCACGCAAGAAGCTGAAAAACTTCGAAGCTTGAGGCGTTGACGTTGAACACATGGAGCTAATCGACGAGTCCTTAGACCGTCGCAGCGATTGGACAGTGTGTCGGAAGGATACAGAGAATGTTGCAGTGGTGTCGGTCAGGGCTTCCTGCTCCCAAATTACATAGAGCCGATGGTTTTATATCGCACAATGTCGGCCGCATATTGGTCAAAACGCGCAACGATTACCAGGAACTATGGTCTGCTGACTTTGTATGATGATTACATTGGCAGCTTGACAGACGTCCCAAGGTCTAGTCAAATATGCTATATTTTGTCTGCGAGCCATTGTGCTCTGAATGTAGCTCCCGCGTGTTCGTAAGATGTCTTGGGTTAGAAACGATGACCCGCCTTCGGATGAACGACAACATAACCTTGATGCTTCGGGCAGGCATCATCACCTAGTGCATGCATTGTGATATGCAGTGCTGTGCATCAGGAGAGGGTATTGCATTTGTCACCCAGCAGTTCTAGTCCAGATAAGCTGCCGAAACGATCCTTTTGTGGTTGTGCGCAAGTGTGTGATGGAATCACGACATCCCTGACGTGCTATGGCGTGCTTCACAAGGGACTACCATAACCCTCCAGGGCGAATGCAAGCAGCAACCAGCCACGGGATTGGCCGCCCATCAACGCGGCACCATTATCTCTCTATATTCCATGATGTTTCTTCCAGGTCATAGATACCCGTCTCTGCAAAGTGACTGCAAGTCTAAAGCGAATATAGCCATGACTCAACATCGTGCCAAAAGAGTGGCTGTGATAGGGGCAGGCATCTCAGGCGTGTCCTCCGCAGCACATCTCCTACGACAAGGACTGGATGTCGTCCTGTTCGAAAGGTCAGGTGTTGCAGGCGGAGTATGGCACTTTGACCCGCGGTCTACAAAAGACCCCTCATACCCAAATGAACTGCCTTCCAAGGGCGACTATGAGACAAAACCAGAGTCAGCATATAGCACGCCGCCGCCAGAGAGCGACGACAAGGAAGGCGACGTCGAAATTGCCCACGCACCTCCTGGGCCGTGCTATTCCGGACTCAAGAACAACGTGTCGACACGCCTGATGCGGACAAGTCTGCAGTCATGGCCTACCGGAACCGAAGACTTTGTCACCCAGAAAGTGCTGGAAGAATATATCCAAGCACTCGCCGAAGACCACGGCGTATCCAGCATCACTCAGTACCACACGCGAGTCGAGGAGGTCCGCAAGTCCGGCTTTGAATGGCTGGTGAGAACGACCAGTCTGGAGAAGACGGCCCTCGGCTCGCACCTCTTGGAGCGACGTTGGACTTTCGATGCCGTCGTCGTAGCTTCTGGACATTACAACATGCCACGAATACCCGAAGCTCCAGGCCTTAAGCAGTGGAAAGAGGCGTTCCCAGAACGAGTCTGGCACTCCAAGAGATATCGAAACCCTCGGGTGTTCCAAGACCAGAACATTTTGCTCATCGGTGCGGGCGTTTCCTCGTGCGACATTGCCAAAGAGTCTGCCGCTCACGCCAAACATATTTTCCAGAGTTCACGTGGCGGTGTGCTCGATTTGCCAGCGACTTTCCTGCCCAAGAATGCCACAAGAATCCCAGGCATCAAATCATTTGAGTTAGACGCTTCGCACCACGAAACAAAGTCCGAGTCAGACCCTATTCCGGGGAAGATCATTCTCGAAAACGGCGAGGAGCTCTCCGATGTCCACGCGGTCATTCTGTGCACCGGGTATATCACATCATACCCGTTTCTGGCTCACCTGCACTCCGACACCACACCAACAAGTCAAGCAGATGAATCGGTGCTCGTGACAGCCGAAGGGGACATGGTGCACAACCTGCACAAAGACATCTTCTACATTGAAGACCCGTCGCTCGTCTTCGTTGGCGCACCGTACCACATTGCAACATTCTCGCTGTTCGACTTCCAGGCTCAAGTGGTAGCCAGGGTTTTGAGCGGGAAAGCGTCCCTACCCACGCATGATCAAATGCGCGAGGAGTATCGGGCGCGAGTGGAAGCAAAAGGTTTGGGACGCGATTTCCATAGTCTCAGAGGAGAAGGTGAAGAACAGGCGTATGTGGCAGAGCTTGTGGATTGGACGAACAGAGATGCTGCTGGGCTAGGCGTCGGGGACAAGATGCGAGGTCACACAGAGGAGTGGCACGAAGCAAATCGTGATAGAGAGGAGAAGTTAAAGTGGTTGCGGGCGACCAAAGACCAGGAGAAGAAGAAAGAGGCTGGATTTGATACTGTCGCGGTATGAGGACCGTGTCCTGCCTGTAGCGAGTCATAGATGTTGATGATACACGGCTAGAGCTCAAAGTCTTGCACACGGTGTACTCCTCAGATTGGACTTACTTGTCATGTTGATGTGTTTCCATCCTTACATCCGTTTTCCCAGAATGACCATTGTCGAAGTGACCGCGTCGAATAGATTCTTTCGCGACAAGACACATTTACGTCACCGTAGCCGAAAATCAACGCTAATCCTCTATGGGAGTGTCGAGCAATTCATGCGCCAAATTTCCAGTGCCCACATCCGATCCAAGCATCTACAGTTCATTCACTTTGCGCATCTAGAGTATACACAAAGAAACCACCAACTCCCGATCCTGATCTCCGAGCTTCGCACCAGGTCGCCGTCCACATCACTCCCCGACTGTCGAACTCAAATCTAGCACGACTACCTCATCATAATTCATTAAAATGCCTCCCAAGCAGATCCAAGTCCAGCCGGCTTCCCGCCGCAGCCAACCCAAAGGCTACTTCAGCTCAGTCTACCACACCCTGACATCGCAAGAGAATGCAAGCGTGGTGATCAGTGTCGCCATGTTCGGAGTACGTTGTGGCCTGACTGAGAACCTGCGAAATGTAGCGCTAACACAATGTCTGAACAGGCCGCCGTCGCATTCTTCAACTCGGAATGGAGTGATATGCTCCTGCCAGGCTTCTAGACCTCCATTGTACCTACGACTATCTCTCAGCACTTTCGAAATCCCGGTCGACGTCGACAAACTCCGCTCTGAACGCCCTACCTTGGGCTCCTATGTTCATCCCGGCACGAGGATAAGCTGGGACGGCTGATTTCATGTATACTACCCGCTGGGAGCCTCCCGCTTGATCACGGCAATTGAATGTACGGTGTGCTTGGTGAGGCGTACTGCTATTCGAACAAGAAGCCCCCCCCACCGTGAAAAGCAGGACATGGTGCAAAGACTGCTGCTGCAGGCATTGTGTTGGGGTGGGAGGCGTTCGATTTTGCTGTGCTTGCAGATACCAGAATGTCAAGACCTGGAGGCGAAAATGTAGGGACAGTTACTTGGGACAATCCCAGTTGTACAACAATGCAAATACATGTCTGCAAATACGTGTCCGCACTGACAACCACACCCCTGCAATCTACACTTGAGAGCGTGCACTCGGTGTAGTAGCCAATCACTGTATACTCAAGTCATTGAGGATTTTATTTTCTGCTATGTACAATCATAATCAACCGTGATATCATTTTGGCCAAACATCTGGCTCTCCTTTTTGGTTCGCGAATGGCGATGTATTTACTCTGAACTCCCCTTTCGACACTGAATATGTTCAACCAGATCCCCAAGAAAGACCACCCACATGATGCAACGCCGCGCTCGAATATTTTAAACGACCAAGCCACCGAATGCAGGACAGACATGCAGACATCGCCATAGAGTCCACGATGCTGATCTCCACAGTTTCGACAATGACGTGGCATATACATATGCCTAGCTGGGCATGCCCTTATGACACTTCATCCTCAAGTACCATAACTTTGACCATTAGGATCTGGCATCAATGTCTCCGTCGCGCCCTCGGCTTCGTCTTCCAGATGCTCGCGCTTCATGTTGCGGCTCTTGATGTAGGTAAACGAGACGAGTGCTATGCCAACGACCACGGCCAAGCTCATGAGAATGACATTCACCGGGATAGGGTTGAGGTTGAAAATGACATGTGTGGCCGCGTCCAGAGGTGACTGGAGAAAGTTGAACAGCCCAGCCAGACAAATAATGAGACCGTACACCTTGCCAAAGGTCTGGAAGCCGAACACCTTGGCCGAGTAGTCGGAGACGGTGGTGTAGTAAAATGGTCGGTAGACGACAAAGAGGCAAACGTTGGCGATAGCCGCCCACATATATGGCAGGCATCCCAAAACACCAATGATGGTAGCCGTGACGACCAGAAAGCCCAACGCGAAAGGTGTCGAGGTGTGGTCCAGTAAAGTTCCAATGAACGGGATACTGAGGACACCGCCCAGGGGCAGAGCAACGTCGAAGAAGTCGTTGACCATCTTCGCCTTACGTGCTGAACCCAGCAGATACTGCTCCTGAGGACGAATGGTCGCCACAAAATAGTTGATGCGGGTCATTTGGACCACAGTGAACAAAGTGATAAGCCAGAACCAAGGAGTCTTGATCTGATCGAGGGCGGAATAGCCGTGCAAGGCGCCCCAGACGCCGGACTTGGAGTTCTTGTTCTCTTCACGTTTCGCACGTTTAGTGTTGGTACTTTTATCCAGTAGGAGGCTGACCTCGGCGATTGTGCTCCTTCTGCGTTCGCGGTACTCGAGTGCCTCCTCTTCAGAAACTTCTGGTGGGGTAGGCGCGTTGATCTCCTCTTCGGCGTCCTTGACAACCTCGCTGACCGTCTTGTATGAGTCGTTTGGCATGATGAAAACCTGTACGAGCAAAACGAATACAGGCACAACCAGGTAGATTAGAAAGAGGCGGTGGGTGTCGAGCCTGCCGCCAGTGGATTCGTAGAGGAGGCGGAAAACAAGGAAGAGAGCCGAAGAGGAGTCGAAAGCGCCGGTCAATAGGGCCAGAATGAGACCCGAGTTCTGAGGAAACGTGTTGGAGAGTTGGAAAGAGGATATGAATACGAACGGGCCACCGAGTGCGAGGAAGAAGTAGCCTGGCGTATATAGATCCCCACTGTTGACTTTACTGGCAAAGGAAAACAGCAGAGCTCCGGTGGTAAGGAAGATGCTTCCAATAATACCGCATACTCGTGGACCGTATTTGTCAAGGATGGTACCGATAGGCAATGCTGCAACGTTGGTCGACACAGCCGCAACGGTGAACATCAAGTTCAAGCGGATCTCTTGCTGGTAGCATGGTGTGGTGTGCTTCTCCACCTCTTCCGCAGTACACAGGTTCTTGAAGACGCCTTCGTCGATAAGGACGGGTTTGATAGCAGCGTAGCCGAAGACGATGCCGGCAGCAAACAGGCAGTAAATGATGGCGACGACGACTTGTACTGCAGAATAGTGTCAGTGCCATACCATGATTGTTTGGTGCGGTGTTGGGTAAATCTTACGTATCCGCTTTTGTTTAGATACCTCTTCGAATTGTAGAGCTGCAGAGACGACACTGGGCTTCCTATGGCCGTCCGGTACCCGATCCGTGAAGGGATTGAAACTCATTCTTCGATGCGAAGAGACGCTGGAGCCTCTTCTTTCTCGTTCCAATCCATCGACAGAGGCAACCCGAGTGAGAGACATGATGATGACTTCGAGTGGGTTCTTGGTCCCGTGAGGGCAAGTGTCTGTTCGTCTGCGTTCTCGAGAGAGTTACGTAGGCGGGGAGGGGGGAAAGAACACAGCCGAAATGCGGAGAGCTGAACCAGTGACGGGAGGGTTTGAGTAACGAAAGTGGGTGCTGAAACGGAAGAGAGCAGAAGACCAACCGCGGTGTACTTGGGAGGTAATGGAAGATGTTTGGAATGGTAGGAAATGAAAGAAGAAACCCTGTGAGCTTGGAGGAGCTTGACAAGCTGCCAATGGGCCCTCAGCAGATCTTGGATAGATAACGACTGAAGAAATCCATCGGTCAGAAGAAAAAATCGAGTAAAGATCTTGAGAAGATCACGGTACCACTGTTGCAGTGCTGATAACGATAAGGGTCGATCATTTTCCTTGAGGGCAATATTGGGTAACAATAGGCGGCATGGCGGGCGCAACCGTCATTGGAGATTTCTGGTTGCTGTGGGCCTGGCAGTGGCAGTGGAAGTCTCCGTCAAAGCGAAGGCTTTTCGGCTGCCTCCATACTCCGAAAATCGTTCCTTGCGCTGGGGAAAATAATCACTCAAAACATCTGTCTGGACCATACAAGCATCAGACAGTGCTAAACTCCGACCATAATGAAAGCGGCATGAGTGGATGGCAGAATCCGAATGAGTGGTGTGTCCGGATTCCCTGTTGACCATGATACCAGGTACATGGCTGGCGTCTCGCGGTAGACCTCTGCCGATTGTGCCAGCCTCGCACCTGGAGCGAAATAGCACTCTTACCTGCCGAAATGGCAGTACAGCAGCCCACTATGGTCAGCCTTGTTTGATCATGCGCTCAACGAACAAATGAGACCACTGAAACGGGCTGGCCCTTGTCTGGCTGGCGGCTGCGGAACAGATTCAACCATAAGCGCCAACTTCAAATAGCACAGAGACCTTGGCGCCTGTGGCCGAAACAGCCCTGTCTGCAAAATGAAAACACCACCACCATCCATCTGAGTACCCATACAAGTGCTCTGAGACTGACAAGAGACAATTTCTGGGTTTGTCTCGTTAGGTGTAAATGTGTTCACTAGTTCCGTAGGGTCTCAATGAAAGCAAGTCAACTCACCTTGTTGATACCTCCAAATACTTAAAGACCGCAACGTGTCCAGGCCATGAAGCAATTTCATCATCAATCATCATTTGCACCCGTCTCTCCTTGATTTCGGAGGTGCCCAACTCAATCCTTTGGCTGCTCTCCCAATCGGTCCTTACCTTGAGATAGATCTGGTCGTGCACACTCCTTCATCGGCTCATATCAGACAGTCCAATCAACACATTCCTTTTGTCTCTTTTGTCTCCTGGTGAATTGAAGCAACATTCACGCTTCACATTGAACAATCATCTTTTTGGTTCTTTGTGTTCAACATGGGTCCTGATCATGGCGTCCTCGGTGCCACTTTCAAGGCAACCAGGGCTCTTCAGATGGCTTCCATGCTCGCTGTCGTTGGTATCACGGCCAATTTCATCTCTGAGATGGTCAGTGCCGGAGCTACGCCACCATCAGTCATTGTGGCCATCTTGAGCATTGTATGTTGGAAACTCAACGTGTTCCATGGGAAAAGTGATCAATACTAACCCTACACAGGTGTGCATCGCCGTGCTGTATTGTGCCATCACACTCATTCTGTATTTGGACAGCATTCTCCCGTTTCTGATCAGCACGGGCATCGACTCTCTTTTCTTGATTGCTCTGGTTGTGGTCTCGGTGGTGGTTGGTAAACCACTATCGTACTTGAACTGCCAGGTGCTCGACGAGATCTCCAACGCCACTTCCAGCGCCTTCGACTTCACATCAGCCTTGGGCAATAGTCTCAACAAAGATGGCAAAGTGAATTATTCGCAATGGATTGGCACTTCCAAGTCGACGTGCTTGGAGATGAAGTCCATCTGGGGATTCAGTATCGCTCTTTGGTAAGTGGCTTCAGATGTCGCCCGTCGTTGCAGAAGCTGATCGCTTATCAGCATCCTGTTCACCTTCTCGGCGGTGAGCACCATATGTCTTTGGAAGAGGACCAAGCAGGCTCCTGCAGACAAGAGCCAGGCTTGAAGCAGCAGGGCGTCGGATCGTGACGGAATGGTTCGCCGTCAGAGATGTCAAGTTGATTGCAGGAGGAGAGATCATGCATAACCTTCCGGGCGAAAAAGAACTAGGCTAGAAGACGATAATTGCAACGTGTTTCGGACACATCAGGTTGGGCGGTTTGGGACGCGACGTTCCCTTGTGCAAGCGACCGAAAAGGATCAATTTGGGCTTGTTTCCATGTGGATGTCAGGTGAGAAGTGAGCCAACTTAATGTATGTTGGGCGGGTTGTATGCGGTCACTTGGATGTCAATCCCAATAGATGTGGCAGTAAATAATAGGCTGGAGTTCCTTTGCAGGACGTCTTTCAGGGTAAAGCTCCGTGTCCTGGTGGTCAGGCATGCAGATGTGTCATGCAGCCGTTACTTCTCAGGCCATGCCAGGGGAAGTCTCATACCCACGTCTTCACCTTTCAAAACAAGAACAGGTAGATCAACTGTATTTGTCTTTCGGAGTCAACCAGAGCAGCTGACTGGTTGCAGGAGAATCATGTAGGCATCTTGCCAATCTTCCTGTAAGCGTGGCAGATCGCGACTGGTACGGCGCTCATTCTTTAGTCGCGTTTCTTCACTGGCCGCAGAACGAAGGTGTCAGAAGTTGAGGTCTGCAACATTGCACGTCAATGCTGGAATCTGAATGTGAGACAAAGTGGGATGGGTCACACAGCATGGAGATGAAATTACTGGTAGCCACGTACTGTGGGAGCGCTGTCGTCCCCGTCGTAACCAAATTGCTGGGCCCGAAAAATTGAGCATTTGGACTGGGACAGGCGGTGGTGAAACTCGCTCGTGGAGTCGTGGACCGTACCGGCTCCTCGGGATGCGGCAGAAGGCGAGAGCAGCTCTTGACCGATAGGGAAAAGCTAACTAAATTTAAATCCCACCATGACACGTAGGCATCCATAGGCATTGGTCAAATGGGTTCTTCCCTTTGGGTACTTTAAGCGAAGAAGGGCACGCAAGGGCTCATGGCTTAAGTAGTAAATGCCCTTGAAGAGCGGTAAGTTACCGTTCGGTTGGAACTGTAGCAAGTATGAGTACACGTACACTATTGCCTTAATATTGCGCCCAACTCCCAAAGGGTGAGCTGAGTCCGGCCTGCTGGGACTCTCTACACGGTATCTTGTCATAATCAGTCCCAGTAATTTGGTCCAGTGGGTTCTGTCGTTGTTTCGTTCCATTGGTAGCCACCGCAACTAGTATCCGAGTTTCTGCTGCATCTCTCTTTTCTTTCCCACTTTGTACGAGTATTATTTTCATTTCTCTCTTGCCTTGTTTGTTCTATCATGAACGCCGTAACCACTCGTTCCTCCCCTGCTCTTTCGACCTGTTACTTTACTCCACTGCGCAATGACCAACCTTACTGTTACTTTGGCGGACCTATTTTCCAGATGCTCAGCTCGCCCGGTTGGATTCGATTTGAACCTAAACAACCCTCGAACAAAACCCAATATCTAATGCTGCTCCTGTCTTCGTTGGCCCCTCTTCTCTCCATACCCACTTCGGATCCTCCTCTCAACCACTACTGTGCAGGACAGCCGTGTCGGTTTTCTTACTCACGGGCCATCCCTGGTTCATTCCAAAGTTCGGACTATCATCACATCATCCCCATTTCGTCCGCTGTTTCCTCCATTTTGCGCCACACTAGCCTCAGTCTTCCTGCCTATCACTACTTTGTCCACTCTTTTCATCCAGGAAAACTATGGTCAGTGTATCCGGCCTACCGGCTCGCTTCGTGCATACTGATGATCCCTCACATTCGACCCTGCTTCTTCAGCCTACCCTTGTACCGAACGTTTTCACGGCCTGGTGCCAGCTGTCGTGATCTTCTCTCTTTGTCAAGTCTGTACCTGCGACCCTGCGACGGCCTTGACGTGAGACGATACCAAAGCATTGCGACTTAACTAAGCCCGCGTCTAACGCCTGTCAGTCATTCACCGGTCTTTCCGAAAAGGTCGGCTTGGTGTCTCCACCGCTGCGACATAGACAACAAGGCGGGCTCCTCCATGAGATTACCGTCGATTTGTCGACTGCATTATTATAGTCGTATCCTACCCGCCCTCTCACCATCCTACACATCATTCTTCCTCTTCGAGTAAAATACCATTTTTGGCTTCTTCAACACCTTACTCGCCTTGACTTCTTCGCGCAGGTTCGCGTTCGACTTTTTCCTCCACTTTTCTTTGGGGGGACCTTTCAATTTTGGGTCGTGGTGGTTGTGTGCAAGTCGTAAGACTATTATGTGTTGCAGGGATCATGTCATCTGAAAAGAACATGGAGGATCTAAATCTACCCGGCGTCATTTCGATTGACGACGCATATGGGCGTTTCGAAACGGACGATGATGGAGATCGAGACGCTAGCTCATCCTTCTCGGTGGCCTCCTCGGCTTACACATTCAGAATGGAACATGGGCGTCGATACCATGACTACAAAACCGGCAGTCCTTTTCCCCACGACGAAGTCTCCGACGAGAACGATTATCTCTTGCACGAACTGTGTCTAGTGTTGCTCGATGACCGATATTATTTGGCTCCTATCGATACATCTTCGCTGAATTGTGTCGTGGATGTAGGGACAGGCCTGGGTTTGTGGGCAGAAGGAGTTGCTGAGAGATTCCCTGAGTCCCAGGTCGTGGGAATTGATCTCACACCTCATGCCCGGAGTATATTCCCAAATTGTTCCTACATGTTGTCCGACGCCAGTGAAGAATGGGTACTAGACGATCCAACCATGAAATTTGACCTTGCTCATATCAGGTCACTATTTGGTAGTGTTCCGGATTGGGCTGCGCTGTACAAGAACTGCTTTGAGTAAGTACGAGTTTCGCTTACCCATCACACAAGCACTTTCTCTCTTCATTTTGCACTGCATGATCTGGCGGGAAAGCATACACAGGCATCTCTTCACGCACGTTCTGTTATGGAAGTACACTGTCCTGCGGAACAAATTTCCCAGCCATGCACACTTCCTTCACCTTTCGTTCCAGCTTTCACATCGTTCATGCCGAATTTTGGTTCTGCTGAGTTCCTGACTGACTTCTTCTAGCAACATGAACCCAGGTGGTTGGATCGAACATCTGGAGATAGAAATCAACGCTCAAACCGATGACGCTGAGGTTCCCGCAGACAGCCATATCAAATATCTCTCCGAATTTGCCCACACTCACATGACTGTTGCTTCTGGAAGAGACTTTGGAATTTCTTTCGGCATGAAGAAATTGATCGAGGAAGCTGGTTTCGTCGATGTGCAAGAGAAGAGACTCAAGGTGCCCCTTGGCCCCTGGGCATCGGACCCGAAGCTGAAAGAGGTTGGGAGATTATGTGAACGCTTCTACAAGACAGGTCTTCAGGGCTGGCTAATGCACGTTTGCACTCGAAGCTTGGGGGTAAGTGGTCGATGGGCAAAGACACCAGGCAGTGGCTGATTCAGGCTTTTAGTGGACCAGTGAACAAGTCAACGAAGCCTGTGCAAAGACTTTTCAGGAGCTCAACAACCGTCAGCAGCATTGGTACTACCTGGCGTATGTTGGGAGTGTCTTGGTCGATGGAAAACTATGCTAATCGATATGGGCAGGGTCATTGTTATCGGACGAAAACCTTGAGCATCTCCACCATTGCTCAATCTTAAACAACCTTCGACTATGCCACAGCTTTCCGCCAACAAAGGTGGTTCGGTTGTACAGCACCTCCGACTCATACCAGCGACGCCGATGACTTTTGCCCAAATCAAGGGAGTGGGAAACGAGCACGGATGATACAAGGAGTGGGAATAACCTAGGCAGACAAGAAAGAGGTGTAAAGAATACAGCGATCATTGGTGTATCGCGTCAGCAAGGTTGGAGACTTGCCGCCCACAACGCCAGCTCACCAACAGACGGACGCTTCGGTACTGTAACAATCCATGCCTTCGGACCAAGCTCTAGCGTTGCCGAGGTGCTCAACACCTTGTCACAAACCTATCGACAGCATGCGAGCCTGATCGATACCATATTACTTCAGGCAGATCGAGGGTGGCACGATGGATATTCCTTGATTGGTGCAGCCGGATGTATAAGAAACAGCTATGTGCCAGGTCAGCGGCATAAAAAGGGAGTCACACTTCCAGAGAGAGGCAAGCCGTCGGACGCAGCTCTTTCCATACTTGGAAGGTGTGACTCTTGGAGAAAGCATACTGAAAAGCTTCAACAGGCATCTTGAAGTATCTTCTTCGCTAGGATATGGTTGGGACACGCAAATCGTGCATGGGTTTATGAGTGATGATCACTGTGCTCCAGCTCAAGTCAAATACCCATGCATCAGACGCAGTAGGAAACAGTGCAAGCCTGGGTTGCGCAATCAGCGTCATTTGGCTTGCCCACGTTCCCAAGAAAGGGTTTCCAGGGTCGTTCATAAGATGAATACTAATCACGACCAGATATCAACCAGTATATATACTTGATTGATTCCTTTTTTTTGTTCTCATTCTCCATTCATTACTGCTAGCCACCATCGTCTAGCACACTTGTCCCAAGCAGCCCTGCGCCAGAGATAAAAGTCTCCCCAAAATGCGACAGCATCGTGGCTAAGGCGCGCTCTCGACGGTTACAGTACCTAGGCCCAAATAGAGCGGCTGTGAAATCCGCCGGATTTTTACCCCAAACACACTGCTATGCGGAGAACAGCAATCGGTCTGACAGAACCCATGTACAGCCAAACATGAGGTGCTCAACCCTTACTACTTTTACGTCAGACAAACCGACCGAGAGATTGGAGAGGATCGTCCTCGGGCTTATTGATCTGCGCTTACAAGGGCTCTCGGCTGGCGATACCCTCTGGCAACATCACCTGAAGTAATTCCAAATCATCATCTGCTCATCCCTGGCCGCCGTTCACTGACAGATAAGCTTCACTTGTCACGGGCCAGCGGAGGTGCGACTGCTCGACCTGCGATGTTATTCAGCATGGGCTCTGCTGACCTTCGAAATCTTGGAGTATGAGCAGGTTCGCAGACGCGCTCGCTCTTCTCGGTGCTTCGCATGGCATGGCGTACCGAGAATCCACCGAACGCATTTCAGCACCAACAGCTCCTTCCGAAGCAGGAAGACCTATGCCTGCAGCGGAAACACTCAATACCACCATTGTCCGCCGGGGATTCTACTGGTGATTTATTGAAGATCTCATGTCCAGGAATGCTCACATGCTAGACCCTTGTCACTCTGGGGTTGGCATCAATGCCAGCTACCTGGGTGGCCCTTGTCCCAAGATCTCGGCATGGCATGTACTTTTTTTGCCGGTAGCTTCACAGGGGAACCATCACTCTCAAATCGAGGTCTGACAGGTAACGCTCACAACTTATTCGCATGTGAACACATTTGGTCAGGCTCTCGCATATCGGATCGACGCATCGTGACGACATGAGCCGCTCGCCGGAGAAAAGATGAGCTCAATCCAGACACCGTACACACAAATAACGGTAGGGTTGTCACCGTTGTGTGGAGCCGCTTATCCCACAGTTCCAGAATGGCATGTCATCCATTCGTGCCATTCCAAATCTGCTTCCTAAGGCGTATGTTTTGACCTCACGGCCCCAGCCAGATATATATACCCTGTAAGCAGGAGCATTTCATTCACCCGAAAATCCAAAAAGCCATCGATTTACTACGCCTCGAACTCAAGCAATTCTACAACAACACGAAACAACCTACAATCATGCCTCAATACGAAGGACAATGCCACTGCGGCCAAATCGCATGGACCGCCGAAATCCCTGAGGAGAAACATGTCCTCTGTCACTGCACCGCCTGCAAGATCATGAGCGGTGGCGAATTCACTCTCAACCAGATCATCCCCAAGAAGAACTTCAACTTGACCAAGGGTGATTTGAAGGTGTACAGCTACAAGGGCGACTCTGGTAAGTGCTGATCAAACCATTGCGACCACCCCAGTACTCCAGCAGAGAGCATGTACTGACATCGATCCAGGAAACTCAGTCGACTGCTACATGTGCCCGAACTGCGGGTCTAACCCATATCACCACCAGCAGATCATGGGTAAGTCCGATGCCGGCTTTTCAATCTACATGAGACTGATCGCTGTGATACAGGTCCCGACACAATCGTCATTCGCACGGCTCTTCTGAAGGGCAACGAGAAGTGGGGTAAACCCGCCGTTGAGATCTACGACAAGTATCGGGACTCGTGGCAACCTCAGACGGCTGAGAACAGCTTCCCTCTTGGTCCGCCATCATAGATTGTGTCTTGAATTGAATGCTTGGCCATATGTGACGACTGGCAGTGCCATTTCTTGACAGTAACGGAACGGTTTGGACTTACGAGCAGTCAACGAAACTTAGAGACGACACTACATATATGACGATGAAACTTTATCAAAACGTTTTCCATCGGAAATACTATCCCAAACCACGTGCTGTTCGCTCGCTGTCAGTGCTAGATCCAAGCACTTCTCCCTTGCACATATGGTCCCAGATTTCGAGAAATGCACGTGCTGTAGACCCTCATCCTCGTGTCTGTCGTTACCATCTGCCTCGTCTTGTCCGCTGTCCTTTTAGAACCTGGTCCCAGAGTACCCATTCATACGCCCCCTTTCTCGATTGCGACTCTCCTTGTGCGCGATTGAGCCGATCTCTGGTTGTCCAGCAAATAACATCGTATCACGCTGCACCTCAACCCTCGTTGACTCGTCCGAATGGACGTGGTCAATGACCATCATGGGATCCCTCGGACTTCTCCCTTTATACAATCACTTTGCTTGCTTCTGCTTCCGATCTCTTCTTTGGCCAGTGAATCAGCATCCATGCAATGATTTCGTACCAACCGCAACATCGCAGGTTGAACCAGGTATGCGCAGCAGGCCGTTCCGTATCCAGCCTCAAGCCCGGGAGAGACCAACGGCCTCCTATCGCAATCGCCCCCAAAGCGCAAGAGATTCAACCACTGCTAACAGGCGGTATGATCCCAACCTCATCACCCTTCTTGATCTCGATATCCAACCCCTCTCCTTCTTCACCATCGAGATCGAAATCAACGTACTCCAAATTCACAGTCACAGCTGCACTCCGCAACACTTTCTTCTCAAATCCAGGGAACTTCTGTTCCAACGTCGCGAAAACGTCCCTCAGACTCATCGGTGCGGAGAGCGTCAGTGTCTCGATGTCGCCTGCGTAGCTTGAAGCTGATGCAAATAGCAATAATGTGAATGATCCATCTTGACTTGTGGTCTCGGCTCCCTTTCTAGCAGTACTTTCACCCGCCATCCTCTGAGGGAGCACAGAGTAATCGCTACTCTTTCCGGTGTTACTTTAGATGACTCCAAGGATGAGGGGGAGTTGTACTACATAGGCGGTAGGCTTCAAGTGATACACGTAGGAAGGACACCAGACATATCGTGGATAATCATTATTCCGTAGCAGTCCGACTTTACACATCAAATGACATCATTCTTCTTTGTTTATCACTTCTACTAGTATGTGATAGAACCGTGATGGGACTGCGGTACTCCGTACTGCTAAAAAGTATGTGCTCTTTTCATGAACAAGGAAAAGGGTCAGACACATGCCTGAGCCTGTTTATCTAGATGATCAATACCACAACACATGCATGACATACTGCCATGTCCATTCCCGACATGTCTTTTCCTCTTGGCCTGTCGCCCTTCAACGACAACGGGATGATGTCATATTGACTCTTGTAAGCTGATTTCTCATCGCACACATAATCCATTTCCACGTTTAATGTTCAAGCAATCTCAAGCTTCCTTGAACCACAACGTTCTCGAGGATGGATCCAGGTGGGATATCGATGGTGCTGTTCTCGGTGGCAACGATGATAACAGTACCTAATACAGATTAGTATGCGACGTAACGAACTAAGATTTGCAAGACTCACCCTTGAGAACAATACCGCGACCAAAGTTGACATCACCAGTGACGGTCAAATGATCCAATTCAACAATGTTGGGAATGCTACCAATTCGCTTCTGGAATTGAGCAACCTTCTTGAAGTCACCACCCAACTTGATCAAAGGCGCAGGACCGAATCGGTTGGGGTCCATGAGCAATTGACCGTGGCTCAATGTGTAGAGATTAGATTTGACAAGCATGAGATCAGAGCAAGTCTTGACGGGCAAGAATCGTTTTCGAGGAACGTTGACACCATGGGCATTCTTGAAGTGTTTGATGGCGGCACCAACAGCGGTTTCCAGCTGGATGATGCTGACGTCGGCTTCACCCTTCTTGTCCGCTGGGATAGACTTCTCGTTGGGAATGATCTCCATTTCAAGCTCATTGTTTTCCACAACACGCTTGATGGCTCGGAGGTTCATCCAGATGTTGTTGGTGTTGAAGTACTTGAACTTCTTGATAGACTTGAATTCATTGACGTACTGCTTGGGGACCTGAGCAATTTCAAGCAGTCTAGCCTTGCCTTCGTAGTCGATGATAGTACCACCCTTGACGTCAGCCTTGGTCTTGTCGGTCAACTCCATGATGTATTCGGCCTTGGTCTCGACCATGTGTTGGAGAATGCGGAGGTCAACAACGGCACCGAGGTTGTCGGCATTGGACAAGAAGATGATCTCGATACCTCGTTCAAGAAGCTGATCGAGGATGCCGCTGTTGTAGAGAGACTCGAACACATCACCGTGGCCAGGAGGGTACCAGTCCGACAACTGAGAGTGGTAGTCCTTGGGTGCGGGGAGAAGAGAGTCCTTCAGGACACGAGGATATCGAGATTGGTTAAAGGTGAGAATGTCAATGTTGTGGCCTTCGTATTTCTTGATGATGGAAGCAGTATCTTCATCGGTGTTGAAGCTGTTCATCAGGACGAAAGGCACGTTGACATCGTAGGTGCGGTTGAGGTATTCGATTTGGCGGACGGACAAGTCGAGGAAGGACATGCCATCTCGGACTTCAATGACGGATTTGGGGCCGACACAACCCATGGATGTACCCAGACCACCGTTGAGCTTAACAACCGCGAGCTTGTTCAAGAACTCAACGGCATCACTGTTGGGCAGTTCATCGTAGGAGACGACTTGCTCGGGGTTGGGAGGGTTGATCTTGGCCCAGTCAATGGTGTTTGCCTTGGCCCGGTCATTGAGGTATCTTCTGAAGAGAGCAAAGAAGTTGTCCATTTCCGCCTCGAATCTCTTTTTCTCTGCAGGGTCCTTGACACTGTCTGCGAGGTTGTTGAGGGCATTGCGCATCTGGCTGGCCGCCACGTTGGTGGAGGTGTTCTCGAACGCCTGCATCATGGGAGATGTGATTAGCGGTTTGGATCGGTCGGAACCCTTGGTGACTGTGTTTGGTAGAGCGAGAGGGGATGGAGGCTGAAGGAGTGGCATTTTGTAACACAGGCACTGGTGTTGTGCAACAAAGAAAAGAGCAGTAGCGATGGGGAGGGGTCAAGGAGGATTGAACCAGCTCGAAATGTGAGTGCAAAGAAGGATGAGGCGGACATGTTTAACAAGTCCATCCATCCTGTGTGCAAGTGGTCATGTCGCAGTCTTGTCTTGTGGGAGAGGGGAAGCTATTGCAGATTTCCAATATATCTCATAGCGTGGCCCGTGCGGTGTATAGGCTGTGCTATGAGTTCCATCTCTTAAGAGGCGTTGGAAGCGGGCGCAGTGGTATGAAACAGAAACTGGACTCTTGTGTATGCTTACCACATGAGACTGTGATTTTCCATGGTGTCTCTTTTCACCAGAAGCTCCGTTGCTACCGTTGGAGGTCGCGCCCGAGGGACGGAGGTGGGCAGGAATAGCTTTCAATGCGGAAGCCATGATGGGCGGCGATCCGGATCGCAGTTCAGGAGTTGCGGGGGTAGGCTAGATTGGCGTCAGGACTGGCCAATTGCTGGAGTATCCGGAGATGAGTTAGCGACAGGTTTTGGAGGTGATTTAGAGGGGGTGGAGGAAGAGATTGAAGTCAAGATGAAAAAATTGGTGTTTGAGATGGTAAAGGTGGGATGAGGTGAGGAAGAATGATGGCAAAGTTCAGCGAATAGGCGAGCCGCCAGGGATGGTAGCTTGTGATGAATTGGATGGATGAGGCGACGTTCTGTTTAACAGCCTAAGGTCTGCCCCGAAGCACCGAAATGCAACACATGCAAGCATAGACTGGCCGATGATGTCGGTGTGCAGCTCAGTGTTTGATGTCTATTCGCCCCGCGTGCAGAGAGTGGGTAGAGGCTTGTACGCCATTGTGGGAACTCGCGCAAACAACTGAAACCGAGGATTGCGAAGTTGGAAGAGGCGGTCAAGGGCTGTACTCACCAGAGATAGCAAAATAGTAGATAGTCGCAGGGAGAATGAAACGAGTGTGAACCGGCTTGTGACGAGAAAGATGTTTGAAGAAGAGTGATAGACTGGGATCCTACGAGTGTTTCTTGTAGCACCTCTATTCTGCAGTACAGTAGTACTGTATACCTGGCGGTTTTGAAATATTGATTGGGTTTACTTATGACGTTTATGTTACCCTATTTTTCCCACTGTGGTCGAATTGACAGTCTGGAATCAGCATCAAATCCATCTAATCCAATGTCAATCATCCCATCCCCGACCAAAAATGGTGATGGGCGTGCTGGGCTCCATGGCGCCCCTCGTTTCCTCGTTTTCTGCGGCGAATTGATCGTCGTCGCCGCCCCTCCATCAGAGACATGCAGTAAATTCATCCTCGCGCTCCGAAAAGTTCCCATCCATACGGAAAAACACCTCATCCATATGCCGATGGTGTGTTCCAAGAATATTCCGAGCACAAGTCTAGAAGGAAGTAGACTCGCAGGTTTGATCAGGGCACCGATCTCTAGCTCATCGGCAGAATACCTGCGTGAACAGTCCGATCGAATAGTTTGCCCATTATGCTTCGATACAATAGTAGATCAGAGGCTGAACGAGCCACTGTTTGGCTTGTTCATCAATGGGAAGCTTGGACCACCGCAGCAAGATCGAGCGAGCTATTCCACGGCTATTTCCCCTACGGCACAATGCTGTCCCAAGCACTCAGGCCTTGGCAGGGTCCTGGATAGTTATCAGGTATCTGGCCTTGCTGGAGAAACATCAACTTGGTAATGAAAATAGCGCAGCTAGGTACACGGTGACCACCAACCACAGCTGTCTGGGGCTCTGATGGCGCTGGCTACCACCCCAGCCTCGCTACCGACCTGCTGGTGTGGGATACTAACTGGTATCTGATATGATTATTCGCTATTTAACGCTAAGAGTCTCAATTAGTGACCTTCCACCGTCGCTTTTCGGAGCTCACGAGCCCCGGTCGAAAACACTATTTGGTATCTCTGCAATAAAGTAATGGGTAATCAATAGAATAGAGTGAGCAGGCTCCAGAGAAACCTGAACTTCCCAGCTGCATAGCTTCCTTCCAGCCCTCGTTCAGCGTCGCTGTTGACCATCGAGTTTTATCAACACATGTCCCCACCGAATGCTGTCCTCATTGCTGTGCGTCGTGTCTGCCACTGATTTCTCTTCGCCCAAAGAAGCTTCGTCGTCCTTCGCGCTTCGAGTCAGGGCTATCCCGTCCGTTGCTGCTCGGCTTGAGGCCGTCTGAGAATGCTTCAGCCGCATTGGCTGTGAAGCTGCTTCGGAGTGTCACGCTGCCCGATCCAGCCTTGACAGCCTGTTCGGAGCCGTCGCCTTGATCAGACACGAAAAATAGCCCTTCTCCCAGGTCTTTGGACCGGAATGTGTCGTGATCCTTCACAACCACTTGGAATTGTGTGTCCGCACTGCATGGCACTCTGAAGGTCTCGTGATTCGGATCGTACTCCACGGTGCCCGTCGATGACTTGATCGCTTTGGTCTTGAATAGATCTTTGGCGCCCTTCGGCCCCAACGACTTGACATGGACGCGAACGTCCGCCCCTGATGGATATCCGGTCGCTGAAACAATGGTAAAACTGGCAGAACCAGTCTCTGCACCCTTGGGCGTGTTCGTCAACGTTGAGTGGTTACTCTTAGAGCGTGCATGGACCATGGGAGAAGAAGGGGTCGGAGATGCTGTTCCATCGACTAGACCTACAGCCCTGGATGGTGTGGACGTCGGGGTAGCAATAGCTGGACTGATTGCGCCAGTCTCGGTCGGCATGGTTCCGTTAGCTTCGGTCTCTGTGTCCTCTTTGTTACCGCGGCCGCCACCGAATCCTCGTCTGATAAAGGAGGCGCCCTTCACGACCCCACCACCCACCTTTCCTATGCCTTTTACGGGCGCTCCGACCACCTTACCGGCTGGCGCAAAGGTGCCAGAGAAGGTTGAGCTCCCTTGCCGAGCGCGGGTGATGTAGTCAGGCTTGAACAACATCTTAAGCCGAATAGCACCTGACTTGCCATCCAATGGATATGTTTGCTCCAGCGGCTGGAAGGGTTCCACCGCTTTAAGATCAAGCAGGGTAGAGCCTAGCCAGTCGGCTTTGTCACCAAAGTCCCAGTCATACACATCGACCTTGAATTCGGCAGCAGTCCGAGACGGAACAGTAACTTCAAAGAACTCATTCCAAGCTGGGTGAAGCGTCTTCTTTTGCGTTTTCGTCTTGAACACCTCCTTGCCATTCAAGCGGAACCGACAGTATGGGTCACTGTAGCCGTTTCGGTCAGCAGAAGGTAAGTCGGCAGCGTCCAGCACATCCACCCGCAACGTGCCCATGTTATTGATACTTTCGCTAGGGTCGAGCTTCATCTTGACGGGCAGATATCTCAAAAGCACTGTGACCTTGTTCGATGTGCCCCTGTCGCTCCTCAGCGTCAACTCCGTTGGCTTATATAGGCATTGCTGTAGAGTTTGAAGGGTCGAGCCTGTCAACCTGGCAGTGATGTTGTCCTCGTCCTGCTTGCCAGTCTTATCAGTCTTCTCAACGAGACGTAGCGTTATTCGGGACATGTCGATCTCCCGGACCATCGCATCGCCCGTCTCGCCAAAATGGAAATCCTTCTGCCGTATCTTAGCGGACGTATACGCTGGGAACACGTGGTCATCCATCAACACCTCTAGTCGAATGTCGGTGTCCGCGAAGTGCCCCTCGATGATATCGAAGACGACCAAGCCAGACTCTGTGTCAGGATTAGTCATTGTACGTGTGGAGTCCTCCAGGTTCAACTTACCGTACGTGCTGAGATTGTCAGCTGTGATCTTGACTTTCGGCGCCTGCTTCTTTAGGCCAGAGCCAGACCTGATGGAGCCGCTGTTGATGGATGTGAGACTGGGTGCACCTTTGTGGCTAGCTGGTCCCAAGCTCCTCGGACTTTCTGGCATCGATGTCGTGGCATTACCATTTGGTTTGACTTCGAGTAAGTTGCTCTTTGTGTGTGAAGGTGTAGCTTCGGGGGCACCAGCGGCTTCGATGGCGGCCTGGGCTTTGCGTTCCTCTTCTTCCTCTTCTGGGTCAACTACGTTCAGTGTCGGGTAGAATGACACGGTGTAGTTGATGATACCCTTTTCGCCACCCGCACCACCCATGCGCAAGCCCTCGGAACGTAAAACTTTCGAGTCGTGTACTTCATATCCGCCCTCTTCACTTTCCTTGATATAGTCCGAAGCAGCGATTTGAACCAAGCCCAACGATCGGTCCTTTGCGAGTTTCTCTTCGTCCATAACCTCAAGGATTATCCGCTCAGAAGGCGTATGCATCGGGACGTATATGACCTCGTCCCAAATTGGGTTGAGCTCGTTCTGGAATGTGACAGTGCGTCCTTTGGGAATTCCTGATAGCAGGACTCTTGCGTAAGGATCGGATTTGCCGAGTGTTTCGTAGTTTCTGAGGTCTCTTGCGCTCTGGACATGGATTCGCATGACGCCAATAGGAGTGATGTAACCGCCAGCTCCTGTCGCACCCTTTAGTGCAACGGGTTTCCAATCCAGCATCAACTTCGCCTTGCCGATCTGGGTGCCGTGCAGATTGTACCATTCCTGGCCCTTTTCGACCAGCTTTAACATGTCGTCTAATTTTATCTGGTAGCTGCCAATGACTGGATCGCCAGAAAGATCCCTGCTGTCCTTGATCACTAACCCAATCCTGGCCTTCTTACGGTCAGTGATAAGAACCGATTTGGTATTGTCCGAGAAGACTGGATTGTTGGTGTGCTTGAGTTTATTTGTGATGTGAATCTCCTTGCCGTTCAGAAGTAGTGCGGCGTACGGGTCCAGGGCACCAACCATGCTCTTGCTACCGTCCAGATCTTTGGCTTGCTCGATGGTGATACGCGCAATGCCAGTATTGGATTCTGGCGGAGGCAGTATCTCTCCTGTTGGGAGCTTCTCTGGGTTCATGACAGGGAAGAACCGAATGTCGGCCTGGATAACTCCGCGATGCTTTCCATTCGAGAGCACGTCAAGTGTAAGCCCTTCATGATCAGGTGCACCTTCAAGTTGGTCCAGTGAGAACGTGGCGACCCCGAGTTGTTTATCTTTACGGACGTCGTTGTAATCGTACACCTGCAATGTGAGAGCGTCTGTAAAATTCGTGATGATGAGGTGCAAAGTCTCGTTCCAACGAGGATTGGCGTTCTCGCGGACAGTTTTGGTACGTCCCAGTTCTTTGGCACTGTTCAAGGAGACAACCACGTAGGGATCAGGCGTGCCCGAGAACTTGTCTGGATTCTTCAAGCCATGGGCGTTGTAGATCGTGATCGCCACGACACCAACTGCAAGGTCGATCGGGTTCCCAGACAATAGTTTTGCCACTTCGATTGGGAAAACATTAGGATCGTACATCATCGGAGCCAGGTTTCCGTGGATCTGTTCTTTGATAAAGTTCTCCAGTCCAGGGATGAAGTTGATGTCAAATCCAAAAGTATCGCCTCCAAGCGGCTTGCAGACATAATCAATGGTTGGACGACCGAGGAAACAAATGTCGACCCTCTCAATATGGGGAAATGCAATCTGCAACTTGATCTTGACGCGCATTAAACCTGAGAACTCAAAATCCTCGACGATGATCTTCATTGCCTTGCTGACTACACCTTTGCCAATCCGAATTTCGAGCACGACTTTGGGATTGATCTTGGTCTTGAGCTGACGAGCTGTCATGTCCATTGTGTCTGTTGGTGTGAAGCTGAATTTCCAGTCCATTAAGACAATATCATCTTCAGTCTTGGGATAGGTCTTGACGTGCTCCATGCGTGGAGGTTTGGTGCCCAGTACAAACGACTCAAGTCTCATACTGTCCAGGAATGCCGGGGTGGAGGTGCTCAGGACTTGGTCGACTGATTGTATAACAGCCTTGGCAAGCTGTGGCGCGTAGATGGGCCAGAACTTGACCAAGAAGCTGTTCATCCATTCAAGGCTTTCGTTGTCTGTCTCTAGACGGGCTTTGGCCATTTCCCGAGAGATGTCGTCCCTGAAATTCCTTCTCACGCGTCTGATCGAGGTTCTGTAATAAGTGCCGCAGGTGGCCATGATGAGCAAGAGCCATCCTAGACCACCACCGAGGAGAGCAACGAGCCATGAGGATAGGCAAGCGAATATGATCACGGCGGCATTGTGATACCAATCTGGAAGTCTTAGCTCGATGCGCATCACCTTCGTATCGCAGTATACGTACCACCAAAGAATTTGTCGTCTAGTTTTCCCTCCAAAAGTGTCTGATGTTCGAGCAGATTGCCTGCCTCTTTGTCTTCCTCCGTCTCACCACTGCCGAAACGTGGAGCCCAACCGACCTGGTGCCATTGCTCTTCCTCCTCGGGAGGAGCTCCATTCGCTACTGTTGTTTCGATCTTCGGTGCATTGGCTTTTTCTGCGACGGCCGCGGGCTCGGGTGGAGGGAGGTCATAATTGTCTGGCGGTCCACCGTCCTGCGCAAGTCAGTTGTAGGCCGTGAAGGGGAATGCAGTGGGATTACCAGATCCGTGGCGATTCCGACACCTTTTGGTTTATGGCGTCTGGTATCATTCGCTAGCTAGTCACCTGTAAGAAACTGATCACCACAGCCTGGAGTTGGCATACCACTTTGGCCTGCGCGGCCTTTTCTTCTGGGGAGGCATTCGGGTCGAAATGGAGCGCAGTTGAGCCTGCCTCCTTACTCTCGTCTAGCATGACGCGTTCAGCATCATCTGCTGAAACACCACTGTTGGGATCCTGGGCGGCCTCAATGGCACCGTGAGATCTCAACTCGTTGTGGAATCCTAGAGCCATGGCGTTCGACAGAGGCTTCGAGGACACCGACCCACGTTGGGCTCGGGTTCACGACACGGACATAAGATTGGAGTCCTGTAGCGATGAGTGGGGAAGGAAGTGTGTGGACATCTACATTCGAGAAAGGCGAGGATGTTGCAGAGTAGAAATACGGTTGCAGCTTCTAAAAGTGTTTGGGAACTCTTTACTATGCCGATCCTTACTTAACATACGCGGACGCGGTCGGCGGCTGGGGTGAGGGTGTGGTGAATGATCCCCAAGGTAGTTAATTAGCTGCGGAAAGCTCCTGGCCAACAAGACCCTGGAACTGGAGCAGCTCCAAGTGAACTGGCTATGGGGCCCACCGTGCTGCATCTTCGCAATCACTGGTGTCACTGCCACTGTCACCTCCCCTCGTCATTCGTCAAACAAGCTCTAGGCGGCCGGATTCTGTCATTTAGGCGTGCCTAATAGGCTAAGAACCTCTAAAATATCAAATCATCTGGGCTTCTCAGCTTCCATGTGAAGCTGAAACCCGCCTTTCTCTTACCTATCAACCAAGGAGTTTCCCTGATTCCCACGTGAAAAAGCTTGATCTTCGGTCGATGTTGAAGACACGAGGACCACCCCCGTCTCGAGAAGATTTGTCCTCGCTTCACCCTGTCCTCCTGTCCAAATTGCCCAACAGCCACATGGCGGCTTGCGTGAATTCGTAGTAACACTTGTGACGCGTTGTTTGTGAGTTGACCTGGGTGATGACTACAAGCTGTCTTTCACGACTCTCGATCTTCATGACCCTGAAGCTCCGGATCTACAGGGATCTGCTGCGCATGGATACCCTGCTGCCACACCTCCCCCGAGTACCGAAAACTCCCCACTGGCGCATAAACTTTAATGGGGGTTAGAGGAGCACGTACCACCAATGCTACGTAAGCTATCAGCTGGCTTTGTCCTTCAGCTGGAGAGATACCAGAAACCCCCAAGGAGAGGCAGATGATTTTGGACTCTGACACTTCGATGTCGGCATGCCCGTGTGGCACGGTAAGAACTACCTAATATGTACACCTTTACAGAAAGTTTGCGAACCATGAAGACTACTTCCTTCCAGGCTTCTTCTTAAGTCGGACCTTTTCGATGATCTCCGGCTTCTCTCTGCAAGTTGGACAATACCAATCTTCATCCTCATCCGGCACCTTCTTCATGTTCAGGCAGCCGGTATGGAACCATTGGTACGGGCAGTCGTCGTTCTCGCAAGCCACCATTTCTCCATAAGAGCGCTGGTTGCAGAAACAATATCGCTTATCATCTTCGCCTTCTTCATCTTCCACTTCTTCATCCTCTCCCATGTCCACATCATTTTCATCCTGGACTTGCTTTTTGTTGCCTCGCTTCCGTCTTGACTGTGATCCATCGGTCTCTGAGGCATCTGCAGAAGAAAGCACCGAGTCTGCGTCTTCTGATGCGGCGGTTCCACCACGGCCTCCACGAACAGACGGAGATTGCCCCTTCTTGCGCCCGGCCGACAACCTTCCCTTCATCATAGATTTCTGTTTCAGCTTGTTGACTTGTTGGTGCGGGATGACCTTCTTTGAAAGGCCTGATTTCTTCGGAGGAGCCACGGCCTGTTGAGGCGCCGCAGTCCTGGGTAGACTGCCAGCCCGGCTGGTAGTGGTTGCGGTCGGAGTTGCTGCTTTGGGAGTGCCAGGACCCAGCGACGATTGCCTTAGACCCGACGGGTGAGCAGGTAGATTTGAGCCTGCTGTCAATTTACGACGTTTGTTATCAGCTCCAGCAGAATTTTCGCGTTCTCGTTGCCGTTGCTGTTGGACAGCTGATGCCGGAGTTGCTGGCGCTGAGGTACGTTGTGTAGGGGTAGTGTTTGTTGATATTTGTGGGAGCTGTCTCGCTTGAGCATGCTGTATAGTAGCTGCCATTTGTGCATTGATTCTGTGAGCATTTGAGTTGAGCGCGCTAATGGATGCATTCTGTAGAGGTAGATTGGCGGGCAAATCTATGAGCGGTTTTGGTGCCTCTGCCTTGCGGTTGAAGACACTCGGTAGTGGCGGACCATCCACAAGCTGACCGTCATTCTGTAATTCTCGGATCTTGGTGTCAATTCGTTTAAGATGCCGTTCGAGAATACTGCAAGCTCTCTCACTTAGGGCAAGTTTTTGATCCTGTAGCTGATCGCATGAGTCGTAATTCTTCTTGACCAACTCGGCATACTCGTTCTCCTTGGGATGAGGTGCCAGGACGCCGTTGACCTTCAGGTGTTTCTGAATGTTGTTGTCTTTTTGGTTGACGACAGAAAGACATTTTTGCAACTCCTTGTCCTTGGCCTGGATTTCCTCCATCATGTGATTGATTTCGGCGGGTAAATTGGCGGCATCATGAATGAATTGTTCCAGGACGGAAGCGCAATCCTCATTTGCCGCCATATTGATGTATCTGGGACGGTTCCCCTACACTGCTATGAGTGGTGAAAACCCTCACAAGTGTAGCGCGTTGCTGTGGCCGCGTTGCCCCTCCTTTTCCACATCCGATGCGTTTATAGGCGTTTGATAAGACGGCTAAAGTATTTGAACGAATTGCGCATTGAGATTTGATGCCCTGGTGGCGATGTTGATGAAACAAAAGTCGTGGAGGCAGGAGAAAGAGGCAGTCAGAAGTCGATCTTACCAAACGAATAAGTTCGAAAACTGCTCACGTGATCCTGTCAGCCTCGTGGCAAGAATTCGACGCCACATTCGATCCTTCCAGCCACCACAACGCCTTGTCCATCTCCATCACTTCTTACAAGGACTCTTCACAATTACTTCTTCACATACTTGCGCATTTCCATTTGTTCGCCACAACTTTCGAAACAGACTTCCATTGTGATATTATGAGTCGTATCCTCACAAAGAGCCGCTTTGCATAAGGATTTGGTCTTTTGAGGGCGTAATAAAAGAGCCAGTGGCACAATATGAATGTCCTTTGGGCCTCGACAACCTCTCTACATCATTTCTCTGGCCACTCAGAATCAACTTCAGAACTTTCTAATTCACCCCGGTGAACATGGCGAACGGTATAGTGCAGGAATACCAATCGAGCGCGAGCAATGCCGAAGCCACGCAGGCCCCGACGTTCAGCTTTGCATCTAGAATCCAGCGTGAAATCGAGGCCAACGGCATTCAGCGCCCAAAAGGCTACAAAGTGTCATGGCACTACAACCCAGACGTCGAAAAGTACCACTTTGGTCAAAATCACCCGATGAAGCCATGGCGCCTGACACTGACCAAATCACTCATCCTCTCATACGGCATGCACACCGCCATGGACGCCTACGTGCCCCGGGCCGCGACCAAAGAAGAGATCGCCGAATTCCATAAGGACGAATACGTCGATTTTCTCAGCGTCGCCACCCCACAAAATATCTACGAGATGTATCCCGAACTTGCAACGGGACCACAAGGCTACTCATCCGCTATCTTCGGCGTGGGCGAGGATTGTCCCATCTTCGACGGCCTCTTCGCCTTCTGCTCCACCTACGCCGGCGCATCCGTCGACGCCGCCCGCAAGCTCTGCAACAAACAGTCCGACATCGCCATCAACTGGAGCGGCGGTCTCCATCACGCGAAAAAGGCCGAAGCCTCAGGCTTTTGCTACGTCAACGACATTGTCCTCGCGATCCTGCAGCTCCTCCGGCACCACCCGCGCGTCCTGTACATCGACATTGACGTGCACCACGGTGACGGTGTTGAACAAGCGTTCTGGTCCACTGACCGGGTCATGTGCGTGTCTTTCCATAAGTATGATAGGGATCAATTCTTCCCGGGCACCGGACCCCTGGACTCGACGGGCCCGGTCCACCCAGACAATCCAGGAAAGAACTACACGATCAACGTGCCTCTGAACGACGGCATCGACGACGAAGGCTACGCATATCTTTTCCAGAACGTCATCGAGCCGGCCATCAAAATCTACAACCCGACCGCGATCGTCCTGCAGTGCGGAGCCGACAGCCTCGGCCACGACCGTCTGGGATGTTTTAACCTCAACATCCGCGGTCACGGCAGCTGCGTCAGCTTTGTCAAAAGCTTCGGTGTTCCATTGCTTGTTGTCGGCGGCGGAGGCTACACGCCCCGCAACGTCGCGAGGGCGTGGGCCCACGAGACATCAATCCTTATCGGCGCCGACAAGACGCTGGACCCGGCCCTGCCAGAGTTCATGCCGCACCGCGAAGCCTTTCGGCGTGAGGGCTTCACATTGTTTCCTAATCTGAGCGGTTGGCGGAGGGAAAATGGCAATACCAAAGCCCACATTGACGGTATCATTCGCCATGTCCGCGAGCAGCTGAACTACATCCAGAGCGCGCCCTCGGTCCAGATGCAACACATCCCGCCCGACATTCAAGGATGGCGAGAAGAAGTTGAGGAGGAACTGAAAGCCAAACGCATAGAAAGAGACGAGGTCAAGGAGGAGAAGGATGGCGCCGGTGGATTGATGGCCAAGGCCAGCCGGAGGAGAGAGTTGGAGCGGAATGGACCCTCGAGCGGAAATACGTTTCTTGCTTGAAGGTTTTTGTATTCATTGTGCGTTGGGTGCTTTCCCCACCTAACATGATGCATTGATGACTTGCTCTTGAATAGCGCCTCAAAATGATCAGCTCATTGCTGCCCAGATGTGTCATAGGAGTGCGTCCTTGACATCTAACGTCCAGATCCTTCTTCCTTCTGCACCTCGCCGATATTATGGTACCACTCATCGAAGTACGGGCAGGTGACGACATTGACGGGCCCCCCATCGCCACATATGTCGAAGACGGGACAGCGCATGCATGGCACGCTCGATCCACCATTGCCGATATCCTCCAGTTCTTGCTGTCTGTAAGCGGCCTTCCGGACACCGTCGTCGGTGCTGGCCTTGTTCTTCTCCCGCATGCGTTCTTCCTTGAGAGCGCGTGGCGTCTTAAAAGTGCGGAACGTGGTGATGGTCTCGGTCGATGGGTTGTCGGGGAACTCGTCGCCACTTGGACTCCGGTGCATTTTGAACAGGCGGTCGTCATAGACCATAACCTCGAGGAGCTGCGAAATGGCGTTCTGGGGCATAACCGTTGGAGTGACCTTGGTCTCGGCGACGTAGTGGGTTATCTCCCTAACAGTAGGATAGCCCCGGTAGCCGGCCTCAAAGGGGTGGTATGTAGTCTGTTTTGAAGCCTTGGCCTTGTGGCGGCCGTCAGGCGTATTCTTTGCGGTTTTGGCTCTTTCGTCGCTGCGGTCTTCGAAGCCGGAACTCGGCGCCTTGCGCTTTAGGGTAGGTGAGAGTGGTGCGTCGTCTGGATCATCATGCTCGACGACATCCCAGCTCTTCGTGGAGACATAATGTTCGACGACACGGGAGATAGTATCTACCAGACCGACGTCGAGCTGGCCTTCGGAATACCATGAACCGCCCGTGGCCTCGTCTGAGGGCTCCAATCCGGCGAGAATGTAGATCTTTCGACCCGGGTGCTTGACGTGTTTGATAGATCTGATGAGTCCCTTGGCTTCCAACTTCTTGTAAACTCGTTCGAGACTGTTGGAAGGAAGTGACGTTCTGAGCTTGATTGTCTTTGTCCAGATTCCCGAAGTGCCGGCACCGTCGATCTGGTCCAGCACTATTCGCTCATCACGAGTCAAATCTGAATAGCTGCAGGATAAAATGTTAGAAAGCGATTGTGCTCATGTTTCATGATGTTGCGTGTATATACTTTTTGGCCTTTTCAGGTTCGATCAGCTCCCAACCGATGGTGTTACCCAGTCTATCATGAATTCTGAAGAGCGATTTCTGGACTAGATGTTGGACAGCAGGGAGCATAGTATGGATATCGCGGTCCGGCACGATGCCAGCGTCCAGAAGTTCGTCTTGGGAGAAGACATAGCCGTAGTCATGGTTGTTGCGACACCAGTCGTAGAGGGCTTCGGCGAGGCGATTTCGATTACCTCTTACTGGCGGGCTTGGGGCCGGGGAAGCGTTGATCTTTGGAGGCGCCATTCTTTCAGGAATGGCTCATGAGATGTGCTATTGAATGGGGTAGAAATAAGAAGACATGATACCGCAGGGTCTAAGTAAAATCATTGATATGAGTCAGGAAAAGAGATCATAGGCAAGTGAGTCAGTGGAGAGCGAATACGCTGCCAACTGGAATTTTTTGAAGTGAATCAGTTGGTTCATATTACGATAAAGATTTATTACTTAGGTAAGCAGTGCGGTTGCCGGTTGGGTCACCCACCACGGCTATTGTGGTCGAGACTATTTGCCTATGGCGCCCACCACGATGTTGACGACGATGACGCAGAGGTTGATCCTGTCAAGGTTTGTAGCTATATACAGATCCATATGAGCGCTTGCTCATCTTATCGTAGACGGTGGCTCGCATCACAGAAGTCACCTTTCAATTGGTATCTCGACTGCAGCCATAGTGATTAGCTAAGGGTGCTTCTTAAGGAACTTTACCCCAACCTACTAGCCGCTTTGGTGGTGGGTCCGCCGAATTTTCTAGCATTTGCTGCCCGCAGCGTCACGCCAGCCTGATCATGCATAAGTTACCTACATACAACATAGATACGTTCTACACACCCTCACTCCTGTCTGTACGAGTATAACCCAGCAAGCTTCAAATTGATTCCACAGTGCTCTTCTGTCCTAATATTTTTGTCACCCTTGCCCTCAGTGGTTTCATTTCTTCTATCTCTTCCTGCTCGAACATAACCTCCGTTCACTAAGACTCCAGTATGGCGGACGCCCTCAAGGCGGAGGGAAACAAGGCTTTCGCTGCCAAAGATTTCAAACTTGCAGCGTAGGTGTCCTTTTCTGCAGCAGTCTCTCATGTACTGACATAATACTACAGCGAAAAATTCTCCCAAGCAATCGAACTAGATCCCACAAACCACGTCCTCTACTCCAATCGCTCCGGCGCATATGCTTCCCTCAGAGACTATGAACATGCCCTTGAAGATGCAGAAAAGACTACCGAAATCAAGCCCGACTGGGCAAAGGGCTGGGGGCGTAAAGGTGCTGCTCAGCATGGTCTAGGCGACCTTCTTGGTGCAAAAGACGCTTTTGATGAAGCATTGAAGCTGGACCCCTCGAATGCCCAAGCGAAATCAGGCCTCGAAGCCGTCGACAGAGCTATTGAGGCTGAAGCCCGTGCCGATGGCGCCGATGCCGGCATGGGTGGTCTTGGAAACATGTTCAACGATCCTCAATTGATCCAGAAGCTCGCCAACAATCCCAAGACCGCAGGTTACCTCGCCGACCCCCAGTTCATGTCCAAGCTGCAACAATTAGCCAAAAATCCAAATGATATGGGCCAGGCGCTCGGTGATCCTAGATTCTTACAGGTCATGGGTGTCTTGCTCGGTGTGGACATGCAGATGGGCATGCCACCGGAGGGTGGACCGTCTGGAGGAGACAAACCCACGGAAGCAGAAGAAGACGTCTCAATGCCAGATGCCCGTCCCCAATCAAACCCACCTTCGTACAAGAAGGAGCCTGAGCCAGAACCCGAACCTGAACAGGAAGCCGAGGACGAAGATGCCATTGCTGCGAAGAAGGCGAAAGAGGAGGCCGAGAACGAGAAGAAGCTCGGAACTGAGAGCTACAAGAAGCGCAACTTCGACGCAGCGATCGAGCACTACAGCAAGGCATGGGACCTACACAAAGACATTACCTACCTCACCAACCTTGGTGCCGCGAACTACGAAAAGGGCGACTATCAAGCCTGCATAGAGGCATGCGAGAAAGCCATTCAAGAAGGCCGTGAAATCCTTGCGGACTTCAAGATCATCGCCAAAGCCTTTGGCCGTATCGGCTCAGCCTACGAAAAGTTGGGTGACCTGCCCAAGGCCATTGAAAATTACCAGAAGTCACTGACCGAGCACCGTACGCCCGACGTCCTCGCCAAGTTCAAAGCAGCCGAGAAGGCGCAGATCATAGCCGAAAAGAACGCTTACCTCGACCCTGAAAAGGCCGAAGAAGCCCGCCAACTTGGTGCCGAGAAGTTCAAGAACGCAGACTGGCCCGGTGCTGTCGAAGCATACACAGAATTGAACAAGCGTGCCCCGGATGACCCACGAGGCTACAGCAACCGTGCTGCGGCATTGATCAAACTTTTGGCCTTCCCGACCGCGATCCAAGACTGTGACGAAGCCCTGAAACGGGACCCCAAATTCATCAAGGCGTACCTCCGCAAAGCTCAGGCACTGTTCGGCATGAAAGAATACAACAAGTGTCTCGACGTGTGTCAAGAAGCCATGGAGCACGACGAAGGGGGCAAGAACCTACGCGAGATCGAGGGACAGCAGCAAAAGGCCATGGAAGCAATGTATTCCTCCCGTGCAGGTGAGACAGAGGAAGAAACGAGTGCGAGAATCCAGCGTGATCCCCAGATCAGTAAGTCCGACTCAAACACAGCATTCGCGGATACATACTAACTAGTCTTTCTAGTGGAAATCCTCACCGACCCTATCATGCAATCTATTCTGCAACAGGCCAAGGGCGACCCGGCCGCGTTGAACGAACACATGAGGAACCCGGGTATCAAAGCCAAGATTCAGAAATTGATGGCTGCCGGTGTCATCCGCATGGGACGGTAGATGGTAATACCGCAATCTGATGCTGCTGCCACCCGTGCCGGTTTGACCCTGTCTAAGGAAAGACGATTCACGAAGCACAGGTCGAATCATTTCTTCAAATGGAGTCTTCTTTGATATCGACTTTGACAGCATTTAGCGGGACCGCCAGAAGTGTTTTCTTCTTCCGAAGTGCAGAATCCCGAGAAAAGTAATACTTGACGAATGCCAGAATATGTTTTGATTGTCCATCTACCTGTTCTACCTCTACTAGAGTCGTAATCCAGGAGCTTGTCCTCCGCGTCGTACATGTCCTTTTTCCACATTCCTTGACTCCCGTTGAGGAACCCGATAAAGGTTCCAAAACGCCGCACAATTTTCTAGAGCTGTGGTTCCGTACTGATGATACTGTAACCATATATCCCCTGCCCAGAATCCATCTACCTCAGTTACCCATATCGTTCCATTCATAGCAAGTCGTAGCAGCGCGGGCAGATAACACTATCCTTCGCTAATCGTACTCACTTTCTTCATAAGCGTCTGCATCCCATTGCCGCCTACAACCGTCGCTGCCGCCGCTGAAGCTCCCTCGTCATCCCTGCGGGCCTGCATGACCAACAATCCGGCACTGAGCGACTTCTCGCGAATTGTCTTGACCAGCCGCGTGGCTATGGGTCCCAGAGCGTCCCTGGAACTCGAAGTCGAGCTCGCACCCGTGCCCATACTCGACTGCCAATGCGCCATACTTCTACCCACAATCACAAATGTTTCAGCGGCACTAGGTTCGGCGACAGCCTCAGCCACAGCATCAACGCCAGAGGCCCCAGCGTCGAGATCAGCGAACGTCACTCTGTCAGCCAGTGCCGTGGGCACAGACGCCCGGAGAACATCGAACTCGTGCTCGACACGCGCCTTTGCCGCTGGGCGTGTACGATCTCCGGATCCTTTGATCACATCAATCTCGTCATCGCTTGCGCCGCCGTGCACATGACTGAAAATTGTCAGATCGATCAATTCGTTCTTGGCGAGTTGCAGGCCGAACCGCACGGTGAACAAGTCGTCCTGGCTCCCCTGATACAGCACAAGCAGCCTGTACCGCTCGCTGTCCGCCAGTTTAAAGTGCACTGTCGACTGGACTTGAGCTTGATCGACCACGCTGACCCGAGTGACCGTGCGGCTGAGCAGTTGACGGCCGCCATAATCCTGGGCCAGCGAGTCCATATTCGAAGCATCGGGTGTGCAAAGAACCGTCTTGTCAAGGACTATGCCTACATGACAAGTCTCCCATGCCTTTTCGAGGATTTCGCCGGCCAATCCAGCGAAAGCACGGTTGGCCAGCGGATCTCCAGGCTTTGTGTCGAATATGCTCGGATACTCGGACATTGTTCCCGTCTCGGACCACGGCACCAGCACGAGGTCGGATCTCAAGTCGCGGGCGCGAGACAAAAGTGTTGCAGAGAACGACTGTTCAGGCACAACGGCGATCTGGCCCGCAACCGCCAGGGCGCGGGATTGACCAAATGTCCCGAATGCCTTGATGATGGGATCACGGCCGGCGAATTCTTCGATTTCAGAAACGCGCATCACGCTGGACGCTCGCTCTGTGAGTTCCATGAGGCGCAGTCCGTGAATTTGTAACGGTCGACGGAGCGTGGTAACCGAGGCCATGGCTTCCGTGTTCTTCATGACATCCTGGTCATTACCAACAGCGGTGGGAGCACCTTCATCGTGCTTCTGTGAGAACATAGACACCATCGTGAAAAGACTGGGCAGGCCATCGAGCCGAAGGTACACCAGTATCCGCTTAGCGACGTCGGTCTTGCGTAGAACGTCCGCCTCACTGTACTCGTTGGTGTCATCACCGTGTTGTAGCGGATTGCCGTCCCAGTCAATTTTGCCTTGCTTCCAAAGCTCTAATTTGCGCTGGTACCATGGCGGGTAAAGCCAGGTGGTCAGCGGTGTCGTGGCGAAAGTAGTAATCAGGGCCATAACGACGAAGATGGTGAACGTCCGTTGGCTGAGGATCTTGGCTTGCAGACCAATGTTCAGCACAATCAGCTCGACCAGGCCTTTGCACGACATGAGACAGCCAATAGTGAAGGATTCACGCCAGACGAGTCCGTTCAGGCGCGAAGCAATTGTGCCACCCGCGATCTTGCCAACAAACGCAATCACGCAGACTCCCACCACGTAGCCCCATGTGATCCCGTTGTCGAGAAGGCCAAGATTGGTGCTTAATCCGGAGAGTGCAAAATACAAAGGCAGGAAAAGGACGCTGACCAGATCTTCGAGTTTTTCAGTGAGTTTGACCGCAAATCCTCCCTCATGCGGCATGATCAATCCGACCATGAAACTACCGAAGATGGGATGAATGCCGATGACACCAGTGAAGAAGCCAGAAGCCAGGACCATCAAGACAGTAACGGCAACGACAGTCTGCGTCGGCCCGTTGGAAAGACTTCCAGTCCTCCTGAGCATGTAGATGAAGGAAGGCCTGACGACGTAGACGAGGAACAGGCTGTACCCGATGGCAACCAACAAGATCCACAGAGCCGTCAGGCCTGCTCCAGAGTTGACAAGGGCGACGCAAAGAGCCAGCAGTATCCAGCCTACAACATCGTTCGCGACACCTGCAGAGAGCACAATAACGCCGACTGGAGTGCCGAGCAGTTTCAATGTGGTCAAGATACGGCACAAGACCGGGAAGGCCTAGCGACATCAGAATAGACAAGTACAAATACTCGATCATAGACTCACTGTAATTGCCATGGCCACGCCTATAAAGAGCATATAGACACCAAAGCTGATTGGGGCTAGCCCAGAATCATCCCGAAACTGGTGATATAGGCCATACGCAATGCCGCAACCGAGACCAAAAGGTATAGCCATCCCGGCGGCTCCGACACTTAGTGCAATGCGCCAATTGCTCACCAGAAAGCGCAAATCGACCTCAAGCCCGACAAGAAACAAGAACAGAACCAGTCCGAGATTCGCTGCCAAGGCGAACGCGGGCATTGACGCGCTAGGAAAGATGTGTTCTGTAAAGTGTGGGATTCTGCCCATGATAGAAGGTCCCAATATGATCCCAGTGATGACTTCCGCAATGACTCGGGGTTGGCGGAGTTTCGCCAGCGGTATGTGGATGATACGGGTGAAGACGATGACTATCGCGGCCTGGATTACGAACAGAATTATGGGATTCTTGGGATCGTAGACAGTTGGGTCGACATGGTCGAAGATACCTCCTTGGGGTGATGCCCTGACCGTAGCAGAACTCGTCGCGGCTGTGACGGTGACCGTCTTCGTAAAATCAGTCACTGTAGCGGTCGCCATAATGGACGGTAGTCCGGAGACGGCGGAGTGTGCTGCAATGCTCGATACAAGTGTAGAGAAGAAGATGAGTCGAGATAGATGTTATAACTGAGAGTTAGTCATGAGCAAGATATAGATGGTACGCTGCGGTCAGATGGCTTGTGCTCGGAAAGTCTCAGATGATGTTGGCTGTGTGTTTCGGTGGAGGCATGGCCCAATAGAACGAGGCACGGTTGAGCAACTATCCTGGCCTAGATACGTCGGTGAGCTTCCATGCAGTGTCGACATCAGATGCAGAAGGTCATGGATCAACCCTCAACGTAGGAGCTGTCATGCGAGAAGTTTCCTGCATGGCAAGCTGGGCTGGGTGATTGGGTCGACCGAGAAAGAGGTAGGTTGAGGAATGTTCCGGCAACTGTTTTCACATGGAATTCCTGTTCCCTGAGGATCATTTCCTGTTCCACTCGTCAGCCCATGAGCACCTCTCACCAATCCAATAAAGACCGGACGCCCAGAAGTCTTGGGTCTGGGCTCTGGAGTCCAAACTCCAGACCCCTGAAAGTCAGCCAGGGATGGCCTAGGGTGGGTATGGGGAGCACGTCAGCAGTGCTCCATAGATAAAGTTTTCCTGGGGGCACAGTGCTCAATAAATGCTGTCCGCATGTGTGAAGCTCACAAATAACAGGGAAGCTCCCTCGAGATTTCTCGGATCAATCAAAGCTCCAAGGAGGAGGAGGTAACTTGCATCCTTTGCCGCATAGTGCCTGCATCTATCTTCATGCATGTCTTCTCGACAGCCAGATGCCCTCGAAGTACTGTGTTAGACCTGACCCGTCCATTACCGCTAGAGACTGTCTGCTTCTGCACTAATCTTGCAAGAGCGACTTTTGGCTATTTGTATCAATGAACCACGGGATCGGTGAGAGTATATAATTCAAGCTCGGATCCCATGCTGGGCGATGGTAGCTAACGCCGATGTGCTCCACGATTGTCTAGATGAGACAGCACAGGCGTGAGGCGTGAGTATATATATATATAATAGCATTAGGTAGTACAATAGTCCGCGCCCGGCCGCCTGTTGCTTGGTGTGATCGTCCACATACTTTGCTTCCATCAACAGGTCTCACCAACCAGGTCGTAGAAACGCAAAAGACCGAATACAATCATCTCGCTCAAAATTGATCTGACAAAGAGAAATGGTACAGGGGGAGGCAACAGGTTTGTAGCCGGTGGTAGTGTTCAGCGGTTCCTTTTTGATTTGTGTGCTAAAGGACTTGCTGTCGAGGGAAATGCTGAGGGTCGGAGGGAGGCATGGCCCTGCCGGTAGGGAGTTTGTACACAATAGACACACATATACACTTGCGGAATGCGTCGGCCGTCGATACCAACGCAAGAAGTATGTGACCATTTTGAGCATGAATCACTGCACGAAGACATGTTAGGAGCCGTTGTGACAGATGAAAAGTTTGGGGAATGGGATGTCATGAGGCACCAAAGCCGAACGGACTCACCATTGAACCATTGGCACCGACCCATCCAGCATAGAAGAGTTGCAAACACATCGCGTGCTCATATTGCTGGCGACACTTTCCCTGTCAGTGCTCGGAGTGGCTAAGTCGGGATCGGTTATCGTGGTGGGTGAAGCGTTGTACATGGCATATTGTGTCTGTTGTAATGGAGGCGAGGAATGCAGTAGTGGCTGAACAGAATGATATCCTTGTGCCGAGGTGGACCGCGAGCGGTCCTGGATGATTGCTCGCAATGCATGCTGCGCATTTCCACTCGGCTTGTCCTCCATCAGAATGTCCATCTCGACACCGGTGCCCAATGGCCGCTTTCGTCGACTTTGATGTCCGTCAGAGCTTCTAGTATTCGAGGCGGAGCTATGCCACGATGACTGATTTGCCGAGTCAGACACCATGGTAGAATATGAGCTCGTCTTTGAATGACCATAAGGTCTGTCGATCTGCCCATAGTCTGGTCGTGAGATGTCCCCACTATCAGAGAAGGCAAAGGAGTTCGCCTGACTGTGAAGCATTTGGAAATCGGTATCGTCGAAAGAATCAGGCTCACCTCCAGATAATGCGTCGACGTCCATCTCCTGGGAGTCTCCAGAGACGATCATCTTGGCCACGCCGTTCTCGTCGATTGCCAGCGAGACTGATCCACGCGTCCCATTTCGACTACTAGTAAGGGTACGAGATATAGGGTCGGCGACCTGTTTCAAAGGAGACGAACGGCCCGGTCGATGTTGCCAGCTCCCCTCCTGCAGCACAGGCGAGTTTCGTCCCATGACCATGTTAGACGTCTGAAGTGTGAGTGTCCTGTCACTTCTCACCCCTGTGTGTGTAGAACTTCTCTTCAAGCCCGGCCTGCTCTCCTTTTTGATAGGTGACACCGGCCTTTTCAAGGCTTCCATCACTGACCTCGTGATTGACGGCTGTTTCACATCACTCCTGCGAGCCCGTTTCTTTTCTTGTTCGCGTCGAGATTCCTCGATCTGATGTGCATATGCTGGTCTATCAGGGACGGGGTTCTGCAAGAATCGGTTGGACATCTGGTCGGCAGCACCGAATCTGCGGGCTGGCGAGCTCAGAAACATACTTGGGTTCTCCACTTGAGGTGGTGGTACTCGTGGGGAGGTTTGAAAAGGTGCTGGAAAGGCGGGTCCCTGAAAATGGGAGTAATGCGGCGAACGTTGTAGCATTGGCAGATCGTAGGGCTGCTCTTCCGGTACCGGAAAGGGCTGCTGAGGAGGGAAGCTTGGGACCACCGTGGTAGAAGAGGCGAATGAGCTACTTAGAGCAGCTGGACTGAACTGAAAAGGGTCTTGATATTGTTGGGGCAAGGACGAATCATCGAAGCTGATATTTGAAGGGTCCCAGAATAACCTTTGGTTTGGATATATCGACGCTGTGGCTGGTCCAGAGAACTGGTGTGCGTACATATCCGGCGAGAGTTGCAGACTCGGGAAGAGACTCGGTGATTGTTGCAGAAATCTGCTCGGTGTTTCTGGTGGCCCCATAATGGGCCTCTGGTTTGAAGACATCATCGGTTTGTCTGGATGCTGTAAGACAACAGTGACCTAGTCTATCTTGGAATAGACAACAGCGGCAGGACAAGTCTGCAAGTAAAGTCGTACGGTCTGGATCACGGAGGTGACCCTCGAGACCGTAGGTCGGTATGTTGGATGGCAGCCAGTCGATGCATGGGAATGCTGCTTGACTCTGGCTGTATTGCTTCAAAGACCTTGTATCGTCGTGATAGACCGAGATATGCCCACTACAGTCTTTCGACTCTTGTTACCCCTGCTCTTGGATGTTGTTCTCGCCTTGATGACCAACGAGGTTTGGAAGGGTTCGATGCTGGGTGAGATGGGAAAGAGATTCGTTTCTTCGTCGTCCCTCGATCGGCACGGTACGACTATACAACGCTTGATCCGCCTTGACGGTTCCTGGACAGAATTATTAGCATAGCTCACCGGGTAGACATAGCAACAGACAAATTTTTGGGTCTGGGGATCTTTACTGACTGTTCGACCAGGGTCCACTCAATCTGTCCCACTATGAAAGTGACAGCATCCAGATGCACAAGTGCACCGCTCCTACCAGGTCTTCCGTGTTCCCAGAAGACACAGGGCAGGGAATAAGGTTGAACTCGGTTCAGCTCAATGCTTCAGCAGAAGTTCATTGATTGGCAGGATGGAGGCAGCGATTGTCGTCGCTCGTTTGGGTTGGCATGAGCGAGGTCCGTTCTCTGAATGTGGAATGCCAGCATCCGAAAACAACCTGTCAAACTGTCCGCCCAGCAATAGTGAAGGACGAGAAACGAAAGGTGGTAACTTATGCCTCATTGACATCTATTTCTGAAGCCCCTCGATACATGTGCAGTCGATTCTCAGGCACCGGCCGTCGACACCATGATTGGCCAGGCCGAAGGTTGCGGGATGAAGTGGAAAGAACAGGAAAAAGTTAAGTGGTCGCATGGGTAGCCTGAGTTTCTGACATGGGACTCGGGGACCAGGACCAGGCAGGCAGGTAAGGTTGGGTTCAACGAGTAATCTTGGGTTTTCGATAGAGCAACGAACTGACACTTGTTGAGCGGATGCCCACGACATGGTGGAGGTGTGTTTTACGAGAAAAAGGCGGCTCTCCAGCGGCCTCAAGGTGGGATGAGATGTCGTTACAAAGATCGTTAATTGGCACACGAGTTGCAGGGAAATGCAGTTACGCCGCAGTCAAGAATTCTTAGGCCTTTAGGTCGATGGTGGAGTTCAGGTTCCGAGGTATCGTTCGTTCATCATTCATCAGCGTGCATTAGGGACTACTGATTGCCAGGCACGGCTCCTCCTTTTGACACCGGTGCCTGGATGATGTGCTTGGTGGCCTGCTCTTCGTACAGTCTTCCGTATCTTTAGGCCTTCAAGCCAGCAACATTCAGGGCTAAAGCAGAGACATCCTCCACCTCCCGCTTGTCGCTCTAACCATTTGAAGGCCTTGTTCCTCGTCTCATCGCTACGCACTTTTCCATCCTCTTCCCGTCTGTGGCTTCGTCTCTAATTTCCACGTTGTGGGGGGCGGTCCTGGCCGATCTCAGGGCTATCGGCATGCATGCTGGCTGACCACTTTCCAGTCCAAAAGAACATGGAAATATCACCCGTATAATCATCAGTTCCATGCCGTAACTAGGCACATTCCATGCTGGTCATGTGTATGGTGCCTGACATCCAGCTGAGAGCACGATGCTGCCATAGAGAAGACTTGATTCTCTCGGACTGTTTGGTGTATCAAAGGCCCAACTCATTTGTCATGGCTGGGCGACACAAAGGCAGGTCAGAAGGTTTGAGCTCTCATCCTTTTGGCTGCATATCTGCACGTAAGATAGCCGAATCATGCTCCACCACCGGTACCACTCACAGGATCTCTGGGAAGCCTCAAGAAGAAGGACCTTCCAAGTTCTAGCATGTCGAAGCGGATTGACTTTGTCAGGCACACGGAGTACGATACGAGACTACCAGCGTCACAGATGTATCCGACCACCAAGATTGGGATTCTCCACACTTTCCTCATCATGGGCCCTCTTCGTACTGGAAACCGAGCTCGTTCTCCCTTCATACTGCTGTCAGATCCATTGGGTATAATCTTATGTCTCCCTCACGAAAAGGACCGAGCTTGAATGCTCGCAGGTTCGCATGAAGCCATGCTGTCCTCACTGGGACGGCGTTCAAAGATAAGCTGCTATCCAGCGAGAGCTTTTTCCTACGAGTTACCAGGCGGATCCCTCTCCGGCAATTCGCAAGCCCTATCTGCTCGGCATGCACAGTGCCCCTTTTCCAAAGACATGGTGGGGTGTCCAACAACCGAGAGCTTAACAATTGGACATCATCATACCCTATGTGCCGTGAATCCGGAGATGGTTTCTTGAACATGTTGCCTATCGTCCTAGCCCTTATGCTCGCGTAGCATCTCCCAGAACATACGTCTTACGACGCAGCAGTGGCCTGATGTTCCTTGAGATCTCGATGAACAATATATGTTGATCTGCTTTATGTCAAGCTGGAGGTGAAGAGAATACTGACGCAATGGATAGGCTTCGTGCTCGATATGGGAGCTCCCAATGTCCCCGCAAGCATGCATTTCAATTCCTTCTATCTCGCTTAACCCTGGAACTGTGGCACATCGAACTTGCGACCGGGTTCCCTGGGTCTTCAAGCGCGATTCCTAGTTTGGAGAGGCGCCCACGATATTTACCCCGGACTGTACGGAGTAAGTCGTGACAACATGTGCTCCAACATGCGCGGCTCATATGTGCTGATGAAGGTTAACAGCCTAAAGTGTGCATCAAGGTGAGAACTCATTTGAACGATCCGGAACGCTTATTCTTGTTCTCCACCGGACTCTTCGCCGTCCTCAGCAACGGGCTCGACAATGAGGTTTGTTCCCCTTCCTATGCGTTCGCCTATCGAGCCCCCCTTTTCCAGATCAAATACCGTCCTCGGCATGGGCGACACAAGCCGGAACCCAAACTCATGTTCGTAGTTCGTCGGCTCCTGCACTTCTTGCCCAGCCGTCCCTAAGCCTTCTGTCGATTTGATAAGCTCGTAGCATTCGACCAACGCATAGAGTTCCTCTAGATCAGCCTCTGCACGAAACCTGCGGATGACTCTCTCTCCGGAGGGCATACGGATACTGACTCTGATCGCATCCCTGACTTCGCTTCCAGGTTCAAGTGGTAGCGACTGCGCACGCCACTGCTTCCATTGCGCCGTCTTGTTTTTCCTCTCTTCTAGAGCTCGCGCCAATTCTTGAGCCTCTCTTTCCGCTCGGGCAGCTGCCTCCTCTTCCTCTCGTCTTTGACGGGCCCTTTCTCTGTCTTGAGCCAGAGAGCGCTCGTACGCAGAGTCTTGCTCCTGCCGCAAACTGCGAGACGCTTGTTGCTCAGCCCTCTGCGCTCGCGCAGACCCAAGTTGCGCTTGGTGTGCAGTCATCGCAGTCCCAAGCTTTGCAACGAGTTCCGATCCGGTCACTGGTCCGGCTGCACGCATGATCACGGTCATGGCTGAACTTCCAGATTCACTAGTCTGGCATATTAGTGCCGCAAACGGAAATTTGGTACACTGCAGACTAGTAGAAACCTGGTATGCTTCAGAGTCGCGGACGTTGCCTCCCCAAAGAATCAACTCGTGTTTGTGGGAATCACAAAAGGACTTTAGTTGGTTAGAAAGCAGAGTCTCTTGAACCCAGGTCTGATTTTCGTCATGACTCGGTGACAGCAGAACAACGAGCAGGAACTTGAGCTCTTGTTTTGCGTTATCAAGGGCTAAATTGAATCCTGACTCTGCGAAGGGTAGTGTGCTTTCCCCATACTCTTCACTGAACTCCCGTATGAACCTCCTTGCATTCTCTGCCGGCGGTAACGCTCGTCTTACAGGTCGTGACGGCTGATATACTAGACGGTGAAGAAGTCGTGAGATGAAGGTGGGAACAAGAAATCCCAACGGAGAGAATACGGTGCTGAACACTCGGTACATGATGTTGATAGGGGTGAAAAGGAGCGAGAACAGGAGGGAAGGGCGGTATTGAGTTTCGGTCGTGGGACTCGTGTCAACTCGTGCGACGACATCTTCCGGGTTCTGACGAGCAGCAGGAGGTCGAGTCGAGGCAAGCAACGATTCATATTGCAGGTTTGTAGTCTGCCTACTGGAAGCCGCAGGTAGAGCAGAACGGGCTTCTGCGATCGGGTCTGTGGCAGGCTCGCCATCAAAAAACCGTGCAATTGCGATTTGGACGTTCCACTCGCATCTTTGCAGTAGAGAGATGGCGGCTATCGGATCCTGGTCTGTTACAGATGTGTAGGTCTGAAGAGCCTCCTGCTGCGAGGAGTTCAATTGCGAGATATCTGGAGTGGACATTTTGGAGTGAGGCTCGAGCCTATGAACCTGAGGAGAAGGATTGGTGTTATCGTTGTAGCATTCTGATGTCGCGCAGGGTGTTGAGGTTGAGAGGTGGTCTAGAGGACTCAGAAACAACAGTACCTGGCAGAATAAGTATCTCGAATGTGCAGCCAGGTCCAACGACAGATCGACGTCAGTTTGAGCGGAAGATCGGACGCGACACGCGGAAACCCTTGACGGGAGCTTTTAGTGGTTCAATAATCAGACTGCGCCCTCCCGCTTTGGGTCCGTTCCATCCCCCGCCGGTCTCGTGTGTAGGTACTTACGAGTATCACCACCACTACTACCGCCAACTGCGCCGCATCTTAGACTCGATCTCAGCTATTCCTACAATTTCGCAGTGGAGAGACCTCAATCTCAGTGGAAGGTCGAGCTGCTGGCGATCCTGCCATATTCTTCTCTTGTACTCTTATTTTGGATATCCTCAACCGCGATGTGCATTCTCTCGCTCCATACCATATGATCACATATAAAGACTACGTCGTTTCTGCCACCTTCTAGTCCCGCAAGTCGAGCAACTCATAAGATGCGTTGAAAAGAACCTCTGAGCGAAGGTCTCTCTCTGGAACAAATGGAGCCGGATACCATGCGCAGGACTCCCCAGTGATCATGGCTGCAGCTCTCAAGAACAATGTCGAAGACGCAAAGCAGACTGCTTTGTCCCCTCGACTCAAAGGTCGAGGTATGTTCTCAAAACCATTCGAGACTCGACGTCGAACTGACGGACCTTGTCCTGTCGCTCAATGATACCCATATGCTGATACGTAATTCGTGGTAGAAAATGCCAAAGATACGCTTTGTCGCAATGTTACAATCTACGGGAAATGCCGCTATGAAGACAAAGGTAGCTGAAACCGACGTGTCTTTGAGCCAGTGTACCGGCTGACTTGCAGCAGGCTGTGCTTTCAGTCATACCATGGAAAAGCCAGCCTCCGATGGCGCATATAGCGATAGGTCTACCGACCCAAGCCTCAACCTACCGAAACAATTCGCTAACCCCAAGCTCAGTCAGTTAAGGAAGGCCTTCAATGTGGAATCTCCCAGCTTCACTCCCACCTTCCTGTCTCCGAACGGGGCCAATGCGACTGTCAAAAAGACGGCAGGCATTTCTCCTAAGGCAGCAAGTGCTGCCCCGTTCCTGCCAAAAGCAATCATTTCGAGTAAGATGGTGCCAAGGAGGACACGATGGATGCACAAATAGGTGGCTTACCACTCATGATAGGATCATCCAATGCCACACCACTTCGTCAAGATGCCAGGACTCCAGATTGGGCGGTGGCAGACGTGCAAGAGTTTGTACCGCGACAGGCTCAAGAACCCCAGATGGTGAGTACGAGTCTTTGCTCTGGCGATCGACACCCAAGCAGAAAGCCTCCTAATACCAGTGCTGGCTGATACTAACAACCGTAGACAAACGAAAACGAGATCCCGGTTGCGCATACGTTCGAACCTTTCCAAGCAAATCACACCACCAACCCCTATCTCGATCATAGCATGAATGGTGCAGCCTTTTTCCAGGGTGGGACTGGTTTTCAACAGCCGGTTAGTAGAATCATACTTTGCAAGAGTGTACACTTCTGACAGCTCAAGGTGCAATATCATCAATATGCACCAATCGGGCCCTTCAGCACCAACCTGGCTCCATATCAGCGCACCGTGCATGACCTTTTCATCCCCAACGATCTTCGCGAAGAAATACAAAAGAAGTCTGCGGCGACTCTGCAGACCCTGCCCAGTATGTTACCGGAACATATTAAGGCCCATCTAACATTGTGCAGACTCACAACTGCCGAGCCACATCGAAAATTATCACTCGTTGGTGCCACTAGATACCAATCACAAAAGTTCTACTATTTTTGGAGGCTATCATTCGTGGGTCTATAAAGCTCAGTCGAGCGCGAATGGACACTTCTTTGCCCTGAGAAGAATCGAGGGTAAGGGCATTTTGGTAGTTGAACTTCTGACTGAGTTAACCCACTACAGGTTTTCGGCTAACGAATGAGCTTGCCATTCGGTCTGGACAGGCGTGGAAGAATGTGGTCAGTCCGAATGTTGTCCGCGTTGTGGATGTCTTCACGAATCGCGCCTTCGGCGACAGCTCTCTCTTCTTCGCTACAGATTACCATCCTCTGTCAAAGACTCTACTGGAGCATCATCATATAGGACCGACCTGGGCGCGTCCCGGGCGTGGCACCAAAGACCAAGTTCTCGAGCCGGTCCTCTGGAGCTATGTGGTACAGATCGCTTCGGCCATAAAGGCGATACATAGCAGTGGTCTGGCTGCTCGATTGCTGGACCCGAGCAAGATTCTTGTGACAGGCAAGAATCGGATTCGACTAAATGGCTGCGGGATCATCGATGTCGTTCAGTTCGACAGCAACGTTGTACCTCTTCCGCAGCTACAAAGGCAGGACCTCGTCAATTTTGCACTAGTCATCCTTTCCCTGGGGTCTGGAACTGCTGATGCGGGGGCCAATTTCGCTCGCAGCATGGATCTGTTCAAACGATTTTACAAACCAGAATTGCAGACTGCCGTTGTTTGGCTATACTCATCAATGCATGACAACGAAAAGACGATCGACCAGTTCCTGCAATTGATCTCCAACCAAATGGTGACAGCCTTTAGCGCTTCGCTCCACACTGATGATGCATTATACTCGGAGTTGAGCCGGGAAGTTGAGAACGCGCGGCTGGTACGTCTAATGGCCAAGTTGAACTTCATCAACGAAAGGCCCGAGTTCGAACATGACAGAGCCTGGTCAGAAAATGGGGAACGATATTTCCTAAAACTCTTCCGGGACTATGTATTCCACCATGTCGACGCACAAAATCGCCCTGTCGTAGACCTTGGGCATGTTCTGACCTGCTTGAACAAATTGGATGCTGGCACTGAGGAACGAGTTACGTTGATCAGTCGAGATGAGCAAAGTTGTTTCGTGGTGACCTACAGAGAGTTGAAGAAAGGGATCGAATCTGCATTCCAGGACCTGATGAAAAGGAGTGCACCTTTGCGTTGAAATGCTTGCAAACCATGAAATGCAGGTTATACGGGTGCGGCAGGGCCAGCTGGAGTTCAAACAGTCAGACCGAGTGCAAAAGCTGAAAGACCGGACGGAGATTTGAAAGGTGAGTGATCTGTGGATTTGTGCCACCACCTTTGGAGTGTAGCAAAATGCTTTCTCGTCTCTGGAAGGAGGCTAGCATCTAGATGGGTTGAATATAGAGAGCAGAAGACGGGAGAATAAAACTACAATCCCTTTTGCCAGTGCCTCCATGTCATCCGGTACCATATATCTGAGGTTCTGCTACAGTGCTTCTGGCAACAATATCACATACTAGGTGAGCTGCGTGAAGAGCCGTGGTGACGAGGTCTGCACTGCATGTCCGCCAAAGCGTACCGGCTTTGGAATCGGTATTCAGCTGCTGTCATGTCTTCGTGGTCGGGCAGTGGCGAATGAGCCGTGCTCATTGGTCTCACTCTTCTGCAGGCTGCTGGAAGGGATTTTCGATTTCTTCACTCCCATCAAGTGGTGAAATGAGAACCAGCAAAGTGCCTCTGGCCACAATCAAGCCCAACGATCTGGTGGTCTCGTTGCCTTCATCGTCTGGGACGGAGTATTAGACGAACACTCTGCGGAGATCTAGGCTTGGGTTCTTACCTCTCATAGTTTCCTTCACATCATCTAAGACCAGGTTCATGAGTCCGTCGTAGCCTTTCAGGGTCCCAATGACTGTTTTCCGGAAGTCAGCCTTGTCGTCGCGACTATGCCAGACTGGCAAAAATGCACACGAGACATGGAGACGGAGCTCAAAACATACCTTCTCTGCCGCCGTTGAACTTCACATTGACTTGCTTGTTGACATATTTTGCGAGGTCGAGGATATTCTCTTTCTTCGGTTTTTCGTGTGATTGATTGGCTTGATTTGATGCAGCGCCGCCTCCTCTGCCTCCGCCCCTACCGCCACGACCTCCGCCACCGCCGCCTCCTCGTCTGTCGCCGCCGCGAAAGTGACCTCTCTCGGACATATCTTGTTGATCGGATTCCCGGGCTGAAGTAAGTTTGTACTGTCAAGATTCAGCCTCTATGATGAGACGAGGCTTTACTTCAAATTGGGAAAGTGTCCCGAAGAATTGGATGGGATGGATCACAGAAGTTGGTGGCAGAAGATCGGACCAGTCAGACTCCAGTCTTCCGTAGAAAGACTATGTCGTTTGTGTGATGCCGCTAGAGAAACGTTTTTGTGTGGGAGGGGCTAGGGATGTTGAAACTGCCAAACAGGCAGAAGAGAGCGCGAATCAAGTCCACGGATGGGAGGTTGAGGGTGACTGAACTCCAAATGACTTTCCGCCGTTCGTGGGCAGATCATTGGGCGGAGCGGCGCCCTCCATCTCCACCCTCTTCATTCATCACTTCCTTCACTTTGCTTTTCTCTCGATACATGCACAGGCAGGTGTGATGGGTGAAGCCTTGATGAAAGCACCTTTGCCAATGCATTACACCCGCGCATGGACGGCATGCCTGATGATTCGAGGTTCTCTCCAGCATGGCGCATGATATGTCTGACGGGAAGAAAACAATGCAGTCTCACTTCGGGGTTGTTCTAATCATCGGTCGATCGAAACAGCCGACCTTTTCCTGCTCGTCCCGCGTCTTGCGCCCTTCCTCCAGTGTCGTTTGACCATTCCGGGTCCGGGCCTCGGACGTGCAGGGCTAAGTCCTCCCTTAGCCAAGTTGCCTACAGCCTACGACCGCCCTCTTCCCAAGCCTAACAGTTTAGCCCCGCACCGCCCTACGATTGCGCTCCGTCTAGGCCATTCACGCAAGCTTAGCTACACCGAAACTGCCACGCCCAAATGCTGTCAACTCGGTCGAAGACTGCCGCACCTTGAAACCTCAACAGCCTGGTCCGCAACTTCTTGTCCGCCCTTTGCTTCGTTTCTTGAGTCTTCTGCCCTTTCTGTGTTGCTTCAACGTTCCTTCTTCCGCCTATTGTGATCACCGTTACTGCCTCCTCTCCTTCGTCGTTGCTCATTCTCGGCTTTGTCATTCCGCCATCCCACTGCTCATCCGCACAACCTCACTTCGAGGTCCACAGCAGCTACTGACCTCCCCCTCCACTTCCTCCACGACCTTCCTTGCCTTACCTGAGCACGCCTTCACACCTGCGTGCGCTAACGGCGCTGCAGCTTCGCAATAGCTCTACCCGTCGAGGGTGCAGCTATACGAAGCTGAAACCAGCAACACCCCTCCTCCACGTCTTCTCCGCTAGCTGTTCCGAAGACATTTCAGTATCTTACCTAAGCAAGTACCAGAGCCCGAGGGCAGCACAGCGCCTCGGGCATCTCATACCCAGACCACTTCCATGTCGGCAGCATGGACCTCCCTGCCGCGATGACCCCCGAGCAATCTTCCTCCCTCAAGCGACCTCGGTCACCTACCGACAACCCTCTCCTTCCCGCAGCCAAAGTACCTAAAACTGCAACCAACCATCTGCAGATCAATTACCTTGCTCGACAGAACAACGAAACTATTCCCCTGGTCACTGTCAACGAGAAGTTGCCAGAGATAGCACGCCTGCTCAATGAATATGACGGGGTCATACAGCGCCATGAGAGTATGGCTGGAAACTTGGGAGCTTGTCCCTTGGGCCCCATACTGCTCAAGCGGTTTGAACGACTGTTCGAAGGACCTCCGAAAGTGCTCAAGTCCAATGGTAGAGAGCCCGGCATAACCTGGTTGGACGTGGTGGAGTTCGCCCAGAACAATCCAAAACAGTTCAACTTGGAAAGAATGCGCAATGGCATAAGAGTCTGTCAGTTCTACACGAAACAGTGTCGGGTGGAGATCTCGGAGGAAGACTACGTCCTCATCGCCAGTGGGATGCCTCAGAAGCTCATACCTCCACAACCAATACTAGAGGATGAAGAGAAGGAATTGGGAGTCATGGATCTGCTGGACCGTAATCTCGGGCAGGTCATCCAGCTTGCAGATCAAGGTATGTTGATCGTCCGTCTCAAGTGGCCTCCTATACTAATTTCCACCAGTTTCTGGTCGGGCTCGGCAGCTCATTCATAAGATGAAGAATCGACGCACTGCCATCTTGAGTAGACGTGAGCAGCAGGCGGAAGCTTTGAGGAGGAATACCATCAGATCGGACGGATCTCCCATGTCGCTGGTCGATACCAATGGAGTCACAAATGCGCAACCTGTGAGTAGTATAGAAGCGTCCCAGTCTCCTCCTGTGGGCTTCACGGCCGTCAATCTTAGGCACTCTGCCGGGAGGGAGCATACGACGCGGGCGTCAATACCAGGTGAAGCCTTACGCAATCAGCTAGAGGAGCGCTACAGTTCGTCTAACGTCACCATCATCAATGGCAAGTCCATCAAAGACGCTTCTCCCTCGGTGCGAGCCGAGATGATGAAAGACTTTTTGACTCCAGGAGAAGGAGAAGCCGCGATGGCTGAAGACAACATGCGAACGTCTTCTATGAACAGGGCCAGAACCAGTGCCATGCATGAACCTCTGCCAGAGCAGCCTCGTGCTGATTCAATTGAACTGTCCGGGGGCAGTGCTAGCAAACAGAATCAGCCCACGGTAGCTATCCCCAACACTCCTGCATCACTCATGCCTCACTCGAAGCCGTCGACACTCGACAGGGATGATGGCGGACCTTTCAAGACAGAAATGGTTCGAAGAATGGACAGCATGTGGAAAGGAGATCGAGTGGTGCCCCCTTGTGATCGATGTCGACGGCTTCATATGGATTGCTTGAAGAACCTTACTGCTTGTATGGGTTGTACGAAAAAGCATGCAAAGTGTTCGTGGAAAGAAGTCAAGGCTGAGGAGCTACAAGCGAGCGCACCAGTAGCAGCACCTGATGGTGAGACAGCAACAGCCACATCTGCGTCGGAAAATCTGCCACCCATGTCTGCAGGCTCAACTATTGAAGTCAATCGACCTTCGGACGAAGCGTTAAGATCTGCAAGCATTGCGAGAGCATCTCTGGATTTGACGGGGGACTTGACTGACACGCCATCGAAAGACGTCAGCGGTTATGAGATTGAGCCGAGGAGAAAAAGCGAATCAGCATCAATCATCAATTCGTCAGCTCGATTCGATGTCCGACCGCCGCCCTTGGTCCAACAAATACAAGAGGCTGCAAAAGAACGGTCATCAGGAGAGGCTGGCTTCTTTCGTGGCAATGAAAGAGGAAAGGATGATGAAGATTATGAAGGAGACCGGTTGCAAGCGCTTGCGGCACGGGTGTATCGATCAGCTTCTCAGAGCGGGCATCGAGTATAGCTGTTTTCTTCACAGGTGGACATATGAGCGATGCTGTTTGGTCCGAGTGCTTGGACTCTCTGATAGATGGAGTTGGGCTTTTATGAGATTGTAGACGGGACAGAACCACTTTGGCTGTCGAGCAGTGATGTAGCGTTGGCGGCAGCAAAAGCGTTGTCAAAAGCAGTGAGGTTTCAACTGGGTTTGGGCTGGCCATGTGTGAGCATTCTGGCATTGTAGCTGATGCGCGACAAGTTTCGGGTGCAATATGGCACGCAAGTTGTGCTTTTTTGTTTATTGCTTAGCCTTGCGGAATAGATTCCATGACCATTTCTCGGATATCCAATGTCAGAGAACAAGTTTGTCATCATGACATTCTCTCTGGGCGGCTGCTGCGGGCCAAGGCGGGCATCGTCTGCCCCTCGATCAGATATTGTGGGGAGGTGGGAGGGGGGGAGTGCAATTGCCGATGGTGTCGTCCGTTCATCGCGCTTCGGATAGACCCCCAAATCTTGCATTTGCTGTCTCTACCCCAAGAGTGCCTAGGTATGTTTTGCCTCGCCTTGCCTTGACGTATGATGGCAAACGATCAGGAGATAATAGAGGCGAACTCCGCTCTGTCCTGCGAGCCTGGCCTTTTGATCACCTGTTCCAAGCAGCTTGTACGAGAATCAATACTCAAAAACTCCTTCTGTGTGCACTGATTCTCTTCGGATATTTCGTTAAAACGACCCCACGGGCACTACTTGCGGCAGTGTGGACTTTAAAGAGCCCTGCATCTGCACATTTACTTTTCTGTTCCTATCTGGAGAACTTGAAACTCGCCTCGTGCTTCTCTTTGATTTTCTTGTCGCCAGTTTTCTCTACGGTTATATATACAAGATGGATCCCTCACAAGTCAAGATCCCCGCGTTGGCGGACCTGACCATCGACAACATCACCGACAACGTGATCAGGATTAACTCGCTCAACCCGGATCCACGTGCGAAGTACATCCTCGAACGGTTAGTCGAGCATCTACACGACTTTGCGCGCGAAACGAGGTTAAGCACGACAGAATGGATGGCGGGGATTCAGTTCTTGACGAAGACGGGCCAGATTTGCACGGATGTGAGACAGGTATGTATGAGCTTGCGAATGTCTGCTGTCTGCTGTCTGCTCCTGTGGGACAGCCTATATACACGCATGTGCTGATTGTTGGGCGTCAGGAATTCATCCTCCTCTCCGACATCTTCGGTCTGTCGTTGCTCGTCGACAGCATCGACCACCCCAAACCCCCGAACAGCACCGAAGGCACTGTCCTGGGCCCCTTCCACACGCACGAGGCCGAACACATGAGCAACGGCGATTTAATGTCCAAAGACGACAACGGCGAGCCTCTTTTGGTGTTGTGCAATGTGAAAGGTGTAGACGGTAAACCTATCTCGGGAGTTAAGATTGATATCTGGGAGACGGACAGCTCGGGGCACTACGATGTACAGCATGCAGATCGTGACGGTCCGGACGGCCGCTGCGTGATGACAAGCGACGATGAGGGTGTGTTCTGGTTCAAGGCTATTGTCCCCGTACCGTACCCGATTCCGCATGATGGGCCGGTTGGACAATTGTTGAAGAAATTGGGGAGACATCCTATGAGGCCCGCGCATATGCATTTCATGTTTGAGAAGAGTGGGTTTGATCATCTCATCACGTGAGTGTCCCCCTTTGACACCTTTCTGAGGTTGGAAGAAGCAGGTTGCTAACGTGGGAGGTTGATAGGGCATTATACCTCAAGAACGACCCGTACGAGAATTCGGACGCCGTGTTTGGCGTCAAGAACTCGCTTATCGTGGAGTTGGGCAAGGTCGATAAAAAGACTGCCGAGAAGTACGGTGTCGATGAGGGCATCGCGTTGATGACGTATGATTTTGTGCTGGTCACGGAGAAGGCGAGCTTCGATTTGAGGGCCGAGAACTCGAAAAAAGCGCTGGAGAAATTGGGACGGAGGGTCAAGATCGTCGAGGGGTTGCCTGTGCCGGATGTTGACTAGGGAATTGTGCAGAGATGGGCTGCCGAGGACGGCAGGGATCGTGTATATCTGGGGTTTTGCCCATGCCGGGAAGGAGATGGTCGAGGACGAGGCAGAGAGAACAGGCAAGCATATCAGAGTGATCATGAGCTAAACGCTCAGTGAAATGGGGTCTGAAATTGTCCCTTGGTACGCTAAACATAGCGAGATGGTAGCTGGCATGACATCTGCTGACCTATAGCTGCGATATATGACTCCCAAGAAATCTACTCTGTAACTTCACCGCAGGGGCGATTATAACATGGCTGTTAAGATACATATGAGACGATCCAGTTCATCAGTTTCTTGCTCATGTCACATGGTGAAACGCATAGAAATTCACATCCGTGTCCGGCGCACTGGCTAACAAGTCGTACTCGGTGCCGACCATACTCCAAAGCATATCGTCATCAAGCTGCCAATCTGACGAAGTGGTCGCTATCGTCGAGGGCATGCCGTACGCAGGATCAAATGTATTTCCATTGATATGCTGTTGTTGCTGTTGTTGCGGTTGCGGAGCATTATCAGACACAAAATCCATAGACGTCGACGACCTGTGGTGTTGTCCGTTAGCGACGGACGCCAAAGCCGCGAGACCGGCGTGGGGGCCGTTAAGAGGGTCCTGTTGTTGTTGCTGATGATGCTCGGGCCTGCCATTCCGTTCCATCAGCCTTTCAAACCCGGTGGCCATTTTGTAAAGGATGTGGTTGGCGCCGGCTTTACATTCGCGCATGGCGGCGATGATGCCGTCGACCAGAGGCTTCGTGCGGGCGTGCGCGTCGACAGTGACGCCGATCAAGTCCCAAATCGCGGACATTTTGATCAGAAACACCACGGCAAAGGCGATCATGGCGTGCAAGTACAGCGGGACTCCGGCCAGGGCGCGACGCAGGTCCGGCTCGCCCAGAACGATCTCGAGAATCTGGTGCGCAGACTCAATCGCGCGGAATGCCAGGGGCCGTAGACGGTGTGGCAGCGAGCTTATTGAGGTCATTGACCGGCCACGCAGGGCAAGCGAGTTAAGTAGCATGCTTTTGAAGTGGTAGTGCAGATCCAGCCCGATGACCGAGTACCCGCCCACATACTCGTCTAGGGGGAGTAACGAGCGAAAATGCTCGCGGTATCGAGCCAGATCATCGAGGAAGCGGGCGTGGATGATGAGCGTCTCGTCGTCGTCGCCTAGCACGCGGCCTGCTTCGAGGCCGAAGGCATCGTAGGCGCGACTGAGGATGCGGAACAGTGCCACCTGCGATATCACGCGCCGGTCGGACATGGTGCATTCGTTCGTCTGGAGGAATAGGTCGGTTTCGCGGATTGCTTGCATTTCGGTGGTCACGGGCGGTCGGCCGTACGCGATGCTGAAGTGGTGGTCTAGCACGTACAGGAGGTACCACAGCCTGGCACGCTCGAGAGTGGCTTCGCGGTCGTCGGGTGGGGTAGGGGAGTGGAACGCTTTGAAGAAGGCTTGGTGGAGATTTAGTTCGGTGGCCATCCGGACGCAGTGGCCTGAGAGTTTCCAGGACAGGTCGGGCAGCCAGAAGGCGGCGATACACAGGGCACGGATGTCTTCGAGAGTGTGCGAGCGGTCGAACATACTTGATGCAATGAGGTCGCGGAGCTGCCGGTGGCATTTGTGGTAGATGTCCTCCATGCCTGGTATATGCAGTGATGACACGGCCATAATAGATGTGAAGAGGAGAGGCGAGGAAGAGCGAATGCTGTTCAGTGTGCGGTCGGGGGAGAGAGTAGCGTTGTATAGATATCGTGATAGAGTGGTTTTGAATCTAAACAGGTCAGTGCTAAAGGACACCACACAGACTGAGAGCGCTATACAATGTCAACATCCTCTCCGCTTCTTCGATGGAGATTATGCCTTGCGCGATGAGGTCGGACTCAATGTTTTTGCGAAGCCGTCGTTCGGTCGGCGGACCACCAGTGCGAGATCGTAAGGCGCTGAGGTGCGTTGCTTCGTACAGCCCTTCCATCGGCGCACCGGCAATGTCGTATTGCGCCGATCTGGATTCTAGATTTGGACTGGTCTCGCGTGAATTCTCCCGCGTCGTCTTGGTCGTGTTGAGGGCGACGTTTTCTCCGCCTGGACCGAAAGTCTCGAGAGACGGCATTTCGAGCTTTGCAAGGATTGCTCGTACGGAGCGGTCCAGCCGCACCAGGGAAGGATCAGATTGTCTATCTCATGATCAGATGGCCCTTTCGTGGATTCGCGAAAAGATACGTACCCTTCATCCTCCATGGTCACTCTCAACCTCTTGACCATTTTGCAGTCAAGCCCTAGTCTTTGACATCGCTGGCATCCAAACCCATCGCCGCTCTCTGGGCCGCCACATTTCACCTTGAGCTTCCTACATGTTAGGCAAGCTCGGCCCTTGCGCGTGATTTGTCGTGGAGTACTATCAGAGGCGGGTTTCTCGGCAGTAGATTTGGCAGAATTGGCTGGTGATGGGCCAGCCGGATCTTGCGAGTGTTGCAGCGCCAGTGGATTGACGATTGGCTCTTGAGTCCTTGGACTGCCGCTGCTAGGTCGTTGCATCTTTCGTGTATTTTGAAAAGTGAACTGGTAAGGTTTGAAGGAAGGTCCTAAGATGGTGAGATCTCAAGCCCTATGTGAGGCCGGGGCAAAACTCCCCGGGAATTGATTTGATTGATTTTCCCAGATGTCACACGAAACCCAGAAACCCTAAGATAACCCCGGCATTGCGGCTTCCCTGCGCCCAATCAGCCGCATTGCAACCCCAAGGGCACCCCATGGTACGAGATGACCAGGTGATAATTCAAACACGCCACAATACTCGGCAAGAAGTGCGCGAACCAGCATATCATGGATCAGGGCTATGCAGCCTCGTCACGCGGCAAGGACGACGGGCAAGTCGCCCATCCATGCCGTTGTGCTGCTGGGTTTCGAGCAACGATAACGACTGGACACAGGGTGAAGCATGGGAATATCTCAGATTTCTCGTCTATCGCTAAGCATAAAAATCTGAATAGCTCTTCTTACTTTCATCAAAGATATTTACACTCTGCTTGCAATGTCCACACATTCTCCATCTCATACCTTCGCAGCTTCCTCATGGACAGGCGCTGACATTTTGATACCTTGTTCCCCTTCGGTGTCTGCTCGTTCAATCAAAGTGGCCATGATAGTATCCTTGTATTCTTTGTTGGTCGAGTTGCGGACAGCTTGCATGAAGCTGGGTCGCTGCTCTCCACGACGGCCGGTGAACATCAAATCGATGGCTTCAAGAGGAAGCTTTTGTGTCTCGGGCTATCAAGAACATGTCAATTTGATTATAGGCATAACCAGTGGATGATGACTTACATAGAAGAAGTAGACGCAGGGAATAGTGAAGAAGTTGATGACGGCAAAGACGATGTAGCTTCGATAGTTGATGCCGGTAATCATTGGAGGCGTAATCTGAACGACCAAGAAGGTGAACATCCATTGCGAGACCACTGCAAGAGCTCCACCACGAAGACGAAGCTTCAGAGGAAGGATTTCACTCGGGTAGATCCACATATTCGATTGCCATCCTAATGTGAAAAAAGTCTATAAATCGTCAGAGAGTTGTGTCAAAAAACCTAGGATAACCGAAAGACCCATGTTTCAATGGCATAGTCTTTCGCAAACACGGTCACTTACTTGGAAGATGTAAAGGACGACCGCAGCGGCATAACCGAGACCCTTCTTGCCGGTGCTGTTACCAACACCAACAAAGATGGCTGAGAGAAGCATACAGACGCCCATACCAGCGGATCCGATCATGAAGAGCTTCCTGCGTCCGATGTTGTTTGAAGTATACCAAGGGATCAAAGAGCTGAGGAAGTAAAAGACCTGGAGACCGCCCGCCACGAGAAGAGCGTTGTGAGCGCTCATACCGATCGAGGTTTCGAAGACGTAAGGACCGAGGGAGGACATGACGTTGACACCGGACAGCTGTTGGAAGAAATTGGCTGAAAAGGCAATGGCCACTCGCTGCCAGCCGTAGATGCCCCCGTCCTTGAAGCAATCGGACCATGATCCAACTTCTTCAGCTTCGACAGCAAGGATATACTGAATCTCTTTGATCTCCAACTGGACGTCGGGATTGTCTCGGGTACTGCCACGAAGCGCAGCCAACGAGGTGGTGGCCTGCTCAATTTTGCCGGCGCGGAACAGATAACGAGGAGACTCTGGTAGCCAGGGCATCAGGCAGCAAACTATGATGCAGAAGATTATCTGGAAGGCGCAAGGAAAGCGCCAGGAGACGCTTGATGAGTAGGTGGCCATGCCGTAGTCGAGCCAATTGGCCAGGATGAGGCCGATAATGAGGTTGGAAAGTTGCATTGCCATCATTCGACCTGGAGATTGTTAGAAATGCTACACTTGATACATTGATCAAGGGAAAATACCGCGATTCATTTGGGTGGCGCATTCAGTCAACCAAATGGGAATGACAGTAGTCATACAGCCGAGTCCAAAACCTGAAATGATTCTGCCCACAAGGAACTGGGCTAATGTTGTAGTCGTGGTCTGGAGGATCGCGCCGATGGCGACCAAGACAGCACCACCAAGGTTGTTGGGCTTGCGGCCATATCTGTCACCCAGAGCAAACTGGAAAAGCGCGCCGAACAGGGCTCCAACCTCATAGGAAGCAACGATGAACGCCAACAGTGCGGAATTTGGGTTGCCAAAGACGTTGAGGAATGTAGTGGACGTGGTCAAGCCACCCATGAAGCCTGAGAGATTATCAGTCTTGAGAACCTATGCCGGTGGAAACATGGGGAAAGAGTGAAGGCTCAGGGAGCATCGAGGCAGCTTTCCCAGCATGACTTACCTAGGTCATAACCGAACAGCAAGAAGCCAAATGAGCTAGTAAGGGTGACGGCATAGACAAGAGGTTGGCCACGCAGGCCGAGGAAAGTAGGGCCCGACTCCATGTTAGGTATGACTGGTACTCACTGAAAGAGTGAAAAAAGGGAAGGGTAAGAAGTGATAACAGAGGAAGAGAGAAGGAAGGAGGAGTTGGATTGTGACATATACTGCCGATCTTATACTTGGATAGCGGCCATTGCCACTCGACCTGGAGAGTCAGTTCCGGGGTTCTGGGGCGTTTTTGCTCCGTATCAGGAGTACCAATTTTGCATGGACCGGTACGAGTACATGGGGTACTGTGTACATCGCTTACATCGATAACGAGGTCAAGACCCCTTGTGTACCCATATAGTGGGTAAGTCTATGGGCATCTTAACGCTGCACGCGCACAATTGCCGGTGGAATCAAGCATTTTCATCTGGGAAAAGTCCTTCCAGCGGAGACGTCAGAGGATGATATCCGCCAATAACAGGAATCATCTCGGCGAACAAGGCTCTCTGCGCGGCACGTGTTCCGGTCTGGTCAATTGTGGTAGTATGGGTTGTGTGGGCTTGTCGTGAGGAGCGCCACGGGGTGGTCAAGCAATCGTCATGGAGTTGATGGAGCGTGCTTCGAACCAAATAAGAACGGCGTTGCTAGGTGAAAGTTTGACCGGCGGAAAATGGAAAAGTCGGGATGAGGGTAATGTAGCCATGCGGCGTCCAGCCGGCTCTTTGGCCGAATTGCCTTTGCTATAGGCGGGGAGAACGAGACATGAGGTGAGAAAGGGCGAAAGTCGGTGAAGATCCCGGTTGACTACGACGGGGATGATGGAGATCCCCTCAGAGACCCCTAAAATTCTCCACATGTATGTAGCCTGGAACAGCGTGTATTCCGAGAAACTAAGCCATCCAAGCAGGTGACCACGACGTAACGTACTACGGCAATCAGGAAGGATTGCACCCAATACGGACTACCACGCGTATCTGGCCGGACTACCACGCGTATCTGGCCGGACTATCCAAGTGAAGCCCCATTTACATCTCGGAGCCGATCGCAAAAGGCATATCAGGAGACGGCAACAAGAGCAAGTCAACGTCTCCTGATCCCGAGCAAAGAGCGACCTGAGCGCCATACCGCTTAATCAGAACCAGCAGAGCAGTAGTCTTGCCGCAGCCCGGCTAGGCTAATCAGTGATTGAAGCCAACCATGACAGGGGAATCCTACACCGAGATAGTCAAAGCGGACTTGGGCCGGGCAGCCAAGGACTCCTCGTTCGCCCGCTCCTACAGCAACACGCCCGGCTTCGTCGTCTACCATGACCGCTTCCAGCAAGACGTCCTCGGCTCCTCCCCCAAACTCACCGTCGTCGAGTCTCGAGACTACCAATTCGCCCACGAAGCAGGCGTCTACATCCGCCCAACCAACAGCGTCTACTTCACCGCCAACTTCCAGACCTGCAACCCCGTCCACCTATACGCCATCGACTCATCCTCCCACAAGATTACCCAGCTCGACTACCCGGAAGTCATCCAGGCCAACGGCGCCTGCAACTACAAAGATGGCGTGCTGTACTGCTCGCAAGGCGACCGCACGTCTCCCTCAGGTCTCGTGCACGTCGACCCCGTCACCGGCAAATCCGAAACCCTCATTACCAATTTCTACGGCCGCGACTTCAACAGTGTGAACGACGTCGTCATACACCACGAGACCGGCGAGATCTGGTTCACCGACCCCAACTACGGGTACCACCAGGGTTTCCGCCCGGCGTCTATGCTACCTCCTCAAGTCTACCGCTTTAACCCAGACACGAACGAGTGTTGGATGGTCGCCGACGGCTTCGTCGAGTGCAACGGCCTTTGTTTCAGTCCGGACTATAAAAAGATGTACGTTACTGACACAGGCGCCATCCAGGCCCATGCCGGTCCTGGCGACGGTCACCAGTTCTCGATGAACCCCAAACTCCCCGGCACGATATATGTTTATGATGTTGTCAACGGGAAGGAACTGCACAATAGACGTACATTTGCCTTCTGTGCAATTGGTATTCCTGATGGTATCAAGTGTGATAACCAGGGCTATGTTTACTCGGGCTGTGGTGAGTCAACCTCCCCCCTTCACGTACGTTATCGTTACCGGTCTGACTGACTTTCTTCTCACTCAGGCGACGGCGTGCATTGTTGGGCGCCAGATGGTACGCTCGTAGGCAAGATCGTTACCAAAGGAATGACCGCGAACTTCTGCTTTGCAAAGGAGGGCATGTGGTTGTTTGCCGGGAAGGAGCTTTACTTCTGCGAGCTCAAAGCTAAGGGCTGTCTTGTCAAGATTGAATGTGAATGATTCTGACGGTCGGTGGATGGAAAATCAATCCTTGCCATGTGTCTGATGTCGCGGAGTCTGCCATCGCTGCCGAATCACACTACATGGGAAGCATACGACATCGAACCTCGTCTCATGTGGTGAGCTGCCACTGCAGACAACGTCGCTGCCAGCCTGACTGACAGCATGAACAGGAAGATCCCTCCGCCTCAGAATTGCCAGCATTAGACAAGCCACTTCTGTGCGAACTTTCAGCTGTCGCGATCTTGCAGCTGTAGGGCCGGCCGCCTGGTTCCATCCCATGTGGTTGTCATGCTGTAATAGCCATGCCTCAATCCAAAGATTTGCAGGCGCTTTAGGTTCAAAAGCAACTATCCTACATTATCTAGTACAATCTATGATCTATTTTTGCACAACCGCCCGTCCAATATCAACAATCTCCTGCACCAACCTCTCGACCGTCTGCTTGATGGTCGAGATGTTGACGACAGCACGAAAAAACGCACCTCTTTCAATCTGGTGGCCCAACGCCGGTGCAAAGTCAATCATGAACCCCCTCGCAATCAATGAATGCGTAATGCGACTGGTGATCGCTGAGTTACGTTTACCCACTTTCTCGGCGTCGCCTGCTTGAGCGTCGCCTTCCAGGCCATGGACCGCCTTCCCACCAGGAGCATAGTAGAAGCACACCTGCAAACAAGGCGGCGGGTTCGTGCTGACCAGCTCCAAGTCCGAACTCTGCGCGACCAGATCGGTCATGTAGCACGCGACGGAATACGCATTGTCAATCTTCGCAGCGTAGCCCAAGGTGCCGTAATATTGCCAGGCGAGGAACAATTTCAAGCTGTCGCCTCGTCGGCCGCACTGTAGCGTGAGATCAGCGAGGTCGTCCGGCGGCATCCACTCATCGCTGTCCTCATCTTTTGCGATGGCACTGGGCCCGTTCGTCGCCTCATTAGCATCCTTTTCGTGCTCCTCGAAGTCGTCGTGGAACAGATACCCCGCCCGCAGGGTGTTCGCTCTATGCGCATTCCTCAAGTCCTTCAACAACAGAAAACTGCAGGTCACGGGCACACCGAGCATCTTGTGAGGATTTATTGCGATACTGTCCGCCAGCTCGCATCCCTTGAGCGCTCGTTCACGGAGGGTGTCCGAGAAGACGAAACTTCCGCCCCACGCACCGTCGATGTGCATCCACAGCCCATGTCTGCGAGCGACCTGAGAAATGGCGGTGAAAGGGTCAAACGAGCCCAAGACCGTAGATCCTGCTGTCGAGTTGACGAAGAAAGGGGTCTTGCCTCGTTGTTTCTCCCGGACAATCAACGATTCAAGAGCCTCGGCGTCCATTTCTCCGGTCACAAAATCGACAGGCACGGCAATAACGCTTTCGCTTCCGAAGCCGCATTGCTGGGCTGCCTTCTCGATACTGTAGTGGCCATGTTCCGAGGTGAACATGACTAGTTCGAGACCTCCCGCGTTGTTGCCCAGCCGTTTCGTATCCGGGAAAAGAGTGTTGCGTGCGATGACGATGCTGGTGAGATTGCTGGCACTGCCACCTTGGACATTGATCCCGCCTGCTCTCGGGCCTCTGAAGCCAAACTTCGCGGCCAGAGCCTTGCTGACGTGGGTCTCGATCAGTGAGAGAACGGGAGAGACTTGGTACACATGCAGATTGGTGTTCAAGACACTGAGAACCAAGTCTGCTGCGATTCCGGGAGGTAAAGGTGCTGAATATAGCTTGTCCAAAAATCCTGGGGCGGACGTATTGACGCTGTACTTCAATATCGACTTCAGGGACTGGAGAATGCCTGCCTGACCGCCTCCGGCCTCTGGTAGTGACAAAGTTTTATTCGAGGTGAGTATGGACCGTAGTTCTGAAGGCGGATGCGTTTCGACCAGTGCAGTCTTGGAGACTGGCTCATGAAGCTCATGAGCATGAAGTTCAGTACCGGCTTGTTGAAGGAAAGTGATCAATTGTCCGAGGACGCCTGAGAGAAGATCCTGTGCCTCAGTTGCTCGGGAAGGTCCACTCCCGTTCGTGTAACCATTCGAGTCTTCATTGATTGCTTTGGTTGTATGTCCATTGGGTTGAATGTCAGCAGAGGCTGAATACTTCGCACGTTTTTCCGGACGATGGTCAGCCATAATTGTGGTAGACAACAGAAAGAAGGTATGTACAATAATCTATGCAAATAATCAAAAAATCATACTGATCAGTCGTCTAGTCTAGCATGTATGAGCGAGAAGGAACGGCAAGGTAGTCAAAAAGACGTTGAGATCAAGTAACATCTATTGCCTCTTTGAAGATTCTGACATTATGTGAGATGACGCGATTTCCATAGCGTGGTCACTGATCCTTGGCCTTGATGCTCAACTATTCATGAACCAGATACTGTCAATTATCATCTACGCACAGGGCCTACAGCTACAATAGCATTTGAAGAAGTGGCGGGTGTTTTCCCTGGCGTTTTCCCTCGTGGTCCCTGAGTCTTCTTTTGCACATGTCTCTCCCTCGCTAGCTCGATCCCCGTCTTCTTCCGCTCGGGACGTACGTCGTCCTGGGGAACCTCGTCGTCTGCCTTGTCTTGCCCCTTAGCAAGCGCTCTCCATTCAGCGGGTCTTCTCTGGTACATATCCAACTCCCAATTGTGCAACACCGTTCTCCCTGACTGCGATTCCCGTATATGGCTTGCGTTGTGGGCCAGTTCATTGGCAACGGACTCTTTCATGAAATGCAACCCATCCGTAGCTGCCCATAAAGCATCTACCACATAAGAGCCGCTGGCGTTTTGTGCTAGCGTAGCAATGTGACCGTAGAATCGAGGTACAAACGGTCGTCTGAACTGAACGTTGGATTGTGACGGCACGAGTGCTGCTTGAATAACCCGAGAAGCGATTGCATTCTGGCACATCTGAACCAACGTGTCAATTTCAACTTCTAGCAAACTGTCTTGAACCACTTGACACATCTTTGGATTTTGCAGCATGGCTTGAGCAAGCAGGGAGCCATGCACGTCTGTTTTCTGTGGCGGACTTGCTCGCTTCGCCGATGAGTCGTCTTCTGAGCTGGCTGGCTGTTTCGAAGGCTCAAAACTGAGCAATTTGGACAGCCACGTTGCTTTGTATGGTCCAAACCCGATCGAGAGTGCGTCTGTCACGTCTGCAACTTCAACACCCCGTATGGTGAATCTCTCCACGAGTACCTTGATCAAGCCCAGCCGCCGACGAGAAACTAGAAGGGGCAACTCTGGGGATATCTCGTCTTTGGCTTCGGATAGGTCGTCTTTGCCTAGCCGTTCGAGTACCTTGATGGCGACATAACTAGCAATCTCATTCTTGACCATGTTCGTCAATCGAGGTTTCAAAACATTCTTGTAGAGTTTCTTGAAGATCTTTCCTGAGAGAGACAGTACGAGGATCTCGACAAGGTGAGAGCCGACTGGATCGTAGAGTAGTCCGACAATGAATTTCGAACTTTCTGAGTCATCTTCAAGGTCTTCATCCGGCAGCAACTTTTTGAATAATGACATGTCTCCTGCTTGCTGGTTCTTGCCATTCAAAGTCAGCTCCAGTCGTAGCAGCAACTGCAGGACTGGATTCCCCGTGGGATGCGTTGCTAGTGCCCGCAAATAGGTCGCGTCCACAGATGATACAGTGCTTTGGATTAGGTTTGTGAGCGCCTGCCGGAAAGACTTTGGCACGCGCCGTTTCGATTGTGATGAGTCCTTTCCAGTGGTAATCGGGGCCTCGAGCTTTTCTTTTTTCTTGCTTGCAAGTATTGTCTTTGTGGACTCATCGTCCAAGGACTCCCCGGACAAGATCAGGAAGAGCACCCGAACAGTATGGGAAGCAAATCTGTCGGTAAGCAGAAAGCCTATACTGGGCTGCAATTCCTCCGCGGCTCGTAAAAACAGCTGTTCCATGGAGAGTTGACCTTCACCGTCTTCGTGACTTTGGTCAGGTTCTTCACCCACGCGCTTGGCAGCATTCAGGAACAGTGTTTCACAGCAGTGGCTGCCAAAACGATGGCGGACAAGGTAGGTTAAGTTGCCCAAGAACTTGGTAAAAAGAAGGCGGAGTTGGTCGGCGGTTGAGAGCATTATAATCTTTTCGAGATATCTCGAACAAGACTGGCTCGAAGCGACTTTGAGTTCCTTGCCTTCTGTCTCCCGGTAGACTGCTTGGATGAAGAAATCGCGGTCTTCATCGGACTCGAAATCATTTGCGACAATTTTGCTGTTGATATTTGCATAGTATTCCTGTTCCTGTGGGTCCAATAGTCCGTGAAACTGATCTTCGTCTTCAGGCGCTTGAACTCCAGAGGACGGTTCGACGCCGATACCTATGAAGTCATCGCCAGCGTCGCCGTCGATATGTATCTCATCTTTGGGCTCTTGGTCGTGCTCATCGACGGCTTTGTATCGCTTGGAAGGACCATGTTGAGTTTCGTCTCGTTTCCGCTTGTTATTCTTCGCGTCCTCTCGCCTACCGCGCTTCTTCTGCTCACGAGGCATGATCTGTTGTAGAGAATGAAGATCGAATCAGGCGCTGAAGTGACGGGAGAAAGTCTTGATGGTCACCATCATGCTCGTGTTCTGGTCTGAAGGACGAAAAATTATTATATGAGCGGAGGGCGAATTTAATTTCAGCCAATCGGATATTCGCACGAGCGGCCTCAGCCTCGCAAGTTTAAGTTCAGCCTTGCCTCAATATCAACCCATCTGCCTACAAATCTAGTCCTATGATGGATGGGTACTGAAGTGCCAGAGGGTCAACCTGTAGTGAGAAAGCCCAGGCAGAGGATAACCCCAGATCATGTATTGCACCAGCATGGGCATACGCGAAAAGTGCAAACGTGTCAAGTGAGCCTCTCTGCTGTGGCTTGACAAGCTGGGAGATGTCCATTCAAGAGAAGCGTATGTCTAGGCAGGCATCCCAGACTTTCGCAACCCCTCATAGCAGATGCATTGGATGGATGCAGGACGCTCGGCTGTCCAGTGGCGTTCTTGAAGCATGGACGATCTTGTGCGTCGAAATGGTGAAGCAGGACCAATCCGATATTCGTAACTCTTTGGACATTGGGGTGCCAGCGTAGAATTCATGACTAGGATTCCAGCCGGCAGCAATGATCATGGGTGCTTCTGCAATGCACTTGGCGATCAGCTGCTTCGCTCCTCTCATTCTGGAAGAGTCCGTCCTCGACCCCGGAGCAGGAGGGATCTGACCTCGCTCCGAGATCGTCGGCTTTGGCGTCAACGCGGTGAAAGCGACCATGCGCGAGGCTGCTGCCTCAGCAATCGATGCATTTGTCGGCAGCTGGTGTTGGAAGGCCATCCTGACTTCGTAGCGCGCAGCTTCACTTCTCCTTTTCACCCAGTGGCTTCAAGCTGATCCTGTCCTGCCATTTGCAACTTCTGCTGCAGCTGCATCAGTTCCATTCTCATCTTCTCACTGCCCTCTTGTAACTCTTTGATCCTTGTTTCGGTCCGGGTAATTTCCTTGCCAATGAAATCCAAACGACCTTCGACTGCGCTCACAGCTTCGGTCTTGTCCTGCTTCAACAACACTGGACCGACGAGTTTGTAGATTCCTGCAGCATCGACCAGAGATGTGAACTCTTTCTGCACCGCCTTGTTCTCTTGCTGTTGGGCCTCAAGCTTCTGGCGTGCCTCGACAGCACCTTGAAGATCTGTTGCCCAGGATTAGCGCAAGGACAATAATACAACATGAAGTCTTGCATCTTACCGTCTTGAAACTTCTGCAGAGCCTCTGACAGAGTCTGCAGTTTGTTTCTGTCGTCTTCCATCGTGCGCCGTAGGTTGTAGAGTTTAACGACTTTGTGGGTGATTTGTAACAATCTCGAAGCGTGCCTGTGCATGCGAAAGCCTTAGCGTGCAGCAATGCTGGAGTAAACCCGCGGGGCAAAATGACCGATATCTCTCTATCCGCTTCACAATTACACCTCTGCTTTGGACCAGGTACATTGAAAGCAAACACCAAAAAGCCTGCATACAAGCGCCAAAGTCTGCTAGCGACCCCATCGTAAACATCCTTTAGAGCATTTTGCTTTCAACTGCAGCCTGACCGCGATCCCATACCATATCAGCCCAGCAGCGGCGCTTGTTTACCTTCACTACATCATCGCAACACATCTAGGCACGAGCACACCCAACCCACCTCAGCCACCCCTCCTGTTCCGAAGCACAGTCTCTTTTGCATATCACGTAACATGTCGAACACCGACTTCCTCGGCCGGGCGATTGACTCGGTCAAAAAGGCCATCGAACTAGACACGGCGGGGTTATACGAGCAAGCATACCAACAATACTACAGTTCCCTAGAACTATTCATGCTCGCACTAAAATGGGAAAAGAACCCGAAATCAAAAGAGATGATCCGCGCCAAAGCAGGCGAATACATGGATCGAGCAGAGAAACTGAAAACGCACATCCAAGCCGCCGACTCAAACACAAAAAAGCCAGCCGCAATGGGTGTCAACGGGAAAGCCGTCAACGGCGGCGGCAAAGGTGAAGGAGGCGAGAAAGACGACGAGGACGCCGACGCAAAGAAACTACGAGGTCAATTGACCGGTGCCATCTTGACAGACAAACCGAATGTAAAGTGGGAGGACGTAGCCGGGTTAGACGCGGCGAAAGAAGCGCTCAAAGAGGCGGTCATCCTACCCATCAAATTCCCACACTTGTTCCAAGGTAAACGACAGCCCTGGAAAGGCATATTACTCTACGGGCCCCCAGGTACAGGTAAATCGTACCTCGCCAAAGCCGTAGCCACCGAAGCAAACAGCACCTTCTTCAGCGTCAGCTCCTCCGACCTAGTGAGCAAATGGATGGGCGAGTCCGAACGTCTAGTCAAACAACTATTCAACATGGCGCGCGAGAACAAACCGGCCATCATCTTCATCGACGAGGTCGACGCCCTCTGCGGGCCCAGAGGAGAAGGCGAGTCCGAAGCCTCAAGACGTATCAAAACAGAACTACTAGTGCAGATGGACGGCGTAGGCAAAGATTCAAAAGGTGTCTTGATCCTCGGCGCGACAAACATCCCCTGGCAACTCGACGCCGCTATCCGACGGCGTTTCCAACGAAGAGTGCACATCTCCTTACCAGACAAGCCCGCGCGGATGAGGATGTTTGAGTTGGCCGTCGGAGACACCAAGTGCGAAATGTCCCAGCAAGACTACAAGACTCTGGCCGACCTGAGTGAGGGTTATTCGGGGAGTGATATCAGTATTGCCGTGCAGGACGCGCTGATGCAGCCCGTGCGCAAGATTCAAATGGCCACGCACTATAAGAAGGTAAGGCAACATATATTCCCCACCTGTCAATCTCATGCACGCTAACATGCTCTCCAGGTGACAGTGGAAGGCGAAGAGAAACTCACCCCTTGCTCACCCGGCGACGAAGGTGCCATGGAAATGACCTGGGTAGACATCGACTCGAACCAACTCCTCGAACCGCCCCTCAACGTCAAGGACTTTGTCCGCGCCATCAAAGCGTCGAGGCCGACAGTCTCGGGTGAAGATCTGAAACGGAACTCAGAGTGGACGGCCGAGTTTGGTAGTGAGGGAGCTTGAGACCTCTCAACGTCGACTTTTGCTGTGTTTAGTTTGGACTCAACTCGGTGTTTGATATTGGGACCGAGAGCAGAGGCGTTAAGTGGGTCAATACGGTTGTCATCTCGGGCGATTTTGCTTTTACTTGATGGGAAAATACTGCTGTGCATGTCCTGTATGGATGGGGACGGTCAGGTGCTGCTGTTTCTACGTGATGAGGTCAAGAGTTATTGCTTTGTGCACGTCATGAATGGGTGACAGACGGGGAGTCAGAGATGATGGAAACGATAGGCGCTAGGCGAGAGGAAAATGCAGTTGCATAAACCCTGGAAATAACACAGATATACAATTGCTAAAGAGTCATGATATCTTCGCTTAACACGCACAGCTGTGCTTGGGTATAAATGACCTCAACTATACAGGTAACCCACGACGCCATGCTAAATGACCGACAATATTGTACATTGTACAACCAAAAAATGGACGACGCGATCAAGGATATAAATACCCCTTCTCGAAATAATTCCCATACATATCCACGACACCAGTTCTGCCTTTCGGCGTGGCGTTTCGGACGACTTTGATCTCGCCTTTCCAGTGTCCTTCGACAAAATTCATATCGAGATCGTTGATCTCGCCAGTCGGGCCAGTCGGTGTCTCAGGACGAGTAGCCCCGTTACCATTTGTTTGTGCAAATGCAATCGAACCCGGCCCTGCGTCATGGTCAAATCCGTATCCATAGCCTCGGGGGCCCGATGAGCTGTTGGAACGGTTGCTTGCATGGCCAGTACGACTCCTCTTGTATTTAGCCAGTTCGTCTTCGTAGGCCTTCTTCCGCTCCTTTCTCCAGGCTGCGAGTTCGGCGATGACATCAACGTTTGGTTCAGCCTGCTCCTCTTGTCCGGTGCTCGATGTGGATGGTCTCATCTGCGAATGCTTTTTGTTGTGCAGAAACTTCGGAGAGACTTGAGCTGCAGGCACCTCGGCGACAAGGCGTCTTGGTTCTATACTTCGTTGGCTTTCATTCGAGGCTCTTCGATTCCGACCCAGCGGTAAACTCCTCGGACTCTGCAGTGTGCCGGTGCCGTTACCAAGATTCATCGAAAGTAGTGTGGGGTAACCATGTAGACTCCCATGTGGGCTATTGGAGCCGTTCTCACGGTGAGAATCTTCAGGTGACAATAGGATCTTTTCATCGAAATGGGCCCTCGGAAAATATTTCTCTGGGTCATGTTCGTATATCCCACACTCGTCTTGCTCTTCGCCCTCCTCACCAAAGAAACTGAAATCATTTTCAGCTGCAGACCATAGATTTTCACTGTCCATGTCTCCAGTTGACGATTTGCTCATGCTGAGGGCTTGACGGGAGTGTTGCCATCTTCTCTGGCCACTTGTTGCCGCCGTCTCCGGCTGTCCCATCTCCAGCACAATGGTACGGAGTGCAAATAGTGACCGTGCTTGTTCAAGTTCTGCCATATGCCTAGCTCTGCCCGGGGGTAGAGAGTAGTCTGTGCGGGCAAGAAGGTAGCTGAGAGCAGACTCATCCGCACAGGTAGAAATGAAAGACTTCAAACTGTCAAGTACTGGCGATGATTTGGGGGCTGTAGTCGGAACATTGGTCAAGACCAACGTCCTCAGGTTTGGTAGCAGGGATGGATGTAGAATGCTCAAGTTAGAGACCGTGATTTGAGCCGATTTCGAACCATTGTGAGCTTTGGAAAGCAGATCTGTGGGTCGTTTCGCACGCAGTGCATCGATTCGTGCAACGCGGTGTTGAGTTTGAGCAGGTGGAGGTGATAGCGTCGTGCTGTTTCGTAACGGACTGGGATGCGCTGGAGCGTCATACGAAGGTGCAGATGTTGGAGGCAGCGGCGGTGGTTTGTGCTTGGGAATTGCTGGAGCTACCAAAGGCTGGAAAGACTGAAAAGTGCCAGTGCCATGAGCAGTCACAGGAGAAACGGGTGAAAACAACGATCTGCCTGTACTGCTAGTACTGTGAGTGCCGGTTTCATCAGAAATCTCCGCCTCGGATCCAGTCCCAATTGCTTGTTCTTCGGCATGGCTGTCCCCTAGATGGCTGCCTACATTGACCACTTCTGGCGCAAATGGGCCTTCTCCCCTGACAGGATGGTGAGTTTCCTCAATAGATCCTGCCTCCTGCGGCTTCTCTCCGATAGGTGGACTGACTGCAAAGTAGATAACATCACCTATGAGTTCGACACGGGGTTGTGCCGGAGTAGCATCCATCTCGTAAATTTGTTCATCGACTCCTGGTAACTCTACTGGGTGATGGGCCGGAGCTGCGGCTTCTACAACATGCCTGTCCTCAGGAGGTAATTCGGCAGCGAGTGGCTCAGAGCCGGCTACTTCTGTTGGTTGTTGAGAAGTCTTCGGCTTGATGGCGTCCTGGATACCTTCCAGCTTTGCTGTAATCAAAGCGTGGTCGACTCGGAGGTAAGTCAGGTTCTTGCTGGCGGATTTTGCAAGGACTGGAATAAGCTTCTCAGCACCAGGAAATCGTACTTCATCAATATATCCAGTCGGCGATGACAGAGACCGAGTCCTTGCAATGGTCTTGACAGTATCAACGGATCCGCCATCCAGGATATGTAGACGCTCGGATTTGAGTAGACTCGCCAGCCCTTCCACGGACAGCCGATTTCCTGAAATGTAGAGATGTGTCAGACCTCGATGGGGTATATCTTCAAACGCTAGTCTTCCGGTCAAAGGTCTAGTCAACTGCTTTAACAGCTCATGGTCAAGATCCTCATTTCGAAGAGTGTCAAGACTGAAGAAATCTGGCCCTGGCGCCATGCCCACCGGCCAGTCCTCCAGATTCGAAGTACCAGTTTGTGTTGCGTTTGGGCCCAGGAAGCAGGCTTGCATTAGCGATCTCACGGCCATGTCGGTCAAGGAATTGTCCCTGACGTCCAGCAAGCGGACTCGAATCCCTACAGAGTTGGCCAGAACCTCGGCTTCCCCGTCCCTGAGGCCAACACCGCGCAGCTTGAGGACTTGTAGATCAGGCAGGTAGGACATCGACGCCAGGACTGCGGCATCTCGAGCTGGCGACGTGTATGAGAGGTCGAGGTAGACCAGACTCGAGAACCTGGGCAATGCGCCTGCCAACGCAGACGATGTGGTATTGGGCTCGCCACAAGCCAGCAGCAGCTTTAACCCAAAAGAGGGTAAAACCTCTTGTTCTCCATCCGATCTCTTTGCGCCGCCTACAGCCCTGAGGGCGTTCAGACTATGATGATCGAAGAAGGGTAGTCTGGTGACTATGAGGCTCTGTAGATTCGGAAGGAATTCTAGAACGTCGCGCAGCCAGGTGGGATTGGGTCCACCATATATTTCGCTCAGCGCGGGAGGAAGATGCAGAGTATGCGTCAGGCTCCTCACACTCGGTCGTGCCTTGCGGAGAGTCCTTTTGAACCGTGTGAGGGCGACGTAGACTGCATCGTTGGCGATGCCGAAATGCGAGGCTGGATCACCCCAGAGAAAAGGAATGAAGATGGAATACCACTTCTGGGAAACGAGGCAGGCCGAACAGAGGTCACTCGAGGGAATCCAAGGTGCAATGACGGTCCATGCTTCGCGACTGACTGCGCTCTCATAAGATGGAGGGACATCGGGTTTCATTATGGCGGTTGGAACATTGGCCAAACAGTGTCATGTTGGCAGCTCCAAACAAAGTGCGCAAGCACAGTCCACGAGGGGGAAGGCAGGTAAGAAAAGAACAGGCGAACACACAGCGAGGACGATTGAATATGAGGCAGACACGCAGACCGGTGGTGCCGAGGGCAATGCGGGTTAATTAGTTACGTCGTATCTGGAGGGTAGTCGATACGCGGATCACGGCACGTGCACTCTTGGTATTGCTGGTGGTACGTCAGCCATACTAAAGTACATGATAGCCATGGCCTGCTGGTCTACAGTATCTACCCTACCGGAGGCAACCCCTCGTTTTACTACTATACGAAGTACACACTGCAGGTAAGAACATAGCTACTTGCGGGAGCATTCGCGCAAGTTGGAGACATTTATATGAACCTTGACTTTTGAGATTTGTGGCCTCTTCATACATCTTCCACTGGTGACTCGTACTCTTTCCACCGGTTGTGGCCTCCCAACGCCCTTGACTGGCGTGCAGGAGTCAACCGAGAGCAACAGTCATGAGAAACGCGTTATCGTTTCTATCCAGCAATCGAGGCTTCGCGCCGGAAACTCCTTGACCACAAAACATCATTCGCTCCCAAAATATGCAGCAACCGGGCGGAAAGAGTTGCGGGGTATCGTTGTCTTTTCTACTCGCCTCCTCACATGACATAAAGTAGATCAGTATCTGCAAGGTACAAAGTCAGCAATAGCTGGGTGATTCAAGGGGGACCCGGTGCTTACTTAAAGGGTGCGAGCAGCTCAATTGCGGCTTCTGAGTATACTTGGAGGCCAACTCGTCACGGATACTGTTCAGCAACTGAACATAACTCTGGTGTGGGTTTTTCTTCAATGCCGTCACAAACGCCCAGCTCATGGCGCCTGTAGCTTGACCGGCAATGTTGGCATCTTGACTCGTTTGCTCATCTTTGCTGCCGGACCACATAATCACATCGGCAGGACTTGTTTTTGTCTGCTTGTTGCGTTCGTAGGTAGAGTTGCCCGTGGCAGCTTTCTTGAACAGGCTCATAGCCGAAGAAGCCATGCCGCCCAGGTCTCCACGAGCATATGACGAAACAATGGACAACAAGCCTTGACCAGCTTCCTTGGCCAAATTGGGCTCTTTGAGCACACCTTGTGTGGAGTAGATGTAGGGAAGATCGAGAGCGGAACCTGAGTGGCATGAATCGAAGATTGCCGTCAGTCTGACACCAGGAGGCAGGGACTGAACCATGATTCGGTGCATTTCGTCGTCAACGATGTGACCAGCCGTTCTGAAATCAACTGGATATATAACTTCGTCGTAGCCGTCTTCTTCGTCTCCGTCCAGATCGGGTGTTTGGCCACCATGACCACTGTAATGGAAGAACAGTGAGTCATTGGGTTTGGCATCCTTGACCAGCCAGTGCATTGCTCGTAGTATGTTGGCTTTCGTAGGTTGGGACATGGGGTTTTGTTGGTCATCTGTCAGGATCACCATGTCTTCGCGAGCATAACCGAAGTTTTGGTTGAGGTATGTAGACATGTTCTTGACATCATTTATACAGCCGCGCAGTTGTCCTCTTTGACCAAAGTAATTTATTCCAATCAGCAGGGCCTTGCGCTTTCCCGTACAGTTTGAGTATTGAAATTGATAACCCGAGGGAGCGCCTGAACCGAACTGCTGAGGGGCGCTAGGCGGTGGCCGAGGGCCATTTTGTGAGTACTGTTGCTGGTTGTTGTAAGGAGGGCGGGGTCCTATATGTCATCAGCATGTTTTGTTCCAGGAATACAATTTTGCGCACCAGGATAGCCGTTCGGCTGTTGATTTTGGTAGCCACTCGGGGGTGGATTTTGATAACCGTAAGGTGCGACTTGTGCAGGAGGATGATTCCAGCCTTGACCTTGAGGAGGGCCGAAATTTTGCTGCTGGTACGGAGGTTGAGGAGACTGTGATTGAGGGTAAGAGCCTCCTGAAAAACCCTGAGGAGGGTATCCGCCTGAGCCTGCATACCCATTAGAAGGATAGGGCTGGGGAGATTGACTCTGGTAGGAATAGCCACCACTGTGCTGTTGAGAGCCGTAGCCTTGCTGTCCCGGATAGTATGACATGGCGAAAAAGCGTTCTTGACGAGAAGATGCTGTATTGGTAGACGCCGCAAGCGGGCAGAGGTAGGTGTGGTTTGAATGAATGCGAAAAAATGGTCACGAGGATGTGAAGCGACAAGTTGCAGGTTGTTGTTGAGATGAATGTGATGAGTTGGCTGACGCCGACAGTGCGGTTAGTTTTAGGCACTCAAATTCGGGTTTTGCCAGTACCCTGCGTTTTTTAGGTCAAGGTCAAGGGTCTCTCGTCTGCCCGAGGTGGAGCGGGGAGCGTGTTCCAAGCCCCGATACGCGAAGGTCGTGACGTGGAGAGAGGGACGATTGTCGGTTTGTCAGATTGTACCAGCGATATATCGAACAGTAGAAAGTGATGGAAATGGACAGATTTGCACTGCTCCTGCCCTCTACAGGTCTTTTTGAGCCTGGAGTTGGTTGTTATTGTTGTCAAGTTTTGGGAATACGAGAAAGATGCAGCGAACAGATGCAGGGAAAGAAGTTGCTGACAGTGACATCTGTAAGTTAAGAGGAAGCGGCACGCCCTCAAACAAATCCTCCACTAGTCATCCGTAAACACCTTCCGATCACAGCCCCTGTCAACCTTTTCCTCTCTTCGTCCTACCAGGTGCTCGCTTAACTACACGGCAAACGCTTGTGCTTGCTTAGTAGCCGGGGTATAGCTGTGTATCGCCGAGTCCAGCCCCTAACTCCCGCCTAGCTCCTCTGCTGCCGAAAAGTTGTGCCCCGAGACTGCGGATTGTGCCCCCGAAAGTCCCAATCCAGCAACTGTTCTCGGTAGAGATCCTCCTGAAACAGTCTTTGATGCCTTTTAGTTCCGCCAGCAAGCCGTGACCGCAATGCGCTGGTGAGTGGGATCCGCTTCCTGCTATGGGTGCCGGTCAGTATTATTCAAGCAGGGTCACATGCATGAAGAGAGCAAGGACATGTATCCTGGCCGTTACATACCAGGTATACAATTCATGAGCGCCGCATACCCGGATAGGTACTCCTCGTCAAGGTTGTCCTCACCCATTAGGTAAGATCCAAAACCTTCAACATGATGCCATGGCCCATGACATTCTTACCCATGAAGCCCATTGCCAAGTTGCGAGCAGATCCGGGGCTGAAGGTCAACGGGTTAGCGCCCTGCACGTCGACCCTCTCTCTGTACACGAAGACTCTTGCTTGATTGAGCGATTGGGTTATTTTCTTCCTCCCAATTCCGTCAAATTGATTGACACTAGCTGCAGCAACTCAGGCCGTTTTCAGCAGGTTCAGCCCTGACCGACAGGTCACAAGCGATGACTTTGTGTCATCATCCTCTTCTTCAACACAAGCCCCAGAAGAGCTGTCGGTTGCAGAATGCACCAGTGCTAGCATATCTTCGTGTTCGATGCATGGACCGGCACAGCCTAGTGGCAGAGACCGGCATCTCCGCGAAGATCATGAATGCTTAGCAATGAAACGTGGGAATTGGCACTGATACATGTGCCTTCATCTCGTCAAGGTGCCATGTTAACGTCACGTCGTTAAACACTTGTAGGTACAACGGCTCTACTACCACCAGAGACACTGAAGGAGACAGAGAGGTGTAGTAGTGTGTATGCTGCAGGTCGGTGCATGTGCTGAGGATCAACTCCAGCTGTCAGTACGAACAAAAGGACAATACAGGCTCCGCTATGCAGCTTGGTGACTACTACTCCTATCATCGAGCAGTCAGCATTTTGCTGAAGCCACGCTGCTAACTACTGATCTCCATCTAAATCACCTCCGAAGCACGGTGACACTTTCTCGAGAGCGCAACATGCCGAGCTGGCGTTTTATCATCTTTCCATTGACATACACGTGGCATCAATGATCTGCTGTCATTGTGCTTTCACTTTTGTTGCACAGTCCTTCCATCCTGGACCCTGGACCCTCTTCATGAATGTCCACGAGATGTCGAGCCTGACAAGCTGGTTGCACAGGCATCACGCAACTGGAATTTTGAAGGACTCGGCACATTGACTCCCATGCGAGTTCGTGCAGGGCGAGAGCATGCTCATATCTCGAGCCTCCTGCCACGACCACAGAGGTGATGATTTTGTGAATACTCATTTCTCACCCCGGATGTCAGAGGCCGACGGCCAGGCGTCGAATGCTCGCCAATTGAAGCAGCAGAAGCTCCAATGGACTTGGAGACCAGTGCACCAACACGAAAATGTAGGCCACTTCGAGGCCTTCATCGGACAATGCCCTGCTCACTCGCCCTTCACTCCGGCGAGTGCGCTTCACCGTCTGGGCATGCCTCTTCCACGTCCTCGAAGCGCCCGCTGCGCCGCACCAGGAGGTAGTCCTCTTGCAGGTGCTTGAGGTTGTTGACTCTCCTCGTTCTTGATGGTCTCGTCCACGCTCAGTATCAAGCAGGCAGCTTCGACGGCCGCACTAATGGCATTGACCTTGACCAAGGTGGGCTCCCACACGAAAGCGTCCATATTGTTCCGGACACCCTCATGATCAAAGTCCACGCCTGCCCAGGTATTTCCTTTCCTATGCTCAACGCGCAGTCTGTTCAGAATATCAGTGGCATCAAAACCAGCATTGTCGCAGAGTTGTCGTGGGATGATCTCCAGAGCTTTTGCGAACGCCTTGACCACAGCTTGCTGTTTGTGCGGGACGTTCTTGTCCGCATATCTATGCAGATATCCTGATATTTCCATTTCCGTAGCACCCCCACCAGCAACGATGGTATGGTTCCGTAGGGCACGCTTGACAATCATAATGGCATCGTGTAGACTTCGCTCGACTTCAGCAATGAACTGCTCGGCTCCACCTCTCAACACCAATGTGCAGGTCTTTGCCTCGGGGCAATCGCTGAAGATATTGTACCGTTCACCACCAATTTGTCGTTCTTCGAATCGTCCGCAAGTGCCCAGGTGTGAAGGAAGAATATCACTGCATGTGCTCTGCACCGTTGCTCCAGTGGCCTGACAGACACGTTCAAGGTCATCGGCGGCGACACGTCCAGCGCAGAAAATGTCTCGGTCGGCAAAGTATTGCGTGGCCAGATCTCCAATAGGTAATCGACTCAACACGACCTTTGCCCCCGTCTGAAACAGTGCCTCCATTTTGTTGTAGATGATCTGCCATTCAGCATCGACAATAGCCTGGTATTCCGAAACCTGCTCGACCCGGACTTCGGCATTGTCCCTCTCGGCCTTCAGCTCGAGCTCGACGTTCAAGCACACGATTTTCGGTGACTTGAAGGACTTCGGCTGTTGTTCGAATCCGGCATAGGAAAAGGTCTTCTTGAACGCAACTCCGTCCACGAACAATGAATCTTCCAATGCACCGCCTGTGATCTTCTTGATACCAATAAGTTTCTCGTTCAGGTCTTCCTGGTCGAGGGACAATACGGCGTCGACAACCACTAAACGAGAATAACGTCAGTTTGTGCAATTCGTACCAACTACAATGCCAATGCGCATTGGGACATAAGGTGTACGTACTCTTTGTGAAAAAGTCGGCATTCCGGTGAATGAGTTTACTGCTCATCGCGGTGGCCGCCAATTTTCGGAGCGTCTCCCTCTTATTGCCCTCGGTCGTACTCACGGCGATCTCCTTGATTTTGTTGATGGCCATGCTCGAACTCCGCCGCAGACCCTTGATGATTGTCTGTGTGCTCACACCTTGCTCAACCAGCTCTTTGACCTCCTTCAGAATTTCTCCGGCGATGACGACAACGGAGGTGGTACCATCTCCGACTTCTGCATCCTGAGACCGCGCAATGTCCGTCAAGATCCGCGCCGCAGGGTGGACGATATCCAGCAGTTTCATAACCGTGGCGCCATCATTGGTGATAGTCTGTCGCCCGTTTGCGTCGACAAGCAATAAATCGCCGCCGTAGGGACCCAGAGTCGTCTTCACTGTCGTTTGGACCGCCAGGCAGGCGTTGATGTTGGAAATGATTTGTCCTTTGCCCTGGGACTGATCGGTGCCTGTGGTGGAATGTTAGCCTTTTGAGTCTCTCTTGCGACGGTCGCCTGGAGTTGTTACTGACCTTCTTTGAGGACGATAATCGTCGGGGTTTGACCACCGAATGCTGCCATACTGTTCTCACCACGATCCGTTAACCCGCTTTGATTGAGGGCGCTGTAGCGGGGTGGTTTGAGCTGGTAGACGGTTCCTGAACTTTTTTGCGGATCGGACCTGATGCGCAGTTTCAGGCTACGGTGACTGAGCCTTGGCGACAAGGCGTCTACGGTCGGTCAATTAGAGTACGAAAAGCCACCTTCATGGTCTCGACCACTTCCTTACTCAATACCTTTGAAAGCATGACACCAATATACAATAGGATATTGAGAAGTAAGACACCATTCTCATTTTCGTACTGTTGAGATTGTCCACACAGGTTCCGTCTGGTGGATCTATCCATCTGTCCTGTCCATGATTCATGCTGCAGCTTCACATCACCACGAGCCTGCTCTGAAAATGACCAATTATGTGCTCTGCAAGAGCACCTTTTCGCTCAATCTCGAAGGGCAATATTAAGGAAAGTAGTCTGCTGCTACACTCCCGTCGACAGCCCTTGCCTAGGTCCCTGTTGACCAGGACCACGCAATGCCTTCAGCCTAGTATTGCTTCGCGACAAAATGTTCATATCTCGGCGCCAACTTGATCCGCCATGCCCGACCCCAGATAATCAAAGGCACACAAGTCAACGCGATAGCGATAGACAAGCAGCCCAGCAGGACGAACATATTGTACACCCCCATGCCTTCTATCCAAGGCGTAATGGCGAACACCAAAGCCGTGGAGATGACATTCCGCACAAAAACGACGCTGGTAAGAGCATCGCCCAGGATGTACTGATAGCAGTCCTGGCAGTAAGTCAGAGCGATATCACCGCACCCACCGATTGCTGCTCCAATGAATGCGGACCCCACAATGTTGATCCAGTAGCTCATGCCCTTCGCGATAGTCAGCCCGTACAAGAACAGGCCGAGCGGCATGCAAAATCCGGGTATCAAGAACAACCACAATCGTGTCTCAGGTTCGTAAATGCCGCCCCTCCTCTTCGCGACTTGCAGAATGAAGTAATCATTCAGAGGACCACCGAAAATAGAACCAAGAATGGCGCCGACCGCGGGAGCGATGTTCAAATTGCCAATTCCAATCGGCGAGAAGTTGTACGGAGGGAAAGGATAGAGATCAGCCTGTGTGACGGCTAGGACGGCGAGCATCGCGATCAGGAAGCCATACTGCAACGCGCAGAACATGACAGCCGGGAAGGTGCAAAGGATTTGGAAAGGTTGGTACAAATGCATCCACAGACTCCTGCTCTCGGCCGTGGTGACTTTCTCTGTCGACCAGAAACGATGGCGCCTCAAGTAAGAGTCCATTGGTATCGTCGAATCGATCTCGACAAGGCGGCGTCGGTTATTGGTTGCAGCTTCGGACGCATCGACTGATATCGAGGGTGCGGCATCCTTGGTCATGCTGTCGACTTTGGTGAGATCGGCTTCCTGGTCGGTAGAGTCGAGGATCTCCCGCCCAACAAGAGCTTTTGGGGTGTACTTGCTCTCCTCGAGGAAGACAACCATGATGAGCGTCACAGCCGACATGAATATGGTGCAATACCAAAACACCCATCTCCAGCTCTGATTGACGGCAACGTAGCCCGCAGCAACTGGGCCAAGATAGTTGCCAATGATGACTACTGAAAGGTAGATTCCGTTCATCGTACCGCGTTGGTGGACATAGAATAGGTCGGCAACCTATAAGTATATGGTCAGCTCAGGCCACTAAAATCCCGATTGTTAACTTACAGTGACCTGAAAGATGGCCTCATTCACAGCTCCAGCCAGACCAGTGATAGCGTTCGAGCCGATCATGTCTCCCACGGTGTACATCTTGGCTTGCCAGATCGCGCCGGCAAGCATAACGAGCGCAGTAATGAGGTAGATTGGCCGTCGGCCTAGTCGAAGAGCAATGGGGACGAAGATGATGCAGCCAACGGACAAGGTCGCCATGTTCGTAGCATAGCCATCGTTGAGAACGGCATAGCTCATTCCAAGCTCTTCGTTGAAGTCTTGCCAAAGGGGAACAGCGACACAGAGACTGGTACAACAGTCAGTCTTGGGCGAGCATAGACAGCTTGGAAGCGGAACTTACATCGCAAAGACCATCAATGCGTACAGGCATAGGATTGTCATGTGCACCGTCTTGCGGAATGCCGACCAGTTCTATCAAACCCATCAGATCAGCATCCTTTGCAGAAGTACACAGATTCTCACCAAAGGCTGGTTAGGATCTGCATTTGGTTGAGGTGCAAGCAGAATCTTTGATCCTGCCTTGTCCTCAATGCGTTGGGTCCCTGGAGGGAGTCTGTCGAAAGACATGTTAACTATCGACAGCAGTAAGAATGACAAAGAGTCGTCAAATCGAACGGTACGGTCAACAAGTCAAAGAGGAGGAAACCAGGTCCTTTTGTACAGGCCTTCGACGTCCGTTGTCGAAGAGACCCTCTTATCAATGCCATTATGTACCTCCCACTTCTCCTCCAGGAGGTCTTTACCTACCACAGAGGGCCCAGGTTGGGCAAATGCGGAGGGAAGGGTCCCGCAGTGCGAGTGAAGCTGATATCCGAGGTCTGGCTCCAGGACGGGCGCTCAACACCGCAGCGTCGACCAATCGAGTCTGATTGCGCGGTATTTAACTCCGTACTTTTCATTCAGATAAGCAAAAGCCATATCAAACTCTGGCTGGCTCGAACTTCCCCTTTTGGCTTATTTGGGCGGGTAGTCGCTTGACTCTGGATTCACAACCATTGATGACAACATATAATCCCGGAGAATCTTGATCCTGGTAGAGTTTGTCGGTATCAGTGTTTGGACAGTTGCCACAAAGGACTCGCCGCTGTCGCCGCTGTCGATCATCACCTTTTGTTTTCTGAAGTTAGCGACCCGAAGAAGCGTTCCAGTGCGCCTTCGGCACTCATCTTATCCAGCCGTTCTTTTGAGCACGCAAACTCGTCCTTGGGGAACCAGTCGCGGACCTCGTCCTCATGCCCAGTGACCATGGCAGCAAGTGCTTTGCCGGCCAACCAGCAATGCACCATACCATAGCCGTCCCAGCCAGCTGCGATCCATTCACCGCCGACATTGGGCTCACATTCTTCCCTTCCCGAGACGTGACTCCTGACTCGATCGACCATGGGCAAGCCATCTCCGGTAAAACCCATGATACCAGTCCATTTCTTCTCGACTTTGGCGCCAGTACCGTGAACAAAAGCTTTTGATGGCACGGCCTCAAGATGCTCAAGACACTGCGCACTCAGTGTGCTGTCATCGGTGCTGCCCAGATCTTGGTCCTTCTCCAGTCCACCTTGCAAGAATCCTCCTCCTAGATAGAGTGATCCATCCTCGGCGGGTGACTGAGTAATGTAGTCGAAACCTCTGGCCCATATCGCACTCCACGATCTTGTGCCGCCAACGCGAGGGAAAGCCTCGGGCACAGACTGCACGGTCATTTGGCCTCGCAGTGGCCACAATTTCCCTTTCAAGGCCGGCAGCAAGTGTGCAGTGTATGCGTTGGTGCAATGGATAACGTGCTTGGTAGATATCAGCCCTCTCGACGTATGCACTTCGTACGGGTGACTTGTAGACCGAGTGCAGCGAACCTCCTGCCCAACTGTTTGCGTTTCGAGGGATAACTGTCCTTCACTTAACATTTTGCTCAACACGCAGCCAAGCAGACGATATGGCCAGGCTGCCCCTGACCGCCCTCTGATACAGCCGTATGCATTCGCAAGGCCGAGTTGCTGAGATGGTTAGTGACTTAGAGATTGGAACCTTAGCTGGCCAATGGCTTACGTTGAGCTCGGCCTGGTCTTCACATATAGTCCATCTACCCCTTTCCTCGGGGAAGTCCTCAAGGAAGGATTGCAGCTTGACCTTTGCAAGTTTCCAACCTTCCTCATCGTAGACGCCGCTAACACCCTCGACTCTTCTGACGAGCCCAACTTTACCAGCTTCACCTAGGGCATCGGCTTCGCCGACCAAAGCATCCAAATGAGATAGCCGAAACTTGGTGATCTTCATGGCACTTTCCTTGCCAAACTCCTCCTTGAGAGCATAGTAGTCGGCCCATGGGACTGCTTTTATGTGGCCTCCATTACGCCCTGTTGCTCCCGATATGGCTGATCTCGCTTCAAGCATGACAATCTTGAGGGAGTGATCTTGCCTCAGCAGATGCAAGGAAGTGCTAATCCCAGTAATTCCTGAGCCGATCACGACAACATCAGCGACCTCAGGCAACTGCTCAGATCTCGCATCTGCTATTGGTAGCCTGGGAACCTGCCAGAAAGATTCCGTCGGATCGTTCACTGGAGTGCCAGGATCCTTGTCGAGCCTTGCGGCCAGGGTATCGAAAATGGATTGATCCTGTTTTGATGAGCTCATTTTGAAAGCCGCTATCTGATTGTCATGTGGTAAAAGGATTGTCGTGTACTGAGCCTTTGAGCAACCCTTGGTGCGACAGTAATAATGAACTGCAAGGTTCACTCGTCTTTCTCTTTGGCCGGCAACCTGCTTTCTGGCTTCAGGGGCCCGTCACTTTTACCAGGTGCAGTTACTCGTTATTCATCAGGACGCTTTCGCGCATAAAGTTAGCTCTTAACTGCTCGGGAGGTCTTTCGCTTCATCTGTAGGATCTCAGTGTTCGATGCTGGACCACCCGAACCTTGAATTTGCCAATAGTGGAAGTAAATGCGGCTCAGGTGTGCTCCCTGTCAGACAATGCCAATTTTTGTGGAATCCTGGCTCGATGGCTTGACATATTTCTGATCATCAGGTCGAGACCTTTAAGTCACTACAGAATAGTTCAAAGTCAACCTTAGAGAATGCACCTGTGATTGGAGGGCGTTACCTATGCTGATAGGCCCAAAAGTAGGCGGAGAAATGCGACATTTGACACCTGCAGAGGCGGAGCAGGCCAGGTAGCAAGCAAGCTCTGGATAGAGCATCGCACACTGCCGAGGCCTGCGAGACAGGATGCGGCAAGGGCGGCACGTCTCAACATTGGCGCCGCTTGTCTGCTACGATAGCAAACCCAGTCAAATACGGTATCGCCCAAACTTGTGGGGTGCTGGCGCAGACTCATGGATACTTCCATATCTACATCCAGATATGAGACTTATAAAAGTGCTGCTAAGTTGTTCGCCCTGAGGACGTGCGAGTAAGTTATCTTTATACAACACACGGTTTGCAATCAGAAGTCCTTACAATGGGATCAATCGACCATGGCACGAAACAGCAATCCAGCTGGCAGGATATAGTCGCTCGGAAACGGCAGTCCGCAGAGACCCTCATCCCGAAGGAATGGAAGCTTCCAGCCTCGATCCTCGACTCATTGGCATTCCCGCTCGATAAGCATTCAAACAAGCTTATCGGGTTGGACATTCCCAGAAAGAGCGGACTGTTGACCGATCGAGAGCTAGATGTCACAGAAAACTACACCGTACCAGAGCTGCTTGCCAAACTTGGCTCCGGCGAGTTCACGTCTCTCGAAGTCACAACAGCCTTCTCCAAGAGAGCCGCTATCGCGCAGCAACTGACGTCGTGTCTCACGGAGACTTTCTTCGATAAGGCCATCGAAAGAGCAAAGTATCTTGACCAATGCAGAAATGAAGGCAAACCTCTCGGTCCGTTGCACGGCCTTCCTATCAGTATAAAGGATGGCTTTCAGATCGTCGGGACCGAAGCCAGTATCGGTTATGTCTCCTTCCTCGGAAAGAAATCGACCACAAATTCACCACTGGTAGAGCTGCTCCTCAGCCTGGGTGCCGTGCTCTATGTCAAGACAAACATACCTCAGACGTTGATGACAGCCGATTCTGATAACAACATCTTCGGACGAACCTTGAATCCGCACAACACTGTGCTGAACGCCGGCGGCTCTAGTGGAGGCGAGGGTGCCTTGGTCGCATTCCGGGGTTCGCCACTGGGTGTGGGGACTGATGTCGCTGGTTCAGTCAGAATACCCGCGATCTGTTGTGGTACATATGGCTTCAAACCAACCGCTTCGAGGGTGCCATACGGTGGTCAGCAGGTGCCTGCCTTGGCTGGTTGGAAACCGATAACAGCATCCGCGGGTCCACTCACGAACGATTTTGAGGCTTTAGAAGTCTTCGTGAAGAGCGTCATCGACGCGACGCCAGCACTTCTGGACTCAACTGCCGTTGACGTTCCCTGGCGCGCGCTAGAGCCGAAGGTCGATTCCAAACTCCGAATCGGTGTTTTGCAGGAGGATCCTTTGTATCCGCTCCATCCACCGGTTAAGCGTATTCTGGCCGAAGCTGCAAAGAAACTCGAAGCAGTAGGACATGAGCTGGTTCCACTCACGGCTAAGGAGGGAAGGGTCTCCGATATCCAGGAAGTCGCTTTTGAGTTGTTCGTCCTTCATACCGGAACGTCAATCGGCCACATCAAAGCCAGTGGAGAGCCGATGGTGCCATCAGTCGCTAAGGCGGACAAGCCAGCAAACTATGGCAACTATACGTTTGTTCCTGATCTCAAGGATATGGATTTCGTGCACAAGTACGCTTCATTGAGCGTTTTGAGGTCGGAGCTTTCCGAAAACTGGCGCAAGATATGGTTGGAGAAGAAGTTGGATGCAGTTCTCGCACCGTCAGCGCAGAATACTGCGGTGCCGCATGATAACGTAAGTCACATCGATGATGTTTTCTGCTACCCATGCTGTGGTGCTCCTTGTGCTGACAGAATTACTTTCTAGTTCGGATGGCCGCCTTATGTGAGTTTCAGATTCGCTTCGTCGTGGGCTTACATTGCTTCTCCTGCTCGCGAATGTGGAAGTATGACAGCTGACATATTACAACCTCGCAGACGGCTTTCCTCAACCTCCTCGATGTGAGTCACGCCAATCCGACCACGACGCCAGTACTGACAGTGCTTCCTAGTACCCCGCATGCGTGATACCATATGGAAAGGCATCAAAGCAGCTAGACACTGAAGCGGTCAAGATGCCGGCGGCACAAGCCCAATGTAAGTAGACTTGCGGGAGAGCAATCGTGAAGCTGACAACGTTCCTTTAGACGATCCGGACGTTCTCGATGGAGCGCCGTGCTCGGTGCAGGTTTTCACCCGCGGTTTTCGCGATGAGGAGTGCCTTAAAGTGGCGCGGGTTGTTGATGAGTGTTTGAAACAATCCTGAGGGGTAGTTCATGGAGATGATACAGTCTGGGAACGACCGTTGTTTCGGAGCAGTACTTCTATAGCAGCTTTGGTAATCCGATTGGTCATCCCGAATGATCGTAGCCATTTAGTCTTGATGCTAGCCAACTTCAGCAGACAATTGAACTTGCCCCAAGCCTTTTTTGAAGATCAGAGCATTGAGACCATCGTACTCAATGTCAGTATCTGGGGCATATTGTGCCTGAGTAGTCCCGACCAGGAAGCTAGGAAGTCTCCAGAGCCTTTCCAGAGCGCCGCCAGTCCGTCTCACATAACCAGAGTAGGACGTCTTCCAGATCTCCAAAAGTTGGCGTTGGATGAGACCTCGCATCTTCGAGGCCAAGTGGCCCTCTTCGGCATCGTGAAAGTCCTGAACGAAGTCAGAGCGACTGGTTGGGCAGGCAGCGCAGCCTAGAATGAGTATTGGCCAGCAAATGTATTGACCGCAAGGAGCACTCCCATCGTAAGCTTGCAAGAGGTCGAAACCTTTCGCCAACAAAGCGCGAATTGGTGGAGATGTGGTGCATATGTTCTGATTGATGATTTTCATTACGAATATTCGGCTTGCCAGGAAATATAACTTTGCCGCGATATCGGTATTGCTATGGGTAGCTGCGTCCTTGGTTATTGGGACACCGAGGTTGACCACCGGTGACTCTTTCTCGAGATTATCTAGTTCATTCAGGCACTGAACGGCAAGCGCGTGATGGTGACCGTCACCAGAAGGGGGCTGCCTGCTCAGCCATGAGATTTGGTAGATCTGCAGGAAAATAAGTGGCGGTGTGCGACCCAACACCGGCAGAATTGTGTGAGGATTCCGAGACCCGTGTGCGTGAACCTCGAGCGCTGAAATATACTTGGCAATACTTTGAGAAGGAAAGGAAGCGCAGATGGCATCGATCTCTTGTTCGAAAATCAGCCTGGTCGAAAAATGGTAGAGTACAGAATCGAGGAGCGTCCGGTGGAAGACCGATAGCTTGTCAATATCGAAGCGGGGCATATGCGCCGCCTGGTCCTCCAGCACGCTGGCTATTGCTTGATAACTATAGGATGTCAGCAGGCCGTTCCAGCACAGCCGGTTCCCGAAGAGAGTGTCCGGCACCGTCAGAGCAAGTGGACTTACTGGGTCAGACTGTGACTGGAGGCCGAGGGGTAGAAGTCCTATATTCTCTCAGCATTGCACAGGGTCGATGATGGGAAGCACCAACTTCAAACAAGCCAAGAAATATTGAGGCAGCAAGAAACGTCATGCTCTCCTTTGACGAAGAAAGATCCTCCCGACTTTCGAGAGAGTGTCGAAGTCCTTGCAGTGCGCTTTGACTGTAGAGTATTGCGTCTTCCTTTGGTATCAAATCGGCGCACGAGGCGTGCAGTGCGGCCGGGGCCAGTGCGGCATGCATGACCCATGGTACATCGAAGCCTACGGCGAAGACCAGGGTCGCATCTCGGAATTCGGAGGTGGCATCAGGCGATGTCAACAATTTGATGAATCGTGTCGAAGCATAATGAAAGACATTCCAATCCTGTTGAGTCAACAACCCGGAATGACGGAATGATAGAGATGTGCTTTGTGGTGACCCAATAGGCCGTTGTTCACCCTGAACCACTGCGGCTTCCTCCTGGAGAACAGGCGAAACTTTGCGTAAGGGTTCCGGGGAAGCACTGGCACTAGTTGAGGCTCTGTAACTGCATTCAAGGTGAAGTCTTTCACAAGCGCCACATCGTGGTCTCCTTTCATCACACTTCTTGCGTCGAGATAGGCAAACCTTGCATCCGGTCTTCGTTCGGAGCCTGGGAGGAGGTCGCGGTGGTCGTTTAGGCTTGACATCCATCATCGAGTAGTACTCGGTTAGGCTCCTCTAGAGCCGCAGGCATGTTTATGCTTGACCAGGTGCAATGTGTTCAAGGAGAGCCCATCGCAAGTAGATGGACGTATCAATCATGACGATAGTCTGGCTGACCTTCGACTTGCCACCAGTAGAAACTGATGTAACTGAGGTTGAGGGATAAGGTATTAGAGCGAAGGAAGGTGAACTTTGATGAGTAAGTAAGAGGGAGGCATGATAATCAGAAGCCTAAGTCAGAAAACTGCCTCTGTCTGACGGCCAATGTATTTTGCTTAGTCGAGCCTGTTTAGGCAAGTACAACCGTATCATGGTCGTCATTTCTGATTTGAAGACTATTCTGCTATCGATTTGACTATGTAGATGGATTGAGATACATAGTATTTGTTCAGCATCGTGGGCTGCCTGCTGCTTTTCATCCGTGCCATGACATCTCGCTCCTGAGCGTGGTCTGCACATTTTGTTCGTTTTTATCTACACCGTTTATGACCGATTTTCCGTCCAAATGTCATGTCAGATTCCCCGTACCAGTTTCCCCCTAATATGTTCGTAAGAATGGAAGTCAAATAAAGTCCTGCGCACGTACAACGCTCCTTGTGTTGCAAAAATGACCCGGTCATAGGTGTCCCTTCTGAAACGCCTCCAGACCCAAACGCCTGCACCGAATTTATTGCTCAAGTTTGTATTGCTGGTTGTTTGAAGTGTCAATATAATCCATCGGCAATACGTGTTGTATCGGTTGCATATTGCTCAATCCGGTGCCTGCGCCTCCCTCGTCCATCACATCGTCGTGGCCCATCATCGGCGGATTCGAGTCGTTTATGTAGTGATGGTTGGCCGCCTGATGGTTGAAATCGTGTGGATCATGATGCGGCTGAAGATGTGAAGTGTCCCCAAATGGCGGCATTCCAGCTTGGACGAAGGCGTGAGGGTTTTGATCATATTCAGAAGCCATTGCCTGTATCTGTTCCATAATTTGTGGATCAATCGCCATTTCGTCGTAGGAAAGATGCGCATCAGGATGAAGATGTGCTTCAGGGTGAAGATGAGCGTCGGGGTGTAGATGCGCATCCGGATGGAGGTGGGCGTCTGGGTGGAGGTGTCCGTCTGGTTGCATATGGCCATTTGGACCGTTGAGATGATCATTAGCAACTTGAAGATCCATGGCTTGTTGTATGGGCGCAAAATCATGGTTTGCTATATTGTTGGCAGTGAGATCCTCCTGCGGCACGTTTTGCAATTCTGGAGGGCTCACTAGGCCCTGCGGCGGCACGGGTAACGTCGCAGGCACTTCTTCGAGAGTCTTGCTCCGACCTCTGTTTTCTGCGCGGATGATGGGCGGCTTGTTGACATCCTTACACTCCGGGCAATTCTTTATGACGTGGCTGACTGTCTCCTTTATCCGTATCCAATGGTACTTGGTCGCTATTATGGCTGTCGTCTTGTTAATGCCTCCATGGGCCTGGAGGTGTATTTGTTTCGCAATTTCGTATTGCGCTTGTGGGTCCGATATAACTTCTTTGTCCTTCAAGAACAACTTCTCGGGCACTCCGTCCTGGCCGCCAATCAATTTGTAGTGAGTAGCAGCACTTCTGAGTCGACTCTTCTCTGATCTATCAGCTCCTTGGGGGTACAGCTGATGTCGCAGATAGTATCGGATTTTGTCAAAGCGCTCTTCGGATTGATCATTCTCGCCGTCCGCTTTCAAATCCTTTCCGTAGATGATGGCGTCCACAGGTTCATTAGAAGACTTTAAATTACCACAACCGGGCACTCGTCCTATCCGCTTGAACCCGAGCGAATCCCATATCCTGGTCGACGCAGTGTTCGATTCATACACCAGGTTGAAGACTGAATAAGTATAGCCCTACTACACGTCAGCCTCAGCCTTGCGCCACCTTGCGCAACATTGACCTACCAGTTGAGGGGCCCAGTCCAGGTAACATTGTCCCATTGACTTGCCGACACCCTTGTTGCGAGCGGCCGTAGTCACGAGAAATCCACCGTTGCACACATGACTGCTCCGACCAGGATAGTTAGGCTTGACGTAGAAACTCCCTAGGCAGAGTTTGTTCCAGTCGGCTCCGCTGCGATCGAGTTCCGCCACGCCCTCGATGCCACCAATATCGCCCTGGATCATGACGGCGCCAAAGTTTCCAAACCAGTAGGGCCCGAAAGTTTCCAGTGGTAGGGCATTGATCATCGGATAAGTATCTCCGCTTTCAATTTCCTTATTGAGGTTGTCCGAGAGATATGCAAGAAGTCTCTTTGGTACAGCCTCTGGGGAGAAGAAGGGAACCAGTGTCGCAACAGTCACTCGATCTCGAAGTGTGACGGGCCTTGGGAATATGGAGGATGGAATTTGCGGATTATCTGCGGCTGGATACGGGCCCTGGCCAGAAACCCGATAAATGACGGGTGACTCTGGGTCCTCCAACAGGGCCGGCATCATGAACCATCAGCCGCAGCTCGAACCCGGAATGATCGCAGAGTCGACAGACGATGATTTTGATGATTGCGACAGAGTAACAGGCGTATCTTATGGACAGTGAGAAACCTGAAAAGAAGAAGGCAGAATCGGAGAGGTTAGATCACGGCTTCCAACACGTGATATTCAGCCCGCTTGGCAGACTAGCCTGATGTGGTAGCCGACGAGATCTAGACTAGCGCCTACAGCTGGTCTGTTCACAACGCAAGATACTGAATCTACATGGTAGATATGTGGACACTACCTAGACATGTATTTTGGAAGAGAAGTAACCTGTCTTCGAAGCTGACGCTCTTCCGTGCCATCTCCCGAGCGGCACTGCACAAGTCACGGGCGTCTTTTTCGGTGGTCTGCCGAAACTCGCCAGGGAGCCAAGGTAGAGACAAGAGCGACGAGATATTGTCGTTGATGCACAAACATCAATAGTCCAGATGTCATCAAGTGCACCTTGGGATCGGTTTCGAATGCGTCCATGGAAGGGCCGGGTGACGGAGGAGGTCTTCCCATAGGGGCTGCCACCATTGCAAACACCCAACACGAGTGCGCGTGCAAATGTGTTGCGAAGCGGGCTAGACCGCGTCTCGACATACCTTCTGATGAGACCGACTTCGAGAATTTTTCGCTCGTTTCGTCCCATGCATGGTCTAAATTGCCATGGGTCTCCAAGTTCGAATGCTTATTGATATTCCGCCAGCTCTTTGATTTTGACCGATCATGCGCGACACGTTTGAGTGTGCAGTGCGGCTGGGAAGCACAGAGCAGTGCTTGTAGGTTTCCGCGTCGTTCTTTGAAGGTGTAACCTCTGGCTTTGTGAATGGTGTCCATGTCACGAGGTCTCCGTGGTCGCTGGGCATCGACTTCCAACCGCTGTTGCAGGGAGACTTGTCCCGAACCCTTATCCTCTCAGCCCCAAACCATCCACGACGCTGATTGCTGATCAGTGGACATCATCACATCTCGTACTCTTTCATACTCCAACGTTTTGACCCCGACATGTGGCTCGGTACTCCAACATACATCGGATCATTGTCCTGCAGCTGTGGAAGGGCGGAAAGCCGCGGATTGTTATATTGGTACGCAGGCATTGTTGGGCTCGAAGTGCTGATTGACTCTCTCTCCAAAGATCCACTACCCACTTCTGTTGTAGTACCTGAATAGCCATTCTTGGGACTCAATGATCTAGCGCCGAGCTTTGTCGGTGCCGTGTCTTCGTAAGGGCGGCCGGCTCGAAAGGCATCCTTCTCCTCGGTAATGCCTGGCGCGGGGTCATTGGAACTCTCGGCGCCCTCTGCCTTACTCCGGCGCGAGACTCGTCGTCCTAGACAGAAAGATCCAACGATCAAACCCAGAACACCGACAGCGACGCCAATGCCGATTCCAGCCTTGGCACCTGCAGATAACGAGTGCGACGAAGACTTGGATAGTGCACTGATCGTACTGGCTGTCGAGGAGGCAGATGATGTTGTCGACGAGCTCGAGATGATGTCCTGGGTCGAGGTGCTCGAAACCCTGGAGCTAGCAGAAACGATAGTCGAGGAGCTCACTATTCCGGTTGTGGAGATTGTCTGAACAAGAGCCTGGCTGGTTGGTGTTTGTGAGATTGCAATGGATGTTGCTGGCGATGATGACGATACTGTCGTGTTGGTAATGGGTATAGACGTGGTTGAAGAGATGGTCTGCATATCATCGTCAGCTTTTGACCAGCATTGTAATCGTTGCACCATCACAAACTGATGACAAGTTCATCATGATGTGCCTTGGTGGTCGAATGCTTACCGATGTGGCTGTATCAGGGCCCAGAACTGTTGAATAACCTATTGTTTTGACGACGACCTCGGTGGTTGTTATTGAAATGGTAGAGATGATGGTGCTCGTCACGGAGCCCGCTACTACGCTGTCTGATGGTGTCAACGTTGTCTGTTGGCCATTGATCGTGGTTGTGATCACTGAAGTCGTGTCAGATTGTTCGGTAGCGGGCACGACAGAATATATGGTAAGCAAAGAAGGCACGACTGTCGACACAGTAGCAGTGGTAATAATCGGATTCGTAGCAACAGGCACTGATGGCAGAGCATTGCATAGACATATGATCAAAACCACAGCCCCAAGGGCTTTGCGAGGACTCATTGCGCCCGAGGCACGTAGAAGGGTTGGGAGCTACGCGGATGATCTTGAAACAAGAGCGGAACAGGACGAGAAATAGAACACACAGGTGGTAAAACGAGAACCGCCCTGTTCGAGCGGTAGTTTGTGCCTTTGTGGCCATGAGACTCCGTAATGAGACCCTAGCTAGGATCTTTCCCGTGGATGCGGAACGGTCGAAGGTTGCATATGCCATTATTGCCGACAGCCACATGCATGGGAAGCAACACCTCGCTTGTAACCCTCTTGCTTGGTGGCTTGATGTTTTTTGAGACTCGAGAAGCTCGATAAGGAAGAGTCCAAAGAAAGGGAATTGGGAATTGAGGCGCGCTACAAGGGATCAATCCCCATTGGCCCGTAATTTCCACCTTAGCCCGGCGGCGGAAATTTTGTCTTGGATCCGCGTAAACGGGCACCTCCTTCCTCACATGTTCCATCCACCATCCGAAATCTTACCACCTTGCCGAAGGAGGGACCCTTGTCTTCAGTCTTCACAGTTTCACTGGCTTCAAAAAGTTGCATGCAGCCTGAGATCGGATAAACACTCCCTTGCAGGACGTTGTTGGTCCCAGGACGCACGATAGAGCAGCACATCGAGACAAGCGCACCAGCTGACGCTGTCTTCGATCCCTGTGGAACATCAGGTTGCTCGAGATGTCTTTTGTGGCCAGCCTCCGGTGATGCAGATGAAGCAACAGTGGCACTGTCCGCCGGATCATTCATCGCTCAATTGTGTCCACTCACATATTTCTGGTTCTGGTAGAATAAACCAGCTATTGCTTTCGACAATTCCTGCACAGCTGCGCTCCATGGAAGGTAATGTCTGCGATCGACCACGTGCCAACCCGTTGTAACAGCCAGCGACGTTGAGCTCCGACAGCACTCCCTTCAGCTGATGCTGAGCGACGAGTAGTAAGCCCAATGTGACCTTTCTCCGCAGACAACGCGATTGTTGATCGAGGCAGATCGGCGATACTGCAAGCGACCATGTAGAAGCCAATGTACACTTCAATCGCCTAGCTGAATCCTTTCCAGGCTCTTCTCAACCACCGGAAGCAATTCAGACATTTGATTTGCATCACGTAGCACAGCTGCAACATCATCTCTTCTCGTCGCCAACTCGTCGCGCACCTTGTCATACGCTTCTTCCCTTGCGATATACTCTCTAATGACCTCCCGCTTGCCGAAGTCAACATATACCCTCGTGTCGCGAAGTCTTAACATGACATTATCCAGCCTCATGAAGAAGCGACATAGGAGGAGCAAGCGGGCAGGCATGACGCGGACTTTGCATGAGATCATGGTGATTCCGTTGTCGGCAAGCTCGTCCTCATATAGGATCACATCATCGAAGAACAATATCGGATCTGGTCGTCGCAATAATTCCAGTGGGATTGGGTCGCTTCCCTCCTGGAATGCCGGACTTTCGGGAGCAAGGTCGCCCTTGTAATCGGTAGTGTAAGACCAGTCGAATGGCTTCACCACTTCCTTGATGTCGTGAGTGTCTTCTCTGCTCTGTTGCCATTCCTTAGAGTATGCCACTTTCAATCTCTTTTCTCCGGTCTTGTCCACCCGATCCAATGCCCCAAAGGCGTCGAACTTAATACCCCAATGAGATTGTGGATGCTCAATGGCCACAAAGTTGTCACCGAAGATCATCTCAGGAGGAGCGATGCCCAGATTCGCTGTCATCTCTTCAATTGGGCCGGCTTTCAAGATTGGTAACTTTTGTGTTGTGATGCGGAAGCCTTCGACGGAGAATGATCGTGGAGGAGCGCTGGTAGGAGAGGGAAAGGTGGTGTTGACTCCGTCGCCCGCTCGATGGCCATTTAGACCGTTGACGGCCGTCATCTTGTTCAATGAGCCGTGGCAGCGAGCCAACACATCCAACAAGTAAGGACAGACAAATGGCAATCGAATGACCTATTCATCAAAAAGATATCGTGTTCTGGTTTCTCCCCCGCAGCCAACGCTTTGGGTCTCGATGAAAGAGGTGGCACTTTTACTCCGCGGTGGATTTTTGGGAAGTGCCTGCCGTGTTGCCGGGCCGACGCAACTTCCGTATTTCTTCAGCCTCGACTTCAGTCACCACTGACAGTAGTATTCCTGTTTACAACAAATCCAATCTCTTGCTATTCTGGATTTCCATTCTCCTCTTTGCACCACTTTCTGCACGATGGCCACCAAAACGTTAGAGGCGCGCTTTGAGCACCTCACTGTCAATGATGAAAATGAAACCCCTCCTAGCACTATGCTCAAGTCTAAGGTACTTCCACTGCGTTGTGTCGGATCTCCGATATACTGACCGAGTGTGATCTTTAGGCGGCAAATACAGGCACAATAGCCAATCTGCCTCCTCAGTCCCGAGCAAACCTCGTCAAATACGCACTCCAAGCCACAAACGAGTCGAGACAAAATGTCGCCCAAGTCGCCACGATCACGACAACTACTACCGTTCCAACACTTCCTCCTTCGCCAGTACGAAAAGTCGTGCAGTCATCGAGAACTTCGGACGAACACTATGAGTCAAGTCAAAAACAGTCGGCGATCTTCTTCGACCAGCCACAGGCTCCCAAACATTTCCACTTGGGCATGTTCGAGATAGGAAAACCTTTGGGAAAAGGGAAATTTGGTCGAGTATATCTTGCTAGAGAAAGATCTTCCGGCTTTGTTTGTGCCTTGAAGGTCCTCCACAAATCTGAGCTGCAACAAGGCAAGGTCGAGAAGCAAGTTCGTCGTGAGATTGAAATTCAGTCCAATCTTAGACACCCCAACATCCTGAGGTTGTTTGGTCATTTCCACGACAGTAAAAGAGTGTTCCTCATTCTCGAGTTTGCCGGCAAAGGTGAACTGTACAAGCACCTGCGGAAAGAACACAGATTTCCAGAGTGGAAAGCGGCTCAATACATTGCTCAGATGGCGGCAGCACTGAAGTATCTGCACAAAAAGCACGTCATGCACAGAGATATCAAGCCTGAGAACATCTTGGTCGGCATTCATGGTGAAATCAAGATCTCAGACTTTGGATGGTCGGTCCATGCACCCAATAACCGCAGACAAACCATGTGCGGAACACTGGATTACCTGCCTCCCGAGATGCTCAAGCCTGGCAGCTCCGACAACTTTTACAATGAGAAAGTGGACCTCTGGAGCTTGGGCGTCCTGACGTACGAGTTTCTGGTTGGAGAAGCACCATTCGAAGACACCCCCGTTATGACACAGAGGAGGATTGCTCGTGGTGATATGACCGTGCCGAGCTTTGTGAGTTCGGGGGCGAAGGACCTGATCCATCGAGTAAGTGCATCCATACGAGTGAGTCGTCCATCTCGCTAACCAGCTCGGTAGCTTCTCGTGCTCGACCCTGAAAAGAGAATACCCTTGGAGGACGTGCTTCAACACCCTTGGATCGTCAAACACTGCGTGACCAAAGGCGGCGAACGAGGGAGTCAAAGAGCGTCTGGCAGCAAAGATGGATCTGAGCGGTGACCACAGTCCACGGGGGACAGGTCCGCCTGCCCGAGCTTCCTTTTACCATCAATTATCATTTGAGCGCATGTATGTCTTGTCGAGGATGTCTTGGAGTTTCGGCAACTTTTGGAGTGCATCAACGAGTGCTTTAGATAACCTGGGTAGCGTCTATGGCTGGGAGTTTAGGAGCCGCATCTTTGGCCACGACAGGCGCATTGCTACATTCGGTGGGTTTGGACAAAGAACCATAAGTTATGTGTAGATGCCATGTTGAACGAGGTGGAATGACTCTGAAGGTGGTCGAGGTTGATGATTGGGAGTGGATCTGGTATGCCGACTTCGGGCCAATGACGAAATATATATTCTTCATCCTTCACCATTACGAATATCGCGTATTCATTTTCATAGACCTTCTTCGATTACATACACAACATCCGTTAACCTAAGAAGCTATACGGAAGTAAAGCTGACGATCTGCTGGGTTTGGCGAGTCTGATCGCATGGTCTTGCCTCTTTCCTGTACCATTCTCGAGTCTTGAGCATTTTGTTACAGTACTTCAAGGCGGACTTCTCCACTGGCTGGTTGAATCGTTAAAGATCTAAATTGAACTATCCGAGCGATTGGACCATTTTGCTTCCTGCAGAAGTGTCAGAACAGCAATCATGGGGGACGCCGGTGGTGAGCAGAGAGGCATTCGAATCGCCATAGACGTAAGTATGGTACCAACCATTCCTCTTTCCCTAGCTAACCCCACCAGCGTGGTGGCACATTTACCGACTGTGTCGGAAACCCTGGTTCGGGCCTTATGGAAGACGATGTTATCATCAAGTTGTTATCGGAAGATCCATCCAACTACAAGGATGCGCCCCTGGAGGGTATTCGACGACTTATGGAGAAATTCACTGGCAACGAGATACCCCGAGGACAGCCGCTCGATACTTCGAAGATTGAGAGCATCCGGATGGGTACCACAGTGGCCACGAATGCCTTGCTAGAGCGCAAGGGAGAGAAAGTGGCCATGGTCGTCACCAGTGGCTTCAAGGACTGCCTGGAGATTGGCAACCAGTCTCGCCCAAAGATCTTCGACCTGGCTATTCGCAGACCAGATGTGCTGTATCAGAAAGTTGTCGAGGTTGACGAACGTGTGACACTTGAAGACTATGCAGAAGACCCGCACCGGAACAAAACCAAAGCGGAGGCCAAGCATGAGGATTATAAGAGCAAGGATCTTGTCCAGGGTCTTTCAGGCGAGGCTGTTCGCATATTGAAGCGACCAGAAGAGGACAAGATCAAGGAGTCACTCAAAGGGCTTTACGAGGACGGTTTCCGCAGTATCGCGGTATGCTTGATGCACGCCTACACGTTTCCCGACCACGAAGCATTGGTAGGGAAGCTGGCCAAGGACATCGGGTTTCAGCATGTGAGCCTGAGCCACGAATTAATGCCTATGATCAAGCTCGTACCAAGAGCAACTTCGGCGTGTGCAGATGCTTACCTCACTCCGGCCATCAAGAAGTACATCTCTGGGTTTCAGGCCGGATTTGAAGGTGGTTTGGGAACCGAGAGCGTCAAGAAGGAGGAAGGTAGTAAAGGTGCAAGATGTGAATTCATGCAATCAGACGGCGGCCTTGTGGATGTGGACCAGTTCTCAGGCTTACGTGCAATCTTGTCCGGCCCAGCCGGTGGTGTCGTGGGCTATGCTCTGACTTCTTACGACCCGGAGACGAAGACGCCTGTTATCGGATTCGACATGGGCGGCACAAGTACAGACGTGAGTAGATACGGCCAAGGAAGATATGAGCACGTCTTTGAGACCACAACAGCTGGTGTTACGATTCAGTCGCCGCAACTAGACATCAACACGGTTGCTGCAGGCGGAGGATCTCGCTTGTTCTTCAAGAACGGTCTGTTTGTTGTCGGGCCGGAGTCTGCAGGTGCACATCCTGGACCAGCATGCTATAGAAAGGGAGGCCCACTCACTGTCACTGACGCCAATCTCTTCCTCGGTCGACTTCTTCCAGACTTCTTCCCAAAGATCTTTGGGAAGAACGAGGACGAAGGACTCGACCCAGAAGCAAGCAAGAAGCTTTTCGAAGAACTTACAGAAAAGATCAACAGCGAGACGGGCAAGAACATGACAGCAGATGAGGTCGCCTTCGGTTTCATCAAGATCGCCAACGAGACCATGACCCGCCCAATCCGATCATTAACGGAAGCCAAGGGCCACGATACAGCACAACATCGCCTCGCCACGTTCGGTGGAGCAGGTGGCCAACACGCCGTAGCCATTGCCGAATCACTAGGGGTAAGGCAGATCCTGGTTCACCGTTACTCCTCTGTCCTCTCAGCATATGGCATGGCCCTCGCAGATGTCGTTGACGAGAGTCAAGTCCCCGAGTCTCACGTCTGGAACACCAACGGCGAATCTCGAGACGGTCTGAAGTCGAAGATGAATGAATTGAAAGAGCGATCACGCAAACGGCTCACAGTCCAAGGTTTCTCCGATGACTCGATCGAGTATGAGGAGTACCTCAATATGCGCTACCGCGGCACAGAATCTGCGTTAATGGTCATCAAGCCATCAGAGGAAGATGCCAAGGAACACTACAAAAGCGACGACTGGGCCTTTGGCGAGGCCTTTGTCCGCCAACACGAGCAGGAATTTGGCTTCACATTGCCCGATCGAGACATAATCATCGACGATGTCCGCGTGCGTGGAATCGGCAAGTCCTTCCGCGGCATGTCCAAGACCGCCGACCAACAGCTCAAAGAGATCAAGCCCAAGAATGTGGCCACGGACCAAGCCTACTCGACAGCCCAAGTGTACTTTGACGGTGGCCGCCAGGACACCAAGATCTACAAGCTGGAAGATCTAGAAGTCGGTACGCGTGTCGCCGGCCCGGCCATCATCGCCGACGGCACGCAGACCATCGTTGTGACACCCGATGCGTCGGCCTTGGTAATCGAGACACACGTCGTGATCAACATCGGCGAAGAAGGCTCCGGCAAAAAGGCCAACGCCAAAGAAGTCGACCCCATTCTCCTCTCGATCTTCGCGCACCGCTTCATGGCCATCGCCGAGCAAATGGGCCGCGCATTGCAAAAGACTTCGGTCTCGACCAATGTCAAAGAACGTCTAGACTATTCGTGCGCCCTGTTCGACGACAAGGGTGGGCTCGTCGCCAATGCGCCCCATCTCCCCGTCCACCTGGGCAGTATGTCCACCTGCGTACGCACCCAAGCGGAGATATGGAAAGGTAAACTGAAGAAGGGAGACGTGATAGTCTCTAATCACCCTGAGTACGGCGGTACACACTTGCCCGACATCACTGTCGTGACGCCAGCATTCTCTCCCAAAGGCGAGATCATATTCTACGTGGCGTCAAGAGCCCATCACGCTGATATCGGCGGCATCCTGCCTGGATCTATGCCTCCACACTCACGTGAACTCTATCAGGAAGGCGCGGCCATCAAGTCCGAGAAGCTGGTGTCCGAGGGTAAATTCGACGAGAAGCGCATCACGGAGCTTCTGTACGATGAGCCCGCGCAGTATCCCGACTGCAGCGGTACACGTTGTCTGGCTGACAACCTGAATGATCTGAAGGCACAGATTGCTGCGAATCAGAAAGGCATCAACCTGATCAGCACTCTTATCGAGGACTATGGAGAGGACGTGGTACAGTTCTACATGCGCAACATTCAGGACAATGCGGAGCAGTCAGTACGGACTTTGCTCAAGGAGGTGAGCAAGCGGTTCGAAGGTCAGGATCTTCAGGCCGTAGATTACATGGACGACGGCAGCCCTATATCTCTTCGCATCACAATCGATGGCGAAAAGGGTGAGGCTGTGTTCGATTTCGAGGGTACTGGTCCAGAGGTCTATGGCAATATCAACGCCCCGGAAGCTGTCACCTATTCGGCCATCATTTATTGCTTGAGGTGTCTGGTCGACCAGGATATCCCGCTGAATCAAGGATGTCTGAAACCAGTCGACGTTCGAATCCCACCTGGATGCTTCCTGAGTCCGAGCGAGAAAGCTGCTGTGGTCGGTGGCAATGTCTTGACCAGTCAGCGTGTCACAGACGTTGTCTTCAAATGTTTCGAGGCGTGCGCAGCAAGTCAAGGCGACTGCAACAACTTGACGTTTGGTTATGGCGGAAACTTGAAATCTGGTAAGGAAGAGAAAGGCTTTGGGTACTATGAGACCATTGCTGGTGGTAGTGGTGCTGGCAAAGATTGGGAGGGCACTAGTGGTGTGCACACCCATATGACCAACACCAGAATCACTGATGCCGAGGTGTTTGAAAGAAGATACCCTGTCATCCTGAGAGAATTCAGCTTGCGGCCTGGAAGTGGTGGCGTTGGACAGCACAAGGGAGGAGACGGTGTCATTCGAGACATTGAATTCCGGATCCCCGTCCAAGTCAGCATCCTCAGTGAAAGGAGAGTATACCGGCCGTACGGATTACACGGCGGAGGCGATGCTCAGTGCGGTAAGAACATCTGGGTGAGAAAGATCAAGAAAGTGAAGAGCCAGGGATCTGGTGGCGAGCATGAAGGCAAGCGCAGAGAGGATGGTGAGGCCGAAGAATATCAGTACAGGCACATCAGCATGGGTGCAAAGAACACCGCTGCTATGCAGCCTGGTGAGAGGATCATTGTGGTAAGTTCCGCTCCATTCCACGCTGACCAGCCGCAAGCGCTTGTAGACCTAGAGCTGACGCAAACTTTCAGATGACACCAGGTGGTGGTGGTTATGGTAAAGCTGGTGAGAAGTCGAAGGTGGAACTCAAAGAAGATTATGAGAAGCACTGGAAGAAGGGCAGTTTGGCTTCCAGACTTGCTGACTGGGAGAGCAGCTCCTGAGGCTGACAGAAGCACGGCTCTCTGTGCTGGACGAGACGACAGCTACTACAGACAAATTAGTGATTCCCATGAGAGCTGGAAAGATACGTACCGCCAGGATAATGATACACACACTAAAAGTGGCCGCATTGGTTGAAAGCTCGAGGGGCTCAATGTTCACATCTCATGGACGGCATTGACTTGTCGTTTCGTTGTAGTTGCGTGTCTAGAAATGACAGACCATTGTCCGTCACTTTCTGAGTGGAGGCTCTACTCCTCCTCGTCACTCGTAGCCTCTATGTTGGCTTTCTTGGTGTCTTCCTCGTCTTCCTCCTTGACGGCTTCACCGTCATCGGCTGGACCGTCTCCACTGTAATCTGGTCGTGGTACCTTCTCTCCCTTGCGCTCGAGTAGGTCTTCTAGTCGAGGCATGACACCGATGAGCACGGAGTATTGTTCGATTGTTAAAGAGATGCCCTGTTCGTGAGACCATCAGTGATGTTTCGTAGTAATGAGCAATGAGATGTACTGACCTTCTTGCCTGGAAGCCATTCATCGTCTTTCTGGTAGTATTCTCGGATGTTGACCAGGGCTTTACCCTTGAAGTCGGATATAGTGACACGTCTGTTCTTGGAAAGCTCCCAGTAATGGCTGCCATCTGAGTCTGTTTGTGCTTTGGCGGAGGGTTGAAATGCAGTTCCCGATGCGCCTTTGCCTCGCTTCGTGGACACCTCGGCATCGACGTCACTATCGTCGATGACGGCTGCAGACTTGCGTTTCTTGGAGGCGAAAGCCATTGTAGGTGATTCTACAGGACGCAGTGAGGTAACCAGATAATAAGAATGTAAAATGATGGTAAGGACAAGGACTTGTAGGGCTCAGTCGTAGGGACGCGGTTGCTCTTTTGCAACTCCCAGAACGACGCGTTAATTGCGCCCGAGGAATCACTTTTCCATTTCAGATCGACGTCATAGCTTGACAATTCTAAAGTAGATTAGCGCACCCATCACGTGAAAGAAGTCACCAAGCCAGCCAGTGAGAGCAGAGTCCTTTAGTCCCCTCCTTCGCCGTCTTTCGTCAATCCATTTATTTCCAGCACCCTCGTCAACGATCCTTCTCCCATACATTATCTCAATCACCTACACCACGATAACACTCGTCGAACAAATTACGATACTCGATACAAACATTCCGCGACAGACCAAAGTCTCTACACGATGTCCCGAAGAGCTCTCTTGAGCATTCCTCGCGCAATCAGCGCCTCGGTCCACACCTCCGTCCGACCATCTCTCGCCTCCCACACCGCACCTCTTCTCAGACCTGCCGCCATCCAACCATCCCAGAGACGGTCATATCACGAGAAAGTGCTAGATCACTACTCGAACCCACGAAATGTCGGATCCATGGACAAGAACGCAGGCGATGTTGGTACAGGTACGCCAATATCACAACTGGGTTTTTTATGTCCGAAGCCGTGTCCCGCCGAGTGGCCGAACTTCGGTCATAGCATGTCACAACTCCACGATCAATGACAATTGCTGACACTCTCTATCTGTTACAGGCCTCGTCGGTGCCCCAGCTTGCGGTGATGTGATGAAACTGCAAATCAAAGTCGACCCAAACACCCAAAAAATCGCAGACGTCAAGTTCAAGACCTTCGGCTGCGGATCGGCCATCGCTTCATCGTCCTATTTGACCGAACTCGTCCGGGGCATGACACTTGAGCAAGCGGGCAAGATCAGAAATACCGAGATTGCAAAGGAGTTATGCTTGCCACCAGTCAAGCTGCATTGCTCGATGTTGGCCGAGGATGCTATCAAGTCTGCCATTAGTAAGTTTCGAGATGACGTGCCCTACACTTCCACATTACTGACTGGACATCAGGCAACTACTATACGAAGAACCCCAAGGCCAAGCAGACCGACTTGGGCAGTTCGTCAGCGGGTATGCCAAAGATTGAGATTGAGAGGGTCACTACGACTACGGATACCGGAGCAAGTGCCATGGCATAAATTGTAACTTCTCGCATCGCAGTTGATGGGTTGCGCATTTTCTTTCTTTTGGGTGGTGACGATTGTGTGTCAGTATAGCATTCAATGAAATGAAATAGTCTTTCAACGACTGAAGCTGGGTTTGATGGTGCTCTTGGTCAGCAGTCTGTACTTCCAATTAAATACCCATATCACTCCCCATTGCCTTCATTTGTCCGTATGAAACCAACGGACATGTCGCGCCCCAGCTAGAGTCAAGGAAAGCCGGCAAGCCCGGTACCAGAGAAAGTGACATTGTCAAAGCGAAGGTCATCAGCCCTACCGTACAGGTCTACTAGATTGAAATGAGGGCACCCAGCATCGCAAACGTCGTGAACCTTGTACTTATATCGTCGATGTATCCTAAGTCAGACGGTGCCACTCTTTCGAAAACAAGCTCGCAGGATACAATAATTGTTATCAAAGGGGCGCACGAAGAAACGAGAGCGACATAGGTCGGCATTTGTATCGGAAGGGGTTACACCTCCATGCAATTCCTTGGTATCTGACCATCTAAGCCTGTGCCCAGCAGCCTTGGCCGCCGCGCAGTCTTCTGTCTGCAATATCCCGCAGCTCATGCATCATCAATCCGTATCAACTCATGTCATCTTAGTTCTGCTGCCTCTGTCCTCCACGTCACAGGCCATCGTGTCTTGCCGCGAAAAGAAACAGGATGGAGCCGTGCTCGAGCAGGGGTTGGAAGCTGCATTCACGCTTGCCTTGTGCACGTCTCTTCCATTTTGTTCACGATCCCATCGTGTACCGGGGCTGCCAATCCCAATCAGAATCAGGGTGACGGTGGAGAGCGCGAGTTCCACCAGAGTTCTTCACCAGAGTTCCACCAGCGTTCTTCAGAGTTCCACTAGAGTTCTTCCATCATGTCCTCATCGACATCGTCGGCAGTAGGGTTGAATTTAGCATTGATTGCATTCTTCTTCTCGTCCTCTTTCAACTTTTTCAACTTTTTGAGATAGTCAATATATTCTCGACTAATCCCCATGCGATATTCGGTGTCCTGGACGTGGCTGAGGAGCAATCGAAGCTCACGAGTTTGAGATCCAAGTACCGTTCCTATTTGAGCCTCTGTTGTCTGCGTGGTCGGTGCCGGCAAGAAACGGAGCATCTCATTCGAGATGTCGTTGGAAGCCGTGGTCACTGCGCTGATGCCTCCAGCGGCAATCAGAGCTTCAAGGTAGGCTTTGGTCTCGCTGACATCTGATGCATCTGGGGAAGTCATCCGGGCGACTTCAGACAGAGGAAGCGCAGCAAATGTCTTCCCTAACTTGAGGATTGCGAATTTGCGGAATGACTGGAATACTTCCGCCATGAGGCCGTAGTTTCCGTCTTCTTGCCAGATGCCGTTGCCCACCTCTATTTCGGCACGAAGCCGTGCGATGTTGTTTGTTTTGAAAACATCAGCAACGCATTCGTATGGCTTGGCGATGGCTCGAATATGTCTGATTGCGGTTTGTGAAGCAGCCTTTGGGACTGTTGGAGGTGTGCCATTCAGCAACAATCCAACTAGTAGCCACTTCTTGTATGCTTCGACCATTACTGAGCTGGCGACGTTTTGAACGGTTGGCGCCGAAAGCACAACCTCGAGGAAGAAGAATGCATCTCGGTATCGTCGCGCGGCCATATAGCACATGCCTCCAAGTAGATAGTATTCCATGTACGTCCGACTTGTGATCGGTTGCGTCAGGCCTGTCACCGGACTTAGATACACCCAGACCGGCTGCGAAGAAGAGCAGAGCTCGGGGATACCGCTGGCATCATGCTGGCTGGTGGGAATGTGGTAGATAGGCCTATCTAGAATGTCGACAGCCTCCGTATATGCTTGTGCGAGGAGGCAAAGTCGAACAAAGGTGCGGTGGGTGGATGTAAGTGTGGACGATGTGCTGTCAAGCCTTAGGATGACATGGTGTAGAAGTTGTATGGCTGGGATGTAGTTTGATGTCTGTTCAGCGCCGACGGCAATGCAGTCGATCATTCGCAGCAGTTGTGTTCCACAATATCGCGCCTGTATCGTATCGAACTCCAGCAGCAGCTGAACTATGTGAGGCCATAGTGATCCCTCCGGCAGCACCGCAGCTGGTAATTGTCGTGGTGCGGCCTTACCGCTCGCTATGGATGAATCAATGCTCGCTAATAGGATATGAAGGTAGAGGATGGTGTGAACAGAGGGTGGTAGAGCCTATGTCTTCGTCAGAATGGTGAAAATGGTATATTTCATTGTGTGCCCACCTCAAGGTCGCTTCTCGCGGATGCCAAATCTTGGGACGATATCTTGCTCAGTCTTGCGACCAACGCACTCGCCAGCTTATCATATTGCTCTTCATCTTCTGGGAGGAGTGCCGGATCAATCGATGCACTTTCCTCCAAGATCTTCTCCATGTTGCCAGTCCGGGACAACGTGGATGAACTGCGGACTGTCTCTTAAGATGCGACCATGAGAGAGGCAGGTGAGTGCTAATCTGAGGGTTAGGAGAACGGAGGAGGCAGATGGAAAATCCCCCAGACAATAATGCAAGGTAACAGACAAGAGCAGAGTGGTTATCAACTTGAGAAAACGCAATGATAAGAGTGGAATGAGTAGAACGTTGAGCAGTAGTTTGGATGTGAAAGTGATGCTGCACCTTCAAACTGCGGTCGCAGGCGAGCGTGTTTCTAGAAAAAGTGGCGCTGTCTGACCGGAGTTACTCATCAGGTTCAAATAGATGCTACTCTATATTGTCATCCTGGAGTCCTTCACATATACCCATATAGCGTCAAGCTTAGATAGAGGGAAAGTCTATCGCCTGGACCGTGTAGGCCTACTATCTTACGTCAAGGCAACCGCTGTCGCGAACTTGCTGGACCTTGAACTTATATCGTCGATGTACTCCCTGTCAGACAATGCCAATTTTTCTAGATATAGGCTCGGTAGACATCGCGTCACCAACTTTCGCGAGTGGCAGCCTTGAGCCTTCCCCAGGTTCTTGGCCCTGACCAGTCACAAGCATCTTAAGTAATCCGGCGTTATTCCACCTATTCGAGTTGCAGATTACGAAGTCAAAGCACTCAGCGTAATGATAGTTCTCATTAGCATCAGTCGTCAATCATATCTGACCACAGCTAGTCCTAAGCAAAATTGAGCTTCCTATCAGCGACGCATAGGCGAACTACCGCCCGATCCAGTCATTACCTCGACCTCCTCAAAATCCATATCCCAAGCGTCAATATCGGCCCATTTGTTCTTACTTATAGTCGCCACATCCTCCACTGCTGGGACTGCATCCGGAGTCTTCTCTGAATCTTTTGGCCCGCTAAGAACGGCGTCTGCACTTTCAACTCCAGAATCATCTGACAAGCCAGCGTCGAGGCCAAGATTTTCCTTGTCTGGACCCTCGACCTTGTCTTGTCGCCGTCGGCGGGAGCCACCATACTGCTTGTGCTGGCTTTCGTCTTGCTCTTCGTGTGGATTTGGGCGTGAAGTCGTAACTTCGACGGAAGAAAGCTGTGACGGAGACTTAGTTTTGCGATTCCTCTTGGCAGAAGTAGACGTAGAGGGCGTAAGGACAGGCTTGGTGGTAGTGATGAGACGTCTCGTACTTGATTGTGATTTAAATGTAGCCCTGGCGGGTATGCCACGCTTTACATTACTGCCACCCTTTGTTCCCCTTGCAACCCCCTTTGTCCGCGCACTGGCAGCCCCTACAACAGGCTCTTTCCGCTTCGTCCTGCGACCTTTCTTAGTGGGCAGGAAGCTGGATTCGTCGTCTGGCTCTGAGGGCTCGCCGGGCGATTCGTCAAGATCGGCTGGGATATCGAACTCGCTCTGAGTGTGAGGGTGTTCTCGTGCGGTCCTCCTCCGTTTCGTAGGCATGACCTGAGCTCGTAAAGCGTCTGTAGTAATGGCAGTCAGAGGCTTGGGCTCCTTTCTGGATTTTCTTGTGGCCGCAGGGGATTGCATCTTCGCTGGAGATGCCGAGAGCGAGGAGCTGCTTTCAGGGGGGGCCAATATATCGTCTTCGCCCGCATGCTTACGATGTTTTCGTCCTGACTCTCGAAGGGCGGACACTGGCATTGGTGGTAGAACAGGATGTGATGTTGGTTTTTGCGAATCTACCGTAGTTATGGGTGATGTCGTCTGTCTCTGGCCACCTCCATTGACATCTGGCTGCAAAGGATCAGACGAGCCATACTTCCTTTTCCGTGACGACGACGTGTAAGGTGAATCCGTGGCTGGCGTTATGGAAGCATTGTGAGTTTTGGGAAGGGTGAACGGTGTTGATTCGTCATCCGGCAAGAACTGGTCTTCATCTTCAAGGTCGAGTGTTGACGAGTCCAGGCCCAGGTCTTGCAGAATACTAGGCTGTCTCCTCCGGGGCTTGAGTGTACCTAAAACAGACGTTTCCCGTGATGGAGTGGGTTGGGCAGATCGCGGTAGCCCTCTCGGTGCTTTGATCGTAGATGCTGGCACTGTTTTTGAGAGCGCCGCCTTCTCATGCTCTCCACCGCTCAATCCATTGACTTCGCGCAGTGGGCGTTTCGTGGTGGGCGGCCCGGACGCGGCATCTTTCTGCGCGCTCTGCTGCGCATTCGCGAGAATCTCCTGTGTATCTCTTGTCATGTTTTGCCTTCTCTGCACTCGGCTCGGATATGCGCCTGGTTTGTCGCCGGAAGCCACCGCACCAGAGGCATAAAACTCCTGCGTCGTAGCATTTCTACCCCGCCGTCCATTGCCTTTGACAACGAGCCTATCGCTGTCGTCGCTATCTACCGGGCGTTTCCCGACAGGCTTATGCGCCAGCTTCTTTTCGAGTTCCAACTTCGCCGGACTGCTGTTTGGGACCTTTCTGCCATATACCGGAGAAGGCGCATTGCGGTAGTTCTGTCTGCGCCTGAGAGGGCCACGAGCCATGGTAAAGGTACACTTGGGATCGCAGTCGCCGCTTCGAAGAGACGTGCCCCGAGGGCAAGGAACGAACGTGCGGGCGCCTGCGACGAAGTGGCGCAATGTGGTGTTGATGTAATGTGAAGATGATGTGTGTGTGACGCGATTGATGCGCGTGGAGCTTTGTTGATCGGCTAAGTCGCAGGTGGACATGACGTGCAGAAACTCCTTGGCGGCATCGGTTCTACTTGCTATTATTAGCCAGATAGAACAGACAGGGCTTTCAAACTCGTGAATTGTCAAAGGATCAATTGGTTCTCTTTCAGAAGACTTTCAGAGTGTTCAGCTGTGTTGTCGCTCTCGCTGTGTTCCATCGATGGCAATCCAACATCGACTCCGAATGTATCTGCTTTTATTCCAAGAGAACTGAGACTCCCCCGGCCACAGCAGGTTGGCCAAGAGTACCCACGAAACATCGCCCAGGGCATGTCAATCTTCCAAAACACAAGACTGATCAACTTGGACAGCATTTACAGTTTATATAATGTACTCATTATGCCTCCCTGAACTTGACCCACAACTTCTCAGGCATGATGACAACCCCATACTTCATCCTTCCCCAAGTAATCCCCTGTCCAGTCCGGGGATTCTCCTTCTCCTCTGCATCGTCGATGGCAACAACATCATCAATCCCACGCTTTCCATTGCCTGTGCCCGCATAACTTCGAAGCTTCCTCCACCTGTCCTCGGGATTCGCGCCACTGAATCCACTATCCTCGACTTCTCGATCAATACACCTCTCCATAGCCTCGAACCGCTGCAGGAGCCGAACCACCACCACACTCGTCTGGGTGATGGCGTAGTTCATGCCCAAACAGATTCTGGGACCTGCGTTGAACGGCAGAAATCGTCCGTCATCGATCCCACTACCGATGGCGGTTTTCCACGATCCGTCTTGGCGATCGAGCCAGCGTTCGGGATTGAAGATTTCGGCATCCGTACCCCAGATGTCCTTGCGCCGTTGCATGATGTACACTGAGTAGTCGCAATTTTCGCCCTTGCGGAGGAAGATCGGTGACTGGCCGTTGGGTCCACCACCACGAGGAAGGGTCGCAGAGGCGTGTAGAGGGAGTCGTGAATTGATGGGGACCGGAGGATAGAGACGGAGGGTTTCGTGGATGATGGCGAGAAGTTCAGGACACGTTCGAAGCGAGGCAGTGGTGATGGATTTGTAGCTCTGACTTTGACCCGGTGATTGATGGTATGGTCCAAAGTCTCGTAGGATCGCTGCTCGAAGCCAAAGATACCACTTCTCATTGCGAGGCAGGGATAGGATATGGAAGATATAACCGATCAGACCCGCAGTGGTATCACGGCCAGCGAGGAGAATATTCAGCAATTGGGAGCGGAGTACCACGGGATCCTGCGTTTCCGCGGCGAGCGCGGTGAGAAAGGTATAGCGAGGGGACGACTCTTCGGTACCATCACTGAACGAATCTGTGTCGAGCTTAGGTTTCTTCTGATTCGACAACGCGAGTTGCACGTAATGGTCGGCAAATTGGTGCACTCCACGGATCGAGCGCCGGAACGATGGCGTATCGTAGAGCCAGTACATGTCGAGCATTCGTGTTCGATATCCCACTCCCCGCATCATGTTGTCAAAATTCTGCCCAAACAGTCTTGCCAATGCAGCATGGCTGTGCAGCTGATCTTTCCCCAATGGCCGGCTCGAGGTCTGCCCATGGTTCCTATCCTGAAGAGCGGTCAATTGCGCTTCGACAGATTCGCCAAAGAGGAATTCGGTAGCTCCATCGAGAGTGAGGTTGACGATGAGGCGTTGCAGGTCGATCTCTCGAGTCCATCTAGTTGCCAACTCCACGTCTAGGTGTTTCATCAAGTTTTGGATATTCGTCTCTGCCGTTTCAAGATTCAAGAGTTGTTCTCTATTGAACTGTGGTCGAAGTAGAGCTCTTGAATGTTCCCTACAGACTAGGCGTTAGCTTCTTCTCTTGATATGAAAGATCAGACATACCAAGCTTTGCCATCCTGAGTAAAAACTCCTGACCCTACTGCAGGTCCGAATTGGCCAATGCGGAGATATCCCAATCCATAATCACTGAATTGCGTTGAGAGCAACGCCTTGATATTCTCCGGATCGCAGGTGACGAATCCATCGGATGGCCCCTGAGCGAATCTGATCGTTTTTGCTTGATTATCAGATGTGTCAAAGCATTCCTTAATGTATGCGGGCGCTCGTCCCGCTACATCAGCCCGGAGGATGTTGTACATGAAGTCTAGGCCGAAGGGCCAGCCATGTTGGAACCATGTTGGTGGCTCACAGCCGTTGGCTGAAGCTTCGGCAGCTTCCAGGCGGGATTGTCTAGCTGAGCTCGAGATTCGGTAGACGATGTAAGCGCAGGTCATGAGCAGAATGGCCAGTGGCGTGTACATGTTGGTATTTCGATTGTAGCGGCCGTCAGAACAAATCATCCATATATCCAACGTCCCGGAACGAAGTACTGCCTGGTCTTCATGCGGAAGAGGTATTGATAGGGAAGAAGCAGTCAAGCAGCCACATGCAGTACTCGGACTCCTGGAGATTGCAGCAACTGGATATAAGAAGTCTCAGCCTGAGGTAGGAGTGATCAATGAGACACTGACTGCGAAATCCGGCCAACGAATCTCATCGAACCGCCCAGGTGTCGATGGTGAGATCAAGGTATATATGTAAGCCATCAGAAGCAATCAGATGGATCGTTCTCGGGAAGGGGATTGTTGAATATTGAAATACTGTAAGCACTACCGTACCTTATACGTAGTGGAACGCCTAAGTGACCCATATTTCTTTCCCCGACCCGCCTGATACGAAGTAAGTTTAGGCTCAAAACTTTTTGGTATATAAATTAAACCATCTGAAATTTAGCTCTGAAATGCATGTCAGTGTGGCCGAGTGTAGGTTTTCTCTGACTTGATTTCTTTATATCTTTACTGACCCCTCTTAAGGGTTAAGGCGTTAGACTTGAATACACATTCTTGAATGTTGTTGAGATATCTAATGAGTTCGCTCTCGCAAGTTCGAATCTTGTCGCTGACGATTTTGTTCTTTTTGTTTGTTTTTGTTCCGGAGTATCTTTCGTTGATCGTATTCCGAACGACATAGGGTATGGACAATCCCTCGCAATCCTGTAGGATCCAGTGAAGTCCTCTTCCATCTGCGTTAGCCAATTACTGAATGTCATAGTAACAGCGAGGCACCACTAATTGGAGCTTTGTGAATGCTTGAATGCTTCTTCCATTGCAGCACCAAGATAGGTACATGTATGTACAAACAAGAGGTCTCTAGACCTCAACTAATCCCGCCAAGCGTCCATGAAGTCAATCTACTGATCATCAATGACATGCAAGTACTTCTTCGACTCTTGCTTTTCTCTCGCTGTGGCCGGCGGCAGATCATAGAAACTGCTGCTCCGATAATCCTGCAAATACTGATACGTCAGATCTCTGAGGTCAGCAGGCTCTATGCCGAGATCCTTAAACGTCTTCGCACTGGGGTCAATCTTCTGGTCGATGCATTCTTGCTCCAGTTGGTCGGCCGTCATGATTTCCCACCAGATGAGCTTGTTCAGATAGTGCAGGACAGGCTTGAGCAACCATTTGGGCAAGTTGATGTGCCTTCGCTGTTTGATGATTTCCCGGTCGACGACTTCGGCAATTTCTGCCATGCTAAAATTCGTTGGTCCGTACAGTTCGAAAGTCTCTCCGGCGGTGGTATCGTCATAACCAATTCTCTCAAGTGCATCGCCAACATCAATGGCCTATAAAAGGTCAGAGATCACACATCAATATCCTCCGGGGCTACTCACATGAACGGGCCAGAACCGCTCCTGCATGTTGTTGACACTCAGAAAGTTGTTCACACCTGCCAGGCGATGCAGCAGCTTGTCCTCAAAGCCGAAGCAGGGAGCTGGTCGGACGATCGTGGTCTCAGGGAATAACTGCCTAGCAACCTTTTCTCCTTGAGCCTGCAATGGTCAGCCAATGATCCTAGGCAACTCCCAGCAACTGTACCTTTGTCCTGAAGAACTCTGATTCAGAGTTGGGGTCCACATTGTACGAGGACATGTGTATAAATCGGTCGACATCGTATTTAGCGCAAGCTTCTGCTATTCTTTCCACGCTCTCCACATTCACATCATGTAGACTGAAGTTCTTGGTGGGATAGTTCTTGCCAATCAGGTTGAAGACTATGTCTGAATGTCGCACGCTCTCTTCGATGGACTGTGTGTTTCTAAGATCGAATTCCAGGAATTGAACTCTTCCAAGGTCTCCGGTGGGCTTGAGATGGCGTTTGCCCATGTCGTCTCTGTACGGGATAACGACTTGATTGCCTCTTCTCGCAAGCCGGTGCACAATGTACCTGCCCAGGAATCCATTGGCCCCAAATACTGTTATAGTATGGCCTCCTAGTGATGATCTTCCTCCTGTTAATCTTAGAATTGGTTTCCCAGTTCGCGTGATTGCGACATCTTGAAGGTGGACGTTTCGGCTTTGGATGCCTTTCGATCGAGCAGTTCGAGCTGCGCGAAGCGCGAGGGTGGTTGGCTGACAGGCCTGCATTGTGAATGCAGTACCTGTAGAGCCTTAACCAAAGGTTTCGAGGAGAAGGAAAGGTTTATGGCACGAGTGATGGAACTTAACCCACACTGTCGATTGGGAGAACGGCATGGAGAGCTTCAACACTGCATGGAAAGGCCCGCGGTAGCTTGGCGTCATGAAATCACGTGCCCAACCTCACTTCGTCCAATCGTGAGCAACTGGTTTTTAAGAGTGTCACAGTCATCTTAAATAGGCAGTTCAATACGTGAAGCCAATACAGTAAGAAGAAGCTGGATCGTTGAGGACATTATTCGAAGCAAATGATACTGTGTACGGCTCCTTGTCTAGTAGGTGGCGGAGATATCGAGAAGGGCTTCTCAATGTAGTTGTGGTACGCAGCGAAGGGCCGGTCTTTTCGTAGGCTACGACTTAGGGGGCTGCGCAGATTGAGTCTGCAAGACAGCCGCGAGCATTAGGCAAGTGTGCATACTCGACCCAAGTATCTTGAGATGGTGATTGGGGTCATCGTAGATACGCAGATGCTGTGGCATGGACTCGGAAGCGTGATGATAATTCGTGCAAGATCTGATGATGCAAAAGGAGGGACAACATCGTTGTTTCGAATAGAGACCACCGGTATGGGAGACCGTGAACAGAACTGGGAGATACCAGATGCGGAAGTCGTCAGTACCAATCTTATCATCTAACGTTATGGCAAACTCCGTCTCTGGTGCATCCTGCTGTCATTGATTTGTTATTGTGCTCTCCACAAGTCGATCTCCATCAATGCCCGTGCTCTGCGGCAGACTTTGCCCGTGGCTGGCGGGGCAATCGTCACCTCGGAACGTCTAACATGAACATCTAGGACAGCCTCCTTTCCTTCTCTCCAGCAGAAATGTCAGGAGTCTGCCGAGGACTCCAATGGATTATGGGGGGCCTCGAGAGGTAGACACAGTCATTGTTGGTAAGTCTTGGGATGTATGCCCATTGACGTAGGAGGAAGGGACATTAAAATTAACTGGACTTTTTTCTTTCTTTCCCACAGGAAACGGTCCCTCCGCATTGATTCTGTCCTACATTCTCCACGGCAATATTCCCTTGTACGACGACGCCAGTCCGCATCCCGATCGCTTTCTGCACGAGAAGCTGCTGCATTGCCACCATGGCGATCGCGATCTACTCGATCTCGACATCGATGACTCGACCGACCACTTCGCAGCTTCGCGGTTCTCTTACTCGACACAGGCCCTGCCGGTCAATGTCCTGCTGGACACACTCGTGCGGCCGCTGGGCGAGACAGACGATACTTTGAAGCAGACATGCGTGAAGTGGCGGCATGATCCTGTACGAGCAGTTCCGCACCTGGTTATAGGCAATACAAAGAATGCGGGCGGACAATGGGTTGACAATCCTGTCCATGCAAGCTGGGATATCGGGACGTTGAGTTATGCGGGCATGATATCGCTGCCGGGATATAGTTTCGAAGAGCACTACCACAAACAGACTGGCCAACCCATGCCACTCTACTTGAGGCCTTCACGACGGAGAGTGGCAGACTATCTTGCAGCATATGCTGATCAGGTGGGCATCGCCGACTCCATACACAACGGGCAGCACGTTGCGGGCGTTCGCCGTCACGACAATGGGTTTTATATCTCCTCCCACAACATCTTGTGTAAGCACCTCGTACTCGCGTCGGGCATTTTCAACATCCTCATCCGCCCACCACCTATACTCGACTCTTTGATGCAGCTGGGCGATGCGAGCGGCACGTCACCGGACCCCATCCTCGTCATTGGCTCCGGCTTCAGTGCTGCCGATGTCATTATCTCAACCTCTCGACGGCAGAAGATCATCCACGTATACAAATGGGCACCAACGACTTCTCCTTCCCCACTCCGAGCCTGTCATCAGCAAGCATATCCAGAATACGCGGGCATTTATCGCCGGATGAAGCTTGCCGCCCTATCATCCTCATCTTCCAAGGACAAACGCCCGCGGCCGTCAAGGTTACAATCTGACTTCGACACCAGCCGCGACTGGAAAGCGACATATGAAGGCCTGGCGAACGCGGAGATTGTCGACGTCCAACTTACAGACGATGGTGCCGCTGCCGTCGTCACATTTCGAAGCGGAGACGAGCCTACGTTCCGTCGCACCGTGAGCAGCCTCGCATATGTGGTTGGCAGGCGAGGTTCGCTAGATTATTTGTCTGAGCAGTTGCTGGCAGAAGTCCTTCCCACCAACGCTGCCCACGCGATATCTGGCCAGACGCTCCGCGAAAAAGCCCATGACGACCTCGAAGTTGCGCCTGGTGTTTTCATCACCGGGAGTCTGACGGGTGACTCGCTTATTCGCTTCGCATATGGCGGATGTGCGTATGCTGCGGGCAAAATCATGAGGGGTCGGGCGAATCAAACCGCTGGGGCGAATGGCGCGGAATATGATGGGAACAGTAACGGCAACACCAACGGCAACGCTAGAGTCCCCGACAGTGTCCCAGTACGCATGAGAAGTCGACCACAAACACCTTCACCGAGAGTGCCGGCCATGAATGGGCTGGATGGGCATGAGGCGAGTCCGTTGCGACTGGGGGACGGCCTTCTGCCGCTCGATAGACGGAAGGTTGAAGAATAGATGAGTGTCATATTGGGGGACAATCTCGGTGTAGACGTGAAGCTAGAACGAATATGGGCAGTACCGATTTCGTCAAGCCGATATATGCCAGTGGAAGCTGTTAGCATCACTGAAAATAACAGTAGCCCTCAACCTAATGTACAATTTATTGGTGTCAGGGTCTTTCGGCCGACCCAGCCTCGCTGAAGCACGCTTTCATTACGCCTAAACATGCTAAAAGCCCTCCTTAGCCAGCATATCCGCGACACCCAGATAGAACGCCCTAGCATTGAAATTCTCCTTGATCAACCCCAACGTCGCAGCAGCATGTTTGATCCTATTCGTCCAATTGATCAAATCCAAATGCGTCACACCGACAAGCGTGCCCATATAATCTCCCCAGCGCGATGACTTCACACTGACGAGGCCGTCGTTGGGCCCCTCGACAATCTGCACGAGATCATGACTGAGGCGAAACACGCTGAACAAGTGAGGCGTCGCGCTCGCGCCGTAAGAGAAGTACCGGACTTGAGGGTGATTGGGGACGACGTTGTTGAAGTGGTTCTGCACGTACGAGGTCGTCAACTGACTGAACGCACCGGACTCGATACTCAGACGTTCGAGCATCTTGTAAACACGGGGAAGTAAGTCCGGGCCAATGTCGCGGATGAGCATGTCTGCCGCCGCACTGCCTCGGTGTGGCGTGGCGACGGTCGTGAGACTGCGGACACGGAAATCGCTGGCATCAGGACAGATTCTTGAGATGAGATAGCGGGCGTCGAGACCGCCCATGGAGTGTGCGACAATGTTGATGTCCTTCCCCTTGGCCCTCGCCGAAATCTGGGCAGCAAGAGCTGTGGCGCGGTCTTCGATGGTTCCTGTTCGCGGGACGGTCGTGGTGATGCATTCGATGCCATTCTGTTCGAAGGCTTGCTTGATGCCGCGCCAGTAGTGGATACCTGGTAGGATGTTGCCGGGGAGTAGGCGGAGTTCGTCGAACCCTAGAAGGCCGTGGGCGAGGACGATGGGATACTGTGGCGTTGAATAGTGGTCGCGAAAGTTGGCGTAGTCGTTCTGCAGCACGCGGCCTAGATCTGAGAAGCTGGCGTCGATGGGCTTTTCTTGGTCGCTACCGGCCTTGGACCGGTCGGGATTGTCATCGGTTGCGCGTGTTGTGCGTCTTGTTGTAGGGTCTTGTGGCAGTTTAGCTGAGGATTCATGGCGTATGGCGACAAGAATCGGTCGGCGTGGTTGGAGCAACCTTCGTGCGTGAAGGCTGCGGACCCTCCATAGCATGCTCCAGGTCGAGAAGCCTAGAAGGAGACTGTTGCGTGGCAAAGTTATCGTTCCATGGAAGAGATTGAATGTGACGGAATGATATATAGGTAGGTACAGTAAACAGTGTGACAGTATGATGGACATTGCGTCATTGCGTGTCAAGAGTGTCTTTCGGAGATCAAGTCCTCTTCAGCCTTGTCTGGTGGTTGCTATATGTAGGAGGAGGCCATGGCTGATACGATGCAAATGCTTTAGGCTTTCTACACTGAGGTTGCTGGAAGAAATGAGGCCTTGATCACACAATGGATTGCCTCCCTTTTGATTCTATGTTCATTGAATCGACCTTGACAATAATTGCGCCATCTGGTGTCCATTGTCCCGTCGACATACCAGCTCGCACCTCTTTCATAACCATAGCAACAATACAAATGAAGTCGAGCACATCAGTCGTCCCTCGATATCTTCTCGGGCACTTCAGGATGCGGTGAAGTGACAGCCTTAATCAGATCATCCACCACTTTACTTCCTGATTTGTCGCCGGCCTCTTCGATCTCCTTGACCTTGGCTTCTGCATCCTTGTTGGCATCGTCTTCGGCTTTTTTGTTGCCACTGCCTTGCTGTAATACTCGTGAGTCTCTAGGTCTTGTCATGCGACATCAACCGTTCAACGCACCTCTGATTCAAACTTCTTGAACTCTTCTTCCTTCTTCTTTCGGTACTCCTCGATTTCTTTCTGGGCTTCTGATTTGGCGTCCTTTACTCTCTTTGTCCGGTCTTGAATAGATTAGACTAGGTAAGTAAGCGAAACGTCTAAAGCGTACATTCTCTGGCTGCATTCAAGTTAGCATTGGGTCATGTTCACAACTCGGATTCGAATATACCTTTCTGGACAATCTTTTGCGCCTCTTTCTCAGCCTGTATCGAAGTTAACAAATGTCGTAACTCCATGGCACTTCTGGACTGACATCAAGCAGCGTTTGAATGCCTGCGGAGTTTTGGGCAGACTGTCATTGTTATCAGCGATAGTTGCATTAGATGCGGAGTGATGCCCACCATCTTGAAACCGAACGTGTAAGCCGCTTTGTGGAGGAGTCAAAAATGTAGATCGAAAGGAGAACAGAAGGGAGGGACGAGTAGAGTGTCGTCGAAGGCCAGGTGCAGGACAAGAATGGTTCTGATTAACGATGACATGCGCCTGCCTTCAAGCTCGATGAAGCTGCGGAGCTGGAAATGGTCTAGCTTTTGGAGATTCCATCAACCACGAACTGATGTTCTCCGCGCGGATATGTTTTTCTGATGTCCTCATCACAAGACCATACCACAAGTTCTATTGCTCCTCTCTTTCCCTTGCATCATGTCTACAACTTCCAAGCTGACTCTTTTGAGCACCATTATAAGCACCGTGGGCATCGTGGCCTTTGTCCATTGGGCCCAAACTGCGGAAAAGAGTGTACGTCTGTGATAACTTTGCACCAGAATTGCCCGCTAACTTTACCTAGGCGATGCATGCTGGTGTCATTCGAGATATGGAGCAGCAGCGAGTCAAACGAGAGCGTCAAGCCGACTTTGAAATGCAGAGGCAGTTGGAGGAGGAGTACAAAAAATCGCAGTCGGTCCATGACAGTACCCAAGGAGCTTGACACCTTCTCAAACCAAGGGCGATTTGACTCGAATGCGGCCTACACACGTCATTATTGCTGGTGCAATTTGACGACGGAGCAGAAATGTTGCGGCCGCAACCAGCATGGTAGGAGGACAAAATGGATTGACTGCCACCTCTCCAGTGCGGACGGCAGCTAACGGCCAATGAAACAAGTCGAATGAAGCTGGCACCAAATACGACAGCTTTACTCGTCCGGAGCGGTGCACTGATCGACTGCCGACGTACCAACTAAGTCCAGTCTGCCACTCGGTACAACGAGACAGTTTGCGGCACATACAACTTTCAAAAGACGTTTACAAGGGATCAAAGCAGTCCTCATTTGGCTTGAAACGGCTGTGAAAGGCCTGCCCCCTCTTTCGAGAGAGTGGCGGTGAATCGCACGACCGTTGTCTACCTAGGCTACCAAAGACTGCTGCGAGTCACCGGGGCCTGAGGATGCACGGGCGTACAGTAGATATGCCGGTAACATGGCCAGAGGAACAGCGCCTTTATGCATTCGGGGTCGCGGCCTAGCGGTAGTCGAATTGGCAGTCGAGACCCAGGGAACTTCACTGCTGGTCCATACCGGGGTCCGATGATAATTGTCGTCCTACGAAAGAGGCTCTTTTTTTTGACGGTAGTCTGGGAGGTCAAACGTCCTCCAGTGACAGGAGGCTCTTTTTTTTTGACGGTAGTCTAGGAGGTCAATTGACCCCTTGTGACAGGAGGCTCTTTTTTTCGCCGGTAGTCTAGGAGGTTAATTAACCTCCTGTAAAGGAGGCTCTTTTTTCTGACGGTAGTCTAGGAGGTCAATTAGCCTCCTGTGAAAGGAGGCTCTTTCTTCTGACGGTAGTCTAGGAGGCTAATTGACCTCTAGTGAAAGGAGGCTCTTTCTTCTGACGGTAGTCTAGGAGGCTCTTTTTTTTGTCGGTAGTCTACAGTAGGAAGACAATTGTCCTTCTATGAAAGAGTCTCGAGTGACCTTGCGGTAGTCTGGAGGAATCCAAGTCAGAATCTGACATTGGTCACCTCACTCAACCGGAATGCCTGTAACATATATGCTAACTCATGAATAACATCACTTTTGACAGTGGCGATAGTGGTATATCCATTCAGGATTCAGCTTCTCATCATCGGGCGCTATAACTACCTAATGCCCAATCCCGCCAGCAACCCAATTATTGAACTCAGGATCCTGAGGCCCAGGAAACATGCCATTGTCTTGTCCGCCTCCCCCTGCCTGAGCCTGTCCCTGCGGCTGTGCTGGTGCTTGATTCTGGTCCTGGCCAACGTTTTGCGGTTGCTGGGCCTGTCCCTGCCGTCTCTCCTGCTCAAGCACCCTATTCCTCGCCTGCCTAGCATACACCAGCAAAGCCAACGCACCCGCCAGCGCAATGATAATCAGACTCTCAATCAACCCATCATCGAAATCATCCCACTCATCCGCACCATACACATCCTCTTGACCATGACCGTTATGCTGTCCCTCGCGTCCGGCATACTCGCCATCACCACCGGGCATTCCCGGCTCCGCGTATCCAAGCAACTCATCATCATCACGATCCCTAGCCATAGCAGCAGCTTCCTGCGCATCCATCTCCTCCGCGGCATCGAGAAAGCGATTAATCCACTCTCCCCAAGTCTTCGGTCTTTTCCGATCCTCGTCCTCCTCATCGCGAATCGAGTTGATTTTGCCGCCACTAATGCCATTCCACCACGACCGCAACCTCAATTTCGCCAGCGCCAAAGTGACAGGTAGATACGCCTCCTTGTTCATTTCCAGCGCCAGATCATAATACCGTTTCGCCATGTGGAAGTCCTGCGCCACGCTGCCCACGCCGTTCTCGTGCATCCACCCAAGGTTCCAGAGTGCTTGGGCGCTGTGATGAGACTCAGCAGCTGTAGTATAGCATGTCGTTGCTTTCTCGAGGTTAGACTTCGCTTCGTCTGCAATGTAGCTGCCTCCATCGTTCTCGTGGAAGAACGTTAGGCTGTTCCTCCTAGGCAAGGAGAGCGACAAGTAATGGTCGCCCATTTTGACCAGCGAGTCGACGTTCGCCTGTTTGGCCGACCGGGTGAAATATGCGAGAGCCAGGTACGGGTCGTCCAGCAATTGGCTTCGCGTGGCGCCGGGATTGGTCGACGACAGCACAGGCACGCCCGGGAGCGATATGACCGATGTCTTTCGGTCGAGTAGGTACGCGACGTTTGCTTGGGCGTTTTCGTAGCCAAGCTCAGCGGCCTTGATGGCTGCGACGTAAGCTCGTTCGATATCCCCTCGTTCGTAAGCTGAGTTGGATTCATGAAATGAGGAGTGCAAGATCTCCGCTCGTTCCGCGACGACTTTGTAGTAGACGCTCGCGAGGCCGCAATTGCGATCACGTCCAACGCCTTGGTTGGTCAGTTCGGCCAAATAGTAGAATGCTTCCATGACGCCGGCGCCCGCTGCCAATTCGAAGTATCGTCCCGCCGTTTCGATATCGCCTTGGTCCAGAAACAAGACACCCAGCGCGGACTGGGCGATCGGCAGACTCTGCTCGGCCGCAGCCTTGAGGTATGTGCCTGCGCGGACCCCATCCTGGGGCACACCCAGTCCGTCCCGGTACATGAGGCCCATATGGTACTGGGCGAAGGAGTCGCCGTTGGCAATCCCGCGCTTAAACCACGTCACGGCTCTTAAGGCGTTTTGCTCCACACCCTCGCCGCGAAGGAACATCCGACCGAGGTATGCTGCTGCCTTGCCGGCAACTCTTTCGATCCCTTTCGGGGCCTTGGGATTGACTTTCCCGTCCTTACCCCAGTACGCGTGTGCTACCTTCATGAATTGTCGTTGTGCCTTGCGGAAGTTGCGCTTATATCCTCTCGGCGCCTCGTAGTAGTGTTTCCCTAGGGCGAGGATGGCGTTGAAGTCGCCCTGCCGTTCCTTCATGTCGAGATAGTCGAGCACGTAGTCGACGTGGGCGGCCGTGACGCCGTCTCGAGGTGCATTGGGACCAGAGCTGCTGACACTCGCGCCTTCGCCGTAGATACCTCCATCGACCTCAACCCAGCGGTATGCATTCCGCACGAAGGCGTGGCCACCTGGTGGTCCTGACTGCCAGTACGTCATGGCCTTGTCCGCAACCCTCTTGTAGTACTCGACAGCCTTGTTGCACTCCCTTGCACACCCGATGCCAGCATGGTATCGGAACGCCATTGTCATTTCCGACTGGATGTTGTCTTGCTCAGCCGCGAAAGTGTGATACAGCATTGCTTTAGCCTGGTCTCTTTCCACGCCTCCAATGCCCGTTCCGTACATCAGACCCAGCATGTACTGTGCGGTACTGTTGCCATCCAGATCAGCCAGTCTCTTGTACCAAGTCAGTGCCTCGGACATGTTTCGCGGGTACGAAAAGTTGCCGTAGAAATTCATCTCCGCGAGAAGGAAAACGGCGTCCGGGTCGTCAAACTGCGCTGCGGTCTTGAGGGTCTCGGCGCCTTGCTTCAGGTCGTTTTTGACTTGCGCGCTATTTCCATCGCCGTCGTCCTGCCGTGTTGGGGCGTTCATGAACAGAGTCCGGAAAACGAGTCTTGTGTAGTACCATGCTATCTCGAGCATGCCTGTAGGCTGCGCAGGCGTCACGCTGTCCTTCCACGTCGGCTCGAAGTCCCGCAAGACTGACCACACCTCGTGTACAACATCGTTTCCGCCGTTGGCTCGGTAGTTCTGTTTCTGCTGTTCGTCTGGGATGGAGTCTAGAGAAGCACCGTTGAGGTTGTCCAGAGGGCTCCTAGCTTCGACATCACGCAGAATAAGGAGGATGGTGCAGAGGAGGACTAAGAAGAATGTCAGAATATGTCAAACATCAAGTATGCTCTATACTAACCCATGAACATAAATATAGGACTATGTCTCGTGGTCATGTTGGCAAATTGCGGCCGTCAGGTTACCGGCGAAGCATTTTCTTTTGATATCTCGTGCGCCAACTCTGACAGAGAACGAGTCAGACTAGCATGCGCACTCTTGTAGTCTTTCGTCTCGCTGTGATGCAGGCTGCACAATTGTAAAGAAGCCAGCTTGTTGCGAACATATGAATTCGCGTTTCGGGTCAATGACGCACCGCAGCAGCCTCAGCCTTGCTTACTAAACAAAGGTTGAATTGTGGTGCTTCATGTTCCTTACAACGGATCGCATACATCTATTCTTTTGATTTGTGTAGAACAGTCAGGCCCTCAAGAGCCATGGGTATCACAAATGTCAACCTAGCTCATATCGATAGCCAGGACTTGTCACGTTAAAGTCCAACCCAGCCCTCTACACAGCCCTACACAACCCCCCACGATTCAGAAATAATTTCTCGACTTCTTGGTCGTAAGCAGTCTTTTTGTTCCCAAACCACTGACTTTCCTCGCCGCTGATCCCTGCGAGTTCCTGTGTCCATTGACTTGCGCTCTGGTTCTCGTCTTCGTGCTGTAGAAACCGTCGTCTCCTTTGATGGGACTACTCCCGTCACTGGACTGTGTCAGATCGACAATCTTCGATCCAATTGGGATCTGTGACATTCGAGGCTCCTCGCTCTGAGACAGTTTCGGCTCTGGCTGGCTAGAAGGTGGAAGTTCGGGACTGCTCGGTGGAGTGGAGCTTTTGATTCTGTCCGACTTGCGGCGTGATTTTCTTGTCGCCGGAGGCGATACCTTCTTCGAAATTGAGCGAGTCTGAACACGAACCTGCTGACTTGAAGTCAACTCGCGCAATGATGGTAGATCGTCGCTGTTGTTGTCACTATTTCCATCAACATCTTCGTCATCATCGTCGTCATGGTACGAGGAGTCGTGACCATCGTGACCAAGTCCGCCTAAAAAAGAGCTGTCTCTTTGCGACCGGGGTTCTTGGCTGATCCCTTCATAAGCATCCAGTAACTGCGACTGGGATACCTCAGACTTCAAAGGTGCTGATGAATCCTGATATTCGCTATCATCATCAGGTTCATCTTCTCCGCTCGCATTGCCCTGATCTTCACTTTCTTCCTCGTCTACAAGTTCGCTCTTCGTTTCAAGTTCAACTTCGTTTTCTGCAGCTTGACTCACAGACGTCTCTTGCGCGGAAATGGTGAAAGCCAAGTCTACAACAGGAGTGAGCGGCAACTTTTGTGCGTCTTGGTGGGAGCTGCTAGTATTAGTTTGAACGACGCCTGAGGAGTTGAGCGCCATCTGAGATATGTGAGGATATTCCACACTTTCCTGGGTGTGCACATAAGGTGATGAAATGGGCGGTTCTGAATCAAAGTTGGCGTCGGGACCCTCCTCGTGAAGATGCCAATCATTCTCGTCCACCACGGACGATTGCTGATCCTCTGACGGCACAAAATCAAGCAAGGGAGACCTCTTCCGAGACGTGTACGTTGTTCCTTCGTCCACCTCGCCTGAAGCACTGGCAGATTGCCGGAATTGCGTACTGTTCATGTTTGGTTGTAGCAATTGCTCGTCCAAGGCTGAGTTGAATCCAGCCTCCTTGATAATGACGCTGATCTCATTTCTACGAGGTGTCGCAATATCTTCAACAGAGATCTGTGGCTGTATCGGTGCTTGCGATGTGCTATCCTGCTCAGCAGATTCAGGGATGACCGCAAAGTGATCGCCATTCGAAGAGGCTGAAGCGTCGCCACCTCGAAGCCCGACTCCATTCACGTGGCTGCTCTCGGGGACCTCGACCGAAGAAGCCTTGACAAGCTTGGCGGAGATCATATCCGAGAACTGGATCTCACGGATCCCATCATCCTCTTGACTTTTATCCTCACCTTCAAGTTCGAATCCATACGTCTTTGACTCTTCTGTGTCTTCAGTCGATACCTCGAGTTTGGGCTTCAAAGAACTCGGATCCAGTTTTACATGGATGGTCCCATCCTGATCAAGATGTGAAATATCTCCCACACGGTACGTCGATATCTCTGGTTGCCAACTCGTAGAGGCGTCCACGTGGAGCTCTTGATAAGCAATAACCGCACCAGGGCGTATATTCTCTTGAGTCAATGCCGGAAGAGTCTGAAAGTCAGTGGGCAGTGAGATGCCACTGGGTGTTGTGCTGGCCGTCTCTGGAGCCTTAGTGCCAGTGTTCGGCGTCGGCTTCGTCTCCTCGTCAGTGCCTAGTGTGGAAACGTCGGGTGCGAAATCCTGGTCATTGCTGGTTGGATCCTGCTCGTCTCGACTTTGGTAGTATTGACTTTGGTCACGCGACTGACGCTTTTTTTTGTTCCCATCCCTTGCAGGTTTGGTCCAACCCTGCTTGAACGGAAATGGTGGTGGCTCCATGGGCCCAACGTACTCTTCACACTCCACAGCTGACACGACTAACTTGTCCTTCCAAGAGTCCTCGTCCTCCATCAGAGCATGAGGCTGGCCTGTGGAGGATTCGACGCCGTTGATCGGGCCGGCAACCTGTTTAGTCGGTCGAATAGACTTGGACAACTTTTCCCTAAGCGCTTGCTCCGCCTCGGGTGTCTTGGGGGTTCTCAGACCGAGTGACGAGAAGAGCATCCTTCGAGAGCTGGCCAGGTCGAGTCTAGCTCTCTTTGGCGCCGGCTCTGTAACAGTCCCCGCCTCTTTATTAGGAGCCGTTTTAGGTACTTCGGCAGAACAAGCCACGATCAGGTTGGCCGTCATTCCAATGTCTTCAACTCTTTTGTCATCGACAACTTCGTGTGTGGTGATGTCTGCTGTCTCGTCCGGACCTGTCATTTCTGCATCAACAATAGTCTCGGCAACGACGTTGCGTTCAACTTCTGGCTCATTGACTGCGGCTTCAGCTTGATCAACATCCACGGCGCCTTGGTTTTGTCCTTGCTCGTCGTATTCTGCCAATGCTTTGAAATCCGCGTTTGCCGGCAGCAAGCCTTGCATCTTGAGAGCTTCCAGTCTCTTCCTCTTCTTGACGCGGTCGTTGTTTCTATGGGTTCTGGCCATGCCTTGACCAGGCGCAGAGGTTGCCGGGCTTTGATTGAATTGAAGATCAGTTGCAGAGACCTTGGTTGTAGGTAGTGGAGCAGGCAGAGAGTCAGGGACAGCCTTGCGTCCTTCTCGGCCCTTCTCTTCATCGTCCTCAGACTCTGAATCAGACTCCGACAATTCTGAATCAGATTCGCTGTCCTCTTCAGACTCAGAGCTAGTGTCTGACTCAGAGCTAGAGCTCGATGTTCCATCAACGACTTGCTGTGCGACTTCTTCTGCTTGAGGAGTTGAGAAGTCCTCATCGGCTTCAGAGTCTTCTAGCAAGTCACTCCCAGAAGCATTCACAAGATTCAACGCTCGCTTTTTTGCTTGCTCCATGGCCAGCTTGTCCAACATGCTGTCGGCCTCGGAACCAGAAGAAGAGGTCTCGACATCCGAGCTGGAGTCCGTGTCGGGCTCTTCATCCTTTTCGTCCTTTGTAGGTGCTCTTCTATCCTCGCCAGTGTTCGAGTCGAGTGAGTTGAAGTCCGAGTCTTCTTCGTCTTCGTCTAAATCTTCGTCATCGTCCACAACATTCAATGCACGTTTCTCTGCTTGACGGGTCGCAATGTCTGCCATCATACTGTCTTCGTCAGAGTCGGCGCTCGCCTTATCATCGTTGTCAATAATGCCTTTCCTGGGACTCTTGGCCGGCGTCGAAAAGCCCTCGAATGTGTCGTCTTCATACGGTTGTCCTTCATCGTCAATGTCACGTTTTCTTTTCAGTCTCCGTTCAAAGACACTCCGAGCCGCAGCACCGCCGCCGGCACTTGCGATGTCTTCAGCATCTCGGAGAAGAACTTTTACTTCGTCGTCGAGACCATCACCAGCTTCCTCTTCGTCATGATCCGACTCGGCATCCGCATCGTCAAAGTCTTCTCTGAGAGTGACTTGGTCAGGCTCCTCCTCTTCCACGAAATCCTCATCTTCTTCGTCATCTTCGTCCTCTTCCTCGTCGTCACTAATGAAAGGGACCAAAGCACCAGTGTAGTCTTCCTCCGACTCTGCCGGAAGAATCTGCTTCACCTTCTCGTCGTCGTCCGAATTCGGCTCTTCCGCAAGTAATCTTCTCTTCTTCCTCGGCGGTATGACGATCCCAGGCCTATTTGTCCTTCTCAGCCACTGTTTCCCAAAAGGTATGCCGTCGACGAGGTGCCTGCCGTCCCCGGTGATCTGGTGTCTCCCGCCTAATCTTCTGACCCTCAAATCTTCCGAGGTCAAAGCCCGTATGATGACTTCGTCATCTTCCCTCAGCACGGACTCGCATGTTTGATAGTGTAGGCATTCGTAAAGTGAAGACTGGTCCGCGGTCGCAGCAACTTCGACAGCGTAGTCCTCCAGTCCCCACTCGCCATCCGCCGACTCAAGAGGTACTATGTCGTTTACATCGTTCAGAAGGTCTGCGATCGTGCTGTCTCGGGATCGTGTGTGTGATGCGGGGCCGGCGCCCGTTGTGTATATAATGTGTACGGGTGGGAACGCATGCCGCTGGATCAGGAGTTGCAGACGCATGTCGAAGAGAAGGGGCGCAACTGCCCGGACCAGTAACTTGGAACCAGCGTAAATGCTCAGGGAGATCTGATATGGAATCTGGGGTACTTCATGCAAAATCTAGGAGATCGTGCACGGATGAATTGCGGTGATAAAATAATCAAGGCTCGCTCCGAGGCTGGACTTGGAGATGCAGTGAGCAGCGACTCCGCGCCAAGCATGACGCACCGCGTTGAGATCTGACAAGGCTGAAAGACTTTACTGTAAGGAGAAAATAGTTCATCATAAGTTACAGGTATCAACATCAGAACAAGCCCATACTCATGATTCCATACAGGCATTGGAACAAGGATAGGGCCTTTGCTTGCTTTCTCTGCCCACCTAGATATGTCATCATAACCAAAATTCCGTTCAACCTCAATGAGTCCGCGCAGAACGTCGTGCAGGCTTCATTGCAGGACCTACTTTTCCCCTGATGGCGAGTGCTTTTCGGATTTTGCATCTCTTCCGAGCTTCCCGAAGCTCAAATTCCCGCCTGGAGGTAAGTCTCTCGAATCTCTCCAAGTGGTGCTGGTGAAACATGTCTCTCAATAACCGCCATGTCAAGTACTGGGGACCTTCGCCTCGACCATCCTCGTCTTGTAAGGTTGCGGACGTTGCTCTCTGAAAATGTGTATCAACCACGGACTGCACTTGAACAAGGCCGCGCTCAATGAGCAATGCGACTACATCTGCCCATTCATCTCCTAATTTCTCACTGTGGGGTTCCTCTTTACATTGAAAAAGCACATTGGCCACTTTGAGGGATTTGTCAGCCAAGCAGAACCAATACAGCTTACCGTGCTCGTCAACACGGGTCGGCTCGGCGATGTTTAGTAAGATGGTCAACGTCTGGGGTGACGGTATGCCCCCGGTCTGCTCAGTGGGCGACTGGCTCCAACGACAGCCTCACAAGTTCGTCCAGATTCCAGTCGTTTGCAGGCTTCGGGGGCTCCATTTTTAGTTCCGCAGCGACAGCGCGGCTCAGGCCGTATTGGACAGCGAGCTTGAGGAAGTCACTGCTCTGTCCCTTCCATCCTGTGAACAATTGGAGAGTGTTTTCAGCCTCGTACTGGAGGGCGCTTGTGCTCGCGCAGCGGACGTTCCAGGCCGGCCAGTGCTCGACCAACAAGTGCCGAAGAATTGCTAATAGGCTCAGCGGGAGCGAAGCAGTCTCGCGCTCGTTCTTGGAGGCATAGTAGAGGAACGCAACCGCGGACGCCAATGCATCTTCTTCAACGACAATGGTCTCGAAATTGCTTACAGTAAACACGCCCAAGTTGACCAGTGCAAGGACTTGTACAAGCAGTGCGTTACACAAATACCGTGACACATCTGGTAACCCGCAAGCATACTCCCTCAGACGATCGCGTACTTCTGTGCTTTGGCAGAAGAATTCGTAAAAGGAACTAGAGTCGCGTTAGCAAGATTTCTGAGCAGACTATGAGGGACTTGCCCGTGCATAAACTCAATCCGCCAGTCGTTGCAAGCTGGCAGACTCAGCCCAGCTCCAACCTCCAGAAGACCCTTACATTTGCTCTTCAGTCGTCTCTTCATCAACGATATTCGGTACTCGAGCGATTGCCGACTGAAATCTTCTCTAGCCAGGTGCAAGGCGTAGTCTTCCTGCTCTTCTTCGATGAAGGAGAGAGTCATTATGGTCCTGTAACGCACTGGGAGCGTCATGACGAGCAAGAGTATCTTCGCCGCAGCAGCGCGATCCGAGACCGTGATCGACTCGATGATCTGCATGAAATACCCGTCCAATTCGGCTGGGATCGAGTCCAGCTTCTTGAACAGACTTGAAATGGCGTTGCCGTCCTGGAGACACTGGAGTAGGTCTCTTACCACAAGTGCAACCCACAGAAAGACTCCCGATGCCTTGTCCACGATCTGCTGTTCCAAGGTGTCGCACTCTTCAGGCTTCATGTTACGCAATTCGCTAAAGTTCTCGTCCATCTTGAAATGATCTCGCACATAGGTTGCCACGTCGCCTTCTGTTAGATCATGTAGGCTAAGACTCGGATATCGTTTGAAGCCTTCTTCAAAGATCAACCATGGTCGGCTCGAAAGGCAAGCTTTGATGTTCCTGTATTGCGATGTAATCTGGACAAAGAAATTGACCAAATCTTTATGCTGGGCTTCAGTCCCTTGATACTCGTCCAAGCCATCCACCAGAATCATGAAGCAAACAGTATCGGACGCATCCCCAAACAATCGCCCAAGTGCGGACCTCAGCTCTTGCTCGGACCATTCGTCGAGGCTGGCTTGATGCCAATAGTATGCTCGCCATCGTTCCGGGTGTGCGATCTGCATCAGATGTGGCTTTTTCTCCAAGAACTGATACAACAAAGTCCGAAGCATGCCAATCAGGGACTTCTGAAGCGTTGTACCCGCTATCCAGAAGAAGGCACTGGCCAGGAGTAGTTCATTGCTGCCAGCCCATTCCTGTAATGGAGCAGACAGCTTGGGATGTGTTGATACATAGCTCATCAGACACGATTTTCCAGAACCTGGCTTGCCCCTTATCCAGAATAGTCCATTTTGTGGTTGTTCTCCCCTGAGCCAATCGCTGAATGTCACGTCATGGTTGTTGCAGAGACAATCACCGTCGAAGATCCAGTCGAAGGTGGTCGCATGCGTCTCCGTTATCATATCCCGCCTATCTTCGATCTGAACAAAGTAGAGGCTGGCCAGCATTTTCTGAGTAGCATCTTCGGTCAGTTTACGTTTGGTCTCTTCCACAATCTCCACCGATGTCTCAGCAAGCTCAGTCTCATGCTTCTGTTGCCAGTCATGGACGGCTTGTTGGAGTGTGGAAGTTCCATGACCAACGGCACTTTTCAGATCATCAAGTTGCGTAGACAAATGACTGCAATCCTTTCGTACTGCAGCCTTGAACGCTTCTGCAGCGGTCTTGCTCACGCGGGCAATTTCCTGAAGCTCACTTTGGCGCTGGACGCTGTAAGTTTTGTCAGCTTAGAAAAGCCGCAAGACGTATCTGCATACCTCAGATACGCAACTAAGTGCAGAGTGAGCCGAGTTTTGACGGCTTCAAGCTGCTCTCTAAGTGCGTGTATCTCTCTTTCCTTTATCTGAGTACGGATGGTTTGACGCAGTGCTTTGAACCTTCTGCCGTTCAGAGCGTTGACTTTGTCGCAGACATTGCGCAACTGGACCGCCACATCTTGACAGCGTTCGTTTGCTTGCAGAATACCGGTTTCCCAGGCAGCGGCATCCTGGACTGTCTTGCTGGGCGGAGATGTCTGCAGCCGTATAGTCAGACCTTCCAGACATTTTGAGTCTGCCTCCAGCTCTCGAAAAGAGGGTAATGTTCCCTCCTGCCAGATCGTATGGAAATTGCTTGCACAACGACAACCGAATTCGACGAATTGAATGATATTGCCTGCGACGCCAATAGCCGTGATTGGATCGAGCACCATATCGCCCACTGAAGTGGCGTTGTGGGGAGTAGATTGTGTTAGGGTACAAAAGGACTGCTTGAGTGGATGCCAGATCTGGGGAGATTTGGAGGTTCACAAGAATAGAGGTATCCAGTACGACGTTTGAGCGGCCATTAGCATTTACCAGCGTGTTACTGAAAATCACAATACATTCACAATGCCAGGCTGAAAGCGAGTGAATCTCAGTCACTTAGACCTTTGTGTCGATCATTCGTGGTTCTGTCGAAGTGTATGTACCAGATTCCTGGTGAAAACAGAAATGTATGAGCAGCCAGACCATCGTCGCTTCTTCCAATTGCATCCTGAAATCGGGCGAATTCAGGCTACGCCGCATTACATTATTTGCTGCACGTGTGAGTCGGATGCGATATGTGCTTTTGTGATAAGCGATTGAGGATTGCATGTCATCCGCCTATCAGGAGTCGCTACCACTTAGAAAGGAGCCTTGAGTATGCCTTGTCTGAGAAGACCCGGTTCGTATGGCGAGATATGACAGCACACCCTAGTCAACCCTAGACACCTCCATGCCATAGTGTGGAAAGCTCGGTTAGTAGGGTTTGGGCACGCTGCTGCATCCAATAGAGCACCTGTCTGCGGAGCTGTCCGGACATGGATCAGACTAGCACAACATATTAAAGGCAACCTGAAATGCAACGTCTAATGCGAACCACCAGCATCTGTGGCTGAATCAAATGTTGTACCCTCGATATATTTTAAGCCGTCAGCCCTCGTCACCCCTGGTCATTAGATCAAGGTGAGCACACACTGGAGCCGCGTCAATCTACCATGGCTCTTTTCTCCCAGTGCACAACGCATATATGATGACATATTCAAGATGCGAACACGATAGGAGTCGCCTCATAAGGCGAGGGTGGCGACTGAGGCGGAGTCAATTGCACTTCCGTGGTCGAAATATGAACAAGCTGAGCCATCTTTTTCTCCATGTCCGCGAGCTTTCGTTCCAAGTCCAGGACTCTCTGCTCGATAGGAGGGATGTCGCCCTTGGTCGTCACAGAAACTTCGATAACCTTTTCTTCGACCTTCACCGGAGTAGGTGCCGGCGTCTCGGCCAATGTCTTCTCATTAACAACCTGAGCAACAGCAGTAACGGCTGGTACTATAGGTTGTTCTTCTTGATCCGTTCTGTCGACTGTCTGGCTCTGTGCGTTGGCTTCCTCGAGATACTGGATCGCCTCTTTCCTCACATCATACCCGAAGAAAAACTGGCAGATAGGTGGACTGTGCGGCATGGCTCCCGTGATAGGCAGAGGTCCGGAGTAGTATTTTCTGATTTCGGCCTCCTGTTCAGCAGCCTTCGCCGCAGCCTGCGGACCAGGCACGATTGGATTTGTCAGGATTTGCGTGGCAGAGACCCTCGGTAGACGGAAATTTTCGAACTGTTCTAGTCGCTGGAGAAGCTTTTCTGACGGTTTAGCGCTCACACCTTCCGAAGGAGGTACATCAGCCAGGAAGATTTCCAGTGCAGCAGCATCCTCGATGGAGGACGATACTCCCTGTGCATGGGTCAAAAGCATCGGATGGCATGCATCTCCGATCAAAACTGCCTTTCCCTTGGTCATCTTTGACAGCGGATCTCTCTTCATCTGAGTGTAGACCTTAACCTCGGGAGACTTCAGGAAGACCTTTTTGACGGCCGGGTGAAAGCCGTCGAGGACCTTCTCGAGGTCTTCGTGAGTAGCTGGAAAGTTCCAATCCTCGATAATGGCATCTTCTTCGCTAGTCGCATGCTGACCCAACTTGCGGTGAACGGCCAGCACATTGAGGATTTGGTTATCTCGGCAGGGATAAGTGACTGCCATGACACCTTTGGCTGGCAGAGCAGGGGCCCAAAACCCCGGTGGCTGGCCCTCGAACAAGTGCTTGGTTTCCTCGTCTTCGAGAATGTCTTTCATAGGAATGAGGCAACGATAAGCGGTTTGACCACTTCGTTGCATTGGCACCTCTTTCCCGGTGATCTTGAAGTTGAGCCGATCCTGAGGTAAGGTCAGATTCCACCGAAAGCAGATTATCGAGGACAACTCACATGCTGTCCGTCAGCAACAACGACCAGGTCCTTCTGAAATTGCGAGCCATCTTTGAGATGGATCATTCCTGATTCGGGGTCGACATCTGTGACTTGAGCACCAAGTCGAATAACTGTGCCGCCGGCTTCGGCAATCTCCCTCAAGTGACGATGCATATCCACTCGGTGGTAGAAATACCATTTGTTGCCGAATCGTTGTTCGATGTTGGCGAAGGACAGTGTTGATGCCATTGGCTCTAGAGTGTCTCCCTTCGGCCGACGAACCTGATAGAATGTTCAGCACATGTGCATATTGAAGTTCCAAGTTTGCTCCCAAGTGCTGCAAAGACCAAGATGTGGACTATAATTGGCCTAGCCAGTATAACCTACCTGGATATTCTCTATGCCACCAGCTTTGACGGAGTCGAACCCCCAATGTTTGAGAATTCGTCCGCCATTTGGAGGGATGGAAACAGCAGCACCATTCTCGTTTTTAAATAGCGACCGCTCAAAGATCTGAGGGAAATAAGTCAGCAAGGTTGAGATTTTGGCGCGCAGGAAAAGCAGGAACTGGGCAATCTTCACCTCAACTTTGTGACCGATCCTTCTCAGAGCAATGGCAGCTGACAATCCGGCAACACCAGCGCCAACGACTCCAACCTGAAGTCCAGGCGCAGCCGGTGTATGTGAGTCCATGGCCTGTATCGGCAGTAACCTGTAGCGACAGTAACCGGTTTATTGCTGAGAAAGGGTCGGCGGGCAGATTGACGCGTCAGTATCGAAATAAATGAACTGGTAAGGCTGCCACAATTGCCCTACCTAGCCAAGGGAGACAAGACAAGAATGGAGAGAGACGGGCACGGGCAGGCTGGGAAATACTTATCATGGGGGAGACGTGTACCTCTCATCTTGCCGGCCATAGTCGGCTGGCCAAGCAATGTTTTGTCTCTCCTTTTTGCGGTCTCAGAGACCGGTCCATTTGGCCATGATGTGGGATGTAGGCTTGGGAAGCCTCGTATCAACATGCATGGAACCTGTAATGAGGCTATCGTGGTCTAGGCGAACCTTGTCCCCGAGTCCAAGACCGAAACATCAAAGCAGCCACCTTGGCGTTGTCACAAATTCCAAGACAATTCCAAGACAATTCCTTGGGCCAACGGGAGAGTTGATGGAGTAATTGGAAGACTGTCCAAGACCCGCGTGGCTTCTGGCCATAAAGCCCGCCCAGATCTAGAGTCCATGTGGCTTGCAATTTTACGAGGAGGAAAGAATTTTGCCAGTACGAGGCCATGTTCAGAGGTTTGTTCTTACTTGGATAGGTATAGCGAGTCGGGATAAAACCACATAGCCGCAGAGCACCAATCATAGGAGTCAGGACTGATGTCACCTATGTTACTGGTGCTCCAAATCGCTAGAAGATATTTCTGAACGTTGCCTTGTAAGCCTAGACTCGCAACGCCGAGGCTGTGGGAAATGAGATCCAAGACATCCGTGGGAGACGAGGCTCGCCATTCCCTTCTGAGAGCTGAAGCTTTGACTCGATCAAATGTGAAGTAGGCTTGACGAGATTTCTCATCGAAATGCCATGCTTGAGATGATAGTGTCAAACAAGGATCATAGTAGTTTGACGCAGTGTGAGAACTTGTAAACGAAGATAAGAGGTCGTCAGCACTAACTTCAGTAAATCGAGGAGGTGGGCCAAAGTCAAGAGGCTAGGCCATGCGACTGGAGACTTTGCCCTAAGATAAGGCTGATGAATGTCGAATATGGTAATCTTAATCTCCACGGGGGGTCTTCTCGACCTTATCTCGGTAGTACGTAGTACATGATACCTTGTTGGGTCTTTGCTTGGTTGGTCTTCCTAACTTGTCATTTGTGAGGCTAGGGAGCCTCCCTGTGCACTGAGATTGGGTGCTTGGGACCTGGCGTGCCTAGGTTCTCAAAATACCTGCAAGATTCGCGAGTTCATCATAAGAACACGAGAAGCCACAGACGGGTCATGTCTCAGGAGTAATCTTCTCTTCAGGCTGAGGGTGATGCGTTGAACAGAGGCCGGATATGGTTGATCAACACGATGCCCATTGTCAATGTTTGCCTCAGGACTGGAGCATGTTGATGGTAGTCGGCTTGACTTACCCCAATGGTGTCTCTTAGCAACGTTTCGGTAAACATCCGCGCCGGGCTTCAGGAAACAACCTTCCCCCGCATGAAGTGCCCGTTCTCCAACATGTCTTCAAGGCGGGGTTTGGCACGTATATCATACATGGCATCATGACTGCTAGACAGGTGCGACGCAAGAACAGTGCCTATCTAATCGATTCTGAGGCCTTTTTCGTCCCTAATAAAGAGAAACCATGTCTCCCAAAACGCTCAACGACCTGAAGCGGAAGGACCTCCTACAGTCTAAAGGCTACATCAACGAAGAATGGGTCGACGCAGCCTCCGGCAAGACTTTCGATGTCTACGATCCCGCCACCCTCGACAAGATCGCAACACTCCCTGAAATGGGAGCGGCGGATGTCGACAAAGCAGTCGCGGCCGCACACGCAGCGTTCCAAACTTTTAAGAAGACCAGTGCCCGCCAACGAGCCAGGTGGCTCCGGAAATGGTCTGACCTATGTCTCGAACATATTGACGATCTAGCCCTGATCTTGACTCTGGAGAACGGTAAGACTCTAGCTGAAGCCAAAGGCGAAGTCACCTACGGCGCCTCATTCCTGGAATGGTTCGCCGGAGAAGCAGAGCGTGTGCACGGCGAAGTCGTCCCAACCGCAAACCTCAATCAACGGATCTTGACCTTCAAGCAGCCTATCGGCGTTGCAGCTTGTCTAGCTCCTTGGAATTTCCCTATTGCTATGATCACAAGAAAGGCCGGTGCAGCACTTGCCGCCGGCTGCACAACTGTCTGGAAGCCTGCAGGAGAGACTCCCCTAAGTTCACTTGCCCAAGCTGTCCTCGCGCAAGAAGCAGGCTTCCCCAAGGGCTCAGTCAACGTCATCACGACACTCAACACGGTCCAAGAGGTCGGCGATGCCCTGTGCAAAAGCAAGTTCGTCCGTAAATTGAGCTTCACCGGCAGTACTCGGGTCGGAAAACTTCTCGCCAAGCAATGCAGCGACAGCCTAAAGAAGCTGTCTCTCGAGCTCGGCGGCAACAGTCCCTTCATCGTGTTTGACGATGCGAAACTCGAGACTGCAGTCGAAGCTTGTATCATGGCCAAGTTCAGAAACTCGGGTCAGACCTGCGTGACGGCAAACCGCATTTTCGTGCAGAGTGGCATATATGACAAGTTCGCAGATGCTTTGACAGCAAAAGTCAAGTCTCTAAAGGTTGGGCCTGGTGTTGAGGACGGTGTGTTTGTCGGACCATTGACGCATGAGCGTGCGGTAGAAAAGGCAATGAACCATATCAACGGTAAGTCGATCACTAGGGAAGTATGTCGCGTATGGTTTCAAGATAGCTGATACTGTGTAGATGCTAAAAAGCACGGCGGACAAGTCGTGCTCGGTGGAGCGCCCATGAAAGATCTCAAGGGGTATTTTCTGCAACCCACTGTCATCAAGAACATGAAGCGAGAGATGATAACAACCCGAGAGGAGACTTTCGCTCCGGTGGTCGGCCTGTACGAGTTTGAGACCGAAGAGGAAGCCCTTGATATGGCCAACGACTGCGACGTCGGCCTCGGTAGCTTCATCATAACGGAGAACATGGCTCGAGCATGGCGTGTGACCGAAGCTCTGGAAGTGGGCATGGTTGGCGTCAATCTCGGCCTCCTGAGTGCGTGCGAGAATCCGTTTGGGGGAGTGAAGGAAAGCGGCTATGGTCGAGAAGGTGGTCGTCAGGGCATCGAGGAGTATCTCGTCGTCAAGAGTATGTTTATCAATGTTGCAAATTAGCTGGTGATTGGTAGTCATATTGTCTCTGGGCAATTCAATCATTCCTTGATTTGCCAATGTCCGATTTCTGCTGGCTTCCAGTTGTGAGTTCCTGGTAGAAGAGCAAAGCATGTCCTGACAAGAGTACCGGGGAGAAAACCCTCTCAAACGCCTCTGGAGCATGAGGGCCATTCATGAATAGATACTTCTCAGGATGATGGGGGGCCACTCCAGGTATACGAGGTCATCTGATCCCGTGAGATCTCTCAACTATCGAGCTCAACCCTTCGTTTCAAAACATTCCTTGCATCGCCCTCACTCAGATGATGCAGCCCCATATCTGCAAGGGCTTGACGCGCCGCCTCATTGCTCCGGAACACGAGCTTTTCAGCGTCCCAAAGACTCCATTCATCGGATTCCTTCATTAGGGAGACATTCGTGGCGTCTTCTGATATGATTTGCCCACGTTCATCCTCGTCGAAGCCCCAACCATCATCACCACCTGCACCAGTACCAGAGCCTGCAGGCTTAACAGCATCAAGGGAGAGGAGGAATACTGCTTCTTGAAGGCGCTTCATAGTGCCACCAATGACCCCAGGCAAGTGGCTTTCCTTTTTGATGCTATCCTCAATTGCGGACAGATCCCGCCTTAGTTGAGATGCTCCTGTCGCCGAGAAGGTGTGATGCATTAAGACGTTGTCGTAAATCTCCCGTTGCACCGTGGCACAATAATGCTTCGTGATCCGTCGCAATGGGCCTGGAGCTAGCACTCTCGCCAGGTAGCCGAGGAGCACGGTCGTGGTCTCACAGAAACCATCAAGGCTGGCCGAGGGTGCCGTTGCTCCGGCCTCAGACGGCGTCGCAGCAAGAGATGACCACTGTCCGTATCTTGCATAAGGTCCGAATGCAGCGTGCAAGTTCACGTCCAGAGCTCGGAGGATTTCTTCCTCGCTACGTTCGCGCATGCGCCGATATGCCAAAGCAGTCTGGTCAAAGAGTCCGCTACCGTCGGCATCCAGATCACCATCTGGATCATCCGAATTGATAGTAGCAGATGTTCTGGCTGCAACATCCGCCACTCTGAGGCCAGTACCGACAGAAGCGTTATGGCCGTTGCTGTCTTTTGCGCGGTACTGAAGTTCCTCCCAGAGCTCCAAGAAGAAAACATCGTCGCTCCAGTCGGACATTTTGCGCTCCAGGAACTCAGCACTGCCATAAATCTTGGCCAGCGACTCCAAGCCTTTACGACCTAAAGAGTCGCTATCATGTTGACCCGGTATCAGTCGGCCGGCTCTGTAGGCCATCAGGTATGCTTGAAGACTTCCTTGCAAATGATTGTGGTAGTCATCAAATATGGACAATTGAATCTCCAAGAGAAACTTTATCTTCTGACTGAATGACGAGAGTCCTCTGTAACGGTCGGTGATCGTCTCTAGCAAGTCATTCACTCTGATGGCACCCTTGGTAGGCTTGGTCTGTGTAGAGTCGGCATCAAAATCGACATCAACACTGTCGGCTGCGTCTCTTATCGTCCTGTAGCGAGAAAGAGCAAAATCCTTCTCCACTGCTAGCCACGGTGCGAAGTATCCGTGAACGGTCAAAATCTTCCAGGTCACTCCTTTCCAGTCCGTCAACATCCTGGGAATTGGGACGTAGCCCCATGTATCACGGAGCGCCGCGTCGAAAACCATTAACTCATGCATGAAGTGAGATAGGAGTTGCGGCTCCTGGGAGATTTGCGGCAAAAAAGACAAGCTTTTCGCAAGCACAATAGGTAAGAGCGCAGTTATAAATGCCGACACAGCATCGGAATATATGGCTTCCAAGGTCTCAGAAGACAGTACCTCCTCATCGAATATCGGCCCAAGCATATCGGACACGAAGCCACTGTGTCTTTCAACGAGATCGAGCACATGGGTGAGGAAGTATTCCGGTTTGTCCAGTCTGTTGGTGGGCTTGTCTCCATAGAAATGGTAACGAAACCTCGCTGCGAGAGGCTGTACCATAACCTCAAGAGGAAGCAAGACAACGGGCTCAACGTTTGGAGAGGGGCCGAGATTGTCTTTGCCTCCAAAAGCTGTGATCAAGTCTGGATCCTGCAATTTGAGGAGTAGCCTAACTTGTTGATCCCATCTCTCACGAATGTTGCCAATGAGATTGAGTTCTTTGGAAGGCCATTTCATCTGCTCTAAGATTTTGCGTAGATTTTCTTCGAGCACGTTCTTGACCTCGTTGTACAACTGGTTGCAATGTTGCTCGATCTCGTAAACCAGCTGCGGGGCGGCATCCTCTGCGGCGGGCTGTGCAGACTGTATCTGCTTGAACAAGCCTCGTAGTTGGACATAGGCTTGTACAGATGTCTCCGGTTGGGAGGATAGATTCGACCTTGTCTGGGTGCTCAGTGCGTTCATTTGCTGGACGATTTCGAGATGTCCTTGGGCAATTTCGAGGTTCCGCACCCTGACCATTCGAGCCTCAACCTTGCTGACCGGATCATCAGAAGCGTCTGATTGTGCCAGAAGTCTCTGTCGTTCTTGGACCTCCGCCTCTTCAGCTAGGTAGCGTTCTGCTCGTACTTTGAGCTCGCGAGAGCGATCTTCGACTCGGGCATGCGCTTCCTGGTAGCTTCGCCGGGCATCCTCCAGCTAAGAGAGTGTCAGCAACGTGCGACACAGAGTGAGATGCAAAATTTACCTGTTTCTTCAGAAGGTCCTGCTGTTCTTGGACTCGTTGTATCAAGCTGTCCAATTGATCGAGATCTGCCGCAGTTTGAATCTTATCATTCACATAGTCCTCGACTCTGGTTCGAACGTCGCCAGTCTTGGACCGACTCAGCTCCGCCATGCTGGGCGTACCGTCCTGATCAATTTGCGAATGTGAGATCTGTGAAGGGGTTCAGATTGGCGAGCAAGGAAATAAATTATGAGGTGTCCTTGTCCTCAGCATTTTCGATCCCAGCGCGTCATTTGCAGTTGGAGACGCGACCGTCCTCAAACCGATGACGACGTGTAAATTTAGTCAATGCACCCAAATATTGCCTCTGAAGACTGAAGCCGTCGGCAACATGACTGTCAAGTGATATCACGCATGTCGCACTGGCGACACTGCCGGTGCTCAACATGGACAGCCCTTCGAAGCGGCGGAAGAAGAATGACTCCAAACCTGTGTCGGTTTCGCACCGCAGTCTCGATTTCTTCTTTCGCAAACCAAGTCAACAATCTGAGTCAAACGGCCAGCCCACGCGAAATGAAGTTGTAACTAAGGCCCAACTTCCAGCTCCCGGTCATGATGAGTCCAATTCAGGACAGCCGCTTACAGACGAAGAGTTGGCCAGAAAACTGCAGGAAGAATGGGCCAAAGAGGATGCGGAGCGAACAGGGATCCAGAACGGGCACACTTCGCCCACGCTGGTTGAAGATAGGGAGCACGACACAGAAAACGACAAGGACGAATTCGTTGCATCCGTGCTTGAGGAGGATGGTGCCGCAGGTCAACTCCCCGAAGGCAACAAGAAAGGACTGCTAGGATTGCAATCCACGGCCTCCGAGGAAGACAAGATCACTTTGACTGTACCTTTCGACCAGAGTCCGTTGACATTCGAACCTGCGAAATACGTCACGGAGCTCAAGAGGAACTGGGGTGCAGATTGGGGCGATGCTTCTTATGCCCTGCTGGTCAGATGTTTCGTTTTGGTCAACTCAACACAGAGTCGGATCAAGATAGTAGACACCCTCGTCAACTGCCTCAGAGTCCTTATTGAAGCAGATCCCGAGAGCCTTCTACCTGCAGTATGGCTCGCTACGAATTCGATATCGCCACCATACATTTCTCTGGAATTAGGCTTAGGCGGTTCTGCCATCTCCAAAGCACTGAAGAAGGTATGCGGACTCGACGGTGCTGGGCTCAAAAATCTCTATGACAAGCATGGCGACGCGGGTGATGTTGCTTTCGAAGCCAAGAAGAAACAGAGCTTCACGTTGAGGAAACCAAAGCCGCTCACCATCAAGAGTGCCTATCAGACATTGGTCAAGATTGCAAATAGTAAGGGCCACGGAAGCGTGGAACAAAAGCAGAGATTGGTTGATCGTCTTCTGCAGGACGCTCGAGGACCAGAAGAAAGCCGCTACATTGTGAGGACACTCGTCCAGCATCTCAGGATTGGCGCGGTCAAGACAACAATGCTCATTGCTCTCGCGCGGGCCTTCCAACTATCACGTCCAGAAGGGGCAGACTTCCCGATCAGAAACCCTGCAGAGCTCGCTAAGCTCAAGAAAGAAGACCTGGCCGTTGTGTGGTCAAAGGCAGAAGAAGTCGTCAAAACCTGCTTCGCACGGCGACCTAATTACAACGACCTCGTACCTGGGCTTCTCGAAGTTGGCGTGTCCGATGACTTATTGCTACGTTGTGGCCTAACATTACACGTCCCTTTGCGACCTATGCTGGGCAGCATCACGAGAGACTTAAGCGAGATGCTCACTAAGCTCCAAGGACGAGACTTCAGCTGCGAGTACAAGTACGACGGGCAACGAGCACAAGTCCATTGTGACGACAAGGGTAAAGTCTCCATCTTCTCCCGCCATCTCGAGGTCATGACAGAGAAGTATCCCGACCTGGTCGCTCTGGTCCCTGAGATACGGGGCGACGGAGTCTCAAGCTTCATCCTTGAAGGAGAGGTTGTTGCTGTCGACCGAAACTCAGGAGAGCTCCGCACCTTTCAGACACTCACCAACCGAGCAAAGAAAGATGTCGACATAAGCACCATCCAGGTCGACGTCTGCCTCTTCGCATTCGACCTGATGTATCTTAACGGCGAGCAATTACTTGACCGACCCTTCCGAGAACGTCGAGGGCTCCTTCGCAGCATGTTCATCGAGAAGGAACACCACTTCACTTGGGTGAAAAGCATCGACGCCACATCTGCTGACTCGGAGACGGTCCTCGAGTTCTTTAAATCCGCCACCGACATCAAATGTGAAGGCATAATGGTCAAAGTGCTTGACAATCTACCTAACGCCGATCTCATCAATCCCGATGAAGACCTCAACGACGACTCACCTGCTCCACCAGTTCCCGCTCCCGTAACACTCAGCAAAAAGGGCAAGAAGGGCGCCAGCAAAACCAAAGCGTCCGACCAAAAAGAGGACAAAGAAAAAGGCACCCGCCGCAAAGCCCTCCTCGCAACCTACGAACCCGATAAACGTCTCGACTCCTGGCTCAAAGTGAAAAAAGACTATGCCACCTCCGCCGACACAATCGACCTCATCCCCGTGGCCGGGTGGCACGGCCAAGGCCGCAAAGCAAAATGGTGGTCTCCCATCCTTTTGGCGTGCCGCAACCCCGAAAACGGATCGCTGGAAGTCGTCACAAAATGCATTTCTGGATTCACCGACAAATTCTACCAGGCCAATAAAGAAAAATATGCCGAGGGCGGCGACAACACACTGGGAAGTATGCCTAGCTATATCGAGTCTCCATATCAGGCTCCCGACGCGTGGTTCGAGCCTCAGGAGGTTTGGGAGATGGCGTTTGCCGATATCACGCTTAGTCCGACGTACACTGCTGCGATTGGACTTGTGAGTGATGAGAGGGGGTTGAGTATGCGGTTCCCGCGGTTCCTGAAGGTCAGAGAAGACAAGAGTATCGAGGAGGCGAGTACGAGTGAGTTTTTGGCTGGGTTGTATAGGAAGCAGGAGGCTAGGATTAAAATGCAGGGTGGGGGACAGGTAGTTGGAGAGGAGGAGGACGAGGGCGAAGAGGAGTGAGCCCGACTGACTTGTGTGAGCAGCTTGCGGATCGAATGCTCTTATGCAGTTAATCTGAATTGACTTGGTGTCAAAATTGGAACTACAGTACTGTCTACCTAATCTGAGTTATCCGCCTGTAGTCCTCCGATCGCCATCGCTTGACCATCCTGGGTATCCGACGAAAGGAAAATCTCCGATTTCCACAAGCAGTCAACATGCTTCAACTGAAGCAGTGATGCCCGGGAAGCATAACGCAGCTCGAATGATAAGATGTACATGCTTGGACGTTCTTGACGACACGACCTCCTGGGAAGTCAGCCCCATCATTGCTTAATCAGCGAAACCTCTCGGCCCATCGTCCTCCTTGACGGCATCTGCAAAGCTCTTTCCCTCTTCGACCTTGGCCGTCTCTTCACCTTGGTTCGTCGCATATATAGACTCCTCTCCGCCGCCTGTGCCATTTCCGTTTGGGGACTTCTTTGGTTCAGCGGCTTCGTCTGCCTTCTTCGAAGCTTTGTCAGCACCCTCGGCTGCTTTGTCCTTGGCGTTCTCAGTAGACTTCTTCACGTCTTCCGGAGCCTCTGCTGCTTTGTCTTTGGCTTGCTCCGAGGTCTTCTTCGCTTCGGCTGCCGCTCTCTTCTTTGCCTTTCCCGAAGTCTTCTTCACATCATCGGCGGTCTGTTGCGCAGTTTCTGAAGCCTTCGACCCAGCCTGCTTGGCCGCATCTACTGTCTTATTGACTGTTTGGGCCACATTCTCTTTGACTTCGTCTAATGAACCAGTCTTGCTCTTGATTGCGTTTGTTGCCTTTTCAGCGGTTTCCTGCAAGTTCTCCTTAATCGCTTGCAAGTCGCGCTGAAATTCATCTTTCACCTTGCCAGTATCAACTTTGGACATGGTCTCCTTGGCCTTGTTGACGCCTTTCTGATACGTGCTCTTGGCTTGGTCAGCCAGGTCACGCAATTCAGCTTTCACCTCATCTCCGTCGATGACCGCATCTTCCTCTCCAATGTCCTCCGTCACCTGATGCATTTCGTCGAGTGCCTCACTGAGTCTGCGAGCAAGACCCTTGGATGCATCTTGTAGACTTTGTCTTGCAGCGTAGGCCTTTTCGCTTGCGGTGCTGCTTCGTCTTCGCTCGGTACGCTTGATGTATGAGGTGACGAAGAATTGCGCGAACAACCAGGTGAGTGGAAGGAAATACATGCAGTTGAGCAAAATGGCGAAGACTTGTCCACTGGTGTCTAGACAGTGCACGTATTGCACCTCATCTCTGTATCGTGTCTCTTCTCTGGCGACAAGATCTTCCGCAGCATGAATTGCGTCGATTCCGAAAGTCTGGCCTTGTTCATTGAGGACGTTCTCTGCTAGACCTTCGTAACCTGCAGCACGCAGCGCAGCTTTCTTCAACCACGATCCAACCCCGGCGGATGCCGTAGCAATTGCGCTCGATGCGGTAGCAGAAATGTCGCTGTTCACGCCAGTCGCAAGCTTTGACGCAACGCCACCAAGGTGGTAGATGTAAGGCACGCTGACCGGAATCTGATAGGAGATGAACAGGTGCAGAGAGGCATACACTGATCCAACCACAAATTGGGAGATCTGGAGCGTGGTCAAGGCTCGTTTGAACCATTTGGGGACACGAACGCCGAGCGCAGAGACGAGATAGTAAGTATACTACAAGCATGTCAGCGAAGTGTTTCTAGATTGGCACGTTAGCATTGACTTACCATGATGGCATGAACACCAGAATTGACAAGGACAAACATCCAGATGGGCGGAGACATGTATCTGATGCCTGCCCACATACACAACATAGCTCCCGCATGATGGTACGTCTGCAGAAGGCTGCTCCTCCTTCCCTTGCTCAGGATGATCAAGGTGTCAATGATTTCGTAGAATTTGGAGAGGTAGAAAAGCCAGCCGTAGAAAGCCAACCCTTCGTTCCACATTCTGCCCACATCTGCGGTAGCTGGACCAAGTCCATCCGCGGCCAGATGGAACAGGCGATTCGTCATTGTCCAAGCGCTGGTTGTGATGTTGTAGGTTGCTGCGTTTCCAACTCCCCTAGGGCCATGTAATTTGCAGAACGCGTCTACCGTTTCGGCCACAGTCGTTTCTTCACTCCATGCAGGCAGGGTCAAGCGAAGTGCATTGATCATGCCAAGACAGGTCCATGCTGAGTATGCAGCCAGGAAAGCGTTGTGTAGGATGACAAGAAGCTTGAAGAGTCTCGTTCTGCTGATAGCCCATGGTTTGTACTTGCGGTTTGCGTTGGCTGAGTTCATGAAGACAACAAGCGACATGTACAGTAGGGCAACCGTGATCGGTACATGCGGTGAGAGCGTCGCATTGTAGATATTGGTGGGAACGGTAAAGGGGTGCGCAAAGGTTGAATGGTTGGGAGGAGGAGACAAGGTCGTCGGCGCAGATGAAGGGGGGAATTTGAAGAATTCGGCTGGCGGTGCTGTGACTTTGACTCTGGGAGCCGTCTGGCTGAGGCCGAGCCAGTCAACAAGATCTGACACCGTACCCGACATGGCTGTGAGATAGACAGGACAGTGGTGAGACTGGTAAGAGGTCTGATCGCGTCGCGAGTTTGTTCGCTTGGGTGTGGTGAGGAGGAGCGCGATTGGTGACGAGGCCTAGAATTGAGGCATCACAGGCGCAATGCTTGTTCTTGAGGACTAGATTCGCAAGAAGATAGCGAGGTGTATTCTGTATGCGCAAGGAACAAAGTAACACCACTGAAGAGAAGATGCAGAAAGAAAACGGCAGTAAGGTATTTTACTGGGGGGTTGGTGGTATTACGTAGTCTCGGAATTCACTTCACTTCTTTTTGCGCGTTGTGTGAGAGCTTCACACGTCATTGACGCCATCTAGTCAAACAGGCACCGAAATGCACCTAAATCCTGGAAACGCGAAATCTGGGGATTATTGCCACTAAGTAAAGCCACGCCTGACGATGCTCTCACCACAACCTACCGAGGCCTGAGGCTCCAGGCTTTGACCTTCTGTCATCCCGCGGCGTCATTATCCGCACCAGTGATGGTCACGGGTTGTGCATCAAGTGGTCAATGCTCGCATTACCTTGGTGTTATTGACAAAACTAGCAGTTCTACCTACACAGTACAGTACTCCTTGACACCTTTGTCCCAGCCACCTCACAGATGAAGGCTTTGCGCGTGCGAGTTTACATACAGACCATGAAATCCGAACCCAATCACTCCATCGACGTGAGCACGCGCTACCTCCTGCATTGTTCGGGCATCGAGCACGAGCAGGTAGCTTTTGCCTTGCGGCCCATCGAGAACCACAGACAGCAGCACCCCACCGTCCTCTTCACTCAACTCAGGATCCTGTACAAATATTGGCTCGCCCGCAGTATGGCCATGCTGACTCCAGCGTATGACTGAGTGAGTTTGCGCGTCGTACTTGACCAAACCGTCCAAGAACGTAGATTTGCCAGTGTCGCTGACACCGTACATATACCTATGCTTCCTAGTGACCACCCGAGAGTTGATGACCGGAAGCTCGAACACATCAGCCTTGCTGCTGTTATACTCCAGCTCAGCCTTGCAGGTCGTTGACTGTGGTGAGGAAGGAATCGAGGGGAGCCGATATCTGCGGTAGGTAGGAACAACGTCTGAATTGGGCGTCTTCATGCAATCATGCGCCGTCGAAGAGTCGCTGACCAGGTTCTCCATGTAGAACCTGTGTATAACATCCATGTTATTATACCCTATCAGATCAGCCACAATGTCGGTTGATCCCTTGTTTGTGCTCGAGGGCTCTTCGTACGCATTGATGGTGTGGAAGCAGTAGAAGGGGTCGGATTCATATTGGGCGACTACGCCCCTGCCACCTTCTTCTGATGGGCGCTCATCGATGACAAACCACGTCGCTGGTTGAGTACCGTTCCAGGTCATGGCGTCGAGAAGATTCCTCGTCCACAAGATCGAAGCCCCACCAGCTTTGTAAAATGAGTTCCAGACGCATAACACGACGTAATGCTCCGTCAAGAACATCGAATGCAGGTATGCGGGAGTATGATTGAACTTGGCGAGAACAGATGTCTTGCCCGTAGAAGGTGAGGCGCGGAAAACCCTGTACGTTCCGGTTCGACCAAAGTCGAGGTTGTAGTTGAAAACATCTCCTGTCTCAGGATCTGATTTCGCATGCGCACCGCTTCCCACCCCAGTGAGATCAGGATGAAGAGTACTCTGATGGGCAATGCCGACAGGTTCTAAAGTCTCTGGATCAAGCATCTGAAATATATTTGCGTCGGTCTTGTTGCACAAGGTCATGGAGTCGGTGGCTGCCCGTGGGCCATTAGTCTGTTGCCCAACGCTGGAGAGACCAGGGAAATTTGCCGACATTGTCACAGCGGAGTTGAGTTCATTTGGTGCACGTTGCTCTTCCTGATGAAAAACAGATTGCACTTTCTGGAAGAATGACTTGCAAGGATCGTATTTCGCAGCGAATGTAAAGCCATCAAGCTTCCCAGTCCTTCGTATCTTTTCGATGAGCCCATCACTGGTCAGGCGTGAGTTATATGTAACCCGTACAGGTGAATCGGCCTGTGGTGCATGGATTTGAAAGCGATGTACCTGACCGAGATTATCGAACCAGTGATTGATGGTGACAACATTGCCTTTGGATGTCGTAATCTTCCTGGGTCCCAACCCTGTTCGGAAGAGTGTACCTGCTGCATATGCTGGGATCGTTCCTTCTACACGTAGTTCGACCGGTTTCCTCTCTTCGTAATGTGCATCGAAGCCAAGCGTGTTGGGCCAATCGTTGTAATGTGAGGTAGACTCTTTCATTGCTGCAACCATTTTGCCGGACAATGTCGAAGACGACTTCCTGGTGCCAATTGGGACAATCGAGAAAATGGATTTTGTTGCAATTGTGGTGGACTCTCGGGTTGAATTATGGACTTGCTGGCTTCACGAAGACCCTCCACCACATTCAATGCTTTATATATCGAGTAACCTTCAACACCAAATCGGGCTTGAGGTGAAAATTCATCCGTCGCCCGCTGTTTAAGGGCGTAAGACTCAGCTTCTTGCACCTGGCTGTGAGTAGAGCCGCATAATCGATACAGAATGCAATTCCCAAAAGAGAACAATGCGCGAAACAAATCTGGGGAAGCCTACCAGAAACTCGCGAGTTACGGCCGAAACCCTGGAACGTGTATAGGCGGCCGTGCGGAGGACACGGGGAAATAGAGTGCCGTCCTGAGGGCAACCCAGCACTTACCTTTATGTATGTTTCCTGTTCCCTTTCCCAGACACCTTTTTCCTTAGGGTCGTATCTGGAAGATGAACCACATGGTCGCAAGCCAAGTTCGTAGCGGGCCATTAGCAGCAACTCTATGACGGCTGTGAAAGCTTCAGGCAATTGTTTTGCGATGATGGTTTTGTCAGGGACTTGTAGGATGCCCCGTTCACATTGGTCACAAGAGCGTGGTTCCTGGACTCCTATTGTCATCATTAGATTCGGCCGCTGGTGATTTGCTGCCTAGAGCATTTGATCCAGCAGACACGGCATCCTGGCCGTGCCGCGAGGATACTGCAAAACGACCATCCCAGACAGAGGTGAACTAAGCGACGACTTGGTCCACAACCGTTGGATTTTCATCATATCATGAACAGTTGCAACTCGCTTGCTGGACCTTCTATTGACAAGCAATGGTCGTGTAGTGACAGATGTTCGTGAAGAAGTGAAGATGGAGTTTCTTAAGGAACCTTTTGGCGCCAAAAACGCGCTAATAGGCGAGTTACTCGCTTATTTTCCCTGTTCCGGAACTGCCTAGCGTCAAAATGTCGCCTCCAAATAACTGTAGTAATGTCCTGTCATATGCAATCATACTGCACTTGTTTCGTCAGTAATCGTGCTTGCTGTAGTCCATTTCGTTGGCGATGGTTGACTTTCAAGACCCAGACCCTGTGAGGGAAGAAGACTATGATGAAGAGGCCGACAGCGACTTCCACGCAGAGGCAGGCGACGAAGATCTCTCCTCCACGTCCGACGATGAGGCGCAAACCGAACAAGACGCAGACCAGAGACCCCGAAAGAGACGGAAAATAGACAAAGCCCAGCAAGATGAGACTCTGGACTTCGACTCAGGCGATGAGGCAACGATCCGCGAACAGAAGAAAAGTCACAAGAAACAAAGAAAACATGGTGAAGGCGAACCAGATGAAGATGGCAATGAATCAGACGGATGGCGGGCGCGAACCCGTGCCATGAGAACTCAAGAGAAGGAAGAGCGGAAGCGAAATAAACTGGCCTCGATCAAAGGAAGCACCATTGATGTCGACAAGTTATGGGAAGAAATGAATCGACCAAGACCGTTACCTGCACCTGATATTGTTGGCGATGATACAGGAGAGGCAGACGTTTCAAAGAGATCAGGTATCACAACGACAGTCACATCCTTAGAGCCGGATGCGGATAAGGAGAATCTGTCAGCAAGTGGTCCAGCAGAAGAGACCATCACGATCAAACGAACTTACAAGTTTGCTGGTGAGGTTCATGTGGAAGAAAAGACGGTCCCCAAGTCCTCTGCAGAGGCACAGCTTTGGCTAGCACAGCAACAGTCCTCCAAGACTCCGGTTTCTGCAGCCGATGGGCGGGTGGTCCATCGGCCTTTACGCAGAATATCGCGGTTCGACCCGAATTTTAGCAACCTCGAATCATTCAAGGCTTTATGGGCGGACAAGAATGTGCATGCCACAACCTATAAAGGTCCGAAGCTCAATGTGGTGGAGAAGAGCAAGATGGACTGGGCTGCGCATGTTGACACTGAAGGGCTGAAGGAGGAACTGGATACCCATGCCAAAGCAAGAGATGGCTACCTGAGTAGAATGGACTTTTTGCAAGGTGTAGAGCAACGCAAGGAAGCAGAAGCTAGAGCTGCAAGGCTAAAGGGCCATTGAGATGAGTACAGGTACTTGAGGTGCTACCTGGTAGGTGTTCAACATGTGTGAGTGAATATCATGTGCAAGGCATAATTTTGGCTGACAACACCAAAACACCTCGTTTCTGAGGATTTCCTGCACCAGCACCCATTTCTTCTCTCCGAACTCAATCCGTCATGGTTTTCACTGCCTTGCCTCCCAATCCAATATTCATGCTGCACGCCTTCTAGCATCCTCGCCAGGGTGTCTGCTCTTGCCTCAGTTATCTGAGTATCTCTTTCCTTCCTTCAAACCTCCCTCGCGGTCCCAGTGGGAATCTCTTTTATCAAAGGCTCCAGTTCTCAAGTCCTTCTGCGTCTACGCCCTCCTCTCCGCCACCGCCCTTTCACTACCCTGATGTCCAAATATGAGTGATACCGAAAGAACAGTGACTGTGGAGTCCACAGTGACTGGTCCTCGATTGCACTCGACTCCCGACAATACCCCTAACACAGGTCGATTTACAAATCAGGTGGTGCCAGGATCTTCAGTGAGATCGCTGAGAAAGCCTGTCCGCCTGTCCAAAAATCCACGCCGACCAGCCCTATCCGCCACGGAATCGACATTATCAGGCTCAAGCACCTTGCCTTCCACACCTCTTGATGACATCCCTGAGACATTATGGCCACAATGCGTAATCCGCACATCTTCAACCCCCGAGACGAGCGATCCAGACCTCTCCACAGACCTTTCTATGGAAGAAATCACATCAACAAGGCTTTCCGTTGACGAACAGGAGATCTTGACAACCCTGCCGGAAGATGTACCTAAGAAAGGATGGACTTCGGGAAAACGCATAACGAGAAGGGGGATCACAGACATCTGGGAAGATCAGGGAGATCGACTCAAGCAGTTGACTCAGAGACTCAAAGATCTGCCTAACGGCTTCTTGACACTCAGGGGTCGAGGGTCACCACCAGCTTCCGACAAGGCAGGCTCACTACGTCCACGTATCTCCGTTCCAATGCTGCCGCGACCAGAGATCACAACCGAGCTCTGCATCCCCACGCCGCCAGACTCAACTGATGGCAAGAAGGATGATCGACTAGGCATGCTGGTTGGTGTCCGAAGTTCTGCATTGTACAGTGCTGACCTCTCGATGAACAGATGGATTATGAGGGGTACCCAAGGCAAGTAGAATCGAGCGAAGAAGAGGCTGACAAGGTAAGATCCCTGAAACATTAACAACGGTACGAGCCTGACGAGATCTTAGATATCCTCTTTGATCCGAAGTGATCTACAAGACGTCATGAAGCAGGAGCGGAGCAAAGGGATTGCAGTTCGAGTGCCTGGGGGTTATGGGCCTGGGGGCTATGAGCCTGAGGTTTGGGTGTACCCCAGTATGCATAACAAGTCTAACTTCCGCAGCGTTTGCCATCTCACTTTACCTCAGCCCCGACGTATACGTTCGGAACATCCTCATCAACAACCGATTTCGCCTATACAGCAGAAGATAGGCTACTTCGTGGGCGACCCTTGAGGCGCTTTGGCCGCCATGCAGCAAGACATTCGTTAACAGGAAGTGTGGAAGAGTTGCGGAGTCATGCTTTCGGTACACGAAGGATGAGCCGACCCTGCACATCCAGCAGTAACCGCCACAGTGTTGCATACACCCTTCGCCAGGCGTCTCGATCAGGCTCAAGGCCGGATACCAAGTCTGAATCCGTTTCATCGATCGGTGGAACGACTATCCCCCCTGCGCGAACTGTGGCATATACAGATACCCCAAAGGCGTGCTATGACTTCACCTGGGAGAATACTCAACCAAAAAACGCTCGCCCTCCCACGTCATCTACAGTGGCATCTGCCTCAAGAATGGATAAGGATGAAGTGTTGCCTCCGATGCACCTTGAGCTCCGACTTGGAGGTGATCTGCCAGGCTACGATAAGATTCCTTATTTTAGCGCAGTACCACGACCTCACCATGAAGCCCTCTGTGGCTCTGGCATCGAAGACGTTGGAATGCATGCCTTGCTGAAGAACAACAGCCCGACTGTGTCAGAAGTCTCATTGCATGGGCGGACATCTGTTCAATCACACCTGGACAGAGAAGCCTTCATCAAGGATCAGAATAGCGAAACTCCTATGGATACTCGTCCTCCCAGCAAAGGTCGTGGGATGGTTTCCAAGGTCTTCTTCAGTGCTTGGTCGGCGCTACACGGCTGAAGCAGTAATGTCACCTCACGAATTGGGATGGAGTATTGAGGAGAGGGAAATATGATTGGAAACGAGTATTGACAGGATGGTGGTGAATGCCAGCAGTAAGGTTGCCGGGAGAAAGAAATTGGTGATTGACGAAGTGCTGCTCATCGTTGTGGAGGTCAGATATTGACGCTGCCGACAAATACTGTCCATTCCGCACATGCGATGAGCATATCAATCTTGTCTTGAATAGAGTCTTGCAAAGCCAGTTGCCCTTGGTCGTCTCATGATTGACTGATAGAGTACGAAAGCACACTACCATAACATGGTTCCCAAGTTTCCTGCTCCCCGCATTCTCATGATATCTATCGCTCTAGGTTTGTGCGGTACCGAATGCAATATCAAAAGCAAACCAAGTGCCGTAATTCTAGCCAGCTTACTTCCTCCTCTCATAAAGCTATGGTTTATGACTTGCAATGTCGACAGTCAAACCAACAGTATCGTCCCAGCGGTCTCGGATTTTCTGGGCAATCCCTACTGAGCTGAAGTAGAGATCCATTCGGGATGTGGAATAATTCTTCATTGTATTCCATCAGCACGTAATGATGAACAATCGTTGTCCAGGTTCTCCGCTCTGGTGCCGTGGCATGTTTGTCTGATGTTCGTTTAGTGTCTTCCCAACGGCACCTTCGTACTGTTCCGCGAACTGGGAAGTTCTTGGGGTGATGTTGCACTCCAAGGATCTTTCAGTCATCGTGGGTTTCTGGCCAAGAGACACCGAGAGGAATCTGTGAGCGAGACGATTGGCCGACGACGTGGGTGAAGGCGAAGACGAAGACCGCGCTTACTGATGATATGCTCTTGCTGATCTCGTCGCCAAAGGCGATATGTCAGAGGCAGAGGAACTCTGCCGCACAGAGTCGTGGACCTCCGCAACTCGGTTTGGCTCAAGTGAGAAGTGCAGGCCGCGTGATTGATCGCAAGCAAATCGTGAGCACGACCCTCCAGATGCTCAGGAACCTAAAGCGGTTAGCACGCGATTGCCATGCGACACATATGCAACTCACGGAAGTGCACTGAGCGATGGTGTGATTGCCAACTTGGCAATAGCGGCAGCGATTGTGACCCTCAGGGTACTCGCATGTGACTCGCTGGCCAGCCTGGCCCTGACCGTTACCGGCAGCAGCATTGGCTGGCTGGGCGCAGAGGCGGCGGATGCAACGCTGGCACGGCAAACCACGCTTGACTCGCTTGCGAGCCTTGCGCGACGGGGCGGGAGCATCATCAGGTGGGCCTGCCGCAAGTCAGTTGAAGAGTCGCATGCGATACGCATGTGAACCTACCTCGCTTCTCACCACCACCGGGAGCACGACCACCACCTGCACCTCCGGCAATGCTGCCGAGACCGGCGACCACAGGCGAAATCGGCAGCACTTCGTGACTCTGCCTTTCATGAAAGGGTGTGTGTTTGCATGGCTGGCGGAGGGACAGTCGGCGACTGGGTTGTTGCAAGTGTACGGTCTCTCCGTGACCCGATTTGCATGGCTTGAAGCCCTGTTTGCAGGGGGGAGCACTGTTCAACCGACTGTATATATCAATAGATACCCCGAGAAGCTCTGGGATCTCCCCTACCCAGGTCAGTACTTCCTGTGGTAGGCGTTCAAGGCTTCATGTTCATGTTCATGTTGAAGCTAGGGTCCCCATCTTGATAAATGATTCCAGTCCACGGTGAGTGTATATAAATGTATGTTGAAGGCTGGCTCGTGGACGGACAGATATCATCGGATGTCTTCTGCTTCTTGTCAATCCTCACTTCTCTCAGCCTGCCTGGCTGTCGCCAATCCAACTGCATGGCAAGGTTGCGCTCATGTTGTAGATTCTGAAAACAAGACTTCATCCGGGGCTTTCACACCCTCATCGATAGTAGAGACAACTACCTGGAAAAAGATCCTGACAGTGGGATCGACAACTGGGGAGTCCTCGTCACGATACGAGCCGATCTTCAAGATCTTGTTCGGAAGTGCTCCTCCTTCGACCGCCAGCGCATCCATCCATTTTCCATCGGATATAGCATGCATAGACATGGCATCCCAACCTGGGAGACTTCTCTGTAGATAAGAGATGCCATTTGAGAATCCAACTCCACAATGGCTGAATCCAGAGGCATGGGTGACATATGCATTGCATATTTGAGTGAAGATGATTTCACCAAGCCATGGCTCAGTTGAGTCTGCACCGCCTCCCGGCGCAACTCGAACCTCATTCGGAAACGACGCTCAAAGGCTGCCTGCAATGGATTCATCAGGTAGTTGGAGCTGGCAGTCTTCTGCCTCTTCTGGCGCGATAGCTCGTCTTATGCTACTGCGCTCTCGGCACATGCTTCAAAGTGCTCTCGCCGTGGTCGTAATCCAATGGCGAAACGAACAAGCATGTACCCGCTTGACCATCCTCACTAGGGCGAGGCCTTGGGCTCACACCTCCACTCGGGATGTTTCGCAGCGAGGTTGGTGCTTCACCATACAAACACCGGTGGTGGAAGACGACTCCGGTAGTATTACCTTCTTCCGCGCACGTGGAGTGGTTGCCATCAATGTCTCGTCGACAAAACGACATAATTTCTCGATCGATGGTGGACCGGTAGAGTATCGGCAATGATATGGAAGCTCTACTCCCACTGATCACTGATCATCGTGGCTAAAGCGGTCGTGAGCAAAGTTTCGTGCCAGACTGGTCGAGGTATGACACGAAGCGGCCCCATATACCGTTGCGGCCTGTCGTGTCCCCGGTATAGTTGAGTTTTCCCCTCCTGAACACTACCTCGTCACTGGTTTGCGGCCCACAGGGATAGACTGAAGCGAAATATCATGCTTGAACAGACCATATCGAAACCCATGCGCAATGAGCATGAGGATGACCTCGACGATATTATAGGCGAATCTCCCAGGGTAGAAATAGTTCGAGTGCGGCCCTCCTTACTGTTCCTCTGTTGATGTTGGCATAGATTGATACAAGTAGGTAGATAGCTAAGGAGAAGAGGCCTAAGAAGAATCGTACTTCGTACGCTTCTCGCAATGAGTCGTGATGAAGGTAGTGATATATATATATATATTCAGTATAACGCTCGTTGCTCTGAAGAGATGCCGCGGCGTGACCATTCGGATTGATGGCAGGATCTTCGAGTCCAAGCTCGATAGTACCTAGCCATGTATAGATTGGAATACGCCAGTACTTTTATATGTGCCCGGACCTACTGGTAAGTAACTGCGACAATCATGGTCAAAGGAAGATCCGAGACAAAGTTGTGTCACAATTCACGAAGACGTTTGTGAAAGCGTTCTCGGGCCATGATTACACGACATTGACGAAGATATTGAACGTACCTGTCCTCCCTTAGGCCATCTTCCACGTATGAGTCTACCGTCCTTCACGCCCGGATTTTTCCAGCTGGTAAGACGAGCTCGCCCATGGCCCGCGACTTCCACCCCGATTGGTGACTTCGAGACATATTATCATCACAGCGATACCGAAGGTGAAGGTCGATCCTGAGGAAACAGGCTTCACGTCCGGTGAAGAAGAGTGGTGCATTGTAGGGTATCATCAATAAACCTGACGACCAGCTCCATGTCGGTGCCACTCGAAGAGCCCGGACTCTTCGAGTGATATAGCGTCTGCGTAAGGAGGGAGGTGAGAGCATAATGCGTGAGGTAGAGACCCACGGTTTCCACCCGATGTCGACTCATAGCATGTCAATTTTCTGACGAAATGCAGTGAGTATACCCCTTGCTAGTGCTTCTACCGTGCCTTCTTTGTTTCATCCTTTTCAATCTGCAAGTCGAACTCCTTGTGCTGCTGGTCCGAGCCATCTGGCATACCTCTCCATGCAATGAACCTCACTATCCATGAACCGAGATAGATGAGTGTCCGGAACACCCAAACACCCAAACTAGTCTGCGGGACGAAGATGTACGGTGCATAACCGCCGAGGGGTATGTTTTGGGCGTCCTCGACATATGCGCGCAGTCTCTTCTCATACGCGTCGAATGCTGCCGAAGACCGATATCTTGAAATCTCTTGAGCAAGCACATGAGCACCCATTATCGCGAGCTGATTTCCTTCGCCCGTGAAAGGCGTTGGAGCCCATGCTGCATCGCCAACGAGCACGACCCGATCCTGAGACCACTTCTGCAGTTTTACCTGCATGAGCTCGTCGGAATAGAAGTTCTCGGCTTTCAACATCTCCTCGATGACTCTTGGTACCTCCCAGCCCAGACCACTGTACAGCTCGGCAAGGGCTTCCTTCTGCTTCATTCTGTCGCCGACAGCGTTCGCTCGACTGAGTGCGGGGACATTTTTGCCCACGTGGATGAGGTAGACTGACGTTACGTCGGACGCTTTACTGACTGGCCTCATCCACACCACTTTTCGGCCCGGGAAATGGCATAGTCGAGAATATGGCCAATCCTGGTCCTGCTTGGGAATTGAGAAGTACGCAGTGTATGCGCCAACAGCCTTGAAACAATTCAATTCTTCAGGCGAGCCCATGGCGAGTTGTCGTGTGCGCGACTTCACACCGTCAGCGCCAACTACCAGATCAAATTCCTCGGTCTTTACGCTCCTGGTAGGGCGATGTGCCAAGTCAACAATGACTTTGTCCTGCGTTTGTCGTAGACTTTGGATCGTCGTTTCAAACAGGTATGTGACATTGGGGTGTGCGTCGGCGGCTTTGTACAGAACTTCCGTCAGATCACCTCGCATGAGCTCGAGTTCGCCTGTTGGACTGATCCCGCCAGCCTTAAAGATGCCGTAGGACCTTGAGCGTTGATCGACGAATTCGGCGCCCTCTTCGCCTGTCTTGACGGATTCGAGGGTGTCCAGGACGCCCATGTGCCTGACGACTGATAATGCTGGTTCTTCGATTTCGATACCCTGGCCGGCTTTTTGCTCGGCTTTGGATCGCTCGACGACAGTGACTTGGAAATCAGCTTTGCCCAGGTAGAAGGCCACTATGGACCCGGCGACGCCAGCGCCGCATATGAGGACTCTTTCTGGCATGATTGGTATGATCACTGTTGGCTATTATGGTTTGTGATGCAAGGCTGAGAGATTTGTGTCCGTTGATTGTGCAAGATTGGAAAACTTGACATTCGGCAGGGCAGATGCTGAGAGTCTAATCCTAATCACATTGGGCTTTCAGTACGGCAGCCTAAACGGGCTTAAATACTGTGCATCAGAAGTTGGATGGCAGCCTGGAGGCTTGTCTCCCCCTGGGCGATGTAACAATTTCAAGCCATACAGCCAATCATGTACGTCATCATTGGACGGTACGGGCACAGAATGCAGTACTTCGGACCCGAGTTATTGTGATGGCATGCGATTTGTTGATACTGTTGAGAAACATTGGCAGCAATCAGTTCGGCCTACAATATCGGTCCCATTCTGCGCGCTCTGCATGTACGCCAATGCAGGAAGTTGATACGACCCCCAGCGAGGAGGTTTCGTGTGAAGGGAGCTTAGGTAAGCAGGATCTGTCAATGGTGCAAGGCTGTGCTGGGCCGGCTCCAAATAGGGGGAAGCCTGGGGGATCGCATTCGCCCGAGTTTATCTGCTTGGCACTTCTGCAACGCTGATTAGCCTGTCGTGCCTGTCCAACGCGGCATTAGTTGCTATTCAACACCTTATCTGCCCTGCCCGGTGGACTTCTGTCGAAAGATCGCGCGTCACCACGCCAGGGCAGGAACAGCGAAGGGACCATCTTATAGGCAACAACGACTTACTTTCGGGGCACTAGGGGTACTGGTAGGTGCCCAATATGTCGCAGACCTAGAACAAGGTGATTTCGGGTTATCGCGGCTCCTTTACCAGCCGAACCTTCCTCATATGGGTGCAACACAATGATTTCACCTTACTCCCTTCTCGACGGGTTTCAATTTTATTTTTACCTGCATGAATCTATCTTCTGAATGACAGAAAGCCGACCCGAGCTTAAATCATCAAGATCCTCTCGATTTTAGCATACATTGCTTCATTGTCAACACTTTTTCATTGCTCAGACTGAATTCCATCAAACGGAGACCGCTCTGTTGGTACAATTCCAGCATATCTCCTCCAGGCCGTGGTTCGCATAAAAAGTACAAGCTATGACATCCGACTTTAGCGAATGGATACTGTGATGAGACAGCCGCCCCGAGATATGCGTGAATATCTCACAGGTAACAATACAAAATCCGAAAAGAGGGACATCCTCGTCAACCATACCGGGTATTCCTGAATCTCCCTATCAACTGCGAGCTGTGAGATTCGAGGTGAATCACCCCTCCCAGTAGCTGACCCCTACAGGATCGGGAACCCATTCTTATCAAGCTCGCCGACCCAGTCCGGGTCATAATATTCACTGCTTTTGTCTAAAGTGGCCACATATCGATTCCCTCGAACGCCAGGCTTTTTCGAATGTGTGTTTCTGATGTGGCTCTTGAGGTTGTCGGACCTCGAAAAGAGCGTGTTACATTCAGGCACCCAACACTTGTACATTGGATGGTCATGCTTTTCATGAACGCTCTTTTCATGTCGCTTCTTGTGCTCTTGACGTTTGAATTTCTTCTCGCAACCAGGATAACCGCAAGCATACTGGTTCTGGCCAATGATCGGATCACAATGCATGCCTGACTTGCTTGTGGTGGATTTAGACCTGGATTTAGAGACACCGAGGGGACGTCTACGTTCATAATCACGGCGTTCAAGCCGGTCATGACGTGTCCGCCGCTTCTTGGTCTCACAGAATCTCAGAGCCTGTTCCACATCACTATATGCACATATGTCGATGTCATGCTGTGATGGAACAATCGATGGCGAGACCATCGACAACGGGCTGCTGCTCAGTATGGCCGATGAAGGAACATGTGCTTTCACTGGGGTCGAGGGTTCCAGCTTGTAGCACGGGGAGCTGGGCAACATGTGCTGGAAGGCCACACTCGGCTCGATGGTCTCTGTGGGTGGCGCTGTATGACTCACAGTCCATCGCAGCATGTCATTGTCTGCTCCATGGCCTCTTGAGATTGTGCAAGGACCGTCAAACATCGGCTTGGTCAAGGATGGGTTCGAAACAACGTTGCTGATAATTTGACCCGCGGAATCGTATAGGGATTGACCAGGTCCAGCCAACATCATGTCTGACACGCCGGACACATATGGCAGACAGGGAGACGACCCGGCACCACTCATCCACATATACTCTTGAGGATATTGATCATCTTCTTGAAAGTGAAACATGTTTTGACAGCTTTCGAGGTATGGTGATGGCTTCATGTATTTATGGTAAGTCATCATTCCGGAGTCTGCCATGATGGGTGTTATAGGAGTCTCATTTCTCGTGGGAGGGGTGAAGAATATGCCCGGCGAGGTCGAACTGCTGCAAGAACCTAACGATGAACGTCGTTGACCTTGAGATCCGGCAATGGATGACTCGGACGAGAAAAAGCTGGACGCGAGTGAAGGACAGTCTGCCATGAAGCCCAAAGGAGACTCTCTTTTGGAAGTCGTATCGACATGTGGCAACATCTGAAAGGGGCCTTCATCGATCTTCATATGGTCGTTGATAGGGGACACTGTTTCAAACGCATCAGCATGTGTGCACTGTTTGCAAGTCTGTTGAAAATGGCCTCACTGACTTTCCATAGACGTTGCTACATACTCTGATCCCATCTTGGCTGGATTCATGGTGCTGGGTAATGCAGAAAGACTGGAGACGGTGTCTTGTACGACGAGAACCTGGGAAAAGGCAAGTCAATATCAGCACTGCCAATTCCCAATGAGGTCAATACGCGATGCGCGTTGTCTTGGAGAATGCAAGGTGCTGGAATGCGCTTTCCCAGCGAACGGCTCGCGGAAATATGGCCTCAGCTCCGCCCACTCACAGTACTCAAATTCGGGAGTTTCAAGACAGATCCCTCAAAAGCATAGACTCTGAATTCCTGGAACGGATGGAGAATCGGACAGAAGAGAATCTGATGGTCGAGTTCCAATGCAGTGGCGTGGCAAGACCCATACCACGGCAAGGGATGCCTTTTGCTCAGTTTACGCAGTCATGGAAAGCCGTTTGATGCGAAACTAGAACGATCTGCCATGAAAGGGTCTGTTCCTGTCCGATCAGATTTCCTACAACTCGATACAGAAGGTTTCGGCAACGGGTCCCTCATCGAGCGCAAGGGCACATCATGTTCCTGAAGTCAATCAAACTATCTTGACTACCGCAGGTACACAGTTTCCCCGATTCGTGCGCAACACCAGTGGAAGTAAAAACTGTGGTTCACTCGCGACCACCAATTCACAACGAGACCCCGCTCCTGGCAGCCTCGCAAACCTTCTCAACACTCCTATCGATAATGCGATGATCACTTGCATTATCAATTAAGTGCTTGCATGCATACATGTGAGCCAGGATGGAATCATTGCAGCACGTCAGACTTGCAGGACGGAGTACTCTAGCCCCAACAAGCAATCGGTGGCTAACGGCCAACAATGACATCCTGGTAAATACTCCAAGCATGAGTATGATATGGTAGCCTGCTCTTTTGGACGACAAAGCGCAAGCAGCCTGTTCGTATTGAGGAACTGGTGGAGGGTTCATGCATGTCATCGGCTTGATACTGACCTATTCCTACTGGATATGCAGACAAGGAATGTAGTTGAATCTGGATTTCCAAGGTAGGTATACGCCGACTACTTAGGCGATCAATTGGAACAAGGATGTAGGGGAATGAGTCCAACCAATGGTTACAGAAGCCTTACGGAGTACGACAACCCCAGGTTGGGTTTTCTGCGTCTACGATCCGAAATTTGCGGACAGGCACCATTCCCAAAATGATGCCTCTCAAACACTGATCAAGTCTGGCATGCACACCATCATCTTGTCGACATGCTCGAATTCGGTGCAGGTAAATGCGCCGGACTCGCTTAAAACTGCATCGGGAAGGGAGAATACGCCACCAGATGCAGAGCACTGACCACACTGCAGAGACATCCCTCCCCCAAATATGTGTCAGAAAGCAAGCGATGAGGAAGGCGGCATTGTCATTGGCCATGATCGTACTGCCTGCGAAAAAAGGCTGTCTTTCATGTCGCAAACATATTGAGATACAAAGATGCCTCGGACCTGATCCAGGATATACCCTGGTTGTTTCCTCAATACTGTTTACGAGCAGATCGCGATCACCTCTGGGCTCCTGCTACGAGTACGAGTTGTGATGCTTTGCACAAAAAGCTGGTCTGTGGTGATGTCAATGAAATACCAGGCAGATATGTTCCAATCATGCACGAGGTTGGATGTTGTTTGCATTTTGCATTGCTTCGTCAAGGCCATCGCTGCAATGCAATGCAACTTTGGCGAACTGTATGCGAACAGCGATCGCAGAAGGACCGAAGCGGCCATTCTGCCGTTGACCTCCCGAGACCGTCCGACCCGCAAAAAGACTGCAAGTCCGCCACCTCACTTCAGCTTCTGGTTGTCCGCTCCCCGGAATCGTGGCTGCATCTTCACTATTACGGCATCTCCAACACGATTCGACCAGGTATATCGCCCTTCTCCAGCATGTCATACACCTGTGGCAGGTCCCGGAATGGTCGGATTTGGACATGGGGTTTGACCTTGCCGTTTCGAACCAGCTCGACGGCTTCCAGAGTTTCTTTCAGAGACCCTACCAAATTTCCCTGGATTTTCAAGCCCTTGATCACGATTGTGGCGACCGGTGTGTCCAGACACACATCGCCAGGCGGGATACCGACAAGTGACAAAGATCCACCAACTCTGATCATGTCGGCCAGTCTACGAAAGGCCAACGGGTGCCCGCTGGTAACGACCGCGGCATGAGTGCCCCCACCACCTGTAATCTTTTGCACCTCCTGTGCCAGATCCTTGCATTTGCTGAAATCCAGAAATCTGGCTCCCAGGGACTCGATGAACTGTTTCTTCCCGCCACCTGCGTCGATACCCAGCACGTTCGCACCTAGCGCGAGGCCATATTGTACTGTTGAGGTCAGTCTTTGCTTGAACCGACATTTTGGCGAAGACTTTCGTGACAAATACTCCATACGTACCTGCGAAATGCCCCAGGCCACCACCCGCGCCAATCACAGTCAACCACTCCCCTTGTTTGAGGTTCGCATTGACGACAGCCTGTGCGTTGCACGCATCCCGTCAGTACTGTTTACGTCCTCTTCTCAAATATATCATGACGATTGGAACAAAAACGTACCTTGTATGCGGTGACGCCAGCGCACAACGAAGGCCCAACTACAGTTGGGTCGATGTCCTGCGGTAATGTCGTCAAGTACTTTGTGTCGAGCACGCAGTACTGCTGAAAACTCCCATCCTCGTGGTGAAGATGGTTCGTCGAGTTCGTGCAGTGTTGCTCGCGTCCTGACACGCAGTACTCGCACTCATGGCACACTCGTGAGGCGAAGCGGATGCCGACCAGCGTGCCGAGCTGGAGATCCTTGGTTGGCGAGAGGTTGGGCCCGAATGCAACGATACGTCCTACTCCTTCGTGGCCTCCGACGTGAGGCAGCTTGATGTTGGTAATGGGTTTGCCGTCGGCGCCTGTCGCTGTGCCTGCTTTCGTGTGGAGGTCTGACGAGTGCTAGGTGAGAATGTGCGTTGATACTTACTAGGAACATGCAATCGGAGTAAGGCAGACCAAATTCGCCACTTGACTACGTTGTGCTCCGAGAATGAGAGGAGAGCAAGAGGCTGCAAGCTTACCACTTTGACAGACACCAGTGTATAGCACTTTGACCAAGATCTCATCCTGTCCAGGCATGGAGACGGGGTATTTGTCGTCGAAATCCACCGGTCCGCCCTGCTTAGGCACCAGGGCCGCAATTTGTGTCTTGGGAATCGATATTTCGGCCATGCTGCGAGCTGTTGGGTCGAAGAAAGATATGCTAATATGCTGCCAGTACTGAGTCTGATCGATGATGGACGTAGAGGGATATTATATATTTTGAAGCTGAACTGTTTTTACGACGAGGACAGCAATAGCTATGTCAATGACCTGACCCTCGGGCCTATTCCATTCCGGTGATTCAATGGGAACAGCTTGCGGGGGTGAGAGGGACACTCCCACACTACCATCAGCTTCTGAGCAGTACGATGGCAGGCAATGACACCAGCGTACAGGCTTACGGCGTAGAATGCATGCTGCACCGGCAGCCCAGCCCGTCCACGGGACAGAGCTGACCTACCGTGCGAGTAAGTTTGATTAATCCCACGCCCAACCCCCTCTCTTCCCCTCCCTCTCGCGATGTGACATATGTTGTATTTGTATGGAAACCCGGGCCGAACCCCGCATTCGAGAAAAGTACAGAAGTACGGATGGTTAGGCTCACTAGGCTAAAGGTCTAAATTAAGATATCAAGCCCACCGGCGCTAAACGATTGGGTTGTAAAGCTTGTGGTAAAGATATTTCAGTCCACTCTTCTCCATGGTATAATGAGGTGCAACATTTGCTATGCACAGCTGTTCAGGTACCATTCATGACCTAAAAATGATTGATTGACACATGCTCTGCCGGGCTGGACCTCCGGAAAGCGAGCAGGCACTCATGCAAGTGAGGCAGCAGATACTCAAACCCTTGAAGGCTGAAACATGTCATATAAACCTTAGGAGTGGTGTGGGAGGCTTCCTTACCTCGGTTGCTACCGAGTATTGACAAGGAGTGCTAACTTAGGTCTCGCTGGACCCTGCTTTCCTGCATACTCGTTTCACATTGATCGACTTCAAGAAGTTCCGTTGACATGGAGACATTGTCCATCTGCGTCTTTCGTAAATGAGAATGGCGACAGATGGGCCGAGGACCACTCCAGACCGGAAAAGTGTCAACTGTGACATGCACATCCCCTCACCTCAAAGGCCGCCTCGATAGACGTGGGGTCAACATTGCAGACCCCACGGCTTCCTCGGGAGAGGCTAACACAGGGAATGTGCCGCTGCAGGCGGACAAGTACTTGGAGAGAAATGTTCCCTGCGCAAGAACATCAAGCGAGAAGCTGAACCCTGCACCACGCTTGCGAGCCTGGCGAATCATGGAACTTGCTTCAATTGAGCCAGATCCTGGTTCGGCGGTTTGTTTGCAAAAATCCTGCATCCTCGACTCATTCCTCACGGGGCTGTCTGACAGCACATCTTTCATGGCAGGAGATGTTTGTGGATTGGTCGATGGTAACGAACTCTGGTATCTTCAGGACGAGTTCCTCATTCTTTGAAATAGACGTTGGAGCAAGCTCTCCACGCAATGACAGTCAATAGGCGGCGTGAACAGCATAAGACCTGTATAACCGCACGCCCTCAACACCTTCCGCGACATTGTTGCTGTCACACCATCGATCTCCACAGACGGATGTGACTCGTACGGAAGGATTGCTTTATGAGCTCCTTGGAGGTGACCATCGATGAAGACCGCATACTGCAGTTCCATTTTCTGCTCGGCGCCTGAGAAGTGTGCATGAAGTAGTCGTATGCGTTTTGAAACCAGGGTTGCCTCTTCTTCCTGTTCCACCACGAATCTTGCTAAAGCTGTTGCCATGCAGCTTGTCCATTGCCGCTCAGTGACCGAGGTGTCGTGGAGTATTCGGAGAGCTTCGTGACGGATGAGACTGTCTCTGCATTTGGTGGCGACGAGAAATAAGGGAGGCAGAAGACCAAGCGTGGGGGAAATGAGGTTGTGCGATTGGGCCGCTTGACCCGTCATCATGGCCTTGCAACATGTCAGCACGAAGCCAAAGTCCTCAAGAAGGTCGTCATAGCTTGATTCGTCCCCTTGCCCTAACGCATGGAGCATAATATGGGCGACTCGGTGATGAATACGCAGATGGCGGTACTCTTCTTTAGCCGTACAGCCATCGGACGGCGGCGTTCCAGCTGTTTGTAGCTTCTCAAGCACATCGCCAAATTGAACCAGTGCGCTTGAGACTTTGTTTCGGGTAGGACATGATACTGGCTTCGATGTGACTCTCAAGATGCATCTCAGGAGTTGAATCATAACATCCAAGGCGTCCTCCCAATTCCGTATCGCGTGTACTTTTGCCAGTCCATGGTCAAGTCCGTAGTAGTATGACAGCTGGGAGTCTGGTGGTGGGAAATCGTCGCCAAACGTGCATGCCTGAACGATCAGTTCGTCGACCATGGGCTTGTACACTGTGGTTACCGCATTGCATTGTTCCGAGGCAGCGCGTTTACCATTGAGGATATTATGTGCTGCCAAGATGTGCAGAGTCGAATGCGTTTTCTTCTCCGTCCATATTTCTACAGCCAAGAATAGCACACAGCAGGTCAGGATAGTCTCGATCGACAATGTGTCTGGATCGGCAGCTCGGAGAAGATTCATGGCTTTGCTGATATGTTTCAAAGCTACCAATGACCACTCTGGCCTCTTGTCTTGAGGCAGATTCTGAATTGTGGTGCGGTGTAATGGTGCTTGTATCGATCCCAGGGCGAGCAGGGCATGTCTGACGGCATCGTTTGTCTCGCCCAGCTGAGGGGCAAGTTGTGTCCAGAACGGCAAGGCGTTCAGCTGGAATCTAGCCAGGATTGCCGATCCGACATGGACGAAGTGTTTGTAGTTGAGTTCATCAATCACAGAGTCGAAATGAGGACCGGATCGAGGTTCGAAGAGGCGGGCAGTTGGAGGTCTGTAGCCAGGACACGGGAGAAAGGCTTTCGCACATCTCAGACAGCCCGGGTGGGTTTCATCACATTTGATCTTCCTAGATTTGCATCGAAGACAGCCTGCGAAGGTCTTGGGATGCCATTTTCGCTTTCGCGCAGGGTTGGCACCAGTGTTGCTTCCTCCCGAAATGTCATCTTTGATTTGCCTGCAGATAGTGGGCATGCTCGACACGTCCGATCATCAGCAGGTGCGAATCGCGGCGTGAAAACGATATGACTTCCTTGGTGCTGATTCGCTGTTGACGAACATGGGAAAAGACCGACGTATCAGTATAGGGGCCATTTGAACGTGTTGTGGAAGAGAAGCTGAGTAAATAACGAGAAACCTGAAGGTCATGATCAATGTCCAAGGCTCTAAGTTAGCATTGATCTAGGTAAGGCTGCCACGGGTTGCACGGGTTGGCCCAGGCTTGGCTGGACGCCTGGACACACTGTGACTTGGTGCCTGTAACTTAGCCTGCCCCCAATGCCCCTAAGCCCTATGAGACGGCAGAACTCGGTGTTACCGATCAGCGGAGAAGATCTCCCGTGGGCGGACATCAACGGGGGATTGTACTTCTGTCACTCTCATCATGTGAGAGGCTACAAAAGGAAATGATCGTATGTTTTCGTGGGACCTTAAATGAACCATTGCAACGACGGCACGGTTGTCTCCAAAAGCTGAAAACTTCAAAGTAACCTCTCCAGAGTATGTTTCCAGGCCGCGCCAGATCAGAATCACCCACGGCACGCATCGTTTAGGTCACCACTTTGGGCTCTGATGATAACGACAGATCATTCCTACAATGGCGAGCTTGAGTGACCTGGATCACAGTCACTGGCGCGTGTTACTCCTACGCTGAAATTAAGGAAGATGTGTTTTGTGGAAAGTCTTTTCTTTGATGACGCTGACAGTCGCTCACGATTTCCAGGCTCCCAGCACGGCGAACTGTCCTTAGAATTTCCACATCGATGTCCAGACCTTTTGTGGACCTCAATGTACCACAACTGACAACCCAAGTCCAGACATTGCAAACCCAAATCCCAAACCCCATGCGTCCAAAGCGAATGTCCGAGATCCAGATACCACCGATCTCCGAACATACTGTACCAAAATCCATATTCAGAATGCAGGCAAAACCCTTTTGTACACTTTCATGACCCCTAATCGAGCAATGTTCGATGTCAACGGTGATCTTTGTTGATATGACTGTCCGAGATCCAGATACCCCCAATCTCCGAACGAGTCAAGCTGCCAATATGCAAACTTCCACCTCGATTCCTTCATCTCCGTGTTCTGCAGACCATACAACCTTGACCCCTAATCAAGCAATTGCTTTGATGTCAACGGTGGTCGTTTTCGTGTTTGATATGATGTCTTTCCTGGTCCGAGACCTTCCAGTGGCCTGCAGAACACACCAACGCCTTTGCCCTTGTCCTCCTTATCCGCAGATCTTTCCTTTGATATGATAATGTTGATAATAATGCAGGCCTCTCACATATTGTGCTCAACAGCCTGATAGCGTACACCCAAAACAACTCTGTTGTTGTTGCTGTTGCTTTTGGGGCTGCTGCTGCTGCCGCTGCTTCTATTGTTGGCGTTGTTGCTGTTAAGAATGGTGGTCTACGCCACATACAAGATAGCAGGGTCCTGAAGTTCAGGATATTGCTGATAGGCAGGGTGCACGCCAGGTTGATAATATGCCTCGTAAGGCTGTTGTTGATACTGATAGTAATGACCGTAGTCACAAAATTGATAAGTCTCTCCCATTGGATATGGGTATGGAGCGTACTCCATTGGCAACTGCTGATAAAATTGTGCTGGTTGCTGTTGATGATCTGCGAAGGCGTCAGGAATACCACATCGTTCGAGTGGGGGAGGGTGTTGCATACATGTGAAGCTGTTTGATTGTTGCAGCGGGAGCGGCTCGAAGTCTAACGTCGAAGCCTTGGAGGACTCTGACGACAACGAACAGACAGACAGCGTTGGTGACGGTGGAGTTGGGCAGAACAATGATAAGATTTGCTGGAGGACGTCGATCACATGGTCGTGTCCGTGGTCTGCTGTTCCGTCTTTGGCGTGGAGTTCAGCTGCTTGCAAGCGTAGGTTGATGGCCGTCTGCAGGTCTGCAAGGATGTTCTCTGGGATTGCAATGCCCTCGGAGACAACCTTGTTGGCAAGGTGTGCGTAGTAGTTGACTGACGCCTTGCTGGTGTTTGTGATTTTCTTGAGCCAGGAGAAGACATTGTCGGTTGCTGGCTTGTACCCGGCGAAGATCTTGTTGTATTCTGTGCAAAAGCCTGCCATGGTGTCTATTGAATATTAGTCAACGGAACAACTCGACGACAGGGTACTAGTCAACGAACCTGTATGATATGATAAATGAGATTGCTCAAGAGAGTGTGATGATATGTCGAGTGTGCTGAGTATGTCATGTGCGTTGAGAAGGTCGAGTATGTCGAGTATGGCGATCAGATACGATTCTAGCAATGAGAGAACTGTTCAATGAGATTGTTCTCGAGCTCAAGATTCAAGAATCTGTTGCAGAAGTCCAATAGCATTGTCCAGTCTATCAAAGGTCGAAAAGTGTTGCTGGGTTCTGATCTGGAGAAAAGAACGTGTTTCCAGCCTGGGAAGGAAGTATATATACACGACTTGACACGGTCTGCCATATTTGTGAACCAAAATGCTGCGTACCTGATGACTCTTCTGCTCAAAAACCAAAGTTGTTGAGAGTTCGAGTGCGTTTTGAACACCCATCAACCTTGGTACTCACCGTTGTAAAGCGAGGAACGGCGTCAGGCATCTCCCAAAGGGAAAATGTTTTTGGAGTTGTTCCATGGCACTTGCCAGTCCCTGCAGACCGTAGACCGTAGACCATTGGATCTCCCCAGTAGTCTATGTCTCCCAATGGATATCAGGCATCCTTCTGCTCAATAGAGCATGTACCGTCAAAAGGCTCTGGAAAAGCTGGGTTTGTGGTGGCCAATACGGCTTGACCCAACGGTCGAGCGCGGAGGATCGTGAGACCGTGTAAGGCAACGGACAGCCGGCATCGGATGCTGCTCCATCCGACATTGATGGCCTAGCATGGCTCAAAGACGCGACCAACTCTGGTTGATTCTTCATTTCGAAAGTCGAACAGTGCCCGTTGTCCTGAAAGGAAACCATAGGCCATGACCAGAAGGCCTGCGAAGAATATCATCATATATATAGAGGTTTCGATGGTAGAAGAAAAGACGCATGGCTTCAACGAGTCATCCTCGATTGCAAGGGCCTGGGCGTGAATGTGTTCAGGCACAGGGTATTGACATCGTAGGTGTAAGACCCACGAATGTGACTGAACCATCTCATCTTGAGCAGAGCCAAATACAAGTACTGTGAAGGATAATGACGCCCGGAATCGGTGTGTGTCTCATCCGGGGACCATATATTGAAGTGAACCGAAATCAGTGCCTGGCTTGTAGTCAATTATGTTGGAGAGGTGAAAGTGCAGATCCATGGTCGGTAACTGGCTCATATCAGACACTTAACGGTACCGTTAAAGTCAATCGGACTCATATTCTGACACGATAAACGAAAGGGATGGTTCCACGGTCGCAACGGTCGGAACCGTGGAAATATGCTTCCACCATACACCACTCTGCAAATTGGTTGCCTATCGGTAAAACTTTATTGTCACAGCCTTGTCTTGACTCTTGCCAGCCTCGTCCACACTATTCTGCCCAATCTACCCATAGTACCCAACCTGCATTACAGAGTGGTAGGTAGTGCACATGCATAGCTGCAGGGTTAAGGCAGAATGAGAATTGAGCGTATTCCACTCGACACTCTGATGGAAATGTCGTAGATGTCGAATTTGTCTGTACCTATGTACTACCAATATCCATTACGTATACCGGCCAGTTTTGATCTAAACCGCCACGAAGAAAACCAAGAATCGTAGCCAGAAAGCCTCCCAACCCATACGCGGAACGCCTCTGAAACACCACGCCCCAGAAGTACTCATTTGTAGAACCAGTAAAGCGCCGAATACTGCACACTGAATGCCTCAGGTTGGCCACTGCACGTCTTGGGAGGATTTCCACCGGCAGTAGCGACACGGTAGACAGTCTTGATGTCGCCGACAGTGTCTGACCGCGAAGTTAGGTACAGCCAGGGCACAGCGCCACTTCCAGTGCCGTTGACACCTGCGACGGCGTTTACAGGTGCATCGGTCTGGTTGATCTTTTGAGCGAACACTCTTCCTAGATCTGGTGAGGTGGGCGCATCAAAAGCAAACACTGGTGTCGTGGTGTTGGAGAAGAAGTGGTGCGTTGATAGGGTTAGGTCTGAAGGCTCTAGAGGAGCATCTGTAGCGCTCGGCAAAGGATATTGCAAGGCCAGGTTTGGCAAGAGAGTGAGAAGATCGGGGTAGTCGGACGCCACGCATGAAGCATTGTAGAATCGTGCAACGGCTCCGACAGCGGCGGGAGTGGCCGTGCTGTTGGCGCAAGTGTAGTTCTATATTCAGTGTCAGTAACGGAGCAAACAGCAGGTTCTTCGAGATGCTCACCTGTACACCTCTTCCTAGCGCAACATGCTCCAGTGTGAGGTTGGCTCCTGGTGTCGGCAACGGTACGGGTGCGACTGGTAGAACAGCGTTGGAAAGATCACATGTCGGTGCACCTCCAGTAGCTTTGGCTTCCTGAATGTATCTGAAGACAACGTCCATGTACCCTGCCAGGGTCGGCGTCCATTCGTATGTACCGGCGGGTGTAGGTGCCGCCAGTATTGAAGTCGCAAGACACGCGAGTGGTATTAAGTATTTCATCTTGTGAGGTTGAAAAGATTAGTGGTCGAAAGGATTGTACGGTCTGGCCAGCAGATCTTTTGACAGCGATGGAAGTGTACAAAGGAAACAAATGACCCAGAGTCCCAATGCGTTGAGATGGAAGGCTGTATTAATGAAGAGCTGGTTGTAGGACCCCCGCCGACCGTTTGAGAGACCAGCCGCCGACATATATAACATTTTGAGTCGGACTGCATGACTGGACCAGGATAGGATGGTTGTCATTCGCACGGTAGGGAATTGCATATGGTAGTGTTTCTATCTTGAGCCACCAGCATATGTTATTGGATGTTTGGTGATGGTGGAGGGTCGCCAGTGGCATGGAGGTTGCACGAGGCGGCAAGGGGAGATTTGCGGTATCCTAGTATCCTTCAGAGGATCGACATGGTTGTACAAGAATAGAAGACATGTATTGGCGACAGCGGCAGTTCGGTTGGCCGACTTGCATTGACTTTGGACTGTCCTGGTTAGGCTGTGCAGGCATGACCACTCACGTTAGACGAACATGATTGTCCTTCCCGGCCGCAGTGGGCATTGCTTAGCGGCATGCTCCTGTTTCATAGCCGCCCTCCAACCGCCGCCAGCCACCCACAGTTCAGCGTTCTAGCAGTTGGCTTCAACACCAATGCATGACGTGCAGCTCAAGCGGCCACTGGATGTTAGAGAAGTCTCTGGGGTGCGAGGGCAACTCTGGCGATGAACTCAGAGTTCTTCGTGGTTTCAGAAAACTTGAAATGTAGGAGACACCATGACCAATCGACCCACATCAGGTGATGGCCATGGCATTCGTGACCGCGAAGATGAGCAGTTTGGACCGGAACGACGGCCAGCTTGCAGCGCTTACCCAAGTCTTCTGTGTTTAGATCTTGCCTACAGCCGATATTGCGCGTTCGACTCCTGCTCCGCAGAACGCAAACGTCAGATGGTGACAGTTCTAGATCCCAATGTACGGAATGAACATACCCGTGATGAAACGCTTACTATATTGCCAGATCAGGAACAGTCAAAGCCAAAATCACTCTCTTTGAGTGTCACTGGGAAAGACCCTGTGGCTTCCCAAGGAGAAAGGGTGCTTACTGTACGTAGGCCTAGTGACCCTCCCCAGCCTAGCAAAGCTCCCAAGGCCACCCGTCCAGCGCCCTATCTGGCGAGGTATGAAATCAGCTAAACCCCTGCCTATGCAGAGCCTCCTACCCAAATCCATCATCGTGCTGGTCCGCCTTGTGAGCCATTATATCGGCTATTTTCCGTGTTGCTGAGAGCTTTCTCAGCATTTTCTGTTGACAACGCTACCTCAAATGCTTCTTCGGTGGCATTATGATTACAGTGTACACAGTGCATTTGCGCCACAAGACACAGCTATCAGGACAAAGGAACATGGAATCGCAAGCTGAATGTCGGGCTGGATCTACCCAGTATCCTTGTTCGATCCTGAAACACATGGCTTCTCGAGCCAAAAGACGGACTGACCTTTAGCTCTTTGGACCGTAGTCCTGGTTCCCCATACCCCGTATAGATGCATATATAGAGATGAAAATTCCTTCGCTAAAACCGCTGGAAAGCATATGTGCCCCCAGCCCGTGTCTAAGGCAAGGGGTAGTCCTTTCAATCACACAAGCTTGAATGTAATGTTTCATCGAAAGAAGTGAAGCATCAGGAGGTATATCCTGCATGCATAGCGAGCATAACCATGTCAACGTGCTTCGTATAGCCCGGTACGAACTGGCCTGGAGAGAAGAAGTGAGGCTGAGACAGGTGCACAGGAAGCAACACACGCGACGGAGCGGTGCTGACTACCTCGTCATAGGAGTCTACCCGAACTCCTCCTGATGCCATTCTGCTCCGTGGGAATTGGGAGAATTCATTCCTGCTGCACCAACTGCGGCAACAGTTTCGCCCAGGTGAGCGGCAGTGCGATCGATATCATTAGTGCCCATCCAGTATAGCATCAGAAAGACCAACATATGCAGTGCCAAGCAGTATGCGGCAAAAAGATTGCGAGAAGTCCTTGTGGCGAGGACAATCCTAGTGAGTGAGAAAACAATCCTTTCTGGGAAGCTCATACGCTTGTAAGCACGAGTGGCTTCTCTGCCTCGGAAGGCCGCGAAAGGCGATATATTCGCCTCATATTGCGATTTCCATCTGTCCGTTGTAGTGTCATCTGATATATTCACAGAGGTATGACCAGGAGCTCCGGAATAGGATGATGAGGACGTGGTTGTGGGTCCGCGGCTGTACGCTGACACGTATCTCGACTTCTCATACAAATTTAGATTGTCTCGTTGAAGGGAGGCAACTTCTTGTCTCAAAGCAGTCACAGTAGCGTATGTTTTCGAAAGCTCTTCTTCGAGCTGTTGATTCTTCTGCTTGAAGCGGTCGCGTTGAGCTTGGATCATGGGTAGTATGCCTGACCCCCCACCCATTGGTTCTCCTGACCGCAGTGAATCTAGTGTGTTTGTACGAGGGGCCATGTCGTATCCAGAAATGATTGATGATGTGGGGGATGCTCTTCCTCGCCGTAAAGAGCCTGATGGATATCGAGACACATGAGTGCCTGCGACGGACATACCAGATGATGGCAGAATATTTGCAGCCTCCTCTTGCATTCTTAAAAGATCATTTTCCAAGGTCGAAGACAGCTTTTGAGACCTTTCTAGCTCGGCATTGGTTCGTGATAGTTCCTCTTGCAATTCGTCGAGTTGCCGTTGTACATCCTGGTGAGAGACTCGAAGAATGGTCAGCTCATTGCTCAGCTTCTTGTTGCGGGCTAACAGGAGCTGCTCTAAAGATTGCTTGTTGGCACTCTCTGCACCCCCGTTCAAGGCAGTCCCATTGGCGTCTTCATCGTCTTCGACTGACAATTCAAGCGATCGAAGTGTGTCCAGCTCCCGCTTCAGGTCTTCATAGTCCGACCATTTGTTGACTTTCGCCCGTAGTTCGTCGGTGTCATTCGCGAGCTGAGACCGCTGTCGTTCTGCCTGACGAAGTCTGTTCTCCCACTCACGCTTCTCCGTTTCTTTATCGAATCGTGCAGACTCAATCTTTCGTAGTAGTGAAGAGTTCTCAGACTGGAGCCTCAAGAATGCCGGATCGTCCTCGATATCGTGATTCGTCGTGTTTCGACTGGTAGCCCGTGCAAGGTCGACACGCATTTGCTCATTTCTGGCTTCGATTTCGGCCAGACGAGCACTGGTCTTCTCAAGCTCGGAGCTTACCATTTCCAATTCTGCAGAAGCGGCCTTTGACGCCGCGATGTCGGCAGATCCATCTTGCAGGCGCTGAGACACCTCGTAGCTTGCCTTCAACTCTTTAAGCAGCCTGTCTTGGTTCTCGATCTTCTCCTCCAAGGCTTGCTCTTTTGCCGTCCAATTACTCTGCTTCTCTTCCAGGACCTTCTCCCACTTGGCTTCGATCTCCTGCACCTTAGTCCCCGTTCCGACTTCTGCCTCTCTTCGTGCGTTGCTCTCGTCCTGTAGTCTGCTCTCTGCCTCTTCTAGCTGTGCCGTCAGTTTGTTGACCCTGGACAGCAGTTGGTGGTTTTCTGTGGTGAGTTTCGGGACTGTGTCTTCCGATGCTACAAGGGAATCCACCGAGGCTTCGAGCAGGGGGAAAGGATCCGGCGCTTCTGACAATGACTGATACAGCTGGAGGAAGGCTGAAGTTGCTGTCTTGCCATGACCAGTGATCAAATCAATGAATGTCTGATAGGCTGTACATCGTCAGCATACCATCCCACATAACAACTGGCATACGAACATTTCAGCAATGACTTGTACTCCGTCAACTTTGCAGCATCCTCTAACTTTCTGAAATCCTTTGTTTTTTGAGCAAGATCCTTCCGCTCCACCAACGCATCCCTCTGCTGAGAAACAATTTCCGAAGCGGTCGAATCGAGTTGGGGCATCAACGTGGACAGGTCGATATCTAAATAGTCAGCTTATGAGCCAGGAGCGTTCGGGTGTGCTCGTACTTCGCCATGCTGAGATAGCCTTCTGAAACTTATTCTCAGCCTGTCCGCTTGATATCTCCTCAATTTCATTGTCGTTGCTTGGGGCGTCCGCCCCTGTAGCGTGGGCCTCTGAAACAGCCAGCGCGTCCATCACGCTGAGTTGCAAAGGCTGCTCATGGGAATGCGCGTGAAAGCGGCTTTCATAGTCGAGGAAGAGAGTCCGAAGTTATAAGGTCTAAACGATCAGTCTTTCAGGAGAGACTATGGGCAAAAGCCACATGCATGTCCGGAGTTGAGGACATTGAACGCGTCAATTGGAAATCTGGCCGCAACCACTCCGCATTTGGGGGCTTTGGCGCTAAACGTGGGTATCAAGTCGTGCTTGCCCGCACCTGCAAGCCCGGGCTTTACGAGCGCGCAGCTAATTTACCCAAATAATAGTTCTACCTGGTACTCACTAGACTCAACGACTGCAGGTAAATCAGAGGCTTGCCCAAGATGGCAGACCTGTAGTCGAATCCTCCTTGAGTTCTCCTTCCTCGAGTGAGGAATGGACTCATCCGACCAGCATGACACGCGGCCTACGAAACGACGCCGCCTGTTACCACCGGACTCAGGTCCATATGTTTTGCGCAAGGTCTTGGAAGACATACCTTTGGTCAGCGAGGACGGAAACGACCAAGTGTCTGTAACATGTGTCGAGTATTGGAGTAGGTAAGGTTGAACAGAAAGCATGACCATAGACAGCTCACGGTTCTTCAGACAACAATCTGTACATTGGGACATCTGCCGCAGAGATCCTGCACTTGGTCGCCATACCCCCGGGGCAAGAAGACGACAGTGCTTCGCCCATTTTCATTCTCGCCTCGAGGTTACAGCCTAGCGGCCATGCTGCTTCCGCAAACTCCGCAGACGCACCAGGTATTCAGCAAATCCTCGTCTTTCCAGGGCCATTGAAGGCCTGCGTCCTTTGTAATGGCGTCGTCTCCTTCTATTCGTTACCCGAATTCAGTCCGGCCTTCCCGAACAGAGAGCCTACTGGTGTGCAGTGGATTGGTGGGATTGACGAAAATGAAGACGTAGACAATCCAGAAGGACCTGTGCTCATGATTGCAAATGCTAGGAGGATACTACAAGTCCGAGTTGGCGAAAAGCTGAGGCCTATCAAGAATAATATTGAATATCCGAAGTGCTTGCGATCCAGCAGGAGGGAGACTATTGCTTGTGTTGCCGACGATGAGAGCTATGCGTTGCTGGACGTGGTACATCAACAGAAGATCCCGCTGTTTCCAATCTCACCTCTACCACCTGAAGAAGCGGAAGTACCAGATGAACGCCAGACATCTCCAGTCCGACCACCTCCGCCACCTGAGAAGGGCGGACATGGCCGAAGCACCAGCATGGGAAATCTAGTGCCTTCGACGGATACGGAGCGGAACAAGAACACAGCGGGTCGTTTGGCACCACCGAGTGCAGACTCGGCTGGTCTTGACAGAATATCATCTCCATCGCCAGCCCCGAAGCCAGACGCCAGTATAGAAGGGGTTGAACGTCCTATACTTCGGCCACGCGCCTCTACGGAAGTGCTCCAGGGGAAGACTACCTCTGCTGCTGCACAGATGCGGGCGAGGAGTAGTTTTCAGCCTCATATACTTTCGCCATTTCCTACCGAATTCATGTTGACCACCGGGACGACTGACCTGGAACCTGGCGTGGGCATGTTTGTCAATCTGGACGGTGATGTAGTTCGAGGTACGATCGAGTTCGAGTCATATCCTGAAGATTTACTTGTGGACAATTTCTGGGTGCCCGAAAAAGGTGGCGCGCCCATGTCAGATGAGGAACACAAAATCGTTATTGCACTTCTACGACCTGCCCAGCCTATCGCGGAGAGGCGTTTGGAGTTTCAGAAGATCGAAAATGCGTCTGAAATAAGCCATCCGCGGTCTCTAATTACCCTTCCATCGGGGTTTCTTGAGCCTCAACGAGCTGGGCTGCACCACAATTTGAGTACTCATCAGTATCTGTTCGAAACAGCCAGTGAGCTTCTCCGGCTTGTACCATTGTCAATTGGTTCTCAAGGACAGCAACAGCAGACTTCGGCTGGCGAAGCTGATCCAAGGACTCAGTCCGCTGTCGAACAATTGGAGCAAGAACGTGAGCTGTTTGAAAACCAGCCTACGAATCCACCTGCGGGGCCATCTCCTGAACTCATTCGTAAACGTTCCGAAGAAGAGAGCAAGCTTGCACGTCGATTCGGGCGAGCTTCCTCGAGAAATGTAGTCTGGCATGGAAAGGATATCTTCATGATCTTACAGAATCCCTTGGTTTCACAGCTGGAACATCGGCTTATGCAGTATATGGTTGACGGTCAACCAAGTAGTGTGAAGCCTGGCCAGATCTTTGGGTTTCTTGCAAGCATCCACGGCCGCGAGCCCACCGATGAGACGGAGTTCATGACATTGAACTATATTCGACAGAAGGCCAGCTTGATCCTGCTTTTACACATGGTAACGCAGCTTACCAGCTCCTCGGGATCAGAGGATACACTCCGGGCGGTGGAGAACACCTTACACGATGGAGGCTTAGATCCACGGATAGTCCTGCTGCTCGCCCCTCCTCTCGCATCTGAAGTGCTGTATGGTCCTGAGGGGATTTGGCTTCATCAAGGCATGGCGGACATGCTCGACACATTTGAGACGCCAATCTCCGGATTCGGAGATGCGCCTGTCGAATTCTGGATGATGATGCGTCACTTCTTGATGCTCTGGCAAGAGAAGAGGGGATACGGCAGCATCACTGACGACAAACATGTGTTCGATTCTGTGGACGCCGCGCTGCTTCACGTGCTGCTATATCTGGATCAAGCTCTCCCAGCAGATAGTCCAGCACAGAAATCCGTCAAGGTCAAACTGAATAACCTCGTTGACTACTGGAAGGGCGACTTCGATCGAGCGATCCTTCTCTTGGAGAGATACAACCGCTTGTTTGTTCTAAGCCGACTCTATCAAAGCAAGAAGCAAGCTCGTGATGTGCTTGCCACTTGGAGACGCATCGTCGATGGAGAAAAGGATGTCGACTATGGCTTCAACCTGGAATATGTGGAATCTCAGCTACGGCGATATTTGACGCTCATAAGAGATGCCGACTTGGTGCAGGAATACGCGCTGTGGCTGGCTCAATATAATGCTCCGCTTGCGGTGCAGATCTTTACGGACGATGCAGCCAGGGTCAAATTCGATCCCCATCAGGTTGTTCCTCTGTTGAAGGAGCACGCTCCCGGGGCCGTGCAACAGTACCTTGAGCACCTTGTTTTTGGCAAAGGTCTAGACATATATGCCGATGACTTGATCGGATACTACCTGGACTCCGTTCTGACAGTGTTAGAGAAGTCAGAGTCGGCCAGGGCCTCACTAGCAGAGAGCTATTCGACATATCGCGCTCTAGAATCTCCCAAGCCGACCTACCTCGACTTCATCAACCAGAATGCCCCGGATGAGCAGTGGTGGCAATCTCGACTTCGCCTTCTCCAGCTGCTGGGAAGCGGTGCTTATGCTAGCACCACAGGCGCTACGGGCAAAGACCTCACTTATTCGGTGCCAATGGTCTTGGAACGCCTGGCTCCGTTCTCCGAGTACCTCGTGTCCGAGTCGATCATCCTTGACGCGCGACAAGGCAGGCATAAAGAAGCTCTAAAGCTCTTGACGCATGGCTTGGGCGATTTTGACACGGCAATTCGGTATTGCTACTTCGGTGGTCCCGCCCCTGCCTTTGCGCAAACTATCGATGCCGGCGCGCTGCCTCCGCGCACCGTCCAGCAGGAACTCTTCAACTTCCTGTTCCATGAATTCCTGACAATCGAGGACGTGGAAGACCGCCTCGAGCGTACTAGCCATTTGCTAGGCAAGTTCGCGACGTACTTCGACCCGTTGACTATATTGCAAGATATACCAGATGATTGGAGCGTGGACATGCTCTCGGAGTTTCTGCTGCGGAGTTTCCGCGCTGCCACGACGGAAAGGAATCAGGCAGTCATCATCAAGGCTTTGAGCGCGGCACAGAATCTGCAGAAACAGGCTGAGTTCATTGAGGTTTGCGAGAAGATTGGCGCACGGTTTGAGAGCGATGAAGGTGCTGAGGGGGGCCTTGGCGCCCCAGGCGAGATGGAGGTAGACGTCGATGGTGCATGAAGAGGAAGTGCCGTGAGGCAGAAATTGGGCAGCCCAGGTCGACTAAGTATATCACTGTGCAAGAAGACACGAGTCCGAATATCCTCAAATTAGAAAGAATTAGACATTATTTCCAGCAGCGAGAACCAGCACACCGGGGCGAGAGGCTATAATTCTCATGAGAAATTCGTTGAAGTACTTCTCCCGCTTGCTTTGCGCCCTTGTAGTTGCCCGGAACCAAAACGAGACACAAATCCCGCACGCTACACATAAAAAATCGCCAATCCACGCTGAAGCATCTAGCAACACCGCCGTCCACCTTTTGATGGAGGTCGTCGAAATACATCCTCCCACTCGCTCAGACCACTCAATACACCGTTCCTCCCTGCACCACGTTTCTTCCGGCGTCTCATTGTGCCACCACCACCGTCGTCAACAGTAGTTCCGGACCGTATACTGGAGCCGTCCCAGGCGTAACTATCGCCATATTGAATCCCACTGGCTGGATCGTCCGGGTCGATCTCGCCGAGCTCGATCTTCGTCAGGATCATGCTGGCTAGGCGATTGAATAGGTCATCGACATTCTCGCCTGTGAAAGCCGAGACTTCCATCGTGACAGGGACGCGGGCTTGGGAAGCCCAGCGCGAGACTAGGTCGGGGTTGACTTCGCGGCCTTCGGCGGTGGTTGCGGTCCATTTATTGGAATTGAGGATGATAGAGGAGCCGCGTGAGCGGGTTGTGCTGCTTCCACCACCGCCGCCGTCGTAGGGGAGGTACGATGTTCTACTTGAGGCGCTGGAGGCGGACGGGGGTAACGGTTGTTCGGTATAAGATTGTGTTGGGCCGCCGTTCATATGCATGGCTTGTGTCTGTGTTTGGGTCCTGCTCCCGTCCGTGAGATCCGATTTGTTTCCTGCCAGAATGACTGTGAGGTTCGGGCTCGCTAGGGCTCTTGCGTCGCTTAGGAATGTTGGTAGGGCGTTGAAGGAGGATAGACTGGCAACATCGTAGACTAGGATTGCGCCGGCGGCGCCGCGGTAGTACGACCGAGAAACCGACCGGAAGCGTTCTGTGCCCGCGGTGTCCCACAGTTGTAACTTGATGCGTCTGCGACTTGTGCCCGACCCGATCTTGACAATTTTGGAGGAGAACTCGACGCCGATGGTTTGGGAGGAGAGGACGCGCCATTCTTGTTTGACGAAGCGATGGAGGAGGCATGATTTGCCGGTGCCGGAGGGACCTAGGAGAACGACTTTCGCTAGGTAGTCGTACATGCTTCCTAGTTCCTGTGCGTTGTGTCAGAGTCGAATGGATCGAGTGCATTGGAGAGTGGGCGGCTACCTGATTCTGGTCGAGCACCGAACTGTTGTCTGAGGCGCCCGATGTTCGACGCGGACGAGCCATGTTGGCGGCGACAGAAATGTGTCTAGCGGTCGGGCTGGTTGTGCCTCCGTGAAAAGATGTCCTGCGTCCCCATATGTTGAATAGTGGTCACTGTCGCGATAAGGTATCTCGTCTAAATCATATGCCGTAGATGGTCTGGCCGGATGCGGGCCGGCACGCGCAGGTCAAAAGCTCGCTTACATAACGCAATTTTGGTTCACTATCATGCGAGTACGGAATATCCGTAGTACTCGTACCATCTTCCGACACTTTTCCCTGCCGATCAAAGCACAGAAATGGGTAGACATTGTTTTCAGGGTCTGAGACAACTAGATCAGCCATCAGGCAAAAGTACCGAGGTAGTATGTGATAAGTGTTCTGGAGTTCTTATCTACCTGAAGAGACTGATCTGCCCGTCCTCCTTTCGCCAACTTTGGGGGAATTCTTGCGCAGGGACTGGCACCAACCCGCCAGCCCCAGGACCCTCCCTGTTCCGCCATTACGACGTCCTGCCTTGTGGCTTACCCTGAGCAGGGGTAAGTCCCAGGCGTACATTGCAGGGAGTGGTGTTCATGGCGTAAGATGCCTTCATGAAAGAAAGCTTGCCCTGAATATGGGAAAGGGTAGACCTGGAAACGCCACAGTGCCCTGCATTGACGGCTGTAGAATAGGTGTCATGAGTAGATCCTGCTCTTCCTTGATATGTATGTGTTTGGTCTTGACATGTCTCCTGCATGCAATCCTTCATCTTATGCGATCGCCCAGCATCGGGTCACTCCAGATGCCAGCTCATAGCAACGCGCCTCATACATCATGGCAAGCCGTGGTCGATAAGCACATAAGCCGTCCACTGAAGAAATGGCGGACACGACGGTTCGCCAGGGTTGGCCAAATAAGTTCACCGGACGACGTCGACTCGTATTCATCCTTCGGCGGACAGGACATTACGTAGTGGGATCGAGAAAAGGAAGTGAGATGCGATCATCATTTCCCCGAGTAGACGATGTGGCTTGCTTTAGTGAGCTGTCTGCCGGCTCGCCGGGGTCGCTAGTGCCTGAATCTTCGGACTTTGACAGCTCCCACTACCCAATTGGCAATCAGTCTCGATTCCATCGACTGCTGTGGCTTTTCCGCCGCGAATGAGCTCTAGATGATCAACGCCGTCTTCAGTGAATCTTGGGAGAGGGATCGTCAATTTGAGCGGTGGTGGCGGACGAGGGGGTTGAAGAAGAGCAGTAGTGGGTATGGGTGAAGGGGAAAAGTGAAAAAGGACAATGAATGAGATCAATTGCTATCACAACTCGATTTCAATTTCAACTAGTCTTTGCTTCCCATTAATTCGGTAACACCTCTTTAAAATCTTGGGCTGGTTGAATGACTTGCATATTCAAATCTCCATTACAATCTCAAATTCTCTGTCCTCCAGTCAGCTACTCAGTGAAGCGATGTCCTCTCAAATTGTCTTATAGCAACTGAGTATCTCATAAAGACTTGAGCAAGAGAGAGAGAGTTCACGTTCAACCTCAACCTCAACCTCCCATCATTCCCATCAACTCTCACTTCGCCGTCAACTATGGCGTCTCCCAAGCACAAGCCGATCATCATCCCGCCTTTGTCGTCCAGATACACGCCCATCATAATCCCGCCGACCCCCAAGTACATTCCCATCATCATTCCACCTGAAGTTTCCCGATCACCCTCACCTCGAGACTCGTTCGACAGTACATCTTCATCTAGTACACTCGTCGATACGGACCCAACACCGTCAGAGCGTCCCTTATTGTCGTTGAACACGTCACCCTCCGTACTTTGCCCGTACAGCAGCAGTGGACAACGACCTCGAAGAGGATCACCACCTCAGACCGTTTTGGGTGCTATTGATGAGATGAGTGGTCTTGTACAGCCTGACGTACCACTGTCCGCGGACAAAGAATCCAGTCCCATCACAAAACTCCACGCATATGCATCTTCACCAAAGTCGAAGAAGAAGCCAACCATAGCATCCGCAGCAAAGCCACCACGGAGTGAGTTCGAATACCTGCTCGGTCCTAATGGTGAGAACTTTATGGACGTTCGATTGAACAGGAGAGCGGAAAACGCTAAGGGTGGAAGCGTTCTCAAACGCTTGCTTCGCTTTGGGTGAGTAACTCCAACCAAAGATGGCTCTTGACAAGCTGACAGAGTTGAACAGTTGAAGGATGAGCAGACGTAGGACCAATCTTGCAGGACAAAGTCTTACCAGGCCACGCGATGCCCGAGCTAAGAGAACCCAAAGTGGTTGGGGTTTGCAGACTCACTATGGACATGGTCGATTATGAGATTCATGATCATTCTTTCAAGGTCATCCATCAATCTATGGCCCAGCAGAAAGGGAAATACAGGACCTCCTTCGGACAGATGACACCGGGAACATGATGACGACGAATAACGAATATGTACAATACTCAGACGGGAGACAAGTAGCTTCTTCAGGGTTGTTGCCTGCTTCAGGCCTTGCCTGCGAGTGAGCGAGACCCAAATGGAAAAATTCCACAGAAGGACAAATCAACTTTGATGTTCTAAAATCTTTGTATGTTTCATCCCGCAAACGACCCTGCTTGTCTGGTACATCAGAACTCTCGATCTTATCTTATCTGATTCGCTCAAACTGATCTTTATCAGTTTTCGCGGTGTGGATTTCGGCATAACCAAGCCGTGTTAAACGACTGACGCAATCTTTGGCTCCTTGGCTTCCCATGCGGCTTTCATTTCCTCGTTCCAACTTTGCACCGTTCTTCCCGCAGACATCAGTTGAGTTTCTCCATCATCTATGCCGTGATAGCCGACTCCAACAAGCCTCTGTCTCCTCGAGAGTCATTCTCATTCGATGCTGTCATCTCCGGTCCTGTCGTTGATCGACTGTGCTTCGGGCTATTGAAGGCCCCCTTCCCTTTCCACCCACTCAGAGTTCTTGCTCATTCACTGATCTCCAAAGAACCCTCGCGAAAGGTAAACTACACACGACAGTGACCCCTCTCTACGCCCTACGCGTAGTGGGCAAAAAGTGCCAGCGTCGGTTGTTCTCCGTTTCTGAACCGTCATGGTGTTTTACTTTTCCTCTCATTGTCTCTGAATCATTCCCATGTTATCTGTGTTGAGTTCGCCTTGTCGCCGTGTTGTTCAGTTGACCTAGGTTTTCGGCCTCGAATAGGCTCGAATATGAGGGTTGACGCTCATGACGAAACGCCGCAATCGGTAGACGTCAGTTCCCATACCAGCCTGCAAACTCCTGGTATGTTCTATTGCATTCAATCCAGGGTCACAACCATTGACAATTCGGTAGTGAATGCGTCTTCCCCTCCAGGAACCCATCAATTCTATCCTTCCGACGTTACTCTTCGTGATGAACCCCCAGCGGACGCCGCTCCAGATGACGTACCGGTGGGAAGAAGAGATTCGAAAAAGATAATACAATTTGGTCCAGACGATCCGGAGAGTCCATACAACTGGTCGAAGGGCAAGAAGCTCTATGTCTTCTTCGCCGCCATCCTCACAGTCCTCAACAGCACTATGGGTTCGTCGTTACCGAGCAATGCGATAGACTTTATCGCCAAAGACTTCAACGTCACTGCAACGATCCAATTACCACTGCCCATATCCTGCTTCCTCGCAGGCTATGTCGTTGGTCCGACTCTCTGTGGTCCACTGTCTGAGAACAATGGTAGGAAACCGGTCATATTCGGGTTTTTCCTCTTCTCAACCATCTTCAGTATGGCCTGTGCAGTGGCTCCGAATTGGCCGGCCTTACTGATATTCCGGTTTTTTTGTGGTATTGGCTATTCTGGGCCTATCGCCATCGTCGGCGGATTGTACGCTGACATTTACAATGACCCGCGACAACGAGGGTTAGCGATGGCTTGGTTCATGGTTGCAACCTCCGGAGGACCTGTTGCGGCGCCTGTCATTTCAGGATTTATTGCTGAAAACACTACATGGAGATGGGTCTTTGCTGTGGGCACGTTATTCTCAGTGGCCGTAATCCCCATCATCCTTCTCATGCCAGAAACCTATACGCCGATCTTATTGAGTCGGAAAGCCAAGAGACTTCGCAAAGAAACTGGTGACGATGAAATCATCGCCAGAAGCGATCTTCAGAAAAAGACTCTGCGACATGTCCTAACGGTTGTCATGACGCGACCTTACCGGATGCTGTTCCAAGAAGTGATTGTTATGTGCACCTGTGCGTACATTTCTCTGGCTTATGGCATCTTTTATATGTACTTTGAAGCATATCCAGTCATCTTTCAAGGTCCCGACTCCGTGTACAAGTGGTCACCCGGCGTTGCAGGTCTTGCGTTTCTGCCGATAGCGCTTGGCGCCCTGCTCGCAGCTCCAATTTACCTTGGATGGGACTCATATCTGGCCAAAGCGCGGACGAGGGGTGCGAAATGGGCACAGCAGGAAGAATACCGTCGGCTCCCACTAGCATGCATTGGAGGACCCCTGTACGTTGTCTCACTCTTCTGGATCGGCTGGAGTGCAAGACCCGACATGTTCTGGCTTGCCCCTGTAGCCTCAGGCGTGACATTCGGCATCGGTTTTGTACTGATTTTCATGGCCTTGTTGAACTATCTGACCGACGCATACGAGACTTTTGCAGCAAGTGCTCAGGGCATTGCGAGCACTTGTCGCAGTATGTTTGGCGTCCTGCTTCCTCTTGCATCGGCGAAAATGTTCTCCAGTCTGGGTATTGCTTGGAGTTGCAGTCTCTTGGGGTTCCTTGCCATGGGAATGTGCATCATACCATTTGCGTTCCTCTGGTATGGAGATCAGATTAGGGCCAATAGCAAGTTCTGCCAGCAATTGAAAGAGATGAAAGAGCAAGAAGCCGCCGAATGGGAAGAGACTGAAAGGGAAGAAGCCCAGAACGCAAGTGAAAAAGCTGGCCGCCCGTCAGACGGGGACAACTTGAACTCACCGACTCCAAAGCAGGAAGAGAGAATTTATGACAAGGTATAATGACTACGTGGCAGCGAACACCAGGTTTTGATGAAGTTATTTAGCGGCATATAGACAGGCGGGTAAATAAAGATAGCGCGGAGTTTTGGGTTCCGACATCCCGTCATACGTGGACAATGTCAAGGGCTGTTTCAGCCATCAAGACTTGAAACAAATAGCATATCTCGGAGCTTTGTTAGCTCAAGGGCATCTATACCTCTTTTGCAAACCAGCCCAGGCGAGCCGATGAAGCTCCGTTCATCAGTAAACGGAGAGATCGGAGGGCCGATAAGCGGGTGAGGAGCGGGTCAACTACTGCAAGCGAACCACGTTATGCCCAGCACGGCAGTTGACTGACTGTACCCCAGTTGAATCTTGGTTATCAGGTTATCAAGGTGCCGAGTCTAGAATGTTTTTGAGCAAGTTCGGTTTCTATGCAATCTTCTGGTTGGCAAGATGAGCACGTTTACAGGCATCTTCTTACGCCAGCACGTTTAGGGTCAAATGTCATACTGGGTACAGTGGGACGTTCTACCACATGTCATACCCTTCAGCCAAAGTCTCTTATCTCCTCAAATGGGTAAGATGCTGATCAAACGAGCAGAAGAACTTAACACGGCGCTCATCTCTCGCCATGTTATGCTGCCTTGTAACTTGCTTGCACGAGCAGGTGATGCCAGGGAAAAGCCACCACATATTATTTGCAATAGCAGTATTAGACATGAACCAGTCCTCCTGCCGTGGATAACGCCTTTCCCTTTTACAATTGCCTCCAACTCACTCGGTACATGATCGAAATTCACACACTCTAAGCACTGGCTTATGGTAGACAGCATGTGCAGCTTCAGGGATCATGAAGGTTAACACATTGCGATACTCACTCTCGCGGCATCTTTGCTAATCTAGTCATGGAAGGCCTATTCCCAATCACGATACCGGCTGGGAGGCGCAATTCAGGAGAGCGCCCTCGAGGACAGTCCAGAAATTGGGGTGCATATGCCCTATGGGTGGGCAATATACCACAGCACACGACCGTCATGGGATTGAGAGACTATTTCTCCCGGGCCGCCCCACGAGAACTGCTTACCATCTCCTACAACCCAGACTCCAAATATGCCTTTGTCAATTTCAGCACTGAGTCCGCACGCGTCTCCGCCATTGGCAGGGCTGCATCGCAACTATTCGACGGGAAAAGACTGGATTGTCGAGTACGACAGGAAACCAATGCCAGGTCCACGAAGGTCAGCTATGGGCTTGGCCATTCCGCCAAGACGAGACTGTCTCCCTCTCCTGATCGGTCAAAAGACATGTATCATAAGCTCGAGGAGTTGAATCAACAGCCAGAAGCCGACCGGTCACAATGGGGAAAGGACAAATATTTCATTATCAAGAGCTTTTCTATGCAGGCGCTTTATCAAAGTCTGAGTACGAATCTGTGGTATATCCCTAAACGTCACGTCGAGCGACTCAATCATGCCTATCAGGTAAGCGTGCTGCTCATCCTTTCCACTTATTGTCGGTATGATTTTGCTGACACGGGCCACGCAGACAGCACGAGATGTCTACTTTTTGTTTTCCGTCAATGGCTCCGGCGAGTTCTTCGGCTATGCCACGATGGCATCGGAGATCCGGGGATCTGACGACGCAGCTTCACACTCACCAACCCTGGACTTAAGTGACCCGACCACGGTTGCATTGACGCCACACGAAAGAGACGTCACACCACAGTCAAGGTCGAGAGCTTTCTCGAGTACATCATCAGCAACTTCGCTAGGCTCGATCCACTACGAACCAGAGAGGCGAAGAATAATCTGGGAAGCAAATCATCATTCTTCAGAACTGGGAGACGACCTTTCCCCTCAAGACTGGAGTCCCGTTACACCGTTCGACTCCCCTGGACGCAAGCACGATAGTCCAATTGAATCGAGAAATAATGAATATTTCTCGCTATTGCAGCCAACGACAACAATAGCTCCACTACGGACGCTGTCCAACAGTCGGAACGCGAATACACCGGGTGCGGAGGTGGAGAATATCAGTAGTCCCTGCCAGATCCGGTGGCTGTCCACGCAGAATGTGCCATTTGATGAACTTCGAGGATTGAAGAACGCTTGGAATGAAAACAAGGAGATCTATATAGCGAGGAACGTGACTGCAGTGGACCCCAGCGCTGGGAAGAACTTAATGAGACACTGGAAGAGCAAGGACGAGGCGAAACGATTATTGGCTTCGACTGGTGCGATTTTGAGAGCCTGGCCCGGGTCGTGACTCATATTCTGCTAAGCAACCTTGATGGACACCATTGAAAGCAAGGCGCTAGGACGTGGTAAACATGATTGTGATGAGGTAGCAAGCAAATCTCCCAGAGTACTACGAGTGAACAAGAGACATGACATGAAGGGAGATCTTACGATGGCTTGTCATGGCTTCGAACTCACTTTCGTAGAACTGTGATATACATCAAGTTGCGAGCAGCGAGGTTATGAGCATGGCCTGACCTTTCCATTAGAGATGATTGAAAGTGCGAAGTTACGTTGTTGCAAGCTTGCTTATAATCCTACTGCGGCTGAGAAGCCGATCTCGCTAATCTGCCAAGGCTGAACCCCCCTATTTTCTTTCAGCCTCACGTCTCGGTCACTGTATCTACGAACCGGTGCTACCTTTGGCGTGCCTGGCCATTGACCATCACAACACAGCCTGCCAGCCTACTAGCTTTGGCCACCATTGAAACTAAACTGTCACAACTTGCTTTGGTTCACCTCAGAGCCACCCGGCAAATGCCAGCGACAGCATTCCCACAACGATCCAAGCACCGTCAGCCACACCATCGGCCCCAATTCCAACTACACATCTCAACGCACCACTGCTTGAGGTAGCTGTAGCTGCAGCACCACTCGCAGTCACAGTGACAGTCGTCGCTCCACTCACCGATCCATTGGCGGACTGCTGGACGAGAGGGTAAATATCGACACCACTGGAATTCTGGCACGCATCGTTGGACAGTAACGTCGCGTTGGCGCTGAATCGAATGTCGGCGCACTAAACACACGGATTGTCAGTATACACAAAGCACCAAGTAAGATACTGCTCCACCATGGACGTCACCAAGTAGTCAGCAGCCCCTTCTCACACAATCGTAAGACTATCTAGGTCGGTCGCCCGGCTCCCTAACGGAGAGCAGAGAGGGAGGGATGGGACGTACATTATACAATGCTGTGCCCGAGTCCCCAACTGTAATGACCTGCAAACTCGCGTCCTGGCCTTCCACCACCCCAAGATCGGCTGGAAGTGTCCATTTCGGTATACAAATCGTCCCATTACCCGTCTCGTTGAGCATCATGGGGTTCAAGGAAATGTTGAATGTCGATGTGGTGCCGCCGAAACCGAGGTTGAAGGAGACGTATGTCCACGGGTGGTGAAAGTCGATCAGTAAAGACCCGCCGTCGAGGGGCCACAGGGTGCGGTTGGCGTTAGATGTGGCGGAGGTTGGGACGTTGGCGCCTTGCATTCCATAGGTCAGTACATGATTGCTGGGGACAGGAAGGCTTTAGCAAGCTCGATGTTGAGGCTGGAGGTGGACATACATGGGAATGTATACTGTGACGCAGGTGGGAGGAAGGAGTCACCTCGCCAAACTGGGTACTGGAGCTCGAAGTGGGCGGATACAAGATTCGCAGACAAGAGGAGTGTGAGTACAAAGAGCAGCATAGTGAGGTCGCGGCTGACTATACAAACAACGAGGCTATGGGTCGAGAATGCAGGACTAAAGGATCGAAAGTATACAATATGCAAATCGACAAACCACCAGAGGAGTATTGAAAGCTGGGATGGAAGAGATGAAACACGAAAGACTCATAGACAGTCATCTTCACAGTTATATATTCTTGAGGTATCATGCGCCCCCCTGCTGGTCTTTTGACAACTGGGCAAGTCTTGCTGCCGCCAAGGGTCTCTTCCCAACGCCACGAGCGATGCAATGCACCTCAGGGGTCATCATGAGGAAGACCATTTGTAGTATATGGTAAGGTTCTCGCCGTAAAGGTCGTGGAAAACTTGCTCAATATGCCCGCAAGATGAACTTCAAGAGAATTGGCACTCTTGGCTGCAGGGGATAGTGGGGTTTGCGGTGACTAAGGTATACAGAGTCCCGACAAACAAGCCTGAGGCGAGGTCGTCCCATACGCCTTGGGGCCATGAGAAACCGCCGTACCGGACAAAACACCATACAGGCCTGTTGGGGAGAAGTGCGGCCTAGTCAACCTGTCGGAAGGTGCACAAGGTTCAGGAGAAACTCGAGCTTGGAAAATTTCTCGGAGGAGACAATGGACGCTGACAATCAATACACCTTGAGCACTACCATTCTTAAAGCTAGGCAAAAGACGTATACGATCGCAGAGTCCAAGCTCCGATGGAAAGGCTTGCAAAAACTTCTCACTATTGTATGCCAAAAGCTCAAGACCCATAAGTTTCACAAAACAAATATATTCCCTGAGCACCAGTGCCCTTATGCACCGCTCGTTCATCGGACAGTCGTGCCACATAATTTCGTACAGAACCCATGAACTGGTTCCCTCCACAAGCAAAGATCCCAGTCTCTCCCCATGCAGCTTCAACCACAGGTCGAACCAATGCATCAAAATCTGGCCGGCCGTAACTTATCTGTAAATCACGTTCGTCGACAGATGCAGAGGAAGATGACGACCGCAGCGATCTCTGAACCACAGCCTCGTCTCCCCCTTTCTCGCCCGCAGGATGGGCCATTGAGGTCGTCATCTGCGTCTCAGCCTCGAACCTTTCATTGTTGGACCGCACGTTCGAGTCTTCCAGAAGAGCATTTCTGCTCGTGGTCGACGCCACCCCCGTGCCGTCCTTCGTGACGTATATGCATATCGAAATCGCGACATTCCGTTTCTGAGCTTCCCTCCATGCAGAGAGTAATTGGTCCTTGAACCAACCAAGCTGTTCAGCCTGGCGCATAGTCCACACGAAGCGGATTTGTCGAAGGTGATGTCCTGTCAACAATGCATGTAGGAAGAGCGGCACGGTGAAGGACGCACCGTTCCCTGTAGCCATGAAGATCAATGATTCGTGCCGATCGATCGACGGTGGTGCGCCCCATGGGCCGCTGATGAAAGACAGAAACGAGCTTGTAGCTTGTAGACTCTGGCAGCGCCGATGTAGACGTCGAGTGAATCCCGAATGTACTCGGATGTAGAGGTCGATCTTGTCGGAGCTCTCGTTCCCTGTAACAGTCTTGGGCACATTCGCAATAGTGAACGGATGAGCTTCGAACAGTCCCGCGCGCGGTATCGACAAGTACACATGATGACCCGGCTTCCACTTGAAGTTGACATCGCGAATCGTAACGTGAAGATGATCGGAAGACAGAGCCTTGACATCGGCCACGTAGCCAACAGTCGGCTTCTTCGACTGTCCCAATGTTGCTCTCCGTTTGAACGCAGGAAGAAGGTTCAAGTATATCGTCCTCAACGTCCTCAGGACCCGATCGACGACAACCACCCCAATCGCAAACCAGACGTTATACGCAGCATAGGATGGAACATGTACATGAACCAGCCAAAGCAACACAAGCGCCGCAGCCAGATGTTGCAAGAACCACAACTCATAGCTGAGATTGCGAAAGAACCCAAATCCAGTGATGACCATCCATCCGATTATTGCCCACGCGCCGAAACCGTACTTGACCATGGGCATCCACTCCATTTCCAGGGTGACAAAGTGCGCGATATCCCATTCACGGAAGAAAAACGACCAATGGACAATCACCGTGAGAAATATCGTCCGGGCAACCCATCTATGCAGCCAATTCAATCTTTCGTACGAGACCCCTGTCAGTATTCCAATAAGATTGAACTTGCCCGACAGGACGTATATCAATGGTAATTGCGTGACCGAAACCCAGGCTGCGCGGAATCCGACGATCTCCCATCTATAAGCGTAGTTCGAGGAGGATGGTGTGAGTATTGTATTGGACCATAGCATCGTCAGGATGACGAGCCAGTATGCCAGAAGAAAGAGACATTTTCCGAGCGAAGGCGGAGTGAAGTATCTGCTGAACTTCCCCGTAAACGTCCATAGTTGAGGATAGGATAGTTCTCTGCAGGTCGCGATGAGGGTGTCGTAGGATTGGGCAAGGGCGTTGTCGGGTCGAAAAGGTATGATATTCGGGTTCTGTTGACTTTGTCGCTTGCTTTGGCGTGTCAGCATTTCCACATCAACCAGAAATCGTTCAAGGACACTTACAAGACAAGCACTCTGATGTTGTCCATTACTCTGCGAGCGACCAGTAGACCGACGACCGCGACAACAAGGTACCAGTATACATGGGCGATGTGTTTGTTGGTTGGGGTGAACATGCCCGCACTGGACATGTCCATGCCACCCATGCTGGACATTCCTGACATGTCCATTCTGGCGAATTGATCTGGAAATCTCTCCTTACTGATGATGATGACAGAAGGACATGAGCATGTCTATGAGGTCGTGCTTATGCAGTGTAAGGCATTGCACTGCGCGTTCGCATTCGGCATCCTCGTCAGCGTGAGCGTGCGGGCGCAGTTGACCACCACATGGACTGGCTCAACGTGCGATGGACGAAGGACATCCAAGCCAACAAGGGATCCAGATGCAATGACTCTCTGGTCATTAATAAAACTTGCTCTTTCATGGACTGTTGATGGGGTGATTGGTTGAAAAACATGCTCAGGGAAACTTGCTCATCTCCACAATTACTTGGTATACTGCAGCCTCATACCCTGATCAGGTCTAGTCGACCTTACCGACTCCTGTCACCCACTTAATGCCCCCTGGCTAGGACTCTTGGGACTCATGGAGAGATTCTTACCGCACTGCAGTTGAAGCCGTCGACCTCATCAGACCAGGAAGCCACGGCAGTAAGAGAATGTAAGGGCCATGGAAAGGAGACCAAAAGTCCAGATAGAAATAGTCCCAGTCTTGGCCTCGAAACCTTCTAACAGTCCTTTTCTCTGACCATTCCCTCAATTGCCAGAGACCGAGCGTCTGGACCATCACTTCTCATTGAACATCGTACTCAAGGCTTCAACGGTCTTTAAAAGTCTTGGTCATAATGCATTTCTCGACTCTTCTCTCCCTCTTGCCCGTATGGACCACCTTCGCGTCTGCCCATTTCATCCTCCAATATCCTAAATCTCTCGGCTTCGATGATGATATCGAGGGCACATCACCCTGCGGTGGATTCGCCGCCACCTTCAACTCCTCCGATGACAGTGTTCCTGTCGATGGCTTTCCTGTTTCCATGTTGAGCACACATCCAGCTGCAGACTGGCTCTTCCGCGCAACACTCGATCAACAAGCTCCTTTCAACTGGACCAACTTACTGCCTGTTGTCTCCGAAACTGGCCTAGGACAGTTCTGTCTGCCGGCTCTTAAAGCTCCATCAGATTTTGCTGGACAGACTGGTCTCATCCAGGTCATCCAAGATGGCGCCGACGGAGTTCTTTATCAGGTATGCATGCGCCATCACTCTGAGACAAATGACTAACCGTTTCGGCGTCCAGTGTGCTGCAGTCAACTTCGTCACGGGCGTCAACAGCACTGTCAGCTCGAGCTGCACCAATGTCACTGGCTTGACGGCGACGGTAACCACCGACAACAACTTCAACACCACTTCCTCTTCCTCATCAACCGCTTCGAGTGGTGCAAGTAGTACCGCATCGAGCACCACTTCTGGCGCTGCCGCATCCGCCAGCTCATCTGGACTTGCTGCTGCAACAAATGGTCCCGTGCTTGTCAAAAACCTTCTGGTCGCCGCTGGCATTGCTGCGCCATTCCTTTTGTAGAAGACTTCGGCACAGTAACACGACGGGTCTCGGCTCGAGATGTGGAATGACAATACCTTCAGCATGAGAAATGCATATGTATGAGCAAGCGTTGCAAAAAAAGGCCTTTTCACTGGGAGGGTGATTTTCTTCTTCAGCAGCTGTGTTGAGGCGGAACTCTGTAGCCTGACAAATGACAGCCAGTAGGCTCTCTGGTCGTGATGGCTCATCAGTCCACGCAGGATGAGGATCCGGCTCTTTAGAAACCAATGATCCCGATAAACGGCGTCTATGCCACTCTGGAATTGCTGCCTTGTACTTTCACCGTTGCAAGCGTAGACATCCATCGAGGGTTTTCCGCAGCAGCTGAGAGGAATCGACATATTCCCGGCACAATTCTCCAGCTTCGGTGCTTGTCTGTCATGATGAGGGTGATGGGGTTTCACAAGTATGTGCCAATGAGGTGTCCCAACCGCAGTCACACCCGGTTGACCGCACCAGCGGGATTTCCATGGTCATGACCTGACATGAAGGAGTGGAACTGGCAGTGATCAATACTAGTGGCACTGTACTCTTGACCCCCAAACGAAGCCTCCAGACAGCTCCAATTTGATAGTCCAAGCCTCCTCGTGGCCGCTTCGCCTGCATATTTGACTGGTCGATGTAACTTTCGAAGGATGATCGACCATGAGTGCATTGTGCCGAACTGACAACGATGCAGGCCCTCCTTCTTGGAGGCATAGTGGCCCAATAACGCGAAGATCCCGCAATCCAGAACGCTGTGCGACGAACCAAGACGTCTGAAGCTTGATTGCTGTGAGTAATGTGCGTTGATTGGTCGCACACCCACACCAGGCGCCACTACCTTGGGTGCCGGGAAGGATTTGTCGGGAAAACGCACAAAGACCTCAGGGTCTCAGCAGGAAAAGGCCGGCAAGAAAGGGTATAAGTATCTCACCACACCCATCATTTATTCTCTTTTTCTCCAGATTCACCACAAGCACTAAACAGCACCATTTTCAATACTCAGCACTTGAACGATCCCAGTCCTCCGACTCTTTGAACAATCCTCAAAATGGGTCCTTGCACATGTTCCGGCCCCGGCAGCTGCCAGTGTGGGTCTGGCTGCAAATGTACCGCTTGCGGAGTAAGTTGGGCTTTTCAGAAGACGAAGCCGACGCTGATCTTTCAACAGCACTAAAAGCTGCCACCTGACAATTTCAAAACGAGAAGACCTCGTTATCACTTTTGGCATGCACAGGCTCCGATATCCATGAAAAGTCTGCTGCGGCATGAACATCTGCGGGATTGTCTTCCACGAGACAAGAGATGACATTGGATGTGTTAAACTGGGAATTGTTGTTGGAGTATATCTTATTGTCGCTCGTTGCACTTTGATAGTCAGTCAGATATGCAATCCTGACTCAGTATCATCATGATCGTTGTTCTTCACGGCCATGGAGTGGCACAGTCGAATATTATGACCAGCTTTGTCGTTGACCACTTCAGTCCACAGCCTCACCACAGCGATAGGTCCCATTCTTTCTCAGCTTTAACAATGTCAGTCACCACGACGAGCATTTGAACATGGAATATGCACGTACCGAGTAATTGGTGAAATTGCCGTTGTGGACCTGACGATCCCAAGGAGTCACGCTCCTGCCATAGCTCCAGTAGGAAGTCTCTCGCCGAGTCCGTGTTCCGCAGAGCGTACCTTTGCCTCATCTTCTCCACCCAATCCATTACGAAAAGCCGGTCTTCCTGTTCGTGAGCGGCGCACCCAATGATGAACAGCGGTTGCAAAGTTGCGACTCCTGGAGACGCAAAGTCGTGGAGGGTGATCTGTTTCAGGCAACTTACTCCCCGCTTTACGGCGGACTGAACCGCCGCATCGGTGATAGGGACATTCATCACTCTTTGGTAGACCTGAAGCAATACGGCAACGTGATAGGCTTCGTTCAAGCAAAAGAAATCGGATGAGGTGTCGGAGTACTCGCTGGTAGGATCAAGTTCAATGACGGGATCGTCTAGCATGGAGTTGATCTTCGCAACCAGCGCCTCCGACCTAGTTGTGTGTGCATTCCGCAAGACCTTGACGGCTGAGTCATCATTTCCAAGTGCCAGTTCAAGTTTCTGCAATGCTTGACTCTCTGCGTAAAGCGTGTCGACCTCATCAACTACAGGGAGGAGTTTCGTGGAGAAGCCATCATAGACGTCGATGTAATGACTTTCGTTGGGAGGGGCCAAGGTCAAGGCTGGCCTTGCCGCAGTCTCCAAAGATGAATTACCCAGCAGGAGTGACAGAGATTGGAGCGACTTCCACAATCTCCAAAGGACCAATATGTTGCCCGAGTCTGGTTCATGGTTCGAAAAGTAGTTGCTGATCATAGTCGCAGCCCCTTGCAAATGCAATCTCCAAGATCGAGGCTTTTCGCCTCCAGCCAGAATATCGCACAGACACAGCATCAAAGCGGTAGCAATGGATTGTTCATCAACGCTTGCATTGTGGCCAATGTTTTGTAGGCGCAGTTGTTGGAGACTGGTAAAACGCAACTGGGCAAGATAAGCCTCGTCCGCGTAGGATCCGAGCGAGATTTGGTGGATCGCTGAAAGACCAAGGATGGCGGAGAGTAGGTGTGTTCCATGGGAGGTATCAAGAGCCATCGGTAGCAGGACTGTACAGAAATCGTTCTGCATGGTTTGATGCAAAGACAAATAATTTGTTACAGTGACGGTGAAGTGGTCCAGCAATGACCGGTCGACATTCGATAGCCATGGAAGCCAGGCAGGATTGGGTAGCAGTTCAAAGGAACCTGATATGTGTTGGATGGGACGAGTAGTGGAAACAAGATCAAGGGATGAGGTAAGCTCAACCGAGTCTGCTATGCTGGATGTGTCATCCACATCAGGCGTGAATGCTAGACTTGAGGAGACTTCGCCGGCATATGGGATATCTCCCACAGGACTAGTGGTGACAATTAGTGTGCCTGGACTCGAAGGCTGGCCGACCGAGCTGACAGTGTCGTCGAGAAGGCTCGCTGCGATATCAGGTGACTGAGGGTCTCTCTTCGGTGATTCGAGTTGATTGGGACCGTAGACGAATGAAAAAGCTGCAGATCCATCAGTTCACTTGTCATACGTTTATACGTCTGGATTGTATCTCACCATCTGTACTCGAGCCTTGTTCAGACTGTTCAACCACTGCCCCGGTTGAGAGTACTTGTCCAAAACAAGATTTGCGGAAGGATCGCCCGCCCCATTTGAGAGGCTTGTCATAAGAGCATGACTTTCCTGTCTTGACGCAGTACTCACAGTTCGGTCGCTCTTCCGTGCACTTACGGTGCATGCGACGGCATTCGCGACAACCACCTCTGGAACGAAGTTGCTTCGCCATGAGATGTCGCAGACTGGTTGTGGTGCGGGTCAATCATGGTCAGCTCCGCTCTCTGGGGAACTTTGGCGCACGTGCGGAAGAAGTTTGTAACAGGAAATTTGAGGATACAAGTGCCTTGTTCAGCATGGCAATATATCGTCGATAACATCGTCCCAAATGACCGGACAGGAAATTGTATGCGGTGGCCGATGAACTTAGACAAAAGATCAGGGTGTGAAAGATAGCAAATTCCGGATAGCATCGACTTTCCTCATACGTTCTAGCGCTGGTTAAGCATTGCCGAGGTTCTTGGCCACCCGCGGAGTTCTCCGATGCATTATACTTCCGCCTCTTTGAAGACCTCAGGAGCCTTTCCCTTATTGTTTGCGCGCAAGAGTCGATGATTCGTCGAAAGCAAATCTTGAAGGACCAGCTTCAGCAATTCTATGTGCAACACTGGTCTCTGGAACCTGGAGATCTGCGTCGTGCATGGAGTTATATGCTGGGGTATCCTGCCAATGTGTTGCCGCCATGGACTCCTGATTGAACCAGCAAGCACGAATAGCGCAGAGAGAGATTTTCTACGCCGGGCGCGATCATGACAACGATTCTTCGTGGTGGTCGCTTGTTCACTGGCCCAACGGACTCTCAATATGAAGAACTCGAGATTCAACACAATTGCATGGTAATCAAAGACGACATTATCCTCCACATTGGCGATGAAAGCGATCTTCCCGTTCTGCAGGCTCTTCAGGATGGCGCCGAAGAAGTCGACTTGCATGGGCAATTGGTGCTCCCAGGCTTCATCGACTCACACTGTCACATCTCCATGCTCGGACTAGCATTGGGCAAACTGGACGTCCAGCACTGCAAGAATATCGACGACATAAGAAGCTCGATCAAGGTGTATGCCAGTGCGAACCCTTCGTTGAAGCTCATAATGTGCCGAGGCTGGATGCAAGACACGACTGAAGGAGTTACCTTAGCCAGTATGCTCGACGACTTGGATCCGCGCCCAATACTGATCGAGGCAAATGATGTCCATTCAACATGGTGCAACACGGCCGCTCTGGATGCCATGGGTGTTCAGGATATGCCTGATCCTCTCGGAGGAGAGATCTTACGAGATAAGGATGGCAAGGCTTCCGGGTTGATGTTGGAAACTGCCTCTTTTCAAATTGTCTGGCCCTACATTGCCAGTCAACTATCTCGAGAAGATAAAATTGAGAACGTGCTCAGAGCAATGGACACATATGCCTCATCAGGCTACACCGGCTTGATCGACATGGCAATGGGAGAAGAGGACTGGGAAATCCTCCAGTTTCTCAAATCCGAGGGGAAGCTGCATTGTCGCATCGCAGCACATTGGCTCGTCGAACCCAGGGCAACGACTGAGGACAATATTGCTCAAGTGGACCGAGCGGGCGAGCTGAATAGACGGTTCAATGCAGAAACGTCTCCAGACCTGCGCATCCAAGGTATCAAGCTGATCTGTGACGGAGTCGTGGACTCTTGCACCGCATCCTTGTGTCAGCCATACACGTCCAACGGTAGTTCGTGTGATCCGATTTGGACAGCAGATATGCTTGGTCCAGTCCTTCAACGAGCTCAATCGGCCGGCTTGCAGTGTGCATTTCACGCTGTCGGCGACAATACGGTGAAAGTGGTCATCGACACGATTGAATTGTTTGGCATAGCAGGACGGAGACATCGCATCGAGCATATGGATTTGACCCGTGCTGAGGATACACCTCGTTTAGGTAAGCTCGGTATCACGGCGTCGATTCAGCCAATGCACTCCGACCCGGCCATCTTTTTGGCTTGGCCGAAACTCGTGGGCGACAGCCGCTGCAAACGTGCTTTTGCATACAAGGAGATGGTTGATGGCGGCGCTCCACTGGCGATAGGGACTGATGCTCCCACAGCGCCTTTCTCGGCGCTAAAGAATCTGTACGTCGCGACAACACGGCGGTCCACGATAAACCCAGATTCAACCGAGACGATCAACAAGAATTTTGCCCTGCCTTTGGCCGCGGCTCTGACCGCAGCAACTAAGGGCGCGGCATACTCTTGCTTTGCGGAGACATGGATGGGGCAGCTCCGACCGGGTCACAAAGCAGACTTTACTATCATCGACGCTCCGCTGAACCCTGAGGCTCTGCTCAAGGCTCGAGTAACGCAGACCTGGTTCGATGCGGAAAAGGTTTTTGAACTGGAGGGGTAGCCTTTCTGGGCTGTATGAACCGTGTTGTGTGCGCCACAAGATGCCTCACAGAATACTACCAATAGCAGCAGCCAAGTGACCTCCGTCATGAAACAATGTACTACCTACAGGGGTACTTATACGAATACAACATACTATCACTACTACACCCAAAACCCGATCCTCAAGGTCATTCCTTGACATGGTTCAGCCATGCAGCCACTAACGTACCCTATCAAGCGTTCCGACGAAGGTGCAGGGAGGAGCTTCATTGTCTCGCTCGGCCTCGCATATGCCTTATGTATTTTCCATTGCCCCGTTTCCGGGCTTGCACATGTTGCAACAATACATATATTGAGCCTCAGAGCCCTACAAGGACCATTACCGTTCCTCCGCATCCTTGGAAAGAGAGGCAAAGCAATTGAGTCTAGTCGACATGCCGAACCAAACAACATGCATTTTTTTCACGATCTTTCTTTGCGTTGCAGTCAGCCCCCTTGTGAAAGCTCAAAGCAATTCAACAACCTTTGTCCTTCCTCCTGGTTACTCGAATCATGGCGATCCCAACCTGCTTTGCAAACCCGCGAAATGGTCAGACATTGCGATCTTCTGATTAGGCAACTATGTCGCGCATGCTGCAATCAAAACTGTTCCAGGGCAGCGCCCAGTGGCCACAGTCTTCATGGTCATTTCGGCTTTGCTCTTCCCAACAACTGGGGTAGTCAGCAGCATCTTAGCTTTACGAAATCTTCCCATCCTGGCAAAGACTAGTTTGAGGACTGCTGCAAGGGCCGGAGCATTGTGCACGGTGGTGTATGAGTCGGCTTCAGGGAGAGAATCAGGTTACTGTAAGCACATTGCGAGACCCCATGGCCGACATACTAAAGCAACGAGTCCCCGAAATCGATCCGCAAGCACGACTCATTCATGGCAAGTACAGCGAGCTACCGCCGGGATTCGTCCTTGTGCAAGTGCCATACAGGGCGAAATTCGCCAACACCCGGAGCCCGAGAAGCAACACTGGTATCAAGAACTTCGCAAGATGTTTGAATCCTTGTTCGAGCCTAGTAAACGTTCGCATGCCGATGCGACGTTCGTTGTGAGCAACTACAGTCTCGTCAAGATACTTGCTGCTGTTGGGCAAAGTTTGTATGGGATTGCAACGCTGTACGACACCAGAGGTGATCAGCTTAACCGCTATGGGTATTCAGCCTTCGGTCTTACGGTGATCCCCTATGCATATATATCTTTGGTTAACCTAGTCGCAAACCTATTATGTCCAGAATATCCTGCCATGTACCTGGTAGAGTCCCAAGCCATGCGAGATGCCATGGAGATTTCGGACAAGAGGGAGGAACTCGAGCTTGCTTCGTTCAGTGTTGCGGCAGGGAGTCAACATAATCCTGGAAGTCGACCCTGTCCAGGGAGGCAATCTGATTCGGCGAGCCGATCTAATCTATGGAATCCACCTGGTACAACAACTCAACCTGATGTAGTGAGTCAACCTGGTCCAGGAATTCAAGTTCCTTCTACAGCGCAAAACGTCGCTGCACCACTTGGGGAGCAAAGTGCCAACAGAAATATAGTAGGGCAGGTGCAGGCACACTCAGCAGAACATCAGCAATCCAGTCAACAGGCACAAGGAAGCCATACTCTTGCGTTAACTGAGGTGGATGCTACTAATGTTGCTCGCTTAGTTCCTTCAAAGCAAAGACGTTTCACTGGCGTGGTCGGAGCACTCGATGATGAATGGGTTCTTGAGTGGCATAGGCGTCACGAGGAGCTCTCTGTCCCATTGCTAACTAGGCCGGTTTGGGCTCATGGCGACATCGAGGCATATAAAAATGGGCAAAAAGAATGGCCTGACCTTTGGGCTTATGTCGACTGGTATTTGTTGAATACCACCATCTTGCCCCTTAACTTGCTCCTCGGAAAGCGGCAATTCACTAGCGACAAAAATCACGAACACCTCCAAGGACAGCTTGCCACTGCTGCACAACGTCGAACAAAGCTTTAAAATGTTGGGCTAGCAATGAGAGCAGGACCATTAGTTTTCCTAGCATTGAGCTTGTGGGTTTTGCGGGTGGGCGGTTTGTTAGTGCCGCTGGCTATCAACGGATCCTTGTCCTCGTTCCACCAAGGCCCAATGAGCAGTCATGCGCAAAGGACCTGGACCATGACATGGCTCGCTTTCGGTATTGCCGCTGGCTGGGTGATAGGGATGCAACGTCAAGTCTTGCTTATATCACGACACAACCCTCTCCGAGTTCTACTCTTCGGGACAACGCTCACTACGCCCGCTAGTATTGGTGGTATGGTCGTGGTTGCACAAATGATTCTCGAATACGGTGTTTGCATGGAAATCACATGAGCATGGAAGATAATGGGACGAAATCCTGGTCAGAGAAGGAGAGGTCCTGTAAAGCAACGGTATAGTCACGTTCTACTCTTCAAAGGCCGTGATGAATTATTCACCCAGGCACGGAACAAGAGTCTCCGCTTTTCCCCCGTAGCTGAACTCTGGCTGCTTCCTGATTGCAACTCTTGGGCTTTCAACCAACGTGCTTCGAATGGCACTTCTGACTGAGGCAAGCTTGTATTTCGAGGGTCGAATTCTCGCGGATCTTACTACGCCTAGTCGCCTCTTCCAAACTTCTTGTCCTGTAGATACTTCAGGATCGACTTCGATAGCTTGCCGTGGCGCGTTATTTTTCTGGGTTTTCAGGACAGGGCGAAGGCCTCCGGCTGAACAGCCTTCATCATCTTCTCCCGCAGCAACTCGCCCTCCATGATGCCCAGCACGAAGCATTCTCCAATGAAACTGAATTGCGTCGTATTTGACTGCCTCCGCAGGAGGTATGGGACATTACCTCCTAGAAGCAGGGCAATGGTATCACCTTTCTTTGCAGTCCAGGGGCACAGACCAAGCATCCCATTTGAAGTCGTGAACAGACACGGATCCGTGCAAGAGGGGACTGACCTTGTCTTGACGCTTTCGTAAGCACCACCCTTTGCTTTACTAACAAACGGATCAAGCGCAGGGGGTTCTGCCCGGTGAGACCATACATGATCCCCCAGCTTTGTTTGGGCTTGCTGTGCTCTGAAATCGGCGCGACAATCGCTGGCGGTGCTGGTTTTCCAATGTCCTTCAATATTGCTTGGGTCGAAGATCTTGTGGAAGGCTTCCAGCAGCTCCTGTGAGGACGAATCTGATAGAGTGTTTTGGTTTTGCAAGGATAGGTGTTTTATGTCCTGGATGTCATCCACCTTGTACCCAACGAGGTTGATGACCAGTGAACCGGCATCAGTCCCATCGAAGCCTGGGCGGAGAAGTTTCTTGTCCGGAACAGTATTTCCTGTTGCCCGAAAACCAAATTGAGCCTCGAGTGTCGCTTTATACCATTTTTCGCGCCCTTCGAATGGCACGGCCCAACTCGGCTTAGGTAGAGAGGGTCTGTCCAAATCACAAAGCATCCTTTGCCAGGCTCGCGATCGATGGCTGTGTATGAGAGACAGTATCGACAGAGACTTGTGCTCGAAAATCCACCATCTCGTAAAGTCGGCGAAAACTTGCGATTCTGACTTTTCGTAATTGGGCCGAATCCACTCGGACAATTTGTCCTCGATACAGGTATCTCTCCCTAGAGAGGAGATTGCGAATATCTTGTCTCTAGGATCCGTTGCTTTCAAGTCCAACGAAGAAACGAAGACGTCCAAAATGTTGGGTGCTTGTGGCTGTGTGAATGAGGGCCGCCGTTGGTCAGCTAGTCCTTCGTCAATCTTTGCGTCTGAGAGCCTGGACCAGATTCGGGGCATGGTCACCTGCGATGCATGGTTCTGTGGTTCTCTCCTCATGGAGTCTTCGCTGGCAAGCCAGGAGTTTACGGTCGTAAGCTCCTTCCATGTGATGACCTCTGTTCCGCAGTGTACAAGAGCGCCTCGAGATTTGAGGACCTCCTGGATTACCCAGACGCGTCGGAACCATGCGTTGTCGAAGAGGTGCGACATCAGCTTGGAGACGTGAGGGGTGACGATACCTCCGGAATACTCCCTCTCGTGGTGACCGAAGCGTTTCCAATGGAGCCGAAGACTGCATGTAGAGTTCGATATTGAGACGCGTCGCCTCCTATCAGGCCATCGCGATCTCTGATTTCGCTCAGGGTCGTGTGAGAGCTTCCGTGGCAGGTGCATGCTTGTCCACCTTCACAAACGTGGTAGGTGAATTGTAGGCGTCGCGGATGATCCTCAAAGCAGCTTCGATGCCTTGGTGTCCCCAACCAAGCCATATGTGGACAATCCGGGCTCGCGAGAATATAGTTGCCATGATCCTCACTTTCTGAGCCCTCTCGTCCAGGTCGTCCTGATTGATACATACAACGTCCACCCAGAGTTTCACAACGTCCGAGAAATGGCGCAAATGGCGAATTGCGGCCTCTGCCGACCGAGTAATGCTGAGCTTGCCCTCGTCGCAGTTCGGTTCCGTTGCCGGGATCTGGATACCAATCTCCACGCCGTCTTCGGGTGGCCCACAGACGTAAGACACAGCTTCAAACTCCACTGGAGCGTCCATCATGCCATCAAGCTGAACGCAAAGCATTTCGCAATTGATAGGATCGTCGAAAACGCCGGGCTGGACAGCAAGTAGACGTATTTGACGTAACCTTGGATCAAGTGGCATGGAGTACAGAGGGTTCTCTCGACCAGGAGAGATCTGATAGTGTTGGAACCGTGGCTGATCAACCCTGACCTCATATCCGAGCTCGATCTGTGCCTCGCGCACGACATTCAGCCACGCTGGGTACATCGCTCTGGGCACCAGTTGGATGACATCTCCGGGCTGCAGCGCACTTAACCATGGTTTCCAATTTACGCCCCAGGGATGATGGGTTGTCCATCTTTCGGGAGTCTGTTTGTGGAACTCGGGATTCCCAACTCGATTGTCGCAGACTCGAATGGTTCGCAGATTGTTGCGATCGTGACGGCGTTGAACCAATGCTTCGAACCAAGAATATGATGGGCTGTTTGGGTGGCTGCAAGAGCCTACTATGTTTTCAGCACTAGAACAGGCAAATGGGAGAATTTGCGTACCTTGATCTCGTGAATCTATCGTATATTCAACATAGGATGCGGCGTTGCAATCTTCTGGTACCACCAGCTCGACATAGGGGCGTTCAGGACAGTGCTCACTGACGCACACGAGGTCGCTTCGCTATGCGACAATCTGCTTGATAATAGGTGGTTCTGACGACATTGTCTAGCGTCAATGGTCCGGTCCTGATATCAGAATGGCAGGATCCGTTCATGTTGTGAACATGCCATGTTAAGTAGGTGAGAGACGTTGGAGTCCCATCACTGCGTCGCCTTCATTGGAAGGAAAAGTGAGAAAGCTCAGGCATTGTCAAGCGCGCGGTTCGTCATGGCTATGCGATGCCAGCTTCGCCTCGCTGCCGCGTAGTTGATGTAAAGTGTAGAGGGTCGATTGCAAGTCATTGGGGCCGAGAGCGTGGCGTTTGGGTGGGGGCGCAGAACGCCATGCCCTCCAGGGGTGGAAAAGCCCAGGTTGCCCCAACCCTATTCAGTTAGCCCTCACGAGGAGCGAATTCAGGGCGGCATCACCCTCGTCCCAACGATAGGGGAGACGCGAGCTGTTTTACTCATGTCGTACTTTCAACCAAGGAGTAATCAGTCGACTGGGTGATGCAACGGGGGAGTTTGAGAAAGAATATCATTTTTCCAGAGCGCACAAAATGCTTATCGGGGAGCTGCACGCCAGGTTCGCCAATGCCTGCATGCAGCACATTCAGTCCAAGTAGTTTTGAAAGCTATGAATGAACAAATTCCAGTCATAGTGCAAACATCTCAGAATAGTTGTGATAACCTCACTTCATCCTTGGATATCGTCCATAGAGACCTCCACAAAACTGCCATCAAGTGCCAGCCCGTCAGTGCTTTGAGACTGTGAATGCACTTGCGTACCAGATGTAGTATCATCTTCGTCTTGTTGGCTTTCCAGCACGGGGAGAGGCGGGATCACCTGAAGCAGCCCACCAAGGAATGGATCAGGCTCACTTTGAGCGCGTGGCAGACCACGACTACCTTCGCTGACAACGACGGGAGCGTAAGGATTGTCCACAGGGTACGACGCAGATATTTGGTCCACGGCTTGCCCATTGAATTGTGACTGCAGCATGGATCCGTGGTGAGCGATGGGATGAACGTTCCCGAACGCTGACTCAAAGCTGTTGTCATTGTTCTGGAACACATGCGCTGGTGGATCTTGGCGCAATCCAGGGAAACTGTGATGGGAATGCAAGGTTGGACGAAGAGCCAGAGGCAACACCCGGAGAGGTTGATGAGGCCGTTGCGCATACGCATGGTCGCGATCAAGAGAGTCATGCGTTTGCGGTCGAGGTTGTTGATGGTGATGCTCACCACTCTCAGCGGATGCAGCGAACAAGGCAGCTCTTAGCGTTTCATCATCGTGGTCTTCTCCAGCCCACGGCTGATCGTCAATACTCCCGTGTCGGCGTTGCTCTTCAGTCAGGAACCGCAACACGGAAAGGTCTTCCTCGTTAAGCTGATGCCAATTCTGGTCGCTTAGATTGTTGGACTGTGAAAGGTCTGGCTCCTGTTTGGGCTGTGCGGAGGGGAGCAACGTTGCTGACTGGTCGGCTTCGTCAGCGCCCAGGCGCTCTTGCAGTGCTTGGTGTGCTTGAATATTGAATCGCGCCAGTGGTTGATCTTCATCTTGCGCGACTTCATGCTGGGTTTCATCCACGCATTCGTCTTTGTTGTACGTCATATTCGACAGGGATGTTTCTTGTCCGAGCAGTTGGGGGAATTCGAAGAGGTTTGCTGCCTGCATCGCATCAGGCAAAGAGCTTGGAGGATCTACGTGTGCCCTCGCGAAACTACCATCTTGTTGGTCTGCAGTGGAATCGCCATTGAATCCATGTGTGCCGGGAAGATGGAACGACGATTGTAGATGGTCCAGTCCTGCCATTTGCGCTGAGTCCAGGGCCATAAAGCCATCTTGGCACAATTCCTCATCCATAGACGTAGGAAACATGTCGAATGGAAGCCCCTGATGCTGCGATGAGAAGTGGCTGTTGTCCTCAAACGAGCCGATGTGCATGCCGTAGTCAGCCATAGAGTCCATAGGCAGTGCAGGCAGATCCATCCCTGTTGCGGTCGATACCTGCCCGTGTGGACCTGGTGAATCAGAACCCGACCGCAGGGTAACATTCCGCCATGTTGTAATCGCGGCAGAGCTTAAAGCTGCTTGCGAGAACTTCCACAGCAAGATCGCCGCTCTTCTGGGCTTCTGATTCTTGTGCGGCCGCTGGTCACTCCTACACCGCAGTGCAAAGATCTCTTGCATGATAGTCAGACCTTTGAAAAAGTTCTGTGAACGCAAATCCGCGAGCTCCATCGCTGCAATGTTCTTGTTCTCTTCCGCCAACTTCTTCGTTTCTGTGAGCGACGTGAGTACCGAAGCCCACCACCTCGACTGGAAAAGAGGTTTCACATTGCCTTGTTGAGAACCATAGCATTCCTCATGCGTAGGCGGCATGAGCAGATGGCCGTCCTGATAGATGTGCGTTATGCACGACCAGGATTTCTTTTCCTTGGCCCACTGCATTTCTGGCCACTCGTCACATTGGAAGTCAAGTTCGAGCCCGATACCAAGCTTGGAGTGCCGCGGCGGAAAATCATTCATCAAGTAGAAGTTGGCGTTGAAGAGGACCATTTCGCAGTGGTTGAATGTCGACAGCTCGTACCTGATGCTGTGAAGGTGCGGGAACGCGTGCCCCCAGTTGTCGATGGCCTCATCCAGATGTATGTCCATCAACTGATTATCTTCCTCAAGGCGGGTATAATTGTGAAGCGCATGTTGCAGCTCGCCTGGCAGGCTCACCCACATTTCGAAATGGACGCGCTGGACACGGTAGGTTGCAAGACAAATCGTCATCGCGGCGCCTCCATCCGTGCCGTAGCTGGCGTCTGCCTCTTTCTTCACGAAGCTGTGCTGCCGCTGTCGATCAGAAAATCCGGCCATTTTGTGTCTCTTGGCCATTTGATGGCCTGTAGAGTTGGGGTAAAACTGACGGCCGTCTGGCGCTTTCGTATCGTCCTCATCATCGAACTTGATCAGGCGGTCCCCTAGATATGGTCAGCATGCATTGAAGACTGCCGACAGGTATTGACGGACATTCAGGGATGCCCTTGAGGAATCTGTCCAGTACTTGAATGTGGCTCGAGACTTGTTTTCTCTCCCGCCACACGCCTGTCTTTTCGTAAATGTATCTTGCTATCAGCATGTTGCGTCCGTGTAGCCTTCCACCTTCTGACCATTTCTTGCGGCCCATGGGCTTGATCGCGACGAGTGCTTCTTTGTTGTCAGGTCATCCACTTTGGGCATATGAGTGTAATTAAGACTTACCATCCTGAAATGCATCCTCGATAGGTTGAGGCCATATGGGCTTTCCGTCCTTTCCAATATCTTGCCTGGGACGACGGCGATATTCGTCATATTTTGGGTGACTCAAGTATGGTCGATCTTGGTTCAGCAAGGCCCTATTAACGTACCGAGACTTGGAAGGTTTTCGTTCTTGCTTTTGTTCGACGGAACGATCAGAAAAGTCATTCGAACCCAACGCTACCGGAGGTTGGAACAAGCGAAATGGAGCCTTGATTGAAACTCCGTCCGCCCCGTCCCCCAGTGTCAGCGGATGCTGGTTTTCAACGCCATCTCCCAAGCTAGCAATTGATGACTGTATGTTGCCGGAAGAGATGGAGAGAGGGTTCATTGCACTAGGAGCTTGGTCCTGGGAGTATTCGAGTGCAGACAAGCCGGAATGTAGCATGTCCATGCCCAATGCGTACTCGAGAATGGGCAGAGAAATGTATACGTGGACGAGGACCAACGTGTTTGGAATGAATGGGAGGGAATGCAGAGTCAAGAGTAAATATCACGATGCTTATAGTGACACCCACCAACGAAGCCTCCTTGTGCATGCAATCTTTGCATAGATGAACTCATTCTTCTGGCCTCAACCCTTCGAGCTTCTGGTTGGGCAGACGTACGTACCCACAGACCGTGATTCCTTTGCCGTCCAAGCAATTGAGAACAAGCAAGACAGCAATCTCGCAGCAATACGTGCTCCTTCACCGATCCTTGCCGCACAGACGTTAAAAGTCGGGGAGGTTAACTGCAAGGGATGAACGTCCGCCCGGGCACACAAAGAATCTCGAAAACTACCGTCTTTTGATGCGTTAGCAGCAAGCAAACGATTGTCAGTCGGGCGCAACAGGAGTAGTTGTTGCCCTGTGCGTTGCTCGAGGGTCAAGTAGGCTCGTTCTCAAATTCAGATTCGGATTGATATAGTCATACCAGCTCGATCGTTCGAACATGACACATCCAGGCTCTTTCCAGGGCATTTCGAGTCCTGCCGACAAAACTCTACCGTCTTCACTCACAAACAGTCGTCGAACCTGAGCAATTTGCAAACTCAGAAGAAAAGTTGATCGACCACGGCAACATTTAAAAAGGGCGCCGTGAAAATTCGGAGAACTGCAGAAGGGCCTGCAAGGGGGGTGCGAATTTAGCCTTTTATTGATTTCTCAATAAGCCTCGACATCATCCTGCTGTGCACCAACGTTGAATTTTTTCCGGGCTGATCCTGTCATTCGATGATGACTCAATGTGTCCTGGGCATCCTGGACCTTTCTTTCCATGGCTCGTATCTCAGCTTCGGGATCGATCGTCTCGCCTTCAGCGAAATCAAGAACCAGTTTTCGTCCCAACAAGTGAGTATTTGAAAGCGCGTCTAAGGCATTTTCGGCCTCCTTCGCCGTCACAAATTCAGCAAATGCAAATCCGCGGGTGGAATTGTCGAACTTCTTCGGCATACGAACTGTACGCAGCTGACCGTATGCGCCGAACAGGGCACGGATGTCCTTCCTGCTGGCCTCGAAGGGCAGGTTTTTGATGATGATCTTTGTTTTCTGTGCTTTGACCTTCTTCGACGTGTCTTCTTTACGACGCTCCTCCGCCATATCGGTCGACTTTTGCGACAGTTGCACAAGAACCTCATGTCCATCGAAGCGTCGACCATTCATCGTGGCCAACGCGGCTTCAGCTTGACCCTTGGACCAAAACTCCACGAACCCGAAACCCATGCTCAAAATCTCGCCTGGTCGTTTGGCATCGGTTCTGGTCTTGACTCGTGCGGAGAGGAACCCAGACAGCGGTCTGAAGGCTTCTGCAAGTCGGGCTGTAGTCGTCGAGAAGTTCAAGTTCCGCACAAAGAGCGTTGTCGTGGTGCCTGTCGAGGGCTCGGTCTCATTTTCTAGGATAGCAAGGGGATCGGCAACAGCCCCTGTCTCTTCAGCTTTCTGTTTGCTTTCCCAAAGACCCTGTGGAGCTCTTTCGAGATACAACACAGAACCACCAAGGTTTCGGTACGCTAATTGCTTGAGTGCCAAGGCCGCAGCAGAAGGGTCTTGAAACTGTGCAACAGCAACTGTCCCAGTTGTTGGGAAAACAAGGCGCTCGATCTTTCCATGCTGACTCAGCATTTGCAATAGTTCCTGGGAAGTGGTACCATATGAGAAGTTCTTCAACAAGAGAGTCCGGCCATCGCGGGCAGAGTTTTTGAATGCATCGACATTGATACCATGAGATCTCAAATAATCTTTGGTCTCTTTGATCACACTGGTCTCAGCATGTGCTTGCTTGACAGCAGCGTCAGCTGAAGCAGGATCAAGCACTTCTGATTTGGCAACTCCTAATCGATCAGCTACCGAGGCCAGGACAGCGTCAGGGTTCATGTATAAGGAGTTCCAGCTGAACGTTGATTTGGAAGAGTCGTTCTTGCGCTTGATGGCCTTTTGCTTTTTCAGTGGCAATTTCGAGATTTCAAATTCGCTTAGCTTCGATGTCTTCTTGTCTGAAGCAGGCAGCACGTGCAATAGTCTACCATGAAAGTCTCTGCCGTCGAGCTCCAAAAGAGCCTTCTCTGCATCGATCGGTTCGACATACTGAACATAGCCAAGGCCTTTGCCCGTCGATTTTCTTGTATCGGTGACTAAATGGATCTTTGCGTCTGGTCAGTAAACACTCAAATAAAGGTAAAGAAAGAAGAGGGTGTTTTTAAGGAGATCAGAGGTGAGAAGCATCTACTAAAATACTCTTTCTGGGTTCAAATCATATGCTGAGCATAAGCTGTCCCTATCAGAAATCATCATGAAAAGACTTGTGGCAAAAAGTAGCGATTTCAACTTACTTCAGATATTCGTCCATATGCAGAGAACGTCTTCCGCAGATCTTCTTCGCGAATATCGAACGGCAGATTTCTGACAAATAACCGGGCATTTGGTATAGATAGCTGAAGTTCTTCTGGTGTTGATGTGGTATTAACATGTGTCGTCTCTTCGCCTTTTCGGTCACTCCCATCGTCGACCGGCATGTAATCAACGCCATCGACTTCGGATGCGACCGGTTTCCAAGTATCTTCCGCGTCTTCAACAAGATCTAACAACCTGCTCGTCTTCCCGCGTAACCAATCCACGTCTGATGCGGCAGTCGTCTGTACCCCATCTTCTTGTTCTGTTGCCGTAGTTGGGACGATCTCTTGTGGCTCATCCTCTTCCTTGCCTGGATTTTCAACTTGTGGGTGCGTATCAGTGGTGTTGCCAGGCCCCTCAATTCTTCTCTCCTGCGGCAAGTCGGCTTTCCCGCCATCTTCAGTTGTTTCGCGTTTTCTTTTTCTTGTGATGACGTTATCTTCCTGCTGCCTTCGTTCTCGACGTTGTGATGACCGCTGGGACACCGGGGCTGCTTGGCCTGAAGAATCACGTTTGACTTCGATAGGGTTTGCTAGGGTAACAGTGATTCGGGACATGCGGACGAAAGTCTTGTTGAAGTATTTCACCGCATTCTTAGCATGTTCATGAGACTGAAATCCAACAAAACCAATACGGCGGTCTGCCACAACATGAGCATCTGTGACCGGATACTTCCCTTGGAAATGCGACCACAATTGTTCTTTGGTCATGGACGGTGGGAGTCCGGAAACATATATTCTAGTAATGAACGACTGATTGCTCTCAGTGTCTGCCATGTTGGGCTTGTCAGAGTCTCTCGTCCAGGATAAAGCCAGACCAGACCGAATCAGTCGATGAAATCGAAAACAAAAAATGGTACGAAGTCGAACTTTTGGGAGGCAAATTCGGCAAACTCGCCAAGAGGCAAAAGACTATTCAGTCGGATGATCATAGCCGGGTGCTCACAAGGGCTGGCAACCTGAACTCTTAATCAGCAACCCTGATGTGATACAAGGGGATTGATGAAACAACACCTATGACCACCAGACTGCGGTACGGATGCCTTGGTCGAACCGTGTTGTAAATGTTCTGAAAATGCTTGCAGATTGTGGTCGCCGCACAGCCTGATACCGCCTTCCATCCCACGTAGTCTATTTTTCAGCTTAAACGGTACCTGCAATGGCTTTCGATCCGCCCCATAGATTTTACCTTCTTACGTCCCCTCGTACCGCTTCCAATCTCGTGATTCGCATGCTCAACCTTCCGAAGCAGTCCAGTTTGTTTCACAGTTCGCAGGACGAGTATTTCTTTGGACCTGCCCTGGGATGCAAGTTCCAGCATGAAACGATTGGAAAGCACATTGATGAGTTGACGGAATTGAAAAGGAATGAGTTGAAGCATTGCTACCAGACCTGCTTCGATGCACTCTCGGAACACGGCAATGCCGCAGCTGCACAGGGCAAGAATATTTTTGTGAAAGAACACGTCGGCTGGTTGGCAGACCCTGTGGCTGAGACCAAGTTCATCTTTGGAGAGCACAGTACTAGTCAACCGTCATGGACTGTCCAAATGTCCTATCCCTCGACAGTTTCTGCATTGAACAAGACCATCCTACCGGATGAGTTCCTGAAGACTTGGCTGCCTACATTCCTGATCCGGCATCCTGCGCTGAGTTTCCCGTCGATCTATCGTACGACCATCGACAACGAGGGTCGCGAAGCAGCCAGAGCCGACCCAGCGCACGTCCTGGAAATGACGATGCATTGGTCGCGTCGCTCTACGATTGGTATATCCAGCAGGATCATCTGACTCGATTCAATGCCGAGAACGGGACGAACTGGCCTGTTATACTCGATGCTGACGATGTCATGCTAAACCCTCAAGTCATGAACAGGTATAGCAAGATCGTTGGCCTTGATCCATCAATTTTGAGATTCTCCTGGGAGGCTACCAGCAGGGATGAGCTAGAGTAAATGTCTAGGACGGAAAGACGCATGCGTTCAACGATATCAGCGTCGACCGGTATTTTGAAGGAGAAGGCATCAGCGGACTTGAGTATTGATTCAGAAATGAGCAAATGGATGACCGAGTTTGGTGAAGAAGAAGCGCGGAAACTCGCCAGTTGGGTAGAAGCCGCGATGCCAGATTACATTTATATGAGGGCAAGACGGCTGGGCCCAGTGTGACGATGGACAGAATGCTCTATTGGTAATGCAGTACCTTGGGTAGCCTTTTGTATGACCATAGCAGTCGAGAGGTAAAGAAATGAGTCGCGAGCGGCACGGTTTGGATATCCGAGCTGGTGGAGGAGCCCGCCTCGCCGCCTAGCATTTAGATTTAGGTGCTTGATACGCCAAGGAGTTTTCCGATAGATCAGCCCCTGTGACAGGCTGCATGTGCCTGCTGCGCATCATGCGGCTCTCAGGCAACATTCGGAACTGGTGATAAACATTCCCTTTCGTGCAGTTGCTCATTACCCTATCAGCCTTTGCACTTCCTACAACTATTCACATTTCGTTGAAGACATCGCACATTCCACAGCAACCACCATGGCGGAATCCGCGCCTGAAAAGAAAGTGAAGCTTGAGCGTAAGTCCCAGCAAACCCGCAGATGTGCAATCACTGACACGAGTACAGCACAAATCAAGTCCGTCGATATGGTGAGTTCCCATGCTGAAGGTACATAGTGTTGTTGGTATTGACAATGTAAAGAGCGAGGACATGCAACAAGAGGCCATCGAAGTTGGTATGGAAATACTCCCACCTAGACACGTCTGGCCAGAATATTGACACACGGTCAGCACAAGAAGCGATGGAAAAGTTTACTATCGAGAAGGTGCGGTCCCAAAAGAAATAATTCGAGTCGATTTGCTGAGAAGTCTGTACAGGACATTGCCCAACACATCAAAAGAGAGGTCAGTCCACGCGTGGCATAAGAGACGAAACCCTTGCTGATGGTAGTCCCTAAGTTCGACTCGAAAAAGGGTGCTACCTGGCATTGCATAGTCGGCCGGAATTTTGGGAGCTTCGTCACACACGGTGAGTTATCCACATGGTTTGCTGGACGTGGGAGCTCTCACTGACTACCGCTCGCAGAGACGAAGCACTTCATCTACTTCTACCTTGGCCATGTTGCCATTCTGTTGTTCAAGACACAATGATTGAAGCAGTTTAGCGACATTGGCGTGGACACGAGAGCGTTAATTCCACATGGTGCTACGTCCCCAAGCAAGCGATCATGCAAGGTAATGGGCAATTGGGAGAATGGTGCGATGGGATGGTCGATTGATATGCTGGTGTACAATGCATTCTGAACATATGCTGAATGGACTGCCACTGTGTTATGAAATGAAAACTTGTGTGCACCTCCGTCCGGCACTTCTATGACCTTCCGAGCGCGTCGTTCACTGCGTACATATACGTACTATCAGTATATGCAATTGAGAACGTGTCATCGCAAGGCTGTGACTTCAGGCGTCGGGCTGCATTCTTTTGTTTGTGGTGGGGGGGATTTCCCCGAGAATCTGTGGCAATGATTCGCCGAGTGACGAATGCTGCCCTTAGAGTTTCGCATCATCAGCTCGTCACCCTTCTTGTTGCGCCGCGCCAACTGCGCCTCGTCTTCTTCGTAGTACAAGAGCATTCCATGTGCCGACAACCTCCGCAGCTAAAGTCTCCCAACCTCCTCCTACCTCGTCGCACAAGAAGCTCTGCCATTACCATCCTCCTGGCGCAGATCTATTATTGCCAATCGCGATGGCCTTCTTCTTCGTGGTAGGCACGAAGGACTTCACAAGTCCCCTGAAAGGGTATGAGGGTATAACAGCACAGTGCCACAACTGCGGCAATTGGGCGGCGCATCCTATTCAAACCTGGGATTGGTTTACATTCTGCTTCTTGCCAATCATACCGCTTGGGGGCAAACACCAAGATGTAGGCTCTCCAACGCATCATACTTACATGTTACTGACGCAAAATGCAGATTGCCTGCTCAATATGTCGCTTTCGTCAAGACCTGCGGTAAGGGTTCTCTACATGCCCGCGATAAAACGCTTGATCTGACTCGCTTGCCAGGAACCGACCAGACGTACAATCACAACAAGGGCAAGGTCCGACGCAGCTGCCTCCGCAGCAAGGGCCGCCACAAGGCTGGGCACCTCAAGCGCAGGGTGCACGCCATCAATAACAAAAGTATCGGCGAATCATGCATGAGTGAGACAAAGATCAAAAATCCTTCTTGTGGCACATCTACAAACGGCGACCACACATGATGCTCCATCGCAGAACATGGCGCTATCGCTCAGGTTGTCGTCCACGCCATTTTGTCCACGGACATTGGAAATAGTCGCCACGAATCTCGAAGACCTGAATTCGGTTTGCGCATTGTGTACGGTGCAAAGGTTTTCGCCTTAACCGCAAGTGCCTGGAGGTGGTGCCACTTTCCTGATGTCCGAATCCAAATCTCCAGCAGTCCAGCACCTGTCGAGTATTAAGTTACCGGGTATGATTTCCTGGCGGTGGATGTCAAATCCGCCCCTCAATCCTGGGGTCTAGCGAAAACACGGAGGATCCTTGCAGCCTGGTGATCATGCGCTTCTATCAGTTGAGCCTTCGCCTCAGTGTGCCAAACAGGCTCTAAGACGCACACCAGCGGACCAGCGTTCTAGGGGTGCTTGAAGAACGGTTAGGAATCCAGTTGCGGCCACCTTCAGCTTGCCAGGATGCAATCAGGAGCACTTCTATAAGATTTGAGCACTCCGCGGTCGGAGAAAGCAAAGTTGGCATAATACTGGTCCTTCTCGCGTATGGTCACGTGACGGCGTGACACAATCGTGAAAGCGGTCACAACCGGCAGAATCGATATTATGAGTCCGATATAAATATTTTGGCCCGTTCGTAGAATTCTACTTTCTTTTCTCTTTCCATGCGCCGCTCCCCATCCGCTGCGTTCTCTGCTACAAACAACGATTCTCCTGCTTCACTGCAGTCGAGTACGCGTTTCCTTACTTGCAGATGAGAAATTCGGAGTAATCTTCAAAATCTTGCCTTCGTTTTGTGTCAACACGACCAAGACTGAGCACTGCCCGCGAGGGTCCAGCACGTTTTCGTGCTCGCAATTGGCATCAGAAACTTACAGGGCTTCAGCATCAGCTTGAAGGATTCCCTATGGAAGAGCCTTTGCGAAGATCGTTTGGCGTGTCTCCACGGTGAGAACGCACTTACTTTAGTGCAATCGCAGCGGAAATCTGCCCTCTTTGGTTCCATGGACCTAGAGGGCGTTTTCAATTCGATTCCGATTACTCTGGGGAGCGGCGCATCACTTTTCTTTTTCCATGTAAGACTGTTACCCTCTTGTCCCAAGTCCAGGATACTACTAACGTCTGAATCCCGCCGAGTGGTGGTTTAGGTACTGGTTCCTACTGCCATCGTCTCTCGCATTTGTTCCTCAGTGCCCATTCACACCGTTGACACCGTTGGTCTCCGGCCTCACTGAGAACTCTCGGAACGTGTCCAAGTCCACTCTTCGCAACGCACTGTCTTCTGTTGCCTCTAAGTGTACCTTTGGCACCGCATTCTTACTGATTCTTCCGTCCCTGTATGCCTGAAACGCTTCAATCCATCTCGATGTGCATAGACACCATTTACATCCCTCTGTTAGACCAGCGACGCGAAGGTCATTTCCTTGCGATGCTGAAAAGTCTAGAAACTCATTCGTCACGACGCCTGCGACTGCATGATTTCCAAAGTCTCCTGGTCCTGTCCGACAATACCCGTCTCGGTGGAATCCTGTCAGAGGACGATTGGAGAAGAACGCAAGAGGTTGTCTGAGTACTGCGGTGTGTCAGTGAGCTCGATTTCGGGTATTGGCGGCGCATCCTGGCTTGCACGACAAGCTCACCATTTAATGGACCAGACATCTTCTGCTCCTGGAAGAATTTTGGTGGTGCTGGTGGTGGAGGGTTTTTGCCTGCGGTACCGAATAATGGAGTCTGAACCACACGGGCTCGAAGGCCGTTCCAGAGGCTGAATTTGCGGTTCAGCCGAGCGATGGACTGTGGCAACTGCATCAATATCCACTACCATCAAGTCTCGCTTATTCGATGGCAGTAACAATGAAGCCTTCCGCAAAGAACTGTGCAGGTCTTGCTAGGGTTTGTACCCCCGTGCCTTTTGGTTTTCCTGCGGCTGCACTTGCAAGCATGACGTCAATACTATACCCCAACATGTCGCATTTTCGCGGGGATCAATCGCCAAGTATCCCGGCTATCTATCTGCTGCATGAAGGATTTTGTATTGGCCCGCGCAGCAACTTTACCTCCAGCAGGTGGTGCCCCTGTTCAACTTCTTGTGACGGCCTCGCAAAGTCGACTATGACAGGGACACACGTACGTCTCGGTGGATCTGCGGTCGACCGATCACCATTGACATGAGTACTCTTACAATGACCCCAAGGCCTCGGAAAACGCCCGCTATTTCCCCATCGTGTCTACGGGATTTTGCTGGTTTGTTATTATTTACCTGACTGACTTTGAAGGATGAAGATCCGGCGACTAGTTCCTCGAATTGCGTACAATCCTGTACCACATCATCCATGCGGCCCGAGAAAACTCCTTGAATTCAGAGCAAGATGTCAACTACCTGCCTATGTTTGTGGAGACTGCTCCGGATTGCCGTCCCCTGATTTCATCCGACTGTTCGGTCTATGCACAAATGAGGTATGGTCTCTAGTTCGTTGGCTGCTCATCGACTCGATCTGTTTCGCTGCTTGGTTTCCTACGCAGTTGCTGCATGTTCTTTCCGCTTAAGTCTGCTACTCCCGACAGTGCTGGACAGATTTCATCCCTGTCCCTACTCTCATTACAACTTGTGTTGCGTTTTCCCAAACTTCAGCTATGCCTGACCTAAATGTTGGTATTTGTGGGGCGGGAATTGGAGGACTGGCTGCAGCCATCGCCATCAGAAAGGCTGGCGGTCAGGTCACCATCCTGGAAGCCGCCCCTGAGCTTGGTGAGATTGGTGCGGGCATTCAGATGACAGTAGGAGCGCCGATATTGGTTGATTCCATGAGAACTGACAAGCTTATAGCCCAATGTTGCTCGACTTTTGAACAAAAGGGGGGTTGACAAGGTTATTGGGGACGACCTGGTCGAATTTGAAGAACTCAATATGAGAAGGAGAGATGGGACACTTGTGGGATACACCAAGACCATTCCTAATGTACGGAAGTAAGTCTAGCCAGCTCATGTTATTATTCTCGGTCTGACAGCAGTCAGAAATCTAGGTGTGCCTTGGTGGTTGGGTAAGTTACAGTTCAGGGTCAGGAGGACCTGCTAAGCGGCTGTAGTCCATCGCATGCATCTCCACTCGGGTTTGGCGGAGGTTGCTCAACGTGAAGGCGCGAACATTGTGATCGACTCTCGCGTGGAAAAGATCGACTGGACATCGTCGAAACAGGTCAACGTCACCACGGCTAAAGGCAAGATATGGACATTCGACCTGCTCATCGGCGCAGATGGGGTACGTTCTGTTGTCCGCAAGAGTTTCATGCCGCAAGTCACACCTAAACCCCCAACGGGCAATTGCGCCTACAGGGCCATCGTTTCGTACGATCAAATTCGCAAAGACCCTGTTGCAAAAGAGCTCGCGGAGAAATTGACCATGGAAGTCTGGATGTCGGACAAAGCGTATATCATCTCGTATCCAATCTCTCACGGCACGCAATTCAACATGGTGCTCAGCCATCACCGCGACCATTTGGTTGACGACGTCGAGGACATTGATATGCAAGAATTCCGAGACACCTACAAGGATTTTGACCCAAGAATAAAGCGTATTGTCGACATAGTTCCTTCTGCTCGAAGATGGCCGTTGCTTGTAACCGGGCCCCTGGAGACCTGGTCCATACCGGAAAAGAACGTCGTCCTTATGGGGTATGTTGTGCCTTGAGGTGGCAATATCATTGGAACGCTGATGAATTGGCAGTGACGCTGCACATTCCATGGTCAATCATATGGCTCAAGGGGCGGCAACAAGTATGGAGGTAATTAAATCTCGTAGCCCCTTGCGAGGTCTTTGACTAATTTTGCGCAGGACGGGGCTTACCTGGCACGGACACTGGCCAAAGTGGTAGAGGGCAAGATAAATCTTGCGCAGGCAATAGAGATTTACGAAAAAGGTCGAATGCCTAAGGTGTACTTCAAACAGCAGGTGTCTTTCTTGAACGGCGCAATATGGCATCTGCCGGATGGTCTGCTACAAGAGGTAAATTCCTCCCTGCATTGTATATCTAGTTTGAATGGAATTGTTGATGCCCTGTTTGCAGGCTCGAGACAAAGCGATGTCGGCCGAACTACAAGGGGAGAAATTCATGCGGTCTCCCAATCTTTACGGTGATCCTGAAACAACCATGAGGTGAGTTAATGCAGCAGACACTCAGTGTTGGCTACTAACATTGAGTCAGTGTGTATGGATACGACGCCGAAGAAGATGCCGAAATGGCAATTAGAGCGTATCTGGACAAACACGAACCTTACGATCCCAAGACCGGAGTGACAGATCGAGAGCTGAAACGGTTCGTCGGGTGGTGGTGGCCGAAGGATAGGATGCCACTCCGAGCTTCGAAGCTGTAAATAAACGGGTATAGACAATAAAATAGAGTCTTCCACAGTGGTATTCCGGCTGTTCAATTCATCGTTTGTGTTTGAGATATGAGAGTTGACAAAGAAGTCGCAGTGTACACAGGAATTGTTGCCGCACCCAGAGCGGTCAAACGGTCACAAAGAAAATGGCTACCTACATGCTTCACAACAAAGAAGACATTGACACACAATTCACAGTCTGCTTCACTCATGGTAGGATGAATCCAAATCCTGTGACTTTTGGCAGGTCCTCATCCCAATACCCGCCAACTCTCCTGAACCACAACTTCACTGAAGGCCGCCATCACCGTCCGGTATAGCGTGAGGACCTAACACAAACAACTCTCTTATAAACCTCGTTATCACCTGCTCGAATCCTCTCGACACTCTCTAGACGAATCTATCCTCTACCACGTCGGTGCAGCATGACTCGAAGAGACCTACACCTCATGCGCTCCACTACCGAAATGACCACCACCAAGCCCATCCCAGGAAAGCATCAGGATGAGGACGATGAAATAGAATGGGAGACTGTCACCACGGCATCATCAGAGACTGAACGAGGCGACATCGACATGGATTCCACCCTGCCTAACGGCGCATTACTCCCACCCTCACCACCCTGTGACTCTGACTTCACCTTACCATCATCTCATCCAGAACCCGAACCGCGAAAGCGCCTGTCCTACAAAGACGCCCTCTGCTCCTCTCCAGCGGCAGAAGACAACGACGCCCTTCCCATAGTCCTTGTTGAAGAATATGACCCTGACACCACCCTCATGTCAGGCGCAGTCGATCCGCGAGACGCCGACATCCCAGTAACACTAGGTCTATCCTCCTCTGACGAGGAGATCATCTGCTCAACCAGAAGCGCCTACAAACACTGCTACGACAAGATGCCCTACCGCGTCCTCCACCGCTACCACCTGTACGAACTTGGTCTGCCGTTCAAAGATACTCGTCATCTGGATGCATTAACGCCGAACTTTTTGACGACCTTCCGTGGTGTGGACCGAGCATGGGACGAATTCGAAGAGATCGAGCGTGACTATCAACGTGCTGTTCGTGCCGATGAGAGCTTTGAGCTGGATCTCGACGAGTACTTGCTCGTTGCATTGGCCAAGCGAGGCGGAAGGTCCAGGAGACAGGTCGTGTATCCCGAATACATATACCCGTTATGGCCGAAATGGGAAGATGGTAGCGATAGTTCTGAGGCCGAGACTGAGCGCGAGGACAAGAGAGAAGCAGGTGCAGGCGAAGATACAAATGCGTCTGGCGAGAAGAGACCTACAACCCGAAAGCAGCGTGCGAGGTTCGAACTGGACTTTACTTTTGACGACGCGTATTGGATAGAACTGGAAGATCAGGGCATCATTTGGGACGAGATAGATGTTCCCAGACTATGATCTTGGTCCGAATTACAAGGCGAATTGGGTGAAATTGGTATTTGGACGATACTGGGCAAAATTGGACGACTACATGAAATCACACGGAACGAAACAGGAGCATTGTACAAATATGGGAAGCAATATGGGCGAAAGATCGGCGCAAGTCAGTGCTGCAAGAATTCCTACAGCTTCGACGAGATGCAAAGTGCTGCGGATATACAGTACTTGGAGATGTCTATACCAATTCATGGGTGACCTTTGGCATGTGCATCTCGATACTGTACGGAACACATTGCCGGTGCAAGCGAGTGCGACATTCAGAATCGGCAGAAATCAAAGTAATCGCAACACCTTTGTCTCGTAATGCATATCGATTCTAGGATCTATACATCGTCCTCGCCCTCTCCAGGGTCAAGCAAGCCCATAGAAAACTCAATCGCATCTTCCTGCCGTCGCTTCCTCTTTGTGAACCAGTGTTTCATTCTCACCCCGATACCACCGATCTGCTTTCCCTTTCTCGTTCTTACAAGCCATCTCTTTCCCACTGGTGTCAACCTCCGAATGGTAACCACGACAACGAATGTCGTCAACGCCAGGGAAAGTAGTATAGAAATAACGACGATCCAAGGATTGATTCCCCTCAAGCAACATCCGTACCACGACATGTATATCCTGACCAAAGTCTCTATGAGTGTGGGTCTGGGTTTCTCATTGGGCATTAAGCCTTTGCGTAGGAGATGCTTGAATCTAGGACCGTTAGGACCACTGGTGTATTTTTTCAATCCGAAGTACGGTACGGTTTGTTGTCGGGGGTCGTCGTCCGGGTATTGCTGGTCGCCCCATCCACCGAGAAAGCGAAACCAGTCAGTCGGTGCGGTCTCGGGTTCGAGAGCGGTCAGGTTATCGGTTGATGGATTGTAGGTGTAGAACCAGGCTGGCTGGATTGGGTCCCAGAGACGACCTTTGTCGGCGACATCGATGAGTGCTGCGTCGTGAACATGGCTTCTGCTTGCTGTTAGCTGTGCATGGACCAGGCTGGAAAGGAGCATGCAAGCTTACCCTGCAGAAGGATAGTTTGCGTGGGAGCCTCGAGCGCTGTACACGATTGGCTGCAGACGGTGAGCAAGGGCGCCGTTCATAGGGTAGAGGAGTCCTTACTCGATCTCCCTCTTTGGAGAGACACGCTACGTCGTCCCAAAGACATGCCTCTCCCCAGGCATGCTGGCTGTACCAGATTCCGACGGGCACTCCTTCCTGGAACCGAACCATGTTATGCTCCCTTGGGACCATGTCAATGTCAAGATGCACAGAGCCCGGGAAGATCATGCTTACCAATCTCCAACATGGTTCCCAAAGTGATCGCCAGGCTTACTGTCCGGGAGGATTCTGTTCAATGGCGGCAGAACTTGGGTGATATCTGCACCTTCATCGAACGAGTAGAAATAGAAGTAGAAAGCGTCAACGATTTGTTTCGCTTTCTCGACGATGACGACTGCACAGGCGGTTGAGTTGTGTAAGGCACCTTTCGTATCTGGAGTCTCTCCGAAGAGCCAGTCGGGCATCGTGGTGACATTCTCGACGGCCGTCAGAAAGACATCTTTGCCATGCTCGTTGAGGGCGGACAAGTTGTCCATGTCCAGTACCGGCAAGTCGGCAAGAGGCTCGCAATGCTTGAAAGCTCTGGTGTGTTGGACATGACTTGGTATATCACTTGGCATGAAAGAATCGTTTGAATGGAGCCATATGATTGGAGCTGGACGTCAGCGGTCGAGTCAGCGTTGTAACACTGACGTGAGCTGAGCCATCATCAGCGATCCTACGTACCATGGTCCTTCACATAGTCTAGGACAGCAGATCTTGCTAGAGTGGGTAAAAGTCCAGCAGCGAACAAAAGGGAGGCAAAGACCTCGACGTATCGTGGTTTTTCACCTAGTTTCATTGTGGTATTCCAGGCCCTAGTCCTCCCTGAGCATTCATGCTTGACGTCAGCAGATCCAGCAATGCACGTTTGTGTGTAAGATAGACATCCTGTATGAATGATGCCGACCTCGATCTTCCAGAAGGTACAAGATTCAAATGTAGTTGCGCTCAGTATCCGGCACGGCCGGACAAGGCTGGCGGATCTTGCTATCCACCAATCAGACACAGTCTTGGCCAAAAGTCCTCCCTCTAACTCATCTCGCGCTAGCGTAGTATTTTCTCCATCCAGCTCCAAATTTCAAAAAAGTTGTCGATGCTGGGAATTTCGCAGTCTGCACAAATTAACTCAAGACGACTCGTCGTTAACGCCCACTATCTGCATCCTCACCGCATACCTGCTGTACTCGACCAACCGAGTAGCACCTCTCGAATTATTCTTGAAACCATACCAGTAAGACAAAAACACAAAACAACTCAGTAATGGCCTTCGGTGGTGCGCCCCGAGGTCGTGGAGGCGCAAGAGGTGGTGGGCGCGGCGGCTTTGGCGGCGATCGTGGTGGTCGTGGTGGAAGTCGTGGTGGCTTCGGCGACCGTGGTGGTCGTGGCGGTGGCTTTAGAGGTGAGACAGGCCACAGCAACCCATCTCAAAGGATGTGATGATTGACAATGCTAGGTGGTTCTCGTGGAGGCGACAGAGGTGGTCGTGGCGGTGGCTTCAGAGGTGAGACAGGCCACAGCAACCCATATCAAAGGATGTGATGATTGACAACGTTCTTTACTAGGCGGTTCTCGTGGAGGCGACAGAGGTGGACGAGGCGGTGGCCGAGGTGGTGCTAAGCCCGGTATGAGAGGTGGAGCGAAAGTGATTATCGTACGTCTGCAAACATTCCCCCCTCAAAGCCCAGCAACAAGTCCTAATGACCTCGGCGACTAGGAACCCCACAGACACGCCGGTGTTTTCGTCGCTCGCGGTGGCAAAGAAGATCTCCTGGTCACCAAGAACTTGACTCCAGGCGAGTCCGTGTACGGCGAGAAGCGCATCAGCGTCGACGCACCCACCAACCCCGCCCTTGACGGCGATGCCGCTCCTGCGGCCACAAAGACAGAATACAGAGTGTGGAATCCTTTCCGATCGAAGTTGGCGGCCGGTATCCTCGGTGGTCTCGACGACATATTTATTCGCCCCGGCTCGAGTGTGCTGTATCTCGGTGCCGCCTCAGGTACTTCAGTTTCGCACGTTGCCGACATTGTGGGCCCGACCGGACGAGTCTACGCCGTTGAGTTCTCGCACCGCTCCGGTCGTGACTTGATCACCATGGCTACTCACCGTACCAATGTCATCCCCATCATCGAGGACGCCAGACATCCTCTACGCTACCGCATGCTCGTGGGCATGGTTGATGTTGTTTTCGCCGACGTGGCTCAGCCAGATCAAGCGCGTATTGTCGGGCTGAACTCCCATCTTTTCCTGAAGGCCGGTGGTGGCGTGCTCATCTCTATCAAGGCCAGCTGTATCGATTCGACGGCCAAGCCTGAGGTGGTATTTGCCAACGAAGTGAAGAAGATGCGTGAAGAGCGCATCAAGCCAAGAGAGCAGTTGACTTTGGGTAATGTTACTCCTCGATCGAAGAAACCACCAGTCTAACTAATTGTGTACAGAGCCCTTCGAACGAGACCACTGCATAGTTGCTGGTATCTATTCGCACAGTGAGAAATAGATGTGTTCCTGGAAACGAATTCGGCGAAATTGGCTCATGCCATGTAACGTGCATGAGGAGTACAGTGCTTGAATGCGGTGCTGTATATCTACGGCGTACTCGGCGTCCGGGTCAGTCTATGCGAGGGAAGTTTCAGGGTCAGGTCATGTAGTGATTTTCAAATGTGTACGCTTCCAAAAGCAAGAGAGACATCAAGGACGGGAGATTGAATTCTGGTCATTTCGATATCATCATCACAAATTGCTTTTCCCAGTGCTTTTGACACATTAACCATTAGATGCAGCCGTGCTTGTGCGGCCCGTCGTGGGTCGATGCTTTCGCATACACGACTACCCAAACCACCAGCGCCGTGCTATGTTTTGAACCTTCTGCGAGGTCAAATGATGCCTTTCCTGTGCCGCCAAACATAGTCGAATTGATCCGCCAACCGTGAGACCTTCGAGTAACGAACAGGTCTTTCCTTCTTCCTCGGCATGCTGCTGACTCTGACGGCCGACTCTGGTGTAATGATGCTCGATAGCCTGGCGGTGAAGATGGTGTTGAAGCGCCTGTGCTAAAGCGCGGTGACTTTGGTGCATATGAAGACGGTAGTCCGGTACGTCGGCAAGATAAACGTCACATGTCCATCTCATGTCAAAACTGGGCAGTGTGTTGTCCAACCCGTCGCAGACATGAGTTCTCTGTTAAGCGTTCTACACTCTGACAAAAGCTGCAAGACAACGTCAGCATCAACTTGAGATTCCAAGATGTTTGCGCTGGTCACGCAGAAACCGGAACGCTTGGAAGATACTTACTAGCATCGATTTGCTTCACCTGGGGCAAAGCCAGTCGCACTTTGTTCCTATACACAGCCGGCGCAGACAATTGAAGAGGGTTCATCTCGAAGTAGACTGTTTCGAGATTCTCCTTGTCGGCCAACTCCCGCTCGACTTCCCGGAAATCGGCCAGTTTATTGCTGCTCGCCCACATTTCTTCGAGATCTTTGAGATGAGAGATGTTCGCGAGGCGCGAGATCTGGTTGTTGGAGATATCTAGGACACGAAGTTTGGAATTGTTGGCGAAGGTAGAAGGCGTAATCTCGGTGATGGCATTGTGCGACGCATAGAGTTCCTCGAGGTTCGTCAGATCCTCAAGTCCATCAATGGATGTCAGGCGGTTGGACTTGATATCTAGAAGTCGTAGATTCGTCAGGGCAGACAGGTTCTTGATTTCTGTGATCTTGTTCTTCCCTAGCCACAGTTCCTGTAGCTGGTGGAGAGGCTCGAGGTTTTCGATTTCCCGAATCCTGTTTGCACCCAGTTCTATCGTGGTCAGGTTTTCAAGGCCTTCGAGGTTCTCGATTCTTGATATTCGGTTCTGGACAAAGTACAATTGAGTCAACTTATGTAGGTGGTTCACATGCTTGATGTGCTTGATCTTGTTGAAGCTGAAGTCCAAATTCGTGAGATTCGTCAAGTTCTCGATTCCCTTAATGCTCGAAATCAGATTGTCATAGAGGTCTAGCTCTTCCAACTTTTCGCCCCAGTTGGCCGGTAGAGATATGGAAGTAATGGCGTTCTGACGTAGGCATATTCTTTTTAGATTGGTAAAACGTTCGAGTTTGAGGGCTTGTATGGAGGATATTCGGAGATGTACCAAGTCAATGTCTTCGGTGTCGGGAGGATAGTCGTCTAGTAGATCTTCATCCGCTTCGATCTCGTCGACAGGAGGGGCTTCAGGATCTGAGTATTCTGGGTCGGAAAGAATATCTGGGTTGGTCAAGACTGCATGTCGTGGAGGCATACGCAGTTTGCCATCCCAGCCGCTGCTGCTCACCAGAGGCGCTGAGCTGTGACTGTGAGAAGCGTCGGTAGAAGGCAATTCTATATGCGCATGTTGTAGCTCCTGGTCTTCTTCGTGCCCTCCGTTGGTTTCCAGTGCCTGGTCCTTGCCCTCTGCCTGGTCCGCCATGACGCGGGGTAGTATGGCGAAAGTACGAAAACTGGGGGCGCAGTAAGTTCTAGCGCCACCAGAGTAACAAGGCTGGGAGCAGGAAAGAAGCGAGGACGGCGTGGGTGAGAGAGTCGGTTGCGTCCGAGTGATTTAACTACGTCGGGGAGAGGAAAGTTGCAGTGGTGGCCACGCGGGCAGATCACACAAGATCGTCACATGCAGGTACAAAGTACATTTTGTATAACTCGTCACGACCTGCGCACCTGAATTATGATGGCTTGCACTTGGATTGACTTGGGACCATAGATGAAGAGGGTCTTCTCATGTCCGGTGTTCACGTAGCACTGAATGTGAAGTGGCCGTACCCATATCAAGCCGGAGTTCAGATGTTCGCGTCACGCAAACACGATGTTCGTAATCCATTTCTATTCGACGGATCCAAATATGCAGCATCACTTGATCGAGGACGTATGATGGAATGCCGTCTTGTAAAATGTCATCCATGCTTTCCTCCTCGTCAAGAGACTATGCGTGTTATACAAGATATGCCTGCTGCCATGCTTTTGTCTCCCACCACAATGCTCCTGAACACCTCTGGCTAGTTGTTCTCAAGAGAATCTTTTCGTGACCTTTGCGATGACTGTAGATTGCATTAGCTTCTTCAGTACAGCACCTCAGAGTGTGCGACTTACGATGTAAAGCTACCACGCTGAAGATGAACCCCAAACTCAAGAACAAAATAACCATAGGATCCACCTTCAACCCAGGGCTGTCGTCGGTGTAAAGCCTAAGCATAGTACCCGAGGATCCGCCTGCACCTGCTGAGCGCGTCGAAGCTGGTCGTGCATTCTTGACCGATTCTTTGTGGTCGGCAGCGGCTCGACGACGGATAGCGGAGCGAGGACCTCCTGGAGGCGAGCCTGCGCGTGCAATAGCGGACGCCCCGCTAGATTTGGCGGCTGAAGGTGTAGAATCGGGCCCGGAGTCTGGACCTGAGGTCAGAGGGGAGGAAGGTCTTGGTGATGCCTGGTATGACAGTGGTCAGAATATCTTCTCCAGCACATGTTCATTGTATCTTCATATGATTGCGATCGCGTCCACACTTTGGTTGAAGCGTAGCATTGTGATAGGGAAGGGAGAGCTCATACCATGGTTATGAATAGCTGCGACACTGGAAGGTGATCGCGTGCAGAAGGTTGTGAATGAGAAGAAGTGTGTTTGGGGACGGTTCGCCTGCTGCACTAGGTGTAGGTAGTCGAGCCGGAAGCGTAAGAGATGTTGCAGAGTGTCGTCCGAGGTCAGTGAGATCTGGACCTGGAAAGTTGTGGTGGTTGATGTGTTGTGGACACTTTTACAGTACCAAATGGATCGATGAATTCTGGGGAAATAATTCGCAGCTTGCAGCCGCAGCCTGAGAGGCTACTCTAGGCCAGCCTTGCCCCTAAACTTCAACGCTCTTGGCACTGCTGGCCCCTATCAATCGCGCCGTGCGAGTGCTATCTGACATTTCTCTATAAATGGTGTTTGGTCTGTTTTCCGGGTTTGCACATTTTGCACATTCTGTTGCTTACTAACTATCATCTTGCCCTGACCTTCTTTCACGTGGGCACCATCCGCCCATCAATGGTCGAACAAGCAGTCTCCTGCGTCTGGAGCTTGACTTATGCTTCGAGCACGCCTGACAATCATCCAGTCTCATTCGTTCAAGTGACCTTGGAGCCTTGTCTCAAGGCTTAGCATTCCCAGCACTTTTCGACCTATATCGCCAGAATGTGCCTGCCGTCGACAATGCGGCGCACCAGGACTTCGGGTATCGAATCCCGGGCAGCAGACTTCATTATTGTCACACTTGTCGTGTGTGGGCAGACTAGAACGTTATGGCCGGACTGAACCGTAATGGTGCTTCATTTCTAGTTGGCGATATAAAAACTGACGAACTAGCAGCACGTCACACGTTTCTGAGACGACTGAGCAGCAGGAATACGAGCAGTCTATTCTGCATAAGCACTATCCCGAGCAGGGTATGAGACATGATGGACAACAACCCGAAGATGATGGGCCGGAAGCCGAGGACGAGGACGAGGACACCTCCGCTCACATGGCTGACACGGATATCGGCTCTGGTGTCAAAGGCAAGTTCAAAACTTTCTGGGAGAAGAAAGTCGTGCCCGCATTCCCAGAGGCTATCGCCGACGTAGCCATCATCAAGTCTGCTCTCAAAGTCGAGGCAACAATCACGAAGGATATCAAAAACATGACCAAGCATCCAGAGGTGAATAAGATCGCAGTGGTGAGACGTGGCTTTGAGCTATCGCCAGAAGAACTGAAGTTTCGCGAACTCCGAAAAGTCAAGGCCTGGAACGCTTTTTGTCGGTATATGGACCTCAATCCTAGGGATGTGCATGTCGACGATGTACCTATTGTGGCTTTCGGTGGATCCGGAGGCGGATTCAGGGCGATGATTGGTATGCTGGGATACTCCGAAGCAATGAGGCGTACAGGCCTGTGGGATGTCTTGACATATGTCTCTGGTGTCAGTGGCAGCTGTTGGAGTCTTGCAGCGTATTACACCTGGGCTGGCGCAAGTATGGAGAGAGTCATTGAACATTGCAGGAGAAGGCTAAGCCCTTACCATCCGCTATCACCTGAAGCTATCAGGGAAGTCTTACAAGCACCGGGAGGTCCCTCGAAGACGTTGGGACCGGTTGTGCAGAAGCGGCACAGCGGGCTTCATACGGTGGCTATGGACCTATACTCGGTATTCACCACAGGCCACCTGTTTCTACTGCACGATCCTAGCCTGGATCCTCCGAAGAATACCAATGTCAAAAACGAAGTTGCAGGATACCATGACCAGTGGTACAAGTGGACCTCGGCCATGAAATTCATCCAAGATGGGAGAGAACCGTTTCCCATCTTGACTGCCATCCGGCACGAAAGACCTTGGAAAGACTGGGCAGACAAGGAGCATCCATTCAAGGACGCAAATCCCCATGCAAAAGAGCAAGAAGAGGCTGAGGACGCTTGGTTCAATTGGTTCGAGCTTACGCCGGTAGAGGTAGGTTGTGACGAACTCGAGGCATGGGTACCGACGTGGGCATTCGGGAGACCCTTCGAACAGGGCAGGGATGTCATGCAGCTTCCCGAACAGTCGCTCGCGTTGTTGCTGGGGCTTTGCACGAGTGCCCCTGCAGGGCCTTTGACGTCCTACCTCGCGACTATCAAGAGAAGTCTTCCTCCAGGATTCATTGGCAACTCCATCAAAGATGTGGCGAAAGGAGTCGCGCATATGTGGGGTCAGAAAGGTACCGAAGAGTTCCAAGCTCACCACCCTCTACACGCGGTCAATGAACACAACTTTATGTTCCACCTGACAAGGCCGGCGAACCCCTCAGAACCATCGCCCCCGGGAATTGAGAATTCGCCTCGAATACATCTTATTGACTCGGGAATGGACAACAATTGCCCAACGTACGTGATGATGCATCCGCGTCGGTATGTGGATGTGATGATCAACATGGATGCTTCGAGCGATGTGTTGAAAGACACATTTCAAGAAAGGGTAGACCAGATTGCTGGCCGCAGGAGCTTGAAGTTCACCAAAAGGCACCCGGAATTTAAGCCAGGTGATGATCCCAAGGATCCTGCCCGATACAACGGACTCTATGCACAGATATATGATGGCAGGATCCTGGTTGATCGACCTGAAAAGGTCGTTGACTCGTACGGTAATACGGTGATCAACCCACCAGCACGTCCTTGTTTGCATGAATCGACTATGATATACATGCCACTGTTACCGAATCAGGGCGCTGTGCATGATTTCGATCCTTCTACCGCGAAGTTTTCGGGATCGTATAACCTCGTCTGGACACGGGAGCAGGTTGACATGCTGGTCACGGTGTGTCTGGCAAACTTTGCCGCTGGCGAAGATACCATCAAGAATGTGCTTCGAGAGGCATGGCTGAAAAAGAAGGCCAATAGAGAGGCAGCCAGCGATAGTGCTCGTCCGTCATATGTTGGTGGACGTGCTCCAGCCAGAGATATCTCCTCCCTGCCGTATGTTGGCGGACGGGCTCCCGTGTACCAGTCATAATAATACACGAGTATTGTGTCCACAGTGGTCGAATGCTCGATATTGTCCATGGTCAGCTGTAAGTCAACGTCCACAAAATCCAAATGCAACGGTGTTTCGTGTGATTGGTGGCTGCTTACCACACCTCAGGATCGGGTGGTGAGGCTGAATCCGAGTCTCCCTCAGCTGACATGACATCTGCTTGCCGAATTGCTGAAAGCTATATTATGGCTGCATCTGCCCCCATTTCCTTATCGAAAACTTAATGAGACCCATATTCACCCTCATTGCCCATTTTACTGCTGGTGATCTTGTTTGTTAGTTCTTGAACTAAGGCGACGATCTGAATATCCATTGCCGAGGTCACCCCAGGCGCTAAGCGAGGCCGACCCCTTAATTCAAAATGATGCAATTCATCACCTCCATCGTTGCTATTCTGGGCGGCAGCAGCACGAACCCTTCCCCAGTATCGGGTGGATTGGTGGTAGACACAGCTCCGACCACCCCGCATCGACCTTATGTCCTCCCTAACCTCAAAGGCGCCGCTGTTGATTTTGGCGGATTGATCATTCGAACACTTGTTCCCAACGTCACTTCGAGCGGTGGCTTGTCCATTGTCAGCGTCAACTCTGGCCCGGCGGCTTTGAATCTGATTCACCACCACAAAGAGGTCGAGGCATTCTACGCTCTTAAGGGTGGTGTTCAAGTCTTCCACAACTCCAACCAAGGCCGCCAATTGCAGGCCAACGATTTTGCTCTGCTGGCACCTGGTAACAACCACACTTACCGTCCTAATGACCTCGACCTCCAACTCACATTATGCATGGCCCCTGGGGGGATTGATGAGTTCTTTACCTCCGCCAGCAATGCGTATAGCTCATCAGGTCCATTCAATCCAGGACATTCGTCCCAGCTGAACATCACCAAAGTCTTGGGACTAATGCCGCAATATAATATCATACCAGAGCCGTTCAATACTATCAACACGGACTGGGTCAATGGCACAACCGAGGACGGCTTAGACACTTGGCAGGTAGCCGAACAGACCTTGCCGACAGATACTTCCAAGCCATACTTCATTTCCAGCAACCGTGGACCAAAATATCTGAGTCAAGATGCTGGCAAGGTCATTGCTCAGCTGGCCTCACCGAAGCAAACGAACAACAAACTGTCCGTTGCAACAATCGCAATGAAACCAGGCCCCAAGCCTGCTGCTTCCAGGTTTAATGTGGACCAAGCTTTCCAGGTGACGGAGGGTCAGCTTCACGTTGAGATCAACGGCGAGAGAGCACAATTGATCTTTGGCGATCTGGTCTTCATTCCCAGAGGAACATATTTCAATTACTGGTCGACTGTCGGCTTTACCAAGTTCGTTGCCTGGTCTGCTGGACCAGGACTTTCGGACAGTCTCATTCAAGGAGCGGAAGAATGGGATTATGCTGTGTGGCCAGCGTGACGTGACTGTGAGGATGAAAGCACGTTTCACTATTGATATCAAAGACATTCGGTCTATCGTAACAAATCAATTGACAGACGGTCAGCTTCGGCGCACACTTGCAAAAGCGAAGTAACGGACTGTGTTTCAGGGTAAAAAGGCCCTGGCAGATGGGAGCAATTTGTTGCATTTGGGACGCCTGGCAGGATTAGATAGCTCAAAATAATGATATCCTACTTGCCCTCCTTGGACACATTCTCCTGGTAGCGAGGATGTGTTCTATCCACTGCCCAGTCTGGACTTTGCCCTAAGACTCCAACCCAAGATGCTGGCATGGACGTTCCGCGGCATACTCCCCGCAAAAGCGGAACCTGTCCGTGCTCCATGGTCAGCCATTTGGGACTTTTGTTCCCCCACAAGCTCAGCTAGACCGGCATGCTAGATGTCCGTATACTCAAGCATGAAATGCCCAAGTGTTCTCACGGTGACAGCTTCCGGGGCACTTCATTCATCGACACAGTATGAGCCCGACCAGAGCCGTCGTCATGGCAGATTGGAGTAAAGACCAGTTCATGTCGGCATGGGACCAGAAATACGTCTCTACCAACCTTAAACCAGGCTCAAGGCCATACGACGAGGCCTTCTTCCTCAACCTCAATTCCGACTTAGTCACCTCACGACCTGACTTGAAACATATCTCATATACCCTCATCGTACACTCTCCCCAGATGACACCGCGCATGATCTACGCTCACAATCACAGGCCGCGGCATGTTGCGCAGCAGGCCGCGCCGATATCGTGGGCAAATTCTTCGACGACCTGACTAGGACCTCTTCGCCCGAGGAATCAGAGCAAACCTTCCTCCGTCTCCGGGAGGCCATCACCATCATTATGCCCTACCTCGGGATGCCATCTTGTGTCCCAGCATGCTACGGCATGATTGGCGTGATACAACGCAAAGGCCAGCAATTCGCATCGACGAAGGTTCTCCGTAAGAAGACCATCTCTGAGGAAGACGTGCGCAAAGGCTACGATCTGCGCGCACAGATCTACAAGGGCGTAGGAAACTCCGAGATCTTCGACCTCATGGAAAAATACTTTACTGATCTCTGTGAGTCCTGACACTCACGTAAGTAACCAAGCCCAGGGTTTATTGACATGCGTGCGTCACATAGATACAACCTCGACTGTCGTCACCTGGGGGTACTTGATCTCCAAAGCCAACGAGGAGGTCTTCCAGCCTCAGGATTCGCACCTCATCGTCGCAACCGCGATCATGGCTCTGGGTGCTACCCGCCAGACGAAAAGCCACATCAAGGCTACGTTGGGTATTGGCAATTCGGTGCAGTGTGTGAAGACGGTGGTGGGCGTCGTCACTCGAATAGCTGAGTGGGCTGATCGTCCTCGACTTGGACCTTTCGATGTGGATCAGCTGGCAGTTGAGATTCGGGAGGCGCTGAAACAATAATGATAAAGGTGTACAAGTTGACGATGAGCTTCCCTTCAGTCCTGTGCAGCGGCTGTGTAGGTACCGACATCGACCTGCTTCACTCGACGCTATGCAGTCTTCTCTGAAACATTTGTGTCCGAGAGCCCTCGTGTTGGAAAAGTGGCTGGCGGTAGAGAGCTCAAAGGACGCGTTTGGTAGGTCTCAATTATAGCATCGTCATTGTCTGTTATTTTGCCGAGAGCCGCGTGCTGCGAGCCTTCCAGAGCGACGACGAGGTGCCTCGTCCTCGAGAATACGCTCTAGCGTACGTAGACTAACGTGAGCCTTGTCGGCGATGACTTCCTGTGGCACTTTGCCCTCGAGGATCTTGACAGCAGCAATGATCTTATTCTTGCGCGGCGTGTCAACGTGGCTGCCCTTTTTGCGTGGAGAGCATATCTCGGGTATGTCGTCGAATGCCTCAGTGCGACAGCGTTTCCGTCCCATTGCTTCTAGTATCTTGTTTTGTTAGTAATTAGTAAGAGAAGGGTGGTTAGTTGAAGCAAGAGAAAGGATAACAACGCGTTCGCGTGAAATAACCCAGCACTTGTCTTGCCACTACCTTAGACCCTAGTATCCCTAGCCTAAGGAGCCCCCAACCTTCCCCACAAGCCTGAACCTTTCAGGGGCATGGATTACCTCGGGACGCCTAATCTGAACTTCCCACTAACCATGTTTTTTTTCGTGCGGTGACAGTTATTCCCACATGACGGCCTTTCTCAGTCTCTTCTCAGCCTCTTTCGGTTCTTCGCCAATCAAGCGATCTTTGACATCTGATTCGGCGCCCCAGACTTCGTACGGATATAGCTTACCATGTCTTCATTCCGCAACGCAAGTCCTGGCAATGATCTGATGCAGGCCGGCGGCTTCACCGACACATTCAAAACAATACTACGCGCGGGAGGCGGATGGGGAACTGTGAGGTAAGTCACACAGTCATCAACAGCAGGGTTGAACCACGTCTCCAAGGCTCTTGGTGCTAATTGTGATGCTGTCCTCGATAGCGGTCCGGGTTTATTGTACGTCTGTCCACATACCTTTCCTCCTCTACTTACCACATGTCCAGCATGGTCCGAGTCGTCCTGTCAGGCACAATCGCTTCAGTCTTCATGGGTATGACAGGTGCCTCAATTGGTGCCCTCATTTGGGACACCGCGACCATCCCATTCATTTTCTCTGCATGCAGCGGCTTCGTCCTGGGCGCTGTTGGGTTCTACCGCGACGCTGTACGGAAATCTCTGCGCAGTCTGGACCGGTACCCGCGATTACTCCAATTACATCTTGATGCCAATTTCCCCCACCGAGGGTTCGACACATGGCCCAGTACGCGGTTCAGAAGCGGATATTTCGCGTCAACCTGGGTTCTACGGAGTATGCTGGTTGCAAGCTGGCTGACGGCATCGAACGCAATCGATGTGAGTTACCCCATGGTTTGTCTTTGACCGTTCGAGTGCTCATGTGGTACCGGCAATAGCGCATCCTGGAAGCCGAAGAGGAAACCATTCTCGCTCCATTCACGAGGGTGGTAGATCTGGAAGCTGACTCTCAGATGGAATGAACATGCTATGGGTGCGAGGGCTTTTGAACATTGGACGACCACTTGGTACCATTTTACCGCGAGGAGCGTGCTACTTCTAAGGTGTGATTGAATACTCAGTGCTTTCCCTGTAGTACAGGAGAACACGTATGCGAGCCTCTCAATTGACAATGCCCCCTCTCAGTGGAGAAGCAATCCGCCATTAGCACTGATCACGTTTCCAGTGACCCATCTACTTTGTTCCGAGCAAAGAAACCTGCCAACCACGATTTAGCATACAGTGTCACCAGTCAGATGGCTATCTTGGAACCTACCCGACGATGGGAGCAATATCGTCTACTTCACCAATTCGTGCCGCAGCAGGAGTAGCGTCGATGGTTGGCTGCATCGCGTCAAGATACTCTGTGTCTGATGAGAACCACATGTCCGTGGCAACAGGTCCAGGGTTAACGCAATTGACCGTGACACCGTACTTCTGACCGAGCTCCGCAGCCCAGACACGTGCGAAAGCCTCGAGTGAGGCTTTGGACGCGGAGTACAGAGATGTCGAGGAAATTCCTTGTCTCGCTAGTATGGAGGACATCAGGACGATCCGACCATTTCGAGCGATGTGCGGCAAGACTGCTTTTGTCAAGAAGGTGACGCCTGGAACAGATGGTCATGTCAGCCCGTGTCATTCTTGTAAAGTGGGAGCGGGCTTCGATAAGTGGCTAGGCTAACGGGCGTTCTCGACAAAGCAACGACAATGACTTTACGGATCAGGGATGCCTTGCCTTTGACGTTTGTATCGTCGAAGCGATCGTAGAGTTCATCCGTGAGGTCAGCCAGGTCACACTTGTCCCATACCGCAGCATTGTGGACAAGAATGTCGATTTTCTTCTTGGGTCCAGAAAGCTCCAGGGCATTCTGCACCATAGCTTCTCTGTCCATCGATTTTGATATGTCGGCCTGAATCACAAAAGATTTTGCGCCAGCCTGGCTGAGTGTGCTCGCAACTTGATCGGCCGCTTCTTTGCTTCGATCACTGACATAGTTGACTAGTACATTGGCACCTCTTTGGCCCAGATGAATGGCAATGGCAGCTCCGATAGTTCTGAAAAACGAGTACCTCGGTCAGTGTCGACAAAACTCGAGTTGGCAGGGGGAATCATTTTCACCTTGCTGAGCCTGTAATTATGGCCGTCTTGCCTATGAGTCTTGAGTCATCTTTCGATTCTCTTTCAAATGATGCTTTCTGCAGCGGCGCCCTATAAAACAGAAGTGAGTACTTCGAGCCTCGTACAAGGGCCGGCTTGACCTGGTTTATAATAGATGAAGCCCACATGCCTACATCTCGAACTCTATCACACGAGACATGGGTACTTATCGCGGTGCCCACTCCTACCGCGAAGCGCGCTCCGCCGCTGGTGGAATTGCCCGAATAGGCTTGGGATGGCAATACCTACCTAGGTACCTACGCTGCTTTCTTGGAAAGTCAAAAGCTCGGTGTGATTTCGTGAGACACTATCTACCGACCCAACCGTGCTCGAGTTTTCAGCTTGACCTCCACGGATGCAACCGACCAAAAGCATCCTCCCAGCAACGAGACTGAGGTTCGAACTTCCCGTTCTTCCAGAGATCAGTCCATCTCCTGTTCTGTCGTGGTTGTCTCATGCATGTTTTAACGGCTTGGTCACTGATTCTCACTTCCAGCGTGGACCGAGCTGCTGGCCTCAAGCCGATTTATATCTTCGACTGCATGTCGGCCTTGACGAGTACATAGTAGCTGTGGAAGAGAATGTCGGGAGCAGACATAAGAATTCACTCGTCTTCGTGTCTGTGAAGTGAAGACCTCGACCGTTGAGATGGCTTGGCTATATGACCGTTGATATCGAGGGAATGAACCCTTATCAAGAAATTTCACATCGACCACTCACGTCATGGCCAGGCGGACCTTAGGCGGTGCCAAACGCTTACTGTTACCCCAGAAATCCGGAGGAGGGGCACCTGTCAAGGACAATCAATCCACTGGTGGGGAAGTATCTCCATTGCTCTTGCGACTGCCGTTAATACGCTCTCCCTCCCACCTTCCTCGAAGCACATACCACCCCGATTCCCTTTTGTCGTAATCTCAAGTGCAAAGACAAACTGCGACTCTGAACTCTTCTCCTCGTACCACCCATCCATCCATACCAAGCTCCCAAAGTACCCCAGCTACCCATACCAGACTCAAAAGCATTACCACCGCAGTAAATAATGGCCTCACCACCATCATCCTGGCAAGATCGCCGCTTCATGTTCCCCGCCGGCAAGGAAGTCCACCAAGGTAGCCGCCGCTACTCAGGCAGCAAAGGCTCCGAAAGCGACATGACACTTTCGCCAACTGTCTCAAATACAGGTCCACCACCACCAGCTCCCACACCAGCTACGGAACTACCACCAGACCTCGAGCCCGCGAGTACCGGTCGGATCCACCCACCATGGGAAGGCGACAGACGCTTCATGTTTCCTGCCGGGAAAGAAGTGCACCAGCCTACAGTCCGTCGTGGCTCACAGTCCAGCGAGAAAAGTGCCGACAACGCCGGTGCAATCAGAACCTCCGCGTCACCACCTGCCTCATCTGGAGGAGGTATTGCGGCAGCCCTTGCGGGTAGACGACGGGTAAGCTATCCACCCTTCACGTGAAGAGTAGAACTGATAAGCTCGTATTATATAGTCCTCCGCATCGAACCAAGGCGTCTTCAGCGGCCTCATGGGCACTCGCTCAGGTAAAGAACATTACGACGAGCGCCGACAGGGCTGGGAGGACATGAAGTCGCCGGGCGGCATTGGTGGATTCTTCAGCAATCTAGTGAGTAAGCCTGCGGACAAGAAGTAATGGAACAGAATGAGACGCCTATGATGAAGTTATGGGCCATGACATAAGTGTGGTCTGAAACCAACAATGCTTGGTGATTACTTTTCGCATGGATTACGACGGAATGAAACAAGGTGCAAACGAGGCTCTACGATTGTATGAAGGGTGTATGTATTGATAGTCTAGCATCAAATTGATTCTCAACTTCTCATTCTGTGGTGTCCTATGACCTCAAAATGGCCCTTAGTATCCGGTCATTCCTGCTTGACACGATACGTTTCCAACGCCTCTTCCTCCACGGGTATCATTCTAAAAGCGAGAGTAGATTCTTTCCTCGCCAATAACCGCCAGCTCAGCCCGATCCGCATCGGCACGTTCCTATCCCAGTTCCTGGTTCACTCAGGCTTCACAGCAGTCTTCTCATCCGGTGTCTCGAGACCGTCTTCTTCAGTGCCACTAATACTGGCACGACCATGTGTAACCGGATGCTTCTTGCCCGAGATATCCAAGATGATCGACTTGACCGTATGGGCCATGGTCTTGCGGCCCTGCCACAACGGGAACAGACCGACACAGAAAGAACTGAAGAACAGCCACATGATACCGACGACGACCCAGCCTGTGACAAAGGCTCGAATTAGCAACTGTGCACGCCCCACGACCCAGTCGTGGCGAGAGGTAGGGAGGCTAGACTTACCAGTAAAGAACTTCTTGCTGAAGATATACCCAGTTCCATACATAGGCATAGGCCAGAGGACCAACATCACAATCGTCATGAATGCAGTCAAACTCCGCGAGATGATAGCTGCCTTCTTCAACTTGGCCTGCTCGGCGGCATCTGCTTCAGCGGACATCGTCATAGCGACAGGCACCATATCCGATTCGACACTAACGCTGGCACGGCGTATAATCTCGGTGTCGTCGCCCTTGCGGATCATCTTCATCGACACCCAGTCGTAGTTTTGTCGGCCGAATGCGAAAGTCAGAACGGGCACAAAGACCAGAGGGCTGAGCAAAGCGGTGACATTGCCAGCCAGCATGGGATTGTTCGATCCGGTGCAGTCCACAGTCAGAGCACCGCACTGTTTCTTCGCCGTGACGAGCCACGCGATCAGCGCGCAGGCTAGACCTAGCGGCGGCGAGAACGCTGCGGCCTGCCAGTTCTGGTCCTTCCACATTAGCGAAAGGGTTGCCGGGATGACAGCACTGCTGATGATGCAGCCCATCATCAGGTACAGGTATCCCATCGAGATGCCAGCGTAAAACAGGCCGGTCGAGAAACTCGCGAGGACGATTGCGTAGACGATACAAGACACGTGGGACATGCGAATCAAGAACTTGCCGTCGGCTTTAGGGTTGATGTACGTCTGGTAGATGTCGTAGGTCCAGATAGAAGAGACGGCGATGAGTTCTGCGGATGAAGCCGATGTGACGGCCATGAAGATCAGGAGCAGGGTGGCTCCAGCACCTCCTTTTCCGAGAAGCGCAACCGCTGCATAGGGGAGGACAAGGCCAGCGCTGACGTCGGCTTTGGGCATGCGGTTCGGGTACGTTGGGAAGACGGGGTTGTTTTCGAGCGCGAGAGCCGCCAGGCCCATTGTTGTCGCGCAGAGCCAGGGAATGGCGAACCAGGAGAGACCACCCATGACGTAGCCTGGGAGTGCGTCGACTGGTGAGGCGGCGATAGCTTTGTTGTAGTAGCCTAGCAGACAAATCAGATACATATCAGAACAGAACAGGAAAAGTGGCTTGCCGTTGTCCAGAAAGACTGTCCCGAAGTTTCCTACGATGTTGATAACGAAGAAAACCGCTCCTTGTTGGCTGCGCATGGTCAGATAGCTGCCTTCGTGGTTCCCTGAAACAGGATGTCGTTTGCCCGCTTCAACGAGGAGTTCCCAGACTTTGCCTGGAGATCCGACCACAGCGTTGGTGGCATATGCGCTGAAGGCGAAGACGAAGACGATGGCGAGAATGATCACCGTGTGGACGTAATCGGTGAGAAAGGTCGCTTTGATACCTCCAAACATGGTGTACAAGACCACACCGACGGGAAGGAGGAAACAAGCTGCTGCTGTAGGGACTCCACACAGCGAGCTCGCCACGGCGCTGCCACCAGTCAACAGCATCGCTGTGACCAGGATGTTGGTCATAAGGCCAAAAACGAGGAAGACAATGTGAGTGACAACGCCATATCTAGCTTTGATGACTTCGAGAAATGTGTGGGCATTCGGAGCGCGGCGCTTGAGTCTGTGCCAAATCAGTGAGTGCATCCAAGGTATGCTGCAAGTATGCTCCTTACTCGATCGCTATGGTAGCAAAAAGCAAGATCTGAACCGTCGCTCCACTAGCATACCAGAAAGGACCACTAACTCCATAATCATAGGCAACGCCTGACGATTGAAGCAACGTAGCAGCCCAGGTCCAACTGGAGACGACAGCTGCAGCGACTAAACCGGATTTGACTGTTCTGCCAGCAGTCGAAAATGCCTCAGAGGTTTGGACCTTCGCCAGCAGGTTAGCAGGTTCGCGGAAGCGCCTAGTCCTTGACAAACCTCTCCATGATATCTTTTCAGAGCCCATGTTGTTCCAATCATGCCCAAGGCAAAGGCAAACCCCAATCCAAGGATGATGCCATATCCGAAGCCCTGGGAGAGAGGCACATAAGCTGCACCAGCGGTGTCTGACATGGTGTAGAAGTAAAAAGTGTTTCTATCTGCTGTCAAGTAGGGAGTCTCCAGTTGGTCTGTCGCAAGATATATATCTCGCGGAGAGTGCCTTCTGGCGCAAGATAAGGCGTCATGTTTCACGACAAAAGGAAATACGAAAGAACCTCACCTTGCGGAGAAGACATCATCTCTTGCATCAGTCTAACATGGAGCTGAGTTTGAAGGCTTCGTCTCTTGCACAGACCGATAACGGCGTCCAACGAAACCCTGGTTCAGCTGGATGTCGACTGTCTGTCGCATGAACGAAACCCGCATGTGGTTGGACCAGGTGGGGGTTTCGGGAAGCACAATTCCACAAGATCCTGGGGCCCCTGTGCTTCTGATGCAGAGAAAATGCAGCTATCAGCTGCCGTAACTGCAATAGGTGACTGGAGATCCAGATCAAACTGATAAGCAAGCATCGTACTAATGGTATAGACAGATATGTGTGATAGGCAGATCATCTATCTGGTCATCGTTTGGTAGGTGTTGATGAAAAGTCTGCACAAGGCCCTTATCTGTCCGTTTGGCTTGACCTCATTGGCAGAGCCAGAAGTTGTTTCGTCGGAGATCTTCGACCAAAGGCTGCCAGCTGCATTTTTCTGACTTAGCTCATGACATAAAGCTGTTTCCAAATCGAATCGAATCATGGAGCTCCGCATATTGAGGAGGTTATCTTGACATTCTTTGGGACTCCATTTGGGGTCCGCAATATCTCTTGAGCGTCTTGGATTTTATGTCAAGGAAGAAAACTTCAAGTCTGGACGAAAATGGTTTGTACTTTAGATGATGTGCCGGGGAAGGAACGTCCCGTTGATGGCTTGCAGGCAAAGCAATGCCGCTTACAAAAACTGCCCACCATTGGCCTATCCTCTGGTCCCCTGATTTTGTCTTGTAAGAGGTTCAACACGATATCAGGACCTTCATCTTCCTTCAATATCCTTCGATGACCTGCTGTATACATAAGAGATTCGGAGCCATCAACACATGCCCATCTCGTAGAACAAACAGTGCAATGGGCCGAACAACGAGTCTGCTGTGTATCTTCCTCTCACCTCTTGAGGCTGATCTGAGATAAGACGATAAGAGCTGAACGGCAACATACTACAGCAATACTGCATGCAATCTGGATGATAAGGGTACGAGCAGGGCGATTTTGCCCGACCAGGCTTACCATATTCACATTCGTGCCAGGCGCAGGTTCCCGATATGATGGTTCTGGCCAGATCATGTGCTTGACCCGCGAATCATGTGTCTGTAGACAGGGCCTTCACGGGGACATCCTCCCTCTGTCTAGATTAGGCCGTGGACACGTAAGAAAGCCGGCTTCCTGCTAACGGTGCTATCGGGAATGACATGTCGACTCATCCTGTGCAGACCAGAGGGTGTCATAAGTTCATGCGCACAGAGAGAAGTTCAAGGCACAGGCTTGTCATCTTGAACATGGCCGGAGTCGCTGCTACTCTTTGGTCCTGTCGATGCAGTCAACTGTAGAATCATACCACGGCGCAGAGGTAAGAGAATCGCCAGGTGTAGGGAAAAAAACAGATATGGCCAATTCTGCAACGACACATTGACATATCTGATCGTGGTCTGTAGGGACTTCATCTGTACATACGAAACATATACAACGGGAAGCGGCCAAGGGCTGGTAAGCTTGCGGAGAAAAGCCTTGACAATGCAACAGTAGTAGACTCATGAAGACTCAAACGCAGAAACACACATGCGATTCCGTCTTTGGCTCTGGAGCGTAGTCCATCCAAAAACAAGACACGTCAGTCTGATCCTTGTGCCAACGAGGAACGATTGATTCTGCTCCGCGTATCCGTGGAAGACCCTAGCCACGGGCGCATTGCCAGCAATGCATGCTTCGCAACCGGAACGAAACACAACTGTGTGCTGCGTTGTGGAAAAGAGCTGCAGCCCCCTGTGCCAGTGCCAGCTGCTCGATAACGGCCTGCGCTGGCCGCATATTGGTAAGAACCTGCTCTGACATGCAAACTGGTGGGAGGAAAGTGAAACGTTGATGATCCTTAGATATGTATTGCCTTTGCTTTTCCTCACATGATTGACTCCTAAGTTTACAAGGCCAGCACTTCCCTATTCCTCGTTCTAATGCTCATGGTGTGGTTCGCCGTGGTATCCGACAACCTTCAACCTTCCAAGCATCTCGCCCACGGTAAAGAAGCCCAGGACTTCAGCAAAGACGATGGCGACGGTGGTCATCTGTTGGGAGTTGACGTTTCGGACGCTGCTCAAAAACGCTTCGGGGTTGATGGAGTCCATTAGGGAGCTAGCGCTTGAGCCGATGGTTCGAGGATTCCGGAACACATTGATCATAGGCTGGAAGTAGGATTGGAACTGTGACATAGGCCTGAATTCCGTCAACCACGAAACACTTCTGATCCAATACGGGCATACTCACGGCAGTGCCATTTTTTGTTCCTTGAAAACAATTCTTGCAAGCTCCAATCCGACACGGGAGTAGTAGACGGTAGGGGGTATTAACGCTGAAGACCTGTCAGTGTCGCTTCCTGCCTCGGTCTGATCATCCTTTGGGCTTACATTCGACGAAGGCAATCATTCTTCCTGTCCTTCCACCAACCCTCTGCAAAGCATTGTACGCAGAAGAGCCGACTCTCGAGATAGCGGAGCCAGCAGAGCTCTGGACTTTCGTCAAGCCTTCGGAGGCCTTTGACACGGTCTGCTTGCCAGTTTCTTGTGCTTTTGACGCGGCATCTGAGACGGTGGAAGCTTGTCTGAAATTGTTTCGGCGGAGGACAAGCCGGGATTGACGAAGGACGGCGCGGGTGGTGTGAGCTGCAGACATGGCTGCTGAAGCTCTCGAACGGAGCGCAAGAGACGGGAGGGAGGGCTGAAAGGGTCGCGCAGTAGACAAACACCAGTAATTGTGGTATTGGCCGTGAGTGATGTTGCTGAGGATTAAATCACGGAGAGTGAAAAGCTTCCAAAATCTCGGGATGAATTGGAACCTCAACAACCGCAGGCGCACGAGAGCTTGTGATTGGCTGGGTTTTGTGTGCGTACCTGAAGGGGACCGTGAACAACAAGCACAACCACAATAATTGAGAGAGTCTCCAACAGGCAGATAAAGGCTCTCTTATATGGCAGTGAAGGTCAACAGCACTACTGACTTGTCCTCCTTTATCCAAGTTGATGGTGTTCTACACATGGCGACAATACCTCTTGGTTCGAAGTCAGCCCTACCCGGGACCAACGACGACCACGGCAATGTTCAAGATCATCTCCTTCGCTTCACTGTTGCCTTGCCTCCCATTTTATCGTTCAGGTCATTGATGTTACCATAGACCCGGCATATGGGTGCCCAGTATGAATCTGAAACAACCCGAAAGCTTTACCGACCTTGAGTGAGCCCTACTCCGACATCCCCGGTCTGCCTCTGCCCTCCAACCGATCCCCCTGCGTAGTGCCTGAGCACACACGCGAGCATCCTTCAAACACCTGTTCACGTATTGCCATTATGTAGGCGTTCTGTTCAATGTTACTTCTCTTTTGTGCGCATCTGTCTGTCGTATGTGAGGGAAGGAGTTGAACGGCAATTATTTGGTTCTCGTTTTGCGCGCAGTTTGTGAGTTTGCGGTTGCTTGCATTCTGTGCTCAACATGTTCTCGCGCGGACCGTTTTATCTTTTGACTTCTTTCTCCGGGAGCGAAACTCACCTCATTCATTGACCACATCCTCCAACCGAGAGAAATGGTATTGGTGGCAGCCGTGGTAATTCAAGATAAAAGTCGGTAAAGTTGAACGTCTCCAGCAGCCTCCAAAGATGACCGCCAAGCCTCGTCAGCCTGGTCGAAAATCGCTTAAGCAGTCGCTCAAGGACATCTTCCAACGCAGGCGAGCAAGGTCGGATCGTTATGCTCGTGACACCGTGGGATCGGGTATCTTGCGATGGGCAGATCCCTCAGAGTTTCAACTCTTCTCAGTCACCACTTTCTCCTCATTTCCCGATGGGAGCGCCAGCGTATTTGGTGCCGAGGAGTGCACCATCATCAACCCTATTCCAGACAGGTTCAAGACCTCACCGTCCAAACAATATCCAGATTCGCAAACTCGAGAATCTCTTCTACCTGTGACAAGCCTCAGTCACATCGATCTGCATCATGCCTACCTTCAGAGGTCGACCGTTCCACACTACTCAACACAAAAAGTCACATCTCCATCGGATACTTCTGTCCTAAGCCGAGAGGCGAGCATCTCGAACCTGTCGTCCATCTCCTGTGCGTCAACGTTGAAGCTCCAGCAGTCTCGCCAGCGGATCGACAATGCAGAACGAGGACAGAACTCATCAGGGGATTCGCTTAAAGGTCATGTCGCCTCTGCACGGCGTCAAGAAGCGCAGGTGTCGTGGCTGCAGTCTCCATCTGTCAGTTACGCATCAATTATAGGGGACGGCACCTCGAACGGAACAAAAGCACGGATCCATCAGCAGGACGACACGATCAGTGCCGTCGGACAGGTTGAACATTTCAAATCTTTCTGTGTACTTGACACCGCATTGCCAGGATGTCCGGTGGTAGCAACTAGCTGGGAGCTTCGATACGCTCTTGACATTGGCGAGCCCTTCTTCCTCAATAGTTGCGAGTGTGAAGGTGCTTCCATGGACGTTGTCACCGGTCAGGATGCGGCAGGAGAGCCGGTCACTCATCTGGTTCTCTTCGCACCTCTGGCAAGTCCAAGCAGCGGCCGAGGCCGCTTCCTTCTGGCTAGCCTGATTGATGTTACCAGATTTATTCAGGATGCCGCCTCACTGCCAGAACTTGACACATCCCCTGGGAGTTCGTTGTCGGACCGTGACTTGCAGACAGTGTTGCATGACGACCCATCATCCAGGTGGCCCCCAGCGACTTACAAACTGTCGGCAGAGGATCTCTTGGGAGGCTGCCTCTTACCGGAGGATCGGGACCCTTACCAGATCTCCCCAGATGACATTTGGCTGAATTTGGCCCTCGAAGAAAAGAGCAAAGCATCGACAACCTCAGGATCAAAGCCTCGGTCTACATCAAGGGTGGACAAGAAGACCAAGAAGACCTCGCCCTCATTTGCCACAAGCAAAGTCGTGGACGAAGTTCTGGAAGACTTTATGAATGGCTTGCGAGAGTTGTATTCGGACTTTTTCCTTTTGGGCAAATCTCCGCTTGATGACACGGTCTATGAGATCTGCAACGTTTCACCCGCAGTATTTGCGGCTAAAGATTACATGCATGGACATCTCTCTCATACTGAGGAACAAACGATTGTCGAGCTGACTACGAGCCTCGCGAAAGACGCCCCGTTCAATATCAGCGTAAGATGGGGGTTCCAAGGCGTGGACAAATTGCTTTACTGCAGCCCACTATACGGACAAAACTCCCACACGTGGATATGTTTCGTGGTGGATGACCGTGTACCACAACTATGGTAACGTCAGATTCTGCGAGCGGAGGCCCAGCGCCCATCCCAAGGCCTGCCGAACATGGCCCGAAGGAAGTCAGAGTATGATCTAAGGGTTGGGTGACCTGCAGCCAAAGAGACACCGGCGCAAACGGTGCTGTTTCGTCCGCGAGAATGTGGCAAAGACACCAGTCCTCGCCAAAGAGTGTGGTTGACAAGAGCAGTGCCAATCAATCCGCCACGGAACATTTCTTTTCTATCTTGGGCTCGTCGATCAGCCACCAGGGCGTGCAGTGAGGGGAAGCAGCAGGCAAAAGGAAAGGATGTGCTATTTTTCTGGGTCGATCAATGGATCAATAGAATGGCCGAGATCTTTGACCCTCAAGGTCGCAAATGAAACTGTGCAAAGTTCTCTTCGTGGCAGGCCCCAGAGGCGCCTAGCTAGACCTCTCTGGGCCTGTGTTTGGCGTCCTTCTAGCGGCATTCTTGTCGTACCTGTGTGGCCCGCCTATTCCTCCTTTGGGCCTCACTAGGCCTCAATCCACAGCTCCCCTATCGGTCAGTGCGGCCACGCCAAAAAGTGTATTACTCCATACTTGGAAGCGTCACCCGATCGCCCAAGACGCCGTATCGCGCTCTTTTCTTCGCTCGCTCGCCGATGCGGATGCACTGCCGGGGATGCATGCCACGATCACGCACGATGTTCCCTTTGTCCCACCCATCCTTCGTAAACTTCGCTCCACTTATAACCCCAAGTCAGAAGTCTTGTTATCCGATAGGCACGAGATTCGCCCCTACGCCATCAATCCGCTTGCTGATACCTACTCCAGTGCGATCCTACATTGACAAAGAAAAGCCTTCTTCCCTTGCAACCACTGAATCCGAAGTCCCTTGAGATTGTCTTTACCCATTGACATCTACGAAATTCATTGCAGTAAAGGAGAACAGCGATATCGGTCTTACTGCATTTCGAGTCGGCAAGCAAGGATCGAACACCCACCCGGGCATATCTTCAATCCGCCACTACTCGAGCAACCGATAAAGGACTCTTTGTTTACTCTCTTCAACCGTCAATCGACCTCAACCTAGGGTCCGCCCAGTCAATATGTTCAACGAGAACTTCACATTCGGAGCGTCACCGCAGGCATCAACTCTTTCACTGCAGATCGAACCATCCACTTCGGGCGAGATTTCGCCCTTCACATCACGATGTTCATCACCACGCAATGGGCGGCCTGCCTCCCCACACCGCGACTCTCGTTTCGACACCTATAAACCCAACATTCCACATCGCCACCCTTCCCTCGCGGCATTGACCGCGCAACTACAATCGCAAGCACTCAACGACACCGAGATGCGTTCTCCGTCTCTACCACCCAGCGAACCCGAGTCCCCTCTAGAGTCCACCAGCGACACCGATGTTGACGAAGGCTTCTACGACGGTCCAGAGACACCAGAAACTACGGTTTCCGACATCTACGAGTCTGTCGATGTTGATCCAGCGCTATGGGATCTGAGCATGTCAGACGCTATGGTAGCCACATCATCTCCACGACCTTCACTATCACTCGAGGCTCAAGCTCTTTCTTCATACACGATGCGTCGAAGGCAGCGGCAAGCACTAGTCCGCCTACAATGTATGGTGACGCGGGCGCCGGATTTGGCGATGCTCATCGAAGAGTGCCACCCAAGCTCACTACCTTTTGGTGACGATTCGGGGAGGAGCTACCAGACAAAGAGCAGGAAAGAATCTACATGCAGTGGTTTGGGAATTGCAGATACGGGAAACAGTGGGCGGATAGAGAAGAATCGACGGAGTTCGATTGCTGCGGTTCGGAAATCTCCTAGAATGAGGAAGAGAACCAATTGAGCACAATTTTGAAAGAGAGGGAACGTTTATGATAAACGCATAGCGATGGGATCTATTTTCTTCTGCAGGCATTCACGTTCCAATGCATACATTCTGGGACTCTGATCTACTCATTCTGCCCACCATTGCCTATTTTGCGATTGCTGGTAGAGCACTTTGTGTGTGAATTCTACAATTCCAGCCCTACTACAAGTTACGACTGGGACATACAAGGTGTCAGCTAGCAGATCCATCATCGATTGGACAGCTACCTCGTATCCCCAACGCTCAGAAGTCCGAATCGAGATCGACAGAGAAAGTTCCAGACTCGTGCAGATCGAGCCATGCATCGCTTGTGTGATTTGCCGGAGCCTGTGGCTGTGCCGCACCTGCATATGTCAAGCTCCTGTCAAATGTAGCTCGCTTCGGCTTGCCCTCGTCATTGCGCATGAACACCTTGCTAGTTACGAGTAAGTCGCAAAGCGGCATGCGAGCTCGGCATAGTAGATGAGGTCACGTTTTAATCATGAAGTCGGGCCACGAGCCGGACGATGACGGAGGGAGAATACAGTATCAGGGTCAGAGTATCAGAAGGTATAACGTCAGAGTCAGGCAATAACATACGGGCGGTTCCGTGATCGTAGCGGGATGAGATTAAACAGTATAATCTCGCGAGGTATGAACGATGACCGGTGTAAAGTGCCGATGTGCAGCGTCCACTAGTCAGGCGCATATACATTGCTAGGTCTTCATGCGGCTGGTGACGTGACGCATGGCATGTCATTATCACCTGCTAGTATCTTATCTGATCAAAACGTTCAAGACGGGTTGGTCATTGGTGAAGGAGGGACTGAATGGATCTCATTACAAGGCATCATCGTCTTGAATAAGGCTTTGAGAAGTGGCCTGAGGACATCACCGATTGCGAGAATAAAGCTGGGTATTTCGGCCCAGACGCCCGCACAACAGGCGCAAACAGCCTTGTTGAGTAGGGCAACAAATACGAGATCGAGCCCAACGTCTCCTGCCTTCAAGCCTTGCAGCCTTATGCGCAGTTCACTACCCGATTCGATCTCACGATTCACTTTGCTGTAGCCTGCAGCGTGGTCCGTGACGTCGCGTTTGCTCGCCCGGTTCGGCAGGACTAGTGGGACGTCACGACTTACCAGTGGTACGGAACTCCTCGCATACCGGTAGTACAAGTAGTGCCTGTGCCATGTGCGCATGTACCATGTGTGCCGCCCACATATGGAAAGAGAGATTCGAGACCCGTCAATGGAAAACTTGGAATAACTTCTAGAATGTCCGCGTTATGATCGTCCTGAGGTCAAAGCTTTGGGGGAATGTAACAACTCGAGCCGAAATATGCGCTTGGTACTCGTATACTGGATAGCCAGACCTTGAGAATATCCACGTCCTTTTGTGGTACGAGTAAGAACATTTCTATTTCTACCGTTATGGGATTGCCTGTGGATGTCAAGGTTGTGTGTATGCGGACCGAGCGGAGAGGGCGCCTTGTTATTTGTGATATATGAGACACAATTTGTCCTCGGTGGATTTATACACCGTGAAAACAAGGCTGGCACCGCGCATATTGTAGTATGGCAATACTTGTTGAACGATATGTGCATTTGGGTTCGGGTCTTGCCTCACTGTCTCAAGCTCGAGCATTTGCTCACTCGCAGCTGCGATGCGAGAGGACCAGGTACTCGGCTAGAGTATCGAGGTGGCTTGAGTGATTTGGACTGAATCAGGGCAGGCGTCGAGGTTATTATGCCAGCTCTCTTCCAGTCGCAGTCGCACTCACTCCACGTACCTCTGCGTGTCACACTTCCGAGTAAGATCTCACCACTGTGCGACGTTTCAATGACTCGAAACTTGAATCGTGGGTTGACATGGCATTGCCGGCGGAGAAATACCTCGTATGCCGGAGACTTGCTCGCTACTTGTACCATGTCAGTGGATGTGTGCCACAAGCACCGCCGTAGGGAGAGTCCCACATAACACAACAGCAAGTAAGTGCGCTGTACGAGTGCCATACACTCCGTACCACAGAAGGAGTATTCCACCGGGTGAATCTCCTTTCGTGCCGCCACAATGGATATATACCGTCACGGCGTTTCCTCCGGCGCAAGATGTGTGATTGCGGTCCTTCCCGGCCGTAGCCGCCGCGGAGGTGCCTGGTTACCTAAAAGCGAGACTGATGCGTTGTGGGCTCGGAAATATTGCCGGTACCGGGCCACAAAAGGTCTGTCCCACAAGGCATTCCACAGCCTGGAAAAACTCAGCGAAAAATCAAACACGAAGTGGAAACATCAAGCGAGCCGATTCCCGAGCATTTGGGTGTTTTCCGCGAGATGCTTGCATGAATGCATTGCATCGGCAAACTGTAAGCGAGCATCGGGGAAAAGTGGCATTCCTTGCAGGACGTGACATCGGCGACTGCCTCCATGGTTGCTTCTTATTGTCTGATGAATCAGCTGAAGTCTTTACTAAAGCAGGCACGACCTCTTGACGGTAAATGAGACGGCAATTGTAGACTGTTCTTTGCATGGTCGGAGTGATTCTCCTGTTCTCCGAGTAACCTGCGGCACTCTTTCGGAACCTCACGGTCAAGTATTGTGGGAGAGTCCGGCGTGATACAATGCTCGTAGCCTGTTGAGTGGTGCACGAGTTGGGCATCCTTGGACAGTGCCCCTGAAGACGCACCCGGGATAGGATGTGTACCACAAGAATGCTGCGATGGGACTACTCCGCAGTCGGCATTCCGCACTTACTGATGGGTTTCCAGCAGTGCTAATGGTAACATAGCATTCTGCATACGGCAGCAGGCAGAAAGTCGTCGTCGCCAGTGACATGGTACTCAGAGCATCTGGCAAACGTCCCACTGGTGCACATATGCCAGCAAGAGCCTCCCGCTGCTAGTGTTGTTGTCGATAATGAGAGGACGGTAACATTGAGGCCAGGCAAACGTGTCTTGGATATATTGAGACAGGTAATTCACCTCGAGGATACCAAACAGCCTCACTACAGGCTCAGTGGCATTACTCCGTTTCACAGATGATGGTATCTCAGTCAGATATTGCTACGCGGTACTTCACTGAGAGATACCAGCACCCCCAGGAAGTGGCTTGCATACAGCAGCCCTCATTCATGCTGTCGTTGGCGCGTGTCAGCGTGTGGTCTCGGCCAGGCCGGGGAGGGCCAGAACTTATGAGGCTTGAGGGAATCCTCCGGCGATAAGCCACGAAACTGGTGCTGCAACATTGCATCTCCTAATCGCACCTTGACATCGCATCGGTCCTTGCCGGGGGATAATGTGATTGCCGTCGGCACGAATGGCTGCCAGTCTGACTCAGACTACATAAGGTATCCTGCCAACTTGCATAGCATTGTTGCCCCGAGAGCCGACCGAACCCACGAAGATGCAGTGCGCTTTGGGTCTGTTCCGTGTTCACAGGCTTGATGGAGATGAAGCTGTTTTACGTGCTACAAGCTTGACTTGCGATTCCGCGCCGCCATCATCCAAATCCTTCCCACTCATCAGCCTTAGTCTCAGCGTGCGGTTCTTCCTTCATTCGCTGGCTGTGTTCAATGGCGCCGCGTTTCCGGTTTACTTCGCGCTTCTCGTAACCACTTTGTGTTCCGATCCTTGCCTTGCGTTTCAGCCGCTTCATTTTCTCGTCATCGTCGGCACGCACCGCCCGCCGGGATTGAACGCCATGTTGCTTGAGGTCCTTTCTTGCCGACTTGGATACGGAGGGAAGTGCATGTAACAACCAAGGCTGAATTTCCTGCGCTTTCGGAGCGTTCGACACTGCGGTGCTGTTGCCATTTAGGGCTCCGGCGGTACTGTCCGAATGAATTTGGGCCTTCTCACTGGCGGCGATGACATTGGCAATACCTTTCACATATTGTATGTCTTCTTTGGTGTAAAAGCTGACACACACTCCTCCTTCCCTGCCTGCTCTGCCCGTACGACCGGCACGATGGACATAACTCGCCACTGTGTTGGGGATGTCGTAATTGACCACCACATTGACACCCCTGAAATCAACCCCCCGGGACAGTAGGTCCGTTGTTATCAGGATCCAGATCTTGCCGAGCCGAAAGTCCTGCATGATTTTTGAGCGCACCTTATCCGGAAGTGAGGAGTGAAGAACTGCAATGCGAGACGAGCCTCCCGCCGCAGCTGGAATATCGTATCGCAATTCGTTGTGTAATGATTGGGCTCGGTCGATTGTTTGCGTGAAGACGAGGAAGGGTGGACGGAGCGGCGCCGGAGATGCTTCCTTGCCATCCTTTGCTGGCGTGGGTCGTGAAGGATGCAACAGCTGCCGCATACCTAATAATTTGCCGGACTCGGTTGCAACGTAGGTCAATCTGTGAGAGATTGTGGGCAAGCTTGTGTCCTTGAGACCTATTATTGTCCGCAGTAGTGGTGGCCTCTGACTTCGGCGGATCTTGAGGACTTTTTGACGCTCGGAAATCGTTTGCACTGCCAGCTCCTCGATATTTGATCCTATTGTTGCGGACCACATACTTATTCGTAACGACGGTGAAGTGCATGCTGACCAAACAGCGAGTGTCTGTGCACGAAACAACGGGTCGAGAAGGACATCCGCTTCATCGAAGATCAGTGTCTCTATATTCGGTAGGGATTGGACATGACTGGATTCGTCCTCTTTCCAAGAGGGATCTAGTGCATGGACCAGGGACAACGGTGTTGAGACCAAAATGTCGCTTTTGACGATAGTCGAATCTTCTGGAACAGTGTCAAGCTCTTCGTCTTCCCCAACGTCATCACCACTCTCGGCCTCCTCCTTGTCCATAGGCGCATGTCCTTCGTGAAGCCTCATGCCTTTCCTCATGGCAGTAATGTTGACTCCAGTGTTCAGACATAGCTTTCGACCTTCGTTGACGATCTGAAACACGAGTTCCTTTGTCGGTGCGAGGACAATGGCGCTCACATGTCTCTCTGACCGTTGATCGCCTTGTCGGTGGCTCCTCGATATCTTCTCAATCACTGGCATCAGAAAGGCCAGAGTCTTGCCACTTCCTGTTGGCGCAATAGTAAGGAGGTTGGGCTCGTTCGCTTCATCGCTGTCGTCAAAGAGCAAGGGTATGGCGGCCACTTGAACCTCTGTGGGTTCAAGATAAGCCTGAGTCGAGATGTTGCGTAATAAAGACTTGTTCACATTCCGGTGCCGTAGTTGATCGAAAGATGTAAGTGGCTGTGGATAGAGCCGAGATTGCTCTTTTTGAAGTTTTCGAGACTCCGACGACTCGCTGGAGTTCCTGAAACGGTTCAAGTCGACGATTTTGATTCTGTACTTCTTCTGAACCTGACGGACTTCTGCTTCTGATAGACGCTGAACCCCATTCTCATTGCCAGTCACATCTCCAATCACATCAGGGTCTCTCTTTCTCTTGCGAGAAGCCAGAGAGTCCGAGACCTCTTCGGTTGGCCCATGTCCTGAGGCTGATGGAAGATTTTGCGGCAAAGTTTTTGGATTTTTCGTCTTAAGGCCAGTAGATCGCGATAACAGCCTCAGCGCATCCATACTAGGCTTCCTGCATCCGGCGAGGGTTGCCTACGGTGCCACAGAATATAACATGAAAACGCCAGCAACTAATTTTACGATGTCTATGAACTTTGCCTTCATTCGTGTAAAAGGTTTCGTCCACAGGCGTAAAGTTTCTTCGGAGGTAAGATAATCCGCTTCCGACATGATCGACATGAGCTCCACTTCCGGGGGCTACAGTGACGTGACCTTGGCATGTTTGTGTCACTTCTGCAGATTCGTTTCCTGCTCTTGTGCCTCTTTGCCCGCTACCAATGCCTGCTTCGAGATGCCCATCCCAGCAACACTAGAGGTAGCACCTGAGAAATTGTCGCTACAGCCATCGCATCCATGTCACGGGCGCCGTTGCTGAACGCGCCATGGTTATCGGATTGCTCCTTGTCACCGCGATCCCTGCGGTGACGGGTATTTCGCAAGCAATGCACGCGCAGAGGACTCGCGAAGAGCGTCTGAAAGATGAAAAGCGCATGAAAAGATTCAACATTGACGTGGTCTGCGAAGATGAAGGGTCATTGACGAAAGAGGCAGATGGCAAGAGACTGGTCTTGAAGGATGACCGTGTATGGATAGGCCCGGAGATGGCAATGCAGCCATGTCCCGAGGGTTACGTCGCAGAATGCTTCTACATCGAGTACCCGGATACCGAAGTAAGCGATCCGCGACACAGCCTTGGAGGCGCGAGCGATGTCGAACCACAATGCTAATGCAGCCTCCTGACACTAGCGAAATCCTGTACCCCTTGGCCTTGTTAGCCAGGTTCAAGATGATCCTCCCTTGTTGAATTGGATATACGTGGACAAGGATACTATGGAGTTGAAGTACGGAAACAAAAGTGCGAGCATACAACACCATGTTGGGCCATGGGACTGGACAGCGGATGAGGTGGGTATCACCTTTGACAAGAAACGGAAACGGTTTGTTGCTGTGGAAAACCCAAAGACGCACAAATGGCAGGTTTATTATGACATGAACAATGATGGACTGGTTGGATATGTACCACAACAAAGGCGCGGGATTCAAATTTATCTGAAGCGGACGTTAGTACCAGAGCCTGAGGCATGATCTACATAATGTTAATGTAATGACAAAAAGATGGCCATGAATCTGCTCCATCGCGCATAATTCCCCAGCAAGTGTTTCTCGTAGATATGCACCAAGATTCATGTCAATTTGACTTCACTGATATTAAGCCAAAGCGAGACACGTGCTTTGGGTTTGCCCTTGATCGAAACAGAAACCAAGTGAAGACAACATCGCCTGGTTGCAAAAAGACTGCCGCATACCACACACTATGGACTTTACTACCATGAGCCGCCACGATCGCGACATAGTGTGAGCCAAGTAATTCCTGACTACGCAACCTATCAAAGCACGACAGACTGCGCGACAATGCCTGCCACAGTGCGCGACCGTCAGTGGGACATCATAGGCAAGAAGAATGAGCGCTGGGTCAAGGTACACGTCAATTCCTTCACAGATGGCGACCAAAGTACATGGCCAGGAAAACCTGCCTATCGACCCAGCTCGGAGGAGCGCTATCTGATTCAATTAGCGAGTTCGTGGGTGAAGCAACAAGGACTTGTTGAGGCTGGCACAGAATATCATCTTGACAAGTTGCCGGATGGATATGCAACGTTCGAAACAGACCAGCGCAGTGGGACCCAAGTCTACAAGCGACTGTTCGGGCATCCCTCCGGAAGATACTATGATTCCATAGTGAAGTTTGAACCTCATTTCCTATGGTTGATGGACGGCAAGCGTGGGCAGTGCGAATGCATACATTGTGGACGTCCCAAAGCCAGACCTTTCATACCGCGCACACGTCTACCAGTACCAGGCGAGAGGTTTCCCCTTCCACTCGAACGGAGGAAAGGTCCTACCGGATTCGACATTGACGCCAGCGGAGCATCATCACGATCCACTCCTACCGCCATGTCGGGCAGGCCGCAGCGACAAATCAAAGCTGCTGGAGCACCATACGCGGTAGATGAAGATGGGAATGAGGACGTCTACAAAGACTTCTTGAAAAAGCTTTTAGGTGCTCGGGGCGGAACGAAAGGGATTGAGGACAACATCCATGAGATCAACTCGCTGGACTGGAGGGCGGAACACGCGTGGAATGACTATGGCGTCGATCTTGTCCAGCAGAACCTCACCCTGATCTCGAATCAACACTCTTTCGTTCCGCGAGTGGGCGAGCTTGTGATGTGGACGCCCAATTTCCTCGACGGCCACTATCTCATGTTTGACCCAGAAACGCTCGAGTACAAATTTTACTCGTTCGACGAGAAACGATTTAACGGATTTCCTGCCTGGCGTGCCGGCCTCATTACTGCGGTCCCTGCAGCCACAGCAAGTGATGGACCCATTGACTTTCCAGATATCCAGACCCTGCCGAAGAAGCAATTGGCTCTCAACACTGCAGGATTCCGCGTTGAGACGTTTCCTGATCCTAACAATGAAGTCGACAAAACAGCGTCGAAACAATACCGCTATGTACCTCTTCGAAACATCCGACCCCTAAGTCACTGGCAAATGCTGCTTCGCGGGGTCGCGCGAGACCGGTGGCACCCTTCCATCGAGAACGCCCTGACTTGCATGACGAGTATATCAGTGCTAGAGAAATGGTGGTTCAAAGGTGACTGGCCTCAAGCCAGTATACTATGCAAAGGTCTCTACATCGGACCCGAATTGATCATTGTGGGTGACACAGTCCGGATAACGCCTGGGGCCTCAAACAGCAAGACCAGAATGTGCACGGATGTCATGATTGTTTCTGACATCAGAGTGAATCTTGTGAAAGTCAGACCTGAAGATGTTCTTCCCGAAACTCCGTTATTGTCAGCTGCCACTTCAATCACACTCGTTGGAAAGGCATACACTCTTGACATACGTCGAGACTACCAGATGCAAGGCAAAGATCCCGATGCTGATGTGACTGATTTACCGTCGCCAGTCCCCGTGGAAGAAGTCAAGACCGCTTTCCGACCTGTCGGCACGGGCGAGTACGGCACTTGGTACCGTCTCCACGATCCTCGAAAGGGCTATGAAATCTCATACGATCGTGTGCTGGGCAGGTTGCATGAAGCTGCAGCTGTGCGTTTATGGACGGGTCAACTGCAGACAAAACATGGTGAAGCTGAAAAGCTGAAAATAAGACCAATGTTGGACTTCGACCTGAAAGCTATCGAAGAAGGACGCATGTATGCCACACAAGCCGACGAGAGATTGGAAGAAACGGAAGGTAATCAGTTGGGATGGTTCTGGGCTGATACTAGGGCTGAGGCACTCGATGTTCAGACAATCAACGGGACCGAAACTGGAAAGTTTGACGACGTGAGAGATCCAAACACTTTGGAGCAGTGGCGAACGTACCTGAAGATTCTCAATGGACAGTCGGTGGCACCAGATGCGTTCCAGTTCAAATCCAGTTCTCAGTCTCAAGTTGGCGGCAGAAGAGGGAGAAAACCTGGGTCCAAGGTTGTCAACGGCAGAGTTATCTATCCGGGCGCCGAAGGGTATGATGAGGCTGGAGACGAGGAGGCGCCTGACGTTTGGTCTACTCCAAGGCACAAAACCAGCCAGCTTGCTGGTGCGGGGCTTGTATCAACAGACGACGAGGATCAAGACGAGGAAGGTGCAGAGACCTTTGAGGATGCGGAAGAGATACTGCCATTGGTGGAAGCACGTTCGGAAAATCCCAAACGTGCCGCCCCACGACAGCCCAAGGTGCAGTCAAAAGCACAGATTATGGCGAATCCAGACGATTTAATGGCAGAAGAGGACGATGAATGGCTTCACACGGCGCCGGTGATAAGGGGAGGAACCGAAGAATCAGAAGGCGGAGACTATCGTCCAGGAGCTGAGTAGTGATGACAGCTTGCTATGATGAGTTTGCTCGACGAATTGGACAGATTGTATGAGATGCAAAACCGAGCAGAGTATTCAGACAGCGAATGCCGCGGCGCCCACGAGGCTGTGCTGAGGCGGGGCTTTACCTGTGTGTCCTGGGACGGGACCCGTACGATCATGGCCGGCGGAAGCATTGAGAGTGTTGCTAGATCACTCATGTCCACTGTGTTTGCCATTGACTCCTTTCAAGTTTTGTCTTCAGGCTTTGCATTTTCCATGCCCATGATCCAAAGTAGTCAGAGTCCCACACGAAAGAGAGGTTCAAGATTGATCTAAAGGATTTGGCGTGCACGTGATCAGCCATATCCTCGGCTAACATTCCTTTCTGAAATATTCCGAATCGCAGTCTTGGCTTTCCCACACTCCAAATTTTGGAGCGGCAGGTTCGACTTTGAGAACGAATTGACAACGTCGACAAAGGACCATCTCTTCACCTGTACAACAACCAAGATGGTACGGCCCCTTTCGCAAGATAAATGGAGATGATATCGCAAGGACAGAATCGCTGATCAATTCTTACAGGTCCGCTACGCCCCCGCCCACCGCATTGCGAGTGCCAAATCTGCTCGCAGCCGTGGAAGTTATCTGCGTGTCAGTTTCAAGAACACTCGCGAGACCGCTGCCGCCATCGCTGGATGGAAAGTCGACCGCGCCGTCAAGTACCTCGAGAATGTCACCGAATTGAAGGAGGCTATCCCAATGCGAAGATATGCTGGAAGCACTGGTCGAAGCGCTCAAGGTACGATACATCCACGAATCCTGAGAGAAGAAGATGGCGTGCATGGACAATTGGATCTACTTTGCCAGGAGAGAGCACCAGAAACTGCTGTTTGATTTTGCTGGCGGTTTCTGAAGTCCATGAATCTTTGCGCGCATCACCTCTGAAGACGCATCATTGGCAAAATAACATTGGGGCTGACTTTTTGCTCTCTACAGGCAAGCCCTTTGGCACCGACAAGGCCCGTCACCCAGTCAAGTCTGCCGAGTTCCTGCTCGGTCTCCTCAAGAACGCCGAAGCCAACGCCGACACCAAGGGTCTCGACACCTCCAACCTGATTGTCAAGCACATCCAAGTCAACCAGGCTCCCAAGCAGCGCCGCCGAACATACCGTGCTCACGGTCGTATCAACCCATACATGTCCAACCCATGCCACATCGAATTGATCCTGACGGAAGGTGATGAAGCGGTTACCAAGGCCGAGGAGTTGGGTGTCTCCAAGGGACAGAGACTGAACGCCAGACAACGAGGTGCCCAGAGACGGAAAGCTATCGCCGAGTCATAAGCAAATGCCTTTCTTGTTGATGCATTGACGTGGGAGCGGAATTATCTTGAAGAAAAGGTCGATGGCGTTACCTCTTGAGGCTGTTAGATCAACGAGGGTACCAGTTCTGCGAGAAAAAGAGCCAGGGAACCAGCTGCAACTGCACTTGCTATGCCAACTAAGGGCACAGTGCCCAAGGAAGGTGTCTCCTGGCCTGTACTATGTGTCTTGAAAGATACGCAAAGGACGAACTCTTGAATTGTCAACAATGTTTCTCCTTCTTCAAGCGCCTGTTTATTGCAATTGATCCATTCGAGGAGGAAATGCGATTTCTTGCGTGATATCTAACCCATACGCCACAGATCTGGAGCCGTTCTAGATCACCCTCATATTACTTTTGCACATTCCTGTGCCGTGCTGACAGTATCCTGCAGATTTCCTGACCTCGAACCAGCGATCACCTGAATGTCGAACACATCCCTGCCATCTTCCACCCTTCTCCCTTGGAAAGCTCAGCAGTCCAGCTGCTTTGACCCCCATAGCACCACAATTCCCAGTCAACCTTGCTTGGACATGGTTCACATGAGTTGACTCTTGGTTTTCGACAATACCCACTTGAAAGATGACTGACGCTTCCGTTGCCAGACCCTTTCGAGCGCCCTGGACTCTGCCCGCTGTTTGAAGCTGTCGAAGGCACTCTTCTCTGCCCTGTACGCCATTCTTAGCCCGGCTCTTTTTCTCCAAAGCATGCCTACTGGTGAAGAGTTGGAATAGGTTCGCGGTTTGTGGGATTTTGGTCCCGTCCGCGTCTGCCCTTGATACCACTCCGGCGCTGCACCTTCTCGTGGTGGAATCCTGTCTGTCCAATGATAACGGTGCGGATGTGGAGCTCCAACCTCATAGAAGAACTCAGGGCGGGGTGGGAAGATGGTGCCACAATTGGACGTATGTCGTTCGACGTACAACAACCTTGGTAAGGCCTCGGGTCTACCCAAATACCTTCTGCGTAGGAGGATGATCCTGGCCCGCTTCAAGTAATGTTTGGACTTGGGGTTTGGAAGATCGCTTTCAATTGACTCGAGTTGCGATAAGTCGTTGATTTGTCGTGTTATTGGAACGCCGAATTGTTGTCTGACTCGATGCGTCTTCACTCTTTGCGCGAAATGCAGCTCCAATACTCTGGTTTTGAGATCGACAGTGTCGCGCCTGCGCAACAGTGCCATTATATGATGAGGAGAAGTGACGTTTCTGGGATAATAGTTGTGGGCTTTCTTTCGAGGGACCTGCCCACTTCTCACTTGCTGGACTACTCGACACTGACTTCGTTGGCTTTCGAACCAGTGACAAAGATGAAGTACAACGACTCGACGTAGTGAAGATCATCTTAAGAAGGACCACTTGACCTGAAGCCGGTACGCTTCCTTGAGACCCCATGACAATGGCTCCCTCCACAATGGCTCTCTGGTGAATCTGATTGACTTTCGAATAGGGTGCGGCAGAATCATATTCACCTCAATAGTCAATTGACTCGATTGTCGGACCTCTCCTTGGCGGTCAGTTTCTTGTTCGGTTGTTTTGATTCATCCGCGCTGCATCCCATTCATTACACCAATTCACGCTCTCACAATGGCTCGTCTTACACGACCCAGGTCCAAACTCCCATTGGATTCATTGCAAAATAGCAGCGGCAAGCGCCAGAAGAAAGCCTCTCAACATACACGGTTCCCCTCAATGCAACATTTCTTCAATCAGAAGCGACAAGATCTCCTCGATTCGACGCCTACCACGTACAATTTCCATACACGGGTCGTTCCTGACGCAGGAGGCGAATTGATCCAACCCTTACCTTCGGGTCGACCACGGGATGTCTTCACGGACGTGGGCGCAAGCGAGCAGAGAAAGAGGCACATCAGTAAGAGGCAGCAGAGGGAGCATGATCCACGTTGGTGCGTTGCCAGGTACCAATTGCTCAGGATGTGGAATGCGGATCCCGTCGCCGGAGAGCAGATGGCTGAACAAGAGAGGGCAACACCGAAGATGAGGTCGCAACTCATGAAATATAGACTGAGGGAGTACAATCCGGTCGAACGGGAAGCAAGTGCTTGCAAAGGTACGCCATCAATGAAGAGGGTTGCAGATGATGCACGGGAGCATGCTGAAAGCGAATCGTCAGGAAAGAAACAAAAGCTCGATAATGCAGAAAGCAAGGGCCACTCCTCTGGCTCTCAACCATCCTTGGGCAATCACATGTCGAGCTCGTCATTAGCTGCTGGTACAGGCTTATCCGGGGCGAGGGCGCAAGACTCCACAAAACTTCGAAGCAAACAGGCACCTGGATATCGTCGAAGCACTTCCGTCGATGAACAACAAAAACTCGACGAAGTGCTTCAAGTTGTGCAGAAAATCCGAGAGCAGACGCGCGGCTGTGATGGGAAGGAGAACATCAATATCACTGAGCAAGGCAAATAAACAGCAGGTGGAATGCAGCTACGAGATTGAGGAAAAGTAGCTCCCACTCAAGGGATTCATCCTTACAGGGATGGTGTTGCTTTTATCTTTGATGGGAGACGAGATTGCTTCCGTCTGGACTCATGGTTGGAAAGAAGCATCGAGATCTTTGAGCATGTGAGCTGATATTATAATCTTGCTGATAGAAGTATCAACCCACAAGAAATGAAGTTGCATGTTCAGATTTGCTTTTCGGATCATCCTTTTTCCGGGCCATAAGACTTTATTTTACCCCTATTCTGCGCCACTTCCTCAGCCTTGTCGGAGCAATGCACACTTCCCGTATTCCACCCAGGGGACCTTGATGGACATTTGGAGCACTTCATGGTAAACAAGAGTGTAAAGCGTTGATGGATATCTGGAGTGCTTCGTCGTAGATGAGAGTGCAAATGGTCGATGGGCACTAGGAACGCTCCATGGCGGATGAAATTGCAAAGGGGTGATGAGCATGAGGAGCGCTTCATGTCAAATGATAGTGCATTCAGTCAATAGGCATCGGGAGCACTTGGCGGCCAATGAGGTTGTGATAAGCTGATATACCTTGGGAGTTTGCCATGCGTATCGACAAGTGCGCACTGTCAGGGTATGGGCGGGCACCTCACTGTCATTCAGGCGCAAAAAACGTGCTATCAAGTTGTCTGGAAAACGAGGGCGTTGTTAACGGGGAGGACGCCATGGTATCAAAGGACTTAGTCAATTTTTTGAGCACTGTGCATTGTTTGCTATCTATACTCCATACATTTTTTGATGCTACTTGTTCATGCTACTCCTTGTTGCCCCATTGTCTTGTGCTTATGCAATCAGCACGTATGCTTGCAGAATGGTCGTCTCGCTGACCAGTCCCAGTGGTGTGCTTGTCTTGCATATGACTTCTGGAGTTAGTGCAAGCTTGATTCTCATACCCCGTGCCTCCAGCTGCTCCGCTTGCATGCCCTTGGATGGTTCCGAAAATCTCGGCACCATGGTGGTCTTGTTGAACATGTCATTGCCGTTTGGCGTCTCGAATCGGTACTGGTCTGCTCCGGAGAACATCAGTTGTGCAAGCGTATGTGCCTCGGTCATGAGGAGGTGCAAGTCTTCCCAGTCGCATGATGATCTTTCGTGCATCATCGGATTGATGATCTGCCAGAGCTGGTTGCCGCGGTCTCGGGCGAGGTGATTGACGAATCCGTCGAAACCGGGCTTCTTCTGGAGGACAGACATCTGGTATCCGATGTTGTTGAGCAGCTGGTACTTGACTTGTGCTGGGGTTGATTGGTAGATCTGGTTCTTGTTGGCCTCAATGGCCGCATCTACCTCGAGATCAAACCCTCGGAAGCTATCGTGCTTCAGGATGTTCTTTATGATCCATTGCACTACAACCTTGGTGGCCATCATGTACCGAGTCAATGGTGAACCCATCAGTGGGTATGCGTGTACTGGCGCTGCAGTTTGGACTATCCTGTCCTTGACTGCCTGTGGCATGTTGCCGTCCTTCTGTGTGCTTACATGGTTGACATGTGCCCAGCAGTATCTTTCTGCCATATACCAGACTTTTTGGAATTGCTCCTTGACTGATGGTGTTCCACTGACTTCAGGTATCGTGACTAGAGCCATTGAGTTGTCTTGCAAGGCTGGCTGCTGCACGGCTTGACTGCTCGGAGTGCTTCGAGCGTTTCTGTTTGCTGATGATTGGCTGCTCTGACGTGGGTTGCCGACTCGTGGTGTCTGTGGCGGGACTTGGCGACCAGCGTTGGTGTTGAATGGTCTTGGTTCAGGAGACCCGAATTGATTGACGCTAGGTTGTCCATGTCTGCCACCACCTTGTGGCATTGGCTGTTGTGAGCCTGGTTGTCTTGTCATTGGCGTGCCAAATGTTTGGCTGCGAGTATGGCCGTATGGTGTTTGTTGAATGCCTTGTTGTTGTCGTCCTCGTGCAGGAACTGACGGCACGTGTGAGAGAGATTGCTGTTGTTGTGCGAAGTTGCCGGGTGTGTTTTGAGGAAGCATTGGTTGAGCCGGCAGCGCCATCTGCTGGCTTTGGTTCCTGCCATGCATCGTGCCGTATGATTGAGTGTTTCCATACGCACTTGAATTGAGGTTTGTGGCCTCATGATGTTGTCTTGGCAGTTGTTGAAGGGCTGTGCTCTGGTTTCGAATGGTGGCTTCTTGCTGAGAAATTGTAAGTCGCATTCTTTGCATTTCTTCTTGCATTCGTCTCAGCTCCTGCTGGAGACGTGCAATCTCTCTTTCCATTTGCTCGTACTGCGCTGTGGACATCTGCGTACTTGCTCGGATTCGCATCAGATTTTGCAGATCCCGCTGTGTCCTGGCGTGGTTTTCCTCGGTTTGTCCGAGCTGGCTCTGTGCCTCACTGAGGACAGGCGAAGTGACAGAGGCCCCGTGGGGCATGTCATTGCCACCATGATATGATGACATCTTTTTCTCTCTAGTGTGAAAAGGTGATTGTGTGGTCGGAAGAAAAGGAAGTCGTGTCGGAGATGGTGAAATTGAGAATGATCGGTCAGATCAGAAGGGAGGACAATCTTCAGGTTTCAAGTGGCGAGGTGATCTCGGTGGTGTGCCGCGATGTATCAAGGGAGGTAAAAGCGAAAAAGCTAATGACCAACGCAGTCGATCTTGCAGGTGTTTCGAGGAACACGGAAGGACGTCCTCGGAGATAATCAACCAGGAACTGCTTTGAACGATTGCGTATGATAGATCGTTGAAGAGATGATCGTTGAGATAACGAAAATCGAGGGATCGAAGGTAGGAAGACAGAGCAGATAATCAAGCTGCTGTCTGGGTAAGTGACCGAAGGACGGAAGAGAAGGAAGTCGTATCGGCGAGGTATGTCAAGACTGATCAGTGAATCAAGTGTGTGGAAGGTCGATCGTCGAGTCTCTGAATGTGTGATGTGCTCTCTGTGCTGTGCGATGTATCGAATGGGAGGCAGGGAAAAGTCCGGTCAATGCAGTCAATCTTGCAAGTGTCTTGGAAACGACGCGAGAAGATGATATCCTCAGAGATAATCAACCGAGGGCTGCTTCGAACTAGTGCTGTGATCGATCGCCAGAGATGTGAGTGTGTTGAGAGACCAAATCCGGAAGACTGAAGACCGAGAGACAAAACTGGTGGTCAAGTTATTGTCCAGGAAAATTGTTTGATGACACGAAAAGGAAGAGAGTCGCTTCGGAGGAGGTTGTTGTAAGAGTGATCAATCAAATCAGAGGAGCGGATTGTCGGTCGTCGATTCGAGAACGAGGTGCAAAGATGAGCTTCGAGATATCAACCGGAGGCTTGCTTTGAGAGAGTGATTCTCGACAGTTTGCGGACAGTTTGCGGATAGGTGTTCGTGATAGAAGATCGTGACGAAGACCGAAGATCGAGAGACCGGACAGGTAAAAGTCGCTGTCTAGTTGATGATCGAAGGAAGAGAAAGAGAGAAGGAAGTCGGAAGAACGAGAGAGAAAAGACTTCTGTGCTGTGAAAGAGTCAGTGAATGATCTTGATTCAGAATTCACGCCAAGCCGCACTGAACAACGTCAACCACCACACAATCTGTTTCAAGGTGAGGCAATGACTCCCAAGTGTTGGCTTGAAGTAACCCCAGTTCCTTAGGCCCGGGTCGATGAACTGAGCGGCTGCTGGGTGCCGGTAGATCGAGAACGGGGAATTCTTTACTTGAGGTAGGCTGTAACGATGAAGGAGGTTGAGACCTTGAGTCGACTGAAGGTATTTGTGTCGGAGACCGAATGTTGTGATGATGACAGTTGATTGAAGTGTTTGATGCTTATCTTCAAAGAGAAGAAGGTCTTTGATGGAGCCAAGATGGAGTGGTGGTTGGTATGTGTGCAAAGGAAGAAGACTTGGGGGCGGGAAGGAGGTATTTGTACCCTGGTAGAAGAGCACATGCACCGTCCTGTCTTCACCACGTGGGAACATTCACTCCATTGTCACCGAGAAGACCGCAGCTGGCCGCATGTTGTGTGTTTGTTTCCGACTATGTTTGATATGCATCTGGGTTGATGCATGACAAGGCTGAAAATCACGTGCAATGTGACAAGGCGCTGGCCCCTGAAAACAAATTGATGTGGTGAAGATGTTGACATGTCTCCACACATGTATGTTGGTGGAATCCAAGGACCGGGACAAGGTGTACTTGTTGTCATGCCCTCACTCTTGATCAGATGATGCCACTGAAGACAATCTGGTGTGATAGAGTAGTGGTGGCATCTCGACACATGTATGTTGCTTTGGTCCAAGGCGTCAGGGAGAGGTGAACTTGTTCTTACACCATCATCTTTGGCAAGGCACCAACCGTTGAAGACAGCTTGATGTGATGAAGTGGTGCTCACATGTGCCCTCACTTGTATGTCTGTCTGATCCAAGGTTCAAGTGACCTTGAAGTTGCTGTTGTACCATGACGATTTCCTTATCCTGGGTCCAGTTGACAGACATCTCCATTGCAGCCAGGATTCATGTATGCTGTCCTAGGCTCCAGACACACAGAACAGAGTTGACATGGTGACTTTGGTTCACACTACAAACAATGTATTGTGGCAAGGTATGCTGAGTATATTCCTCCTCTTTCTGACGTTGTCCAGTGTGGCAAGTCTGGCAAAGGTAAGGAACAAGGAGCAGAACGTACCCAAGGCACCTAGGTGCCACCCACGACAGGCAAAACAGGGGAACGCAGTCTGCTATCATTTATATATTTATTGCCTGGTTGAGGTCAGTTGGGATGGCTTCTTTGCAGTCTGTTCAACAGATCTTACTCACAGAGAAAGGTCACCGTATCTCCTGACACGGGGATGATCCCTCACAAGGAGGAATGCATCCCCGTGTCGAGCAGGTGTTGCTACCACGTCGTCGACCAAGAAAAGAGGTATACAAGACAAGTCTTGATGGTGTTTGTGGTTGTGGTGGTGCGGTTGATTATAGAGAAGGAAGAAAAGGTTGGAAGGAGGGAAGAGGAATATTTGTACAGGATCGTGGGCCTCAGCCGCATCACGCGCGCACTTTTCACAGCGCCGAGCAACGCCGAGCCCCTCAGAAACAGCAATCGCGGCTGGAGGGGCGCGGCTGAGCACAATGGTGCGGTTGGGAATGTGAAAAACAAGCTGGCAACTGTCTCTTTTGCGTTTTGATCATTGTTGTATTTGAGCAAGCACAAACGATCAAACACGCATCCATGTTCCTTGATCCCTACCGTGTCAGCCTCGTCACCCTCCCAGGCTCAAGAGGACGATGTGCAGCAGTCTCGGACTGTGGGAGCATCCTTTCGACCTGCCCTGACAGTTTTCACGAAGATCCAAACATTTCAAAGAGAACAAGCACTCACTGTTAACGAGACAAACAGCAGTTGCCTGTGTCTTAGAGAGCAAACATCTCCTACGATCCAGCCACAGCAACCTTGCGATCTTCCTCTTCTTTCTCCTGGCTTTTCCTCTCAGATCTTCATCCTTGAACCCACAGAAAGTCATCCACAGAGCAGCAACATCAGAGAACAACCTCATCTATCCCAAGAACACATAAGCCCCCAAATGGAGGCACAACGGATCTGGGTAGATCTCCTCTACCTAGAAGCAAACAACCTCTTGGAAGGACATAAAAGCTTCAAGACACCGTCTTGGAAGCAAGCTACCTCAGAAAATCCCACAAGGCAGAGCTTGAGAGAGAAGATGCTTCAGCCTGGCCTACTGTGCTTAAACGCTTCGGTGGACCTTGAGCTACACATCTTTCTGCCGAAGCAGCCCTTGTCCACGCTGCAATAAGCACTCAATGCACAGAGGAAAGATACTGCATCATGTATTGAACACTGCTAGTGGATCAGCAGCAGAGATCTTCAACAAAAAATATTTACCAATGCTCTGGGCAGAGAACAGCCATTTCCACACCGATGCCCACTGATACATACCACAAGAGCAATAGAGGGATCAATGGCGGTCACGGATTCAGCTCTGCAAGAACTGTATATCAAGAAACGGACACAGCTAGGCCGCAATGGCCATAGGCAACAAGATTGAACATTTGACACCTCAGGCATGGCACACGGTCTTACTTTCATGTCACCAGCCACACAACGACCGCCACAAGCTGGTTGGCAACACTCTGCGATGCCATACCCCTTGAGAACAACCGCCTGTCCAGCAAATCGCGATGTTCCACCATTGCTGGTGACCCTGTACCATCAAGGTCAGCCATTACACGATCAGATATTGATCATACTTCCCAGTATGGATGAGACCCCTGGACAGACGAGTGAGGGAGATACTCCCTTGGTCTGGCTGCAGTGTCATGAGAAGCAAGTCACCATCGTCAGATAAAGTCGACAGGGGCTCGCCAGCAAGAACATTCGAGCAAAACACCTCTGATGGTCATTCCAGTGCTGAAGATCAAAGTGGCAATACTCCTCCCGTCAATGGTCCGACCTCTATCGATTCCGTCATAACGAAGCCAAACGAGGGGACAAAAGCACTGTCGTCGGCTCCACCTTGTCTGACATTGGAGACTCCGACAAACGTGTGGACCGTGGTTGGTGTTCAGGACGCACTGTCGCAACACGACATTACAACTCTCGCTATTGCCACAAGCCTCTCTGCAACCGTCCTCTCGACGACGGTCTTGTGAGAGAGGACAAACAATCCACGGCACATTTTCGCGAGGGTGCGAAAGAGTTCCACGCCGAATCTCACCAAAACGGATTTACTCGCTTCATCTGATCATCGTCATCACTGCGTGTCATGATGCTGCCGATGAGGCCCAGAATGCGGTGAGACGCGATGGATAGTGGTTCGGCGGATGATTTATTCCACTCCTCGTCGACAACGGCGTGATTGCACCATAAAATGCTTGTCAAGCACAGATTCGCGACCCAATTCAGTTAAGGTCTTGTTAGGAGTAAGCCTCTCCAGAACGACGCTCACCTGAGAAGGGCGACCCGAAGGACATGCTCAAAGCTTTGCTGTCTTTGACACCCCTGTTGGCACTCGTGTCCGACCCCTTGCCACTGGTGGACCGTACCAGATCAACTTCAACCACCGGCGTGAGCTCTTGACGTATTGCTGAAGCACGAAGATGCAGCATTTGCTTAGAAGCACCCTTCGTGTCTGGCACTCCAGTCCAGCCACATGAAGCGTGGCATACTGCTGCGGCATTCGAGGTATTTCGACACGCTTCGTCGTCCCAACTTGGAAAATCAAGGCACCAACGCCCTTACCGTTCCTGATCCTACCTCACTCGATCCAGTCATGGACGCCGCGACTCGACGTGACGAGCATACCGTCGCCGTCTTTACAAGCGCCGATGCCTCCAAGTGACGCCTCAGCTATGCTGAAGAGAATGCCACTGCCCCGCACTTGCAATGTCCAATGTGTAAAGAAACTTCATCAAAGATGGTCTGAGGTCATGGCGCCGCGATTCAGAAGGGGCACAGGAACAAAGATCCCGCAGGCGTGGACTCGGGGTCACCGAGCACGCAAGCAGCAGGCTAAGACGGGTATATGCTCGACGGAGTTCAGCTTCATTCGACTTACCCAGTCTGCAAAGGGATGGGGGTTGTTAAGCTGGCCGCTTGCATCCAGCCACAACCGCTGGAGCAAACCGAGCGTCGAAAGGATGTCGAAGCCAATTACCACGGTACAATCAACAAGACTTCAACCCTCAACGTGGGGGTTGACATCTCCATCGGACGTTGTGTCGGGGATTTGAGTTGGAAAGAATGCCTCCGTGGCGTCGCCCACGAAGTCTTTGTAATAAGGCGACAGTGCTGTACATGGTTGAGCGATAGACCTTTCATCCAGGAGCAAGATGCGACGCACAGAAAACCCCTTTAGCGATAAGCGACGAAGCAAATGCGCAGAGCATTCAGACACAGGCAGTGCTAGACTCGACGCACTGGAAAACATCTGAGCACAAGTGCCTGGAGGGTGTCCGGACACATCATGCGATATTTTGTCGCTGAAAATCGCCATCCAGGTTCCGAAAAGGGATTTCGATCCCAATATCGCAGTTTTGCCGCAGTTCCCAACGAGGGTCCTGCTTAGGATCTGCGCATACATTGACCCTATTTGGGTGTTCCAGCTTGAACTCACATGCACCACGATGGCCAGACGCCTAAGGAGCCGCGAAGGCAACAAGCTCTGGTAAAATTCAATCCTCCACTTCTGAAGGGACCATTGCCATCGATCTCAAGCATTGGTGACGCGACTTCGGATATTTCCACAGCGAACATATCAAACACTCTCGGGAGCTGTACCGGTACATGGAGTATTGTGAAAGTGGCAAGCCTCGTCTGTCGCACAGTCTCTTGGAAAGACTCCGAGAATGGAAGCGAAGACGGCATGGCGACTTGCTAAGCGAGCTTTCTTGGAAGAATTGGTGACAGGCTCCGAAGCCTCAAGTCTGTCGTTGTCCGACAATGCCAGGCCTGCTTGTGGACTCGGAGTCCAATCTCGAGCATTGTTCTGGAACCTGCGACGCTGTCAAAGGATCAGTGGCCCAGAAGAGGTTGAGTTACCTCATTCATCCTAACTAATGGATCGCCGAGAAGCGGATCTTGATGACTGGGAGTACGAGGTACCCGAATGCTCAGGATATGGCAAGAAGTTCGCAGTCTCTACGCCACTGGCGGCAGCTTCCAAGCTGCTGCAGCAGGACATCATGTCTCTGCTAAATAGGTCCGTCTAAACGTCGAGGCACTGGTAGATTACGGAGGATCGTCAGTGTCGGTTAACTCGGCGGTTGCACGCGATATTCTCCGACGTTTGATGTTGCTAGCGGAACACTATCCTGAAAAATGCCCTTTCATTGGACGGAAAGCGGTTTCCAAATTAAATGGCACCGCGACATATTATTCAAACAAGCCTTACTACAGCCGCAGAGGTGATATGTATTTTCAGAGGCATAGGAATATACATTAATCAATTCTCTATCAGGTGATGGGGAAAGTGTATCATCTACCGAACACGGAGTATCTGTAGTAGCCCCAGATCCACCATAAATATAATGGCTGCTTACTCAACATTAACGTCGTTGCCATATATCACTCGAGGACAAATGCCCTTGCTTACATTCCTACGTATACTGTAAGCACTACGTTGCTTCCTTTTTATCTTGAGGCGGCCTTTTCTCATCCCCTATGAAGCTTATCGGCCAACTGCCTCAGATCCATATTTGTTTAATCGATTCGATGGGAGCTGCGGCATCCAAGAACCCAACCCGACCGCTGGTGCGACTAATAACAGTCTTTCTAGATATAGATCTGGGTCCTCACCTTGAGGATAACCGGCAAATATGCTGCCAAGGACTCCATGCGGAGGTTGATGCGGCGAACAGTATATCAAACCCACACTTCATTCAAATCTGGGAGTAGAAGCTCCAGGATTACCGACCCGCAAGAGCTTACACTACATCGTTCGCGGCAGGAACGATGGATACGTTTCCGTTGCTAAGCGTTCGCCAAACCTGCATAGCCTCTCATGCTGATATTGTTTATGACTGGAGAAGAGATCGAACATCCCGTCAGCGGTAACCCCGAGACTCACGCTGCTGATGTCCTACTTCTGTAACTGACCATGCTGACACCATGCGCTAAACGAAAGCTGGATATCCATCAGTGGCCCTCCAGCCGTTGCCGAAGCAGGAAACCTGAGCCACGCTGGCCCGACCCAGGATATGCCGGTGATCATCCACATCGACATCAATCAACCTATTTCGGTTTTGATGAATGTGCATATAAGAATGGCCCGAGTGGGGTGACGTACCGAGCCAGAGTAGCGCTTCTCCTACCGTTCCTTCAGGCTTCAACCCGCAAGGTAATCATATAAAGGCAAGTTCAAGACTCTCAGAAGGGACGGTCTCGAAATGTCTTACTCTCTCAACATCTCCATTTCTGAAACCGAGGACCCAAGTCACGCTCACGACCACTCTGATCCAAGTATGTCTCATCACCAAGGCGGCGGCGCCCATGACGGCAGTCACGGCGGCAATGACCCATCTCAGCATGGAGGTCACGACCAGGGAGACCAGTCTGGACAATACGGCGGTCACGATGACAGCCATTGCGGACACCCCAGCCACCCACACGGTTGCGGATGTCCAGCTGACCAGCACTGCGGGCACCCAAACCATCCCCACGGATGCGGATGTCCAGCGGACCAGAGCGGCGGCCATGATGGCGGGCACTGTGGGCACCCAAACCATCCCCACGGTTGCGGATGTCCCGCGGATCAGAGCGGCGGCCAGGGCGGCCAGGGCGGGCAACACCACTGCGACCCAGCCCAGCTGCACCAGGAAGTACAGCAACTGGCCCAGAAGCACTCGTCGTCCAGCCAGGACGACTCTCAGCAGCACGACCCGTCTCAACACGGCGGTCATGATCAGTCCCAAGATGATCCGAACGACCCGGCCAGCCACAAACGCGGGAAAGCCCTACTCAACCTACTCAAGCACGTCTCCCAGCACGCCGATAGCACCGGTGACGATGATGACGACCACAAGGACAGCAAAGACGACGATGAAACGAAACACACCACCCACACCACCACCGACACGCACACCGTGGCCAAGACCTCGATCAAGACGGTCAAGACCGCTTTGGACACGACTTCTACGGACGATGACAAACAACCCGAGCCCATCGACCATCAGGAACTTCAGGATGATGTTCATTGGGCGAAGCAGAGCCACCAGTGCGACAATATCCTCGGCTTCTTCAGCACCCTGCAAACCACAACGATCACAGTAAGCTTCAGCGAAGACGTGCAAACTGCCATTCATACCGTCAACCAGACTTCTGGCAGTGGTGCTGACGATGCTGGTGAAGGTGGCGACGATCAAGGCTATGGCGATGATGACCAAGGTTATGGCAATGACGGTGGTGAGGGTGGCGACGATCAAGGCTATGGCGATGATGACCAGGGCTATGGTGATGACCGCGGCGACGACGGCGCCGAGGGTGGAGATGACGCTCAGCACGATCACCACGGTCATGGCGGCTATTGAGCAATCAGCGGCATGCAGCACCAGTCCTTTTTGGGCTTCAAAGGTTGTCAGGGTGTCACTCGTTTGGCGTTAATGAGATAGCTTTTGCGATATGACAGCAACACCCTAGTCAAGGTAGCAATGATCAAAAATAAACTCATTGATTATTTATTCGCATAGTCCGATGAGAATGTGCAGCGATGACCTACCAGAGCACGAGAACATGTTCATGAAGTTCAAGTGCCCAATGTCCGAGATCCGCTGAAGTCGCAGGACTTTTCGTTCAAGGATAAGGATAACTAAGAACTTGTCAACAGCTGAGAAAACTTCAAGCCAAACCAGACCGGGACATGGCTTTTCGATGTTCGTCATGGCATTGCCCTCACTGCCGTGGTTCCTTCCTAGCTCCTGATAGCACTACCAGACGTCAAGTGCCCCGACCTCTTTAGGGGTGCACCCTCTCGGGTAGCGATGATGTATCGGTAACCTGGTGATGAGCTGCTCCTCAGAGAGCCTTGGTCCGGGAGAACAAACTGCTGTACACAGCGTCAACGACTGGCTGCGCGCTAATCTGCCTACCGCCAAAGTATCGGCCGTTGAGGCCTTTGATGGCATTCTCGCCGCCAGACACACGATCGAACTTCAAGTAAATATCGCCTTGTGTGTTGGGGTCAAGGGAAATGTGTACGACATGTCCGTACTTCTCTTCGCATTCGGCACGGACATCATCTTCGAGTTCTTTGATCCAAGCCTCTCCTTCTTCCCTGGTGTCAGATGTCAGCAACCACGTCCACATGGCCTCAAGAGAGTCATGACTTACTCAGTTGGATCAAACATGTTCCTCAGCAGTACACATCTGCTTGCCTGGCTCACGTTCACGGGCAGAGGCTTGCTTTCCTTTTTGGGAACAACGGTGCGTTTCTCCGCGTCTGTGGTCGAATCATCTGTCCTAGCGAGTTTCCGCATCAACGCATCTCTGCTGTAGTTGTTGAAGTTCACACCGGCAACGTCTGTGTCATCAAGAGCACTTGCACCACCAGTCCCCTTTTCGTTGTCACGACCGCCTGCACGATCGAAGTTTCCTCCAGATCCACCAGCGTGCGATCCACGACCTCCGGAGCCGGAAAAGGACGAGCCTTGGTAGTTAGATGGCTGGTTCTGACCTTGGAAGCGTTGGAGGAGATTGGCGGTAGACTCGGGTGTGAATTTGTCGTTTCCAAGACCAACTCGAATTGGGCGTCCTGCAAGGTCAAATCCATTCATCTTCTCAAGAGCCTCACGAGCTTGGGTAGGATCTTGAAACCTGCGACGAGGTGAGTAGCTGTTTTTGAATGGACGGCGAAGAACTTACTGGACAAAGCCATATCCTCTACTGCGGCCTCCTTCATCCTTCTGAAGCTGCACAAATTCCAGCGCGCCAAAGGGCTCGAAGACGTTCTGCAAGTCCTGTTCAGTGATACTGAAGTGAATGTTTCCAACATAAAGACGGTGGAAAGGAACGGAGTTGTGATTGCTACTGCTGGCTTCAGGGTTACGGGCTTGTCGATTTTTCTCTGCTTCAGTGAGTTGAGCAATGATGGGAATTCCGAGGAGTTTCTGTCCGGTCATTTGAATAGCAAGTGGCACCGATGCTTCGTCCTTGAACTCGACGTAGCCAACACTGTGGTTCGTTAGCTGGTGCGATATGGTAGGACTTATGGACTCACCCTTTGGAGCGACCACTAACACGATCTTTGACGATCTGGGCTTCTTTGACAGGACCAACCTTTTCAAAGAATTGAATCAACTCTTTAGTGCGAAGACGAGCGGCAAGTTGTTGGACGAACACGGTTCTCCTATCACGCTCATCCTCAGTAAGCTGTGCCTCGGGTGTCTTGCTCTTGGGACCTTTCTTGGGACTCGTCGACCGATGGCGTTCCTTGTCACGATCGCGACGGTCATCATCATCCCGTCTGGATCGTCCTCCTGGTCGGTAATAGCGATCGTATTCTGGAGACTTAGATCGGTGGCGACGATGGTCGTCGTCACGTTTGGAGCGTCTTCTGTCATCGTCACGACTACGACTTCGCCTCCTGCTTCTGTGACTGCCATTAGCGGAGCCATGGTCGCTTCGAGGGCTTTTCAAGTCATCATCGCGGTCACGGTCACGATCCCGTCGATGTTCCCTGCTGCGCTCCCGTCTCTTGCGGTCTCTCTCTCGATCACGAGACCCATCGCGGTATTTGTCTCTGTCCCGGCGTTCGCTACGTTCGCTACGATGGCGATCATCGTGTTCGGTAGTAGAATCTTTGGCATCATTGGTAGCGGTTGAGTCGAGTAGCGCCTCGACATCGAGTCCTGACATATTGAGCAGTGGTTGGTGGGTTTCTTGACAATATTCAAGCGTCGGCGCAGTAGAGATTCACTTTGGTTGTGGTCAGAGTCGGACAATGGAGCAAGGCGTGCGCAGGCAAACCCTTGCAATAAAAAAGTTGTTGAGTAAGAGATCTCCCAACTTTCGTGGTCCTCCGACTACAGACTCTTGGTGTGCCTGCGTTCCTTAATCGCTCGAGAGAACGTGAGTCTAATCCGGCAATATGCGGAAGAGAAAAGCCGGTACGATGTAGAATTCTGAGGTTTTATGAGGTGAAAATCAAGCGGAAAGAGGAGTGACTGATCTGCCTGCAGCGGAAGATGAAGCGCTTGGCGTGCTTACATAAGGCAAGTATGACTTCCAAGTTGAGGAGCTACTACTTACTAGTCGTGCTTGACAATAATGAAATGTCTCAATGATTTTCACGCCCTCTTTGACACTCTGACACAGGACGTGAGCCAATGGTCAGTCAGAGCCTCAATGTTTCGAAGCCATAACGTACAGCTGATCCAAAGTCCTTGTTGATAGTGACCTCAGCCCTGATCAAGTACAACTCCAATTTCATCGTCAATATCTCGTGCCTTACAGTTATCACTGTCCATAGCAAGTCTTTCTTGCACGATGCCTAACCACCTTGGTACCACAAGATATGTTGCTTTCTGATGACCGACCCGTCTTAGCGTATTGGAAGTGGTTTGGAGTTGTTGACGGCCACCCATCCAGAACAGCTTTGGAATTCCTTGGGCACACCTCCGAGTTCGTTTCCTTTCGTCGACGAATCGTGGTTCTCATGAAGACTGGTCACGCAGGCCTTTGAAATCAAGGCATCTGATTGTTGACGATCCTCCTCGCTTTCAACCTTCACTGAGACCCGGCCCCCTCTCCGTCGGAACACCACAGGATCACCTCCTGTGCAGTGGTGACACATATATTTCTCAGACACTTCGAGCATTTTGGTGAGGCCTGAACATCGAAGATGAATCCTGCCGAACATGCATGAGTGTGAGCTGCATCTGACCATGGCATTAACCTCGTTCGATTCTCGACAATAGCAGCTGGAAGCATCATTGTCTTTGAAAGACTCGTCAATGACATTTAGAGTCACCTCGTGATGGGCAAGAGAACTTTTCGACAATATGAGCTCATCGGCCTGATCTTTGCGGTCGCTCCATTCAAGTCCTTGCTTCTTGTATCGTTCCCTGTATGGCTCGATGTCGGACGGTGTCTGAATTTTGAGTTCCGAATGTTTCATCTGCCGTCTATGCCTTTGTCGCAGAATTTTGACGCGGTGAGCTTCTTTGAGTCGTCGCAGCACCCCGTCGATCTCGTATTGCTTCTGTCGACGCCGGCGAAGGCCTTTGACAGAATTCGAACCTTCTCCTGGCTCCAGGGTCGGAGCCTCTGGAAGGTATGTAAAGAATGACTGCTTAGGCGTCAAACATGGATGGATCTTTTCAGCCGCGTTGAGGATTGACTGTCTATCGCACGAACCATCCACAAACTGAGGAGGCATCTCATGCGCCTGTCCTTCTTCTGCCAGCAGCAGGAGCTCTTGTATGCAATTCTGGCAGAACAATACAGTTTCCGGATCATCAGGATGTAACGCACTGTTTCCGCCCGAGGCCTGGTAAACTCCATAGATGTCCCCGAGAGGAATGATGCTCATGGTATGTTGGCAGGTAGAGTACGAGCAATGGTAGGTGGCGTTTGTGTCAGTATGGTACTTCAAGGTGAAGACGTAACGCTCATCTAGCACCAGTCAGCTTCTGTTCAGAAGAGCCACAAACTAGCCCTTACCAAGCACAACAAATCGTTCCGTGCAATCTAACTCTTCCACCTCCTCAGAAGTCGTGCACGGTGGTAAATTGGCCTCCTTCACTGCCGAGTGGGACTCTTCAGTCGAAGCCGCTTTGGTCATATCGTGCTGAGACAAGGATTTCTGATATTGTGAATCTGCCACGACAGCTCGGTCGTGCTCGGCCGCGGCAGCGTCCGTCTCTTCATCATCCGAACGCAGATGTGAGCTGGCAAGTCGAACTCCTTCCAGTTTCGTGAACAATTCCGGGTTGGAATATCGAACGAACTCCGCGATCTCCTGTTCACTTATAGCTGAAGCGTCGTCCACGCAGCCGGAATAGCTCGTCGGATGAGTATCATCGCAGAGATAGACCCAGTCATCACCGCGAGATCTCATGTAGAGATCCGTCGGATCGAGTTCGGCCATATCGATAATCTGAATACATTGCTCTTTGGCTGCAAGCGATGGCAGAAGGTGTTTGTTGACGCGTGAGGATGGTGAAGCAAGATTGCATGAGCGCGGTGTGCAATTTTATTCACCGCCGGGTGAGGCACTTCGAGGCGCAGTTGTTCTGCGTTCTGCAGCATTTTGGGTAGATATCAGAATCATTCTGCGGTCAATTCAGAGGTACTGAACAAAACATCTTTATTAAGAGTAAAACAGAGAGGCATGAGTATACAACAATGTGGCCTACCTATCACCTCAGAATTGAAAGACTGCAAAAAAGTCGCACTTGTGCAAGGAGGGGGCGCCGTAGCAGGCATGGCCAGAATGATCAATCCGTGAGAGAGCTGCCACATGCGCATTGAGCCTCTGCATATCATTGGCGAGGAAAATTGACTATTGTTCAGCTTCTTTGACCTCCAGCTGTTACGTTGCTACTGATCAGTGTCGATTACGCATTTGTGACAACGAGGTACGTCTGCGCATGACTTACGTTGGCCTAGGGCTCGGGTAATGCTGCATCCAGCCCTCACTGCCGCAACTGGATCCGGGAAAGTGATAGAATCGTCCATGGTTTGATTAAGATGCGATGTCGAGGCAAGAAAGGTGGTGTTGTTAAGCAGCCAAAAGTACGTTCGTCATGGCCAAATACTTCCGAGGCTTGGTGCTTGTTCCGATAGTGGGGCCAGGAGCTGTCATCGCGTTTGTACAATATCGCCCTGCCCTGTTCATGTATATTGCTGCAAATTGCAGAGATGTCGACCCTGCTGATGGCGCTACTTCTGGCCTGAAGCATGTTCTGCTACCTGTTCGACATATATGCACGGTGACCATTTATGCCTGTCAGCATCGGCAGAGATGACTCGAGCATTGCAGTAACGACTGGACAACAGTACTCGGCCCACGACCATGAAGGCCATGAACAACATGAATTGAAGGATCTTCGAAGTGCACAGTCGCTACAAAATGCTCCAGGGACGAACGATGACTCAAGCGTTAACAATGCGCCTAGTCGTGGCCCAGACCGCCTGCGAGCTCGAAGCCGTTCGCTTTCGCGGTCTCGCTACGTGCCAATTCCTGCAGCCCGGGATCATCTTGCCAACGAACGCGTCTTTCTCGCTTACATCAGAACATCAAGTGCATTCGCGAATTTTGGGGTTGCAATCCTTCAGCTTTACAGGCTGAAGCACAGCGCAGCACCAGCGGGCAAGCTGGGCGACTATATTCTTGGAGTTCCGCTTGCGACCGCAACACTTCTGATCGCGATAATCCTCGCGATAACAGGAGCGGCAAGGTTCTTCATCTGCGAAAACGCCATGCTGCAAAAGAGAATCGTTGGAAGCGGCTCGGTAGTTGTAGTCTTCATCATTCTCACAGCTCTTGTAGGTCAACCCCCTTTTTGCATCGGTGTCGCCGCTAATCTCAACAGCTGCTCCTGGTGCTATTCATATTCACCATTATCGTCAATCCTGATTATTAGCGAACCATCCTTGAAGCTGCATCATAATCATTGAAGGGCAAGTGTAGACGAGGCTACAGCCTTGTGGTCTGTGGTTGGCCAGCACAAATTTCTTGGCGGTTCGAAACTTCCACTTTCGAATTTCAAACTGCGGCCGGGGCAATTTTGAACTTGATCTTCTTCACGTCCAACAACAGACAATTTTCGTCGTCAACTCCTATCAAGCATCCTAGAGGTATGTCAACAACATTCAGTCGGCCTTCAGCTAGCCTTAGATGAGCAATGTGAAATGTGCGAGTCGGATTGTAGCATTTCCGAGTCGCACACTTTCAGATACGCTCATCTTCTGCGACACGAGCTGAAGAACCCTTGAATGGGCACTCTTCCTGCTCGAGGCTCCTGAAGACTAACATTTCACCTCGCAGACACCTCAAGTCCTCGTTTTCGCGACTTGAGAATCTCCATCCTTCAATACCGCCAAAATGGTCCGCACCTCCGTCCTTAACGATGCTCTCAAGAGCATCAACAATGCCGAAAAGGCCGGCAAGCGTCAAGTCATGATCCGACCCAGCTCCAAGGTCATCATCAAGTTCCTCTCTGTCATGCAGAAGCACGGTATGTCAAGCCTTTCGCCTATTCGATTTTGCAGAAATAGGAGGATTTTTCCAATACACATTCATTATCGGGTTGATAACTAGGCAGTGGTTTCAATTTGCTCAACGACCTTTGCCCTTTAAGTATCCGAGAGATCAACTGTCTCGGCGGTCGAACTTACACATTTGCTTTCTTTCTATCCATGTTTGTTACATGTTTATTCGATCGCTACATTCTTGCCGAATCTGTGCTGACAAGGTTTGCGCTCAGGCTACATTGGCGAATTCGAGGAGGTCGACGACCACCGCAGTGGCAAGATTGTCATTCAACTCAACGGCCGCCTCAACAAGACCGGTGTCATCTCTCCCCGCTACAACGTCCAACTTCGTGATCTTGAGAAGTGGGTCGTCAAGCTGTTGCCTTCTCGTCAATTCGGCTACATCGTCCTGACGACCAGTGCTGGTATCATGGACCACGAAGAGGCCCGACGAAAGCACGTTGCAGGAAAGGTCATTGGATTTTTCTACTAGACGTTTCATTTCAGAAATGTTCTGCATGACGGCATGATCGTGGGAATGAGATACCCAAAAAGTTTGACCTGATATTCAAGCACTTTCCGTGGGCATTGGGCGCGACCTCAAACTACATAGCACACAGAACTTGTCAATCCTAAAGAATCTGTCACAATCTATTTGCGTTAATTCTCGTAGAGAGTGTCTTAGTGTTTCGACTGAACTTTTCACATTGCCTCAAGGCGATCGTGATATTCTTGCGCCGCTGAGAGCCATTCGAGTGGCTCAGGCGGGTTGTCTTGGCGGGAAATCCACCGCCAAGCCTCCCACATTTGCTGCGAGCGCATTTCATCAGGCCCGACCTCGACTCTTCTACCATCTCATCAATCCTTCAAGACAATCATCGCAAAAATGGTACGCATCTCCGTCGACGTGCTGGACGCACAATCAGGACCGTCTCACTAACGAATGCAGGCGCCCGCAGCAACCTCCGGCGGCAAGAAGCAAAAGAAGAAGTGGTCAAAGGGAAAGGGTATGTCTCTCGAAGATTTCCACACCCGCAGAGGCCTTTCAGCATGAGGATCTCCTCCGTTCGCCTCGTGGTATTTATACGAGCCATGACTGACGTTTTCCTGCAGTCAAGGATAAGGCCCAACATGCCGTTGTCCTCGACAAGGCCACCTCCGACAAACTCAACAAGGATGTCCAATCGTACCGTCTCGTCACCGTCGCCGTCCTCGTCGACAGACTGAAGATCAATGGTTCGCTAGCACGACGGGCGCTCGCCGATCTCGAGGACCGAGGAGTTATTCGCAAGGTTGTGCAACATTCATCGGGCAGCATCTACACGAGAGCCGCCGCTGGTGGAGATTAGATGACGAGAACATTACGATTTCATCACTGCGAAAACATCCATTCAGGCATTGCAGAGCACGACCGATGGCAGGAACGAAACACATCAATGGTGACAAATGATGGCGACCAACATGTATTCAATGAAAAAAGGATAAGGTCAACAACGGCTGAGGGTGGGCATTGAGATACATCTGCAATGCAAGAATACTGCAAAATCAGGAGCATGTGATACCACTTCCACTGTCCATGTTCGCCCTATCGATCTCTGTTTCTGGATCTTTGAAGTCTTTCCGCCGCGAGACCGAGACATTCGACTTGGGGAAATTGTGACAAGAATGAACAACCAAATCGTGTTGCACTGTCCTACGGTTTACGAACTGTCTATTCTTGAAAGATATGGTGGTCTCATGTTTCCTCGTAATATTTCATCACTGCACAGGTTTCCCTTGTGCCTTGGCTGAGTCCTCCGGCTTCTTCATGTTCTTCCTCTTTGGACGGCCCTTCTGAGCATGCTCACACAGCTTCGGAGCATCTTCAGAATATGCTGGTACGCCCACAAGCTTGCCCACCTCGAAGTACTTTTTGTGATTTCTGTAAAACGCCTCCCACTTGGCGACCTCTTGCAACACTCGCTTCTTAGCCTCGCGTCGCTCCTTTTCCGCCCGTGTCTTTCTCGCACCGCTCGAAATCTCCTCGTCAGGATCTTCTATTGGTATGTAGATCTCCTCTGCTCCTCGCAGGTCGCCTGTCCGGTCCTCTAGGAAACATCCTGTCACGAATGCTCGAGAGGCATCTCGTCCTGCGAACACCTCGTAGCTGCCACCAGGACCGTAGGTGTGTCTTCCCTCGCTGACATCGAATATCGTGCCATTGATAGCGAGATATATAGGCTTCGAAGGATCTGAGCCGTTGAACAAGGCTAATTGGTCTGGGGTCAAGTTTACTGGTCCAGCCCACCACTGTCCAACTTTGGGGGCATTGAGGAACCAGGGATTGTAGTTCCACAGGTAAGAGGACCCGGAGGTGAGATAATATGAAAGTGCGCAGGAGACGCCGATAAGGGTGATTATGACTCGCAGAACGTCGAGCCGAGAGATTACGCGGGTGTGCTGATCCTCGACTTCGTCAGGCTGCGAGGATGCCGCAGGTGGAATTGCGGATGACTGGCTTTTGGCTGGTCGCTGTCGAACAGAGGTGGTGTCCATTTTGTCGTATGCTGGAGGACTTGATTTTCGTCAAGGAGATTCTGGCATGACACTCTTTTCTTTGCTCATCCTAGGACTGACTATTGTCATGGCCAATGCGTCGCAGGTAAGTGGGCGCTGGAAAATGTTCTGTCTCGTGAGATGACATGTGGGGAAGTGCTACTGAAAGGCTGGGTAGTGATGCGCCGCTGCAGGTGCGCCATCAACCTGCATGACCAGCCACATGGATTCATGAACAACCACTCCTTCAGCCGTGCACTTGGTGCTCTTTCGACATTTTTTCTCTTTCATCACCCCAGGACGCATTGACGCTGTCAGATCTTATTTCCGCCACCCATTGCAGCTTCCCCAGACGTACGATATCACAGTCGTTCATACTCGATAGCCTCGGCTCAAGAAAGTAAACAAAAGCGACTGTCGATCTGCTTCCTCAGACTCAGAAACAGCAACACAGCTACTGCAGGGCCAGAAGTACGATTCGCAGGGCGCGCACTTCTCTTCGATGAGCATCCGGGTTCGCCCTTCGCCATAAAACCCGGCGCAACCATGTCCTACCAATATACTGTTACCGAGCGCAGGCGGAGGACGACCAACAGTGGTGGCTATGGATACTCCGGCAGCAGGTCAACCTTTGGCTACTGGGTGCCCCTTGCCCTCACGGTGACAGCTGCCACAATCGGTCTTGCAGCTTGGGTATGGAGCGAGCGGCGCGACGACGAGGAGGATTCAAGTGAGGATGAACATTTCCAAGGTGGCATGCCGCATTCGAGTTATGCAAGCATGAGCGGGGCTTTACCTACTGGACCACCACCTCCTGGCGGATTTCAAGATCCTCCGGGCCCTGGACCTGAAGAGTTCCCGGAGGGCCCTATGATGCCTGGTCCCAATCAACCTGGAGGCTTTCAAGGGCCACCTCCTCCGGGTGGGTTCCCTGGCCCAGGGACTGGCGGCTTTCGTGAAGGCGACACAGATTTTCAAGCATCTCGCTCCACAGCAGTAGAAGAGCAACAGGAAACTGGCTTGGTGGCCAGGATGTCGAGTGCTCTAGGAATTGGCAGATCGAGTACTCCATCTCAAGGAGGTACGAATCAATCTTATGATTGGGCGAACAAGCCTTTCGCTTCTGGCGTTGCAGCAGCCGGTGCAATGGTTGGTGCTGCCATCAGCTCGCTGAAAGGTGAGGGTGAGGGGTATGAAGATCATGAAAGATGGAGCGAAGAAGTCGAACAACGAGACAACGACAGAGAGGTCAAACAAGGTATCCGAAGGCGAGGGACAGCCGACGAGTTTTTCTCAGGAGATATTGAAATCCCTAAATCTTCGTCACTTGCACGCCAAAAGAGGAAGACCGTGGCTGTCGTCGTTTCAGCAGTCGGCATTGGGGCAGATGGTCGGTCGGACTTTGGGGATCACGCTGTGAGTATTGCACTATTTCGTGGTACTGGACCCATCTAACCATCATGCAGTCAATTCTTTCACATCTACCGGAATATGTTGATCTTGACTCGACAAGAGTGTTTGTTTTGATCTATGCACCTGACTTGAAATCATACCCGATGACACCTAGAAGGCCTTCACAATCCATGACATCCTCATTCTCGAATATCAGCCAGGCAGACGCTCATACACCGGCTCAAACTCCGGGAGGATTTCCCTCTGGCGGAGACGACGGCATTCTGGCGCAAGTCGATCCAAAGCCAGTTGAGGAATCTATATCCTACAAAGTCCTCCACGACCAAGCCGTGGCATTGGTGGACAGAGAAACCATGATTCTGCCCTTTACCTCTTCGAGAGGCCACAAACACATTCTTCGCAGCCTTGCTCCGGAATTAGTATACATCCAAGAATCTCTCTGTGGACCAGATGGTGATCTAGTATCTGATTTATCAGGCTGGGTTCGTCAGACGGTCGTTGTCATTGGAGATGAGGGTGGTCACGGTGGTCTGGTCGATACGGACGACGAATCAGTCACCCATAAGTCAGAGACGTGGTGGCAAAAAGAGGAGCGCACTGGTCTCGGAAAACGTGTCGCAGTTGTTGAAAGCTTGAAGATTGGAGAAGACTGGGAAAGGCGTGTTAATGACCGAGATTAGTGGTGCTTTGGAAGCACGCTTTGATGTCTCTTCAGCGACGGCTGGCTTTGTTGATGACAGCCAGCTTGAGGCCTTTATAATGTCGACCATGGTCAATTGTATGTATAGCGATTCATGTACTAGTGACACCAGATTGCACCACATTCTCGTAATCGAGGCACTCCTTCACAATCATAGCCTGTCAAAAGCACTGTGCTTGCTGGGTTAACACATCGAGGGCTCGTCTCCTGACGTCAAGATACATTCTAGAAACCTTTGCGCATGACATACCCAGGTGAATATTGACTACGTCCAGGGAATTTTGTTCGCATTTTGTGAATGAAGGAGGTTACGTGCGAGAAGTCCATTTCTTCGAACCGTGGGGTACGGATGTATGACTCCAAATCATATTTCTACGCGCCTTCCTCCATGTACACTCCTAAAGTTACGTCCTTATTCTTCGTTCTTGATCCCTTCTGCCTCAGGACTTCGTACTCTCCATCGACTGGCAAAGCGGTCACATACGCCCGTACAGTATCGCGTAAGTTCTTTGTGCAGAGAGACAAAGCTTTTCAGGGTGGCTCAGTGTGTCTCCCACTGTAGACGACGAGGTCATGAAAAGCCATTGCGATCTTTTGCTGTCATTTCCCTCTAGAAGACTCGATATCGGATGGTCGAAACGCGATGCACAGGTAAGGCTGTTCAAGTATGATGCTGACATGTATATTCAGCCAGCAGTGGTCGTGAATTTTCAAACAAGAGTGATCGTACACGTCGTACCTCGAAATCCTTGAATGGCTGAAACTCAGATGGGCTCTGCATCCACCCGCACGGCACGGCAGCGGCCTTAAGTTTGCATACACTGGATCTCGATGACGAGAATATTGTTGTTACGCACGCTTGAGGCTACAAGACGCACTCCACGATCGCACGATGTATGCGCGAATCACCTGCCATGTACACCCAACATACCTCTCTAGGTCTATAAGTATCGGGGCTGTGCTTGACTTCTGGTCATGCATACAACGCAAGCCTTGGGAAGACAAACAGCCGATACTACAATACAGCAAACCGACAGCATGCTTCAACTAAGCCCCGACCACAGCTTTCACTACGAAATACTACGAACACTTGCTCATGCTCGCTACTACGGAGCAGATGTAGGCGAAGTTCTGCAAGCGGCACAAGGCATTGAGCCCGGGGACTTCGAAAGCTTCTCAAAGGCCTTCGATGCATTGGCCACGCGAGTTTACAATCAGGCGGAGAAGATCGACCAGTCCAGATATCCGGTCTCAGCCCGCGACGCGTACTTCCGGGCCTCCAACTACTTCCGAGCAGCCGACTTCTATCTGCATGGCAAACCAGAAGATCCCCGTATTGACGAGCTATGGACAAAACAGACGGATGCCTTTGACAAGGCAAATGCACTCTTGTCCAGCCCAGGGCAGCGTGTCACGCTAAAAAGCGACGGCTTTGATGTCGTCGGAATCTACTATCAGACCCAGGTCGGAGACCCTGCAGCTCCAAAGGCTACTTTGATCTTGGGGAACGGCTATGACGGCGCTCAAGAAGAGATGCTCCATGTCTGTGGGTTCGCAGCCCTGGAGAGGGGTTACAATGTCATTGCGTACGAAGGACCTGGACAGCCAACTGTCCGTCGGCAACAATGTAAGGGGTTTATTACAGAATGGGAAAAAGTCATCACGCCTGTAGTGGACTTCCTTGAAGGTCGTCCTGAGGTCGACAGCAAGCGAATCGGCTTGATGGGCTACTCAATGGGTGGGTGGCTTTGCCTTCGCGCTGCGGCATTTGAGCATCGTATCGCTGCTGCCATTGCCGTTGACGGAGTCTACTCGGTCGGTCAAGCCTATTCCAACATGCTGCCACCCCCGTGGGCTGCTCTGAGGGAGAAAGGGGATACTCGAGGGCTAGATGCTGCCGTCAGGGGCTTTCTCGGCAACCCAAAAGCACCAACCGGTCTGCAATGGGGCATCGAGCAGGGTCTCTGGAGCTTCAATCTGACTTCTCCCTCAGAGTACTTGGACGAGTCAGACCTCATGATTTTGGAGGGAATCTCGGATCGCATTCAGTGCCCAGTGTGGGTTGGAGAGGCTGGTGAGGATGAATTCTTCCGAGGTCAACCAGAGAAGGTCAAAGATGCTCTCGGCGACAGAGCCACACTGGTAGAGCTCGGCATGGAAGACGCTGCAGGGCATCATTGTCATGTTGGTGCGGCGGTGTTGATGAATCAAGTTGTCTTTGATTGGTTCGAGGATATTGTTTCGAAGAAGTGAAAGACTGCAATGGGTTCGGGCGGAGTTTGAGTCGGCCCTCTCTGGTCAACAAAGCTCAAAGCACAGCAGAGTGGTCCGAAACGTAGCTTTTCAACCGTGCCAACATTAAAACTCTATTTTCATATTACTGTTCGTCCGCCGAGTGTTCTGAGAAACTACAGTCTTCAATTGCTTCATGCTTACTAATAGAAACGCAAGTTTATCTGTGAGGTCCCGTTGCGATAGACTCCAGATGAGTACCATTGGTCGTGGTTGCAAGTCCTTCACCTCGAAATGCTGACAAATTGACCGTTCTGGATGCCCACCATCACGGCACATGTTCATAAACAAAAGAACGAATTGTCAACCTTGCCAGACCGAAAGACCCAGCCCTCAAAATCTACGATTGCTGTTAAGTTACTCCAAGACTCTGAGTGTTGAAATAATGTCTGAATTGGAGGATCTGTCAAGGGCACAGATCCAGGAATGGCTGGAAGGTGTAAGTCCCTCTTCAGGCTTTACAGTTCTTCGAGCAAGTAGACCTGACGGCCTCCTGGCTGACCGATCGGTAGTACCACCGCAGCAGCGCGACTCTCGATGCTACCAAATGGTGTTCTGAATATATGACTGACGACACCGAACTCCAATATGCCAACAACCCTGTGACCAAAGGGCAAGAGGTCCGTGATATGTTCGCCCAAGTCTTCCTGCAACTGGACCTTATGGAACACGAGATCGTCTACTTCGACTACGTTGCGCCGCGAATATACCAAGCAGCACGGATTCGATATCGTGTCAAGGGTGATATGTCCGAGCAGGAGATTGTCATTCAGGGTTTCGCGACATTCTATCTTCAGGAGGACGAAGACAAAGTCTTGAAATGTAGTCGAGCTGAAGTCTATCTTGATCCAAGTCCGCTCTTTGCGAGGATCGCCGAGAAGGCTAATGTTGATGCGTGAAATCAAATTGTATAATTTTGATTGTGCACAGGAGCATGATCCTCGAGCGTGAATAGTATAAAGCGATCCTTGCGAGTTTAGTACTGTCACTGTCTGTTTAAGGCGAGAGAGCGTCGAGATGTTGCATTAGTAATTCGGAGTTTGATCTTGGGAACAGCGAGGCTTCGAGATTAAGGGGCAGGGGCCAGCCTGGGCACGTGAGCGTGGACGCCAAGAGACTGCCTGACTGGGGTTTTTCATGACCAACTGCGTTGCTAGCGGATCTGGACGACGCATGACCAACAATCACTAACAACCATCATATCGACATACGCATCCCCCACGACTCTTGATCAAATAATCCATTCGTTTCCATTGGACCGCAACCCTCTGTAACCTTAGAGACCGAGTAAATCACCGCCGAAGCCCTCGAGACTGCATCTGACGACTTCATCTGCCCCTCATGATGCGCGTTTGGCCAGCAGCGTCGCAAACTGGCCGAGAACCTTCTGAGGAGGGTTCAACTGCGTCGGACTAAGTTTTTGTGATATTGAAAGAGCGGGAACGGGCAGAACACTCGCATATCTGCCCATCATGGCTGCAGTCGCTGCGAAGCCTCTGGGCGCCGCAACAAAGATGAAGAAGCCTCCGGCACCACTGCTCCAGACAAACATGAATGGTGTCAAGCCCACGGCACCGTCCTCATCGCCATCTAGCGCCAGGAAAACGTTGCCGGGCCAGAATCAGACTCCTACATCCGCAACCAGCAACAGCACCGGTGTCAATGGCACAGCGCGGCCGAATCGACGGTTACAGCGGTTGAACACGAGAAACAATACTACGGAGACTTCGACTCCTGACAAGCGAGCCTCAAAAAAATTCCCCGAGCCATATGGTTTGTACTTTCCTCCGGGCATGCTTTGACCATGAGACTAATCATTTTTGCTCTACAGTACCCAAAGCGTCCCATATCTTGCGGAAGTTCAAAGGAAGTCCACCTTCACTGATCGTACATTTACACCCCACACACTTCCGATTCGATCAGCAAGATGGAAGTTTCAGCTATCAGTCGGAAATGCGCGTCTTCATTGAACATCTGGCAAAAGGAACAATCCCGCACGACATGGTTGAAGAATTTCGAAAGTCGGAGGTCAAATACTACGACGGTTGGCTTATTGTGCGAGTCGTGGACCACAAATCTGTCGCGAAAGAAGCTGCCGCCTCAGGCACTGCCGCCGATGACGAGAAACCGTTCTCCATCCATAACTACAACCAGTACATCACTCCTTCACCTTATGTACCGTACCCCGCCAAAGAACAGTCTGTCGCGAGGTCGCCTCCGACCAAGCAAGAGCACAGGGAGCCAATATCGGGAGACATGAGAGATCCGTTGCATTCCGACGATACCATAGATGTTGCACCAAAGCCGACGAAGCCACAACCCAAAATCTATCATGTTGCACTACGACCGACCATTCTGTCAAAGCATATGGATCTTGTGATCGATGCCATGGCACCCGATCCGAAGTCACTGAACCGAAAACAGTCGCAAGCAAACGGAGCTGGAAGGCCGCCTGGATCTACCGCCCCTCAGACCCCGCTTGCCGGCGTGCCTCCCACTCCTTCAGCCGAGAAAGGTCCACCCTTAAAGAAGCAGAAACTCAAGATCGATCCTAAGGACTTCTTGGAGTACGAAGCACGAGTCGTCAACGCCACTGCGCCTCCCTTGTACCTCGACCCAGTAGATAGTATGGCGGAGGCCGAGGCCTTGATCGATATGCTCAGAGATCCACAGCACGACGAGCCACCTCCGTCACCCAAGAGTCGAAAACGAACAGTTGCCGAACTGGCTGCCGAAGATGCTCACGCGAAAGGACAAGAACGGTTTATGCTTATCATGGACGAAAGAACGTCCGGCGGTAACGGCGCCACTAATGCTGGTGCAGTGGATGGTCAAGCCGCATCCGCTTTGTTTCAACCACGCTTTGAGAAATTCAACGCTCTTGATAACATTAAGAGAGACATCGCAGAGCGGAAACAGCGTGAGAAAGATCGGCAGCTCCAGGAGGACGAAAACCGACGAGGTCAGCAAGAGCGACTACAGGAGGAAGAAAAGAGACGCATGGTGCAACGAGCACAAGAGGCCAGAGTTCTTCGTGCGCGCCAACAAGAGATGCAGGCAGCTATGGCGGCCCAACAGCAACAACAAGCTCAGGCAGCTCAAAGACCGCCTGCACAACATGTTAATGGCATTCCGCCCAACATGCAGAACCAGATGATGTCTGCTCAGCAACGAGGCTCACCGATTATTCGTCAAGGTACTCCGCAGCACGCAGCTTCATCCCCCGTTGTCAGTGCCGTCGTCCAAGGCGGACATCCTATGGCAATGACGAGCTCTCAGCAAGGACATGGCTCCCCACCTCGACCTGGCTCTGCCCTGCAGCATGCTCATCCCAGTGCGCCTATGGTTAGGATCAACAGTGGCCAAGCGCCCAGTCGCAATGGTACGCCTCAACTTGGTCATGGCACGCCTGCGGCTAGTAACGCGACACCAATCATGCGACAAGGCACACCAGCACAGCACATCACTCAAGCTAGCCCTCATAGCAATATGACTGCCCCGACGCCTCAAATGATGCCCAGTGGAATGATGCAGGGTATGCCAGGACAAATGCCTAATGGTGTCCAGAGACAACCCAACCCGCAACAACTAGCCGAGATGCAGCGGCGTCATGCTATGCAACAACAGGCTGCCGCTCAGCAAGCCGCAATGCAGCAACAGATGATGAATGGCATGAATGGTACCCCACAGATGGCGCAGGCACAAATGGCACACATGCAAGCTCAACATCATGCTCAAATGGATAGACAAGCTGCCTTACAACGGCAAGCCCAACAGCAAGCCGCAATGCAACAACAACAAGGAACGCCAGGAAGTCAACACATGTCGCCAAACCCTTCGTCGCAGAGCCAGAAAGCATACAATCAATCTGTTGCAGAACAGATGAAAGCCCAAATGCAAAGTTTGCAGCAATCACAAACTCAAGGATCACCTGCCCCGAATCAAATGACACCACAGCAACAGGCTGCTCAACTGGCGCACGCCCAACAACAGCAGCGCATGATGGGAGCTCAAGCCCAAGCTCAAAACCAAATGATGGGTGGTGTCCCTCACCCCCAACAACGACCCCAAATGAATCCACAACTACAACAAGTCTACCAGAACACCTTGAACGCGTACACTCAGCGGTTCTTGTCCCAAGCAGCTGCTAAGTACGGCGGGAATACGAACATGCTCCAGCCAAATGAGATGCAGCAGGTCCAGACGCAAGCCAAAACCGCCGCCATGAACGCCGTGCGCAAACGTCAGGCCGAAATGAACCAATTGCAAGTCCAACAAGCGCAGATGCGGCAGTCCGCTCAGGCTCAGCATGGCCAGCCGGGTAATCCCATGATGATGAACGGTGGTGGTGGCATGATGGGCATGAGCATGCCAATGAACGGGAATGGTAACGTCAACCCGAATATGGCGCAGGTGTTGCAGCAACAACAGGCACAGCAGATGCAGCAGATGCAGATGCAGCATGCTCAGCAGATGATGGCGCAGCAACAGCAGCAGCAGAATATGCAATTTCAGCAGAGATAGAGACGTGCTGAGTGGACTACTCTATGGGCGTTCGATGAGTGCTTGTGGTTGAGAACATTGCGTGGTTCTTGCTGTTGAGTTTGAGATCGGTTGCATTTTGGGATGCGGTACGCATGGGATGCATGGTGTAAATGGTGTCATCATAGTATGACATGGTCAAGTTGGGGGTGTAATGCCTGCTTATGATATGGGCTGGGCGGTACTCGTACGTTTTGCTTTGCTTTTGGTTTAGCAGTTTTGTGGTATTGGTGACGATAACCTGAGACTTCACTTGAGCTTTTGGGACTGCTACGGTTCGGAAGGTCCTGACTTAGCTTGGGCCATCGGTTATGGGTCGAATACATCGACACAGCAGGGTCTTGGGTGTTTTTTGGTGTCACATAATGCGTGGGCTGAACTGGGAAAGGGGGTGCTGCAGTATGATGCCTACGAAGAAGAAAAATGATTATTGGCCTTGTCCTCTGCAAATATTGGTCGTTTGGGAAAGGGAGTTGATATCTTTAGCTCAGAAGACGAACGAGGATCAGGTCTCTGAAATAATCTTGCCTGCTGTGTGCTCTTCCGAGCTGAGGCTTGATGGGCTCAACCTCGACAACCTGCATGAGAATTGTATATTGCTTAAGTTTACTTTACCTACCGAAATCAGACGTCATGTTCTGTTGTGTTTCTTTGCTGAACCCAAGGCATGTTGTCAGGAGGCTGCGCCCCTTTCTTTTATCTACCCAGTGGCCCCTCGCTCTCGGTCATTGGCAAAGATACGGAGTTCGAGAGGCGGCTTCCGTCATTCCAGACGGATGGTCGCTCTAGGCATGAGGTGCCGTAGGTCATGCCAAACCAGTTGGTCTGCAATCGGACCCTGGACTTCGAGCAACCCAATCCGCCTTGATGATGAAGTTTGATGCTCGAGGAGCAGGAAGTAATTAAATCCCCGGTCTGAGGTCGCGCCGAGGAACAAAGCCGGGACTCTCAACACTCGACTTGCGATCATCAGCGATAACCTTTCCTGTGAGTCAATGTAGACTCCGGAGTTCTCCAGACACTGATAGGTATGACTGCCTTCCCCTTCGAAGCCTTGTGAGCGCCTTACCCTCGAATATCTGTGATCTCCGTTCCATTCGAGATCGACATGGATCAGGTAACTAGTGATGTGCAGAAACGGAGTCTGCTCAGGAATAGGTTGCCGCATCTTTTTGTATTTTTCCGCCAGTGGCTTGAGGCGTAGAACGTGGCCATCACTTTGTTCGATGCCGTATTCAGCATGCAGGGAACACATACTCAAATCAACGAACGCTTGCTTGACCCTGCTGACGCTCGCCCACGACCAAGAGGGAAAGTGTGTCCGCCTTGCATAATTTTCTTTTTCAGTCATATCAGCAGTCCAGCAGAGGCATCCCGAGAAGTACGAATCAAGGAAATCCTTTCTGTACAGAAGATCAACACAACATCTTGGGTATGGGATAACAGGCATTCCGTAGAAGCTCCTTTTGGCAAGTTGCCCTAAAACACCTCGGAAAGCATCAAGTATGTCCAAGTCGTACGTTAGATGTCGCCGCGTGAATTGTGATAGATGTGATCTATAACTTGAATTCGCCCCCATTTCACCATAACTGTCACAGTGCATCTGACTGTTAAGCTTCAGTAAGCTCGGCCCTAGTGTCTGATGAATGCCACGACCACGGGTTCTTTGGTACTGGAGCAAGCTCTCGCGTTGAAGAGTGTTCATGCTTGCATAGTAGACTTGATCAGCCGTGAAGAACAGGCAACGGGATGACAACATGAACTCCTGATATGTCCAACCCCTAGTCGCCCATGCTGAGTTGGCTAGGTGGTAGGACAAATGCGCTAGTGATGAGACATATGTTCTACCATTCTGCTGCAACTTCGGTCGCAGATTTCGGGCCCTAGATACTCCATATATTCCTAAATGTACCGAGTCAGAAACGCCTGGATTGGCCGCAATGATCGTGGCGAAAGCTCCAGCGTATATGAGATTCATGTTGGTAATGTGAAAATGCTTTTTGTCTTTGTGTTCCGGGATACAATAGCGGTCTACCCAGAGATAGCGCTCGCCGAGTCGAACCGTCACCTGAACCGCGTCCTTCACTGTTTGTGGAGCATGGACCAGCAGGTTCGTTTCGGGAGTGTCAGCGTTGTCGGGTTTGCCCCAGACATAGCTCAGAGCGAGATATCTCGTCGCCGGATTATGCTGGATGATCTCGAGTTTGTCGCAATCAATAACTTGACAATGGAATGCTGAATTGCCTTCGCGTTGGTCAAAATTGTCTTGTTCTAGCCAACTCCGAAACAGTGAGAAGTTTGCCTCATTCTGGTCCACTGCATTTCCGCAGAGTTCAACTTTACCCGCGGCGTTTGTGAAAGGCCTATCGGAATACGTTGGCGTGATGTACCCTCTGAGCAGTGACCCGTTGATCCAGGGTAACGAGTCCGAGGACGTACTCATTGGCTCGCCTGCGGTCACGGCTAGAACAACATCCCTTTCGAAGACTTCGCGATATCGTCGAAGACGCAGCGCCTTCACACAACTGAAAACCCTAAAGTGCCATCCTTTGAGTGGCCTTTTATGAAGGATGTCGTATTCGTGTTCACGGACATCTACGTCAAGTATCGACTTCACCATATGGCAGAGGCGACATCCTGAGGTCAGCGTTGTCCGATGAGACGACACAGGCCGGCCCTTGTGAGGTATGCCGTGTGCTTCCAAGGCGAAGATAGCGTCGAGGTCTATCTCAGAACATGGATCGCAGAAGCTATCGAGCCATTGTTGACAGTCTGTTGTAGCCGGAAGGCATCGGAGTTCATATGATGGCAGACCTCCTTTGGGTCCACGTCGTGGCTGTTTAGGTCCGCCTGACCGAAGAAGCTCTCCCTCAATGAAACTGGGATAGGTACGCTTCATGGTCACTGGATGAATTGGCCATGGACTTCTGTGGCGTTTCTTCCTTAATGCATCACCCGATTTTCGCAATGTGGAAGCAGAGCCAACCATGTCTGTTGAGTATGCCTGCACAGCCTAGTTCCGACAGCTATACTGTTTTGTATGGTCCGATCTGCTGCCTGGGGGCGCAGCCTGTCACGCTTTTGGTGTTTACCGAAGTGTGCAGCTGCAGAGGACATTGGCAATCCCATCCTAGGAATGTCCCAGACAAAAGTTCTTGTTGTCAGACATGGCAGCAAGCCAGTGGCACATGAATGATATTGAGGACACCAAAGTTCCATTATCGCCAAACGTATACAGTGAAGTGTCTGGTTTGTATATCCACAAACGGGTTTAGTGATTTGACCACCATCAGCTGCATAGCTCTTTCTTTCGATTCTACAACTCCTTCTTCAGAAAATGCTCCGGCCGATGGTCCGTCTCGTAATCAATATGAACATACGCCCTCTCGACATCAGGCAATCTCTCGAGCTTCATCTGTAGCTCTTCTGCAATATCATGACAGACCCGCAGACTTTCATCAGGGTCCATAACCACATCGACCTCGACAACCAAACGAGGACCAGAGTGCCACGCTCGAACCGTGTCAATCTGCTTTATGTGATCACTGTGTGTCATGCTCACATACGTGATGAGCTGCTGCGTCTCCGTATCCGCCGTGATACCAATCAGAAGCTGGAATTCAGAGTACGCAGTGTGCAGCCACAAAACAGATATGAGAACGGATAGCGCAATGGCACCAGCTGGATCGAGCCACCATCGTAGCTTACTACCTCCAACGGATGTGAGTACACCAAAGCCGTTGATGAAAAGGTCGTTGCGGTGATCTTCCCACAAAATGCGGACCTGCGAGTACTGGTTCCGCAAGGCCCAGCAGTACAAAAACAAGCCCAGTTTCGTGCAAAAAGCCACCGCGACAGCAATCACAGAAGGTAGGTGAAAATCCTTAGTGCTGCTCTCATGGCCACGGACCAGCTCCTGAACGGAAAAGGCGATGAGAATGAAACTGACTGAAGTCATGAGGAAGCAGAAGACGATGTTGCCGGCTGTTTCGATACGTGACCTGCCAGCAGGAAATTTTCGTGCGTCCACCTTTTTGACCGCTTTATTCGACAAAATTAGGGTGATGTTGGACATCGGGTCGAAGATGGCATCGGCCATGGTCGTGAAGAGAGACAACGAGCCAGATGAGACGGCACCGTAGATTTGCAGCACAGCAAGAATGATGTTGGCCACAAAGCTACCATACACCGCGATCTGGTAGCGCAGGTTGTTGGCCTCCTGGACGTCTTTTGCTTCCCTAACATGTTCGTCCACGGGTTTCAATAACCTCTGTATTTGCTCGTTCTGTGATTCGTAAAAGTCTGCAATCTTGGATTGTGGCGTGTGGCCTGTGATCATCAACGGATTGCAAGCGTTGCGTTTTCGTGCGGAATTAGCGGTGATGCGGTCGAGTTCGGATCGTGATTTGAGGCGACGGGAAAGTGCTAGGGGATCGGAAGAAGGGGCGCGAGTTGGCGCTTGACTTTCGGTGTCGAAGATGGAGGCGGTCCTGTGACGAGAGAGCGTCTCATCGCCATGAACTGCAGACGTCTTCGCTTCTCCATGAAGCAAATGAGGATTCGGCAGAGCGCGATATATTTCGCTGGTGGGCATACGATGCTGGGGGTTCTGAGTGAGCTCCATGAAGTGCTCGGACGCTGGACTGGGTGAGTTGTCCATGTTGAGGCAGAAAGAAGGGTGTGGTGGTGATTTAAATGCCTAAAAGTCGAGGATGGCAGCAATTGAGGCGGTGCAAGATCTGTGGAGGAATTCTGTGCCAACTTTCAAGGCTGATACGTTCACATCATCATTCAAGTCTAGAAATGTCGCACAACCTCGAACTAGGCTACACTCATGCCAAGACGGTGAAGTACGGAAACATGGGATTCAACAAAGAGAATGCTGATGCTGATGCTGATGCTAATGCAGATGCAGATGCAGAGGGTGAAATGCTACGACTTACAGTACCACCAATCATCCTTCCCGCAGGCTGGTTTCGGCACGTGCTCAACAGATTTCCGGTGGTATTAGCAGATAAACTGCAGCGAAGCCTGGATTTTCCTACTTCAATCCTCCTGTTATTAGTATACTCTGGCCTGTGAGATAGCCAGTCTTGCATAACATCGTCACGACATTGGCGCATTCTTGTGGCGTGCCCAATCTTCCCACAGGTATATTTTTGACATCCCCAGGAGTTCCTTCGACACGTTTGGCATCAGGTATCATTCCAGTCTCTCCAATCATAGCTGGCGCAACGTCGTTGACACTGATGCCATCCTTACCAAGCTTCTGTGCCAGATTCTTGACCATGCCAGTCAGCCCGGCCTTCGAAGCGGCGTAATGGCATCCATTGATGCCGCCCCCGTATCCTGCTATACTCGACATCATGACTATCCGGCCCCATTTCTGTTCGGCCATATGAGGAACGGCCAATTTGGCCAAAATGAATGGCGCCCGCAGGTTGATGAGGATCGTATGGTCAAACTCTTCGTATGAAATGTCCAAAATCTGCGGTATCCTTTTGCCATAACCCGCATTTGCAACCAGTATGTCTGGGCCATGCCCATGGTGTGTCTCAATCTCCTTGTACAGATTTTCCATCTGTTCTGTCGAAGCCATATCGACTTGGTGAACGGAGATTTTCTGGTCCGAGGAGGAGGTCTCAAATTCCGCAAGAAGCGTGTCTACACCGGCCTTGTTACTGGAGTAGGTCAGGGCCAAATGGCAACCGTGTTTGTAGAGGTCTTTCGCACAGCCGCCGCCAATACTAACAGTCGTTAGTCAATTGGTCTACGAAAGGGACAGATACCTACCCTCCAGAGGCCCCAGTGATCAGGGCCAATCGACCCTTGATCTCGTTATCAACCGACATAGTGGGCAGTGAAGTCGTTGTCAGACTTGGGCGTCAGTGCGCCTTTGCAGTGCAGCTAGACAGTCGTCGCATTGTTTTCAAAATCACTGTTGAAACACGAAACGTGTTTGCTTTACCCTTGGGGGTAGGCGGAACTGCGCCGTGACAATGACCCAATCCGACCAGAATGCGGGGAAATTCGGCCTCAGCGGCGTTTGACCAGTTGCCGATGACTGCTGACACTCCGAATCCGGCGGATAGAAGGGCGTAAGGAGAAGCAACGATCTCCAACAAGAACCACATGCTTACCTTAGAATAACAGGTTACCTGTCCAGTCCACAGGCCAATTCATGCCATTGCTTGGTTGCGACCAGTCTTGCGCCTGTGGCACAAATGTTGACGCCGCCTGATAACCAGAAGGTGCAAGGAGGTTCATCCCATTACCAGTGCCCATCAATTGGTCGCCAGACACATAATCACCTACAGCCTCAAGATCAAGCCAAGAGAAATCGTTGGCCGGACTGTATTGCATATAGCCTTGTGCATCAACACGGACACTGCCACTGGATGATAACGTTGTGTTCGAAGCTGCAGGCGACTGCATTTGGTGTTGCGTGGGAACATTGCCTTTTGGTGTTTTCATCCACAGCAACTCCAGTAGTCGAGCGTAGCGCGAGCCTGGATCCTGGGCAGAAACAGAAGCTCTCTTGAGAACTTCCATGGTCTGTATCACCAGATTTCGAACTTGTCGCTCTTCCGTGTCGGTCATTACCCCAAAGGACCGCGCTTTGTATAGGAACACGGCAGAGTAGATGCCGTACAGATAATACCTTAGTGGCATGTACCGCAAATATCTGCTTGGATCGACCTGTGTACTGAGTAGAATCAGATAGGCTTTCGCTGCGGCGACACTAGCCCATATAAATCGTGCATCGGGCATTGCTCCGACGTTGCTGAAAACGCTGCGGAGGTGGTCCCTCAAAGAATGTGCATCCGTCTTCGGCTTGTTTGCAATTGCCTGAGAAATCGCAGCTTGAAAGACAAACGCGTTGGTGTACAGACACAGATACTCGTACGACAGTTGCAAGGTGACCTTGATATGTGGTGAGCATTCCAACTTGCCCCAAGTTGTGTTCCAGCGTGCAATGGCCGTTCGAAAGTCGTCCACATATTTGACATAGTCGCCCATTAGCATCATTTGACCACTTGTGCGCATGCCTGAGTACAGCACATCGTGAACGTTCGAATAGAGCTGAGTGAGGTCAAGGGTAGCCTGCATGATTTTGGCATAATCTTCGTCACCCAGGCTGAATGGTTGCAGTGATGGGAAGTCCTGAGAAGAGAGTCCAGTCATGGGCCCCGGACCACGAGACCAGAATGCTTTCCCTATTCTGACCGAGATGAGACGATCCGAGACATAACAGTTGGCCCACGCGAGACGTCTTCGGCCATCTATCCTGGCTTCCTCGGCCGACTCCTGACGGAAAGCCGTCCGATCAAGGCTTAGAAAGTATCCTGTGCGTAGTGCCATACCCACGTGCATCCATGCACTCCTGTCTTCCTCACCCCGCCCAACAGCCTCAATGCGGTTCCGCAACCCTTGAGGTTCCCATTCCGCCAAAAGCAGTAGAGCTTCGACTGCCTCAACTTCACAGTCATGGCCAGCGGCAACACCCGAGATAAGGTCGTGCATGTACCTGGAACAGCAGACGTGTACATTGGGCTGCTCAACCAAGTCTTTGGAGGAAATTGTGAGGACGGCTGTTAGAAGGTGCTTGTCGTTGACTGCGAATACATCCAGTTGCGCCGGGTCGAAGTATCTTCGAGGGACTAGAGGTAGATACGCATGGTAGTGTTCGGCGTATCTTCTGACCAACATTTGGATTATGTCCGGAGTGAGGTATCCTTCGCGAACAAGACGATAGGTTGAGATGCCCGCATGAATCCCATTGATTGATCCTCGTGGTTCCTGTCTGGCACCGTTCCGCAGGCTGGGGCGTAAGGAGTCTCCATGCTTGTTCGCTCCGGAAGTTGCTTGCAGGTGATCCGCCTCCCTGTTAGCGACATCTTTCAGGAGCTGCCACGCATCCGATGGGTTTCTTGGTATAGTATTTCCTATGGTACTGTCGGCAGTCGATGCCGAATCGTCATCTTCTGCCGCATTGGGTGCGGATGTGATGTTTGGAGGGCTGTCTGGGCCTACGACATGAGAGAGGTGTTGAATGGGAGACGGCTGTAGAAAGCTCGCCGATGTGGGTTCTGCAGTAATTGATTGGGCTGTTGTCAGAGCAGGAGGGTGGCCGGTGGTGTTGATGTGCGAAACAGTCTTCTTTCTGATCCGGCTTCCACCACGATTTGAGGTGCCCAGCACGCATTCGCGATTTTCTTTTTGGCAGCGACCACAAGGTGGCTGACCGCCGGAAGCTTCCCTATGCCGAAGTCAGCAATGTGAATCGCATCTATTCCACCTGTGAGGTTGCCGATGGCGGCTATTGCGTTGGATAGCCGGGCTCATGGAAGTGTCAGGCGAATGGAGGATTCTGGGGTCCCACCGAAACCCTGCCTGCGGCTGCGTCTGGAAAAGCAGGTCGAGATGAAACACCGAGGAGTTGTGATGGGACAAGCTTACAGGTCACATCTTGACTTTCGGGCTCTGCAGAATACACACGCTCTGGATACGCGCTTCATAGACGCCGCAGGGCTTTGGTTCGCCATCTTCTGATGCGGCGGAGAAGTTGTTTGTGTGCATGAGCCTGGAGAAATAGCGGGTGGATTGATGTCAATTGTGGACTGGGGGGTGTCGGCTGTCAGTCCGCCTAATCCACAGCCCCCTTTGCCTACAGCCCCAGCATTGAGCCTTCGGCTGCCATTTGGCAAGTACTGTGCATTCTATTCTTCTTTCTTGATGCGACCACCCGCGCAATATTCGTATCTCTTGCGAGAGCCAGCCTATGCGAATCGGTGCCGCTGAAACCAGAAACCTTGTGAATCATCAATTGCTACGACATATTGCCGTTGACCTACGATTGTAGCGAGAGGAGAGATGTAGAGAGGAGAGATGTACTCGAGAGCATTCAAGCGCATGTGATCGTAGCTCCTTTGGCGCGTTTCATTTTAGTTTACGCGTTTCGTTGAGTGCGATGAGACGACAAAGAGAATCTAGGACATAGCAGGACAATGCATTCAGTTGCTGACAAGTCTCTTTGTCCTCAGTACGTGGTCAATCATCAACTCAACTATCACTTTGTTCGCGTCTCACTTTCGCTTCACTTTCAGCTCCTTCCCATCAGGTTCTGTTTAAACAAGGCAACGCGTGCGTCATTTGAAGCGCAACAGACAGTAGTGAATAAACAAAAAGTTTCACCCCCGGATTTTCTGCCTTCGCCACCTGCACCAGTCTCTCGATCTCATCAAAACTCCACCTTCGACTTCCATCATGTCAACATGACTCGCTACATGCGGTGACTGATGACACTGTACTGCTTGCATCGATCTCGCCTCGTTGCATGATCGCCTTGCCTTGCTACTGGCCGCACTACCTTTCTTCCGGGGTCGCCTTTTGGCACGCCGTTGCCTGTCGCACACAAGTTCCTTTGCCGAAGGCGCCTCATTATGGCCGACAATACGGATCTCCAGGTCGTTGCAGAGATCGATGACATTCGAGATGACATTGCTCTTAATGAGGGCCTTCTCGCAAGTCTGAGAGAATACGAAAACGAGGAAAGCGATGACGAAAATAGCAAGAAAGTCATAAAATCACACCTGAAAGCATTGAACAAGCGTCTACGCGCCCTTCAAGCAACCCACGAAGAGCATCGGTCACCCAATCAACAAGATCGTCCACGGTCGCCAGATGAAGCAGTCGAGCGACCTGGCAGCAGTCACTCAATGTCCTTACCAGGCAGTATGCAGCACTCAAGCTCCAGCCAAGCCAGCCGAAAGCGGCCACGAGAGGATTCCTTCCGCGACGACGGCGTTATCATGTCTAGCAAATCACGTCGGACCACTCCCAGCTCAGCCATGAGCGATGCCCCGTCGCCAGCCGATACTACCGATAGTTTCGATAGTTCCGATCTACCCTTGCTGGACTCGCTCTTTGATTCGAAACAAGAGGCAAGACGCATGCGAGACCTTCACAAGCGGCACGAAGAGAGAAAAAGACAAGAAGAAGCAGATGCAGAGTTCGCTAGGAGTCTTTCTCAACAATGGAGTCAGCATGAACCCGGCAGATCAACTCCGGAACCACATACTAGCAATCGTCCATTAGATTATACGCAAGCGCTCTTCAGAAACGACGGTACCATCAATCGCCGCTTTGGTGCTGCTGGAATGACCGGTACTGGAGCAGCATCTTCCATGTCTTCTAAGCAAGACCAGACCCCCAAGGCAGAACAAATGCCGCCAATGCAATCAAGGCCTTCTTTGAGCCAGGGCTTGTCCCCTTCTTATGGTGCGGCCATGTCCGGTAGAACCATTCCTCTGAGGCAAGAGCCAACATTGCTCAACGGTTCCAGCTCGACACATATCAAGTATGAGCCTCTTACATCGCACCACGCACCCACCATGCCAGGCAGCTTTCCAGCACAGTATCCCCTGGCGAGTATCGGCGGGACCTCTGTTTATACATCACCGTTCACTAGCGCAACATCCGCTTTGAACAGCTCTCCACAGACTTACGGCCCCGCGCTTACATACAACGGCCGTCCCACGACCCAACCGGGCCTGATGCCTGGAGAGATGACGGCGGATCGTTTGGCCTACTTGCGTGCCGAGGCAGGCGACTCAGCCAACACAAAGGAAGAGATTGAAAATCTTCTCAAGCATATCAGACCTGATGAGGAGTTCACCACAGGACAGCTGGCTGCACAGCCGCAATACCTTGATGCGACTCTCATGGCCCACCAGCAGTATGGTCTTACCTGGATGATCAAGATGGAGGAAGGGACTAACAAAGGCGGTATCCTCGCGGATGACATGGGATTGGGCAAAACCATTCAGAGTATCGCATTGATGCTGAGCAGACCGCCATCTGAGGGCAACCTTCGTCCCACGCTTGTGGTGGCGCCTGTCGCGCTAATGCAACAGTGGCAGCGAGAGCTAGAGAAAATGGTTCACCACCGACATCCCCTGGACGTTTTGGTCCTGCATGGAGAAAAAAGAACCACGACATGGTCTAATTTGAAAGCCTATGACGTTGTCTTGACCACATATGGCCGTCTCGCTTCTGAACTCAAACGCAAGGCAGCGTGGGATGAAAAAGTAAAGAGGGTTCCCGATGCTAGACCATCTCCTGCAGAGGAGTGTCCCATCCTTGGTGATCGATCCCACTTCCACCGAGTAATCTTGGATGAAGCACAAAACATCAAGAGTCAAAAAGCCAAATCTGCCTTGGCTGCCTGTCAAATCAAAAGCGACCATCGTTGGGCACTCACAGGCACGCCAATGCAAAATAATGTCGAGGAACTGTTCAGTCTAGTCAAATTTTGTCGAATTCGGCCTTATTGTGAATGGAACCAGTTCAAAAATCATATTTCGGCGCCATTGAAAGGAAGATGGCAGGAGGCAAAGGACAAGGCGATGGTCACCCTTCAGGCCTTTCTTCGGGCGATTCTGCTGCGACGAACAAAGAAGTCGAAGATCAACGGCCAACCGATCCTCCAACTCCCTCCCAAAACAACGATCGAGGACAGAGTCATTTTCAGCAGTGATGAGTTAACGTTCTACAAAGGGTTGGAGAAACAAGCACAGATACAGATCAACAAGTACCTTCGCAATGGTTCCATCGGACGAAATTACTCCCATGCCCTGGTACTGCTCTTACGCCTGCGACAAGCTTGTTGTCATCCTCACCTTGTCACTTCGAGCAAGGATTTCAGCCAAACAGCGGGCAATTTGGACGCAAATGATCTCATCACCAATGCCAGGGAACTGGATGCCAAAGTCGTTGATCGCTTGAAGAAGGAGGAACATAGTTTCGACTGCCCAATCTGCATGGACGTGGACGAGAATCCGGCACTTTTCCCCTGCGGCCATACCTTGTGCAATGATTGCCTCAGTCGACTTGTCGATCAAGCAGCCAACGATACCGAAGCCCGTCCAAAGTGTCCCCATTGTCGTGCTCAGATTGATGCGAACAAGATTACAGATGTGGTCAGTTTCAATCGCGTTCACTGCCCAGATAAGGAGGGTGTCGAGCCGCTTCGTGACGAGGATGATTTGGAATCTGATACCTGTTCTGATACCGATTCTGAATCTGATGATGAAGACGATTCTGACGACGGAGATGATCTCAACGGCTTTATTGTGCCCGATAATTTCGAGGACGATTCTGCGTTGGACTCCGATGTTAAGGGAAAGAAGCCGGCGAAAGCCCAGAAGTCTTTCGATTCCAAGAAGCACAAGAAGCGATCAAAGCCGAAAAATATGATGAAGTCTCGTGATGCGTTCAAAAGCCTTGCAGAATTACGCAAAGATGGACTCCAGAACAGACAAGCGAAACGCAAATATCTGAGACGCCTCCAGAAGAATTACCAGCCTTCTGCGAAAATCGAGAAGACGATGGAACTGCTCGAGGAAATCAGAGATCGTGGAGAGAATGAGAAGACGATTATCTTCTCTTTCTTTACGTCTTTCCTTGATTTGCTAGAGGTGCCGCTCAACAAGAGCAAGGACTTCCGCCGCTATGTCCGCTATGATGGCTCAATGTCGTCGAACCACCGCAATGCTGCAGTTCTCGAGTTCACGGAGAGTCCTAAGTGCACCGTCATTCTGGTCAGTCTTAAGGCTGGCAATGCTGGATTGAATCTCACCACGGCAAATCACGTAATCATGCTTGACCCCTTTTGGAATCCATTCGTTGAGTATCAAGCAGCAGATCGTTGCCACAGAATCGGCCAGAAACGTGAAGTTACTGTTCACCGCGTCCTCATCGGTGAGGGCGAGGGAGCTACGAAGGAGTCGGAATCGGAAGGATTCACAGTAGAAGATCGAATCCTTGCGCTCCAAGAGAAGAAAAAACAACTGGTAGAGACCGCGCTGGACGAGGCTGCTGGAAGGGGTGTTGCAAGACTGGGTGTTCGGGAGTTGGGTTACTTGTTTGGCATCAATGGGCTTGATTGAAGTCATGCTGAAACGTTTTCATGTGCGTGAGAGGTGTGGAAGGGCGTCGCACAATTGCTACTACGACTTTTCGAGCCATCGGGCTCGTTTCTCACCTGCCTGTTTACACCATACCCGCCCGAATCAAGCGAGGAACACGATATCTCCTGTACAACAATATGATACCCCACGAATAAACGGACACAAAGCTGGCGCTCATGCACTGTGCGACCGCACTTTCTACGGTCAAGGTGCACGAGCACATGCGAGCTCATGGTCATTATTTCTTTCTTACTGCATCCTTTTTGGGCTCGACGAAGGAGAGCTTATTGATGCAATCGGACCGCATTTGTACAAAATCAGACTTACCCCAGAATAAGGAGGTCTACTTCGAAGATAGCAAAAATCGATACATACGAATCGACGCGGTGTCTACTGTGAACAATGACACTCAAAGAGCTCTTTGTTGGTAGAGGCTGACATTTACAGGTTCGATTATCTTGGCTGGTCAAGGCATTTTGAAAGAGAACAATGCGTGATACTGCCTTGTTTCTTGGTGAGCTTCTTCTTTGTCTGGTTAACGAGATCTTCAAGCTTAGTTGCAACACCTCCCTATATCTGCCTTGCCATCAACTGCCAGGCCGTTCCAAGTCTGCTCTTCATTGTTGATTTCGTTCCTGGCTCTGCATCTTTCGTGACATCGCCTGTCGCCTCTCGCAACAGGATATCCTCTCAGTCCTTCCAGCACCTCGACTTTCTTTCTCGGTGAGTTATCATTCTCAACATCTCATCAAGATGTCAGTGCCATCCAATCCGCCACCGGCCGCTGTCGTCGCCATGCCCTCGCCAGACTCGACACTCTCCCACAGCATCATCTCTGATACTCCGGAGCAAGTCTCAATGCCTCAAATGGACTATTCCTACGTCACATGGCCCGCACCAGCAGAATACCCACCCCCAGATCAACCTGTTTCTGAGGAGAACGAGGTTCAGCCCTTTCCAGATTTCCCTAACCCAGCCAACAGTCTCATTATCGCAAGAACTCTCCTTCTCGACAAACTCCATCTGCGCGCCATTTCCCATCACCCCAGCTCGAAATCTCTGCCCGCTCGACCCTTTGAGTCAGTCTTATCTCGAATTGTGAAGACCACCGGGCATATCAAGGAACATGAGGACTTGACACGCTGTCGCGCTGCTGTGCCACAAATTATGCAGACTGGTGAGGCTCTCCGTTCTCAACGCACTGGAGGGAATGCAGCCAAGCTGGTGAGTCTTCGAGGTGAATACCCTGACACGTATCACAGCAAGAAAGACCCAGAGCCCAAGCATTTTCTCAATACTAAACTGAAGGAGTACGCTAGATGGGGCATATCGCAGGCACTGGCTTGGGAAAGAGAGTTAGGTTGGGACATCGTCAAGATCGCTAACGTTGATGAGATTCTACGAGGACAATCGAACAGGAGACAGGCAAGACGACCACCAGGACCGTCACAAGAAGATATCGTTCGTGCGTTGCTGATGCTGCGTGAGACGTATCCCAGCTTTTACAAGTCGACTGCGCTTGTTGCGAAGAAGAGTAAGTCACAGGAGAAGATGGCGAAGTGTGCTAAGGAGTCTACTCCTCATCGAAGCTCGCTCCGTGGTGGTCAAGCAAGTTCCTCGGTGCAGTTGATCAAAAGCAAGGCTAACACCCTGATACGGCGAGTTGTTAACAAGTTCCGACTGCACCGACCAGCTTCGAGATTGAGCAAGCGTGCATCATCTGCGTCGTTGGAAGCTTTCTTCAACAGTTTTTCAACACTTGATTTGTCGCGACTGTCGGAACCCGTGGATCTTGACACCGCAAGCAATACTGCTCTTGATATATCCAGCGCTGAAGAAGGCAATGTCAACCAATCGCAGACTACACCGGCCTCAAGATCCAGATCCAGATCGAACACCACTGAGCAAGAAGAGTCCAAGCGACACAGCTTCGTCATCGAACGAGGAAACGACTTTCGCGAAGAAGTCTTTGTCACTGCGCCAACATCACCACTCGAGTCAATGCTTTCGGCAGAATCATCGCCAGCTATACCCCGAAGACGATCTTCATTGTCAGAGTGCTTGTTACAGGACTCACTGACCGATTCAACTTCGTCGATTTCAATCACTTCGTCACTGTCTACGATCTCTTCAAACTTCGAGATCGGGGCGTCAACCGAAGTCACCGTGTCCAAGCCTCGTTCGCCGCCACGAGTCGTGTCGATCAAGAAGCGGAACAGACTTCAGAAGAGACCGAGTGCTAACAAAGGTGCAAAGGTCGACCGTGAAGAGAGAAAGGGTAAGTCTCAAAGAGGTATGAACCGAGAATTGTCATCCGGAATGGGATTGGATGTGACATTCTCATTCGGACACAGTTTGTCGAAATTGTCGATGGCGTTTCTGGGGAAAATTGATCAGCTTGTGCTTGCACGTCGAGGGCATTGATGATATCAGGACGAAAGGTGAGTCTCTTGGAGAACCAGACGATATGGAGGCGAGATGAGTATGGTCGTGTCTGGTAAGTGCATGACATGAATCTCCCCGTGCTTTCTGTTTTCAATACTGGGAGGTACATTGCACTATGGCGTTCAGGGAGAAAAGGTAGGTACAAACGCGGCTGGTCCGACAATTGATATGTTTACAGTACTTTCATTTTGCAGAGTCCTTGACTGAAGGTGATGATGATTTCTTGTTTCCCTTCACTTCAGCATCCTGAATCACTGTGCTATGCAACATGCTTCCTTCGCCCCATCACCGTCGTGATCACCGAAGCAATAGTATGCGTCGTATCCAGCACCGGCTCCAGAGCGGTCGTGCTGGTTGTGCTCTGACTCGAACTGCTCGCCGTCGTTGCACATACGGCGCTCGTGCTCACACTCCCTCCTGCGCCTCCCTGTGTTGAGTTGTACGTTCCTGTCGCATTCTGCCCCTGACCCCACCATAAAGCCTCAGCAGGAATCAACCACGTCGTCACCGTCCCGTTAGGCACTGTACCCTGCCAATGCCCCTGACCAATCTCCAGCACAACATCTTGATCGCTGCCCCAATTGTTCATCATGACGACCGCGAAGCTGCCATCGGGATTCTGCACAGCCATTGTATAAAACTGATTCGCGCCTCTCGCATCGCCTTCATTGCCCTCCCCAAGAACCTGGTAATTCACCGCCCCACGACGCACGAACCTACTAAACTGCCCGACCATATAGTAGTCATTCGTCCTGGTGTAAGTATTACTCGAATTGACGACAATACTCCCAAGACAGCCCGCGCATCCACCGTAGGGACTGTGCGGGCCGTATGACTCGTCCGTGGCCGTCACCCACATCGCAGCCCCAGACGCGCCGTGCGTGACAGGCGGTATGAAATTACTCGCGACTTCGAAATTCCACGTCCCGCTCTGAGGCAGGTAATTCGAGCACTCGGTCATGAACTGTAGTGTGTTGGGGAACATGGTCTTGAAGTCGCTCATGACGGAGTCATTGGCTACGGGGCTTGCGTAGCAGTGCCAGGCCGCTGCGTCCGTGAGAGCGCCTTCGCCTCCGGTGCCCAGAACCACGCGTGCAGGATAGACGGGCTGATCTGTGTTGTGGTCGTACGCCATTATGATCACTCCGCGGTCGTGCATTGCCTGACCTAGCCCCCGCGCTATGAGATTGGCGGCATCAACGTCAGATAGGTACATGCAGGGATAGCCGCCCTGATAATTGAGCGGTTCATTCATGGGTGTAAGGCCATTGACTTGGACGCCGTGACTGCGGAAGGCGTCGATATATTTGGAGAAGTAGGTCACCATCTGCAGAATGAACGCCGGATTGAAGCTGTTGTTCAAGATGTTGTAGCTCCCTCCGTTGGGCACGTTGAGGTTCGGTGCGATGAACAGATCGTTGAACTTGGTCCAGCCGGGATATGACCAGGGCGAGCCAAAGAGGAAGACGTCACCTTTTACTGCTCCCATCTTCGCAATCATGCCGGCCATGGCGGAGCCGTAGGGTTCGATGCTGAAGTGTGAGAGATCCAACGGCTCTCCCTCGTTGAAACTGGGACCGTTGTCGTCGTACGTATACTGTTCGCCGCTGAGGTCGCTGGAGCCAATGGTGTGCCGCATGAAGCCCATGTTATTTCCGGACTGGCCGAAGAGGTCTTCGAGGACTTGGGCTAATGTGGCGTTATCGAGGGTGTTGAACACGCTCACTGTCGAGTCAGTCCAAGCATGTCCAAACCCGACCATTTCTTGCTGAGCACCATTGGCAGTGTCGATGATGATGTCTCTGCGTGGAGTACATGAGGAAGTACTGCTGGGTAACGCTTGGATTAGAACCGGCGGTGGACCTGAAGCGAGTTGACGAGTTGAGTTGGGCGTGGTTGAGAGCAAAGCATCAGTAATGAACGACTGTGCGGTGAGTACAGGGTGTGCACCGTCCCCAATGCCTCCCCTTGGACCACATTGTTGTGTACTGCCGATGCAGGAGACACCTAGATGCTGCACCGATTGTGCTACGACGGAGGTGTAGTAGAGAGCAAAGACAATCGAGCGAGACATGTTTTCCCAAGGACTTACCGTTTGGACAATTGTGTACGCAGAGAGGTAGCGTTGCTCCTTGACATTATGTGTCCGGTGCTGGAGTCTTTCCCCGACACTCCGCATCGTCGAGATATTCATGCATGCATACTCCTCTGTAGATCTTCCTGATGTTGCATGAGTACCGTCATACTGTGGTATTTCACCGCGTTTGGCACGGATAATAGGAAAGTTGCCGCCTCCTCAGTGCACGCGGCACACCGGCTATCCTCAACCGAGAAGGAGAACATCTTCAAATCCTGCAAGTGGTAAAGGTACATTTCCCCGCTTCCGATCTCCATCAATGGCTCAATGCTGACACTGTGGGGAGTAAAGGGTAAGCAGAGGCTTAGACAAGGCTGCATCACCATGGCAGAGGAATAGCTTTCTCGTAACTTGTGCATTCAAGGCGGCGTACATGGCAATTTTTCTGACAAGGTACGTGCCTCACGGTGCCTCACGGTGCCTCACCAGCATCACCTTCTTCCGTCACTTGCGAGAAGTACGTGGGCTTTTTCAACTCAGTTGTCCCTTCCTGACCAACAACTTGCACGTGGCTTAGTTCCTCTTCAATCTCTGTCTTCCGTCGTTCCCACTCATCAACCATGGCAAGTTTCTCTTTCAACTCCTTGATTTCCTTCTCCATGCTAGATTTCTCAGCCTCTCCACCAATCTTTACCAACTCCCAGTCATATCCTTCGTCGCCCAGACCCAAGATGAGGTTTGAAGAGTGGTATTTGCGGAGACTGGCGCGGGTGGACAACGTGATGACCGTGATACCCCTTTCTTTGCACCGTTCGTAAAGCAGACCTTCAACATCCGACGACACGGCACTGGTCCCTTCATCCAAGAACGCATATTTGGGCTCGTGATAGAATAGACGCGCAAACGCCATCCGCTGTTTCTCGCCGCCGGAAAGCACATCTTTCCACTCCTTTCTGGTGTCCCAGCCTCCTTCGCGCGCCAGGAGATGGCCGAGTTTGGCGTCCTCGAGTATCTTCTCTAACTCGCTGTCACGCCGCTCATGGTCGCGCATGTCCACCTCCGTATGAGGATAGATGACTTGGTCGCGTAAAGTCCCTATACTTAGATATGGGCGTTGAGGGAGGAACATGATCCCGTCTTGTCCATTGTTGCGGGGGCGAGAGACAAGGCCACGGTAAACGGGCCATAGACCGGCCACGACCCTGGAAATGGCAGACTTGCCGACACCATTGCTCCCAGAGATGAGGAGATGTTCACCGCTGTGCACCAAAAACGAGAGCGAATCTATCAGCTCTTCTCCACCATAGGGAAAGAGTGCGGGAGCCACAACGGGGACGTCCTCCAAACGGACACCGTCGAATCCGGCGTGGACCGTTCCTTGCACATCGGCCAGCGAGTAAAGCTCGATTCTGCCTGAAAGCCGGCGTTGTGAGCTCCCGTAAGCATTCGCTTGGACACGGTGGAGGGTTGAAATGAGTTGATACACTCTTGAGGTGTACCCGGCGAGTTCAGACAGATCTTTGATGCTGTACATCATTCGTCCACCGGCATCGGCCAGTGAAAGCATGAGTCTTTTGTTGGTGATGAAGTCCTTCATGTGAGATCTTTCTCGCAATGACTCGGACATCTCAGGGGTTGTAGAGTTAGACATCTCCAGCATTGAGTTCAATCCAGCCCATGCAGGGAGATAGACGGGAATGGAAGTGATGATGTAGCCAAACGCGGACCAGGAGTATTTCAGGACGAAATCTTCCAGCATGTTATACCGCACTTTGACATTGTAGATGCCCTCCATCCAACTGCGGAGTTCCTTGAAGGCTCGATTCAGGTATACTTTCTCGACATCGGCACCTCCATAGAATGCAATCTCTTCGGCGTTTGCAATCAGACGAGCATGTAGACCACGGAAGTCGCCTTCTTTCTTCCCTTCGACTGCCTTTAGTTTTCCAAACGGTGGGGAGAGTCTGCGAAGAAGTGTGGCCGTCGCAAAATAATTGGATAGGAGTCCAGTCAAGGCTAGAGGACCAAGAGACCGATAGAGTTGGTAGTTGAACACGAATATATCGACGAGTGGCTTGCCTAGAGACGAATATAACGAGGCTGCCGATGTACAGAATAGTGTGAGATCTTGGGTGATGAACTGGTCGGCACCTTGGCCAACGCCGCCATCTAAGTTGGTGAGTTTGTAGTAGTTGAGGTTCGAGTTGAGGTATAAGTCGTGAATGTACCGTGTCAGTCTTGTGCGGAAAGCAATTGAGATCTTGGACTGCAGGAACTTGATCATCGCGTTTGTGTACGAGGCCAACGTACCGATCGAGAGCCATCTGAGTATTCCAAACATGAACGATTTGCCGTTGCCTGCCACCAGATCACGAACAATGGCACCATCCAATCGTGCCACGACTAGGGAGAGATAGGTTCTCAGAATGAGAAACACGCCGTGGCTCATCAGCAATGCCGTCTCTTTGCTTCGGAATCGGGGTATCATAATGTTCAACAGGCTGAGGAACTGGTGGAGGAAGGCCAGATTGAGGCCCGGTTTCGTCTGTGGAGGTGGTCCATGGCTGTATGCAGGAGTGGAAGCACCACTTCCTATGCGTGTAACCCGTGGAGGAGCGAGGAATAGTCGTCGATGCGCGTCAAAAGTAGTAGGTCTGGTTGGATGGATGATGACTTTGGAGGTGGTGTTGCCCTTGGGAACGTATATGATACGTGTGCCATCTTTTCCTCTCAGTCCGCTATTCCGCCTTAGTAGTCGCCGTCCTTGAGCTTTCTCTTTTGATCTGTCCTGCCACCATCTGAAACCGCCATAGCTAGTGGATATTATGGAGATGATGAGGGCGGCAGTAGCGGCGAGTCTGACTGATCTCGGAGTGCGCTTGATACGGGATCGCAGTAAGGAAATATAATGATTGTAGAGGACCATCAACGGGTCCTCTTTCGATTGAACCGGCATCGTTGCGTAAGGGTTCCGATTGATCTTGTAGTGTCCTCATCTAGGGACGCCACAGCGTCTCATATTGTCGAAATATGGCTCAAGGGTAGCCTCAAAGTCGCTCGATAACTATGGCAGGCGCCTACTGCATGATATCAACAAAAAGCCTTGCAGATGTCGACAAGGTGGTTGCGAAGCGTGTGCATTGACCGGAGTTGACGCAATGACCGTGCAGGATGGAATTGTCCTGCGCAACCATCGGGGCATAATTTACAGCATGTGAATCTCGATTGCCGAGGCTTTTCCCCAGTCCCCCAGTTTTAGCTCCAGTTCGGTAACCGATGATCAGAACCTCTTTCTCAATAATGATGGCTTCAATTTTGTCTAGATCTACAAAGGTTTAAATAATCCGATGTGCGCATCATAAATTCCCATTCGACTTGCTCTTCTGCTCGGGAATCGGTGTCAATAGCGACCCTTTGTCAACCGCGTTCTCCAGATTGTGCAAGACCAACAACTCCATCTCTCGTTGCGTTTCATAAGTCATGGTACCGATGTGAGGCACGATGAACGCTTTGTCACTCTTCAACAGACCTTCTTCAATCTCAGGCTCGTTTTCAAACACGTCTAACCCCACGGATGCGACCTTCCCATTGTCGAGTGCCGCGACCAAGTCCTTCTCGTTGATCAGGGCGCCTCGAGCAGTGTTTACAATAATGACACCGTCTTTCATCTTCGCAAACTCTGGAGCAGAAATGATGTGGCGAGTCTTCGCGTTCAGGGACAAGTTGAGGCTTAGGACATCGGATTGTGCAAGTAATTGGTCAAAGGAGAGGTAGGTGGCATCACCCTCGAGTTCTTTGGGTAGCCTCGATCTGTTGTGGTAGGCGATTTTCATGCCAAATGCTCGGGCTCGTTGGGCCATTGCCTATGTACCAGTCAGTGTCGAACCAGGTTTTTTATGCACACAGCTGGCATACCCTTCCGATTCCACCCATACCCAAAATTCCGAGCAGTTTGCCATTGGGGTCGTGTCCAAGAGATGCGCTTCCCCTCCACGTTCCTTCTTTTATCGCTTTCAACGGTACCCAGGCTTGTCTCAAGGCGCCCAATAAGATAAAGACTCCAACATCAGCGGTTGCGTTGTCAACGGCAATCGGTGTACTTGAAACCTTCAATCCTTTCTGAGTGCAGGCATCCACGTCGATGTTGTCATAGCCCGCACCGTTGTGACATATGAACTTCAGAGACTTGGGCAACAAAGAAACAAGTTCCTTATCGAAGGGGCCAGTCTGTGCGACCGAATTATTTGAACGATACAGTGCAATTACGTCGTCGTACTCTCCTTTTTTCAGGTTGGACAGGAACTGCTGGCGATCTCCATCAAGGAACTCTTTCAGATTATATTTCGAGCCGTAGGCATTCCACTCGTTGTTCGCGTGGGTCAAGCCGCCGATGAGGAGGACGCTAGGCTTTGACATCTTCGATATTGTCGACGCAAAGGTCCGGTGCTGGAAGGAATGTCGGGTACTCGATGGCTGCTGTGTGCTCGCTGGCCGGGTCAGTCTACCTGCAAAGCCTGTGCTCACTGGGAACGTGTGGTATGGTCTCAAGGATAGAAGAGACAAGGGCAGAGTAGCTTGCCAAATACGTGGTTGCTCCAACCTATCAACCGCGAACTTCTGCGAATATGATGCTATGGAGAACATTATTTTGATCGGCATTTGAAGTGTAAAAGAGAAGCCCCCCGCATCATCCCGTCACAGGCGCAGTTTTATGCTTTTTTCGCGAAACCATGCCCCGAAAATCATCCCCACCATCAGTAAACCAGCAAGGCTATCGCTCCATTCTTTAGCCGAGTATTGCTGGATTGGGACTTGCGCATGCAGCGATGGAGTCAAATCAACGGCAAATGAATGTCGTGTTAGTCAATGCTCGGACAGCAAACCGAGGTGAAGTTTCCTTTATTGAACATCGGAGAACCCAGTCCCTTGCGTGGGATGGTACTGACGATGCCAGAGATTCTGCATTTTTGATCTCTAATACCTAGTTGAGCACATAAATCCGAGAAGAGGTTCCATTTGCTCGAAAAAAGTTTGAGAGCCTCTCCATTCTCCGCACTCAGACCAATATGTCCTCTACAGAAACAATTCAAGCGTTAGTTCTACACGGCGCGAAAGACTTGAGACTGGAAACAAGACCACGACCTGCTCCTGGACCCGGAGAAGTGCAAATAGCAGTCAAGGCGACCGGCCTCTGTGGTTCCGACCTACATTACTACAACGAGGGCCGGAATGGGAATTTCGTCCTGCAATCGCCCCTGGTCCTCGGCCACGAAGCATCAGGCGTCGTGACGGCGCTGCCAGACTCCTCGAATGGCGCCACCAATGGACCTACACCTTCAGCAGGTCTCAAAGCGGGCGACAGAGTAGCCATGGAAGTTGGTTTCCCCTGTCGAACCTGTTCTTTATGCACCAGTGGTCGGTATAATTTATGCCCAAAGCTGTCCTTCAGGTCTTCGGCAAAGACATTTCCTCACGCTGACGGGACGCTACAAACGATGATATCACAACCGGCCAACATGTGCCATAAGTTACCCGACAATGTTACTTTCGAGCAGGGTGCTCTCATTGAGCCACTGGCGGTGTCCTTACATGCTCTAAATCGGAGTCAAACGGCTGGCTCGGGTTCCGGAGTGCCGTTGACAGGGTCCAGCGCACTGGTCCTTGGAGCTGGCGCAGTGGGTATGCTGACCGCCGCTGCCCTTGCAGTCGCTGGTGTTACTGATGTTGTCATTGCTGATATTGACGCCCCAAGGTTGAAGATTGCAGCGGGTCTTGGTGGTGGGAGATATAAACTCCAGACGTTTCTCCTGCCTCGAAAAGCGCCCGCACCGACAATCGAAGAAACACTTTCTGGAGCACAAAATTTGGCTGCCGAGGTCTCCAAATCAGCTGGTCTAGAATCAGGATTTGACAGGGTTTACGAATGTACAGGCGTGCCTTCGTGTGTGCAGATGGGCATCTTCGCTACTGCGGCCGGCGGCAAACTCGTTCTTGTGGGAATGGGTAACCCAACACAAACGCTACCCTTGGGAGCGGCAGCCTTGCGAGAAGTGGACATCATTGGAGTCTTCCGATATGCCAACTGCTATCCTGCAGCCATTGCCCTATTTGCCAGCGGAAAATTGGATGGCGTCGCAGAAGATCTTGTTACGCACCGGGTTGCGCTCGCAGATGGCGAGAAGGCGTTCAGACTGGCTGCGAACCGGGCACGAGAAGGAGAGGATGAAGGAAGAGTGCCGGTGAAGGTGGTCATTACTACATAGGGCAAACAATGTACCAATCCAGACCAAAAGAGCATCCCCTCTGAACGTACATTCGCCATTACACCTGAACTGTGAACTGTGCCATGCTAATGTGACTGACAAGATTCGATGCAAATTGTAACTCTATTTGAGATGAATACGTCGATTGAGATGGTGAAAAGGGGGAGAAATGTCCGGAGATGAAATCCGTGTCACATGCGGCTTCTACATTTTAAGGGAAAGTCAGCCGGACCTACCTGCTTCCTCTGATGATTGTCAGGCTGTTTTGAAAGGCGTTCACGTTTATCATCTTGCCAGAAGCTTCACGAGAGCGGCGCCAGCATGAAGTTAGTTGTCCAAGAAAATGCGCGCCGTCTTTTACTGGGTAGTTGGCCGTCGGAAGTTGCTCCTTTCATGACTAAATGCACGGCAAGGAACTGACGTAGATTGATTCGGCCGGCTTGCTTGCGGAGAGCTGCTCGGCAACGTCAATACTTGATTCTTGTGTTTCTTGATCGTAGTTTCACACTCTCTTCGCTTCTCGACCTTTTCCCCAGAGTTTCGGTTGCAGCCATGGACACGCCCCTAAGTACTCGAAACATCCTCGTCACAGGTGCCACCGGCAAGCAGGGTGGCTCGGCCATAAAGGCTCTCTTAGCCAATCCTCCTCCATTCCCCTTCCACATCCTCGCCCTCACGCGCAATAGCACCTCGAAAACAGCCCAAACTCTCGCTGCCAACCCCAAGATTACCGTCATCGAAGGTGACATCCACGATGCAGGCGCAATCTTTTCCAAAGCTGGTGGCGTTGGCGCTGTATGGGGTGTGTTTCTGGTCACCATACCATCGATGAAGAAAGATGTCGAAGAACAAGAGATGAAGCAAGGCAAGGATCTGATCGATGCAGCTGTGGCGCACGACGTAAGACATTTCGTCTACACCTCCGTCGATCGGGGTGGGAATGAGAAGTCCGACTATAACGCAACGGACGTTCCACATTTTGTGTCCAAGGCAAGCTTAGAAGACGTAGGCAACCGTTGAACAACGTGCTGACAATCTACAAGTATAACGTGGAAAAGCACCTCTACGACAAAGTTCGTGGAACGAAAATGACATACACGGTTCTGCGACCGACATGCTTCATGGACAACCTGACTCCCGATTTCCCTGGTCGAGTCTTCGCCACAATGTGGGCGAAGATGGGCGATAAAGGGTTACAATTCGTGGCCACCAAAGATATCGGCATGTTCGCGGCTTTGGCGTTCTCGAACCACGAGTCGGACGACTACAAGAACAAGGGCATCAGTCTGGCAGGCGATACACTCACACAATCACAAGCGAACGAGATCTGCTGGAGAGCACTCGGGCGTCCAATGATTCGATCCTACGATTTCATGGGCACCCTTTTGCAATGGATGATTCCCGAGATGGGCATCATGTTTCGCTGGTTTGTTGATCACGGTTATGGAGCTGATGAGATTCAATGCAGGAGGTTGAACAAGGATATGCACAACTTTGAGAGCTGGCTTTTAGAAGAGAGTAAATTCAAGCGGTGATCAGGACCAAGTGCTTACGACAACGTCCACGGTGCGGCGGCTATCTTCCCTCTCTTCTCACTCCTGGACATCCCTGGTTGATCTACTCGTGACTGTGGGGTATGGCGGACAGGATCGGAGATCATATATATTTCAGTAGCATCAGCATGGAGTTTGGAGTAGTTCGCTGAAAGCACAGACAACCACCGTCAAGCGTCATATCGATCCTTGACAATCTTATCTTTGTATCATATACGAGAATATACTGGGGGGAACCGTCACACGCAGGCATACCATGTTGGAATCTCTTGATCTAGCCGAATCCTGCAGGGTCCGGGCACTTGGGTGAATAAGCTTGATGGTCCTGATGTTCGTTCTGCGAGTCATGAATGTCACACGAAGACCTAATGCAAGTCTACTGGAGCCTGGCCACAGCTGTGCATTAAAACCTGACATGACAGCTGCGAATTGACTTGTCGTCCAATCATGCCTTGATATGGAAGTTATGCATTACTTTCTCACGGTACAAACGTCGAGTACCATGTCACGTATATACTTGTGGTAGTGAATGTGCACCACGTCGTTGAAGTGGTACTCGGTAGAGACATGGTCTTTCCAGGTCCAGATTCATGGCAAATAATGAGAGCCTTGGACGTGATGATTGGTGGATATGTACGCGGCTAGAACAGACTAAGGCGCCAAGACTAGTCTTGAAACATGCACTAATGTTTGAAGCGACTTCGCCTGTCACAATCCAATGCCCCTTATGACCAACCCCTTCTTTCTTTTCACTGTTCACCTCCTCTAGCATCGTCACACGACCTCATAGTTGAATTGAAAGGGGGCAAAGAACGGAGTCCACGCCCTTTTAACTCTTGCCTCCGTCAAGATCGCGTCATTTTGACAGGAAAACGGCACAGAAAATATGTCACTCGTTCTCAATTCACTCGCGTTTTGCCTCACCTTTCATGCATAGCTTCTGCTGCCGGAGCCATCGTGACAAGAGCAGCTGCGTTCAAGGTGAACGAGTACTTGGTGAGTGTATATCATACATGGTCAAGGCGAGCTCTTCCCCACAGATTCATTTGCCTATCACTCCTTATCAAAGATCTAGCAGAACCCATCAAGCCATTCCGCTCCAACCAAGTCCAAAGTGACCATCCCGGCCCGCCACGCGATCATCCTAAAGTCTTTGAAACACCCAGTCCAGACCCTTAGAGCTGCATGATGCAAGCTCTTCTGGAGAAGCATTGGCCACCACCTTGCCATGCTATATCCAGACCTGGTCCACCTTAGACACCATCTCGCTGCCGCATTATCCTGTGGATGGGAGCTTCACCACTGAAAGGGGGTCTGTCGAGCATGGATGCAGCCGGAATGTCTAAAACAGTCGGTCGCCTCCTTGCGCTTAGATGTCGATCGAAAATTCCCATATCCATGATCCACAATCCACTCTGATGGTCAAGAGCTCTTGACTTCGTGAGCACAACTGCAACACTGCCTTGTACCTGACCTAAAGGTCTCGGTTATCGCTTTCCAAAATTTCCATTGTTCTCCGAACTACCACAGACTTGCAAAACAATGCTTGCCTAGGCATTGTCTACATTCCTTTGTTCCTATATTGTCAATGTTGGCATAGTCACTCCTTCCACCTTGTCACTCCTTTGTTTGTCCTGTCAATCCTTTGCGACTGCCGAGCAGCCTTCTATTGTTCCTTTCGTTTGCGCTTCGATATCGCGAACTACCAATCGCTTGAACAATACATACATACTCGGAGAGTATACACAATCTTTACAACAGCAAAACTGTACACCGTTGAGCGAATCAAATTTCCACAAGATCCCAACTTCGATTCCTGATCGAACCAAAAAGCTATACTTCGCCGGTCGAAGACCCAATTTACAACTATTGCAAACACTTCAACCATGTCTTTGTCCAAACTGTCCGTGCGCAGCGCCCTTCTTGGGTTGCTTGCTGCAGTTCCTTTCACCTCAGCTCACACCTGGATTGAGCAGATGATGGTCATTGCTCCAAACGGTACACTGGTCGGTACACCAGGCTTTGCTCGTGGCAATGTTCTGCGTGGCACTGCCGGCTTCAGTGATCCCACCATGGTCAACCTCCTTCCACCAGATGGGCGCACAATCAACGAGCTCCTTTCCACCGACCTGATGTGCAAGTCCACCCAGACTGCCCAGAACCAAACCTCCGGCAGCCCGAGACTGCAGGCAGCTGCTGGGTCAGGCATCGCCCTCAGATATCAAGAAAACGGTCACGTCACCCTACCAGACAATCAGCCAGGCAAACCTGGAAACCGTGGCACAGTCTACGTCTATGGTACCACTCAACCTAGCCCGGACGATGCCTTCCTTGCCATCCACCGTGTGTGGAATGCCGACGGCACAGGTGGTGATGGTCGTGGTGTTCTCCTCTCTACTCAAAACTTTGATGATGGACAATGTTATCAGATCAATGGCGGCACAATCTCCGCACAGCGCCAGAAGGAATTCCCTCATCCAACCGACAGTCTTATGGGTGCCGACTTGTGGTGTCAGCAAGACATTGAGATTCCGTCTACCGCGCCAAGCGGGCAACCCTACACTCTGTATTGGGTGTGGGATTGGCCAACTCTGCCAGGCACATCAGGCTTTCCTGACGGAAAGCAAGAAATCTACACCACTTGCATGGACGTTGATATTGTCGATGATGGTTCCTCGGAAGCATTCTCCAAGCAGGATGTCAGCTTTGACCAGGGTCAAGCTCTCGACAACGCAGCTGTTTCTGCCGAGCTGACAGATATCGCCAACCCCACGGCTGTCTCAGGTGAGATCATACTGTTCTCTGTTGCTAACGTATCGCAACGACTAACAAATTCCCCAGGCACGGTCATTCCCTTCTCAGCATCCGCAACCGGTCCTGTCTCGGGTGGTGCCAGCGCAGCCAGTGCAGCTGCCTCTGCCACTGAGACGGACACTGCCATTCCGGCATTCTTGTCCGTCCACACTGGCTCAGTGACTGGTGCTGGCGTTGAGACTCAGACTTTCAGCGTCATTCCCATTAGTGTCACCTACACCACTACCCAGGAGGTGTCGGCACCTACAGTGACTGCTGCCGCGACGACTGGTTCTTCTGGCCATGGCGGTCACAACGGAAACGGCAGTGGTGGTGCTGAAGATGCAGCCGTTGCTACATTCACTGACTACGATTCGATCACACAGACTGTCTTTGAGACGGTCTACCAAACAAAGTACACCAAGCGAGCTGAAGGTCAGTCTAATCATACTCGGTGGTGAAATGTTGGCACATTGACTAACATCCATCAGCACCCGCACCGACTGTTGCACCTTTCCGCGGTTACCAGCTACCCGCCCAGGCACCTGCAGTGGAGGCGTCGACCGCACACCCTGCATTCCGTCTCCGTGCACGGAATCCTTTTGCCTGGTTCTTATGATTGTGATTGTGACGGTGATGACTGATGAACATTGTGCTGTTGAGGGCTTGCAGGACGGCTTCACACATGTGCTTTGCCAATCTTCATGAGTTGGGAGGGATCTTGGGACAGATGGGATAAGATTCTTGAACACAGCATCTTGCATGACACTTTAGCATCACACATATTGGGGGCCATTTTTTGGATAAAAAGAAACCCAATTCCAGAGAACGACAGTACGAAGCAATGAATAGCATTTTCCATTCTACCTTGATATCCCTTTCAGTATCGCAGCAGTATGTGGGTGATGAAATTTCGTTCAAGCATTAGAAATTATTATAGAGTACATCCTTTCCTACACCTGCGCTGCAGCACAAACCAAACCATGGAGCACAACGCTCATTCTCGAACGACATTCTATCCTGTCTATGCTAATATTTATACAAGTTCCGCCGCTCTAGGTCGGGAAAACAACAAGGACTTTATGAAGTTTTGATCGGCTTCGCATACTGGAGTTCCGTGCCCCAGATGTAGTCCCAGAATTTGGAGGTGACGCCGAATCTAGAAGACTTAGTCAGCACTCGTGCAAGACGTAGATATGAGTAATGCCCACCCTAACTCAAAGTTTTGGTAGTGATGGGCCAGATGGTACTTCTTCAGCTCCCTCACGAAGCTGGGCAACTGGTGGTGGTGCAACCAGTAATGTGTGCAGTCGTAGCAGATGTAGCCGAAGATACCGCCGGAAAAGACGGTGATAGCGGCGTACCAGTTATACCAGAAGACAGCGTGCGCGAGCTTGTAGAACGGCGTGGCGAGTACTACGAACAGCGTAGGAGGCATGACCAGCCTGTATTTGTCCATGGGTAGGTAATGGTGGATGCCGTGGAGGAGGAAATGCAGGGTCAGAGCCACAGGATTGTCAGGCAGGTAGTAGTCGAGATGGAAGAGGAATCGGTGCAGGATGTACTCGACCAGAGTCCATAGGAACAGACCCAGAGCCCAGTATAGGGGACCCTGCGGCACGGGCAGATGGGTGAGGCCCAGGTATGAGCCGTACAGCACTGGTGGCAGCCATAGGGTCGGAACCACGTACCACGCCGTCTTGGTGAGGGGTTCGAGGAAGTTTCCGAACAGAGGTGCAGAGTCACCGCCCCGGTAGTGTCGCGGACGATGGACTTGTTCGAGATAGAACTCCTTGGAGAACTTGCTGAAGAGCATCTGCGCGAAAAGAGGCCTGTTGAGGTCTAGGAATTTGTGCGTCTTCCAGTCCGTCTCCACGTCCGTGTCTTTGCTGAGGTCCTCGGCGGACGACAAACCGGTTGAGGCGTATGGGGCTCGGGTGGGCAGTTCATCCGTGTCAACCCCCTGTTTCTTGAGCTCTTCTTTGCCATTCGCGGTCGCGGGGAGAGGGACGACTTGGTCAGGGTGCGAAGAATTCGTGGCGGCTTTCAGGACGGGCTCGGTAGGCATGAAGCCAACAAGGCTTTCTTCCAGGATCTCGTAGGCAGCCTCGCTGTGAAAGTGTGATATCTCGTCTTCCATGATCTGTTTAACATCCTTGCCGGCATATTCTAGTACCAATTCACCGCCGCCGGGGTGTGAGTCAATGAAGTCGGTCACATCGAAAACGCGTTCGCCAATCGTCACATAGCATGACTTCTTGGTGTTGTGTGCCTCGACCTCTGCTTGAGGTATCGTGGGAAGCGTTCGGCCTGGCATGGTGTATGACAGTGACACTCGTGTGGACAAGATCGAACAAGACAGGTCTGAAAGGAGCGATAAGCGATACGTTCTGGACAGGACGCTGGCGAAAGGACTGACTGGACTGGCGCAGAGGTACAAAGAGATGGGAAAGGAGTGCTGATTGTTTTGAGGTATTAACGGCAGGTCACCTCATGGAGACTTTTTGCCTCCCTGGAGAATCAGTGTCATGCAACTCGGTTTACGAGGTACGAGGCTTTCTCAATGTGCAAGGGTTCGTGGCGTGTCTGGACCGCGTGAAATTCTTAATCTCCCGAGACTTCCGCAGCCGAAAGATCACTCCATAATTTTAAATGAGATTAGATTAGATTGGCAGGCAGCAAGCTACTAGTACGGTCGAGCACGGGATCGATGACGCATATACACGCTGGATCGTCTTATCCGTACTTTTGACAGAGGTTCACCCGTCACCTTTACCATGTTTAACGTGTCTGATGTTCTCTCATGATGCCGAAGCGAAAAGCAAGTACATCGTTCCGGAAGGAGACTGATGCGGGCCATAACCAAAAGGTCGAGGCGACTCCTGCAGAAGAAGTTGAAGAAATCGATCAAGATGACATTTGCCCCATCTGCCATTTGCTTCTCTATCGACCGGTTCGGACTCGATGTAATCACACCCTGTGCGAAGCGTGCATGGCTCATTGGGCTGATGTCTCCATCACCTCTCAAATGACTACGGTCGGATTGGATGATCAAGCCGTGGTCCTATTACCGCATGAAATCGAAACGAGATGTCCCATGTGCCGGACTTCCACGACCGCCACATTTGATCCGTTAAGAGAATCAGCCTTACGACGACAGTATCCCAAGTCATTCAAGGCCCGTGAGATAGAGAGTACCCTGGCAGATGAAGATGATGTCGCCACTAAAATCGAGATTCTCACCGTGTACATCGGAAACCAGCACAGGCTCATCAGGGCGTACGACGAATCTAACAACAGGCATGACTGGACGTTCTTTGTGAGACCCTCGAGGACCGATTTGATCGAAGAGATGCAGATCTTCCTGGTAAGCATGCTTCCACCACGCGTTGAGTTTTGCCAATTGATTTCCAGCACCCAACGTTCCGCAATCCACGAGTCATCAAGCAATATCCGCCATACGAAGTTCGTCGCCTTGGATGGGGATATTTTACGATCTTTGTCAATATCATTCTCAAAGCTGGTTACAGCTGGGTTAGCTCCGAAGCCGAGGATACGCCTGACGGGGCCCCGAAAGGCAAGCTGCCGCTTGAGTGGACTCTGGATTTTAACGGACGTGGATCTCAAGGACGATTGAGGCTGAAGGTGAGAAAAGAGAAGGAGGGTCAAGAAGCCGAAGATGAAGAAGAACGTGAGGAGGTGAGAAGGCTGTGGGCGAGGCAACGGGTGGCAGACCCTGACTGGGGCGATCCCGAAGATGTCTCCTAGGAAATCGGTGGTCCTGGGAAGCCGACGTGAGGCTCATCACATGCACCACCCTTGTTAGGCCTGTCGGCCGTTGACAACAACTGAGTCATTTCCAAGGTTTATGAGCAACATCCACTTGAACCACATCTGATGCGAATGTCCCTTGGGGAAGGGCTGGAGTCATGAGCCACCGACATTCCCCCAAACGTCTTGATTGTACTGCTGCCGCTACGGTCGCAGATACAAAGCAGACGTCTCAACGTACGTATCGGGTCAAAGGGGACGATACGAGAGCTGGAGACGCGACTGTAGAGGCGCCAATCTCAAGCCAGCCGGTCACAGCAGTTTGTCATCGAAGCTCGTCTACATTGGCCTAAATTCATCTCACCTCCAAGTACCGACATCCCACCGTACAAGGCTAGGCACACTTTACCATGGACACGATGTCCGCCATTCCGGCAGTGTCCCTGCCGTGTGTACTCCTCGTGTCAGCAACGCGCAGATCACGAGCCCGCCAGGCGTTCGACACTTGAGTCATAACGACGAAATCGCACATAACCGGACGAGAACCGTAGAGTAGCAGGGACGATCGCGGAGCCGGCAAATGGTCTACCATGCGGGCTGGTGAATTTCCCGCTTGACCCGACGGCGACAGCAAGTATGTCGCAAAGGCGATCTCAACTCATCCAACGTGGGGTCGACTAGGAGCGCCTTTCGAACAAACCCACAGGGACGACATGACACGAACATTCGTCCTCAATCAGACAAACAGACGTGCCTTTAGGCGTCACGTTCGAGCAGGTTATCTGACCATGCAATCAACACGCCAGCAAAATGTTCGACACAATGCGAAGCTTGCAAATTTCCACATGCATATTCGAGCACAAGTTGCACGACCTGTGCATTCCATTACCAACCACATCGTGAGGACTAACCAAGTATGGTGTCGCATGGCACGGTGTTTGTGAGGCTCATTTGCATGCAGTCGTCACTGTCTGCAAGTCATAGGCAGAGAGCATATGCAGGTGTTGTGCCAGACTTATTTCTGGGTCTTGGAATGATTCTGCCTGTTCCCGACTCGTCACCCGATACGAGAAATCAGAGTTAACCTTCATGGCTAAGCATTGCGGGGTCGAATGGACGATTCTCTCGGCGAAAGGAATTCCGCCTGTAGGCCTGCAAACTGGCAGACTGAACGAATCGATAGGCGTTGACTTCACGGCTGAGGGGGCTATGCTTGGCTGGCCTAAGGCTTAAGAAAGGTACGCGCGTATTCGGTCTTATGGTTCAGCAGACTGGCTGACCAATTAAACCGCAGTATTGCGGCAAGGTCGTTACTCTTTTGGGCAGTTTCGAACACCATACCCTCCACAGTATAGAGTATCCGAGCCGACATCGAAATTGTGAAGAGCCTGAAGGGCGAGGCCCTCAAAGATAAAAACCCGTGCTTGAGCCCAAGTCAATCTCTATCTTCACATCATCTTCTGCAAGATACTCGCTAGCCTTCCCTAAACGCATCCATACTACTGCTGCGAGATCACTCTTCCAGAAAGACTGCACCAGGCATTGCAACAGGACTCACGTTTGAGACAGTTTTTGTTCGCGTTCCTGAAGATGGATTGCATTCATGACATGTCGACGCAGCAGTTTCTCACGGCTACGATAGAGATGGAATCTTTACCGAGGTCGTCTGCCGACGACAGCGAAACCACACTGGTGGACATAAAGCCACTCAAGAAGAGATCAAGAAAGCAGTCAGTGGCTGCGTCAATGACCACTCAAAAGCTAGCCAAGCAGGTCCAGCTAGACGATAAGGCCCAGCCCGAGAGCGAAGAAGACAACAAATCCCAGCCCAAAAGCCAGCAGCCAAAAAGCCCCCAGCCCCAGAGCCAGCAAAGCAAAAAGACCCAGACCAAAAGCACCCAAAACAACAAGTCTCAGTCAACGAAAGCACTTTTCGCTGAAACATTAGGTGGGAGTATGGCCTCGTCAGTCGTATCACCCGTCCCAGACATCGAATCAAACGACCTTCTCGCACGACTGAAGCATGCCAAGGCACTCAGCTATCAGAAGCCTGATTACGAAGGCAGGATGATCGAGAAAAAGGTGGTCACCTCCACGTTGAAAGCACAAGTGATGACCATGGATATCGGCAGCGCCACATCTCTTGCCGAGAGTCCCCGACCGAAGAAGAAAAGTAAGGACATCCATACATTCACTCTCGACGACTTTGCCGCGATTTCAGCATTGAGCACGCTGGTCGAAAGATACGGCCGAGTATCTCACATGGGCGTTCTTGATCCTTCCTACAGTTTTTTCATGAGCAAAGATCGCCAAGCAGCACTCTACTACAAGGTGAAGAACAACATAGCAGTTGTTGGTGGCGAGCCTCTCTGCTCCCCAGACCGATACGATAGTGTTTTCGAAGAATTCAGACGTCTGCGGAAACATCGTGGCTGGGGCATTGCCTTGCTCGGAGCATCAGAGAGCTTTCTTTCATACGCCAATGGGAAGAAGTGGGTGACGATGCGCTTCGGAACAGAAAGAGTCCTCAACCCACTCACCAACCCTGTCCTGCAGGAGAAAGAGGGCAAAAGAATAATCACGCAAAACAAGCAAATGCTGGATCCCGAACGAGGCGGTATCTCGGTTCATGTCTACGTACCAGCTCAAGGTCGTGACGAGCTTCTCGAGCAACAACTTCGACACATCTACGACTCATGGCGAGACAACCGCAACAACTCTTCCCAGCCTCAAGCTTACATGACTGTCTTTGACCCTTTTGCCATCCCAGTCCTGATGACATACATCTACACGCGAGACCGCGAAGGCCAGTGCAATGGCTTTGCAGCTCTACGAAAGATCGGTGCTGACAATGGCTACCACATTGACCCATACTGCGCCGTTCCCACAGCTCCACGAGGCATCACGGACTTGCTTGTCTTCTCAGCAATGTCACTCTTGCACCATGCCGGCATTGACTATTTGAGCTTCGGATTCGAGCCCGCTACTGAACTCGGCGAAGTCACAGCCCTGTCACGACCGATGGCGTCCATGACCAAATCATGCTATCGTCGTGCATTCCGCCACTTGCCCATCGGGGGCAAGAAGGCTTACCATGACAAGTTTCGTCCCGACCCAGAGCTGGAGTCAGGCTTGTACATTGTTTATCCTGACGGGCGGCCTAGTATCCAGCATGCAGTGGCCACCTTACACATTGCCAATATCAAGGTCAGAGGCCTTCTGCAGAAGGAGGTGCTTGGACTATGGAGACGTGGAGAGACCACTGAAGGGAAGAAAGAGGCCGGCTCTGAAAAGAAGGATGCATCAAATGGATCAACCCAGTCATGAGGAAAAGGGAATTGGATTTGAATGTCTTATGTTCTCGGTTTTCAGCGTGCATTGGAGGGTTCCTTTCGGCTTACATTGGTACAATATTAAATCTTACATTATGCACCGCACCACAAGGTCTATGCTCGTACCTCTACCACTTGTGTCCATACAACTTGCAGCATGCCTACTGCTCAGGAAACCCTTGTCTCGTGACACGCCTGTGAATCGTCTCATAAGTCTATCGTCATCGTTCGAGGATGACCAATAGACACATTGATTCTCTTGGTTCTCTCGAGCCTTGAACAACATCGAAAACACTCACTGCCCATGCTCACCAGAATCCGCTGGACCGAACAAATCTTTCTTGATGCTCCTTCAGACTCGCCCAGTGAACAAGCTCTTCATCTTCAATCTCCTCTGGGGTTCTCAACAAGCTTCCAGTATTCCCGTCAGATACTCCCCGATACCGCCCAGGACCTAATCTCTCCAACTTGGCCAATATGTCGAGGAAGGTATGCAGATACTTATTGACACTCTCCGAGTCCAATGTCGGCATGGAACTCATACGAGCACGTTTTGTCTCGAGTAGAGTTGACGCGACAGTTCGTATCTTGTTGCACTGCGAATCGTCAGTTCTTATTCATGTAAGAAGGAAGCCAAACTTACAAAGCTCATGCCGTTCGGCTCCATATTCACCTGGTTGATGCTCTTGAGCAGCAGAGCCATATCACGAACAATATCTTCGCGCTCCACAGCCATAGTTTGTTCCCCAGCATCCATCAAGCTGTCACTGGGTGTCCGACCGGCAGCCTCTCTGTAGCCATGCTCCATGCCCGTGGTGATGATTCCAGTCGTGGGAGAAGAACTGGGCATAACTTTGTCCGAAGTGAGATTGGCTTTGTCACGTTCGACGATGTCATATAGGTTCCAGAATCTTTCCACCAGGTAAGACCTGGATGATAATTGTGTGGCGTAGATATTGGCCTTCTGGATCTCAAATTGTACAGTTCTCTTAGAATGCGGCACCGGGTACTGCCCGTGGGCACCAAGAGAATCTGCAACTGGATCAGACTGCACGCCATCACGGTCGTTGAACAATTGTGCATAGGCCGACATATCGCTCTGCGTAGGAGGCCACTCGCCAAAGCCGTCGGACGGATGCAGTTGTAGCTCCTTGGGTGCGTTTTTTGTTGCTTCTTTGACATTTTGTAGAGCACGACGAATAATCTGGCGTTGACGATCCCAGTCATAGACCGTATTAGCACCAAATGCCATCTCCAACGCGGCCAGGAAGTGAAATGCTCTAAAAACCTTGACGTTCAGGTTGAACCCCACCAACTCCGACACGACACCACGAGGCTGAGGAAATATTTGGTCCTGTGTGATATTCTCGTCGTCGACCTCGACTGGTAGAGGCGGAAGCATTTCTGCATGTGATACTGGAGGCATCAACATGTCACCTTCGGCTTCATCGAGTTGACGTGCCGACATGGCGCCCACAAAGAGCAACCAAAACAGTCGGCGACCTGACTCTTGATAGACATGATCGACCATTGGTGGGTATGATCCGCCGGGTGTCACCGAAGCCGATCGACTAACCTCTGGCCGATGGAAGCCAAGCTCCCGGGTAAGCATTGTACACTCGCCGAGATACAAGCGCAAACGTGATGTGTTTAGCACATAAGCAGCTGCCAGTCCTGTCAGGTAGCTGGCGATGGCATCATACAGGCCAAGAGACCGATCCAGGTATCCGAGACCACGAGCTTCGATGAAGACTTGATGACATCGCTCTATTACGGCACCTGCGTTGGGAAATTGTGATCTTGCCGGCTCTGTAGTGAAGAGTTGTCTGGGTCTGCGTGGAAATGAAGCCACGAGGCATTCTACCATGGAGGCAATGAGAGCCAGAAATGTTCGGTCCGTTCGGTCCTCTCTGGCCTCGAAAGACCGACGGAAAGTCGGTTCATGCGGAAGAGGGATCAGAGGGTGAATGTATGTGAAGTAGTCGTCCAGAAGAATCTTCAACGTCGGCAGGTCGCAAATTGACTCGGCCGACAGAAGCACAGGGGCAGAGAGCGCTGCCAGACTGTATGCTGCATCATGGGTTGGGGAACCTCTGGAAACTTCATAGCCGCCTCCTTCGAGTTTTTGTCTCTTGATGGCCTCCGCATGTCTGTTCGGCGGTCCGCGACGACGACTCGGTCGATCAAAGGTACATGGAATATCGAGAGCAGCGCAGGATTTGCATGGCGGACCAGCCTCGTCGCACTATTTGTCACTGTTAGCTTCTGGCATGCATCGACGGTAGAGGCGCATAGATACCTTGACTTTTCGTACGCTGCAGCTGTCGCATGCCTTCCTCAAGCGGATTTTCGGCTCCGAGCTTCCAGCTTTGGCTTTGGGTTGTTGTTCTTGGGCAGGCTCGAGATCAGGGCGGGGAGCCGACACGGGCAGCTCGAACTGGTTTGGGAATGCGGATTGAATCTGGTATGCGGTAGGGTCTTCATATTTGTATGCGCTTCCCGAGTCCTGGGGTTGGGAGGACGCGTAAGGGACTGTAGGAGATATAGACGACATCGGAAATGTATCCCTACCTTGTCGTCCGGGTTGCCTAGGATTCGAGAACTCACACGGGTGAACGTCGGCAGACGACTCGAACAAGTGGGAGTTTTAATGGTAAAAGGTCGGGGCAAAGAGGAAAAAGGTGGAGGTGGAGATGGACGGGAAGATGGCTGGATTCGCGGAAAGCCAGCCTCTCGAAACGTCCTAAAGCAGCGAGACGATGTTTTGCATGCACTGTATCACTCTTTGCGGAAATGCAGTTCGGGAAAGCGAGATGATCTCAGATTCTGCCCAAGCGGGAGCCTGCGCAAGTCGTATTTCGAATGATGGATCGGAGTGAGATTGTGTAACCTCTACTACAGCTAGAATCAAGTCATTCTTCACTAGCAGTCGCCACTGGCTTGCGACCACACTCATTATGCGGGTTTCCTTTCCCGCACCGAGCCAGTCTGCTCCCTAAGTCCTGCCTTACACTTCACACAAAGACGAGATGTTTGAAACATCACCAGAGTCACTATCTGGGGCCCGGAACGCCGGATCGCCGGATCGCAGGTATTCAATTTCGCCAGTACCCGACCAGGGTGAGCCAGTCCCGGTATTGCATATATATCCAGGCTGATGCTGTAGCAGCGTCCTTCAAGAACCGTCTTAAGTCATTTGAGTATTCGTCTCTCGCGCAGACGGACGGTCCACGACGTTCCCCTCGAATCTCCGATAGGTCGTCCCCGCGGACCGCAACCAGCACCCCGAGCAGTACCCCAATAAGAAGGAAACGAAAGGTCTCGAATGGGCAGGACGATCTTGAAGACAGCTCGGCTTTCGAGTCGCCTGTCTCTAGAAGCGGTTCATCCACGCCCAGATTGAAGAAGAGCCGGAGCACAACGAAAGAGCGGGCGGCAAAGGATCCTTACAATCCAGTCAACAATCTGGTAGACAGTCTACGTCCAGGACTTACACTTGTCTGCATTGGGCTCAATCCAGGGCTCATGACAGCTGCTACTGGCCATGCTTATGCCCATCCGTCAAACCGATTCTGGCATCTCCTCCACGACAGTGGCGTTACACCGAAGAAGCATGTTGCGGCCGAAACGAGAGACCTCCAGGAACTATACTCAATTGGCAATACAAACATATGTGAGAGGCCGACCAGAAGCGGGGATGGCCTTAGCAAGTTGGAACTCGAGGAAGGAGCCATGACGCTCGAGAAGAAGATTGCCAAATATAAGCCAGAAGCCGTGGTCATTGTGGGCAAAGGAATCTGGGAAGCCATCTGGATGGTCAAGAAAGGCCAGAAGAGATTTAAAGACCTCGATTTTCATTGGGGCTGGCAAGACGAGGATATGCAGGTTGGCAGAACAGTCGACGCCGAGGGAGAGGTCATCTGGGCAGGATCGAAGACATTCGTGGCCACTTCCACCAGCGGGCTTGCAGCAACCCTGAGACCACCCGAGAAACTTGCTATCTGGAAGCCGCTGGGGGAGTGGATGACCCGTAAGAGGCATGAGACCGAAGCATCAGGTCTGTCGCTGGGCTGATTGAAATTCTCTTTGTCCTCCCACTTTGCAACATTGCTAGCCTGAGGCAGACAATATGATCATGTCGTCCTAGGTACTGCTGATATATGCCTTGCCGCTTTTCTTGAGGGTCGAAGTCCGCAAGCTAAAAGCGGCGTCCTCCATCATTGCCAACGTGCCAAGAACTTATCTACTATGAGGTATTCCTGGAAGATGGTCTTGCCACCATCACACACCTCTGGGGAATCTCCACAGACTGGGCCATGGATTACCATGTACCTATAGGGCTCTGCGGGTTTGATGGCCTGTTTTCGAGGTCTTGCATGACTGTAATCTTTCACGGAACAATCTTGCCGGAGAGATATCTTGAAGAGCATTGCGAAAAACCCTTATCCTGTTGTACTTCGCCTTTGATGCTCAAAAGCAATGTGACCAACATTTGCTGATGTTGACACTGTGAAAAGAGGAAGTTATAGTACATGATGTGGCATACAAGGACTTTCGCATGCAGTCATGGCAATGCAATACTCGTATCGACGAGGCTCACGACTCCAGCAACATTTCTTTGCATCTCTGCGCGGTTGTGTATCTCCACCATGAATTAGGCAACCCCGTCCACCTTCGTGATGTGATAAAAGCCAGCGCCACTGTTTGGTCATCGCCTGCGGAGAAACTGTGCCGAAGGAGCACCACTGCATAGGGATGCGCATGATCATCCTACTACCCCACTGGGCTTCCGGGTCAGGTATGTTGTTTACATTTATACAGTCTACGCACAACTTGAGGAATCACTATTTGATTTTGGGCTGTGACAATCCATTTGCCTCTAACATTTGGGGCTGGACTTTCGGTAATGTCCTCACCTCCGTGGCTATGACCCTCATGTTGATCTTATATGGCCATGTCGACGCCTAGGTCTACACTTCAGAAGACATTGTTGCCGTCACCAGATCTCGATTCCACTGCGGGAGCAGAATGCACCGTGGTTTATGAGTAAGATGGAAGAAAGGATCAAGGGCTCTTGATACACTCTTGTCTTAGACCTACATCGACAGCCCGGGTACACCCATCACGAGAAGCGCTGTAATATCTCAACGCCCTCTCGGAGATCGGCCAGCCAGCAGTCAATGGAGGTGGAACGTTCAGCATTTCGCATCATCCTTCTTTGTGGTATCGGCATCGTCCTAGATTTCTAAAAGCGGCGGAGACCCCGAGAGGGCGGGGAGTGCAGGGATTCTGACTTCTCAATATCAATTGTTGCTACTCTGCCTCTTCGCACCTTCGTTGCAGCCATTTTTGCAGAAGGATGCCAGAATGTCAGCATGTTCAGCCATGGTATGATGATTCCATGCTTTTTGGTTCTTGATGCTCTCACGATGCTATTTCTGAAACACCGCCAAGATACCAAGATACCAAGACTTGAAGACATCCAGTCTGCGACAATCTGAATGGTTACGATGGGGCCAGGTGAGGATATTGAGGTAACTCAATAAGGCTGGAGTTATTTTGATTTGATGGCAAGGCCACGTCTTCAAAATCAGTCATTTTCTGTCTACATGCGCTGCTTCTCCCTTTCAATTCAGGTCTATTTGTATGTCTCTTTACCCTCGTTCGAGCCCCTACTAAACTACCTCTCGCCAACGACAATTCTGTCACACAATCTTTTACATCAGCGGAATTGAAGCCTATCAAGCCACTCCGAGCCGGGCATTTGCCAAAGTCAATTGATATGGCGGTATCATCATTCGGGGTCATCCTCTTGTGTGTAGTCAGCATCATCCTTCTTGCAACACCTGCCCATGCTTTTGGGGCAGGCAATATCGGTTCTACATCCAAGATTGAAGGTCAGAATTGGCGCCATGGTGACCTGGAGGACACACTTCTCACTATTGTGGCTGCTCGTGCGATGGGCGGCAAGAACTTTGGTAAATTAGACGTCAAAAGAGTGAGTGGTCCAGGCGAATCCTTCGACAGTGAGCTGACATCAGCAGGTATATTTCGGTAACTGGCTGAGAGACTACAGTCAGGCCGTTGATGTTGGAACCGTCAAACATGTCAGCGCCGAAGCAATTCGTATTCTGCTGTGGATCCTGGGGTTCATGTCGTTTGGTTATGGCTCCGGGGAGTTCGAAGTAACGACACAGCGGCTCGGATGCTATCGACCTGAAGAACATATCGAGTATGTTGTGACGACCTTGACACTGAAGCTTGCTAACATAAGCCAGCAATCCCAAAGACTATGCAGACAACGAAGATGCCAGAAAATACGACAAACGTCTCCGTGGTCCTGTCGATGAGCGTCGCGAACTATCTATCGACCCTCAGACTGGACTCAAGAACTACATTGCCACGGAGGGGTTAGGTATCGATACCTCGGCTGGTCTCGTGAGGAGGCTTTTCGGTCGATCGATTGAACTTGGACGTCAATACGCACACAGCAAAGACAAGGGAGATCTCTATGAAGCTCTTCGGTTGCTTGGAACTGCGAGCCATTGTTTGGAGGATTACGCTGCCCATTCCAACTATGTGGAGCTTGCATTAATCGAACTCGGCGAACGAGAAATCTTCCCGCACGTTGGACGCCGTACGCAAATCCAACTCCGTGAAGCACGACATCCTGTTTATCCAATTGTGACCGGTACGTTTGGAGGAGTTGACTTTCTCCATTCCGTCTGCGGCGAGTTTGACGACAAGACCACGCAAAGTGAGATCGAAGAACTTGAGGGAACCATGCAACAATTTCAAAACACGAACGGAAATTACAGCATTGTAGAAGATTTGTTGAACAAGATACCCTCTGGTGTCTTGGGTGGAAATGATCAGGCCGGCAAGGCAGACGAGTTGAAACAGAACTCTATGAATCATCAAATGCAGAATTCTCGCATATCTCCTCGACAGCCTGAGGAATGGACGCGCTATCTCAACGATGTCCAGAAGCAAATCTATCCGATTATCCAATGGCATGACGAGATCCTGCAGTCCATCACCGAGACAATCGAGCAAATCCCCATTCTTCCGGACCTGATCGAGCAGATACAAGATGCCATCAACGAATTCGTCTTCAGCCTCCTTGCACCATATGTGCTTCCTATCATCAATCAGGTCAAGAAGGAACTGAATACTGGATCGAGCCAGATCATCAAGTCCAGCCTGGATAAGCAACACGTCGTGTTCAAGGACGATAATTCCTCAGATCCGACCCACTCAATGTTGTCGAAAGATCACTTCTCCAATGTTCTCAACGAGCCTGCTGGCAAAGTTGCTCGACAAGTGATAGAATGGGTGGTTCCTCAAATAATTGCTTGCTGGGACGACGAACGCATCGATATTGGGCGCACACTCAACCGCATCATACAAGGCGTCCTTCATCACCCAGCACTACGTGATCATGGGCAGGACGGAGCTGGGGATGGTCGCCAATTGATGTTCAGGGTGGTAGAAAATTGGTGGCGGAGCAAGAGCGAGCAGGAAAGAGACAGCCTGCGTGAGCAACTCAGCCGCCGTGGAGTCGAGAATGGGAAGAACCACAAACCGGGAGTCAAGGACCATGGTCATGGCAGTCACCGCCCACTGGGTATGGCTAATGTGAACCCCAACAAGCCGTCGTCTGTGGCCAGCATAGCGTTCAACGGCGGCCAAAATCCTCGGCCTTCCGACCTTCCCATAGACCAATTGAGCACAATGGCTGGTGCAGCAGTTGGTGGTGGAGTTCTTGGATCTCTTGTCAGTGGCGTTGCCAGTGACCTTGGAAGCAGCTTACTTGGTGGAGGGCTCGATCAAAACCAGAGCACGTACCAGCACGAGTCCTACAGTCAAAATGGCGCCTTCACCCAGACCATAACGCAACTCGGGCAGTCACCGTCGGGTGACCGCTTCGGGCAAGCTCAGTTCTCACGAACCACAGGTCCTTTCGGGCAACAACCGCACGAAGAGTATGATCGGTTCGAGCAGAGCGAGCATGGAGGTCACTTGCAGAGTCAAGTCCACCACGAAGAACGCACAACTACCACGTACCATGAGGAGACTCGGTAAGTCTTCATGACTGACTCAAGTGAGCAAACGCCCTGACATGATGTGAACAGCCGGTTCGATGATGATCGCCCTTCACACGGACACCACGAACCCCATCGTCGTGATCCCGAACCTCATCACGGCAGACGACGTGATGACGAAGACCGAGACAGGTTCTCGAATAGACGTAGTGATCGAGGTTCGGATACATATAGTCCACATGAGCCTCGCAACGATGGATGGCGCCACGGCAATGAAGGTTACGGTCCCGATGGTGGCTATGGTGGTCCACCACCACGACAGCCTGACATTCATGTCAATATCGGCAGAGGCGAGTATGAGCCTGATAGATTTGGTGGCCCAAGACCACCCCGGGATCCACCTTTCAATTCTGGCGGCGATGGTGGTCCATGGCAAGCAGGATATCCCGGCAATGACGCATTTAGATATCGACGAGAAAGTGAGCCATTTGGCGGCCGACGGGGTAACGATGGATACAACGACGAACGACCCAGTGACGCGTATGATGGCCGCCATGGGAGTGAAGCGTATGGCGAGAGACGTGAAAGCGAGGCATACGGTGTTCGCCGACAAACTGATGTGTATGGTCAGAGTTCAGACGAAGTTCCAGGTGGGGATCGCTATGGTGAAGATGAGACGGATGCCTACCGACGACCAAGCCAAGCAAGTTTCAATGGTGATCGTGAGGACGAGTACGGCGCAGGCTCAATGGTCGGCGGATATGACCGCGGACAGCCCGAATTTGGTGGTGCAAGCAGACGGGAGTCGGCCTTCGAAGGTCAAGGGTATGGTCCGGAGAACGAGGGCGAAGAGTATGGCCGGCGACGAACTAGCGAGGCTGGTGGTGATGGCGAGGGTTATGGCGGGTATGAGTCGAGGTATTGAGGCGACTTGAGGACCATTATGTGGAATTACTCTTGCTAGAGTAGCCTCGCCGAAGTACATGGCTTCCCAATCTGCTGTGGTTGGTGCTGTAACAAAGGATGGTTAGCCGAAGAAGAACAGGGGGCCCAAGGCTGTATGGCGGAAATGGTCCGTTGCCTGGTGCTGACATTTGTCCCTTAGTCATCTAGGTCGTTCATACACCAATATAACAATCCACACCTGTTCAGAATGCCATTAATGGAATTGGGTATGCATCAGGTACAAGATCAATCCACTTGTGTTTTGCTCCGGCAAGCATATATTCTGTGATCAATACTGTCGGACATGAGACATGGCTATCAAACGGACAACGACCACACGCATCCGATTGTTTGAGCGGACAGGCCCCGAAGCAGTGATATATGACCTGTCCAGCCCAGGGTGTGTCACAATCACGATCCCCCCCAAATCACAGTGGACATCGGAAGCTCACTGGCACGAAACGCATACGGAATATCTCCAGATTCTTCACGGGCGTGCTGTTGTCAGACTCGGCCAAACTACAGGAGAATTTGGACCTGGCGACGGTGTCATTGAGGTACCTAGGCTCACAGTGCATGAGTGGCATCGTGTCAGGGAAGGCGATAATCAAGAAGATCTGGTTGTTCGAGAGTGGACTGTGCCGGAAGACGGACAGAAAGAGGTTTTCTTTCGGATGTTGAACTCGTTCCTGACGGAAGAGCGTCCTGCTTCGTTGTACACAGCGCCGCGAATGACGCCGAGATGGGTGACAGGGTGGATCGAGCCGTGGGTTGTCATGATGCAGTTGTTTGCTATCTTTCGGGCGTGCGACAATTGGCCTGTGTTTGTTGGAGGAGACACAAATACAAGTGGTGGATCACCGGGACTGTTCAGTTGGTATGTGACGCATCTTGTTCTGAGTGTCAATTCTTGGGTAGGATATGTATTTGGTCTGAGGGGCAGGTACAGGGAGTATGTGGCGGATGGCCTTCTTGATGGAAGGAGGCAGCCTAACAACAGAGATGAATCAAGAAAAGAGAAATAGCAGACAGCATACACCACAAAAGGACAATGCATTGTGCCCTGGAGATGTGAAATGGCCCCTTTAACGATTCAGCCTTACCCCCCGAGTACAGGCGTCATTGATGGGGCGGAAGTGCCCCGTACTTACCTGGCAGGTGCAGCCATTATCTTATCAGCCGCTAATTAAAGCATTCTCGCTTCCCGGATTCCCTCTTGACCGTTACCACGAATCATTCCATTTCTTTGTGCATCTTCCACCAACCTGACCTCCACTTCCACCTCTCGATACGAATTTGTCGCATCATGTCCACGCAATCCCTCACGGCTCGGCTGCCTTTCGCATGGTTTGTGTTTCGCAAAATGCTTGGAATTTCCTTGGTGCTTCTCGAATAACAGTTTCGTTGTCGTGCCTTCTCCCAGTATACCTGCTTCTCTCCGATTATACTCTGTCTTTTTGTGATAAGGCGTCCCAGCCTTGTCATCATTTTGACTCGCCACCTACAGGCGTTGTGATTACTGCCTACCTCCAAATCTGTTGCACTGTTGTGAGCCTCATCTGCCTCCTTACAATCTTCCTGTCGAGACTGTGCCTGGAATGCCTCGAACTTCCCTTCCTGCGCACTCATGAAGGAGGATGCAACCTCGATACAGTCGTGTGCGAGAAACCGCCTTTGATCTCTACACCGAGCGCGATGCCGTTGCTTGGTACATCACAGCAATCGCACTCGTTTCATCATGGATTGCGCTGGCAGGCTACATGATCTTCGCGCTCATTTTTACCTCTGACCAGTCCAACACCAAGGTCTCTCGAACCGTTCTTACGATCCTCGCCTCAAGCTTCCTCGTGATCGGCTATGGCGCAATCGCTGCAACAGCCTTCTACAGCCGCAGCCTCCTCTTCCTCTACGATGTGGCCCTCTTACCGATCCTTGCATCCTCTGTCATGGGCATCGTCGTCACCGTTCTGAATCATGCCTTGCATAGAAAATTCGCAGCCACGAATATTTATATCTACGTCCCTCTTGCGACAGCATCCACAACAACGATTGTGTCCGCGGTGCTCGCCTTGATCGTACACCGGAGGATATCCAAGATCAAGAGACTAGACAAAGAAAGGAGAAGACACGTCCCGAGGTGGGAAAGAGCCAGCGTTGCCTACGGAGACGTCGCTTCTACGACCGAGCTCTTACCTATCGATCCTCGTATGAGCATACCTGAAGACGAGGCGCAGCGGCAGCAGCTTCTGCGTCTTCTGCTGAAACGAGAGAATGCACGCTCTCCAGCAATGCCTGGCCCGGCGAGCACGTACAAGATCACCTTACCTGGGGAGGAAGGATCTAGTGGGTTACAGGTGGTGTCGCCTGACTTTCGGCCTCGAAGTGGCAGCCTCCCGAATACCAGCAAATGGAATCTTATGAGCAAGGTCACTCGAGAGCGAAGTCCACCTGTGGAAACGTTCAAGGATCATAGAGAGCGTCGGCGAGAAGAGATCGAACGGACATCAGTCTATTTGTCGACTCCACGAGCTGATAGTCCATGGGTGCATCCATCAGACGCGTCTTTTCCTTACCAGTCGCAGACATGGACACCCTCTACGCGGTATGCATAAGCCGACTGAGTGGATGTTTTGTTCATTTAGCGTGGCGCTGAGGATGTTACTTATGACCACGGAATCTATGTGAAATTGAATTAAGTGTATGTAAAAGACGATTTCTGCGCGATATGCGTGTGAAGCATGGAAAAAATAATCTATCTGTATGATGATTTCGGCTGGATTGGTTGATAATGTTTGTATCATATGTTTGTATCCCAGTCCGGGGTCATTCCACAACGGACCTCGGCTGTTTGGAGGTGTCAGCATTGAATCATTTGTGTACGGCCGAGCCATCTCCCTACCATAATTTATTCACGTCGGCAATCATACATATGCTGGTGATTTGACTGGGTTTAGGGCGCTCGCATCTCGTCGAAATTGAGAGAACCACTTTGATCAGTGCAACACAACCATGAGAACCTCATCATCGTACAACTGAGGGAAACCAGCATCACCCAGCCAGCCTCGCATGTACACGACTCGACTGCGCCCTCTGTTGAATAAACTCATCACCACCCTTCCAACGACGTTACGGACTGGCCTCAGTATCCTATCAAGACCTTACTCTACCGACACAATGTCAACACACGCCACGCTCATCAAACCTCCCAAATCCCTGCCCCACCACTCCCCGATCGAAAACGTCCTCCAACTTCTACCTCTAGTCGACATCGGCCCGGACATCTACACCAACGCCCGCCCACTCTGGCACCCACCAGGAGCGCGAGGTATATTCGGCGGCGCAGCCATAGCGCAATGCCTGTCCGCCGCGCAGGCGACCATTCCCACAGATTTCACGGTACACAGCATGCACTGCTACTTCGTGCTGGCAGGCAATAGCGAGATACCGATATTATACCACGTCGAACGGGTGCGAGACGGCAAGAGCTTCATCACGCGGACGGTGCAAGCTAGACAACGTGGAAAATGCATCTTTACCACCACACTGAGTTTCATGAAGGAAGGTAGCGGCGGAGCCCAAAGTGTCCAACACGCAGTGCGTATGCCGTCGGACGTCACCCCGCCGCCACCCGTGACCCGGACTCGCGGATTCGACGACGACAGACCGTTCGAGAGCCTGAGGTGTCCTGTGGCGAAACGCGGGAGCCCATCGGAACGACAATTGCGCCAGTGGGTTAGAGCTGTCGGACGGATCAGCGAGTGTCCCCCGAATGTGCGCGAGGAGGAACTCGTGAGTGGTCGCCGGGCTAATAGACCCGGTGATAATCACCAGGCTCACTTGTCGGCATTGGCGTACATGAGTGATAGCTATTTCATCGGGACGGTCGCTCGCGTGCATAATCTGAACAGGTTTGCGAATCGGCGGAATATTGAGAATACGTTGCGGTCTTTCAAGGGGAGCGATGCCGAGAGGGAGCAGATGAGGAAGTACCTTGAGGAGATTGCGCGGGAGGAAGATGAGGAGAGGGAAGAGATGGGTAAGACTGAAGATGATGGACGACGGGTGGGGATGATGGTCAGCTTGGATCATACAATTTATTTCCATAATCCGAGGGCGTTCCGCGCGGATGAGTGGATGTTGACGGAGATGGAGAGTCCTTGGGCCGGAGATGGGAGGGGGTTGGTGGTGCAGAGGATCTGGAGTAAGGATGGGATTCTGATTGCGACGTGTACTCAGGAAGGAGTTGTGAGGTTGAATCAGCAGCAGAGTAAGTTGTAGATATCAATGGGGACGTGTGGATGTGTGATGCCAGAACAGCGCGCTTGGTTGGCGTTTCGAGGATGGGAGGATGCATGCATATTCAAAGATATTCGAGCTGTGGTACCCGGCTGGCGGAGTAGCAGACTGATTGTACAATTTTCTGGTGTATTCTTTGATAGACGGGTGTCCCCCACTTGCACACAGTTCAGCCGAATGCTACTTTGGTCTGCTCGTCCGGACGCGAACGCCTCAAAGGATATGAAGTGACCCAACAGTAGACTACCTGTCAGGGGGTACTGTTCGTCCACACCGCGCTCTTTTGGACGGTGTATTGGTCCGTCGCCGCCTTGTACGTCAGCATCATGTGCCATGCTCTGCTAGGTACTTCCTGTGCGACACTAGGACGTCCAGAGCTCGAGCATTCGCTGCCTTGCTGCTCGCAAGCATCACCTTATTACCGGCCTCTGATCAACGAAGTCTCCATTGATCTGCCCGTCGGAAGCCGACCACTTCGTGCCTGTCCTGAAGCCGCTTTCTACTGCTGATCAAGCCTCGAGATTGATTCCTCTGCCGAATCTAGCGTACAGATGCGCCTTCAGTCCATCGATCTCTTCCTTGATCGTACTTAGTTCCTCCTCTAACGTCGAAACTTCGCTTTCGAGGTCTGTCGTCGCTGAAGCAAGGAGTTCTTGAGCTTCGCTGAGTGGGACATGCATGAATGAGTCCCCAATTTTGTATCTGCGGGCAGTTGGTTAGATGATGATGGCAGATGCCATGGAAGGGGGGACACCGACGGGACCAGATCATCTTCATCCGCAAGTTCGAGTTCAGTGGATAACTCTTCGAGGTCTTCTTTGTCTTTCTGCAAGTGGTGGTTAGCTTGTCCTGCACTATGATTCCCTTATGATGGTTGTGAGGAAAGGGACATTGACCGTATCCGGACACTGGGTTGATGAACCGCAACTTACCTGCTTCGTAGTCAACTCCTCCTCGAGCGATTTGCTACGGTTGTGTAACCTCGAGAAGGTGTTGATTTTGTCTTGGTCTTCTTTTGTGACTTCGGCGTCGGTGGACTCGGATTCTTCCTCTTTCGATAACTAAATATTCCAGTAAGTGACAAGAACGATTTGGATAGAGCGCATGTTTCTGTTCTCTGCCAATCACTGGTGGAAAGGACAATAGAGGGTTTTGACTCACCACTCTTCTGGAAAGCATTCTGTACTTGTGCACTCTGCGTGTGTTCAGTAGTATCTCTGCAGACACTCCGAGACAAGAGGATGGGTGTTCTGACAGTGATCAAATCAGCGTTCCATGAAAGAAAGGTAGTCGAAAAGTCAAGAGCCTGGTAGTCGGTCACTCAAGGCAAGGCTCCGACCCTGATATCTTGGCAGTTTACACTTCGCAGTAGTTGTTACGGTGAGCCAAATCGCATGCTGTGATGGCCTCCGAGCAGTTACGTCCATCTCATCTCCAACAAGGTCGCGCCTTCATCACTACCGTTCTCATCTGGCACGTGTGCATCTCATTGAAGTAGTGCACGCAGTCCTACCGAGAACCCCTCCTCCTGGTACATCAGAGGCCTACTATGATGTTGACCCCCAAACCACGATCTCGATACCTGCACGGCTTCTTAACCCTGTAGGTTTGCTGGTTACTTAGCGGGCCATTCTTTACGTATGCAGCTACAGCCACTACGAGTATCCTTTCAATGGCAGCCCTTCACCCACGACTAAAACTCATGCTTATCCGCTCATTGCTAAGTGGGTAAACCAGACTTACCAAAGCTTCATGCAGTTTACACACCAAGTGGATGCTCATCAGCTCTTTCGTTGCAATGATTGCAATGTTGGAATCCCTATAAACTACATGCAGCATACCTGCTGGACTTTCGGCTATACTTATGTATATGTGTGCGGGACAGCAGCCACATAACGAGAACTAGGATGACTTACGCAGCATTAACCCGAATTGCACATCGGAGACAGAGATGTACACATATACAATCGTTCGTTAGGACGTCCGGTAGGTCTTCTTCTGATTCCAAGCACACATCACTCCCTAGTATCTCTCTTAACAACCCTTTGGAGCGTTCTTTGTTTCGCCGGAACTCATATAGCCACTACCAACGTGACTTATCATCGACGTAAGCGCAACGTCCATGCAATTGATTGAACGTTCCCTGGCTCCATACCAGTTTGAGAAGCTCGACAAAGACAAACCGGTGAGACCTACTTCTTCAAGTGCTGGATGAAATGTGCTCGGGATTGATTGGATCAGTTCTCCTTGTTGTCAACCACCAGCTCGGCCTGCTGCAACTCGTCAAAGACTATACGACCGCTGAATTCCGAAATAATGTCCTCGCTCATGCTGCATTCGGCAAGCTGTTCGACCTGCCAGTGGTGATCATTCTGCACGCCAAACTTGAACTCGCTGCTTCCTTTTCCAACAAGCGCTGAAGGACTTTATCTTCCGCCGCTCACCCATCGCTCTCGGTTGCACCGTCCACACTTGCAACATCTTCCTTCTGATCTTGGCCGCCTTGTTCTCTGGCTTCCTTCTGTCCTTTGGTTTCGGCATGCTCGGCCTCGCCCTCAGCTTCAATTTCTGTTTCTGTCTCAGCCGTTCCTTCGGACTCGTGTCCAGATTCAGTCCCAGATTCTTCATCGCCTTCGCATTCCCCTGCCTCCTCCCCGCTCTCTTCTTCTTCCTCTGACTCCGTTTCGAAGCTGACGAAGCTAGACTCTTCATTTGTCACCCCGAAGCGTGTCGATGCGTGCCGCCGACCACGAGCAGGTCTGGGACGTCTAAACAGGTCAGCTTGCACCATATCACCACATTGGCAGTATCGTACGGCTGTTCCAAATGCACTGCGTCTGGCAGAGGTGCCCTCCGCCTAGGCAGCAAAGCCCTAGTAGGTATCGCTATCACCGCCAGGTTCACTGGCTTGACATCATGCCCCCGAAGAGTTTGCACTGCACTTGCGGATGCACGCCGGATCTTTGCCACTGGCCGCCCCCCAAGGCCACATAGACAGCTGCACATGTCGTTGGGAGAGACACGAGCGACATACTGAGGAGGAAAGCTCAGGAACAAGCACCAAAGGCAGTCACATCCATGATCTTTTCACACCAGTGCTTCTTGAATCACATGTAACAAAATGATGCAGAACAAATAGTCAAGGATTACTCCGTCAGTCTGACCGTCCGGCTGGATTCCTGCTGACAGGCCACCTGGGCATCGCAAACGACTGCCTAGGCTGGGAGACTGCAAGCCTTGGAGTGGGTAGGACTCTACAAACAACAACATCAACATCCTGGCGACAGAAGGTAAGGGCTGTTGCTACTAACATCATAGTAAGCATATCGGACCGGGATCCCTTGTGGCGGTGAAGAGCCGTTGGGTATAGAAGGATGATTCCTTTGTGAGAAGATGAGAGGGAGATCGGAAAGTGTGTTCGGAGAATGACGACTATTTTAGCATTGGATGGCAAGGATGGAAAGTGTCCATAGTGATGCGCTGTGATGCTCACGACTTTTGTTAGTCATCACCAAGCCGATGTGTAATATGAATAATATCACCTATCTTCAGGTCAGGCACGAGGTCACAGGGAAGATGAGTGCGCGAAGTCAGAGCCTGTAACCTGCATGCAGCAAGCTGAACCCGGCAGGATTGTAGGTATTATCAAGACATGTACTCGCATTACGTACCAGAAGTATCAAGTGGATGTTACGCCCACGCTATTTTCCCAGACGCAAACCCAGGCTCTTTTCATTATATAATCTACAAAAGTCCATCCAAGCTCCCTGTTTGACACGGCCTGGAGAGTATCATACAGCACTGTATCCGCCACGCGACCCACCGCCAGAAACCGTATCGACGACCTTTTTCGAGAAGTCCTTCACAAGATAAGGAAGATCCCGAATAGTATCTCCATGGGGCAGCAGGTCCCAACCTCGGGCACCGTAGCGGTTGTAATTGAGCCAGGAGCCGAATATCAGGTAGGCAGCGGTACCGAGAAAGGCACTGTTTCGCAAATGTCAGTATGGCTGGTCGGCCTCGCGGTTGAAGCTAGGGGAGAACATACATCAAGATAAACCACGTGAAGAAACCCCAACCGGTCTTCCTCGCTTCGTCACTGTCGGCATAATCTTCGCAGGCATATTTCGTGCGCCAGTTAAAGCGCACCACTTCGATCGCCTCTTTCCCGTCCACAGGACCGTAGCTGACGAACGTGAGGCTCGAGTCGGCCGGTGTGGTTTCATTCTTGTCTTCGTCCTTTTCGTCGTCCCTCTTCCTCCTGCGCTCTTCGTCATCATTACCGGTCCTCTCCTTGTCGCATTGCAGCTGGATGATAGCGCGCTGCTTCTTCTTATTGTAATAACCGCCGTTCAACTCGATCTGGAGACCATCCGCGTTCGAGTCCTGCGCTTTGAGTCTTGATACTTGTGGGTCGAGACTTGTGCCTGTCGATGCGTCGAAGTTGCCGGCAACGGGTATCACATTCTCGACTTCGACATGTTCCTGCTCCGGGTCATCCGCTGGGTTCCACGATCGAACTACGCCGCAGACTGTGCCGGTAGTTAGCATCTCATTCTTCTTCCGTAGTGAGTACGCTGCTATTGCTCACCTCTCGTTCCAGACGGACATTGGTCCGCGTCGGGGATTCCATCGGCCTTCTTGAGCGGTGCACAAAGATTGAGCGACCACGTTGTATTGTATTCCGCGGGCGGCCTCGACGTATCGTGAACTATTACCGAATGCGGGCCCGCGAGCTTCGATATGTCGAACTTCTTGTTGTCTACTCGGATGTGGTCGCAGTCTATTGATACCGCGGCCGCGAGCTGTGCAAGTAGGAAGGGTAATGAAAACAAGGTTGCGATAACTGTTTTCATGGTGCCAGTAGTTGTAGGATCGTAGAAGATGTCGAGGGTATTCAGGGTTCGGGATTGCGTGGACACGCAGCAGTGGTCTCTAGGTCGACCGTGGTGAATAATAGGTGTTCAAAGAGTGACGAGAATGTGAGATCAAGGGTGATTCCCAAGGTACGATCGAGGGTCTAGTTTGTGGAAGATGAGACCTCTTCGTCGATGCCGGTACAACTATCTCCATCTGCCTGCTTTGACAATGACATGATCGTCATTGAATGCCAAGAAAGAGACTAGCGCAAATGGTTATCTTCATAATTTGCAGTCCACAAATTTTGTCAAGATTTGACATCAGATCGTACTTCTCAACCATCGTTCTTTCAAAGAACGCTGACTCCGCTCCCCGATGGTGTAATGGTAACATACCTGGTTTTCATTAGAAGATCTGAGATTCGCATCTCTCCCAGGCGCCCCGGGTTCAATTCCCGGTCGAGGAAACTTCCTTTTTTGCTTTTTTTTAGTGCATTGGGTGCACAACTTTCGTTCCATCATCGCTCCCACGCGAAGCTGCGAGTGGCATGTCTGATGTTCCTCCTATTTCATCGATACGTTCCATATTGTCATTCTGGAGTCCTTCGCACATAACGAGACCAAACCTCAGACAAATGGGAAGGCATCGCTGTAAAGACCTACTAGCTTGACACTCCGCTGTTGCGAATTTGCTGGACCTTCACATATATATTCGATATTACTTCCTTTTAGAAGGTGCCACTTCTTCTGGAAATATGCTCGACGGGCAGAAGACATTGAACAACCTCATCCAAACTGATCAATTCATCGACTTTTCGTACTCTTCCAGTATGGCTGTGCTGGTGGTGATTTCTACGCTCCAACCGTTTTGGGATATACATGATATTGCCCAACCTCGAATCTCAAAACACCATCATTGCCTACGAATCGGCAAGGATCCACGAATAGCTTCACTCCCGCGTGGTCCGAGGTTATGTCGTACACACGGAGCAGGACAGAAAGGTGGGTCGGCCTGCTGCCCTCCTGGCTTGCACAATCTTTCGTTAACTTGTACTCGGGAGCGCTCATGTAGAGCCGTTCGTCTGCATTGTACGACGTAGTGGTTTTGACCTCGAGATAGTAGGTGATAGGAGTGACCTGTTGTCCAAAGAAGCGATCACTTTGGCTGGGTATCGTGACGGCTGGAAACCCTTCGTAACAATTGGCCTGCAGAAAGCGAGAGAGCTGGCCCGCGACGTCGGTGTAGACAATGTCTGCCGTCTCAGGGCCGTTGAACTGCAGTGAATCCGCGTAGTCTGGGTGGACTTTCACCTCGTTTCGGATCCGACTGCGCCACTTGTTCGCAGAGAATGCGTCAAGTGCTAGGTCCTTAAGCCTCTCGAATATCTGGCGGAGTTCTGAGTCAGTCAAAAATCACGAGATCATTGTCCTGGGCAGGGGCTACTCACATATAGTTCGCCAGCAGCACCGATCATGAAGTCGCGTGAAATGCCTCGTGGGCCGAAGAGACTTTCGGTATCAGGTTCACTCACAGCCGGCAGCGAAGAGTTCCCAGGAAGTGACGACAAAAGACCGCCCATATCGAGGGCGGTCTTGCCACTTGTGCTGGTAGAGAACCCGTTGTCGCCTGCTCCGGACCTAGGACGGACCGGAGTCGGCCAGTCTCTGATGTTCTGTTGGATGGCTTGGGGTTGATGAATACGTAGGGTAATGTAGCGCAGCACCAACAGATGCTGTGACAAACTGATGTAGACAGGAAGAAGCTGATTAGACATGACATGCTTGATCCTCGCCTTGATGTTCTACACGCTCTTCCGCGTGTCAAGGGGTGGACGCAGCTGCAAGAGGTAATGGCGCATGGGCGTCAAGAAAGAATACAATACCTTGAGCAGAGGACGAATTCCGCCTGATTTGGGCCTTGACGACGAGAGATGCGAGCACAGCTCGAGACCAACATGTTGACAAAATGAGAGTAACCAGCCTTGCGAGGTGTAAGAAGCTCTCACCGGCCATAGGGACGATATCCATGTATGACTTGTCACAGCAGCGCTGGATGTTCGTTCCCATGAGAGGTACAGTAGCAGCTGTAGCATGGCTTAAAGATGGAACACCCATACGGTGTTGAATATAAGAAGAAGACGTCTTATTTATCTGACCAGTTTGACGATCTAAAAGTAAATTATTGAGTTCGTTCCTCAATTGCAAAGGCGGGTCACTAAGCTTAAAGTATAGGCCTCGTGTGCCTTCCGCCCCTCCATGTTCCCATTGGCGGCCAGGGAAGTGCGACCCTGAGGCCGACGTAAGCGCAGATACAGACAGACGCAGATGCCTCTCCGGTCTTGCATTCCACAAGCACACCCAGTCACACCAACGTCGAATATACATGTTATAATCCCGGGATACCCTTGCCCGTTCGCCGCATATCGCCTGTCGCTCACTACTCATCCTCTGGGTCCTTTCGTGTTACCTTTGATATCATCACGGCGTATACTATCGTCGAGCCCGTCTCCTGAGTCGCCGCCATCTCCTTGCGCAGTCTCATGTCAAATGCAGTCCCAGGCACCATATTTGGACTGATGTGGCTCGCGTGCCCTTCAACACTCCCATAACGCCAATATGTTCCGCGTACGCCGCTATCGCATCTTCCTCGTGGTTGCCCTCGTCCTCGTCGGCACAGTCTATCATCTCACTCGAGTCAACAAGTGGGATGGTACGACCTTGGAAGGTCTCATGCGATTCAGACCTGATGCGGGTAAAACCCCCATCTCAGACTCTGCTGCCCCGCCAGAGCCTATCAGCCCGCCCTCTGTCAACAGCGACGCTCTCCCTCCGGAGATCAAGACGGCCCCTGCTGTCGCTGCACCTGTCGATTCTCAGTCCGCCGCAGTCTCAAACACCCCTGTTACGACCGCACCACTATCCTCTTCTGCCCCCGAATCCAAGACCACCCTGACAGGAGATGAGCTCTTAGTCAAGCAAACGAACATAGAGGAGGATTTTGGTGAGCGTGGTCAAGGCCGATATGAAGTGAAACAACGGCCGGATACTCAGTCCAAAGCATATTGGAGCCAGCAACCGGAACACTTCCCAGTGCCGACACAAAGCCTGATCACTCTACCGACTGGGCAACCCAAAACCTTGCCCAAGATTCAGTATGATTTCGGGCGGGAGTCATCAGCAGCGAAGACTGATCGCCAACGGAAGCAGTCAGCGATTCGGTTGGCTTTCAAACATGCCTGGAATGGATACAGAAATCATTCGATGCCTCATGATGAACTAATGCCTATATCAAAAGGCTCTGCAGACCCTTTCAACGGGTGGGGTGCAACGTTGGTAGACTCGTTGGATACGCTTTGGATCGTGGGTCTGCGTGACGACTTTGAGGAAGCTGTCGACGCCGTGGCCGAGATCGACTTCAAGACATCTGCCAGAAAGGATATCCCCCTTTTCGAGACAACGATACGCTACCTTGGCGGTCTAATCGCAGCATACGATGTTAGCGCCGGAAAGTATCGCATACTGCTTGACAAGGCAGTTGAGCTCGCTGAAGTCCTCATGGGTGCCTTTGACACGCCGAACAGAATGCCTATCGGTTACTATAATTGGGCGCCATCATATGCTTCACAACCACATAGAGCTGGCACTCATACTGTCATGTCTGAACTGGGATCGCTTGCGATGGAGTTCACAAGGCTGGCCCAGATCACTAAGGAGCAGAAATACTACGATGCAATAGCACGCGTCACCAACGCTCTCGAAAAGTGGCAGATGCAGACGGAAATCCCGGGACTGTGGCCCTTGAGATTGGATGCCTCGGGATGTAAGAAACCAGAGGTAGTCCGCACCGTCGGCACCGAGTCTCTGTCAATTCCTGTACTTTCGGACGAGCTTGAAGCAGACGCCCTTGTCAAGTCCCCAGCTGGTAGCGGAGAGATAGGAGACAACTCGAAAGAGTCCAGCACATTGCGAGAACGGCAAGTTCAGGTAGAACCAGTCCAGAAGGAGGAGCCTAGCGAAGACGAGGCACAGCCGATTGACGGAGGAGACGAGCCACTTCTCGTGACGAACACAGAATGGGCGGAGGACTATGACAGTGTCGACTGTGCTCCTCAGGCTCTCAACTATGAGCCGCATTCACTCGTCCACGCATACGGGATTGGAGCAATGGCCGACTCCACTTATGAGTATTTCCCCAAGATGCATGCGCTGCTAGGAGGTCTCAGTCCACAATATGAGTCTATGTATCTGGACTCCATGGATGCTGTGCGTCGGGAACTGCTCTTCCGACCCATGACTAAGGAGAACAACGACATTCTTTTCGCTGCCAAGCAGGACATAGCACCATTGGCAACGGAGTCATCGGAGAAGAAATCGACGGTCTATGAGGGGACTCATCTGGGTTGTTTCGCGGGCGGCATGGTTGCCCTGGGTGCCAAGATGTTTGATATCTCTGGCGATATGAGTATTGCCGAAAAGCTCACGGATGGCTGCGTATGGGCTTATGCGTCGACACCTATAGGTGTGATGCCGGAGGCTTTTCAGTTGGTACCTTGCGACAGTCTCACTGCTTGCACGTGGAACGAGACCAAATGGCACGAAGCTCTCGATCCAAACCGTGAGCAACGGATTGCGGCGGTCAAGGCGTACAATCTCTATCAGCAAAGGTTACATGAGGAGATGCTGGATGAGGTGGAAAGCTCGACAGATGACTCATCTCCTTCACATGTGACTTCAGATCCTAGCATGGGGAAGAGAGACGGAGTATCATTTAGCCATGACGATGGACAACTTTCCAAGCCTTCCTCGTCGGATACCGACTCCAGTCTCGAATCGGAGCAGATGAAACCGCCGGAATACGTGCCACGAGTACCACTCTCTCACGAGAAATATGTTGCTGCCAGGATCATGGAGGAAAGATTGCCGCCAGGATATACAAGAATCAGCGGCCGCTACTATACACTTCGACCTGAAGCCATTGAGTCGGTATGGTATATGTATCGAATCACTGGTGACGAGTCATGGAGAGAAAAGGGATGGAACATGTTTGACGCAGTGGACAGGGCCACCAAAACAGAGATTGGCAATGCCGCCATCACGGACGTGACGAGCCAGCTGAACGAGCATGAAGATTCCATGGAGTCTTTCTGGTTGGCCGAGACATTGAAGTATTTTTATCTGTTGTTCAGCGAGCCTGATTTGATCAGTTTGGACGACTATGTTTTGTAAGTGATGGTCACGCGTGGTTCTGCGAATGTGTGCTGACAGCTTGACAGGAATACCGAAGCGCATCCATTCAGACGACCGACATGATGTTGGCAGTCGCCTGTATCAAGGGCTTGCTAGACTTCGACGTGGCCAAATTCTTGATAGGAAGCGTTGGTACCACAGGGTATAAGTACGTGGTATAATGGTATTATCCGTTGTCAAGGACGAATGACGCACTGTATTAGTGATCCTGGGGGCATCGCTCTCGCGCGCCTCGATATGTACTCTGTATGCCTTGACGAAGGATGAGCAGGCCTTCTGATCCGCATTGGGTGCACTTGTATCAATACAATTCCATGATATTCATTATCAAATGGCTATGCTGCTCAAGAACTGTTTATATAGATAGGAGAGGTGGTGATTCAGTGTGTGCTGAATGCTGGTTGTTAGTTGCTATGAGGACTTCCACTCCACTGCACGTGCCTGGAAAGAGGAATCGATCCGCGTATACTTTGCGGCAAGTCCAAGTTGAGGGCCACCATCAGCGTCATTCTGTTTGCCAACTGTGAAGTGACTTTCACTCCACCTTCCATGTTTATCACACCTACGAGTTGCGCTACTTCTGAACTGGAGATACCTTACCGTCGCTCTCTGCTATTGTTCCTGTTATTCTTTCTCCCATGATTAATCCCCCCCTGTTCGAGTCGCGACGCCTACTGCCTTCATGTCAACCCATGCCCGCGATTCTTTTCTCATGACGAGCGACCGTTCGCAGTATTGTCCTTCCCACCAATTACCAACCTTCCCAAAGACGATATGAAGCTGTTCATAGTATGGAACACGAAGATGCTTCTGGCTTCGAGGACGAAGACCAGTTCTGGGCCGGTGAGGGTTCCCGCATCCAAGGAAACAAGTCCGCGTTCTGACTGTTCTATTTCCAGTTCTCGACAAGACAATCTCGAAAGAATGTGATAATCATGGCAGCATCGATGATACCTTGCGATCCTACCTAGACCTAATCGGAGCCGGTCGAGGTATGTTAGAAGAATAGGCAGACAGCGGATGTGATTGCTCATACAAATGGACTACAGAACGCTTTCTACAGTCCGACTACGACCTGAGCGTATGCGCCTACAGGCTACGACAGTCGGATCTTTTTGCAACGCACACCGACTACATACGGAGGCAGTTTATCCAATGCTTGATCGAGGTGCGTACAATTTTTGATAGCAGTGCAACTGGGCGTGCTGACTGCTCGGAATCAAGGACGATGAGCCGTATGTCGTGTTGGTTGCGACACTGTTCCTCATAGCCGATGCACAAGCACACGAAGCGACATACGAATTGTTGAATGACGAAGGCGCCTTTCCCAGACTCGTGGACTTGATATCAAGTCCAAAGAGACATGGCCATGAAGAGATACACAGATCCCTTATGGAGCTGCTCTACGAAATGTCCCGCATCCAAAAGATCAAAACCAACGATCTGGGTACGTCCACCGTCACTTAAGCAGAGCGTGACCATTCTAATCCCATGTCATCGAAATAGCACACGTCGATGATGAGTTCATCAAGTTGTTGTTCCAAATCATAGAACGGGTGTCCGACGATGTAAATGATCCATATCATTATCCCACCATTCGTGTTCTGGTGAGTGAGGTTAGCATAGTCATGGGCAAACCAGCTGACTATTCTCAGCTGGTCCTAAATGAACAATTCATGGTTGCTGCACACGATCCTGAGAGCCCGCAGTCAGGAATACCTCTCACCAACAAGGTGATCAAGGTCCTCTCGGCTCATGGAAGTGTTTACAAGACGTTTGGCGAGAATATCATATTGTTGTTGAATCGAGAAGGTATGAACAGTATGATCTGTTAAGCTTGTACTGACGATCATAGACGAGACTTCGCTGCAGTTGCTGACATTGAAACTGCTGTATCTGCTTTTCACCACTCCTCCGACCTATGAATACTTCTACACCAACGACCTTCGAGTTCTGGTTGACATCTTGATGCGAAATCTACTGGACTTACCGGAAGAGGCCACGTCTCTACGGCATACATACCTGCGTGTCTTCTACCCGCTTCTCGAACATACGCAATTGCAATTTCCCCCACATTACAAGAGAGACGAGATACGCAAACTGCTCAGCGTGTTGGGTGGAGGCCAAATCACTGATCATACGGAAGATGAGAACGGGGTCCATCATTGGGGTCATTTTGATGCGGTAGATGAGACGACTAGACGACTTGTCAAGCGATGCGAAGGCGTGAGCTGGCTGGCTGATCCCGAATCTGAGCCTCTCACACGCGTGGAGTCTCCTATCGACGATGGAGCATCTGATCTCTCCTCCCCAACCTCTCCAAGCAAAGGGAAACCACCTGCTCTACCGACGCCTCGCAAGTTGAAAAAGCGGAACTCTTCCAAAGCATCCACGTTGACTATCGGTCAGTATCTTACTCCGCAACTTGAAGACGCCAGGAAATCAAGCCTCAGTATGATGGAGGTAGCAGCACAGAGAGAGAAGCCCGGCGTTATTACACCAAGCAGAAATCCTACCATGAAGCATAATCTTCGCACCGAAATAATGCACAAGAAAGAAATGCCGCCACCTCCTCCGCAAGCGAGAAGATCTGGCTGGATGAGACCTAAGATGCAAGGGCAGCCAACCGAGATCGAAGTCGCTAAAGCGGAGTCCACCGATTCAGCGCCTGAAACAAAGCCAGAAATCCCTGATCATCACCATCACCATCACAGTCCGCATCCACCTCTATCCATAAATCGTCTAAAGCACCAACAAACACCGCCGCAGCAGAAGGAAGTGGGGAGAAGCTCTAGTCTGACGGGGCCGCCTCCTGTACCCTCACACCATAAAGGCCATTTCAACAAGAAGCCGCCACCTGCACCCAAGGCACGAAGGTGGAGAAAGGACAGCGGTGATAAAGGTGTTCCCAGAGAACCCGGGAAATTTAGTGCCAATCTCCCGTCAATCGTGACAACGATAACAAGTGGAGAGAGACTTCCTAGCGACAGTTCCTTTTCAGCATTCTCGTCTCAGGAGAATACACTGAGTCCCCCGGGACCAGACTCCGCCAACAATGAGAAGGTGGGAGTCAGGGAAGCTCTAGGAAAGGCCCAGGAGAAGGCCCATGAGGAGATTACAGATACTTTGGAACATGTTGAATTTAATGGGAAGTCGAGAGACGAGCGTCAGGATCAACAAAAGCCTAGTGATGAAGCGAAAAAGGAAGATGGAGGTTTAGAAAACGTCCAAGAGGATGCTGAAGAGTTTGACTTCGATGATGATGCTGAAACGAGTCGGTCACAGTCCCAGGACGATATGGATCAGGCGTTCCATGATGCAGCACAGTCTCTCTCCCACACAACTTCCCGTGCGTCACCCGCTCCTCGACCGCAGGATCTGGATTCGACGTTGGTCTCAAGTGCGACAACGATGCCAGCCCCAAGAATGGTTCTCACACCACCAGCGCAAGAACCTTTGAGGGGCGTGCCGGGGCCTCAATACGCGTTGGAGCGCAGTCCTTTCTTGACCGATGAAGAGACGGAAAGTGATAACGAAATTGATGACAATGATGAGGATAATGGCACCAGAAGAAGGCATGAGCATGAGAGGAAACAATGAGTTTTGAGTGTATGGAGAACTGCACATCAAACGAGACGACATCCATGAATGAATGATGGAAGATGCCGAGTTAGGCATGCCAAAAAGATCCTGTTGATTCTATACTTGAGTGACCTGTGGCTGGTTCTTTCCCTGAAACGAGACAAGGAAAACTGTCTAGACCTAATGATAATCAATCATCCATGAATAATTCTGTATTTGACCTTGTGGAACTCCATAAGATTGGACAAGAGGGCGCGCTTCGTCCGAACACCTGAGTCTACCACAGATGGGTCTGCCGGTTGCCAAAGTCTGAGCGACACGAAATGCATCTGCATAATAGCTGTCCTGTCCTCGCGCTCGCGAGTGGCCTTGTAGCAGGATAACCAATAAAAACCTGCCTCTAGAACCATCGTGGCTGTTACATGGTCGACACCAGCGCCAGATATATCGCTTCGACATCACGGTAGTGCCGCGGATCGCGGTTGGCCCATCTTCTGCTGTCGAGTCAAAGCCTGGCTGACTTACTCGCCGCCTTGAAAGACACTGTTGGCTAAAACTGGGCCGTCGTAGGCACCCTGTTGCTGAGCCTTAGTCCTCAAGCTCGAGGCCATGCTCCGGGCAGGCCGGTTTATCCTGGTTTCTTGGGCCTGGATTTTGATCTGGGTAGCCGGACTTTGTCGTGACGGCGGTGGCTAAGTTGTCGAAGGTGGTGCTGCGAGCCGTATAATGGACAGTCAGGTCCGCCGGAGCTGCTCTCTAGACGTGTCTTGACATCAAGGGCCCTTTTGACGGTTTGAATTCTTGCTCGGCTCGAACCGGTGGTGTGGATGGTACGGCTGTCATTCAGTCCAATTGCCAGCCCATTTCCTCGGCCAGGACATCCGCGATGCCGTTCTCGTATTTCTCATCGCCGGAGCGAAGTGGTGGCCATTTCTTCATTCTTCTTCGGAGAGTTTCGACCTGGGATATGGAGGATGCCAGATCACTAAAGGCGAAAATCAAGTCAAAATGTTGATTCGGGTCATATACGCACATGCTTCGCAGAGCGTATCATAAAGACAGGGCAAGAAATGGGTAGTGACTCACTCTATCTTTCCGTAAACAACGTAGTCTTGTTCGGCAAGTGCCTCCGCCAACTCGACTTGATGGTTATGCAGGAGGTCTGTGTTCGGGACGACCACGATCGGGATGCCCACCCTAAGGACATCCAATACTGAGCCGGACCCTATGAGATATTTCTTGTTAGCAGAACTGTGGTTGTGAGTGTCGTTTCAAGACGACATACCTGCGTGACTAATGACCATGCCTTCGTCGGCAGCGGATCTCCCCTTGACAACGGCAATCTCTTCTCTCAGACCTGTTTTGTCGAAGCCGAATCCAGTGATAAGAAATCCCGTCTTCACCAGCAACGAGTTTGGATCGTCGGTCCTTTGCCGGAAGACGGCTTCTCCTTCATGATCGCCATACTGCACGCGTAGTTCTGTGTACCCAGCTTGCTGCAATGCTTGGATGAATTCGTCCGCCAATACGGCCTTGATGAGACTGTTAAATGGTGCTGTTGCACCAATCGTCACGAAGCATCTCTTTTTCGATGCACCACTTGCTTGAATGTTCGCCATATCCAAAATTGTCGCTGGATCAAGTCGGATATCAAAGGAATAGGATGAAGGAACGTTGGTTCACGCGGCAAAGTAGCGTGTATACTCCACCGTAGCTACAAGCCAAGCAGTACGTCGGATCATCGAGTCTCATGTTCTCCAATATCTCGCATGTCTCGGGGAAATTTCATGGATGTCTTCGTCAACGCTCATGCGATCAGGTTGGCTTGACCTTGACCCAGAGCATGGCCAACCCAGCACGGCATCTATGCCGCAGCATATTCCAGGTCACTCGACAGATACCTGTGAAGCGGAAATGTCAACAGCAATGCCCCGTCCGGCACCGCACGGCTGCTCCGTTCCGACAGCTCTCGACGACATGCTTGCGGCGAGCGGACGGACCTCCTGCTCGACAACCGGCACAAAACGCGGAAACTGATCTCGACGAGAGCGAAGACACCGACCCAAGCGAATACCTTACGCCCAGCACACCTATTTCCGTCGCTGATCTCGATCGCCAAGAGCGCGCAGATTACGAGGTGCTCACGAAACCCCAGCAAGAGGAATACCTGGCGCTGCAGAACCACTATGCCGCCATGTTCGAATCTATCGACGCCGACCCTGCGATGGACGATATCGCCATGCAAGTTGATCGCCAGGTCGACAGCGAGGTCGAGCCGCTTGATTTCCCGGAAGACCAATTGCCCCGTCGGGACATGAATTTCTGGGCGGTGGACGAAGACGACGAGTTCGGACAAGTGGAAGAGGAGGCACCGTGGGACGACTCGGCCATTACGTCCGTTGCACACAGTGAGCTCGAAGTACATCGCGAGGTCAGGGAGTATACCAGAGTGATTGCATGGGACATGCCGCTTCTCAATCGTATGTGTAAACCCGACTACGAACAATTGTGCCCTTCCATTTGCTAACGCAATGTGCTGCCACAGAGTTCGCAAAACCGTTCCAACCCCCAACAGAAGCCACGCCGCTCCGTTTTCGATACACGACGTATATGGGCGAAGTGCATCCGGCGGCGAAAAAGGTGGTAGTACAATTTTGTACGAAAGATTTGCCCAATCTGACTGAAGCGCAACGGATGAAACTGATCAAACTCGTTGGACCCCGGTACAATCCTGACACGGATATGGTCAAAATGTCGTGCGAGAAATTCGAAGCTGCTGCTCAGAATAAACGGTACCTAGGCGATCTCGTGAACAAGTTGGTTGATGAGGCGAGGGTTGGTGCGGATAAATTCGAAGACATCCCAGTTGACTTGCGACACCACAAATCGAAGAAGAGGGCCGAGTTTCCGGAAGAATGGAAGATGAAGCCTGCACGAGTTCAGCAATTACTGTCAGCAAGGCAGTCCCAAAGACTTCTGCAGGCAAACGAGATACCGGTCGTCGATGGGGCGGAGACAGTCAAAAGCTATGTACGAGCCATCAGTGGGAATCGAGGGGGCCGTGAGCAGAGGACATTGTAAAAACATTCCATTCTAGATTCTGGGTATCATAAAGAAAACGCCATGCTGGTCGTTACGACGCTTCTCAACATCTGCAATGTTCGATTTGGCCGCAGACCTTCCTCCCTGTCAAACCCCTGAATGACCTCCGGCTCTACTTCTTTCTGGCTGCGCCACCTCTGCCGCGCTTTGCGCCAGTCTTTCCCTTGCCTGGAGTGGCCTTCTTGGTCGTGGTCTTGTTGCTGCTAGCCTCAGCGCTGGCTGCAGCCAGACGCTCGGCCTGTTCCTCCTCCCACCCAGCTTGCTCCTTCCTTCTGATCTGCGCCATCAGGTCATTGGGTTCCTCTCCATTGCTGAATGTGTCGCTGGCGAGATCTTCGTGTCCGACGAGCACTGATCGGCGTTCTGGCTTCAGAGATTTGTACTTTTCCATCAGAGCTTTGCGCTCCTTCTCTTCTGCCTCGTCCAACTTCAAGGCTGCCGCCATTTTCTCCTCCTCGCTTTTTCTTTCGTTTTCGCGTTCTTGTTCAGCTTTCTTGGCATCGCGACCATTGAATCTGTTGAATCCACCAAGACCACGACCATGGTACGAAGACCCAAGCTGATTGCGGATCATTCGCTTGGCATCATCGCCCACGCGGAAGCCTCTAGCTGCAGCATTTGGATCGACGATACCGAAGCTTGGTTTGCTTTGACCGTTTTCGACGTGAAGACTGCCGAGTCCATGGCGCTGGCGGTACCAAAGTGGGATGTCTGTGAAGCCGACTGTCAGGAGGGTCTCGAGGTCTGTTGGCATTTCGTGTTTGTAAATGCAACCTTGTTGCGCAAAGTCGCATTCGCCTTTTCGGAGCCAGTACGAACAGTAGACTTTCTGACCAGTGATTGGAACGCTTGTTGGTGGCTTGACATCTTCTGGTGCTGCATTCTTTCTCCAAGCAGGAACGGCAGCAGGCTCTGGGCTTGTAGTGGCGCTTGGGTTGGCTGAGGTGCGTGTAGCAGTGGCAGCTGATTGGTTGAAAGAGATTGTAGAATTGCTGGAGGAGTCGTTCAGGTGCTGTTCTGGGAAAGGTGACGCAGCAGGGAGGACAAATGGAGAAGTAGCCTGGTCGGTAGGGAACGATACTACTGGTTTGCTGGCTTGGGGTATGCTAGCCCGTGAAGGAAGCACGCCACTGAAGTGATCAGACTTGGTGTTGTTGACCCCCTCGACCACGTAGAATTGGTGACGAGACTCGCAGAATCCAAGTGGTGTCATTCCGGCGATGTTGAATGCTGTGAGGCTTCGAGGTACACCACGGATCTGTACATTGGCTGGCAACTCGTCCAAGGCGATCAGAGGGACCAAGGCACCATTCTGGCGAGTGATGAAATACTGTGGTTTGAGGGTGGTATTGTTTGCCATTGTGTCCGTTGAGCTGGTCAAGCAGAGATATTCTGGCAAGTCAGTTGATATATATTGAAGAGCTCAGGTATGCAAGGCAAGCAAATGAGAAGAGACTTTGTAGAGACTTGTTGAAAGAGGAAGAGTGAAAGTTGTAGTAGAAAGAAATCTTTATAGGCAAGTGATTGCAACTGCCTGGGCTGGCGCGCATCGAGTGAAGGGAAGTGACATTGTCACTCGCAATCTCGAATGGGTAGAGACGGTGAATGGTGCATTGAGAGGTGAAGGACTTACAATGGGCACAATAGGATGATGCTGGTGAATGCTCTCACAGGGCCTGGAAGCTGATTGGTTAAGACTGGAGAGAAGGCTGTGACTTCAATAGGTATATTGTTCTTGAGTCAACGCACGTAATAGTGATGGTACTGAATAGCAAGATGGAGGAATGACAATAGAGGCTCATAACTGATGGATTTTATAACGAGGAGACCTCCCAGCGTTTGCGCATCTGAACATGTCAAACGGTCCATGGTGTCTGCGACAATTGTTGAACATTGTGTGAGATGATTGCGAACGAACAATCCGCTAAAGCAAACAACGGATCTCAGCACAGAGACAAACCTGAAGAAACAACGAAAGATGTTGCAGTGCGCAATGGCAAACCTAGGCCAATGCTGCTGGTGTGCTGCAGGAACTCATTGTGATATGTATCAGTCCGAATTGACACAAGGAAGACCTGCGGCTCTCTGCACACGAACAGTATTCGCGTGCATGAATTAAGGTCCACTAACATTCATGCAAGGTACCAGGGACAATGAATGTGCGCATCATTGAGGATGGAGGATGATGGATGCTAGGCAGTTTGCAACAGAATCGCAATGAGAGTACAGTCAGCAAACAGATGGTCTAGACAAGAAGGTGTTTATGAAAGAAGTTGGCCGTGGTGAGTCAGGCACCCACCGGCTGGTTTGATGCCACTAAATCCTACCCTAAACCATAGCAGTATAAGCGTAGTATGCCGGCTGCTTGGCATAAACTATGAACCTGTTTTTACGGTCAAATTGTTCATGGGCATATGGCGTGATCGTGCATGATCAAGCCAGAATGCCTGCCATCAATGGTCATTCCAGCACCAATGCCTTGGTCAGACAGCAAGATATCCTCGACAATCATGATCCCGGTACTGCTAGTATTGGATCCAAACCGGCGGCTTTCTGAGACACTTGTGCATCCCCGCTACCAGTTATGACTGTCCTTGAGTGGTTTTTGTACTCCAGGAGGCATAGGCTGTGTTGCGCGCGCAGTCCATCCTAATATCCGAGCCCCGGCATTATTATTGCACCAAGCATTACAAGCAGGAAGCCAAATCTCAACTACCAGAACCACTCACCAATCGACACCTCAGACTGCGCCTCACCTTTACCGTAACTTTGTACCAACTCATCCCGTGCCATCTTGTGATCTCCTTCTCATCGACGACACGCCTTTACCGCCCACAAAGGCTGATTTCACTATCCTCCCTTCTATCTCTTTCGCCTCATATTTCTCTGGTGCTGTCCATCCTCATACGCGTCCGAGTTCCTGTTTCACCGTGAAGCAATGGCCACCGAGGCCTCAATCGCTCTCACAAATCGCTCTCTCCGTACCATTCGAACAGTGCGTACTCTCATCACGCAATCGCTGCAATTCTCAATCACCATACTAATCGTGCCACAGGAACTCGAATTCCTCACAGATACATCCATCATCTCCCCTGAACAGCTGTCGTCAATTCTTGCCCAACTTCCTGCTCAGACACCGCTACATGCTCCTTTACAGGCTCCGGCAACTGCCTCCACAACCACGCCAGTCGAGCAATTTTCGAACCTGAATCTGAAAGAACATTATGCTCCAGTCCCTACGCCCGCCCCTCTCCCTCCTCCAGCCTACGTCCATACGCCTCAGATCTTATGTGTTGCAACAGCGTTATACGCATACAGCCCGACGGATGCCGGAGATTTGGCGCTGCAGCAAGGTGATCGGATACAGGTCATAGAACACATGAACAATGATTGTACGTGCCCATCACTCGATGAGATGATACGTCACTAACAATAGACAGGGTGGAGAGGCCGAAATGAGCGGACTGGCTTGGAGGGCATTTTCCCTCGCAGTTATGTCAACGTTGTCGACGACAAACGACCACCGATGATGCCGCCACAATCGTCAGACTACGGAAACATGCCACTACAGGTAGCCCAGCCAGGCGCCATTACTCCAGGCTCCGATGGACGAAAATACAGCAAACTCGAGGAACAAGGCAAGAAATTCGGAAAGAAGATGGGCAATGCTGCCATTTTCGGAGCTGGCGCTACCATTGGCAGCAACATTGTCAATGGCATATTCTAATGATGGAATTCGACTTCTTTAATGTTCAATATTGAGCCATGGGCTACGACTACGAAATTGGGTAAAGACATCTTTCGACCACAAGCCAGGGGAGAAAGTACAAGTACCGCGAGGGAATGTTAATGGACCAACACCAAAACTGGGAATTTTTTTATGTCAACGGGGCTGCATGGGAACGGCGCAAATTTCGGAATATGATGATGATTCGACTGGTTAAGACTTCAAAATCGAGGGCAGAAACCTCTTGACACCCTTTTCTTTTGTGCACTGTGATTTGTCTTTGGCGTTGGTGCATCGACCAATTCTACCGCCCGAGTCAAGAGCTCGATTTTTCTCTTCATGGACATGCTCGCTGGAGAACAGCGGCATTATAGACCAGCAGAAACCTACAGGACGAGCGATGTCCTGCAGGCTTTGCGTGCTTTTGAGTTGATATGCAGAGACATTGCCGCACATACCACATCAGATAGTGAATGGACCCAACATCTTACCAATTCCTGCAGGCCTTCCAAACCAGATGTCTCGCGAATGTTGCGTGCCTTCCTTCCCGGGTTTCCAACCGAGTCATGAGCCGTCAGGTGCGGCTGCAACTTATTGAAGGCATACCGGCTGAAACCATGTACCGATCACAGGGTGTAAAAAGATCCGGTATTTGATGGCGTAGGGAAAGCAGAGGATGCTCCCATGTTCAACAGGCCTCATTCGGTCCTTCCCTGGTCCAAATTCCTAGTCGCTGATCGCTGTGGTTTGTTGTAAGGTGATCAGTTTTTATACCGCCATTCAATCCTCTTCTCTTGCTGGCGGAGGACCGCTTGCTCGAATCATCTTCTCAATCAATTGACCACGGACTACCTCTTTGCTCTCGCCCATCCCCAGCGCCATGTATGCCAGAAGAGGAGGGTGGCCGACGTAGGATGCGTAAGAGTCTCGGACAATATTGTTCTTCCATTCATATGCGCTGGTGTCTGCGTGACCAGTGCCGACGTATTTGGCCTGGAGCGACTCGAGTTGCTGAAGTGTGCGGAGTTTATCGGCCATGATGAGTTGAAACTGGAAATTGAGGGACTTCTGGCAAGCTGAAAGTGATGAAGATTTGGTGGTTGTTGTTGAGATTCGAAGCCTTGAAGAAAAATGATCCAACGTCAAACTACCAGTCAGACTCGAAAGTCGTGAAAGTGTCTGGCTAGGCCGGTAGTCTGCAGGCTGGTTTGTCGATCACGTGCCGGGCTCTCTTTTACCTTTCAACCACGAAATCGGTCCAATTTCGCAATTCTGCGTCTTCGAGAAGACAGAGTTGAGGACCGTCTCTACCTTACTTGAGCGAAACGTCGCAATCCAGGAGGGCTGTCGACAGCGAAGTCAATCCCGTGACTGCGTGCCAAGCTCTGCTTCGCAGGTATTAGGGTTTGATAAGGGGGTCTGCTGTTTTGCTCGCCGGAGGCACCCCATACTTCAAATGTTAGATGTGCTCAGCATTCTGCCTGCCCATACCTGTACATCTTCCACAAATGTAGGTCAGCGCCGTCAGACGCCCAGACTGGTCAATAACAGACCGCGATCCGCACTAACTGGTGGCGTCGCCGAGGTCTTAGGGGCGAATATCCCCTAAAATCAACCACCAGCTACGAAGCGAGATCTTCGGGGAGTCACACCACACCCGAGTGTCGTGGCTTTTTGGCTAGCGGCTTATGGCAAATCAAGTGGCAGTTCATGTATCCCAAGACTCTCTTCTCCTGACTGAAACCCAACATATTGCTGTTGGTGACTACTCACGATCGAAGCTGTCTGTACACAAGTGGCATAGCTACTAGACTACGAAGTTTCGAGAGGAACAGACACTTTGAGAGGGTAAGCAAGATGTTGTTGACAATGGAAGTATCCCAAAGAGCACGCACCGTCGTCACTTGACTTGGCACCAAGTTCTGAGGCTGATCTTCCCGCACGTTCTGGCGGCGTGCGCTACAAGAAAGAGACTTTCTAGCGAGGTTTTTTTAAGACGTCAAGATGGTGGAAAGTGGTCGTGTCTATGAGGCCATGGACCATCACTTGACTTGACCAGAGGCCCAAAGCTGATCTGTCAATATGTTCTGGCGCCATGCTCAACGAAAGGAGTCTCTAGCGAGGCCTTTGAGAGGTCCAAATGGTGTTGACATTGATGGTTATACGAGAACTCATAACCTGTCACTTGACTTGGCACCAACTGCAAGGCTGTTTGTTCAGCACATTCTGGTGCTATTGTCAACGATAAAAGGAGTCTTTAGACGCCTTTGCTGAAATGCCCCTCTCCTACACGAATCTTGGGTATAAGCCAGCGTCCAGGCACTAAGGAGCAACAGAGCCTGGTGGTTTTCTTCACCTGAACTGGTCAACATTGCATTGACGGCTTCATGATTTGTGAAAACAACCACATAGGAATCGATCTTCGTCCGTCGTCTACCTCGACATTGTACCGACTCCCTTCGATCAGGGCTTCCTGCTTGGCTTCATCATCGCGCTGTCTCTCGACATGTATCAGCTCAGTCCCAAGTGGTTGGCTAAGGCACTCCTTAAATCTACCATCGCTCTCCATTATCAGTCTGTTCCTCTCCTTGCCAATAGATCGAGCAATGATGAGCTCGACATATACGAGAAAGAAGGTTCGTACCTTAACGGCGTGCTCTCCCATTCCCCCAAGAGGTTCATACCTCGACATGGCGAACAGGTGGAACTAACGATAGCATTAGAGAAGATGCCTTCCACCCTCGTCCATTACCCAACCGCCGACAAGATAAGGAACGCGGCTTTACTGGCTATTGGTGTCCTGTGGACGATGGCAAGACCCTCGATCTTCCTGGAGTTGAAAAACAGTCATAAGCCACTCCATCCGACCGCTTTCCTCGACGGAATGCGAGGTGTTGCGGCGTTCTTTGTGGTTCTCGCCCATGTCGGCATGTTATTTTATCCACTCCACAGCCATGGCTGGTCCTCAGAGGATCCGCACTTCTTCGAGCTCCCAATCATCCGCCTCTTGTACAGCGGCGCCGCTATGGTCACAATCTTCTTCATCATTAGTGGCTACGCCTTGAGTTATAAGCCGCTATTGCTCCTGCGCAAGGGCGCCCGGGCCAAGGTCTTCGACACACTCGCGTCCGCTATGTTCCGGCGCGGCGTCAGATTATTCCTCCCTGTTATTGTCGTCGCCTTTTGGTGCGTTTGTGCCCTTCATTTCGATCTGAATTATCCAAGCAAGGGCAAGGACAAGATTGATCCGCGAGTGGCCACGGTAGGGAGCTCGTTATGGTGGTGGTTCAACCAGACGATGCGTGGGCTCAATCCTTTCATAGCCCATTACGGAAATCTGTTTGACCAACCCTTTCCGGAAATAGACCGGACCCTGTGGACTATCCCGGTCGAATACAGAGGCTCGGTCGCAGTCTTTGCTCTCATCTTGATCTTTATCAAAACGCATCGTCGAACTCGATTGGGCTTGGAAGGAGCTTATTTAACCTGGCTCACATACGTTGGTCAGTGGGACATCTTTCTCTTCGTGGCGGGCATGGTGTGCTGCGAGATTCATCACATCACGAATCCGCCCGCCACACCTAGGTCTGTCGAAGGCCCTTTGCCCTCGGTGGAACAATCAGAGCAATTCCGCCCTCGAACGTCGACCACCGTCCACAGCATGATTCGGAAAAAGGTCTTGCCTCTGTTCATGTTGTTCCCCATACTCTACATTCTCACACAGCCCGAGAACTGGCTCGGCCGTGGCGATGCTCCCCTCTACGCCACCCTAGACGCCTACTTGCCCCCCTCGTGGAGCAGAAATGAGGAAGCTGGTCGCTTCTGGCCGTGTATCGCGGCGATCGCTCTGGTCCTTCTAGTCCAGCATACTCCGATCTTGCGCCGACTCTTCACCTTTCCTCCGGCCCAATATCTAGGCAAGATCTCGTATAGCCTATATCTTGTTCACCGGACGTTGCTCAACATGGTTCTGGCCAGATTGCGACTATTCGTCTTCTCTTGGACAGCGAAGTGGATTTCACTATGGTGGTTGCGCGAGTGTTTCAGCTTGCTGACAATTGCGGTTTTGTTTTTCCCGCTACTCCTATGGGTGGCGGATTTATTCACCCGCTATGTCGATCAGGCGAGCGTGGAACTGGCCAAGTGGTTGGAGAATAAATGTTGTGGGAGTGAGCTGGAATAGAATTACACCAGGCTTGTACCGATATCTGCACAAGAGTGTGTAAGCGGGTTCGCAATGTTGCGTGCTAAGCGGAAAGCGAGTGAGTCTGGTTACGCCTCAACGGGGCAAGATATCCATCAATTGTGTTACTTTCTATGTTGCAAGACAGAGACCAATATCGCACTGACTCGCGCATATGAAGCCTAACAAGCTTCATCATATTCTGCGAACGTGAAGAAGCTTTTCAGTCCATAGCTTGTTCTCTCTTGAGTCCTGGTCTCTCTACCAAAGAGAACTGTACCAAAATTGGAGCTAGTGCACACAAGGATGATGACCCTTCAGGGGCTGGTCTGCGAGTGGTCGATATGCCGTTGCTGGTGATTGACTTGCGCAGGTTGACGACGTTGCAGAGCCGACCAGGGCCACACAACGAGCAGGCGTAAATGGGATAGCTACGTGACGGACAATCGGAAGCGTAACACTGCCAGGGCCACGGCGATGTATACTGATACCTATGGAGTCGTTATATACCTCCCTTACAATGTACACTGGAGCAAGATTCCAATTGCATCTCAGTAGGTAAGATTGTGCTATATTTGCCGGAATCACGTGCCGGACTCTCTTCCGCCTCCAACCACGAAGTCGGTCCGAGATCGCTCCCAGGTTTTGCAAATTATGTCCCACTCGCACAGACAGAAACATCGGAGAACCCCACATCCACAATTGTCCCTCGGCCATACATTGCCGAATTTGCGGCGTAAAAGAGAGCGGTACTTTACCGCAGCGACGCTTGGAGTGAAGCTATGGGATGAGAAAACCTTCCACCTCGGGACGAATCGTATCATTCAGGTTCGTGGCGGGCCCGTCACCGCTCTCACACGTTCCCATCATTGCCCAATGAACCCTATCAGACTTGCGCTGGTGGGCGCTGCATCTAGAAGATCCTCAAGTCTCTCGCACTCTTCTTCCTTTCGAATGGCCGCCGTAGCTTCCAACAGACTATCAGCAGAAACCAGAAGGATGAGTGGCGGAAACAGCACCCAGAGCCGGAGCGCTTCCTCGGCCAAGATCAAGGTCAAGAATCCCGTCGTCGAGCTCGATGGCGACGAGATGACCCGAATAATATGGCAGGACATCAAGGACAAGTTCATCCACCCTTACCTCGACATCGACTTGAAGTACTACGACTTGGGCCTGCCTTACCGAGATGAGACTGACGACAAGGTCACCGTCGATGCCGCCGAGGCCATTATGAAATACTCGGTCGGTGTCAAGTGCGCAACAATCACCCCAGATGAGGCTCGAGTTGAGGAATTCAAGCTCAAGAAGAGTGAGTGGCTACAAATTCGTCCTGTCGCCGTAACTAACGTCGCGTCCTAGTGTGGCTTTCCCCCAACGGCACCATTCGAAATATTCTTGGTGGCACCGTCTTCCGCGAACCCATCGTCATCCCCCGCATCCCTCGTCTGGTCCCCGGCTGGCAGCAGCCCATCATCATCGGCCGTCACGCCTTTGGTGACCAATACCGTGCCAAAGACGACGTGATCCGCGAAGCAGGCACGCTGGAGATGGTCTTCACACCCAAAAATGGAGGAGAAGCCAAGAAAATCAAGGTCTTCGAGTTTCCCGAGACGGGCGGTGTCGCGCAGACCCAATACAACACCGATGACAGCATCCGAGGCTTCGCACACGCGAGTTTCAAGTTCGCCATCGACCGCGGATATCCTCTGTACATGAGCACCAAGAACACCATTCTCAAGGCGTACGATGGGCGCTTCAAGGACATTTTCCAGGAGATCTACGAGAGCGAATACAGGAAGGAGTTCGAGGCCAAGAAGATCTGGTACGAGCATCGTCTCATCGACGACATGGTCGCCCAGATGATCAAATCGGAAGGCGGCTTCGTCATCGCCATGAAAAACTACGACGGTGACGTCCAGTCCGACATTGTGGCCCAGGGCTTTGGGTCTTTGGGTCTCATGACCTCGCAACTCATCACCCCCGACGGTCTGACTTACGAGTCCGAGGCCGCCCACGGCACAGTCACAAGACATTACCGTGAGCACCAGAAGGGCCGCGAGACCTCGACGAATCCCATCGCCAGCATCTTCGCGTGGACTCGCGGCCTGGTCAAGCGTGGCCAGCTCGATGACACCCCTGAGGTCGTCACATGGGCTGAGTCGCTTGAGAAGGCCGTCATTGACACCGTCAACGACGACCAGATCATGACCAAGGATCTTGCGCTAGCTTGTGGCAAGAAGGAGCGCGAGGCCTACGTCACTACGTCCCAATTCATGGAGGCCATCGAGCGCCGCTTCAAGAAGAATCTCAGTGCCGAGGGTTTGGAATCGGTTGCCAAGAAATGAGCGGACTTAAGACGGATTGAGAAATAGAAAGCATAAACTATTGGACTTTCCGTGCATCTAGAGAGGAGCATTGGGGAAGAAGGTAGATGGAGTGTCGACAGTACCAGCCTTGGAAATATCTTGCATAAGAGCACATTGGTGCTGGAAGTTGTGGTACACTTGTCTATGCTTACATGCCCACCTGGTGAAGGCGATGCTGGATGCGGTGCCGAGAGGAAGAACGTAGAGGCCTAGATAGATATGAAATGAGTATCGTCCACGGCCTAAGTTCCAACTTAGATCGACCATCCGCGGTGAAGTAGTCTGGATTTCTTTGGCGGTATCGAGATGTCGCGATCTTCTGTTCCATGCTGGTGGTCAGCGCCCATGCATTTGCTCCAATCATAGAGATTTATAGGCAGCTGAGAGTCGCACAGAGCGAGATACTAGCCAAGTAGATAGAGAGAAAGCAGTGGAGAATTGGAAGGGCAGGACCAAAGGTCTACCATGAATCTATTGTGGCTCAACTTCTCCTGGAGAACATAGCCCTCTGACTGAGATCCGCCTGTGCTGTTAAAAACGACTCGGCAAAGTTGGGGTCGTCCAAAGCGCCTCTATCAAACATGGCTCGCCAGTAAGGGCTTTGTCCGTCAAATCATAAAGTGTCATGGTGGCGACGCCGGGCTAAATGTCGACACGACTTCGCTGCGACGCCTGGACATGCTCCGATGAAGACCGTAGAGTATGGTTTCCTCTCTCTTATTTCTTCTTGGGACCTGTCAACGGACCACCAATGTCTGCACCACGTAGTTTGACGTTCAATGCCCTCTCAATTTTGTTGAACAAGCCTTGGTCGGGGGTGGCATTACCAGATTCGTACCCCTGGATGATGGCGGCAGTCGTGTTACATTTTGTTGCAAGGTCCTTCTGTGTCATCTTCGGAGTCATCTCGTTCCGCCTCCTCATGATGATTTGTCCGACATCTCTGCCGACGGTCTTGGGCTTGACGATGTCGTCACTGTTGGCGACCATTGTCTGGCGCTGACCTTCCACATTTGATTTCTAGAGCATGGGTCAGCCACAATAACCGCCAGTGGAGGGTTCGGAAAGGACTTACGGTGTTTGCAGAGGCATACTTCTTTTCCGAACCCACAATGGCTCCAGCTCGGCTGGCTGCGTTGAGTGCTGATTTTCCCTTCACGACACGTTCACGCTCGACACCGCCGGCGCCTGGACCTCGGGCCTTGCTGCCGATACGAGTGACACTGTCCCAGTCCTCAGACATGATTGGAGTGAGTGGAGTGGTTGAAGCGGTGTGTAGATGATATGTCTTGATGATGGTCTCGTGAGAGTGTATATGGGTCTTCTGAAGGCGTAGGAAAGGCGAGCAAGTTGTGTCAAGGGTATAAAGGATTGGGAGTGGCAGATGAGTTTGAAGAGGCAAAGCAGGTAGAGATTGCTTTTGTAAGTGCAAGTTCTACAAAGGAAGAAAGGCTGTGAGTGAATTGAGGCTCAGCGCAGGTGAGCAAGAAGATCTAGAAGTTGCCATCATTTGCACGGCGCCCCCAAAATTGCCGAGACCATTGAGTCATCAACCTTACCTCCTTCACTCCCCGGACTTTAGACTCACGGCCGCTTTTATTACATGAGTCTTCGAGGCCTCCCATCTGGGAAATTAGATTCTGTCAGACAAGGGAGGTTGTATGGCAAAATTGATCATCCGAAATTGTCTTTTGTCCGTCATCTATGGAATTTCCTGACACTGCGAGAACCCATCAGTGTCCGCGCCCAAATAACTAGTAAGTATCTACACGCAATGTGGTACCATGTCATTCCTGAACCTGACCTTCCTTCATACCACAGGCCTTGCACGTGAGCCTCGTGACTCATTGCCGTGTGGAAGCCGTACACCCTATCTCTTAGCAACACACAGGAATGACATGAGTCTCCGGGAGACTGTGTGTGAAATCTGTGAGTCTGTCACCATGGACTATCGTGGTGAGATGGCCTACACCGGTCATTTCCCGAATGGACAAAGTCTTCTCGATCGCCCCAATGCTGTTTTTCCACTCCCCAACGTTAGACCCTTAACAGGCCCCCTACTCCAGCTTCCGATGCTTGAGGAATCTTCGAAACTTGCACATCGTTGCCCGAAGCAGCACAGGTTTTACTTCTCATGCAGTCTTATGTGCGGGGTCAACTAGGCAACTATTGTGTACAGGTGCCTGAAAATCGTACTCGTATAATCTGGAGACGATTTCTCTTCCCCAGGTGAACTTGACAATTTTCAAGGTCCTTCCGCCAATGTGATCAGGTTTGACGTCGCAACTGTACGGCGCAAATATGCATGCTACCAAAGTTCTGCTATGCTGGCTCGGAGTGGTAACAGCAATTGCTGCGTACGAACAGTTGTACATGGGCGACGAACATCAGTCATCATCGAACCTCACGTTAAATGTAAGTAGGGGCATTACAGCATCAACTCCAAGAGGCTTATCGCTAACATACATGACTTTAGTTTGATGACCTCGAGACCAACAGCTCCGGCATTGGCTTCGATCCATGGACCAGTCAAGCGCCACTGCACTACAAGGACTTGTACTTCCAATCGTTCACTGTGGTGAACGTTGCTAAGGCCCTCAATTCCCTTCCTGATCCCGTTGATATCCTCTGCGCTGCTTCTGCACCCAACGCACTCTTCTCGTCACGCAGAGAGGGCTACGTATGGCCTCGTTTCAGCTTGCACAACCTCACAGACGTGGATCAACCACGCAATCCCAATGTCACCTTCGACATGCGCTCCTTGACCTTCTCGCCCACGGGCAGAATCCCGGGGACTCTCGGTGAAGTTCTCGTCCTAATCCGATTGACTCTGGTTAAACTGCCACCTGACCCGCCGACTGGGGTCGTTCCACCTGAAACCTCTTTCCCGGGATTGGTCCGTGGCGCGCCTACGAACCTGCCGCCAGGCAAACACATCTACCAGTTATCGTTGGTCTTTGGGCCTGGAGCACACCCAAGTGTCACGCTGAACTATGATATCTTCCGAAGATCAGTTCCTGGGTTCGGCCGCAATGTCGATGTTATGGAAGTGTACGCGGAGCTGTTGCGGAGAGATGAGGAAGGCACAGCTTGGCGATCTGATGGGGATTGGCAGCTGTGCTTGGATGATATTGTGATAGATGTTGTTGAAAAGAGTCCGGCTGCCACGGAAGGGGTGGCCGAAGAGGTCGAGGGTCGGTTTGAGGGGATGTCTGTTACCGTGACACCAGATGGCTCACTTGAGTATAATCAAGCTGCGTGTGAAAGGATATTGAAGGAATTACAGCAGGCGTAAATTCAAACCGGCTGATGACCGCGTACATCCATAGGCTGGCGGAAGGATCTGCAGGACGACGTTAAGTCTATTCTGGGTTAAATTCCTCGGTGGGAATGCGATTCCTCGTTGCTTGATCACCGGAATGTTCACCTCGTATGTTTTGGTGACTCTCCTTTTCGAACAGAATATTTTGAGTTGTTTGACAGTGATGCATACTTTATCCTCTTCCGCCAGCCTTACGCCCAGATGGTTGGCCGTAGCTCTCACCATACGATCGCATCCAGGAGGTAGCTTTGTTGGGTCTGCTTTGATAGTGCTTCGACGACTCATCAGTTGCGAACCGCTGTCCTCCATTTTTGCCGCGGCCATGCTTGTAATTATCGATCATAACGAAGATGGGCACGAAGATGATGCTGAATACGATGCTGAAGAGGAGGTAGAAGAATGGTGCAAGAATGCGATTGATCAGTCGATTGATGAAATTGGTTGGAGGTAGTGGTTCGAACTTAGGAAGTGTCGGCTTCTGGTGGTTGGAGGAAGACATCTTGGAAACGCTTCTTCTGTATGTGGTAATGTGCAACGACGATGATTCTACATACAACTGGAAAGAGAGACGAGGGCAGAAGGTGTATCCGCGAAAAGTGTTTGTAACGAGTGAGGCCTTGAACGTTAAAGTCGTTCAATCAAGTCTTTGGCTACAAGTGACGTCTCGATGATCGAATTGTCAAAGCCACATACTTAGTCATATTTTCCCCTTACAATCCTGCCTATTATTTGTCTGTGTCTTGCCCTAGGAGGCTTGAATTACGGGGTTCAACTTAAGTAATCCGTGAGTGAGGTTCCGAGCCTCCCTTGCCTAGCGTGCACAATGATCCCGGCGGCCCATTTGACGGGAGATACGTCAATACGGCTTCCCAAAAGTACCTGGTACTATCGGCACGACGTCAGTTCTTGCATGGGTCGACTCCCTCGAAGATTTGTTATGCTGAGATGTTCGGCCTATATCAAGATTAATCCCATGCTCAGACGCTTTTGGGGTCCTCAATGGCGATGCCCTGTTGCTGCTTTGAGATTATGGCGTATCTCGTATTTGCCGTGGATGTGGTCGTGCTAACCTAAGGTAACCAGGTAGCGTGAGGCGCCCAGGGGTTTATCGAACCCTGGGATGTTCTACTGTGCCTTGCAAAAGTTCCTGAATCTGCAAGCTCGCCGAGGATATTGTAACACCAACTTTGTCCACTAACGGCGAGAATGAATACACATTTACTTAATAATAAGTCCGAAGATATACTCTCTGAGTTCCTAGATATCTTCCGAAGGTTTGGCTGTGAACTGTGTCGGAGGAAGCACTAAATATTTGCACCAATAGCTAGGCCGGGTGAAGGATATTAGAATCAAGGCGACCAGATACACAGAAGTTGGACAGCGAGATTGCTTACCAGTAACCCAAAGCAAATCCCATGGCCGAATCAATATATCTTGCTGCGTAGCCAGCGAAACCACTCGACAAGGGCACCCACGCCGCGATTTCTCCAAGAGCACCAAGAACACAGTAGACCACGAACCCGATGAGAGAGTAAGCTATGAGAATTGCCGCTGGACCACCTCTGGCGAGAGCGCTGCCAGTGCCTATGATGAGGCCAGTACCCACGGAACCTCCGATCGCGAGCATCGAAAGATGGTGGGCATTCAGCTTCTTTTGAAGCTGTCCACCCACATCCACCATAGATGTGAATCCCAGCTCCTCGAAGCCAAGATCAATCCCGCCTTCCATGCCCTCTTTGGGATGAAGCCTTTCGTCACCTTCATGAGACTTCCCAGAAATGTTGTCAGACATGTCGATATCTGTCATAGGCCCGATCGATTTTGGCGAGATCAAGTCTGAGGACCGCGGAGGAAAATGATGGTGCATGCAAAGCCTTCAGAAAGCGATTGCTCTCTATTCATGGTCAGTGGTTGACGGCCAGCGGTCAGTGTCTTGACTTTATATCTGGGTCTCCGATGGCCCAGACTACGAGCTAGTTGAAAACATGACAATCCGGAGAGGCAAAGTACGAGAACGTCGGACACCTGCCGAACATGGCTATGAGAGTATCGACATCTCATCTTACTCCGTAATGTGTCCTTCTCGGCGATACGTGCTTCGAGGAGGCAACGAGATAGAGCACTACTACGTGAAGAGCGACGCTACATATTAATTTAGTGTCTCGAACGAGATAGTACGGTCTACAGCTATTTTAGAGCGATGTTAGGGCCAATCTAATCCGCTGTGCACTGTATTACAGTGGCGGTGAGTGGCCTCGGTAAACCTACAAATTCATGAAGTTTTGCAAGGCAATAATATATTGACCACTTATTTTCCCGTCCTCGGACAACACACTGACTACTCCCTCTAACACCTGTAAACATCACGAAAATCGCGCAGCACAATAATGGATTCTAGCACAAGCACAGGGCCCCCGACGACGACGTCCGGCCAGGAAAGTGGGGTCACTTTTCGCGCTGCGAAATTGGAAGAAGACGACGTGCTGTCGAGGATACTCTGCAATGCTTTTCTCCCAGTCTGGTAAGTCTACATCACGATACCATCGATCTTCGGCCACGTCGAGTACTGACATCCCAAAGGAACCATAATTGGTTCCAAGGCATTTCGGAACCTCTGCAGCCTGTTGAGATTGGACGCATCAACGGCCCGACACCCAAAATGAGCAACCTGCAAAAGTCCCGCGTCATGTTCTATCGCACGGTGATCAGACTGACGAGGCTCGTGGGTGGAGAGGCCTGGGTTGCAGAGGTTCCCTCGTCTGAGAGCGATGGTGCGCCCACTGATGTCGGGGCTATCGTTCTGTGGCTACCTCCTCGAAAACGTTTGGCCGACCACGATGTCTTCACACTGTGGAGGTCGGGCATCTTAAACTTGACCCTGCCCTGGCACTACGGTTTCACGGGACTATACCGCATTCAATTCGTCTTTGAAGCCAACGTCGCGTCTATGATTGCAAAGAACTTGCCTGAAGGCTTTCAGATGGTCGAGTGCGGCTTCCCGCAGATCATCGCAAGAAATCCCAAGTACCCAGGCAAAGGATATGCTTCGCAGTTGTTTAAACACATACTGGATCGACACTTCGAAGAATACCCCGGCACGCCGGTGCTTCTGGACACTTCGACAGACCAGGGCGTCCGCGCATACGAACGGCTCGGCTTCAAGCTAATTGATCAAGTGCCAGTGGAAACCGATACAGATGAGACCGGGATACGCCTCACAAAAGCCGTGACTGCTGGGGCTAAGCAACGAATCAGGGATACCTGCGTACAAAGAGTCATGGTGAAAATGCCTTGAACGGAAGTTCCGGGCATACTTCTCCTTATTTTTCATTCTAAGATTCTTTCCATGGAGACACTTTCCCTCCGAAGCTTTAGCGTTGAGTTCCTGGTCACAAAAAGAAGGCCTACAAATTCTATCCGATGACTTCCACAATATCAGTCTTACCATACAGCTTGGGAACTCACAATGCCCTGTCAGACTTCCTCACGATCCTTGTTCGACAACCGTATAGTCAAACCCCTTGGCCGGCTCCGGGGGCTCTCGCAGACACAATGCCGGGTGGAAGAGTACAAGCACCGCGACCGCGAGAGTAATCAGAAAACCCTCGAACCATACGAAGTAGTCCTGGTGGTAAATGATAGGACCAGTCCATCCTCCATTCAGTTCTGCAACACGATAACAACACCGCCAGAATATGGCAATGGTCGCCACTCCCAGACAGACGAGGAACCCCTTCAGCTGCCACGGGAGCCTGGCCGTTGTTGAGCCAGCCTTCTTGTCTTTCCTGTCCCGGACCCGCCTGCGGCGGACTGCGATACCAAAGTCAACGCAGATGCCGATGAAGACCAAAAGCGTAAAGACTTGAAACACCAGTCCAGCAATCATGACGTTATCGCCTGTGTCCAAACTTGTGGCATTTGACAGCGCGATAGCGGCCATGGCGCCACCAGCAGCTTGAAGGATCAATGCGATTATGTCACAAGGAATGAACTGGGCCGTCAGTCAAAACGCCGTCCATCATAGTGGGCATTCATCGGGGCCACTTACAATCCTTGGGTACCAAGCCGCCGGTATTCTGGAGTGCTCCGGGCCAAAGGCATTGACAATGCGAGAGAGGCAGAGGTATATGCCCGCAGTGAGGAATGCAGGCGCGATTGTAAGGCAGATGATCTGCATGAGGAAGCCGGTCTCGGCCCACTGGTCGCCATACGAGAGGATGCGGCCGATGTACCCTGCTATTTCGGAAATGAGGCCCAATGACATGGCGATCCAGAAGCTGGGCCACCGTCCGGTGACGAGATAGGTAAGGGTGAAGCATAACAGGAACGTAGAGAACAGGGCGAGGAAGGTGATGTTTGGGGCAAGGTCGATCTGGTACATGTAAAAAGACGAGTCGATCGCGCAGGTGTTGAGTGTGCACCCGCTGGTGCTGGTTGGGCTTGGTAGGATCGTTGTTGTTGCGGTTGTGGCTGTACTGGTCGCCATGTTGACGTGCGGCGTTGAGACTGTAGAGTATGAGATGGTTGCAGACGTTGCAAAGTTGAACACTTTGACTGAGTTTGGCTTGGATGAATGGTTTCTTCAATTCTCTGTGTAGAGTGTTCTTACTTGTCAAGTGGGAATACCACATCTTAAATCCTCCCCCATCTATACTGGGCTTCGGAAGGATCAATCCATGCTGTACGAAGTACGGAAGGGACGTATTGTGATACTGTTGCGATATATACTAAGGGGCATGGGTGACAAGCAAAGCACAGTACATTTATACGAATTACGACGTAAGCAGTAAGCAGTGTATGCCTATACGGGTGGGCTCTGTTAGCGGCTGGCACCCACGGGCTTACCGTTCGTCCTGCGACAACGTACCTAACCCTTTGTCGGCCCGCACTGTCCGGCGTCTGCATGTTCTCATGCTGTCCCTCTGATCGTATGGGTTCGGTTCCAGGACTGCGCATCGAGTTCCAGGCCCCTTATAACCCTGAAGGTGGACATCAAGACAGCAATGGCCAGAGCACTGTGCATAGAAGATTGGTACCACAGATCCTGCTGACAGTGCCATTACGGCAAAGTCTTTTTGGGTCAATTGCTTCGACCGCTGCGTGTCCACTGCTTGGTCTTGATCAAAAAAGTGACCAGAATTCAACGACATTGCGGCCGCCCTGTTGTATACAAGACCCTTACAGGATGCTGCTGGTTTGGAAGAATCCCACAAAGAGACGCGCAGCTCCGTGCTGGAAGCGGTCTTCAAAGCACTGAGACGAGGCTGAATCCGCTGATATTGTGGGCACGGAGTTTCTTCATTGCACTTCTTTCGATAGTACAGAGTGCACAAAACCCTGTGTACCTCTGAGCCTCACTTGATGCAGTTGATAAGCTTAGCAGACATGATCGAATCGAGATATTTGAAACATGGCCATGTTTGCTGGCCATCGATTCCATCAAGCCTGGGGGGAGGAGTTGTCTACGGATCACAGCAGCAGGAGGTCCTGGCTTGCCAAGCCGGAGTTCAAAAGCGGCCTGTCTGGGTTTCGATTTGCGGAAAGAGAGCACCGCCAACAACACTACTACCCCAGAATCAGACTGCGCTTAGCTGCCTCAATTGGCCGAACCGCCACAGAGTCCAGAGATGCCAGGGCACTGGGGTACCTGATCAGTCCACACTCTAACCCAACAGCTGGCGTGGCCGGCGAGCTGCAAGCGCGGTTCACCCAGCATGCCGAACAAGAAATCAAAGTCGACCAATGTCGTAAACAACAAAGACGTTTCCGCTTCTGCCCTTGCTGCCTCTGCAAATGTAAAACACGGCGATCCTCCCCCGACAATGTCCGCCCCTGCGGCGGCTTCTGCGGGTGCGGGCCTCCCCAAAGACCTCGCGGACGACTTTCGTTGGAAGAACGCCCGGGCCAAAGCGCTCATCATGTCGACCCTCGTCCCCGGCACCGAACCCTACAAGATTGCCGAATCGCACGAGCTCGCCACGGACATTTGGAAAGCCCTGGAAGAGAAGTACGCGCCGGTAAACCAAAAGCCAAAAGCAGAAATTGGGAAAGCGCAAGACGGCTTGGGATCTTTCAGGTTGGATTTCCTCGGTGACTGGGTGGAGGGAAAGCCCCTAGACAAGTACATGGACATGTATAAGGCGGATCCGAATCCGGTGTGGAAGGCGAAGTCTACTGGCAATGGTGCGGAAGCACAACAGAATGGTATATCTCACGATGCTGTTACTACGCCCACGAATGCAAAAGCTGGTTCGGAGGCTAAGAACAACCAGCACGCGCGAAGTACTGTTGTTCCGAGGGGTCAACCAGAGCAACAATTTAATCTTCAGCCTCTCGAAGCGGCAGAGCCTGCGCTGACACGTTGGAGGCCGAACCATGTCAAGCATGACAGTTATCTGAGCGAGTATCAGGCTCTGTCGTTTGCTGGCGGCGATGTGCAACGGAGAAAACAAATTCAACTGGCCGCGACAAAGGTGCTGATGCAGAAACTGCCCACCCGCGAGCTCCGCTTTCTATGGGCTATACTTTATGGTGGTGAAAATGCACCTTGGCCAGGTTTTCTCTCAGTTGTCATTCCAGGCGTGACCACAGGGACAAGTCGCTTTCGAGATGAAAATGGCTGAAGTGAGGAAGCCTCGATAACGATACGTATTGACAGAAGAGCTAGGAAAGCTCGCGTTACTCAAAAGGGTATTTCCGAAAATCACACGCTCCAACACAACAACCGCACAATGTGTTCACACGCAACATCTTCACAAAGGGGTATTTACAGACAAGCCAAGATCAATAAGACTGCCACGACAGCGACCAAGCTTCTGCTGGCCTTGCCCATGGTTCCAGCAGCACCACTCTTCTCCTGAATATATGTGGCGTTCTGCGCGAGCGAGACAATATCTTCAGTCGCACTTCCCGTCTGCGCGATCTGTCTAAGCTGGTCGCCAAAAACGGCAAGGATATTCGAACTTCTCCCACTGGGGCAGAAGACGACCTCGAATCCTCCGCCCTGTGGGATGATGAAAGTGCTTGTCTGGTCGTCGTATGCATAGCTGTAGGCGTCTGGACACACTTTCTTTGCCTGGGTCGAGTAGTCGCTCGGTGAGCAGGTGGCGGGAGTGTCGTGACTACCTGTGCAGCAATACTGGTCCTTATTGTACTTTGCACAGGCGCTCAGGCAAGGGTTGAATATTGGTCGCTGGATGTTATCGTCCGGATATGGGTACACGCCGTCGCCAGGCTTCTGGGGCGGATCCAGCTGTAAAGGCCAAGGGCACCAGCTTGAAACAAAGGCCTGGGTGACTGATTGCTCTAGCGGCAGAGGGTATGTCGAGTTTGACCCGAAGTTAACGTCGGCGGCATCGCCTACAGCTGCAAGCAAGGAAGATGTGCCAATGCAAACAGGATTGGTCAGATTCGGTGGAATATCTTGAAGGGTGGAGTTGTCAGTTTGGTCCAGCAGGGATATGATACCCACTGGAATGTTGTATCCATCGACAAGCGAGATGTCGTAAAAGGTCTGATATGTGTCTGAGGACATGGTGAATTCGGCCAGTGTCGCCGGTGCACCTGCCCCCTGACATTCGAGGAAATTGCCACAGTCACCGGTTGTGCATGGTGCACCTCCTTGTCCACTGGTCTGGCTCGAACTTGAAAAGCTGCAGTTCGTTCGCGCCCACACTCTGCCTATCCAATCGCTGCCGACCGTTTGCGGATTCGTGTCGCCTGAAGCCAGCATGAAGCCAGAGCTCGCTGGGCCTGTTCCACCCTGCGTCAAAATGGCCGGCCAGATGGCCTCGTTGCAATTGTTGGTTATACGGAGTGGAAGTGTTGTATCGCGAGTGTGGAGGTGCAAAGACTCTGCAACGGCGGCGCCGACCAGAGAGGTAACGAGCAAGAGCATGGGAGTAGGTCGACATGCCTGTGATGAGTTAGGAATCTTATGACCTGTTGATCTCTGTCCTTTTGCTGGGGAGATTGCGTCGAACCGAGAGATATGCTCATCGCAGATCTGAGTTGCCATCGTACCAAAAATCTCACTAAGTGCGCAACCCGAGTGACTTCTGGCTTTGATGATCGTTCCCGCAAGCCGACTGATTTCAGGTTGCTCGTGTGCAGTACGACCTTTCGAGAGTCGGTAGAAGTTCGTGACTACCCACCGAAGTCCATGAATTGCCCGTCCGATACTGCCTGGCCAAGTCTGTACTGAAGAGAGCAACCGTAAGGTGATGAGGTTCGTCAAGCAGAGGTACTGATACGTAATGTAGCCTGATGTATAGATAATGCTCTTTTCTGGTAAATGGGATGCCCGGCTTGTTTGAGATTTGATCATAAATGAGAGGTGACGGTAGCTAGCTATCAAGGAAGTCGCAATTGACCTAACCCATATATACAGGGTAGCTCTCTACTGTATCGTGATATCCTTGGGATTGTCGATCGTCTCAGCAAAGCCACATCAACTTGGCAGATTCATCGACAGTCAAAACGAGGGTAAATGAGGGCATCGCAGATCAACATGAGGTGTCTGGGCTGGTAACTTCGGATCGTGCCATTGGGGCCGATGTAGTAAGCGAATGGTAACGATGAGGTCCATGGACAACCAAGCTCTACCCAAGAAGTTGCTTTCCAGGTATCATCGACACCCTTACCTTGGTCACGGTTGGTTCGTGCCTTGCAATCAATGCATCTTATTGGTATGCAACATGATGTCACTGGCGTTTGTCATGAAGATCAGAAAGGGGGCTCAGCTTCAATTCACAGCCACAGCAGCACGTGCTATCACGTGCATATCATGTGGCTGATCTCCAGTTGGCCGCACAAAAAACGCAAAGTGATAAGGGAACACGTCTAGAAACCGGAGGATTGATGGTGCCTAGATATGTGATCGGACAAGGAACACTTGGATCTGAGACGTACTCCGTTTTCATGCGTGAAGGATGTCGACACAGAACCACAATACCCATTCGGTACGCTCGTCGAACGGCCCTCCATGACCTCACCATTAACCAACATCTCAGGTTGATTGTGGACTGTACACGAGACTACGCTGTACTGTGGTATGCAGAGCAGTGTTCCGGGTACATAGGTACTTGCTAGCGAATGGCTGGGATAACTCCCTGACGACCATTCGACTGCATATAGGCGAGCCGGGCACACTGCACAAAGATCCTGGCGACCTTTTCCCGGACAAGCATCAGACCCTGGATCTCGAGAACGTGGTCTCAAGCCACTGTCCTCACCATCCCGTCCACGGATCCTAGCTTACGGGTGGCTCGTGTAACTATCCAGGACTACGGGAAAATGATCCTCGGCTATGTCTTTTGGGAACTACGGCCTGATTCGTCATGAACAACATTTCTGGGACTGATAATAATCAGGGAACGTTTTGCTGCAACCCAGTTTGATGTCTACTTTGCTTTTTATTGATGGATCTTATGCTCCCCTGCTCCGGTCGTGCAGCGCTTCGGTTTGTACCTACGCCTGGACCACTAGGCTAATCCAAGGTTCTCTATCCTAGTAAGAGATAAGATAAGACAGGCTCCAGGAGGGGTCCTGCGGATTCGTGTGCAAGATTTGATACATTTGGTGTATCGACTGGCAAACTTTACCTGTACAAGTTCGATGTATATGCGTTGCACTTCCCCTTTTCCTTACACTGGCCAGCGGCGACACCGACTTGACAGCGCCAGTTCTAGATTGGCATACGTTCAAGGTTGAAGGATGTTTCGTTTTGATTGTGCGCCATCTCAGAACAAGGCGGTGGTGGGACCGAATTGCGTGGCCTCACTCAACCTACTGTACCCTAAAACCAGGAGCGGAGTTCAATGCTAGAACCGGCAGCTACATCGTGAGTCGGATCCTCGTTGCCGATCATAAGGCCGGAGATTACGATAAGGACCCCTGGGTCGCCCTGGACCCATGTCAAAAAAGGCTAAAAGCGAAAAATCATGAAGCTAGCACGTTAATGTATCCTGAGTTATCGTGGCAGAGCTGAATGTCATGCGTCAAAGCTAGTCCTGACAGGCACACCATAAACTCTGACAACTGAGGATTCCACACGGACCGGTCGCGGCTGAACTGCACAAAATATGGACACCACACTTTGAATATGTGAGACCACTCAATGCTATGGGCGTTGATCGTGTGTTGAAGAGAGGCTGCGAGAAAGCTGACACAGCCAACTGGCTCTGAAAATCGGGTGAGCCAAAGGGAAACTTACAGACGCATTCCAGGCAAATATGGAGGTGGCGATCCCCCTGTAAGGGACGTTTGTTGGAGCCCTGTCACCTATGAGGCTATCCCTGAAGCCCTTACTGTCAAAAACATCAGTGCACGCGGTCGGAACTGTAATGCTCTCCTGAGTGCTTGGTACGATCAACCTCAGTGCAAAGTCAGAAGAGACTTCATCACCTTGTCAGGAGCTCTTCATTGTTTAACAAAAAGAGATCCAGTCATCTTTGTCTTTTCTAGAGAATTTGAGGCAGCGTGGTAGTATCAACATCCACCCACCCCCAACAGTCAAGATGGTGTCGTCAATTCAAACGAGGCTAGATGGCCAGCCAGAACTTCGCAAAGTCAAGCACATATGTTGTATCGGTGCAGGTTATGTGGGAGGACCTAGTGGCGCCGTGATTGCAAACAAGAACCCCAAGGTTCGAGTGACCATTGTCGACCTGAACGCAGAACGCATTCAAGCATGGAATTCGGATCATCTACCAGTCTATGAGCCTGGCCTGAATGAGCTTGTCAAGACTGCAAGGGACGGCGTTCCCGGTGTCCGTGAACCAAACTTGTTCTTCTCAACACAAGTCGACAAAGCCATTGCAGCAGCCGACTTGATTTTCGTCGGTGTCAACACCCCTACCAAAACCCAGGGTGTGGGAGCCGGAAAAGCCTCTGATCTGGGGTGGCTCGAAGCTGCCACTCGCCGGATCGCCAAGGCAGCCGAGCATGACACCATTGTCGTGGAGAAGAGCACAGTCCCCTGCCGGACGGCCGCCAGTCTCAGGGAGATCTTGCAAGCCAACGCCAAACCCGGGGTGAATTTCGAGGTCCTGTCGAACCCCGAATTCCTGGCTGAAGGCACGGCCATCAAGAACCTCCTTCAACCCGACCGAATCTTGATAGGATGCTTGCAGACCGAGCAAGGCTGGGCGGCCGCGCGAGAATTGTCCGAAATCTATGCTTCGTGGGTTCCCCGCGAAAAGCTCATAACGATGAACCTGTGGTCCTCGGAGTTGACCAAACTGGCCGCCAACGCCATGCTGGCCCAGCGAATCAGCAGCATCAACGCCTTCAGCGCCATTTGCGAGGCGACGGGTGCCAACATCAACGAAGTGTCCTACGCCTGTGGCCTGGACAGCCGTATCGGTCCCAAAATGCTTCAAGCATCCGTGGGCTTCGGTGGGTCCTGCTTCAAGAAAGACGTTCTCAATCTCGTCTACATCGCCGAGAGTCTGAACCTCCCCGAGGTGGCTGCCTATTGGGAGAACGTGGTATCAGTCAACGAGTACCAGAAGAGCCGGTTCACCAAACGTATCATCAACGCCCTGCACGGCAATCTCTCGTTGAAGAAAATCACCGTGTTGGGCTTTGCCTACAAGAAAGACACAGGCGACACTCGAGAGAGCACCGCCATCACCGTCGTCAACAACCTCATTGCTGAGAACGCGCAGATCAGCATCTACGACCCCAAGGTCACGGAAAGCCAGATCATGAAAGACCTGGCAGAACAAAATAGCCCCGAGGCCCTCAAGAAGGCTGTGACCGTCCACACGAATCCTTACGAAGCATGTGCCGATGCCCACGCCGTCGTAATCCTGACGGAATGGGAGATGTTCAGCAACAAAACACCCACCCCCTCTCCGATGTCCCCAGGCGAGATGGCCCTGCACCGTGCGCTTGACTTGAAGATGCCTCCTACGCCCCCGGCCAGCATTAAAGAAGGCAAGCCGTCATCTACCAACGGCTCTCCCACGGAATACTTCTCAAAATCCAACTCTAGTACCTTGGAGTCCCCGACGAGCCCTATCCAGTGGACCAGACCAGCCACACCGCTCCGTTCCGAGGAGGAGCTCCCCGGCCGGCTCGACTGGACACGCATTGCGTCGAGCATGCAGCGGCCCATGTACGTGTTTGACGGGCGCAACATCATTGACGCGGCCAAGTTGGAGAAATTGGGCGTAAGGGTTGAGACTATCGGCGTAGCGAGCTCATGGAGGTTCGATGCCAACCTCGCAAAGTGAACGTCTTCTTGCTCATGTCTTCTGGGGGTTTTTTGGGGGGTTTTTTGCACATGTATCGCTGAACCAGGAAGTTGCAATGTGGGAGGTTTACCAAAGGCGCATATCTTAACATAAAGCTTCATGTTTTACATATGGATGTCTGTTGTACAATTTGTTCAATCGTTCTAAAGCTCGGACCAAAAGACTATTAATGGTTTATACTGCCGCCCGCGGATCTACCCATTTGCCCTGCTTATCGCTAAATAGTTCATCCCATCCCTCATTCTCGGCGCCGCATAGCTGGTCCCATCCCAGCCAGGTAGGCGTGGTGGCCGTTTCGGCCATGACACCGCCCTTACTCGTGACAGGACTCCACCACTGGCGCTGGCCATGGAGGTCGGTCGTCACCGCCACGGGCGTGCGAGGCGCAAGAATTCGTGCGCGTAGATGCTTTCGCAGATGTGGATAGAACCACGTCCGTGACCACTCAGACTCGATGGGAGCTTTGGGTCGGTTCATGTGGAATGTGGCCGGAACAACGGCAGAGTACATCTCGGTCCAGAGGGGAACCTCGTTCCACTGTTGAGAAGAGAGAGCAGTGTCGTTATCGCCGATGACGGAAAATGGAAGCGCAGAGCCTGCGATGTCCTTCTCCAGAAAATGTTGATCGACGCGCTCGGGATGAGGAAGTTTGGCCAACTCAGCAGGGTCCTCGAGCTTCGAGAAGGTAAGCCAACGAAGTTTGTAATATTCGCCGTCGAGGGTGTGAGTGATTCCCCCCGTATAGTCGAGACCAAGGTGGTATTCGTAAGTTTGATTGGTGACGGCAGGATCGATGCCAATGGCTGTCGCATTGGTCTCGGCTATCAACTTGCTGCGTTGGTCCTCGAGGCCGAAGTATTTGTTGACGCGGCCGACCAGCTTCTGAACTGAGGAGAGGTGTTTCATTCGGAGCAACTCACGCTGATACTCCTGTTGCGCGAAAATCTCGTTGAATGCCATTTGATCAGAGAAAGCCCATTGGTCTGCAAGAATGACTTGTTCTGCTCGCTTCATGACCCTTCGGACATCGACTGCTGGGCCCATGATAAAGCCAGAGTTGAGCCAGCGGGCCCGAATGTCCTTAAGCTCATTGTCATCTGGATCGTCGTAAGTGTCTGGGGCCAACTCGGATTCCGGAAGCAGGCTGCATGTTGGCGAGTCCGGTGACTGTGGCCAGCACACCTTCCCGGCGGCCACAATTATCGTCTGTCTAATGTCTGCCTTGTCTGCTGCATCGCCTAACCGCCTACGTAGCCGCGCGTTCGCTTGAGCTATGGCACGTTGATAGCGATCTAGGAGCACACTTGGAGGGAGCTGGAACCACAGATCGTAGCCATCCACGATCAAGACCAATTCCTGGTCAGATTCAGGCCCCAGTGAATCGAGATATCTCAAAATTCCAGAGACTTTGGCAGTGTGCGTGCCGCCATAAATGTCTCCTCTTTTCGCTTTTTCATCATTCCCCGCCCAATTGATCACTATCGGTGTCGGATAATCGAGGACTGCAGCACTGAAGAGAGTCTTGCAGAATCGGACTCCACCATTCGTTGCTGGTATGATAAGATGAAAAAAGTTCGAGTTGGTAGAAGGCACATCATCGCTCCAGACATGGTGGGGTGTAGCTCTGAAAAGCAAGCTGATGATCATTACCAGGGCTAAGACGATGGAAACCCGAGCAGTAACGGAAACTGCTGCCAGTAAATGCAGCGGTCGCCGAACGATGTGTTTAGGCATGGACAGTCCGCGAGGTCGGCCCTTGTAGGCCTCGAAGGTGCCATCATGCTCTTCTTGTTGAACAGAGCTGTACATGGCGGAGAGAGACTGACGACGAAAGTGCCTGGCCCACCCCAAAACCGACGACATTTATTCGAGCAGCCTTGCTCAATTCGACATATATTATGATATTTCCATGGACGGTTGGATCAAGAGGTGAGTAACAAGTCACAACGATACAAATCCAGGCTTGGTATCTTTTCGTTTAGGGCTGGCTGGAAGACTTTCTTCCAGGGTCTCGTCAGATGCAGGCACGTCGGCACGAGACCTGACTATGTTAAGTCAATTGATTGGTGGGGACGGAGCATGCTGCCCACCAGGGCCACCACGCGTAGATTGACCTGCATACTTACTAGTAGGGGTAAGAAGCACCCAGTATGAGAGCCTCGTAATCCGGTGCTCAATCAACCGACGCCGCATATCTCACTCACTAGATTGCATTATTCTCAGCCCGCCAAAATTATCAGACCCCTGTTATGGGCATGCTGCAGCCTCTGCAGGCCAGGTATTTCTCCGGACACCTACGAGATAATTTCCAGGTCTGGGATCCGGACTCTGGATTTCTGAATGGTGGAAAGGTAAACCGCTGGAGACGCCCGATAATGTGGGCTAAAGAGCTGTGAGTTCGACTGCCGAAGTGTGAAGGCGATTTGCTTTCCTGGTAATCAAAGTCAATGGATCCTTCGATTGCCGATATCGAACTCGTTGACCCTGCCCGTAAACCCCTGGGCCTTACTGTTATCGGATTGTTTCAGGCTCGCGGTGCCATGCTTGCAATAATCTGCTTGCAATAATTTCTCAGGCTTACGACGTGTATCCTTGTCGACGGTCGTTATCGAGGGGCGGGGTGTGGACTCGTCATTGACCGTTATTGAACCCGGCACACACACTATCCATTAACGTTTCCGCAACTCTAGTCGGTCTTGGCTGCACATATTCTCTTCAAGTTATCGCCTATTCCGATAAGCGCCCCCATATCAAGTGGGTCCGTATATGCCCACCTGTAACTGGTCTGAAACGGCCCGCCTTATGTAGGTCGCACAGAGACAAATTCAAGATTTACTGCGAGACAGTTAGAGGATAACGTATGCGCATTATTCCACACTCAAAAACAACTCTAACATCTTGTTCCCAGCCCCAGTCCGGACCGGGTGTGGGAACAACTCTATGTCGGGATTTCTCGTGGCTAATCATTGGCCTCTATCAAAACTCTAAGATAATAACACTGTCTATGGCTTACGGAAGAATCGACTGCTGAAACTTGCGATAATGCAGAGATCGAAGGAGACACAAGTAGTGAGTGCATCGTTTATGAGGTCTCGAAGTGATCAAGCTCTTATCTCGTGCTGCCTGTGATTCTGCTGCTGTGCTCGGGGAATTTCTGGGGTAGGCTCTCAGGTACCAGTGGGATTCACTCTTTCGTCAACCTGCGACCTCGATCCACAGTTCCCGCACAGGTCGTCAGGCTTTGCTTGTACAACTTCATTCTGCAAGACATCAAGCAGCTTGTTACTTTCCAGCTAACATGGCAGCGCCGTGGACACCAGAAGGACGAGGTAATTATTTGGCAAGCCTAGCATCTAGACACGCCGCTGGCCCAAGTAGCAGCTTCATGAGCATGACTAATGGTCGCCTGTAGTTCCCTACGAGGACCTACGTCGCTCCTCCGACGGCACACCTCTCGAGTTTCAGAACGATGAGAAGCACCTGTCATCCGACGAGGCAGAGCCCTTTCGGAATAGCGAAAAGGTTGCCGAGTACGACGCTTCGATGTCCCTTCGGCCTGAAGCGACCCAGCCCAAGGTTGCCATGGAGTACTCGGTGCCCACGACGAAGAAGTTTACGGCACTGTTCATTTATTTCCTGTGCAATGTTGGTCTGACATTATACAACAAGGCTGTTCTCGGGTCGGTAAGTTGGGTTCGGTACCTGCTCAAAATCTATGGGCAGGAAGTCGCATTGCTGAATACTTGCTGACTGCTTGTGATCATGCAGTTTCCCTATCCCTGGCTATTGACAGCATTGCACGCCGGATGCTCGTCAGTAGGATGTTATGTTCTGCTGCATATTGGCTATTTCAAGCTCAGTACACTCGCGCCACGGGATGCTTACGTATTGTCCGCCTTCTCGTTTCTCTTCACCCTGAACATTGCCATCTCGAACGTCTCCTTGTCAGTATTCTCCGTCGCGGCCCTCAATACGGTGCTAACTTGATCAGGGGTATGGTGTCAATACCTTTTCACCAGGTCGTACGTGCGACAACTCCACTGGTCACTATGGGCCTATATCGTGTGATGTACGGACGCACGTATACTCGAGCCACATGTCTGTCTCTGATCCCCGTCATACTGGGCGTTGCTTTCGCTACGTTCGGCGACTATTCCTACACAACGTGGAGTTTCCTGGTTACCTTCCTGGGCGTCGTTCTGGGAGCATTTAAGGTACGTTTCAAGCCCTCATGTCGGTCTAAAAATTTGCCAGCTGATCTTCTCGCAGACCATCACTACGAATCAAATCATGACAGGCAGTCTCAAGCTTGACCCTCTTGAGTTCTTGCTCCGGATGTCACCTTTTGCTTGCCTTCAGTCACTCATCTACAGTGTATGGTCAGGCGAAATCTCGAGGATGCTCGCGGAAATCGACCAAATCTCTAGCTACCCTATGGATCAGATAAAGTATGCCCTTGTTGGTATACTCATAATCTTCTTGGGAAACGGAGTTCTGGCATTCTGTTTGAATATATCCTCCTTCACCACAAACAAGCTTGTGGGAGCGTTGACCATGACGGTATGTGGGAATGTCAAGCAATGTATGACCATCATTCTGGGTGTGGTGCTTTTCCACGTCCATATTGGGGCATTGAACGCGTTGGGTCTGTTCATAACCACGTGTGGTGCCGCGGTATACAGCTTTGTTGAACTGGCTGGGAATTCCGCGCGCCAAAAGCAGACTTCAGGTACAGGTGCAGTCTGAAATTCTCACCACCCTGGGCTGGGAAGATGCAAATATGGTTACAACCAATGTGAGAGATGGCGCACAGCGAATGCACTAGTCTCCCTAGATATGCACAGTTCCACATCTTTGACACAGCACTCATACGATTCCAAGTGACTTAAAAGGACATCCACCAACAGAACAGGCCGTTAAGCGGGTCAAAGTCTCACCCCTCCAAAAGGCCCATTCTGGATAACACGTGCTGTTGTAGGAAGTCTAAACGCGACCCTTGCATGTCCCTGTGAGGTCAGAAGCTCTGCTACATTCGGCTGCATCTTCGCAGAGCCGCTGGCAGGTGCTGCATGATCGGAAGTTTTTGACCCTGACCGAGGTTCTCGCGATGGTGATTGGACATAATGGAATCAAGAGCATGAGCAGTCAGCTCCTCTGTCAAGTACAGCAGCTGATTGACTTGGTTCCGAGGTAATGTTGTTGTCGACCGTGATCGAAAAACACGATGTCTACACTACGCACGAGCCTCATCTAGCTCGCTTCTCGGGCCGATCCGAGCTCGTATTCGTATCCCTAGGTCTGTTTGATCGACCAGTAGCATGAACACTTCGTGATGATGGGTCTATCATTGATATGACAATACTGGGATTCAAGCTAGCCTGCCATCGGCGGTCCACATGTCGTATAGACATCGCTGATATAGAGATGAAGGTCAGCAGGACAATCAGCACCAGTAGACCTGACCTCTTTGCCGGTGACTACCCCCTCATCTCAAAGACCCAAGTCATACCTGGAACATAGCGATCAGCCTTGTTCCGCATGGGTCGATAACTCCAATGGCAGATGTAGGTAGAGGCCGGGATCTTGCTCGAATAGCCAGAGACCGGTAGAGAAATGACTTGCTGTCCGGAAGCGGCATTGTCGCCGAGAATGGTTGGTGTCAGGGCGGATAGCGGTTGTCGATGAATTTGGGCTCGCACGCTGCAGTCCTACAATTAGTGGTAACAAGATGCATTGCCATTTACCGCAAGCATTTCTCGGCTGAGATGGACGTGACATTGCCAACGACGTAAGACCAGAGTCCACGAGATGACACACGAAAAATACGTTTGTGAAACAGTGACAGGAGAAAAAGCAGCGTTTTGTCAACGCCTTGACAGCCGAGGACGACTTCGAATGCCTGGCCAAGGAGAACGCAGACAAGGAGTGAGTACCCGTGGTGATGTCGGTCCCCACCTATAAGTTGGACGGTCACGGTCACTTCAAGAATCTCCTTGCGTGCGCGAAACCTCGACACGCCACCACACGTAAGATGAAGTGCAGCATGGGAGCCATGCGCAGTCTTGCCACTGTGCCTAGGTGGTTCCGGCATTGAAGAGTTCGCAGGAGTCGCAGTGTCCGTTTTACGAACAAGGTGCAACTCACAAGCAGGCAATGCTAGCCAAAAGGAGAGCCGACTCTTTTCCGAGGAACAAGAAGTTCAATAAGGAAGAGGTCTTCAGCAACAAGGCGAGGTAAGACAATGATGATCTCCTCATTTCGACATGCATCGGTCGTGTGAGATATCAATGTCTTTGAAGAACTTCCATACCTTTAACCGTGCACCTGGCTTTGGACAATCGGAAGATTCGGAACGGACTCGTCCCTTCAAGAAGGCGTTCAACCATGAGAGGGTTCCCGTCAGCAAAAGGGCCGAAGCCTGGATCGTCCCGACCAGTCTCGCTGAAGTCGAGGTCCAAATGTCGGGCCAATACGAAACCAGCATCGAATCGGGCAAGGTAGGTAGAGACTGAGCTCCGAAGACGCCATGTCGTGGGATGATTGGGAGCCGCAAGCATCCTGGAGGCGAGAGTCGATTTTCGTTCCCAGCCGGAATTTTTATCGACGCCGGATGTTAGTGTCGATATACCCCAGGCTCGCTTGAACCCATGCGTCCGGACAGTCAGGGTCTAAGCGAGGATTGAAGCGTTGAATCGATGAATCGAGCCGCATCTTCAGCCACCCAGCAAAGTAGGACTTCGTTATCGGCGACCTGATAAGGCGCCGTGGCAAAGTACTGCTGCACCTCTAGCAAGAGAATCCGCCGGGTGCGGCTTTAGTGGGACAGGTATTGATTTTCGACCGGACGAGAAAATAGAGAGTCTTGCCTTCAGCGATGTGGCTGGAGCTGAATTAATCTAGCGTTGCTGCTGGCGTAATAATTCTCTCCATTAACCGAAGAGATATCGGCCCCCACCATTTTCAGGGTATTCTCAGTGGCCAAAACTTCGTATAGGCGAAATGCAGGTCCGGAGACCATAAACGATTCGTTATTCCGGCTAACAGAGTAGTATGCTCCTGGACGATCGGCTTGACTGAAACCACGAGTCCACACATCACCATAGGCTAATTTCGCCATGATAAGAGACCCACCCAGGATTGGTGCTATGGCAAGTACTGTGGTCAAGTTAGTTACCACTGATGGGAAGTATGCTTCAGGTTTCAGCAGCACCACAAATCGCCCCTGGCTGGAATTGCTACCGCGCGTCCCCATTCAACACCATCCCTGAGCCTCCACCTGAGACAAAAGGCCATAGCACCTTTGCTTCACTTGTATCTAGGAGTTGTCTCGGGGCAGGTACGGTCTCTGAGACGTTGACAGAAGTCACTCTGCACGTCAACCTGTCCTTCAACTTCGATTGCCCAGCCCGAACTGTCGAACTCATGTTTGATTAACAGAGTGTGACGACTTTTCGATCCGACACAAAAGCTGGTCGCTCGTGTGTTTTTACATCTGCATCTTTATTAAGCGTCGGCTCACAGGAAAGCCGATAACGGTTCTTGAGTTCCAAAAATGCAACAATCCCAACCACTTCTCACTGAAGAAGATGGCCGAGACATCGAGACCTCCGAAGTCAACGCAGAGATCGATTATGACCTTTGGCAAAAGGATATGGGCACTCCGTTACGGAGGAGCCGCATTCATGGCCTCCTGCAAAGCTATCACAACACAAAGCACTACATCCAAGATAACATCCTGACCCGACGAGTCCTCATCTCAATTCTTCCCCATTACCTACAACCTGGGGGCTTAAAAGCTCCCCCCAACCTGCGGTCGACAGCGTACCTTGACGCCCTCCGAGGCTATGCCGCCTGGGTCGTCGTGAACCACCATTTCTACTGGACCAACCATTACCTGAAGCTGCCCTTGATCGACATCGTTCACTCGGGCCGCGCCATGGTCGACATATTCTTCATCATCTCGGGGTACGTGCTGAGCCACAACCTGCTCCAAAAGATTCGAGAGAAGAAAGAGCAGAATCTGCTGAAGAGCCTCGCCTCGTCCACATTCCGACGTTATATACGGCTGTACTTTTCCGCTGGGTTCGCGGCCCTGGTGTCCATGCTGCTTACCTGCGTGGGTCTGTTGAAGTACCCCCTTGTAGCCTGGAAGGGCTCCTTTTTCGTTCAGCTGGCAGATTGGGTGAAGGACATGCTGCGGTTCAGCAACCCTTTTGCCGACGTGAAGGGCTACTACTACGGCGAGCACACACAGAACAGCAGATACCACCCGTATCTGTGGACGATTCCTGCCGAGTTCCGCGGGTCCATGGTGGTGTTCGTCTTCTGCTTGGCGTGCTGTAAGCTTTCAACCAGGCACAGGACAATTGCATGTTGGCTGTTAATCACTCTCTGCTATCTCTGGGACGCAGCATACGTGGCACTGTTCATGTTCGGCGTGCACCTCGCTGAAAGATCACTCAACAAGCCTGCACCACAGACTAGCTCACCTTCACCGGAGATGGAACAGCTTCAAGTCGAAATAGGGGCGCATGCTGAGAAGATACGATGGCGCCGCAGCAGGCTTGCGACCGGCGGTCGATACCTTGTCGCCATCATCGCGCTTGTTGTTGGAGTCTTCCTGTGTAGCCAGCCGCATAATCTCGGCAAGAAGGGACCCAACCCATGGCCGGTCCTCAGCAAGGCCGTTCCATCATGGTGGCACGGAGGAGACCAGGGCCGCGAGCACTTTTGGTTGAGCATCGCCGCAGCTCTGATCGTGTGGGCCCTCGAAACATGTCCACCTCTCCAGCGCCCCTTCAATTGGGGGTTTTCTCAATACGTTGGGAAACTGTCTTTTGGACTATATGTCATGCATCTCCTTGTCGTGAGATCGTTCTGGGATGGGCCCTTGAATCAATTGAGGTCATGGTTGGGTAATGGCCAGAAGTCCTATTGTTTCACATATGTGATTTTCATGCTCCTGGTGTTCTGGGCGGCTGATTATTTCATAAGGGTAGACCGTCATATCATTGCGTTTGGTCGGTGGTTGGAAAGGAAGACATTCACCTGAGGCTTTGATGAATCATGAATGACGTCGACCTCAGGTTTTCGCATATATAGGATGATAAGAAAAGTCACCTTCTTTCCGTGTACATGGACGTTTCTAGGGTTTACATCAAGAACGACGTGAAGTGCCTTAGACCTCAGATATGAGTACCACCAAGCCGCACATGTTGGGGTCACGTGTTGGCACTTCGACCACTTACTTGCACGATGAACCCGTCGAGAAGGTCGTGAGTCTTTGTAGACAAAATCTACTATATCTGTATGAAGCATACGGACGCGTACCCAGGATGATAACAACAGCCACACGTTCATAGCCTTGCTTTGAATATTCACAAGGCAGAAACGCGAGCCAGCAGGTGCCTATAATACTTAGACAAAGCCCGCAGCTACAACCCAGCATGAAGCCTTCAACACCACGGCGACAGCGAGATCTCGCTGTTCTGTCCTCGATCCTACAAACTTCGCGACCGTTATTTGCAAGTTGCGCACACTTCCAGCCTCGGTCTCCTGTCCCCAATAGACAGAGACTGTGCCGTCGACCCTTTTCAATCCTCAATCGTCCTCCACCGAACTACCCGGGCCATGTCCCGCTCACCGGCGTCGAGCGCGTAGGCCTAGCTGTTGGCAGCGCAATTACGTCTCTTATAAACCCCTACCGACATGACATGGTGGCTGCGCTCGGCGAAGCGACCGCTCAACCATTTTTCATCTCATGGCTTCGACGGCGAATGCTCTCCGATCCCACTGGTCGAAGAATATTGAGGGATCGACCCAGAATAACTTCCCAGACCATGTCACTGGAGAAGCTACGGCTGATGCCTGAGGACAGCGTGGGGAGGACATACGCTGCCTGGCTGGATCGAGAAGGAGTCACGCCTGACACGAGGGACGCAGTTCGCTATATCGACGACGAAGAGGAGGCCTATGTGATGCAGAGATACCGCGAGTGTCATGACTTCTACCATGCTGTGACTGGACTTCCGGTATGGGTCGAGGGAGAGCTCGGTCTGAAAGCGTTTGAATTCGCGAACACGGGACTGCCTATGACCGCACTGAGCCTTGCGGCCATTGTCCGACTCAAGCCTTTGGAACGTCAGAGGATGTTCGAGATCTTTCTCCCTTGGGCGTTTGCCAACGGCTGGCGAAGTAAAGATTTGATCAATGTATACTGGGAAGAAGAACTCGAGACCGATTGTGCTGAGTTACGAGAACGACTTGGTATCGAGCAACCGCCGGATTTGAGAGACATCAGAAAGAAACTGAGAGACGCACGACGGGCAGCGAAGGCTGCTCACGAGACGGTTAGTGAACGTAGTGCTTCGTCGCCAATTGTATGAACAGAAAATGTACAATAATCCAGGGGTATCACATGCAAGCTCCAAAGACTTTTGTGTCGTAGTCGATCGTGTCAAGACTCGTTCAAGAGGTCGTCAAGGTCATCGTCGTCCCACCCCCCTCTTCGTACCACTTTTACACTTTCCACCGAATGCCCTGTTTGTTTTTCATGTTCGGACAGACTTGCAAGCATGTCTTTCAGTTGATCTTCGGTGACTTTCTGTCTCAGTTGACCTGACCTTGCCAGCATGATCAATCTGTTCTCGACATCCGTGGCTCGTGATTCCTTCACCATCCGGATTCTGCCCAGACGATCGGCGGCTTCAGGTTCGAGGATTTGGTTTAGCATCGAGGATCGTGCCTCTGACTCTTGCTTCCTGCCAATTTGCGTCAGACTTGTGAAGTTGGAATGTCCCAGTATGCTTGCCTTCTCTGTCCCTCATCGTCACCACCAGCGTCGCCGGCTCCTGCTCCCCCTTGTTGCTGCTTAAGTTGTGCAAGCCGAGCAGCTCTAATCTGTTCTCGTTAGTCGTTGCAATTGGCATCATCCAGAGGTGTCTTTCATACCTGGGCCAAGTCGTCGTCTGCCATTTTTAGACACTCGAGCGTCCGAGTTGAGCGCGTGCGCTTTTGTGTTTGAGAGAAAATGTTACGCGGGGCAATAATAAGGGTGTGAATGTGCACCCAAAGAGTGGCGCAGGTGAGCGACTATTAGCGGGTGGGATAATAATTGCGGTCTGTGGTTCATGACGTGCGGCTTTAGGCTGTCAAACGGGCGATTCGGGACACTTGGACCTCCCAGAATCCCAAAAGTTAAGCGAGAGTACCTCGCCGGTCTTTATGCGCACTGCTCCTCCGGGCGACGCCGTCTACAAGTCGTTGTATATTGGGTTGGTACGAACCACCTAGTCATTGTTGGTGGCGTTCGCTATATGCAAGATTGATTCCAGATGTGACTGCCAGAAAAGGAGTCTCTGCATCTTCTTTCTCTCCGCAGCTCTTGCATTCTACAGTGTCACAAGCACGGCGGCTACCAGCATGAACGGCATGACAGCTGCATGAGACACAATCCCAACATCCTACAAGTGAACGGCCTGACTACATATCCTCCATTGTGAAGGCTATTCCGCAGATGACTGCTTGGACATACAATGCCAGATTTCTAAGAGGAGGAGCACCATCACATACTCGGTCCATTTCAGTCGGGCCGCCTCTCAACTCTGCGCCGCGCGATCGAGTCCTCAAAGCGAAATCGACGTCGAACCTCCACACGATGACGACTGTTGATTCACTGCCGCCGGGCCCTTCCAATGATGCTTCGGGTGACGCCTCCTTTCAAACAATTGCAGATCCTCGTAATACGAGCACACCCGACCTCTCGAGGTCCAACTCCGAATCATCGAGACATCCGGACCTGAGCAGTGAGGTTGCCGCTCTGAGTGACAAACTGATCAATGCGATAAACCATTCAACGACAGTCGACGATACCCTCGCACAGACCAGACAGCAACTAGAAGCATCAAGGGCGAGGATTGCCAAGCTAGAAGCGGAGGCCAGAGCATATGAAGAGAGGATTGCACGAGGCGAATTGGTTGCAAAGGACAATGTCGATCGACAGAACAATAAGATCTCTGCCGAGTTGGCGGAGGAGCGGAAACAGAAAGCAATAGTCCAGCAAGAAAAGCGCGGGATTGAGTCAGAACTGGAAAATCTCACCGCATCACTTTTCGAAGAAGCAAATAAAATGGTAGCGTCTGCGAACAGGGATCGGGACGATGTCGAAAAGAAGAACCAGCAGCTTCGAGACCAGATCAAGGACGGGGAAGCGCTGATAGCTTCTCAAACGGAACAGTTGACGGAACTGAAAACGCTTATGCAGCAGATAGGCCCGACTTCAGACTACCGCAAAGATCTCGACTCGCCTCGAATATCAATGGCACCTTCAAGTCCTGGCCTGCCCAGGGAAGACAACCTGACTCGACTTATGGAGGCTATGAACCTTTCACCAAACAGTCCTGACAATGGCGAAATCACACCTAGCCCTTCGACGACATTCACTCATCTGGTCAAGCCGCTGTGCCGTACTGACATTCCTGCATACGAAGATTTCAAACATCTGATCCAAACTGCACATTTCCGATCACATAACCCCTCTCATGCTCCGTCCCGAGCAGGATCCGGTTCTTACGGAGGCCTGAATGTCATGGGACTGGGCTCGCTCAGCAACAATTCGACGCCTAATCTTTCGCAAACTGCCCAGCCTGCCACATCCAAGCTTGCAAACTCGCCGCAAATACCAGGATCCTTCAGTCCCAATCCAGACACGAGAGGTCCATTACTTCTTAAGGACACACGGTTTTACAAACGTATATTGGTGGAGGATATTGAACCTACCCTGCGTTTGGACCTGTCTCCTACATTATCTTGGCTGAATCGGCGAAGCATTCTCTCAGCCCTAGGAGAATCAACGCTGATCGTCGAACCTATCCCCGAAGCTTCTGTCAAGCTATACGGGAAATATACTCCTTGTGCCCTTTGTGGTGAGAGCAGAAGAGAGGACGAGAATCCAAGAACGCACGCAATGCGAGTACGAGAAGGTGAAGGTGCCACAAAATGGTCAATATGCATGTTGTGTCTAGAGAAGGTGCGAGGCGTAGGTGATCTGATAGCATACATACGCATGGTGCGCGAGGGAGTCGTGAAGGTTGGAGACAAGAAAGACGAGGAGGATGCATGGGAAGAGCTGGTCAGGTTAAGAGAACGATTATTCTGGGCCAGAATGGCCGGTGGTGTTGTCCCTGCATTCCTACCAACGCCGAAGCACACCCCTGTTGAGGACAAGAAAATGGAGCCTGCGGTGGGACGGAAATCTGGAGACTCCGAGGACGACGATTTCCATGAAGCCAGAGCCAGCACACCTTCAGAGCATCCGACTTCAGCTGATACCGGCGATGCACAGCTCCCAACTCCTAAAGAAGAAGACACGAGTGCAGGAATGCCCTCCGAAATCGTTGAATCTCATCCATTTCCGGAGGACACGGACGGTGGCCTCACAACATTCGACAATATCAGGGCAATGAGAACGAACAGCAGTCAGCAGAGATCGTCAACACCTCCGGCCACACCATCACCTGCTCGGGGGCACATTCAACGAGCGTCTTCTGGAGGTGGCGGGATGTCATTTCCCAGGATCAATATACCACGACTCCCACCAGGGTTCTGGGAGAGTCAAGTCAACACATTGCGTTGATAAGAGTGAGAAATGACAAGGATCTAATACACAGACGAGAAGTGATCCAGTCAATTGTACTATATATACCTCGTTGGGACGAAGACAGTCCGGACGCTCATCGGTCGAAATACCGGAGCTTTCCTCCTGCTTAAGCGTTATCTTTTGGCATTGGCAGAGCGATAGACAAGCGACGCGATGAAGAGCATGGAATACGGAAATCTTGTATATTAGCCATTATCTATTCAGAAGTGAGAAAAGAGGTGGCAGTTGTCCTTGGGCTTGACTCAGGAGTATGTATAATCAAAGCGAGCGTTTGCCGCAATAACTGAAAAGGCTTTTACTATTTATGCATTGAATAAATGGCATCCATATCGTCATGTTTCGTCGAGAGTGCTCTTAATCTTGCTTGCTGTGGAAGGCTGGTGGGTATGTGGCCCCTTGACAACTTCCACAGCCGTGGTGATTCACTTAATTTGTGCTCGCGGCCTCATAGCCAGGTATTTGTAACCTCGACAGCAGTCTCCACGGGCGTGTGAGCTTAGCCCTTCCGACACAAGATCTGCCCACTAGGAATGGCGATGAAGACATCTTCATCTTCACCCCATTTCTTCCACGCCTCGGATATGCGTCTGATCTCCTCCTCGGTGGCGAAGCCTTCCCTCACCGCCGTCCCTAGGAACCCTGGCTGCAGGATCCTGCCATTCCAACTGATCGAGAAGTGCCTTGCTCTCTGGCCCACATACCTCCAGCAATCCCAGGTGGCATCGATCTGAAATGGTTCGAAGCCGGCTTGTCGCGCCCAGACGTGGCAGTACCTTCCCGCGTTGGGCTCGCCGCCATTCGTCTTGGCCACTTGCTGGTAGAGCTCGGCCCAGCGTGTGATTTCGGGGAGCTCGGGGTACCATGCAAAGCTCTTGTAGTCGGCTTCGCGGGAGGCGATGATTCCGGCTGGTTTGGCCACGCGGCGCATTTCCTTGAGGATCTGGACGGGGTCGCTGACGTGCTGCAGGACTTGGTGGCAGTAGACTATGTCGAAGGTGTTGTCCTCGAAGGGTAAAGCGTTGGCGTCGATCTTTTGGAATGTGATGTTTGACAAGCCACGCGACTCCGCGAAGTCCGATGCTTGCTGGAGGACGCTCTCAACGGCATCGCCGCCTATGACGCTGCCCTGAGGGACGAGTGCCGCGAGGTCAGCGGTTATGGTGCCTGGACCACAACCTACGTCTAGGATTTTGTGGTTGGGTTGAATGTGTGGTAGGAGGAAGGATGCTGAGTCTTGGGCCGTGCGACGGGCGTGGTCTTGCACTACGGAGGCGTGGTGGCCGTGGGTGTAGACGGCGCGTTCTTGGGCCATGATGGTCGCTGTGGTCCGAGTCCAGTAGGGCGATGTCGTGGGAGTACTAGGTCAGGCGTGTGGTGCGAGAGACCCTGCTGACGGACTTGAAAGAATGACTCTGCAACGCGTTAATCCTCGGTCCTTGTCTGATCTATTTTCTCTGATTTATACTGTCGTTAAAGTGGTATATATCAGTGGTCACGGCCGATATCGGGGATGTTGGACTTGGATGCAAGGCTATAGAATACTCGTACGTTTTACGTACGCGGCACGTAGCTCGTCAAGCAGACAGTGCATGCAACCTAAGCCAGGGCAGAAGCCATGCTGTTAGTACCTCGGGCTTCACGTCGTGCCCATCAGCAACAGGAACGGGTGATGATGATGAGGGGTTCTGAAAGGAGGAGAACACACCTGCTAAGTTTCGCTAAATGGGATGTTAATCCGGGCACCAATCATAACGTCATAGTTACCAGCACTTTAAACGGCTGGACGGAGTGTAAACAAAGGCCCATCTTCACGTGCAACATATTACGACACTCATCTTCTGAAGACATTGCCGTTGACCTCATGTTCTTCGATTTGGCAAGGGCATCGTACAAAATGATAATCGTCTAGCTTCTGTGGGACTGCTTCTCATAGCCATGATACGATGGCGGTCCTCTCTAATATCTTCGGACTCTTTTGGGGGCTGATGCGATGCTTCCTCCTTATGATATGGGTCGATCCTTGGACAAAGCCACCGCCAGTAAGAGAGGGTAAGAGCATCATCACGTACGAACAATGGTACGCAGCACAATATGAAAAGGATGCCATTCGCGGTGTCGACGATTGGGTGGTCAGCCCTCGCGACTCAAGCTATGACTGGCAAATAGTCAAGAGTTTGAAAAAGGATCTCGAACGTTGCCGACTACTGGGCGACGACCGGGGTCTTTGCAGTCAGCTACGTGCCCAGAGCTCCCGCAATATGGGTCGTATTCTGTCACCGTCCTTGTATCGGAAATCGAACGTCCAGACCAAACGACTCATACACGACTACATCAAGGAAGTTCGTTTGTGCATTGCTCATATCTCCGACCGAAACCACATCGCCAATAATGTCAATACCCTGGTGTCAGCTCAAGAGAAGCGACAAGTCCTCCAAGACATGCGCACAGCACTTGGCCGCACGACACTCGTTCTCCAAGGTGGCGCAATGATCAGCATGTGCCATTTGGGGGTTGTCAAGGCTCTCTATTTACAACGACTCCTACCACAGATCATTACGGGCACTGGGACGGGAGCACTGATCGCCGCTCTTGTTAGTACCACCCCCGATGAAAATCTGCTTGCCGTGGTCAACGGGAGTAATATCAACCTCGACGCTTTCCATCGTGCCCAGCATGAATACACCAATGGCGAGATGAACTCGTGGTCTGGCTCACTGAAACGACGTTACAAGAGATACCGGGCTTCACACCACCTCTTCGACATCGACGTCCTTCGAGATTGCGCACGAGACAATCTCGGTGACATCACTTTCGAGGAGGCCTATGCAAAGACCGGCCGAATCCTGAACATCACCATCGCCATGTCCGAGGTCGCCGGTACGCCTCAATTGCTCAACTATATCACCGCACCTCATGTCTTGATATGGTCGGCGGTGGCCTCTTCGATTGCGACATCTAAGGAAATGTACGCACCGGTTCAGCTGCTTTGCAAAGGTGATACAGGCGCCATCACTCTGCATTTTGCTGCGGACTTTTCGGGAAGAGGAGGCCTACGACAGGCCTCGGTTCATCCGGAGGCGCCCTTGACGCGGATTGGAGAGTTGTTCAATGTCAACCATTTTATTGTGTCCCAGACCAGGCCGTATGTGGCCCCGTTCGTTCAACTGCAAAAATTCGCCGACCGATACCAACCACTGGGTATATTGGTCCGTCTGTGTCTGAACGAGCTGCTGCACTGGCTAGAAATCCTGAACGGGTTCGGCTTTGTTCCTACAATACTTCAACGTGTCTTGGTGGATGAGATCGTCCCGAGTTTCGCATCATGGTCGAAAATATCCATCACGCCAGGCATTGGGCTACACGACTTACTCACTATGTTTGATACTCCTACTCGAAGTATGTTGCAAAAATGGAGTGCTCGAGGGGAAAGGTGCACCTGGCCATCTATATGCGAGCTGCAGTGCCGGTGTGACATCGAGCTGGAGCTGGAGGCTGCGTACGCCAGCATCCGCCGAAGGACTGTGGTACCATCGATATCAATCACCTGAATCCAATGAGAATGAGCAACCGGAAATACCATGACAATGGCGGTTGATTGGGTTGCCTTCCTTGGGAACTACATATCGTGTGGCTATCTCAAGCCTGGATCTGTGGCTGTGCATCTATTGTGGCGTTCCTCGCGTCGATCGACACTGACAAACTTGACCTTCGATCGCATGTGTGACATCATTCTCAATGGCGCCCTCAATCTGGGCTGGCCTGCGCATAGCAAGAACCCTGAAAATGGGCCTCCAGCCGCTCCCACTTCAATTTGCCAGCGCTTGCTATTGTCGTTGCTATTACCTTGTACTAAACGTCCTGTTCAGCTGCAGTTATGTCCAATATTCAACCTTATCAGGAGAGGAAACATCGCGGCCTCGGTCGCCTGCTCGGCAAACGCGATAAGACCCCAGAAAGCGAACGCCCTGACCTCCAGACCGATTCTGCATATGGAAGCAGCGAAGCCAATAGTGCGGACGTTCCCGCTCCAGCAAGGAGTAGCCTCACGAGAAGCGAACCAGCACGAAGCGACCCTGACATGGTGTCTGCGGAGAAGGGCAGTGAGATCGGCGATATTGATCAGAACCGGAATTTGGCTCTGAGGCCTTCGACGGGAGAGGTCTTTGACGAGGATACTGGTGAAATCGTGACGGTGGTTACTACCACGACAACCACAACCACGACCACCACCAGAAAACCGGGAGGAAAACCACAACAGGATGTGCAGAAAGATGTCAGACGAGAGGTCCAGCCTGGCCCAAACCATACAGGACGAACAGGACTGCAGGAAATGCCTGCAGTGTCGAGTGAACAACAGTCTCGAGTGCAACAGCCTGCGATAAACTCTACGAGCACCACCCAAGGAGCGCCACCACTACCAGCACCAGCCAGCGACAGGGTCTCTGCTGACTTACCACCTGTACCAGCCAGAAGTGCCATGCGAAAATCACAGGAGATTCCTCGAAACGTGCCTGGAGGTCTGCCTCACGACGATCTCCCTGTCAGTCCCGTCGATGCCACATATCCGACAGGACGGACGGGAATGACACCCCCTGGCAGTCCTTCACGGCCCAACTACAGCTATCCCAGTCGTTCATCGATCCGGACGGCCGATCAGCCCATGCGTCACAATCCAAGCACAATGAATGATCTAAAGGCAGCTGCCAAGGGACTGCATGTACGTCATGAACTAACATTTGCCGTGTATCAAACTGACGCCTTGGGACAGGGAATTGGAGAGACATTACGCGGAACACTGAACTCGTCAATTGACAAACGCTTCCCTCCGGGGGATGCGGAGAAGGCAGCCATGGTTCAAGCTCACAATGCGGCAGTCTTGGAAAAGGGCCGCGCCGAGATAGACGGCATTCCCGGAGGATGGCCAAAGCATGAACAGGGCGCGGCCGCCCATGATATCACGACAGGTGCACCAGCCACGACGGGCGCAACGGCACCATCGACATCCCTCAATCAACCACAGCGGAGCGTTTCTCCTGGTGAGAATGGAAAATCACGGACTCTAGGCAAACTCTTTAAGAGGAAACCAGTGGCAGCGGGTGAACAAGGTATGGACACAAGGTGACCATGTGAATGATGTGTGTGGCCCAGCATGTCCTGCTTTATGCACACTCCCTAGAGAGTGTCGATATTATTTCACGATCTGGCGAGGCTGACGTGCGGGTTTTCTTGCAGATGCAAATTTGAACGATGATCATACTGCTGGTCAATCTCGTCGATATTACTAGGGCTGTCTGCATCGCGAGCCTGCTTATGACTGAATGTTATACGAGGCATGTAGATTGATATCTGTGATGTTATAGCATTGCTCTGGAAATCGACGAATGTTTCGCCTCGTTGGGGTCTGCCTGGCGAGGAGCTGATGCAACGAGCCTGTCAAGCTCCAAGCAACGTAGCACTTTGATGGCCATATGAATTCCGATATCTAGATCGGACACTCTTGTTGGATGATCGGGTAATGGTCCCTTTAAGGCTCTCGTTGAAGGTACCAGACAGTCATGCCAAAAAATGCAGGCGGATGACGAGATAAGAAAACCAGTGCACCCGACATTGATACAAGAAACGCCGATCTTTGTTTTCCTCGTTCTACGTATGTTGGTCTCGGTCTACAACTCGACTCCTGGCAAGCCTGCAGTACACAGCCCAATGGACTTTTGAAGGCACATCCCGACATAGATCCAATAGCCCCTGTCAAAGAGAACTCAAAAGTCAAGCCAAGGGTAAATAGCTGGGGGAGGATACCTAGTTGTGGTGACTGAGTTCTGGCCGAGTATCTTGCGTGCTTGGATATGCTTGGATATGCTTGATCAAACTGCGGCGCTCGCCAATTCAGATAAGCATTACTATGGTAAGCCACAATCTGGTCTTATATCATCGTATGGAGCAGCATTGCCATTTCTTTTTCCTCCCACGGAAGCCGGTTGTAGATCAGTGGCATACTGTTCCTTACTTGGAGTAGTGGGATCGGGAAAACGCCCAAAGTCTAGCTTTTTCGTTTCATAACCCGCTGGAAAGTATGGACTCTGGAGTTATGCCTCTCCCTTTGGCAGTACAGTACCGGAGGGGTCAGCCTGCCATTTCTCACGCCACGTTATTGGTGGGAAGACAGAACCGCACTAAGCCAATCTCCGGCCCGGCAGCAAGGATCACGACGACTAGCCTCCGGACGCACATGAGCCAACTCCATCAAACTCCATCAAGCCAAAGGCTGGCTGGACTCCTGGAGCATGCTGAAGTTCCAGGGCACTCACGACTCAATCTTCGACGGTCGGGGGGCCACGTTCAACATGGTCCGCCTCGTAATCTACCGTTCTAGGCTGTACTGTCCATCGCGAAGCGGAAAGCCACCCTTTCGTCACCAGCTCAATATTAATGGGAAACAGTGGTGCGTCCGGGAACCCGGTTGATGGTGACTGCAGCCCCTATACCGCATACCCTTGCATTTAATAAATCACCTTTTCATGCTCGCCTTACCCTGGCCTCCCTTTCCAAGCGAGAAGCCCATTTCTAAAGAGCACAGTCGCCACGGCGGATTCGAGCGCGAGCCCAAATAGCTGCTGTTGTTAAACCTCATGTTGGTTACTGGCGGTTATTGACCAAGGTCATCGGGATCGTTCTCGCCGTTTCACGATCAGAGCCACAGACATTTGAAGTCGGCAGCGTCTTACGAGCGCCTCAAGTCGTCCACCATTCTCCCTCTTTAACTATCTCGAATTCGCAATGGTGGTTGCTGGCATGTTTGCCCAGCGCTCTCCGAAATGGAAATGGCTCACCTTCGCCACGATTGCTTCCGTCTTTCTCCTCCTCATATTCCATAACCTATCATGGCTTCCAGCGCCTCACGACGTCATGCAACATGGACTAGGCTGGGCGGACGACTCCCGGACTCTTTCCGAGGATGGCAACGAGGAAACGTTCTTGGATGAGTTCTACCAGCCGCCGAACATTATGCCTTGGAACTACACGGCTGCCATGGTCATGGCACGCACGAAGGCAGCTGATATCAGCTGGGTTGAGAAAGAGAAGTTGGACTTGGACAAATATATATACGTGGCGGACGACCCGACGGCGCCACTGCACCCTCCCATGAACAAAGGCAATGAGGCGATGATTTACCTAACTTACATCATCGACCATTACGATTCCCTGCGAGACTTCACGTTGTTCGTGCACGCCCACCGCTACTCGGGGCATAACAATGCCTTCTTGGGTGGAGACGCTGTAAAGATGCTCCGAAACTTGAACGCCGAACGCATCATGCACGACGGATACATGAATCTACGCTGTCAACAAGAACCAGGCTGTCCTTCCTGGGTGCACCCGCACGAGCAAGGAGCCGACAAGCTTGCCCCCATCATGTTGCAAGAGTGGAACAATCTGTTCCCCGGCGAGCCCGTACCAGAAGTCCTGGCGCAGACGTGCTGTGCTCAATTCGCCGTCAGCAGGGACCGGATTCGAACAGTCCCGCTGTCCAAGTATGAGCACTGGCGCAACTGGCTCTTGGAGACGGATCTCGCGGATTATTACAGTGGACGGATATTTGAGTATCTGTGGCAAGTACTTTTCACTGGAGAGAGCATCTTCTGTCCTGACCAGCTCGTTTGTTTCTGCGATGGATTTGGGGTCTGTTTTGAGGGGCTCGAGGACCTGGAGGAGTACCACAAGCTCGGCGATCAACAGTGGAAGACTGGTGCGCGAATGGATCTGTTGAAAAAACTGAAAGCAGACCATAAAGATATAGAAAAGGATCATGTGAACAGGATGGAAGAATGGTACAAAGCACTGCAACTCGAACATGATTCGTACGGCAAGCGGAGGGAGAACATCACAGCTATCGCCAATCGAAGGGGTCAAGATCCCAAAGTCAGAGCGGAAGCAGCCAGGTATCGGACCATAGCTTCTTCTTCCAGGGTGCGATGGTGAAGTGATGCCGGAAAATGCTATTCCACGCCGGCTGGAGTACAACGACTTTCAACCAGCACCAATCAAGACACCATTTCCGTACCCACCCTCGTTCCGCTGTCAGAAACTTCTGTCCAGCTCGTCGTTCGGACTGTCGATAATTGATATGGACTGAAGATGCCCCATGCTCATGACAGCCGCGAGTAACAAGGGGCTGGGAAGAATGTGGAAGAAAAACTGGGATCTCGTGGCAGGTGACACTCGTGAGCAAGCAGCAGCCACCTCGGTTTATGGTCTCTTATTGAGTCATGACCTTTCATGATCCTTGCTTGCCGGTACACATTTCATTTGCATAAAATGTGTCGGACTCCGGCGAAGAGACTTCCGGCGATATGGAGTTTTACACAAGGTACCAGGTGATCCTTGTTCAATTCAGATCTATGTATATACTCGACGGGACGCCTGTGGCCGTCTCCGCGCTACTAGAATCAAAGCACTTCTTTGCTTGAAAGGACGGCAACAAGAACATACAGAGAAATGTATCACATCTCCATGCCGAGAGGCTGTCTCCACGATTTACTTGTGGACTCGAGAATCGCACAATGGTCACTATCCGGTCCGCAAGTGTGACATCGCACGATCACCAGGCAACGGGACAGCCGCCTTTTGAGTCACCTCCATCAAGAAGGGGTCATTGAACAATGTGCCTTGCCCGCAGAATGGACAGCAGATGTTTGAAAGAGAATAAAATTCAGCATGCTTCAATATGCATGGCATAGTCTATAACAACTAAAAATCCGTGTTTCATCAACATAAGGCTCCGCCTGTTGCAAGATCAGGCGTCTTCTGGACCCATGCCAGGGGAATCAATTGTTGAACATCACAATATTCCTCATCCTTACAGCGGTTTAGGTGGAATGCATCCGCGGCGACTAACGCTTCTATGCTCGCGTTGGCCGCCCGCACCATTGGCGCTGGGTTCTCGGTGCAGCCAACGCCGAGATAGAACTGTTTGTGAGCTGCGTCGCACAGCGAAAGTGTCGACCTGACTAGCGAACCTTCCTCCTCTCTTGACGTGAGTGGCTCAACGTGGGACTCGCCTGATACGCGAGAGGCGTCTGCCGTCGCTGTCACGGTCGGGGGTTCAGAGGCGGAGTATTCTGATGCCTTCGGCGTGGTCTGGAATGATAGATAATTCTTGTTTTGACCGCAGAAGTAATCCACATGGTAGGCTTTCATGGTCAGGCCCAGGCCAGGCCAGTTACCGACCTCGAAGATGTGTTGGTCTTCGAGGGGATCCTTCGCCTTCTCGGCCCAGTCCGCAAATGCGAGGCGTGAGCGGTCGTTGTCGCGGACGAAAAAGTCGCCTTGTGGTGTGGCGTGGACCACGTCCGCGGAAGAATGCGATTCAGTGTAGAAGAAAGGCACGACGGGTGATATGTAGCTGTTGCCAATCGATGCGAAGTGTACATCGTACCCGCGGCTCAATAGGGCGTGGATGAGCGCTGGGCCCGATGCAATGGAAGTCCGGCCGTCGAAACAGGGCAGGTTGAGTGTCGCACACATTTCGAGAGCCTGTTCGTCGGCGGCAGAGAACATGTATCTTGTCACACCGCCGTAACGGACGAGAGAGTAGACAGTGTTCAAAAGGAGTTCTTGATATTCGAGGACACTGTCACCTGAGTCGTTGTGGGCAGCGACCGAGATTGGCAGGACTGTGACCAGACGCTTCTCAGATCCGCTTTGGCCTGGAGCTTTCTCCACGAGGTGCTGCAGACTGAGCAGAAGGGCGTCCAGATCGCCGCTTGTCCTTGGCCAGGCCAACATGGGGTTGTCCGACGCCAGCAGATGCGGTGCTGAGAGGGCATGGGCAGTCGTGAGCCAGTCCTGCATGAAAACGTTTCCTTCCATGGTCTGCTTGACCATGTAAGACATCTCGGTGGTGAAGTTCGCTTTCGCCTTGTAATTGAGGAGTCGCTTCATCTTGCAAGTATCGGCCAAAGTCCCGACCAGGTCATTCTCGCGAGGGGCCAGGTAAATCTGATCCTTAGACACCAGATCGGCCACGTCCTGCACCGAGTAGGCCTCTCCAGTTCCCAAATTGACGACGTCTCCATGGAGATCGGGCGCTTGTTGCGCCAGAATCAGACCCTCGATGATGTCGCTCACGTGAATGAAGTCTCGAGAGTGTGTTCCATCACCTTCGATTGTCAGTGGCTTCCCATCGGCCGCCTCTTTGGCGAAAACGCCGGTGACGATGGCGTAAGCGCCCGTGCTCGGCTGCCGCGGTCCATATACCATGAAGAAGCGGGTGCTGATGGTCTTGACACCAAATAGTGAGTCAAAGGTGTGCATTTGCAACTCTCCTTCGAACTTACTGGCGGCATACGGCGTCAGGAAATCTCCCACCATGTCCTCTCTGTGAGGCGCTGGAGCGTTGCCGTAATAGGTGGACGAGGCCGCGTAGACGACCTTTTTGATCTGGCCGGCCAGACGTGCTTCTTCGAGGACGTTCCATGAGCCCAAAGCGTTGCTCTCCACGCAGAAGCGGGCCATGTTGGGCGACTTGAGCGACGGGACGACCTTGCTCATAGCGGCAAGGTGATACACGTAATCGACGCCATTGATCGCTGCCTTCAACGCTGCTCTGTCCAGGATGTCTCCAAAGTGGAATTCCACTCTGCTATCCCCAAGTGGAACGTTGCGAAGGTAGCCGGTGTACAGATTGTCGAAGATCCGCACTCTGTAGCCCAGTAAGAGCAGCCGATCAACCAGGTTGGAGCCGATGAAGCCAGCTCCGCCTGTTACCAGCACAAGTGTTCCCTCAGTCTTGAGTGCTTGACGCCCACCATCAGGAAGCGCAACATCCTCACATGGGTCCCGTACGACCTTCAGATCGCTGGTGATCTCGGCCAGCTTGTCGTATGTATACTCGAAGGTTGGGAATACCATGTCAGTGTCCCCAACGTCTGAGGAATTCGCATTCCATACCGCATTGCTAATTCTCTGAGCAAAGTGGTTCGATGAGTGAGGAACCGACCGGTATAGTGTGGCCAGCACGATTATGAAGACTGCGGCGAAGATGAAACGGTGGTACTGTACTGACAGCACCATCTTTGAATATCAACCTGTGATTATGTTCGGACGTGGTAGGGCTGCACAAGGTGCAGTATCTGCGTTCGAGAAGCCCCGGCTGTTGAGATCGAGACGGGAACGGACGAATTTAACTTGGTACAAATAAAACGATCGGATCTTATCACCCAGAAGAACGAGTGACAAGCACCAGTGTTCCAGCGCTGAATATGTGATAGGAAGGAGGAAGAGCTTAACACCTAAGCAAGTGCTGCTGGACTTTGCACAATTCGATGGGTTTAGAGGAGAGAGGTAGATTGAGGATTGATAAAAGTGTTGGCATTAGCGAGAAGGAGAGCATTATCGTCGGTCAGGGGTCGCTAGCACTTCGATGTTCGGATTGTCATCATTCGAGACTTTCTGATCTTCAAGGCTCAGGCTCCTTGTGGCGGCAACACGCCAATCACTGCTTCACAATCTGTCATTTGCAGACCATGGGCTTTCTGTGAGCTAGCCATCGAGGGTGTCTGTCTTATCGTACTCCTCGTGATGTCCGAGACACACCAGCCACAATCAAGGTACTATGCTATCCCGTCAGTTTCATAGAGAAGCGAGCTGCAGATGAAGCAATAAACATATGCACGGGAATCTAGGCTCATGCAGGTGGATCCACTTGGAGGAGATTGGGTTCGAAGCACGCGGATGAAGCTGGATAAATGCCCATAATGAGCAGATGATCATCATCTCTCGTCCGAATTAGGAAGATCTCAGTCGAGGACGTTCACAGAGGAAGGTGGGTCTTGGGAGAAGATCCACTTCCCCTGACTTAGTCCCGACGTCTTAAACCCCCGGTTAAGCGAATCCTATAGTACTCTGTACGATAACGCTTAAGCCGAGCGAAGTGTAGCATCGCTTCGTTTAAGTAATTTTGGACCACAATCACCTTCCACAAAATTTGTTAGCGCCTCTATTGATAAGGGCAGTGTTGGCGAGAACAAGGGCACCACGGGGCACACAACAATGCTAACAGGGTTGTTACAGGGCTTAGAACAAGGGCTCGACATGGTTACAGCAGGGTTCGCATGACCTAACAGTGCTCAAACCACCTAAAGTAACAACGCTGTTTTTCACAGCAATCCCTCACGGCACCTACTAGGTCCACCATATCAGCTTCATGCTCTTGCCGCTTGTATGAGAGGGTACTAACCAGAAAGATAGCGCTAGACAAAATCGCATGCCAGGATCGTGGTAGCATCATCATCAAAATGGAGTGATCGTGGGTGCCAAATTCTGGACGGTCTGAGACTTGCATTTTCGCCTCCTCTGCTTTATCGTGATTTCGCTTAGATCTGCAGGGAGCCGTTCCCTTATCACGACGCGAGATTGGCATCGTACACAGGAGTCAGCTGAATCGAGCCATCTGTACTGGGTCATCCTAGTAGATCCTACAGCCGCATTCAGGTACTATACCAGGATGATCATGTCTTGCTCTACTAGCGTGCTTTCCCTCTTTTCTGGATCGCCACCACCTCCTTACTCGGGACGACCATTCATGCTGCGAGATAGCCGACTGTGCCCGGCTTGATTTCTAGCTGCCATATCCCGAATGTGTCACTGACCCTCCTGTTACGCCGCATCTCGACATTGTTCTTGGTGGAAAGCAGTCACCCTCTTCTACAGCTCTCATTCCCTTAAAGGTCCTTACCAAGGGCATCAAATCCTTGCGGTTGAGGCCGGACCGCTCTGCTGGGAAAGTGTCGAAAACCTGCGGACTTGATGGGCAAAGACGAAGACACAGTGCGCCTGGGCGTCTACGAGATGAGCGATTCCGATAGTTCCTCCTCGATAATGGAGAAGGAAATCGATACCCTGTTGCACCATGGCGAGGAGGAGGTAGCCATGGAAGACGAGCACCGAAGCACCATAGCTCGGCTCTTCACATATTGTCATGGCTTATGGCGTACCAGCAGTACGCGGCGGGTGGTCATTGCCTGCGTGTTGGCCGTCCTGTTCATAGTCGGAATTTCGAGCACCACAGTGGCGGTCAAAGGCAATTCACCATCACATATACCCTTCTCATCTCGGTATTGGTCGAGGATCGCCAAACCACGGAAGCCGGAACCTTTCTTCCATTCTCTCTATGAGAAGAACCTTGCCGCCCAAGCACAATTCCCTTCTTACCTCGAACCGGCCCTACAGAGCGACTTCTGCTCCATTTGCGATTGCCAAGCAGCTCCTTCCTATTACTCTCCCAGCATTGAGATTCAGATCACCTCGGGCTTCCCTCCACGCCCACTCGACAAAGACGTCCACCCTACTTCCGACACAGTGGATGTTAACGAGTACGTTCGCCGCGCGATACTCGACATCTACTGTGCTCGGCAACATTTGACGAAGGATCAGGGCCTGACCCTTGTCCGTCGGACTTCAACACACCTCAACGAGATGATGAGCTGGTCGTTGGCTGGGCTGGACGTTGGCAAGCCCACCATCTACATGACGACGGTTACGAGTCCCAATGGGAAGGCTGGTCCTGTGCGGCCGCAGTACTTTCGGCGCCACGGACGTACGATTCGGTCGTGGATGGTCCAGCAGGAGGAACGCCTCCTGCAATCGAAAGATGAGTGGGAGTCAAAGAAGTTGGAGGGCGACACCCGGGATTGGCAGGTCGTCTGGGTCATTGCTGAGGATGAGACTGAGCTCGATCCCGCGGTGATCCGAACACTGCAGCGGACGGGAGTGCCCTACGTCTACTTTGCCTATGGGCGGACAAAGTCATGGGGCAATGCACAGAAGAACGCTGTGTTGCAGATGGTGTATGCGCTCTCGCGCCAAGGCGTAGGCGGACTTTACGGTCACGGTCCCGTGTACGGCCTTGATGACGACAACAAGATCCTGCCAGAACTGCTGAACAAAATCACGCAGGTCGTTCGCGTCGGTGTCGTTCCCGTGGGCAACCTTGGCTTCTGGGGCTGGGAGACTCCCGACGTCGACAAGGAGCTAGGAGAGGTCACGCACCCGGGCAACCATATCGGAACCTTCGATTATGGGGGGTTTGCGTTCAATTCCTCCCTGCTCGGCACCGCCATTAGCGGGCCAAGCTTCTGGAAGTGGACTGAGCATGCCGGAGAAAGGGAATTTCTGGAACAGTTTGCGACTAACATGCGTTCATTCGAGCCTCTTTGTGATAGGAAGGGTGAGCAGACGTGTCATCTAGCATGGCACAACGAGGAGCTGACTGAGGTGGAGAAAATGACTGACGAGGAGGAAATCGCTTATGTGCACCAGTATGGCGTTGATAAGTTGTTCAAAGAGCTTGGCTTTGCGAAAGTTGGGGACGATGATAAGAAGAAACCAAGTACATGATTATAACAATGCATAATTCAAAAGTGTAAAGTTAATTGTGTGCACAATTGATATGATAACTATTCTCGTGTATGGATATAGTATGTTTTGCAGCACAACACTCCATTATCCCTCCATCCTTAACAATACAACTAATTGTACAACAGAGTCCACGACATCCTTCTCCTTATTGGCCGTCTGGTTCGACGGCAGGAGTTGCGCATGTTGGAATTTACTGGTTCTGCTTCAATCGCTGATCAGGCTGGCCATCCTTTCTGAGACCATCACCTCCCTGATGGGCTGCGCCCTGGGGAGCATCGGAACCATCCGAGGCACTACCACCGCTGGAGTGACCTCCCTGCTTGCCGGCCTCAACGGGGTCGACTTTGCCGTAGGCGAACTCAGTCTGCTGAGTGCGCTTGTCTGGCTGGCCGTCCTGGCGGAGACCGTCGTGCTCTATTTCAACTGTCAGTACTCAGAAACGTATTTGGGGAGAGTACGTGAAGTAAGGGAAGGGGGCGAAGTTGTGATATGGATCGACGACGGATTGGACCTTGCATGAAATTCCAATTCCCGACCCGCTGCAGGTGTATGTAGGAAAGGGGGAAAAGCGTTGTAGCGATAAGACGTACCGGTTGGCTGGTAGTTAGACATGTTGATCTGGTTTGGGTTGGTTTTGTTTGGTTGAAGTGAGCTTGTGTTGTGAGGTGTTGCTGTTTGTTGGTAGAGAAAAAAACTGCTTCCCAAGTCGAGGACACACCCCGTTTATATAGACGAAATGCTGCTCAGATTGATCATCGCTCGCACGACATCGTATCCCATCCCTCACCAGGCCTTCTCGTAGAGGGTATCCCGCTCTGACGTCGTCTTACACCACGAGGACATGGATTCGGGACGTTGAGTTCCTGGAGATTGTGCTTGATGATTCATGACCTGCACGTTTCGTTGGTCCTTTGCATCATGCCACCCAGGCACCAACGTCGTGGTTTACCGTTTTGACGTCAAAGAACAAAAGGGCCAGGGCAAAGCTGCAAGGGCAAGGCAAGCACGACACCACACCTCTGACGAAAGGACATGCTCAAACCAGACACCAAGACATCCGATCAGACTCCATCCGATCGATGGACAGCCAGCTAGTAGATCTTGATCTCTGGAGATTGCCGGGGGCCTTGCCAGTGGACATTGAAACTTTCCATAGTTACTCCAAAGAAGCAAACTCGCGAACGTCATGACTGGCCATTGGCAGCATTCCATGTAGACTCATTCCCGCTTTCGGGAAGATTCGATGAGTCAAACAGAAGCCGGAAGGAATGAGGTGATGTGATGCAAGGTTACCGCACCACAAAGACCAATTGATGAAATATGGTTCAGGTCTGGGGGGCCATTCAGAAGAGGTCCATCCGAAGGGGGAAAAAGTGGATGAATTGTGTCATGACATGGAACATTGAACACGGACAAACGCAATCAGCACAAGAAGACAATAAATTTTTGACTGCCCGAACCGTACCTTGAGGAGCTGATCCAGAGATTCGGCTGAAGAGACCAGAAAAGACATTGTGCTCGTTGTCATAACCCATTTCATGATATCTCATCGGTACATGGTCGTATAGAACTGTACCTAAGGGCGGTAGTCGACACAAGGGACCACACAACCACGCGAAACCACGATGTCGCTTAGATCGTACCTGTTCAGTCCGTATCGGGTATGGGACAAATCCGGGGAGCTGGGAAATCGATCGTGTACCGTGCATGGGCGACGCCAGAAAGAAGTTATGTGGATGGAAGGTCGGAAAGCGGAGAGAGTCATGACGATATAGAAGTTGCAATAGAAAGGGGTCAGCCTTGTTCAGCCTCGTCAAAAAGGCTTGGCAAGAAGGGGTCTGCCTTGTCTGATTGATAGACGACGTCAATTCATGACATAGATACCAGGTACCTACCAGGTAGGTATGACTACATGAGAGGCAGTGTTTAAGGACAGTTGTTACATGCCATAAAGTATTCATTGACTTAAACCATGGTGCTAGGTATCGTTGCAATCGGATTACAGAATATGAAACATGGCTCTCCTTTCACTTCCTCCTTCGCCCCGAGGCCCATGCGATGCCATTAAAAATCCCTTCACACCGTGTCAAAACTACCGAGGCAATTCCCTTCCTCTTCTCATAGGTGCCTCTAATTAGTCGTATAATGCCATCCTATTCATGCTGCCAAACGTGGTTGTTCCTTCAAGACATTCCCGCAGAAGTCGTTGCCGGAATCTCCATTTCTAGCCTTCGTGAACCGTTCATGTTCCCATTCATGCCCCCTGCCTGATAATCATTCCCTGGATGATCATCTCCCAAAGAACAAAATGCCTTGCCATGATATTACAAACGCTCAGAGCAACAAAAACAAAATAAACAATGTGTAAGTTACATTTGAAACAGGTGTGCAAGAATGAGACCAGATTCTCCATCCCATCGCACTAATTGCCTACTCGCCGTTATAATCTTGAGGGGCGGTATTGGCGAACACATAGTTCTTCGGCTTTTGTTGGGCAAGCTGTTGAGCAATGTTAGCATGCTCTTCTTTCTGGTTGGGGAATTCTTGAATGTAGAATTCCGTCTTCTTTCGATCCAGCTGAGCATCAAAGTCCAATTCTGTGGTGGTATCGGAAGGCAAAACGAATTGCTGAAGATGACCAGAAAGGGTATCTGCATGCCGCTGGTAGCCCAGAGATGGAACATATGTGACGGGAGGAAAAGAAGGAACCTCTGGTGAAGTTAGTGCATCGGACCAACTGCTGTTTGTCATTGGTCCTGCCGAATACGGAGGTGTGAATTCTGGAAACGACGCATATTGCGGAGGTGCTGAAGCAGGTGGAGCATGAGATTGTTGTGATGCACCTCGAACCATGAAATCCGAAGGCAACGGCGTGATCGGTGGTGATGTGTTTATTGAAAGACCCTGACCCGCTTGCAATGAGAACGACGCCGACATGTCAGCGCCTTGGTTAAAGAAAGGGTTCTTTTCTGGATCCGTCATATGGCTATTTGAGATCATATCAGGCGACAGCATCGGCGCAGGCAAGTCCATCAGTTGCTGGACATTGATAGCTTGTTGCGCCATCAGCTGATTGAAGGCTTCATTCTCAGCAAAAGTCGAGACACACATGGGTGATCTTTGTGCCGAACTCGCCTTACGAACCCCAGCATACCGTGAGTTGAGACTGTGACCGGCCGACTTGACGTGGCGGATAGTATGAGGTACTGCAGGAGTAGTGATGCTGGGACGGAACGTGGGAGAGACCGATGTCATGGCGCCGTACGATCGACTTCGAAGAGCTGTCGAAGTCAATGCCGCAGGCCGAGGCCGTTTTCTGCGTGCAGCAATATCCAGTGATCCCGACGGCGGACATCGTATTGGTTCTGAAGGACGTCGACCTCCTGCGTGGGTGGGTGAGCTGCTGGCTAATGCGAAATTACCAAAGTTGTGTGAAAGTTCTTCCGTTACAGCACTAGAATGCCGCCTGGAGTCAGGGTATTCTGGCATTGTCAGTCCAGGGGACGGTAAGCCGGCCGCAGGATCATTGTGCTGGTGTGCGATGCCTTTCGGAGTTTCCAAAGACCCTTCTAGATCGGTCGGACTAACCACAAAGGAATCGTGGATGAAATCTGAAAGTGGATCCATGGCGAGATCATCATGATCAGATGTGTCAATAGCCCCATTTTTGTCGTCGAAGCCAAAGTCAAAGGCCTGATCCAGCACGCCAGGCGAAGGATATGGAGCTCCAGCAGCAGTCCATGCTGGCGGAGCACTTGGCGCTGATGCACTAAGGTGATGAGAGATCGGGCGCATTGGAAGCTGAATGCTCATCGGTTGTGCAGGCAGCCCGGGAGGAGCCATTGTGGGTTGCGGCTGGGGTATTTGTTGGACTTGGGCAGCCTTTCCTTGGCCAAGTGCTCGCCGTAGGGATGCCCAGCTTGCTTCTTTGATCCTGTCAGTGGTCTTGACCGGCGATGGTGTGCTCTGGGCTGTCGAGACCGATTCTTTTCTCGGAGAGAGTGATATGGAACGAGTAGGCGAGGCATTTTCTCTGGGTGTGCTGACAGACTCTCTCCCTCTTGACTCTGGGTTATCCCCAGTCTTCTGAGCTTCATATTCCTCCTGTCTCTTCTGCTGTTTGGCTTTTGCCCGTCGATTCTGGAACCAATTCTGTCTGTTGTTAAACACGGTAGACATTACGGGGGCTTAACAATTACTCACTCCGACTCTCTGGAATTTCAGATTGGTTTGGATTGCGAGTTGCCTTTTGACCTGAGAATTGGGCTTGTGATTGGCCTGGAACTGAGCTTCCAATATCTCAACTTGCTCTTTGGTAAGCCTAGGGCGTGTTGATATCTCTTCCATCTCCGGCCCAAACTCATCGGCCATCATACCAGGTGGCATGAAGTCTGCATACTCATTGGCGGCATACCGGGCATAGAAGTCGTCGAGCTGCTGTTGTTGCGGATGCACTACATAGGACGGGTATGGGATCGCTTGGTAGTACATCTGAGGTTGATGCTGAGTCGGAAAGGAAAAGGATTCCTGCATGTACTCCATGGTATTCGATTGACGAGAGCCGAAACCCTTGGCTAGTTCTGCACGTTGGGTAGATGGAAGACTGGTCAGATGTAGCGCATTTCAGCTTCGGAGATTTGTTGTGACTTGTCCGGTGATCAGAAGTAGTGTAAGGAAGGAAGCCTCTGATGCGCAATGCAAGTTTTGATCAGGTTGGTCGGAAGGCAATACCAGTCGCAACAAAGATCTCAGGCGGCGGTTCGGCCCAGAAGACCACAAGCACCTCAATCCAGCCTTGACAGCAATATTGCGCTCGATGGCCGGAGTGTGTTGATGCTAGATATAGCTGCGATATCGTGTAGAGATAGCGGCGATGGGGAGTAGTGTAGTATGGTAGGATTGAATGAGGTCAGGGATTTTTAGAATCAAAGGTGGCGGCGTTCGCGAGGGAGGAGGCGAGAATTAACGAGATACAGGAGCCTAAGGGATGATGGATGTCTCGAGGAGAATGGGAAAGTGATCAGAATGGTAGAGCCGGGGTCTCGGATGTGTTTAGGAAAGGCAGAGATCCCTTTTGAAAGTTGACCTTGTCGGTGGGAGTGGTGACAGGGAAACAGCTGGAGCAACCAGATGCGCACGTCCTGTGCGCATGGAGTTTGATATCAGTGCGTACGCCGAGCGGGTGTTCTTGTTCTCTTGCGTCTTCTGTGTGATCACCGATGGGCGAGCGAAAGAGAGAAGAGAACGATCAGAATCAGTGGAGATGGGCAAGACACACAAAAGCAGGTACCAGAGATGAAGGCGAGTGGAGGCCTAGACGACAGTGACAGGGGGCACTGACACTTGACTTACGAGGGCCGAAGCCTAAACATGGAGCTTGGATGGAAGAGACGAGCCACTAAAGATCAAGGTCACGGTGGAACCCACGAGCCTGAGAGCCTCTGTGCGATTGATGCATTTTGCGCCCATGGAGAAGGCGCTTGAAGGAAACAAGACAAGATCTCAATCCTCCCCGAACGAGCCGCGGCAGAGGCGCACGGCAGCAGTGGATGGGCAGCGATTAGGCATCTCCTAACTCAGGGCATGGGTAAGTGAGAGAACAGACATGAACAGATGAGGAAACGAAAGAAAAAAGAGGCGCTTGGTCAGGTCATTCCCATCCATTTCCAACGCCTACCAGGGTAGATCTTGCGTCTTGCGTCTTTTCATCACACGACTGCATCAGTCAGGCTGCAACCCCGTCATCACGCTGGGTACTCGTCTCCAGCCATATCCGCTTTCCCCGTTGAAATCGCTCCTTGACTCACAAAAAAATGCAAGAAAATTACGTTCATCACCCTCACTGCGTATCAGACCGCTGTCGCCATCCTCCATATTCTCACTTTCCGGTCCGTCAAAACGGGCGGATTGGAGGGATCTGTTGACGCCAATGCAGGAACAGCACTTCAGAATATGCAGGACACTGCACACGCCGTCAAACAAGACACCTGCACCAGTGGAGAAGAGCCAGTTATGCCCTAGCGAGCCCCAATTCCACTGTCTGACAGGGCCAGGGTTTTGGACCTGCAGCAGTGCTTGACGAGTATCCTTGCCGGTCTCAGGCCACAGGTCACCCTCCTGGATCCAATCTAACCTGTTTTGTCGGCAGTCTCGGCCTAGAAAAGCCTCTTCTGGCACAAACCCACCAAAGCAGGAAGGTTGACGGCATGCCCGTTGCCCGAAAGTCCAAAAGGTGGTTTGAGGGCAGATGTTTGTTAGACGGAGATGAGCTGGACCAAAACAACATGCACAAGAACAGAGTCTGAAATTTGAGATCTCGCCAGCTGTCAGCGGCCAAACTTTGCAGTGATTGCCTTGTCGACATGCTGTCTGAGTCTGACTGCTCCGAGGGCGTTGAAGTTTGACTGCCGCCCATCCGTGACTGTCATCACATGACATGTCCATGCCCAGACAGCAAGAGGCGCCGTCATTGTTCACCATGTTGCTTGGAAATCCCCGATAAGCTGGAAGGTCTTGCAGATTACCCACGGGCCTTACAACTCGCAGAATAATGTCTTCTCTTTGCGCCGACCTATCATGCAGCCAACAGCGTCACGATCGATCATCAGTTAATCATTCTGAGAGTTGAGGCTATCCTCAATTTACTATTGCAACTATCAGACTTGCCCGTTATCATGGTGCACAAATTGGTGAAGGTGGCGAAATGTTCACGACGATCACTCCATCTTGCACATCGAGCATCGTCATGTTGTTTCTCCGACCACTTAATTTCAGATTCGTCGTCCTGGTATAGGCAGTGATCTTGGCCAGATGCACAACACAATTTGGTACCTGCAGTGGTGGCGGAGGGGTTTCCGGCCTTGACTGCAGCTGAAAAGGCACCCCACGTATGCACAGACAAGACACACGATCCTGGTCTACCCGTCCACTCATCAAACACCCCGAAATTCAGCCATCACATATCCAGTACTCCGTACAGCGTCACCAATTAGGTACTACCCATTCAAGCCAGACCGTTACACGCTGATCTCAAGACTCGCAGCTTACTGGGTCCCGATAATTGGTAAACGCCCTTCCTACATCATACCACCAACCAGCCGACGCGACAAGGTAAGTTAAGGCAGCTCAAGGGACACACTCGAGTCTTGGATGCAGATACGAAGTTGTACCAAGCAGTCCAAGAGCCCGAGGCGCATACACACAACATAGCCCAGCTGTTTACATGTGCAAGGGAGAAGGGTGTACAAAATCAAAGACAGCAATTTCCTATGCGGCATCGGGGCATTATTTTTAGTGCTTCCGAAAGCATATCCGCCAACTACAGGCGAATTCAAGTTGCCTTCCGAACTTCTCATGGTGAGTCTTTGGCGAGTCTTTTGAACACGGCCTTCGGTTTGATCCTCCCATATCACTCACTCGAAGGCACGTAACCGTCGGGCCTTTTCTCCATGTGCCATAAGCAAACTACCTTAGGTTCGGACTTTTTTTTACACAAACCTTGCGCAACTTGCACACTCTTCGAGTGATCAACCCGAGCTACGACTTGGGCACATATTGGGCCGGGCTTCGCTCTGGACCCTTTTAATTTTCCTTGGATCGCCACACATCCAATCAGCGTTACGCAGGGCCTATTGCTCTTTCCAGATTTCTGTACGACTATGCCTCCACAAGATAACGTGTTCTTCTTCAACCCTTCACTCTTTTGGGCATATTGAAGGTCCTTCGTGTGGCTCATGATAAGTCTACACATCATTACGCGATAAGCTCGCCGTATCAAAATTTTGGAAATCTTCCAAACCTGCTGAGAAGGTGGCGCTGACAACAGAATTCCTTAGAATTCATTTTGTCTCCAAGGTCACATTGGTCTTTTCAAGCCATTGATCCTTCATGTCGAGCTGCAGAAAGGGGAACCACCATGACTGGAAAACCTCTGAGTAACCCTGTCCCGCTGCAGGATAGAGCCGACCGATCCAGCCCGTCACGAGCTGCCCATGCTGGCGAAACTCTGCTATCTCCATCTTCTCCACCGCGCAAAGGGCCGTTTGCTTCATTTGCAACGGCTGATCTTAGACTCAACAGAGCACTGACCACCAACGCTACGCTTTGTCCAGGACGCTGTCAGACCATCACCTGTTCGACTGCCGCCTGACGTTTTGTTGTTGCTCGTGCGGACTGCAGTATGGTCACTCTGACAATAGCATTGTCTTTTTAGCTCTTTGTTGCTAAAGGAGCAGGGAACACCATGCGGTTGATAATCAGGGGTGTTTACCTAGTTCCCACGTTGTACAGCTTCTAGGCGCATTGTTTGAACGGCCGTCCACGGTGTTGGAACCGGTGGACGACCCAATAAATCGATGCGTCATGAAGGTACCAGCTCTGCATCGTCGCCCACTCACCGTACTATCCGCGACCTCTTCACATGACCTCGACACAAAAGCTGGGGATCACCTCTTGAACTTCGTCACAGCAACATCGGTAGTGGCCGATCGTACAGCACCCTACTACTTTGCTGAGCAAGGTGCTTGTCGATCAGAAGATCGCCGTATCGCTTTGTGGCGCGAGAGGCTTTCTTCATCGTGCGGCTCTTTCCTCGATACCGCTTCAGGCCGTTGTCTAAATTCTTCTATGTAAGGCCATCTATCCACAACCTTCGCTATTCCCTATTTGAGGACCAGACAGTACGCCGTGCTCAGAAATGCTCAATGTTGAAGATGTAGAAGCGGTCCCGCTATCTCAGGGTGCATTGACCAGGGCGTTGGAGATCTCGATTTGTAGCAGACCGTTGGCGAAGCTCTTCAGCGTCACACTCCGCAAGTCTTGCACAATCCAGTCGGCCCCCGCTTCCTCTAGTTGACCAATGGAATGCGTCGTCGCCAGTCCGATGACCTTGAAACCAGCGGCCTTGCCTGCACGGACACCAGCTGGAGCATCTTCGAGGACAATCATGTGAGAGTTCTCGGACAATCCCAGTTTCTTCCGACCAAGCAGATAACAGGCAGGATGAGGTTTCCCTTCGTCGACGTCCTCTGCCACCACCAGACAGCGTGGGTGCGCAAGTTTGAGAACGTCAATCCAACCACTCACGAGAGCCCGCGTACCAGAAGTCACTACAGCCCAGGGCGCACTGACTGCTTCAAGGCTCTCGAGGAGGTTTCGAGCACCGGAGATCTCGACTGCATCTTTTCCAAATAACTTGGGTATCAAACTTTCTTGATGGTTGATATCTGTAAGACTTTTAGCTTTCTGGCTGTGGAACCTGTCGGAGAGATAACCTTACATTCCCAATTGGCCTTGGAGGGATCATGAATCTTGAAGGTGTCGATACTTCTTCTGCCATGTGATGTAGCCAGTATGACGTTTGGATCTACTCCCATTGACTCTGCCTCCTTGTGCCAGTGTTTGACAATGGCTTCTGTGCTATCTATAATGGTGCCTGATGAGGGTCAATGAGCATGGGTCTTTCGTAACGTGGAGGTGTGGTGCAAATCCTACCATCAAAATCAAACAGTAGTCCATTGGCCGTCAAGATCTCAGGAGATGCAGAAAATGAAGATTCTTCGATTGACCCCATGTTTTCGAAGATTCAACGCAAGTAGCTAATATCGTCGTGCTATAATGAAACCTGCAGTTTGATATGATCTATAGTAGCCTGGTTTATGTAGTAATGGAGTCCTGCTTCTTCACATACCGATGAGGTCCTCTTTATTTCGCAGGGATGCCGGCTGCATTACCAGACCTGGAGGGTACCGCATTTTCCGCGACAAGATAAATTCTTTGAGCCGGAGATCTACCGACCAAATGCATGCGGTGTGGAACTTTTTTTCCATAGGCGATGAACTTCAATACAAGAGACTCACAACGCAACCATACAACCATCAGTGTTCAGGTCACAATATGGTGAAGCCTTGTAAGTGTACTGAGGCTCCAGGGTGGTGAGCCGAGTTAACAGTTGCAGTCTCAAAGTCAAAGCGGGTGCCTGTACGACTAAGGCATAAAATCGAAAAGGCGAGTGCAGCGAAACAGAGGAAATCGAGGAAAGAATCGAAAAAGGTGCGTCGCTTTCTGCATTCGACTCGTTGTTATCTGACAGGATATAGAATCCTCAATGGAAGTCTCGTCTGAAGAAGGACCCCGGCATTCCCAACTTATTCCCATTTAAAGAGAAGTTACTTGAAGAAATCGAAGAAAAGAAGAGACAGAAAGCAGAAAATGCACAGAGACTACGGGATGCGGTAAAAGACAAGAAGAAGGGCAGACAAGAAGACGATACAGGCAACGTCGACGAAGATGACCTCATGGAAGAGGAAGAAGACGATGATTCAGTTGACGATGTTATGGACGAGGACGACGACCAACTCAATGGCAATACAAATCCTCTAGCAGCTTTGGTCGCATCTGCTCAGGCTCGAGCCGCAGAGTATGATGGTGGGGGCCTTGAGGGTGACATGGCTGCGGAAGACGATGAAGACGCGGACGCAGGTGGTATTCAACTCTCTGAGACTATGGCCACAGACCACAGAAATCCGGATTCGTCACGCAAAGCCTTCGACAAGATCTTCAAAAAAGTCCTGGACTCTGCGGACGTGGTGTTATACGTGCTGGATGCTCGAGACCCCGAGGGTACTCGGTCACGCGAGGTCGAACGGCAGATCATGACTGCCGACGGGGGCTCGAAGCGGCTGATCCTGGTTTTAAACAAGATCGATCTGGTTCCCGCACCAGTGCTCAAGGGCTGGCTGACGCACCTTCGACGATATTTTCCCACGATCCCGCTGAGAGCATCAACACCGGCTTCTAACGCCCAGACCTTTGACCACAAACAATTGACCCTCAAAGCCACCTCGGAAACATTACTGAGGTCCCTCAAATCGTACGCGGCCTCGAAACAACTGAAACGAGCCATTTCTGTTGGTGTCATCGGATATCCTAACGTCGGTAAATCGTCTGTCATCAACGCCCTGACATCCCGCTTGAACAAGGGCACACAGAGCTTCGCGTGTCCAGTCGGCTCCGAAGCTGGTGTCACGACCAGTCTGAGGGAGGTTAAAATTGATAGTAAACTGAAAATCCTGGATTCTCCGGGTATTGTCTTCCCATCAACTGTGGACGGCGAGGACAAAGAGGACAGACAGCGACGGAAAGCCGAACATGAAGCTAGACTCATCCTTCTTAACGCCCTACCGCCGAACCAGATCACTGATCCAATTCCAGCGGTGACATTGCTGCTGCAGAGATTGTCGACGTCAGAGGCGCTGTCTCAAAAATTGCTGGGACACTACGGAGTCGTTGCGCTCGGGCCGTTCGGCCAGGGTGACAGGACGACGGATTTCTTGGTTCAAGTGGCACGCAAGAGAGGCAGACTGGGAAAAGGGGGTGTTCCGAATCTCCACGGGGCGGCCATGACCGTGATTACAGACTGGCGGGATGGCAGGATACAGGGCTGGGTCGAGCCGCCCACGCTGAAAGTTGCGGACGACTTGCAAATGGGTGATGCCCAAGTGGAAGAGTCAGACAAGGCCTTGCCTAGTGGTGCCGACAGGAAAGAGATCGTCAAGGAATGGGCCGCCGAGTTCAAGTTGGAGGGACTCTGGGGCGATGGTAAAAGTGATGAAGCTGCGCAAGATGCTATGCAAGTAGAGTCATGATCGATGGGAGTCACAATATGCACAACCTGCTATTTCCATTGCATTCAAGTGTATCTTTCGTGCTGCTGGCTGTACTGTAAGCTGCTGCAAAGGAACTCGCTGCCCACTTTCAGATATCAATTCCCCCCACGTCAGTGTCTTCGCGACCGCGTCTTGAAATTTACCGCGTCGTTAGATCTCATGCGAAACGGCCCTTTATCAGAACATTTCCCCAACGTGAAGTAATCCGAGCCGTCAGTCATCGTCTTATATACAGTCTGGGCCCTCTGAAGCTGCGGACTCACGACAACTCTCCGCGCTACGTATTCCGCTCAACACTTCCCACGCGCAACGTCTTGACGGGCAGAAATTGCAACCTGTACTCGTCCAGATAGCGAGAGAGTATACGAAGGGGATTTAAGAGGGCGCAGCAGGAGGCGATCCCGACACACTACCGCTTAGCGAGTCGGAGGGTTCGAGCACCGCTAAGCACGCTTCGTTTCCACGAAGCTCGTTGGGGAGGACTCGATCTCTGGTTTGGTTGACATCTACCGACGCCCAAAACAAAGCATGCCTGCTCGCAAGAGCACCTCCTCAACAGGACCGACGGACGCTAATGGCGATGTCTCGATGGTTTCGAACGCAACCACATCCTCCACGCATGCACATCCCAAACCATCAAGGCAATCAGGGGGAGGAAAGCAAGGTGACGGTGTGAGCATCGACGTGGGTCTCACTTTCCCCTGTTGTTGATCGTAATAGCTGACGAGGACTTTCTTCGTGAGAACAGGACCTCCTCCTCCCACGCACACTGACCTCGCGGCTTGCACGTGGCGTCCTGCCGGCCAACACACAAATCCAGAAAGACGCAGTACTAGCGATCGCCAAATCGGCGACGGTCTTTATATCCTACCTTGCACACCATGCCAACGAACAGACATCCAAAAAGACGATCGGGCCGCAGGACGTGCTAAACGCCCTCAAAGAGATCGAAATGGATGGCGTGATGCAATTAGGCGCCGTGGGCAGCGACGGACGACTGGGCGGACGTCTGGAGCGCGAGTTGGAGGCCTACGAGGAGATCATCAAGGGAAAGAGGAAGGGGTATCGAGATAAAGTCAAGGCCAGGGAGAGTCACGGAGATGCGGACGCCGAGGACGAAAGAGGCGAGCCGAGCAGTAAAAAGGCCAGAAGAATGAGTGGAGATGAGGACGTGGATGATGAAGATGAGAGGATGCTGGAACAGCAGCTCAATGGGGCGCAGGGGTCGAGTCCAAATACTACGGGAAAGAGCAATGGCACATCCAGTAGGCCTAACGGGGAGGCCGACGTCGAAGAAGTGGATGAAGCGGGCGATGAGGAGCACGATGATGAGGATGACGAAGAAGATGAGGATGATGCTGGTGAGGACGAGGAAGATCAAGATGACGAGGCTGACGTTGACGAGACCGAGGCTGATGATGCGGAAGAGCTGGAAGAGAGGGTGAACACAGATGAGCGAGGCAGAATAGCGCTCATGCCAGACGGAAACGTCGAGATGGGTAGCGAAGACGAGAGCGAATGATGCTGATGCGTCGCGATGAACTCTTTGCATTGAATATAAGGTAGTCAGTCACTGTGCGGATGATGCCACTTCTGATGTGACATTTCAGTCACAAGAATGGCCCGAACGTCTCCTGCACCTGACCAACGTTCTCGCTATGATTTGGCTATAAACACTCACCAGTTGACAGTAAGATATCCGTCAAGGAGAACGTTCTTCCTCCCCTCCTCAATAACCCTGAGCGGCGCCATGACGCTGTATCTATACAAATACCTCAAGTCGCCCTTCGGGGAAGCGTTGCCGTTACTTTCATCGCCGTGTTTGCAAGCCTGGCCGTCACCCTGCAGCGCATAGTCCCACAGCCAACGTTCCTCGCCATGACCGCCATCCTCTACTCGCACCTTGGGTATTTCATCGCGCAGAACGCGTTCCATGAACTTACCGAAGGAGACGATGGCGGCTTCGGCGTCGACAGAGACCGTGGTATGTGCCGCTGCGAGGCGGACTCGTGGAGGCCCACGAGGGAGGTCGACGAAGAGCCAATCGTCTTCGACGCGCGACTTCGCCGTCTCATCTCGGAAAAGAGGCTCTGGCACGTCACCTTGGTCATGGTGATTGAAGCCGCACTGATCCCGGCCAGCGCATCTGTGGCTGTGACGCCGTACGACATTCTGCTTCTGGGATGACAGCTCCTTGTTCCGCGCCTGGACAAAGTCGAGAAGCTTTTTCAGTGTCTGCCACAAGTCGGTGACATTACCTTCTGACGGAAAGATTGTGGGCATCGGCGGTTCGGGACCCCAAGGTGATTCACGGGTCGTGTCCGTCTCCTTGACATAGAAGGTATCGCCAACACAAAGAAGGCGGAGGTCTGCATCGTACCATGACAGCGAGTCGGGAGTGTGTCCGGGAGTGTGTAACACGGTGATGGGCGTGGGAATGCCGCACCTGAGTCCAGTAGACTGATGCCATGTGACGACCGACATGTCCGGAGCCCAGGTGATGGTATATGTTGGTGCGTCGAGGCCCACGGACCCGCAGAGGCTGTGTTTCTGGAGATTCGAGTACGGTGTCACGAAGGACTTGTCGTGCGACGAGGTTAGGACTGTTGTAGATGGGCGATGTCTCTGCTGGTCCCCAGGCGCCAGGCCAGATTCAGCAGCTGTCGAAGGTAGCTTCGCTAGTCCTAAAATGTGGTCGTAGTGGCAGTGAGTTGTCAGGACGAGATACGGAATCCGCCCATCTGGGTTGATTGTGTATTCGAGAAAAGTGCGCAGGTTCCAGACGCCAGGACTTTGGCGTGTGCGAGCTTTGGATGGGGTTTGGTTGTTGCTTGCCAAAGAGGAGGATTGAGTCATGGTCATGTTGGGAACCTCTGTTCCACAGCCTGTATCGCTGAGAATGATGACCTTGTCTGCAGCATGATCATCTTGACCGTGATTCTCGACTGTCTCCCAAGTATCGTCCCTACTTCCCTGCTGATCGCATGACCGTGAGTGCTGTGATGAAGTCTGGCATATCTTGGCGTATATATGCGGATATTCACCATACTGGTCATGTTCGCGAATGAGCCAGGTATCGTAGCTGGATTGGGAGTTTAAGCTGATTTTGGAGATGGTAAAGGGACATGATTTGGGGATGTCGAGATGAAAGCGACCTCTCTCGTGCATATTAGCGGTCGCTCTCGGTGAACCCTCAAACGGCCAGTGCTGAGGGGTTGTGCTTGTGTGTACCTGTGGAAGGTCGAGTCACCCCCACAGTGTACCCAGCTATCTCATCAACTTTGGAACCCTTTACGATGTGTTGGTGACTGGCGGCAATAGGACGATAGTATGCAACAGGAGCTCAATGACGAGTTGTTAGTCCTCAGCCTTGCCACGCTGGCCTGGATCTTTTAGCGGCATCCTTCCCTCCACGAGACGAGCTTCACGTCACTGGATGGAAAAGTGAACAGCATAATTACTACACCTTGTGACTGGTCGTGCATACTTCGTATTGCTCTAACGTGATCCTACATATTTCCTTGTATATAAACCGACCGGATCCATTGATGGTATGCAAACTCTGCCAGCCCAGTATGTGCATTGCTGTTCCTAAGTCCAGAACCCAGTTATCCGCAGCCACAGACATACTTGAAATGTTTGCACTCCTTTTCAGTCCCAGGCCTTAATTCTGCCCCGAGTCGTTGCTCGGAAGTTGCACCAGCTGTGGCTGCGGACAGACATCAGGTTGACGATCGTCGTTCTCGTGGTGTATCGTGGATAGCATTTCGATTCTGGATAGTGGAATTGCATAGCTTTGAAGCTCTGAAGCTCTTCAAAGAGCCCCTTTGATTCCGAAATGTGCAGGTCGGACAGCTGGGTGACGTTGTATTCCACATCGACGGGCGTTGAGTAGTGGAGCAGGGTCGGCACACACAGCGTGTGCATCGTAGACATTCTTCGTGAACTCGAGACCGAGAGATCCTTGAAGATGAAAGCCAAGCCTGCGTCGTCGAATTCAGACTCGACGCAAGTTCAGCTCGGTAATATGGTTGCGGGTGCCTCCCGGGATGTTCTGGTCCATGGAGACGCGGTAGACTTCAAGCTGGCGCTCTCAACCTTCATCGCAGATTGGCACTCGTGAGATGCCAACCACGCAGTGCTTCCTTCGGCGGATTGGGAATGAGAGGGGAATACCTGGGCTGACGCCCATGTGAAGAGCACGACTAAATTGTTGCTCGATTGTGAACAGATATCAAAGTATGACACTCAGATCAATGAAATTTGGCCACCTCTGGGTCTTTCTCCCAGCCTTCATAGGGCCAGTCGATGCCATCTTGTCCCTTCTCGGGCCATCCCTCCTACAAGCATGTTAGCGTAAACTCGCGGGTTTGAGAGAGACATAAAAAAGACATACCGGGAACGTCGCCACCTTGGGGAAAATCCCAGGTACGTTTTTGGACCAGATCCTCCCCCTACACCAGCCTTCTGTTGGGCATTCCAAATCGCAAAAGCCCCATTTCCTGCAATAGCATTCTTTTGCCGGTGCACACCAGTAGGCCGGCTTTCCGAAGATGACGTGCCACATGTATTCCAAAACGATTCCCATCTTCGTCACCATCTCCCACCCACCCCTCGCCCACATAAATTCTCGTATCTGTTCGTACTTCGTAACAGGCCACTGATGGACGGCCTCTCTCGTGACGGCGAATTGGGCACAACATGGACTGGACACCTTTGACGGAATAGTTTGATTGGGGAAGAACTCCGAAAATGCTTGCGCCCACAGGCCGTGACTCTCCCACGTACTATCTTGATGGCCAAGGAGTGGCTCAACAGTCGTTTCCGGGCAGATCTTCCAGTTGCACCGTAAAGTCGCGTATCCTTCTTCCACGACGTGATCCAGGTTCAGATTGGCGATTTCTGGATAGGTATCGTACATCGGGTCATCGTTGTGTGTCTGATATCGACCACCATGTATGAAAACCATTATATCGGGTAAGTTGTAGTAGTTGTTTATGATGTATGTCAGGTACACGGATGCTTCTCGACCAGAATCGTGGAGAAGCCCGAACTTGCGGATCCCGTTCTGGTCAAGTTCATCCTCGAGTTTGTCTGTCACATATATGGCGGGCGTCCAGTCTGGTAACAGATCCATCACCCAATCGGCCGACCTGTTGTTCTTGGATTGAGTCGAGGCGATGATCGCTTTGGTCATTGGTCGCGACGTAGGAGCTGGCGCCGTTGGCGCGAAAGAATCTGGGTCTTCGGGATAATCGTCGTCTTCCATGTCAGGGACGGGGCGTTGGGACACTTCATGCTCCAAGGGTTGACCTTCCTTGTTGTCGAGGTCTTTGGCTACCGAAGTTGCGGGTCCAAATTGACTGTTGAGGTAGTGGGAGACTGTGGTATTCGTCGAATCTCCCGTCGAAAACACCTCTCTTAACAAAACAATACCGACAACGAAGGCAAAGCCGGCGAAAAGGAGCCGCTTGAATCGCGCCGAAATCGCCATTCTCCAATAGGTGCAGAAACGACAGAATAGATACAAGAATGAAGAGAATAACAGATAGGAAAGGGTAGAGCGAGAAGTACAGGTGACCTTTGTGCTACAACAGCATGGTAGGATGTGGTTCACATTAAAAATTTCCAATTCCCCAAGCCGGAAAGTGAGTGTATGTCCAAATAAGGGGTAAGGGTCTTTCGGGGGCAAACATGTATGGGAAAGTTCATTTCTCGGCCCTTTCTGGTGCATCTCAGGATCAGCCCAAGGTCGCTTAAGGGTGTAATAGTCGCCATGGGTCTTTACTAGACGAGACTATTTGGCACTGATCCTCCCGTTCCCCTTGCGGAATACGAGCCACCCTCCTTGGTCGTGCACGGTTGTGCTTGATTTTAAGGCTGCGGCTCTGGAACTTTTGTGTCCACTCTCGCATCAAAATCTTTCTTTATGCGAAGTATACATTGACTGGTCCCTTTGTCACGAGTATATAGAATATTAGTATACGCTGGTAGCTCTTGGAAAGGGCTACAAGCTCATACCATTATCTTCACAACCTCCTGTTAAATGGTATTGTGAAATGCTCAGCAAAGTCCTGTTCAACGTTTGTGGCACCCATGGTGGGGGGGTACAAAACCAGGAGACGATAAAATTACTTTGGGTGAATCGAAGGCTCGCCAGTCTCAGAAAGGAGGCCGAGGTCGCCCGAAAGCCCAGATTGACCAAGCAGCATTGTAATTTCGAGCCGCTAACGCATGCACTTGCCTCTATTTCAATGCCTACATTGCCTACAATGTCTTGACCCGGGCCGGTGTGGAGACCATCCCCATGCTTTCCGCAGATGAAGGTGAGACCTGCGTTTGCCCCTCCCTCTTACGAGGCAATGTTCATTGAAATGTTCTTACTACGATAGGTCTAGCGTTCCGGGACAACCCTTCATGGGCTCAGAGCACCAACTCAGGCCCTAATGTCGCCTGTGTCATTGGTGCACAAAAGCCCCTAGAACATTTCAATGAACATTGCCTCGTACTGCTGGTCACAATGCAAAGAACGACTGCATAGATGGTTGGATACGTCGATGACACTCCAGGTCTATGGTATTGGCCCTTGGGTCAATCGCACTGCTGCCGCTTCCCCGGGAACTGAAGGGAAGTGGGCGCCAACCCAAGGGTTTCCTGCAAGCACTTGAGGTTGACCAAATCTGACAGATCAATACACACATGTGTTGTCACTCCCGTACTGTCATTGAACAAAAGCATCAGGCAATACTAGATCGAAGCGATTCAACATGAGCAGTATACCTCGTGCTTGACGCCACACAAGTTGCCATATGATAGGCACCAAGGCCGCTAGGGTTGATCGGCCTACAGTACTTATGCTTTGCATCCTCGGCACGGAAGTCCTTCACGATCGAGTTAATGAAGGTGATGTTGTTGCAGGCGACAGCATGCCATCTACTTTCATCCTGGCGAAGAGCTACTTCCTACAAATCCAGGACGGTGACCCTGGTACACTATGATCACCATGGCTTTGGGAGATGTTGACCTCTCTATGAACATTTGTTGATTGTTCATGCCAGACATGCGATACGCACAGTTACCGAAGGTAAGCTTTTCGAAGACAAGTCGCCCGGCGGCCACTGAGCAAGACCTTTTTTCATCATATCTCATCTATTTATCCAATTTGCGATCTGGACAGGAAAGGTCAAATGGCTCTTCAGGTCCGATGGGGGGATAATAACATACTCAATCAGATAACGGCGTTGGAGGATTCTACCATAGCTGCGACGGAAAGCCTCTTTCATTATGTTCACCCTATCGTTGCTCGTGACAACTGAAGCTGAACAGTGGCTTGTTCTCATCAGGGCCCGTGCCCAAGCCATCGATATCCTAACGAGGGCACTTTCACTTCCCATATGGCGAACGGAGATATCATTATTGCCGGCTTACTACCAGAACGCTATCAATCTGCGCCTGCACAAGCCAATACGCGCTGTGGGCGCCTTGGACGCGGACAAGTATGACCAACTCGAAACGACTGTCAAGGAGGTCAAGCAAGGCGTGGACCTGGCGATGGCAGATTTCAGGCATGCCACAGACACCGGTGCGACTTGAAGAGGCTGGGCTCCCCAGGAGGCCTGTGCCGCATGGCCTTTCGCTCTTCTCGGCGAGCTGGGAACATTTGTTCACGCAACTCGCATCTGTACTTGTCCTTTCTCCAGTCTTTGACCCTGTTCGCAGTGGTGTTGATGAGTCGTACCAATAAGATTGCTGCCCATAAAGAGATCCCCAGAATGAATACGAGAAGATGATATCACACTCTGACATGGCGTTGAGCAGCGCCACGTGATTGACCTCGTAAGCTGAAAGCAAGGACCCGCCAGTGTTCGCTTATCTGCCACGTCTGCCAACCTGCCTTCCCACTTCCCATCTTTCCACCTACCCACCTGCCATGTGTCCTCCATCTTTTCCATCATCTTTATCTTATCCACAGCGTTTAGTGTCAAAGACTTCATCTGCCATGGATCGCGCACGGTCCCATACCATAATAAGATGTCAAAACTCGCGAAAGGTCAAGCATGAATCACAGTTATAACGCCCAGGCTTGGTAACTTTCGTTCGCAAGAGTACCATAAGCACCGGTCTTGATAGCGAAGCTTGCTTCAAAGTCAAATATGCTAGGTAAGCACGTTGAGGTAGCACCGAGATTCACCCAATCGGTATTGTTCTCTGGTGCACACGGTCAAGTTCCCAAGTCGATTGCATTTCATTCAGAACTTTCATGTCGAGGACGACTCCGTTTTATCGTCGTCAATAACATTACAATGGCACCGCAAACGTGGGCGGTGAGCTGAAAAACTTAACTCAGCACATGCTGCTAGAGTATCTAAGAAGCAAAAATATCATGGAGTCCCCCCATTTCCCAACTCCGAACCTTCATGGATCGCTGTTCGAGACAGATTATACTTTACGCCAAACGAGACGATTACCAGTCGTTCCAAACAGGGAGCACCGTAGCCGACGGAGGCTCCGGTTTATATGGTGTCCAAGGCTCCGAAGGGCTTGAGGGCTTGGAAGGCTCTGAGCCTCCTTTGGGAGATGAGGGTGTTGAAGGGTGACCTCCAGACGAGTGGCCTCCGTTTCCGGAGGAGTGACCTCCATTTCCGGAGTGACCTCCATTTCCCCACGAGTGGCCGCCAGATCCGTGGGATCCTTCGCTAGGTGATGATGGTGATGAGGGGGTTTCGGGTGTTGATGGTGAAGAGCTGCCTGAGCTGCCAGAGTTGCCCCAGTCGCCCCAGCTGCCTGATGAGCTGCCAGAGTTGTCGGAGCTGCCTGAATTGTCGGAGCTGCCAGAGTTGTCTGAGCTTCCAGAGTTGTCGGAGCTGCCAGAGTTGCCTGACCACCACGACCCTCCACGCCAGTTGCCTCCTCTGAAGCCTCCCTTTCCGTGGCCATTTCCGTGGCCCTCTCCCTTGCTGGAACCTCCGTGACCTTTCTCTCCGGATTTGCCGCCCCAGCCGCCGAAACGTCCGAAGAAGCCTCCTTTGCCCTCCTCGGACTTGCCCTCGGACTTCTCGCCCTTGGACCACTTGCCCTTGGACTCGTGTTTGGACTCGCCCTTGGACGACTTGCCCTTGGACTCGTGTTTGGACTCGCCCTTGGACTCGTACTTGGACTCTTTGCCGCCCTTGCCGAAGCCTTCCTTGACACCTTCCTTAGACCAGTCACCCCATTGGGCCTCGGCTTCAGGTTGGGCATCACGCTTCAACTGGGTGTGTACGCCAGCGGCGGAGCAGAGTTCTGTGGCAGCTTTGAGTGTGTCTATGGCAGGTCAGTATGCAGGTGACAGTGGCTCAAGGTATGGCAACATACCATAGGAGTCGTCGCCGTTGCAGCTCTTCTCAACACATGCAGTCACTGATGACATGAATGTGGAGGATGTGCAGATACATGATGTATCACTGGCCTTGCAGCCGGTGGAGGAGATGGCATCGGTCAAGCAGACCGCCTTCACATGGGTCAGCGACATTGTCCTGTCCTTGGAGAGGTTGTACTCACTGAGCATAGGGGAATACGGCCGGCCTGTGTCAAGGCGGCCAGGCCAAGAAGAATAATGCTGCTGGTGTATCCCTTCATTATGGCAGCTAAGAACGAATGGTAATGGTAACGAGCGTGATGGACATTCGGTCGCCAGAAACAAAAAAGAGACGTGGAGGACAGACCGGAGGTAGGACCTATATGAGGGAGCGAGGGAAATCAGCTTGATGGAGCATTCCATTTCGGTTGAGATAAACCATGGCGCGCCCCGAGAAGGATGGAGCTGATTTGCCCGAACTTGGCTTCATCCATGATCCAGCTGGCTCCTCCGACAACCATGGGTGCAAGAGAAATTTGGTTCCTGGCGCACAAGCTTTGCAAGGGAGCAGATCGCAATCGAACCAGATGACAGCGGATCCTCCGAGCCAGCAGGTAAAGGCAGTCAACACGGCTTGTCTATTATGTTGTCATGCATGTCTCACGCGCCGAGCGCTAGAATTGGACGCAACCTCCGATCGTTTCGAAGGATATTCAGGCACATGCGGGCTCGTTACCTACAGAAAAGGGTAAGCCTAGACGCCACGAGCACGCCACGGATATCTAGTCCACAGCATGAACGGTAGGGCTAAAAATGTCTGAGCGAATCCCAAGGGAGCCCTGGCAGGACTAACGTTTTCACGGAGCTCGTCCAGATATAATGAGTGACGCCAAGGTCAAACAAGGTGAATTACTGTCTTGCTGAATCCCCTTTTCATGCTTGGGCTGGAGATTGGAAGTCTGAAGAGGGCAGCCAATTTTGAAAGGTTCCACATGGGCCCGATGGCCTCGACAGGGGCTCCGGAGCCTTGGTCGGAGCCTCGCCTGTGGCCTTATTGGACAAAATCCCACTCCATCAACAAAAAGTTCCAGCTGGCGAGAGTGGTACTGTGATAGTTGCCCCTCTTGGAGGGCCCTCTTCACCAGACCGTCGAAAAGCTTCCCGAATAATTATTTTTTCTACAGACTACGACGCTGTATTTACTCTAAACAAGGACTCCATTTCTGCTTGCTCGCTTGGGAATGACGAGGGATGATCCTTACACCTGCCAACTGGCGAGAATGCGGGAGGTCCGCAGATCCTCGCTCGGTCAAGCGCTCTCTTGACTCACAATCACTTTCCTTCACAAAGTGATTGTTCTGGCATTTTGAAGTCAGCGCGCCAGAAGCTTTCTGGGCGCCGGCAGACTGAGTACCTTGGTCAGGAAAGGTGGGTAGGTCGGAAGGCCAGGAATCTACCATCTCTCGTCGAGGACTCCTCATTGCTAAGCTACGGTCCGACGGTGCAGCAAAGAACGAGTGGTATGCTCTGCTTGACACGCCGGAGGCTGACTGGTTGACTTCTTTCATCCTCTGTGGACCGGCCATGGTTCAAGCCTGGCAGGTGGAAAAATGGCGCTGCCTCGCTTACCGTCGAGAATGTTTATTTCTTCGCGCTCATCCCACCATCGCTGCAATTCTTGAACGTCGTCTTTCAGCTTGACCGAGGACAGCAGCATTTGTTGAGCGCCTCTTTCTGGCTTGCCCTGGCTGTCAAGGTAGAGTATTCCACTGATTATGCACCTCGACAAGTAGACATGACGTCGAACTTCCCCATATTGGCCAAAGCTCCTTGGTGGCGCCTCCCCAGCGTCCGAGCTCCCTTGTAACGGTCATAGCTTCATACCCGCGAAGCTGGTACCACGAGCTTAGAACCATGTCAAAAACGTTCCCCTGAAAGGTTGAATTGCATCAGCACATGTTAAGAACTAGTTTGTCCTGGCTATCTAAGACTTCTGCCACACTTCATTCTTCCCCCAGACGTCCGAGCGTGGCTTTTGGTCCGGCTTATCGCTCGGTTCCAAAACCTTCCTGTATGCCCACTGGGCAAACTTCACACTCGGCTCGTCAAACAACTTGGTGACGACATCGGCAAGCCACACAGTGACCGGGAGCAGAATCAGATGGGCAAAGAGATAGTTCACTTCCATACCGAAGGGACCCCAGCTAGGAAATGCGAAGCGGTTGACCCATTGCGGGCACACGATAGAGTGCCCATCACGTACACGCCCTGTCGCGGCGTAGACTCGGTCTCCCAATGACCACAGAACCGGTCCGTGGACAAGATAGAAGCCAAACGAGACCTTGCCAAGATACTGGCAGATCGGGGTTTCGAAAATGGCCCGCAGCCAGGGCAAATGCGGCATGCAGGCCACCATGAAGGTCGCCGCCCAGAACCGGTAGAACCACCGGAAATCGTAGAAGGCTTGCGGCTTGAGGAAGGACAGGTAGTACCACCCCGGTGAGTCTCGCAGATGCGGAAGGTCGTTTGTGATTGAGGGCACACCTCCCAGCCATAGGGCGGCAAAGAACAGCATGTAGAAGATGTAAGTCTTGACCGGTTTCAAGGTGTAAAACATGTTCGGGAGCTGGTCTTTCAGAGCCAGGAGTTCGAGATCGCAGATCAACATGCCCATGATGAAGAGGCCGCAGAACCAACCGTCCACGACATAAATGAAGTAGAAGACCAGCCCGACCTCACACCACAGTCGACAATTTCTGCCAAGCCGAGCAAATGCGAGCAGGGTGGTGTAAACCACGATCGAACCTCGAAACTCCATGGGGATGGACCAAGTGTGGTCATTGTAGCTGAGCCAAGGCTCCCCTTGAAAAACGAAGCTGAAGTTCTTGACGGCACAGTACCACATCCAGAGTTCGTCCTTGAACGTCCTCTCTGGCTTCGGCGCGATAGGATTGCTCGAGTAGATGCCGAAAATGTGCCAGGTGGCCATCCACACGAAGGTGGTGCAGAAGACGGGAATGAACAGTCTCATCCACCGACGGAACAGCGCCGAGCCCAGGTTGTCGGCGAGCGGCTTTGTGTCGTTTGCGTGGATCAAACTAAGGGGTTTCGCTGACAGGACGTAGCCTGATATCACGAAGAAGATGGCCACAGCGAAATGGCCACCCGAGAAGAACAGTCGAACTCCAGGTAGAGCGACGAAGTAGAATTGGTTGTTGTAACCATAGGCGTTTTCGAGGATGAATTCTCCTCCAATGCCTGCGTGGCCCCAGACCTGGTGATGCAGGCAGTAGACCATGAAGGCTGCGAAGCCTCTGAGGCCGTCAAGGTAGGCAGTACGGTGCAATTTCTTGCCTGTGTTGTTGCTAGAGATGGCACGACCGATCGATGACAAAGATGGTCGTAGCATACTGCTTGTCGATGCCATCCATTTCTTTTTCAATTCCGATGCTGGTTTGGAGTGACCAAGAAGGCCTTTCTCCAGCACCGCGTCGCTGCCCGATCGGTCCATGTTGAAGTCAGGCGGCAATAGCAGAGTGACTGGGGGAAGAAGCCAGCAATCTAGATATGAGCGCCGTCCTCACACCGTCCTCGATGTGGTCGGTGTCTTCGAGTTCAGGCCTGAATTAGGTTTCTTGTTGTAGGATGACGGGTAACGAAGAAAGAAATGTTGTTATCGCTGCTATCAACACCCTGGTTGATGTGTGTTGGATGATTTGCTGTTGTACCAGAGTAAGTTAGTGACTAAGCCGAACAGAGTCAGCGAAGGCGTCTTTGCCGAGTCCGGACCGCAAGGTGTAAATTCCGGCTCAAAAGGTCTCCTGCATGCTGTACATTATGCAAAGTTGGCTCTTGAACCGGACCACTTTGCCTGAGACAGACCGTCAAAGACCAAAATTATTGAAGGTGCAAGGGGTGGGGGCGGCGCCACCATTGTGATCGTAGCTCCGTGCTTCGGTTCTCGATAAGCCATCCGCACTGGCCTTTCCACGTGCAGGCGATATGAAGAGCTCCATTAGACCCGCACCACCACCCCGGCTAACGTCAAATAACGTCCTACGCTACTGCAGGTCCGGAGACGAGAATCACTGCGGAAATAGCATTTCCCGGCCGGGGACTGTCCTTGGGTTCATCCTGGTACTGTCATTCGTTGGTACCGAATAAGGAGTCGCTGTATCAGGATATCCCTCTCCATGCCCTCTCCTGACTCCTGAGGCCGTTCCAACAAAGGCTGGCTGTGGTGTAACATGATTCACATGCTGAGCAAGGGAGAACAATCGATCATGCAGCCCAGCTCGGTTGTGGCTCTTTTAGTTTCCAATCTTGTCAACGCCACCCTTTACTGGTCAGATAACAAAAGGTCTTATTTTTGATCAGATCATCAGAAGGGGAAATCACGATCTCAGGACTTCCCCTTCGCGGCCACCTGAAATTTCCATTAGAGATTCGTTGTAGCGCCCAGAAGTCCACTTCGCCTTGTGAGGTGCGTCCACTTATCAGCCGGTACCATCGTTCCTGTCCTCGTCCCGGAGCAGGCCTGGCTGGACCGGTTCTCGTGGGAAAGCCCACTCACCAGCATCCCTTTGCTCAGTGCTGTCCGTTGCTTTCCACTGCAATAACCTCTACGCGCTAATCTCCCTAGCCCCATCGTGGCGGCTCTTATCGATTGCAACAAATTTTTGAGGAGTCTCATTACCCTTGACCTTTGCTACCTCAAAATTGGAGACGAAGTCTCACTTGCGTTCAGTTCTCTTCCTGCGCAATTGTGTCTTCGTCATGGTGGCCTTGGGAGCCTCAAATCGACCCGTTGGGGGCGCCATGGTCAGGGCATTCCGAGGGTTTCTCCCTGTGGTCATTACTGGCTTGCTCTTCTTGTTTCTTCACGGTCTGTTCGGGAGCAGTTCATACCGGGCGATAGGAGGAACGTTCCCAGAGAAGATTTGGCAGACCTGGAAGATCGATGCCGCAGGCCTCGATCCCAAAGACGCGGCTCGAGTGCGGACATGGACAGTCAAAAACCCGAAGTACAGATACGAGCTCCTGACCGACGACAACGCCCTCAGCTACGTCAAGCATCATTACGGTCCCAACGGCATCAACAGACCTGATATCGTACATGTCTATGAAACACTGAACGCGAAAATCATTCGGGCCGATCTCCTACGATACCTTGTCATGTACGTCGAAGGAGGCGTGTATGCCGATATCGACGTCGAATGTCTGAAGCCGGTGGATGGCTTCATTCCCAACAGATACGACGTCAAGGACATTGACATGGTGATTGGTATCGAAACCGATATGCCAGATTTCAAGGACCACCCCGTGCTTGGCCAGAAGTCTCAATCATTCTGTCAATGGACCTTTATGGGCAAGGCTAGGCTGCCGGTCATGATGAGATTGGTTGAGAATATCATCGCGTGGCTTAACTCGGTCGCGAAGAAGCAGGACAAGCCCATTTCGCAGATCGAGCTTGACTTCGACGAAGTGCTTATTGGCACCGGGCCTTCTGCATTCACCAAGGCTGTGCTTGCAGAAATGTCTGCGCAGACGGGTAGGGATGTGACGTGGGAAGAGTTCCATGACTTGTCCGATTCGAAGGTCGTTAGCGGCGTCCTGGTGCTTCCTTCCGAGTCCTTCGCTGCCGGAACTGGACACTCAGCGTCTGGCAATCATGACGGAAAGAGCGCACTCATCAAACATCACTTCCACGCCTCGTCTTGGCCCACCAACCACCCCAGATTCAAGCACCCGATCTACGGCGAGGTGGAAAGATGCAACTGGAACCCTGAATGCGTGAAGCTATGGGATTCCAATACTGCCTTCTTCAACTCCCTCCCTGAACAAGAACAACTCAAGCTTGTCCACATGAAGGAGCTTGAAGATGCGAAACGTCCTCTCGTGATGGACGACCAAGGGCCTATCGGAGGAATGGCTCCTGTGGCTGGTATGCCTCCGGCGCCTGCGGCAGCGGCAGACGGCGCGGTAGGAGAGGTGGCACTTCCTCCTGGAGCAGCACCGGCAGACGACTTGTCACTTCCTGCTGTTGATGTTGGAGGCAAGGGCTCTGGAAGGGACTCCAAAGCGAAGGAAGCAGACAAAGATGCCAAAGCAAAAGATCCGAAGAAGGACGTCAAGCAGTAGAAGCGAGCCGAAGTGACGGCATTCGCCAATTGTGTGCCCGAGCTCTTATTCCAGCATGCAAAACGTCGAGAGCGGAGATCCCTGCGATGCTTCCAGAAACTCAGCCGCATATACCGGCATCGATCGTTCTTCAGTGTTGCCATTATGCACTTGGTATACGACCGAATCTTGCAGAGGTTCAAGATACGCCGGACCCAGACCCTTCGCGCCAGAGTGCAACCGGGCCTAACATTATGGAAGACAAGGCTTGTGGGAAACACGATTATCATGAAATTGTAGACACATTCGAGATCGAATGGCTGACGATGGCGTTGGAAGGAACATGTCTTGGGCTGGTAATGGGTTGTCGCTTGGACTTATGGTCCTTTGGTACAGCGACATGTCTCAATGCATGCTAAACATGGCTGCTGGGAGTTTATACGGACTGTGGTATGCGACTTTCAAGTTGCAAGAGACCTTGTTAGAGCTGTACGAATTGATAAAGTGTCATAACCAGAAAGCCTTGCAATTGTGCATGGACGCAATAACTATCCAGCTCCATCTCAATCGTCATCTACCTGTTTACTAACGTCACCACATCTTTTTCCGATGACATCCAGCACAACGCAGGAAGACTGGGACCAGTATTGCGGAGAAATAGTCATGAACAGTCATGAGGATATGCGTGTCATCCAACACATGTCAAAAAAGCTTCCGGTGCAGTGGAAATCCTTCTCCCCTCGTGGTCTGATCACAGCGACAACAAATGGATCACAGTCGGCGTTGGGACCAAATGTTCATACCAGCCAAGCCTCAACAGCGCCAGAACGACGCTGAGGCGCTGGAATCAGCAATTATATCACGGCGCGTCCGACAAAATATTGGACCACAGGCCGGTGTAACAAGCGCCTCGCTTCAATCAGGAGTCATTCCACTTTGAGTCTCGAGGTCAGTAACCGACGGACGCCAGAGACGGGGGACCCTGGCCATACGTAGATCCCCGGTAGAATTTTCTCGAGCAGGGATCAAGGCACCGGGCTTGCAGCGACGCTAGACCCATATCTGGCCCACCTGCTGCAGGAACAACCACTTTCTGGGATCGCCTCGCATGGTATTATTTCGGAAATGTGCAGCCCAATCTCCCGGATCTGCAGGTGCCAGGTGAGGCCGTTTTCTATGGTCCAGCTTTTCTGCTGGGATGTGGGAGTCCAGCTTATCTTCAGCCAATTCGTCTCTCCCCATCAAAGTGCCATGTACCCCTAAGGGGCTAGCCCCCCTTCACCCTCCTGACGTGCGCATAATGGAAATTCCCTGCTGCATAATCTGGCTATAGGCTATCCCATCAGCTTATGGGGCTCCGTACGGAGAACAGTAGGGCCATGAATTCTGCTGCTTTTTTTTCTTCCGTTTCCTGTTTCCGGCAAGGCAAAGTACTGGGCTTTATGGGGTCACGGTTGCACAACCAATTCTGATTGCGTGCTTGTGCATGAGGCTTGGTGGCACTAGCAAGATTGTGTGGACTCACCTCGGTTCCTCATCAAAGCTGATATCGACCCAGATGCAATTTGACTTCGGATCTGGACTCTAGCCTATACGTGAAGACAAACCTTCCCGTATCTTAGGCCCTGGACAAGCGAGAAACTCATCTTTTTGTCCGATAAGCTCCATCAGACCGGTGCACATTGTCCCTTTGCAGTCGTACATTTCAGCCTTGGGCACATCATTTCAAGACGACGAAGTGGTTGTCGTTACTCCTCGCTACAATTCTGTCCACTTTATACCACCGTGGAGGACGTGTTGGCGGCAATATTGCTGCACCACAAGAGTAGTCATGTTGGTTCGGGCATTCCCCAAGCTGCTCATTGTTGTGTTGCCTCTGCTCTTCCTGGGTTATTTCTTCAGCGGTTATGGACATTCACGGACATCCGGCGAGGAGACAACATTGCCTCGATTAAGTCGTTGGTTGCAGCAGAGTCAAAGCTCAGATTCTGGGGAAAGCGAACAGGCGTCACTGCTAGCTGACAGCAGAGACATCATCCACCTGCCAATTCCACCACCACCAATAGTCGACGTCGACGACGATGGCAGGGCCGTCGTGGACCGATCTTTATATCGAGAAGTATATTCAGCCTCAAGTCTGAATGGAGAATTCATCAGAATCCATTTCGGCGGCATCCCAGCATACAACCCCAACATCATCCCACATCCCACCAAGCACGACCTCTGGATCATTGTCGCACAAGAAGAGCAAACCCACGAGCCGCACCACGATGTCATCACCGAGTTGATTTGTGATGCCGGTTTCCTGAACGGCGTCCTCACTTGTGCCGAAAAGCCGGTCCCGATTCCCCTCAAAATCCATGAGCCTCACTGCAAAGGCGACATGGCTTACTTCAACTTCGCCCTGGGATCGCGCGATGCTCGCGTCGTCTATGGGCCCGACGCACCGTACATCTTGTACGGCTCGCATTCGGAGACGACATGTCTAGGCGTTTGGGTCCAGGATCTTCGAGTCGTGCTGGAAGACTACGTCGTCGAGTCGGCGATTGCCAACCTATTCCGCGAACCCGCCGAACTGCACCGCCCTCCGCCTCACAAGGATCTGGAGAAGAACTTCTTCCTGTTCTGGGACCATGACCACAAACTCTATGTGCACCACGACATCTCCCCGAGACGTGTCTTCGCCCAGGTCGAGATGGACGGCAGTGTCGGCCCCGATCTGGCTCCCGCTGCGGCAAGCACCGACGAGATTTGTATGGCGAGGTACATGCCCGCGTTCGACAAGGACCACGAGTCGATCCACCAAGCCACCAACTCACTGTCCATCACACTCTGCAAGCGCGCCGACCCAGGCTGCAAGCCCGGCCCCGAGAATACGTTCATCATGCACGTCTTCCACTTCAAATCCTTTTACGACTGGCACGGCGTGTACGAGCCATACGTCGTGCTCTTCAACCAACAAGCTCCGTTCGCTCTGCACGCGATATCCAAAAAGCCCTTCTGGATTCACGGCCGTGACGTCCTCAGCGAGATGACTGGTGCGATTTCGTGGGAGAATAAAGAGAAACCCGCACGTCACTCCGAGATGTTCTACATCACAAGCTTGAGTTGGAAGACCCACGGTCAACGGTATCATGGGTACATTGACGATGAATTGTTCATTTCCTTTGGCATTGAAGACTCGAGGCCCGGGGTCATGGATGTCATTGCCGGTGATCTGTTGCAGGATCTGGGCATGTGTGGCGAGCTTCTTGACAGGACCACCAAGGCCGAAGTTAAATCATGATATCAGTTTAAGCGTTTGTACAAGACTGTCCGATTGCATTTGCCGGAGTCTAGGGATTCGGGATTGGGATCTAGGATAATGGATCAATGACTGCAGATAGAGACACAGCGGACTTGGTCCTTTGGAATTCTGATACCACTTTGTGTTCTTATGTTTGCATATCCATTGCGCTTGCATATATCTTCAAGCATACGCTTTATCGCACAATGGAGGAATGAAGAATACAAGTATACATAACATGATCTATCTGTATCGATGAAGGGTATAATTATACATTGTACAGTCTAAATAACAGTATAAGTCTATGACTGGCTCTTCACCTTTTTCGGCGTGTCACAAAATGCGAGATCTTGCAGCAAATCGCCCGCAAGTACGTCTATACCTCCGGACCTCACATCCTCGATTCCAATCGCAAGAAGTAGCGGGTCATCAATGTACCCATGGTACGTCTGGTTCTGGTTCGCCCAACTCATGCTAGTCATGTAGAACAGCTCGTCGTGGTTCTCGATCCCGCAGCCGCTCACGAGCATGGACTCCATGCCGCAGCTGTGTGGCTTTTTACCGTTGATCCAGAGCCCCTTCTGCGAGATGGCGTGCAACTCAAATGGCGCGTTGCGCTTGAACAGGACAACATGCCCATAGTACTGAGCGTGCCAATCGTGGAACATTTGATGATGCACAATGGTCATCAGGAATGTGTTGTCATCGTTTGGGCTGCACCAGCGATCGGCACGCTTGCACAATGTGATCGAAAGCGAGTTCGTGGCTTGATGAATAGTTTCGTCCGCCTTGAGGGCCGGCATGTGACGCGCCATGCAGGCGGAATCGTGGTATGCCATGCTCCCCGACAGGTCGCGCCCAGCTGAGCCACTCAGAGATAGTGCAGCAAATGTCCGCGAAGGGTAGATGTCTTGGTGAGCGTACATCCTGCCTTCGGGGTCCCAGAACAAGAACCAGTTCTTCTGCATGATACCGTACGGTGGAGGCCGTTGTAGTTCGGTGCCGACCTGAAAGCTCGCCCCTTTCGAGTCAAACACGTCGTCTCTCAAGACACTGAGGTCCTGCAGGAACAGGCCGAGACAGCTGCGCTCGGCTAATGTGCCATACATGACATAGGCCGCATCAGGGCCGTAGAACATGCGAGCATCGCGGGGACCGCCTCGTAGATTGTGGAAAACCAGGTCGCCCGGGCAGTGTCCTTCAGTCCTCTCAATGGGTAACGGAGTGGCGGTGTCTATACATTTGAGAGTGCCGTCGATGAACTTGGCGGTACATGCTATTTCGGAGTTGTCGAAGATGCCTTCTTGGATCTTGACTTGAAGCCCGGCCACAATGTATGCATCAGGCTGAGTAGGATGAGGGATGATGTTGGGATTGTATGCCCTGAGCCCGTCCCCCCAGTCTATGCGGAAGTACTGGCGATCCGGGGTCGAAAGTGAGTAGAGCTTGCGGTACAAGGAAGCATTGAAAATGGGAGAGTCGTCCTCGTCGATGACAGGGACTGGGCTCTCCTCGTGCTCAAGTCCGAGAGCCTCGAGAGGGAGGTCGAGGTCAATATTGCTCAATTCTTCTTCTATTCGATCGTGGTGGAAGAAGACAACCAACGTGATGACGATCAGCAGCGCCGTGAGAATGAGTCTCGCTGGGCGAATGTGCCGGATGGCCATCTTGGTGCTGGGTCGGGCATTGGCCGTCGAAACCCGTACTTGACCAAAAAAATTGTTTTCCTTGGCTTATGCAGATGTCATATCCCCTGCAACCACTGTATTGCAAAGCCTAAGTTGAAATGATGATCCCTTCCTTCGCAGCAAGCAAAATCGGGTACTGCTACGGCGAAACATTGAGCGCTGCAAATTCACCGATGCTGAAGGGTTGAAGCTTCACCAATTCAGGCAATATCTGATGCCGCTTCACAATGACTGAAGACGGCCTCGACCGTTCCGTGTTCAGCAACAGTACTTTCGACGGTGCCGTCACTCACAGCAGTATTGTGTGGTGGTGCAGTAGTTTGGGGTGGAAAATCTCATGATCTTCAGGTGAGCCACGTGAGGCTAATGGAGATCCTCAAGGACTAATGTCAGGGGCAATGCATATCCGGAGCGTGACTGCAGATACGAGCCGGGACTTGCCTGGCGTACCTCTCGTAAGGCGCAAAATGACAGCGTCTAGGTCAAGCCACCGATCATCACTATGATTGGTCGGATAACAAATACCTTAACCTCCTCATTGTCCTCAATAAGTTGCGGGAGGCGGTCCTCAAAGAAGAGGTCTGGACAAGCCATGAACTCTGACTCCGATCGTCCCGTATCCGCGATGGGCAGCAGAGGTGTCAAGCGAGGGTAAAGAGCGGCAAACAGGAAAACCTTGTTAGTGCGGTGAACCTGACACTGCGGCTTGGTATCGTGTGCTATCTTTGAGGTACAGCAAGTGCAATCTTCCTCAGATGCAGGAGAGGACTTATCAAGCAGGATGAAATTGAAATTTCACATGCCCAACTTCAACAGACCATCTTGCGCGACGGGGATCCGATGCATGCAAACCCATGTTAGGAGATTTGGAGACGACGGGCCACAGTCATCCGTGTTCAGGGGCCTCAATCTCTTCCAAGTCACGTGATATGCATGTCTATCACAAGGGGTAAAAGTCGGGTGTAACCATTTGTGCATTCGGATCTGACCAATAGAGCAATGTACTATGACAGCATGCAGCTGTGCACCGCATATGTAGTCCCCTCACACCATTGATAAGAGACATCGCCAATGGAGGCTCGCGCTGTGTTGGACGCTGCTTGCAGAAGTCATGCAAAAGGTGAACCATGTCTCAATTCTGGGTAGCCGCCCGGATGCAAATCGTCCTGCGGAATGTCTCATGCCGGGATGTCGACAATCCGGGAGTGGTGAAGGTTTTGGAGCCCAACGAAGAAGACGCCTGCAACCTTTGATATCCAGTGATCGGCATATTAAAGCCAATTGCATCATGCATGGATGGATCGACGATAATCAAGAACCTCCTGGGGGATCTCCTGCCTACCATAGTAGGATTTAGCGCCTGACTGGTGGTCACAGACTGCTTGCATGAGATTCTCCATTGGTTTCTCCATAGCACGTCGTTATCAGCATCATTCTATCAGCGCCTCCACCACCATCGCTGTCGACAATGCATAGATGTCCTGCCGCTCTTGCTTAGACTTTAACAGCAGCTGTCAACCTCAGCGCACTGGACGTTAAGCGAGGTGGTCTCGAAGCTGGGAGCCAACCCGCCAGGTGCTGCGGAGCCGTGCGGTCACTGCGGCGTTGAGCGAAGACCCTGTGCCAAGAGCATCTTCAGCGTCTTCTCCCTCTTCTGTTCTGCTCCGTGGTGCCGTGGCTGACTGAAAACTAAACTTAACGGTCAACAATGGATCTGCTTTGACTAAAACGGCCGACCCTGTATACTAGAGCAGTTTTGGGACAAGCCAGCCGTTGTATTGGCATTCCGGGAAAGATGGTCGCGCTAGACTGAGACATACGTGAAGGTTATCCCTGCAGACTTGACTCATTCAGGCTACAGCTAGTCTACTAAGGTCCAAGTTAGGCAGCTCCGAGGCCCAAAGCGGATCAGCGGATGGCCTATCACGGCCCATATCTCGCATTTAAAGTACAAGCTTATTTCAACCGCCTGGGAACCTTTGAGAAGGCTTAGGTTCTGGAGGGGCTTCGACCAGCGCCATACTGGGATCCCTTTTCCCCTTCATCTTATCTGCGCTCCATCAACTGGAACCACAGCTCCAGGGTCCCAACAGACGGCCATTGGTTCCAAGGCCCTTGACGCAGCACCAGAATGGCACTTTGAAGGTCCGTGCTTGAAGCCGCCGACTGAAAAATTATTGGATCCGACGTCATGTCCGTGCGCTGACACCACGAGGGTCGCTGTCAGAACTCCGAGACAATGGTTTTCATCTTCCATGAGGACGGTTCCTGGCTTCCATGACGATAATCCCCATCTGTGCGTGTAGGTCAGTGCGCTGGCACAGACCATCAGAAGGGTTTTTTTCTTCTTTCGAAGGGTCAGATCTCCGATGCCATGTGGCACCATGGAAAAGAAGCCGAGAACTAGCGACGATCTGGTGTAGCATTACTGTGGTAGTAAAAATTTCCCCTTTATCGTGCGGCGTCTCATTATCTTATCGATGTTATCACAGTGTGGGTTCCCTTTGGTAGGCAGGGGTGCTGGCGAGAGTACGATAATTTCCACACAGCACGGCTTTTGCACCTGAACATTATCATCCCTCGCTTCCAAATCGGGCTACCCCTGATCAGTTCCTTACGGAAATGGGCACAGGACTACGAATCACCTCCCCTGACTTCAGCAAGCCCCAGAAAGATGCTAGAGCAGAATGGCTTGATCAGCTCCTCGCATGCATCATGGATGCGTCGATCGTGGTTGGAACGGGTTGTGGGCCTGGAAGCCTCCATCCACTTCCAGGTACACGGTACTTAGCAGCTGGCAAAGACCTGGCACGAGCATTTTACCTCAAACCTTATTCGCAGTGTGGACTAAGGACTTTGCCGACTCTGTCGGATCAACAGAATGGAAGCAGCTTACGCCTTCTGCCTTCTATCCAATCGCTAACCCAAGTTGACGCCAGATTCCGAGAGATGTCCATGCAGCATTTGAGACCTGGTCATCAGAGAGCTTGCCGTTAAGGATAACCGACTCCACCTTGTTCTTTTCACGCGACTGCTTCTTCCACCTCCGCACCGCGTAGAAATTGTTCAGTGTCGACACTTGACGTTGCAGGACTTTCGTTCAGCAGGGAAACCTTTCATTCACTAGGAAACTCGTTACGCAAGATGACGGGGACGACGGCCTCGGGCAAGCCCACGCACAGTCGTGTTGGCACATTGGCGAAGACAGCATGCGTGGCATGTCGGCGACTAAAGGTGAGTGACTTTGCGGCTCTTCGCTACCTGAAGTCTGACGAACGCCTCCCGCCAGATGAAATGTGTAGGTGCACAGAACCCGCCATGTGCACGATGCTCGAAAGTTGGACGAAAATGCGTGATTCCGCCGGTCATGGCTCACCATCAGATCATCACACCCTACAGCTCAACCGAAGACATGGTCGCTTTGGCGAGTCATCAGAAACCGAGACAGCTGGTGTTTCCCTTGACACCGGTCGTGGACACGAGGCACGACGCCATGTCCACTCCTCATTGGGACCAACACCACGATTTCACCAAAATGCCGTGCGTACCGTCGCAACCGAACGGCCGAATGGAAGTGCATATGCTGGACATGAACACGGCCAAGCAACAACACTGGAACGACATACAGCGGCATCCCATGTCAGCACACTTGCCCACCAGCTACAGCTACCCATCCCTCGTTTCGTTAGACGTTAACACAAACATTCATTACATACCACCTCCAATTACCGAAGTCAATATTTCGAGTGTCAGTGTTCCGGCGACACCACTGCATCACCCTCGCTCGTTAGGAAGTCAAAGACCACGTAGTTCGCCGAGTGACGAGGAGCTCTCGCATCTGTGTCGCTTGTGAGTTTCTTTGCCCGCTCTTCTGATGTTCGGCGTGAGTGCTGACTGTGAGCCTTCTAGCTTCATCATGAACCTCCTCGTCTACATCCCAATCCTCGCGGAGTCAGACGTGGGTGATTTTGCGGGGATGGTGAAGACGAACAAAAGACCGCTGGCGTATAGTATGGCCTACGTCGCTGCGCGCTTTGTTCCAGGATGTCGATCCATACGCGCCATGCTTGTTCCCGAAATCCTCTCCATGCTGAAGATCCGGTACGAGCATGCCGATCGAGGCGACGACGAGCGCTGGATGCTTCTGCAGGCGTTTGCCGTGCTGTACAGCTGGGCATCCCCGCAAGACATTGAGCGAAGCATGAACAGCACCGATGACGAGGTCGAGCTCAGTCAGGACGCTCTCCGGGCGTCGATGGAGATGCTTGCGCTCCGCTGGTCCTTGCACAGGTCCGGCGAGGAAGTTGTTCGCCTGACGAAAGAAGGCGGCGACATCCGGCAGACGTATGCTTTCCGCAAGTATTGCTATTGGCTCTGGATGTTTAGCTCGGCACATTTCCACTCTCTACTGTCTCGCACGCCTCCGACGATCCGCGAGGACGCGACAATCAGATGGGCAAACCAGAATCTGCAGCAGTACGCCAACGACGAAAGCACCCTGCAGATACTCGCCGAAGTCGATCTGAGTCTCTTGTGGATTCAAAAGGGTGTCAACGAGCGAAATGCGGGGGAGTGGTGGTGTCCGATCTCCAACGAGACTGACTTGACATCGACGCTGTCTGTGCTCAAGGGTCTTGACGACGCTTTAAATGTCTGGCACCGGAGGTGGCATCGTCCAGACCAGCATCCAAGCACGGATTTCGCCGTGGACCCGGGCAGGAGCAGCTCGATTGACTTCCACCACCGGTTTACCAGGTTCTGTTTTAGTACGCACGTCACCAAGCTATCCCAGTCTTCGGCACCGGGCGAAACCGTCCCGTTATCTGTTGTCGACCTGATCATCCAGTCGGTCGAGCGAGCATCGACCCTCTGCAACCTATTTCTGGACTTGACCCCCTTGGCCAAATCGTCTATCCGGTTCGCCCCCGAGTCGACCTTCGCCATGGTCGCCTTTGCCTGTGAATGGGTGATCCGGGCCAAGAGTTTCTTCCCCGGGATGGAGTGCGTCAAGCCGCATGAGCTAGATAGCGTCCGTGGAGTCGCGGAGCTCATGGTCGATCTCGGCATCGATAACAAGCATAGCGCGCGAGTTTATGGCGAAAGCATCCTGGCGAAGTTGCAGACGTCCTCGAGGCCGTCACCGTCACGGGCCACAACCTGGAACATGCTTCCTCAAGAACATAAGCTTGACCAGCAGACCTGGGCTCCTGCTACTACCCCAACCCCCCACTCTATGGGTTCACGAGCTCTGATTGAATCTGTAAACGCCATGGATGGGGTGTGGCCGTTGCGAAGCTCGCCGATTCAACGGCCCCAGTCCACAGGCCCACAGTTAGGTTTAGCTATAACGTCCGGCGACGGCGGCGAAGTCTTTCCCAACTATAACGGCTCCGAGTACTTTCACTTCGATCCGACTTGGTCGATATGAGAAACCCCAGAAAAACTGCCCCTGATCCCCGGGTTTCCTGGGATGGGACCATCCCCCTTACGCTTGAGAAGAGACTTTCATCCAATCATGGAGAATCTCTTTTGAAACGAAATCCGGAGCTCTGAGACTCACGAACTCTACTCGGAGATTCGAACTTCAATGGTACAGAGACTAGTTGGTAATTGTCCGGGCAGGCTTCGAAGCTTACGCCTTTCAGTTCTACGGTCCCGTGGAGGTCCACAGGACACCATTTAACAGTCCGGAGACCAGCGATAAGCTTCAATATCGCTTAAAAGACAGAAATGTCTCTTTCAGGGGGCTCTCCCAAGTTGGGAAGACTGCCTCCTTTGTTCTACGCACGGGATCATATGGAAATCATCAGGGTCCGGCATCAGAGATTGCATATCCCGCGTTAGGTTCGCGTTCAAAGCCACCACACGCAAATACACGATAGTGAGGCCTTTGATGGTTCAGGTCATACGCTTCATGATGAGACGGAATACACGATTCGCGACGAAGGACAGGTACTGTACCATATCGCGGGGGACGGCGTTGGGGCTGGCACGTACAATAATGATACAAGTACCCGCCGAGGCACATATACCACCAGTCTTCGCAGAAGTCACGACAGCATAATGTCGACGACCCTGATGTCATCAGCTTCAGAAGTAGTAGATGCCGTGTGAGGTCCAAGGAGACGATGTCACCTTAGGTCCGGTCGTCACGTGCCTCTCAGTAGTAGTAGGCATGCATCAACGTAAAACTCCGTCTTCGAGAGCCCGCTTCTCTGATGAGAAGAAGCACCTGCAACCGATCCCCATGAAGAGGAGGCGATGATCGACGAGAGCTGGTCTGGAGAACGGTGCAGCTGCGGGTGATGGAGCAGCGCTGTGGGTGATGGCCTGGACATTTTTGACAGCTTCTGTTTGTTGGTCTCGACTTTCCCAACAAAGTCAACGAAGCCATGACCCAAAATCCAGAGCTGAAGCTGCGCTTCGAAGACGGGAGTCTTTTGGTCTAGCACGACCTGAAGTCGAGAAGGACACCCTAAGCCATAGTAGGTAGCAAATGGCGGAATACCACAACATAACATGGTGTGTACACCATCAACTGGCAAGCCGAGCCGCCACTCTTTGGGCTGTTCTGCACTTAGATAACTGTGCAGCTGCTGAACTCGCCGAAATGTGCTCGAGTGCTGCCGGTGCTAACGTCACCGGTCCGTGGTAACTGCCGGACGTAGACCGGGGACCCCACTCAGCGCACCTTAATCCACCCCTCCCCGGTCGTGCAGAGGTCGCGTGTTCTGCCGCAAGTCAGAAAAAAATGCGAAAGCTTTGACATGCTGACACGTGGATATTGGGATTCCAGGCGCTTCTTTAGTCGGGAACGATGTCAAGATGTGCGAGTGGATGTTGTCGGTCGTACCTTGTCACATTTCGTAGTCCGAGCTTGCATCACGTTACTGCTGTTACCGTTGAGACATGCAGTCACATCGAGGCTTGCTCTATCATGGTTGATCTGAAGAAGGACGCTCTTCACGGTTAGCGACTGCAAAGACCCCAGTAGAGCCTGCATGTCTCAGTGTGTCTGGCGGATGGCACCTGACGGAACGCATCGGGCATGAGTGCTGATAAGGCATGTGCAAACAGCGGAGCCCAAAGGACACAGATGCTGAATATGCCGCAACTTCCCGTCGAGCTGACAACATTAAACGCCTGCCCCATCGTCGATGGCGTTATCAACTGAGACGGATTTGTGAAAATTCAATTGCCAGTTTAATTGTGCAATGACAGGGCTTTGAGGTGTCGCGAGAACTTGTCCGTGTTGCAGTTCCTCAGGCCTATCGTGTATGCAATGAATCGAATCAGATTCTTGTTTCAGCGTGGTGAGGTCCGCTTTCCAGTGGCAGGACCGGGGGGTTTTTTTTGTTTCAAGACTTTGAGGTGGCGCTGAAGGTTTCAGGCCCTAGCTGGTCGCGGTGTTTGCCGTGTGGTCTGTATGCCTGGTGTTGGCAAGGCCGTGGGTTTAGGAGACTTCAGGATGAAATCCTTACGCCCACTTCGCGGACATGATGAGTATCTCAGGGTAGGGGTCGAATGATGCCAATGTGGTCCTCTTCTGAGCTCCGCCATGGCGAAGCATCGTACCCTAAGCCCCAAGTTGCACGCAGTAGGGGAAGCAGCGCTCTTCAAGCCTTTATGCGGCGACCAATGTGAGTCGGAGCACACGACACTCTCCTTCGAATACGTGACACATCCTGGTAAATCATGCCATCCATGTCTCCCTCGTAGGCCCGTCGTGGAAAGCGACCTCGATGCTTCGCAGGCTACCCGAACGAAGACGCCATGTGATATGTTGATAGTGCTCTGTCGCAGAGCTGAGCTGCATGTTACATCATCCCCAATCGGTGCATCAGCTCATCTGCTGTCATTGATACAGCAGACACGGCAACAGTGTTGCAAATCCGAGCAAGGCAGTCGGCTCTGGACCTGTTGAGAAGGAGTGGTTCGTTCGAATCATGCTCGAAGACTCGAAGCATATCCATGTGACAAGAACAAAGATATATATTCCTTGGTCGCACTGCAAGGTCCACCACACAGCTGGATGCAGCCTTGGGGCAAAGGACTCGGGACTCGGAGCAGTGGATACGGAGTACCGTAAGCGGACCCCTATACTGGATATAATTTTGGAGCCTCCGGGTTATTCGACGGAGACTTTACGTCCGCTCCCTGTTTCGAATCAATCAATGCATGAGGGTGACAGATTGATGCAGTCACTCATGTAAGGCCCTCTGATTATCGATATGAAACAGACCACTGCAATGCAGCTCGCAACGCCCATGTCGGGTGATGTGCTCACACAGAAGCCGATGCGAAAACAACCCGAACAAGGTGCAAATATCGTTGCCGACAGCTCTTTTCTTAGTCAGTGCCCGTTGAAGTCAGACCCTAACAAAGTTGCGACCGGTGGAAAGGACATTCGCGTCATAAAGCGAAAAGCAAGGCTCCGGACCCGGAAATGAGTTGTGTCACTTTAGCCGGCAACACATCAACAAGCGCAGTGCTTTAAGGTGCAGCAAACCATGACGGCCTCGAAAGTATGACTTCGCGACGGTCAGTCATGCCGACGTGTTCGGAGGTGAGTGCAGGGCATTTCCAGAGGGATGTCATGGTGCATGTATGACAAGTTGAAGCAATCGCAGGCGGAACTCGGTTTGTGCGTTTCGGAAAGCACCACCTAGTGTCGCAAGCCTCGTAAAAATCCAGCCTTGGCAGGCGTAAGGCCTCTCCTTCCTTCCCATGTCTCTGACGTGCCAAGAGTGTCTTGTCTGTTGGCGACTACTCGGAGCCTGAGTGTGTCGTCGGCCTTCGTGAATTCAAGCTGGGATCAAACATTTCAACGCTGAGGTGATTCCACGTCCGTGGAGCTTGGTGAAATCAGATTCGCGAGTCACTGGTGAGAGTTGAGGTATCGAGATGGGACTGTCACGAGCCTGTCCGCGCGAATGGGACCGGCCCGCCGCGTCTGTCTCTTTGATATCACCAAAAAAACATCGGGGCCACATGTTGAAGGTCTGTGCTTGAGCTAGTGAAGCATCATACACATCACGTTATCGACTGAGCAGTCCGTCGATATGGCTGAAGAGCAAGGCAATCGTGATGACAGGTGTCGACAAGGTGCAATGAAAGGTTGACGGCAAGATTAAAGCTACTGTGGTGACAGCTGATCAAAATAGAGCTGTGAATGGGATGTCGATCGACGGTTGACGTCTGAAGGGTTTTCAGCCTTGTTACTGACTCAACCACTATCCTGCAAAAGTATGTGCACAGGCCGTATCTTAATTGCTTACAACGTGGTGAGTGGACCAAGACCAGGTCCAACCTCAACTCACTGTCGCCTGACATTTCTAAAGCTTTAATTCAACCATACACTATGTGGTACATGAACCCAAATCTTGAAGCAAATCACCACCCAGAATATCAATCGCTCCAGCCCTGGTATCCTCGATTCCAAAGGCGAGGAACAAAGGGTCGTCGATGAAACCGTGGTATTTTTGGTCATGGCCCTTCCAACTCATGCTCGTAACATAAAACATTTCAGTGTGATCCTGAGGGATATCGTCAGGCCGACCCTCGTAGCGATTCGCATGGGTGTCTTTGGTCAACCGGCCCCGGCCGTGAATCCATATAGGTTTTGTAGAGATGGCGTAAAGGGCGAAAGGTGCCCTGCGCTGAAATAGCACCACATATGGCTCATAACGTGAATGAAAGTTGTAGTAAGATTTATGCTGGATAATCGTCATGATGAATGTATTGTCATCGGTAGGAACGCATTCATCGTCAGTCCGTTTGCAAAGCGTGATGGTGAGCGAGTTGGTCGCTTGATGAATTGACTCGGGCGCACCAGGCTCAATCTTTGGCAGGTATCTCGTTAAGCATGAGTTATCCTTACTTGCGACCTGCCGCGCCAAGTCAAGACCGACCGTTCCATCGGACATGGAGAGCTTGCCAAAGACACGCTCGACATGCAGCTCAGCATGCGCATATGACTCGCCCTGGGCATCCCAGAAGAGGAAGAAGTTCTTCTCCACATCGTGCTGAGGAGGTGGACGACCTACTTCGGTCGCATTGTAAAATGGCTGCGTCGAATCGCTGTAGCCAGGTTGAAAGTCTGATATCAGCATGCGTGCATCCTGAATCCAGAGGCCCATGCAGCCGTGATTGGATCGCGAGCCGTACATGATGTAGGGCGCATCAGGGCCATAAAACATGCGGGCATCATGTGGCCCCTGTAGTAATCCGAACATCGCAAGCCGTTCGGTTTCGCAATCGCCTCTAACTCCAGGTTGGACAGGCAGAATAGTTGGGGTTGCCGTGCACACCAAAGCATTGTCGACGAACTCCATGGCGCACGTTAGTTCATACAAGTCCCAATCGTCGACCCGCCGGAACTTCTCCTGTTGGGCAATGACCAACCATTGATCCTGCCTCGTAGGATGAGGCAGGATATTGGGGTTGTAAGCCAGTTTATCGCTGAACCGGAGAGGAAAGAACTTTCGATCCGGCGTCGTCAGGGAATACACCTGGCGATGATCGGGTCCAGGATCAAATTCATCATCATCATCATCGCCGTCAGGTAAGTCGCTTCCTGCGGGATCAAGTTGTTGATCCCCTTGGGCTTGAGGGACATCGGCAGGAGAATTGGTGTTGTTTTGATTGTGGTGTCCCACTACACCTTTTCCGTTGAACCCTGTCAGCAGGACAGATACAGGGTGGTATATGCCGTTCAAGTATAGCAATAAGAGGCATGCAAAGATAGATAGAAGGACGTAGGTGAAAGGAGCGGCCTTGTTCAAGGTAGAGGACGGCCTCGGAAACATGGTGCCAATAGCGTCCTTCTGAATAGTATCATGGTGTGAACGACAGCTGAAGACTCATCGACTCCGAGCTATCTCAGGTCGATTAACAATAAGGCAGCGACGATGTATATCACGAGAGAAGACAGGATCTGGCGATTCTGGCCATTGCAAAACTCCTCTTGACCGCGTATTAGGTTGGCACGAAGAGGACCCTGGTTTGTTTGGGGCTCCAAATCGGTCAAAGACTCAAAGTCAATCTTCTCCGAAAGTCCTCGATTAGCGCATCCTTTGGCCTCGCCCTGGTCACCAGGGTCTGCAACTGATGCATGACGAATCCAACTGGCAAGATCCGCTATCGGCGCCTGCGCCTCTGTACGACTTGATTTTGATCATGACTTGTCCAAACTGTACGAATAGCGAGCAACACGGACAATTTTTCTTGATGGGCTCCATGCCAATACCAGCCAGACCGCCGTCATCGTCCAAAGCTTCGTATTGTCCCCCATAACGCGTGCTAAAGGGCAATAGGCTGCGCTGAGGAGAAGAAATTGCTACTCTGTTCACTGGAAGAGAGGTTTTTCGACGGCACGGACCGTCGTCAAAGTTTTGCCGGCTGAGCCTGGCTCGTATCTTCAGCTTGGCGGGTGACATACGCTTGAGCACTGAACAGGAGGGATTCCCAAAAATTCACAATCAATATTACATACAGGTCTGGCTGTATGGCTGTCTATCCGAACGGGGATACCAAACACGAACAGTATTGTCCCAGTAGGGTCTCAGCACTCTTTTGCAATCAGATGATTTGCACTGATCAATGACTCGGCGCTCGACACTAGAGCCAACAGCACTCCATGTCTCCCTTTGTGGGACCAAGACATGGCGTTTAACACTTCGCGAACCACCGGCATGTTTCGCCTAATGAGACGCTATTGATGTCGCCACAGGACGTCCCTGCCAAGGGGTTCGTCGACACCAATGTTAAGTTACACCGTTATGGGCAAAGGTTCGTTGTTCTTTATTGCTGATGAGGCAAAAGTCTCGACTTTGGTCTTCAGTACGTGAATCTTAGGCTTTTACCTGAGTAATGAGAGTAAGTTCGGCAGCGCATGGCCTTATTATCGCAATCGAGACCGTGGTGGCGGCTCATCTGCCCGCTATCCGATGTTCGTGGCTCATCAACGATAGATTCATGGTTCTCTTAAAGGGAGATTAAGTGCCTCCCTGAGGCTGATCTAGGCCGAACATGATGCTCATGGACCCCTTTTCCTCCCTAGTGAAAGCTTTTCGACTCTCAGAGGCTCTTCTTCATCAGTTCGTGCGTTCACGACGAAATGCATCGCACCAGGTGTCCGATAGTGCTGCAAAATGAATCCGAATTTTGTCCAAAGAATTTTTGGTGCTAGTGTGCTGCTCCTGGTAGGAATATCGGTATACACCTACCACAAGAGCCCGGCCATCCGGACGCAGCTGGCTTTCCATTTTGATCTCGGCGTGGATCACGATGAGTCGTCGCTTTTCAATGCATCACTTCATCGCAAGCTCTACTCATCTTCGACATTGGACCGCAAATATTTTACCATAGACTTTGGCGACGATCAGACGTACAACCCATCTATCATCCCTCATCCCGCTGCGCAAGATATCTACATTGCCTCAGCGGTATGGATCCAGACATCCGGAGACACCTCCGTCAACAAGCAATTGGTGTGCAACGCCACTTTTGTTGACGGTGTATTGAAATGTTTCAGTGTGCCTTACGCCTTGGCTGTCGAGGCAACTGAGGGGCACTGCGAGGGTGACGAAGGCCTCTTCAACTTCGGAAAAGGCCCACGGGATCCGCGCGTCTTCTACGGTCTTGATGGACCATATATCATGTATGGATCTCTTGCCACTCGTAGCTGTCTTGGGTTATTTCTCCAAAACTTGGGCACGTTAGTTCCCGACTTCCAAGACACTCTTGAGGGAGGTCAGGAATTCTACAATGGCACCGAGTTGCAAAGACCTCCTCCCTACGCCTCGATGCAAAAGAACTGGTTCCTCTTTTGGGATGAACGAGGTCAGATCTACGTCCACCACGATATGTGGCCCGTGCGGAGTTTCGCACAACTCTCACCAGATGGCTCCATCGGTCCCAACCTAGCTCTTCTGTCCCAAGAACACGACGTGACATGTATGGCTGCTTACATGCCTCAACTTCCCGAGGAAGGGGAGAAGATACATCAAGCAACCAACTCTCTCATGATCACCCTTTGCAAACGCACGGATACCAAATGCTCTCCGACCGACGACAACACATTTATCATGACAATTCTCCATCACCAAACATGGTATAGTTGGCACGCTCAATATTATCCCCATGTCGTTCTTTTCAAGCGAACCGCTCCTTTTGAGCTCTACTCGATTTCTCGTAAATCTCTCTGGATCAACGGCAAGACTGATATTACCAACACCACTCAATCATTGGTGTTAGCCAAAGGCGCCGTGCCGAGTCCACCGCAAACCGAGCTGGTGTATATAACAAGCATGAGCTGGAAGTCTCCTGGTCAGCGCTATCACGGATACATTGACGATCCACTCTTTCTGTCTTTCGGAATCGAGGACGCGCGGTCTGCTGCAATCGATGTGGTTGCTGGCGATTTGTTGAAAGACTTTGGCTTGTGTGCAGATGTTGTCGGATGAATGCATCAATAGTCAACGCCACGATTGTGCCACCCATCCCAAAATGCATCCTCATTGTCCGGAGTGGTCGTGAGGAACAGCCACACCTTACCTGCCTAGGCGAGCGTCCCCTTCAAGGAATAAGATATCCCTGACTGTGCCATGTTAGGCCAATCTTGTGAAAATTAGCCGGAGCAAAGGTTTGGCAAGCAGTGGCAGACCCTCTTTCGGCCTACAATGATGGCACGTATGATCAGCTACCATCGCACTGGCCGACTGAACCTATCGTGTTCTGGCCTGCCGCAAGTTCAGGAATGCTGAGGCTCTATTTTCCACCGCAGACATACTGCACCAGCAACGGAGTGACGAGGGATAATCGTACGCGGATTGCTCTACAGTTTCACCCAAAGCAGCTTGTGGCTAGAGAGTTTATCGGCAGAGCGCAATATATACATGATATGGCCTCGGTACATGGCTGGTAATCGCCTTAGGCTTCTGGCTACCTGGCGCATCGAAGCGCGCAATACGGGAGATTTGTCGAGATTCGCATGACTTCGCATGGCTAAGGGCAAGGTTAAATCGATGAAGGCTCAAGCTGATCTGATGAAATGAGTACTCCGTGAAGTGGCCAGGGGTGGACGACTGGCTGTCGACGTCTAATTGTAGGAAGCATAACCTTTGGGAGTCGATTTCAAAGTAGTACAGACAGATGCAGGCAGTGTCCGCCAAGAATCGAAGATGGCATTGACATGTTCGAGAGCGATGCCGATGCAAAGGTCCAGAATATAATACAACCATGGAACTGAGCACCAGGAGCGGACGGGCTGTATGGCACACGCCCATGGCTGACCTGACTGATGTTTCAATGCGGACCTGCTATGTGATATCCATGCGGTCTCCGCCAGTCTGCGGCTTTTCCTTCTGCACACTGTCCTTGACTCCCTCCAGGAAAACTTCAACAGCTTCACCACCTCCTAGGGGAACACCACCACGCCGCATATAGCCACCATTTCGTACCGGGATATTGAGAGCTTCACTGATACTTGGGAGACCACCATCCCGTAACGCAATGGTGAGACTAGCAAGACTCTGTGAGAACTGTGGAGAACGCATGACCCGACGCAAGATGTCCTTCTTCTGATCCAGGCTCAAAGCTTGCTCAGCTGCTTCGATCGAGACATGATCCGTGTTCAACGCGGACATATCGTCTCCTTCTTGTGCTAAAGTCACCAGTGCAGGTGGAAGATACTGCAGTAGTTGATCAACAAGGTTGCCGTCGGCAGACTCGATCCAAGGTATCGTCGATGCTGGTGTAAGCAATTCGGCAAGGGTCGTGAACACTCTGTCTTGTGGAGCTGCTTGACGGTTCTGGTCCTGATTGCCTCCTATTGACCGAATGAAGTTCTGAATTATATCATTGGTATTGGTGTCCAGTCCAGCAGGCCTGCCGTATGGTCAGAAGGCCATCAGGCATTTCATATAACACACGATGTGGATGTATTACCTACGCTCTTCCGCCGTCTGCTCCGCCCTCCCTTGACTCGGCGCCCTCCTCACGAAAGTCACCGCCAGTAGCATCAGGTCCTGCTCCCGGACCACCTGTTGATGGGCGGTTGACATCGTGACTCGTGCCCTCAACGTCTTCCATTTGTTCATCATCATCGTCCGGGCCACCTTGATCTTTGGGCAGTTCTGCCATTTCTTGTTGGACATCCACGTCTTGACCCTGTAGCAGGGTATTCACGATCTCTCCTAGTTTCAGATCTCTTGGACTGAACCATGACAGATCATCTTGGGGATGCTGACTGCGTGACTGGAGCCAGAAGAGGTGACGTTGTGAGCTAGAAGAGAACTTGAGTACATATATTCTTCCTGTCGTCGGGCTTTTGTGATTTGAGGCATTCTCGGTTGTCTTGCCGTGGTAGGGGGTGAATGTGCCATCGGTCGCTAGCATCAACAGATCCAACTCAGGGCTGTCGACTGGGGCTGTTCTCGGCCGCCAACACAGGTGCAGCAGCTCATCTTCATCGTAGAGGTAGAGGTATCCGGGAGTTGGGAGTGGCTTGACCTTCGGAGGCGAGGAACTGGACTGGGCTTGGGTTAGCACTGTCTATCTTGATAGAGATCGCCCGGCTGCCGAAGGCGCAAGAGCAAGACTTACGTCGAGCTCGCAGAGCCCTGCCTTGAAAGTGATTATTGGTTGGATCGACATTGCTGAAGGATTTAAGGGAGTGGCAGAGAGGTAGGGCGACTGAGTGAAGCCTGGACTGTCGTGGATGTCGTCGAGACTTGCTGCTCGATCTTCGATGACTGTGGAAAGTCGGTGGGGAATGGTCACTTTGTACGGAGTTATACTGTACAACTGTCTAGACGATTGTTTTCGCAAGCAATGGAAGCCTTGCGTGCAAACGGTGCAAATTGTGTAAACGGTACAAATCACAATTAGTGGAGGTTTCGACGTGTCAATCATCAAGGCCGTATAGACAGATCACGTGGTACGTCGGTCCCTGTTCCCTTTTTGGGGCCGATTTTGCCAAGCACTGTGATTTTGAATCCCGCACATGGAAACTGCGATCGCTGTTACTTGATATCCCGCAGGTCCAGGTCACTCAACAACCACTTTGCCAGCCTGCAAACAATTCCCTTTCAATTCTTTCAGCACCCGTCGCCAACATGAGCTCGTCCGAGGCCACCACCAAGCAGTTCGGAAAGGGCGAACGCTCAGTGCCTGCCGCTTCGTCTCGTGCGAAGAGATGGTACCCTGCTGAGGATACGAAGGCACCAAGGAAGGTCAGTCAATCACGATGGAATTATCGCAGAACCATCATGGCGATGATCGAATCTACGGAAACTGACCCTTGAACAGGCGAGAAAGACACTCCATCCTTCCAAGTACCGGGCCACTCTCCAACCTGGCGCCGTCCTCATCCTCCTTGCTGGTCGCTTCAGAGGCAAGCGTGTCGTCCTTCTCAAGCACTTGAAGGAAGGCGCCTTGCTTGTGACCGGTCCCTTCAAGATTAACGGAGTGCCCCTACGACGAGTAAACTCCCGATATGTTATCGCAACCTCCACCAAAGTCGACATCAGCGGTCTCGACGAATCGACGTTAGACAAGGTCGGCAAAGCCGAATACTTCAGCCGGGAGAAGAAGAGTAAGAAGCAGAAGGGAGAGGATGCTTTCATCAAGCAGGGCGAGAAGCCTGAGGTATGAACTACTCGTACTTGAACCGGAACGATGGAAGACTGACAAACTCGTAGAAGAAGCAACCCACCTCTGAACGTGCATCCGACCAGAAGACCATCGACAAGCCCCTTCTTTCCGCCATCAAGAACGAGGAATTCCTCGCCAGCTATTTGCGATCCAGCTTCAGCCTCAGACACGGCCAAAAGCCACACGAGATGGTCTTTTAAGCAACTCAATTACCCACTGGGAAGTGGAATGAACAGACGTGGATCGGAGAGATGTGAAGAGATGTCGGAGTGGAGTGCGATAGATGGGCGTTCGTTGTGTGCTTGCGTGCCGACTTTCAAGCACTTCTTATTTCCGCAAGGACCATGTGATGGGACCGCGGCATGATGACCATGAGAGGAAGTACCATGGACTATGCTACGCCGGGCTGTTCATGTGAATAAAGCCAGGACCGAGGGCAAACTCAGAGATGATTCCAGAAAATAATGGCTCGAGTCAGTTTTCGAGATCCTCGCAAGCCTAGACCAAATGATAAACCGACATGAAATCTCCAACGCGGTTATTGTTCCTCAGAGCTGGTGCTGTTAATGCTAACCACAATGACGATCAGGCACGTTGAACTCATGTCCTCACAGACACACCCACGAAAAGCACAAACGCTGCCTGAGGTTGTTCGACTCAAAGACAGCATGGATCTATCGTCCTCCGAAGATGTGGGCAGAAATGGTTCATGTGGAAATGACATCTCGACAAAAGTGTTTCCATTTCGTTCCGTGCGCCAAACTATCAAACTATTCCATGGGGTATCCAACCTTTGACTATCGCTCACTGTTGAATGTCACCAAGCATAAGTACATGACTTGAGAAAATGACTCAAGAATATCCCAGAAGCACCGTTGCACCAAAACTCGCCGCCGAGCACACGCGCGAAATGGCCTAAAACAGTCCTCCCTTTCGGGATCGTCCACCGCCGGAGACTCAGCTGTCGCTCCGCTTTCTCGTCCGTCTCCTCGTCCCGGGACTCTTCGCCTCTTCAACCTTCCCCGTGACCCTCTTCCTGGCTCGGTCCTTCATCTTGTCTACTCGTGCGGGCACTTCATGCTTCTCCGCCTCCATGGTCACATCCTCGACCACATCGGCGCCCACGCTGGTTCCCATGACCCAATCGATGAGTCCCCATGGACCGTAGTTGCCTTTCCCATCACAGAGGACATGTGTGTCAGTCCGACGAGCGATACCACCGAGGATAAAATTTGTCGGTACTGTCGAGTATCCGCTATAGGCGAATGTCTCTTCCAAGGAGACGAGTACCAGATATAGGACATAGGTAAGCAGATGAAAGCGAAAAAGGACAGCCGGGAGGTATGTCGGCAGGAAGGAGCGTGCGAGGTACGCAAGCGGGTGGTCGTAGCTGCCAGCGAGGGGAAACGGCGTGGAGAGTGAATGGTACCATTCCCGATGCGCGCGGGACAGCGTATTATCGGACTCGTGCAGGGTGTATCGATGAAAGACGTATGCGATGAGTTCGCGAAGAAGGTAGCCCCGCACCAAGTCTTTGAGAATGCCGAAGGGCATCGGAAGCGTTGTGGTAACGCGCAGCGCGGAGCGGATGACGAGGACGCGCGTGAAGAGGAGCTCCACCAGCGCCTGGATCGTTACGCCCAAGAGGACGTTGAGAACGGACCAGCCCAGCACGCGGAGCATGCGAATGGTGCGTTGTCGGCTGGCATTCTTGAACGGCAGGGCCGCGTCGCCCAAGGTCTTGAAGTGTTCTGCTGCCGAAGGAAGTGCGGCGTCGAAGAAGAGGAAGAAGGCTGACGGCGCGATATAGAATAGCACCCGGACTGCGAGAGTTGCGACGATTTCGACTCGTAGCGGTGAATGCGAGAGGACGAGCGTTGACCAGGTCAGATAGAAGAACAACAGGTTCAACGAGGTCGAGTATGAGGAGAATGTTGGGATTAGGAGGAAGCTCAGCATCGGCAGATTCGTCAGTCCGCTTAGAATTGTGCTTGCTGTGCCGAATGTCGAGGAGAAGGGGGCGGTCGCATAATTGTAGATTGTCGAGACATAGGATGGCGGTGGAGGGCAGGCGAGCGCATTTGGAAGATAAGACGACAGAGATTGCGGGAGATAACAGGCTGGATTATATGAAGACATTGACGCGAAGATCAGCGCAGGGCCTTGCTTGTGCCTGGATAACGAAGACGAGAACCGAGGCCTGCTGCGAGTGCATGTAACATCGTAAGCATGGCTGTTCGAGGACAAAGATCAGGCTACGGAGAGAGATGGCTGGGTTGTTGATTGATCCCAATTCAGATTGGGCCGACGTCACACTCCCGCTTTATCTGATAGTATGGATAACGATCATGTGATGCCAATCGGAGTAAGAGCAGCCCCATTCGTCAGCAGAATTGCTCGACATTGCCATACAGACGTACCACGACCCAAGCTGTACCTACTGCCGGTGTCTTGTCCAAATCGCTGCCATCCTCCAGGGACAATTGCAAAGACATAGCGACTCGCGTCAACCCAAGACCCGGCTCGCACGTGTAAAGGAGGGTCAGCCGCCAGAATCATCGTGATGTGCTGCTTTGTAGCATTCATGGTCGAGAGGATTTCGAGATCTTCCATCATTATGCTTGCACTGGTGGTGCGAATGTCTTTTCCGAACGAAGTTCTTTGCTTCGTCGTAACGACCAGTGGCTGGACATGACCAACGAGCGTAGTGAGCCTATCAAGTCATATCCACCTCCACACCAGCACACCAGACCTTCTTGATTGACCGAGTGTGTCTGATGTCCTCGATTGGGTCTGCGTCAAGCAGGACGAGGTCCGCGCGTTTGCCGATCTCAATGGTGCCCCTGTCGGTAAGACCAAAGTGTTTCGCTGGAAGCAAGCTTGCAGCTTGCAGCACTTCTACAGTCGACAAGCCCGCGTCAACAAGTAGTTCGAACTCGTGGTGCAGTGAATCACCATGTTTCACGGTGAAAGGGGAAGAATCCTCCTTGTGGGCGTCGGTCCCAGCGATGATGGTCACACCATTCCGGTGCAGGGCCACCACCGACTCTCGAGCATTTTTGTATTCCCGTTTGCCGGTTCGAGGAGCGTTGCGTTTAGCCTTTACAATGTCCAAGATTACCCAGGGGCGCGAGAACATCTTCAGAAGAGCTGGCAAGGCCGATGCACCAGTAGTGGCCTCCATCATGGTTAGAGTTGGAACGCATATGCGACCGTCTTCCACCATGCGAGCGCAATCTTCGTCGTTGAGTGCTTGATCACATGGGCAGTGAGTGACAATGTCGACTCCAGCATCCTGAGCCATCTTGAAAGGATGGTAGTCAGCGGCATGCGCGACTACTAATTTGCCCATCTTATGTGCTTCGATAACAACCGCGTCCATAACAGCCTGGTCGGGACCCGGTATGTCCGCGACGATCTTGATATAGTCGACATTCTCAGCCAGACGGTCTTGACGAATCGATGTGCTTGCTCGGGTTTCGTGAGCAAACACTCGGCAGGGACTGGAAGTATGGCGCTATGGATGCTGCCTAGTGAGGTTGCAGCTTTTCCTGCTGTTTTGAAGTCGGTAACGCCCGTGAGACCACGAAGACTGTCAATGGTTGATTGTGACCATGTAGCCATGTCCAGTGCTGTTGTGACACCGTATCGAGCCATGTCTCGCTGCTCGGCTTCTGTACAGAGGTGAATATGAGCATCGATGAAACCAGGCATCAGTATGCCATTTTCACCATCGAATACATCGGCACCATCCGTGGCCTCAGATATCAGGCCATTATCGATATGAATGGTCGTGGGCGTACCAACGCTCTTTCCATCAAATACCCTGACATTGTTGATAGCTACCTTTTGCGGTTGGGAATCACGGCATGCCATTGAGTCAGATAATGGAGATAATACTAGGAGGATAAGTACATGGTCTCTGCCTGAACGGGGAATGTCTCGACTTCATCTGTTGTATTGACTTGTAAACCTGCAGCCTGTAGGACTCGAAGTGGGACGCAATCCGAGGTTGCTGGACGATCTTCTACCCAATTGCGGGACATTTCTTTCGCGAAAGTCGGCTTTGCACGTGTATGATTTTCGGGCGAAGACAACTCATCGCGCGACAATGTTAGACTCTATGACAGGGGAGATGACGGTTTCACCCAGCACAGACGAAAGCCTAGAAAGGACACAAGAGCAATACCGTAATAAAGATGCCGGAAGCATTTCAATCCGCGGGCAGCACCCCAGTTGATGAGCATCTATCAATACAGGAAGCACGAGATCGCCTGTAATTCCAGCACACCTCATCCAACATCGACAAGACAAGCTTCCACCTGCCTGTCTGAATTTGCTGAGGTTGCCGCGGGAGCCGACGAGCGCTGGTCCGCATCCCAGTTGAAGAAGGCACGATCGGACCAAATGGAGTTGTTTCATAAGTACAGCGGCGTCCGCGAGAACCGATTGAATCGAGTAGCAACGCCGAATAAGTGTTTATCATGGATGATGCTGCCCCATTCCCTGCACATATGTACAATATTTGAGCAAACCCCATGAGCTCTCTTCGTTGTCTGCTGTTCTAAACAATACTTTCATGTGCCCGTCATGTTGGGAACTTCTCAGTAACCTTCCTTTCCCCATTTATTTAATTTGTCATGGATGTCCTGGAGAGATCGGTCAGTTGCTAGTCGCAGAGTTAACACAATCCCATACCTTGGGCAGAGTAACGTTCGGCACAACGACGACGTTCAAAGCACTCGGGGCATTCTTAGGTGCCTGGCTGGTATCTCCCTTGGGGTGATATTGGTATTTGAAATGCTTGGACTCGTCTTCGTGATCGTGGTCGACTTGCCAGGGCATCGAGCTGTTAGCGACAGAAACCTCGGCTTCCGAGACTGCGGAGGTGGGTTTGCGGCCAAAGTAGAATCCTGCGATAGAGAAGGCACCACACATGACCGCTGCGAGGATCTGCCCACAGTCAAAATTTGATCAGCTATATAAGCGTGACAACGGGACGTACATAAAGCTCGGGATCTCGTCTTGGTGCCTTCTTCAAAGAATTGTTCCCTGAACCAGCCTCAACAGCCGAAGCTGCACGGCGTGTGAGGGTCGGAGCAAAAGCTGCGCGACGTGCTAGGGTTGCAGCAAAAGCCATCGTGAGGATTTCGAGAGGACGTGGTGGCCGGTAATGGTGGTTCAAAGTGTTGTTGAAATGCAGGTGGTGTGAGTGATCGATTAATTGCACAATGAGGTCGCACCTGCAGGTTCTGCCCAGATTGAGCTTAGTGTTCACACGTGATTCTTTTCTTCGCTCGCTCCATGAGACTGAGACGCCTACTAACGTGCCCCCCAACTACCCAGTTTTAACTATTACTAAGGTCTGGCGGCACCCCGGAGATGACATAAATGATTGTCCGTGGTGCCCGGAAAGTGACGCATTCCAATTGGTTCAGGCAGTCACTAGACCCCTAACGTCTACTAGTAGACTGTGTAGAGTTGCGTACCTGTTTCCTTCATTTCGTCTTTCGCGACAGCCTCACTTTGATTGCTTCATGCTTCACCTCTGCCGTTATGGCTGATCCCCTCATTCCAGACTTGTTACTGCGCCCTTGATATCGGGACGTCTTTTCCGGTTGCTTGTTCTTCTTGACCGTCAATTCTTCAGCAATTCACTTGGACTGTTTACGCTTCATGAATTTGTAAACCTAATTTCACAGTCTCCAGATCCTGCGGCATCAACCCTGTCATACACTCTTTCGATATGCACCTGACGTCGCACGGCTGACGCGAATCTGCTGTACTTGCTAGACCTACTGAAGGCGATCAAATGGCTGCAAGACCAATGACTGCGCGCAGCGAAATATCGTCCGCCATATCCGACGATGGCTTCAGCTCGCGACCGCAGTCAGGCGTCAACCCTCTTCCAGCACTACCGAACCCTCCCACTTCGCAACATGGCTATGCTCACCTAAGGGGCATAACACAACCGGCAAACCGTTCAGCCAGGAGTAATCCTGCGCCACCCAGCACGGCCGGTTCAAGTAGACCGCAAAGCCCCGTCAGTCAGGGCAGTCGCACTCATGTACCGTCCTTGACTGCACAAGGCTTCTTCAGGCCGATGAGCTCTCAAGAATTGCAGGCGCAACGTCTAAAAAACTCATTAGGGACAAGAAACATGCAGACCCCGGCACCAATCCCCGATACAGATCACGAGGAAGACGCCCGAAGCGATGCTCGGAGCCTTGCGTCCAGTAGACAGGGACCCTTCTACGCAATGCCGAAGAACCACCGTCCAGCGCCGTCTATCACAACAGAGTATACTCAATCAGAGGCGCCCGAGACCGTTGATGCGCCACACCCAGACTTTGCTTCACACCACGAGGGAGAGACCGAGCTCGTACCTGAGCCTAATGCGCAGGGTCAACAACGCCCTGCTCGACTCAATATAGCGAGCACTCTCAAAGTGGGTGATACTCCACAAAGATCACCGCTCTCGCTCCGGTCAGGGTTTAGTCTAGGAAACAAGCACCGCTCAGAAGGTGGTCACCAACCTCTCTCTTCGAATACCACATCACCACAATTTTCTCCCAACCAAGATGTACAAGTGGCTAAGAAAAGCGCCCTGGGCAAGAATCATGAATACTTCGAGGGCAACACGATATTCTGGTGGGGTGGGCGACTGCAGAATGCTCGGGATCGGCCCATCAACGTGGTCACTGGTGCGATCGTAGTCCTTCCAGCGATTCTATTTTTCGTGTTTTCGTGAGTAATGCTTCTTGAGATGCATCTGGCCCCTGACTTACGATCAAGCAGAGCCTCATGGTTATGGCACCATGTATCGCCGGCGATACCCATCATCTTCGCTTATCTCTTTTTCGTTTGTTTTTCCTCCTTCGTTCATGCATCGCTCGTCGACCCTGGGGTGAGACCTGAATCGAACAGAACTATGGGACTTGTGCTGACGGACCCAGATTTTCCCTCGAAACCTACATGCATTTCCACCCACCGCGGACGATGATCCGTTGACCCTAGGATGGCCTACCAACGACTGGGTCATGGTCAAACTGGCCACATCAACCACAGCCGCCATGGATGTTCCAGTCAAGTATTGCAAGACCTGCAATATCTGGCGTCCAGCACGGTGCTATCATTGCCGAGTTTGTGATAACTGCGTCGAAACTCTGGACCATCACTGCGTATGGATCAACAATTGCGTGGGAAGACGCAACTATCGCTACTTTTTCACCTTCGTTAGCACAGCCACAGTCCTGGGTCTCTTTCTGGCATTTGCTTCTCTAGGGCAAGTGATTGCCTACCATAAACAGAGGCATGTGTCGTTTTCAACCGCCATCAACAGAAACCGGGTACCGTTCGCCATGTTCATCTATGGGCTGTTGGCGTCTGGGTATCCATGTGCATTGTGGATATACCACATGTTACTTGTTGGCAAGGGCGAGACAACCAGAGAATATCTTGCATCTCGCAGGTTTCCAAAAGCCGAACGGCATCGACCTTTCACCCAGGGCAACTTTTTCAAGAATTGGATTGCTGTTCTGGCCCGACCAAAACCCCCAACATACCTCCATTTCAAGAAGCGATATGAAGAAGGGGATCAGCGCTTTGGCACAAGGAAAGGACAAAGACAAGCCAAGTTGAATGGCGAGACGCAGAATGGAGGTATGGAGATGAAGCCAGTGCAAGGAACTCAGAAGTCGTTTGAGGGGCCGACAGGAAATATCCAAAAGACAGAGACCTCTGCAAGATGAGTGTACGATACTAGGCTTAATTAGAAGCACAATGTATATCAACCAGAGAACAATGGAGAACTGTTAATCCATAAATATCTTTCTGTGGTCTCTTCCTCTCACTCGAAAGACCAGATCTGGGTCAGCATCTTAAGGCCTCTTTGACCAGCAAAGCGTCACAGTGTTGGACCCGATCTGATAGTTGCCCAGGAGGGAATGTTTCAAAGCGGAATGTTGTCGTGTGTTTGGTCAATTTGCGGTCTGTTCACGCCGGGCCCCGTGGTCGTTGGTCGATGCGGCTGGAGACCCTCTTATAACTTCTTAGCTGCTTCGTACGCTTGCAACTTGATACATAAGGCTATCTCCCACATTTCAACCACTCTTTGTTTACAACCACGCATTTACAACCCTGCTTCACGCGTTCATGTTATTGCGATCCTTTTACTAGCCATTCCCGCACTTTCCCCAGCAGTTTACGCGGCTCATTCGGACTATTCGACGCGTCGACCTGCCCTTAAATTTACCTACTCAGTATGCCTCTCCGACAGAGCTTACTGAGTTTTTACAAGTCAAGAGCAGATAATGTTGAGACCAAGCCCATCGGCTCCATGAGTGGTCCTCCGCATATGGCGAGAACAGCCAGCTCGACGTCCTCCGAAACCGATCCAGACACCATCGTGGTACTTGCTCCCCTACCAACGCAGTTGCCAACCCCGTCCGAAAGCTCGTGTGACGTGTCTATCCTTGATGCTCAAGTGGTTCGAATGAACCAAGTGCCTAAAGGACGAGCACGACGCGTAAGTCAACGCGTGACAAGACGTGGCAGTCAGGATGTGCTTGTGACAAGCGCCGAGGATGAGAGTCTCAAAACCAGGACTGTAAGTGGGGAGACTCTGGTCAACATGGACAACGCAAGTCAGTCAACACTGGTCAAAGAAGGCATTGCTGCCCTGGACTTGCCGTGGAACATGAGCGAAGTATTCTCGAAAGGAAAGAAGGGCGTCTTGGACGACGAACGCGACACTGCAATGGAGGATACAGTACTCACAAATGATCCCGAAGATGAGGAAGAGCAACGTGTGCGAGAAGAGAGAGCCGAAGCGAAGAAAGCAAAAATGGAGGAGAACAACAAACTATGGAAGGAGAGACGCTTGACGGCAGAGAAAGAGGCCACCAGAAGATCTTTCCGCATGCCTGTCCTTGAGAGGGCTGGAGGGCTGGTTGCGAATATTGCCAGCACTGTATTGGGAAAGAGGAAAGACAGGGCTCCGGAGTCAAGAACCAGCACGAGGAAGACTATGGGCAGTATGGCATCAGAAGCTGTTCTTTCAGAGCCCAAGACGAAGAAACCACGTGTCAGCCAGGCCGGGTCTCTCCTACCCGAAGAATCACCTCAACCAAAAACCCTTCCACGACGACGGGAGAAGAAATGGCTCTCGACCGGGCTGTACGCAGGTCAACCAAGGATTTCGACCGAGAACAAGAACAAGCGCAAAAGCGTCGGAACCTCTGAGCCACCCAGAGAGAATAAAGCTCTGCCGCTGCCTATGTACGCTGGCGAGCGCCTTCTGAAGCAAGGCCGAGACTTTAAACTACCGTTTGATATCTTCTCTCCTCTGCCTTCTGGGCAGCCCAAACCGGATGAGTGGAAGAAAGTGAACAAGAACGTCTTTGTTGGCGACGCAGCTCAATTCTGGCGTGTGTCTAAGTTCGAAGAACACTCCAGCTGCATGTGTAAGCCTGAAAATGGCTGTGATCAGGATTGTATGAACCGTTATATGTTCTACGAGTGCGATGAACGGAATTGCAACCTCACGCCGGAGCAATGTGGCAATCGGCCATTTGAAGGGCTCAAGCAGCGAGTCAAGAAGGGTGGAAAATACAATGTTGGAGTGGAAGTCATCAAGACCGAAGACAGGGGTTATGGTGTACGCAGCAATCGGACCTTCGAACCCAACCAGGTCATCGTGGAGTATACAGGCGAGATCATCACACAGGAGGAATGCGAGAAGAGAATGCACACCATGTATAAGAAAAACGAGGTGGGTACTGCATGCAGCGGATTTCCGACTTTACTGACTGGCTACAGTGCTACTATCTCATGCTATTCGATCAAAACATGATTATCGATGCCACTCGCGGATCTATCGCACGATTCGTCAACCATTCGTGCGCTCCCAATTGTAGGATGGAGAAGTGGACCGTCAATGGCAAGCCTCGAATGGCACTCTTTGCTGGTGATCGTGGTATCATGACGGGTGAAGAACTGACCTATGACTACAATTTCGATCCATATTCTCAGAAGAACGTGCAGGCATGCAGATGTGGTGCCGACAACTGCCGTGGAGTCCTAGGACCACGATCAAAGGAGGAACGGAAACAGAAGAGTTCAGAGGAAGAGGTTAAGAAGAGCGGCAAACTTGCGGGAGCGAAAAGAAAGATCACCGAGGCGATAGAGGAAGGTGTGAGCCGCATCACCAAGAAGGCCAAGATTGCCGCGCCCAAAGCAAAGGTCTACAAGTCCACTGGCAACAGTCCAATTCAAGTTCGAAAGGTGAAGTTGATCAAGCAAGTCGTCAGTCGAAAAGGCAGCATGACAGCTCTTGGTGGTCTGACGAGGCAGCCTTCGAAGCTCGGGCGACTTGTTGCCACTGCTAAGAGCAAAACAATCAAAGCCAGAGTGGTATCTACGTCGTCTTCAAAGGCGTTGATCCCGAAAGAGAATCCGGCTGATAGACCCAAGGTGCCGGTTCGGTCATCCAGCTTGCGCGAGAAAGCATCGAGTGTCAGAAGTCGAGTTGTGAGGACTGTTCGTGGAGGTAATAGTGGGAAGGATAGGACGATCAGAACGGTGATGGACGAAGATGAGATACTGTGAACCAGGTACAGAGCATGCAGGGAACCTTTGAAGCAGACACCCTGGCGATGGCGCAAGAAGTCGCAGCTTGGAGGTTGTGGACGAAAATGTTATGGATGTCGTGCTGGGTTTGATTTCAGATTACTCCATCATTGAAGGAATGAGCAATGAAGAGGGTTACTACGTTGCCCCATGGGCGGACTTCTCCTGTTTCGTGGAGAAGCATCGGCACATCACAAGCATATACCACAACCAACCTTTATATCCATTTTCTTTCAGCCGACACCCCTCGTAATTCGCCCGCGACAATTAAACTCTGTTGAAGGCACGGCAGCGACTGTACAAAACATGGCTTCGTCAACTTCATCTTCATTCTCTTCTATCATTGACAAGTATCGACCCAAACTAGGACCGTACGAGGAGCTGTACAAGCACTGCCACGCCAATGGGGAGCTATCTACTCAGGAGAAGGAGACAGCAGCACTAATCACGTCGCGGCTCAAGGAGCTATCCAGCGAACTCGACATCAGAACCGGCATCGGTGGGCACGGGCAGATTGCCATTCTCAAGAATGGTCCAGGCAAGACCATTCTGCTTCGTGCAGATATCGACGCTCTTCCAATCCAAGAAAAGACTGGCCTGTCCTACGCAAGCACCAAAACCATGCTCGATACAGACGGCCAAGTCAAGCCTGTCATGCATGCCTGCGGTCACGACTTCCACATTACTTGTGGCCTTGCCGCGGCAGAGACCTTGATCGCCGCCCAATCGACCTGGTCAGGCACGATTATCTTCCTCTTCCAGCCAGCGGAAGAACGGGGCAGCGGTGCGCGAGCCATGGTCGACGACGGCCTCTACGACAAATCGAAGTACGCATGCCCGATCCCGGACGTCGTTCTGGGACACCATGTCTTTCCTCTTCAAGCGGGCAAAACCGCTACACGAGCTGGTCCCACCATGTCCGCAGCGGACAGTTTCAAGGTCACCATCTACGGCAGCGGCGGGCACGGGTCGATGCCACACAAGACGATCGACCCCGTGGTGATTGCAAGTCATATCGTGGTCCGACTTCAGACCATCGTGTCGCGGGAGGTTCCTCCCGACGAAACGGCCGTTGTGACCGTGGGCGCATTACAGGCCGGCAGCACGGAGAACGTCATCTCGGATGAAGCGGTGCTCAAGATCAACATCCGCACCTTCAGTACCGAGTGGCGCGATCACATCCTCGCATCGGTCAAACGGATCGTGGACGCGGAGTGTATGGCGGGACGGTCTCCCAAGGAGGCCACCATTGAGCCATCGTCGTCATTCCCGCTGACTGACAACGATCCAGAAGTGGTGGCCACGATCAACAAATCCTTTTCGGCCTACTTTGGCGACGAGCACGAGCCGAATCTCAAAAACGTACTGGGCAGTGAGGATTTTGGCATCCTGGGCTCAGCGGTCGATCGACCATATTGCTTCTGGTTTTTTGGCGGGCACGATAAGGACATGTATGAGGAGAAGGTGAAGAAGGGCGAAGAGCACAATATTCCTGTCAACCATAGTCCGTTCTTTGCGCCGGTCATCGAGCCGACCATAAAGACGGGAGTGGATGCTATGGTCGTCGCGGCGTTGAGTTATCTAGCAAAATGAACAGGAGATGACAACGCCTGTATTGACGATGACGATGAATGAATCAAAACGCATATGCTGAGGCTATGTCCACTTAATCTTCTATATGCTTGAGTGGTACGAGATCAGGAGGTGGTTGGTGTGAAAAGAACCGACTGTCAGATCGTCGTTTCGCAGGAATATTTATTTGCTTCTCTATCTTAATTTTGATACTACTCCCTCATTTCGACCACTCCCCTGGTCAATCGCACAGCTTCATCTTCTATACCGGGGGTTTCGATGAAATCTCACAGTGTCACCATGTAAGTCCCAGCCGCGAGTCCTGAAATGATGCCGGTATCGGCAAATGCTTTGAAATGCGCACGCCATCGATGTTCTGCGGAGAATGGCCGAACAACCTCGTATATCATCGCCCTTAATGCATTCGTCCCCATATTACCCCAACTTCAATCTGAGTATCTTGGTACATTTACTCGTTCTCTGGACATACAGACCTTGGACGGCACACTGTTGACCTCTATTGACTTCGTCCGTTCTATGAAAAGCCTGACACAAAAAGCAACCCAGCGCCTCAGCATCACAGCATCCGCCCTTCTAAATCCCAGCACACTATCATCACCAGCTCCACCAGTATCCCACACCAGGACAACCACAACAATGTCTTCCCAGCAGCACAAAATCGCCATCCTGGACGACTACGCCGGCATCGCAGAGTCATACTTCTCCCATTTGTCCTCCCAACTAGAAATCCAGAGCTTCCCCGACACACTCAACACGTGCATCCCATCCGAACATCAAGCGCTAATCGAGCGCCTGACCCCCTTCACCATAATATCGACCATGCGCGAACGCACAATCCTCCCAGCCAGCGTTCTCAGTGCCCTACCCAACCTCAAGCTCTTGCTAACAACAGGCATGAAGAATGCCTCCATCGACACTGCGACCCTGAAATCCAAGAATGTAGTGTACCTCGGTACCGGCCCCAAGCCCAACGCCGTCAAGGGCTACGACGCCACCAATGAAATGACATGGTCTCTCATCCTTGGTCTCTCAAAGACCCTGGTCGAAGGCGACACTTCCATCAGACAGGGAGGGTGGCAACCGGGCCTGGCCCTCCCTCTTGCCGGCAGAACCCTCGGCCTGCTCGGTCTAGGTAAACTCGGGACCCAAGCCGCTGTCACTGGCATTCTGGGATTCGGCATGAAAGTGCTCGCGTGGTCGTCCAGCCTGACGCAAGAGAAAGCCGACGAAGCGGCCAAAGCACGCGGTCTACCAGCAGGTTCGTTCAAGGTTGCCAGCAGCAAGCACGAACTGTTTTCGCAAGCAGACGTTTTGAGCGTGCACTACGTCCTGAGTGAGCGCTCGCGCGGCATTGTCGGCGCAGAAGAACTAGAGGCCATGAAATCCAGTGCTATTTTGGTCAATACTTCGCGTGGACCACTGATTGATGAAGCAAGCCTGGTTGATGCCTTGGAACACAACAAGATTCGCGCCGCCGGACTCGATGTATATGATACGGAACCCTTGCCTAAGGATAGTCCGTGGCGCCGGGACGGGTATTGGGGTGTGAAGGGCCGGTCGAAGGTTTTGGTCAGTCCGCATATGGGGTATGTCGAGGAGGAGACGATGCATAGTTGGTATGAGCAGCAGGCTGAAAGTGTGAGGGGGTGGTTGGCTGGTGGGGAGGTGAAGAAGGTCATTTCTTGATCAATGACTGATTACTAGCATCCATAATCGCAGGCCAAAGTACATAGGATGTCAAGGCCAGCAGACCATGAATACTACATGCCAGAAAAGAGCTATGTCCAATTCAGAATATGCATGTCCAGCTCCTGCTATGTCCAAAATGTACATTTCATCGAAGGACTTTCCCATGTCCATCACCATAAGGTACCTTCAACTATAAACTATCATCATTCTTGATCTGCACCTTGATAGCCCCGCTCTTAGGATCACTAGCCGTCTTGAACGCAGCAAGCGCATCACTCATGTTATACCGATGAGTGACCAGCTTATCCATATTGATCACTCCACTCTCCACCAGCCGAATCGCCTTGGGCCAAGTATTGCTGTACCGATACTGATACTGCAGGTCGATCTCCTGGGTACTCAGCCTCATAAACGGCACTTTCATCTCGTTCTTGCCCACACCAATGATAAACACTTTCCCACCGAATCTCACGCTCCATATGGCGCTGGCGACACTGCTCTCAACACCCGTGCACTCCATCGCCACGCGAGGCTTGATGCCCCCCATACTCTCAATTATGCCCTCTGCACACTCCTCCGGCGACTTCCCCATGGGTATCTTGAACGTCGAAACGCGTGGAACAAGCGACTTGGCGAATTTCAATCTCCCCTCATCGATGTCGGTGATGACAATCGGACACGCACCCGCCGCTTGACAGCACAATAACGTAACGAGACCGATGGGACCGGCGCCGCATATCAAGACTGGGTCGCCGAGCCTGACACCAGCGCGCTCCATCCCTGCAAGCGCGACGGAGAGCGGTTCCAGCAGACTTCCATTCTCGAAGCTCATGTCGCCGATCTTGTGGCACCATACGGCGGGGTGCTTGACGTATCGTCTCAGTAACCCGTGAACGGGGGGTGTGCTCAAGAACTCGACACTCTCGCATCCATTGTACCGTCCCGTCAGACATGGTTCGCACTTGAAGCAGGGAATGTTGGGCTCGATGGCCACTCTGTCGCCCGGTTTTAACGACGTGACTGAGGGGTGGACAGCGAGGATAGTGCCCGCGGATTCGTGCCCGAGGATGTGGTCGCCCTCGACGATCATAGGGCCTATACATCCCGCATGCCAGAAGTGGACGTCCGAACCACAGATACCCGTCGATTTGACTGCGATGTAGACTTCTCCCTCTTTCAGATCCTGGCCTGCTTGCACTTCCTGCAGCGAGGGCGAGGTCTCTGCCACCCAAAGATCATGCTTGGGGTTGGTAAAGACGCCGATGTTGGACTTGGTAGGTTCGAGTTCGGTGGTCGTGGTGCTCATCGTGCTGAAAGGGGGAAGGTAGTCTAGTTGGCAATCCCCCAGAGTGTGAGGAGCTCACTATTAGCAAGTCAATGGCAAAGACAGGTATATCTGTGCGGGGTATAGACGGCTTTTGAGACTAGACGCAGAAACGCAAGGTAGCAAAGAAAGGACAAGTCGGGAACGAAGGAGTGACGGCGGCCTTGTGTAAGTTTTCTTTATGTACTTTCCTACCTCACCAGAGCAGAACGCGATACCGAGTGCCCCTCGTATCCTGCCCCGGGACTCATTCCAGCGAACCGAGCATGTTTGGTATGGGGTACCCAGAAATGACGACGGATGTTATGTGGGTAGCCGTTGACAGGAACAGCATGCGGGCCGTGGACCGCCGCAATATTTCCTTTTTCAGCGACATCAGTACGGGCCTCTCATCAACACCTCTTGAAGGGTGACAGGGCGACACTGGTATAGAGCCAGAATGTATTGAGACCGACCGAGCGAAACTTGGTGTACATACTTGACTTCAGTGACACCAGCCTGAGACTGAAGCCCATATTAAGGGTTGAAACAAGACTGCTTTCGATACAGCCTCCCCAGATTTATCGATGCCAATCAATATTTGCTTGGAAGATCAGGTCACGAAGCCGCGTTCACAATGCTTTTTGCAAAATGTGGAGGGTGCAATGCACAGCTTTTAACGTTCATCAATTGGATGTTACCAGGTCCTAGAATAAGCTGCCATATAACGAGCCCAAGTGATGGCTCTTTGTCCTGATACTCCTGCCGTATGTTAAAACAGATCAGCAACCCACCCAGGAGGCCATTTCTGGGGCACCATGTACCTCTTTGCATCCTCCTTTCCTGCCCACTGCACACATGTGCTGTGTTTGCGTGACGCATAAGACGCATGAAAACCATGGCCGCCACAGCATCCCCTTCTTTTGCTGTACAGAACCCGTGATTTTATGTACAAGGAAACAGTGATAAAAACTTAAATTGTTGCAATTCGTGAAAGTCAACCTGTTGCATAATGGCCAGACTTCCAATGGCACAGGGGTAAGAGTTGAAAGCAAGGTGAGGGATTGCCGAAGGACCCGATGATGCCCCAGCTTTTCTTCTGAAGTCTGCCAATACTTGACAGAGATAGGAGTTGAAGTCGTGATTCTAAATTAGTCATATCGAACACCAACAACATCTTTGTAGCCCAAGCTATGCCGAAGCTATGCCGAAAGTACCGATGGTCACGACCTCTGCATGGCCTGCTGCATCTGTGGGCCATTTTGCATAGCCATACCATATGGATTCACGTGTTGATTTGCGAATCCATTGGGATCCTGCATACCGCTCAAGAATTGACCAATGCCTTGAGCATGACCAACAGGGCAGTCCTTGTGACCCATCAATAGGGTACGAAGGTTGCGGATCTCGTCGTGGAGTTGACCAACCTGGGTGTTGAGGCTGTCGTTTTCAGCAGAGTACATTTCGACCTTGGCTTGGAGGTTAGCCAGCCACTGTTTCTTTCTCTGTCGACATTTCAACGCAGCGATACTGGCATGGGTTAGCCACTGTGATAGCGATGATATGAACGCACTTACCGGTTGCGTTCGAGGAAGTTTCTTCGCTTCTCCTCGTCCGTCATCTTTCTGCCACTGGGATGTTTGGGTTCCTCTTCATCCATGTCCATGTCGCTGTCGTCGTCCTCATCGGGGGGCTCAAGAGCAGGGTCGACAATGGCAACACCAGAATTGCCCTTGGCTCGTTTGTTGCTCCCTTTTGCACTGACCTCAGACTTCCGTCGATTGTTGGCAGGTTCGGCCTTGACCTTCTTGCCACGACCGCCACGAGCGGGCTTAGTGTCCTCATGACTCTCGGGACTATCACCATTCTCGGAAATTTGTTTCTGATCCTGGCCATTACGTGTGGGTGCTGACGTTTGCACGGTGTTGGGAACGGCGAACTGGTTGTTTGGCTGACCTCCCTTGGCTAGCATAAACAAGCCATTGGCGGCATCTGTTGCATCATGTTGTGCATCCATGTTGTTTTTGGGAAGAGCTTCTTGGGGGTTAGATGTGTTGGCAAATTGGTTGTTCTTGTTTCGTGCAGCTGCATTCATAGCAGTACGATGGAAGTCAAGGGTACCAGGTGTGGCACCACCACTTTGCAATGAGTTGAAGAGTGCTTGTGAATTAGGACTGGGCGCCGGAAACATAGATCCGCCACCGCCAGGAGTCAAGCCAGTCCGAAGGGATGACTCGTTGGGTGTGGGAAAGCCGCGACCAATACTGTCAAAGTAGTCACCCTGTTGTGGTCCAGCCAGCATAGCAGGGCTCAAGGGCCCCGAGCGTAATGAGCTTTGCCAATTGTATCCGCCAGCTGAGCTGGTGCCAGGGAGTGCAGGTGATGTGAGAGAAGCGACAGGTGGTAAGAGTGTCTTTCCCGGTGTTTCTGTTGAAGGCGCTCCGAATGATTGTTCAAAAGGATTGAATTCTGCGATAGAGTTGTTGTGGAGCGCCGAGAAATAATCTGGTGTTTCCGCAGGATTGGTGGGCGCAGGACGCGGCGGCGGCGCGAGTGGTTCTGTCGCTTGAGCAATGGGCTTTGAGTCTTCGCCCAGCGAGGTCGGTTGTGAGTCTTCTGGTGTTGGAGTCAGTGATGTGGTTTTACAAGGGATCAGAGTCGGCGTGGCGACGCGTACCTGGTAGCGACGACTTGGGCTGGACAGGTGAGGTCTTTGCCGAGGAAGCTGCAAAATTTCGTTAGCATAAGATTATTATGTATACATGCGCCGGGTATATGCATTGGATGATAATTCTCAATGCGCTGGGATGGTGATGATGATGGCATGATGTTGGTATGGCGGGTATGAGTACGCGGAAGAATTTTTCACGATAAGGGGGGCAAGGATGAGACTCACATTGCTGTTTCACATTATTCTTCTTGTTGTCCATAGGCGATGAGGTACGAGAAGTTGGGCCAGCCCCAAGGTGTTGTTGTGATGGTTGAGTTGCGACCGCGGCGCTCGCCATATTGTCGGGTTGTGATGAAGCAATACGTAGATGGAGGAAACAACGTCAGTCGTTGCAAAAGTGACGTCGATAGAACTGGGTAGGCGTTGGCGCCTCATATACTCTGGTAGGGCGGGCGAGCGAGGAGCAGGCTTGGGGGGTGGAAAAACGCGAGGGAACAGGGTTGACTTCGACCAAGCAGGCCTAGCAATGTGGGCGATTGGGAGCCTGCGAATCAGAGACGTGTCAGCCAGGGAAGTCGGCAGAAGATGGCGATCGCCAGCCATCGAAGAAGCAGTTGGATTGCCACTTAATCCACCCACCATCCCATCATGGCGCGGAAATTGGACCCGGCTTGCACAAAAGAGCACGGATACGGGGGTGACAACTGTCGCTTAACTCACCTAAAAATTCTCGATGCAAAGAACAGAGTAATACTCCTTCCCAGTACCACTTCCTATTAATTTCGTATGGTTTTCCCGCGCGACCTGCAATAAATCTGTGTCGAAAGATGAATTGAGCGTTGGTGGTTGTAAGCGAGATTCCCAATGCGCGCGGACTCCGGAGGGGGCGTGGCGTAGGCGTAAAAAGGTGATGACGTATAAGGTGATACACAGACAATTCCCACCTTCAACTTGGGGCCACCGCAGCAGAGAGTACAGTGAACGGCAAAAGTTGACTTCGTTTCTGGTATCCGCACAGCTGTCAGATCCCCCCGTGACTGCTCAATTGATTGAATCCGAATTAATATTGTGACCAGGGCTTCGTGGTTAGCCTCGCTAGACAGAGGTGCGTGCACGAGGCTTGGAAGAATTGGAATGGGAAAGTTGAAAAAGTGAAAAATCCAAATGACCTCAGCACACAGAAGAGTACTTGAGAGAAGTACGAGGTACTAGTGATATGAATAACCAGAGCAGCCTCAACTACCGAGGATATTATTGATTCAATAGGAAGGTGCCTCTCTACTGAATGGATGGACGGAATGGAATCGATGGGGTTTCGGTGATGAGGAAACACTTCTGACGCAATCCATTCCTCAAAAATCTTTAGTTGTGGACGCCAAACCCATTCCAGGTTAAGGTGTCATCGTCTGTCCCGTCAGACGTTGAATTTCCTCTTCTTGCCATTCGCCGCGCACCTGTCTGAGTTGTGTTTCCAAAGAAAGGCCGACACCAGGCCGTTGCCATATCGCTTAAGACACTCCCCTAACATCACCAACCGGGTCCCTGGAAACGACAGGTACTGCTGCCATGCGACTGATACTATCTACGTCTAATTCTACAAATGCCGGGGCACTGCTAGGTATTATATTTCTGTGCCACGTCCCTCATGGTCATGCTCTGTCTGCAACATACCTCTCTGAAGAACGGCTGTCTCGAAACGGTGCTCTTATCGCAAGCTTGCCATTACTGGAGGGCATGCCTGTCGTGTGCATTTACCATGCATTTATAATACACCTGGAGCCCCACACAACCATGACGCAATGAGTGTATATTGTCGAATATTGGTGTATCCGGATATTATAGCCTCAGGTTCCAGAGATCTGGAAGCCGAGTTCTATCCTTGAAGGAACGAATGGTCTCTGAATATACTTAACTCAATTTTGCTGCATATGCATGCCGGCATGCTATCGGTCTAGAGGGACCAATGATACATGGCTTGGGATAGATCGTCCGGAGAATTGACCTTCATCAGAACGTGCAACCCTGAGGTACATTATGCTTGATAGGTGGACCAATGTACACCAGTAAGACGGAATGACCAAAAGTGTTCTTTTGGAAGTGGTGCTATTCTACAAGTCGTATCACCCTATTTGCACAGTTCTCCCCTTGAGAAACGCCTGCTAATGATGCATCTAAGCTCCTTGGAGGCCAGACCATGAATGCTGGATAGTTTGTTGCCCCTGCAGTTCTTTGACATCACTTGTAGAAATCGAACTTGTCGGCTTCCTGTGCTCCCTTGACTTGACTCGAATAAGCATCTTCCAAATCCGCTTGTATGATGTTGTAACGATTCTTTCGGACTGCTCTCAACCCTGCCTCTTGCATGATTGCTGCAATGATGGCTCCAGACAACGGGTCGTTCCGCACTATCAGCGAGTCCAAGTCAACTTCAGGCGAAAGAGACATCTTGCTCGCTATCGTACTGAATATCAATCGACGCTCTCGGCGATCACGTAGGGATGGAAACTCGATCTTTCGGTCCAATCGTCCGGGTCGAAGAAGCGCGGGATCCAGGGTGTCTGCTCGGTTGGTGGCCATGATGACCTTGACGTTGCTGGTTTGATCGAAACCATCCATCTGATTGAGCAACTCCAGCAGAATACGTTGCACTTCTCGGTCCGCACCTGTCTGCGCGTCGAATCGCTTGGTCGCAATCGCATCGATTTCGTCAATGAAGATGATGGCCGGAGAATTCTCGCGGGCCATTCGGAAGACATCTCGCACCATTCGAGGTCCCTCTCCCAGGTATTTCTGCACAAATTCGGAGCCCACCACTCGTATAAAGTTCGCGGTTGTGCTGTTGGCCACCGCTTTGACCAACATGGTCTTGCCCGTACCTGGAGGACCATACAGTAGAACACCGCGTGGAGGATCGATACCAATCTGTTTGTAGAGGTCGAAGTGAGTCAAGGGCAGTTCGACTGCCTCTCGAATTTCCTGCTTTTGCATATCTAGTCCTCCCACATCTGCGTAGGTAACATCGGGCTTTTCATCAGCCCCAAGCATAGCTATGGAAGAGTCGGCTTCCGGCGGGAGGATGTCGACAAGGGAGTTGGAGTGTCTATGGAGCGCAACGGAGGACGATGGCTTGAGCTTCTCGCGGTCGAGAGTAGAGAGGATGCGGACGACATAGTTGGAGCCCGTAGAGGATTGGACAATACCCGTACTACACGAAATCAGTATCTGAAGCCTGCGAGAAGATGCTGACTGACTCACGTCTGATCAATGGCTTCCATGAATTGGCCGATCACAAGCGGAACGCTCTGAATCCGCTTGATCTCTTCCTGTGCCCGTACCAGTTCGCGCTTGAGCGATCTGAGTTCATGTCAGCTTCTGATAGGGTTCGCCGGATGTTTGCCATACCTCTGCTCATCTTTGATATATTCTTCTTGTAGTTTGATATATCTGTCCTTGCATCAGCTGTGGCGGTCTTGCATCAAAGGCAAAACTGCACGCACTCCAGGTGTCTTTGCAATCTCTTCAGTGTGGAGTATTCGTCACTGCCATCTGCCCCAACCCCTTCTAACGAGTCGATGTCCGGAATAGAGTCTGCGATGGGTTGCTTCTTATGAGGTGGAATGGTATGAATGGGATTGTCAACAAGCACGTCTCCCATGATTGCAGCTTTGATACAGCTTTGGACGGGTTGCGAGGTTGTCAGTCTAGCAGGAGGTAGGAAGGAACTTTGAAACTTTTGCGGACAAGCTGCAGTTTGAGGTTGCAGGAGTCTTGTGCAGGAATCGTCGAAACCGTCAATCGCAGGCCGTGAAGCCCTGAAGTTCAAAGGCGGCCATCGAACGCGTTGCCAAGATGGAGATATGGCACTAAGCCTGACGCAGGTTTAGTAAGGAACCTTCCGAGGCGGCCTCCGCAACCCGACTTCGCCGGAACGTCGTTGGGACTCTCAGTCTCACACATTGTCTTGTTGTCTGTTCTGGAGAAGCACTATCCGTTTACCTGGTCTTGCTCGATCACCACACGCTCTGTAACGATGGTTCGGGTACTGTGGCTGTTCACTTTTCTACGAGAACGCTCCGTATCTATATGAAGCCACCCACAGAGTACCACCGTCTGCTGCGAGAAGCTGGCTCTGAAATTGTCAAGTCAATACTCGTACCCAGTACCGCCACAGCCGCCATATGTTGGATCCTGGTCGCCTGAGGCAAAGCTCCTCTTACCTTGCAATCTGCAACGAAAAGTAGTCATGAGTGACTATACAGTCCGCACCTGGTACTCCTCCATCTGAGAGGTCGTCCTAGATCGCTCAGCTCGGAAAAGCGTGAAAAGGGAGATCCCGCCCCCAAGATTTTCGAGTCGGTTCACTGGTGATCCATCCTTTTCTGTGTCCAAGACAATAGAGAATCCTGCCTTCTTGTAGCAAAGATGGTTTATGAACATTGTTAGACTCTCCCTGGTCCCTACATGCGTACAAGGAGTCCGCCAAAGCAGACGGCCACAGGCGCCCCATGAGTTCCATGGAACAACGTAAGTGGTACGTTAGAACTTAGATTGTCGGCCGTCAACCGAAAAAGAGGAGCCGACAATGCACCTAAAAAGATAGTTCCCCATAACCCTCGTGGGCGTGGGCGTGGGCGTGAGATGTGCCTAGAGGAGTTGAATCACGTTGGTGTTACAAGATCCGAAGGCCAGGTTCGCAGGGATCTCTTCTTGGTAGGGCTCCTGTGACACACTTGACAAAGAACTCGTGTCCAAAAAGACTCAGCCATGCAAGATTGAGCGAACTAACTGCGTGGATTCCTCCAATCACGGCAAGATCTACCTGCTTGCCATGAGGCATGGCTTGTAAGGCACGACTGGAGACTATAAGCTCTCGACATCTGCTGCGTCTGAAGGTAGCTTCTTTCTTTTTGCGCACACCGACCGCTTCCTGATTGTCCAAGTTCGCATGCCGATATTCTTCCTACCATCCCGATTTTCTCGCATGCTGCAGACCTCAGGAGAATTACGTCTTTTGCTCACACACATAACCAATCCTGATGGCAGACTATACGCAACACAGGCAGTCGAAGGCAGTCGCCTCTGTCAATATACAGCCAGCAAAAACGTTATAACAGGTCAGACGCCTGTCTCCACCCTGTCAGGTGAGATGCCACTTCGTGCAGCAGCATCATTTACTCGCATCAACAATCTAAACGAATCTTGAGAAACTGCACACGATGTGGTTCGAAGATAACAAACCCGCCGGTGGTGTACCCACGTCTTTGGGTCTGAAGCCGAGGACGAAAAACGCACTGCCCATGAAATGGCTTTCATCTATGGCATGACCGATGGAAGAAGACCTGAGGAAGCGTCTAAACCCGAAACGAATCTGGTGCGACCCTGGATTCCTGATTCGATTCTGCATCAAGACATCAAGACGGTATCGACGATACGCATGCCGCGAAATTACACAATTAAGCGAGCAGAGGGGGGCATCTCATCAAAAAAGGGATTTGGAAAGTATGATTCCTACCACGACATGCACAATAACCCCAAAGGACATTGATTTGGCTAGTCGTGACAGAAATCTATCTCATGCAGACTCCAGTGAGAGGCCATGAAGAAATGGTATGTCGGACAAAGCTTTGGCTTCACAAATCCCGGGACTTCTCTTCCTGTCAGACATTGCATTTATTCTGCTGACCGACCTCAACAAGTGGGTAAGGCCACACACTCCTCCAATTGAAGGAGGGCGACGACAACAAGCGCCAGGTGGCCATTTTTAGGGGGCCCGATACGGTCACCCGACTAGCCGAACCTGAAGCATCAGCCTGTCCTCAGTCCTTGCTCCCTCCCGGTCGATTCTTCTGTTCCCTCTCTTGCAGGCCGTTTAGGCTCCTCTTTTTTCACTCATACTCACATTTTTGACCTGGTCCAGTTCCCGATTGACCTGACCATACAATACTTGTTACTTATCCCCTCGGTGCTACTAGGCATCTTTGTGCTCTTTTTGGGAGTCAGCATTTTGTTCCTTCAGCCCCCCCGCTTGTCGCCATTCAGTTGTTGGTTGTCTTCCTTCCCAGTTCCGTGCCCACGCAAATAGCACTACCACCAGCATAACGCAACCACGTATCAAACACGCATCAAGTCGCCCTCTAATCACGCTCACGGTAAGTCGCTCTTGAACCTTTTTTTGCCCCTCCTGTCTTCAGACCCCCCTGGCCTATGTTTGAGAGTGGATTTGCCTCTTGCTATCACTTCTCCCGCCGGTTCGTGGCAGCCGGAAACACAGCAGAGCCAAAGCACATGGTTTTTGCCCACCCACATCATCATCCCATCCTCTCTTATCACCATTTTACCCGTCCCCAGAATACACCACTAGCGTCTGTTTGTTTACCATCAGACATCTGGTTGAGATCGTGTTGCACGGTCCAATGATAGACGCGAGTTGGACTCTTGATCCCCTCTGTTGCCAATCCTCTTTTGTGGCTAACCTTCTCTCCTCCCTCACAGAACAAGCCGAGCTAAACCGTTTTCGGCGCCCCAGCCTCAGTCCGAAAAATCGTCCCTAATCTCGACATTCCGATTCGGTTCGCATAGGTACTGCTGCGCTCTGACGATTCCGCTTCACATCTCTGCCAGTCAGGTAAGTAGCGCTATTCGACTCCATTGCCTGCTGCTATACACTGTGTTTTGTACGACACCTTATCCCAGCACTCGTTCCAGCTTTATCTACCTACCAGACGCGTTCTCCTTGTCATCAAGCACAGCCCAACTGTTGCTTCAATCATCTCCACCAACAATGTTTCCATCTCTCAGACACGCGCTTCCTATGCTGGAACCATTGAAACCTCCTGGCGCGCGCATGTCGTCGGGATGGAGACGCGTACTGATGGCTTGACGCTGACCCTTTGTGTTGACATAGCCAATGGATGACCGAACCTCCTTCGAGCCATGAACCCTTGGCTTCCCGACCACTCTTCGAACCCGAATAACAATGCTGGATTTGGGGCAACAATGGACGCTGGCATGTCTTTCCTGCAGCCTCCCCAGACCATAAATCCTGCTCAATTCCAAAATCCCGCCTTCCTCAACGGTGCCGGCCGCACTGCCTCACCTGCCTTTCTCAACACAGTATATCAAACAAACTCAGTAATACCCTCAAAAAGAGCAAGAGATGATAGCTTAGGGACATCGCCGCGTCAGGCGCCAGGAGGATTGCCTATTTCAAGATCACAAACTCCCGGGCAAGGTCCTTTTCCTGGGTACAACCCGCAAGCTAATGGCGCGCCTCCGGTGACGAGTACTCCAACACCTTTTCAACACCTACATACTTCGTCCAATGCGACACCTTCGCCCACCATCCAACAATTGAATCAATTCAACCAACCCGGGGGTAATCAACGCGTCGCCACAGCGTCGCCTAGTCCCTTTTCGCCGCAACATGGGCCTCCGCACGCTTCGCCAGCGCCTTCAGACCATGGCAATCGAGGCGCAACTCCACATGACAATGCCCAGAACTTTGTGCCGAATGGTGCGTTTCCGCCAGGGTTCAATCCGGCTCAGTTCAACCCGAACGTGAGCAACGGCATGTCACAGATGGGTATGCACCCCCAGGCCAACATGCCACATCAACAACATCCAGGCGTGACGGCAGCGCAAAGAAATTACCAGATGCAACTTCAAGCACAAGCGCGGCAAATGCAAGCTCAGGCGCAGGCTCGTAATATTAATGGTGTACCGAACAAGCCCGCGCAACCCATGCCAAATCAGCAGATGCCTCAAGGGCCTGGAGCATTTCAGCCCCCAAAACCAAATAATCCAGAAGAATTCCTTAGAGGACTGCAAGCGTTCATGGCTTCGCTTGGACGTGCGGTCGACTTGAATCCTGTGATATGTGGAAGACCTCTACAGCTATTGCGTCTGTATGCTGCCGTTGTAAAGAATGGAGGATCACAAAGGATCTCGAAGACGAATCATTGGGGTGTTGTGGCTCAACAATTTGGCTTTCCACCGCAACAACAGATGCAAGCTGCTCAAGAAATGCAGGGCTACTGGCATAACAATCTGGCGCCTTACGAAGCCGCATGGCAAGTAAATCAACAGAAACAAAGAATGGCTGCACAAGCTGCTGTCCAGAATCAGAACCAAAGTCAGATGTCACCTCCCCGCGACATGCCTACTCCTCAAGACCCTCGACATCAAAGATCTGTCTCTGCCACAAGCCAGATTCCTCCTCAGGCGCAGCCCTCTCCAGCCAATGGCTTTATTCAGCCGCCGCATATGCAAGGACCACAAGACATGTCAACTATACCACAACATCAACCAAACATGGCTATGCCTTTTGACCCCCAACAAGTGAATGGCATGCAAGCGGAAATACCAGCTCAGACGCCTCAAAAGCGTCCACAATCCAGCATCAAGAAATCAGCAGACCCTGAAACTGACTATAGTAAACCTTTGTCTAAACCCATCGAAGACCCTTTCAAACCAGAAACACTACCGCCAAGTCGATTCCATGGTCCGATAAACGTTGAAGAGATGGCTGTGATCGGCCAGCACATCGCAGATCTAAAACCAGTCGCACCAACTGTACGAGAAATGGGAATCATCGACATACATGCTATCACCATGTCAATCAAGTCCGGGCTACATGCAGAGACTCGTTTAGCACTCGACACGCTCATGACTCTGTCAACCGAACCTGCATTACAACTATCACTCGTAGAGTGTGATGATCTTATGGATGCCTTGGTTGACTGTGCTCAAGATCAGGTCAACTACCTCAGTGAACATGCCACGGAGGTGTCGGATGAAATGCTCCTGCCCTCCTACGAAGAGCTGGTTCGTACTTGTCGATATGAAAATGAGTGTCTACAAGACGCACCCGAGTTTGGCACGGTCCCTTACGATCTGGATCGAGCAGCGGACCGCTTGCTATGTATTACCACCCTCATTCGCAACTTCTCCTTCTACGAAGCAAATTTCACAGTACTCGGTCAGCCTGAAGTCCTCAAATTGCTCAGCTCCGTCATTCGATATTTGGGAACGACGGAAATGTTCTTGCGCCACAATTATAATGCCCTGGACTTTATGAAAGATGTGGTCATCTATCTCAGCAATCTGTCAACTTCTCTCCAGCTGCCAGGAAAAGAAGAGGCACTGTGCGTGCTTCATTTCCTGCTGGCATTCGCACCAGCGCCTGTACCCACGTCAAGCTCTTCAGGAAAGCTGTCCTTCACCATGTACAGCCCAGCTTTACACAAATATACACCCTCCGCCGTTGATAGCTTGGCGAAATTGCTAGCCCGCGACGAGCCGAATCGGACTTATTATAGAGCAATCTTTGCAGCCGATGCACATGCAACGCCGCCACATGAGCTATTGACGAGGACATTTGGCTTGGCCATCTGTCCCATCCCCGCCAGTTCAAGTCACACGAGAACGATCATCGAGGTCAGAAAACCTTTTCTACTCCAAGGAATGCTCGCGGCCGAAATACTGGCTACCCTCGTCCCTGGTTCGGACCATACATTAGCACGGTCATGGTTGACTTCCGAAGACGGGTTTGCTGGAAACCTGCTACGACTGGTTGGTTTGCTCAGCGCAGACCGGACTACCCAGACGGCTCCGCGTCATCAGCAGCAGAACAGTAGAAACAACCCTGAGGTTGACATCAACGGATATGGAGCCATCTCCAATCGCGCCCTGGCAGTGTTGAAAATACTGGTTCAAAAGGCACGAACGGTCGACGCGGAGGGCTCGACGATTGTCCCGCTGGGCGTTATGCCGAGAAAGGAAAGCTTGCTTGGTGCAATGATACAAAAGGACATCGATCCGGGAATACTGCGACAACTGTGCGTGTATGCCGGACTAGAGGAATGAACGAGATGGCGCGCTCTCCTGGAATGTATATATCAGAGTGGACCATCATGAACATCGTTGCTGCGCATAAAATGCAGGGGCAGGAAAAGGGGCCCTCACGCGATACCCAGTGTGGTTTATGTCATTGGTGAATCATGAGAACCGTTGAGCGTAAAGAGCGAGCTTGGTTTCCACGTTTGGGTACATGGCAGCCTTTTGCGCCTACGATGAAAAGGAGGAGAAGTATTTTATGTATCAACTGGGATTTGAATGCCTAGATTATGATCTCGAATGGTTTCCTTTCGTTTCAAAGAGTCAATTTGAACTCCTGACTTTGCAGGACTCGACGCTCTCTCTGTGGACCCGATACAGCCAGCTGTGTTCAGCGTACCTCAACTGAGGCGTTGGCTCAGACCTTTGGCCAAATTTTGGCCAGTGCCATGGACTTTTAAGGCCAACACCTTGAAAAAAATGCTCCATGCGAATGGCTTATTGTACATGTAGTCGGACGACCACAACGTTCTTTGCGACGTCCTCGTCTGCTGAGAGTTTGGAAGATGCCTACCGTGCAATCATATAGCGTTTATCGGCCTTCGTAGTCCGTATCCCGATTCCAGCTTTAAGATGCGATCGACGACCTGCCTACTGGGTTTTCAAAACCCAACCATCTCGGCCCATTTCTTGATCTCAGGCCCTCTCCATCCGCGTACCACAACCTGTCGCGTAGTCCGGTTGATTGCCACAGTATCTTTCCGCCGTCCCCGGACGTCCACGATGTGCTGACCCAGACCCAGCGCTTTCTGCACCTGACCGGCCAGCTGGTCCAAGTCGCCTGTAATCTTTCGTATGGTCGTAATGTGTTTTGATCCTCCGGACTTGACGCTTTCGTAGACTGGCAGATTTGCTGATGGTGTCCGTGAAATCTTGAATGGCAGGTTCGACACCGTTGTCATTGCCTCAAGTATTGGTGAGACTGTTGATGGCTGTTGCGGTATGGGCGCAGGTTGAGCAGTAGGATCGAACTTCATCTTCTCGGCACGTATTCTGCTCGCTTCGTCTGTACGTCGGTGTCAGCAATCATGGCCGCACATCCATGCCATGTAGGGTGTTACATACGTTCTCTCCGGATTCCTTCTTTCTGCCTTCGATGTAGCTTGTCGAGTCCAGTGATCTTCGCATACTTCTCCCTGGGCATCCAGTAGGATTTGGATCTGGTTTGACACAGCGGCCGGCCAGGCCGCAGTAGCGCGCGCAGCAATAGAGTCGAGGGGGCCTTCATTGTTGTCGTGGTATGATGAAAGGGACAGACGGCCAAAGATCAAGGGACATGAGCATCCCCGTTGTGAACTGCGTCCTCCCCAGGCGCAGTGAGGTGCAACGCCAAGCCACAAATTTCACAAATTCCGCTGTTTTCCGTGATGGCGCTAACGCTTTTTGTCCTAGCGGCACCCCACACCTCACTTTTCATACGACATACGCCCACGATCAAAATGCCTAGAAAGGCGTTAAATGTGAATGGTGGGCACCCAGAACACGACGCCAACGAAGATACCCCCGGGTATATCTTCGCCTGTGACATTGATCGCCCCCGTCTCACCATCGCCAACCTCAAAAAACTTGACGAAGAGTTTGCCGCCCTCGACATCGAGTTGCTGGAGAAAGACGACTTGCGCTGGGCCAAAGAGAAGAAAGTGAAAACCAAGGCAAAGACAATATGAGCGCCAACGACGATCCCACAGGCGAATATGCCTTCCTCTCAAAGGTCATTCAACATTTGGACCGACACCTCATCTTCCCTTTACTTGAACATCAGCTCTCCGCAGAAGACATCTCGCAAGAACGCTACGATGATCTCAAACAAGCCATCTACAACCTCCTCAAGAACACAAACATGATCGACTATGTCGGAAATCTCTACAAAGAAATAAACAAGACCGAAGACACACCTACCGAATATGCGAAAAAGAGAGAGGAGGTACTAAACAAATTGGCCGCCTTCGAAGAAGAGTCAGCACACCTCACAAACCTCCTCAACGATGAAGCCGTCACCTCTCAATTGCGCAGCGACAAAGTTGCCAACCTGAAATTCCTCGAAGAATCACACGGAGTTACTCAGCAGATGGTCGACAACTTGTACGACTTTGGCAGATTCAGATACGAATGCGGCTTGTACCCCGAGGCGGCAGACCTGTTATACCGTTTCCGCGTTTTGTCTACGGACAACGACAAGGTCGTCAAAGCCACCTGGGGCAAGCTTGTCTGCGAGATATTGGGTGAGGAGTGGGAAGCTGCACTGGAGGAAGTGGAAAAGGTGAAGGAGCACATTGAGACGCGGCTGTTTAACAACCCGCGCGCGCAACTCACGGCTCGAGAGTCCCTGGTCCACTACGCTCTGTTCCCGTTCTTCAACTACGAACCCGCCCGTGAGAAACTCACAGAATTGTACTTCTCTCCTCCGTACATCAGCTCCATCCAGACCGTCTGCCCATGGATTCTGCGATATCTGGCCGCCGCCGTCATCACCAACCGAGGCCGCATGAACAACTCGCACAACTACCAGAAACAACTGAAAGATCTGGTCCGGGTCGTCAAGCAGGAAGTGTACGAGTATCAAGATCCTGTCACAGAATTCATCAAGGCACTCTACGTCGACTTCGATTTCGAGGGCGCACAGCGCAAACTCTCTGAAGCGGAAGCAATCCTGCGTGGTGACTTCTTCTTGAGTTCTTCCACCGACTCGTTCATGGATTCAGCAAGACACTTGATTTCCGAGTCTTACTGCAAGATCCACCAGAGGATTGACATCAAGTAAGTCTTTGTGAAATTCCCGTTGAGCATCGTACTGACCTGTAAAACAGGGATCTATCTACCCGACTGGGTCTCTCCTCTAGTGAAGGCGAGAAATGGATCGTCAATCTTATCCGTGACACCAAGGTCGACGCAAAGATCGATTACCAGGCTGGAACGGTCGTCATGAACCATCCTCCCCAGAGCGTGTACCAGCAGGTCATTGAGAAGACCAAGGGCGGTTTCTTCCGTACTCAGGTGCTGAGTGCTGCCGTTGCCAAATCATAATGGACCATGTGAGCCTCATGCACGACCGCCATGCACTCTGGAATCAAGTGGAGATGCTCGTATGAACGTGGCCAGCCACTGCTCGGATTGAAATCGAGCTTTGCTGAAGGAGGAAGAAGAATTGCGCTGAGGATGAGAGATGATCTCTACTGTCAACGCTCGCACACAGCAAGCGACACAGGCGAAACAGTCGGCGAGACAATCTGCACAGTGCGCGGACTTGTGAACGGATGTGAAAAGCTGAGAATGGGTGACTTAGTGCTTATTGTACAGCAATGATACCCATGAGAGATGGATTCAGGAGTCGCACCCTCACAACGACAAAAGTCACCGTTGGGGCGAAAAAGTGCCCAAAGAGCGCAAAAGCTCTACTTAGCTGGATAGAGAAAGGAAAAATGGCAAAACAGCATGTCCAATACCATTTTTGTGGCTCTCCGCGTGTTGTGTTCACTTCTTCCCACTCCCATTTCCACCATCGTCTTGTTTGGCTCTCAACTCCTCCTCAGCCAATAACCCCCTTACCTCGTTCTCGCTCATCCACTCTTTGACACTCTCCATGATCTCCTCGAGGGGTTCCTCACCCGCCATGACAGCCGGCAAATTCGACGACTCCTTGCCCGTTCGATGGTCCGTCACGCGGTTTTGCGAGAAATTGTACGTCCGCACCTTATCCTCGCGGCCTGTTCTTGCGACTCCGCCCATGACACTGCGTCGTAACGCAATGACCTCATTCTCACGCTCTTCGCGGCGGATCTGCGCGATTTTAGAGCGCAAAAGCTGCCACGCCTTCTCGCGGTTCTTGTGCTGCGAGCGCGAGTCCTGCATCGCCACGACGATGCCTGTGGGTATATGTGTCAATCGTATCGCGCTGTCCGTCTTGTTGACGTGCTGGCCTCCTGCGCCACGCGCACGCATCGTCTCGGACCGCACGTCCTGCGGGCCGATGTAGTAGTCGCTGTTGGGGTCTTCGTAGTCGAGCGCCGACTCGGCGCCGGATTCTGGCAAGTTGGGCAGTACTAAGACGGACACTGCGGAGGTGTGTGTGCGGCCCTTCTTTTCGGTCGCGGGAACGCGCTGGACGCGGTGCACGCCGGCTTCGGACCTCAGAATGTCGTAGCTGCCGGGGTGGTTGACTTCGAGCAGGGCGTCGGTCAGGGCGTCATCTGGGACGGATTCGTCGGCGGTGTACGATGCCAGGGTTGTGGGCCACCTCTTCCGCGCGCAAAAGTCCTTGTACATGTCTAGTAGGGAGTGGGCGAATAAGGATGCCTCGCTGCCTCCTGCGCCCGGGTGAATTTCGATCATACATGGCATGTTGGCGAACGGGTGCGGTGGGACCAGTGAGTTCTTCAACTGTGCTGTGATCTTCGGCAGCGACGCTGCTGTAGATTCCATGTCTGACTGTGCGAGGCTGCGTATCTCTGCATCGGAGGATGGATCGTTTAGCAGACTTTCGAGTTCTTCGAGAGACTGTCCGGTTTGTTAGTGCTTGTTCTGCCTGCATTTCTTGTGTATGTGATTATACATTCTGTGCATCGTCCCATTCCTTCAGTGCCGTGCAGACCGTGCTGAGTTCGCCAATCTTCTTCGCAACGGACACATCATAATTGTCCGCGTTCGCGGCGGACAATTGCGCATGCTCAGCAGCGACTGCACGCGCTCTATGAAGGAGTACTGGCGAGACTTGGGACTCCGGTTCGGAGGATGTAGCTGAGCGAAGGAGGGTCAGTGTAAGTTGCCTAGGACAATGGAACATCTTCGATAGAAGACTGCTAAGTACATACATTGTAAGCGAACCCTCGCAAAGCCAGGCCTAGCTACCATGGGTAGCGGACGTCCAAGGCATTTTGAGTATAGGCGCCAGCTACGGCTGCCACTCAACATGCCTCGGAGGAAGATGACTGAAAGACAATGCTAAGCAGCAAGATGATCAGTGTCGTGTGAGAGGATAGAACTGGCTCTCCAAAAAGCTCAAGAACGATTGCCAGTGAATAGCGGACAGGCAAGTTTGACGACCCAATTGACTTCCGAGTCTGACAGCCTTGTCAGCCTTGCACAAGAACCCCCTGAATCCATGTCTTTCTCTGTGTACAGCAAGTAGGGGGGAAACTAATTGGTCTTTCATGCCTTGCATTTCTATCTTGATTACTGACCACGTCTAACTCAATGCATTCACCAAAGTGTAGCAGGTATCTATAGCGGAGGACAAGAAGCACATACTCCGTCCCTTGCTTTGTTGGCAGTTATCCAGCCGCGTCCCATTAATCATCTCCATCGTTGTAATGCTGTGAAACTCCAATGCTCGGCTATGTATGCATTTTTTGTCCTCATCATCCGCCGAAATTGGATATTCTGGCCGGTATAGGAGAAGCTGTACATTTTGGACGCCATCGTAAATCGTCAGTCGCTGTGAATCGTTGGTGCACGATATCCAATCTGTCATGATTGAAAAGTCCACATTGACTTGATTCCACCTTCGCCAGCTGTGAGATCGTCTTGTCTGCTGCGTGCCATCCCATTTGATCTCTCCGGTACTGGTGCCAGTCTTGGCGATAGCCCCGTCCATGCTGTGTTTTTGTCGTCGCCGTCCATTGGGAAGAAAACGCCTTCCACTTCTTCGTCAATCTTCTTGGAACTCAGACCTGGGCTGGATATGCCGCGATCCAAGCGACCAATAGGTGCAGATGAATGTCTCAATCCGCTAGACTGCACTCGTCCTCCGTTGGATTCTCCCGAGTCTGTCCGGTTCAATTGCATTCGCGCCATGGCTTGAGATATTCCAGATACCTGTCCACCTGGTTGTGAGGATTCCTGAGGCATCCAGGCGCCTCGCAAAGGCGAGCCTACGTGACCGACATTTGTTGGGACGGGATTATCACTTCCCTTTTCTTTGCGCTGCTCGGCCCACAATGCGCTGAACCTGGAAGGACTACCCGCAGGTGGCGATCCAACCTTGCTCGAGCTGCCACTGGGTATTGCCAATGCGTGAGCATTGTCTCTTGAACCGAATTCCTGATCTGGCCTGGACATCCGCCTCATCTTCTCCTGTGGAGTAAGCACCTCGTCGTGAAGACTGTTTGGCAACAACTCGGTCTCTAACCCAAGTCCTTCTTCCCATTCGTGATAAAGGCTCGATCGTGGGACGCTGGCTGAAAGACCTCTGGTCTTTATCGGTCGCTGCGAGTGCATCATTCTCTGACCGATAGATTCTTCCGTGTTCTGGGGAGACATGGCTAGAGGAGAAGCGTTCCGTAAGTTCGAACCTAGATTAGCATTTCGAACATTGACAATCGAGTCAGGAGGACTGCCAAGCTGCCTTGAAAGCGAGGAGGATGCAGGTGAACGGAGGCCGAATTTGTCAGGCACCGATTGACCAAAGGGGCCATATTGGGCTATATGTGAGACACCATTGGCGTCGAAAGATTGTGGTAGTGGTGCATTGAGAGCGGTTCTTAGGTTTTCGACAGGCGATTTGGGGAACAAATAGTCGTTCGGAGGTGAGCCAAACTGTGAGGTGGGCGGTGAGTTGACTCCTGAGTCGAGAGCTGAATGACCTTGGTATTGGTTGTAACGATCGTGAAATGCATCTCCTTCGTCTGGGTCCATCAGAGGGAAAGCTTGTCCGGGAAAGTAGTCTGCCCCATAGCCGGGTTGATTCAGCATCGGGTCACCAAGGCTTGGATCTTGGGGAGGGAAAGGCGATTGTTCCTGTCGATTTGCGTAGCCATAGCCTCGACCTGCCATGGCTACGCCGGCGTCAAGATCAGCTCGGTTGACACGTCGTCCGTCGGGAAGATAGTGGGCCAGCGCACACTTTGCGCCGAATTTGCAGTTCCCCTGAGCACTGAATTAACGACGCACCTCGATGGTGAGGAGCGGTAGTACCTTCATAAAATACTTGCAAGGTGCCTGATGACCCGTTGAATCGAGAGAGTGGGAGAAAGGACAGGCGCTGCCGGCTTGACAAGCACCCTGACGGAAGAATTTACAGGGTACATGTTTGGTATCTAGAAAGATTCTCAGCATTCTTCCACCATGACTTCGGGGCAGAACTTACTCTTGTTCGATCCATTTGGAGGGCTTCTAGCCATGTCGAATAAGGACGGAGTGCCTCCTAGGCTGTTCTTTCTATCCACGCCATTTCCGTATGAGCCAGAACCTGGCACAGGGACTGCCTTTTCTCCGTTCGCCGCAAACCCATTGCGTTGTCTGTTTGGTCCCTGCACCATTGATAGAGGCATCGCGGAAGAAACACTGCTTGAATGTCCTCGATTCATCGTTGGGTATTGGTCATGATTGTACCACGGTCCTTGGGAGTCGGCGTTAGATCGAGGCAGGCCGCTGCCCATAGTTGGGGACGAAGTGGTTGCGGTAGAGCGCGTCTTTGGTGTGCGTCGTGAGTCGGTGCCACGCAGGTCTGTTTGCAGGCTGCGATGAAGAGTGTCACGGTCCCTGAACTTGTCACAAGAGAGGTCAGACTACCCTTGGAGGGGATTGGTATGGAGTGTGCCACGAGTCATGCGGCACTTTGACCGCGCAGACCCGGGATGGAGTCGGCCACTTCCACGCAATGAGCTGCAATGAGCAAGATCCGTAAAGCTTTCGTGATAGAGGATGTGTATGCTATCGCAGGAGAGGATGTGGAGGGGTTATGGAACGGAGTTGGGAGTTGGTGAAAAGAGGACTGGGAGTGTTTGATATGGTCTTTATCAACGAGGCCGCAGATAGTGGGGCGTGCGGTTAAAGGAGGGATGGAATGGAAAGGCAGCGAGTGGGATGAGATGCCTAGGGAGCCTACAATGGTTGGCTCAGGACCGCCTAGATAGAGGGCACCCTGTCCGTCTCATGCACCTAATATCTGTCTTTGACGCGTGACATGTTGCCAAGGCCGATCTAAGCCGAGAGTAGAGTTCTCGCGCGCTTCGGCCTTTACAGTCACGTGCTATCAAATTTCCATGTCGACATTCCAGTCGTTGATCACACCAACATCTTGGTCGAATACCTCATACTTCACCTGGTCGAACATGCCTGGCCGCATTGAGGTGCCATTCTTGTATCAGACGAGGACTATCCTTCGTCGGCCCGGTACAACAGTCCGGCTATCACCGCGAAGATATCTGGCTACTCAAAGCCAACAAGACATTCCCAGCAAGGATAATATATCTCCATCGCCATACAATGCAGAGTCCTTCCTCAAGCAAAAAGCACGACAAGCAGGTGGCTTAGCTGCAGCGCCCGAATCACTCCCAGAGATTTTCGATACAGGGATAGACTCAACTATTACTACTACCGAGCGAAGGGCCTTTGAGTCGATTCTGCGCCTGAACCCAAAACAGTCCGAACCAGTGAGCGTAAACGACCGATCACCATACGACGACGCTCATGACACCGACGTCGAAAGTATCCTTGACATCTTCAGGTCTTCACTCAGAGGCTACCATGGCGAACAGGGGCCAAAGGCCGCACATCACCAGCAAGCCGACACCCCTGAACCTTCAGCGGCCATGCCACAAGCATCACCCAATGTGGAGACCGCGCAGAGGGTGTCACAGACGCTTTCATCGCAGCCAGAACCAGACCGACTCGACGAAACTCCAGAGCGTTCACAGACTGCCGTGTTCGCACCTTTCCCGGCATCTCGCTCTTCCAGCCAGGCCGTTCATCCAGCCGCAGAATTATACCCAAAACCGAAGCAGGATTCCGACATTACTGAGCGCCTACAGGTCGACTGGATTGACGAGCCCACCCAACAGGCCATGCGCAAACATATAAGTGAAATCGCTACAGCTCTCCAGGCAGCAGCAACCTCAACTACTCAACGTGGCGACCTTGCCATGTGGTCCGTCTGCGAATCTCAGATCTTTTCGCTCGCAGGCCAGCTACAAGACCGGCCCAAGCAATCCCAACTCATTATTCTGCACCACGTATACCCATCAGCCCTTCTCCTCGCTCTACGCCTATACATCAAGCACTTCCCTTCATCACCACTTGCGCATAACCTCCTCCCACGCATTCGCTCATTTGGACACACATCATACGTCCTCGGTGCGAGCCCTCAGTTCTACAACTCCCTCATGTCCCTAATATGGCAGACGCGCTCGACTCTCCGCGAGGTCGACAGCCTCCTATCGGACATGGAGCGAGGTGGCGTCGAGCTGAACGAGGAGACGTACCGTGTTCTCCGACTGATTGAGGACGAGCGCGCGACTGATCTAGAACAGTCGCTGGATGCTTCTACTGGTACAGTGAGGGGAAGCAGGGGCGGCGCGTGGTGGAAGAGGCATGAGCAGATGTTTTGGTTCCCGCGAATTCTGGACTGGTTGGGCGTAGTGTCTAAACGGCTCAATATGAGGGAGATTGAGGCTGGACGGGGTTGAAGTGTCCCCTTGCTTGATCCTGTATACTACTGTACCATGATACCCCCCGAGATACTACTCTCCAAACATCTCGACGATATAATGTAATGTTACTTATCACGTCCGTTCAAACGATATCACTAGTTTCCACGCGACGAAGCCAAACGAGGCCCTGAGTCATAAGGCCCATAGGTTCATCAGCCTGGCTATGGCTAGTCCTGCACCTAGTCAGCGGCAACCTACAAGGTACTACGCAGTCGCAATATCCAGCTGATTGTAAAATTGACACAGCACGAAGTTCTCTTTTTTTGACTGACTCTGTGCATTGCTCGACCTTGCAGCCTACGCTGCCAAAAGCTTCCTTTGGATGAGCAGAATTTGGTTGACGGTACTCTCTACCACTGCGGACGCTTCTTCTCACGTCTCGCCGCGATGATCTTCATAGACGAGTCACTCTCGTCATCGTCATCATCATCTAGAATCACAGGTCTTGTCCGCTTCATGCCTGCAAACAAGCCACGTTTCCCCTTGTCGCTATCAGTGACCACGGGTCTTGGCCGCTTTACTTTTGTAGACGAGCGAACTTCCTCCTCGTCGTCAGGAACCACATGTCTGACCCGTCTTGAATTCGCAGACACGTACACACCGTCAAACTTCTGCGTAGCGTTCCCAATGTCCTGCCCCTGCCTCTTTGCAACGTGTCCGATGGCACGATTCGCGCGTCGTTCCAGGCTTGCAACCCAGGACTTGCCCACGGCACGACCGATCGCCGCACCAAGAACCCACGGTACTCCATTACCAAGCATCTTGAATTGGTCGCTAATGGAACCGACTAGTAAAAACCAGTCCGGAACATCCATTGCCAGACGTGCCTCCTTGAGCGAGATTGTGCGATCCTCGAAGGGATGTATAATCACGCCGCTGAACTTTGCGCACATAGGACCTATCTTAGTACAGATCGTCTGAAATGGCTTGTCGGAATTGATTCGCGTCAGGCACGTCGAATCCTTTCTACGCTTGAACCTATGGAGGGTCTTGTACCAATTTCGCTGTGAGAGGGAAAGGCCGCCCTTATTGTAGGTCTTTGTGAGTGACATATTGTTCGGTTTAGTAGGGATATGCTGCACAAGACTGCGGAAGTTGACTCCTTGGCGGAAATCAACTCCTAATCGCTGTAGTGGAACGTGATCGGGATCCGCAATGTTGATGACAGTGTCGTTATGCAATGCTGGGAGACCACTCATCGCCTGAGAAGATGTTCTGATAGCCATCTGCGACTTACCATCACCATAAGTGTTCGGGATGGCATTAGGCAAAACCACGCCAGGGGCTGCGGCAATAATGATAATCCTCTTACGTTTTGAAGCGCCTCCAAGGCCCGAGACCTCACATAACATCTTCCGAACTTGATATCCGAGAGCCACAAGATGACACATTGCCTGAGCACAAGCATTTGGCCGTCCACTGTCCATTCTTGGCACATTTTCAATGACCATGTACGCAGGCATGAATATTTCCACCCACGACAATGTATGTGCAAGTAAGGAGCAGTTCTTCTGGCCTTTGAGGTTGTGCTTGTGGGCGTTGAGGGAGCTGAAGCCCTGACACGGGCAGCCGGCGGTAATGCAGTCAATCTGTCCTATACACTCGTCTCCTCGCAAGTACTTCAGAAATTGTTCGTTGACTGAACCAAGCACACAGCGTGTGTGGTTCTGTTCGTCATTTGCTCTGTAACTCCGAATAGCAACTTCGCAGTGTTCAATCGCGATGTCGGTTTGGGCATAGCCAGGCGCACAGAAAGCATGGTCTAAGAGCCCGCATCCACTGAATAAGCTGAGGACCTTGAGTTTTGTGCGAGGCTGCTGAGCAGCGTGGGTTGTTGGAGATTCTGGTTGCTTCTTCTTAGTGAACGGTGCACGCTTCGAAGAGCGACATCGACACGTAAGATTCTCCTCGACTGCATTGACGAAAACTTCTTCCTTTGTTCGATATAGACAGTGGACAAAGATCTCTGAACGTCCTTGAGCGTGGTCCGCGAATACTGAAGCGTCGATAACCTTAACGATGTCTTCGGCCATAACTTCGACACAATTACACTCGTCGGTGAAGAACAGCTCATTACCGATGGCATAAAATGTACCATCATCCATAGATCCACAGATAGTGTCGGTTGGCAATGCTAACCAGACAACGTTAATTGTTTTCAAAGACCATGACACTGCCCGGACCCACGCATATCGGAGCTCGTATTGCGAATTCTCGGACTTGATGCGGACGATGACAACTTTCCGTAGGAGCTCGTCGGTTGTTTGTGCTCGAACAGGCCTGTCTGGAAGTGCTTGTTCGAGGATCAAAGCAGCCTTTGAGATCTGCTCCTCACCCATGAATTCACTGCGTTGTTGATGGCCGAATTTGTCAGGGAAGTCCCAGCCCTTTAATCTCTGTTGTCTGTAGGCTTCGACCTCGGCACATGGACGTACAACCTCCAGGAGGTCGAACTGTGTCTTCCAATGTGGGAATATTTTGAGGAATGTGTAAGCAACATTTGCCGTAACAATAGTCTTTTCAGTTGTGGAACTCCCCTGTTTATCATGGGTAAAGTGGCCAGCATTGATCTCATCCCAGATGGAATATGTCAACTTGGCGTGGTCCGCTCCATATAAAGAATATGCTTGGTTCCAGAGGAATTGCGCATGTCGTAGTACTCGGCTACGGTAGTCCGAACCCTTTTTGAAGGCACATTGTGAATGCCATCCATTGACTTTGTCGCCGTGTAGCTTTCGAAGCCATTCCCAGAAATTGGTCTTGAAGTCGAGGAGACATATTTCTCTTGTGGAGGAGTCGAAAAGGTAGTCGATAAAGTACTTGCAAAATCGACTCAACCAAACGAAGTCTGCCCAATACTTCCTGTAGGGTGCTGTAGGGGTTGTGAGACGGTACCAATAGCCCCGTCTGCTGCCCTCGAGTGTCATTATCCATATCAGACCATCTGTGCTGTGCTCTCCAAGGTCCTCAAATCCGCCGATGCTGACATCGATAATCTGGGCCCCCATGATACGTCGTTGAGTTCCCTTGTGCTCAAGAACACCATCCAGGAGCCAATGCAGCTTGTGTTTGTGCGCGTCCTTCACAGGCAAATGTTGACTTTCCGCGGCGACAGTCAGTAAACTTTCGTATTGACCTTCACACCCTCGATGGTGCCCTGGGGAGCAATACACGCAGAAATCTCCAAGATGAAACTCTAGGAAGTCCTTCTCTTCAGTTGCAGGCTTATGGTCCTCCATAGCAATCAACTCGTCCAGGATGTCTCTCTCTTTTCTGTATGGTTCCTCAGGTTGCCATGTGTTTGAAAACTGCGGAGGATATAGCAGAGCAAGGTCTGCAGGCGACTCGAGCCGCTGCAACTCATTGGCTAACGCGGCGATGCGCTCCTCAATTGTAGCGTCAGGAAGAAGCGCACCGGTTTCGACAAGGTTCCTCTTGGTCCCCGGCCTGAGTCGAGTCGCAGGCATGCGAACCTGATCGCTGTCGGTATCGTCCAGGTCACTGTCAATTGCCGATGCTGCTGATTCACTTGCGACTTCCTCATCGTCATCGGTGGTCTCTGCTTCGAAGAACTTTGCTTTAGAGACAGCAAGCCGAGGGCCTTTCTTGATTTCGGCCGCATATCCAGTGACTGTTGATATCATATCAATGTTTCGGCGTCGCAGTCCCCGACGTGGCTGGTCGTCATCAGACTCCGAATCATCTTGCGTCAAGTCGATGATACGGGTCATACTGCGATAGAGGACAGAGGGAAAGCACGGAAAGACAAGAAGATGAATCTGATTTGTCGTATGGTTGTCTCGGTCGTCCAGGTCGTCCGTAGGACGTGGAAGATTGAAGTCAATCTAGGAGAGTGATGTCGATCTGAAGAGGTTGCAGGAAGATGGCAAGATTGGTTTGTTCGTACACTGAGATGAGATGAGAGGGCGGTACCGCAAAGGCGGTATAAGCTATACTGCCGACACCCTCTGTCCACGTTATTGAAGTCGAGCAAATTGTGCATGTTGACTCTAACACCGACAACAATACTGACGACAAGGCTAATTGCGGACCGAAATAGCCATGCAGTGACAATGATGGTCAAAGCAATGCCAATCGTCTTTGTCAGGGTGGTGAGGTTTGAGTGAGATGAATCCGCCTGACAGAGGTGTACAATAGCATCATGAAATAACATTGAAATTGATGGTTGAAATGTCGTGAGGTTGACGATGGCTCGTAAGCAGCGGCCTACCGTGATTTGGAGGCGTGGTGGCTAGATCATTCTGCCGGCGGAAGCAGCGTGTGCAGACTGACGACTGTTGACCGCCAGGTCGCATTGGATGCTGCTATCATGTTCAATCCATTGACAGAACGCTGGTACGTGAAAGTAAGGATTGGAGCAGTCGAGGATCATATGGTAGGTGCCGAGACTTTCAACGAACTCCAGAGTGACCTGTGACGTGTGAACGACCAGTAATTGATGATAGGATTGCGTTGGACACCTCGTCGGTTGTGTAAATATACAGGCATAGCCAAGGTAAGGTAAGGGAGGTAGGTAGGTATCTACGTAACTTCGTAATCATGCTCTTTTCTTAATCATATCTCGTTTGCGTCGTCAATTACCATGATGTCGCTTCCCCAGTTTTGCCCTTCTTTCGCGACGAGGAACTCATGAGCTCAAGAAGTCGGTTCTTGCTCGGTCCATCACGGCTGCTAGGCAAAGGTCTGGATCGAGCTTCTTCTGTCATATCAATCGAGGCCGTCGACGAGTTGGTCGAATCTGTCCTTGCTGCGGCTTCTGTGGGCCGATGCGGGTAGGGTATTCGCCGATCCCAGGCAATGGACGCCGAGCTTGATGGTGTGTCATTTCCCTCACCAATGGCAGGTGACATGTCGGTGTGTTTATAGTCCTCCTCCCGCACAGCATCAGCCGTCTGCGGTAATGCTGTCATCTCTGACTCCGCCTGAGATCTGGGGAGATTCTCTTCGAAGATATTGTTGGGCGACAGGTTTCCTTGTTGATCACTCAGGAGCTGCTCCCATGCGCCTTCTGAGTTCTCCTCCGGCCGTTCCGCTTGCTCCGCAGCTTTGAGGCACTCTCTGCTCTTCTCATGCAGCTCGATACAAAGTGCATGGAAAGTGCGGACATTTTCATCGTCAGATGCTTCTTCAGGGGTCACAGGCGCATGAGCCACCCATAATTCCACAAGCTGTGCCAAGAGCTTTGGTTGGTCCAGAAGGAATGGCAAGCTCGGTAGGCCTTCTCTCGATAACGGTGGAAGGCGGCTCTTGATCTGGTTTGGTGCTGCGAATTGAGGCTCAAGATGTGCTGTTGTCATGTGAGACCCGCTGACCACGCAAATCTCGTCAATGAAGCTTTTGAATTCGCCGGTCGCAGCTGTCAGAAATTTGTTCATAGGCTCCATCCACGGTTCCTTGGTCCCAAATTTGGCCAAATTAGCCAGTACATTTAGGGACTTCGCTATCAAGGTGAACGATCTTTTGGTGCGGTCAGGAGGCATATCTGGCAGGCACGTTAGCCGATTTTCATAATCGAGGCAAGGGATTTACCTTGAATGAGGCCGAACAGTTTCGGGTTGAGTATCGCTGGACAGAAGAAGCGAAGAAAGAAAAACCCGGACACGCTAGTATACTTGACCGTTCTGATAAAAGAGCCATATCGATCTTCCGCACAAGACCGTATGTGACGGAATATGAGTCGCAAGCTCAGGGGGCAACGTGCTGCAGAGACAAAAATCGACTTCCATATCGTGCTGGTGAGAAACAGAAGATTTGCCCAATTCTTTTCAAGTTGTTCTGGTGACCTGACTCTGTTGGGGTCCACTTCACAATCGGGATCCCGCTGGATGATTTTGCGCAGTTTGTCGCCTAGTACTTCTTCTAGATAGTCCTTGCCGAGTCTGCGCATATGGGCGTCAAGGGCCTTGGTCACCAATGAGTTGCCACGAAACAGTAGGTTGGCCTCCATGGTTGCCGACCGACTCAGATCACGAACCAGCAGCTCTCGTTGTTCGGACGATTCATAAGAATCGTTCGAATGTATACGGCCACTAAACCTCATCCGCATAGGCGGAGTATCTCTGTAGATGCCATCAATCTCTTCCTCGATAAGGTTGTTGATCCATTCGCCAGCTTTTCCCGAAGCCTGGAAGATGTCCAACAGTATATCTGACAGATGGCGTAAGTCAGGTCCGAGTAATTGACCAATCTGTGTCGTAAGACCGTTGGAAAAATTCTGCAGAAGCAATGCGAGCTCCTTGTACTCTTCTTCCATGAGTATCACAGTCTCTTCCAATGACAATCTGGCCAGTAGTGTTCCTACTGAGTGCTCATTGTTGTCAAGTAACGGCCACCATTTGTCGATGACACCGGCATGCTCCAAATCATCAATTGGCACATCAACTCTCCCAAAAATTGGGTCATGAGAGGAGATTTCGAGACCGCCCAGGCCGGATAGATACCCAGCCTCGGCTGAGATATCGTACAGACTGTTGGCAACCATAGTCCACTCTTTCTCGGCTGGATTTTCCAGCTTAATTGCAAGTGTCATCTTCGATAGAGTGGCTGGAATGTCCTCTATCTTGAACTCTTCAGCCCAGAACGCAGAGTTTGCACCAGTCCTGGTAGCTGTGCGCGCACGCAGATCTGTCCCGAGTATGACTTCGGCGTAGACGGCCTCTTTGCCTGTGTGCACCTTGTCGGATTTCGTTTTGATCTTGGGCTGTTCCTGAAGAACCTGTGGAGCGAAACTTTGCGCAAACTTTGCTTCTGTAATTTTCACAGAGAGAGAGCGTTCGATACGAAACATACCGTGCACAAATTGTGGCGTCCCATTTTTCGTTTCAGCAGGCATTATCTGGGGAAAAACGTCCACCGGATGCTCTGGACCATACAGCTCTGGTACTGTGAGGGCACGCAGGAGCACAAACCATGCTTCCAGGGCGACGTTCGATTCCATACCTAGGACCATCGGCCTCGTTAATCTCACAAGAGTGGTTTGAACTTGGTACTGAGGATAGATAGCAATACAGTGAGGCCTTCGAAGAACGCTTTCATCGAGCCTCTGAATGGCACACCGGGCTAGCTGCGACAATGGCGTCGCTGACAGTACTGTAGGCTCCTCGTCTGCGAGAAGTCTGAATGTACCATTTTCGTGCAGAGTACAGCTCACCCTGCGCCAAAGACAGTCTTCTTCGGCCTTCGAGTGGTCAAGGCTTGTTGGGGAGGATGCTATTTGAGATCCTGACGGTAGAGGGCCGTCCCATAAAAGCATTTTCCCGACTTTCACAATGGCTGTGCTTTTCGTGGTATTAGTATCTGAAAGTCTTCTTTGAGACACTGGCTTCTTGTCGGTCATGCCAATTAGCTGAGGTTTGGTCATTTTGTTGTGGATTCCCTTTGGTCTCAGCGGTTGCCAGCAGAGCAGCGCTGCGAGCCAAGAGTCGAATGTCTCGGGGACTGGTGGCCGCAACTGATATCCGGTTCCTGAAGAAGCCACCAAGACACTCAGATACGTACTCTGAGTCTCGTGGTCATAATGGGTCCTGACCGTGCAGCCCCTGAGATCAGAAATGAGTGTCGTAGCCTGTGAAACCTCACCCTTTGTCTGGCAGACAAGGCTGCCGGGCGCAACATTAATGGCACAATAGGCTGATGCCCAAGCCGAAGTGTGTAGGGGTCTGTAAAAGAGGATTCCATGCATTCGACCACAAGTAGTCTTCATCAGGTGCAGAATTCTTGCCGAATCGATGTCTAGTAGCTTCGGCGATCGCGGACCGCTACCGCCAACGCCAAACATGTCCTTCGGTGAGAATGGTCGACGCGGTGTTTTCTGAGGATTTCGAAGGTCGTGCTGTTCCGAGATGTCGGGGCTGGCGACCACAGAAGGAAAACCAATTGATCCGAAAGCCTCCTCTTCGCGGTGGGCGCTTTGAGGACCTGTCGCTATTGAACCAAGTCTCTTCCGTGTTTTCGTTATGAACGAGCCTGGAGAGGTGTCCAAGGGGAAGTCGTCCTTCGTGTTCGATCTGGCCTGATGCCGCCTTTTCCCTCCGCTTGCGCTTATTGTTTCATTATTGGAGGTCGATGCAGGCGTCTCACGCTGCCTCCTTGTTGAGTTCCTACTTCGCGAGGAGTGCAACACCAACGAATGCACATGATTGCCATCGGTGGGATCATTGCCGACGTTTGTGTGCGCTCCAGAATCTGGGGTTACCGCACGGATCGCGCTCTGCGCATGGTCTTCGAATACTCTGCCATGCCGGTCCTGCGAGGAGGTATGCCGGCTCGACCGACGCTGAACATTCTGTGGTCTTGACCGCGACTGGGCAGTGGTGTCTTTAGCCCCATTCCTCTCAGTCGACATCTTTGTTGACCTAATGTACCCTCTGTCGCGAACGCCAGGTGCGCTGAGATAGTGTTCACTTGTCACCACGCACAATGTCTTATTCTTTCCCGATACCGAACACAGCCGGCATTTTTATGATCTTCCGAAATCCTTCCACAGGCTCCGAGCAGATTATTATCCAGGCTAACCGGCATTTGCGCACAATCCTGAATCAAAGTAGCCTTGAACAACCAGGGAAATCAACGCGCACTTCCAACTCGACAATCGAACGAGAGCGTCTACGCAGGCCGATCGAATCAGGGAATGGCAATTGCTGATGCGGAATGCCCAACAGATTGACTGCGACGGTTACCGAACTAGACCGGTTCAGAATGAGAAAAGGCGCAAAGTTGGGAACCGACTCGATGGACGCAGGGAGTCACTGCAACGAAATGGAGGAGAGCCTTATGCAGGAACGTGTGCTTCGAGGAATTGTGACGAAAGAATGTGTGAGTCTTCGCCGTCGATGGTGGCAGCGGTTGGGGGTCCGTTGACTGGATAAGCCTGGCCCACGATGTGGGTGGACGATGTATGGGTAGTTATCTTAGTTATACAGGAGCTAATGCACATTTGCTGTCGTCGCTGGTGGCCCTCCTGGAGGATCCATGTTTTCATGGTGTGGGGTTAACACTGCGCTACGCCGAACCCATTCACGGGCATTTCACCGTCGTGACCGTCCTGCTTGTCTTTCGTGATAGTGCCATCGAGGGGGCCGTCCAGACTAGAAAACCTGTATACATGGCCTAGAAACCAGGACATGACACCTACGGACTTGCTCAACATCAAAGGCAGTCTGCTAACACTCCTATTGACGGATGCGATCTTCAACGCAAATCGAGGCCATCACGATTCCTTCCGGGGCAAGCGACTGTGGGAGCAATGCAAGACTTTGTTAGAGCAAATGTCGTCCGCCAGCCTCGTCATTCTGAGATATCCTCGTGAGTCCAGTAAAAGACTTGACCAACCCCGTGAGTCAGTGAGATAGAACAGCTAGACGACCGTAGCAATCTACCACAGTATCTGCCTTTGCAGCTCATAGACCATATGCCAAAGTCTTCAAATGTGCCAAGATAGACGTCACATGACCTGTTACAAATAAAGTTTTGCCCTCCTCAGAGTCGTACTTCTACTTGCAGACGATGGGAGATAATCTTGTACACCATCCATCGATCTTCGCAACTTCGCCCTTGTAACTGGGTCATCGGAGTCGCCTCGACAGGAATCATGTCGGACGGTAAGGACATCCCAAGACTTTTTTGGCGACCAAAGCTAACTATCTACGAAGCTGACTTCGATACTGTTCGACGCTTGCAGGCAGAGCGCAATGCTCAGGCTGCTGGCAAGAAAGGTTCAAAGACCTTCGATCCATCTAGTCAGCGCACTGACTCGTCGACCAAGGTGTCTTTGACTGAGACATTTGACACAACGCTTTACGAGACCAATGGCGCAGACAAATTCGCCGGTTATCACACCTCACTCCCGGCGGATGGCGAGGACGACGAAATGCCCGATGCCGATGACGGTCGGAGGTTGATCGGGCAGTACACGGCAACAAAAGACCAGATGAACGAGTTCGCAAGCGGAAACGGTGTGGAAGAGGAAGACATCCTGCTTGGACGTGAGAAGTCTGCCAGGATAGCAGATCGTGAGACTGATTATCAGAAGCGAAGATTTGAGCGAGGCCCACTCACGCCCACACGAGCCGATCCCTTTGCGGCCAACAAACATGCCGAGGTCACTGAAGGTGCCACATATCGAGAGGTCATGCAGCTGCAAGAGCTGGAACGTGAGGAGGAACGAGTCCAAAAGCTGATCGCTGAAAAGCAGGTGAACGGTGACGATGTCGCTGAACATCAACCATCTCTAAAAGAAGACACAGACAAGGAGAACGCAGATGCCGGATCAACGGTCGAAGCGACGGGTCGAAAGCGAAGGAAGCGCTGGGACGTTTCGAACGAAGACACTCCTGCACCCGATAGTGCCGAAGCTAAAAAGCGTTCGAGATGGGATCAAGCTCCAGCGCCAGATGGGGCGCCCGCCCCAGCGAAACGGTCCAGATGGGATCAAGCGCCGGCATTGTCGTCAGCGACACCGGCTGGCGGTGCTGTGGTTGCATCTTCGGAGGCAGGCTTTGGAACCGATGTTACTGGGAGAAATGGTGTTTGGTCAGATGAGGAGCTTGATATGATGCTTCCAACGGAAGGCTATACAATTCTCGAGCCTCCTCCCGGTTATGCACCTGTCAGATCTGTGGCTAGGAAAGTCGCGGCTACACCGTCTGCCGCAAGCAGCTCAACAGGTATTGGTGGTTTCATGATGCAAGAACCTGAAAACCCCAGAAGCATGGGCAAACAACTTCCTACTGAGATCCCTGGTGTTGGCGACCTCCAGTTTTTCAAGGCAGAAGACATGGCTTACTTTGGAAAATTGGTTGACGGAGCTGACGAGAACGCCATGTCAGTGGATGAACTCAAGGAGCGCAAAATCATGCGTCTGCTGCTCAAAGTCAAGAATGGCACACCGCCAATGCGTAAGACGGCTCTTCGGCAACTGACCGACAATGCACGACAATTTGGCGCGGGGCCTTTATTCAACCAGATCCTTCCTCTACTTATGGAAAAATCCCTCGAAGACCAAGAACGGCATTTGCTGGTTAAGGTTATCGACCGTGTCCTGTATAAGCTGGATGATTTGATCAGGCCTTATGTTCATAAGATATTGGTCGTTATCGAGCCTCTCCTCATTGACCAGGACTACTATGCTCGCGTTGAAGGTCGCGAGATCATTTCGAATCTTGCCAAGGCAGCTGGCCTGGCACATATGATCAGTACTATGCGACCTGATATTGATCATGTTGATGAGTACGTCCGCAACACAACCGCAAGAGCGTTCGCTGTGGTGGCATCAGCATTGGGCATCCCAGCGCTTTTGCCTTTCCTGCGAGCAGTGTGTCGGAGCAAGAAGTCGTGGCAGGCCAGGCATACCGGTGTCAAAATTGTGCAACAAATTCCAATCTTGATGGGTTGCGCTATTCTCCCTCATTTGAAAGGCTTGGTGGACTGTATTGCGGACAATCTTAGCGACGAGCAGGCCAAAGTCCGGACGGTGACATCTCTAGCCATCGCTGCACTGGCAGAGGCAGCAAACCCATACGGCATTGAAAGTTTTGACGATATCCTCAACCCCCTTTGGACAGGAGCTCGCAAGCAGCGCGGCAAAGGTCTGGCTGGATTCTTGAAAGCGGTCGGCTATATCATCCCTCTCATGGACGAGGAGTACGCAAACTACTACACAAGCCAAATTATGGAGATACTGTTACGTGAATTCGCATCTCCGGATGAAGAGATGAAGAAGGTCGTGCTGAAAGTCGTATCTCAGTGTGCAAGCACCGATGGCGTTACGGCAGGGTATTTGAAAGAGCACGTCCTTGCAGAATTCTTCAAGAGTTTTTGGGTCCGGCGAATGGCCCTCGACAAGAGAAATTATCGGCAAGTCGTTGAGACTACCGTCGACCTGGGTCAAAAAGTCGGCGTGAGCGAAATCGTCAGCCGTATCGTCAACAACCTCAAGGACGAGAGCGAAGCCTACCGGAAAATGACGGTCGAAACCATTGAAAAGGTCATCGCCTCGTTAGGTGCTGCTGACATCAACGAACGTCTCGAGGAAAGACTTGTCGATGGCATTCTATATGCCTTCCAGGAACAAGGAATCGAGGACATCGTCATGCTCAATGGCTTTGGCACTGTCGTCAATGCCCTGGGCACTCGCTGCAAACCATACCTCCCACAAATTGTCAGCACCATCCTATGGCGGCTCAACAACAAAACACCCACTGTCCGACAACAGGCCGCAGACCTGATCTCGCGCATTGCCATGGTCATGAAACAGTGCGGGGAAGACGCGCTGATGGGCAAGCTCGGCATCGTTCTCTACGAATACCTAGGCGAAGAGTATCCCGAGGTTCTGGGGTCAATACTCGGCGCCCTTCGTGGCATTGTGACAGTCGTCGGCATCAACCAGATGCAGCCGCCCATCAAAGACCTCCTGCCTCGTCTGACACCAATTCTGCGAAATCGACACGAAAAGGTCCAGGAGAACACGATTGACTTAGTCGGCCGTATCGCCGACCGTGGTCCTGAGTCCGTCAATGCAAGAGAATGGATGCGCATCTGCTTTGAGCTGCTCGACATGCTCAAGGCGCACAAGAAGGGTATCCGCCGCGCCGCCAACAACACGTTCGGCTTCATTGCCAAGGCCATCGGGCCGCAGGACGTTCTCGCCACACTGCTCAACAACCTGCGCGTCCAGGAGCGGCAGTCCCGTGTGTGCACGGCCGTCGCGATTGGCATTGTTGCTGAAACCTGCGCGCCATTCACTGTGCTGCCTGCGCTGATGAACGAGTATCGCGTGCCAGAACTCAATGTGCAGAACGGCGTGCTCAAGTCCTTGTCGTTCTTGTTCGAGTATATCGGCGAAATGGCGAAGGACTATGTCTATGCCGTGACGCCACTTCTCGAGGACGCCCTGATCGATCGCGACCAGGTCCACAGACAGACGGCGGCGAGTGTGGTCAAGCACGTTGCTTTGGGCGTCGTCGGGCTTGGCTGCGAGGATGCCATGGTGCACTTGCTCAATCTGCTGTACCCCAATTTATTCGAGACGAGTCCTCATGTGATCGATCGGATCATCGAGGCCATCGAGGCTATTCGTATGGCTGTGGGCACGGGTATCGTCATGAATTATGTCTGGGCTGGTCTTTTCCATCCTGCTCGCAAGGTCCGCACGCCGTACTGGAGGTTGTACAATGATGCCTATGTGCATAGTGCGGACAGTATGGTGCCTTATTATCCGGACATGAGGGATGAAGGGCTGCCGAGAGATGAGCTGTACATTACACTTTAATGGGCAGGAATGCTGAAATCGTTGCATTTACAATGAGGTGCTTTTGGGGATACCACAGACTTCTACGATTGTGTTGATAGGCTATCAAAAGATGCATTTGCAGGCGCTGTCTTCTTCTCTTTCAGTCTCAAATCCGATTTATCCTTCTATTGCGTATATTTTATCGAATGCCTCCTATGCATGAGGGGACATGGTGTTCGAGGTAGTGGTATTGAATGTCCAAGGTCTGATTACCCACCGTCCGCCTTAGTCGCCATTCGTCCCGGTTTCGAGCTCAGGTATGCATTCCTGCGACGACATCGTCAGTAGGGTGGCAAGAGTCACTGTTGTAGTTGTTGGGCAGGCCCAAAAAGGTCCAACAAGTACTTGATCCCAGGGGTGCTGGAGACGTTACCTCTTCTCCGCCCAATCCATCAACAGATAGGCTACGACAAGCGGTGGCACGACATATAGAAATTGGTTCTTCGAGCGCCGAAAGGTATTGAAGACGGCGTTGTAGTAGGAATTAGCCATGGGCCTCTGCCGGTTTGGCGAGAGCATATAAGTAGTTATACCCTTTTGCTTAGGAATGCGTTTGTGGCCCCAGCAGTACACTGGGCGGCTGGAGCGAACAGTATCAGTCTGGCGGCGTACACAGCAGTCAGATTGCAAGACTTACTGGCTATCGTGTATGTTCTGATTGTATTCCATGGTGGCTTCCGGGACCTTGTCTGAGACGTCTTGGTGTGAGAAGATTCGGCGGAAGGCAGGGCGAGAGAGGCCATGGCGGAATCTGGTCTTTTATTGAGCGGACACGAGCTCGCTCGCTGCTCCAGAGGATCCGAGTCCCGTGTAAAACCATTTTTATCCTGTACACTCCTGTTATATTGTTGGTGTCTGGAAGGCTGGTCCCCATGGTCAGTGTGGAGAGGGCCTGGTGGAAATTAAACCCGATCTGGAAATCAGGCTGCCCATAAGGCTGTCGACCGGAGACTGCCGTACGGAGAATCATAGGTGCCATCGTTGTCTCGGTAAGACAAGCTGCGATTAGCGAGGACAGAAACCCTAGATCGCGGGGTTACCCTTGTCGTTTGCAGATTGACAAGCAACCCATCTGTTATGAGGGGATGCAGCTTCCCTACCTGCAGTCGGGTCATTTCAGAATCGAGCTTCTGGAGTCTAGAATACGGAAGATCTGAGGTTTGAAAAATTGAAGATCTTGGAAGAACTTCTAGTCCTTATATCTGATACCTATGAAAAGGGTAGATTGTATATAATACATTGTTTTCATCCTGTGACATCTCTGGCATCTGACCATATAGATTGTATTGTTTGTTCCCGGAGGTTCTCGGTGCTCCGTCTAGTTTGTGTGCTGGTCCTTGGTCTCCTTTGCCTTCTGTGCCGCTTCGCTGCCCTTGCCCGCGGTTGTCTGTTTGACCTCACTCGGGTCACCGGACAACTTTTGCTCGGCGGCGGTGCCTTCGGCGATTGTACCTTTGACGGTGTGTGCGTTTGAGGAATCTTGCGTCGTCATGGCTCCGTCCACGGTCTTCGCTGGCTTCTCGTATGCGTCGCCTGTGACGATAGACTTGACTTTGTCCATTTTTGCTGATGAAGTATGAAGAGTGTCTTGATGGTGAGGGGTGGTAATGCTTAGGAAGTGCAATTTGTACTCATCGCTCCAATGCGTAGAAAGGGACTCATCTATAAGTATACTTACCTTGGAAGTAAGACGTCAGAGCGACGTCAGGTGGCTGTGGGCGTCAAAGGTGGTCGAGAATCAAGAAAGTATACGTGCGAGACGTCATTTCTGTGCCGTCTTGAATGGAACCTGACGCGTTTATCTTTGTACCTACAGTGTGGAGTCTACGCACATCCCGCGATTTTTGACGTGTTTGCGCGTTGGACGCATTTTTGGGCCCTTTTGTCAGATCTGAATCCAGGCATGGTAATTGAGGTCCTTATGCACGGGTTGCCTTCAGGCAAGAATAGGGCGCAATGGCCATCTGAATACTCAACAAGGTGAGGCAGGCAAGCCCCATAGTCCTCGCATTGACAGTAAGTGTTGGGGGTGATGCCAGGTAAGACCACTCGACAGAAGCGATGAACCCTCGAGCTCGTCCGGCCGGTGGTAGAGACACGAGACACAAGCGTTGCCATTGTGAGTTTGTTCGCGAATCACTCAGATTCTTCATCGCTTGACTGGTGTCGGACGGCGGCTCTGCTGAAATGCCCCACCAGCAGTAGACGTTGCAGCATTCCATCGTACTGCTTCCGAGGCTCTGGACCTCCAATCTCTATAAACTCATGCCAGGATATCAAACTGCATTCAACTCCACCATCGTTGACCACAGCGGATCGCCATTCTTCCTCGGTGTTGGCTTCCCATAGTCCTGTCCTTACGTCGAATGGCAAAGCCTCAATCATAGGCCGATAGTAGAAAAAGCCATGGTAGACCATTTCAACGACTACTTGCACCATGGTCGTAAAGATAAAGGTTCTGCGGATACTCTCGGCGAACGCCCATGTCCTCCATGCTGAAGGTTCAGTATCTAAGGTCCGTGGCAGATTTGAGCGGAAATGTTGGGTCCACACATGGAATATATGTTGCAAGGCATCGAATTTGGATAGCTCGGCCTGTCCACAGGCTTTTGCCAATGCCGAGTAAAGCAAGAGGGCCATCAGCTCGTGAAAAGAGGCCAGAAAAGTTTTGTAGGATATATTGTTGATGTCCAGATCCAGGATCAGTGGCTGTTTCTTCTGCACGAAATCGGCTAGTGCTGCTTGGGCAATAGATGCCTCTTCCGATTGAGACAAGGGTTTCGTCCTGCTGCTAGTCAACACCTGCGCATGGACAAATGGCGTTGACTGATGCTGAAACGTAGATAATGGGATTCGACTCAGCTGCTCAAAGGCCAACGCAAAAGGTTCGGGCGTGGAAACCGCAGGTAGTGTCTGCGGTTGATCAAGGCCATTCTGGGCATAAGACTGGATTGCTGCAGCATGGGCGGATGCTATGGAGTCGTAAATGACAGCAGGCAGAGGTTGTCGAACTAGGTGTTCACGCGATGGGGCAGGCGAATTGATGTTCGTCTCTGTATTGGTGACTGGTTCAAGGTCATAAGTGCAGTCAAGGCCCTTTTCCAAGCATCTTGAGCATTTGGGCAGCTCTGGACGACAACGGCGCTTCGCTTTGGTACAAGCGTGGCATGCTTTCCGCAAGGATGGCGGCATTGGCCAACACCTGACAGCGGTTGATGCGGCGACGAACGATATCTAGTGACGAGGTAGTCAGTGTGAAACACTCCTTTAGGGTAAGAGCACAAACAGAAGGCTAGGGTGGCTAAGGGTCAGGGTGGTGATCACCTGAGTATGGGATGCCTAACGAGGGTGCCCGGCACTGCGGAGGTTAAACTCTTCTAGGCTTGGCTTCCGCAGCACAGTTGATTATGGGGTCGTTGAGACGGTGCTTATGTCTTGTCGTTCCGTACGAACATCAAGGTGGTCGAAAGCAGACGATGTGGTGTAGTCTGTCCGGGAGTGGTAGCCGCTCATTGGTCTTGATGATGACTCTGTTGCACCCATCACGCATGGGTCTATCATGAAGCGTCGGCTCCTGGGTGCCACACTGCCACACTTCTCCTCTTCAACCTTCCTGCATTGATACCCACTACTGTCAGTATGGGTGGCCGACACTACAAGAACGACAACGCTCCATCCCGCCAGGCTAACGCTCGGGAAGAGCTCATCGCCTCTCTCACACGTATCAACACTTACAACCCTCCAGTCCAGACGTGTTCGACAGGATGGACATTTCATGGCTTGTATTATGGCCCAACCTCAGTCGCATATCTCTTCTTCCGATTATCTCAGTATTATCCTGATTTGATTTTCAAGGGTCAATCACTCTTGGACTGGGCACAAGCTTACCTCGATCTCGGCTCATCCCAGCTTCGAAAAGGTGTCGACTCAGGTCATTGTGGTATCGCCAATGATGTGCTGGCACAACTGGCCATCCGTGCTGTAATGGACAAGGATCCGAGCCTTGTTCAACAGCTCTGTTCATATGAAAGCACAATTAACGACGAAGCCGGCTCTGACGAATGGTTATACGGTCGATCAGGCTACTTGTATCTTCTACGACTGGCCCGCTCTGGTTTCGAGGAAGACTCCAATTCCAACAGAATGATCACCTCTACCATTCAGAAAACAGTGCAGCGGATCCTTGCGAGCAAACAGCCGTGGACATGGCACGGGAAAGCATATCTCGGCGCAGCACATGGCAGCTTTGGCATCATTTGCCAGATTGTGTTGTCTCTGCCTTCAGTTTCGAAGTCCGTGGAGCACATCCTTTCTGATATCCTCGATACGCAGTTCCCCAGCGGAAACTTCCCTTCTTCGTTACCTCCCGGCTCCGATCGACTGGTGCAATTTTGCCATGGAGGCCCTGGGGCTGTGCTTACCTTACGAGTTATACGCCCACATTTTCCCAATTTACAACAGAGAGTCGACATGGCCATCAAAGCGGCTAATAAAGACACATGGGACCGTGGTGTGCTTACCAAAGAACCTTGCTTGTGTCACGGCATCGCAGGAAACGCACTGGCACTTGATGACTTGGCAAAATTTCTGCATTTCATTTCATACATGTCAAGCGACCACCTCGAAGCTCAAGGATGGATGCACGAGGCGGGCAGAAGCAACGAGTTTGTAGGTCTTTACACAGGAGAGGCCGGCAGAGCTTGGGCGTGGGCTGTAGCGGATAAGCCTGAGGAGCTGGGTAGATCGTGCATCGGGTTCAATGATTTATGAGCTAGTATGAGAGGGTGAGCAACCTCCTTTGCGGAAGAGCACTGGAAGCACTTCATGATGTACGACTAAAAGTAGACTTCGAACAGTAATGCTGAAGGTCTAGATCACCGCATTCCATCAAAGTAGTTCTCCCGCAACACGTCCAGCCTCGTACCACTGGCGAGTCATTCTAACCCCGACAAGGCTGAACCCTGACTCCCAAGGTCCTCCTCCGCACTCAATCACTCTCTCTTCATACTACTCTCTTCTCGTGAACCAACTCACCTTCCTACCTCGTCCGTGCCCCCCTCGGCTGCCTTGTCACCCATCGAGTCATGCCGTCCCCCTCGGCTCCCTCTCATCCAGACATCCCACCATTCCCAGAGCCCTCAACTTTCTCCATCCTCCCAGACATTTACCTGCTGATCGCGCGGCTCACCATCTACCAACAAGCACAACAGCAAAAGTCCCAATCAGACTCCGAGACCCAGACAAGCCAAACGCAACCACCACCGGCACAAAATCTCGGCCCACCGCTGGACATCAAAGAGTTGCCCGCGCAAGTGTACAAGATCAAGCAGCGCATCGCGAAGGCGCGGGCCGCCGTCTCAGCACTGCCCGATGTGGACCGCAGCGAAAATGAGCAGGAAACGGAGGTACAAGAATTACAACGGACCATCAAATTACTGAAACAGAGACTGGGGAAATTAGGCGCGATTGCGGCGGGTGGGAACAGCGAAGAACAGGCAGACACAGAGGCAAAGGAAGACGTTGACATGGAGGGTGCGGAAGAGTGAAGTTATGGAACAATACAGAATGAACAGCGTACGGCGTACAGCCATTACACATACGGCGCAGTCGTTCAACTTGGAAGACGCCCGGTTCGTAATACAGCAAGCTCACGCAACGAACATGACGTGGAGACGAGAAAGTTGTAGTGTTTATTGATTGCACTACACAGGCGAAGATGAGGCGTCACATACTTTTTCCACCATGGATATCGTTGAAGATACACATACGCCGCCGTCTTTTCCTCGGTTCCCAATCGAAGCTCGAGCCGTTGAAACCTATTTGGGCCACCGCGAACGCCAAAACCACTCCAAGATGGATATCACTTATGAGACGCTCACACCGACAGGCAGAGGGAACGTCGAGGCCCAATCGGCAATCTCTTGTCTGAGCCTCATGATCTCTGGCACATCATCGCCCGCAACAGCGGCCTTGAAGTCCTTCAGCTTGTTGGCCTCTTTGGGCAACCCTCCTTGAACCTGCTTGCAGAGCTTGATGCTCTGGTCGATGTATTGCGCCACACGCTTGGAGTCTTCCTCTCCGAACCCACGGGACGACATGGCAGGTGTGCCGATACGGATACCGCAGGGCGTCAGGGCGGACTTGTCGCCGGGAATACTGTTCTTGTTACATGCGATATTGATCTGTTCAAGGACAGCTTCAACGCGTGCACCATCGAGGCTCTGCGGGCGCAGATCGAGCAGGACCATGTGTGAGTCTGTGCCATCTGCCACGAGCTTGTATCCCAGATTTTTGAACTCGACTTCCAAGGCCTTGGCGTTCTTGACGACTTGTTCTTGGTAAGCGCGGAACTCGGGGGTGGCAGCTTGCTTCAAGGCGACCGCGAGTGCGGTGATGGTGTGGTTGTGTGGACCGCCCTGGTGGCCTGGGAAGACGGAGAAGTTGATGGGTCCTTCGAGATCGTAGATCACTTGTTGGCCGGTCTTCGCGTTGGTGCTGCGGACACCTTTGCGGAAGAAGATCATGGCGCCACGTGGGCCACGGAGGGATTTGTGGGTGGTTGTGGTAACGACGTCGGCGTGCTCGAAGGGCGAAGGGATGACTCCGGCGGCGATCAGGCCGGAAATGTGAGCCATGTCTACGATCAGGTATGCGCCCACTTTGTCGGCGATCTGGCGCATGCGGGCATAGTCGATCAAGCGGCAGTACGCGGAGGTTCCAGCCACAAGGCACTTGGGTCTGTATAGCAGGGCATTCTGCTCGAGCCGGTCATAGTCGATGATGCCGGTTTCGAGGTCCACTTGATAAGGGAATGTCTCGAAGTAGGTGGAAACGGCGGAGATCCTGCCAGACAGTCAGCCTTTGTATCCCACTAGAGTTTCGTCCATATACTTCTTCGACGGTGTTTGATATCCATGGCTCAAATGTCCTCCGTGAGGTAGATCCAGACCCATGAGTCTGTCGTGCGGTCGCATGAGGGCCTGGTAGACCTGCAGGTTGGCAGGACTGCCACTCAAACACTGCACGTTTACGCCCCATTTCTCAGAGTCAAGGTGGAACGCCTTCAGTGCTCTTGCTTGGCATGTAAGCTCGACGGCGTCGATGTGTTGATTTCCTCCATAGTATCTTGCTCCAGGATATCCTTCTGAGTACTTGTTCGACATGGGCGACCCAAGGGCATCGAAAACGGCACGGGAGGTGACATTTTCGGAGGCGATGAGAATGATGGACTCGCGTTGTCGCTTGATCTCTTTTTTCTGAGGCAGGCATCAGTACGGGGGCATTTGTGATCTCGTGGGAAAAAGTACCATGATCTCTGCAATCTCAGGGTCAGACTCGACCAAGGTCTTCTCGAGCATCTGCATTTCCAGTCAGCGCAGGCGATTTTGGTGTGGGGTAGCCATAAGGCACTCACATCCTTGTGCGACTCCGAGAGTGCATAGGTGGAGGTAGACATTGACCCCATATTTGCGGTGCGTAGAGGAGAGGTCTTCTGTAAATGCTGGTGTAACGGATTGTGACTTGTGGTTGTAGAAGAAACAGTCATATAAAGAGGAACAACCTGGACTTGAGATCTTGAAACTTTTTCTCGTGGGGTATCGGAATGTCATGTCATTGCGATCTCGGGCTAGAATGTCCCCAACTAAGTTTAGTTAAAGGTACCGCTAACCTTTTCCCGATTGGACCAAAGTTTCCTTAACATGTCTCGTATGTCTACAGTAAAGCATAAAAATTTCGACCTCGATGTGTAGGAGAGGCCTAAGAGAGCCAGCGGAACATACTGCGCTACAGTACGTTTGCATCAACCAGTCTCCGCTTCTTTTTCTTCTTCTTTTCTATTGAGGTTTGCGAGTCCGGAACCAACGTAGTTGGCTCAGGAGTCCTGCCACTGCTGGAGTCTTGTATAGTCTCCTTGGACTTTTTCGACTTCTTCTTGGGTGAGGGTTCTAGCACCTCAGAAGGTACGTGGAAAACATCGTCCATCTCAACATCCTCAGCATCTTCCTGGATTGGAGTAGCACCATATGGAGTGTATCGCATCTTGAGACCTTCGGGCTGTTTACGTACGACTTTGGGTTTGCCTGTCGCAGTGGCCGTGAAAACAACGGGTGCCTCTTCTTGTGATTTGGACTTCTTGATCATTTCCCGGAGGTGAAAACTTCGTTCGATCTTCGTGGGACACTGCTTGTAGGTGGACTTTGTTCCCTGAGGCAGGAGAACAGTCTCGTTCCTGGGCGGTACAGGTTGCATGTTGTAGTCGACTCCATTTTTGCTCACGATTGGTTCTCCTTTTAGGACCGCCTGGATGTCGAGCTCTTTGATGGAGTCAATGGTGACGGTATCAGGAACCGAGATGTGCCATATCTGCTTGCCGGTCAAGTTGTCAAACAAAGTCGCAGTATCAGCAGCATAGTCGGAAGCTGTCATTGTGAGCGGTTCGTAGCCGCTTGGTGCTTTGTAGGGCTTTGCAGCGATCTGAACGGTTTGTGAGTTCGTTTTGGCTTTCTTCCTTGAGCTTTGAGTGACACCGGGCGATGGTCTCTTTTGGCGTACGACAGGGCTTAATGTGGACTCGGTATCTGAATCATCCTGTCCGTTGACTTTTGGGGGGCCTTTGTCTTCCTCGTCACTTGAAGAAGCTTGCGTCGATCCTGATTCTGACTCGGATTCAGCAGACTGAGATTCATTCTCGTCGCTTGAATCCTGCACTCGTTCCTGACTAAGCGGGCTTGGCCTCGAAGCCTCTTTTGATTTAGCCATTGCTGTGATGAAGGTGATCAATGCCGTGTTGTAAGTTGACTGTGAATGTTGTATCGCTTCGAACAATGCCGTCCCGTTGGTTCGAGGATTGCGCTCTGCACCCGATCAAAAAATTTAAGAAAATTGTCAGTAATGAATCGGGGTTCGGGGAAAACAAAACCGCCTCGGTAGGAGCCGCCACTAAGGTCCCAAGTGACCTGCTACAACCTTATTCGCCAGCATTCGACCAAGATTTTTCCTGCCAGGAAATACTTCGAGTGTCACTGTATATCTGGTATATGCCTGCTAGTGAGTAATTCTTCCGAAAAAGCGATATGGTTGCTTATCGTCCGTAGATGGTGAGAGGCTCAGCGCAGTCGCCAGGCAGCGCCGGCTGCGTGAGGCGCTGTCGTCGACGTCTTCTACTCCGGCGCGTTCACCAGCTTCTTTGGTCAAGGAAGTAGAGCATGAAGCTGTCAAGGCAGGGGCATCGACCTCTTCAGAACTCAGGGACGAGATCAAACCCTTGCCTGTCGCCACGTCGAATCAGTTCACGACACTTGTCGATGCGGCAGCGGTCCACTTCACTTCTTCCAGAGAAGTGGAAAAGATCAGCGAGACAGCTCTCAAGATCAGATTGGCTCGTGGACAGAAATGCGTTCTCATGGGTGTCTATGCGTTGTGGGTGAAGCAAGGATCAGTCTCGTTCTACGGTGCTATCCTTCATGCTTCGACTGCGATCTATCTCATATACGCACCATCCACACATGCGCTGCCGTCGATTGAAGCATTGACTTCCACAGCAGAACTTCAGCTCGACTCTGTCAACCATGGGATACGAGACCTGCCTTACATTGGCATCAGAGACTTATGGGACCCTGCAAGGAGAAGCCAGGCAGCCATGTCCTTTCATGTCTTGGGACATTCCTTTGAACAGGACCCGAAAGCGACAAGACGAGTGAGAGAAATGCAGCTTGAGGATTGGAAATCCATCCTTGCAGCGCTGTCAGGGCCTGAGCAGTTGACATCCACAAAAGCGGTCACCCCTCGAATCCTTATATGTGGTAGAGGGTCTTCGGGAATCTCAACTATGACCAGATGTCTGATAAATCGGCTACTGAGAAAGCGAACTATCGAGTCAGATGCAATGGCCGTCAATGGTGTGATCTTGCTGGACTTCGACACAAACATACCTGAGATTGCACCTCCAGGGATGATAAGTTTGGTTCATGTCGGCGATCCTATATTTGGGCCTGCTTTCACTCATGTTACCTCGTCAAACAGACGGCCCAATGCAGTAATGAAGATGCATTTTCTGGGTGATTTTGAGGCGACAGACTTGGCAGATTGGCACGTTGACCGAGTGCATGATCTGATCGCCTTGGAACAGACACATCGAAGGGGTCCGGGCAACGTTCCTGTCATCATACTCGCTCCAAAATGGATGAATGCATTCGAACAGCAAACCATCGGCAAGATCTGGAAGGATTTGGCGCCAACCGACGTCGTGTGTATGGACTCAAGGCCTAACTCACCGCATCTGCAAACCTGGAGAGGTTTCGCCGAGGCTGACGCTTGTCGGATTCATCAGCTTGGAGTCCGGGTGTATGACAAGATGCCACCTGCACGAGAGCACGATCTACAGATGCAGTCTTACTTTCATGCATCGGACTCTCTCATCACCGGTCAATGCTGGACTGAAACTCCGATAATGGCCGGAAGCCCTACCACCCTGTCTTATGCTGGTGACGAGTCTGACGTTTGTGGCATAGTCCTGCTCGGAGGTCATGTTGCACTCGAGGACACGTATGATGCTCTTGAAGGAAGTGTTGTCGCGGTTCTCATGGTCCAGCGACAAGAAGACAAACCTACAACTGTGAGTGACACAGAGGAGGGCCAACCGAACGGTAAAACCGACTGGCTACTACATCACACCGACGAGTGTTTACCTCGTTTCGTGCGAGGAAGCAGTCATGATTCTTTTCCATTGTCAGCAGAGCATTCTCGCTGCATTGGACTTGCAATGGTGACCGAGATCGATATCATGAAGCGACAGGTTGCTTTGATCAGTCCCATTGCCTTGCGTGAGCTCAATTTGCGGTCAGTAGGCTCACAGCTGGCACTTGTGGTGCAGAAGGCGAGTCCTGACGGACGGTTTAGACCAGATTGGGCGTGGAAGGAAATGAGAAGCGCCGGAAGAGAGAGGCAGGATCCGACAACGTCGTCATCCGAAGCATGAAGATTCACAGCCGGGTAAGCCGCCAACCAGTGTTAAGTGGTGTGACAGGCAAGCCCCGGCTATGACACCCACAACATAGGCATTCAACTGGTAGAATTCCATCACCCTAGCATGATACATGCATGGAATTGTACAGTAGTCGCCTATGGTTGATGTCGGGGATGCATGTAATAATCCAGGAGTTTGATGCAGTCTTGTCAACCTCTTAGGCTTGATTGGACATGGCGAAGGTCCATCAACCAAGTAGAGTATGGTAAAAGTTAGCAAGTGGCGGTCAAGGCAATCCAGAGGGCCCTGACTCGGCTCGGTCATCATCACCGCCATTCGCAGCCACGATATTGGACAGCCGGTGACGACGGCGAAGGCAACCATCACCGCCTCTTGACTTCAGTCACTTTTCACTGCGACACTTCACATCCTTTATATCCTTTGCGACAACCTTGCGAAATACAAACAGACCCGTTCGCTCGGTGCACTGTCACATTCTGCGCAGTCGATAATTCTCCACTAGTTCGGCTTCGACCGTCACTATTAGAGAGAAACATCTCCATCTTCCCCTTCGGTCTTTGATCACACGAGTCCTCAACAATCATCTATCCAATTCGCGGCGCCGAAGACGCTCTACTCCGTGATTCCCAGAGATCACAGAGATCGCAGAAATCACCCAGCTGCCACCTCTTCCTGAACGTATCGAAGGGGAAAGGCCACTCATGGCAGGCTCCGATTCAATCAGATGCGCCGGACTGCGAAATACATGCAATACACGACATAGACAGTGAACGATATCTCAGAAAACAAGAAAAATAAAAGATGGATTTCACAGTAAGTCATACAGCAGTATTAAATGTATTGCTAATGGGTCAAATTGCCCATGGTGCTGGCTCATGACCTGATCGGTCGGATTGCGTAAAGCAACCGGCGCATGACATGCTCATGCTAGATCAATTCCTCTGCGCGTAACCATGACCTCAACAAAGAACTGACATTCTTTGTAGCTCGCACTCACGCACTTTTGCGAAGCCCATGGCCCGAAGTCAGTCCTGTGTACTCAGGTACTCCCAATCGAATGCGCCCAATGTCTCCCTTCCTCGCCATCCTTGAGAGCTTGCTCCTCCTCCCAGTCTTTCGCAACTCAGGTCAACGAGTCATCACCTGAAACCAATCACAATTCACATACACCTCCTTTACTACGCAAGACAGTCACCAATCTCACCCTGCCGACTGACTTCTCCGGTGCCTCTACCACTGTCGATTCAGAAACGGAACCAGACAGTCCCACTATTGAGAAACATCCTTTATACAAGGCAATAGATCAGAAGCGGGAGATTGGCCAGCAATGGCGTTACGGCAGAGCCCAAGGTGACAACACCTGTGCCAGTTGTAGCTTCAGCGTGCCGAAGCGTGTAGCTGAGAAACTACCGGCTGGTGCTCCTGGCAGCAAGAAACCGGATGGGCAAAACAACACAAGAGCGCCCGTCTTGCGTTCACGAGAATTCGTCTGTCTTCGAGAGGGGAGAGCAAGTACGGATGAACATGAGTCGAAGCCTTCATCCTACGGTGCTTCCTTTGCTTCATCACAGTCTCAAGCTTATTCCGCCCCTCGGTCTTTTGCGCACTCCTCCGACGGCTGCCACGATCACAATGTAACATACCTCACCACAAAGTCTCCCGACAATCCTGAAAGTTATGCTCACCTCCGAGCATCGGTTATCCGGACGCTATCGTGCGAACTTTTACCACGGGGCATGTCGGATGGCCCTTTTTGCTTCGGGGACTCGGACGCAGGCTACACAATAGCCTATGTGTTCAGACTGACAGATCCCAAAGCCAGGGGTCGACGGCGTGCCTATGCTTTTGTTGCCTTGGCAGGCAATGATGCAAGTCGGGCGTTTCAAGCGTTGCCAATGCTCTGGGAGGCATTTGCGAGCATGGCGAAAGGCATCGAAGCTGCAGCACAACGCCACCAGGACGAAGAGAGGCGCAAACAAGACGAGGAAGCGGACGCCAAGGACTCTTCCACAACTTCAAGGAATTACACTCCTGTTTCATCCTTCTTGACGGCGCGTGCGAACGATCCCGATGGCCATCCTCGACGCGTAGGCCAAGCGACGCCGCGTAGCCTGGAAGAAATTGTGGGTGACGAAAATATATTCGTCTACCTGCATCAGTATTTCGTTGCTATTCTACGTTGTCTTGGAGAGCAATTCGGAGGGCAGCCCTTGGTAGAGGATGCCTCCTCGTATCAGTCGATTGATGAGCAATCGTCCCACTTTCGAAAGGCGTCCCAATCAAGAGGACGTCAATCACTCCAAGTCGATAACATGGAGAGACTTCGCGATGTAGATGCGACGCCAAAACCCGAACCTGAGCCCCCTACAACAAGTCAAGATCGGGTTCGGCATCTAACGACATCGACACCGCCAAATGCGTCCGGGGAATCAGACGACCTGGATGTTGCAAAGACCCGAGCGAACAAGGCGTTCAAATTGAACCCTCAATGTGCACCCTTACCGGTTAGCGAGACGGCACAGCGTCAAGTGGTTGTCTGATCTGGGGATGAATACAATTCACCTATATGGCTTCAACAGAAGCCACAGGAACTAATGACGATAACGGCCTTACAGTACTGCAAACACGGAGCTGATTTATTATAGCAGGCGGCATTTTGCTTTCATGATACCACTATACATCGAGTCGAAAGCTGATCTCTTCAAGACAGCGTCGGCGGCTGGCAGGATCATGTAGATCTACAACATTATGGTTGGTCAGCCAGATCATGTGTCTGATGTATGAGGGTATATACCACTTTCGATGTTGTTTTTTAATAAGATAATCTTCTATGATCCACTAGACATTCCATTTGCGTGGCGCACCGCTGTACAAATAGGGCCCTGTCAAGTCACCTTTCCCAAGTACGATGACTATCAAGGTTCTGTGTCCGGCAAGTCTGGAGCGTCCCTGTGTTCCTGTGACGCCGGTAGTCTGAGTGACAATTCTGTAGAATTCTGTAGCACAAGAATTCTGTATTTCTGTAGTGCCGGTAGTCTGGGTGATAATGCTGTACATTTCTGTAGCATTCTGTGTTCTGTAGTGCCGGTAGTCTAGGTGGTAGGATTGTATGCTGTAGCCGGCAAAATGTCGTCCACCGGGATCGGATGCGGCGACTTCTACAACCAGGACCGTAAAAAGGTGTGGTGTTCCTGGACCCAAAAGGACGTGGACAGCCACACATTCCATTTGGTAGGCGACCCTTGCCAGGCTCCCGTAATCGCTCTTACCTATAAATATATAATACTTATATAGTTAGTTAATAGAAGGTAATGTTATATATAAATTATTATTATATAAGTTATTAGTTATAAGCCCGATTATCGATTAGTCGTAAACTAATTAGCTTACTTCCGCTACATATCGTTACTATTCGATTAATTAAGTAATACTATTCTATTATTATATAGTAGCCTCGTAAGGCTATTACCTCTAATTAATACTAAAATCTATAATAAAGATTTAGATATTTAACTTATTAATAATTTAATATAATAACTATATCGATTCTTAAGGATAATACTTTATCTTAGACTATTATAATATTTAATATATAGTCTAGCTAAAATAGATAGCTATTTACTATTAAGAGTAAAGCTATAGCACTACGATATATATTATAAAGTAAAGTATATATAATATAAACTATATAGCTTACTATAAATATAATAAGTATTAAAGAAAGTATAGTTAATAATTATACTAGATTTTATTATAAAGCTACTAAAATCTATAGAGCCCCTTATAGGCGTAGACTTTAATAATATACTAGTAATAAATAATATTCTAACGAAGTATATATACTTTATACTATATAAGAAAGTATTAATAATAAAAGATCTAGTATATCTACTATATAAAACTATTATCGTATAATATAGTATACTAAAGAAAATACGCTTAGATAAAGATAAACTATTTATATTATAATTTTAATAATCGCTTATAAATCTATTAAAAATATACTAAAAAATATTAATAGTATACTACTCGTAATTAAACGAGTAAACGAAGAGAACGAATTAAACCTTAGAATAATATTTACGATACTATATTAACTTTTAGTAGAATAACTAAATATAGCTACTACTTATTATATAATTTATATTCAATAATAGCGCTTTAGTTATAGAGATATTACTATTCTACGCTAACTACGAAAAATACTCGAATATTAATAGAAACTTTAGAGAAGTTAAGCCGATAGTAAAAAGAGTAAAAATATTAGTCGATAAATTATAATAATTATATAAAATACTATAAAAAGAACTAGAAAATATATTAAAGAAAATAATAATTTAGGTAAATAAGAAGAGATCTAAGGGACTAGACTTCTAGAAAGAGAAGATAGTCTATATTCTACGAAAAAACATTAAAATATAACGACTAAGTAATAAATTGAACTATACTAAGATTAGACTATATAAAATTAAAAAGAAATTAGGAATAATAATATTCGAAATCGATTTATTTAAGAGTATAAATATTTACCTAGTATTCTATAAGTCTCTTATTAAGAAAGCATTACTAAACGCTAAACTAAGACTAATACTAATATATAAGGAAATATAGTAATCGCTATATAATATCGAAAGAATTTTAGATTATTAACCTATTAATAAGAAGCACTACTACCTAATTAAATAGTTAGAATACAATAGCTTAGAAAATACGTAGGAACCACTAGAATATCTACTAAAAAATCTCATTAAAGAATACTACCGAGAGAAACAATAGAAAAGACTTACCGATAGTATTCGACTACTATAAAGAACGATCAATTAGGATTAGACCCTCGAAACTAAATAGCGATAGCGAACTAAACTTAAGCTTAAATATATTTTCTAACTACGCGTCATCAAGACCGATAAACACCGTCGACGACACCAGCTCGAGGGGATCCACGTTATCCAATTCGTCCAAGGCGTTCGCTTCTCGAACCAATATTTTCTTCTATTTCTCTAATAGTTCGTTAGCTTCACGCTAAAGCCGCTTACGTTCCAAATAGGCCTAAGTCGCTGTAACCTAAGCTCGAGAAGCTATCTCTAGCAGCTATTGAAGTTCGTCACCCTTACGGCGCGCCGCTTTAGTAAGGCGATTCCATTGAGTAGTTAGATAATCAAACTTAGTCGTCGAGAAAGTACTATCGCAATATTTTACTCCTTTTTTAGTACAAGAAGAATACTTACTATATCTATCTAATATAAAGCACACTAAGTCGGAATCCTAGCAGGGCGTATATATAAGAAGATCTTAATAGATAGATAAGATCAAATAGAAGTAGCGATACTAGACTAAGTCCTTTAACCAAGCGGTTCTATAGAGACTCAAAGCCTTAAGGGTTTGAGTGTCCGTAGAACCTGTGTTCCCTATGTGTATCGTGTGCGCCAAGCCTGCTAGGGCTAGGCGAGTTTGGGTGGTTTGGTAGGTGCTGGCCTAATAGTATAGCGATCTATCTCGAACCTCTCTAAACCTAGCGACTCGATTCGCATAACAAGGTCGTAGCGACGGACAGTGGACGATCGACTCGGTTTAGAAACTCGATACTAAGGTATCGTTAGCCATAACGGAAGGAAGAGAAAGGGAGGCACGGGGATAGAAAAACGACTCACCTTAAAGTACGTTAAGAATAACGTATAGAGAAGGAGGGGGCGAGTATTACGAACCGAGATATACGACTAGGTTATGACTAGGGCGCAGTCTCCAAAGGAAAGTAGGTCTAAGGAGAGGACACGTGCAAGCACTAAGTCAAATTACCTGACTACCGAAGTGCTTAGCCCTACTTAGTGTGCTTAGTACTAAGTACCACTAAGTATACTAAGTACTTACGACTATATATATAACTAACGAGTCTATAGCTTTTCTTCGTAGTTAACTTCGTTAACGATTATACCTATACGTTTAAGTATTGATTAGTCTCGCTTAAGATACTCGATGTGCTCTCTTACTGCTATACCTTAATACTTCCCCCTACTTAGGAACCCCTTGTCTCGTAATACCTTAGTGGAGCGATTCATAATATTTTCGTAACTCGCTTAATACGATCTATTACTTTAATATATCTTCGACCTATTATATATTTAGCCCCAATATAAATTAAGGAAGAAGCTTCGTTTACTATAACTATCGCGCTACTATCCTTATATCTAAAGGGGAGTCTATTATCCTCTAATAGTCCCTCTAATTATTGCTAACTTATAGGGACGCCCTATAATCCCCCTATTCCGAGTAGTACCTAATAATATACTTCGCTATCTATCGTGGCCACTCGTAATCGTAGGCTAGTAGAATATTCGGGATCTTTCTATCGAATAGAAATATATTTAGCCCGATCTTCTCGGTACGTATCTATATAATGATAGAAGATATCGCCTTCGTCGCTCCCTCGTGTATCTTCGCTAAATCGTAAATAATTGCGAGTAGAGTAGGTAGCCTTCGCCTCGGCACGACTAATTCAACGTACTTCGACTATCGTTCGTTCTAGTCTCTCTATTCTAGATCCTTCTAGACTTTATTCTAGAGTATCCCTCTAGGCCTCTCGTTATCGTTAGTAACCTAATATAAAATCTCGCTATCGAAGTACTCCGGTAATCTATCCCTAAGCTATCGAAGCTTACTTATTATAGAGGTTACCTTCTACTATAGAATCTATCGCCTTATCGTTAAGTATCGTAACCTAATATAATCGCACTTCTTTCGTATAAACCGATTTATAGATATATTATAGTTCTTTCGAATATAATTCGCGATATTCCTTTCGAGGGGAAGATAAATCGACTATATATTCGACTCTATTTCTAGCGTTGGCCCTCCTATCGCTCGATATACTCCCGTTACGACCCGTAGCCCACGGTTCTAAAGCGTTTCTAGTTTCCTCTCGACCGTCTTCGTAAACGGCTAAGTATTTCTCGGAGTATACTAAATACTTACCGCGTAACCAAGCGTAAATCGAAGTATCGTCGAGTAAATCTACCGAGACTTCTAGAAACTCGCCCCCTATATAGACCTCGAGAATCTACCGAATACAAGAAGTTACGACTCGTATCGACTCTTCATTTCCTATAGATATATACTCTACTTAAGCTTCGAGTCTATCTATACTCTAAGAATCTTAACGCTCGCCTTCGAGTTACGTCGTAATCCTTCGATATCGATTATAGCTATTATATTATATCTTCGTAGATTCCGCGCGAGGTAGATTATCTTATACTTCTCCGGTTTAAACTTCGCCTCGTATTAGGACGCCTATTATCTATACTTTTCGTATATTCGTTATAGTTTCTAATAGTTACTCTTCGTACTATAGCTATACGTAAGGATATTAACGTCGTCGATAAAGCCGATTAGGGAGGTTCGTAAACTCTCGTCTTTTATCGTTTCGAGAAGATCGGCGATAAAGAAAAGAAAGATAATCGACGAGATAGATAAACCTTAGGGGATCCTCTCGGTTACACTAAAGCACGACGACTCCCTCTCTAGTACTTTCAGTATAGAAGTCCTTTCCTCTAGAAAGCTCTTGACCTAGTTAACGATTAGGCTTAGGAGACGTCTCTTCCTAAGATTATAAATAAGACGTATACGAGATATATTATCGAATACCTCTATAATATTTATATAAAGTATCGTAGCTACTCGTAACCTCCCTAGAAG